GCACCGCTGCTGCCATTTCTCAAATCGGTGACGGTCAAATCCAAGCCACCACCGCCACCACTTCCGCCAAGAGCTCTGCTGCTGCCATCTCTCAAATTGGCGACGGTCAAATCCAAGCTACCACCACCACCTTGAAGCCATCCGCTGCTGCCATCTCTCAAATCGGTGACGGTCAGATCCAAGCCAACAACTCCACTAGCACTGTGCCAGCCGCCTCTCAAATCACTGACGGCCAAATCCAAGCCACCACCTCTTCTTCCACATCCCCAGCCTCCAGCTCCGACGCCGACGCCTTTGTCAAGGCTGTCTCCTGCAAAGCCGACGGTTCTCTATCCATGACCCTGGAAAAGAGTGTGTTGAAGGACTCCAAGGGAAGAATCGGCTCCATCGTGGCCAACAGACAATTCCAATTCGACGGTCCTCCTCCACAAGCCGGTGCCATCTACGCTGCTGGCTGGAGTATCACCCCAGAGGGTAACTTGGCCGTTGGTGAACACGATGTTTTCTACCAATGTCTATCTGGTACCTTTTACAACTTGTACGACGAATCCATCGGTGCTCAATGCTCCCCAGTCCACTTGGAAGTCATTGAGCTAATCGACTGTTAAATTAGCGAGTCTCCAGAAAACTAAAAAAAGTTACGAAAAACTAAAGATTAATTTCAACTGCATCTCCACACTCCTTTATTTTCGTTCAATGCATTTCTCCACTCCAATCGACGTTCCCTCTGCATCCTTCAAAACAATTGACAATTTACGTTGTTGAAGCATCAATTTAGCATTCGAGTTCTTTCAACTATACAAATTTGACGTTTCTCATTACGATCTCGCTTGTTGCACGCCAGATGTGCCCGGGCAGTTTCTTTCGGTGATTCCACCGGATAGGTTCTTCAGTGGGAGTAGAATTATCACCACCACAAATGGTGAAATAAAACTGATCCCACCACCGTATACTTAATTAATTTTATACAGCAAATTAATACAAAATACATTCATTATTCAAATGGCTTTCGCACATTCGATATCCTTCCATGTCGCAGCTTATTTCCCACGTTGTGTATGTCAGTATTGTAGGAGACAACGCGTGCTTGCAGACTTCGTGTATTCATGTCACAAGGCTTTACTTCTAATGGCTCCAAGCCAAGGTAGTCAACGCGAGTGATAAAGTAAAAAAATTTCAAGCTTGCACTCAGGTTCGAACTAAGGACCAACAGATTTGCAATCTGCTGCGCTACCACTGCGCCATACAAGCTTGACTTTTGAAAAGTGGGGTGCAAGGAGGGGTAATAGCAAATCAAAACAGCCACGCGTAGCAATGACTTGTTGCAATAACGTCCATCTGAACTCTCAGACCTGTGAATCTAGTTAGGGTTTAGATTTAACTTCCTTCGTTCTAAATCGAATCTTCCTGTCCTTTCTGATCCACCGGCCGCCTTTTATATGTTTCCCTCGCTTTGACTCAGTTATGGGGAACGTCACATTGACTTGACGTAAAAGCCTGGAGCCATCATTTTATCTCTTGCAATGCCGATGTAGATTGTCTCATAGCTATGCGGACCCGTTGGATAGCCTCAAACTCAGAGCTTGACCGAGTAGCGTCATTGGTAACTGTAAGTGAACATTTTACAGTCCCTTCTTTTATCGTTAAAAAAGTGTAGATAGTCTGCTATATTGTCTCAGGAACCGTTGAACATCCATAGCTCAGGGTCTATTTTAACACAAACACGTACAGGCTTATATCACCATTGAAAGATCATAGTCCATTAATTAGATGTGGTGGAACTAGCGAGCGGTTGTGGTCTAGTACTCTTTGAATAGCATCGAGTTGCATAATAGTAATCATCAGCCTAGTGTCAATATAGTACGGAGTGATACGGGCGACGTGAGTAAAACGAAAGTGTACAAGGTGAAGGAACCCTCCATGACAAGTGCTATAAGACCCTGGTCAATGTCAAGGTCCACCGGAGGGCTAGAGTCTCCCTGATGGCGTGGACAGGCATCTGGAAGGACGGCCGAACGGACCTTGTGGTGATGGAACGAGACTCTGACGCTCCATGGAATGGATTTAAGGTTAGAAGGTAATACAATCTGCTCTCTCGAAAGGTCTTTCACCTGTATACAACGGCACGAGTTGCTTCCAGCAAGATTAAACCATGGGACTTCCAACACAGCCAACGTCAAACCAATCAAACTTACCTTCACAGCTGCCATTTGCAACTCAATCTACCATAATGAGTATCAAGATCGAGACCGTGAGCATTCTCAACCTTGCTTGAGAGACTGCAGCCGAGATTTAACTTCCCCCAATTTTGATGACAATAAGACACATGTGGCAGTCATAGCAGGTCCTCTTATCGGTTCTTGCAAGGAGCAGGCCGCTGGCGATATTTACAAAAAAGCTGTGAATGAAGCAGGGTTTCTCGTTGTTGCTCTTGACGCCTCTTTCCAAGGTGTATTTGGCGGAAGTCCTCGTTTCCTCGATAACCCCGAGTTCCTCGTATTCCGTTTTTGGTTTGTGGTCGACTATATTCAGTCACTGAAATACGTGGATCCTCATCGGATTGGCGTGTTAGGGGGCGGTGGATACTCCATCAATGCAGCTATGACAGGCTACCGCCTCGAGTGCTGTGTTGGAAACACAGCTGTCACTTTGGGCCGTATTGCAAGAGAAGGCTTTGCCAACTTTAACCCCGCTGAGTCACTTGAGAAAATGGCAGCTCAGCTCACACTCACAAGGCCTCTTCTAGGCCTGATTTCCCTAGAAGAGGCAAAGACGATCACTGCTAATATCGATCTACTCGAAGCAACCAATCTACTCGAGGCTACCTATCTACTCGAGGCTACCTATCTACTCGAGGCTACCTATCTACTCGAGACTACCTATCTACTCGAAGCAACCTTTCTACTCGAAGCAACCGATTACTTCAAGACCGAGTGCAGTCAGAAGCCCAATGGAGCTACCAGAGGGGTTTTCTCTTTAGCGCAGCATTAGCCTGAGATGCATCTAACCATGAAGAAAACTTAAGACCAAGCCGTTGATGATTGTCTGTGGCTACAACCTGGTGGCTTTGGAGCAAATCGTGATACTCAGGAAATCTGAACCCGCGCCGCGTCTGCAGACAAATACATTGTTGGCATGCCTGGCGTTTTCGATTATACGCTGTACGACAAGCCTGAGGCAGTTGAACCAGCATTGAAGCAAGTGCTGCCTTTACTTAAGGACCATCTGTGAGCTCTGTGAGCTGCTGTCCATTTTGCAGGGAGCTGTGGGTAAGCTGCCTCTATTAGTGATCAGAGCAAGCATATCAGTACTCTTTCAGTTGGTTCGCGCCAAAAAGCTGTAGAGATTGAGGTTAAGAGTTTACAATATATCGCACCTATCAATCAATTATGTTATTAACACTTTAAAATAAAGCTCCGTTTCACAATTACAAAAACTGTTCAACAACAGTGCAGTATGTGGACGAAGGCCTGCGAAAGCCCCATCTTGTACACTTTCGTTTTACTGACGTCGCCAAAATCACTTCGTACTATACTGACACTAGGTTGATGGTTCGAATTATTCAAGTCGACGCTGTTCAAATAGTACTAGATCACTACCTCTCGGTAGTTCTAACAAAAAGGCTTTTACAACCGGCACCTCTGTTACACTCACCGAACATAATTAGAGGTGAAAACATAATGACACAGGACTCGACTATCATGATATAGTCTCTCAATATAAAACAAAATGATTTAACCACGTCCTTTCCCGCTCACCTATGAATACTTGAAGCTTGCTAGGAAGCTTTTACTACACCTGTTGCAGCTAAGAAGCTACGCCTCAGCTTAAATGGAACATAAACAGTTATGGTAAGATTATATACAATACTTGCAGAACTATGCGATTTGGTTCTAACCGAACTTCTCTCGACAGATATACCTATGTGTTCTGAAATTAAGAAAAAACTGACTTCAAATAGTTGCTGCTCGTGGAGTCTACGTTATAATGCCAACTGGCGTCAATGTCTAGTGAACAAAGGAGAGGTAACCAGATGAGGTAGATAAGCGTGGTAAATCTATAGCCCAAGACATTAGAAAAATTTGCCATATACTCACTGATTCTCATTAGATCAGAAGTGCCAAATATCCATCACTCCCGATGTTAGTAGCACTGACGGTTCGTTTTTCACCACCTAAGGTATATGACCCACCCTTCGCCACAATCCCAAACTTGAACAGATACATTTCCATTTGGGGTTGCAAAAAGCCCCAGAATCGTTGGCCCAAGCTGAAAACTGTAGTTTCTAAAGCTTTGCCAGTTCTGATGCTGAGGAATTGAAGCTTCTCAGGTTACCCAGTATGAGCGTGATATGGACCCTGCACCACACCAAGATCGCGCTAGCGAGTAAAAGCGAGTAGGTTACAAAAAAAGATTAGAGCGACCTTTTCTTCTTCAAGGCAATGAATGAAATAAAGTCCGTACGTGCTTGTAATCCTCTAAAACTAAACTAAAAATGATTATCGCCAAGGCGATCTATGAATTGTAAAAGATGATGATGAGATGAACAACAGTGGTGACATGCTAAAGTGTTCTTAGTGATTTGCGAAAATGTTGTTTTAACATTCAACCAGTTTGACAACTTCTAAGTGAACTGGCGAGCACTGGTCACCAATAGATTCGTCATACAAGTTGTAAAAAGTACCAGATAGACATTGGTAAAATACTTCTGTTTCGCCAATGGCTAGGTTACCATTCTTTGTGATAGTCCAGCCAGCAGCGTAGATGGCACCGGCTTGTGGAGGAGGACCATCAAATTGGAATTGTCTGTTAGCCACGATGGAACCGATTCTTCCCTTAGCGTCCTTGAGAATCCCCCCTTTCAAAGTCATCTCTAGAGTGCCGTCGGTCTTACAGGAGACAACCTTTAATTTGGAGTCTACTGAGCCAGAGGCAGAGGCAGCCACGGAGTTAGACGCAAGAGTCGTTGTTTTCTTTTCGGAAGAAGCTGTAGACGCCTGGATTTGACCATCGGATACTTGCGAGGCAGCTGCGGCCGATGAAGCAGAGCTTGTGGCACTGGAGGCAGTAGCAGACGCTGGAGTAGCAGTGGTACCTTGGACCTGTCCATCGCCGATCTGCGAGACTGCATCTCTCTTAGCTTTTCCAGAGGCTGTAGCAGTTACCGACGCGGAGGAACCGGTCACCTTCTGGATGGCAATTCCAAAAGCATCTGAATAATCGGTAGCCCCCCCAGACAAGGTCTTCGATGGGGTCAAAGTGGCCCACGACGACGAAGATGAAGAGTCCGTCTCGTTAGCACCAGCGACGTAGCCGGAGACTAGTGCAGAAACAAGAATGGATTTAAATTGCATTATTAAAAGCCTGAGTTCTTAGAGCGAGTGGAAAGTTTCTTTGAGTGCGGCGACCAGCTCTAGGCGATGATGAGTCAAACTGCGATCTGTGAAATCTCCAAGGAGGATGGCAAACCCCCATCACAAATACAGGGTGATACTTATACTAGTCTACATTTAGGATGACGATCGGTCAGTTGGGTAGTGACCATAAATCTAGGCGGGACTCTGGGCACTCGCTACATCTTCCTCAGTCTCACACCTAATAGAGAATATTCTGCGGACGAGAGAGGCTAATTTTTCTAAAAAAACAATGTGCCCATTGACATGCACACTGTCGTGGTCGTGATTTAACCCAATTGAATAGCACAACAATGCCTCTGCCACAGGTCTGGAATGCAATCCGCTTGAATCGGATATTTTTCCGACATGAACGTCACCACCGTAAAGATTCAAACAAAATTCGCAGCAGTCTCGAGAGCCCACAGGCCCGCTGACGCTAGTTGCTTCCGTATGTTTGTTCTACAGTGAGATATTACTCCAGACAGGGTTCTGGATTTAACTCAAAACCACGTATTTTTCATCGTTTCCTAGCGCAATTGACTGATATTTTAGGTCGTTCCTCGGGCAACATGTATACCTGCCATAATGGGCATATTTGTTTTTCCAATTCTTGGCCACGAAAATTGGACAATTTTGAACAAATGCAGTGCAAAAGAGATAGCCGGATGCGGTGGGGCTCAGCGGAATCATCAGCCGAGGTTTTCAGGAGGCGCTAGAATGGCCAAGGCGAGAGGGACGAAGTAAGGGGAATGAATATCTTAGAAGGCGTTGTGGCATTTACTCACGTGAAGAGTCAAAGTCACTTCTCGCACTTGCAATCCACAATCTTATATAGTGTAGCGCACTGAATCTCAACACAGTTCGGACAGTCTGAGTTGGAGAAGAGATTCACACCGCATTATCTTGGTACGCTAAATGAGTTCTCAGTGCGCACATGTTCCATCTTGACAATGCTCTAATCTGACGGTCTTCGCTACATGACATGTCTGCGATATACTGTAATTTCGACGAGAGCTTCTCCGCGTACTGACCAATAGGATTCGCATTGACGTATCGATAGAAAGAGGAGTCATTGCAAACACAATCTCTGCTGATGCAAAAAACCATGGATATCAGATGGTTAAGAGCGGACACTATATCTAGGTTAGGCTCATTCAAGGCGCGATTCAGAGTTTCCACCACAGTCAATTCCATCTGACGTGTGGCGAAAAACATGTCGCGCGATGCAGATAATGGAGGTGCCAGTGAGATATTCAGCTCTTCTAGACCATTTTCCTGCCGCTCATTTGCGGAGGTGTCAGACGGCAACTTTAGCGAGTACACTGGTGGGGCGGTTGTGCTCGATGGACCAAACCTGAAGTCACACCCGAAAGCAAAACCTTGAGAAACCAAGTGACCCGATCCATCATACCATTGCGAATGATACTGGAGTAATGGCGATGTAGACGATGCCGTATTTTGAGATGGAGAGGAGTTTCCCAAAAAGTGCCGCAAGTTTGCTACATTGAGGCGAACTTCAAATAAAACGGTTTTGACTTCCCCTTGTCGCAGTGTTCCAAGGTCAAGGTCTAGCTCTGTCTGAGCACTTGCTAAACCGAGCAAGTGACCATCCTTCTCTGCTGCTGAAAACTGAGCAACTGCGTTGTTCACACTGGACAAGGTCAAAGCTAATGACTTAATCGCAGGTTCGTGTAGGCTATGAATCAAGTCTTTGAGATGTGCATCTTTCATGTATTTAAGAGCTTTGCTTTTAACGTAGTAACATCTATCGTTTACGAAAGCACCTAGCGCGATTTTACAATTGCATGTGAAGTACTGATAAATGCTGAATTTAAAATCTTTCACGATCAGATTTATGTCGCGCTTCAGACGCTTAGTATGAAAATCGTTATCAACAGAACTTTGCATATCCATTGGATAGTCATTGCCCAGCAAGATCAGCTGCTGAAGGTAGTTTTCATCGCCCTCTACTGTGCAAATTAATTTACGGCATGTCTCAAGTGCCAGCGCAAGCTCCCAGGTGTCATTCAAAAAAATTCCGTCATTATTGTGGACCTCGAGACTTTCCAAAAACTCATCAAGCCCGTACCACGATTTGTTGACCATTCCAATGAATGTGCCGTATGCCCCAATTTGGCCACTTCCATCCTTACCAACAACAACTAGGCCGATAAAATCTTGGTCTGACAATGAATCCAGAAGCTGACGAACTTTAGACTTTATTATGTTCGAACAATCGTCATTGGTATGGAGTTCAGGATGACAGTTGATGATGCTGAAACACAAAACGATTTTGAGAGGGAACTTCGTATGACATGTAAAGACACTTGAGCGCACATTGTCACATTTACTAGAAAAACTTCCAATTTTTTTAGGACGCAGGCTCTGAGCAATGTCCTGCGGCAGTAAGTCCCAACTGTTTACTGTCAGCTGCTCCAGTGGAATATATTGCATTTCCTTGGACAAGTATATCCTTTTGAGGCAGTGGAACCACTTGCGAATAACAGCGGGTTCCTCTCCGCACCCTAAAAACACCTCTGGTAGTGACTTACTTTTTAGATCAAGTATTATCGTATACGGGTCAAGCTGGTGTAACTCGGATATTTGCTCCTTGGAAATATCTCTCACAATACTCCCCTCACTCGCAAATAGTAGTCGCTCTTGAAATAGGAATACTATTACTGTAAGCCATACATCCTCGTCTTCGGAATACCTCAAAACGTCAAATATCTCCAGGGTCCCGGTGGGACCAGCGCAATTCAGGCTTTCTTTAAAAAACATTTCAATTTCCTTTCTGATGCGACTTTCCGCCTTCCCCAATCCCTTAGCGCTATCAGCCGCCTTAGGCAGTTTTGGAAGATATGCAGTCATTGCATATTGAACGGCAACGTTCTCAGCATCATCCCTTATAGTGAATTTCGATAGCTGGGGAACAACGTGAATTCGAGGCCTGCTAAAATCAAATTCCTCATTCGGAACTTCACTACACGAAGCGAAGCTTCCGGATTCGTATGAGCTGCCTTGGCTCGAAACAGAGGGCAATGGCAGATTCCCGAAACTGCTATCGAATCTGAATTGTTGACGGAAGCCATTACTGGTCACCTCAGAACTTCTGATAACTTGATCATTGGGAGTTCTGAAGTCCTGTACTTTGCTGCGATGTAGTGAAGTTTCCTCGACAGGACACTCTACAGCTTGAGGGAGTATAGCTGTATCAGGAGAGAGGGCTTGATAGAGCCCATAAGGATTGGTTTCAATACCGCCACATAAGATTCTAGCGGTTATCTCACTAAACATATCTTCATCTTTCGGTTTTGCAGCTTGCTTGCAGATTGAGCACCTGAAGGGGGTATGACTCAAGAAAAGTGCTTCAAATGACACCAAATAGCAGTTATAATGACACTGATGACCGCACGTAAGTTCCATGAGCTTTTCACCCTTCAAAGCACAACATAGGCTTTCTTTGCAAATATTACAATTATTCGAGATAAAGTTCTTAGGACCTCCAGCGTTAGATACATTTCTTCGAAGTTCAACAGCATAAGTAGGAGACTCTGTGTCCGGGTATAGACTTGCGAATGGGTCCCTAAAGCTTGGGCGTTCGACGGCAAAATTGCTTCTTGGCGTTCCAACGTCAACTTGAAAAGCTGAACCGAGTCTTTTTCGAGGATCCACAGAGCTGGCCGTAACCCAGCTCCCGCAGTCAGAAGTCGAATAATTGGAACGTCTGAATTCCATAGGTGACTCCAAAGTTGGCGCGTTCTTACCGCTACTTCCAGATTTGCGAGGGGTAGGACGGGGGGTAAGATGAGTGAATGATAAGGGTGCCGGTGCATTATTGCGTCTCGTCCCTATGTTGGTGATCGGTTTTGTCATTGATATCAAGGTCGGACCAAAATCAAGGTTGTCGTGGTCATTCACATCTCTGTCGCCAACGCCATGAACGAGTAGATCATGCTCGCTCGCTTGTCGTTGGTTCCTGCTTGGCGACAGTACGCTCGAGGCGCTAAAGCTTCGAAATTTGGAATTCACTCTAGTCATAACTGGCCCTGATAGTTTTTTGAAAGCTCTTGTTGAAGACGGAGAGCTGCTCCCGACGCTTGGAGGTGAATGGACCTGCTTCAACTTCGTCGAAGTTATAGGAGTACCGACCTGCATTGTAGTATTTTCTATGGTGCTGTTGTGAAACAGCACTACGGTTGACAAACCGTTTCAACTTGAGTTTGCCAGTACAAAAATGCGCCCTGCTTCAATACCATCACTATTTAAATACGTCGCGGCCTATTGTCGTGGATTTAGCTTGAAGCCACAAGCCCTTGAAAGCGGCAGTGCTCTAACGCTCTAGGGGTACGCGGACATTTCTCAAATTGTGTGGTTTCATACAGCCTTTTTGACGTTAATGAGGTTCTCGTGAAACGAACCTCACGCACGAGCCAAGCGGGTTTAAATGTGACCTTTAGAATTCCGAGCCTCTCTTAACAAAATAGAGCGGACCCCAAGGAACCGCTTGCCAATACGATTAGAATAGAAGTTGTGTGTCGTCCTTCAGACGGACGCCGATCAATGAAATGTTTTTGAATATCCATTAAAGGGCTATTACTAGTAAAAATCGAAACGATTGTGGGATTGTGATCTTGAACAGAAAGGGCTTACAAGAAGTTTGTTCCCTTGGTAGGATCAAGTGCGTTCTACGCGGTCTTTCATCCAGCCGCCCGGGTGTACCATTAAATATCGGATATCGATGGTTAATGTCACCAGTCCACAACCAATAGTCTTTAGAACATGATAGCCCTTAGTCCGATCCTATGGGTTCGTTCTCTCAAGTAAGGTCGTTGATAAAAGAACACCGGAACATTTACTTATGCACAGTGTAGCTCGTTACATGGTACTCCTTAAAGTAATCATTACAAGTGTTTTACGTTTTACGTTATACGTTTCGTGGTTTTTCTGAAATTCCTTAAGACCGTTTTATCCATTGATGATCAAGACAGTCATTAACGGTTAAGTGGAGGACGTTATTCATTCTTCTGCCTTAGAGAATGAAGATATCAACATCGTAGGGCCCTTTACTGTTTACTTTCTTCAGCTGCTGAAACTAAATAATATAGGATCTCGTAGCTTCAAACGACCTCATCTTGGCATCGAACTAGGTTGATAAAACATGTCCATGAAGGCGAAATATTAACAATTGAGTCACTTTTGGCATAGACGGTCCCTAAATTTTGACCAACTTAGTCCGAACTCTTTCTATAAGCTTAAATACATCGTAGTTCTCATTTTTTATGTCACTCTATAGCCTTTGCATCTCATTTCGATTGGTAGATCCTTCCTGGCAAAATTGGTACCGCCATCTTCGGATGATTTTCGTGAAAAGAAGGGCTAAGTGCCGGCACTTAGAAGTGTTTTGGCCAAGCTGTTGATGACGTCTCATTGTTGCCCCGGTTTGCAGATATCCCACTTTACTCCAGTTACTTTGTACAATCTGTCCAAAATGTCACCGATGGGGGAATAAAGACCAAATTGCCTCTGTTCGCCATCGTATGAGTGCAGCATACCCACCACGCCTAGACCAAGCTTGTTGGTTAATTTCGTAAGAATCCAAGCACCCGAGTCACCGCCAGCAGCAAACATAGGCGAAGGAGATGCCACTACAAACTCGCTGCTTTTCAATCTGCCTTCTGCCCAAAAAATGAGCTTTGGACCGTTTACTTGACCAGTTGTAAACTTAGTGGTTGCCCCAACCTTGAAAACTTCAGAACCAGCCTTTAGTTTCATGATTTTGTCTTTGACATAGAGGTTTTGAAACCGCAAAAAAGGATTAGCCATTGAGCCTACGTCGTCTCCCAAAAAGTTTGAGCAATGAACCTCCGGGCTCACTTTTATGATAGCAAAGTCTGAAAGTTTTTGATCAACAACAGCTCTTTCGCCCCACACTACTTGCCCAAACTTATGCTGCTCTTGCCACTGCAAGTTTTGATCGATTCTCACCAACTCTTCGTTAAAAGCATTTCTCTCTGCAGAACCCTCCAGATATCGCTGTGCTTCATCTACTATTGCATCCTTATACTGCTTCTGGAGAACTGTCGATGGCACAGCAACGTGGGGGTAGTCTTGAGATTCAGCAAGTGCTACATGGGCACAAGCCATAGCAAAAGTAGAACCTGCAAACTGAGCTAAAGACGTATCGTCGTCTTTAATATGCGGATAAATATAGCCTCCAAGCGTTCCAGTTATTTTGTTGCTGTCATGGGACGATATTGACATGGAAATGGGAGGCGCAGTGACGTCCGATGGGAGTCTGTATGGCGGAAGAAACTGAGAGGCCATTGAACTTTCCATCGGCCGAGGTTTCAAGGCAATAGGAGACTGAACCTCGGCGCAAGGCTGAATATAATCTTTGACACAGTAAAAGTGCACGTCAGGAAATAGAGAATACAGCGCTTTGATCAAATCATGATGCTCCTGCTGAGGTTGTGGTAGACCAAACATGAGGGTCAAAACGGATGTCGCTCGGTTAATTCCTCTCAGAACTGGCGCAATAAAAGCACCGGATTGATCAGAAATACACGCTGAATCAGTTGCTGCTATTTTTTCCATGATAGCAGATATTTTGTTTTTTCTGGGGAGATCGCATTCAGCATCGATGCAAAAGTTTCTTGGATACCGCAAAGTTCGAAGTTCATGGCCATCATCGAAAGATGATACATTCAACTTTTTGAGAAAGCTCAGGTAATGTTTGATCATAATCGCTCGAGAGTTGTTGAAGACATCCGGTTGCAAAAGTGTATCTACGAAATGTAATACTGTCTTCGTAATTCTTCTGAGAGAGTTGTTTTTGCTCCAAGATACCCTATTAGGAAGCTGAACGTTCAAAACGTCTGGAAGGAAATCTTTAAAGTACTCAGCGGCCTGTATGACGGCCTTTGAGATGTTCGTAACATTCTGGTGAATATCGTCCATTAAGACTACCAAGTTTTCATCCAATATTTCCAAAGCACAGTCAAATTGCTCAAAAGTCACGGTGGGCCTTTCCTTCTGTGTACCTGATGTACGCCTGCTTGAATGTCTCACTGCTCGCGGCAAGTGATCGTCCACAAGAACGCTGGTCAACAACGCATCCTCTTCCTCAACAACGGGATTCAACGAACCTAGTTTACCAAATTCCAACACACGCAGAGGTTTTCCGGCACTTTCAGAGTCTTTACTTGCCACATGCTTCCTACCCTGAGAGTCACCAGTATGCGTTGAAGAGCCACCTGTGCGATGCGTTTGTCGACTTTTAGAGAAAATCGACGACGACTGTATGGAAAGCGAGAGTCTACTCGAAGAATCATCATCCTTGGGCGAGTCTGTGCCTTCTAGCTCTCTATCGTCAACGAAGGAAGAGGAAGATGATGAGCGGACATTTGATTCCCAAGCTTGTTTGTCTTTGGTTTCAGGTTTCTTCTTACCAATACCCAAGAGATTCTTAGCCATTATGATACTAGCCTCAACTCCTTCAAATTACGCAACCGCGAAGCTTTGTCCGTGGTCTCTTGCCCGGATGTCAGTTTGTTGGAATGATATCGATTCTGTCAAAATAAATTGTCTACTTTAATTTCAATGAGGTAGAACCATACAAAAATGACATTTCGGTATGAATAGTCAGAGAAGCTAAGGCTAATTTGACGCCCCCCGCTATCCAAGTTACCTACTTACTAAGATACAGTTCAAAAGGAACACTTGTGATTAGTTGTTTGTATTTGAATCCGTCAGCACATGTAGCGATTTATTTGTCTCCGAGCTGTTTTCCCCAACTTGACTGGTTCCCTTCCCCTTGTAGGTACTTACGGCAGGAATATCCGCCTTTAGTCTCGTAACGTGAGTCGCATACGCCCTGGGCTCAAGCCTGATCAATGTATGAAGAGGAATTGACATCCATGGCGATTCCTCCTGCGGAACATTCATGAAATAAGCATAAATGCACCTTAGCACAGCCTGATGCGTTATAATAAGAATATTTTCTTGGCGCTCTAGTTCCATTATTATCGGTTCCAGCCTAATTACCACATCACGATAAGATTCACCGCCCCGGTACCGGTACTCGTATTTGTCCTCGTCCCTAGCTTTGAAGTCTTCGGGGAATGTTTCTTCAATTTCTTCATACGTCATACCATCGCATACCCCAGCATCTAGTTCGTCGAGTGCTTTCCATTGTAATTGTCTGTATGGCAGATGCTGTGCTGTCTCTTGTGTCCTGATCAGCGTGGATGTCCACACAGTTAAATCTCTATCTCCAGCTGACTCGCGAACAAACTCAGGGAGTTTCTTAGCGTACTGTAGTCCTCTGGGTGACAATGACGAATCGCCGCCGATTTTTTTCTCCAGATTGTAGATCGACTCTCCGTGCCTTGAGAGCCAGATGTATCGCGGTTTGATATGCAAATTCATCACGTAAAAGACAATTCTACTTTCCAGGTATGTCTCCACTCTGTTGATGATAACTTGTTCTGCAATATTGATCATTCGTACAAATGTGAGATCTCTGTCTTTGTCTGCATCTAGCGTCTGATATACCTGCTCGTACTTTCCAATGCGCTTTAGAAAGTCCGCCGAGGCATCCTCCGGATTAACCCCTTTGTAGTCCGGTGACGATGTCTTGACGTCGGCTATGTTTCTGAGAATCAAATCCTTGTCATCGCACCAACTTTCAAGGAACATTGGCTCAATAGAGTTCTCTCTACATAGCTTTAAGATCCAGTTTCTTCTTTCTCTAGTTGAATTTGTTGCGTCGAGGATCGCCACAACCCCTTCCTCGTCAGCAAACCAATTCATCATGTCATGGACTGCTTGGGTCACTGCTTGTTCTCTGATTTTATATGCTTCCTCATTCGAAGCGTCGAAAAAATCAGCACTAGGTCTTGGAGCATCCTGACGCCTGTAGTTGCCAACATTGAAGCACCTGGACTTGATAGACAGCCATGACAGGTAACGAACGATTTTTTGCGAAATGAAGGATTTGCCTCTTGCGGGAAGCCCCACCATTACAACACAAATTCTCAAATTCTGGACCTAAATTTCGGCAATTTGCGGTTGCCATGAGTTAGTTGAAATTCAAGAATAAAGCGGAAGGACTCTCAGACTTTCTCTATAATAATGCTATTGGTTTTGCACATACATTAGAAACCGTATACACTGGCATTCTCAAAGCTGTTGGAAAATTATAGGAAAACCCCAAATCAATTGACCGACTGATGGTTGATAACTAGTATCGCGGCAAGCTAAAAGGTTTCTTTGAAGGTGAGCGTTTGTAATTTTAAGGAATATCAGTACCTTTGCTTCAATTTTACAAAGCTAATAATTTCTAGGTCATCGTCAATCGCGACCGACAAGTTTTATGGCTGGCTCTAGTAAAGTTGTCACAATACAATCGCTTTGAATCTACTGTCAACTTCCTTTTGGTCTTGAATATACTGCAAAGTCCTGTCAAAGTGTTCGATTGGTATGGACTCAAGATTAGTAGATTTAGAAGTTGGAGGTTTGGTAAATGTAGTTGCGACGCTATTAGTTGCACCTAGGTGAATGTAGCAACCATCAATGCCAATGTATGCTTTATCACCACCGTTATTCAAGGTACGGTCATCGTCCAGCATAGAATTTCTTTCCAATTTCAAAGAATCAATATTGGTTTTGATCAATTCAACTAGCCCGTTGATATACTTTACACTAACATTCGTCGACGTTTCGTCGCCATGAATAAAGTAGTAACAGCACCGATCAAGGATCTCAATCATGAGTTCACAGCTTTGGACATTATCCATGACAGAATCCGCAACCCGGAGGGATCGTTGCAGACATTCTAAAACTCTCTTTCCTTCACGGAAAAAACTTTCCGTGATACCCTCCTCCTCACCCAGGAGCGAAATTTCTGTGGCCCACCATAGATGAGAGCAGGTGTAGACGGCTCTACATTGGTCTTGCTTTTTGAGTAGTTTGGAACCATGCAGCGTGCACCTGGTGATCAGTGTTTCATAATACGACTCCATGTACAAATTCCGCGTTTTCTGCAGTGTTTGGGCCATATTTACAATGGCCTGAAATTGAGTTCTGGAATCACTTAAGGACTCTTCAAACGTTGTAAAGGCTTGTGAAAAGAAATCGTACGCGATATCACCTAATTGTGATTGGTCGGCGAGAGAAGCAGTTTGCAGGTTTAACTTGTATATCAGGTCCAAACAACCCCCACCAGAAGAATTGTAAAGGTTATCTATTGTTCGTGAAATGTGTTTGAACAGCTGCTTAATAGTATTGCTGTACTTCTCTGAATCTGCTTGCTCTCTTTTAAGCTTCCATTGACATTTACGAATTAAAATCCAGAAGTTGCTGATAATGGCCGGTGAATGATATTTGATGTTCCGACCGCTTCTCTGAAACCAATTTCTACAACTGAGCAAAAGTTCAATATGAACATCAACAGACTTGTTAAAACATAAATGTGTCAGCTTTGCTAGTTTTTCGTGATCCGGACTCAAAGTCCAGTTTTCGTTACCCAAGGCATCATCTTCATCTAGCATCAAAGAAGAAGCTGGTTTTTCTGAGTCGGCCTCTATGAGAGATTCGCAAATCTTCAGTATTGTCTCTAAATCTGCTTTAGAGGTGATCTGCCACCGTGCGTTGACCAGCATATCGAGGATTTCATTAACGCAGTGCCGTTGAAGTTTTTTGTTCTGTAAAGAGAGCAGTTCTTGGTATGCAGCACATTGCGTCAAGACATTATAGAAAAATTTCATGCTGTTTGTAAACTCAGGAGCAAGTAACAGATCGTGGAATAGATAGTCGCACTCGTCAGGTATTGCTTTGCCATGCTCTTTACATTTTTCTGTCATAAAACTTAACAGAGTATTGACATTTCTAATGTTATCCGGACCCCAGCGGAGTTTCAATTTCAAAATACCTTGAACAACAGGCGCTAGTTCTTGGAGCTGAAGATCAGGCCTTTCTTCACTCAGCTGGTTGAGAAATTTCCAAAAAATGAAAAATAGGTTACTATTCTCTTCTCCAATATTGAGAGAGGCAAGTTTTTGGGATATTTCGTCAATGCCTGGATTTTCCTGCCTGTCGATAAATCCATTCAATCTCTCGACTAATGTCAACACGATCTTATTTACCGGAACAGCTGGGTTTAGTTTCAACGATGTGGAAAGCAGCTCAGCCAAGGTCCCTAAATGGAATTCATCTGGGAAAACCTGACAAATCACGTCGAAGAGATATTCTTGCGATACGACATCCCTGCATTGTATTACCTGCTCCAGAACCAGTGGCAGAATCTCGTCTTTGTACATGTTAAAATCAGACTCCACGATTTGAGATAGTCTTACCAAATTGACCCCAATTAGGATTTTTAGTTCTTTTCTTTCACGAGTTCGCTGCTCTCTTTCTCGTAGCGGACCTTGGTGTTGTAACCTGACCCAAAGTTTGTTCATTTCAATGAAGTTGGTAATAACAAAATTGGCGTTAGTCTTTTTGGCCTCGGGCGAGTCCGCCTGGAAGAACTCTTTTGTTCGCTGGGAGAGATAGTACCTCAGGAATAGACCTCTCATAGGGTGCTGAACACCTTTGCACATCTCAATCATATCTTTAAAAATCTCCTCGCGAGGGGAATCTGCGCATTGCAGGTAAGCACTGCCCACTGTAATCATCAGGTACAGCCTCGGAAGGATGTTTCCGGCATATTGCACCAATTCGTATAAATCTGCTAGGTGGTGACGCTTGGTGTGGCAATCCACAAAATAAGTAGACAGTATACTCAGAGAATCGTAGATCAGAATATAGAGCTCGTAGTACTGCTTAGGTGTCAACAGCGGACTCCTCAGCTCCGTTAGCATGATTGAGGTGTGCTTTAGTGCATCCATGAGCTTTTCTTGTGCGAGACATCTCTGCATCAGCACAGTTTGCTGTTTGCAGACAGAAACAGCTTGCTCGATGTTCTCAGCATATGACATGGTCTAACTGGATCTCGATGCGCAACTGCTTGGATGCTTAGACGTGCCGATAGGGGATTGATTGGCTGGAAGAGCGTTTAAACTTGAAAATACGGAACACCGCCTACGTATATAGTGATATAAATCATGGTGTGGACATGGCGTGGTAGACTTCGTGCCTGAGTTTAGAGCGCGAGGTTGGCCACTGGTGTTGGTGTACTCTCCTTCAAGCGGCTGATAGCGTAGGGCGGTAAGACCACCACTGTGGGCTGGCGGACTCATTATATCCTTCACGTCAGATGATACCTGGAGGTCGCTTCCCGAAGCCTATGTCGTGTGATTGGTCCCTGACCACTGGTACTAGAAGCCAGATTTCCATTTTCCCACGTACACGGACCGAATACAAAACCGCGCCTTGTTGGCCGCACCCAGTTTATCCTGACCAAATCCCGAATTTGCGACAAAGTAGTACGGAATGATGAGAAAAACCACCTCTTGAAAGTACTTCACCAGACGTCCTGTGTGGCCAACCAGCGCGTAGCGACACTAATTCCAGCGAACCGTTTCGAGAGCGATGGGCCCCTCAACCTTTCGCAAGTCGACTGCTACGAAGTGTTTCTTTCTGTCATTGTTTTGTTCGTAATATCATTGCAAGCTCACGGGCGCCTTATACTCCGCCATCATGAGAGAATGCAGAAAACCAACAGCCGTCCGTGCATCCCGCCTTGCACATGTATACAGATTCACCAGAGGCCCTGCGTATAAGTCAAACAGCTCTTCTCTCTGCTATCATTGTCGTGATGCCGAATTCAAATATCCTGTCCTTCAGTCTCATTTCCCTGCACATGCCCTCAACGCTTAACTCAAGATGACGGCTCTTCTTTGATGACACAGCAATTGAACGGCCAGGCGTTTCCCGCCACCTGGAGAGGTGTTCCATTACTAAAACCGACTAAAATTATGCCGAGCCGTTCTATGCACCAATAGTAAGCGCAGGAATTTTCCATGCATATAGACTTTTTTCAATCGTATAACACCGTGCCAATCACCTGGCCACTAAGGCGATAGGAGGGAAGCTGGTCAGCGTGCCGATATATGCGGGCAAGCTTTGTCAACCCTTCAAGGCCAGCTACATGTCTGGACCGCGTGAGAAGATTAGACCAAGCGTTGCTTACAAAACAGGGTAGAGAAGATAGGCCGAAGGGTTGGACCAGGACGTCAGTAGCTTCTCAAATACGAATACATACATACACATGTATATATATAATATGTATATATATATATATAGGTATTCAGAACGTCGACACTGTTGAAGCAGTTACAGGAAAAAGGTCTTTACCTCCAGACGTTAAACGTAATTATCCAGCACTTGTAAGGAAAATGTCCGCAATTCGCTCAACGTTTTCCAGAACTTTCAATAAGCGGTCCCTCTATCTCCTAACGGGGGCTACAGCTGTCGTTGGTACAGCCGCAGCTTACAATGAGTACCAAAACAACAACAAAAGAAACAGACCAAACCCAAAGGTTTGGGGCACTTTGGCTGCCGGCACCGGATTGCACATTGCGGAATGTCAAAAGAAGCCAGAGGACTACCAGAAGGTGTACAATGCCATCGCTACAAAATTGAGAGACGAAGACGAATACGACAACTACATCGGCTACGGTCCCGTGCTTTTGCGTCTAGCATGGCATGTGTCCGGTACCTTTGAAAAGAAGGACAACTCCGGTGGCTCTTTTGGAGGTACCTATAGATTCAAGAAGGAAATGGAGGACCCCTCCAACAAGGGTTTGCAAAACGGCTTCAAGTTTCTGAGCTCGATCCAAGAACAGTTCCCTTGGATCTCGCACGGGGATTTGTACACGTTGGCCGGTGTCACCGCCATCCAGGAGATGCAAGGGCCAAAAATACCATGGAGAGCCGGAAGAGTCGATCAGACCGAGGACCTGACTCCCGACAACGGCAGGTTGCCAGACGCGAAGGGAGACGCCACCTATGTGAGGAACTTCTACAAGAGAATGAACTTTGAAGATAGGGAGGTCGTGGCGCTATTGGGAGCCCACTCTCTGGGTAAAACCCACTACGAGAACTCGGGCTTCGAGGGACCATGGGGTGCTGCAACTAACGTCTTCTCCAACGAGTACTTCAACAACTTGATCAATGAAAAGTGGGAATTTGTCAAGAACGAGGCTGGGAACATGCAGTATAACAGCGACAAGGGCTTCATGATGCTCCCAGCCGATATGGCTTTGGTTCAAGACCCCAAATATCTCAAGATTGTGAAAGAGTTTGCCAAAGACCAAGATGCTTTCTTCAACGAATTTGGAAAGGCTTTCACGAAGTTGATAGAAAACGGAATTGAATTCCCAAAGAACATCAAAACAACTGTCTTCAAAACCTTGGATGAACAAGAGTAATAAGCTGGCTGCAATTGCGGCTTCACCCCAGCGGGCCCGCCCGTGCGTGAGCTATCTTATATACATCGTACCTCATGAAATGTCATATCCTATTTATTTATAACAACCTTGAAACGTGGAAGGGGCGCGGATCATCATTGGATGCGGATCATCATGGCTTCTATTCCACGCCGTCCCACCTCTGTTGAATTGATCCAGCACTACGCATTTACATGCCCACAACGTCTTCGACTCCCGCGAGCTCCAGTTTTTTAAAGCTGGTGATTCTGTAAAGAAGATTTTGAAAAATTACCAACTTTATATGGCACACCCTCACTCAGACCAAATATTAAAAGACTTGGCAAAAAATAATCATGCTGAGTTCCAGAATTGCATTACACGGTAAGCAAGCTGCGAAAGTGTCTTGTAGACAGTTCTCCGCTTTTCAACCTCTTTTCCAGGTGCAAAATTCTAATGCTGGCAACGCAACCGAAACGCAACCCAAGGATGTGTTCACTTGGACTGATTTTTTCCAACTACGCAAACAGGAGCGGAGAATCAATCTCGGGTCATCCGTTGTAACTGCATTGCTAACGAGCAATGCTTCTTGGGCCTACTTATCGACTATGGAAATTGATCCCATGCAAACTATCATGGGTTTCGATCCTTTGGTAGTGGTATCAGCTGGCCTCCTAGCATCAGGTGCATTCGGATACCTATTGGGACCCATTTTTGGTACAACTGTCTTCAAGATGAGACAAAAGTCCAATTTGGCGGACTACAATAAGAAAACGAAGGATTTTCTGAGGCATGTTATAGATAACCGCGTGGACTCCTCTTCACAGAGTTTCAGTAATCCAGTCCCAGACTACTATGGTGAAAAAATTGGCTCTGTGTCTGAATACAGACAGTGGTTGAGAGACTGCCACGCTTTTAGGAGAAAGGCAAAAGAGTTTTTATGAATATATCGGGCAGCTTCTAAACTCCAGACCCTGCTGTATATATAACGTTGAAGGACGTCGTCTAGTAGCCAAGCTCGAGGTTCAAAGATACTCTAAGCTTGGCAATCTACAGGGCCGAACCGCTGTCTAGGCCTGTTCACCATTAAGAAATTTTTGCCGACGCCGCAAGCTTTCTTCAATCCAAAAAACCATAATCATAGTGTTATATATGCCGTTGCACAGGGTAAATGTATGTATCTTCAAGGTCATGCCAGCCTGGTTGCACTTAGATGGGCGGCCGTTAGTCGCTAAATATAATGGGTGTCTTACAGCTGACGTACCCCATTCAACGTCGATGGGCCTAGTGCTGGATCTTGTTGTCGGTAGCCGCTAGCGCAGAAGCATCTCTACCAGCCACATCACTGTACGATGGAGGAATTTCTGGCTCCGCGGACTTTGCCTGTGGCTCGGAGATTGCTGGAGGGATCTGGGCCTCTAAATCGGACTCTCCATGAATCCGTTCGTATGAAGGTTCTCCAGACCGCTCGCTGCTCGTTGTGTAAACAACATAAAACGCATGCAGACAGCCTGGGACCCCAAAAAGTACGCACAGCAGCATATTAATCCAAAAATCTCTAGACTTGAATCCACTGCGCAAAAACACCGACAGTGGTGGCAAAATAAGTGCGACTAGCCCTAATATAATATCATCTTTGTTAACCGTGAATGTAGGGGTTGACATATCTGTGATACAGCGAGATTCTGTAACTGGGAAGTGTTGGCAGAGCTCATCATGACGACGATCCTTGTACGTGGCGCGAACTAATATGTTTCCGCCGACTGCGTCACTGTGTACGACAACAACGTTCGAATTGAAGTCGCAACTAGACTGACCTGGCGTCCAAATAGAAGCTTCATTCTAGTCATTGAGTTTTTGCTGGTAGGAGAAACTTGGTGTAAGCTATTCAGGGGCAAGAAGACGAGATTTATGTCTATGCTGTTTACTTGCAGCAAGTAATTCATTCACTTATAAGATTTAAGTATCAGTATTTGCTACTTGGATCCTAGGACTATGATTGAAAAAGAGCCGAGCAAACTAGTACATAGAAAACCACATCTTGTTACTAGATTTCTTTTGTTCGGAGTGTCGGGAAGGTGATCACTTTTTCCCAACCTGTCGCGCAACCGTGTGTTGCGCCTATAAGAACCTGCCACTTCAGACATACATACTCCGTTTGAATTGTTGACCTCCCATGTCTCATATTGACATCTAGGATGTATCAAGCCATCGCAAGGTTTTGCTGGTCGACGCCAAATACTTTTCAGCCAAGCGTGTGAACTTAAAACTTCTCTGGGTGCCCTCAAACTTAAGTTTTTGACTCGGCGGAAGCAGTCGAAAGCGTATTAGCTGCTGCAGAAATGGCTTCGCACGAGTGCGCGAGTTCGACCACCTTAACCTGTCATCGCTTTTTTTAATAATGTCGCATGCTTTAACTTCATGCTATTTGCTTTTCAGCAGCCAAAAAGACAACGTCAATTAGCTTAGAGCGTCGAGATTCATTGCGCTCTACCTTGGAGTACCACGCCATCAGCTCAAAGACCTCCTCTTGAACGCTGGGGTCCGGATCGTTTATCTTTCATGACCCTAATAATTCTGTCCTTTAGTAGTATTAAACTCAAGATCGCGTACAATATTACTAACTTCAAGTGAACCTTAATATCTCATCTCGTTTGTCAACCTTTTTGAAGGGAATTGTTGGCTACAAGGGGTTATTTCTATCTCCGTTCTTTTGATTCCGAAGATAACGTTGCATGGTTTTCCTGGTTTGAAACAGAGGCAGGGACGAGAATCAAATTCGGGCTGGTTATCGTTAAAGAGAAAAGAGTGGTCATTTTAGAACACTTGGGCAGTTTGACAAGTTGTTGCTCTACGGGACAAAAGACACCTGAAGTGGTGTGCGATGAATCTCAACGATTTGCCCACCAGTTTGCTACACGAGGTGCTATCATTTTTACCACAGCAGGATCGTCTCAATGCCTGCTTGGTAAGCCGCAAGTTCAACAGAATTGCAATCAAGCTGTTGTATCGTAGGATATACCTTAACGATTCAAATGTGGTGAAAAGTGATATCATGAACTTGGCGATCAACTGGACCATCCTGTATGTGCCTAATCGGCTTCCTGAACAAGCAACTCGCCGTTTAGCGAACCGTAAACTCCAAAGTCTCATACGGACATTAAAGTCAAATGAGGCTGCCGTACAAGCAGTGGAGTGGGTTCGCATCAATTGGGATCTTGATCCTCAGGCGCAAAAGCTGTTGCTATCGGTAGTATGCAATGAAAGCAGATCGCTGCGTAGGTTGGAAAATGTAACAGACCCAAACTGTAACGACATCATCGCGCGTGGTCTCATTTCTAGCCAGAAGCTCACGAGCTTTGACATGGCTCCTCCAAATCCAGATGCGGGCTCTGAGGTTGACCCATCCTATATTCCAAATTTGAAGAAGTACCTGCAGCAACGAATCTCATCCAGAATTACATTTATGAACCTGTTCATCGACCCCCTTTTACTCTTCAAATATTTATATCCTTTAAGAGATAAGCTACAGGTGGTGGATCTTAAATTGCACTGGAGAGTTGAGTTTTATCCAGCTCACCATTTCCAGCATGAAATATCCAGGCGACCGATAAGCGTGCTTTCCGATGTTTTTGACACTAGAAGTCTAAAAGTTCTCACCATTGTTTCTTGGCACGAGTGCCTTTTATCAAGTGAGCGCAAGATGTTACACCAGTTCCAAGAGTTTACAAACGTCGAAGACCTATCCCTGATATCCATTGAACAAGAGACATCGCCGTTAGTTGGGCTTTTTGCCAAATTTAAGAGACTGAGACGGCTCAAACTTGATTTCATCGAACAACAGTCTTCGCAATCAACTAAAGCCGAGATCTTCCTTGCCATATTACAGTGTTGTCGCGAGCTGGAATTTTTAGATTTGCGCTTCGAGGGCCTGGATGCTCCTATAGTCGACGTGGAAAATGGGGAATTTAGATTGACGCAAAAATGCCACTGTAGCAATTGCATGAATGTTTTTGACTCGATTTTGCGCCAGAAGTTATTTTTATTTCCAGAGGATTATATTTTGACTGATTTTCGTGACATTTTAACCAAAGACATATTCCGAATGATTAGATTCCACTGCCTGCTGCCTTATTCCAAGGCCTGTGATCACTATCCAAGTGTTAGGACGTGCGCCATGGACATGAACAAATTTGTTTCGCTAATGAATAACGATCTTCGACTGTACAGAGCCAGCCGTTGCCAGCTGCTAAGAAATCCGATAGGGTCGCAGGGAGGTGGTGAGCACCAAAGAGACAATTTAAGGAGGCCAGCGAGTCCCACTAGTCCTGGCGAACTGGCAAATAGCGATGACGAGGGTGACTTTGTCGAACTGGTGTTACCTCATACGCTGCTGACTCGTCAAGACATAGTAGATTGTTATCATGCCCTCATTCATCACCACAGAAGAACGTACGTTGCACTGCTGACCCAATTTCCAAAACTGCAATTTCTGGTGTTGAATGACATCGCCACGGTAGTGACGAATGAAATGGGTGAGCGAATCTTGCAGCCGGTATTCTATAATGAAAGGTTCATATCAAATTTGCATGGTTGGACGCAAAAGTGGAACGGCCGCCGGAGGTCCAAACCTTTTGTGGAAAAGGGTATTCAGGGAGATGGAATCGGCATCAAGACTAATTGATGACATTTTGGCGAGTTTCCGACACATCAAGTTAAACGAGCAGTTGAATGTTATGATGTTCTATATCTCAGGCTCGAAAAACTTTAGGAACGTTAACGGGTCGTATTGCCCTGTCTCGTCGTTGCTCAATATATTGTAATCAAAATTGTCAAGTGCTGAAGGGATGGGGCTCACGTTATGTACAGAAGGTAAGTTTTTAACTTCCTGCAAAAATGGCGACGAAACTTTATTAAAGAACGAGGCAAAAACGTCATAATCGTGGGCTGCGCAATCTTCAAAAAATGGCATGTACTTTCCATAGCTATCCATGTCAATATCAAAGGCAAACAGCTCTTTGTTGACATAGCAAGCGTCCCAAATGTCACTCGCGCTCTTAGGCCGCCCTTGGTTATAGTACAGCTTTTTGAAATTCTGGATTTGGTAGGGAAGGTTGTCTTCAAACGCCTCCTGCTTAGTTACTGGCGTAACAATGTATTCTAGAAGTGTTTCCCACGGATCCTTCTCATTGAGATATGACAACGTCTTAAAAATTATTTTTGATCCAAAGAGCCTTCTGAAACTTTCATAATATTCTGTTCCCCAGTGTTTGAAATAGGTCGAAAATATGCTCTCTAGGTATTGCATCAGGATTTTTTTCGTGTTGGATTCTGTCGATCGACCCGATCGAAGAATAATAGAGGGTAGAATCGCCCCAACCATGCTAAACGCGAGTTCTACAATTTTATTTGTGTAGAATCTGGTAGATTGCAAATATTCCCTACTATGGGCTAAGTAGTGTTCACAAAGGTTGATAATCTTCAATATTGCTGCCATCAAATTGGGCATACACTCTTGAAATTGTTCAGGGTCTCCACTCAACTCGCAGTTAATGAGTCGGGCATGCTCAACCGATAACTCCAGTAGGTTGATCGTGATTGTCAACTCTAGCGCCAAGGCCGCGTGTGTCTCCTTTTCCTTCATGTCCACATTGAGGGTTCGCTTTAAAAGTGTAGATAATCTCATCACCGAATCATAATTCACAGCAGAGGGATCGTTGCTGATTGCAGTTGCTAGCTTTTGCATCAAATTATCGTATTTGGCGGTGTAGAGTCTAAGATGCTGTAAGCCGTCGTTAGGAATCCTCATGGTGGAATTTACCAGGCAAGGCAAGCCAGTAAGCAGACTGGCTTTACGATCCCAATGCAAGACAACCGCCCAAAGTCGCTGGTACTCTTTGGGGTCCTGGGAAAAAATTGATTGTGACGGACCGAAGTTTATATCTCCAACGAGTTTTGTTGGGTGTTGGAAACAGTGCCAGCCTATTCCTAAACTATTACAAGCAGCCACAATCATCCCCATGAGCATAGCACTTTGTTGAAGATACTCTCCGTCTCCGTCATCTGGTGCACACCACTGGTAAAACCTCAGTAACATCATGCTTTGCAAACGGATGAGAGAGCATTTTCTCAAGTTGTCATGCCGATATATACAATGGTTGGCAACAGAGATAAATTCATCAGTGTTGATTGTTTTCACGATAGAGTATTTTGAGCGTTCCACCGACGAGAAACTTATGGACATATGAACGAGGCAGGTGATTAGCAGCAGAATACTGTAATATGCGTAGTCGTCAACTTCTAGCTTCTTTGGGGGTTCCGCATTGATGTATCTTAGATAAAAAGATTCCAGACCGCTTGTTAGATGACCAAGGTCAAAAATGGGACACAGTTCTGATACATTCTCAACGTAATAGGGCATCACGCTTTGAAAAAAGATATCAGCATCTGGCAAAGAATTGAGGGGCAGGTTTTCGTCAGTCCATGAGTGAAAGCGATTCTTTCGATATCTTCCAAATTTGTCGAACAGATGCTTACACATTTCTTTATGCTTCGACGTCAAGGTACTTTCGGCATCCACGGCTTGTTCTTCCAATTGCTTGATGTGGCGCATTGATCTTGGCAAACATTCCGTCGACTGTTCGCCATCATTCTTTTTTGAAACAGAGGACGGTTGGGCGTCCGGCTGGGAGGATGATTTGGGCAATTTGCCTACCCTTCTCGGCGGCGCACACACAATATCAAGTATTTGCAAATAAACATCTCTTTTCTTTGCGGCGCCAACCGTGAACGGAGCAAGATAAGTTGTTCCAGACCTCTTGCGCTTGATTACATTACCAGACGATACCATGTCTATAGAGAGGTTTTCATGTTGCGGAAAAAAGTCATCCAAATTCGGCAAAATTTCTTGGTGCATTCCAGACTTTGAGTCCGTTACGTAGTAACATGAACTCTCTAGCCCAGCTTTGACACATGAACTGCACGCTGGTTTCCCTCTGTCACATTTACTCTTTCGATTTCGGCAATTCGTACAAACAAGTGTCTGGCGACGCCGTTTCTTCGTGGCAAGCACCGGACCAACTTCTGCCCTTTTGACCATAGCTATTTGAAGCCTCAGTAGCTCTATAATTGACCTATCGGAGCCTCTGTGCACGTAGGTCCTCACTTTTTGATGTTCCCAGCAGTTTCTAGTGTTCTGTGATCGACCTTTTTATTTATCTATTTATTTTCATATACCCATGTCGATGAGCTTAACAGTATAGTTCCAACAACAAAGATATGTATGAATGCGAGCCTCGTATCACTCCGTGGCGGTTTGATAAAGATTTAGATGAACTCTGTAGCCTTTTTTATCCCGGGAAATTTGAACTGCCAGATTCACGACGCGATGGGGTGATCAAGGTAAACTGTTGGTCTAGCAGAGGGCCATATATGCCTCATACCGTCGAGTCAACAGCGCACCTTACAGATGCAACATTGTCCGATGAGCAGGGATTACTCAGTGATATACCTCTGCAACTCAGTTATACGATGGCGATAATCAGGTTTGTGAATGGTCTACTGGACCCAACGCAGCAGTCGCAGTTCGCTATCCCATTACACATTTTAGCGGAGCGCATGGGACTACCTTCGTGGTTTGTGGAGTTAAGACACTGTGGCACACATGAGCGGGAAATGCCAAGTCTGGAAATGCTGCGCATGGCGGCCGATAGGGCGTTGGAATGGCTCTGGGACAACTACTGGAATGCTAAAGTGGAAGAAGTTGATGATGAAAAAGCGCACGATGAACCTTCGACACCGGACATCGCTGTTGACTCCGTTGCCTTGGACCGGCTTATGAAAAGGATACCGTCGGTCACGAACGTAATGCTCGATAATCCAGGACTGTGGAAACGCCAACGGGTATCTTCAAAGTTCTCAGGCGACAGTGGCTCGCAAGAACCCAGCTCCAAGAAGGCGAAACGGGAAGAGCCTCCTGAACAAAAATTAGAAACCTTTATTCTTTTGGCGAAAGACGCCTGGAAAAGTTGTAGAAATAAGCCAGACATGTTTCTAGAGAAATTGGTACGAAAATACAAGCCTCGGTCCAACGAGGTCCTGGAAGTTCTGGCGCATCGTATTCAACCCTTTGGATTTGAACTGAGCAGATGGGTATTGGAGAATTACGACCTAACTTTGAAGACTGGGTCCAGCCCGCTACGAGAAATTTTTGATGGGCAACAACTGAAAGGCTTTATGTCGCAGGTATGTGAACACGCCTTGGATGGAAAGAAGATAATTTCAAGCTGGGACGATTGGTCCGAACTGCTGCGGGAGAATGCCAATTGGATTTCCTTGCTTATCATGGACGCCTGCGACCTTGAAACTTCTAACATGGGCGACAAATTCCGGAAACGACACAGCTCGGCTATCGAGGAGTTCGGCACTCTTCATAGACGCCTTCAAAGTTGCGTTGTGAAATCAGAACTTACAATGTACCAACTTGCGAGCGTGCCAGACAAAAGTGCAGCCCGCACAGACGCTGCAGTCGAAACAACGAGAAACGAGAGCCCTGCAAGCGAAATACTGCGAGATTTGCAAGACTTGAAGCGATCCAGCAGGCGCCAAGTCTACCGCTGGGAAACGGTAGCGCAATGGACGCCGCGTCCCTTCGGCCAACTGTAGATAGAAAGGTATAATATACAGCATGTGTGTACCAATGGCATTGGAAATCACGAGATACAAGACCAAACTACTACTACTACTACTACTACTACTACTACTACCAAAACTACTTTGTTTTCACAAACATGCACTCAGACATCCTAGGAAGGTCTCAAGAATGAGCGGTCAACGTGAGCACTATACGATGGGTTCGTTGGCGTACTCCTACCGTGGAAACTGCGAATGTAAGGAACCAGTTTTTCATCACCGTGCACGTTTGTGACGACCGAGAATCGATCGACGTTTCCCTCTACGCGCATAGCAAGCGCTGCCTTGGAAGATCATAATTGTGTCCGCCGGATAAATGCATACCATCATGTGACAGTCACGAGGCTAGTATGCGCTTAAGCAGGCGACCAAAACTTCAGCTCAGCTGTTGTTTGGATGCAGGGTTTTCTCACAGACGTTCGGCATTCAGCACTTCTCTAAATCGTTCGTTTCTTGGAGGCTCGGACACTTGAATATAGTAGCTCGCCTTTTTGAAGGGCGAGCCACTGGCAAGAAAAGCGAATACAGCCGGTAAACCGGCTGCGTCGCGTGGTAGAACCCCATATCGTCATGGTCGAATCGGACTGGGAAAGAAGAAAGACCGTTATCGTCACGGCCACCATTGAGAAGCGAGCCCACAGAGAAGTACACGCCTATCTGTCTGGACCAACACCACAAACAACACTAGCGTCAGTTTTGCACAACCGTCTTCCAAAGTATGCACTCAGCCTTGAGTACAGCAGCAAGAGAAACGGAAGAATCCTTACCGTAGGCGTAGCTGACGCCTACGATAGTTCTTGACTTTTCTTGTGGAATGGTTACAGGAAGGTCTTGAGAAGTTGTATTTCTCGCTCTTTATATATGTGAAAAATTCTTATGGGTGGGCCGGATAACTAGGGCTATTTTCGTGTGAGGGTGATGTGAAAAGTTTTTAGTATTCGTCTAAAGAGAAAACCGCAGGGTTGGAGCCTCCGAAGAGGGTGCGTATACGCTGGCCCAAGGCCACTACGTCGAAGGAGTTCTCAAAATGCTAGCTCTCTTCAAAACACAACGAAGTGGAATTTTCCGTGTAACGGTTCCGGTATCTTACTGGTCATTGTATACGTCTGTGACGCTGTCACCACTGTTTTTAAACATTTTTCGCTTGTTTTAGACTGAGTAAACAACACATTGAGCGGCACTTGCTTCTTTCCCCGTGTGGCCAGCGTCGATTATTCCAAACGCTCCGAAGTAGCCGATGTCGTACATCTCTCCATGTGTATATTAACTTTCTTGAGCACCTCCCTCGTATACAGTGCTTTTGAAAAATTTAGACCATCTCGAATTATCGTCATGTATGTGCGATGAGCTAGCTGGGTCTGGCGTTAGAGACCGGTAAGACACGCTACGGATTGGCTATGCTTGAGACGATTGCCGGTGTGGACACTGCTGGTTACAAGAAGTGCAAAGATCTAGCTTCCTTTGAGGCTGCAGGCAAGGAGGTATGGCTTATAAGGGCACCTCGCCAGTTGGATGTGAGCCAACTCAAGAGCTTGCCGGTTGATTTCACGGGAGAGGGCCGTGCGACTTTTGAGCATGATGGTGTGACATTTGATGTCCGGGAGGATCTACAAGATGATGGCTCTGGGCTATCCGTGCTTGTCCCCACCGATAAGCACACTCTGACGAGCGGAACGGGAGTCAATCGGATATTCGCGATCAGCGAAACCGTTGATCTGGAACAACGGGCAGAAACCTCAAAGCGCCGCCTCTCGGACACTGGGTCCGCGCTACTAGCTTCGCCCGAAACCAAAAAGCATAAGAAGGATAAGAAGGACAAGAAAGACAAGAAAGACAAGAAGGAGAAGAAAGAAAAGAAAGACAAGAAGGAAAAGAGAGAAAAGAAGCATAAGCACGCCTAATCCACCGCCTCGGTTAACCGCATACATAGTGTTTTGTACCATAGATAGCTAAGCTTTTTGACCACTCGTCACCAAACAGTGGTCCTGACACCTTGGCAGCGGGCCCCAAATGCCAAACTTGCACACACGCAATGCCTTGTATACTGGTGAGAACTGACTTAAGTAGTGAGTGTATGTAAATTGCTAGCTGCTACGCATTCAGCCGACAGAGAATGCAACTGGATAGCTCGCGGAAGCATAAACTAGGCCCGATCCGAATAGTCCCTGAGGATGCCTGCCATATGTGTATTCGTAATTTTACCCTTGCGTTGTTTTCTTTTCTTGATCTCAACGCGAGTGGATTGCCGTTTTACCGTAGCTGGATCCACACTTGCAGGCTTGAGTCCCAAGTCCTGCAGTTTGCGCGGCAGCTCTCCACGCTGCGGCAGCTTGCAGTTCTCCCACATCTTCACGAAGTCGTCGTCCACGTTTCCCAAAGACCCTCCAAAATTATACCAAACAAACCTGGGTTGGTTATCCTTCTTCGTGCGCAAAACCAGCACTCGGTTTTTGTTTTCCAGCTCGTCTATCACCTCAGTGCACTGTGGCCAGCCGTCTTTCAACTCTTTGCAAGATATACCTTTGAATGTCACTTGTGCTCGCAGCAATTGCAACAGTTCTTCTGCTGAATGTACATCATAGATAGACACATACTGGAGTGTATTCAGCTTCGGATCGAATTTGATCTTATTGATGTTTTTCAGTAGAGGAATTACATTGTTCTCTGGCGCCAGCGACAGATACGATTCGATCTGCTCGATAGGCACTGCTTCGCCGCGTTCCTGGATGTATTCTGTAGCCAATAAAAGCTTGGTGGACAAATGTGTACCACTCAAACTCTGCTCTGGCACAGCCGCTGCTGCCGTTGCCGTTGCCGCTGCCGTTGCCGTTGCCGCTGCCGTTGCCACAGATGCCTCTGTTTTCTTCACTTTCTTCGGCACAGGGCTCTCTTCTTTGAGAGTGCGTTTCTTTACATCATTTTCCAATCCCTTCGTCGCTACCGGGGTGGGCACTCTGACCTTATCTTTGAAAGCATTAAGGTTTGCCAATAGAGGATCACTGCTATTCATCAATCAACTGCGCCCGCTGTTCTTTCTGAATGGTTGGATCAGCCACTAGCACATACTTAAGACTCTCCATGTCAATGATCTCTGTCGACTTCTCATTAATCCTCCTGTTACCCGCCTTATATCCTTTCAATCGAAAAGCTATATAAATAAAGTCAAGTTTAACAAACAGATCATCACTTTTCTTGATCTCTTTTTAAAACATGGCGACAGCTACCATTGCCCTGTTCAGGCTATAGCGACGGACTGGTAGAGTCAACTGACCTCATTTGTCGGTTAACAACATTTAGCTCTTCGTCAGTCCAAAGCTAGAGCCGATTTTGTAACGTTGAGGCTTGCTGTCGTAGAACAATGCTCTGTCTTATGAGCACTCAACTTTAAAACCATTGCTGTTGGAGGTCTGCTTCCCGCTTGCGGGTCGAGCGTCCACTGAAACGGTGATGACCTGAGGTTTGGGATATTTTTGTAGTTTGAGTGGAGCCGAATGCAGTCGCAGAGTCTGGCTCTTGGATGTAAAGTTCGCGTTGATGGGACCAACTTGCTCCGGTTGTGCCTTGCCTGTTATATAAATCTTAGCACCATCTGCGACCTCGCGTGTGCTTCTTCGTCATGCAGCGAATGGAGGACATCCAAAATATGACCACGAGACCCTTCTGGGATCAGTGGATCGCGCGCAGAGGCCTGGAGCAGAACGTCGAGGCGTCGCATGAAGCGGTATTGATAAACCGACGTTCCGTTTTCCTCCGTAGGTTGCGTGCAGTCTGTCCCAAGTCTATTTTCCAAACTCGCCTTCACAATTGCTAGGCAAGATTTTCTGGCTTGATCCGAGTGAGAGGCCCCTGCCGAAATAGCCCTTAGTGACCTCATAAATAACCTCTGCACATTGGTGAGCTGCTGATCTGGGATTGAGGGTAGTTGGTGTGCAACCGCGTATAAGGATTGGTATAGGCCCACAAAGTTTCCCGTGGTCAAGCCACCAATGTTTTCGATCCGGGCGCGGACCGCTGGTATCCCTCCAACCCGGTAATCGCACTTCCAAGCCAGCTTCTGGGCCACGGGCGCCATGTCATACCATGCGGAAGACCAGCGTTGCGTGTAAAGGTTGTACACAGAGCGACTTTCCGAGCCGCGCAGTCGATAGCAGATCATCGCAGCCAGTTCGAGCTCGTGGCTGAAACCTGGCAGATTCTCTCTAACCTCGTTCAGGTGCGTAAAATTTTGGTTCATAACGATCTTTATAAGAGCAGCAGGGGTAAGCTTCTGGCTCACTTGTAGCTCTAAAAGCAAACCATAAAGTTGTTCACTACTTTGACACCTACTAAACTTCTCTGAGAAACTCATATGCTGCGATTTTCGACAGTTTTCCTCCTTTTCCGTTTGTGCCACTGTTTTTTCTACCACTTGCTTCAGCCGCGACATCAGAATGTCGTAGTGTGCATCCACCCTTCGTCTATTCACCTGTCCATCTGGCAGCTCGTGGTTTAGCAAATCGACCACTTTTTGGACATGACCAGCAGCGGAGCCTTGCTTGTCAAAAAGCGATGAAATTGTTGTGGTTTGATTCGTTTGAGCCAAAAACTTTAAAGTTGTTTGTAAATCTTGGTTACGACGTTTTGCTAGACGGAAGATTCCGGTGCTAAAGGCCCTCTTCATCGATAGTCTGGATGTTGATCATACGTTGTAGCTACTTTACATTAACTACTCATCTTTAATTATTGGCATATTATTAAGTGCGCTCTATAGCGTCCCATCCCAAAATTCCACAGAGGAAAGTATAACTGTATCGTAAGGTCAAGACGGCCCCTTGTCTGTTGAATCCTTGATCCTGAATTAACGAACATGGAGCTCTCTGATGATTTGGCCTCAGCAATTAGAAAGTCGTGGTCAGAATCAGGGACAGCAGAGGGAACGGACTCTCCCATTAGCACGCCACGCGGGACTCCTAAAAGCTCGACTAAAGGATCCATTACTGCAGAGGCAGATATCCCAGAAGATTATCAGCTGCTTAAACACCATTACGCCATTTCAGACACTGCGGGGAAGAGCGTCGCGCAGGATGGACTGGTGGACGTTTTAAGGGATTTGGACTTCGCCAACAATGAGAAGGCAAGCCCTCATAGCACTCGAAGACGGTCAATAGAAGAGGTTTCCAGGATCAGACAATGGCTTAACCCGCGCAGCTCGTTCTCCGGAGCGTCTGTTAACGAACGTCAAGTGAAAGAAGAGGTTTCAGATAGAAAATGCTGGATCACCGTCGTGGAATCGCAGGACGATTTATGGCCGATTCTGATCCTCAAACACTCGCTGGTACTTAGTGGGACCCGGTACAAGCTTCATGTGCTGTACTCGGAGAGCATGCTTGGCGTCGCATCGCAGCTTTCAGAGCAAGGCATTGAAACCATAAGAACTAACGATATCTCGCCGCTTTTGGTGGACTCTGCAACAGGATCCGCTTCCTCGGCATTTATGCCCACTGAGGAAGGACGTCCCGCCAAATGGTCCAAGTTGTTACCCTTTGTTTCACTGGCGAACGTGTTCGACCTAGTGTGCTACCTGTCACCACGGTCTATGGTCCTTTCCAATGTAGATGAGCTATTGGAATCAAATATTGTCTCCTCGGAAATCGATAATGAGACCTGCGTTTTGCTTTCCAATACCATGCATGAGCCTCCCACGCTGATTGTCTTGCGTCCTAACACAGAAGCCGATGCGTGCATAAGAGAGTATATGACAGTATACTCGAGCACGGACAACAACGGGAAATGGGCAAAGTTACGAAGTTCGCAAGATTTGGCCGTCCTCAGAGCTCTATTTGAAGACTCGTGGGGTGTAGTGGCGTCGGAATATTGCTATCGTGGGGTTGGAAGCATTCCTACCACTGCTAAGATTATTGAGTGCTGTTCAACACAGCCTTGGAATGCAAATGATGAAACTAGTCTGCTGTGGAGAAAAGCTTACTCGCAGCTCGTGAACTGAATAGTCATCAGCGAGCCTCGACCTTTGGATGCCATTTACGCCGTAGCATTTGGGTTCGCGACTACTAAAAAAGTACAAATTAGCGTCACATTACCGCTGTGAGCCCTACTATCAGAACTAACCAATGATGTAGAATCTTTGCTGATCTCTGTCTGACGCTGATGGCAAAAAGATAGGCAAGTCAGGCTACAATACCTGAGCAACTTATATAGAAAACAAATCCATGTTGTAGCATCAACCAGTATAATGGTTAAGACATAGGAACTAACCTCGCGTCCGCACTAGTGTCACGTTTACCTTTGGCCTGGTGCTTTTTGGCCTGACTTTGATATATGAAGATGCAAGCGAAAAACCACCTATGTCACTTGATTTGTTGGCTTCATCAACAAACAACTGTACCCAATACTGTAACGATGAAGTTCGACAATGGAACAGAACAGGCAACGTTTGATAAGGTGGTAAGTGAGCTGCCTAGTCTGATCAAAACCAAGTGTAAAGGGTATGATGAATTGTACGGATATCAACTTTTGCCAGGTGACTACTACAAAGAATCCATTGTCAAAGCTCTTCTCTACAAATTTTGTAAAGCCAACAATTTTGAATACGAGGGAACCACCTCTGCATTATGTGATACCTTGAATTGGAGACGTGAGTTTGATCCTTTGAGTGCTGCGTTCAGCGAACGTCACGACGATGCTCTCGTTAATGTCGGCATTTTGACCAAATATCCTAAAGAGGACTCTAACAAGAGGGTGGTAACCTGGAATTTGTATGGTGCCTTAATCACCCAAAAACATGTTTTTGATGACATCAACAAGTTTCTGCGGTACAGGATAGGACTGATGGAGCGATCGATTGGATTGCTGGACTTCGAGGACGAGTCTAATAATTTCGTAGCTCAGGTTCACGACTACGATGGTGTGTCAATGTGGAGAATGGACCCTCAGATCAAAAAATGCACCAAACAAGTGATCGCAGTTTTCCAAAAGCACTACCCAGAGCTGCTGTCTGCCAAGTTTTTCATCAACGTACCTAGTTTGCTGACGTGGGTCTACGATGTAGTCAAGAAGTTTGTCAATGAAGAGACCAGAAAGAAATTCGTGGTATTGAATGACGGTTCCAAACTGGGCCAATATCTAACCTCGGCTCCTTCAAAGCTGTACGGTGGAAATTCGAAGGATACGCTTCAGGCTCAAAACGTAAAAGAGGTTAAACCGTCCGATTACACCTTATACCTTTTTGAACAAAAGGTCTCAGCCGATGTGGAATAAGCCAAGCCGGCCATTTGCAAACAACTAATAAATAATTAACATCTATAAAAAATGGTGAATAGCTTAAAATGAGGGCGGTAGCTACGCGGATCCCTCGGCAACGAGGATCCTCTTTTCGGCATCATAATCGAAGCTTTGCATTGGTTCTAATCCCCACTTTGCGAGCATGGCTTTGTCCTCGTCCCAGCCGTTGCACATGGTGGTCAACATTTTCTTTCCCGTAAATATGGCATTGCAACCCGCCTGGAAACATAAGAACTGCTCTGTTTCCTTCATGGTGTACCTTCCTGCAGCCAATCTAATTATGGCTCGAGGCATTGTTATTCTTGCCGTAGCTACGGTTCTCAATATTTCGTCGAATTTGAGTTTCTTGGCATTTTCCCTCTTCAGTTCCTCTACCATCGGAGTACCACTGATCGGGACCAGCCTGTTGATCGGTAGCGACTCTGGGTGTGGGGTCATGGTAGCCAAAGTATGAATGAAACCTATGTGATCCTCCTCGGTCTCTCCAAGACCTAGGATGCCACCTGTACATGCTTTGATACCAGCCGTTTGAACATTTTTGATGGTATGAAGACGATCGTCGTAGGATCTGGAGGTAATAATCTTGGGATAATATTCTCTGGAAGTGTCGATATTGTGATTGTAAGCGGTTAGCCCAGCATCTTTCAGCTGTTTGGCCTGGTCTTGGTTAACCATACCTAAGGTGACACAGGTCTCCATTCCCATGGCGTTTACTTTAGTGACCATCTCCGAGATCTTACGAAGGCCCGATTTCCGACCCTGCATATCTCTCCATGCGGCTCCTAGACAAAATCTGGTCGACCCGTTTTTCTTCGCCTCTTCTGCCTCTTTCAGAACCTCATCAAGCGCTACCAATTTCTCAGCCTTGACGCCAGTATCGTATCTCGAAGATTGAGCACAATACTTACAATCTTCAGAACATCCACCGCTCTTGATGTTCATCAGGGTACATAATTGTACTTTGGTAGGATCGTGCCACTTACGGTGTTGCAATTGAGCAGAGTGAACTAATTCCAACAGAGGAGTGTGATAAATTTCTCGCAATTGTTCCTTGCTCCATGTGTTGCTCGGAGTTTCCAAAGACAAGGCGAACCTTAAGGCAGAAACAGTTGGGGTCGCTGAAGAATCTGCTCCTACTCGAGAAGCCGTAGCTGCCGCACTATTCAATCCCTTGGACGTGGTGATGAACCTCTTGAAACCCAACATGGCGGAACTCTCACAATTGATAGCGAGCTAATGGTAAGTGACACCTGAGAAATCAGAAATCTCTTGAAGGAAGTACTTTCCAGCCCTCGAGGCCTACATTCCTCTACTCCCTTATATACGCAAGTATGCTGGAGATCTGGAGCGTGTATGTTTGTATGCTGTTGGATTTTTTAACATACGGGTGAGCCATGAATCATTGTGAATCATGAGTCACTGAGCCATGACTCGCTGTCAATCGCTGAAAACATGAACAGCTTCCTTACGGTGACGACTATCCTACTATCACGAGGCTGCGAGGTACTGAAGCAGGAAAGTATGGAACCGCTGGAAGCGCCGCAGGGATTGGCGTTCAGTGCTACGAGGCCTCGCAGAAGAGAGTGCAAGGAAAGAACCTAGAGAGAAGATCAAAGGAATACCACATGTTAACTGCCGAAGCCAATTGGGGCACGAGGCATGTGCCAGAGGTAGAGAAGACTGTTGGATGATCTAAAGCATTTTGCAGCTTGAGTAAAAAGGCCGTCCCGTTGTTTTGGTGTGCACATTTTTCCGATTGACTATACAAGAAGCACGGACTGAGAAAGACTTTCGTGCTGGAAATAGACCACTGGGCACGCTGGAAACTGGGTTGTGGAGACTCTCAACGTGCCAGTAGGGATCTCGAGCTAACTGTCCCGTTGTCGGGAGAAATCACTGTGTACCACGCTGTCATCGGTGTCACGCTATTTTTTATATGACGTAAAATACATGTTGTAGGTCTCGAGAGCGACATTCAAAATAAAAGGTATCCAAGAAACACCCTAAACAGTCACTGTGTCCGGAGCGATAGGCGACGAAATACTCGAGTTTGCACACAAGTCAGGTTATCGAACCTCTTGGATTTGGCTGTTGGGAAAGGCGGAGTACTGTTATGAAGCAGCGCAGGAGTCCGATAGTAAATGCAGTGACAGATCTCCGGTTGTGAAACTAACACTGTCTACTCTGCTCCAATCTTCCCCTATCTAGTTGGTCTCCTCCACAGATCTGACAGAGGCTCCTGGAGCCACGACAGTGTTATCACTTTGTTTTTACATGACACGGCGCTAGTGTCACAGATGTACACAGTGACATGGTAGCCACTACGTTCAGATTTCCCACCAAACACACGTTCCCTCAGACCATAAACGGGCACATATATGCAACACACACTTCTTTGAATTGGTCATAGTGTCATGGAGCTTGCGAAGCTCGCTCAAGGCATGATTCTTGTACTATGCAGTGCGTACATAGTGACGCAACTCATCGAAATCTCTAGAAAACACGCTAGTGAAGGGGTAATCATTATCGCTATAATATATATAACAATGATAATAAAGAGATGACCCTAGCGCGAACGATCCCAAAAACTTAGCGCACACTCTATCTACTGGAACGTTTCACAAGACTCACTCTGAGAGGCACTTTATATCAAAGCTTGCCACTCGTACATATAAGAATCATGAGAGTACAAAAACCCATAAGGAATATTTTGAAGAAACCCAGGTGCACATCCAATCTTCGAAAGTTGCATTCAGCTCCGGATCACCCAAGACAGGGCGTGCTTGTTGACGAGCGCTTTGGTGATCTGCTTCCGCAGCAGACAACAGGCGTTTACTTTCTACTGGAAGTACACACACAGGAACCGGGTTTGACCCCGCACGAGATAGTTGAAGTGGCCGATACCGAGCCACCGGCCATGGGCATGCCTGATGAGGCGGTAGAACTGGAGGAGGTATTCGCCGTGCGTGAAGAGCCTCACAACTACAACCATAATTATGATTCGGACGTCGACATGCAAGACGGCTAGAACTGGACGCCGGCTACAACACCGACAATCACAATAAGGAAAATGGAGCTGCCTTCAAACTCATGGAAAGGGCCCGTTCGGCGACGTCAGACGACACGAAACAGCGAAAGTGAGCCTTCGGGGCGGTCACAAGACCGGGTGTCACTACCTACGCACTGACTCCGCAGAAGGCGGTGGAAAAAAAATTTCGAATTTGGAAGCTAGGAATGAATGGAACAACTCTTCAATCGAACTCGACCCAAGTTTCTCAAACAGTGAATACCTTGAACTGCTCGCTTATAAGTGGCATATCTGTTAGAAACTGGCTGCCCAATAACTCTTTGTCTGGTTTTTAATTTCTCCCCGTGAAGGCTCGAAATTTAATCACTTATAGCATAACCACATCATCGTACAAATGTCGGCAGATCACTCTAGAGACCCTTGCCCCGTTGTTATTTTGAGCGACTTCGGTGGTGCGTTCGCCATGGGTGTCATTGGTGGTTGTGTATGGCATGGTATCAAGGGTTTCAGAAACTCACCAATGGGCGAACGTCATTTGGGTGCCGTAAGCGCTATCAAGGCCAGGGCTCCCGTGGTAGGAGGTAATTTTGGGGTGTGGGGTGGTTTGTTTTCCACGTTTGACTGCGCTGTGAAGGCCGTCCGCAAGAGAGAAGATCCATGGAACGCCATCATCGCAGGTCTTTTTACAGGTGGTTCCTTGGCTATCAGAGGTGGCTGGAGACACACTAGAAACAGTGCCATCATGTGTGGATGTCTCCTAGGTGTTATGGAAGGTGTCGGTTTGATGTTCCAAAGATACGCCGCATGGCAAGCGAAGCCTATGGCACCTCCTCTGCCCGAACCTCAGCAAGCGCAACCTCTAGGTGCTTGATGTGTTCGGTTTTCCTTTAATGACAATTTGCTGGATCAGTACTTGGGAGCTTCTTTTTGGATTCAGATGTTAATGAAGTTATCTTTTCTCCTGCACATAACCCCACCTATTTTATCATGTATATAAGTATACACACAAACAACGCTTTTAATGAGAATACTATCATCGGTAGACAATGTTGATAATATTTGGCGAACCTGGTCGCAACTTTTGATGAAGGCCCGAAGGGGATTATCCTATTGATCATCGATCTTTAGTTTATTAATTTCAGAGGTAGCGCTTCGGTCTTGTAAGTTTGACGGTTTTTCTGATTTTCTAGGCAAGCTACCAGGTGGATACCATTCACCTGTGAATGGTTGCTGCGTAATGAACGGATGCATAGCCGCTTGCTGTGGGGTCCACCTTTCCAAAGGATTCAAATCCAGCAAACCTTTTAAGAAATGCGTCAAGCATTTGCGATCCTTTTTCTCCTTCTCTACCAGGCTACTCGAGCCCAGTATTTTTTTCGATATACGATAGTTCTCTATGATGTCGTCCAGTTTGTTCCATTTGAAATATTGCTTCCCAACTTGTTCATTGGCATGAAAATCCAAATTATACTCTTCAACACTTTTTACTTTCCAGTCTTTTTCTTCCTCGTCTTCATGTTTAGTCAAAAAATTACAAGAGTTCCTGCCCATGTCCAGCATCCAAGTGGGTGGCAATCCTAATGTGTCCACAATTCTGGTGATTTGGTTAAATTCGGATGAACCGGGAAAAATAGGTATGCCCAAAAACAACTCCGCCACGATACAGCCCAGAGACCACATATCAATACCAGTTGAATACGGGATCCCTAGGATGATCTCCGGTGCCCTGTAAAATCTAGACTGGATATAGGTGTACAGTGTTCTGGATTCTTCACACGCAGATCCAAAATCAATCACCTTCAATTCGGGCCTGTCCAGTGACACAAGCAGAATATTTTCTGGTTTCAGATCGCAGTGAATCAATTTATTATCTTTCAAAACGTGCAATGACGCAAGTAGTTGACGAGTGAAAGTTCTGATAAGACTTATTGAAAGCCCATGAAACTGATTTTGCTTGAGTAGTTCGTAAAGGTTGCTACTTAGTAGCTCAAAGACCAAACATAAATGATTCTTGTGCACAAAAGTCTCGTGCATTCGCAAAAAATGGTGTTCACCCCTGGGATCAATCTTGCTATTCAACAGTTCCAAGATCTTAGCCTCAGTGATACTTTGATTGAGGTATTCACTCTTGGACTTGACAACCTTGACTGCCACAATATCTTTAGTCAACAAATTCTGACACTTGACGACCTGACCAAATGTGCCCTGTCCCAGAATGTCCAACACTAGATACTTCCGATTTTGTTCGACACCAAGAACATCGTTCACGTAAAGAATGTAGTCGCTGTTAACGTTGTCGTGGCCATTGTTATGCTTTCCCTCACTAGGTTTGGTCAGGACACGTTTTGGGTTTCGCGAAGTCTGATACGAGAACTCTGGAGAACAAAGAGAGTATGTAGTCGTGAGTGCCTTTGTAAGTGCCACGAGCGGAGAAACAGTCTTCGAGTCTAGGGACGCACGACGATATTTGGGAGTAGCATTTAACTTGGGACGCAGGTCGTGACGAGAGGTGAGACGGTGCGTTTGAGGCAGAACAATTGGAATGGGATCTTCTTGCTGCCTTCGCAGTTGCTTCATAGGAGGTGACAAGGGCAGTGTGCCGCTTCCACTGTTTGTATAAGAGCTCAATTTGCGATGGAAAGGCGGCATGGGGGTATGTAAGCCAGCGTCCTGCATAGCCAACGCATCCGAGGCCGCAGAATTCGGATTAGCCACAGTTGATGGCTGGGAAAATGCATGTTGGGGAGCTACAGCTACGGACTGGCGACGATGCATTTCTTGCGCATAATTGGGATAACCCTGTGGCGAGACAAAGTGACCGTGGATTGCTGAATAGGCATCTGGAGCAGGACCAGCCGCCCGAGGAGGCGGTATTACCAGGCTCGAATTGCGTCTCCGAGCTCTGCTGACGAGCTCTTCTTCATACGTGGTTGGTAATTGCTGCTGTTGTTGCTGGGCAAAAACGAGCGAGTTTCGCTTGGAAGCTCCAGCCTCCAGCCATGGGTTTCTGAACCCATATGACGCGTTGTTGTTCGCAGCAGCAGCAGCCGCTGCTGACGCCTGCTGGAGTTGAAATTGTTGCTGAGCTTCGCTCATAAAAGCCGGGTTCCACGGGCTCTTGTTGGAGTCCGGCATGGAAACTTAAACGCAGCTCTTTCGATAAGGTTTAGCACACAGTTGGCCACTAAAACCTTGAGAAAGCGTACGGCTGAATTACTACTCCAGGGGTCCAGTCAGTTGCCTCTCAACAATATATTCAAGGGCATGTGAGCTGTACAATTTGTTGGTAAAACAAGATCAAAAAATCGCGAACTACGAATGTGAACTTTTGGAAGTTTAACCTGCCAATGATGAGGTGTCACTAGCATATACGCCTGCTACGTTTGAACTGAAATACAGCTCTGTACCCAATCCGCGGCTCCTTCGTGAAAAGGGTACTTTCCCTTTGCTATTGTCAAAGGATAAGGTTGTTAAAGGTTGTTCTATATATATGGTTAGGTTGTGGAGGTTAGAGCCATGCGTCTCGAGACATTGTTTCCAGGCTCGATTTCAGCACCTTTCAATCTCTCTTGCCAAACAATTACAGACTAAGTAGTAGACGTAACGCTCTCTGGAATTGAAAAAAATCGAGCGATTGCGTAGCGGAGGCGTCGATGAGCGCAAGAAAACGAGAAGAGCCGAAAGAGCACACGCTAGTACCAATGTGCTTCGAAAGCTCTGTTGTTATCTCGCTTTTTTCGTGCTCTTTTTTCTGATCACTGGGAAGTTGCGGACCTTATATTTCCGAGACAACGGATCTTCCCATCGCCATGGTGCGCTCTACCACTACAACGGGGTGACAAAAAAGTAGGTGAGTAGGGTTTGTCAGTGGCAGTATTATGTGGCACACTAACAGAGTAATAAACTGGGGACTGTACACCTGATTGAAATGCATCAACAGGCAATGAGGAGTAGGCGAAGGCACATTTTAACACCAGCGTTCCGGCGAGACGACACTCCATATAATATCGAATACGTGTCGCACACCTGCGTATATTCGTGACCGTTTAGACATTCTTTCCGTGTCAGATTCAAAATAGATGACAGTATAGTAAACAGTGATATTGATGAATGTGAGCTCTATCGTAGAGTTAGGCGAACGAATGCTCTTGAACTATTTCACAAGATTAAGAATGAACTCCCGCTATTAGGAGGTCAGGCCAAATACTCTTCAGTAGAATTTATTCACACAGACATCCAAATTTCCATCTTGACGTTTTCGATGGAGATCATAGTAAATAACTGAGCCAATAGAACGGTCGTCGAAAATGCGACTTTATTGAAATGGAAATTGAAACGACCATCTGAACCTGCTGGAGAAGTTAGCGTCGTAGTAACATCAGTGAAAGGTACTTCAGAGTAGGATGAATATTTCAACATCAACGTTCTCGACGAAGAGAACTGGTCTGAAGAAGGTTGAGGAAGAAGAGAATGCCGCTACCTTACAATTAGGAGAAGAGTTCCAGTTATCACAGCTCAACCATCAGGGCCAGGAAGAGGAGCTGATCGCCTTAAATCTAAGCGAGGCCAGGCTGGTGATCAAAGAATCACTAGAAATGCGTAAGCGACTTTTTAAGCAGTGGAACAAACGTGAAGACGCGATGGAGGCCGACGACGACGTTGACGAGAATGGCCATGCTCAGAGCCACGAAAAAGAACTGCAAAGTATTGACAGGCTTTTGGAGACGGCCACTGGTGGTAACAACCAAGCTCTGAAGCAGACCCTTGTCTATTTGACAAATTTTTCCCGGTTTAAAGACCAGGAGACAGTCACGGCGGTTACTCAACTTTTACAAAGCACCAACCTACATCCCTTTGAGATATCTCAACTTGGGTCCCTTTCGTGTGAGGACGCCGATGAAGCTAAGACGCTGATTCCAAGTCTTGGGAATAAGATATCGGACGACAACCTGGAGAGAATTCTCAAAGAGCTCTCGAACCTTGAGACTTTGTATTGAATGATGTTTACTACAAAATTTGTGTATTATGCAAAAAGATGTGTGAAAGGTAAGATATTCTCGAGGCTTATTTGGGATAGGGCTATCATGCATTTTGCATGAAAAACTTGCCGCTTCCACACTTCCACCAACGCACCAAACAGCTATGCGGTTGGATGTCGATATTCTCCTCCATGGTTGGGTCACATAGACACCGCAGGTGCAACCGCATATCATGAGCCGCAGGGCAAGTACCAAAAGGTACGTGGTAGTACCCTATTTGATCAAAGTGGATCACCTCGCTTGGCTTTAATAGAAGAGCGACCGCGATGGAATGAACTGGTGCATCTCCCCACCGCTCGTAATAAAAACCTCCTCTTGCATCCAGGGCCTCAAAATATTTGAGATATTCGTCACTTCTAAAAAATGAAAGGTCGCCAACTTCAAAGTTAGACCAGAAATGACATAGGTTGTATGCTGAGTTAGATTGAATTATCGGCGCATCCTTGCCAATCACGCTGTCGTCAGTAATGAATTGGTATAGGTTGTCCGTCATGTCTACCACATCCGAATTGTCAGCCATAAAGTCCTCAACGGCATCCCATAAAGTTGGTATGGTGTCTTCGTACTCATACATCGATATTACGAACCCGTATTTTTTGCGTTGCTCCCGCAGTAGTTTGAAAGGATCGTAAGGAAAATCGCAGTAGTATTCCACATCTGGTTCCACGCGGAAATAGTACTGGTAATTATCCAAGAGCTTCTGTCTGAAGAAGTATCCTGAATTGAAACGACACATATTTCTATAGGATCTAGAACCCCCATATATCACTCCTTTCTCTTCCATCAATTGAAGACAGTTTTCAAAATCTTCTTCATCAACAGTATCAGGTCTATTCCAATCCGAGGGTGGGATCAGCCCGTATGCAGTTCTGCCGCTCGCCATGGCGGTAGTGGCTTCAATGAACGCATTCTCAAAGGGAACATCATTCAAAAAAGTCCAATCGTAATGATACTTACCGTTGAATCGATCTTCTAAGGACCTCATGGATTTGAGTGCACCATCGAGCTCCCAGTTTCGGACCAACATCAAAATGGTAGCGTTTTCTCGACTAGGAGACTCAATAGTATTATCCAGTGCATTTCGACGATCGAGGTACGTGTTGGTGGACAGCTTCGGTAAGCCTGATAAAAGATTTGAGCGCCTTTCGCTGTCGAATTTATGCAAAATTTCTTCACTTTTTCGGAAGTAGCTCGCTTCTCGAGAGCGATGCCCTAGAGAAGTTGTAATTACTGCTTGGGCAATGAAGCACAAATAGCCGAAGAGAAACGGAAGTAAGACAGTTATCCCAGTTACTATAGTCTTTTTCATCAGCAGCTTGAGGGACGGCTTATTGAGCTATGATGACATGAATCCACCTAAAGATGTCAGCCATTTAGTGGCCCATTATTGAGAAAAAGATCAATTTCTAAATGCGTCCTTGGATTGTTTATATAATTTAGACCAACCTACCAGCACCGAAGGCTAAAAGCTAGCTGAACCACTTCGTACTCAGTTCTTACCATAGTATCGTATATATGCCCAAGCCATGGTTCTAGATACTGATATACACATTTGTACTTTTAGGTATTGACAGGGTTATGAATGTGAGGAATTTGGTATTCTCTCGTCGGGATCGTCAGGTTGTCTTTGAGCTGCAATCAGCATAAAGTTCACAGCCGAAGAGCATAAGAATGATGCCGTTCATAAACATACTGGATAGCTATATGTTTCATCCGGGGTTCTCACTAGTTGGTTTCCTCCTGCGAGTTGTACCACACGCTACAGCCTCAACTCCTCGTCTGCCTGAGTTGCAGACTGTTTCTCGGCTTTGAATATCGGAAGACTGACACTGTTACTGGTTTTCACGAAAAGAGCGGCAATGTCACCACGGATGACACCACCTTGCGGTTTTTTGGACTTGTCGGTAAGAAACTGAACAATGTCCTGTATATTTTGAGCCATCTCCTGAGGTGTATGATACCCAATTCTGCCGACCTTCACACTCAGGCAATTATCCACATTGGGGACGTATGATGAATTCTTTGTGATACTTTTCAGCTGCGCACGAACATAGGCCGCATCGCATTCTTCTGGTAGTTTTTCGCGCTTCACCTTTTGCGTGCGAGACATCTGGATCATATATGGTAGTTTCTTGTTGCTATGAAAGAAGGAACTTCCCAGAATTTGTGGCAAAAGGTGGTGTACTCTATAATCGGCCACAACTATATCATATTCCTTGAACAACTTACTAAGCCGAGATCCCCGATATTTGCCCTTGAGATTTCTCACGGAAAGGATAGTTTTAAAAAGATCAGCTGTGGCGGGATCCTCTGTAAGTGTTTTTCTGTACAGTGTAGATGGATCTTTCGTGATTAGAAGGATTCGCAGGTCACTTGGTTTATGCAATTTGTTATGCTTTAGTGGAATGATCCGAGGTATGTAGTCATTTTTGAGCCCAATCGGTTTCTCTGTGTTGATTATGATGTGAACATTTTTGTCGTTTGCCAGTTTTGGGTCATTCGTACATCGCTCAACTAAAGACGTCAACGCTTTGATTGCAACGGAATCTTTATAGTTCTGAATAGGAGCCATCTTTGAATGGAGGGGCGCTGGTATAGTTAGTAGCTGGTGAAGCTCTCTTTGCTTGGGCGCTATGCTTGAGAGGACACTATGCAAGGTGCGATGAGCTGAAAAATTTCAGAAGAAATTGTACTCACCGCCAACTGGATCACCAAGTTGACAGAAGAGGAGAATAGTGAAAACCTAAGTGCATAATTTGCAAAGTATACATTGTTTACTACAGATAACAGGGTTGCTGAGATATCCTGGGAGTGTTAGCTCATCTGGGAAATATCACACCTGAACTGAGATTTTATTCTAAAGATGAAAAAATGGCACAACATCCGTAATAAGAGGGAGTGCTAAGAGGATGATTAGAAAAGTATGATTGAGTTAAAAATTACTAGTGTGAACCAGGGGATTCGCTTAATCAAACAATTCGCTGATGTTGGCTGGCAACTCCTCGATTTGAGTGGAGTAGAATCTTTCCAATTCTCTCATAGCACCAACGTCCTTGTTGGTGACAAAGTTGATAGCAATACCCTTACGACCGAAACGACCACCTCTACCAATTCTGTGGATGTAGTTTTCCTTGTTGGTTGGCAAGTCGTAGTTGATAACCAAAGACACTTGTTGGACATCGATACCTCTGGCCAACAAGTCGGTAGCGATCAAGATTCTGGAAGAACCGGTTCTGAACTCCTTCATGATGGTGTCTCTTTGTTGTTGGGGCAAGTCAGAGTAGATGGCGGAGACAGTGAAGTTGTCGGCGGTCAATCTTTGGGTCAACTCCTCGACCTTTCTTCTGGTGTTGCAGAAAATGACGGCTTGGGTGACGGAGATAGAGTCGTACAAGTCACTCAAACAGTCGTATTTGTAGTCCTCCTCCTCGACGTTGATGTAGAATTGCTTGATACCTTCTAGGGTCAATTCGTCCTTCTTGACCAAGATTCTGATAGGGTTTCTCATAAATTTAGTGGTCACTTCCAAGACATCCTGAGGCATGGTAGCAGACAACAACACCACCTGCGTGGTTGGAGGCAACAAAGTGAAAATCTTGTAGATCTGTTCCTTGAAACCAGACGACAACATCTCATCGGCTTCGTCCAGAATGAACATCTTGATGTGGTCGGTTCTGAATCTTCTACGCTCAATCATGTCGAAGACACGACCTGGTGTACCGACAACGATCTGGGCACCGTCTCTTAGAGCCTCGGCGTCCTCCACGAACGAAGTACCACCGATACAGGCGTGCACCTTGATGTCCATGTGGAAGGCCAAAGCCATCACCACCTTTTGGATCTGCAAAGCCAATTCTCTGGTAGGAGCTAGCATCAAAGCCTGAGGAGCCTTGATCTTAGGATCGATCTTTTGCAAAGCAGCAATCGAGAAAGTACCAGTCTTACCGGTACCGGATTGGGCCTGGGCCAAAACATCGTGGCCCTCAGTGATAGGCAAGATGGCACGCTGTTGAATGGCAGATGGGTCCACGAAACCGTAACCGTAGATACCTCTCAACAATTCTTCCTTCAAGTTCAAATCATCGAACTTGTAGACGACTTTGTCGTAGTTGGTTTGGATTTGAGATTCCTCGATTTCCGTAATACCTTCAGACATACTGGGCAGGTCTTGTCAAGTATGGTATGATCTATAGAGATTCCTTCAAGAAAGATGTTCTAAAACAGAGCCTTTTTCAACACAGGAGTGAAGGATAAAACTAACTCAGCTCATCGTTTCATGAAAAGTTTTATGCCATAGGGCCTCATGCCATTCAAGATTTGAAGACAAAAAAATTTTTTTCCCGAGAATCATCACACACGAAACATCGTCCGTATATAGTTACATTAATATATCGCTGCGTACGTGAGTACGTAGACGTTGAGCGAGTACCGGGCGTTGGCACATGTGTCACCACGACCAGAGAACCAGTCAAGAGGACCGTGGACACACTCACTGCTTTCGACGCTGGAGCAGCCATTGCGCTGACCGGCGGGGCTTGTTAGTCGGGGAAGGTTCGCTCGGGCTTCACGGCATCTCGGTAGGTTTCCCAGGGGAAAATGGGAGCGGGCCCAATTCGGAGTTTTGGAAGCTCGTCTTCAAGTAGGTCGACGTCCAGATTCCATTCGAAATGGGCCCCCACGGGCAGGTGGGCTGCCTCAGATGGGCTCCCCACGGGCGGAGACTCCGTGGTTGCGTCCCATTGCGGTGGAGGAGGCGCAACTATCGCGGTGTCATTATGAGGAGGACTTGGTGGAGGGTCGTCCCGTATTTCGTCGCTGTTTCCGGAATCCTGTGGTAGACGGGGAGGTTGTTGGTGCAGAAACTCCAGATAGAGGCGCCACCATTCGTCGCGGTACCGATCCGAGGAATTGCTTCCCGACACCCAGGGTTTTTGCTTGCCTATGAAGTGTACCAGTCTGATTTGGTCTTGGAAGAATTTGGCAGCAGGCGCGTTTTGGTAGCCTATGTTGGGCACTGTTACGTTGTAAGTGAAGGGCAGACGGATCCAGCCTGCTGAAGATGCGTCGCTCTCTGCTGCGCGGTCCCTACAGCTGGGGTTGAAAAATTGGTTCAATATCCCTTGGTCTGCGCCGTCGATCGACGTTTGCGTCAGAACAAGCTGCGCGAGCTGCGCGTAGACATGGTGGTCCGGTACGAGCGTCAAAACCCCGCTGTTGAACATATCCGGCCATCCACTATCTGGACTAGCCGCAACATCCATGCTGGTTTGGTGCTCGGTGAGCGCCAAGATATCCGACAGAAATGAACCCGTCACCATCAAACAGTCGCAGTCGACATACACAATCTTGGAAAACTGAGTGAGCTTCCATAACTCCAGCTTTAGGAAAGTTGCGGCCAGTTCTGGCCTATTGAGCATCTGAAGATTCGCGCTGTGAAGCTCCAGCAGCGATTCCGTGATGAGCACGGAGGGATCCACCGAGACGACTTCGTCGAACAGCCCCTCCAACACTTCTACATTTGTGCCAGACGGCTCCAAAAGTTCGGCACTCACCAGGATACATGTCCTAAAGCAAGAGTCGTCCGCACGACTGGCCCTTCGAAGCTGGGAACCGATAGTAAGCGCTCCGGGCAAATATTCTTGCGAGTATAACAGGGTCACGACCCCAACGGGCAGTAAATCAACCATTCGATGCAATCACGGAGGAAGGTTAGCGTGCTGGAAAGGTCTCTCTAATGATAGACATGGGCTGTTTATCATCAAGTCATTCACCCCAGGACGAGGCACGGAGATGGTCACATACGTTCAGAGTGACCTTACACGATTATATTGGACAACTTCTCATCGCGGGTGGCCTCATCGCCCGAGCATCCGCGCGGCCAGTATGATATCGCCTCCTTGGCTCACCAGAGCGGCCAGATCCTACTGTGCAGCTGGGCCGTTTTAAACTGGGTGTGACTGCCGCAGTTAGAAGGCAAGATAACGAAAAAGACGAAATATGCTATCTGCGAAGCATTGAACAACAGAGGAAAACAGGGTGTAACGGCAAAAACCGAGCTTCTGATTAGTGCGCGTCGTTGCTGTGAGTGCCATGACGCGTTCTCATTGTCTTCTGCCTCTTTCTTGGCCGTTGACGGTTGCTTACCTCTGCCACAATTTGGCCGGTTTTTTTTTGACATTATATAGCACTTAATATACTACGCACACACGCCTAACGAGCTCGGCCTCGTCAGCCTATGTACGCACGCATCGCAAGCCAGAGCGAGCTCCACATCCCGCTGTACTTCCACAGCTCGTCGATAACGGTAAAACTATTAATTTGTGCAGAAATCTACTATATAGCGTGGTTGAGATAGACGCCAGTATAGGGATATTGTTGAGATTTTGAAGAGTAATATAATTTGATTGTAGTAGTAAAAGGGTAGAAAACTTGGTCAAGACCGGCGTCTGCGGGGGCGTGCGCAGATCAAGACCCGCTACATGTATCCCGCACACAGTCGGTTTCGGCCCTGCTATCGCGTATGCAAAACAAGCATTTGCTTAACGGGAGTAAGACCACACGTTCTGCAACAAACCGTCGTTTTGAGCCAAACGGTTCAAAGAGTCGTCGGCTTCACCTCTGGCTCTGACGTAGCCGGACAAGGCGTAGGTGATGAACTCACCTGGGATGGCACGGCCCTCCTCGTCAACCTTGGCGATGTTGATCTGGACAGAGGCATGGTCCTTGGCCTTGATAATTCTGTTGGTGGCAGAACACTTTCTTGGAACGTAAAGTTCGACCTGGAGAACTGGCGTTAGTAACATGCGGATCACGTGGTCGTGGGAACGAGTGCGTTGCGGAAAACGAGAGGCATCGTCCGCTCGAATCACCTGCTGCGCGCGCTGGAGCGTTTCCCACAAGCGTTGGTATCTGCCTCCAAACCGCTTTCAAATGTCATACAGCCCCTCTGCTGGCTTTGCCCGGATGCGCGTGTCGTTTGTGCTTGCAGCGGTTTCTCACAGTAGTGGTGCTTTCGCAATTCACTCGTGTTCCTCACTTGGTGTTTCTGAACATACTAGTTGACCCTTGTCGTTTTCCATCTTGGCTTTGGTGAACTATATGTGGTGATGCTAAATCCCTGTAAGAAGCAAGACTAACTAATGTATCAAATTTCAAAATTCAACCAACGAGAGTACCACCCGCCTAGTCGAGTTTCCAACCTTTGCCAGCATTCGCGATTCCTCGTGGAGAATCCACGGCGATGACGGCTGTCATATTTGCGTGGGTGCGTCAGCAGTGATGCGAGAACCGACATCTTTCGAAAATTGAGATTTTTTTCAAATGAAACTGAAATTGAAATTGAGAATGTAAGGATGGTGAGATGTTTGGGTGCTCATGAACAGTCCAATGGCTTGGTGGTGTCAGCGATCATTAAAGAGCCGGGCCAGTGGTTGATGGAATTGCCATACACAGAGACCATATAAACGTTTGCCGCGATCTCAGAGCTCTTGAGAGGTCAGGCAGACGGTTAGGGTAGGCTGGAGGTCGTTACGAAAAAACGTGCTTGGGTAGTTGGTGCCGTTTTGGTATGTCAGGAGGGTATATGGTCCTACTGTCAGGAGAACTTTAGAACAGGCCGTTTAGGGCTTCAGCCGATGGGAGTGGGAGCTTGAACATCCTATACAGCGCTTACTCGTGGGATAGGCGACTCTTTTCTGTAGAAGATTTTGGTTTTCAGTGGATAGTAGATATATATATTGCTGAAAGACGGTTTACGGTTGCGAAACATTGAGTAATTCATTGAAGAGGTTGGTGGCTGTGGAACAAAGACCAGGCATCAATCCGATGCTCTTGGGGCGCGGCCGTTTTGGCCGATAATAAATAGCTAGATCTACACTCTACTTAAGACACATACACTTTCGACATGGTGGGTCTGCGGGAAAAAATCAAAGCCTCTCAAACTTTCGACTTTGTACTGCTTGCCCTTTTCGGTCTCTTGCAAGAAATATTGCATATCTCTCGCCTGAGAATGCACGTTGCAGGATATGTAGACGATCCTGGCAGGATTGTAATCAGCCAGCTGGTTGAGAAAAACGTCGTCACATCCCTTGCGAGGAGGGTCCAGTATCACCGAGGTCCTATCGTTTGGGGTGTCGATCGAGGCGAATATGCGCTCCGCTTTGCCAACCACAAACTGACAGTTTTCCACGGCGTTGTTCTTGGCGTTTCTTTCGGCAAACAGCACGGAGTCTGCGGAGACTTCTACACCGATGACTTTGTCCACGCCCTTCGAGGCCGTAATACTGAACAGCCCGGAGCCACAATAAGCGTCTACCAGATAGTGTGGTTCACCTGGCGTCGAGTTTGGGATCTGCAAGTTGCTGCAGACATACTCGGTGACACGCGGCAAAATACTGTTGTTGTTTTGAAAAAACTCTCCGGCGGAAAATTCAAACGTATACCCATTGATGTGTTCGGTGATCACCTGCCTTGAGTTTGTGACGCACGTCTTGGCTAAGGGCCTGCCTTCCGTTACTTGAACAAAGGAAGTCTTTCCTGTATCTATATCTTGAGACGCCTCCCCTAACTGTTCTTCCACGCTTTGAGTGGAATCCAAAACTCGGGTGTTTTCCCTAAGCAGAATCGTGGCACCGCGCTTATAATCTTTGAACTCGCGTTCGAATTTTTTCCTCTCGTTAGCCAGCCCTTGGTTGAGAATCTGAGTACCAATAACGCACTCCTCAATATCTAATATACTTTTGATGCCGCCTGGAGAATTATTTCTCCAGCTGGGTCTGCCCTTTTGGCCAAACCCAAGTGGAGGCCTGTCCTCTAGCTTATGCACTTTCTTTGGCATGTCGAAATGTGGGGTAAGTTTTGTTCTGTAGTCGAACATTTTGGGGGACGGGATGGTGTCTCCTATAATCGGTAACAAGTTGTTCGCCAACAGTTTGGGCGCAAAATATTTGTACGCATTGGCCACGGTATCTCTTTTGATTTTCAACTGCTCCTCATAGGTCAAAGATTGAAATTGACAACCTGCGCATTTTCCGAAATATTTACACTTGATCAGATCATCGTCCCTCAGGGGCGACTTCTGAGTGACCTCAAGCAAGTCAGCTTCCACATAAGCCGGATGAGTTTTGAACACCCTTATTTTTACCAAATCCCCTGGCAAAGCAAAAGGAATCACTACCACTTGTTTTTTGTTAGTCTCCACTGGGTTACGAACAATCGCCATTCCGTCCCCACTTGCGCCGATTTGGAGAACCTGTACATCTGATACCTCCCGATGATATCTCAGAGCTACAGGCTCACCGTTTTCGTCCTTATGATTGAGAACGGCCACCATATCGTTTCTGATCTCATCCTTCGTTAGGCCTTCCTTAGCTATCAGCCCGTCGATTTCGAATTGTAGAACACCCAGAGGAGAAGTTTCATCGACTTTCTTGGCCTTATACTTTCTTAGTTTGATCTTTCGTGTTTTTACTGGCCTGCGATTGGCGACACTATCTTCAGCAACAGGTCTCTTCGCTGCGGGCACCGTTTCCACTTTGGTGCTGGCATTCACGTTTTCGCTCACCATTGTGACAAAAGCTCTATGAGGGATACAGGAAATAGGTCTTCGAAGTGCTGGGGGAATTCTCAAGAACCGGCCTATGGGCATCAGAGTGATAGCCACTGGTTTCAATATCCAAACGTAATTGATATTTTCTTCTCATCGCTCAGATTATTGAAAATTTGTCGTCTCATCCAGCATGAAAAATATAAAACACGTCGGAGGACAAAAGTCATGGCCCGCCAACGCCATATGCCGCTCGATCATATTAATACCGGGGAATGTGATTGATTACAGCAGCTGGCAATTATGTTTCCGTCTGTTGTCTAAATTTTTACCCTTCGTTTTCTTGGTCTTGGAAAAAGGTGAAAAGCTCTTGCGTTCTTGCGTCGCTTCGGTAAGCACTGCTGTCATAGCAGAATTGAAAAGCACATCAATATTGTCATGAAACTTCGCAGACGACTGGAAATGGCCTAGGGCCCCAACTTTTTGGGCCACCAATTCGGCGTCTCGAGGATCAACCAGCTTATCGAGCTGGTCTGAGGCGTAAAGGTCGCTCTTGGTACCCACCAGCATGATGGGCGTTGACGGACAGAAGTGGCGCACTTCTGGTATCCACAGCTCCTCAACGTTGTGCAGGGACGTCCTGCTAGCTACTGAATAGCATACCATGAGGATATCGACGTCAGTATAGGAGAGAGGTCTTAGTCTACTGTATTCCTCCTGGCCCGCAGTATCCCACAGCGCCAGTTCGATTATCTTGTTTTTGGGGCCCTTGATATTTGTTACGTAGTTTTCGAACACCGTTGGCACGTATTCCTCCGGAAACCTCCCTTGCGTATACGAAATCAAAAGACATGTCTTGCCGACAGCACCGTCTCCGACCACAACGATCTTTATATGCTCATCTGCCGAGCCTTGAGCGGCTTTCACTCGTTCATAGCTGGGCACCTCCGTCAACGAACGTGCAAAAGGTGTAGGAAGTTTATAGCTTCGCGATCCAGACGTCAAGCTGGGGGCTGCCGGAGTAGCTAAAGGCGACCATGAAGAAGTGCCCGTCATTAGCTTCTTAGGCGAAGACGACATTTTGGTATTTTTCTGGTCCTCAGGTTTGACTATGCTGAAGTTCTGGCTTACTTTCACCCGCAAAAGAGAAATGACTGGTACACCGCGAATAGCTCTACACTCCACTTATATAGCACAATATCTGCACTTTCTTAGTGCTGCCACTCTACAATTTCTTTAAACCTCTCTATAAACCTATCTGATGATCTCGAACAGCTAGCTTGCCATTTGTAAACAAAAGCACAAGTTCACGTGTAAGAGATCATATCTCGGACACGTTAAAGAGATCAACAGCGCTTGCTCTTTTAAGGCCTGCGGACCCAAAATAAAAAAGTGAATTTAGCCCATTGGCCTCCCGTTTGATCAAGGGCTTCTGCTTATTTTACGAAGGTCAGAACGCCTCTTGACCTAGATCCGTCCAGTGGAAACTTAGTTGTTCGCTGCCAATCTTACCTAAAAACCGTCGGTACAATGATCAGTAAGGCCCAACGCTCAGGCAGTCAAATTGACGTGACAAGGGCCACCATCCGTCCATGGGACATTTGCAATAGCCAGAGACGTCTACCAATTTTGTTAGTCTTGGGTGATCACGGGATTGGCGATGATCTATGTTTCTAGTATGAATAAAGGTCATCTCGATTGAAGAATTGGATTTGTTTACTAACCGACGCGAAACGTATCCGAGATACCCAAGCGAATCTCAGCAGGCTAATGAGCCCAGAAAGGTCGCTAAATGGACAGACGGATACGGAATTCATTTACAAGGTTGCCAAGTACTGTGTTCGAGTAGCGTCGGCCCATTTAGAGTTAGGGAGCGATGGAGACGAAGGTGATACGTTTATAAAGAACAACTCTGCGAGGGTAGGGTCCTTTATTGCTGATGAGAGTGTGAAGTTCATGTTCCTATATGCCGACAAAAATGGGGTTTTGAATGTTGCGTTACAGACAGCAGAGGTAGCAGGAAACGAAGCGAAAGACGGCCTGCTTGTAACGATGGTAAAGAGTTTTCCGGTGTTAGATCCTGGAATTGCGGCTCAAAAACAGATATTTGCCTTAAACACGTCACCGGACGTATCGCTAGCTGCTTTGGGCAACTTTATGACCACAGGCATCTCGTCACTATTCGAATACGCTGTTGGCGCTGGACGCATCACAGGCGTTACCGACAGCTCAATATACAACATGCGATCCAAAATCAGAGGTTTAACGAGGATGCTTGGAAATGATCATGTTTCGATCTTAGTTCCCGACTTGGTATCTGAAGTCCACCCACTGGTAGCTGAGATGGCGGAAAATGGCATCACCATCACCAATGCCGCTGATTTGGCGACCGCTGAACATTTGCGGGACTCTTCTTTTCTTAATTCTTTACAGACAACTGTAATTGACTGGACACAAGCTTTACAGAGATTAGTGGGCCTGACCCGAAAGGTGCAGGACGGAACCGCTGCCGACGAAGTCAGATTCTGGGGTGACTACGAAAAGGGCCTACAATCGGTACAGAAGCAGGTCAATAAAATCCATATCCAATTAACTCTAGCTCTCTTACGAGAGGCCCGCAGATCCCAGACATCCTTTTTAGTGGCATGCGACTCTATAACCAAACGCTTGAAGGAGATAAAATCCTATAACCATTTCTTAGGAGAGATCCCCGTTTCGGACCTACAGACAGCCGGCTCTCTTGACCAGCTGCGAGACCTACAAGTTCAACTCGGTGCTGCTCTAAAAAAAATTAGAATTTACCAATACCCTATTTCACGATCGCCGGCGCTCGTGGAGCTTATAAGCCAGGAATTCGTGTCTAAGATTAAGGAACTAGCTCCTGACCTGAAGAACCTGGACCTTGAGAGTCTTGACCCTATAGCTCAAGAACTTCAATTGATGCTAAAAAAATGGGATGGAATTGTATCTGACCACACCTTGCTACTGAGAGAGCTCATTCGGAAGAGAGGCGAAAAGCTAACTGGGGTCAAGATTCATTCCTACACCAGTGACTTAAAATCACGAATTATCTTATTTCTCGAGCTCAAACATGGAAACCAAACTTTAGTCAGCGAGGTCTCTAGGGCGGGCCTTCACAAATATGAAAGGGACGTGTACAGAGCTCTCGATCCTCTACAATCGATCAACTGTTTGCGATGCTCCGGCGAGACGTGGAGGACTACGCACGAGGCGTACCTTCAGAACATCAGAGCTTTGGAAATTAATTTGGTTCGAAACATTAAATCCGGGCTCCAGCAATGTGAATCGATCAATGAGGTTTTTTCGGTTATGGACAAAATCAAGCCCTTGTTGACGAGACCTAGAATACGCGGCGGATTACAAGAACATCACAAGGTATTGTTAAGCTTTACTATGGTCGAGCTTTCGAAGCTAGAAGACAGGCTGTCGAATGAGACTCTCGACAGTGGAGCATCTCATCTAAGAGATGTATCTGGTGCTTCCTTTCATGCCATACGCAACCGAGCCGTAAGGGGAAGGCTCAATTCGATTATGTCCAAGCTGAGCGTGCTCTTGGGAGACCAATGGAGGCAATCTAAGGAGGGTCTAGAGTTGAATGCAAAGTGTAGTGCAATTCTTGCATACACCGAGAGCAATGAAAGAGCGGTTCAGAAATGGATTGCTGATGCAGAGAATTGCCAGAATGCCTCGGAAGAGCCCATATTCAAAATACAGAAACGACGCGCTGAGCTCGTCATGCGCGTGAACTCCGAAAGGCTTTTCCAAAGCTCTTTCAAAGAGGTCCGAAATTTAAAATGGTTAGGATTACCGATCTCTAAAACGCTAGAAAAAACCTCCAGAGCTTTTAGAGCCATATATCCATTTGCTATTGAGCTTGCTGAGCTGGTCGATACATTTTTTGTTACCATAAAGAGGATAAGAGAACGACCGCTTCTCCATGCCCTGTTGGCCGACGAGTTTCGAAAAACATTGTTTTTACTACGCCAATGTGTAAACTTCACTTGGGAGGATGCTAGTGTGAATTCTAGCTCTTTCAAAGAATATGAAAATCGAGCACACCTTGTAAAAGGAGGTCGGGCTCTTTTAGTTGAGTTCAAAGTTACTTGTGCCAAGGTGATTAGCACGTACAATGATTTGGAGGGTTTGCATGACTCACTTGTCCTGAAAATAAAAGAGATAACAGATAGACAGTTCTCCGTCCCAGATCTGGAAGCGTGGGTTGACAAGGTTCAATCATCGAGTGATCAAATTGCAAGGGCCCGAGTCGGTAATTCGAAGGCATTTCAAGAGTTTCTGGGGTTAAGTGTTTGTGAGGCCTTAACAAGAGTTGTTACAAGCTTTCTGGAGCAAGGCCGATTGCCAAAACGGAATCACAGTCTAAAGGTCGTTGGCGGAGAGATTAATATTTCACCACCCCTGGAGGAGACTAAAACGACTTGGACACTGTATGCTCAAGAAATCTTAGAAACAGCTCTCCATGTTTGGAAATATTATCAAACTACCAGTACTTTAGAAAATGACAGTTCATGGATACTCCAAGATAATGATTTTTCTGTAAGGGTTTCAAAGGTGGTGGGAAGATTTCTGCAGGAACAACAAGCTGTACTGAACCAAGGATATGAGATGTTTGATGCTTGGAGAAAATACGAAGCTTTATTTACTGTCTCACTTGAAAAGCTTTTTGAAAGACAGCCGGAAGACTTGGAGCACACATACTTAGTCTACGATGGCTTACTAGAAGATACGAGGGAGATTATTGGGCTCGATTCCCATTTACACGTCTGTGCGTCTTTTTCAATATCTATCCATCACATCAGAAGCGAAGTGCATAAGATATTGAAAAATTGGCGATCAATGATTAAACTGAGGCTCACTCTTTTATACTCCCAGAACTCAAGCGATTTTGACCTTTATATCAACCAGGCCCGAAAACTACTGCAGACCGAATATTTATCACTTGAACTGTCATCGGTGAATAAATTTCACGAAATTGTCATCAAAACCCAGGAAATTCAAAAGAACTGGGCCGCAATAGAAAAGCGCCTCTACCTACTTCATTTAGTTCATAAGGTTTTGGGCGAGGGAGAACCATACCGTGAACCCCCGTCGATGGATCAATTGGATTTCGATGTAAAGTCTTTGAAGCAAATTATGGAAAAAAGATCTGAGTGGTTTGGGGAAAAAAGACCAGAAGTGGCTCATGCTTTGCAGAAATGTCGTACTGCGCTTTCGGACGTCGCAACTAAAATTGAAAATTTATGGGAAGAAAAGAAACACAAATTCGGGGAAGAATCTCCTAACGTGGTTCTCACTACTTTGAATGCATTATCCGTTGAATTAGAGGCTCAGCGGTCAAGGGCCATCAAGCTTGATGAGATATCGTCTGTGTTTTCCGTACTCCCTGTAGACTATCGCACTTTGAACTCTGTTTATACTGATGTCATCGATCACATCAAATCTTGGGAGGCGATTAGCGAGAAGTGGTCAACACTCGACTCCCTAAAAGGGCAGCTTTGGACTGAGCTTAATGTGGATGTGATTATTCGAATACTTCACGAGCTTTTATCTGGGGAAGAATGCAGCGCTGAAATAGTCTTCCAGAAATTTTCCGCTAATGTGCATTCCATTCTAAGCTCCCACAACCTTCTTAAGACACTTAAATACCCCGGCCTAAGACAGCACCACTGGAATGTTCTCTTTGCGGAATGCATAGAGGATTATAAACCAGGAGAACAAGTTGATATATCGGCACTTACATTGAGTGACATTCTTTCTCTTAACCTCAATAACAATGAGCAAGTGATTGTTCGAGTATCAAGCGAGGCTCGTTCAGAGCTTCTTATATCCGAGACCTTAGCTGGAGTTGATCAAAGATGGAAAGAGATGAAGTTCAAATATTTCCACCGCGCTCAAGGAATCCTTTTGGTCAAAGAGTGGAAGCATATTTTTGAAGCTATAACCGATGATTTGGACACTATATCATCGATGAAAAATTCACCTCATCACCAACCTTTTGAGGTGTCCAGACTAAATTGGGAAGAGAGACTAAATCATCTGGCCGCCGTTTTAACTAATTGGGCTGAGGCCCAAGAGTTGTGGCTACGTCTGGATGGTGTGCTGGACATTTGTAGCGAGAAGCACTCTTTGCGGCCCGAGGCAACAAAGTTCAAAAATGTCACCTCAGATTTCAAATCCCTTTTGTCGCACGTCTTTGAGTCAGAACTAGTGTTTGATATTATAGGTGAAGCACATGTTCCTTTGCGCCTATCATCAATTCTGGACTCTTTAAAAAAGATCATGGGCTCGCTTGATGATTACCTCGAGAGACAAAGAGAGCAATTTCCCCGCCTCTATTTCTTAGGAAACGAAGATCTTCTACAACTTCTGGGAGCTGTGAAAGATCTTCCACAAGCTTCAGTACACCTGAGTAAACTTTTCAATGGCGTTGCTCGGCTCGTTCACACGAATAACATTATCCAGGGCCTAGAGTCGCCTGAAGGCGAGCTCTTATCGTTACAGCCGGCAATTGAAGTTGGAAAACACCTTGAAATGAAAGATTGGCTATTGAAAGTTGAAAATTCTATAAAGTCGTCAATTCTGTTTTGGACGGAAAGGTGCCTCGAGAACATTAGTACAAGAGGGCTAGAGTGTTTTGAGCAGACATTCGATCAATACATTTTTCAAGCTTTACTACTCTCACTCCAAATCCGTTGGACAACATTGATCGAGAACGATATACTTTCTGTAGACTTCGCGTCAGTCTCAGTTGAAGTTACATTGGTGTTGAAACATTTGAAATTCCTATTACAGAGTTCGACTTGTAAGCTGAGACGAAAGAAGGCCGAGTCTTTAGTTATTGATTGCCTTCATTTCAAATGGGTCTTAGAAAAGTTGGTCAATATGGATTCAAGAGCGCGGAAGGAATTATGGAGCAATACTCTTAAATATTATTTGCATGAGAGGGCCCCCCCACTCGAGAAAATTAAGGTCAAAATTGCTAGTCACACCTTTCACCACGGCCTTGAATATATCGGAGTACCAGAAAGGCTTGTATGTACCCCTCTTCTACAGAATTGCTTCATCGCTATGTCCCATGCTTTAGCTCAAAAGAGAGGAGGTGCACCTTTCGGACCTGCCGGCACAGGAAAGACTGAGAGTATCAAGGCTTTTGGTCAAAATTTAGGCCGCATGGTCCTAGTTTTCAATTGTGATCGATCATTTGATTTTCACTCTATGTGTAGGTTGCTTTTGGGAATTGCCCAAGTTGGTGCTTGGGGCTGCTTCGATGAATTTAATAGACTGGATGAAAATACCATGAGTGCAGTCTCATCTCAGATTGGGGAGGTGCAGCATGCCCTCTCTGCAAAGTGCGATAACTTTTCTCTCTTGGGAAAAATATCAAAGCTCAGTCGCGACACGGGATTATTTGTAACCATGAATATCGGGTATTCGGGCAGACGTGAATTGCCCGACAACCTAAAAAAGAAGTTTCGACAATTCTCTATGAAAAGGCCAGATAATATTATAATTGGAGAGATGTTATTGGAAACTCTCGGATTTACGAGTGCCGTCAAGTTTGCTCGAAAGTTGAGTACTTTCTTGGAGTACCTTGAACAGTGTTGCTCAGGTCAAAAGCACTATGACTTCGGTTTAAGAATGATGAAAGCAGTTGTGAGAAACTGTAGAGTCCTCAAAATTGCACATCGTCAGCTTTCTGTAGAGGAGATCCTTTACCAAAGTTTACAACAACTTCTGATGCCTAGACTTACGGAAGGTGATGAGTTAATCTTTGAGGAGGCGTGCTCGCTACATTTCCCTCATCTACAGCCAAGGGTCCTCGTAAGTGGTTATATAGATGGTATCAGGGCTGCTTGTAAGCAACTGAAACTTATGGCCAACAATACTTTGCTACAGAAATGCACTCAGTTCCTCGATATTCAGCAATCACAACAGGCTGTTATAATCAGCGGCTTAGCAGGAATTGGAAAGACAACAGTTTGGAAGGCAGCGTTAAAAGCTATGGAGGTCATGGATCAGGTCGAAAACGTTACATTTGTGATTGATATTAAGGTTTTGACCAAAGAAGAATTATACGGATCGCTCGATCCTGTCACGTATGAGTGGTCAGATGGGCTATTTACCTCAATCTTGAGGAAAGTAAACCAGGATCAATTTGGTAGGTTTCAAAACACTCGCGTATGGATTATCTTTGATGGTGATTTAGATCCGGAATACGCTGAAGCAATAAACAGTGTTTTAGACGATAACAAACTTTTAACGTTACCTAATGGCGAGCGCTTGGACGTTCCGCTGAATCTGAGTATTATATTTGAAGTCGAAAATTTGCAAGGAGGAACACCAGCCACTATCAGTAGATGCGCTGTTTTGACCTTAAACCAATTTACTGCCACTCCTGCAGAGCTCTTAAAGAGTTTTCTCACAAGTACTTTATCTCAAATGGGCATAGAAAGCCAATTGGGAGAGCAAACCTCACTTCAAATTTGTAACTTTGTTCATGCCGAGATTGGCAGCATTATTTTGGAGCTTTATGCTATGTCAGAGGGCCTCCCTCTGACAATCAATATCGGCATAAGTGGCGTTGTGCGCACGTTCGTTTCTCTTACATCTTCTAAAATTTTGAGACACATTGACGCTATTAAGAAGATATCAAAGCAAGATTTCGAACTGTTTCTCAGAGCCATTACTTACAGCAATATCGTTTGGGCCTTCACGGGAGCTTGTGACAACGAGAATCGGAAAAAATTCGAAAGTTTTTTTAGAGAAAAGCAGACCACTACAGCATCTACTTTCGCGCCTGAAATATCATTTACCGATTACTTTATTTTACCCGGTGATGGTAATGTAACCCCCATCTCTACGCTTGTCCCCCGAGTCTCGCTAGAACCATCAGAAATTCTCAACCCGGACCTCATGATCACCACTATCGAAACCCTAAAGCATGAGCAATTGGTTTTGGATCACCTTCAATCCGGAAATTCTTCTATCTTGTGCGGCCCCCCCGGCTCTGGCAAAACTATGACATTGTTCAATGCGCTTAAAAAAACCGACCGCTTTGAACTAGTAGGCTTAACATTCTCCAAGGAGACTTCAGTTGCCACTGTTTTGAAGACCCTCAAGCATCATACTACTGTTATTGAAAGTGTAAACGAAATGATTATGATGCCTAAACATGAGGAAAAAGATATTGTGGTATTTTGTGACGAGATAAATTTACCCCACTGCGATAACAATGATGAGCAACCTGTGATTCTCTTACTGAGACAAATTATAGAGAAGAATGGGCTTTGGGACTTAGAAAAAGGAAAGTGGATCCGCCTGGAGAGAATTCGTTTTGTTGGCGCCTGTAATCCGCCGGACGGTGCATCTAGGAAAATTCTTAGTCGGCGTTTTACAAGGTTCACCCATGTGCTCTTTGTTGACTATCCCAGCGGCAGCTCCTTATCACATATCTACAAAACAGTTTTTAGAGCTACTTTGAAGCTCGTCCCCGATTTCAGAGAATATTACGAGGAACTTGCCAATGCATCTTTAGAAATCTACCATGCCTGTCAATCAAAGTTTTCAATGGCAAAGCATTTCCACTATATATTCTCACCTAGGGATTTGACAAGGTGGACCAAGGGGATATACGCTATTCTTTCAAATACTTCAGTTCATGAACTTTACGACTTACTAATAATATGGATTCACGAGGGCCTGCGTTTATTTTCGGATAGATTAGTGGACACCCAAGACAAGAAGACATTCGAAGATATTATGCACGGCACGATTTTGAAGTTCTTCCCTAATCAATTAGATCCATCTTTGAATATTCATCAAATACTGTTGTCAGACTGGATTGGCGGTAAATACCAAGTGGTAACTAGAGAGAAGCTTGCAAAGTTTGTGCTCGAGAAGCTGAGAGTTTATGAGGAAGAAGAGAGCGAATGTCACTTAATACTTCACAACAATTTGATTGATCACATAGTGAGGGTTGACAGAGCGTTAAAACAAGAGCAGGGTCATTGTATATTAGTGGGCCCCAGCCGAAGTGCAAAACGCGCATTGGTAAGGTTTGTTTCGTGGCTTAATGGCATGGAAATTGTTCAACTTGTTGTTCATCGAAACTTTCACATCACTGAGTTTGATAAGCTCTTGAAATTGGTCATGACTAAATGTGCTATAAGGCAACAGAGGGTGACCCTTATGGTCGATGATAGTAGTATCCTGGAGTCCACATTTATTGAAAGAATGAACACGCTTTTGGCTAATTCGGATATTCCCGGTTTGTTTGAAGGAGAAGAACGCATGAAGTTGATGAGTGACCTCTCGACAAAAGCAGCAGAATTAGGGCTTCTTCTAGACAGCGACGAGGAACTCCACCATTGGTTTACTGAATTGATTTCGAAAAATCTGCACGTTGCGTTTACCATCAACAATCCTGAATCGAAAAATGCTCTCAATGTGATCAGTTCACCAGCGCTCTTTAATCGATGCGTGCTTGACTGGATTGGAGCATGGCCTACCGCTGCGTTCGTAGAGATCGGCCGTGAAGTACTAAAATGGATGCCATTCCAGCAGAACGACCTCACCAAGAAAGTGGAATCACCTCCGACCCTACTAATCGATGAAATTATTCAAGTTGCGCTTCAGACGTTTACGAAGTTTCAGTCACTGAGTAAGGGGATAGTCGCACATGGGAAATACCTTGACCATCTGACGACATTTTGCGATATGTTTTTGGCAAAGACGTCCGATCTTGAGACCTCTCAACGCTTCATTGTTACAGGGTTGGACACGCTAAAAGAGTCAGTTTTAAACATTCGGGAGATGAGTTTGGACCTGGTCGCCAAAGAGAAAGCACTGAAGCTCAAGGAGGATGAAGCAAGAAGGACACTTGACACTATGTTATCCACTCAAAATGAAGCCGAAAGGAAGCATGAAGCCACTGTGGAAATTAGAAAAATACTTGGGGTGCAGGAAAAAGAGCTTCGCTCCAAGAAATTACAGATAGTCCAAGATTTGGAGCTTGTCGAACCAGAGATTTTAGAGGCTCAAAGAGGCGTCAACAACATAAAAAAACAGCATATGACTGAAGTTCGGTCAATGCTTAATCCTCCACAAAACGTTAAACTGACTCTTGAAGCCGTCTGTTTCGTTTTAGGTCACTCTATGCCAGAGTGGAAAGATATTCAGCAGTTTGTCCGCAAAGACGACTTTATTTCAAGCATTGTTCATTATGATACTGACCATATGATGACTTCATCTACCAGAAGCTACTTAGAAACGAAATATTTGTCAAATCCCAACTTCAATTATGAAGCGGTAAACCATGCTAGTCGGGCATGCGGCCCATTGTTTCAATGGGTTGTTGCCCAAGTAAAGTATTCATCAATGCTGAGCACGGTCATGCCCCTGAAGGAAAGTGCGGAGGAGGTCGAGCGTGATATTTTTCAAGCTAAAACGAGACTACTGGCGGCCGAAGATATGATAAGTGATTATCAAAAAATCGTAGAAGACTCTAAGCTTGAGTATGGAGAAATCATCCGAGAAAAGGAACTCATTAAGACAGAACTTGCGCAAGTACAGAAGAAGGTGTCACGATCTGAAAAGCTCTTGCATAGTTTATCAACAGAAAAATCACGTTGGAAGGGCAGCATCATGTCTTTTGGTGACACTAAAAAATGCTTGGTGGGCGATAGCTTTATTTCGTCGCTTTACATGACGTATTGTGTCGGCCAAGATGAAATAACCAGCAACATATTACTTTCGGATTTCAAAAGACTTCTCACGCTTCATAATATTGCGTTCAGCGATGACTACAAATTCAGCCATTATGTCGTGGACTACCGTGAGAAATCATTATGGCATAGTAAAGGTTTACCCTCAGACGATATGAGTGTTGGAAGGTTTCACGCCGCGTTGCATGGTCCACAATACCCTTTTATCATTGATCCTGATGGCAATATCACAAATACCATAATAAATCACTACGGGACTTCGTTGACTGTCACTAGTTTTCTTGACAGCGGATTTATTAAACGGTTAAAAAATTGCTTGAGATTTGGAGGCCCTATTTTGATACAAGATGGAGAATACTTTGATCCAATCATTTCCGTATTAATAGCAAAAGAGCTCAAAAAGGTAGGTGGCAAAGAAGTCGTGAAACTCGGGGAAGACTTTGTTGACGTGGCATCCACGTTCCAGCTTATTATTTCCTCAAAAAACCCATCATGTAAGATCTCAAGTTTCGTCAGAGCTCGTATGACAGTTTTGAACTTTACTATCGACAAACATTCGTTAGCCAGTCAGATACTTGAGCAGATACTGGCCCATGAAATGCCCGAGCTCTGCCAACAGAGGAAAGAGCTCAATTCGCTTAACGGCGAATATAAATTACGTCTGACCAACCTAGAACGAGAGCTTCTGGAAGCGCTCAGTGAAACAGGCCCCACACTTCTTGAAAATGATTTCTTGATTCAGACCCTGGAACAAATAAAAATTCAAACTTCCGAGATTGAAGGCAAAATGCGGGAAACCCGAGGTGTAATAGACAGGATTGAAGCTAGTGTCTCCGACTATCGTCCGTTAAGCGTGCATGCTTTCACAGTTTATTCCATCCTGGAACAATTATCAGACTTCCATTGGAGCTATCATATATCAATACAAAGTTTCTTGGATTGTTCCGAATCGATTTTCGGTAACTGTTTGGCTCAAGGAAAAACCAGGCCTGATCAACTATTGCTACTTTTCTATCAGAGTGTCTTTAAAATGTTTTCACCTGGCTTAACACAGGAGCACAGAGTAACCCTTGCCACGCTTTTATTCGTTTCATATTATGAACCTGGAGAGAGCTCCTCGCTTTCTAATGTGATTCACGACTTGATGGTAACTTTATGCAAATTGCCCAGTACTACAGCTGAGGATTCAGTAAGCCATTGCAAAGTCAACTTCAAACAGAAAGCTGCCGAGAATTATGCAGAAGAACTCAAGAAAGCGGTGGGAACGGACACCGTATTTTCTGCAATGCTCAGCTGCATGAAGCTATTTGGGGATTTTTCGGTGTTAGACTTGGAAGGATATGTTTCTGATTGGGGCAAGCTGCCAGTCTTGATGCTCTCTGAGAAGGGTACGGACGGATCATATCGCATCAACCAGCTCGCTACAGAAGACTCAAACCGCATATCTGTTATTTCACTGGGGTCAAAAGAGAGTACAGCTATGGCAGAAGAGGCGTTGTCAAGATGCAGCCAGTCTGGTACTTGGCTCGTTTTGCAAAACTTACAAATGTCACCAGAGTGGGTCCAATCGGTGCTTTCTAAGCGGATAGAAAATTTGAAAGCGGATTCGCACGTTTCCAGCAGCTTTAAACTTTTTATGACATGCGAATTTGAAGGCGGTTCTTTACCGCTGCCATTAGTCAGAGAATGCTGGCATCTTCTTCATAATAGTGAAGGGGGAATTTTAGAATCGGCGCAAGATGTCTGGGGTATGATACCTCACACCAGCAATCCACCGAGAAGGGAAATGCTCTACCTTCAATTTCTTCTTTCTTGGTTACATGCTCTGCTAGTGGAGTTCACCCGGCTGTGCCCTTTGGGCTTCTCAAAAAGGTACGATTTCAATGACGCCGATTTTGAAGCTGGTGTTTATTACTTGGAAACCGTTTTTCAAAATGTCCAACTTCAAGGCATTCCATGGGATGAATTAAGGTTCAACATCGGTTCAATTATTTACGGCGGTAAAATTGACAATGAAGAGGATCAGGCGAAATGCAAAAAACTAGCGGGTAGTATTTTTGACGTAAAAGCCCTTTCTCCAGACTTTGAATTGGCACCAGGTGTCCCTGTGCCAGAATACAACGAAAGAAGTAGCTGGATTAACTTTCAAAGTTGGCTCAAAAAGTGTCAACTACCTAGCAGCTATTCTAAGTGGCTTGGAATCAGCGAAAACGTTGAAAAAGAGAAGCAGAAGCTCCAGGCTGATAAAATTGCTCGCCTGCTTGTACGCCTTCTCAATGACGCTTAATTGTTTTATGCTAACCTTATCCGCTTAACAAATAAAAAGTTAGATTTGCAAGCCTTTGGAGGGACATATGAGCTGACTAGCAAAGGTAGCAATTACAGGGAACCAATTGAGAGGCATAGATTTTATCCTCGAGCTGGAAGCTTACTGTCCCAGCTTGATTTAGCGTATGTAATGATACAACTCTTAAAGTTCACAGGTATCAACAGAACAATGAGCTGATCTTGCCAGCTACGCATAGAGGTTGACGTAAAGCAGTGACCAGGCCTTATCCTAGGTGCCATGGCCAGTCGAAGTAGGTCTTGTACGGACTCCGAGATCAGGCTAGATGGACTTACAGAGGTGGAGACATATAAAGACAAACACCTATATGCCGATCCAGGAAACCACTCTAGCGACCATTTCAAGCGTAGAATGAGTCCTCTGAGGTTCAAAATGCGTTCCTGGCTTGTGCAATACACAGAGGAGCAATCTGGAAGACTGAACAAATGGCAGATAAAGTATCGCAGTCCTTGGATGGACAAATACTTTGCCTACACGGCATTGATGGGATCTCATATGTTCTACGTGGTAATGGTTCCCATGCCGCGCTGGATTGGATACAGCGACGTGTGTCGAGACCTAGTATACATTCTGGGATACTCCATCTACTTCAGTGGGTTTCTTAAAGACTATTGGTGTTTGCCAAGGCCAAAGTCCCCTCCACTAACTAGGGTAACACTCAGCGGGTATACCACTAAGGAGTACGGTGCGCCCAGTTCGCACACTGCAAATGCGACAGGTGTAGCACTGCTAATGCTGTGGTACATCTGCGGATCCCATACTCTGACAATTCGTTGGAAAATATTGGCCACAATAGGGACGTTCTTTTATTATTTTACCCTAACGTTGGGCCGAATTTACTGCGGAATGCACGGTATCCTTGATATTGTTTCTGGAATGTCAATCGGCGCAGCTTGTTTTGCAGCCAGATGGGCCGTTTTATCCTATTCTTCTCTGGATAGTGCAAGCATGCAAGAATGGGGTTTTTGGTTTCCTTTTGCATCAATAGGTTTGGGGCTCTTCCTTTTGTTCAAACATGTCGAGCCTGTGGATCATTGCCCTTGCTTTGAGGATAGCGTAGCATTTGTGGGTGTGATCTGCGGCCTCGAGACCAGTGACTGGCTCAGCTGGGCTCTTTGGGGGTCGGAAAACTATCAAGTGTACTACAAATGGGCTGAATTTGGTCTTCTGCTGACACTGAGGAGAATTTTTATCGGCGTCCTATTGGTAATTTTATGGAAGAGCGTTGTAGGGAAAAGGTTGGTCTACGCGATCCTCAACTCGATTTTTATCGACGACAGGAGTCTGTATGTCCATCAACACAGTGAGGCCTCTGCAATGAAAGAAGTGCCTCTATTTTCTGGTCGGTCACGAACCGAGCTTTTGGGAAGGTTTATGATTTATGCGGGGGTGGCATCTGTTGTAGTTCTCGCCTGTCCAATAACTTTCCAGGTACTCGGTGTTTGACAACGAAGGGCAAGGCTACGATGGCCTGGGTCTTGTACTTTTATGTAGCATACAAGTCCCATTTTACCTTGGGAAAGTTTCTTGAGGAATATCAACTATCACAATGCGTGGTGAGGATTTTTAACCAAAACGTTAGAAATTGCGCATGTGTTTAGAGACTCAGAGGAATGTTAATATCAACGGTGCTCTGAGGAGAACTACGCGAGCCACAATGATGACTAATGAATGCTTCTAGAATTTATCCATCAAGCTACAGGCAAAGTGATCGCTTTGGTTGAAAAAACTATTGCAATTTGTTCTCTTAACGTCGTTGGTTGGAATTAGGTATTTACTGTGTACAATCCTTATACAGTGTATATAGTTGTCATATAAATTTGAAGGAAGTGGTAGAAAATACACACTCAAGACTAACATCTAACTCATTTAAATACACGGAGTTGCATATGGAACTACAGCCGCACCATTAGACATAAATCTACCTTTATGGCTTAGTTAAGCGTTTGGTAGCCCTCCCGCTAGAAGTAATTTTGCGGTTATATCAAAGATACCCTGTTGGTACCAGGGAGTATCATTATTCCAGCTTGATACTCAACACACTATCTGTTCAGTGATGAGGAAAACTGTCTTTTGGAGTGAGGCAAATAGCAGAGTTTGTCTACGTTCACCTCGGCGGCTACTTACATGTTTGGTGCTTACAAATATACAACAGTTGTCTCCAACTAAAGACGAGCTTATAGAGAAGTCATCAAATGAATTGGTTCTGTCTCATTTGGATTATACCAATGCGTGCTAGATGTGCCCGTCGCAAGAGTACAGTATCACGTCGGTAACGTACAGATTTTGACTACTTCTGCGAACATGTGAGATCTGTCACATTAACTTCAGCAAAAATCCTCAAAAAACCCACTAGCCCGGGCCTTCGGACTAGATTCTGGGGCGCCTATCGCATGGGACTTCGATGAGCATTTTGCTTGTTGATCTGTTCGGAGAGCACGAAGTGTCCACTGTTCACCGACCGAGCCCAAGAAATGAGGATATAACGCTTCAAAACAGCTTCATCTAGTGCCAAAGACGATTTGGTGCCGCCCCCGTCCCCATCCCCCTCTATCCTACCTTATGCCGTATAGGTCTCAAGTGCCGCTTGAATAATTACTTGATACAATAGAGCACAAACATTCAAACTTAATAATAAAGCTCGATATCAACATACCTCACATTTGTAATGGGAACGAGAGTGGAGGTCACCAAGACAATCATGCAAGAGGCCTGTCTGAATATGCTTATGCACTAAAATCGTTGTGAGAACACTTCCTCAAAACCTTCACTATTCCTAATTCATCACCTGTCACCTGAGGCTACTTGAGAACATCCCAGAACATTATACTGGACAAGTACCACTATGATGAAGGTCGTTAAATCCCCGGTCTCGCCAACTGTTTGTCTGGCTGGACCTTCAGATGATTAAGGCAACCGTGTACAGTGCTTCAAATGTTGCCAAGCAGTGTTAATTTTTCAATGACACCTAGAAATGATATCAATTATCGACTCTTCGGGAGCCCAATCGAAGAGGCATCCACCTAGTCGTCGTTCCAAACTCCGTTTAGAGGTTTGACAATTGGCTTGATTTCAACATCTGATGGCCGAGGAAATAGACTACGAATCCCTACCGAGTAATGCTCCGCTATCTCATCAGCTGGCAGCTGGCGCATTCGCTGGTATCATGGAGCATTCGATAATGTTCCCGATCGATGCCATCAAGACCCGAATGCAAGCTCTGAGTGCGACAATGGGATCTGCTTCGGCAGCGACTAAATTGCCGTCGAACATCGTGCAGCAAATCTCAAGTATTTCGACCACGGAAGGTTCTTTGGCATTATGGAAAGGTGTACAATCTGTGATTTTGGGAGCTGGACCGGCCCACGCAATCTACTTTGCGACTTATGAAATGTGCAAAGGCTATCTGATCGATCCGCAGGACTTCCAAACCCACCAACCGCTCAAGACAGCTGCGAGCGGGATTGCGGCAACGATAGCCGCAGATCTGCTTATGAACCCATTCGACACCATCAAACAGCGCATGCAATTACAATCCGTGTCCAAGGACCGAATGTGGTCGGTCGCTTCTAGGATTTATCGAAATGAAGGGTTAGCAGCCTTTTTCTATTCATATCCTACCACAATTGCCATGAATATTCCATTTGCTGCATTTAATTTTGTCATTTACGAATCCTCTACAAAGCTTTTCAACCCAGAAAACACCTATAATCCACTCATACACTGTTTGTGCGGTGGAATCAGCGGTGCTACATGTGCGGCCGTTACCACACCTCTGGACTGCGTCAAAACGGTATTGCAAGTTCGCGGGAGTGATAGTGTAGTAATTCCGCTTTTCAAACAAGCTGACACTTTCACAAAGGCCGCTAGTGCTATCCACCAGGTTTATGGCTGGTCTGGTTTTCTAAGAGGCCTCAAACCCCGTATCATCAGCAATATGCCCGCTACTGCAATTTCATGGACTGCATACGAATGTGCGAAGCATTTTCTTTTCAAGTCGCCCTCGACTTCCTAATTCTCCTTCAATGAAGCGACACGGTCTATAAGTGATAGCAAGGGCAACTGTACCATAAATGAGGAATCTAGGACTCCACTTTCCCTGTACATAAAGGAGAAGCAGGGTGCTTTATCATGCAGTGTAACATAATGGCACGGATGAATGTATATTAATTAGCGTAAGACACTCCCACTTTCTCGCCAACGTCACTAATCAGCGCACGTTTTAAGGAGATGCATAAGACTGTCTGACGTTTTGACGCAGCGCCTCCATATCCCTACTATACTTGTGAGCATCGACATCCCAAATTACTGGGTAATTAGGATCTTCTGGTATATAACTGTTCTGAGTAATGTCGATCCACGGTTCGTTTTGTTCAACACTACCGTAAGAGGAACTTTGCTGAGACGAAGAATCAGCTTCATTTACCCAATAATTGCCTCGATCACCACTTGAATACCTGAAGCCGGCCTGTAGACGTCCCAACCGCGACCGAGCGTCTCTATGGGCTACTATAGCCTCTGCAGAATTAAAATGACGGTAATTGTACAAGTTTCCCATAAATGTTATCTTAAAATCCCATTTCAAGTCCCCAAACCCAAAGCAGTCCCTCAATGCGTAAAAAAATCGTACCCTAGATCCTTTAGGAATACTCTTGGAACTATAAGCAGACCAATTAAATGCAATTAAATGTCCTAGAGCAAACCCTATCATTTCAACGCACAAAACCGCGTTTTGATAAACGTAGCCGTAGTCCACTTCTGGATCGTGTCTTATAAAACCACACTTGCTCAATAAGGTAATGATTATTCCCTGCCAATACGAAGCAAAAATAATGAGCTTGACGCACAAGAATTTTGACCACGGGTTGTAGCGTTTGAGCTCTCCATAAAGGCACTTCCAGAATAGAGCCAGATTATAGAGTGATAAAGTGGCCGAAACATTGTAAGATAAGGCCCAAAAAGGCATCCAAAATTCGGGATGCCAGTTATAGTTGATGGAAATCATGGTTCCTAAACAATACAGCGGCTTGAACCATACATATTGAAGGATACCTCTCTTCACTGTTAGAAAATCGTTAGGGTCAGACATGTCCACTGGGGGTAGCCAGCGGCCCAGAAGAAAAATCGGATGCCGCGTTGGTGGCTTACCCATTGAGAGTTCAGTGATTATTTTTCTCTCTCCTCCTAATATCAACGTTAGCAGAGAAAAGAACGTGTAAATGACAAATGATTCATAAATCTCCCGTACTGGATCTATCCAGATAAGTGCTAGTTGAGGTATTACGCATGCAAGCAGACACGTCACACAAAACAGTGGGACCATCAACTGAATTCTAATTACCAACCTTTGTTCCAAAGGTTTCCTGTAATTAAGAAACTGGCCCATAATGGACATCGATGAGATCCCTATACTCAAAATGGATGATAAAATGCACAACAGAAACCACCATCTCGGAATATAGTAACTCATATAACTAAGTCTAGAGCTGACCAAGCTGAAGTTGATAGAAGCTTAATGCTTTTTTTAACATGAGGTTGGCCCCATATGAGTTTCCTTAATTTAATTAAGTCATCTTCAACTAATTGTGACAGACCCACAAACATTCAAAACGCTTCAGGAAAACACCAATGGGATCATGATCTTCCGAAAGGCTTGCATTTGGCTACTAAAGCTATTCGAGATTGTGCGCGGTGCTGGCGTTGGTGAACACTTGACAATGCTGGCCCGCACGAGCGTTCCATGGGAATTGAAACCCTATTATCCGGAATTGAAAGCTGGCACTTTCTTTCCAGATGCATTCTACAGCTGTGCGGCTAATGATGATTGGAAAAAGTTTGCTGAGTGGACACATTGGCCACCTTTCTTAGTGTTAGGAGCTAAAATGTGGCGAGAAAAATATGGCACAAATCGAAATTGTGAGAATGCGTTACGTTTGAGGGCATTTCTGACCGGAATTTTTGTTCATCAGGTTACAGATGTATCGTGGCACTCGCTGGTAAAGGGTTATCGAAGTCATGGCCTTGTCAAGGCGTTAGCGGAACTTGAGTTCAACGGAGACTATCAAAATGCACACGATTTCGTAGATTCGATGGGCGACTTGCTGATTTTAGGCCAGGTTATAAGGGATACTAGTGACAACTGGCCATTTTACACCGATCAAGACTGGCAGCTTCCGCTCGAGGATGACCTACTCGAACTTGTACGAAGGTCTGGTGTCGACGATCTACACTTTTGGGAGATTCAAGCATGCGTCAAACGTGGTTCTGTGGCTCTTTCAAGCGAAGTTCTTTCACTCCTCAGACGCCGCAAAGAAGTCTTAGAGGTCGCATATAATATCTCACCGAGAGCAAGGGAGCTAATCCAGGGTCACTGGTTAGGAGGTGAACCAAATTTGGTCGCAATGGTGAACAAATGTCTCCCCACTTTCTTCACTCTTTTTGATCAAAAATCAACTGTTTTCAGCGACTCAGAACTCGAAACACTTATTGAGCTATGTGGAAATCTACCTTCCGGTAAGGCTGCTACAGACGGCACAAATCCGGTGACATTACTCAAAAGAGATATTGATGATCAGCTTTTTGTCTCCCCATTAAAGCCACTGTCTTTGTTCGGGCTTGATATCGCCGTTGGAAGGTTTCGAAATGACGAAGTTTCCTTAGCCATAAGTGCGCCACTTGAAGAGGGAGAAGGATCGGTTTATGTCATCCCGTGGGCGGAGCTAATGAGCTATGATACCTTTGAGACCGAGAAACCTATCGCATCGGCGTATGGGTCTAGCGTTCACAAGCTCACCGCAAATGGTTTGGACTACTTGGTTGTTTCTGCAAGTGGAGAAAACACAATTTATTTTTATCTGAGTGGTAGAAAGGTCTTATCCATAGCGGACACAGGTAGTTGGGAGCGTCATCAATTGGTAGTGTCCTCTGTGGATGATATAGATGGAGATGGAGTTTCTGATTTGGTATTGTCTGGTCCTCATTACGGGTACAATGAGACTGGTGTTGTTTTTATAGTTGACGGAGGTGAGCTAAGTGCATTGGTTGAAGATCCTTCTATAGAATTTGTTGAAATGCACTCACTTAGCACCATATGCCTGAAAGCACCGCTGTCAAAAGCTTTTCAGCATTTTGGCTCACAAGTATCGTGGTCAAAGCTGGACAAGAAGAATGGCATGCTTTACGTCGCAAGCCAGGGGCTGGGTGTTGTATTTGTTTACCCATTGAAGAGCCTACATCAGAATGCTCTCCCAATGTTTACCATCATTGAAGAAAACATCATTCGTTCCGAGGAGGATGTCCCATTTGAACTTGAGATGAGGAAGTCGAGTATACACGGAATGTTCGGAAAAGAAATGCATAGCTGGGCTATAGGAGATACGGGCTACATTGCAATATCTCAACACTTACAAAACAAGGTTTACCTATACAAAGAGCACGAAGGGTTTGTGGAGTACTACGCAACTCTCATATTGGATATATCAGTCGATACACACACTGTGATTGCCACCATTGGTTTTGGTTCGTCCATTGCTTATGATCATACATCTGACAAACTATACCTATCATCGCCTGGGTTTTTTGATGGCACTGGTGCTATTTGGGGCATTTCAATGGTTGAAATTCAGCAATCAGTTGATAGATGGAAAATCAATAAAATTTTGATTACACCTTCATCACACCTCATAGCGCTCAATAAGGCCACACATGGGAAAGGTATATCTGACTTTGGTAAGGTTCTGAAGGTCGGTCCGGACGGTAAACTATTAGTGGGAGCACCCCGGTATGGATATGGGGATTTTGGGCATCAACAGCTCTCAGGAGGCTTAATCATCATCTAATTCGCTCAGTATACACAAAATAACCAGATTATCGAATATAAATGATGTGTGATATAAAAGTATTTACAAGGTCATTACAGGACAAGATGTGGTTGTCTCAGAAAACAATCTGAACGTTCCTCACTTAAAAGGCAGACTTTGCCTCATTTCTCCTCTTTTTCTCCACCTTCATCTCCACCTTCGCTTGTCTTTGCCTCTTACGTTCTTCCTTCAAAGCCGTCTTGTTTTCTTTCTTCGTAATAGAGGTTTTCGGGGAAAGCTTCATGATTAATTTCGATTCTGTACTGCCTTCGATGGAGGGCTGTAGCGCAAGTTCACTTACAATCTCGATGAGCTGCTCTAGTACTTGTTGGCGTCTCTTCAATTCTTTGGCGGTGGTTTTCTGGCTCTTGAATTTACTTTCCAATACCTCAGCAGAACTAGTTATATCATCAGCCCAATTCGCTTTATTCAAAGCGTCCTTCCCATTTAGGTATAAATAAACTTTATAGCCCTTTTTCAGCTGAGAGGTTATCTCGTTGGCTTTCTGTTTGTTGAGATCTGAATCAGAAATCTGCCAGGATACCTTTATCTGCTTTAAGTTATCATCTGCACTGTCCTTTTCGTTCTTCTTTCCAAGTTTTCTGTGCGAAAATCCCATTTTCATCAATTCTTGTTCCTTAAGCTTGGCAAGCTCATCCGAATACTTCTTCAATGCTGTTTTCGAATCAACTAGCTTGACGAGAGGTATGTTGTGAGAACCCCGTTGTTCAACGTTCACCACCAGAAACCCGAAGTGCTCTAGATCAATTTCTGAAGCCCAAATCATGACAGTTGTCTCCTCTAGCTTGTTTGTCTCCTGGTTTACAACTTTGATCACACCGCGGTCGTTCAATTTAAGGATTTGTTTCAGAGTATGGTTAGCAGCATTCTGTGCCCTCTCACTTCCCGTTGTCCAATTGATCGTTAATCTCTTTTTAGTTTGATATCCCGATGAGTAGCCTTTGACTAGTCTTTTTCTCTGATTGGCACCTTTTTCGGGCTGATTTTTTGATATCTGAGGTTTGTCTATCACCTTATTCCTTCTCATCGAAGCAGTGGCATTGACTAAAATGTCATTAGTATTGTTCATCAAACTTGAGAAGAGCGGTCTTGAGAAGTGAAACCATCTATAGCTTTGATAAAGGGATCTGGGGGCTATTCGACATAGTCTAGAACCTCCTCGAAGTCCTAAAATGTTGGACATGAACGTAATAAGTCTGTGGTCGCATTTGAAGTAGCTAATGTCATTCGGAATTAATTTTGAATATTAATCTTATTGACAGACGTATAAAATAAAATTATGTATTTCCTGGATGCTCTTGAGCCAAATTCACATCATAAATGTTGCAGTTGCAGTGCAGTACACGTTATATACCTAATTGCAAATATCTGTTGGCTAAACCCCTCTTCCACCTAGAAGTACGTTCAGATCAACATCTCTAAGTCCCCACAAAAAGTTGTCACTCTAGCACCATTCGCTGGCAGTTGTGTGGCGGGTAGCCTCTGCAAATTCCAGACATTTCATAGGTCTACACCCATAACCATGGCCAGAAGGGCCATTCTAACAAATAAGCCGTACCTCATTTGCCTGAAATATGCGGCTCTGTGATCATAGTCAACTTCCTCACGAATCTCGTTTACACGGGGCAATGGATGCATGACAACCATGTGGTCTTTGGCATGAGCTAAAATTTTGTTATCGACAACGTAAACGTCTTTGAGCCTCTCGTACTGTTCAGGATCTTCAAACCTTTCCTTTTGAACTCTAGTACAATATAGCACGTCAGATCTCGATATAATCTCAGGAGTCAATACCTCGCTTTCAACGCCGAGCATACCAGCATTTGCTAGCTCTGTGCGCAAAGCCGTTGGTAGTCTGAGTTCCGTAGGAGAGACCAAATTGATCCTTACCTGGTAATGTTTTAACAGGCGACACAGAGAATGAACTGGTCTCCCATATCTTAGGTCGCCCATGAATGTAACGGTGATACCGTTTACGGTACCAAGCTCTTCGCGAATAGTGAACAAGTCTAGGAAGGCTTGAGTTGGGTGCTCACGAGATCCATTTCCACCGTTTAAGATTGGTACTGGAGAGTACTTGGCGGCCGTGTGGGCTGACATTTCATCAGGATGACGCAGAACAATAGCATCTGAATAACAAGCCAGAGTTCTGATCGTGTCTTGCAGAGTTTCGCCCTTTTTTACGGAGGACGAAGTGGTATTAATGTTGACGGTTCTACCACCCAAACGTTCCATGGCTGCGATGAAAGAAGATGAAGTACGAGTGGAAGGTTCATAAAAGATGGTTGTTAAGAGACGACCTTTCATGATATCTAAGATACCTTCCCTTTCGACACCTGATCTTAATTCTTGAGCAACAGCAAACAATGCATGGAAGTCAGAACGCTTGAACTGGTTGACAGAAAGGATGTTTCTGCGCAAAAATGGATTGTTGCCTCTGATCAAGCTTTGGATGGCACCAGGAGCAGCAAGTTCCTTTGGCGGCCTGGAAGACATCAGTCTTTGTTCCAAAGGCTGATCTAACAAAGCTTCTTCATCTTCATCAATGCTGGCAAACGAAGAACGTTTCTCATTTGAGAACGAGAATCTCTTTCTGCCGGCAAACTGATTTATCTCAGAAGCAAGAGGAGGTAGAGGGGTCGTCAACTTGGCGGCCGAGTTGATAATAGGCTTCCCCTGAGCTTCAGCGGCAACTAAGTCTCCGCTCAAGACAATGGTTTCTTCGTTCAGCAGAACACGTTCAACGCCTCCCGTCAAGCCTCCTTTAGTGTAGGGAGACCATCTCTTCTTGTGCCTGAAAGCAAAGTCCAAGTCTAGTTCAACCACACTATTTTGGGCAGGAATGTTGAAAATCCTCGCTGGATTATCGTGTAAACGCTCTACAATATCATCAATTGTCAATTTTCCATTGTTGACAGCGGAGAGTAACAAGGGCAAAGCTTCCTTGATACCAATACCAGTCACAACCTCATTTCCAGTAATTTGAGCCAATAGTGTTGGAAGAGCGCCAATAGAGAAGGCATCGATAGAATCCAAGTTGCGCCAGAAAAATTCTTGGTCCTCGGCTGTTGGAAGGAATGGCGCCTCTGGATAATCTGTTTGACTGACAAATAATGAATGAATATTTACATCGCAGGTAACCTTGTCTTGCTTTTCCTTCACTGTGATAATCAAAGATAGGTCATCTCTGTTGGACACACCCGTGATGTGGATTGGCCGGTTCTGTAGGGACGCAAGAAGAATGACGGAAGCAAGGTCGGAAGTCTTCGCCTCCGCTATTATCTGCTTTTCCACCGGCCAATTTTTCAAATGCTCAGCAACAATTGAAACTTTGCCAGTAAGTTCACGATGTGGCAGAAATAGTGCATTGGCTTCATTCGCGCAGACTGCCACTTCACTGACGTTGTGTGCAGTAGCAGCTACCGTGAAGCCAAAGTCGGTATATGCCGAGTCTTGAACAACGGAAGTCGCAACCTTCAGAGACTGTTCATTAGTGATAACCGGCCCTTTGGTAGATTTGGGCATGATCTGAGAATAGGTGAAGCCTGATTCAGCAGACAACCGCGTTATTTCCTTCATTTCATCTGGTCCTTGGACAACATTTGAAATATTTGGCATGTAGGCTGAAATATTGATTAGACCAGGAATGGTAACTGTTCTATGAGAAGTTTGGGCATCTCTCTCACTAACGTCCAACTTCAGGTCTCTTGATAAGGCTTCAATCAAGAGTTTGGCACATTTGACGTTCGTGACTAATGGGACAGAGTAGTCTACCGCCATACGACGGGTCTGGTAACCCTTCGATACATAGGAAGCTGGCCGACGGAATCGGTTGGCAGATGGTAAATTGATGTACAAATCAATTTTGTTATTAGCCAAATGTTGAGTCAAAGAGTACTCGGACTTTTCACTGTCACTATCGTTAAGCACTTCCAAGTATTGAACCGGAATGCCGTGTTCAGAGATGAAATCAGCAGTACCTGCTGTAGCAAAGAGTTTGTATCCCATGCTGTATAGCTTCTTAACAGATGATAGCATTTCCTGCTTTTCTTTGTAAGAGCCAATTGAGAGTAGAACATTTCTCTTAGGCATTTTGAACCCAGTCGATAGAAGAGACTTCATATAGGCCTCATATTTCGAATGACCGAAGGATGCAACTTCACCGGTAGAAGCCATCTCCACACCCAAAACAGGGTCAGCTCCAGCCAATCTTGGAAAAGAGAACTGTGGAACTTTGACTGCAACATAGTCATCTGGTAATTTACCGGTTGGATAAGGAGTGACTGGTAGACCCACGATTGCTCTTGTGGCCATTTCAATCAAGTTAACATTGACTACCTTTGAGATAAAGGGGAAGGAACGCGAAGCGCGAACATTACACTCAATTACCTTAATATCATTGTTTTTGGCAATGAATTGAATGTTGAAAGGGCCAGTGATTTTCAAAGCTTTACCAATTTTGGCAGTAGCGACCACAATTCTGTTGACGGTTTCAGGGTCTAGGTCCTGTGGAGGAACAATTAGAGTGGCATCACCAGAATGCACACCAGCATTCTCAACATGTTCGGACACAACGTGCATGACTAGCTCTCCGTCTTTCGCAACTGCATCCATTTCGATTTCCTTTGCGTTTTCGATGTACTTAGTTATGACAACAGGGTAATCGCGGGAAACTTCAACGGCTTGATTCAAGTAGGAAGCGAGGTCGTCTTTGGAGTATACTGTGTTCATGGCAGCACCAGATAGAACGTAGGAAGGACGAACCAAGACAGGATAGCTTACAGCCTCGGCAAAGGCTTCGGCTTCCTCAAATGACGTCAACTCCTTCCATGCAGGTTGATCAACTTCAATTTGATCCAACATACGGGAGAACTTGTAACGATTTTCAGCAGCGTCGATCATTTCTGGGGTAGTACCCAAAATTTTAACGTTCTCACGATGTAGAGACATGGCAATATTATTGGACGTCTGCCCACCCATGGATACTACTACACCACTTGAACTCTCAATTTCATAAATGTCGAGAACTCTCTCTAAACAGATTGTCTCAAAGTACAGCCGATCGGCTTCATCATAGTCTGTTGAAACAGTCTCAGGATTGTAATTAACCATGATGGACTTGATGTTATTTTTTCGTAAGGTACGGACAGCAGTGACTGCACACCAATCGAATTCAACGGAAGAGCCAATACGATAAACACCGGATCCCAATACCATAACACCTTGGTCTTTGAAAGACAAGTCATGCGCGGCTGCATTGTAAGTCATATACAGATAATTGGTATGCGCTGGGAATTCAGCTGCTACCGTATCAATTTGCTTAACAAACGGAGTAATATTGAACTCCTTCCTCAAGCGCCTAACGGCAACCTCATTCGAGTTGACGAATTTAGCAATCTGTCTATCATCAAAACCCAATTGTTTGGCCTGCTTCAACACCAAGGGAGGTAGTTCTTCGATCCTGCCGTAGCTTTCAATTCTTTTGGAAAACTTGATTAAGTTGTAAAGTTTTGTCAAAAACCATTTGTCGATGTTACTTAGTTCCCAAACCTTTTCAACAGAATAGTTCAATTTACTGAAGGCATTAGCAACGGCGAATATACGCTCGTCTGTTGGATGCGATAATTCGTAGTCGATGTCGGCATCTAAATCAGTTTCGTTAAATCCCAAATTAACGTATTCTGTAGACCTGATAGCTTTTTGAATGGCCTCCTCAAAGGTTCTGCCGATACTCATCACTTCACCTACAGATTTCATGGATGAGGACAAAGCAGTGGAAACTCTGTGAAATTTCTTCAAATCCCACCTAGGCATTTTAACCACACAGTAATCCAATGAAGGTTCAAAACAAGCGCATGTGGACTGCGTGACGGAGTTCTTGACCTCATTGAGAGGAATATTTAGACCTAACTTTGCAGCCGTATAAGCCAATGGATAGCCGGTGGCTTTAGAAGCAAGAGCAGAAGAGCGCGACAACCGCGCGTTGACTTCGATAATGCAATATTCCTTGCTGAAGGGGTTTAGAGCGTATTGGATGTTACATTCACCAACAACACCTAAATGTCTGATAACATTTACCGCGGTGGTTCTCAACATGTTGTAGTCTTCATCTGACAAAGTTTGGGATGGAGCAACAACAATGGAATCACCTGTGTGAATTCCCAACGGATCGAAATTTTCCATGTTACAGACGGTAATACAGTTGTCGAATGCATCTCTCACAACTTCATATTCAACTTCTTTCCAGCCCTTCATAGATCTCTCAACTAGAACCTGGGGAGAAGAAGCAAAGGCCACATTGCACAGGTCTACAAGTTCTTTTTCGTTATTGGCAAATCCTGAACCTAGACCACCTAGAGCATAAGCCGCACGAACAATAACAGGGAAACCAATCTCCTTGACAGCATCCAAAGCCTCTCCAACAGTTAGTGCTGCCTTCGACGTGGCGCACTTCTCATTGATTTCGTCCATAGCATTGGCAAATAGTTCACGGTCCTCTGTGGTGATGACGGTGTCGATTGGAGTACCCAAGACCTTGACACCCAAGGCCTCAAATTCGTCCTTCATCTCAATACCCACTGAAAGAGCTGTTTGACCACCAAATGTAACGTAAATCGCATCGGGTCTTTCATGCATGATAACTTTGCGCACAAACTCCGCGGTGACAGGCAAGAAGTACACCTTATCAGCTAAGCCTTTGGACGTTTGGATAGTGGCAATGTTTGGATTGATCAAAATAGTGTATATCCCTTCTTCTTTCAAAGCTTTGATAGCTTGGGAGCCCGAGTAATCAAATTCACCTGCCTGACCAATAGACAAGCCACCAGAACCCAACACCAAAACCTTCTTTGCCTCCACTCTTGGGTGTGCCGCCAAATTGTCAGCAATTAATCCACCAGGAAATTCAACAGCTCTTAACTCACCTGAATGTTTGAAGTCTTTGACAGCATTGATGAAAACGTCGAATAGGAATTCAGTGTCCCTTGGGCCCGGAGTGGATTCTGGATGAAATTGGACGGAGAAGTAAGGCAGTTCAGAGTGGTAGATACCTTCATTAGATTCATCGTTAGCATTCACAAATAATGGCTTCCAACCCGCAGTTAAGGTCTCAACATCGACAGCAAAACCATGGTTCTGAGAAGTGATGTAACACCTTCCGGAGATGGTTGAAGTACAAGGAATATTGTGGCCTCTGTTACCGAATTTCAACTTCAAAGTAGAAGCTCCCGAAGCTCTGGCCAAAAGCTGATGACCCAAACAAATACCGAAAACTGGTGTCTTTTTGGCTTCTAGCACCTTTGCAAGCTTGGCATTTAGATCAGTAAGGACAGCAGGATCACCGGGACCGTTTGAAATGAACAGACCGTCGTATTCCTCGCTGCTAAAGTCATAGTCCCAAGGAACAACCATCAACTCAACGCCTCGCTTAACGAAGCAACGAATTTGATTATACTTCATACCGACGTCGATTGCCAAGATTCTCAAGGTTTTGCCGTCAGGTCCCGTTTGCAAATCGCAGGAGTCAAGATCGGAAGAAGGGGCATACAATTGGGGAGTTTTGGTTGAGACCTTGGCAACGAGATTCTGCACGTTGGGGTCGTACCATTCGGGAACATCAAAGCAGTCTACCCATTCAACGGAGGTTGCACGAAAGAAGTCAGAGCCTGGCTTCTGAAGTGCTAACCTACCCAACATGGAACCACTGTCTCTCAGATGTTTGGTCAAAGCCCTAGTGTCAATACCGTAAACGGCGGGAATACCTTGCTCCTGCAGCCAAGTAGCCAAGGAGGAATTGGCAAGCCAATGCGAGTATTCTTCGGTGTAGTGAGCGACTACCAGCCCAGCGACGTGAATTCTAGAGCTCTCGAAGTATCTGGGTAGGGACGTCACTAACTCGTCTTGCAACTCACGGTCGGGGACACCGTAGTTGCCGACGAGGGGAAACGTGATGACCAGAATCTGGCCTTCATACGAGGGATCGGTTATGGACTCAGGATATCCGACCATACCGGTTTGAAACACAAGTTCACCAGCAACAGGCTTCTGCGCACCAAACGAGTAACCTTGCACCGCAGTGCCGTCTTGAAGCTCAAGGGTAGCGAGACGGTCACCGGTGGACTCCATAGGAGGCGAAATAGGCCCCGTTGGCGTTATGATAGACATAGCTTATGTGAGAAGTGGTTGGTCAATTTTGGAGAAACCGTAGCGAAAAGTCACAAACAAGGAGCTAGTAGGAAAAAGAGGTCAATCTTGCGGCTGGTGGGGATTCAGCGATTCTTGCAAGAGGGGAGTCTATTTACTGCAGCGGTTGTTAGTACGGACACACTCAAGCACAATGGAGGGAATGCGAAATTACGGAAGCTGAGAGGGTATATCGCGATTCCAGCGGAGAAAAGCACCTAATATTCTAGATTGGCGTCGATTAACCGTCTTCCAACACTTTCTGGTAGAAATCAACGCAGTATAGCAAATCGTGTACACTCTAAAGCTAGCGATGGCGATGCCCGGTGATGAGTTAACCTTGATAGGGAAGAACTTGACTGGAAAACCTAATTAATCAAGAGGAAAAAATGAAGACGCATTCGTTAATCATGACAGCAAATCACCCCATCGTCCTTTCAGATACAAACTTCCCGGATCTTCTGCAAAAGCCAAATCGACATACCAGATTCACGGTACGTTGTTGAAGTACGCGTGGTTAGATAGTGGATAAACTTGTTTCCACTGTCGCTATCGATGCTAGCACACCTGTTGTTGTTGTCAGCTGTTTTCGAGCCGCTACCACAAGTTTCTCTAACCTTTTTACCAAGAACAAGAACAATAATAAGATAAGAACAAGAACAACAATAATAAAGCAATAAAACAAAGCGATACATGTGCAAACGACAATGATTAAAATAGTGGTTAGCAGGTGTGAAGCCCGCTCCCTCTTTTTGCCTTGGTATTTATACTTATTTTCTGGAGGCGGAAAATTTTTTCTTTTTCATGATGAGCCCTCAGCGGCAAAATGTCGACCAATCTGGAATTATTGTACTGTTCAGGAAATATGTCCCTTTTGGGAAACATGTCAAAAATAGGCGACAAAGAGACACACCGTCCATGTGACCGTCAATCACGTAGCACGATTTAAGAGCCTCTGACACAAACTGGAGTTAACATAGTAGTTGGTGCTCGTGGTGCGTGTCTGGCACAAACATGTGTGTGGGGTGTATGTGCTAAGATGTCTTGGTAGGCGGCGAGAGACACCATAGGGTAGGTAGATACTTGTGTATAACTTTGTGTGTATGTAGGCGTGGTATTAGAAGGAAAATTACGGTACAACGCGGGCTCTGACGTTTTCCTGAGCGTCTGGAGCTTGATCCGATAAACGAGAGTTGTCGTCACTGCCGCGGTAGTCGAGAACGTGGCTGTTTGTGTCTGGCACGGAAGACCGCGGGCTGACGAGGCCTGGCGTTCTCGTGGAGTTCATGGCAGACGAGTGGTAGTCCACAGAGCTGCGCAGCGAGGGTGTGGCGTCGTCGTCCGTGTACCGAGATCTTTGTGGGTGCAGCATGCTGCGCAGTTGGCCCTTTGCGGAGCGTGATTGTTTCCGCAAATACGCAACGAGGGGATCGGAACTTTGAAGTCCTCTTTCGGATTTCCGGTCTTCAATCTGGTCTCTGTGCTCCAAGTTCTGGCTCGGCAGTAAGATGGCACGATCTAGCGTGTATGGCAGACCTCTGTGCCTTCCACGAATGAGCATTGCTATAATGATGAGTTTCGAGAACGTGTTAAACTGGGCGCTGAACGACTGGTCCGTGTCGGGGTATCCCAGCGACAGTCCCACGGTACCGTACGCACTAACGATCTCGAACAGCACTTGGAAAACGGTGAAGTCGGGCTTTTTGGGGTCTTGTATTTTACCTCCCTCGCTGATACATATGATAAAGAGCCCCAAAAATAAAAACCACAAGTCGAACGACAGCTGGCGTCGCAAATGCGCGCCAATGAAAGACTTCGTACTGCTATCCAAACGCCTTTCCCGCTTCTCTTGGTCTTCGACTGCATCTTCCTCATCTTTACCTTCCGAGCGCCCTTCTTCATAGATTCCTAGCGACTGTTCTTCATAAACGTTTGTCCGTCTTATCGAAATCGCCAGCGGTAACACCGAAACATACATCATCAACATGTAAGAGACCTGAATCGAAGGGTGTAGTAGGCTTAGGTTAAGAACCGAAAAGCCCGCGGTCCGCGTGCTCACTGCCTGGAACAAACCATCTAGGATTTTGAATCCACTCGACAAGCCCTCGACAACTTTTGCATGTAGATCGAGTACAATGAAAAGAATCAAGTCAATCGCATTTAATGCAACAAGAATAAACAGCAGCCACCAAGTGGGTGCACTTGGAAACAGTAAAGTGAAACAGCGGCGAGGATGATCCAGCAAAAATCCTAAAGACTCCTTTAGCAATGAGAGCTCTGGACTGACCTTGAATAGCGCCCATATGATAAATCTCAAAAAAATTGGGAAACCGGTGTTTCCAATAACGATAAACCACATCATAGTGACCAGCGGATAAATAGCTGTATTGAAGGAAAACATTGAGTCCGGAGTCAAGGTTATGCCTAAGTCGTTGAAAGCACTCATAGAAGTAAAAAAACCCCACCAGGCAGGAGATATACCGTCAGAGCGTAGGAGCTCAATGTAAGTTTTCATGTGCGTGATCCAAGGAAGCAGCATCACAAACCCCAGGATATGAAACCCAAGATAGTATATGAGGAGCAGCTTGCATAATAGCTTAATAGCTCGATATTCTACTCCGCCCAATTCTGCCCTTTGCAAATCGCTTAACCCGACAAAAGTCGAGTTTCTACCAATTTTAGGCTGCCACGAAAGATAATTAGTACTCATTCGTTTCAATGGGGGTTGTCTCGTAGTTGGTTGTTCAAATGACATCCTTAGATAATCTCCCATTTCTTCCTCGTCGTTGCTAGGCCAATCAATACTTGCTCCGCTACGCTTACTGTCGTTGAAGTCGCTATAACTTCTGTTGAGCTTTGATTTATTGTTTGATCTCAAAAAGCGGCCCTTCCCCCTGCGATCTTCCTTCCACTTATCATATATCATTCTTTGAAAACTTGGAGACTTGGTCAAGAGCTCTAAATTTCCATTCCCTTGCGGCTCCATGGTGTGACTTCTTTTGTAAAACTTCGAACCTCCTGTGGCATCGCGAGAGGGAATTGCAAGATTAGATTGAACTTTTTCAATATTGGGTATATTATCAAAAGATAGGCCTGAATCTATCCTTGACTCCGAGTCCAGAAAATCTTGACGATCTTCAGATTCATGCTCGCTCGGACTTGAATCGCGTTCCGTGTCAGCATCATTATCTTCATCGCCATTATCGCTTCTAAATCTTCGTATTTTCTCCCTGAGTTTACCAGATCGTGCCAATTTAGCAATGCCCTTGGGGCGTCTCTTAGAGGGTATCTTACCAAGCGTACGCTCGCTTGGTTTCTTGTTCACTGGGGGTCTGTTTTCTTCAAATTGGATTGAAGAAGGTATCGTCCTACCTTGATCATTTTCTGGAGACCACGTAACAGGTTTGGAGCCTTCTACCCCCGAAGAGGAAGAGCTATCCAGCCCGGCAGAGTTTGTTCCATTGGTTAAGAGAGGAGGGACAGATTCTTTACGCCCATCAGAAGATTGAACCGTACTATCGCTATGTGTTGGCGAAGCTAATCCAGTAATTGATTCGATTCTTCTTTCGGCCGGTCCATTAATTACTAACGCTGGCCCGCTCTCCTCCCTTTCCTCCACGACGTGCCGATTCCTCAGCATTGCAATGGAGCGAAACATATCCGCGGGAGAGATATCTTGCGAACGCCGCCTCCCGCTAAATTGCTCCATCACCGCTGGCGACTTCTGGTCGGCATTTTTCTGCGGTTTGGGCATGGCACCGAACTTGATCCCTGGTGTGTCATCCGGCTGCTCGACACTTTTGGTGGATCCCGTCGAGGAGCTTGTGTGCATTTCCTTTTTTTGGAAAGACTCCGGATGATTCTCTTTGCCCCCAGAAATGTTCGTCATTTCGTGGTTCTCGCTCAAAGTTGGATTTTCCTCTCTATTAATCATTTGTCCACTAAAGAGCTTACTTTGGAAATCTGTATTTCTAATCGAATTCTTATCCCCTGGGGCCATCTTAGAAGAAACTCTTGCTTGCGCGCCGGTGCCTGTACTGGTCATCTCTCGCTGGATGAGCGTTTTAGTTCTTCTCATTTTGAAATTCTTCTTGGACCAGTCTCTAATTCCGTCGAAATAACGTTCGAACCAGTAGAGTCTTACAAAGGCCAGTCCTCCATGAATCCATATAGGTGTGGTAAAACAGCATGCGATGTATATTACGAGCTGCTGGTATAATGTCATCTCATTTGTGTTAATAGTGTTCAAGCCGCCCTGTGTGCAAGCTCCTGCTGCAGAAAATAAAATATCAATAAAGGGGTAGTTCTTAACCGGATACATGAGAATAGAGGTGATGATGGTCATTGCAATGATGTAGAAATAATGAATCGCGATAAAATTCGGAAATATGTGCCTTACCCATGGGTCGATTAAATTGGCGACCCCATCAATGAGGTCCCTAAGTTTGTGGCCCAGAGTCTTTTGGTACCGGGTATTAATCGATGCAATCGTGGGTCGACGACTAAGCGTCTTCCAAGCCTGCATAGAGAGCTTGGTATGATGCCCTTACCAGATGCCCTATCAAACATCAATGGGAAATTAATTCAATATTTTTGTTGAAGCATCGAACACGAGCTTCCTGCTTAATGTGTGTCATAATACGATGTGACTTACCATAACTACACCAATTCTATCAAATTAAGCGCAATTCTTCCCACTCAAGACTAGTCCATAATATTTACCTAACGTTGGATTGCATCTTAAGACTATATTCAACTTGTTTTGCATACTGTACATAGCATTGATTATAGGTTTTGTCTTGTCATCTAGAAAATTCGTTTCTGAACGCGACAGTTAATGTGGAAAACAACGTCACCCTTTAGCGATGTGACAGTCTCGAGTATGACTGTTGGTAGTACATCATTGCACTTGTACACGAAAACAAGTACCCAATGCTCTTTTTAGCTGTTCATCCGCGACGATACTTTATTACTGCACATATATAAGATCTTGGCATGACTGTGCCGATCTTGATTAGTATACATATTCTATCTTCTTTCAGAGCAAGAAGTTAGCAGGTTCCGTCTTCTTCAAGTATGCATTTGAGGGATTGTTCAGAAGCAAGTATTTCCATTTTTCTCTTCCACCAGTTATATCGTTATAGACCACCCTTGTGTAGAGCTGGTATGGCATTAGCTTTAGTTTCTTGAAGCTCATGGTTACTCGCCATCGCCAGTTTCTTCTTTTCTTCCCGGATGGTAATGTAATCGCTCATCTGGACGCTAGAGTTGTGGTGGAGTTTCAACCAAGGATGCTCCAGGAGTGCGGCATAAGTGGGTCGTCTTTCCGGTATTCTCTGAAGGCACATACTTACAAAGTCTTGCGCCAAAGGACTAAACCTATCCTTGGGCAGCTTAGGGGGGGGTGAATCCACAATGGCGCTCAATTGAGAAAAGATATTATCAAATGTTTCTGCAGGGTAAGGATAGGCACCAGTGGCCATTTCCAAGATGCTCAGCCCTAAGGACCAAACATCCGACTGCACTGAGTAGGTAGACTTATCTGGGTTAAGAGACTTAATCCGCTCTGGTGCCATGTAGGACTGGCAACCGATGTTAGTTTTTGCCAGCGACGCAACCAAATTTCCCGAAACCCCAAAGTCACAGAGTTTTACTGTGCCTTGAGCGGCGGAACATAGAAGATTTGTAGGCTTCACGTCCCGATGAATGATATTGTGAACGTCTTTCAGTTCTTTGAGACCTTGGATTATATCGTGAGTTATGCAGGCCAGTTGTGGTTCGTCAACACCGCCAAGAAGGTCGTTATCGTATATCGTGTCCAGTGAACCGCCATCCATATACTCCATGCACATGTACACGGCTCCCTCGATGAAAAATGCACCGTAAAAGTCCACAACGTAAGGACTCTGACATTTGTGCAGTACCTCCAGCTCCATTAATATCTGAGTGAATTTGGATTCGTCCAGCTCAAGACGAACTTCTTTCATGGCCATAATGACATTCGTGGGCTTGTGCAAAACTTTAGACACAGTTCCATAGTTACCATGTCCAATCTCTTCTAGAAATTCCAGTTCATCAAGCGTGATCCGAAAACTCGACCCGTTGCTGAAATCTACACCTTGCGAACTTAGCGATAGCTTGCCAGCAAAATTCAGAGAGCCTGATTTGATGTCCACATATTTGGAGAAATTAGAGAATAGTCCATTGGATCCACTGCGGCTCTGTAGTTGCTGTTGGTGTTGTAGTTGTAGGTTGGGGGTGGTGCCTTCGGTATCTCTCTGCTGGCCCAGGGAGGTGGACGTGGTTTGGACACCGTTGACGAGCGAGCCTGGGTTGCTTCTGTTTGGTTGCACAGGTGCTCCGCGGTTGGAGGGCGCTCCGGCAAACTCCTGGGAAGTGACGTTTGGTCCTGAAGCCAAAGGTGGCTTCATTTTGAGCGACATCCCGCCAGCGGGCAGTTTCAAACCTCTTCTGGCGCTCAGGCTGGGTTTTCCGGCACCTACCAAGGTTGGACCAGCTTTATTAGGTAGAGGGCCGATACTTGTACCTCCAGGAGTCGTTCCAGGCATCGCAGGAGGTCTGGGCGCACGCCTAATTGGGCTCAGCACCTGACCGCTCTCTTTACTGGGGGGCAACGGTGGCAGAGGCTTGTTAACTATCTTGCAAATGTTCTGCGATTCCGCGTTGCCTCCTAGCCTTCCTCCCGCTGCTGCTACTGCTGCTGTTGCTGATCCAGAAGATGCGGATGCAGTCCTTGTCAGATCTGCTCTCGTTCCCGCCGTCCCCAGTCCTTCTCCATTCGACCCTACCTGCTTGGATCCAGCACTTGAAGAGCTCATGCTACCAGATCGCTTGAGCTGCCGCTGTTCCTGGAAGGCTTTGACTCTTGCGTGCAAGTTGCCATTAATATTGCTATAGTTCGACGAAGAAGTAGAACTTGACCTCCTGAGTTCAGATTCACTGTTCCCGGATTCTGAGCGTTCCATAATAGTTTATTCGCCCTACTTGCACCTTGAGAACTTGTAGCGAGCCTATTATGTCACTTTTGGATCCGTTTCTGATGAAGATACCTTTAGGTTATAGTAAAATCTTTCATATATTATATCAGATATTAAATATATTATTACACTAAGGATTTTAAACATATCAAACAAGCGTGAGAGTATCATCTTTTCCGACGTACAATGAATAATTCACTCTTCCTACAACTGGTCAAATGGATCAGCTAAGACAAGCCGTAGTTTTACAAGCTTCTAATATAATTCTACTCTTGAATGCGGGTCAAGTTTGTTATTGTGGCACATAATTGCGGATAAGAGGTGGCTTGAAATTAAATATTGAGGGCTACATAGGACCCGCATTGGTGAGTCGCTGTGCTGATGGGGTCTTCTCAAGGTTGCTGAGTCTGTATGGCAAAACATGTATCACATGGGCAGCATAGATTAAGAGTAAAACGGCCACGCGGTACGACCTTTATAACTGATCGGAGCTGGTTAGGTATGTGCATTTGAGCCACGATGCAGTGTGAGGGAACCTTTCGAGGGCTATAATAATGGATGGTGTAAATTTCGGGGAGCGTCAAAGCTCTATGGACGCGATAAATGGCAGTGGGTCCTTTGGTCAAGTACGCTTTGTCTATGTTCCTGCGATCAACGCCTGTTGAGTATACAGAGGTAAATTGTTTCTGCTAGAGAGGCCAATAACCCTTCGAAGAAGGTGATGTGTACCACAAAAGCATCCTCTTGCACTTCAAAGTTTAATTTTGTGAGTCGCGTTTTATATATTTCACGTCTTGCCTAGTTCATCCTTTGACTAAGCAGCTGTGTGAAGCCTCTGCTTAAATTTCGTCGTGTACTGACATTTTTGGCAAAATCACAAGAAACAAAACCAGCTCTCTGTAAGGTGGCCAGGATTGTTAACGTTGTCTCTTGCTCGAGAGTGAAATTCCGACATATTGTACAGCATTCTTGACATTAGGTTGTGAAGTTCAAGCCTTGGGATAATTGCCATCCCCCATCCTCAATATGCCAAGTTGAGCGTAAAACAGCCTCCCCGATTATTGCTGCGACCACAAGACAAACACTTCTCTAGAAGTTATTGACAAAATGTTATTATGAGGGTGAGTCGAATACTGCTACCCCCTCATTTGTATACCGAATTACAGGTGATAAGTATCACCTTAACCAAAATGAAAGTTGTCTACCAATCTTTGTATACCTGTAGGAGAGGTGGTTTGAATAACCGGGCAATAACATCATACCTCGCGCTTGCTCTCGTGTTGTGCTATTGCTTGAAATGAAATCATATTTCGATACTCAGTTCTTTTAGTAACTTTGCGTCACTGGGTCCCATATGGTGCTGCTATGAAGATGAGAAAAACCTTGGCACGGACTGGCGGCCGTAATCCGTACTTCGAGCCGCGAATATCTTCGCATGGTTTGAATCTCCTGAATGGCTCAAGCTGGATGTTGGGTTAAAATACATGCGATAGTTTGTATTTCCCGATCTATCATTTTTAGGCGTTTTGTAAACTTCGTAGAGGTCAAAGTTTTATTCAAACATCGGGTCTTAGCGTTTGGAAAATTCACAAATTGCTCTAATCAGTGTCAAGGTCAACTTGAGACACAAAGAACCGTCGCATGTGCAATTTGAACGACTGATTATGTCAATGTTTAAACATGGCCTTGTGCCGCTAACGAAAAGACCACACAGCTAGCCAAATAACCCAGTAATCTAAAAAAGGCTTGGCGAGACAGCAGCATCTCCTGGCTGCGGGTGTGGGAGCGAGCAAAGATATCACGAATATGTGAAAGAAAGAAGAGCATAGTGTCTAGCAGTTTAGGTGGTTTGGGCTGCTATTGAGATCTATTTTAAATACTTGTCGTTGATGTTAATTATAATAAATAGTGAGATGTTATCAACTCATCCCTCGCACCATCTGGGCTAAAGGAAACACGCTGGTAAATTAGAATAGCCATAAAATATGGGGACCAAGGGCTTGGAAATGGTCATCTGGAATAAATTGCAACTGCTGGAAAAAGGCCGGATGGCTAGTGAGCTGCCAAAGGTACCAGCGTCTGGGTTTGACTACGAGAAACAAGACCTCTCTCAACCCAGACCAAAGAGGACCGGAGCGATCCAAGGTTTGATCAAATGGACTCTGGTTCTGGTCCTCCTACTGGTTTGCACTGGGAAACAGGTCTGGTTCGTGAATAGGGCGCACTTTGCGGACAATGCAGAGGCTGGGACCATTCAAGAGTCGTTCGAGATAACCATGGAAAAACTCCCGGAAACACCGCCAGTATTCTCGCATGACTTGTTGGAAGCGTCTTTTGGTGACTCGTGGGGCAAGCCTTATACCACTTCCTTTGAGCCTTACCATGATGGCGAATATGATAGCATCATACTAGAATTAACGACCAATGTGTCAGGAAGACAGTTTGACCGGTTGGTGCACATATTCATTGGCGATATCAACGTATGGAGGTCTTCAACTGTTGAGCCTTGGGGCAACAAGACCATTGTGAGCCAAGCTATCAAGGACATTACTCCTTACAAAACCTTGTTCGGGTCTGACAAACTGAACGTTACATTACAGCTAGACAATCTCATCACCAACAAGCTAACAGGGATTTTCAATGTCAAGCTTACTGCTCATTATTACAGAAACGAAAACAGGGCTACTACAGACAATTCTTTACGGGGGAAACTTCTCGAACTTTTTACCACCCCAGCAGACGCCATAACGCCATTGGTGACCCGATTCTCCAGGACACCATTGTTTTACTACCCACTATCGTCGAAGGAAAATCCGCGTTGGGCACGGGGTCTCCCTGAGATCGAACTAAATCCTAATATTTCCAAAGCTGTAGTGGAGATTTTTGCATCTGGTAATGCAGCAGAAGAATTTTGGTACACTAACGTTCTCGACCGCTATGTCAGCAGATTTCGGAAATCCGGGCACGAGCTACTGGGCCACGGACCATTCCGTGCTATTAAAGTGTATTTAACAAACTCTGAAAAAGAAATTCTAGTCGATACCATAGTTCCCACACCTGTTATATTCACAGGTTTTTTCCCTCCGCTCTGGAGACCATGTGTTGGGATGAACGCTTTTAATATCAAGAGCTACAAAGTTGACCTCACTCCTTTCTTGTCGCTTTTCGAGAGTGAGACCATGGAACTTCAAATGGAAGTTGTCAGCAGCCTAGACCCAACCTTTAATCAGATAGTTGGAGAAAACTGGATCATTTCGGGTAACTTGCTTCTTTGGAACGACAAAAAGCTTCTTACCAGCTCCAAATTTCTCAACTCTACAGCATTGCCAAACACCTTTGATGTTGAGGTAGATGATAAACAACTAGATCAGCTGGAACAAAGTGTTATAGCTAAGGAAGGCGTAAAAATTGAAAGTGTTCTTACTTTGGACGAGGTAGAATACGATTGTCGGGCCATCACTGAAAGCTTTTTCAGCAGCAATCAACTATACTTAGAAAACGGTGACGTGGAGCAAGCTGCAGTGGACCTACTGACCAGACGCACATTTACTGTTTCGAAGGAGGGCGTAGATCTCTACAAGTACGTAGATGAGACTGGGTGGAGATTTGACTCCAGAATGCTTACTGCTTTAGGAGGCACCTCCCCAGAGCTAACCTATTCGGCAAGCATTACTCGTGAGCTTGATAGGTATGTGGGTCTTCAGGATATGATGGCCAAAGAGAATGCAACAGAAACTTTGCTTCAGTTAAATGGCGTACAAACAGGAAGTGCAAACTATACACTCTCACCCGCTGGAAACTATGGGTACGGGGACAGTATTCATACAGTTCAACTTCATCACACGTGGCCGTTCAACCACAGGTCGGGCCGGACTGTGATAGTTGAAAGAAACGAAGTCATTCAGGATATCAGTGATAAAGATCGTTAAAAGAGAACTTTAGTAAAACTGCTGTACATCCGTGTTATGCGTATAACTGTTATCTTTGGATTTATCTGATCGAACTGTCTCGACGGCGACCATCATGTTATCGTCTAAGTTCAGAAGCGCATCGTCAACCATGTGCGTGTCATCTTGCTCTTCGATTTCAACTGTAGCTGGTCCGCCGCTCAAGTCGTTTGCAGAAATGGAAGAGTTCCTAACTCCTGCACTCATCGCTACGTCCAAATAACGACGTTTAGCACCCTGCCTGTGGCTATATTCGTTGAAATTGTTCATTGATTGATGACTACCTGAAACCTCTTGTGATGTGACGTGGGGATCTTGTGACTCAATGAACTTCATGCGATGGATTGTAGGCTTCGCTTTCTTTCTTTGTGGAGTTTCATCAGCTGGAGTTCGTTCACCATCCGATAAGGGCTCTTGCAAATTACCAATCACTGCGGCAGCCATTTTGCTCAACTGTGAAGAGTGATCCGTATCCACTCCATCTCGCATTAACATATGAGCCTGCTGCCGTGGAGACCCTGGCTCCACAACAATGCCAAGATCATCTTGGTGCTCGTTTTTACATAATGGGCAGGCAGCTACAATCCTGGCAACCGTTGATTTGATCCCCTTCCAATGATACCTCTCAGCTATCAGGGTTGTGACTTTGTTAATGCCTTGGTGTGCAACTTGATGAACTTCGAAAGCCACCTCCAACTGTTTTTGAGGGTCGTAAACCACCTCCCGGCCCTGTCTCATAAGCTTCCCATTTTGCACAACGTGATATTTGGCGCTTGCTCGCAGTCTAGCCTTTTCATTTCTATCGCAGTACTCAGGGTACTTTCCAGTTTCTAAGTAGTATCTTAGTCGTTCGTATTTGGCAAAATGTTTGTTTGGTTCATTCAAAAGATCTATGCTTTTTGAAACATGACTGAACTCCTTGGCGTAAATGAATGAGTCTACCGGCACGTCACAGCCCTTTAGAATAGCTGATTCTGGTAATTTTCCGACTCTTCGGAAGTTCAACGTTTCTAATATGCGTCGTATGCCTACGTTAGTTCCGTAGACAAGAGGGAAAACGGAAGAGGTGAATCCCAACTGTGGAGACCAGTTTAAAAAAACTTCCACTAGTGTTCTACCTATACCTTTACCTCTTATGCCTGCATTCACCAAAAATGAAGCTGTTACGACATGCGACGAACGTCCAGGGTATGCGGGTCGCATGCTGAATGCACCCAGGCACTGTTTTTCCCACTGAATGTTGAGGTTTAAATTTCGCCTCTCCTTACGTCTTAGGTACTGCGTTGTGTGCCTAGTGACCTCTGCCTGTGGATCATCCGCGGTGGTACGCGTGCTAGAAGAACTGTTGGGATCGGTATAATCCAGCTCTGGTATTTCTCCCAAAACCATTATGCATACCAACCCACCAGTACTGAACCAAGTGTCACAGAAACCTTGCAGTGTTAGTGGCTCATAGTATGGCAAACTGTCACCCTTTTCGATCTCCATATTGAACTCGTCCATTAGAAATGCTAGAAGGCCCGCGGGTAGTTGTTCCGCGTTGGCTGGAACGGGGTACATTGTAGCTGTCGTTTCCCCATCTTTCAGTAATATCGACTGCGGGTGTAAATGTGTAACCGATGTTTGATCGTGGGTGGCTTTCGAATCCATGCTGTGAACTGTAAAAGCTGCCAGTCGTCGCTGTCCTTGACAATCCGATGGGCTACTTCATAAGCCTAAACGATATGCGACAGCATCACGAGTACATACGTACTCGAGGTCGGAATATATGGCAACGAACGAGCTACAAAGCGTGCTTACCTGGTGGAGATGCGTTTCTATAAGATCAGCGATGCTCTAGCAGCTCTGCTAGCTAGTGTCCAAGATACCAAAGACCCTTTTTAAAAAATTGCGTATGCTCCCATATACATGCACATGTAAATGCACTAATAATTGCACATATGCGAACCCATCACTTAGACGGCGTTGATATTCGTCCAAAGGTTTCAGTAACTCTTAGAATGACTCTCGGTATCTTTACTGGCCGCACCTCTTTACGGGCTTGGAACTATTTTTTTCCCTTCTAGTTACCTACCACTCGTTCCTGTAACACCGTTTCCGTCTTAGCCGACGTTACCACTTCCACAGAATGGAATGCACACTTTTAGAGCCTTCTTAAACGGAAGTAACTGGTGTCCCATGCACGTAAGGAAGAAAACAAATCACGCCAGTTAGATCATCAAATATTTGAATCGTGCCAAGTCCAGGGGATAGAAAAACGCGTCACTTTCATTGGACATTTATTGAGCCTTGAATTATTACATTAAGTTCTTCTGGTCCAGGTTTGCTTTCAGTCCCGAATTGCCGCCGACAGCACAACGATCTCGGCACAACATAAGCCGCCATCGACACTGAAACTAGGTGTCATCCACATGATTGATACCCGACTGCCTGTGCTGAGAAATTTAAAATCAACACTGCGCCACGAGATTCGGTGACAAGCCTTCCATTATTCCCATCTGAACTTTAGCGATGGTGGATATGACAGTCTTCGTTCAGTTTATAGATCGAGTGCATAAATGTGTCAATAAAAGCTAACTTCGTCTATGATGATAATTAACTCGGAAATTGATAATAAGCTCTCGAACTGGTGCTGATAAGGACAACGTTTGATTTCCATTACCGGCAGTCCATAGTTTTCCTTTCTTTCGGCACCCAACTACTGTACCATAACCATGAATAGAATTGCCATTGGTCAGATATGCTCGTCGAGTTGTTTGACACAAAATTTGGGTGTGGTCACCAAGTTGATTGATTCCGCTTTACGCCAGGAAGTCAAACTCATCTTTTTCCCCGAGGCCTCCGATTACTTGTCAAAATCAGCCTCACACTCTAAAGAGCTGGCGCTGCACTCTTCAGAATTTGTGGGGAAGTTATGTAAAACCATCCCAGACCTGTGTCGGCAGTATGATAAGAAGATCGATGTCTCGATTGGAGTGCACTTGCCAGCGTCCGCCTCTGACGAGACAAATCTCGACGAGAGAGTGAGAAACTGCTTGCTGTATATTAATCACGAGGGCAAGATCCTACAGAACTACCAAAAATTACACCTGTTTGATGTGGATGTTCCAAATGGACCTGTGTTGAAGGAGAGCCAATCGGTCCAGCCGGGGAACAAAATCCCCGATGTTCTCAACACACCTGTAGGCAAGCTTGGATCGGCTATCTGTTTCGACATAAGGTTCCCCGAACTTTCGTTAAAGTTGCGTTCCCAGGGCGCTGAGATACTCTGTTTTCCAAGTGCCTTTACCATGAAGACAGGGGAAGCACACTGGGAGGCACTTGCACGCGCCAGAGCCCTTGATACCCAATGTTACGTTGTCATGCCCGGTCAGCAAGGAGAGCACCTTGTCAATCTGGACCTTGACGGAAGAGTTGCTGATACAGGAACTGTGACTCGCGTGTCGTGGGGCCACTCCATGATCGTCGATCCCTGGGGAAACATCATAGCCGCTGCAAATCCTGAAAGTAATGATCCACAATTGGTTGTTGCTGACTTGGATCACGCACGGCAAGAAAAAATACGAACTGACATGCCCCTATGGGATCAGCGCAGGCGCGACGTCTTTGGAGACTATGTGTAGACTATGTCTTTTGCTAATATTACACAATATTACTTAAGTGGGAACCCCCTTCTTGTTCGGTAGAGGTGAGCCTTTTGCGTTTTCAACCGCGTCTACAAGAGCCTTGGCTGCGCGATCTTCGTCTCTGATTTTATTGACGATTTTGGATGCAAATGTTAGGTATGAGGTATGCGATTTGATTTCTGACTCGACCTTGGCAACCTCTTTCCAGTGGAAGTTCGCATCACCCTCTTTCACCCGAGATCCTTTTCCGAAAGGATTATACTGGGTCTTGGGAGTTTCGGGCCTTTCCTCGTAGGGTTCCTCTTGGTCGCTTATCAGTTTGTTAAACATGCGTTTGCGTCTCTCCACGCCTACTTGCTTGCGTTCTTTGACGTCCCGCAATCTTTTCAGCGCATCATCCAGGTTTCTAACCATCTGCCTCCTAGATTCGTACTGTTTACCTTGGATCTCAACCATTTCAACCTCAGTCCAGCCGTGTTTGTCCAGGGCCTCAAGAGTTTTGTCGACCTGTTCAATGCACGGCGAAAAGCAACACAGAGAAACCTTGGAGTCCTGTGAAATAACGTGGTTCAAGTGTGGAATTGCATCCCAGGGAGCTGGCAAATCTAAGAATATGACGTTTGCGTCGACACGGGCGACGTCCTGTTGGTCCAATGGTTGCTCGGCATCGAAAAATGTGGTCTTATTGCCTTTTTTAATGGTGAATCCGTCCTGGCACACGTCTCTGTGCGTTATTGTCACGTTCCCGTCCCGTAGGAGGCCATGATCCTCAAACTCTTTTCTGGCTTGCTCGTAGCGCACCTCGTGGAATTCGTAAGAGAACAGGTATCCGGCTGTTCTTGCAAACGCATGCGAGAATGAGCCAGATCCAGTTCCGGCTTCGATCACTCTCGTATGCGGGCTACATTGCAATCGCTGCATGATGTAAGACGAATCTGGAGTGTACACAATTTGCGTTCTGTGCGGGAGCGAGAGGGTCCAAAGCTCTGGCGTGGGTTGTAGAACGTGTATGAACCCAAACTTGTTGGACCCACGGGTTCTCACAGCGATCTGCGAGCCAAATGGCTTGCCGATCATATCATTATGCGGAAATGAGCCGTACCTGGTGTTAAATGTCTCCCCAGCAGCGATTTTGACAGGTTTGATATTATCCCTAGAAATCCATATCAGTGCCAAGTCTCCATCTTGGATGACATCTTTGTACTCGGAGAATTGGGACATAGCCGACTTTACTGAGGCAGGCGATGAGCTTGATCTTCGATGTTGACATATATAAATACATAAAATTTTCCATAATTACAGACCTAACAAAGTCCCACTAGGATTAGCACCTGATCACCAAGGTTGAAGGCCAATAGCTGAACGTCAAGTCGTGCACTTTTGGCAAAACTATAATGCTATGCAATTGAGGTCGATGGCCATGGAACTCGAGTTGCGTCGAGGGCTAGCTTGTGAGCTGTGCCTGTTTTGAGTAGAAAACGCCGTTTGAACAGGTCGTTCTGTCAATGCAAGTTGCCTTTAATAGTACACATTAGTATATATCGGATTTGTGGAACTCGTAAATCAGACCGTGTCGGGCCATTTCTTTGCCCTTTTTACTCTCGGAAGCAAACCTGGCCTCGTCTCGGTTCTTCTTGGTCGTCAACGCCTGGTCGAACGGAATTTGCTGCATTTGGCTGAGGGGCAGGTCTTCGCGATCTATGTCGACTTCGCCCAGCATCACAACGTTTTCACCACGCACCATCAGCACACCGTGGTCGCACTCCGCATATTGGTTCTGCTCGGCTACATAGATCCTCTCCACGCAGTACTGCAGTATCAAATTCGCATATTGGTCGAAAGTACGCAGCACTCCAAACAGCATGCGGCCGTCCCTCAAAAGTACAAAAATCTTGCGGTCTACGGAACCCACGATCGCCGCTGTTGTCGTGAAGTTGTATTGGTCTAGGTACAAGTCGGCTTCGCCCTCCGAGATTTTTGAGGATCCGCTGGTGGATGGATTTTTCCCCTCAGACATCGGGATATAGAAGCTGGTGGTATCTGTGGAAGTGTGTGGTATGTAAAAAAAAATGGAAGCCAAGGCGTAAACTCACTGCTGCGTCTAATATGCCATAAGGGTCCTGCCTGTTGCCGTCACGAATCGTTGGCGCCTTGAGTCTGTGTCCAAACGAATGGCTTCGCTATAGGTTTTTAGCTAGGTCTAGTGGAAAATTTTGAAGACGACCCTTCGTGCGACGTGACTATTGAAACCTGAGGTCTTTCATAAGATTTAGGTTCACAGAGGATTGAGCAAAAAGAATTATAGAGGAAGTGTATGTGTACTCAGGCATTCACTAGTATCTCTGTCGTACTTGCCTCTCGTATGTTGCATTTGATCTTGCTGGCCAATTTTATTCTTGAGATTTTCATAGTCGTTTATCATTTGTTACGAACCTCGGTCTCAGCAATATATTGGTATAACTGGCCCCTAACAGCGTCACGGACAACTTCCAGGACAACTACTCGGTCCGAAATCATTCAAAGGGTACGCAATAGTCGCTGCTTCTAATGTCTTTGTTCAGAACTCTTCAAAACCAGCCCAGGATTATCACTTTGTTCACCCACGACGTGGCCAGCAAACCCAGCTCACTGATCATGCAACAACTTCGTGCTGGGCCAACAGACAAAAAATACGAAATTGAAGTACACACCAAGTTCCCCACTTCAGACCAGCTGAGGTATATGAGTGGCATAAACAGTACATTGCTGCAATCTCAGATCCCGACGCTAGCAAATCTGATGCAAAAAGATAGCACGTACGAGACTTTCGGCAAGGACCTAAAAGATTGTGTCGACCGTAGGCTATGGAATCCGTCTTCGGCTCTGTGGGTCGACTGGGAAAAACAGAGGCTTGGAATTGACGCCGAGAGTGTCCGAGCACTGTTGGAAAAGCTTTGAGTAGCCTTGAGGAGAAACCCTGATCGGGGGCTGTCTTGCCGGGCATTTCCCATGCATACACACGAACTCTTCACTCTTTTCACACATACACCTTATAAGCTATACCGTTTTAAAAGCCCATTCGATCTATCACGTAATTTTGAGCCACGACTCCAAAGGCCAAGCTTAGCCCGTCCTCGACCCATTCCTTCACCCATTCGCTGGCGTCGATCTCTTCGGCAGCCTCTGTAGCCTCTGTACGCTCGCTAGCATCTTTTTTGGACTCTCTCTCTTTAATTGCGGTCTGTCTGTTACGCAATTCAGACGTGCCTTCCAGCCATTCAGCCCACCTTTGCGGGAAACCCTGGGATCTGGTGATAGAAGTGAAGTCATTGCTGATATCCTTGAGGACAATGGTGAAGGCAAAGTTCCCAGGATGCGTTGCGTCAGTGGAGAAGATCTCCGGGCCCTTCGATTTCTCTGGAATTGCTATGGGCAGGATCGAAATAAAAACGTCTGAAATATTCTGGTCGGCGGTCGCAGCCTCCTCTGCCTCCTTGATTTCAGAACGCTGTTTAGCCAGTTCTTCTTTGGCTTTAGTGAAAAGTTTGACCGCGTTGGTCAAGTTTGCAAAGGCCAACTTTTCACCGTCAGCGAGTTTGCCCGTAAACATGTTGAGGTGTCGCTTACCATCCTGGGCAGCATCGTCTTCCTCCGTAGGACGGTCCCATTCGTCGACAAAAATGCGCACACCACCCTGAACCTGGGACCGAAGCACGGAGTCGAACTGTTGCTCAACGTGGTAGGACAACAGCGGATAGTTGACCAAGTCGTGAACCAGGTGGACTCTGAGTACCTCGTCGGTTTCTCCCACTACAATCCGGCTGAGATTTTTGGCTAGGGTTGAGATAGTTGCAGAGTTGAGCTTGGATGCAAGCGACGTGGTCTGTAGCTTGGATGCAATTCCCTGCTGTTCGTGGGCCAAACGATCTTTGATCTGCGTGGCCTGCTCGGCAGTCTTGCTTAGAAAACTGTTGACTGTTGCAGAGCCCGATGATGACCACCAGTTGGAGAATGAGGTTATGGGGTCATTGACAGGTTCTGATTCTTCCCCCACCTCCTCCTGAGTCGATGGCCTTCCCTCTGGTGTGGGAACGGCGCTGGCTTCGGCCTGGTTGGCACCGTCGTCGCTCGTGACCTTCGTGGTGTTTTCAGCACTGGGAACCTCCCTGTCGCTCGACTCTTTGGGAGTCCCAACTGGCTCTTGTTTTTTGCCCTTTCGCTCCTTTTTCAAACTTAGATTGCTTTGTTCGAGCTCGTCCAGGAAGTCGAGAATGCCTGTGTCGTTTTTCGAGTCGTTACTGGCATCTGTCTTAGCGTCTTTAGAGTTTCCTTTGTTCCGTTCAGGGAGAGAGTCTAGAAATTCCAAAACATCGTCAGCATCAGTAGAATTGCGGCCGCTCATTGCAAATCAAAAGGAGGCAAGGTAACAATAACGGGATGTTTAAGTGCTTACAGTAAGAAAGGACCCCATATTTTGAAATGCGCCCTCAAAAAATGCTAATAAATGTCACTTCTGACGAGTGTCACGAAACTAGGTGACGGACCTACCAAAATGAGACCATCTTAATGGCTTGCGGCTAGCCAGGATCAGCACTGCTAATTGTCGAAGCTACCGGATGGGGGTGATCTGTTGCTTGTTGAAAAGCACCGAGTTGAATATTATAATCATCAGCTTTTTCTTACAATGGCACAACGTGATATTGGCGACGTCGATAGCCCTAGAACGGTTTAAACGTGAATATGGAATCCATGGGATCCAGAGGGATAGTGGATATATGAAAATGGCTTGGTCGACCTTATTTAGTATCTAATAATCCAACTATCCAAATTGCGAATTAAAATTGTTGGATTATCTACCAGGACCGCACGCATACTATTCCCGCCCAGATTATGTATGAATATAGATCGTGCAACCTATAGATAAACCAAAGTTGTATTTGCAAAGAGCCATTGACAGCAGATTAAAAAAGTGCTTGAAATTTCCCAGTTTTCATACGATCCTCGGAGTATTATCGCACATGTCTATCAAGATCTTGAAGAAGCCGTTCAGCTAGTTAACTACTACTGACGCTGGCTCACCCAAGTAGAGTTTGAGGGTTCTTCATGACATTGACGTGAATTTCCAGCGTTGTCTTCGTCTCTAATGCTTGGAATCGAAAATTTTCTAAATAGTGCAATTTGGGCCCAGCACATCTCATCTCATCGCATCGCATCGCATCTGAAAACCACACGTCAGATCTCCGCTTATCTTTGATTTGCCTTCAACAGCCATCTGAAACCATGCCTTCCAAAAATTCTATCAACAGGCCAAAACAGCAAATCAACCTCACTCGCAAGAGCCGCTCTTTGGCCAAGAAGAGAGATGCCATGGACAAGGCAGGTCTGCTGAGACCAGCCAGATCTGCGGAAAGCTCTAAATCTGGCCTGGCCAAATCAGTGCCTCTCGACCTCTACAAGGGAGAGGGCCTCACCGCTGGTCCCCTCACCACCAAGACCCTGTCGAAGAAGAGAGCTAAGAAAATTGAGAGAAATCTCAAGTACGCAGAACAAAGAAAACTGCTGGTAGATGTACAGAAAAACATGGAAGACGGTATGGAGCTCGACTCTGTTAGTGCCGCAGAAACTGCTCCGGCCGCCAAGAGCAATCTAGAACGTGTGAAAGCAGCATTTTTCCAGGCCATGGAGGACACCACTAGCCATGCCCTAACGCTGGAGCCCGGTTCTGGAACCACCCTGGGCGGTCCCTTCTTCCCATGAATTGCGCATCTCATACCAATCTCTATTCAGCTGCATCCTTCACTGTATATTAAATCGACACTCAGAATCCAAATATTTTGTACATTCTATATTTGTATATGTATATATATGTATATGTATATATATGAAAGGCTCTCTTTCACCCCTCGAAGATCAACCAAGCAAGCCCCTGGCCTCTAGATTGGTGGAAACCTCTTGTTTCAAATACGAAATCACATCTGCGGTGTCTGCCGCTGTGAAGACGCTAGTGCCGGCCACGATCACGTTGGCTCCGGCCTTGGCGGCGTGTGGAATTGTTTCCTTGCCGAGTCCGCCGTCCACCTGGATGTTCATATGTGGAAACTTGTTTCTGAGCGCTTCAACTTTGGGCATCATGTCGATCATGAACTTTTGGCCGCCAAATCCTGGTTCCACGGTCATAACAAGCGCCATATCCAAATGAGGGCCCAGCTCATATAATACATCTACAGGAGTACCGGGCTTGATGGCACACGCTGCTTTCATATTGTGGGATCTGATAAGCTTGACCAGGGCCAGAGGGTCTTCGGTAGCTTCGTAGTGGAACGTGAACTGATCAGCACCACATTTGGCAAAATCCGCGACCCATCTCTCTGGCGACTCGACCATCATGTGGCAGTCAAAAAAAGCCTTGGGCTTGGGGGAAGTGGTATCGCCGACTCTGGGGACCGCCTTACGCAAACTTGCGACGATGGGTTGGCCCAGCGTGATGTTAGGGACAAAATGTCCGTCCATAACGTCAATGTGTAACCAGTCTGCACCGGCATTGATCACTTTGTGGCAGCCGCATTCCAGATTCGCAAAGTCAGAAGCAAGAATGCTTGGGGCAACAATTGGCTTGACCATATCTGCCTTGGTACCTGTTATCTGCCTGGGGTTGACGATGAAGGATATATAAGTTCCGTTTTTATGTCAAGGAAGCACACTTCAAATAAAAGACGGTTCACTGTTTACGACTAACTAAAAGCTAACACGACAAGGATTATGTATCAACTGGCAGATATGTCGCCTCTGTGCTACTGCATATAATCTAGAGTGGTGTACAATCCTAAGCTAAGGTGCTCATGCTCACCATCGGTATATGGAATTATCTCTTAGGAAGAGTAAAAAAAGTCTCCCGGGGGCGATTCGAACGCCCGATATCAAGATTTCGTGTTAAATTACAGTCTTGCGCCTTAAACCAACTTGGCCACCGAGAGCACGATATCACCGTAACACATCAGTGTATGTTTTGATCTGTTGGAAAACGCAGAAAGATGAATAATGACAGGACTTGGGTCAGAGACTATTCAGGGAGTCCGCGTAGCCATGAGGCAAGCTCAATTGGCTTAACTGATGTAAAGTCAAATCAGGAGGAGCAAGGCAGGACAAATAGGCGGTAAGCAGGACAACGTGAAGACATGATGAACTAATACAATAAGATAGATATGATGAAATAATACAGTAAGATAGATATGATGAAACTTGAGTATCAAAGAAATATTGAGCAGTGATATATATAAAGTATACGAAAGAATGACAGGATTAAAAACAGAATAACAAGGTGTTCAGATCAATGAACGGAGGGTCATACTGGTTCAGAAGCACTTAGCCCAGCTAAAACCGTAAAATGGCCCCAGTGTAGCAGCAGCCAGCGTCGAAGAGATTATTTTAATGTACGTATGGTCCCCCAAAGGAGTACTAGTCTCTATGCTCCAAGACTTTGCGAGAGAAATCGCATGGTAGTGGTGGATTTTGCTTGAAGTATTCTTGAGCGGGTGGCTTGAAAGCTAATTGCGGCGCTACCAATTGATATGGCTAATCCTTTGTCCAAGATCAGAAGAGCCGGTACCTCCTTGCATTTCATCTGTTAAGCTCTTTGTTGAACCTAGCGGATTGCAGTGTTTTGGTACTATCTGGACAGGGTCGAGTTGCATGTCAGGAAATATCAGCGTAGTGTCAGTATAGTACGAAGTGATACAGACACGTTAGTAGGACAGGAATGCTCGAGGTGAATAGACTACCAAGGGGATCCAGGGAACCAGCAATTGCACAGAGACACCCTGGCCGGTCATTTCAATCATCCGGTCCTACCTGTTCGCAGAAATTAATGTAAATGCCGGCTATATGACCCAGGTTTGCACCAGATTTTGTAGCAGAAATAGTCACGGAAAGACGGTCAGAATTTGCTTTTTTAACTTCACGCTTCGCTTCATAAACTCCAGATTTAATGCCAAAAATTACTCAAAATATATATATGCAAAATGTCTATCGATATATCTAACGAGCAGCTTGGCAGGCCTACTACTGCTAACGCCGACTCCTCCCAAGTACTGTATTCCTGATACTGCGGTCCAAAACCCTGCAGCAAAATCTTCGTTGTTGCCATATTTCAAAGCCCGTCCCTCCTCGTATTATCAAACCCATCACTGAAATTCACATCAAAGCGTCCATGCGACTTGTGAAGCACGGAAAACAAAAAACACAACATCAACTAAATTTGGTAAGCCCAGTCGATTACAAAACGCTAAAAGAAGTAGAGAAACCCTGAATTGAAGTGAATTGTTGATCGTTATCGCTATGCACGACCATGCTCTCTCCATCGTAGGCCCTCGTTCAAGCAGAAGCATCAACGGCTAGAGCACCCTCCCAGCTCTACTTCGCAAAATCCTGCTTGTCCAATGGACTCTCCTGTGTCGCACCTTCCACTCCACTTAGAGCATCCTTTTTTTCTTTTATTGTTTCTCAGGCCATGAATTATAAATTTTGACTTCCACATCATCACTCTTTAGGAACCTTCTCAAAACTGCAATAATCGACAAGTAACATGTCTAAGCCTATCAAGACCACGTCGGCCAAGATCGACGGTGCGCCAACTCCGCATAATACTCCGTCAAGCGTTTTGGCCAGCTCTTTTTTGAAGAATGGCAACCCTACTCGTGCAGTTCCACAAACAATTCATGAAGAGGATATCACTTCCGCTCTAGCCAAGAATCCGCAGCTTTTGGCCTCCATCCAGGATAAACTCGGAAACCTGGTGGGCCAAGACAGCGGCTACATCTCATCTCTCCCACTCGCGGTTAGAGAGCGTATCTACGCTTTGAAAAAGCTGCAACAAGACTTGTTTGAATTGGAAAAGGACTTCCAACTGGAAATGTTTGCACTGGAAGAAAAGTACTTGCAGAAATATGCCCCCGTTCACAAACGGCGCCATGAAATAGTCACAGGAAAACAAGAGCCAACCGCCAGAGAAATCGAAATCGGGAAACAAGTTGAGGACGATTTGGATACTTTGACTGAAGAACCGGAGGAAGAGCAAGAGGGGGATGAGGAAGAAAAAATCACCGGCATTCCCTCTTTCTGGCTAACCGCCTTCGAAAACCTTCCAATGGTCTCCCAGACTGTCACTAGCGTCGATGCTGAGGTGCTGGAGTTTTTGACCGACGTCAGACTCGAGTATCTAACAGAAGGCAAACCGGGCTTCAAACTTACTTTCTATTTTGACACTGAAAACCCGTTTTTCAGCAATGCACAACTGAGCAAAACTTACTACTACCAGTCGGAACTGGGATACTCTGGTGACTTTATCTACGACCATGCCGAAGGCTGTGACATCCAATGGGCGGACAACGAGTCCAACGTCACCGTGTCGGTGGAAAAACGCAAACAGCGCAATAAGACCACGAAGCAAGTGCGCACCATCGAGAAGATCACCCCCGTGGAATCCTTTTTCAACTTCTTCGACCCTCCAAAACTGCCCACCAAGGGTGGCAAGTCGCTGCCAGGTGCTTCCGATAATGAAGCTGACGACGACGACGACGACGACGAAGAAGAAGAAGAAGACCCAGAAGAGGTGGCCGAACTCGAGTCCCGTCTGGCACTAGACTACGCAATCGGCGAGGAATTCAAGGACAAGCTTGTCCCTCGTGCCGTGGACTGGTTCACAGGCGCTGCCATTGAATTTGAATATGACGCAGACCAGATCGACGATGAAGAGGACGACGAAGATGACGAGTTCGACTCTGAAGAAGAGGACGACGATGACGACCAGGAAGGAGACGACGGCGAAGACTCGGGCGATGAAAGCGAACCCAACGATTTCAAGCAGCCCGGTAACAATGCCAAGGAGCAGCCTCCAGAGTGCAAACAGGCTTAAATGTGCTCGTCGCCATACTCATAGATGTACTGGCGCTCCACATGGCAGAATCCTTTGTCCTGTGGATCGTTGCTTACGAACGACTTGCTCATCGCTGCCAGCAATTTCTTGGTGTCATTTATCCCTTAAATATTGAAGATGAAAATTGAGAAGGCGTATAATATACGTATATATATAAGGCCCCTGAGAAGAGGGAACCTATGTTTCGTCTGAAGACGTTAAGACTACCAAAGCAGTTTTGACATTATAAGGAGAATTATCCACCTATTTCGATATTCATATTGGAATTAACGGACCTAACATTATAAAAAGCGGCATTTCCTAAATTTTACTAGCGCGCACGACAAGGAGCAACACGGTCCTTGAGAATATTGTCCAAGAGAGCACTACAAAAGTTTTTTTAGTGGTCTAGGATCTCTTCTAACTTATTAGCTGACAAACATATTAGGCCCCGCAGCTTTGGACTGCTATTTCGAAACCCTTGCCACTGTGCTGGACGACGCCCCTGATAGAACGCTTTCTGAATACACGATGAGCAGTAGCAACAGCGTGAAGGTCGTGGTGGACAAAGACACAGTTTCGAAATTTGCGTCGTGCCAGTCGGCTACCCTGAACCACCTCAACAAATACGACGGTCTGACGAATGCGCTGAACTTCCTGCTGTCGTACTCGGTGGTGTCTGGCGCTATTTCAGCGGTTTTGACGGTGCTGTACCGAGCGAAAGTGGTACTGGTAGAGTCGCCAAAGTCCCCGCCAGTGGTGAAAAAAAGCTACCAGCTAGGTGTCTCTGGCCTGCACAAAGTTGATGAATGGTTCAACTTGCTGGTGCTCCGCGAGGGTCTGGACGCCTTTTTGGGGCAGTACCACTCGCACAGCGGCAAGCCGGGTTTGTGGGTGCTTCTATACCTCGTGGACTACGTCGCCAACGTGTCTAACCTGATACTGAAGGAACTGGTGGTTAAACCTCTTCATCTGGGAAAGGCGTCTACTCCTAGCGAGGTGGCCCATGAAATTGAGGTTAACGGTGTTTCCGGCCATTCGGACGCGGAAAGTTTACCTCACATAAAGGAGTTGGCTGGAACCACCAGATCTCTAAGCCATGAACTTCAATCGAAGTTACAATCAGACTATATCGGCCCCACCAAAAGCAAGTTGCAGCAAGGATACATTGACCCTACCAAGGATAGAATCAGCGAGACCCGCGACTACGTGACCGGAAAATATGGGGAGCTCATCAAGCCTACGTACGATGCTGCATACCAAACAGTTTCTGAAAAATATGAGGGCAACTTGAGCAAATCCGAAAGTATTCCCAGAGCGCTTGTTTCTACTGGCGTTGATCTCGGCCACCTGACCTTTGACAAGCTTAAGGCTGGGGTCACCAACGGGGCTGAAAAAGCTGAGCCCAAAGCCAAGGACATCGCCACGGAAATTAGTGACACTGCCACTTCCGTGTTGAGAAGCACTGAAAATCTAGTCACCTAAATGTTATAGAGTATTCCTTTTTTTTTTTTTTTTCTGGGTGCGCTTTGCAGCTCTAAAGCCACTACGTGGCTTGTGGTTATAGATGTCGAGGTCCAAACTTCGGCCTCACTGCATCCTGCCCTCCTCGCTTTTTTGCATGCACTGTTTACAACGCGATGCTTCTCTTGACGAACACTACAGCCATGCTGTGGCGGTTCGTGTGTTTTCTATGCGGTTCACGATCGGAACCCTTTCAATACATTCTCCGGCGTTATGTTTTGCTATAAATCCTAATCTACTTTTTAACATTCTTTAACAAATCTAACATTGTATGTCTCGATCTTAACAATGCGTAGATTGTAACAGTTTGTACTGTGCTATCTGGCGAAGTCAAAATAGTAGTTAGCAAGATCGGTAGGTCTTGGCAGCGCATGTTTTTACCATTCACAACAGTGAACATCCACGTCCGGGTAGGAATACCTTGGGCTCAAAACCAATGCTCCTCTTTTGTCCTTACATATTTGAGATAGTCAATGGGCCTTTATCAAGTAGTATATGTGCTATCGATTACAGGCGGCATCGGTAAGCGTCAATAGCTCCATCGAGTGTCGGAATAGTACGTAGTGATCTAGTGATGCTTATAAGTAGTGCACGTAAATGACAGAATTAATACTGTATACTACCAGAATTCCCAACACGCGGAGGATGTTATCAGGCCATCATGATAATGGCTTCCAGGGTATGATTTAAGTGGTCGAACTTTATAATCAAACAGCTTTCTCGGGTTAACGAAGACTAACAGGAAGTGGCAGAACGGAAACGTAAGATTTCGGTGTGGGTGAAACGTATAATTCAACCAAACAAAGATCAGCATTTTGGAAACAACGCCGCTGATACTACCCACTCTACAACTATGAAAAGTCTACACTCGCCGTCAGCTGTAACCGGCTCCAATTCGCAGCGGCATAAAAGATCCGTGGCCCATCGTAACTCCAGGGCTAGAAAGCTGACAGCAACGACAGGAACCGCCGCAGGCTACGAGGAAGTGGCTCCTCAAAAGCAAGATCCCCAACCCCGTTCCGTAGTCTGGGATAAGTCCGTGATCAAGGACGATCCACTACCTAGCGGCATGAGACTGGATTTTGACCAGAACCATGATAACGCCAGCACCGCTCCGTTGATATCCCACTGTTCGTCGTCTGCAAAATCTTCAGTTTTTTCCGACGTAACATCGTTGCAGTCTACGAGGGCAACGGTTCTCTCAAATAAAACTATGGACACAAACTCCAGCACTGTTGGTATACCGCCTGCCAGTATTCTGGATCGATCTAGGCAAGCTGGTGCCCCGTCCATTTTTTCGATAGCTACCACTCACCAGACTTCACAGGCTAACAGCGTACGACAGTTCTCGCTATAGGGCACACATCTGAACGCAGCGTGGACGACTTAGAAGTACTTTAGCGAATGGTCGTCAATCATTGAGATATAAAATCCGCAAAATCCAGGTTTTTTTTTCTTCTTTCTTTGCACCAAACGAATGCAACTGACTTGGGAGACGTTTGACCCTCAAGAGCTGCCAACGAGATCCTTCTCCTCCCCTGTCGTTACATGCTGAGCTCATCGTAGTATTGACGAGGTGTCCGTGCCCAAGCATTGGAACCACGTGTATGGTGAAAAATATGGATTACCAGACAGTATAAAATTGAGGGCATCCTTCACCCATGAAGTATCAACCTTATCAGACGCCACCGTTGTCAACTGGTGCTTAACTGATCCAAAACCGTCTTATAATCTAATGGCGCAGAAGAAGGAAGTAAAAAGGGCTACTAAGCAGATTGATGCTTCTCTAAATGAACCAATTAACAAAGATGCTCCACCCACGATTTACGGAACCAACGTCAAGCCAGAGTTAGCTAACGCTGTCTTGAATCTGTCAGTGGACTTCTTGAAACAACAGCAGGCACTAGCAAATGGTTTTGTCATGTGGCACCCAAAGACATGGATAAGTGTGTTGTTGGCCGCTACTCTGTACCTCGTTTCTCATGCAACATGGCCCAGGAACACCAGAACCGTCTCAGGCTTTGTCATGCAGTTTGTTTTGATGAATCAAACGGTTTTGTTGACTTTTTTAATTGTCGTTGTGCTATCCACGTCCATGATTTTTACGCTGCTATCGAAATTCACCGAAAAGATGTTTCAGGAAAAGATTGACCGCGTTGTGCAATCAGACGGAGACGTTGTCTTTGACTTTGGGCTCACTAAGCTTGCAAATGGTACTCTTAAGGACAAGAGCAAGCTTCAAAACTCCCAGGTTATTGTCTACAGAGAAACGCCTATAGCATTGGTGAACATCATGGAGAACAAGGCGATGTCCACCAAGTACTCGTTGGTTATGGGCATCTCCACAATCGGTTGTCGTAGGGTCTACATCAAAAGCGGCATTATCGAAGATCTGTTGGACTGGGCTTTAATCCGCACCAAAAACATTCAAAATGACAGTCGCCAATATCAGTCCGATAAGCCCATGAAGCTATTAGTTGACGTGTATTCCTTTGACAAAAATTTAAGAGAGACGTTGGCGAAGAAGGGATTTTCGTTGGTGAAGTCTTACAAGCTTCCGGAGTCTAGGCTGCTGGGTCAAATCTTTGGGGTCAGAAAAGAACTTTGGGGTGTTCAGTTTCACTACGACGCTAAGAAGCAAAAATAAGCCCGAAACTCTTCCGTTAGTTAACTTGTTCATAAATGATGTTTAGTACTGTATCTCTTTTATTGGTTATTTGTTGCTGAGGTGTTATTTAATCGCTGTACATGAAGGGGACTGTCGATGCGTTACCGTAAGATTTGTAGAATCCTAGCCTAAAATACCAGCTCGCCTGTTAGTATGATCTCTGCGTCTATGTTTCAAGATGATTCGCGCCAGTACCGACAGTCCGTAGACCAACAGCATGATGCAAGCCCATTTCGTTACGAAATGGAAAAATGACGATAATGATGATGACAAAGAGGAAGGGAGCGAGTACGAAGCTTTGTTTCGTTCAAGGTCTTGGTTGGTCATACCTTGCGTTTTTGCCCTCTGCCACTCGTCATGGTGCCTTTCATGAACATGTATGCGTTCGCCAAATTCGTGAGCCAAGAAAAACCGCATTTCTTCTGCATAATCAAAGTCCTGACTTTCGTGGCCCTTCCAATGAAACTCGGAAGTCTGAACCTGTTTGACCTCTACCGTTTCAGATAATTGGCCGGTAAGAGCCGCAATTGCGATGTACCTCTCGCCAGTTTTTTTGTTTTTCGGCAGATACAGATTTGTGTCCTTTTGGAAAAGTTCTATCCACTCTTCCTTGTCAGAGTAGCATACGTCGATTCTCAAAAAGCCTATGGTCTCCAAATATATTATTCGTAATTTCGCATCCCTTCCAGACAGCAAAGTGTTCTTTAATTTGAGAGGACCGGCCAGCAAGTATCCTGTGCTCTGCGTTCCGTCTGACGCACTGTTGTAATGGTGACTCTGCGGGTCCATATTAAGCAAGACAGTCATGAATGGTGGCCTAATTTTTGTCTTGGGATTATTTCTATAGGTGTCCACTACGACTGCCAGTCCTGGAAGGTTGCGCGGCAAGCCCATGAGCTCGCGGTCGTTGTACAGAATACCACCAGAATTATGCTCGTACTGCTGTCGGGCGTACGAAGATAACAGATTAGAAGCAACAAAATCCTTTTCCGGAGTTAACATGACCACCATTCCATCGCCCATCGAGCCTGCACCTCGTCCATTGTTCTTGTTGTATATTTTGAATGACACGATGGTCTCAAAGTCGTCCAGGACGTTATCTCCCGCGCCATTCGAAACTATCATTCCATACTGGTCAGGCTGGCCGCGCGAAGTTAACCGTATATTTCCCAGATTGCGTATCTGCGTCTCCCCCTTCACAAGCCAAAAGCTGTTGATCTTGTCGAGGAAAGGTACGGACAGCGAGGCATCCGGGTTCAGTTCCCGTCTGACTTGCGGCTCACGGAAGAAGTAAGACGGACCAGGGTGTCGTGCGTCATCTTCGCCACCCAGCAGCAGCCGTACCAGCACGAACACTGTAAACACAATACCCGCTTGGATCCATTTGTTCCAGTTTTTCATTCGAAGAACGATAACTGTTGGGTCAAGTTTGCCTCACAGATCAAAGAATTAAGTAAACCTAGCAAGTATAGTTGATCGAAAGGCAAATTAAAAGGCAGATCAGCCTAGCACCACTGCACAGTCTTTCTTCTCCAATTTTAAACAATAATTGAGTTTCCGATGTCAACTCAATTGTGGCAGATAGACTGTTTGACAGGTTTTTGATCACCATCAACTGATGACATTCCAAGCCATATTAATTCACTGCACACTTAATATAAAAGGGCAACTGGATACATTCAACAGGACAAGTCAAAAGTGTTGCTGAGGTGGATAGTAACGAGAAGATTCATAAAATGGGCAAATCACCAACACCTCGTTGTATAATAGTGCGTCACGGACAAACCGAATGGTCAAAATCTGGCCAATACACTGGATTGACGGATCTGCCGTTAACCGAGTTTGGAGTTGGCCAGATGAAAAGAACCGGTGAGTCGATCTTCCGGAACAAGTTTATAGATCCTAGCCACATAACTTACATTTTCACGTCGCCTAGAACTAGAGCTAGGCAAACTGTGGACCTTATCTTGGCCAACCTGTCGCAGGAGCAGAGAGCCCAGATCCGGGTGGTGGTCGACGAAGACCTTAGGGAATGGGAATACGGCGACTACGAGGGTCTTTTGACTCACGAGATCGTCGATTTGCGCAAGTCCCACGGTCTCGATCAAGACAGGCCGTGGAATATCTGGAGAGACGGCTGTGAAAATGGGGAAACCACTGAACAGTTCGGCCTCAGGCTCTCCAGAGCCATTGCCAGGATCCAAAGCTTGCACAGAAAGCATCAAAACGAGGGTGTTGCTTCTGATATCATGGTGTTCGCCCACGGCCATGCGCTGCGTTATTTTGCCGGCCTTTGGTTGCGGATGGGTGAAGAGAAGCCTTGCGACGGTCAGCAACCACAGCCGCCTACTTATCAGGACGAAACCGTTCCCTACGTGCCTTTGAAAACCTATAGACATTTGGTCGACAACCCGAGCTTTCTGTTGGACGCCGGAGGCATTGGCGTGTTGTCGTACGCACACCACAACATTGAGGAGCCAGCCTTGGCGCTTGCTGGGGCCTTCGTGTGTCCTCCAGAAGAGGAGTCTCAACACGGCGAAATTGCTGAATGAGAATGCGGTGAATAAGAGTATACCTGCCTATGTTCCACCTTATATATACACATACGTTATTACCACCTCTATAGTAAGTTCGAAAACTGAGCTTACCACACTAAAAAAACAATGAGTATCCTGGATAAATTGCCAGTCGAAATTCAATTGAGGCTTCTCGAATCCCATCCCCAACTGGCCTTCGTCAACACTCGTTGGTATAGATTGAACAACAAGCTAGGTAGAGACCGATGTCTGCGCATGAAGCCGGAAATATACTACCGACAAACAATTGAGGAATCTATATGTCGCTACATCAAGACTCTAGACCACAGTCGGCTAGCTGCTAGACTCATCAACGTTCCTCATCAATATGCGGAAGATGACACCTTTCAATGCTACATTTCTGACTCCTGGCATATCATCTACAGCGTCTTATTCCAGAACCCAAAATTCTTTGCCATGGACAGCGCCGGGCGGAAAATGAACGCTGCTCAGGATACTATCTCTGAATTCTACTGTCCCATGGAATTGGTTACTGGGCGAGACTATCCATGCAATCTGTGGTTCACAAAACTTTCCAGCAGTGGCCGATTTGGTGCAATAAGAGTAGCCGTCTATGGACAGCCAGATGGTTCCGAGCCGCTGCTGCAACGCGACTTGCCTCTTAGCTTGCCTGACTGGTGCGAATCAAAGGGCACTTACTGTATCTATGGAGGCGAGATCAAGCTACCTAGCAGTGGAAATGACTTGAAAGTGGTGCACATGGGTGTTTCCATTGTTAATGGTGATGGGAATTTCGAGCTACAGGCCGTAGACACAAAACGGTACCAACCGCAGGCGAGTTGGCTACTTTTCAAGACGCATCTCACAAATATATTCAATGTCAGCGAAAAGCGGTTGAGTGCGGACCGGATGCGTTGGGATGAGAAGCAATTTGCCAACGACATGGAAGGGACGCAAGAAGAAGTTGAGTTTGAATTTCTATACCGTTTCCCAAAGGATCAAAGCATGACGCATAATCTGAGTAACGTCAAGTACCCGTCCTTGTGACAGCCCTCGGAAGGCTTACGACATTGACAAGTGACACTTAATAATAAACGGTTTAACTAATAACTATAAACACTTTTAATGGATTGCGCCTGGGGCCCAAATATAATATCAGCGACCCCGAAAAGAACCAACGGGAAGGAAGTAGAACAGAATAAAAATCCTCATTTTGATAGCCAGTGAAATATAACACATACGAGTAGCCTTACTCGGTTTTGAAAGGGGGTATTCATGAGAAGTATAATAATGAAAATTCTGGGCCAGGTGTCAACTAGTAGAAAACAAAGTTGGCAGAACCGGAGGTGACGGTAACTGTACATCCGTCAGATCCAGAGCCACCGGAGTAAACACCGTCCTCGTAAGAGCAGTCGCCGACGATATCAGAGCCGTCGGTAGCTTCGATCTTGAGGTTGAAGTTTGGAGCATCCTTGTTGTTAGGGTTAGGAATAATGGACAAGTAGGTGCATCCATTGGTGTAACCGGCACCCAAGACTACTGGAGCCCAGTTACCAATGCCGGAGCCTTCAGAACCCCACACACAACCATCTTCCATGCTGACACCAGCGTTGTTGACGTAGTATTGGGTGGAGGTCTTTTTGCCACCCCACTTATAGTAGGAGTCCTCGTTGACCACTGAGACTGGTTGTTTGGAGTTGCCCTTAACAACAGTTGGGATAACCATGTTTTCGGAGCCTGGGTAGTCGGTACGGCACATAGCAATCTGCGAGTCTTTGTTGTTGACGGCGTAAGCACTGGAGTGATCGGCTTCACACAAGCTGTCAGCGTCAGTGTTGGAACGGTAGAGGTAACCGTCGCGGCATTCGAGACCTCCGACAGATCTGCCGTCGGAAGGCTGGTCAGATGGCCACTGGGTCTTGGACATACCAGGCTTGCAAGCGTAAGAGCAGTAGAAGCCGTCCTGGCACGACTGGGAGGTGGAACCGTCAAGAGCCATGACGGAAGCCCAACCATCTAGCCCGACCCAAGGCAATTGAACGACACCGTCGTCAGTTGGGAAGTCGGAGCACTTGATAGTGCCGTCCTGGAAGGAACCAGAGCCAGAACTGGAAGAAGAAGTAGAAGAGGAGGAGGAAGAAGAAGTGGAAGAGGAAGCAGGGGAAGACTCGGAGTCGGAGTCGGAGCTGGAAGACGAGGCCGAGGTGGAAGTAGCAACGGGGGCAGAAGTGGCAGCAGAGCCCGTGGTGTAGATGGGGTTTCCACTGCCGTCCACATACTGGATGACGGTGACAGCGTCACGACGCTCATGGTGGTGGGCAGCTGGGGCAGCTGGAGCGGCCAAGACCGCTGGGACAGTGAGAAGCGAAGCAAGAGCGAAACGAGCTAGCATCACGTGGAAGTCAGATGGTATTTTGAAATGCGAGTCAGGTGTGCGGGCCGTATAAAAGGAGCGACGGAGCAGTTAGAGCAGAGGCGAAGTTATCAATCGATCAACAATAATAAAGAGAGTGTAACAGCGTTGAGATAGCTGGGGTGATCGAAGCGCCTGGCAGATATATGAGAAAGAGTGACTGGTTTTCGTTGACGGATCCTAAGAAACTGAACCTGCGAAAAGTTCACGTCGAGACCATGCTAGTAGTCTTGTCCTTTTTATATGCTCTTGGGCGTAAGAAAACTGAAACCGATCGTGGGCTCGATTGGGCGAAAAATTGGAACAAAAAAAATCCGAGACACAGGCAATATGACTTCTCTTGATGCTTTAAGTTGCGTGGAGTCGTCTCAGAGAGCTTGTGGCGATGATTGTGTGATGTATACATTGATTCCTTCTTCCCAGATCGAGCAAAGTGGCCTTAAGGCGAAAAAACAATACCCTAGTGCAGGACTTTCTGTGCAATTTTCCGAAAAAGGGAATCAATGCGAGCTTTGAAAAAAAAAAAGGAACGGAAAAAAAAGCATACGTTGTCTCGAGCAAAAAAAGCAAGTAGTGGGCTGTGCGAGCAGTTCTAGGTGCAACCTGACGTATGTCTATGCCCTTGTATGCGTTTTCATGCACAGAGTACGCCCGTTACGTAATCGAGTTCTGGAACTTCTGAGGGGTTCGTAGCTGTGTGCGTCCTTTTTCCTCTCCGGGGAGCGGCGTTGCCCGATTGGGAAGAGTAATGAGTGGCCGCGTTGAGTACGGGTTGCTGTCGTAATAGCACAGTGACAGCTTGGGCGCCGTACTTGGTGGAATTGTAATCGTGTTTTGGCGAAATTGCGGCGCCGGTCGAGGCCAATGGTCCTTTTCGCAGTGAGAATGTTATTGTGGGGTTTAGTAGTAGCGGTTTGGCCAATACGAATCGTTCGCCAGGTGTTCGAGAGCGTCCGAATACCACAGGTCTCTTCTGTTGTGTGCACCAGTTCTGAGTGTAAATTCCACGCGATCAGTCGCATTGGCCTTCAAAAAACAGGGGACTCTTCACTGTGGGGGAAGAAAGCCCATTTTTACGTTTGTCGATCGCCCGCACAATGTTTCTATTCTCTTTCACATAAATGCTTTCTTTAGTTACATGCGCACCTGTCTCCTCCTTTTTCGATGCCTCTTGCCTAACAACCGTTGTGGTGGGGTTAACCGCTGATAGTCATACGCTGTGTGGTCCTCGTGAAGGATCTAAGGCTTTGGGTTAGTTGGGACTTGAGCCAAGTGGCATTGGGGATGGACCAAATAATAATTCGCCTGGAATTAAGAGGCGCTGCCACCACATCTGCGAACGGCAAAAATCAATACCTGGCAAAGAAAATAACACTGAATGATAGCCCTTGTTCCCCAATTTATCCACTTTCCGTTGCCAATACCTGTGCATCGGTTGTAAATATCGACTCATCCGGTATTGTTGGGCCAGCGACATGCTGAGTCGATGGAGAACCTTAACTCAGTAATCAACAGCTCCCGAGAAAACAGCAGATTGAATCAATTACGGCATTGAAGGCTGTTGCGTGCCAGGCCGCGGCGGGTGTGCAATTCGTCGCTCATGGCAGCCCGGAACTTTGTGCGAGGATAAGAATATAATTGGGTCGGCCAGCTTGTCACCTAGTGCCAGCACTGAGTCGACAAGTGCACAATCGTGATACATAGTCCACACAAACTTGTGGTTGCGACCGCTGCGCATACTGGAGGGACGTTTAATCGAGCAGCTGTGGGAGGTAATATAAAGTGGTGTATGGGTGGATGAGATGTCTCGTCGTCGCGGCCAAGAGCAGGAGCGACAACTTGCGCTTTTAGCGAGAACTGCAGTACTAGGCAATGTAAGGAAACGAGAGATGCGGTCGGTGAACAAAGAAAGAGAAAGAAGCCTGATCGAGCTCAAAATTTAGCTAAAGTCACTCAATCTTTCAAGTCTTGATCGTATGCAACAGCTGGATCAATACCGTACTCATCCGATCTCTTCTTTTGCCTGTCACTCTTGTTGCAAGCCCGTCTCGGCCAAAATTCTTCTTTTTGTCGGGCCCAAGAGCGATCCAAACGTGGAGCAATGAAGAGGATCTGCGTGCGGGGATTTCCAAAGTTTAACATCAGGCTTGCGCGATTGTGTCTCCCCTTTTTATGGTAAAGACGGTGTAAGCGGGCCCCCATAGTATCACACCGTTACTGCAACTACAAATGGAGGTCGTTACAGGCTTTCCAAACTAGGTACGTTCTTCAAAACATCAATGACGAAATCTGAGCATTGGGCTGAAGTAACGGGATCTTGCCTGATGAATTCACTAGACAGCCAGGTTTTGAGGGCGCTTAACTCTTCAGCACTGAATTCTAGACCCATGCAGCCCTCTTTTTCAATAGATTCATTGCTCGCTTTCCTTATTCAGTTAGTGAATTTGTTCATTTTCATAAACAATGCAGTATATTTAGATCTCCTTGTAGCCAGGACAATGTATCCTGTGAAGTGAAGGTATATGAATGCGAAATAATGATTAAACTACTCGAACAGTTGTTATCCTAGATGCTGAGTGACATGGGGAGGGGGCGGGGCAGCTTGACGACATGATAGTAAACAGTGGTAACAGATGTGATGGTTCGTTAGAGGAACTAGGAGGGTAACTCATCTAAGTTGAGAAAAAACTGAGATGGTGGGGAAACTGTACGTGTTGATCACCAAGAATTCAAGAGCACCAAAGACTAGATCTTCGAAGTTTTAAGTGAATCGAAGGGGATATTTCATCGACCATGTATGATGAGGAAGAGTGCACGGAAAAGAGCGCTTTGTGGGCAGACATGTCGGATGATGAAAAGGTAGAGTTTCACGATCTTTACGACCGTGAATGCCTTTCTCGATGTTGTCCTCAGTTGGTGTTAGCCGAAGCAGAAGATTCTCGGGATAAAAAAAGGCTTGGACTAGGTCTTATGGACTGCTTTCTGCCTGTATGGATCATACTGGCTATGGCCCTGGGCCTGATCCTGGGCAATTTTGTTCCGAACACGCATGCGGTTCTCACGAATGCCACTTTTGTTGGGGTCTCTTTACCGATTGCAATTGGACTTTTGGTAATGATGTATCCGATTTTGTGTAAGGTCCGATATGAAGATATGCTTTCGATGTTGACGCGGCGAGAGATCATTGTGAACATATTTATCAGTGTTGCGATAAATTGGATCGTTGCACCACTGTTGATGCTGGGTTTGGCGTGGGCGTTTTTGCCCGACCAGCAGGACCTTCGAGAGGGTTTGATAGTTGTGGGTTTGGGCCGCTGCATTGCGATGGTACTAATCTGGACACGTCTAGCCAAAGGAGACTCAGATTTATGTGCGATTATCGTAGCTGTCAATTCATTGCTCCAGATAGTTTTGATATCACCCATGGCCCTCTTATATTTGAATGTCGTAAGCCATTCCGGAGATTCTCACAAGATTGAGTTTGATATAGCTACCAAAAGTGTGGCTGTATTTCTCGGGATTCCGCTAGGTGCTGCCGTAATAACCAGAGTCTGCGTCCGCCCTTTTTCTCCGGACTTTTATGACAGAAAATTGATGCCTTCGATATCACCCCTCTCACTTCTCGGCCTGTTATTTACCATCATTATCATGTTTGCCTCGCAGGGAAAAGCGGTAGCAGAAAACATCATAGCTGTGTGTCGGGTTGCAGCCCCGCTAATAACCTACTTTGTTATCATCTTCATGACGACTTTTTTCATCTTTCTCAGGACAGGGCACACCTATGAGACCACATGCACGCACGCTTTCACTGCAGCAAGCAACAATTTCGAACTGGCTATCGCCATATGTGCGGCGGTGTTTGGGGTTGACAGCCAGCAAGCGCTGGCGTCAACCATCGGTCCGCTGATCGAGGTACCAGTTCTGGTGGCCTTCGTTTTATTCGCAAAATTAATAAAGCCCAAACTTCATTGGGCCGACCAGTCTGCTGCGAAGCCGAGTATAACCGTTTGAGCCGCAATTTGTGTAAATGAATCTCTTTTGTGTCTAGGTTTAGGAAGCTTCCACAGTCAGTTCTTGATCTTCAATTACGTGGCCAAAAAATTGTAATGTTCCACCTGCCCTCAAGATGTGACTTACAGACCAGGATTATTTCACCAAAAAGGCCTGTCTTCTCCCAAAGGAGATAGGTTAATAGGGCACCGTGGGAAAAGCAACTCCTTGCTCGTTCACCGTATCAACAGCAGTTGGATAAGATATCACAAATCTTCTCCCTGTCGCAACCGCCCATCGCCATCGAGGTCATGTTTGTCGTCACCAGGAGGATTACCAGCTTGCCTACCATACTGATATGCGCCTCTCAAGTATTGAATAGTATAATAAACGGCCTGGACAAAAATTAATTCAGTTATCAACTTGACTGTGAGTTCTGTTACCGTTCGCTTACCTTAAATCTTGATTCTGTTGGTTTCTGAGAACAAATAAATCTCTGTATATTTACGGTTGTTTACCAAGCGCTGCTCATGAGATCCTAAGTTCCAATCATGACTAGGAAACCGTACATTTTTTTCATCGGTTATCCGCGATAGTTTAGTGGCTAGAATTCGGGCTTGTCGCGCCCGGGACCGGGGTTCAATTCCCCGTCGCGGAGTATTTTTGGATATCTGTTGAGTTTTGCTCCTGAGGCGACCGTTCGCCCTATTTTGATCTTTTTTGAGGCTCCAAATCTATTCCTCTTTTTCGTTCACCATCCTGAACCCCCTCGCCTATGCGTAGTGCGCGACATTCATCTGAATATGGACGATATTCCGCTAAACGGGACGAAAGCAGTAGCTTGAGAAACAGTAACTTGAATATTTCGCGGTATCTTCGGGGTGGTCATTAATCAGACACACCCTGCTTGAACCCCATTAACCGCGTAATGACCATATACCGACAGTATTAACTGTCTGGTTTTACAGTCGCTTGGAACGAGATACTCGTATAGTTATAATATTCAGATGTACTCGTCCCACGCGCCGCAGCACGAACTTTCAAACCTTCAAGTGTAAGAGATTCAGAGCTTTCTCCGCAATTCTCTTCTGACCGCATCCTCCATCAGATGGATGCGTCCACTATAATCACGATTGGCGTTATAATCGGCATCGTTTCGTCGGCCACACAATCGCTAGGTCTCACTCTACAGCGAAAAGCCAGCGTCAACCATGGTTCTCAACCTACGTCCGCTCAAGAACACACATCCAGCCAGCCGTCTCTCTATCGCAATCGGACCTGGCAGTTGGGGCTTGCCCTTTTCCTGCTATCAAACATCGTGGGAAGCACTGTACAGATAGCAACTTTGCCATTAATCGTTTTGGCTCCCTTGCAAAGCTGTGGACTTCTGTTTAACTCCATCGCGGCTCATTACATGCTCAAAGAGCGTTCCTCTTGGCGTACCCCACTCGCCACGCTTCTGATTGTCATAGGTGGAATGACTATAGGGGTAGTGGGCGTTACGTCCACGAATTCGCATTCCATAACCCATTCGCTCCCCCAACTGTCCCAATTGGCCTATGGACCAATGTTTCTAAGGTGGTTCATCACCACCAATGTCTCGGTTTTACTTGTGCTGGCGCTTACCTGGTCCTATTCCCATCGAATCCCTACTTTTGCCAAAGGTGTCATATATGGTTGTTGCAGCGGTACCTGGTCCGCTCATTCACTTCTTATGGCCAAGTCTGTCTCAGACATTGTCACGCATGCTCTCTTACACACCAGTACAGATCTGGCAACTGCCAAGTTTTGGATTCTCGTTTGCATTTTCGTCAGCCTATCGCTCACTCAGCTTTTTTTGCTCAACACTGGACTGCGACACCTATCCACTTCTATCCTGTATCCATTGGTGTTTTGTATTTACAACTTAATCAACATCTTCAATGGCATTGTGTTTTTCCACGACGACCAAGAGGCTCCGCTCCCACAAATCCTCGCTGTTATTCTCCCAGGCGCGACCAGTTTGATTTGTGGCGTTATATTTCTTTCAAGGGACCAATACATGCTTGCCAAGCGTGATGAACTGACGAATTCTCAGGAACCCTCTCGCCGTACCAACATGCTCTCTTATACCAGCTTGCGGCCCAAAAGTGTGGACCTCTCTGTGCTGCAAGCAACATCCTTTTCTCAAGACGAATCTGATCCGTTCTATGTGTCCCTACCGCAGCGTCCTAAGCGAGACACATACAGTTCGATGAGCTCCTCCAAACGTAACTCTAGTAGAAGAGTACTTTCCTATGAGCAAGAGGGCATTCTCACACAAATGGTATAAACTTGATCATTCAGAAAACCACAAAAAACACGGGAGTTTTGACCAGAGGTAAGCGCTCTGGTCGAGTTCTCCTCTAGCTAAGAAGGTAAATGCTGCTGGGCGGCTAAGCGAAGTAAAAGGTAGGTTGTAGGATTCTCGTTTTATTTGTGTCATATTTGACGGAAAGATGTGCAATTTACGCGAAAACGCGTTCTATATAAGAAAAACACGTTAAGTGGTTGATGAAGTCAGTTGTGCTTCCATTCGATTAGTAGTGCTCCTTTATGATTGCAACTCAGACACAGACTGACTAGCTCGAGAATCACAAAAACAGCATCACCATGTCTATTGTCTCACTGCTAGGTATAAATGTTCTTAATAACCCTGCAAAATTCACAGATCCCTATGAATTCGAAATAACGTTTGAGTGTCTGGAGCCATTGAAAAAAGATCTCGAGTGGAAGCTTACATATGTCGGATCGTCGCGAAGCTTGGAACACGATCAAGAACTGGACTCTATTTTGGTTGGTCCTGTCCCAGTCGGGGTGAATAAGTTTCTATTCACCGCTGATCCACCGTCGCCAGAATTGATCCCAGCAAGCGAACTGGTAAGCGTCACAGTCATCCTTTTGAGCTGTTCATATGATGGTCGGGAATTTGTGCGTGTTGGATACTATGTTAATAATGAGTACGATAATGAGGAGCTCAGAGAAAACCCGCCCGCGAAAGTGCAAGTTGAACAAGTGGTGAGGAATATATTGGCGGAAAAGCCGAGGGTAACAAGGTTTAATATCATTTGGGACAACGAGCAGGGTGACGAGTACCCACCCGAGCAGCCAGAGGTTGCGGTTGAAGAAGAAGAGGAAGAAGACGAAGAGGAGGACGAGGAGGAAGAAGATGACGAGGATGATGTCGAAGAGGAGGAGGATGGTGGTGCACATGATGAGGATGGGGCGAGTACGAGTCTGGGCAAACAAGGGAGACTTACTGACGAAACGGAAACGAAGGGGCCTGACGGTAAAAAACGCAAAATTGAAAACGCAGAAGAGGCCGAAGCGGAAGAAATAGATCTTGACGACGACGAAGACGACGAGGACGATGAGGACGAGATTGAGATTATCGAGGAAGAAGCAGAGACGGACGGTAATCACGAGAATGCTGATCCTGCAGTGAAAGAGGCAACTGTGGAAACCGCCCCAACTCCTCAAGATACCACCACCGCCACAGCTTCAGACCAAGAGTCCTGAATATATCTCGATAAGATTAAGTTTCTTTCAAACATGAACAAAGTTGTTGAGGGGTATTAATCACAATGCTGTTTTGCTTCCCATAGGCTGTTAACGATTTGGAATACTTTGGTAACTACCGCTAAATTTCCGGCATTGGACGTGACATTTCTTCTAAACACTTTGTCTGGATGCCAGGCAACGCGTTGTTGTTTCAAAAACTCACGCATGGATATTTGCAGCAAAGATGCACATTTGTCGAGGAAAGACTCGATATCTCCTGAACAGAGAGAATCGGCAGAAACTTCGTCTATCAAAGGAGCGTTTGCCATCGGAACTCTCATATCATCAGCACCGCTTGACAAGTATCTCATCAAGTACCCTTGCCTTTGCTGGTGTCGCCGCCCATCTCCCTCAAAAATTAACGGGTTGACTACTGCGTCCCCGACAGGAGCCTGTGCTTCGTGCGATGTCCGCCTTCTAGCTTCTTGAAAGTTGTCGGCCTCCTCTCTACTTCCAACAAACCGATATCCTTCGATCGAAGCTCCATATTCATACGTGGCTTCACGTTTATGCCCAAACACATGGTGTCCCGCATTTTTGATGTTTTGATTATCAAAATGTGGCACCGTGGGAACCATTAGCTGCTCGCCGTTATGTGTGTCTTCACTCTTCAACGATGGTTTTTCCGTGAGTAAACTAGCACCACCGTAGTCAGTATCGTTCATAATCGCGGATAGTAGATAATGGGACTGTGTATCACATATTGAGCCATAATCAGAAGGTCCTTGGGTCCCCTCCTTCATTTTTGAACTCGAAATCTCTGTCTTCTCGGCTACCGAACTCTCGTGTCCATCATCTGGTTTTCTTTTTGTCCTGATTGCCGGAACTTTCCGCAGGTAGACAGGCCTTATATACTTCACATCGCTATCACTTTCTGAGTCACTAGCCGTAAGGAAATCATTATAGTCGCTCATATATTCAACCTTTGGCCAAACTCTCCTTCAAGCACGAGATGGCTCTCAATTTTCGAAGCTAACCCAAAGTAAAAGACGGCTGTCGTTATAAGAACAAGATTCCTATTCAAATAATGCAAGAATCTTGTATAGCGCCATTCACGCTGTTGCTTCTTAATGCATCCATCGTTCTCGATATTTTAGCTCTGCAACTCAACCTAATTTTTGTAAACAAATTAATTACACAATTAAAATCTGACCTCTTAACTATCAACACGACACTCAACGCGTGCTAAAAGGCTTCAAATAGACTGTTTGCAGCAACTAGAGCCTTTATTAGTGGTTGTATTGTCTTCAGCTGTTTTCAATTCTGATTGACGCGGACTGGCGGAAAGCTTCATTTGTTTTCATCTTCTGCTGTTAACGAAATTGACAACTGACAACTGACAACTGCTGGTATCCCCCCGAGCTTACGTTGTGAGGCGTTTGGAAAAATCACAACTAACAATTTATCTATGAACTGCTTATCTGAGGAATGTCAAGCTTCTCTTTGAGATCAACGTCGCTTTCAGACTCTCCGCGCAGGCGAGTAATGGGATTTCTCCCGCGGAAAGCGAGCACTAATGCCAATGTCAACGAGGATTCAGATGACGAAAATATACTAGGACCCCCTCAGCTCAGCGACTTCGGCTCAGCCTTGCTTTCAGATAAGGAAAATGTAGAGCCTAGCAGCCATACTGGTCACCAAAAGTACCTATCAATCAAAAGACTCAGAACTTCCAAAGAAAGCCCAAAGACACTTTTGGGACTGGAGCCAACAGACGTACAGAGAAATGCGCCTTCCAACAATACTTATAGTGGTACCTCTGCTCCTTACTCTACCTCTCAATATAATGAAGACCCTTCGGACTATACTATGTTTGCCCACTCGAAAGATCATCAGCAGAGCATGACCACTTTTGAATCTGCACCACAGCCTGACATAAGTAAATCTTACTTTCCTGGGGCTGAGAAGGGGCGCGCGAAGATCAACAATTTGCAACAAGCACTGAAAGATGAATTACTAACAAGAAGCTCAAGGCGCAGAAACAGAAGATTTATTTCTTCGCGGTTAAGTGCTTTGGGACCAGCAAAAAGGGCTTCTTCTACCGCGGTAACTCCGAGCAAAAGTGAACTTGTTGACGACTCTAACGTATCCCAGCAGGAAATGAACCTGTCTAATTCTTCCAGTGTTACTGGGTCTGCGAACAAAAACATGGGTCGAAACTATAATGTATTTTATGAACCTACACAAGGAAACCCCCCATCTACGAATCAAATCGGCAGTGCTGGGCTTGTCGAAGGTAATTATGATGATATTGAATTTGGTGATCTAAATCCATATCAATACCTCAAAAGGCACAACCTGCCAACTACTGAACTTCCTAATATTTCTAGAGTTTATTTTGAGCGTCAAAAGGGCGAGAATAGGAGAGCTGCGCTGCGGAAAAATACTCTCACTAAGGACACAATCCAGAGTAGACTTGCATCAGCGTCGTTGTCGAACTCACCCCTCGTTCAACATACCGAGGCTGGAAAAGGTGACCTTATCTCAGCCAAACGAGAACCTAGGCGAAAAATTAGCGATAGCTCTACTAAAAACGTACTCAAGGCCCTATCCTCGCCCGCTAAGGGCCTGACTAATGTAAACAAAGACAGCCATAGTGGTTTGAATCGCCATGAGCACGAAAGCAAGTATGAACATATCGAAATACCCGATTCTAGCTATCATGGCTATATTAAAAGACGAGAGGCGCTTTCTAACATTGACCTGAACAGCAATCGCAGTTATCAATCTCAGCACAAAAAATTAAAATATGCGGAAGACCGTGGGACTAGTAAGGATGAGCTGTATCAACAACCACAATACCACCATAGAGAATACCCTAACAGCGAGGCCAATGTGCCTGTGTATCCCAATTCACAGGTATCAACAGTGAAAAAGCACGTAGAAATCGTGGAGCCCGCAAAAGTTCTTAGCAACGCTTCCCGTACTTCTCCCCCGCTCGAAACCGATCATGTGTACAAGAAACGCGCGGTAGTAAGTGTGAATGGAAACGACTATGAGAAGCTTGAACTCCTGGGTAGAGGTGGCACTTCCAAAGTTTACAAGGTCAAGAACTCGGCCAACAAGGTTTATGCTCTCAAAAGAGTCTCGTTTGATGAATTTGATGATAACAGCATCGACAGCTTTAAGGGCGAGATAGAATTACTCAAGAAGCTAGAAACTAAGCCTCGAGTAGTTAAGCTCATCGACTATGAAATGAGTCAAGGAGTACTTTATGTCGTTATGGAATGTGGTGATCATGATTTGTCACACACTCTTGCTCAGAGATCGAATATGGATTTTGATGTGGAATTTGTTAGATACCACGCACAGGAGATGTTCAAGTGTGTCAAAGTAGTACATGACGCTGGGATTGTGCATTCTGACCTAAAGCCCGCCAACTTTGTTTTTGTCAAGGGCATTCTCAAGATCATTGACTTTGGAATTGCAAATGCGGTACCAGAGCATACTGTGAATATTTATCGAGAAACTCAAATTGGTACACCAAACTATATGGCGCCTGAGGCGCTTGTGGCAATGAATTTTACACATGATCGGTCTGTGGAGCAGAATAGGTGGAAGGTAGGAAAGCCGTCAGATATATGGTCTTGTGGCTGTATTATCTATCAGATGATATATGGAAGGCCGCCTTATGGTGGCTTTCAAGGGCAGAATAGACTCTTGGCAATAATGAATCCCGATGTCAAGATTATTTATCCAGAAAAAACACCAAATGGTGATATTGTCCCTAAAACTGTGATTGATACAATGAAGGCTTGCCTTGAAAGAGATCCAGATAAAAGATGGACGGTAGATGAGGCGCTGAACGGGCCATTCGTGAGGCCAATTGCGGTTACACACTTTTTTGTTCGTGACTTGATAAGAAATTCTGTGAAATATGGGTTTAATCAAAGGGAGCTATCTAATGACAAAATAGAAGAATTAGCTGACGACGTGTGGCACAGATTAGCGGAATTCAGGTTATAAATGAAAATCTGTAGCGGACACGGGTTGTGTTATACAATATATATATTAGGATATTTGGGTGAAATGTACGATACCTAGGACACAATGTCTAAACTTGTCAGTTGAGTGAATCAGGCTTGATATCTAAATTTTTCGATTGGCACTAGTACGTGACTTTTATGTGCGCCTATACATGCTTTCTCTACCTGGGGCCGAACTTCGACATGGATGCAGGCCCCATCTCTTGCCATTCCTGTTTTGTGAGCCACATGTGATCCTTGTCGGCCATAATATTTGCCAAAACAGCACCACCGATGAAGACCATATGCTTTCTCCGGGGCGGGTCCTCTATCCTCACTTTGAATTTTTCTAAGCGAGAGGGGTCATTGCGAAGAACTCTTGTGAACCACAGTTGTTTCAGTTCTTTCTCTAACCGGGAAGGCAACCCTGGATACATACTAGAGCCACCGGACAGGACGATGGCTCTGTAAAGAGCACTTCTAACATCAACATCCGCTGCCTGGATTGTGTTGAACAACATTTCACCCACGCCAGGTTGTTCTACATCGACCAAGTTCGGTTGGAACAAACATTCCGGTGCTTCAAACCTTTCAGACCCGACTTTTATAACCCTGCCGTCTGGAAGCTCGTAGTTTTCGACAAGAGTGGTTGTTTCCCTCGCAAGCTTAGTGTCTAGGTCCAAATCGTATGATACATAACTTAGCTTCTCCTTTATTTGGCGAACAGTCTCGAAATCTGCACTTCTGTTGAAGGCGTAACCTCTTCTTGAAAGCAAATCTATCAAATGTCTTGTGACGTCTCTCCCTGCTACATCCAGCCTTCTGGTTAAATGATTAAGCACCACGGACTCGTAAACGGGAACTATATGTGTAACACCGTCACCAGAATCGACCACCACACCAGACGATAAACCCTGAGCGTACAATGCAAGGACAGCTTGGATTGCCACGTAAACACCGCCAAAATCATATTTTTCGAACATCACTTCGCACATTTGTTCCCGGTTTTTAACTGGATTCATGGGAGGTTCAGTAAGCATAACTTTACCACCAGAGGTAGATGGAAGATTCATTTGATCGTAAAATGCATAATCCCACAAGAGCTCCATGTCGGACCAATTTTTTATTATCCCATTTTCCATTGGGTATGATATCTGTAAATAGGACCGGACTGCACTGGCCTCATCACCAATCATGATATCCTTGAGAGGCGTGCTGACATTGGCCCGCTCCTCTGCTCTCAGGATAGGTCTACCAACGATCGATGGAAATGTGTAATCCGGAAAATTCTCCCCGGCGCGCCCAATTTTGACGAAACCAGTTCCTTGGTCCAGGACTTTACAAGAAAAATTCGTTAGTATCGATGAGGAGACTTAGGTGCTTCGGCTACGAAAACCTTGAATTTTCACCAGCCATCGCACGGTTCCAAAGCGTGCGACAACAAGGGAAACACCAAGTTTTTTTTCTATACATACCAATTGGAGTTCTAGGATCCATCGTTGATGTATCAGCAACCGTGGGGCTCGTTTTCTGCTTGCTGCTTTACGTTGGAAGGAGTTGACCACGGACGATCCGGCCCCTTTTCCAACTTTCGAGATTTTAAAATATATCGTTAGTAGCGATTGATATATGCTGACACTACGACTGCTATATAATGAGACGACTGTGTCGTTTCTTAAAGAATCGGGTGTTGGTACGGCTCCATTATTCCATTTTTACTAGCTGTTCTTTGAGTCTTCCCTATGATATGTGAACTCTCGGCGTCCATCTTTAGTTCTCCTGATCGAATATTCACGCGGTGCCATATCGTCATCTTCTCCGTGAAGGATGAATTGACGGGCAGAGAGTGTACGAGTTGGTCTTATGCTAATTACCATGGGCCGATTTTTCTGTCCAGAAGCCAGATCTCTCAAAAAGTTGAAAGAACCTTGTTGGCCTGCCAAGCTGTCATCTTGAAAGGCTATGGCTGCCTCTGCTATAACTTTGGAACTCTCGTTGGTGGACGATAGCGTTATCGGATATGAAATTGTCATGACCAGTAAGCCATTGATGCCCTTACCACGAGTTTGTGGAGCATCAGCGACGAGATTAAGCTCATAGCCGTTGTTTACCCAGTGGGAGACATCGCTTCCTAAAAAATAGTCTCGAATGCCCTGCTCGTTACTCTTGAAGGCATCGAGGACGCGGTACTTCAAAAACTCTAGCATCTGATCCGCCTGTCGATGTACCTCTGACATTTCCATTTTCTGGTCCTTAAGCTCATCCATTACGCCGCGAAACATTCCGGCTGGAAATTTGTTGTTGTTCAACAGTGACTCAAACATTCTCGTTTGAAGGCCCCATATTGTCTGCTGGTTGATCCGCATGTGAGAGACTTTTAAACTGCGGTGTAATTCGTTTAATAACGTGCTCGTTTTCCATTTCTTGTACTGGAAGGCAGCGATGCCCGCGATGATCAGAGGGAAGAAAAAGGTGAAAATAAATGGTATCACAACCACAAGAAGAGTCGCAGCACCCACAAAAGCTAAGATGATAATTGGCGGGGAGATATTATAAGACCTGAAGTTTGATCCAGATTGGCCGCGATGAAAACTTCGTTTAAGCATCAGACGCGCCCCTGTGCCCCAAACGTTCTTCTTACACTCGATGGTCCTAAGAGTTGATTTAGTAGTAAATAGTGTTCTTCTTCCGTGTGCGGCTTGAAGTCCTTGTGACCCTGCATGGAATCCTTTTTGGAATCGAATTGGAAGATAGCGTTGATCTGCCATTTTGGGAAGACACGTTGGCTGTCTCCTCCCATATTTTAATACCCCCGGAAACAAAGCAGTATTGGAGGTCCTAAACAGGTTGCGAAAACCATTCGATTGTAAAATCATATCGTCTTTTCCTCAGTGCTATCCATCAACTCATTGGTACGTGTGCTCGGAGGTTGTCTATATTGAACCATTTTTACCTGTGTTAATTAAAACCCATCAAAAATGACAGATAGTGTACATAGGCAGAACTCAGACAACTGAATTACATTCTTTTATAACTAAATACTAATATCTTACCTCGTATGCTCCTGACTTGGATATGTACTTAATCCACTTAACCATATTGTAATTCTTCTCCTTTTCGAGGATATCAAGGAACCTAACAACCAGTCCGGAGTTACTGAACATCATTATATCGAAATTCAAAGACATTGGTGGCTTGGACCACTGGTCGATACTTGACTGGACATCCCGTACGGGGAATGCCGTCGCTGAGAGGCTGTTCTCAGTTAGCCCTTGATATTTGCTGAACTTCCAAATGATAGCGCTTTCTTCAGGTACGAACTTGCATTTACCATTCGAAGTTGAAAACTGGCATTTTACAGTCTCTGGAGGAACAGGAATCCTTAATTGAACATCTTTTGCCGAGATTTTGCTTGGAAAAAGAGATTTTAGGGTTATGCGGTATTCAATGGAACTGGACCGGGAGACGGTGACTATTGGCGACACTTTAAAAGGCAGATTCAGATTTTCCCGTACAATATATTTCATAAGTTCAAAATTTCCATCTGGGGGCACAAAATTGATGGTACGATCGTTTTGGAATTTGTCCAACTGAACACATTGATGAAATTTGCAATCTTCGAGCATAACACTGCCAGCTGCTGCTTTGGGGATCGCATTTTTATTAGCAGTTCCTACAGGATAGTCCTGGAATGGCGAGGTCACCGACAAAGCATCGTTCAGCCCAAACTGGCAGACCGGCATTCCACTGAGGTGTGTTGTCACATCCACAGTCCCATCTACGTATGACTTCAGTATCGAACCGTCCTTGGACACCAAGATGGAAATGCGCTCCATGACGTTCAAGAAAACCTCATCTTTTTTGTACTTGATCCCACCTCTCCTCCAAGGAATATTGGACTGTTGCTCATTTGTGGAGCTTCGAGATATGAAGCTACTGGATCTTCTTTTCAGTAGCCCTGAACGTGGTATGATGCGATCACTTCCACTCCCCGTATTATCTGAGCTATTATGGAATGTATCAGGTACCATTAGTGGCTTAATCGACATTTTGGCTGCCACATTGGTCAATTCCGTATCCATTGGCACGCCTTCCTCGAGTACAATATCTAATAGCTCATAGCATGTCATGAACTTGTCTTTCAGCTCCGTTTCCGAGTCTAGCCCGTAGGTCTTTAACAGCACACTAAATTTGTATAAAAATTCCCAAATAGCAGCACTATCGGCATTGGATCGGCTTACAGATACTAGCCACAAATTTCCGGTTGTTTTGATATGGTGAAATGTCGTGGATCCGAGAGTCAACACAGGAGATCGCACATCTAAATTGTTGATTACCTGAATTCTAAAGACTTCCGCCATAGACTTTTGCACCGAAAGCTTGACATATTTTGATACTATGAGTTCCCCTCGTAGGGAGTATATGAAAAATGCACTGATCATGAAAGGAAGTAGCCCATCGCTGAGTGGACCTTTACGCAAAGCGAGTTGTTGAATAAATGGTTAATTAGCGCTTTGGCAAACAGCCCGTCCCCAGTGATAGTACGATCTACAATCCAGTCATCGCACAACCGTATGTATCTTCCCACTGCACATGCGTCACTTGTGGAGTCTCACTAGAATTTATTGAGTTTCTTGATGATAGCTTAGCATGAGGGTGTTGTTGTACTTTGATATGTACATAGAACTGGTAAGAGGGTCACCATCAACCAAGCTCTACTCTGAAAAAGGTCTTGACGCTATATTAATACAGAAATGCCGATGATCGACATATAGTGAATTAACAGAAGGTATCTTATAATTTTGGGTTTCTTAACACTGATCAAGATATCCTCTGAGTTCAACCAAGTTAGAAATCAGTAGGATTTCGCCATTCTAGAAGCTGAGTATTATTTGGGATCGTTGGGCATTGAGCTGACGCAGTTACTTTACTAACGTCACCCGTGCTTCGAGTCGTAGCGCGGTGCCACTTTGTAACCGGAGGAAGTTTAGTGTCGTTGAGACTACTCGTCGCCAATCAACGGGGCAGTTGAAAGAGCAACGAAAGACTTAATGCGATATCTTAAGGCTAGCTTTTATGGTGGGAGCAACGAAGATGTAAGATGGGCACCCAGCGATGTAGATAAATGTATTTATATAAGTTATCCAGAGATAATTAATTATAGAGGTTATTGAGAAGTCAAAACCACCAGATTCCAACAAGCTCAATCTTTTTGAGGATATAAAAGAGAACAGAGTAACAATAATTAGAGCTCATAGAATATCTTTTGGTACCTTATCCATTACTACTTATCCAAACTTCTTTCGCTATCGTCTTGTAATCAGCAAGGTATGAGAGTAGGCTTAATAAACTCCTGATGCTGACTACGAGTTTCCTGGCGGTCGCTGGTCAATCTAATGCACATCGGTAAGCAGAATATGCGGTTCGGACGATTTGTGTAGAACTCTGTGCGCACACTTCGAGAATTGATTATTGTGTACGAGCAACTTACAACTGTGTGAATGAGCTGGGCGCCCTCATTAGCAGTCTGAATGTAGAAGGTCTCCCTGATGGCGAATGTGTCCGGAAGCCAAGTCAGGTGAAAATGAAGGAAGGATAGCGGGCGGTCTGAGCTGTGACACTTGGTGCGACGTCGGATGCAATCGACTAGTGGGTAAATTTTGCAGACAACTGTGTCGGGCACCCAGAAACGCAACAGTGCAGCGGAGGAAACTGTGTTGTTTCAGCAATTAGTTCATTAGTGAAGACCGGTGCTGAGGTTACGGGCTGTGTATCAACAGTTGCCTTACTATTCCAGCGCGACGAGCTTAGCCTGCGTTGGAATCTACTGACAGGCTATTTCAGCTTAGTAGCTTAGTGGGTTCGGCTAACCTTCGAGCAACAAAATGCTGCTTGGTTTGCGTGAAGCTGAATTATGGGGAAGATCAACATGGTGTCATAATGGTACGAAGTGATATTGGCGACACCAGTAAATCGAGTATGTACATGTTCATAATCAACCCTTGGCGTCCAACGAAGGTGAGATTAACAGAAGTCTCCCGGTCTGTCATTTTTTGGGCGTAATTTAGGACTATTCACCCCTAAACGCATAAGAGAACGTCGCTATTATTATGTATAAATACCCACTGTACGTACCACACTTGGGTTCATCGTTATAGCCAAACGGCCGCAAAGAGGCAAGTAGAAGTCACCTCTGAGCTTTCAAACGTATCATTCAAGACCTTGAATAATGATAATGGCTACAGTGTCTATGAGAGAATTGAAAGAACAGTTCGGCAAGTTGACTGCTACCAACGCCGAATCGCTCCATTAATTTGCTTTTCAGCTCAAACTGCATCACTCTACATCCCCGATTTACTGAACTCATCGGACCACGACTCTTGAATGTAGCACACAAACTCCGGAGAAGGCGCAAGTCAATAGCCTGTCATCTCTGTTATATTGTCATATATTACGATCAATGCTCTGCTGACTTTACATCGACCAATATCAAGCTCTCCATGCCTACGAACAGTTGACAAGCAGGTCTGCTGGTTAACCCAAACTCACGATGAACAACCTTATGGTGTTTGGTGGGTCTTCCCACCCATCTCTCGTGAATAAGATATGTGCCAATCTTGGGATCAAACCGTCGCAAACCAAGCTGGGAAAATTTTCTAATGGGGAAACCAGCATCAGCATTGGCGAGTCTGTCCGGGAGAAGGACGTTTATGTGATCCAAAGTGGATGCGGCCATGTCAACGACAATTTTATGGAGCTGCTGATCCTTCTTAACGCTTGCAAAACGGCCTCTGCCAGCCGTGTCACTGCAGTGATGCCCTACTTCTGCTACTCGCGCCAACCAGACATTCCATATACTGCTAAAGGAGCCCCACTCATCTCCAAACCCAAGGACAGCTACACATTTGAAAGCTCGCCCGGAACTCCAGTTTCTTCTGTGGTTACTACCCAAAGGCCGAAGTCTCCCGCCGAAAATGCCGGCAGCAACCTCACTGTTCTAGAAAACGTGAGATCTCCTAAATTACCAGTTTTGGAACATCCCTCGCCTGTCAAATCTTTAGGAAATGGGGAATTACACAAATCACCCTCTCAGTCTCGTATTCCCATGGTGCCTGAGCGCAAGGAAAATAGCTCAGAGTTAGGATCCCTGTTCAATGCCAATAATGCTGGCTATAAACTATGGGTTGCGCAAGCTGGTACTTTGATCGCCAATTTATTAACTACAGCCGGTGCTGATCATGTAATTACTATGGATCTGCACGATTCACAATTCCAAGGTTTTTTCGATATCCCCGTCGATAACCTGTACTGCAAGCCAATTGCCCACAATTACATTCAGTACAATATACCTGAGTACAAAGAAGCTGTGATTGTTTCTCCAGATGCAGGTGGCGCCAAACGTGCGGCATCCCTAGCTGATGCCTTGGAGATATCATTCGCTCTTATACACAAAGAGAAACGCTCACAACTGCCAAAGGGCCCTCCAGATGCTAGCTTGACGTCAGGAGGGGGCGCAACTGTGTCTTCGAAGCCTTTGATTTCGAACATGTCTTCTTTGTCATTGACTTCTCAAGAAATGAAACTGTCTTCCTCTTCCTCCAAGTATGTACAGACTACCATGCTGGTGGGAGACGTGCGTAATAAGACTTGCATTATGGTAGACGATCTCGTGGACACATCATACACTATCACGCGAGCCGCTAAACTTTTGAAGGACCAGGGGGCCACAAAAGTTTACGCCTTAATTACCCACGGTGTGTTTTCTGGTGACGCTCTGAATAGAGTTGCACAAAGTGCTATCGACAAGATAATTGTCACCAATACTGTGCCGCAAGAAAAAACCGTAAAGTTTCTGGGCAAGGACAGGGTTCATGTGTTGGACGTTTCCAGCATTTTCGGCGAATCAATCAGAAGGATCCACAATGGTGAATCCATAAGCATGCTTTTCGAGCACGGCTGGTAGGTGACTCTAAGGGGTTAGGGCAATGCTGGTGTCAAACCTCGCGAGGCAATACCATCTGTGCCAAGGGTGAATGTTTGTATGTTATTGATCAATACTTAGAGTATAGAATCTGTAAGTTAAGCTCTCGTTAACGAGATTAAGATGAGGATGAAGCTTGCAGGAAGCTGACTCGACAAGCAAGAAAATCAAAAGAGCTTCAGGATACTCATCTAACATCTCATTAGGAAGCTATCTATGCAACTTTTGTCTCTTTTAACTTCTGGGTTACACCCGGTAACGTAGACGAAGCGTCGTCGCCACTTTGCAGGCCAGCTGCCCTTTCTTGCTCTAATTGCTTCTCATTCAATTCATTCAACTCATCCTCTGTGACTAAATGATGGCTGTGTGAGTGGGGGCTATTTACCAGCTCCCCTTCCGTATCCAATGAACAGTATTCGATTTCCTCTACCCAACGATCTGTCATGACGTCGCTCATTAGCGCCCTCCTTTTTGGGTCTAGTTCCAGCATTCTAGATATGATATTTCTTGAGTGACGAGGCAGCAACTTCAAAATCCGCGCTGGCCCCCTCTGTAAATCCTTTTCGTCCTCTGGCTCTTCAGAGAAAAGTCTGAAAGATTGGTATTTGTCCCGAGGAGCCTTCCAAGGAAATCTCCTCAAGAACATGCAATAAAACATAATTGCAATCGACCATACGTCCACCGGTCTCGGATCATAATACTGGTGAATGAGCAGTTCTGGTGCCAAGTACGGATCTGATCCCACGATTCCTTTCGCTTTCAAAATTTCTTTTTCGTAGGGATATTGAAATACAACTGCGCTGCCAAAATCAATTAACTTCAAAATACCTTGATTGGTAACAACACAATTGTCGAGTTTCAGATCCCGGTGAGCCAGGCCCATTTCATGCAAGTAATTGACGCCATTGCAAATTTGTCTAAAGTAACAAGCGACCTCAGCCTTGCTCATCAGATTGCTCATAACCAAAGTAAAGAAATCGTACGGGCAGAATTCCATCACAACTAAGAAATTTGATCCTTCCTGTAGCATATCCAGCGTATCAATGATGTTACAGTGATGCAGAGTAGATCCAATGCAGAATTCGGATGTCACCTTTTTCGAATATCCAATCTGAGACTCCCTTGATCCTCTTGCTCTGAATCTTTTGACGGCATACATTTTGCCATCTGTTGATTCTACAACAGATACCGACCCTGAGGCCCCTTCGCCTATCAATTTTCCGGGTGTTCCGTATTTTTCTATGAGTTCCCGGGCATTATCAGTTTCGTAAAGGGTTTTCGCCGTTGTAGATGTGTTATCAGACAACACAGCGAGGGGAGGGAGGCTGGCTGAGGGGCTTTTGTCCTTGTGGTGTTGATGGTCTTCTCTATGGATCTTCTTGAAGAATCGCTTCAGGTGTAACGCCTTCTTCTTCGGCCTCTCAGTAGCAAGCTTTGGGGGTGAAGGATGCTTTTGTCTCTCCTCTATCTCGTGTTGCAATGCTTGTGATGGATGTATATGTGAGCCGGGCGAAGGAGTGGCCTCGATCAGACGCGTTTGTGAAGATTGTGTAGAGGCCGCAGCACTTCCTAAGCGAAACTTGCCGGAGCTGTTGTAGTTATTCGTATTCTGCAAATTGTTGCCTTCTATGTGATTCGCATGAGAACAATCCACCGTAGAAGCCGCAGACCGCGATCGAGAATTGGACTCGTGAGACCTTGAGCTCGAATTGCTGTGACGTGGCGACAACAAAGACCCCAGAATCTCCCTACCTGATTCATTATTGGAAGAATGGCTATTTCCGCGCAGCAACTTTCCTAGACCAAACCGTTTCTTGCCAAAGAACGGCAGAGACGAAGCTGAACCATTGGACTTGATAGATGCAACATCATTGCAGCTTTGAACGGAGTTCAGTGGTTCACTTTTCGGCATACTGATGTCCTAAAAAGCTGTTAGCCCAAAGCAAAGGACTCTACCCTAAACCAATTTCCAACTCTGTTCTGCAGTGGAAAATGCGGTTTAAGGTTATTTTTCTATACAAATGCAGAGGAAGAGAAATGGTTAGTACCAAGCTGCACTAGACTTTACAGCACCGTGCCGGACTCTCTTGTGTGGTCTGTGTTAGCTTTGTAGGAACTTTCCCCCTTTTACTGAGTGAACTGACAATTACTTTGCCGTAATTATTGAATCATACCTACGTGTAGCGTGACTATGTTTTCTGTCATCGTAGTGTCACACTCATCAAAACGTTTGTTCGGCACAACCCTCAGCTTGGTATCAACTAGATTGACTAGAGTATATTGAAACTCGGTAGAAGGTTTTCCATTTGTTCCGGAAGGGCGATTTGAGAAGAGCACATAAAATGAGTTGAGGTAAGTTCTGTTAGGGTTTTTTGTTTGAAAATAGATATTTGTTTAGATGGGCTCTGGAGTTCTGTAGTTGTATTACTGTCGGTTATAGCCCGAAATTCACTTTCACTGCCGGCTTCAAGTACCAAATTGCATGAATGTAGACAAATATCATAACAGTATTGCATGAAGTGATGGTTTTGCGGTGACACAAATGACAGATGAATATGAAAAGTCCTATTAAGAGGTCTGAGGAAACGGACGATGCTCCGGGTATAGTCTCTTGTATTGGCCAATGACTAATCTGCTGTATGATAGGTGATATTCTGGAGGCCCTGCTGGGAAATTTGCTTCTAGCTTAAATTCGAGTATAATACTGACTATTTATTCGGCTTATGGCTCTACGCATTGTCCAACTTCACCACAGAGAACTCGAGCCTCAATTATCCAATAACCATGTAATTAGAAGTTCTAGAGATAAATTAAGCAAAGTATCCAGCAAGTCTTCGAGTGGTGGTGCTTGCTCGCCTCAGTAGCAGCACAGTTGTAAATTGTAATAATGGGGCCCTACGTCTTAGGTCCAGTGAGGAATGTAGCACGAGCCAGAGGGAAGGATTCTCAATTATTTTGTAATGCCGTGGGACAGAAGAGGATTACGGGTAGCTATTTATATTTAGGTCTTGGCGCTGGAATGAATGGTAGGTATCTTCATCACTGGCAAGATTAAAAGGGAGGTTACACTGGACCCTGTCTTAACAAGAGAGGCACCACCTGTCTCAAAAACGCATGGTAATGCTTGATCACTTAATAAATATGTGGCTAACTCATTGCTCTGACTTTCGCATGTTCTTCAATATATTTTCAGTCTAGCAGATGATGAGGGTGTCCGACGATTGTGAACGCGAGGTGTTAAAGGTCCGACCACTACTTGCGACTGCGAAAACCAAAGCAGTTTTGTTACCGCTCCAGATACTGTAAAGTGAAGAGTTTGGCAGAGGAAGGCCCTCCGACGTAAAAAAAAAACAGCTGAGTCGTCTCAGGGTTCGCCAAGTTACGAAAAACAAGCATCTCTCAAGAGGTCCACGGTACTGTCAGACTTGCCGGGATTTGATCATGGAACATCTAAGGCCGTCTTGATGAATCAGATTGCTGGAGCTTGCCAAATTAATATTCCTACAAACTTCCTGCGGCGATGATGCTTGGCCAAAGGCTCATTGAAGGTACAAGTGGTAGGATTTTCAGCAGAGGAAGCTTACAATACAATGTCTCCAGATGGGTTCGTGGTGGAAGAGGTCACGACGGAGAGGGCCATCGTAGAGGAAGTTCTGTAAGTGGTTGGGGCGATGGTGGTGACGATAGTCGCTGAGGTGGTGGTAGGAGCAGTTGTGGTGGGGACATCAGATCTTTTTGAGGTTCCAGTGCAAAGCCAGATTGCTCGCGGGAACTGGAAAAATAGCTCAATTTGGCCCTTTACTTTATTTAATGATGTTAAGAAAATTCTAATGCTGAAATAGTTAATCCAAACTCGTTCTCAAGACTAGCGGCATTTATTACCGAAAGGTTTTGAGCAGCATCATCAACGTCTTGAAGATAGTGCTTGCTGTGCAACCTACCATTTCTCCATTCTAATTTTCAGTCAAACAGGACTGCAGTGGAACCTGAAATTTACAAAGCATTTTCTCTCATTACGTTTATTGTAAACGAGAAACCTGTTTGGATGTTGATAATCGCCCGATATCTTGGTAGTCGGATTATATCCCTTAAGTACAGGTCAAGCAATCCGAAGATCTGTAGTGAATACTCAAGGCTTTCGAACAGATATAATTGACAAAAGTGTTACGAGAAGTCCAATTATTTGCAATGAAGGCCGAGTATTTTGATCTGCTGGTAATTAACAAATTTTCTCTAGTTATCTTGATGAGGTATTTTTCAAAGAATAAACGTCTTGAGTGTTCAACGCATCTGAGTTGACTCTCTCTGATGATGCAGAGTTTTGTGTGGAGCGTCCTCGAAGGCTAGAGTTGCTACCACCAACGCTCGATGGTCGGAACAGACTGAAGATACTTCCGCGGCGGCTCTTCGGTGGCCTTTTGGGCGACGGCTGATGCATTTCATCATAGTCTTCATCTTCGCTGTTGCCGGTATGTAGCTCATGAACGTTGTGTGCCTCATCGAATACCACGTCTTGCGACTCGTCCCAGTTTTGCGCTGGAGCGATAATTGTTTTAGGTACGCCCTTAACAGTCACTACGCTCTCTACGATGCCTTTAATGCTAGTGCGATAGGATGACGAGATCATTTGGGTATCTGAGGGGGTCTCGCTAAGTCGTTGTTCGAAGCTGGAGAACGATTGGCTTGGTTTTACATGAATTTCCGAAGAACCCGGAATGTTCTGAGCCGAAGTGGGCGAAGTGGGGGATTGTTGCTTCGAAGTTACCACCTGGGTTCTTTCACCCGTATCAAGAGTATGCTGAACTGCTTTTTTCGAAGCCTGCAGGTGCTCCTGTAATAATGGTGAGCTCTCTTGTTTATCAAAATCACCGTCTCTATCCTCGCTTGGGGAGTGGGCTACAGGCCTGGTAGTTGTGGCATCGGGGGACAATGTTGTCCCGCCATAACCTGGAGATGCTCCTCTGTTATTAGTGAGTGGCTCTGGAGTATTGTCAGGTTGTCTCTTAACTTTCACGAAGGGATTTTGGACCTCCAAGGGATTTGAGGCAAGGTTGAAGGGGACCACAGCAGATAACTGTGCAGGAGGCTTTGAGGTAGGTGAGCCTTTGAGAAGGGGCAAACTTTCCTCTGTAATGTCAACGGAGTTACGTTGTGAATTCTTGTACAGAGAATGCAGATATGAAGTAATGTGACGCTTGGATAATGGTCCTGGTTGCTCACGCATAATTCGCTGGTGAATATCAACAAAAACATCAGACTCGTCAACAATTTCTTCTCCAATCAATTCCTCGATAACATCTTCTAATGTCAGTACACCCAATGCACCTGCGGAGCTTCCCGGTTCCTTGGAGACCACACACATATGCGATTTGCCCTCCTGGAAATAGTTTAGAATGTTAAGACAAGACGTTCTAGGGGAAGTTTCAGGCAATGTGGCTAAGGGGAAATGGGAAACAGGCAAGCAATCGTCCGGATCATAGGAAATGAGTACACGGACCAACAACATTCCAATAAAGTTGTTGGTTTCGCCAGGTAAATGAATAGGAATGCGGGAAAATCCAGAGTTGAAAATTTCAGCCACAGTCTTCTCATTTAAAACAGCATCCGCACTCATGGTAAAGACGTTGACTATAGGTGTCATAATTTCACAGACTTTCTTCTCTTTGAGGTCCAAGACGGCAGATATGATTGTGACTTCATCTTTGGTCAATCTTTCCACACCCATCGTGCGGTGTAGTGTTACCAGAGTCTTGAGGCCCGACTTCTTGTACATGGTGCCGTGATCCTCACCCAAAATACGGTCAAGTAGTAAAGCGACGGGATAGGCCACAGGGTACATTAAATACATGAGCAGCTCGACAAAGGGACAGAAAAAAGCTCCAATTTCCAAACCGTAGCGAACGCAGACGGACTGAGGAATGACCTCGCCAAATATAACAATCAGGATAGTACTGAAAACAATTGCCTGCCAGCCTCCACCAAGAATTCTGTCCAACACGATAGGCAGCGTTTCATTGGTAATCACATTGGACAACAACAAGGTCACCAAAACCCAATGTTTGCCCTTGGAAATCAGTTTTAAAACTCTGAGAGCCGCTTTTTGTTCCTGTTGAGATCCGGACGTGCTGATAACCTTTAGGTAAACCTCGTCTTGGCCCATCAAACCCAGGGTCAGGCCAGCAAATACACCACCTAACAAAACGAGCAGAACTGAAATGCTCAGAAAGGTGACAAAATCTGCTTCTTCCGCAGCTTCGCTCCGAGCGGCGATGGGCACCAACGGGTGGCCCTGGATGGCATGAATGAGAGAGAAGAGCCAAACTCCCCTTCGTACACTGAAAAGAGCCCCTTGGCTATTCATACGACGTGGTTGGTACTAAACGGCGCTTACAGTCAGGGCTACAGAAGAGACATCTGGCAATAAACGGAAATTATAGGTTGTGGTGAAGTGTTCTCGTAGTAGACGATATTCGAGTTCATAGTCAATCTAAGGCAACTGCGAGTCGTCACTGAAGTACACACACGCAAAGCGTGCACGATAATGCAACGCGGTATCAATACCAATCAATTTGTACTCTTTCAGTGAGATGAAGCTAGGATAAAAAGTTGGTCGATGAATGAGATAAATGCCGCAAAAAATATGATGTTTTTATACGGTATTCTAGAGGGTCAAACTATTACAAGGAGCATAGTGAAATGGTCTGGAGTCTACGATATATATGGTCTTTGAGAGTGCTTGAAATGCTCGAGTGCTGCCTCTGCAGGAAACTGCACAAACCGCTCGACCTTTTTCGTATTTGATGAGAGATGAAGGCTGTCGCATCTGCTTAACGGGTGCTGTGAGCTCAGAGGACCCGACTATACCAGCGCTAAAGGCGTTTTAGCTTATATTTTGTATTGTGTTCCGCCTTAGTCTCTTGTTGTAGTTTCGGTCTCTAATAATTAAAGCGAGTCAGCGCCGTTGTTCGATGACTTGCTCAAAACTTGGCTCAGTTCTTGGAGCGGATCAGAATCAGTACTAGATAAGTTGCTAACCTGTTAGTTCAAATTTCAAGATGAACATCATATTTTCTAAAGGTATGAACAGGGATTCGAAAGTATACATTTTCTTTTGGTGAAAACTCTACCCATAAGCCAAACCCCCCTATGGGAACTGTAGCCGGTATCTTAGAAGACATTGGAAGTGACTTTCTAAGAGCAGTTGAGCCTTGCTTACTCTAGTATCTAAAAAAGGGTATTCTCAAGGCAATCACTATCCTTCTGGATTTAATTAATCTTCATTAACCTTTATCCACTGACAACGCAACCCATTATCGCTTCTTACTTCTCACTAATTGAACGTTATGCTGGTGTCCGAGACTGATAATTTCGATGCCATTTAAACGTACTTGGATCACTGTCGCTAGCAGTACAAAGAGTATTTACTTCTCATTCTGTAATCGTTGAGGAATAACCAGTATCATTTGTTACCAAAGGGGTTTTTCAAATTCACCTCCTCACATCTTATGCATGCCTCAGATACGCTTATGTGTTGATTAATGAAAGCACGCAGCTCGACGCTGTCCTCAGAGCACGAGATTACGACACAATTCTAAAGAATTAGAGTAGTGAAGAAAGATTTGAAGAGTGTCTACTCTGAATCCCAAACTTGGTATTGGAGGTATTTGAGGTACTTGAGGAAGTTTTCTACCTGTGATTTTCTTTATTTACATTTCCTTGCCTTAACTTTAGCGTGTCACAACGATATACTAAAAACATGTTAAAACATCACAAATATAAAATAAACAAAGATTTCAAAATAGCTACTTCGTGCTACTTGCAACCCGTTCGGAATCTGTTTTCTAAGATTCTTTGAAATTGCTGTATAAACCTTGGTGTCAGTAACACAGGATTCGGAGGGAGCAAATAGTTTTACAGAGGGATATATATGCTTGCAGAGTGAATGGGTCCCATTCACCTGGTATTGTTCCAAATATGCCAACTCAACTTATATAATAATCTCCTATTCAAAGACCGTTTCGCGGCTTTTCTCGTTAACTGTTAGCTGAAATACGTCGCCTCTTGAGTAGTGGCCCGTGGGATCGAAATCGAACCGAGATTCGATGATCAAATTTGTATCAATTTCGGCCGTGACAAGACCCTCTTTGCCCAACAAGGGACCGGCAATAATCTCACCGTAGGGGTCAACTATAACGCTTCCACCATTAATTAAGTTTTCCTGACCATCTCCGGGTGCGCCAGGCAGCCTACGTGTTCCCTGTTCGTCGATAACCTCACCAAGCCCCATGACGGTAGCATTGGGCATGAACTGCACTGCACTTACGACGAAGAGGCGACCCTCGTATCCGATATTTTGCATGATGGTCCTCCAAATGGGACGTTGGTCCACCGTTGGCGCGCACCACACCTCAACTCCTTTTGCATACATAGCGTATCTCATCAGAGGCATCATGTTTTCCCAGCAGATTGCACCCCCTAGCTTGCCTACGGCCGAGTCCACTACGGGGAGCGTAGAGCCGTCACCCTGGCCCCAAACCAATCGTTCGCTGGCGGTGGGCATGAGCTTGCGGTGTTTCCCAACCAGTCCTTGGATAGGGTCGATATAAAGCATTGAACAATACAGAGTTGTCCTATCGCGCTCAATGCATCCGCATACAATCGAAGCACCAGTGTTTTTAGACAGCTTACAGAGCTGGGCCACCTCTGGATAAGTATCCCCACTGCCCACTTCGATGGCTTGTTGAAAATACCTGCGAAACTCTTCTTTTCCAGACTGCAGTCTATATCCGAGATAAGTGTCAAAGTTGGAGCCTTTAGGATACCCTCCTAGGGTTGCCTCCGGGATGACTACCAGGCTCGCCCCGGATCTTATGATTTCGGCTTCGTAAGAGAGAATATTTCTCAGCGTGGCTTCCGTCCCATCGGGGCTCGAACCGACCTGTAATGCCGCAATGACCTTCTTCGCCATTGGTAAGAGTGCGCTGCCAATTCTGCAAGCTTTCACGAATATCGGAGTACTTTCAAGTTCACACACTCGGTCTCCTGATCAAAGATGGTCAATTTAATATGATTTAATATGCTTTTTGTAGCAGAGGAGTTGTGAGTCAGAGAGGCGACAGCGGTGGTGAATGACAACTCAAAGGTTGAAGTCGGATGAGTAGCTCGAGCAATTGTTTTTATTACCAGCTACAGGTGGTATTTTTCGTTACGAGCTAGTAGCTCCCAAAGTGATCATCAGTCTCCTCCACCAAAGACGTTGGGCGTCATGACATACTCACCCAGTCGACATAAGAGACTGTGATTATGCGGGTACACAGCCTATTTGGTAGCAGAAGTGAGTCTGAATTGTGCTCCGCTGCTTTTTCGTTTTCGTCTCGTCACAGGCCCTAGAAATGAGCAAGCAGCGTGAGTCGTAGTCAGCGCCTCATACAAAGAGAAGTACGCAATGATTCGTAGCTGAAGATTTTGGCTCACTACTCGAACTACCGGTAGACTTCACCACGCAGGCTGGGCTGGGGCGACTGCTCCCTAACCATCAAGAGCGAGACAACTAATGCTCGCGTCGCAACTATCACGGGAGCCAGTTCCAATCGATCAGGATCCTATGTCCATCATAGATCCAGGCCACCAACAGAGGTCTTCTCTGATCTTGTAAGAGGTCTTCTAAATACTACTACTCCAGTGCATCCGGCGTATACTAATGCACTCACGTGACATATATGCTACAATAAAATAGTATTACTGGCACCTTTTCTTCAGGTGCTCCAACCTCTTCTTCTTGTGTTCAAACAAAACACCTTCCAGGTTGCTCTGCTCGATCTAATGGATCAAACAGATCTGGAAACCCTAGCAATGCTTCCCGCACGTCGAAACGTTAAACATAACCCGGTTTTCCGCGGGCTGTCAGCTGCACAGAGAGATACCGATTTCTCGCTTACCCGACAAAGCTCTGGAGCTACTCGTACTGACCTGCTGAGTGAGAACAATCAAATCTACCATACTCTCTACCCGATCCGCCTTTCCCTGTTCGAAACTATTTAGCCGCCCAGCCTCTTGCGCCCTTGCACCCAAGCACCCAAACACCTGCCAGAGCGACCCTTTCACGCTGCTTTCTGGTCCTTTCTAGGGAACAATCGACAGTTGTTCCCCGTGACGGTACCGCCGTGGCGTGCGTGCCGCGCCAACGGACAAGACGCCCCTTTGACCGTGGGTCTCGTGGCTTGACCCACCATTTGACCCAGAGGGTCAGGCCACTTTGGTCACTGACAACGAAATGGCCATGTGCCTTCCCTGTTCCTGCTGGGGTTTCTGACGCGGGAATATTTTGACCCAAGGTCTGTCCCTATTTAAGACTTTGACCCAAGAGCTGACCCAGAATTTGGCCCATATATCGTGACCTACCAGTCCCACCACTTCCGTTTTTGACCCACAAGTCTCCCGCTACACAGCACCATAATGTCCCAGGCTCGCAAGCTGCCGCTGCCTACTCACGGATGCCCGTTTAGCTTCCTCACATTGCCCCCGGCCCTGACTAGCGGTGCTACAGTTAGCGGATGGACCGCCTACAGCGACCAACAGCTACAATACTGGTGATGATGATGTTGTTGTTGACAATCAGCAACTACTGCCGTTATTGTCAAACAGGTTATGTGTGGCAAAAGCGTGCGCACAGCGGATGATTTTGTTTGAGAAGTTTCTTGTTTCTTCTACACGTAAGTGGTTCCGGTACGGGCAATAGGGGTGGGAGAAAGGTCTGGCGCAGCAAAACTGTAAGGCCGGAAGAGCAGCGGGCGAAAAGTATAAAAGGGATGAGAAGTGGCCACATTGATAGGGGACAATTGGTGATCTAGCTTAGTTATTACTTTGTTAGAACAAGATCCAAGTTTAAGAGAAACAAAGAGTTTTTCATACACTAGAGACACAGACTCGACTTTTCAATCACACACACAATGCCTGCTACTGAAAGATTAAATCAAACTTCCGATATCCTCTCGGAATCGCTCAAGAAAGTTGAAGTGCCATTCAAGGTGACGGTGATCGGCTCCGGTAACTGGGGTACCACCATCTCCAAGGTGGTGGCAGAAAACGCCGCTCTAAGACCTCAATTGTTCGTCAAGCGTGTGGACATGTGGGTTTTCGAGGAAACCGTGGAGGGCCAAAAACTTACCGAGATCATCAACACCAAGCATCAGAACGTCAAGTATCTACCCAACATCGACCTTCCTGAAAACTTGGTGGCCAACCCAGACCTACTGGACTCGGTCAAGGACGCTGACATCATCATTTTCAACATTCCTCACCAGTTCTTGCCACGCATTGTGTCGCAGCTCGACGGTAAGGTCAAGAAGACTGCACGTGCCATCTCTTGTTTGAAGGGATTCGACGTTTCCAAGGAAGGTGTCAAGTTGTTGTCCACTTACATTGAGGAGAAACTCGGCATCGTGTGCGGTGCTTTGTCCGGTGCCAACCTGGCTCCAGAAGTGGCTAAGGAAAACTGGTCCGAAACCACTGTTGCGTACGAGCTCCCAGAAGATTTCAAGGGCGAAGGCAAGGACGTCGACCACGGCGTGCTTAAGGCCTTGTTCCACAGACCATACTTCCACGTCAACGTCATCAACGATGTTGCCGGTATTTCTGTCGCTGGTGCCTTGAAGAATGTGGTCGCTTTGGGCTGCGGTTTCGTCGAGGGTCTAGGCTGGGGTAACAACGCTTCCGCTGCCATCCAAAGAGTTGGTCTCAGCGAAATCATTAAGTTCGGTCAATTGTTCTTCCCTCACTCTCGTGTGCAAACCTACTACCAGGAGTCCGCCGGTGTAGCTGACTTGATTACCACCTGCTCTGGTGGTAGAAACGTCAGGGTCGCTACTGCCATGGCCAAGACTGGTAAGTCTGCCGAGGAATGTGAGAAGGAGCTATTGAACGGCCAATCCGCTCAAGGTATCCACACCGCTAAGGAAGTGCACGAGTGGTTGTTCGCTAGTGGTAAGACTGAAGAGTTCCCTCTGTTCGAAGCCGTCTACCAGATCGTTTACGAGAATGCCTCTATGGATTCTTTGCCGGACATGATCGAAGACTTGCAAGGTATCAACACCCCTGCTGCTTAAACACCACCCTTCATGCCATGATCTTCGTCATTTCCATTATTTCTCCACTTTGCATTTTACCTACATTTCGGCTTCAAAGGATCGAAGGTATCCTAGCTGCCAACATCTACACAGCGCACATGTGCGGGTCAGGAAACCTGCCAAATATATCGAATATTTTGTAAAGTATTTATCATTTAAATTTGTGTGCTATTAAGTTCTTAAGTGTCTTGCCTTGTTAATGGTTTTATTGGTCGCCTCCCATTCCACCTTAAGTCACGGCTTTTGGGAGCCAGCTAAGATTCGGTGCCAGAATTTTGCGGATCAGAGGGCCCCGCTTAGGTTGGATTACGACTCAATTTCCATGATAGTCATTGGAGGCTCACTTGACTATCACCCAGGCCCTCTAAACAATCAATGGTAATACTTAGTGCACGGGGAGGATTTAGCGTACTACGCGAAGGTCTTGTACATTCTCTCAGAGTTGGCGTCAGTAAAATAGAGAAGGAGTCGCTAATATATAATACATCCAAACGGACGCCATGCCTCCCAGTGTGCAGTTTCTTCAAACTCAATGAGCACGTGACGAGAGTCATTATGATACAAAGTGACAAACCAAACATCGCGAACCAACCGCCCCAGCGCCCCACTAGATGCGCCCAGGCTACCTGTTGAAAGCTATTCCAATGAGCCACCAATACTCTTCCACCATGAGGCTGTTGAGCGACCGTCTCGCAGGTTCGGCGTTCGCCTGTATTTCCGCTCAGCGGGCCTCAATAGGACTTGACCACTAATCATGGCGCAACACTAGCACAAAACAGTTTTCCATGCCTAACCGGCAATAACCTGGCACAGCTCACTTCTTCTTCCACCGTGACATACGCGAGGAACCTCCAACGTATCTCGCATTCCAAACGCTACAACCTCAGTCGCACCAAGTCGGCAATAGGCTACTCATATTTTTAGCCATTCATCAGGCTCGGATATGGCACTCCGCGCGCTATTTAGACTTGACAGGTGATCGATTTTGTATGTGCATCTCTAATTTTTCCACTATGATGCGATGCCCATTAATTTTCCTTATCTTCGCTATCATTTAAACTAAACAAAGCCATGGCCATCAATCGCACTTAAAACAGCGCCGCAGCTAGTAAGCTCATTGAACACACTTCGATTGAAGACGCTTTTACTCCTCCTGGGTGCTTTTCTTATCGTCCATGGAATGTTTATCTTGCTGTAAACATGACACTGTGCCTGCCTTTCTATGGCGTCCGCGCCGGACAGTGCTCGAGCCTTTTGCCAACCTAGATCTTGAATAGCGGGAAGAGCGTCCCCTCTTTGCACGGCCCATCACTGCGTTGTTTGTTTTGATGAAGCTACTCGTAGAGCTCTATAATCACTACCATCAAACATTGCCAGAGAAAAACTATGGGAATGCCTCTGTGGGTTTATCACCTTGACTCGTCTGACCATTTGCAGGCATGGTTATTTTTACTGTAGCTTCTCGATGATTGCCTTGTGCTTGTGTATAAAAGACGGGTTTATTAGACTGTATAGAAAATGCTTGCAACCACTTATCGACACTACTAAGCTAGATAACGGCAACTCAAATCTCTGACCGAGACCCTAGCTAGTTCTTCCGCAATAGGACATCTGTGACTTTTGAATCCCTCATTGTTTCCTCCTGACGTTGTTCGCAACTTCGCTTCAACGTTAAACTCCTTTACAACTGCATTACAAAACCAAACATAGCAAACTGACAGATATAGACCTAGCAGTAACAGCTATCGATAACTAAAACCACGAAGACTGACTTTCAAGTATGCTTTCTGCCAAGAACTCACAGGTACCAGATATTTCTACCCTTTCTATCTCCTCGATGTCAGATTACCACAACTTCGAGTTTCCTGGTAAGGATGCTCAGCGTGAAGCTGTGCTAGATCTGGTCGACCAACAGGGGTTTATTCCGGACGACGTGGTGGAACACGAAGTGGAATGGTTCTACGACGCGTTAGGGATTGACGATCTGTTCTTCTCCAAGGAGTCCCCTGAAATGATCGCCAACATCATCCACTCGCTGTACGCGGCCAAAGTCGAGTCATTTGCAAAGGTCAAAATCGCAGGGACCTCTGATGGTGTGGAGGCCAAGATCGGTGGCTTTTCGGTGAAAACACAGGTCGTCACCGAGTCTCACTCGGTTTTCATTGAGACCGGCAGTGAACTCGACGAGGAGATCGATTCGCTGCTTCTCGACACCCACAACCATCGTTACCGACTTGTTTCATATACGGCGGAAAATGCCTTGAAACTCACTTTTGTATACCGCACCGTGTTCGCCCAGGAGCCTTCGACATGTCCCAAATTAACCTCCGAGCAGCTCTCCAAGGGCGACATCGACATTGTGAGTGATGTGACCATGTCGCAAGTGACTTCTAAGGAGAATAAGAGGCTTTACGGACTGATTATGGAGCAGATGCATCAACGGGAGGGCCCTATCATCAAGACCTTGAATTCGGTGGCCGATCAAGATGAAGTACGTATTGTGATAGGTTTCAAACGCGGTACCACTAAAAGCTACTATACCGCATTATCTTCGCTACTGCATTACTATGATCTGAAACCATCCAAGATTTACCTCGAGTCCTTTGCTAACGACACAATGATATACTCTCTCTACTTGAAACAGTCACAGCAGTCTGAGAAAGTTTTGAGCAACTTACCAATGTCCATCAATCAGTTTGAAAGAGAGGCGTCCTTGTTGTATGCAATTCCCACCAACTTTTTCCAAGATTTATACCAGCAGAGGAAGTTCTCACCCCAAGAATCCATCTACGCTCATATTGGCGCCATATTCATCAACAACTTCATCAACAGACTAGGTGAGGAATATCAGGATTTGGTAGGCCAGGTCAATGTCTCGTCGACATCCAACAATAACTCCATGCTAGAAGTCTTGGCTGGCTTAAAGAAGAAGCTAAGAAATGAGACTTATACACAGCAAATGATCATAGAGGTTCTGCACAAATATAAGGATATTGTCTCTAAGCTCTACAAAAATTTTGCTCAGGTCCACTATGTGTCATCGCAATCCACCAAGTTTGGAAAGACGTTATCTTACCAAAGGCTGTCCATGCTTGAACCGTTTGCCAACGATAAAGAGTTTGAGCAGTATGTTAACAAGTTCATTCCCAACGACTCCCCCGACCTGCTGATCTTGCAAACTCTGGCGACGTTCAACAAAGCCGTCCTTAAAACCAATTTCTTCATGACTAGAAAGGTCGCTATTTCCTTTAGACTTGATCCACAATTAATAATGCCCAAGGTAGAATTTCCCGAAACCCCTTACGGGATCTTTTTCGTGGTTGGTAACACTTTCAAAGCGTTCCACATCCGTTTCCGTGACATTGCCAGAGGCGGTATTCGAATCGTTTGTTCGAAGACTCAAGATATTTACGAAGTCAACTCAAAGATGGCAATCGATGAAAACTATCAATTGGCATCTACTCAGCAACGTAAAAACAAAGATATTCCAGAAGGTGGTTCCAAAGGTGTCATCTTATTAAATCCTACTTTGACCTCCCAAAAGCAAACGTTTGTTGCATTTTCTCAGTACGTGGACTCCATTATCGATATTCTCATCCATGATCCTTTGAAAGAAAAATATGTGGACCTTTTATCACAACCTGAGATACTTTTCTTTGGACCCGATGAGGGGACCGCCGGGTTTGTAGACTGGGCCACTGCTCATGCAAAAAGTAGAGGATGCCCTTGGTGGAAGTCATTTTTGACTGGGAAATCCCCATCAATGGGCGGCATCCCACACGATGTTTACGGAATGACTTCGCTTAGCGTGCGGGCTTACGTCAGTGCTATTTATGAAACTCTGGGGCTGCAGAGCACGACAATCAACAAATTTCAAACTGGCGGTCCAGATGGTGACTTAGGTTCCAATGAGATTCTGCTCTCAACTCCGAACGAAAATTACGTCGCACTTGTTGATGGCTCAGGTGTTATTTGTGATCCTGTTGGGCTTGATACAGAAACTCTCAGAGAGCTGGCGTTGGGTAGGAAAACAATCTCTTCTTATGACAAAGCGAAACTGAGCGCGCAAGGTTTCTTTGTGTCTGTAGATGACATCGATATCGAACTGCCTAATGGTGTAGTGGTAGCCAACGGTACAACATTCAGAAACAGGTTTCATTTGGAACTTTTTAAGTTTGTCGAGAAAGTCGACCTTTTCGTGCCTTGCGGTGGCAGACCAAATTCCATTGATCTCAATGTCCTAAAATATTTTGTTGATGAGAAGACCAACAAATGCAAGATTCCTTATATTGTTGAGGGTGCAAACCTCTTCATTACGCAACCTGCAAAAATCGCTTTAGAGAATTTGGGATGTATCTTATTCAAAGATGCCTCTACGAATAAAGGTGGGGTCACATCTTCATCAATGGAAGTTCTTGCTTCTTTGGCCTTGAACGATAACGATTTTATCCACAAATTTATTGGAAGTGATCACAGTAGGACGACTGCGTTATATGATGACTACGTTAAGGTCATTCAAAGTCGCGTCGAGAAAAATGCCCGTGCTGAATTTAATCAGTTATGGAAGTTGAGACAAACGGCTGGAATTTCTATCTCAGAACTATCGAATACCTTGTCTCAAACCATCAACAAGCTAAACGATGAGCTCATAGTTTCCAATGAATTATGGGTCAACGATCTCGAGCTTCGTAACTATCTACTCTTGAGGAAGATCATTCCCGACCTCTTGATCGATGTCGCTGGGCCGGAGAAGGTTTTGAGCAATATTCCGGAGTCCTATTTGAAGGCCTTGCTGTCAAGCTACCTTTCAAGTTCGTATGTTTATGGCAATGGGATTGACGTAAACATCGGGAAGTTCTTGGAGTACATTGGAGAGCTGAAGAGAGAAGCCAAGGAATATAAGTAGCTTATAAATAGGAATACATACACAAACTGGAGTGCGACATGAAATTTTTGATACACATAGTTTGATTATCGAATTATCTATTAGCTAGTTTTAAGGTACGAACTGATCTATTCGTCACACTGAAGTAAGCTTGAAAGGGTGAGCAGCTTGCCTTTCAGGAGTCCGGCTGCGCTTTGAGTATGCGTTACAAGGATCAGACGTCTAGAGCTTTAAGGGCTCAAGTGGACCAATGTATCTCTTCCATTAAAGACGATGAGAGCATAGGCGACTCACCGGCTGTTCTGCACGGTGGCGAAAACCAGGTCGGGCAGCGTCTGCTTAGTATAACTCAACTTTGCAGGAATCCTAACTCCAAGACTTTCAATAGCGAGCTTTGGAAAACCGATCCACGGTATCTTAAAAATGTGTTTCTGTCAAATCAAGCAAGTTACAAGATCTTGCAACATGCCGTTAGGGGCGGAGATGTCGAAATAATGGGTATGCTCATTGGAAGGGTACATACCACGTCTATTATGGTGCTAGATTGCTATGCTTTACCTGTAGAAGGAACAGAAACTCGAGTTAATGCCCAGTCAGAATCGTATGAGTATATGGTGCAGTACATGAATGAAATATATGGTACAAATCAAGCTAACTTACACATTGTGGGATGGTATCATTCACATCCTGGTTACGGGTGTTGGCTTAGCGGGATAGACGTCCAGACGCAAGAATTAAACCAAACATTTCAAGATCCATATGTGGCTCTCGTGGTGGACCCTACGAAGAGTTTGAGAGAAAAGCGACTTTCTATAGGTGCCTTTAGAACAATTCCAGATGAAGCTTTATCAGAACCTCCTCAAGAAGCTGGCAATGGTGATGCCAAAAACTATGGGCTTCACCATTTGAAGTATTATGAGCTGGAGGTAGACATTTGTGCAAGCAGATTCGACAAAGCTCTGACTATTTCACAGCTCAACTTGGAAGTGCCTGTACTAGATGAGTCTCAGGATAGTATCTTGGTGGAACAATTACTAGAATGTATCAAGAATTGGCATAACTACTCTAAATTATCGGCTTCGAGCCAATTTATTCTCGAAGCACCTTTGCAATCCACCATTCATCGTAATGAGAACGACATTGATATGGAAGACAGTTCGTATTTTCGTTCTGTTCCCACGTCCGTTAATAGCTCTCTAACAAGTATGGCCGAGGATAATGCGAGAAGCGACGTCGATATGGGAAGCAATACCCTAAGCAGACAAGAGAGCACTGAGAGCAGCTTACCACGGAATTCTTCAAACCAATTAATCTCTATTCCCAATGCATCCCAACAGAAAGCAAATCTCATGTTGGAATATCAGTTACACAGAAAAAAAATGACCGCTTCAAAGCTTCGACAGTACCAACGCCTTCGATTTTCCAGAGATGCTTTCACGCTATAGTTCAACTAGAGATATTCCGGATAGTACCTCACACTCTGAGTCGAATTTGTCGGGCGAAAAAGAGGTTGCTATGAGTTGAGGATTAGCAGGGTTCGACTTTACTATGTTTACTCGGCTTCTCCGTTGATCAACTTCGAGTATTACTGGGATGCGTTCTGATTGAGGCTGCTGTTCCTCTCTCGATACCAGCCCTCCAAACTCGACCATATCGCTAGGCCACTGCAATATGTATCCATCTATCGTGCCAATCAATAAACCATTGAGAATGTCCAGCGTCGCCTTGAACTTTTGAGAACCGATCTTGAAGGGGAGAGCCAATTCGTTTATTTTCGAAAATCCTCTTCGAGCGTCTAAGATATCAATAAATTTACTGTTTCTCTTTATCACATACATGAAATGTTTGTTAACACTGAAGAGAAGTTGGACGATTCCACCTGATCCACTTTTTATACCGAGATCTTCCCCGCTTGCCAACAGTGCCAGTTTTTGACATCGAAGATCAACACCCAAAACATCGTTGTTATATGTCGCTGCGAAGCGCATCGGCTTATGCTCTAAGTCGATTATTTCGTCAAAGCAAGACACAATGCTACGGTGTGCGGGTCTACGCCTCATTTTTAGATTGTCCCTAGTGCTGCTCCAGACGGGGTGTTTACGATTGAGGTCGTAGGCGAATATTTTATTTCTTGACGAGCCTGCAAGAAAAGCCGATTCTTGGTGAAAGCTTAACGAATACATTGTCTCAAATCGCTCATTTTCCACATTAGCTACCGAATAGCTATAGAGAGGCGCGTGTTCCGAAGCATGTGGGGACAGAGAGAACAATTGCAGAGGTAATTCCTTGGAAGATGACAACATCACGTTGACGCCCTTGTCACCGTCAAAGATTGAGTATAGTGGATGTACACAACTCTCAACTATCGACTGCGGCCTAAAGAACCGCTTGAATGGTATCAAAGGCGAGCCAGAAATTTCAGGCACCAAATACTGACGTACGCCATAATCGTTGAAGACTGCGACCAAAGACGTGCCGTCTCGGGACCAGCAAAGATTCAGACAAATTGTAGGCTCTGCACAATTGATTCCATTCGTAACTGTCCCACATTGAAGGCCTTCTTCAAACCTGGACGGTTCTAACTCAGGAAATTGATAGTCCAGCTGTGACGTCTCGTGAATCCACCATCTTTGCTCCTTCTTCCATGTTTCAAAAACATTTCTGCCATAAAAGGTATCGCGAGTATCGCATACCATATTCAATCTGCTCATAACTCCATCTCAATGGTTATCTGTGTGACTTGCCAGCTTTTTTATCCGTAGAGATGAGCTTCGAGAACTAAAGTAGGCCTGAATTTTTTGAACAATTTTGAGATCCTTTGTACGAGGAAGTACCAGGAAGCATAAAACCAAAGACTTCTGAAAGACACTAATATTCCACTGATAGAGCAAGCTCCTATCTTAGTTGAAACCAGTGTTTGAAATAATCTTAGTGTTTGGATAAAATGGTCTACCATGGTTTCGGTTTGGAGCAGATATCTCCACCCAACAATAAGCCAATGGCGGAGATGGGCCCAGAGGAACAGGGCGAGAAAGGCGCTCAAATGATGGTGGACTTCATGACCTCCTGTCCAGGTAAATCTGCAATCAGCGGTGTGACAGGTTTTGCCTTGGGTGGTGTCTTTGGTCTTTTCATGGCGTCAATGGCGTACGACACTCCCTTGCATACACCCACTGTACCCGGGGCGTCGCCACTACCAAGTAGTGTGCAGCATATCTCAGACCTACCTTTCAAGCAGCAAGTGAAGCTGCAGTTTGCTGATATGGGGAGACGAGCGTACTCAAGCGCGAAAAACTTTGGATACATTGGTATGATTTACTCTGGAGTGGAGTGTGCTGTGGAATCGCTGCGCGCGAAGAACGATATCTACAACGGCGTGGCCGCCGGGTGTCTCACTGGTGGCGGTCTTGCTTATAAAAGTGGTCCTTCCGCAGCGTTGGTTGGCTGTGCGGGTTTCGCGGCCTTTTCAACTGCGATAGACTTGTACATGCGTCAGGAAAACGGAACCCCACCCAAGAACGATTTCGACGAGTAATTCCATTCGTCTGCCATGGAGTCAATGCTCGGGAAAGCACGAAGTCAATCGCGCATCACATCTTGTAAATGCCATACACGGCACCCTGTATAATACATCATTCATTCTAACCTGTATATTTTACACATCGCTCAAGTATAGATTGAGCCCAATAAGAATTATAATACAAATTATCCAGGCCATGGCCTCAGTCCGATAATCGGTTCTTTGCTTGCCATCTAACAAAGCCAGCACTTGATCCAATTTTTGCGAATTTGTTCGAAGAGTCTCGTCGATGGCGTACAAATGAGAATTTCCAGTCTTTGGTCTATCTATGCTCATTTCCAGTTCGTCAAGGTCAGGTTTATCATCGTCATCGTCATCTAATTGTCGCAGAGATAACTCTACGCCGGAAGAATTCGACTTGAGGCTGGTGTGGGCAGAAGGCGATCGGGATTCATTCCAAGAGGAATCCCACTCTTGACTTATCTCTGGATTTTTACCGGATATAATTTTTTTCCACCTTGATTCGAGTTCTTTTCTGTTGGGACCACTGCTCAGCCCTTGTTCGCCCGACGACAGATAGCCTAGTGGAACCGGCCTACCAAGGCGTTGTTTCAGCTCTTTGAAAGACTCTCGACGACGGCCACGGTCGACGTTCGTTCTGAAGTGCGTTGAGCGAGGCTCCTTGAACACTCTCCGCGGAATTGCTTGAACTCTCAGAGTTCGACCTTCATTGGGCCACAGCCGCTCACTGCTTGGTGAGCGCGAAGAAACAAGACTCTTGGTAGATCTCAACTCCGGTGTGAAGTGCAGTTCTTGCTCCATTTCATCTTTCGACCTTGGTCTCACCTCCGTAATTTTAGGATTGAATGGGTTAGACACCACTTCAGGTTTTATTGTCACTGTTTCCGATTGTTCTTGTTGAAGCGTTGCTCCACGATGTGAGCCCTGCTGATTTTGGTATTTCGGCAAAAATGTTAGTCGCTTGTAGTTATCCTGGGGATTCGCTTCATGCGACGATCCAGCAACAGATGTAGAATTGTCAGATATAATAGAGTCTCGATGGTTTCTTTGGTTTTCCTCCCTGACGTGCAGCTTCTGTGCCCTGTTGTACAGTTCGTTAATTCGGGCGACTCGAGCTTCGCTGGCCAGTCGATTTTCATATGAGGGGAGGTTCAAACGGTTGGTATTAAGGGAATCCATTCATCTATTCGTGACAGCATGAATTATGAGAATACGGCAGATAGCTAAAACTCGCTCACTTAAACTTTTTAGTTATCTGCTGACTCTTGTGTTTATGAAGAAACCTCGACTACAATGAAATATCTTGATATTATTTATTCTTGTACAAATCAATATCTAAACAAAGGAATGCGATGATGAAGACACCGAGAAACACAGCTGCTTGAAGAAAGTAACTTTACAAGATGATGAGGTTCATCAAAGGATTTGGAGGCTGAAAAATGTAAATTTGGTGAACTTTCCTTCCTGGTGTTGGGCCTGTAAGCTTATATATAATTCCGGTAACTTTATAGCAGCGTTGAGACTAGAGATAGCAGATATATTAATTAAAGTTGAATTGCTGGTTGACATTTGACCCGAAACCAAAAGTGTTGCCCGCAGTTTGAGGTGCCATGCTTTCGTCCAAAGCATCGTCGTCCTCGCCGAAATATTGTTCGATGATGTTAAATGCCTTTTCGTAAATTTTCTCGTTCTCGTTTTGTTGGCACTTGAAAATCTTTTCGACACCGCCAGCGCGTTCTATGTAGTCGGCATTTTCATTGATATGCAAACCGCGAGCTTCTTTATCAGCTTCTCCCATCTTCAATACGTTTTCCAACGCGTCGAGCGTGACCTCGATGATTCTGTTGTCAGCAATGTCCAACAAGTCGCAAAGCGGTTTTATACAGCCCTGAGAAACTAGGTACCTGATAATCTCAGGCTTTTGGAGCCCCCCTGAAGATGCATTGGAAATGGCCCAGCAAGCTTCCTTCTTTGTCTTGTAATCGGCAACTTCCAAGAGCTTGACGAGAGGTGGTATCAAGTTGGCGTCGATAGCTGCTTGGATTTGGTCTGTGTTACCAGCCGTTATATTAGAGATCGTCCAGCACGCCTCTTTACGGATGGATTCCTTGGTGGATGTGAGAAGATGTCTCAATGCACTTAGGACGCCGCTGTTGATCACGACTTGAGTTTGAAGATCGTTACCAGTAACAATATTTCCCACGGCTCGCAAAGCTGGCGTTTGCACCAGAGTAGACTGGTGATTCAAAAGCTCGACAAGTCTCTTAGGGATTCTAGCGTCGATGACCGCTTGGATATTGTTGGCAGGGCCATCAGAAAGGTATGAGATGGCCCAACTTGCGTCGACCAGGGTTTCTGTATCCATAGAGTAAATGAGCTTGGCCAGAGTTGGCAGCGATTGGGAGACAACTGACCAATCTGGTTGGGGCTTCTTGCCCCTGCACAAGTTGGATAATGTCCAAGTGGCAGTTCTGATAAGAGATGTCTTGCTCAAGTCAAAGAGAGCTAGGATAGGCTGCATGGCACCACAACTCAATACGTAGTCCCTGTAACCAGTCGAATCTCCAGCGACGTTCCCGAGGGCCCAAATGGCCTGTTCTTTGACTTCGACGGAGCCCGAGTATAGCAACTGGATAAACAGAGGGACCGCCCCGGCCTCCACAACAATCTTAGTCTGGTCGGAAGATCCCGATGCAATGTTTGTAAGAGCCCAAGCTGCTTCAAGCTGCAACATTTCGGGCTGATTTTCGTTCATAAAGTTCACCAAGTTGGGCACCACTCCAGACTGAATTACCGTATCGATTGGGGGGCGATGTTCCCGTGAGAGGATTTGACGAAATTTGACCGTGGCGTTCAATTGCTCCTGGAGGTCTCCCGAATTGATCTGCTGGATCATTTGAGGGAGCTCTTGTTGCAATTGCGCGTAGAACTGTTGGTCTGCGGTGCTGGTCGCCTCATCGTCGTCCTCCGAATCTGCACCATCTGTTGGTGCATTGAAGTTCCTTCTTTTTGCCAAAGCCTCATCTCTTTTTGCCTTTCTAAGTTCCACCTGTTGGGTATCTCTGCGACGGCGTAACTCATCGGCAGAAAATCTGCCCTTGTTTTTGAAGTTGGTACGTCTGTACTCGGGAACAAACTTGTTTGAAGAAGATTCACCGTCCATAATGTTAATGCACAAAGTTACACCTAGAAGCTCGGCCTTGAGTCCTCTGATGGTGAGACTTGCTAAGGTTGTTAACGGGACCACCGCTCTATCCTTCACAAAATTTTCGCACATTTGTCGACATCATTACACACGTACAAGACTTGGAATGTCAAAGACCTGGTTTCTGAAATATCAGCCAACGAGGGCCCTAGAACTATTCTATAATATCGCTTCGTTTCAGTCTGATCCCAGTTAGTTTCCCACTTTTTTTTGGGTTCAAAACGGGGTCTTTTAAGCTCTACAAAAAATGAATCTGGTCAAGCGAGTATTCGTGGTATGATTAATCAGTTTCACTGACACAAGGAGAGTCCAGTTAACGGGTACTGCGAACAATTGGTTTTGATTGGAATTGAGCGAGTCTCATCCGAAAGTTTTCGCGTCTTTCTCTTGTTAATTTGTGAAGTATCACAATAAAGTGTTGACTTCATAACTCTGGCCATCGCCATCAAAATTACAATGAATGCAAAAAAGCAGCTCTTCATTTCAACTTAAAGTTGCCCGCAACCGACGTAGCAAGCTCAGTATGCCCGCGAATAATTCACTTTGTCAAAAGGATGTACTATTTCCCGCCTGATGGGAGAACGCTTCGCAAAGCCTTTGTCTCAACGGTCGTAAGTAGAAGCCTTCTCGCCTCCTCATCACTGGGGCTGCCCAGACACAATAGCTAGCTGGCACACACATTCATTCAAATATATAAAAAGATAGATTAGGACGGAAGGACAAGCATCGGCACACACATCAAGCGACACACACGCGCAGCAACAATCGTTTACACTCGCATGCGGGCAACACACACGCCCACACACAAGCACAAACATATCAACACACACACGCACAAACACACACACGCACACACACACACACACACTCACTCAAAAAATTTAACAACAAAGCACCACACACTTCACAGGTACAGTTGCAACCGGGAGAAAACACACATATCCCCACAACAGCAACCGGCGAAGTAATATGGATAATACTTTACGAAAAAAAACCGCTTACAACAACATTAGGGCACCAACAAGGGCAGCGGAGCCAACGGTTAGGCCCAAAACCTTGTGAGCACCGTCGAAGTCAGATGGTGCTGCGTTGACGGCGGCGTCCTTGGCGTAGACAGTTGAAGTTGGGTTGCTAGTCTTGTTAAACTTACCGTACTTATGAGTACCGGTAGATGTTGGCTCTTCGGAAGGCGAGGTCTTGTTAAACTTACCGTACTTATGAGTACCGGTAGATGTTGGCTCTTCGGAAGGCGAGGTCTTGTTAAACTTACCGTACTTATGAGTACCGGTAGATGTTGGCTCTTCGGAAGGCGAGGTCTTGTCGAACCTACCGTACTTATGAGTACCGCTAGTTGTTGGCTCTTCGGAAGGCGAAGTCTTGTTGAACTTGCCCGCCTTGTGCGTTCCGGTCGTGGTAGTGATGGTGGTGGTAATACCATCACCGGTTTGTTTGTCGCCACCAGAAGCCATTGCAATGGCTGACACTGCAGCTAAAGCTCCAATGCTGACTCCCGTAACCTTCATGGCAGCTTTAAATTCGAAATTTCGAGTCGGAAAACAGAGGGTTAAACAATCTCAAAACTTTAAAAGAGCTCTGTGTGAAACTTTGAAGGTGTGCTTTCTCAGTTCCAAACGTGTGGTCCTTTCAGTTGTGTATCCGTTTGTCCTCCCTGACCTAAATTCCTGTAAACCGAGTTCAAGAAAGAGAAACGGTCGCCCTAAACCTCTGCAAAAATCTTCTGCTTTTAAAGAACCGGCAATCTTTTCACGCAAACAATCCCAGAAAAATTTCCGTCACGGATATTCGCTCAATAGGAGTGCCAGGAGAAACTTTCATCGCCGTTTGGAAATTCCCTCTGCAATCTAATCGCTCACGCACGCTGTGCTCACGCTTATATCACACTACCTTAGACCAGCCAACCAGAACTCTATTTTTTTTTTCTTTCAGAGACCCACAACAACACGGATGATGTTTACCATCCCCGCCGTAGCCGGTTCCGCGCTTTCTCTTGTACGGTGTTCCTGAGGTCGAATGCAGGTTGCTAGTGGCGTAGAAGACAGGCCCAATGTAGTTGTCAAGTGCTGCACACAAATTTCGGATAGCTCGCAGTGATAGCTGGACGACTTGGAGCACGCAGTTAGGAAAGACCAAAACAATAACAAGAGCCCGCCATGAGCTTGCCAAAAGCGCGGTGTTCTGTGTCTGTCCAGAAAATCGGATTTCAAACACGCAGCAAGGAGACGACAGCACATGGAAGAGACACCAGTCTCGCCGGAGACACGGGGGCCACGCCGCTAGGCCACCTTAATCATGTAGACAGTCCTCAAAACGCCTTGTATGCCATGTCGTTTTATTCTGCTTGAAATTTTGCAGGTAGCTGTCTCTTTCGACACTGCATGGAAACGGAAACGGAGCTAAGGTCTTACCATGGAAAGCGAGCTTCTAGGAGCCTGACTCTTTGTAGCCCGAAAGTGTCTTCTCGGAAAATACCGAATTGTAAGATCACCCTCGACCCACGTAAACGACCAGGTTAACGCCAAAACCCAGCTTGCGCGCCCATCGCAATCCCTGAACATCACCAGCACGCCAGAAAGACTGCGACCCGATATTTCTACACCTGGAAGCTGCTCTTTCACGCCCTGTGGCCCTTTCTGGTGTTTCTGTTGTCTGACAATAGTGGTTGGCAGAAGACAAAGATATAGCCGCCCACCTCTGCCAAACAAATAGTGAGCCTTCGAAAACAAACAGGAGCCAAGAACAATAAGGCAAACATATTCAGCATTGAAAGTGGTCATATTTAATCATTACGAACTTCAACATAGCAGTAGCCATTGTGGCCGAGGATTGAGAATTCTAAATTACCGAAGGGGCATATGTGTGTGGAGTCCTCCTTAGCTTATGTTTAGATTTGGAAGCGTGGGAAGACAGCTGGCTCTTAGATTGGGTGTCCAGTGCTTATATTAGGGTTTCCATCAGTTCTGGGGTTTACTGAGGTGTCAGTCACGATGGGCTGGTTCCCAGAGTAAGTTGTATTATTCATTACGTTCGGGTCGGTGGAGGGACTGGTTGCGTCGGCCGTGGTGGGATTAGTATTGGTAGCGTGAGGATCCATTTCGGTTGCTCCCGAGACATTGCGTCTGTGGTCAGAGTCTGCAAGCTTGTCGTTGTGGACTCCGTTGTAGGTGGAATCCCCAGTGGAGAAGGTGTGCTGGTCGTGGCCAGCTCCAGTAACTCCCGCGGCATGTCCCAGGGCTTCAGTGTCGCTGCGCTCTGCGTCACTGACGCGGAGGCCAGTGTGGGGGTTGAGTTTTAATCCTGCGTTCTTATAAGGCTGCCACAACGAGCTAGAGCGACCACCACTTCTTGCCAACAAAGGCTTAATGACAAGCAGCCCAATCAGTATGGGCGAAACAATAAACAAAATGGTAGCCATACCGGAAAACGCAATAGCAGCCTGCGAGCTACGACAGGCCCGCATGTGGGCATTGCTGGTGTAACGGCCGGTGTACGGGTCGTAGGACCCCCCAGCGTTGACAAAATCCGAAAACGACCCGTACTGCGAATTGTACGTGTTGGTGGAACTGAGGCCGCATGTCCTGGAACCGTGCGCTTTGGCCAGAACGATAAACGCTACCAACCACAAGATCGTCATAATCGCCTCCAAAATTAAGTACAGCCCGGGCATCAAAAACCTGTGCAAGACGGGTGCCAAGATACACAGCATTAATAGGTAGAAAGTCGAAATGCAAGCAACAGCCAAGCCATAATTTGTTTTGCGGCTTCCGTGGTATTCGTAGCCTTTCAGCACATACGCCAGGAGCCCCAGCACGATCACGCTCGCAACAAACTGCAAAAAACGAAGCGAGATCAACAAAAAATCTGTGGCCACGATTCCTGCTTTGAGAAGCTTTCTCTTTCCCGACTTATTCTCCTCCACATCCTCATGGCGCCGCCCCCACGCTGCGTTCTCATCATGGGGAGCCGCAGTCGTCATTCCGGGTATTTCAGTAGCTCCACCTGGCGCGGTGACTCTAGGATTATTTGGGTAAGTATCGGTTGCCGACATCAGTATCTTTCGTATCCGAAAAAGCCGTATAGCCTATAGTCCCGGACTCTAATGTCAATTCTGTCTTCTTGTTCGCCGATGACAGCCTGCTCTCTTTATATACAATTAAATGTCACTCTACTGTGACAGAATAACCCTATAACCCTTGGATGCCAGACAGCAAAACACACATTAGGTGCCAAACTGTCATACTGTGGGCAGGCACGGGCACCCCTTCAAAATCAAACGGCTTTCTCTCTCTTCAAGTAGCTGGTTGCAACGTCCAAAGACCGCCAAGAACTAAAATCCGACTTGTTAACATTAGGCGATTGGCAGCAAAACCGTAGAGCGCAGGCATCTTTACCGTCCTGCGGTTTAATCTCGCTAGGTTTCGCCAACAGGTCCAGACCAAGTTTAGACAGCTCAAGTGCGCTTGCTAAGCCAGCTGTGGTCGTCTGACTGTTCCTGGGGACACATGCCCTGTAGCCCATTGTCCAGGCGAGCATGCAACTTCATATCACTTCGTCCTTTAGCGTCGCTCATCATACATTACATAAGCAGATTAAGTAATCAGCGTCCAAAGCTCAAAACTGGCCAGTGGCCACTCCAAACCACCTCATCAAAGCACCTAAGCCAAGCACAATAGCAGCAGCTGCGGCACGGCCATCCACAGCGTCTTCTCCTTGTCTCTCTACCGCTCCTAGGCCAACGCTATGGCTGCAGACGTATGAGGTCTGGAACGACCTTCTCTCTCCAGCGGCGGGACGTTCTTCTCTACTGGCTTTGACACCGGCACTGAGCCCATGAGACCTTTGCTTTCCGCCAAAGAGGAGCTGCGCAGGTATAGCGGATCCTCCTGGAAATATTCGTCGATGATAGGATGCAGTAGAACCGTCTGATTCTTGATGGTGAGAATACTGTTGGTCGGCACGGTGGTCCAATCACCTCTCTCAAACGTTAGTGGCTCAGAAGCCACCATGATGACGTCTTGATTTCTATCCAGACGCTCCATGCGGTATTCGCCTGGCGCGTACTCCACGAAACTGGAGCCACAGGAGAAGTGCAATGAGGCCGCCTCGTCCGTCTTGGAAGTCACGTAGCGCGAAACCACAACACTGGAGCCGTCTGTGACGGCAAAATTCAGGATCGACGGCTCCGCGTGTGTGTCGCCTGCGTTGGCCTCGAGCGTCCATTCCTTGATATATTGAATAGTTTGCAGCATACACTTGCGCAGGGTGGCATGCCCGAAATCGCCACGCTTGTTGGCTGTGTCACACCCCATCTTGTCCAGCGTGTCGAGAAACAGCGCAAATGCACACTCGGAGTCGGTGCTGCCTTGGATCAAGTTGAAATACTCATCCTCCAAATGAGCCAGAAACCGTCTTTTGATCTTGCGGAAATTGGAGATACCCCCGTTGTGCATGAAGGTAATGCTGTGGTAGGTGAACGGATGACAATTGGTCTCCGACAACACCCCATACGTGGATGCCCGTACATGCGCGAAGATCAGTGCAGATTTGGTCTTTTCTGCCAAAACGTCTAGGTTTTGGTTGTTCCATGCCGGTGTGATGGCCTTGAACAAACAGGGTCCATCTTCTTCAAGCTCTTCGTCTAGCGGGTAGTACGCTACTCCGAAGCCATCTCCGTTGATAGGTCTCCTTCTGTCCAGCCGAAGTCGACTATCGAACGATTGTTTTATGATGGAGTGCGCTGGTCTCGTCAGCAAATGCGATAAACGCAATGGTTCCTTACCTGCGAATCCAAGCCGTCGTTAGAAAATGTCTAGAGACAAATAACATCCTATGTGACCTGCCAACATACCTTTGAAGATTAGGAAACGACACATCTGCTGCTAGTGGGATGCGACTGTAAGTCCAGAAAACAACAAAAGCCGCGTATGAGAAAATGAACGATATCCTGGATTGCAAACAACTCAGCACTTGACCCAGAACCGTGTCCAAACTCTAATTGGCTCTATCGGTCTTTGGGTACTACATGATATATACGTTGTATTTAATTAGAGCTGTGGCATTTTTTCCAACCAGCTGACCGACTTCTCTACAAAGAAAACAGCGACAGCGAGCGGTCCTACGTGGATCCTTTATCGTTATCGAATACATCTCGGTCTTTCAATACACCCGTTCTTTGGTGTCGAAGCTTTCAGTCGGTTGTATCTAGAATTAAGGTTACGGGCCCCTCATTGACTAACTCGCAGCTCATCATAGCTCCGAAAACACCGTCTTTGACATTATCGTCTCCCAATTTTTCTCGCAATGCGGTTAGAAACGAATGGTAGAGGTCCTGCGCCAGGTGGCCTCTCTGCGCCAGGTGGAAGTCGGGCTTGGTTCCCTTTTTGGTGTTGGCCATCAGCGTGAATTGCGAAATGGAAAGAATCTGGCCGTTGACCTCTTGTATATTCTGTTTCCAGCCATATCCGGCGCCGTCGTCAAACGCCCGTAGCTTGACCACCTTATTGGTAAGTTTTTCGACGTCTTTAATGGTATCGTCGACGGAAATGCCAACTAATAGCATGTATCCTGTCTTGATTCTGCAGCCACAGACGAATGGCGAGGTTAGTAGGAGAGTGGGTGAGGTCGACCTCAATGGGCGCCAAGTTGTACATACGCAGAGACCACTTGAGAGTCAACGGTCACGGACGCCCGACTCACCTTCTGCAATACTATCTTCATGATCGTGCTGGGGGTAGGTGTGCCGACTGTGAGTTCATCGTAGACTCTACTGGCCTCGAGCAGCTATACATGAAGTGGCTTTCATCACATGCATCAGGTGACAATGTACTCGCGACGGAGACCGGTTCTCAACCGAAGCTCGCGCAAACGACCCACACGCCTTCGCGGAGATGTGAGTGATACCTAATTGCCCAATTCTTAAAACTATACCGCGTTTTACATATACTTGTCGTTTACCGCTTTCTCCTCAATCTTTGAAAAAATCTCTGAGTCAAGTAGACGCAGCATCCTAAAAACCGGAAGGCTGCCATGAATGCAACAAGCCAAAGGATAACGGAGAAATATATCGTTGATCTCTGTGGCAAGATTGAGACTGTACTGAGAACTGATGTGGTGCTGCCACTACTCTTGTCAAGGCTTTCGTATTGTCCGATACCACCGGTTTCTAAGACCACCGCCACAATTATGAAATTTGATATTACCCATATGATGATCACCAAAGACCGAACCATGGCGTAATAATTAGTCTTCTTCTCTTCAAATGAAACTACTTCTTCTTGCTCTTCTTCGGGATCGGATTTGAGCACCTCCCAATATTTTTGGTAGTTAGCGTCGATCTCCCTAGCGGATACGGGTATCTCCAGCTTTACAGTACCGTCCTCCTTTGAGTGAATTTTGCCAAGCGGTTTGGCCACGAAACCCTTGGTGCCCCACGAGATATCGTGTACATTACAAAAAGCATAAATGTTCAACACGTTGATATATGATGGACTCAACAGTAGATATTGAACGAAACTTGTGAACATATGCATGGGTTGCAGGTACAGCAAAGAACTCAACAAATACAGACAGTACGTTGAACCCATGGAGACGATAAGGTCTCTAAAAGTCTCTTGTAACAATAAGCTTTTGAATGTGATATTTCCTGCCTTAATGATCGCTTCAATCGAATGAACGCTCATGAAAATGGAACAAAAGATCATATATACCATCAGAATGGCAAAGAATATGAACGTTGACAAGTAGAACTTGGAGGTACCTTTGGGCTTGTTTCCAAGAGATAATATAAAAGTTATCAAAATGGAAACCCCGTAGAGCCACAAGAACAGAACTGATAATACCCGAAACACCTTTTGATCATTGTAGGACACCGCGATGGATATGGTTAAAATTCTAAAGACCAAAAAAAAGGAGCTCAGTGAAAACCATGAAATCAAACTGCTCACAAAAAGGTAGAAAAACTGCAGATTTAGCATTAGCTTTCTGGGGATCGAGTGCCCACTACTCCAAATTTTGTAAAAATGAAGGAATGAATATAATGCAGCAAAAAAAGCCCCATTCATCCATCTTCTTCTCTGCAAAATAAACTCCGGTATCCTTTCGGGAACATCCGTAGAGCCGTAGGAGCTCTTAGAATACTTCAGTATCCAGTTACTATTTTTCTTTATGACAATCTCAAAACATAAGATGCGGTCCTCAGCCAGGTACATGTTTGAAATAAAAACCCTGGCATTGAGGTCATCGCCCAAGAAATACTTCCTCAAAGGCTCTCCACGAATTGCTTCAAATCTGTAAGCTGAGAATGCGCCGGGCAAAACAGAAATAAAGCCAAAGTTCGACTCCGTTGTCTTATCAAGGATGTTGGAAAGCTTATACTCAAAATTTTGAGATGCAACCAATGGATTGACCAATTTCGTAAAGCCCTTCCCCAAATCTGTCTTGATTTCCCCACAAGCCCCACCAACCTGGGGGTTTTTGAACTCACGCCAGAGTTCATAGATAGAGTCCTTGCCTGGCATAGTACCAGCATCGAGTAGATTTACAACAGTTGGTTGTAGGACTTCACCAAATGCTTCCAAAGCCCACCGATGAGAGTTGATTTTTTTCTGATTGTTTTCCTTTAAGCAGAATAGCAACTGAATTGGAACGGTATTTTCCCCACATTCCAATTCAACTTTCCCGTCTTTCACACTACGAATGTTTACTTTAGAGGTATGCTCATAAACATGGGCGACCACTTTTTTGTCATTGATTTCACCTTTGGCAAAACCGTCCTGGTAACATCCTAGCGCGCTCATCAGAGCCAAAGAGCGTTCATGGATTTTGGATCGTCCATCGGACACAACGCAGACAACGATCTTTTTCCAAGCATCTGGCCCCCAAGTTGATGAGTTCTTTTTCTTGGTAAAATGCCGAATATTATCCATGACACCTTTGAGAGTTCGTCCGAGAAGAACGTCGTCCTCATTATACATGGTAATCACAATCATCAATTCAGTCCGGCGAGGGAAGCCGTATTTGAGTTGACGCAGCGTAAAGTTACTGGATTGAAACATCAGCGGCTCGCAAGTTACTGCTTGGTACCTCATAAACTTGAATTCATTTGAAAGTTTGTTTTCATCGTCCACTGCCTTCACGTATTGACTAATAAGATTTTCGCTGATAGGGCAATCGAAAACAAAGTTTCCCATGCTCAACTTGAATTTGCGGACAGTAGTGTGTTTTCTGATTGGGCTGCTATTGTGGCGATCGCCGTTTTCATCTTCAAACTTCTCACGGCCATTGTTCAGGACTACATCTTCGTCTTCTTCATCATTAGGATTACTAGAGGATCCAATCCTTGCCAGGGTATTAAGATCGTCATTTTTATAGTACTCGCCGAGATCCCTCCCGTATCCGTCATCATAGCTATTGGAACTGCGGTCATCCGAGTACCAGGCCTGGTCCGCATATTCTGTCAAATCGAACGCACTCGAGTATGGATTTGCCATCTGGTTGTTGTTATCATAAAATGTGTTTATTTGGTAATCGTCGCCTCTTTGGTCAATATAACCTGTCATTTCTTCTGGATCGTATTCATAGGGCCTCTCATGCACTAGATTACCAGGTGCAAGTGCTGTTGGGCTGGAGGGAGGCGGTATACGAGGGCTTCCATAACCCAAAATCGGTTGTGTCTCTAAGGGAAACTCTTCACCAGTACTTGTCTGAGCACTGGAATTGCGACGCTCGTAGTTCATTTGATAGAGATCGCTACTTGCGCCTAAATTTCCTGAAGGCATGGGGGCTACAGTGTCCTGTGCCATGGGGATGGGCTGTGAAGCATCATAAACATTTATTTGTGGGACATTATGATGCGGAGTGTAGGAACTGAAACCATCACCGTAGCGGCCGCTGTTGTCCTGCAAATCGGCTCGGCTGCCTTGTGCTTGGCCCTGGTAGCTGTGCGATTGGTTTGAGTACTCATAGTCCTGTGTGTACTCCTGATTTTGAGGATAGTGCTGAACAAAATCGCCATATTGCCGTCCATTCCTGTAGCGCTCGTCAGAGTTCTGGTTGGTATCCCTCAACGAACCACTACTGTTGTTCGTATTCATGTAGCGATCCCCGTATCGATAACGATAATCCATTAGGAAATATCGCGGAAGGAAGCGTGCTTTATAAGTTGGACCCCGACTAGCGCCGTTTCATGTATGTTTCGCGTTGTAGTTTTATAGATCTCACTCAAAAACAGATGGCTGAAGATACGTGTAGCATGACCATGCCAAATATATCTTTTCTGGCACAGCGTGCCACTGGCTATCCCTCATGGAATCGTTAATGGTACATTGATCAAACCACCTCCTCTATCTTTGAAGGCTAAGGCGATAGCGCATTTTGGCAGACATTTTGTGCTTCTCCCAATTATTTTTCTTTTGCCCGCAGCTGAGCATAATATGGGTGGTCTTGACATATCTCAAGGATCGCTTCCTTTGCTGGGCTCTTGTTTTCGATATAATCGAGTCGATCTGCGGCTTGCCTGTAGATAAAATTTCGTTTCAGTTTGTCTGATATATATTCCCGGAACCCGCACGGTTGTTGGGAGATGGTAGCGGCGTTTTTCAGCAACACTTTTGCGTTTTTCAGCAATATGTCGGAGGTCTTCGCAGCGGTAGAATCAGTTGCAGTTGCGGCAGATTTCATAATGTAGCGATGGAGTTCGTTGTCCGAGCGACTCACCATAATGTCACACAGTTTGAATACGGTGGGACTCAGTTCATTGTCCATTTCTTTTAAACGGCCCGATACGATATTTTGACGTTTTTGAGCGAGGGCTGTCTCCACGGCACTCAAAATACGCCCTATCTCGGTACGCACAGCCCATACTTGAGGGAATTCCGAGCCATTAGTTTGTTGCACGACAAGCTGGAGAAGATCCACGGCAATTAAATATTTGTTCATGCACAGATCTGCAGTTTCCTCGGAAATGGGCGCCAAAAAAGTCTTCAGTCCAGCAAACCCACCCATAGAGACAGCACGTAGGCCATCAATGGTCCAAATTGCAAGTTCTAGCTCTTCTGTGTCGGGAGGTACTGCACTGGATCTCTCACCGAAACTCGCACTGGAGACCACGTTCAGGTGCCTGTCAAGCTGAATCTTGAAATTATCGACTGCTTCCTCTAAGAAGTTGGCTTGAACAATACTTACTGCGTCAAGGGACCCACTGTGCGTCTCTATCAATAGCTCTACCAGAGTTGCGATGCAGCCGTAGCAAACAGCAAGCGTGTCAATAAATGTTTTGGGTGTTATTTCATCCTGCATTTCCATAAACCCGGATTCGCCATCCACAACGGTGCCACTTGAATTGGGAGGTTGCCCTGAGGTATCCTTAGAATCGGCGGGCTCTTGATCTTCTCCTTCGTGGGCAGCCGCGCTGCTCCAAGATTCCAACTCTTCAAAATGGATGTGAACGAGCCGTAAACTTAGTTCTTGAAATTTTTGAAAAAGATCTATGATGATGTGGCCAGGGAGGGAGGTGAAGTCCTCCAATTGGCTATGGTAACAAGTTAAAAGATTGAAGTAAAGGTCCCAGGAACACACGTCCCCAAACTTGGCGATTGCAAACTCGAAGCGCTCTGTAATAGATGACAAAGGTCTAAATAGCACTTTCAAGTCACCCAAGTCTGTGAGGTTCACGTATTGCAGAATATTGATGTGTCCCTCATTAGCAATAAAGTCCGTATGCACCTTCAGCAATAGCCTTGTTTGATTATAGTATATGTTATAGCTTCCTGAAATTGTACTTTCTGGTGCGTTTAGGCCTTGCTCGTAGGAGCTGAATGCTGACAGATACTGGCGAATAATTTTTTTGATGTCCGACAGAGCCCATCTCTCTGCTTGTTCTTCCTTTGCAGTGGCATCATCGTAAAAATCTTCCTGTGTTATCAAGACAGTCTTCTTCAGCCGTGCGCTCATTATTATTTAAATTTGCTCTATAGGTCTCCTAAGTTATTGAGGCAAGTGCAAAGGTTACCAGTCATAATCGTATATTACACGATTTTTTAAGCTTTATTTGAGACATGTTAATTAAAACTATCAACAACAAAGCGTCAACCATAATTGACATGAGTATCCATGAACTCAGGTCCCCCCAAGTCCTATAAATTCATCAAAAAACCCAAAGAGCTAGCTGATCTCTTTCCTGAAAATGGGTTAGGAAATCAAAATATAGAGTTTGTTTCTGTACTCACTGGAATCGATTTTGATCCTGCTTCCAGATGTCTGCTGCATTTCAAAAACTTCGATAGTGGGGATAAAGCCGAAGTCGACTATACTTGCAGAATCACTTGTAGTACAGCACAAACTTTGACATTGACCAAAATGATGCTGTCATTGTTTTCACAACACTTTGACTTTGACTTCCCAGAGCTGGACGAGGGAAGACAGCTGGTAGTAGAAGACGTGCATCTCGAAAAATTATGTTTTGTGGATTGCAAGGGAACATTTGTCAGTAGTGGTGATAGAGGTGGTATTTTTCTGCAGGGTCTTCGCCCGATAGAACTCAGCGGCTCGCTTTTTGGTGCTCAGGAGAAGGAGCAGAAGACAGACATATTTGAAACGACCAAAGCTATATTCGATAACCTCGTAAGGCTCAATTACAATTCCAAAGCACAATTTAAGTTTGTTAAGCTGCTCAATCTAAGCAACGAAATGCGTGAATATTCTCAATCACGGCAGGAAGCCTTCCAACTGCAAAACGAGAGAAATCCTATATTTGGAGCTTCTCGCTTCCATCGTGATACAGATTCTTTGAACGACTTTGACTCACAGATTCCAGACACAGATCCCGAGTTCAGCTTACCAGCTTACTTAAATCCATTGCTCACAAGACACCAAGACAATTCTTTTGGTGAAGATCCAGGTATTGATGAAAGCAGCTCACGGACAAATACTGCAGTCAGTGGACTTGCCCCAAAAGAAACGGATGTGGCTCGACCAATTGCAAAGAATCCAGTGAGTATTACTGACCCCTATGGGCACTTAGCTTGCACTTCTGACAAAAGAGGCAAAATTGCTGTCAAGGAGGAGCTGGACCTTCCGGAAACCTCTGATGATTCACTAGTTGAAGATGTATCAATCGATACGCAGCCTGCTTCTAGGAGACGTTTTTCGGATACCAATGAGCTCCTGTCTGCTACGAAAAGGTCACGAACCCTGGAAGCTCGGGATGATTACCGAGGAGACATCACCAACTTGATATCAAATGCTTCCTCAGATGAAATCATTGTTTTTGAGGGAACTATTGCGGGCGCTCGTATTGATCCTGTTTCCCCCAGTTCTTGTGTGGCCGTCTACTGTCAGTCCGATAAATCGCGATTACAAGCAAACCAAGAGCCTCTCAGCTTAAATGATAACTGCGTGGAGGTTATGGCATATGTCACCGACAACATCAAATACAACTCTGCCCTTTTAGAAGCTGAAAGCTCGGATGAGCTGTTGAGTGCCATTCGACTCTACACAGAAAACAAAAGAGCAAAGATCACCGCAAAGAAAGTGCCTGTATTATTAACAAATGGGCTTTTCACATTCTCCTTGACTTTGAGATCTTTGCAAGTAGAAAATTACCCCATTGTTAACACATCGCCGACGCTTACTCCGCGATCAAGCCAAGTGGTCATGTCCAGTTGTGAGTCTTCCCAAGAGTCTTCTGATCCGCTCAAGACTTTTTCCGAGATTTCGGTTAGTGGAGCTCGTCAAGAGTTCATGAGAACATTCGGCCTCCTCGTCAGCGCGAAAAAGTTTGGGCAAAAGGTTACTAAGTTTGTCTTCACGGACTTTACCACGCATCCCCTCAACAAACTATCAGCCTTTGACAGTTTTCTGGGTTCCTACACACACCGTCTGCCGCAAGACATGGCGTTCCCTTTCGTGATATACAAAGACCATTACAGTGAATTTGTGCAAGAGCTCAAACGGAAAACTGGCACCTCATTTACAGAATATTTTAACGGCAGTGACAACAATCTCACTCACCATGGCATTGTGTGCCGTCTAGAGTTAAAAGTGAAAATGTATTCCGGAAGTGTCGATGGGATCATTAGAACTTGCGAGCCTATCATCAGCGGCGACCAGTGCGTCAGACCCGATGAACACAAGTTTCTTCGCGAATTTTACGCTAGGTGCGTTACCAATATTCCTCAAGTTCTTCTCACAGACAATTTCGCCAATTACAAGCGGTTTTTCCCCTTCACCATGTTCCAGACGCTGGTCGTTCTGAAAGATCAGGCACACCAAGACACCTCGAGTGTGCTGTCAACACCGCAGCTGTCAGAGGCGCCTGCTGCAGTTCCTCATAAAGCCTCACCCAAATTGGATTTTGATCTTGAGAACTTTGAAGTAGTGTGTGACATGGGGCTGACGGCTTTACCTTCCCTCCGTAAGCTCAACAGTTCTGTTATCTTCGAGATCAAGGCCAAAGTTGCTGCCATCTTTCATAGCACCAAAGTTCTGGTATTTGTTTTATCTGATGATCATGCTTCTCAAGATATGCTGGACCCGAAACGACTACTGCGGATAGAGATACCTGGGGCCGATAACGTCGCTAACTTTTATGGAAGCCGAGATGCACGCATGGTCTCCGAAAAAACTATGGAAAAGGATCTGGTTGGCCAAATTTTGACCTTTCGACTTTGTGCCTTCAACATACCTGTGAGCCCATATCAAGACCTACGGATATGGTGTCCCTTGGAGTGCACCATTCAAGAATTGAACGCCGAGGTCACATCTTGTTCCTCAGCTGTCAAACAAGAAACTGCGTAGAGGATAACAGCAGACGCAGCTAATCTTCGCGCGAGCTTCTTTGATGCTGTCTGTATTGTGCTGCCATAGCTCCGAGGCTCCCCCATCTTGTGGCTAATCATTAACAGTACTTCGTCATGGTGCTGTCACCTGAGTGCGGTCTTCGATGTCAGCGCATGTTAAAGTGACCGAAGAAGGCTTAGGGGTCTGGTCAAGTTGTGGAAGCTCGTGAGACCACTATTATCAAGGGTGTTTCTTTCTGACAGCAAATGACAGCGTGGAGAGCAATTACACCTACATAATCATTGGTGGGAATGTGGGGTAGTGTTAGGGATCTACCTGAATGGCCTAGAACTGGGCAAATGACGGTAGTTGAAGCAGAGAGCAAGTAAGGGTTACCATACACTCCACAAGCGCAAAAGGCTGATTATTAGGCGAACTAGAGAAGCAGTGAGGGGCGCGTTGGAAATTGATCAGGGGCATTTGAAAGGTATATAACCTGAGTGAAAAGAACTGTGTCGATGTATTCCCGATGGTATCTTAATTGTTTGGAATTATCAAAGTTATTTACCTTAACAGAACAAGCTTTCCTGTTAAAATATAAGAGGAGAGTAAAATTAAAACTAATAGGAAAATAGTAGCTTGTCATGCGTTTCAAACAGTCTGTCACTATTGTATTTTTCACATTGCTGCTGGGGGCAGGCTTGTTATCTTTTTTCGTTATTCTTTCGGGCGGTCGCCGAACTGGTGTGCTTCGCGAGTTCTACTGGTTGGAAGCAGAAACAGATGGGTTCAACGACGCTCCAAGTACTACCAGGTGGTTCAACTATGATTGGTGTGGGATTGACAGCGGGCAATTGCAGAACTGTTCGTCGACGCAAGCGGCGAAGGCGTTCTCGCCTCAAGACAACTTTGGCGAAAGTAGCACTCTTCCAAGCGCGTTCCTCAAGGATAGAAATACTTACTACTACCTCTCCCGCGTGGCGTGGGCCATGCTATTGATAGGGCTCTTTTATGAGGTGTGTGCGCTAGTGCCCGTGTTAATCTCGATATTTTCCAGTTCGTTAATGGCATCATTTTTGGCGGTCCTTTCTCTGTGGCTGGCATGGTTTTTTGTGACACTTTCCGCTTGTCTGTATACGGGCTGCTATGTGAAAGCTCGAAACGTTTTTTCTGATGGAGGTCGTCACGCTAAGCTGGGTGCTAAGAATTTTGGTTTGATTTGGACGTCGGTCGCACTGTTGTTGGCATGTGCTATTTGGTCTTCAGTGGTGGCTACGTTCTACGGAATGAGGAGGCTATCGCGTAATGACCAAGAGCACCGCCACTACGGCCTGGAATCAGGTGTCTCTTCAGATAGTTATGGCGGTGACAAGACCACTCTGGAGACTCGCGATCATGGTGCTCAGAATGGTAGTAAATTTAAGGTGTTTAAGCTTTGGAAGACGCGTCGTGGCCCTAACGACGCTCACAACACTTCTCTTGCTGCCGATCCTCAATTTACCGCATCCGAGTACGACGACAACAGAGTCCAGATTGATCGCTCGGCTTAACGAATAGGCCCGTTTGCATGAACGTCACAGTCGCAACCAAATGGGTTCGCTCCAACCTTGATGCCAGTCTAATAATACGAATAATACGAATAATACGAATAATACGAATAATAATGATAACAAGCATAATCTGAAATACCTAAGCAGTAATTTATGTTTTCTGTTACTAACTAAGCTCGAGCAGGACACTGATGAATCTCGCTCACGGCGGTGAGGAGGACCCTTCCCATCATACTGGCGGCGGAGGGGTACGTAATGGAAACACTGGGGACACTAGCGGCCCAAATCTGCAATCGAATAATCCCTTCAAACCAGAGGCGGAAGAGCGTGACCTCAAGGCGTTCACTGTTTCTGATGCCACCACAGGTGACAAAGGGCACGAAAGTGCTCCAAAAGAAGATCTTGAAAATGTCATGTTCTTGGGGAAAGGCAGTGGACCTCATGAGGAGGAGTTACATCGGACTAATGAGCCCGCCGATACGGATGCAACAGGTTTTACGGAACCACATCCTACTCGTGAATTGGATGAAAAGAATATATCTGATGTTCAAAAACCTCACAATAACGTTAAGAGTGGAACATTTGCTACTACACTACCTATTGATTCCGCAGTGCTTGCAAAGACAAGTAGTACTCCAGGTACTACAGCGGAGCAACATAAGAGGGGATTGTTTGGGTTAAAGGGATCCAAAAACGTTCCCGAGCCTGTAGAAAAAGATTCTCCGGAGCAGAAAAGTAACATTGTTCGCGATGCCTTTGGAAAGATGCATCTAGGTAGGAGAAGCTCTGGGAATTCTCATACACAGAGTGCAGTTGCTCCATCAACAGAGTCGGGCGCCGATAATCAAAATTCAGCTGGGCGTGAGGCAATCACGGAGAGGAATGGAGAGTATGATTCTGAGGCACACCACTTGTCACCATCGGAAGGTTCACAAGCTAGCACGAACAATGGGGCTGCTTCCAAGGTGAAAGAACGAGATTTTGTTCTGGGGAGGAACGACAGGTTTGCGGATAAGCAACCCGACAAAAAGCTCAATCAAAGTGTTCCGGGGGTTGTTCAGACAGGAGGTCAAAAGCACCCCGCCGAAGAGCCAGACACGCTCACTGAGAGCGCACCCGTCACATCTGAAGTTGCAACTTCAGGCGTGGCCGAAGATGGCCGTCTTGCAGAGAAAATCGATCCTACCCTTGAAAGAAGAGAGATTCAAACCTCTGGCGGTATGTTGGGTGGAAACTACGATGTCACTGACGCTTTCAACTCTCGTAGTAGAGAGGGAGACACTTTAGATCCCAAACCCCGCGAAGTAGACCCTCACCATGTCGAAGCTTCTTCGCAAGCAAAGGATGTAAATACTGGGGGTGGCACTTCAAATTTCCATAAGGCGGAGGGTGCGCCAGCGATATTGCCTGGGTCAAAAAATTTGGCAACGGAGATCCCAACACATCAGAAGGCGGAGCTTTCTCGCGATGAAGCTGCTGGGTACGAAGAATACCGGCCATCTGGGACCGAACAAGACCAGGATCAGGTCAAGGAGCTCGAAAGTGAAAGACGGCGCTCGTCAATTGCAGAGTCTACAGAGAGCACTGGCGAGCGTGCGAAGCCCAAGAGTAGGAGCATGAGTTTGGGTCAAGCACCATTCGCTACTTTGGGCAGGACCCTCTCCGGGAAGTCGCATTCTCGTAATGAAGACTCGGAAAGTCCTAAGGAACCTAAAGAACCTTCGAAAATTTCTACCACGTTTAAGGATGCATGGGGTGCCATGACTGGAAGGCGCCGCAGTAGCCATGCTGAGCCAAAATCCGAGGAGTTCCAAGACACGGTTTTCAACAAGAAACTGGAACAGGAACATGGCAAGGTACCAGGTGCGGAAGCAGATAAGGGTGCCTTCTCGAGCGAGTCTCCTGAAACTAAAGCTAAACGTAATATAGCTATCACCAATACAGAGGAGTATCGCATGAAACACTCCCGGGAGATGCCTAAACCTTTAATTGAATCTGACTGGGGGGAGAATGAGGATGCTTATGCACGTGAAGTGGGTAACCGGCCAAGTCTTGTTGACCCTCACGAGCTTACCTACGGGGCTGTTGGCAGGAGGAAGTCATCTGCTAGTGAAGGCCAGCCAGCGTACGTAGCTCTAGGGTCGCACGGTAAGAGGAATGTGTCAATTGGTTCTGATGCTGAGGTGGGTCAGATGATGGATCCTGCACAGGTTCCAATTACGGAAGAGCCTTTAGAATATGATCGTACTCCTCGCAGTGCCAAATTTAGCGAATTGAAGGAGAAACATATTGACCAACGTATCAGAACAGAGGCACATGACCGTCCTTCCAATGCGGCCGCGACCTATGCCCGGGGAACTTAATATGATATTTGATGAACTGCTTTTTGTATGCTATGTAGCGTTTTTTAATAATGACATGAAACGATTTCAAATTGTATCGATGGCCTTAGTAAACAAGTGCTCGAACTACGGCAGGATTTTAAGCTGCGATTGGGCCGCAGTTGAGGACGGAGGGCAATGGTTGGTGCAGATTCTTCATTACTGGACACTTTGACGGCTGTATACATCACTACGCACGCCAATGTCATTAAACTCTGATTAATTATAACTTTGGATCTCCTCCGGGAACCTGGTTAAAGGTAGGCCAGCTTTTTATATACAGCCATAAACACAGCGTTGAGAGTCCTGGGAGTCAACGTAGAATTACCTCAAGCGAACTCTGATTAGCCAGTTGCACCTCACGTTTAGCGTGCTTGGCAATTGTTGGCACATTGATGACAAATATCGGCGGCTAACCAAGTTCACCGCAAGCTCAATATATCCCCTTGGGGTCCTATCGGCGGAGCCTTCAAAGGTTCTTATGTATAATAAAATGAACTAAGCATCAACCAAAACTTTAAAAAAACTACTTCTGGAAGAGAATTCAAGATGGCAATAGAGAGGCTCAAATATGGCTTGCGTGAGTTATCGCATTTACCGACTTTCAAGATTTGGAAAATAGCAGACAACACACCGTGGGTATAAAAATCTCTAACGCGTGGCTTTTCCGAGGGCCGGGATGGTACGAAGCTACAGGGCGGTCTGTTAGCTGGCTAGTCGCAACTATAGGCCTCGAATGAGCAGAGCGAAGTCGTATCCAAGGCGCGATCGCATGGAGAAAGGCATACCTGCCGTTTTGAAGCACAAAATGGATTTATATTACCAGAAATATCCAAGAAATTGGGCTTTTGAGGCTAAAAAAATTCAGACAAACGTAACAGCTCGAGTTGGCTAGAATAGCCGAAGTACAAGCCCGCTCACCTGCCTAGATAAATCGCCTGTTGCTTGCTGAACTCCGAAAGATGGTGTCAGAAGACAACGTGGATGCCATTACCCTCTCGAAGCAAGATGAGGACACACACGTCCAAAACGATATAAGCATCGACATGCTGCTGGATATGTTCCTTATACTTGTCATGCTGCCATCGGATCCCCTCAATGCTACGCTGGATTGGTCAATAGTTGGTGTCAACATCGCATTCACGCTTCCATTACGAGCTTTCTGCAACCCGGAGAACTTGCACGTAAGTTAGCTAATCCGTGTGGTGCTGCTACCTTTGCTCGATGTCAAAAACTACAACTCGTTCGAGCACTGTGAACAGCTGTTCCCTCATCACCTAAGGCGTTGCGGAGCTTATTGGTAGTCAGAATTGCTGGCGTCCCAGAAGGCGTCGCATGGGCACGAGACAGAGCAGGTAATCTTACTATGACAATCACCGGCTGAAAATTTTTACGTCCCTCCTAAACCAGAGGGTATTTTTCGACGACACGACAGAGATAATACAGACGAAATTGGTAAGGAAAGGAGGTAAAAAACACACAAAAATAAGGAAACAACAACGAAATTAAACTTCTAAACAGGTGGTTAGCACGCTTAAAAGAGAATTTTAACTTCTTTTCACGATTTCAAAACAGATTTCTCCACTAAATTTGAGAGTCTTCTGCAGAAGTGCTGGACTTTTGGAGATTCAAACGACAACAAGAGCCAAGCATCGTCAACAGAATTGGTGGACCTGATTTATCAGTGTAAGCTTTGTTTGCGTAACACGCGTACGAATCAAACACATATCGAGGCACACGCGCTCGCACACAGTTAGAGACACAGAGAAACACGCATTTGCTAACCCCACTGGCGACAATTCGCCTTCTCTGGCCTCATCTCATATTCACGCCACTCGCGCGGAAAACTGAGTATCTTTTACTAGCTAACGTCACGGTACGGTTAACCCCTAGCATCAGACCACAACTATCGCTAGAAGCTACCCTTCTCTTCATCGCTCATTTCACTAGCAGCACATGTCGGTGGTGAATTCAAACTCTTCGCCGTTGGAAAATGGCGGTTTCGGCCTATATCGCGGTTTCAGCACCAGCTCTGAAAAATTGGGGCCCATAACAACACCTGGTACTTCGTCTCCAGGTAAACAAGGCTCTATGACTCTGGCAGGCTCAAGCTCTAGCAACAACAACTCCCCATTGCATTTAGCCACCATGCTGAACAACCTGACTATGAATGGAACTACTTCACAGGGGAATGCGGTTTCTCCCACTCCTGGACCCTTTGTGCTGAAACTGTCAAACATTCCAGAAGATATCACCATCAGGGAATGTCATGCCCTTTTTGCAGTTGCAATTGGTGTGTCCAACATTGAATTAATCAGAACCTCGAACAATACGAACAATTTTGACCAATCCAACGCGATTATTGCCAAATTTGATTCCTTGCATTTAGCATCGCAGTATGCTTCAATACTTGACGGAAAATTTCTAATATTTGGTCCGGAATATCCTTACAAGTTAAAGGTTGAAGTTTTTGACGAATCAACTCATCAGCATATCTCATTCCAGCAACAAGTTCAGTTATCTCCCAAGTATTCTGCTCAAGCCTTGCAATCTCAGACAAACCTGCAGCAGTCTCACGCCGGGGAGTCGGGCCATAGGCAACAGTCAACACAGTCACAGTCTTCAAAAGCCCAAGCACAGCCATCGCAAGTTACTCATGATCAACAGGACAGCCAGCCGCAAAACGCATTTCAGCTACCTAGTTCATCAAATGTGGTTTCTCCTCCTCAATCAGCATCCTCGGTCAAAAGACCTGGTCTGTATGCTCAGCGGTCCAGATTTTCGTTCTCGGATCCTTTCGCCGAGAACAATACTCAATCACAACCAGCATCTCATGACGTGGCTACAACACCGTTGAAATCTCAAGACGCCGGTAAATCTTTCTTATTGATGGAAAACGATGAAATAAATGAAAGCATTTGGGGGTCTAATGGTGGCATGCCTTCTAGTATAGGAGGACTTGCGGCAAACTCCCAGCCAGCAACACCGTCGCTTGAGTGGGGAGCACCTCAAAGGAGACAGAGCTCATCGTTTTTTAATCCTGTTCCCACTAACACCGTTCCGTCTAATGACATGCCGATGAACTTATCATCTACACTACCGCACCCAATGGGAGCAAACCTTCCACAGCATTCGAATTTGCCTTTCAGCATTGTGGGACATGGTCAAGCAACAAACACACCTTCTTCTTCGGACGTTGTTTTACCCCAGCAGAGTAGTGGACAGCAAGCTTCTCAAAACACTCTCCCGCCCGCTGTCCCGCAGTCACAGGAACCTCAGAGCTCAAATGCATCCCAGAAGTCCGTAAGCCAAAGGCCTACCACATCGAAAGGATCTCAATCGAATCTCGTCATTCCGCAAAAAACACCTTCGTCACCTTCCTTAGCGTCGACTGGAGGCATCTCTCAGGTAGATCTTTCATTGTTAGCTCGCGTTCCTCCTCCCGCCAACCCGGCTGATCAGAACCCACCTTGCAATACCTTATACGTGGGAAATTTGCCCCCTGATGCTACTGAACATGAGCTTCGCCAACTGTTTTCAACCCAAAAAGGATTCAGAAGACTTTCTTTTAGAAATAAGAATACAAATGGTAATGGGCATGGACCAATGTGCTTTGTCGAGTTTGAAGACGTTGCCCATGCCACTCGTGCTCTTGCTGAGTTATATGGTAGGCAACTCCCTCGAACTAATACGAATCATAACAACAAGGGTGGCATTAGGTTAAGCTTTTCGAAAAACCCCTTAGGAGTTAGGGGCCCCAGCAGTAGAAGGAGTGGGAACGGGGGGAGCGTCGGTAACGGGAACTACAGCTACACCTCGGCCTTCAGTAAATGAAGTTTGGAGGTACCCGCATCAGTTCATTTTTCAAGCTAGCCTATTTTTTTCATTTGAAGTGAAATACGGCTTTACACAAGGTTTTTATTATCCATTGAAAACTTACAACTAATCGTGAGTAATCTAGACCTGGCTGTCGCAAGGCTCCTCATGAATGTGTTCAAAGTCCATCAATAAGTTGTTTTCTAACTTTACTTGTATCCATATTACCTGATTGTCGTTCGCATTTTCGTTTTTGGGCCACGAAAGTATAAGCCCTTTGCTTGAATGTCAAGAAAGTCTCAAGCTCATTTTCTCTTCTGTCTTTTTCATTTTTGTTTGTCATTCTTCATGCTGCATTCCAAAACAACATCACCAATCAAGAGACTTTTTCTATATACATATACTTGTGCGTTGTAATATCTAAATCTGTCATTTCTATGATAATTCCATATGGATCGAAACCTTAGAGAGCTGACCTCAAACTAGACTCTTCCACTCACAATGGATGCTAGATCTGTCATACTTTCCTCCTTTTTTAGCTTCGTTTGCGTTGGCAGCGTCTGGGAAGCAGAGGTTGTTCTTGAACTCAAAGATGTGCTGGAGCTGTTTAAGTGTTGCTGACGCAGCAGACGTTCTCTCAGCTTCAAATCCGCAGCCCGTTTTTCAAGATCCTGAATGCGCTTCTGTAACTCCTTTGCGGACTGTGCTTCCAGCTCTTCTAACTTTTGTTGCTTCGCAATGATACGCTCATGTTTCAAAACGTACGGAACTGTTTCCGATATGTTTCTTAGTTTAGATTTATCCGGAGAACCTGGTGCAGAGGATCTTGGCGAGCTTTTTATGTTGTTGATAATCTCTTCATTACCGCGCCTTATACTTTGAGAAATTTGTCTAATGGCAGGAGATTCCATACCAGAACCATGGCTGATCGTTTTTGAGTCAGGAGTGGAGGGCGTTTCAGATTGCGGAGGCATGGCCAGAGAGTTAGATGACTTGAATTGACCTGTAGTGATCAAAGACGCGAAATTTGACAGACTTGGTGCGGCAGAGTTGCGCTTGTTGACGTCTCCGCTCTCTTTGTCAACATCCCAATCAGACACAGTGGATAATTTCTCTGCTCTGTAGTTCTCATAGAGAAAGTTTTGAGTAGTGTCCTTAAACTCTTGGAAATGAGAGCCAAATAATACATTTTTGAGAACGCGCAGATCTGAAACGTCGCTGTCGTCGATATTAATTTCGCCCCAAGGGTATCTCCTGATAAATTGGCCACTATCGTTTCTCTCATCCGAGCACATCACAGCAAAAGGTTGTAACATGGCCAATGCTTGGTTTTCCTCTACGGTCTCCAGATCATCTTCTTCAGGATCAACTTCAAACTTATAGACCGGTACGTTGAACCTTTCAATGTCATCCATAACCGTAGCTTTGAATTTGGCAAGCTCTTCGGTTGAGAACGAGTCGGCGCGAGAAATTATGGGAAGTACGTTGGTAAACCGTGAAAGTCTTTTCATCATCTCAACATCCATCTCTCTCAAGCCGTGTCCTGTTGGTGGAATGAAATACAGGGCAACGTGGACTCTTGTGTCTTCGAATCGAGGGTTTCTCTTTATCCTCGTTTCCTCCGCTAAGACTTGGTCGAACTGCTGCTCCAGAAAGCCGGTTATTTCATCAAAACACAGTGAGTTGTCGAGGTTTTCACCTAATCCGTACGATTTTACCAAGTTAAAGGAGATCTTGTCGGTATCAACACCGCCATTTTGCGTCATTGACGAACCGTCGCTGGACATGGATGCCCTCGAGGACAGTTTCTCCGATCCGGTAGAGATCTCCAATGACGTTGAAGTAATGGTAACACCAGGCTCGAAATGCTCACGAGCTGGATCAAATTGTGCCATATGAGAAGGAATGCCATTCTTGGAATTGTAAGAAACAACCATCGTGGGCTTGACTACCTTAACACGAGGGTTCTCTGGTAGACCAGGGACTTCCATTGCATATTTATGTGGGAAAATGGCCGTTTCCAAAAGGTTGTTAGCAAAGCTGGTCTTTCCGGTTCCGGAATCACCAACCAACAACATGGAATATGTGATACCGCGTTTGTGATCCTTTTTGCGGCCGTGCATCATCTTTCTTCAAATTCTGGGTTTTGGTGAGTAGTTAGAACGTGGACTTCAGCAATTGAAGGCCTGTTAGCAACACTTGACTCTCTCTTAAGTTTTGTAACCACACTGGAGGAGAGGTTTACGCTTTGTGATCTAATAAAACACGAAATTGTAGGAATGTACCATCTTTCGTAGAACATTACATAGTGACAATTGATAAGTGACAGCGAATAAACCAATGGCACTCCTATGGCTCGAGCCATTGGCGTGAGTGAGAGAGGGACAGTGTACGTCACTTTCATTGTTTAATATGATCCAATCAGCTTGCTTTGAATGCTTCAAGATGTTCTTTCTGAGCGAGCAAACATGTGAAGTGGAATGAAACGATAAACACAATGGGTCCCTCGGCATGGTATGTTTGCTGAGTCTCACTCTCTATTTAGAAATGCCGTGTTCCTCTCCAATGACGCTTGAACCGTAGGCATAAGGTTCGAGATGGAATGTGCGACAGAATTGTACAAAGTGATACACTGGCGTGAAACAGCGCGCTAGCAGGAGGGCAACGGGGCGCTTGGCCTCACCGGTGTAGCTCCCATGTAGATTCAGCGACGCGCGCCATTGGTGGGTCATCGGTCAAAACAAATAGGACGGCCACAAACCTTAACGGAAAGACGAAACCGCAGTAAGTAAGGCGGAGCCCATTATTGACTTGTGACGCACAGGCGGTCCATATCCAGCCTGCTGTGCCATCATGGTGCTGTGGCGTTATAGTTCTTTGTCCAAATAAACGAGAATTTCTGCGATCTATGCCAGAGGCGTGCTGCACTGTTAGACATGATAAATAAGTCAGCGTGTGCCTTGCTGCAAAGTGGTACCAAGCTGAACACTACGATACTGAACAATCTAATCCAGCTTGAAACTCTCCTACAATCGCTGTCACGAAACAATCCTTCATGGCAAGTGATTGGCACTCATATTTTTGAGTTTTTGGTCTGTCATTCCCGAGATCGTTCATCACTCTATTAGATAATGACATCTGTTATGTACTAATCCTAAGTCAAACATCTGGGGCAGACAGGATTGAGTAGGGTATTCCAATATGAAATGTTTCGTTCTCGACAGCGTTTAACCTGTATTCATGTATGAAATGTCTCGTCCTGGACAGCGTTTTACCTGTATTCATGTATGAAATGTCTCGTCCTGGACAGCGTTTAACCTGTATTCATGTATGAAATGTCTCGTCCTGGACAGCGTTTAACCTGTATTTCATATATTGTGTTGTGAAGTATCCAATTCTACCGTGAACTCTAACCCGCTCTCCTTACCATTTGCCCTGGCATGCTCGCGGTTATTCTCGAGCAACGAGCTAGGGTATTCATAGCTTAGGGCTAACAAGTGTAGTTGGTGAGGCTCCCGAGTGGCGCTTCTCGCCGTCCTTCCTCACACACAGCCTGACATCCACGCCGTGTTGCGTCAGCCGCGGGTTGCACGCGCCCCCGCCCCGCCGGCCCGCTCTGATTTCAACTTAAAATGATAAACATTAATATCTAGATGCTATACATGATGGTACACACGCAACGCTTAGGCCTCGGCCATGTCTCTCAATCTTCTGATGGTAGATCTGACAGTGGCAGCGGCAGCAGTGGAAACGGTGTAAGCACCACCAGCCACAGTCTTCTTGCAGCTGGCACAGGTCCAGATACCGGCGGCTCCTCTGGTGACAGTCTTCTTACCGCAGAACGAGCAGTCGTACTTGGCGTGTTGTTGGATTTCCAACTTCTTCACCTGTCTTCTCAAAGAGGAACCGTAACGGACACCGTACTTACCGGTGATACCAACCTTCTTAGTTCTCTTAGCCCTGGAAACACTAGTTAGTAACGTGTACTCAAAAAAAAAGTTTGCATCCCACGAAGCATGCGATCTTCCTCAAAGCGCAAAAATGGTTCTCTGGGCGGTCGTCTGCGAACAAGGCCCATCCACCTCCTACTGCTTCACGTCTGGTCCCCGTTTCTCTATGTCTTCCCGTGCCGGACACGCTTCACGTCTTGCGGCTCCCAGCCTCAACCACACAGTTTCCCGCCAACATGATGCCCTCCGTTTTCCCTGGTTTCCTGTCGACAACACTGTTCGTATTCCCATTCACCAAATGCGCTCTAAGCGGTCTGTCTCCTTGTCCTACTACCATACATTTTATTGTCCTTGAGTTGCTATAGGGTTATATCCACTAGAGTAACGATTAACAGGTTAAACTGTTCAATGAGTTCTCCATCTAGCTGAAAAACTGAAAAACTGAAAAACTGAAAAACCCTGGTGCGTACCAAGTGACCGGCCTACTTGAGTTGGCTGAGCAAAACGCACACGCTGAAAAAATGCTCACAAAAAAAGAGTCAGCAAAATTTATTTTTTTTTTGTATGGAAAATAGTTTGATTTCGTGGAAGCTGATGTTGAGGGTTGATGGTGTGTGGGTGACAGTCAAATGTCAGGGACAGGAGGGCGGGTGGTCACGTGTGGAGGTGGTCACATGTGCCTGGGTGGGTGGTCTGGTCACGTGCGGAGCTGGGTGGCCGAGCAGCTGTGCTGGGCAACTGCCCCCGACTACTGAGCGGTTGGTTGAGCGGTTGGTTGAGCGGTTGGTCGAGCAGCTGTGCTGGCAACTGCCCCCGACTACTGCCTCCGACTACCGTCTCCAGCCATTGCCTCCTACTGCCTCCTCCAACTGCCTCCTCCAGCCGCCTCCTCCAACTACTGCCCCCGGCAATACGCGATCCGGCTGTACGCGCGAAGACCGTCGCACTGTGAGCACCCGTGCTTCTCTCTTTTGTGACTCTCTTTGTCGCTCGATGCACGCTCATGCGTGTCTATGCGTGTATATGCGTGGAAGGCTGTGACGCGTCATCGACTACGGAGTTTCGCAGGCGCGTCTCTTGCGAGGCAACCGATACAGCGCTCCCGGACGTGTATAAAAGGCCCACCGTTGGGCTCTGGGGTCAAGGTGGAGGCAGTTTGGAGGCCGGTCTGGTTCCACTAGGGTGTATAGTCCCGGTAGAGTCGTCAAGCAGTGGCCGCTCCGAAAGTGTGTTCTAAGCTCCCACGCCGAAAGCAGTGTGTTGAGCTTTCAGATCCGGCTCCAGCCCTGCTTCCAAATGATCTCCTGCAGCAGGAGTGTGAGAAAGAGAGCTGGCAAACGCCGGCAGGCCGCGTCCAAGAAGAAGCCCTCCAAACGGGCCAACCCTACCCGAACGGGTTCTTCCATGGGCCTCGCCAACGGCCCCGGCGTGCCATTGCTGCGCTCCCAACGTAGCCAGCGCTCCCGCTCCCAACGTAGCCAGCGCTCCCGCTCCCAAACCCGTTCTGTCGCCCATCCGAATCCGGCCTGCCCGGCGCAGGTGGACCCTGACTCCGACACGTCTGGCACCTTCGCGCTGCCGTGCCCTTCCCAAACGCGTCAACCTCGCGTCACGAAAAAAAACCCGTCACGTGCCCCGGTTGGTCTCGCTGTTGAGCCTCTGGCAGAAGAGGTGCCGAGGTACGCGCAGGACGCCAGCGGGGATAGTGGCCGTATCCTTCCTGCTGCCGGTATAGCCTCTCCTAATGTTGTGGACGACTACTTGCAACTGGACATGACAGACACTGTCGTCGCTGGGGAGGACCCTCCTCAAGACCTGTTGCTGGTCCACACTCAACCACTTCATATGGCTCCAAACGCGCTTCTGCATGATAAAGTTGATGAGTTTTGGGGCTCCCGGTCTCTGTCCCCGATTTGTTCACAGTTTTCTGATGGTTTCCACGACTCTCTCCCGGAGTTTGGCCACGTCGATAACGTGACAACGGATCCCGAAGCGAAAATACCAAGAGATCCACCTTTTCCGGTCACTCAGTTGATGACGGCAGCCACTGACCTGGCTAAACCGTCGTCCGAGGCGGCTGCGCGAGAAGCAAATCCCCCAATGATTCTCACACCGGAAGATTCGTTTGTTCTATATATCACTCGGAAGCTCTCCAGGTACTGTGGCTACGTGGCCAACGAGCCCACCCACTGCGACAAAATGCGACTCCAAGAAATTTCATATCGCTTAAGCAAGACTACTTTCAACGGCTAAAACGATGGCAGCGCGGTCAGAGCCGAGGAATAGGTCGCTAGCAATGAGAGCTTCAAGTTCTAAAATAAATTAACAAACACAAAGGGCAGCGAGAAAAATCCCAAGCCTCTCGTCTTCGTTCACCGAGCGTGTGAGTCCCCCTCCCCAACAGCGTCAACAATTCTCTCTGTCTTGGTTTTCATTTTGAATATCACCTCAGACTAAGACAATTTCTATATTGACACTGGAGAGTGCACCATATATTCAGCTCCGTGCGCGCCAATGAGTACTCCACAGCTGGACGAGTTGCAATGGAAATCGCCTGAGTGGATCCAATCGTTCGGTCTTCGGACTGACAATGTGCTAGATTATTTTGCCGAGTCTCCGTTCTTTGATAGAACTTCTAACAACCAAGTTGCCAAGATGCAACAGCAATTTGCACAACCACGACCTGCAGGGCCTGGCGGGCCTGCTCTTGAAGTGCAGGATCCCGACCCTCACCGAAGATTTATTTTGGCAAACTATGTGGTGCACGCATTGTGGGAAACGGAGCTCCGAAAATTGAAAGGCGTAGAGTACGTTCTGGCCTACGTGAGAGAACCCGATTTCTGGATCATTCGAAAACAAAACAGATCAAGCCCCAGTGAAACCACACCGCTACAAGAGTATTTTATCATTGGTGCTAATGTATACCAGTCACCAACGCTTCTAAAAATTATTCAAAGTCGATTACTCTCCTCCAATCTGCATTTATCAAAAGCTCTTGCCAATCTCAGACGAATGAGCAATTTCCAACCCTCCCAGGGCGGAAGATTTGTCAAAACTGCATACCAGGCAGTAGCTTCCAACTCCCAGCAGACCACCGCCGTACAGAGCACTACGAGTGGCTCCAATTCGGCTGCCAATACAGGGCCTACAACTGTCAATGGTCAATCCGTTCTGACCGGATCGGTAGACCCAATAAATTCTGCCGGCTCCCATTCCAGCACGATGGACGAGGCTCTCATGGACAAGCTGTTGGCCACGAGTATGAAGTCCACCACGGTTTATCTCTAAGACCCACTGCTTATTCCTTGGCGTGCAACATGATAAGGTTCTTTAATTGAGCTTATGGAACCAAATACGACCAAAGTGTTGTACCCATTCACAACTACATCATAATACTGTGGATCGTTTTGCAGAACATGTTTATCAGTCGTTTAATTGCCACACTAGTTACGATTTTGGTTTGTGTACAGGCCGCGGTCGACCCTGTCGTCACCCACAAAGTATACTTCGACATTGCGCATGGGGACGAGTCTGTAGGTAGAATTGTGATAGGCCTCTTTGGCGAGGTAGCTCCAAAGACGGTACAGAATTTCTACGAACTTGCCACTTCCGAAGACTCCGCTATGGGCTACGTCAACTCGACTTTCCACAGAGTTATTCCAAGCTTTATGATCCAAGGTGGCGACTTTACCCACCATTCTGGTATCGGTGGGAAATCTATTTACGGCGACACTTTTGAGGACGAGTCTTTTGAACTCAAGCACGATAAACCTGGCCGTTTGTCGATGGCCAACAGAGGCCGCAACACCAATGGGTCCCAATTTTTCATCACGACTGTTGTGACCCCTTGGCTGGACGGTAAGCATGTTGTCTTTGGCGAGGTTCTTGAGGGGATGGATGTTGTTGCGTACGTGGAAAACGTGCCCACCGGTTCTATGTCTAAACCCAAGACAACTGTCAAGATTGTTGGCTGCGGTGAAATCGAAACCATTCCTGTCAATGAAGAGGCGAAAGAGCAGTTGAACTCCGAGGCGGCTCGTGACGAATTGTAAGCATATATAAGTGTACCTTAAAGTCACATTGCTGCATTTTTTTGAGCCTCTGCCACCAAACTGACACCAAATATTTCGCCAAATAACGTAGCAATGCAGAACCAAGAAATGCTTTAGTATCTTACTATTCGGTATCTAAGTAATGTATATGCCATGTTCAACGTACGTTGGTGCCCAGAATTTATGTGTCTGTATCGTTAGTAGGATCTTTTTCAAGTTAACATAGATTGTCAATACGAAGACGATCACTCGCAAAAGTCTATAAAATAAGAACCTACATCCTCGAGGATCAAGAACTATAGAGGATGCTACGAGCAACGGCTAGGTGCAAACAGTTGTCTTTACCCCAGCTAAGTGTTCGGAGTTTTAATTCTGTTACAAAATTCACTGCAACCAAAACTGGAAGTGCTGGTGGCCCTTTCTCCCAGTTGCCAGAATTCACACCATTGCAGGATAGTATCCTGGTGTCACTACCGTCGTCATGTTCGATATATACCAAAAAGGGACGAATCAGTGCTTTTTCGTATGATTCCAAAACAAAGACTCCCCAACACTCAATGATCCAGTTGGAGCCCACCCCGGAATCCGGTTTCTCGAAGTTATCCACGGGAGACGAAGCTCTAAACGCAATGCTTGTTTCAAGCACACCGATGTCGAATGTTCTGATATTAGAATTCGATGATTACGAGCGAGGCTGGTATCTGATGAACCCTCACAACAGCGTAATGTGCTTCAGTGGAGATCTGACATTCCAAAAAGACCATCAACTGGTTGGCCGTGGAGTTGTAGCCCTGTGCGGAGAAGGACCAATCTTTCAGATGGACCTTGCACCTGGTGAAACGGTGATACTCAATCCGAGTGCCGTCCTGGGATACAACAAAGCCATTTCATTCAATACCATCGGGTTCACATCGCAGGCCTTGGTGCCAAAGCCTATTCGTGATTGGGTTGTACGCTATGCAGGCAACCACCTGGACAAAATCAACCTACTCTGGTATAAGTTTTTAAGCAGGGATAAGTTGTATTGCCAAGCAACCGGACCTGGTAAAGTGTTAGTCCAAACAGCATTTTCGACCGGTTCAACCCTGTTCTCCGATAAAGATGTGATAAAAGCATTCAAGTAAACGAGATTCTCTATTTTAATGTACATATTCAAAGATAGCACGACTGATAGCAGGCAGGCATCGATTTCTAGAGGTAGGGGCCTATCGAGTAACCTACAAAAGCTCCAAGATAAGCTCCAACAACTAGCGGAGTAGGCCATTCTTGCCAGCTTCTGTCCCAGTCTAACGGAATAACCACGCAGCTTATCCAGCACCCAACGGCGATGGCGATGAAGTATTTTTTGAAGTTGCCCACCTTAAAGTTGCAATTGAAGATAGAGTATACAGCGGGAAATCCTAGGAGGCAGCAGTGAGCAGCAAGAATCCAAGTTTCCTTCAAAAGCATAGCGATCGGAGCACCTAGCAATATGATGATAAGCAGGCACGGGATCGTTAGCGCCAAAGTTGCCCCTAAGCAAATGGGAACTAAGCTGGTCCGCAGCCTCAGAATCTTGTGGCCATAAACTGTTGATTTGTTGAACTGGAGTGACAAGTATGCAATCTGAAACGGCACCAACAAGTACAGCAGGGTGACGGCATCGAAGTTGTCAGATAACTTTAGGTAGTAATAAAGAAGCCCTAGCAGGTGTAAAGGGGCTGTTCTGATCGTCTTTTTCACATAAATGGGAGGACTATCACGGCTAACGCTATGTTTCCTATCGCTGGATGGCCTGGATCTCGTAATTGTCTCGTCATCAGAAAACGAGACTGACTTCTTGGGGGTAGCCCTCTTTTTAACAGACATTAGCTATGGTGGCTATCAGATTATACTTACACGATGCTTGGTGGATCTAGATAAGCGAGCGTCTGATTACGAAAATTCGACTTCAGTGATCCTTTGAATATATTGTATTGTTTAAAATAATGTTTTTAATTCAACGAAATAAGAGAAGTTACATTAAAAGTTGCCGATGCTTCTCTTTGAAGAGAGCGCTTGTATAGCTGATGCCGATTGAGCGTTCATAGAATTGAAGCCGCTAACAAAATTCGTGCATCCATTCAAGCGAAGGTGTGCTGGGAGGGTGTAGTTCGCGGTTCAGTTTTTTGATAAGTAAACAAGTAAACGGAAGTTGAGAGACTGCCAAAGGATAAATTTTGGCTAACTTTTACTAGCAAGAGTTATCCTCAATTGAATTCCATTTGAAACTTTCTTGAGCGGTTGTGTAAAGCTGACATTAAATGTTAATTTTGGCGTCACACAATTTAATATAATGAAATATTGGAAGACACACTTTTCTTTAAAGTTCAAGTCGACTAATGAAGAACCTCTATCGTACGTCAATATTATATATTTTGTTGTGTATGAACTTAAGAACAGAGGGAGTGCATTGAATACTCAACACCAATCAAATCCCTCCATATCTCAAAGTCAGCTTGACGCCCCGCCTTTGCAGCTACCTGTTTTCTTTTGTTTATAGGCAAGGAACTAAACCCTTTGATAATCGTGAAATCCAACATTGGTCTCAAAGCGTGTCCCAGTGTATAGAAGCGATTATCCAAACGCTCCATCTTAGGATTTAATCCACACAATTGAATTTCTTTTTCTATCAAATGCTGTTGCACCACGTATAGTCGTCGATATACGCTTTCGCTCAATGGAACCACTTTGAAAATAGAACCGTCGACGTTAGCTCCTATAGTTTGGAATTGAGGAGGGGTGAAGTTTTGCGGGAACTCGTTTTTTTTTGGGATAAGTTTCATGCAAGAGTTGGTGCTGTGTAAATTGAAGCTTGAGCAATGGACCAATTTTTGCCCAGACAGCGAATTCGGTTCGTCGGGCGCATATTTCAAAACATGCAGAATGTCATTTCTATCCGAAACTAAGAAATTGACTTCCCCATTGTTTACTAAAAATTCTAAACTCATGACCTCGAGGCCGGAAACACTCTTTCCGAGGGGAATCATCCTGTAAGGCTCAGCATCGAAGCCTACAAATTGAAATTCTTGAGCAGCGTCACCGATTATCAACAAATTCCCGTAACTCTTGGCGTCCGTAACAAATACTGGAACATCCATGAAAGCAACGGGGACAACCGAGTTGTCCTCTTGCACATCCCGAATTAAAACTTTTTGACCTTGACTAATTAGGAACCTCCCGCTAACTTCACAAACGCTGGAAACCGCACCTCTGAACTCCTCGTGAAAAATTTCCTTCAACTTGTAATTCGTGTCAGGTTTCCCAGGTTCTGGCACGACCTCTGTAATGTCGTAGAGATAAAATGATCCCATCGTGCCAAAATCTTCATCTCTCACAAAAGTATTGCCCACTACCAAGTACTCACGTTTCCTCCTCATCCTAGAGTTCGTTTGAATCAACATTGTTTTCATGTCATTGACGAGGGAGTTTTTCGAGAAGCTCAATACGTCAATTACATTCCACGTCTTGGGGTTAATCAAGAGAATGCCTGATTCAAACCCTTGAGCATGAATAACATTATCGTTACATCCAACCATCTTCTGTCCGTCTTCACTGATAGCTTCATACTCAATTTTTTTGTTGAATGAGGCTACGTACATGCCGGTTCTTTCATGATAGGCAACGTTATTCAAGCTGCCATAATTGGACAATGCGTCCTCTATGTTCACCCTTTTCACTGGCAGTCTATTGCCATAAAAGAAGGTCGTGTCTAAAGTGACAATCCTAGCGTTTTTGATATCATCAACACATAAAACCGAATTGTCACCCCACGAAGTAAGAGACACTAATGGGATGTTGGCAAATTTGAATATTTTGGGTTTGGAGACGTCCTCCTTTATTATCATGTATGGGACACTACCGGTGACTAAAATGATCGAATGGCCATTAAAATTCGGGATATAGTGAGCAATTCTCTCAATTGAACTAACACCCTTGGCATACGCATTTCCAGGGGCACCAGTAATAAGTAGATCATTAGACTGCATCTCTTTGAAAAATTTGTTTCCCAACTTTCTGTATAGGTACAGCTCACCACCAAACGTCAGGATCGTGAGAAAATCTTCCTTGCCATCCTTACCCAGCCTGTTAATCATAACTTGCTTGATACATGGATCAGGAACAATTTCCTCTGGAAGCTGGTATGTACTAATGAATAGCATTTCGTCAAGATTATCCACACCATTCAGTTGGAATATTCGATCATGATGGTCTTTGGGGAAAAAGATGATTTGATTGTCTGCTGCTACAAAGGTGAACAAAAGTTGTTCTTTATCTTTTTCGTACTCTTCCAACGTCGGCATAAAATCGTTGCAAATATTACTCTTTAAGATTACACCTGAAGTTATAATCATCTCTTCCAGAGCTTCAGGAAGTCGAACTTTCGTCAACTTGTTTCTGTGCTTCGAGTCAAGCTCATATATCTTGATTTCACCCTTGGAGTTTGTAAGAAGAATAAAAGGATCCAAAATCGAAACATGGACAACCTCAAAATCAAAACTAATTGTCATTAGCTTTTTGAACCCTAGATTGAACAAATATACAGCTTTTGTAGTAACATGCACTACTCGTTTTCCTCGTCCAATAACAGCGATCTCCACCGTCGTGACATTTCTTTTAAAGTGCTGAGGCTTGATCGAAGTAATCTTCTGTCCAATTTCGAAGAGATCTGTCTTATCAGCACCTGAATCGGTAGTGATCAGATACTTGTCCTTCTTTCTTATCTTCAGATTCCAAATTTTTGTGACTGACGTAAATTTGAGTGCTTGCTGAACCAAAGGGCGAACACTTTGTTCCATAACATTCAAACAAGAGAAATTCCCACTGCCGGAGGTGCTAACAATGGCGAGCTCATTTCTGTTGGGATTGGAAAGCCCTTGAACTGTGGTTTCTATTGACGAATCCTTTCCTACAGCCATGTTTGTTATAGGCCCCACGTTGAGCAGACGGTCCGTTACTTCTATATCGAATGGAATAACCATATCCACTAACATTTTATTTTCAGGAGAAGGCTTCGAAATACCTTCGTCATCGCCGTATAGGGAAGCATACTCATCATCTTCTTCGGGCTGTAATTCAATCTCCCGTGTCTCCCGCGATTCGAATGCCGAACGCAAGTTATTAAGCTTCAGCAGCAATGCATCACCAGATGAGAAACCAATGAAAAGTTGAAAAGATTTGAGACTCAATCCACCTGTTAGGGGAGTTATGCAGGTTGGAAAATGCTGAGATTTAAAGATTTCGTTAGTGATGGGTAATTTGACGATAGAGAAGTCCAAAAGTAACCTACCCTCCGATTTCAAGCTTATCGAATACATTTCAGCTTTGTGGTCCATAAGCATCAAAATTTCTGTGTCTTTAGCCACCATGGCTGATGTCCACGTTACAGGCTCCTCAAACATCACTTCCAAAGATCTCTTGTCCACTTGCTTCGACCTAGTCAGCTTTTCAGCAAAGCTGTTCAATAGAACAGTAGATTGCAACGAACCCGTATTGTCTACGCAGATTATTTCGTTGATACCTACTAGAACACACGAACTGTTCAAGGGAACAATCGTGTGAACGTCGTGTGGTATCCCCTTGACCTGGTAAAGAGTGGTGTTTTTTGAATTGTCCAGGGTAATAGCTATCAGCTTCATCGAGGTTTTCGATACCGCCTTTTCATTTCCGCTCCACGCCAGTCGCGGTTGATACAGCACGGCCAAGGTTGGTTTGTTAAAAGAGTTCAAAAATTGAATGTCCATCACGTTCTTGATGTCAGAGTTCAACTCGCTGACATTCAGAATAATACTTTTCTGAGCAATTGGGTGCGAGGAGCTCATTCCGTTCTCTAGTTTTAGCTTTTTTGGTACCGGGAGAGTAGCAGCACCATTGTCCTCTTCCTCGTCTTCGTTTGTCCCCAACCGTAAGATCGCCAACATGTCATTGTTGCACAGAAGAACACAGCGTCTTTCGTGGTCTACTCTTAGTTTAGACTCCCGGGCAAGTTCTAGCAAGCTCCTTTTGGAGAATTCAGTCTCGTAGTAATGCAAGCTCAGTGTTTCCATCCCCATTGGTTTATGAGGGTCGAATCTAACGAGCGATAGTTTGGCCCTACCTGTGCTCAAGATCAAACATTGCAGGGGCCTTTGCATCTGATCCACTAGGGCCATACCTGTTATACGGCCATGAAGCTTGAACTCGTGACATAGAAGTAGTTTTCCATGGACTGCTTTGAAGACGGAGAGTACATTCGACCTTGCAACTACCAACTGATCGTCTGTCTCCGACGTCAGGCGGCCCAATAACGCATGTGAGACTTTTGTAGCGTCGAAAATCTCATCGTACACGTTCATCTCAAGCCCCAATAACCCCCAATATGAACTATATCAGCTCTCACAAACCGGTTGTCTTCTGACCCACGGCAAGCTTTCTTGAGCTGACTTTATCACCATGATTTATTTCAGTCAATTTAACTAATGGGGGCACAAGCTACGAAGGCCAGGAAAATGCTAAAGAGACATCGCATTTCAATCGCAATTAAGATTCTAATGCACGCCAGTGTCTACCAGACATGCTAGAATCATTTCCAAGCTTCAAGCTTGAGGGATAAGGCCTCAAACATATCCAGAAAAGAGCAATCACCAAACACGGCCAATCTTATTAGCATTAACACCAAAGGTCTCACAAAGAACTACCTATGCAGAATATACTGCGTTCCGCCGGCTCTCGTTTGGGTGCTGGTAATGGGTCTTGCGTGTTCATCTATCAGTGCGATCCACTCTCATCCTGCCTGCTTACTTGGCTCAGCATTAATAGTTGAAAAATAAGCTGATGTCCTAAGAAAGAATAATGTCTGACTCTTATTATAGTCGGTTCACACGACTTTACGCAAAGCTACAGCAGAGCGATGTCTCAGGCGTATACAATTGTAATTAAACTAGGATCATCTTCCCTGGTCGATGAGAAGACGAAAGAGCCCAAACTTTCGACCATGTCGATGGTTGTGGAAACGGTGGTGCGACTCCGTCGCATGGGTCATCGGGTAGTCATCGTGTCAAGCGGGGGTATTGCTGTGGGACTGAAAACCCTTGGGCTTCATAAAAGACCAAAGCAGTTGGCACAGGTTCAAGCAATTGCAGCTGTAGGGCAGGGCAGGCTGATTGGGCGTTGGGATTCGCTGTTCGCACAATTCGACCAGCGTATCGCCCAAATATTGATTACAAGAAATGACATTGTGGATTGGACGCAGTATAAAAATGCCCAGAATACCGTTTATGAGCTGTTACAGATGGGCGTGGTCCCCATTGTAAATGAGAACGACACTTTATCCGTCAGTGAGATCAAGTTTGGCGATAACGACACACTATCGGCCATCACTGCAGCTCTATGTGGAGCTGACTACTTGTTTTTGCTCACTGATGTGGACTGCCTGTACACAGATAATCCGCGTACAAATCCTGAGGCTAAACCTATACTGGTCGTCCCAGACATGGCGCAAGGCTTGCCTGGCGTGAATACGGATAGCGGCTCTGGGTCTGACGTGGGCACTGGAGGTATGACGACAAAACTGATTGCCGCAGAATTAGCTACCAATGCAGGGGTCAATACAATTATCATGAAAAGTTCAGAGCCTGGCAATATCTCCAAGGTTGTCAGCTATATGCAAAGCCTGGACACTTCGACCGATAGAACTGCTGACGTCGCGGAGCTACAACAATTGGAACTAAAGACACTAATAGAAAACGCCATCCCACTGCATACAAGATTCGTCGCCGATAGGAACCAGATGCATCTGAATAACCGCCAATTTTGGATGCTACACGGATTGGTTAGCCAAGGTGCTGTGATTATAGACGAAGGCGCTTACAATGCTTTAACAAGAAAGGAGAAAGCTGGCCTCTTACCAGCTGGTGTTATAGATGTCGAGGGTCATTTCCACGAGCATGAGTGCGTGGATCTAAAACTCGGTTCCAGGAATGTTGCTGGTGAGTTGGACCTTGATGCTCCACTGACCACAGTTGGTCGAGCTCGTTGTAACTACACCAGCTTGGAACTAACGAAAATCAAAGGTTTGCAAAGTGATAAAATCGAAGGTGCATTGGGTTATGCAGACAGCGAATACGTGGCTCACAGAGGTAATCTAGCTTTCCCACCTCGCTAATGTCTGAACCTGGAACCTACATAGAGTCAACAAAGCTGTAAAGTACATAGCATTTCGCCATTTATTTTCGACGGTAGTACGCTACTAAAAGATATATCATAACTTGTGCATCAGATCAAAATATGTAATTTTCCACTGTCCTGGTCGAAACTAACGTTCAATTTTACGTTGGAGGATGCTATTACTTGTGGCAACGGAATATGGATTTGTTGCGACTGGAACTTTGGATGCTCTTTAGTAGTTTGAACAATTAATGAGTTATCAGACGCAGCATAACGTACATCGTAATCCCTTTGCGCCATTAATTCTGAGTGGACGACGACCTTCAGTTTGGCCCATGCGTGACCCAAAGCTTTGCCTATACTGACGTCCAAATTTAAAGGTGCTTTGGCTTCAGTGTATGCCCCAATTTTGAGCCGAGTTGTTGTAGCGGGTTCGATTTCTTCCACAAGCTTGCGATCGGTCTGCGGCGCTGGAAACAATGGCGGAAGTGCTGTACTACTATCCAATTGATACTCACTCTCCATAAGATCTCTTCGCATGTCTAAAAATGACTGTGGTCCAGCATCACGCTCTGCGCTTGCAACGTCCTTAGAATTTGAGTTCAAATCCTCCCTTAAAATTTCAAGCGTAGGTATACTTGAACCTTTGTAACGCAGCTTAGGAAATGCAAGCTTTGTTCGATTCAATTCGATGTTTTGCCGCAGCTCGCAGGACTCTAAGCACCATTCCACCAGAATTTCTTTAAGCTGAGCATTGCGTCGCGCCCATTCCAAGCAAGATGTATTGACACAGCAATCACTAACGTAGCATACTGCGCCCTTCTTATCCTGGTCTTGACGGGCAGCCGAGGTCACGATGGGTATCTCCCATTTATTTGCCATGATCAGTGGGTAGACGATACTTGGCTCGAATGGGACGTCTGGACTGGGAACCTCGGCCGCATGGCATATGTTTATGAAGTATTTGACACCGATTTCCAATTCCTGGCTGGCGCAACTATCCACCTTGGTTTTGACAGCGAAGCCAGCCTGAGGCTCGACAGACAAAACTCTCTCCTTTTCGGAGGTGGAGTCTCCTACGGCACGAAGCATGAAGGTCATTAGGAGCAGTAGATGCTGTGATAGCGTACCTTGTGTGGAGAATGTATTGAGTAAAACGTTGTTCAGTTGCGATGAGAAGACCTAATTCTAATTCTTTTGGAGTCAAAACCGTAGTGTCAGTCCAATTGCTCGAAAAAGGTAGACCTGAGTGATTGGTTCCTGAAAACCACTATTTAATCACCTTGATGCTGGTTTTTACCGCCTAGCAAGCCGGTATTTACGATGCCCTTTAGATGTTACGTTAATTTGTGCTTGAATTGACCTTTTTGATCAACGATCAACTAACAATATTTAGTCCTAGGTATACTGACGCTGACCCGGATTCGATGGAAGGCGACATATGAGAAGGCTAAGAAAGTTTCAGGGCCCCCATTTGAACGAGCTGGACCTAAAAGCTTCACTAAAAATCCCAAGTGTCTGAGAAAGATGCTTAAAGTGATCGAGCGATTAAAAAAGAAAACCCGGCTCCAGGACCCTCCGAGATTGCAAAAACTTGGACATGACATTAAGACGCTCGGCAGCACGGCGATATGAAGAACCTCCGACTTCCCTATTATTTTTGTGCGCGTCAGTGGCTATAAAATACGTCGTCCCCGCAAGTACTGCAAGCCACTCCATATAGGCTCGTAGGACTGAATCATAATTCGGAATCGAAGTGACTAGCAGTAATCACCACTGAAACTAACGCCAAGATAGATTTATTTTTTACTGGGTCTACAAAAACTCCTCTCATTTCACTTGGCCACTTCTCGAGCTACGAATGGTAAACCAAGCCATTATATCCACATGAAAATCAGGACTAAAAGCTTGGCGTCACGACATAGCCTTCTAACGAATGTGATGGCTCACTAAGTAGTTTGAAAACTGTGCTAAGTAGTATGTGCACAGCCAGCTGCAACTTGGAACTTGGAATATTCACACTCCTTTACCTCTCGTCCAAGTAGATCGCCTAGCATTGAAACTTCGTGCCGAAATAATCATGGACATCGTCGATTCCTCTGCGGCTCGTCCTGTTTTGGCTAATCAGGAAGTGTTGATATTCCAGCGGGAGATAAGTGGGCATATCTAAGCGACAAAGCTTGAAAAAAATGTCGAAGTTTTATAAACGCCCATCACAGGACAGCGGACTTGAGCACAGTGCCCATCGATTCAGCTTACGATATTAAATCTATACAAGTCCTCTCAAAGCTGCTGATACCTCGAAGGATAAGCTACGGTAGGTAGGATTTTATGTGCATTTTATAGTTTTTCAATCTGGCTTAATCTGTATAATGGAATCTACTCCGTTGTTGGCAGACAGAAAGCCAAGCGATGAGCCCTACAATGGGTACGTGAGCGACGGACGCTCTGTGAGCTCGAGCGAAGTGCACATGAGTCGATTTCGTCTCATGAGCCCAGACTTAGAAGATCCGGAAAACGCAGACCTGGCAGAGCTGAACGATCCGATGGGACCGGGTATGGGTCACACTACAGTAGGCCATGAAACTCGTTTTATGCTTACGCAGTCAATTCCTCTGACGATGACCTTTTTTATGGAGTATTCACTGACGGTAACATCTCTGTTTGTGGTGGGCCATTTTGGCACTTCGGAAAACCTGGCCTCCGCGTCACTGGCCGCGATGACCTTCAACATCACGGGTCTCGCTGTAATCGAAGGCATGGCTACATCTTTAGACACATTTTGTGCCCAAGCGTTTGGTGCTCAACGTTTTGCAAAAGTCGGACTCTATTTTCTGCGGTGTACGGCGATGATAGCGATGGTGTCGATTCCAGTGGCCATCTTTTGGTGGACCAGCGCGTCGTGGCTGAAATATGTTATCCCAGAGCATCAGTTACTTGCCGATGCCCAACTTTTTCTGCAAATTACTTCATTTGGCCTTCCTGGGCTCATTTTGTTCGAGACTGGCAAGCGGTTTGTCCAATCACAGGGGTTTTATGATGCCGGAACCTGGGTACTAGCACTGGTAGTGCCCTTGAATATTCTCATTAGTATTGTCCTGACAAAAAACCTTGGCTATATTGGTGCCCCAATGGCTCTTGCTATAACTGATTGGCTGATGGCCATTATATTATTCATTTACTGCCGGTACTTTGAGCCTAGCGTAGGGAAATGCTGGTACCCGTTCAATGCCAGCTGGCGTCATTTTAAGCACTTATTTGAACATTGGGGTGTGATGTGGAGTTTGGCCTTCCCTGGACTGGTCATGATTGAATCCGAATATCTCTCTTTCGAAGTTCTCACGATCATGTCCACCCACTTTGGAGTCGAAGCTATTGCTGCACAATCAGTAGTCGCAAATGTGGGCTCGCTAATTTACCAGATACCCTTTGCAATGGGCTGCGTTGTATCAACCCGTATCTCAAGCTATGTTGGAATGGAAAACTTGAAGGGGGCCAAAACAGTGGTTAAATCAGCCTATTGCGTTGCAGCGGGGGCAGGTTTGGCGAGTTGCTTAGTACTTCTCCTTGGTAATAGACATTTTGCCATGCTTTTCACCAAAAATCAAGATGTTATTGACATTGCCAGCCACCTTATGCCCATTTTAGCAGTAAACCAACTTTACGACTCGTTGGCCACTTTTGGCGCCGCCATATTGAGATCACAAGGAAGACAAGGTGTGGGCGGCGTGCTCAACGTGGTTGGATATTATTTTATTGGGTTGCCTCTAAGTGGCTGGTTTGCTTTTGGTCCTTTACAACTGGGGCTGAAAGGTCTCTGGTATGGATGTGGTGTCGGAATACTGACGTTGGCAACTGCATCATCAATTTGTGTTTACATGAGCGATTGGAGGCGTATTCATGATGAATTTCTGGCCAGAGAAGGCGATGAGGAAGGTGCAGATTTGCTCAGTATCGATACATCTGGCACTTACTCAACTTCTTAAGCCGATTTCGTTACTTCGATGAATCAACTAGATCGTTTTTATAGATTCATATTATATATTTACTAGATGCATGCTTGATTTTTCCCTACCCAAAAATTTGAATACCAGTGTTGTCCAAAGTTTCTTCTTGAACCTCGGTAGCTTCGTCCTGAGCCTCTTGTTCTTCGTCAAAATTAATGCGTTGTCCTAGTAGACCAGCGCAGAATTCGTCGATTTGCTCGTCGGACCATTTGAAACCCTCGTTGATAGGGGCCTCGTAATTTGCAATCGCCTCCTGAATTGTGAAGTTCAGTTTTCTGCCCTTGGAGGCCTTTGTGTCCACGTTCTTTTTTACTTTATTGTTCGAACGGGAGGTCATTGCGATTGTGACACCGCTGTTTTCGCCTTGGGCATTAGCGACTTTCTTATCAACGAGGTCATTTAGCAAAACACGATAGAAATCTTCATCATCGAAAATGTAGGGATTGTCACTTGTATCAATGTTTTTATTATCCTTCTTTCTAGGATCATAATTCTTGGGGATGTCGAGGCCTTCCTGATCTGAACTTTCGACATCCTCCTCTTGAGGCTTTAGTTCTTCGAGGAGGCCCTCTTGGTAATCGTTTTCGAAACCTAAAGGCTCCACATTTCTTCTGTTCAGCCTCGTGCGTTTCAGTAACCTGGGTAGATCTGCCAGCTGATTTTCCACCTGAACATCTGCGGATTGATTGATTGCCTTGAACTTGGAAGAAGACATAACTGATTTCCCAGAAGCTGACGAAATTTTGTTCGACCATTTTTCTAACACCGAGGTTCTGTACTCTCTGAGCTGATTATCCAGCGTCTGTGATTGATCACAGAGTTCAGAGAAAGTTCTCTTTGCACCCTGAGCAATGGGGCTCTCCTGGTCTTGGACGATCATCTCGTTTATTTGAAATTCTGAGCGGAAGTCTACAAGCTGGCCCATGACTTTTTCCAAGAGTTTCATGGTCTTGGAAAGCAGTTTTTCATTTTTGGAAGATTCTTTGAGATAGTGTTCCCAAGAAGAACTTGTAAGCGGCACCTGATTACTGGCGTTAACCGCTTTCTGCAATTTAATTCTGACATCCAGGATGTAGTCAAAAGTGCGGTGTTGTTCCAAAACAGCAAACCCCTTTAAAGCATCTCTGTGCGTTGCTTCGGAAAGCTTTTTGGCTGCGGATTGTGCTTCCTGTTGCACTAATTGCGCCAAGCGTTGACGTTTGACTTCTGTATCTTCGTCATCTTGCGGCAGCTCCAGCTCTTGTTGGTTTTCCTCCTCTGATTCTTCGTCTTCGGAGTCTGTTCTCAAAGAAACACCGCTATCAGAGTCGTTGTCAAGATCTTCACTTCCTTGATCCTCTTCCTCTTCCTCCTCCTCTGTCCCACTTCCATCAGACTCCGACACCTGAGAGCCCCCGTCTTCGGAGTAAGCCTCGCCCCGAGAGCCCTTGGTACCTCCATATTTTTCATCTCGTAGCGCGATGCCCTGGTCCCTCATCTTGGACTTTCCAACGTTTACGTAATGGGACTTTGCTAACTTTTCATCTTCAGAATCGGATTCCAACTCGCCTTCACTGCCATCACGGTGTTGGAAAACGTTCCTTTCGCTGTCTTCTATATCATAGTCTTCCACTGCAGGCTTGTTGGCCAGAGCGGCAATCTGTTGTGCCAGTGACTTTGCCATGATTCAAACTCCTCCAACTGAAAAAAAATCTATCAAAATAAACCACCAAATTCGTATTCAAACAGCTTTTGCTTGAGCTATTCTTGATCGCAACAAGGGCTTTGGCTTTGTATCAATTTCATGTATCTAACTTGTAGCTCATCGCCTTCAACTTTATCCTAGTCCAAAGCTCATCGCCTTACAGGACAGCCAAAAATTTTTCAGACTAAAAAACCCCGAGTCATGCACAACGATATTCTCTAGTCCGCCGACGAGAAAAACGAGTAGATGGCACTATAGATCATCACAAACGGGGATAAGTTCTTGACGTGAACCATGGCATAAAGCAGAAACACGGCTCAACGAAGACCATAATAGCAGCCATATACCGCTAGCACCGATAATAAAGGGAGTGAGTCGTTGTGGGAACGTTGGGTGTTTATAGTTGTTACATGGGGGCATGTTATAAACCCCAGAACACCCCGAAAATGAATTTGAGATGCAGCAGCAGTTATTACGCGGTCTCATTCAGCACCAAGGCGGCACAGGCTATGGCTCGCAGAGCGCTTGTGGTGCGCTTAGCTCAGAATATTCACAATGATTTCCCTGTCGAACAACACGTGATCGATATCCAATGATACGTTACTATACCTAACTTTTTTCGAGGCCAAAATTGGCCGAAAACGCACCAATCTTTCTTCTGACTTGCACACCAAGCTCAATAAAGAACCTATTCAGCAACGAAACGTTTCTGTTCAGTGCTCTGTTGTGGATAGAATCAACCGGTGGGTAAAGTTTTAGACCAAAGACTCTTCACAGGCTAAATCTTGGATTTTCCATAAGCGTTCCTTTTCGTCTCGGATAAATGTTGAGCAAACTAGTTTTTTCCCGTTCTTTGGCCACCGCCGCCAAGGCCGTCAAACCTCCAATCCAATTATTTGGGCTAGACGGTACTTATGCTACCGCTCTTTTCACCGCCGCTTCCAAGTCCACCTCTGTTGAAAGTGCAGCCAAATCTCTCTCGCAACTATCGCAGACCGTGGCCAAGGACACCAAGTTGAGTGCCATCTTGGCCAACCCAGCTTTGTCCGCCGGGGACAGAACTTTGGTCGTGGACTCCTTGACTAAGGCGCAACCAGACCTAGATGCTTCCGTCTCCAACTTGCTAAAGGTTCTAGGTGAAAACAACAGACTTGACCTTTTCAGCGGTGTCTCCACCCAATTTGCCAAGTTGACCGACGCCTACAACGGGCTTGTTCAAGCCACTGTCACCACCGCCCAACCTTTGGACTCCAAGTTGTTCAAGAGAGTTGAAAAAGCCGTCGCAAACTCCAGTTTGGTTGGCCAAGGGAAGACTTTGAAGCTAGAGAACATTGTCAACCCTGACATTCAAGGCGGTCTTGTTGTCGAGGTTGCCGACAGAACTGCCGACTTGTCGATTGCCTCCAAGATCAACAAGCTCAACCAGTTGTTGAAGGAAACTATCTAAACGAAGAATAGACCACTACACCCCAGCGCAAATAAAAAAATTCTGGGAACATCGCACCCACGGAGATCGACTACGTATGTATGACGAGTAAAAACAACGCACATAAGTTTTTATATCTTTATATTCATTAATGACTTGACCACAGATCGGATAACTTTTTCGAGAGGACATGCTGTTACCGGTTGACCTCAAACTTCCAATATCCCCTCAGTTTTCCTTCTTGGACCCAAAACCTTTGCTGATTCTCGCTTGTTTTTCAGCTTCCCGTTCTTGTAAAAACTCCTTGTACTTGTCGATGGTGATGCGTCTCTGGGCCTTTTCGTATTGCTCGAAACCGTGAAATTTGGTGCCGCACACTTTATCCCACAACGTGAAGAAAGGTTGAGCAAAATTTGTCTTGATACCAAACTGTTGGTGGTGAATGTCGTGGTATACCGCGTTGTTAGGAAATAGCCACTGGAACGGGTCCCATGGAAGAGCGTAACCACAGTGATCGTCCACCGTTTTTAGTGTAGCAAACGTGAACAGCAGCGCCTGTTCCCGGTGCGTTAGTCCAGTTACTATGGCGGCGATGCCGGTTCCTAGCGTGTCCAGTAAAAAACCCTCTGTAGGCGAGTTGTAGAGCGCGCCGTAAGCGTACGGTACGTACAAGCGGTGATGTCTGGAGTGGTACAGGCGGTAGAGCGTTTTGTTCGTGTGCATGAGCCTGTGGAGCCAGTACTGCCACGAATCGATGATGCAAAACCCAACAAACACCTTGAGCAACGACATTCCGTATGAGTACCACAGAAATATCACGCTGCTGGGTACCCACGCGGGCAAGCTGTGTCTCCAGTCCCACATCGCGCGCTTTTCAAAACCCGTAGAAGGCTGCGGATCGAAATACAACATCGCAGCTCCCGTCACAGACTGAATAACGTGTTGCAACAAAACTTCACTTAACACCTCCTTCCGACTAACCCGGTTTCGGGTCTGTACTTCCTCCGAAGGATGGATACGGAACTTCTCGGCGAGATGCCACGTATCTATCGTGTGGAAGACCATGGAAAACGCCCAGTAGGCCACCACGGGCAGAGCCAACGCCAACTGACCGTCACTTAGCCATGGAATCAATGGTTGCTGAGCAGAAACTTCTACCACAGGCGGATAAGCTGAGCCCAGAAACGAATAAGCATCTCTGAACTTGTCAAAGCCAGTAGAAACGTTCATTTGGCTTTGGTTTTACACCGAGATGAGCTGTGCATTTTATAAAAGAAAGTGTCAAATAACTTTTTGCCTTATATATATAAGATAAACATATAAAAACAAACGACGGATGCCATAGACAGCCGATTATCAAGCACAAAGATACTTAGAAAGAGATTGATGACATTTGAACTATATGGACCGTAAAAGCGCTAGTTGTAGGCTTTTGGTGGGTATTTTTTGAAGGAAATAGAGCCGATTTTGGCTAACTTTGCATTCCACTTTTCTCTCCGGCAGATCATATGATGAGAACAGCACCAAAGTGGCATGACAAAGCTGACGATAGTGGTGCTGTGATGGTATTCTTCAGCGGACGCGAAAAATAAATGGACTGTACAGTGCGACCGGCGGTGGCCATAAACTGGGATTCGTAGGTCTTAGAGGAAGTTTCAGGTAGTTGTGGTGGCCCGATGCGCCCCGTGCTAGTATTTCGTATGTACAAAAGGATAATGCTTTTATGTACAGAGACCGCAGACGCGGTGTTCTGCTGCACTTGTGTGTGTGTGTGTTTGCGGGCGTGTCGAAGCTTACACGGAAAGCTCGCCAGCTGCCGTTTCTTGTGCGCGCAGCTTGGCAAACGCTTTCCTGGCACGTTCGCCCAGCTCGCGCAGGATGGCAGACTCCTCGCGCGCACCGTTGCCAACCCGGGTCAAAATAGAGTGTTTGAGCTGCGGAAGCACCGGGGTCCAGTGCTGCTCCACGTCTCCCATCCGCCATTCGTTCTCCCAGTGAATCTCGCCCTGGCTGACCTCGGCCTTGGTTAGCGCTTCCCGCAAGTCTGCCACAGCCTCCTGCGTGTAGGTGGGGCGAAACTGCGCGCTGTACCATACATGGCCGTCCTCGTTCTTCTTCCGCAGCGAATCTGCCTTCTTCAGGTCCCCGACGTCTCTCAGGTACCGTAGACGACACAGGTTCTGATAAATCCTAACTCCTTGCTCGTAGCTAGGCAGGTCCACCACAGCCATGCACCTCCAAATATCACGCCTCGTAGAAGGCTTCTTATTCTCCCAATTTGGACGCTTGAACAACGCATCGATCTGATGTTGAGCGAACACCGGAAATTGGGAATATATCACTTGTCCGCTCTCCAAGTTTCTGAACAAAAACACTTGAGGGGCAAACCCAGCCTTGGCCAACCATTGGGCGGTACGAAAACGAGCTGCAGCGACCATAGCGATTGTTAACGCTTTGCTGAATGGCTTCTATCTTGTTCAATATACCTAATAGAATAGAAATTTTTTTAACACTATTTACACTGTAAAGGACAAGCTGAATAGAAAGACTCGACCTCACAGAGCACAGAACCACATTGCTGCCAAATACAATGCAATAGAAACAGCACGGGGCACCTCTAAACCTACAAAATTGTCTGTTGAATAAGCAGAAGGTCTTGCCGGCAGCTTACATCTCTTTCTACAGATCGAGTATTGATCATGGTGAACGAAAAGATATGATGGGAATCAAGCATGGTAAGTCGGTGATCTTTAGCCACGGCTACAACCAATCGAATACCCACACACACCCGGCCAAGAGTTGAGCTTGGCGTTGGCCCTTGCAAATTGTGAGTCTTCTATTTTTTTGAACTCCGAGCTATGCTACTTTCAACTTTCGACGTGGTGCCCACCTCTAGGTTAGAAGCCGAGTTGCAGATGCCATATCTACACGAGCCAGGCCACTTCGATGTTCTTTACGAAAGTAATAACGACGTGGAAGAATTGCGGACCAGACAGGTGCTGCAGGCGTGCTCCTCGTGTGGCGCGGCACTCATGGATAAATGCGCCATCATCCAAGAGCAGTGGGTATGTGTATTCTGCCAGACCTATAACCCACTGACGGAAAAGGCCACGGCGACCCCTTATGAGGTTGAAGTGCCGAGTACCGAGAGCTCAGGCTCCCCGGTTTCGCCAGCTCCATATGAGGTGCTGATTATAGACTTATACACAGACACTCCACAGGAGCTGGCTTCACTGAAGGACGCGATTGTCTCGAAAATACGAAACTGTGACCCCACTTTCCTTTTTGGTCTTATTACTATACACCCCAATAGCTCTGTTTCAGCTCATACGGCGACTGGTGCGTTGTCATTCGCGGGCCAAGATGCGGCGATCTTAGACTCGGCTAAGAAGTTCGACCTGTCATACTTTAAAAAGGTTCTTCCGGCGCTACCGGACCTTCTGCTGCCAAAAGAGCAACTTGTGAGTAAATTAATGGGGCTAGCATATCCTCAGCACCACTGCGTCAAAGCTCAGAGGGCCCAACGTGCACTGGGGCTGGCGTTATTGCTCGGAAGTGCATACTCACGAACTCCTGATAATCTGCCTCAAAGTAGCGCCTTTGTCAGCGGACCATGTACAGTCGGTCCTGGTAAAGTAATCCCCAAGAAAATCAATTTTCACATGAGGCAGCATCATGATATCGACGCCCACAAGGACAAGTATTTTCGACCGGCGAGGACTTTTTTCCAGAAAGTCGCCAGCGCAATTCAAGTGCAGCTATTCATATCCAATTTGGATCAAGTTGGAGTTGTAGAAATGGCTCCTGCATGCCAGCAAATTAATCAGTTTGATTCATTCTGTGACAAGCGGTTCAAAGACTTGGCCCTAAGATTTTGGCCCCAAGGGTCCATCAACAATGAAATAACGGTTTTCGCTTCTAAGGGCCTTTTGATTGACGGTTGTTACGGAATGGTATCGAAATTGCCTCCCTCTCGCAAAGCTTATAGCGATACGCCTGCTGGCGTCGCAGGAACAAACCGCTGGAGGTCGTCAACTTCTATGCCGTCCCTAGCCTTTTCTTTTTGCATTGATACATGGGCAACTAAAGCAGGGTCCGTTGACGTTGTGCCTGCATACCTCGCAATACAAATCCAGCAAGCGTTTTCTAGAGGCTCCAAGAGATATCTTAAAGTCGATTCTGTAATTTTGTCGACAACGAACAAAAATAACATCGAGGTTCGTTCCGTAGAAAAAAGCTTCAACTACTCTGCAGCATTAACTTGTTTCATGAAGCGAATAGCGTACGATCAGCTTTTATTGGGCCACACTCATGCTCTTGACCTACAGCAGTGGCAAATCACAATCGATAAACTTGGCGCAAGGCATTTCAAAGCAAGCTCTAGGAACCACGCCAAATATATTGAGTTGCTGTACCGCCTGAAATGCACTGCACTACTTCAAAAGAGGAATACTTCTCCCGATGAAGCTGCCATCTTTCAAAACATCATTTTAACCCAAAGTTCCAATGTTTTGGAACTTCTGTGCAAGCCTCGGGTAGTTGTATTCGCTAATGACACGAAAGTGGAAGTCGCCTCTTTGGATGAACAACTTCTTCAACAGAGAGAGGTTATGTGCGTTGATTGTGGTATAGTCATTCTTCTGAGGTATCTGCAGGAGGACAACACGCTTGAAAGTGCAAGAAATTATGCCAATACACTTCTTACTGCTCGCACCCTGCCGGCCAAGCTAGAGGAAACCGTCATCAAAGGGAGTCAAGATCGGTACCTTATCTCTAGACTAATCCCAGAGGGTAATTTGAACACGGAAGATACTTCTTTGTGCGAATATAGAGGCGTAATAAGAAAATTAGCACAGTGCATTCAATAAGGAGATTGGATCCTCTAATGACCTTGAGGATCTTCAGAATTATGGTAGGTCTCAAATATCACCACCACTCTAGCGTCTAATGCTCCGGACTTTACGGCTAAAGTTTGTATTGCCAGTACCGTTACCATGGTCAACACCCCTCCAATTTGCCGCTCAAATTTCTGATCAAAAGACGTCTTTCCCGGCCCTAGTATCCAAGACATATTCATAGGAGTAGAGCATCAACCTCTTGCCTTCGAAGAGTGTGGAAAAGGCGCTGAGAAGAGTAATGTCATAATAGTATAAAGTGATAAGCAGAAAGTTTTGGAGAACAAAGGGGATCAAAATGGTTCTACCGTATATCTACCGGGTCCATGACATGCCTAAGAATGATGCAGAATCGCTTTGATCTGTATCAAATACAATTGAATTGTGTTGCTGCCTGTAGTATATATATCGTTTTATGCGCATCACTATTTCGAAGTAAAGCATGTCTGACAGCGAGTTAAATATTTGGACTTGGAATAGATTTTGACGTAGAACGCTTTTCATGTTCCCTCGGTCAACTCAACAGGGAATTGGCTAAATTGTTTTTACAGTCTCTAGCGGAATCGGTGGTATAATACAAATTGTAAGTTACATCAAAACAAAAATTAACCACTTATACCCTGAGTTTCACTCATGGGCCCTGAATTGCCATTCAAATCCAATTAGAGCCTACTGTTTGATCATTTGTTGGAAAGACCTATTTAGCTGATTGATAATAATTATGTGTCAACCGTGAACTCACTATGTACGCAAGCGCCAAATCAAGCAGACGAAAATAAACCTACTGTAACTGCGATCAAACAGCATAAAGTATAGTCGAAGGGTACTTTGCTTCTCCACACCCAAGGTGTCTTTCTCGAATTAGATTCAAGAGATTATTCGGCAGGATAGACTTTCGTCTCAAACCATTCTTTCTTTTTTAATGGATCGCACTGAAGATGGACACAATAGCACTTACTGCATTCCAGTTGGCTTGACGAACCTCCAAAAGGACTTGATCGAAATTCTTGTTTCTATGCATGCCAGATCATTACTAGAGCTTAGTAAAGAAGGAGCTTTACCAAAAGATGAGGAAGACACAAATCACGCAAAATTGATGTTGCCGGCTCTGTCACCATTTCAGTTGACAAATATGCTTGCAGCGAACATACGAGCTGTTGCCAACCATCCATGTCTTCTTGTCGAGCACTATATGCCACGCCAACTTTTGCTCATGGAACCTGCGGAGAGATTGATGGCAGGAAGCGCTAAGTTTCAAAAATTAGCCACAATTTTGAACTCTCTTTTGTCCAGAGATCGGGAAAAATTCTCCAAACCATTGCAGATACTTGTTATAGCGCAAGGAATTAAGGAGCTGGATTTAATCGAGGGCTTTTGTCTGGGAAAACCTGTAAAACTGAAAAGACTGTCTGGAACGAGTCTTTTTGACGAAAAACATCTTTATGGCGAGATCAACACTGGATCAAGCACCCCAGTACCATCGTCAGGGTACAATAAAGACGAATATGAACGGGTGTCTCGGAAAAGTAGGAATAATTCGAAGATTGAAGGCGATTGGTTGTTTCTGGCCACTACTACCCATATAACCCGTTCTTCAAATTTGATGGACGAATTCAACGTCGACTTAGCCATAGGATTTGATCCTCTTGTGGACGAAAACCTTTCATGCTTCAAAAGAATGCGCTTGGGAGGGAAAAAAGTGCCTCTTGTAAAACTTCTGGTTCAAGATTCCCCGGATCACTACGCTCTTGCGTGCAGATCTTCAGAAAACAGTGATGATCTTTTACTGGACTCTCTCAAGCACTTCCTATTAAACCGACAATCGATAAATGGAGATTTGGACTTCAATTGGACGAATACACTTGTTGACGAATTGTTGAAGGCCGAGAATCTGGATGTCAATGCCCTTCCTTCCTGCAAACTGGCAGACAGTAAGCGAATTAAAAGTTTAGTAGAGTGTGTTTCTCAGTATCCTGGTCTTTCGCCTCTGTCTGAAAACTTCAAGTTGTCGCCTGTAAATCGAGATCTAGATATCAAGGACTACCAAAGCATCCTCATGGACATCATAGTGAGGCGGCTGAAGGCCTGTGAAAATGATTTCGACTCTCGTCAGCGACAGGTTCTGGAGGCAAGGCTGCGCGAAACAATGCGCCAAGACGAGTTTGATAGTGTCAAAGTACAAGCTGCAAAGACCTTCAAGGAAATGGAATCTGATAAAAGTCATTTGAATGACTCCATTAAAACACTTGATAAGGTTCAGACTGCTCATGCTAAAATATTTGATAATGTAAAAGTCATCTCGGAACGAAGCACAGCCTTTCAGAATATACTCGTGGCGTCAGAAGCTTCTCCTGCAGGTCAGATAGTTTCTTTGCAAGAGAAACTTGCAAGTTTAAAATCCGAGCTTACATCAGAAACTCTTAATAATAGTCGAAAGAGCTCTGCGAACGATGATTTGCGTGTGAAATACCAAGTCGAGTCTTCAGAGGCTGCAAACAGATCCTTGACGCTGAAAGCCCTGCAGGAAAAACGCACAGAAATTAAGGCCAAATCAGCTGGGCCTATAACGACAATACATAAGGGCACCTCGAATGAACAAGAATTGCAATTGCGAGAAGAACTTATACGCGTCGTTCAACAGTCCCAATTCATCCAGGGATATATTAAGAAAGTACAAAAACACTACTCACTAAATGGTAATGCGAGCCCAAAAAAGACTCCTAACGGATCGCGTACAAGGCGGGGTAGAAACATTGATTAGCGAGCGGATTATTACCCACATCTTCGTTTTTGTTTTTCACGGGGAGAAATAGGATAAGCAACTGTTCCTCATGGCAATAATTACAATCATGTAAACTTCTTAATTAATAGACAAGCGCATTGCATCGAAGAAGCGCATAACCACTATTTATATTCAAATATCTTGGCAGAATAATTTCCAGATATAGGTTGCGGCAAAGTACCCCTGGTTGTCCTGTTTTTGGGAACTGGCTTCTAAATCATTCCGCTCTTTTGATGTCAAGTGGTTACATTGATACATGTTATCCAGAATGCGTGATGAGACCTCGGTTACAAACTCCGGGTGGCCCTGTAAAGTGAAAAGCCTATTTTTTTTGTAGAGACCTTGAATGCTACATTTAGAGGAGCTTCCAACATTCGTATAACCCTGTGGCACCTCATACACAATGTCATGGTGAACCTCTACAATCTTTAAATTTTTAGTTGGTGAATCGGGGCTTCTTTGAAAGAGGCCTGCATTCACAGCATCGGAAGTCAATTGCAGATCAACAATTCCACCCTCAAATCCTTTCACATTGCGTGCTACTTTACAGCCCAGACTTGACGCGACAATTTGATGTCCAAAGCAAACACCTGCGATCGGTGGGTAATCTTCATTTTTCAAAAGTTCAGCCACTAGTTGTCGTAGGCGAATGATCCATGGAGTGCTGTTATCAAACGAATCACTTTCGGAACCCGTAATATATATGCCCGAGAATTCCCTGAGAATATCTAAGGTCGGAAATTCATTCTTGTGGACCTGGTAAACTGTAAAATCGGTCATTTCGCATTGACCGCGTGTTTTTTCCAGCATAGTGATCGCCATATCTGCAAAATCTCCATACTGCTCAAGGTATCTCTTAGCAAAATCACAGTTCAAAATAGCAACCCTCATCATTCTTCAGCATACGTCTCAAGCCAATTGACTACATGAAGCACAAGTTTAGTGGTTATGGGGGTTCCGTCACATTTTGATGGGTCTTCGATTCAAATGGTTTTGATATTTATCTTCACTGATAACGAAAGACTAATCAGTGGAAGAGATCACCAAGCGATATATTATTTGATTCTCTATTGGAATAGCGGCCCGACCGGTGCAGAAAGATAAGTAGACATATAAAGGTTCACAACTCCAGCATTTAGAGTTGCATTGTTTGATAAGTCACAATTGTTTAAAAGCAATGTAGCGCAGTTAAATTATTCTCGGGGATCAAGAGTTATAATTGTTTTAGGGGCGATGAATGGGGCCGGGGCATTGGCCGGACCTCTAACGAAGGACAACTGCAGTCCAAGGTAGTGAATTTTGATATTTAGAAGATGGTTAGAATGTAGGGCCATTCACATGTTTGGTCTTGGGCTGTCATACAAAATGCTAATAATTTTTTATAGATGTCTGAACAGAGTCCCAAGCTATCGTCTTTCCCTAGAATCCTCCGCACATATGCTAAAAAGGCTTTCTGTCCGGTCTAGTTGAGGATTTATGCAGGTTTATTCTAATAGGTCTTCGTCGGAGCGATGAGGCCTATTTATGCCAGCTTTATCGTTCAGTTGGTCACGGCGCATCAAACTGTGCGAAAGATGATCTCCGTAGTAGCTCTTGGCTCGTGCAAAACCAAGAATGAAATTTGAGCTGAAACACCAAATAGCCAATCCGGACAGAATGACGCCTAGGGTTTTCCAGCCAAGCGGTTCAACGAAGGCATTGACGACATCGCCGATTAACTTGGCACTTATTGCCGTTCTAGCTCGAAAAAATAAATCATTATTACGGGCCATGCAGCTCTCCCACAGGTCACATTGCGTTTCCATCGCTTCCACCCTTGTACTGCGGTCACAATGATTTAAAGTGTATTGCACCTGGCAGCGAGCCGATTCTTGGTCCAATTCAAGCTTTGCATACTGCCAGGCCGATCTTATGTCTGTTTTGAGAGACCTCATAAATATCAGAACAAATGAAAACAACACTAACACCGTCATTCCATTGAGAAATATTTGCAAATACGAGGCAAGGTTGTATGTGCCGCGAGAAGCAGGTCTTGAATTGGAAGACCACGGATTTGGAAGTTGATAATAATCGTTTTGGGCAAATGAATGGTTCCTACTTTCAGATTGGTGCAGTTCTGTAGGAGGATAGTAGAAATGATTATTGTTTATCGAAATTTGTATTGGCTGGTGCTGTGCTCGTTGTCGCAGTTCGTCGAGACTTTGGGGTGATAAATCAAATCCCGTAGATGCCACTTTTTCTGCTGTATGGTGAGGCTGCGGTTCAGATATACTGGAATTTGCGACGCTAGGACCTCCGCTGACACTAGTAGGATCCGGAAGTGCGTCCAGTTTCGTCGCAGCAGCGACGCCAAGACTGGTTGGTGAAAGAAGCGCTTTTATGACAGTCCTACTATTCGTAGTGGAGGTCTTGGGGTTGTTCTCATCACAATCAGATTCCACTAATAGATCATCGTCTAACGCCTGCTTTTGTAAGTCTCCCTCTTCTTCAAATGAGTCGACCTCCATCTCATCATATGAGTCATCTATGAAGACGGATTGTCGCAGTGGTGACGGACTTGACGGTACATGTGGCATCAGTTTCTCGATTAGTTTTTGACTGATCTGTCGCTTCTTGCCGTCGAGAGGATCAGCACCATTGTCGGCTATCTTTAATTCTAATATCGCATCCAAATCCTCCTCACGCACTACTGACCCATTATCAACTATAGATAGCTTACTAAACTCATCCATGTCTTGTCGGTGGTCGCTGATCTCAAGAAATTTTTGATGCGATAGACTTACAAGAATATCTTGAACAATAAAACGCTACACCAGGTCACTATATACAATAATGGCGATGTGAAGTGTCACACTTTATTCAACTTTATCTTGTTTGTGCTTAAAATTCATGCTTTGTTTTGTATAGAGTATCGAGGAATCCAACGAGAAGTCGATCGACCACGCCTTTAGTTTGTACACTGCCTGCGACACCGTACAAAGCACTAGTGCCGTTAGAAGAAGGTTTTTGGTCTGAATTTGCGCTAAGCTCTTTGACTAGACTTTGTAGGGTTTGGGTCAATTCAGACATCACAGGTCTCGTTAGCCACGTAACTGCCAAATGTAGAGCAGGAGGGTTTTGTAAAGCGCTGAAGTGCCACCCCTGCTGAGCCAACCGATCAGACAGCTCATGGACATTTATTTTGTCAGAGGTGAACGATACCACGGAGCAAAGAGGATCACCAAGGATTTGAAGCTCTGGAATATTGTCGTGAATGAAGTTCTTGAGTCTTCTGGCGGTATGAACAATTTCTCTGCAGGAGTCGACGTATCCTCGCTCTCCCATGCGGACCATAGTTGCCCAGCAGCCAACAACCAGAGCGCCAGGCCGGCTTCCAGCCAGAGTGGGAGACCCGTAAAGACCCCCAACCCAGTCTGATGACAAGAAATACTGATGCATGCGTAGTTCGCGGTTTCTGTAGAGAATGATAGATGAGCCCTTAGGAGCAAAACCGTACTTGTGTGTATCGCATGAGATGGATGTCACTTGAGGCACCCGAAAGTCGAATGGTGGTAAATCCTTGAATCCTGCTTTTTCCATGTGCGCTATCACAAAAGAACCCAAACAGCAATCGACATGTAGTGGTATGCTGTATTTTTGGGCCAGCATACCGAGTCCCTCAATGTCGTCAATGATACCATGCGGAAAGTTGGGAGCAGACCCTACAAGTAAAATGGTGTTTTTGTTGATCAATCTGCGCACCCTCGTCAAATCCACTTTCAAAGTCTTGGCATCGAGAGGCGCATGTCTCAAGGTAATACCGAAATAGTAAGCTGCCTTGTCAAATGCGGCGTGGGCCGTGGTTGGAGCAATGATCTCTGGCTTGCGGATGCCCTTTTTGCGCAGTCCATACATCTTAGCACTGAGGCAGGCCAACAGTAGGGATTCCGTTCCACCGGAGGTGGTGGTACCACACGCACCATCAGATTCCGGAGCATTGAACATTTTCATTACCATGGACACCACTTCAGACTCCATCTTACGCACCGCGGGAAACACATCGGGGTGCAGCTGATTTGCAACGCAGTATTTTTCAAATGCCTGGCTTTGAAGTCGAATAAGGTCTTGGCCCCCGTGATAAACAGCCCCTGAGACCTTACCGCCTTCCCAGTCTGAGTGGGCCAGAACGTTCTGGGACAAATCTAGTTCATTGAGCACATCTTGATCGCTCCAGCCATCGGCTGGCAACTCCGCAAATTGCGTCAAACGATCGTCATCTTTCATGAGGCTCTTCTCGAGGCTAGCTAGCGACTTTTCCACCTCCTTGTCCACCTTATCCCTCAGCAAAAATGACGACGATAAGGTTCTGAACATCGGACCTAGGGTCTGGTTCCTAACCATCCTAAAACATTCTAGCCATCCAAAACCGCCCACGTAGTACCACACCCACGCCAATATCTTATATAGCACAATTGAAGTCAATGCGATGACAGCCCAATGCTCGCGATTGCCCTGCAGTTCGTGCCAGCACCGGTTGCAAATGTTGGCGAGGTCATTGTAGTCGATGGATCCGAACCAATCGCATATGCCATATAAAATCATACTCTAACAAACGCTTTCAGATTGCTCTCAAAGTGAAACAAGGTATCTAGTGGATTAGCCCAGGACCAGCTTGCCACCATATATACATATACAAATACCGATGTGTAAGGTCGGATTTACGAAACTTTAGTGATGACGGATTGATAAATAACGCTCACCGACGACAGAAAAATCCACAAATGATTTTGAAAGCAGATGAAAGCCAGTAACTGTAAATCAACCGCAGATATCCGCAACGATACATTTTCCAGCTCTAAATCAGGACTATGTGTAGCGTCTATGTCTTGATGCTTTACATTGATTGCTTCTCTGGAAACTAATGATAGATTGGGCACTCAATGATGACAAGAGGGCCGGAAGCAAGGTGGAAGCACATAGTTGTAATATTTATCAATAGCTTGGAGGGCGCGTATGACTGGGAGGTAGATAGTTGTGATAAAAAACCAGATAAATATCGGCATATTATAAACAAAAGGGAACTGGGGATGCAATTACTCTAGAAGCACCATCGTGCCATAGGGCCACGCAAGCACCTCGCAAACCCTAAACTATTATATATACGTGGCTTTGCTAGGAAACAAAAGTAAACAGTTCCGCACCATGTGTCAGGGCCCAAGTGTTTTCCGGTGGCCATCAGTGGTTAGCCACATCTTTAACGCGTACAAGCGGCGCAGAAACTCTATGTGACATCCGGCGTGATGAAGAAGATCGCGATTGCATTCTAATGGCACCAATCAGATCAAACTATGCGTGATCTCGTACCTTATACTCTAAATTTTTGACGCCGCTTAACTGGTGATTTTGAACAGGAAAGGTGAACTTCAAGGCAGAAGGGCCCTTAAAAGTTTTTGAATTTGGGATTTTTGCCATCGAAGGCGCCATTATCAAGTTGGCTGCAGATGTGCAGTACATTGTAGTGGGTTATAAATACGAGCGTGGCCGCTTCATTCGCCACACATCCCATTCCAAACGTCACTTCAACTACTGGGACGGCCTTTGAGCATGTTATATATTCTAATGTCGAGCAACATCATTTTGTACCATACTGTCACGGATGACATGACTTTTCTCTCAAGCCCTCTGACATCAATCGGCTATGCGATAGGTCATCTGCGGAAACCTCAAAACATATTCTCCGACTTAACCTTGCCCCGGCAACGCTGTGATTGGACGACTGTACCTTTAACCCTCAGTGTTCTTCCAAGAACAAAGTGCTGACGCTCTGTATTTATCTTTAAGTGCGCCCATGCTGAGGCACGCCCAAGCTGGACATGAGCAAAAAGGACTTCTGATCCGGCTGTATATTGTATCAGGGTCGGTTCAGGGTTCGCTATACAAATCGGGTAGGATACTACACCATACCAACGAGTTTAGGTTTGCACAATCTACGGTCTGACTGCGTGGCAACTACATCTAAGAGACAAAGAAACGAAACACCGGCTAACCATCCAAATGCGCAGAGAACCCACATCGAGGTGCTACCAGAAGGATATTAGTTTTCATTCTCTCTCAACTCTTACAAATATTTTAATGCCGTAAAAACTACAAAACGTGCAATCAAACGTGCAATCAAACTTCAAATTGTGACAATACATATTGAACTGCCAGCTCTTTCGATCTTCCAACCGCGTATCCAGCTGCTTTACTGCTGAGTTTGGTATCTCGAGTCGCTCGGCACCACCGATAGTTTTCGACGTTCGGACTTGGGTTTCCGCATTCAATTTACACCGCGGCCACTGATAGTGGTTGATCGGTAGAGTCAGCAAAACACATACCTAAAAGCAGTTGGAAGCGATCTTCAAATGGTATATAACGACCACAGGAGTCTTGCAAGTGAGCTTAGCGCTTTATGACGATTGGGTGAATAGAGTCTATCACTTTTGTGTTATACTCACGAGACTTATTACACGGTCACTTTTATTTTAAGGCATTTTGAAGCATTTGCCAAAGATACCTTGGATCAACAACCTTTGCGCACACACAAGCACACGCACAAAAGTACACCATAACTTTTATCATCGTATCATGCTGACTAGATCGTTATTGCTCAAACAGACGAGACGTAGGGTGTCGCAGCTGTCCCACGTTACTCCCCCCAAGCAAATTGCGAATGAACCGGTTAAAGCCTTTTCCAATAAAGATACACTGGACTGGGACCTGTTGCGGGCATCAGTGTCGAAGTTCAAAAATGCCTCATTGGATGTACCGTTGGTTATTGATGGAAAACGAATCTTTTACAACGAAGGCAATCGCCACTACGTTCAACAGGTGAACCCAGCACAGCACACACAGGTGCTGGCGAACGTCACACAGGCTACTGAAGCTGATGTGGGTGCAGCAATCCAAGCTTCCAAGCGTGCCAAGCTTGAGTGGTACAAACTGCCCTTTTACGACCGCGCGGCGGTTTTCCTCAAGGCTGCAGATCTCATTGCTACCAAGTACCGGTACGATATGCTAGCTGCGACCATGCTGGGTCAGGGAAAAAACGTGTACCAGGCCGAAATCGACTGTATAACGGAATTGGCGGATTTCTTACGTTTTAACGTCAAGTACGCCAGTGAGCTGTACGCACAACAGCCCTGCGAATCCAGTCCCGGAGTTTGGAACAAAGCAGAATACAGACCTCTGGAAGGATTCGTATACGCTGTGACTCCTTTCAACTTCACCGCTATTGCCGGCAACCTCGTGGGTGCTCCTGCTCTCATGGGGAACACCGTGGTGTGGAAACCATCGCAAGCTGCTGCTCTATCCAACTATTTGCTGCTAACGGTGCTCGAAGAAGCAGGGCTGCCCCGGGGGGTTGTCAATTTTATCCCGGGCGACCCTGTGCAGGTCACCAACAAGGTGCTTGCCGACAAGGAATTCGCGGCTCTGCATTTTACTGGGTCTACTGGCGTCTTCAAGAAACTGTACGGACAAATCCAACAAGGGGTGGTCTCTGACCTATATAGGGACTACCCACGCGTCGTCGGCGAGACAGGCGGGAAGAACTTCCACCTGATTCACCCAAGCGCCAGCATGCCACATGCTGTGCTCAGCACAGTGAGAGGTGCTTTTGAATACCAAGGCCAAAAGTGCTCTGCCACTTCCAGACTGTATTTGCCGGAATCGAAGAGTGCCGAATTTTTGGCAGATCTAGTAGGCACGCTGGAGTCCGTTAGAACTGTTAACACTTCTGCTTCCAAGATCAATGGTGGTGACCTGCATGGGTTCATGGGACCTGTTATCCACCAACAAAGCTTCGAAAAGCTGGCCAATACGATTGACGAAGCCAAGAATGACCCGGAACTCGAGATTATCGCTGGGGGAGAGTACAGCAAAGAAAGTGGGTGGTTTGTGGAACCTACTGTCATCAAGACCACGAACCCGCACCATAAATTCATGTCTACCGAGTTTTTCGGCCCCATACTTACAGTCTATCAGTACCCAGATGCGGAATTTGCCCAGGTCTGCAAGACCATTGACTCAACAACAAGCTACGGTTTAACGGGCGCAATTTTTGCGCGCGACAGAGACGCCATCAATGTGGCGGACGACTTGCTCAAGTACAGTGCCGGGAACTTCTACATCAACGACAAATGCACCGGTGCTGTTGTCGGCCAGCAGTGGTTTGGCGGAGCCAGAATGAGCGGTACAGACGATAAGGCCGGTGGTGCCAACATCTTATCTCGTTTTGTCAGTATCCGCAACGTTAAGGAGAATTTTTACGAGATAACAGACTACAAGTACCCTTCCAATTACGAATAGGACCTGGCTTATCCCAATGTACATAATCAACTATCTAAGAGAGCGAGCCACGCACTAAGAAGCTCTAATGTGAGGGCCGTTTAGTTTACATCAAAATGGTCGGTAAAAAAACTCGAAAAAGTCTCCAATATTTTTTTGCTACAATTCTGGCCTGACTGGGGTTTCTATCAATCAAATTACTCACTTGCATCGCTATGATTTACTTCCATTGCGAGCCCCATTTATCATTTTCCAGTTTTACCGTCTGGCTAGTCAACAAATCCTTTAAGGTCTCATACCTTTGTACGATTTGCTTTAAATAAATGTACCCATATATAAAAATTAAGTTCCCAGAACTCCTATGAGAGTCATATCACAACGACTTTTGAAAGGGACAAAAAACCCATTAGCCTTTTTAGCTACTTGCAAGCCCTACAATTATATTTTGTAGACTGCAGGGACCCAATAGTGGCTTCTTTTTTGTGCAGAATACACGGTGCGAAACTCCAATAAGTGCAGTTGCCGGCGTGTGGCGAGCATTTTTGGTGGAACTAAAGAGTCATAGTCACCAAAAGCGCGTTTTGCGGGTACTTGCTTCAGCTTTAGCCAATTAGGAAAAGATACAGGCTTGAACTTTTGATACAGGTAGTTAGGGTGCTTTTCTCGAGTTTATCGTGCCTCTCAACCCCATCTGCTTCTGGAAAGGAGAACGGTATACAGCAATGAGTTCTTCTTCTGATAGAGGCCAGTCTAATGAGAGCGGTGATAAGTTCATCGCCACGACAAGTGGCGGTCGAAACAACCCGAAACAGATCCATATTGCACACAGACGGTCTGCTAGTGAACTAACCAATCTCATGATTGAACAATTCACTCTCCAGCGGCAGCTGGAGATCGTGCAAGCCCAACAGCAGCAACTGATTGCTCAGCAACAGATGGCGCATCAACCTGGTCAATTTCCTGCAGGGATGGCTGTCCCTGGTCACGGCTCGTTCGTGCCCCAGCCACCCCATCCGATGTACAGCAACACCGTAACCCCTTCGCCTTCTACTCAGAATAGCAGAAGCCGGTCCCACTCCAGGAACAATTCCGGCTACTATAATAACAACGAATTCGCTCCACCGTCAGGAGGTCACCGGAAAACAGCATCTCAATCCGGAGTGTATGGCCACAACCGTAGGCACTCGCTTGGTCTAAACGAGGCCAAAAAAGCCGCTGCTGAGGAACAGGCCAAAAGAGCTAGCAGTGGCATTGCTTTCAAGATTGAAGACGTGGAAAGCTTGGATTCTGAAGGACGTCTTGTGTCCGATCCAAGTGAGCAGTCCGGATTCAAGTTTCCAACTTCCCCCGTGGAAAATCTTAAGGGTAACACTCCTCAAACAGTCAGAAACAGCAATGTCTCTCCTCAAAGGTCGTACCAGTTCCCTCCTAGTAAGGAGAACAGTGACGATTTTACTCCGGTGAATACCCCCCGTAGAAATTCAAACGCTAAGGCCAAGGATGCTCTAGGCATCAATACCAACTGGCGTTCCCAGCAGCAGGCACTACAACCGCCCCAGCCAACGCCTTCGCACGCACAACAATCCTTTTCTTATCACAAGAAAAGCTTGTCTCGGGAACATTCGTCCTTCGGTGGGCTGGAACCGCCACCGGTCTTTCAACCTGGCCATAGGTCTCGCAACTCAAATTTGTCAACCCACAGTTTTTCATCCAACAATACTAGCGGAAATCAAAATGGTCGGAAATCTCTATTTGCTCCATATTTGCCACAGGCTAACATTCCTGAGCTAATCGAAGAAGGAAGATTGGTTTGCGGCATTTTAAGGGTCAACAAAAAGAACAGATCTGATGCTTGGGTTAGCACTGATCGCATTCTCGATGCAGACGTTTACATTTGTGGTTCCAAAGATCGCAATAGAGCTTTGGAAGGCGATTTAGTTGCTGTTGAACTTTTGATGGTTGATGATGTTTGGGGTTCCAAGAAGGAAAAAGAAGAGAAAAAGAGGAGGAAGGACGCTAGCAGCCAGCAGGACATCCCCTTAAATAGCAACGAAGACTATCATAATGATGCTTCCGCTCGTACAGCTCCTGCTTCGAGCTCTTCCACGTCTTTAAATTCCTCCGAAAAGGGTGACCAATCATCACCCGCAAAATCAGGTAGCATCAAGAGAAAAGGCTCTTTGAAACAACGGCCAACACAAAAGAAGAACGATGACGTTGAAGTTGAGGGCCAATCTTTACTTCTTGTTGAAGAGGAGGAGATTAGTGACACATATAGACCTCTTTACGCAGGCCATGTTGTCGCCGTGTTGGATAGAATTCCGGGCCAACTCTTCAGTGGTACATTGGGGTTATTAAGACCTTCTCAACAGGCCAACAGTGATTCTAACAAGCCTAACAAGCCTAAGATTGTTTGGTTCAAACCTACTGACAAAAAAGTGCCACTTATCGCCATTCCAACAGAACAGGCACCTAAGGACTTTGTGGAGAATTCTGAAAAGTACGCAAACAAATTGTTTGTTGCTTCGATTAAGCGCTGGCCTATTACCTCTTTACACCCTTTCGGAACTTTAGTCTCTCAACTAGGCGAAATCAATGAGCCAGAAACCGAGGTTGACGCGATTTTGAGAGATAACAACTTTCTTTCTGATGAATACTTAGACCCCCAAGACCGCAGCAAAGAGAGAACTACATTCCAGCCAATCGCGTTATCGGAGGATAATCTGAAAGCAAGAAAATTCTTTGAAAATGCTGTTGCAATCTCTGAGACAAATGATTTCTCTGACTTAGCTTTGCACCTGCAAAAATTACCTGATGGTACTTTTGAAATTGGCTGCCACATTGTTGATGTAACTGCACACATCGAGGAAGGTTCGTCGCTTGATAGAAGAGCACGTAAACGCTCGTCGGGCGTATTCATTCCACAGAAAGTAGTTCACTTGCTGCCACAAACTTTGAACGATGCTTTAATGTTGAAACCTGGTAAAGCTACCGCAACCATTTCGGTAGTATACCGTTTCAACACTAATTTCGATATTGTTTCCACTTGGATGGGCGAGAGCTTGGTCAACCCTACTTCCTCATTGACCTTTCAAGAGATAAACATGCAACTAACATCCGGCTCACCATCAAGCTTCGTTTCAACCATCGAAAAGGCAGCAACGGCTTTTTGTCAGAAGCGTTTGGCCTCGAAATTCGTATCTCTTCAGCCAGAACTGTCCTTATTGGAGAGCCTCGATGACGAAAGGGTTAAAGTTGACCTCAACATATTTCAAGTCAGTGCTGCAGCCTCCATCATTTCTGAAATTGAGCGTCAAGTGAACGGAACTGTGGCTCAAGCGATTTATGATAAACTTGGAGATTTAGCGTTTTTGAGAAGGCAATCTAAACCGATTGCCACCAAACTGTCTTCTTTTCAAAAGAAAGTCACGAAACTAGGACTCGATATTGATGTTACTAATTCTCAAACCACTTTAAGCTCTATTCTAAAGATCAAAGATTACAGCGTCCGCATGGGAATTGAGATCTTGTTGTACAAGACAATGGGTCGCGCGAAGTATTATGTTGCGGGAAAGGTTGAGCCAGACCATTACGAACATTATGCTTTGAATGTGCCGCTGTATACACATTTCAGTGCCCCATTGAGGAGATACGCCGACCACGTGGTCCATCGGCAACTCAAATCTGTGTTGAACGGCACTCCCTACAAAGAAAGTGACGACTCATTGAAAATTACATCCGAGTATTGCAATTTCAAGAAGGATTGCGCTCATCATGCTCAAGAACAAGCTATTCACCTTCTCTTGTGCAAGACTGTTAACGACATGGGAAATGCCACGGGCCAAATTCTGACGATGGCCACAGTGCTACAAGTTTACGAATCTGCTTTTGATATACTAATTCCTGAGTTTGGTATAGAAAAAAGGGTCCATGGAGATCAATTGCCACTCACTAAAGCTGAATACGATGGGAACGAACGCTTGCTCGAGCTTTATTGGCAAGCTGGGGTTGATAGTGCGACCTTTGTACCTGCAGATGAGAAGAATCCAAAGTCGTACCGTAATTCAATCAGAAATAAATTTAAGTCGGCCTCAAAAGAGATTGCCGCAGTTCAGTATCAGAAAAATGCGGCCTCTCAAGAGCTTCTAACTGATGAACTCTCAGAACAATTGCGCGATCTTCATATTGATCCTCCCCTGTTGAACTATCCTAAGTGTGACGAAGGTGAAGATCCGTTGCAATGCTTTTTGTCTGGTGTTATGACAAGGCAGGAAAATGATAACAACATTCAAGAAATTCGCGAGCTGCAACAAGTTCCCGTTTTATTGCGGGCCGAGGTTGGCATGGCTTTGCCATGCTTATCCGTTCGAGTGCTGAATCCATTCGTTTCTCGAACCGGTTGATGTATGTGCCAGTACAATACCCAAGCCCATCAAAACAAACAATTTTGCATTCATTCGTTTTAGTCCATATATCGCTTAGGCTCTCATTTTTTGACTTATATGTACATTAGTTTAAATGACCAGAGAACTGAGTTCGATCGATTTGAGAAACATGTCCTCAGACCATAGGATTGTGTTTTGCTTCATGGTATATTATTGGCTTGAAAATTTATATCACTATGTTCTTACCTGACATGCCTAGGTAATTGAGAAGATCACTTGGAATTCATATTGTTTGGTCTAAGCGCCATTAGCGAGCCAGAAGCTTCATACAGGACAATCCCATGCTAGCTAGACATTCGTTAACAAGATCATCTATTTTCATTGGCCACCAGTTTAGACAATTTCACTGTACTTCCTTGGTGTGGAAGAAAGCCAGTAAGAAAACTGGAAAAGTGAAGAACGGCGACGACGAAGAGAAATTTGAGATTGTCGATCTGAAACAATACATTCAAAGGGCAACTGTTGGATTTGACAAGAGTCTAGAGCTTCATAAAAAATCTTTGAATGAGCTAAGATCTGGTACTTCTAATCCTAATATTTTTGACAAACTGAAGGTGGGCAAAGATGGTTCCAAATTCACGGATTTAGCCACTACTTCTACAAAAGGTAAAAGTAGTTTAGTCGTTACTGTTTTTGATCCCAAGGATACAAAATCCATTATAAGTAGCATTATGGCTGCAGGTTTGAATTTAAATCCCGAGAGGATTCCAAATAATGAGCAACAGCTGAAAATATCACTTCCACCTCCTACTACCGAAACCCGGAAGCAAATGTGCAAGAAACTAAAAGAAGTGTTCGAAGAGTACAGAAATTCTGCCAATAAAAATTCTCTGGGTCATGTTCGCGCAGAAATCTTAAAAGAACTGAAGAAGATTGACAAGAAGAACGATTCTGTGAAAAAGATCATTCAAGATCTTGAAAAACTCCACAAGGAATATACAGGTAGACTTCAAGATAGTTTTAAACAGGCGGAAAAAAGTGTTCTCGGTTAGTACGTACTCATATATATACACAAAGTCCTAAAAGTGATAGACACTCTAAAGTTAAGTACACTCTCATGCATTTCTTGCCAAAGACAACAAGGCTTTAATTCTAGTCCACACTGATCTGGTATAGGAGCCAGTATTAAAGCTTTTGACGAACTTCCAAGCAGATCGATTGCTTCTAATTGGATAATCAAGTGGTTTGGGAATTTGGGTAGATACGAAGGGTAACTTGTCGTAACATACACTTTTGGCATTGCAGAGTCCCGTGAGACCCTCTTCACCACCAAATTTACCGTAACCAGAACCGTTTATGCCACCAAAAGGAAGTTGGCAAACGTAGAATGTGGCAAAATCATTAATGGCCACATTTCCAGTGTGCAAGTGGTCAGCCACAAAGTTACACTCGGCATACTCCTGGCCAAATATGGACCCACCAAGGCCAAATGGTGCTGAGTTAGCTAAACGAATACAATCTGCAGTATCTTCTGCGCGCATCATGGTTAAAACAGGTCCGAAAACTTCATTTTGGGCAATGCTCATTTCAGGCTTCACATCTACCAAAAGAGTGGGCTGAAAATAATGGCCCTGTGGGTAGTTGGGGTGCTTGTAACGAGAACCCCCGTGGAGGAGGCGGGCTCCTTGTTTCACCGCTTCTTTGATCATATATTCAAGCTGCTCGAACCTATTATCCGATATCATGGCACCCATGTCAACATCTTCTAGATTATCAATATCTGATCCAAGCCTTAATTTTCCAATCCTGCTTTCAAGAATTGACACCAAATCATCGTAATTTCGAGCTGAGACGATTACTCTTTCAATCCCGATACAATTTTGACCAGAGGACTGAAAGGTGCCGCGCATAATGATGGAAGAAAGTGCATTCAAGTCTTTAACGGAGTCTAGACAGATTAAAGCGTCTTTACCTCCCAGTTCAACACATACGGGCGTTAGACTTTTGGCTGCGGCTGTTAAGACATGATGGGCCACTGGTTTGCTGCCAATAAAAGTCAAATGTTTTAGGCCCGGGTGTGAAGAATAGTAGTTGGCCGTGTTATCAGTAGCATCCGGAGGATTACAATAGCATAATTGAACTAAGTCGGGGTCGTAGCCACATGCTTCGAGGCACTTTCTGGTGATTGTAATAAAATATTCTGATGACCACACCACCTGTTCGGAGCATTTAATGACAATACCATTTCCAGTGAATATGGCCGCAATAATAGGCCCTAAAAGATTATGAAAGGGGTAGTTCCAAGAGACGAGGGCCCCCACTACACCCAGAGGCTCATACCTAACTTCTGCACCTTTGTACCATTTCATGAAGAAATTTGTAGGCCCAGGGCGCTTTGAGGGTTGAAGTGCTTTCTTCCCATGTTTTATAATCCATTGTAACTTCTCCAAGGTCACCAATATTTCGCCCATAGATGCATCTAACATAGTTTTGCCAGAATCCCTACACGCAACGCGTGCAATGGAGTCTTGGTTTTTCAAAATGTAGTCTTGCAAAGAGACTAAAACTTTTGTTCTTTGGTCGAGGGAGGTTTCACGCCATTTCAGCTGGGCTTTAGTGGCTCTAGATATTTGCACATCAATGTCTTGTTCGGTTTTCGGCAAAAGAGAACCCAAGACCTGACCAGTAGCAGGACAATAACATTGAATGCGTTGATCACTGTCTACTTCGTTGATGGAGTTAGAAATCGAGTGCAGACGCTTTCCTTTCCAGTGTTTCTGAGCAGCTTCCGGCAACGGCACTTCGAAATGAACCGGCCTGAATGCCTCTGTTCGAGTTGCGGGTAAAAGCCACTTGTATAATAGGTACGCAACAGCTAGCGTGGCAAGAAAGGTCGTGGAACTTGTCTTTGTGACAGCTGGGCTGGTGGCCAGCGTGGTATGGTTAAAGTGGGTTTGCTGAGAGCGCATCCAGTCCGAGAAGTATTCTTGAACAGTGTGATTCAGCTGCTGAAGCATTGACGAGTTCAAATAAATGTGTGACATTCTAAACGTTTCCAGCTACCACACAGGCGCAGGTAACGATTTGGAATACAGTGAACGACTGCCTTCGGGTTCGTTTAATTAGAATGGTAAATAGACACAAGTCAAGAAAAAACATTTCCACGTGTACAAGTTTTAACGACGAGCTTCAACACGAATAGCTACCAACTTGGTCCTGTAAATAATCTAAAGAACAATGTCTAGCGTTTTTATACATATCAAACCAAGGCCGGTCGTGTATTGACGTCTCCTGAAGCCCGGGAGGTGATCGTTTCTGAAACACGATCTTAAGGGCCTTTACACGGCATTCACATGAACTTCAGCAACTGGTTTAGTCACAGAGCCGATCAAAAGCTTGACCACAGCGGATTTCTTCTTTTTCCCAATCTCTTCAAGCTCCTTCAATTCGCTCTGTACCTGGGTTTCGGCCTCCTTTTCCAAGCCACCGACTCCCCCGGCATTTTTCGCCTCGTAGTCCTTGAGCTCCTGCTCCTTTTTCTGTTTGTAGGCGTTGATTTCCTCTGCAGCGTCCGACTTGGCTTGCTTGAGCTTTTCCTGGCGATATTGCCTGGCCTTAGAGACAATTTCGTGTGCTTCTTTTTCTGCCTTCAAGAGGGTAGCAATTCCGTTTGGTTGAGACTGAGAATCACTGTTAGTATAGGGGAACATAAATTACGCGGGTTATAGCCTCAAGGGCAGGCCAGTTACCTGTGGTTTTCATTTCTCGACCGTTCTTATCTTGGTGATAAGGTCCCCGGCGAAAACACGTAAGCCGAAGCTTTTTCGTCAGAACGAGAACATACCATTGAATTTTCAGCTCGTTTATCTTAGTTTTGGCTCTTGAAGCTTGGTTGACAACTTCTACCAGCTCACAGAGTCGAGTTTATCCTATCTTAAAGGGACAGCTTGTATGGTAATTTATTCAGATTTTATCGAATATGACTTCCAACTTTGTAACATTGTACGTCAGGTTCATCGCCAAGCTGGTATAACCTTTATGGCAACGGACTTGGACCACTTGCCATCGATACTCATTGGCATGTATATTGGTATTGGGGAGGCATATGTGCTGACGTTCTAGCAGAATGCAGTAGGAAAGAACTACAGGGCTGTTATAAAAAGGGAAAAATGATGTACGCTTTAATTGTCTCCAAGGCAGCTTATCCTGGAAGTCTTTATAGGTCACAGGACTTCTGCTAGGTCTAGCTTATTTGACTAGATGGGGAAGGTCGTTCATTTTAGTGGTATACCACAGCAGCGCCATTATTGTATAAAGTGATCTTTTAGAAAAGGCCCCATTGCAGGAGTAGGCCAGGGAGTTCGGCGCAGACGTTGGGCATGCATGATTGAGACCATACGGAAATTTCAGCACTCTATTATTCAGCGCAGAATTGATATTCGTCTGGTTGTTGGGGGAAATATGAAGACGGTATAGGTCTATGGGGTTCAATTTGGCTTGTGAAATTTGCACATGTAGTAAGCTCCATCGCTAGACCAAATCAGCTTTCTAGCAATAGTAAAATAACAGTAATTTACAGCATTTTCCTCCATCACCTTCCGCCTATCACGATAAAGGTATTTTAAATAATCCCTACGCAAACAAAGTTTAACTCGAAGTCTGCCAAAAGAGGGCGTTGGACAATGAATGGCCCCACAAAACTTTCGCCGTTAGATGGCCCTCCTATTAAAAGAAGGACCATGGCAGGCTCCATGGCATTATTCAAAGCCATTTCGTCTACGATGACATGTTTCTTGATTCATGAAGGAAACATAGACTCAAGCAGCTCATCGCGTGCTGGAAACCATGAATAGAGGTGCTTCCGATGGGTTCTTCTCTTTGTGAAATCTGCTCAGTCGAACAAGCACGCTATACGTGTCCTAAGTGCAATAAGAGAAGTTGCTCCGTTGCTTGCATCAAGAAACACAAATCTCAAGACTCCTGCACCGGAACCGCAGATGATATAGCGAGCTATGTGTCTAGGGAGAAACTCAAAAGCGCTGACACTGCTGATGAAACTAATATGTTAGTCCAGCGGGACTACAACTTTTTGATGGGCATGAACAGAAGATTTGAGCTTTTGAAGCGCGATGGGAAATCGAAGAACAAGAGAGCACTGGTTTCCGCGCACAGTCATGGGCATCCCACTCATTTGAGAAAGCGCCAGAATCTTGAAAAGATTCCCCAGGTAATTAGACGAGGGGTCTACTGCATATTGTTACCAAAGGGAATGCAGAGAGCAATTCAAAACAAAAGCAAGTGGGACAAAACCTTGGACTTGTTTGTATGGTCTTTGGAATGGTCTATCATAACTCCCGAAGGAAAGCTAGAATTCAATCATACAAGTCATAGAAATCGGGAGACAGATACACTATTTGAATGCATAGGTAAATCGATTCAAGGAAAATGCAACGATATATTTGCGCCCCCGGAGGAAAAACCTGTAAATTTGGACGATACTGTTGAAATGGCATCTGTAGAAGCTCCAGCAGATGCTCCAGATGTTATAAGAGGACATAGTAAATTGTTTTCTGCACAAAGTTTGGAAGCTGGGTCACCTCTGATCGATCAGGAAGTGAAAACACATCCAGACGCTATGAAAGAAACAAAATCAGAATGGTCAAATGGCCTAGGGCTGAGATATTACATCAAGTGGTTTCCAGAAATTTCTGAGCACTTTTCAGATCCCAAAACGTTAATTCCTTTGGACCCGACCAAAAGTATCGGTGAATTACTCCGGGATAAGATTGTCGTCGAATATCCAACAATTCTTGTCACTCAAGGTGAATTACCGACTGAAAGTGGATTCGCTCTAAAAGACCAGATGTCGAAGATAAATGACGAAAATCAAAGCAGTACTAGTGACAGCTCTAGCATATCTTCAGATGGAGAATCGGATGATACCGACGAGTTGGACTCGAGCGATGCCGACGAGGAACCAACTGAAAGCTCAAGCAAGCCTTCATTTAACCCGGCCACACAAACTGAAACGAATGACTACAATCGCGCAGATGAAGACGAAGAAGAAGATGACTATACGCCTGGGATTTCATTAGATTTTCTTGCAGACTAGGCCCATAAAATATTGGACATTAGTATATAATGCATAACTTACGCAACACCCCATAAAAAAGGGCCATATTATTATTCATCTTTTCCCGTCATGCCGCACCTGCAGCGAAGTGATTTTTATTCGTAAACGTAACCTGTTGCTTGTTCCTGACAATTTCGCGACCTTTCGAGTCACTCTTGAAGTTGTTACTTTCAAGCATGTGCTTTTCCCAAAGGGTGGGCTCGATACCCATACGCCCACGCCCTAAAACAGCAATGCGCATGGTTGCCAAAAGATTTCTTGCAGCTTGAGAATGTAAATATACTGCACCGTTGAAGGCTTGAGTGGCATCCTTGCCCACACTTGTTTCTACTAATGCAACGCCCCCGGGATGGTCATGTACAAATGGAGTAACATCATGCACTACACCTTCAATTGCAACCAACGCTCGTCTTTTCGTTTGAAATTCCTTCATAGCCAATTTTACAAAAGTTTCTGGAGGCATGATGGGAAGCCTATCCAAAGGAATGCCCCATTGAAGTCTTGACCGTTCTGCATCTAAAAGTTTTTGTTGTTGTTGTAGATAACACTTGTCGATTTGTTCCTGACTAGTAAAGTGTAATTTGCCGGCAAGACCAAGATAATGAAGCAGGAGGATGAAGAACTTTGACGGATCCCACTGTAGTTTATGCGGTCCATTTCTGTAGTCCCCCGGGAACTCATGGTGAAAATTGTGATTTGATTCCCCGAAGGTCAGTATATCCGCAAGAAAACCCAGTGGTAAGTTTACTGCCGATCTCGAATCATCAAAAGGTTGCTGAGCAAAGGGAAAGTTTTTAGTGTGGCACATAGAGCCAATAATTAGCCATTGCTGCTGTATTAAAGACATTCTGACCAGGCCAAGGTAAAATATTCCACTGAAGTACGGCAAACCACAAAGCTTGGCCAGTAAGCAAGGAATTAGAACTAACGTCAAGACCAAAATTTCACTATAGTTGTCGTGCTGCCAACATAAAAGCGCGTAGCTTGGTGTGGTAAGGTGTGACAAGTTGACTTTCGCGTTGGTAGTACTTTTCGCCGAGGATTTTATCGTATTTTGACATTCTTGTACGGCCCGTTCGGATTTTCGATTCCCCCGGAAAAGCTTATGGCCCCATTGTGCAAAAAGCCAACCATGCACAATATTAGCATATGGGTCGCGTTCAGTGTCCACATGATGATGGTGTGCCAAATGTTGACTGGCAAAATCCAAGATGGATCCGAGGCCACACGATCCGCCTAGAATGGCGAAGGCAGATTGTATCACTAAGTCACACTGAAACGACGCATGGGTAAAGAAGCGGTGGTAGCCGGCCACCAAACTCAATTGTGATACAACCATGTATACTGCTAGGCACCTCAACAAATTACCATTGTACTCGGGTCTGCTCAAAAGAAGTTTGAAAAGAGAAAAAAGAGGAAGAACCACGCTCAGAGTGGTCGTTTGTACACTGACTTTTTTTAGTAAATGTACGAGTTGTGGGTCGCGCTTTCTCTTTTTTAAGACACTATTACCATCTGTTGACGATTTTAACGACGGCAGCTTCTCACTCTGAGGCATTTCATCCTGGATGTCAGTGTCGCTTGCAATATCCCTACTTCTCAAAATATGTGTATATTCAAATTCTGGTATACCGCTATCCATCTTTCCACGACTTCTTCCACATCGCCGGGGTTGAGTCCACCAGTCCAGGGTTAAGCTATGTCCATCTCATCTTATGTGACTAGGTTAACAGTGAGCACCTAGTACGAATATTCGTTCAATCAACCCCGATACGAGCATATCTCCAAGCAGTTGACGTGTAAATATCGCAGTTGATCTGTGTGTAATTGTAGTAACAATCACTTCAATCCACTCGAGCTATTGTTGGCCCGAAGTCAACATATTATGGACGGGAACCTGCTTTTTCTGACATTGTAAATTCAATTTACGTAGAGGTCTTCAGCATTAAGATAAATTGAACTGAGAATGATTCTAAGCCCAAGGCAAGGCTCGATGATGATTTTTCTGGTGATATTTGGGCTCATTGTCTTTAGAGTAATTTACTTAATTCATGACAGCCTGATTTCTTATTGACATAATTCACTCACGGTCGTTCATCTTGAAAAGATCCTGCCAATATCTCAAGCCAACAACTTGAAAGAAGTATGTCGGCGATTCCAAAACCTTAGCGAATTTGATGTCATCGAACTTTTTCTGTCAGAGTTTGAACATCTCGAAGATCTCAGCGTGAAATCTGGTACTCAATGACACGCCGAGCTGGTCCTAGGGACTATGCACACGCCATATTGGTTTTCAACCTGAAGTCTCAGTAGCCTGGAGGTATAAAAACCAGCAAACCCTTAAGCGATGGCTGAGGTACACTCGATAGAGTGCTCGCCTTAATCGCTTGTGGGAACAACCTCAATTTTGCCCTCTGTGCAGTAGGACTCTCGTGAATCGCGCCTCACATCTGAGAGTTTGTACCATAAAGCAGAGAACTATGTCTACATCTTGACTGGGCCTCTAAACCGTCAACCAAGAAGCACCGTAACTCTTGCTAGCAAGGAAATTAAAATCCGATTCGTGGGACAAGTGTGGTTCGAAACAAAATTGTATACCTCACCTGTGCCTCCTTTTAATGGTAACCTATAAACTTCGAACGACGCCAATAGGTTTGATCGCCAATCGATTCACCCAGTAGCCATCCCGTAACCGATAGTGATTTGAAAAGCTCACCTCTCTGAGTTAGATGTGTTCCAGAAGCAACCAGCTTCATCGAAAAAAGAAGGTGATTTCATTTCCTCTGTTGTTTGTCGACATGTCTCAGTGCCGTCCTTAGCATTGATCACATTTTTGTAGAATGACTTTATTGACTGAAGTCAGAGGCAACTTAGCTAACTTCACAATTCGAGAAAACTAATCAAAATCAACAGTGTACTTCCAAGGCATAGGCGATGATTGATCAATTTGTGATCTTCTCTGCACAGGGACAGGTTTTGTACCATTTCAGTCCACACGGAAAGCGACTGGGCGAGTTGCAGGTGAACAAAGTCATAGCCCAGTTGATCAGTAGTCCGGTCAGAAGAGAGGAAACCGGTCAGAGATATGGTTTGCTGCATTTGGACCAGTTTACAGCTATGTATCATGCTACTAAACAACCGCCAATAAGCTTTCTTGTCACATACGCGGGCAATGATTTGGATTTGAACCAGGAGGCAGAACAAGTGTTAAATCTGGGAATAAAACTATGGGAGTCATTGGAACTCAATCAAAAAATCGAGCTTAATCTCAACGGGAAGGGTGCCAAAAACCAGCATAATTTTACTTGGATTTTAACCAGCGGTGAATCGCAAATCGAAAGGTTTGACGAGTATTTTAGAGCGAAGTTCAATTCCCTTAGTGCTCCCAAGACCAAGGCTAAGGAAAGCGTGCAACCAATTAGAACCAACACGCATGCTCCTAAGTCTGTAAAGAAATCAACCATAAATCACAAGTCCCGAAAGTGGGGCCGGGACGGTATGATGGAAGAATCTAGTCAAGGCGATACGTCGTCGCTCGATTTTTCTGGCGACACAAGTTTAGAATCGTCACCAGCGCCGGCGGCGGATGTGGATAAAGAGTCTTTCGGAGTGAGGAACGACAAAGGAGACTTTCTCATCAAAGAAATCGATGAACTGCTCGGGAAAAACAAATCGAATTCTGCCAAGGCCCTTGATTCGAACGCGGGAGCATTTGGCTTCTTACAGAAGCATCTGCTTGGCAACAAGAAAATTACTCATGATGATTTGATAAAGGTTTTGGAGAAGTTGAAACAAAAGCTGATAACTAAAAATGTAGCACCGGAAGCTGCAGATCATCTAACCTCCAGAGTATCGCAAAGCTTGATAGGGACAACGACTGCAAGCTGGACTAGTGTCGAGAATACAGCTAGGGAAACCCTCCAGCAAACTTTGACAGAAATATTGACCCCAGGAGTTTCAGTAGACCTGCTTCGTGAAATTCAACAGAAAACTGAAAGTGCTGGTAAGAAAAGCCCATATGTTTTTTCCGTAGTTGGCGTGAACGGTGTCGGTAAATCTACTAATTTGTCCAAACTCGCCTTTTGGTTGCTTCAAAATAATTTCAGAGTTCTCATTGTGGCTTGTGACACTTTCAGATCGGGTGCCGTAGAGCAGCTACGAGTCCATGTTGAAAACCTTGCTAAACTGACAGACGAATCTCATATTCGTGGTTCCAAGAATAGACGTGGCAAGAGTGGTAATGACTTTGTTGAGCTCTTCGAAGCTGGTTATGGTGGTTCTGATTTGGTCACAAAGATTGCCAAGCAAGCCAAAAAGTACGCAAGTGATCAAAATTTTGATGTGGTGCTTATGGATACTGCTGGTAGAAGACATAACGATCCGGCCTTAATGTCACCTTTGAAACCATTTGCTGACCAAGCAAAACCAGATAAAATCATCATGGTCGGAGAAGCGCTAGTGGGCACCGATTCGGTCCAGCAGGCCAAAAACTTCAATGCCGCCTTTGGCAAAGAAAGAAATTTGGATTTCTTCATAATTTCCAAATGTGATACCGTCGGTGAGATGCTAGGTACTATGGTCAATATGGTTTATGCTACAGGAATTCCTATCTTATTTGTTGGAGTTGGCCAAACTTACACTGACCTAAGAACGCTGAGCGTTGAGTGGGCAGTCGACACGTTAATGTCTTGATTAATTTTAGTTTAATGGAAATATTTAATTTTGTTATGTGCTCTATTCTTCAACCTTCATAGAGGGATACGACTTCTCAGCTGAGGCTCTGACGTCAATGATCTGTAAGTCCTTTGAAAACTTGACGTGTCCAATAGCAGGCACAATAGTCTCAATTTTGATATCTGGCAGGTTGGGCTCCGGTCCATCCTTAATTGCATCGATGAAACTAGATTCTTCGTGACCTAAAATACAATGAAGAATAATTAATGATGCTGCCTTTGAGAGCACCAAGCTGTTTTCTTTACAAAAAGCAGCAGCCACACACTCTGGACAGCCATAGTCACAGGGACATTCTTCTACTCGTTTTAGAGCACCATTTAAAATGACGTCCACATGTTCAAAGGCTTTAGTTGAAAGCCCTGATCCGTGTTTGCCTCCTTTTGAATCATAGAAAATCAAACGCGCTGGGCGTTTTCTTTGGGTTTGGCGTTCTGCAAATTCTTTTTCTGGCGCTTTACATTCAGTTTGTATTTCGTCCACCCCAGCAACGATGAAAGCCGGGAGAAGGCCCATTATAGCATGTTGAGCTGCATGAATTCCTCCTGCAATGTTTAAGGCCTTCTGCTTGCAAAGGTTTATTGCATTAGATGGTATATCAATCCACATTCCTTTAGACAGAATGGTGACTGGCGGATTATGAGTCTCAACAGCGTCGACGATACGCTTATACTTGTCAATTTTGAAAAACCCAAAGACGACAATAGTGGTCAAGATTTTGCCAAAGAAAACGGGTACATCGCTATCCTCTAGAGATCTGATCATTTCTATTTCTTGAGGGTCAACATCAGTAAAATCTCTCTGATTTGTTGTCCATTCAACATCAACTCTTTGAACTTTCGCGTAGTGCTCATCAGGATTAAATTCCTTTACAAGATATGGATAGCCTTGATGAATGAAGATTCCTCCATCGTACAGTGTAAAGCTAGTTCTTGAAAGCTCAACTTCTTCGATAACTATATTTCTTCCGTTGGTAATGTCCACTACGGCAGTCTGAACTTCTTCTGAGCCACGGAGACTGACAAGCTTGGCAGGCCAAGGAAGAAACCTATTGTGTGTATGGTATCCATTCGCATCGTGCTGTAACCGCTCTTCGCAGGTTTTCCTCAAAATTTTGGCCTCAAAATATTGCAAATCCCTGTCAATTGAAATGGGTAGTTCAAAGGCAGCACATTGAATATGGCCTTCTAAGATCAAAACATTTTCAAAATCCAGTGTAAGCTCTTGAAACGAATTTCTGTCACCATCCTTTAAAACATCTGGATGTGTAACGTAATGTTGATCTACAGGTGAGTCGCTGGCAACGACTAGTGTCAGTGAATCCCTATTCCTTCGGCCGGCTCTGCCACTTTGTTGATGAAAATTAGCCAAGGAAAGTGGGAATCCACACATTAGTACAGCATCCAAACCACCTATATCGATACCTAACTCTAGTGCATTAGTGGAAATAACTGCTCTCAAATTCCCATGAAACATTTCCTGCTCAATTTTGCGTCGATCCGAAGGAGAGTATCCTCCTCGATAAGACATGACCTCATTCAACAAATCAGTTCTATTCATTTCTTGAAATATTGTACGCACTTCTTTCATTAACAGTTCGCAAACCCTACGAACATAACAAAAAGCGATAGTTCTGACATTTTCTAATATGAGCTGTACCAAGATCTTGGCACTTTCATGAATGAAATTCTCTCTCCTTCGCATATGTTGAGGAAGAACAGGGGGGTTCCAAACCACTAGATGTTTTTCACCTCTTGGAGAGCCATCCTCTTCTATTAAAGTTACCTCATCCACACCGAAGATGCTTTTCATATGTTCAATTGGGCGTTTCAGTGTCGCAGAGCAAGATATAAACTTCACTTCAAGGTTTTCATAAAATCCATTTACCAGGCGTACAAGCCTTCTTAGCACAAGAGCAACGTGAGATCCAAATAAACCTTTGTACATGTGAAGTTCGTCGACCACAACAAGTTTTAAGTGCATCAAAAAGTGGCGCCAATTTGGGTGGTTAGGTAAAATGCTAACGTGTATCATATCAGGGTTCGTGAAAATGACTCTTGCATTCTTGCGTATGTATCCCCGATTATTTTCCTCTGTATCACCATCGTAGGTATCAACTACAATATGAGACAGCTGAGGTATCCTCGAGAGCAGAGCCTGAAATGCCCTTTTCTGATCTTGTGCCAAAGCCTTTGTCGGAAACATATACATGAAAGTGGCTTGAGGATCCTTGAGTAGAGTATCTATAGCCGACAATTGGTAAATGAGGGACTTACCTGAAGACGTTGAGGTAGTAATTATAACATTATTGCCATTGTGAATGGCATCAAGCGCCTGCGCTTGGTGAGAGTAAAAAGTTTTATGCTCAAAAGCATCAAGAGCGCCGGGAGCCAGTTCAAAATCTAATTGACTCAGCACTGCAGATCGTTCTTCTATGATCATATGGCTTACAATCTGATTATTGTATAACTCAGACATCTGCAATTTTTTAAGCAACGTTGGTATCGCGAGCCTGGTAAGATTGTTCTCAGCATCGAGCAAAACTTTGGCTTCGCCTTGAGCTTCACGGGACTTAATCATTGCTTCGATGGGATCTTGGAACTCTTTTTTCTGAGGAACCAACGCGGCCGCTTCGGAATTCAACACTTGCCATGGATCCACATTTTTCAATTTACTTCGGCCCAAAAAAGCAGCCAAACTATCTTCAAATATTTTCTTACGCTTTGATATCATTCTTCGCATTGCGTCCGGAGTAAACTCTGGCAATTTTACTTGCGTTTTGAATTCGCGTCTTGACACCTTGTGGGCCATGTTACCGTCAATAAACTCGAACACCAGCACCTGAGAGTCTTCAGAATTAGAGAATGAACCATCAAACTCACTGCCCTCGGGTTTCAGCTGGAAAATGTCATTAGTCTTTTGTTGAAAACCTCCGTTCTGGAAATCGAAATCCTTACTCTCAGTGTGAAATTGGTTAACGTCAATGTATTTGAAAACCACATCTCTAGGAAGCAAGTATGCAATTTTAGCCAGATCTAGAGGCTCCAGTGGCCTTCGAATGTCCTTCTCGATAGGTTTTCTCAAAGTATCAAAAGTGCTAATGACATGCTTCCTGGACATCAAAAAAGTGTAGAATGTGTTCAAGCGAAAGAATAACCTGCGCAATTCTTTGCAGCGATCATCTTGTGCGTAATCGGCATTGTCCGGGGCACTAAAATCCATCTTTCGCTATCAACTATTGACTAACATTTGGGTAGGCCCTAATTTAGAAGAAAGTTAATTAGAGGATTAAGTACTTGAGAAGTTTAAGCCAATAACAAGCATTATTGCAAAGAGCTCGAAATCATCAAACTACAGTCCCCAATTATGTCGTTCTCTGAAGAACAGTTTACATCAAAGCTCAATGCTTTAGATGAAACCCAGGAATCGATAGTAAACGCCTCCAAATGGTTGCTCACGCAATATAAAGAAGTGGATCAAATCGCCCATTGTTGGAAGCGATTTGTGATAAGACCGTCCATCAACACGCGAAGGAAGTTCTTGGCTATATATTTAGCAAACGATGTGATTCAGCAGGCTAAGCATAAGCGAGTAGGAGATTTCGGCACTGCCTTTGGCAAGATAATGCCGGAAGTGCTGAGCGAGGTATATCCAGAGCTGAACCAAGAAATGCGTCGCAAAGTTAAACGAGTTGTTGATATTTGGAAGCAACGCCAAGTGTTTAGTGAGCCAGTGATTGAAATGGTGTATTCTAAGCTAAGGGAACCTTCTAAGGGGGCCAGTCGCATCGAGGAAGCGCCTTCTGCCAAAATCGCCCCAGAGCTTCGCCAACTAGCTTCGATTTTTGACCAACTAACCAAATCGCAGGGGGGAATATCTTCAACCAAAACTAAATTCGATTCTTCATTAGAAGCATTGGATCCAAATAGCGCTGTATACTCGGAAAATTACAAAACGGTACAGAGAATTGGCCAAGTGGCCAAAGATGCACTGCAAAAGTCTATGGTCAATCGCCAACAGGCAATCAAGGAGCTTCAAAAGCTGCTCGATTTTCAAAACGAACAAGCTTCACAAGATCAATTTATGGTAGGTGAAATTGACGAGGTACTTGCTGCCAAAGACCCTCAAAATTCCAATCCAAATGGCTCTCTAGAGGCAGCCATGATGCCAACTTATGAAGAAACTGATGAAAGCGACAGTGATGCTGAAAAGAGTGACATTGAAGAACAAGGCAAAAAGCGGTTACCATCTACAGCAGGTATTGAAAACGATAATTTTAAGCGACAAAAATCCATAATAAGCGACGCTGGTGCAGAAAATCTTGAGACTATAGAGGCTGAGCTATATGAGCCAACCCCCGCAGAGGTTGCTGCAAATTCTCCTGTGACAGTTACGTCCAGCATTCAAGATCTATTGAGTAAATTAGCAAATTAATTTTATCTAATGCAATACAGAAGTGGCTTGACGCGCTATAATTCTAGAACTCTTATGTACTGGTGAGCCAGGTCACAAATAAAATCCCGCTTTTGTGGATTCATAAAGTCGCCACAGATTTTGTAGTCCTCAATTGAAATCTCCTTCAAATAATTTCGTATTTTTGATACTCTCTGTTCGAACTCTTGGTCCGATACGTCATCCTCACAGATGATTTCTATCAACAAGCCTTTAAATCCACCATACGAGAACACATTAGTAGCTCTGATGACCAGCTCCGTTGTTTGGTAAGTACTTCCAAAATCACCTTTTATACTCTGTCTTTGAGTCCACAAATTTGATAACTTAGACGCTAAAAGATTGTCAAAGCTCTCACACACCCCTGAAGAACATCCATTTAGAGTGAGACCCTCTAAAAGACCTCCTTGAGCAACCGACGTTACAATGGCAGATTTGTTCTTGACTATCACACTCTTGTTCTCCATATGACTGAGGGTTATGGAATGCATAAGCCTCGTGCTATCTGGAAGAAGATTCTTAACCGTTAAACGGAAGGTCTTGAACTCGAATGACCATTTCTCTTTGATGGATATCAGCTCATTAGACAATATGTCGTGAAAAGCCGTTATTGTTGCTGGTGCTGACCTCTCCACGAATATGATTCTAATTAAAAAGGATGAAATTGTCAGTCAAAGTGAGATAAATCATAAGGATCAAAGCTGACCAAACTTACGTTGAGTGCATTATCTGCAACGATATTTGTTAGAGTATATAGATCTTTCTTTAACTTCATCGTGTTCCTAATGACTGAAGAAGATCAATATCTTTCGTATCACATGGACACAATGCCAGCCGCCAAATCACTTTTAAAAAAACCGGATTATGAAGACAATCGCACCTCTTATTGTGAATTATTTATCGTTTGAGCTATGCATATTACTGTTTGATGGCAGTCCCACTTTCATCGTTGTAAATCCACGATACAAGATTTTCCCGTTTTGTTGCAATGAATTATTGCCCATTTTCCACCTTTAGAAGCCTCTTTCGAAAGATTATTGTAAATACTTGTGGCAAAGCTGCGGGGGGCAGAGTTCTGTCCGGCCCAAAAAATTTTACGAAGCCATTCATCTTTTTGTGCTAAGGAAGTCACGGCAATTGTCTCTAGTGTTTCATCGCGAATAGCATCCACGGCAATTATTGGAGCGGCAGCCAAACCGGACATGATCGCCCTTGAGGCATTCCTTGCAGAATCTTCATGTACCCACTTATCTTTCTTGCTGGACTTCTTTGCGCGAGTGGCCATATTTGGAATGTAGACCACTTTCTGAGCATTTTGTCCCCCCAGAGAAGCATTGCTGCTGCCGTCTACACTTTCCTCATTACTGCCAAATTCATCCCAGCGCTTTTCCTCTACAATAGTGGAGCCCCCGTCAGGAAATTGTAGGGGATCATTCGAATTCGACTTTTGACCCGTCTCTTGTTGATACACGGCCAGAAATTCGTCAAAGTCAAGATCCACATCAAGTTCGCTGCCTAGTTTCTTTACCCTTAGTGGTTTGTATTTGCGCCTACTACTTGCAACTGAATACCTCTGCTGCTTGATCAATATTATCCAGTTGACTCCATCCTGTTGAGCAGTTGAGACGACGTCGTCTACATTGTAGCAGCTTCTTACAAAATCAGCACTTACCCCAGCTTTCCATAATTTATTCAAAATCTCCACACCGATCGTATCTAGAATGACATTGGAAAAACTTGACACGAGTACTTCACATCGAGTTGGCTTCCATTCTAAAGCCGTGTCCTTGAGAAAAACACTTCTTTTTTTCGTCTTTTTGCCAGCTGCTAATTTGAAATAGTTTTGAGCTACAACCAAAATGGTTTCCCAAGCAAGGTTAAACCCAACTGCACGTTGAACGTTTTTCAATTTTCCACCAGATGGGCGTGCAATTAGAGACACTAAGTTGTCGTATCGTCCGCCAGCAGCGATTAAACTTCTCGTTTTCTCATCGTCGTAAATGGCTTGAAACATTATGTTTCCCTTATAGTAGGACCAATTATAATTGCTTATTGGACACAGAACAATATTTCTTGTAACTTTAAGTGACTTGAAAAAACTCAATACCTTCGAGAGATGATGTAATGACTCTTCGACTTTTGGTAAATGAGGGCTGTCTACCATGACCTTATGGAGCCGTTTTTTCGCGCTTTCAAAGTCCAAGCGAAAATCAAATAGTTCTAAATCATTAAGTGATGTTGAAGAAATGTTAAGGATTGACTTTAATTCATTTTTCACATCCTTGAATGATTTGGCAAATCCCACTTGAGACAACATGTGTGAGACCAAAGCTCGCTGAGCTTTGTCAATTGCGCAAAAGTTGAAGACACTCTCGAGAATGTCAGCGTGATTGATGGTGAAAATTGTGTTAGTTTTACCAAAGATAGGTAACTTCGTTATGATTTCGTCAACCACTTTCATGCATTCCGCATCGTAAAAATAAGTTTCTAATGCAGATGGTGAGACAATATCGAAATCAACCTCGATGAACCTGCGAGGTTCGGTGCTGGAGTGCAGCTGCTGTGGAGGCCGATAGACATGCTGCACACGATACTGTTTGCTGACGCAATTTGGTCCCTTTGCAACGTACCTGGCCATGGGATAGGTTAGGTCATACTGGAGTTGCAGCACCAGGCCACCTTTATCCAAGACCTCATATACATTTTGGGTAGAATAAATTGGTGCCTTGGGGAAAATTACGGACGTCTCTGTATTTTCTACTGCCCCGTGCATTTTGAAAACCTTAACAATCTCTTCCATCATTTGAGATTTCAGTAGTTGGTTGAATGGTGTTAAATTGGATTTGCTGTTCTCAAACAGAATGTCATTAGTGATACTGTAAGGTTGCGTAAATAAAGTTTCTCGAACCTGCTGTTGCCAAGGAGAAGCCGGATCCGCCAGATGACGCAGGGCCTCCTTTATAACATCATCTTGATGTTTGACTGGCAGCAGTCCGCTACGCAATAAAGCTTGAGCATTGGGCCTCTTATTAGGATCGTGATCAAGCAGTTGCCGAATTATTTTCTTTTCAACCGCCAATTTATAATCGTCAAAATCTTCCGGGAAGGTAACAGCAGTGGACCTTAGCTTTTTGAGCTCGTTGACTCTCTCCATACCTGTGCTAAAGGGATAAATCATCTCGAAGAAAATAATACCTAAGGAATACATGTCAATCTTTTCGTTGTAATTCCCTTTTCCAGTCAATACCTCGGTTGCCACGTACAAGGCGGTTCCGATTGCTGATGTGAGGTCATCGTTACTTCCGACGCTTATTTGAGAATCTGCTCGCAAAATGTCCGCAGATTTGTGCACATTCTTGGCCAAGCCAAAATCTCCAATCTTGATGTTCCTTGATTCATCAATGAAAATATTCATTGGCTTAAGATCTCTGTGAATAATTCCCAAAGAATGGATGTAACCTAATGCGTCCAGAATTTCTCTAAACAATCTCCAGTATTCTTCTTTTTGGGAACTCAAATTTTCAGTGTGAATTAAATCGTAGAGCGTTCTATTTTCACAATATTCCATCTGAATGAACAGAGTACTTCGAAGCTTAGGCCTTGACTCTATATTTCGCGCCACTATCGAGCTTTTCTCATCTGCTTCGGCGTATTGGCCCTCTTGCTCGGTTTGTACCATAGTCCTCGCCCCATTCATTTTTGATGAGCATATTTCATCCTGTAAATCTGATTGATCAGAGGTCAATCTCTCAGATAATGCATCGCTGTGTTCCTCTCCACTGCCGTCGTCTTCTTCCTCATCAGAGCTATTTTCAAAAACAATCTCTGGATAGTTGGACGCCTGTAATGAGTTTGATATAAAATCCCAGTTACTACTAGGGTTGATGGCAGACCTGCTGGTGGTAACATCTGTTTCGGTGAGTTCTAGACTGTACGAATTACCATCTGATTCATCATCACTGGACAGCGCCTCCTCTTCGAAAAACTCCTCCTCAAGCCAGGCAGCATAGTACCTAACGACATATTGGTGATTGAGACTGGCAAGAAGCATCACCTCGCTGAGAATTGAAGAGAGCTTCTCTTCTGTGTGTCTAATCTTTTTGATAGCATAATAGCGGCTATCGAGAGCATTCCGAGCCTTAACTACCTGACCGAAAGCACCTTTTCCTAAAACTGCTACTTCTTCAAAGTCGGTGGCATACCTTGAATTGGCTGCTGGATTGGTGGATAAAAATCTCGATCTGATGTTAAAGCTTCGCCTTCGGGTTTGCTGTCCTGATTGGATAAGAGAGCTGCTAGATCTTGAGTTTCTTCGGAGAGCTAAAGCACCATTAGTGCTATGATTGGAATCTAATGCGCCGAGCTTGTTGATGGTTGGATCTAAGTTTGTTCTAAGGAATTTCATAGGCATTAATTCAAGTGGACCTGATCTTTTCTTGTGATCAGGTTCCAACAGTTTTTCTAGAAAGTCGGAAAGGCTGTCATTCATCTCTGTACTTTCTAAAAATTCGTTGGGGGAAGAAAAATTGGAAGTCGTCTCGATCCCGTTGATAATCTGGATGAATGAAACGCCAAGCTGCCATATGTCAGTTTTCCTTTGAGGCTTACCATTACCAAATTTTACAAGTTCAGGAGCGGTCCAATTCAGATGCAAAGGTTGAATTTTGAGCCCAGTCTTGTTTGGATGATTGTACAAAAGATTCACAATAGTGAAGCCATACCCAGAGTGGAGCAGTTTTGGAACCGTAGTACCAAAGTCTAGATCTTTAGCCAGATTAATAGTGTGGAGATCTATATGTTTGTGAACAACGCCATGCTTATGCAAACACTCGAGACCCTCGATTAATCTCAGTATCCATCCACGAGCTGTGGCCAGATTCACAAAGCCTACAGATTCGACAACGTCTCCAACTAGTGATATCGGGGAATATTCATTGAGAATTCTCACTTTCCAGGAGTAAGTACTATTATTTTTTCCAGTGCGCTCGACAGAAAATGCTAAAAGAGTACTAATATTGTCATGATTGACCTTCAGGAGTGTTTCTAGTTCTTTTTCGAGGTTAGAAATCTCTCTTTTTCCACTACTGGTGTTAAAGTACGCGTTGTCTAGAGTAACTTCGGTCAGCAAGTAGAAAAAGTTGTCCATCATATCTGAAGATGTCAGGGTACTGGCCAACGGGGAATCTGGTGGGATATAAGGCTTGACGAGCCTTTGCTTTGCAAAACCTAGCAAATCTGAATGTAAATTGATCTCTTTGGGGTTTACAACGGCCTTGAATTTGTAAAAAGAATTGTTGGGAAGTTTAGCTCGTACTGCTTTTGGGAAAACGAATGCTTGGCCTGAGATAACCCACTCATTTGGCGGATCTAAATCAACGACATTCTCGTGCTTGAAAAAGATATCATCATCGTTCCGTTTTTCAATCTCTTTGCGGACAATCTCGTCAATTAGCTTCTGCTCTTTTAGTCTATTCACCTCCACGTCAGCTTTGCGCTTATTTTCCTCTTGTTCCAGACGCATCTTTTCACCCTCAATTCTCTGAAGTCGCTCGTCTTCTAATGATTGCGTGTTTGCTGAAGCTTGAGCTTCGTCAAGTTTCTCTTGGGCTAAGGAGGTGATCTCAAAAATGATTATCTCCCTCCCTTTTGAGCGGATGTGTATTTGCTTGAATTCCTCTTGTAAAGCATTCAAATAGCTACCAAGAACATTTCGAACGTTTTTGAATTTGATAATCGGTTGTTGTTGAGGATAGTTGGCCGGTATACTAATGTCCAAAGTCAATGCAGATTCAGCTGGCTCTTGGCTTGTCGATCTCAGCGAGATTTCGAATTGGATCATCGGTCGTTTATCCCAGGAGGACTTAGGGACAGTCTTGTTGACAAAGTCGTCCATATAAATGCATTTTATTGCCTCTAATTCATCCTTTTGGATCTCATATTCTTGATCTAGACTTAAACTGTGAGATGCCATTGTTTTAGCCTGAAATCAATTGCCCACCCAATTCATTAAAAGCACCGCTGAACAATTAATGATATATCAGCTAAGTCTTAACTGATGAGATGGTCTGATAGGCAGTATGGTCAAAGGTCTCTCATGAGTGTACCAGGCATCGGTGTTTGAGCGGTGGATCCACTTAATATTACCTGCAAGTATATCATTTCGTCATAAAGTACGTTATGGAATTCCGCCTAGTCCACCTTCTAGCAGTATACTTCTCCAGCTATACTCTCAGTACTTCGTTAGTTTGAAATGAGTTTGCCTTCAAGTTTGTTGGGCAGCCTACGTACATATTGTTTCAAAGCTACTTGGGATTTAATCCTCTTACACTTTGTTTGCAGAAAAGTTGAGTTACCTCAAAAAAAGGTCCTTGTTTAGGGTAGACTTACTATACTTACACCACCAGATTACTATCGTAGAGTTTGTTATAGTTTTGAAAGCTACCGAACAAAGTGTACCATAAGTTGTCAGTATAGTATAGAGTGATGTATCTTCAAAGCTGCGATGGACGAGGCAATCATGACACGAAGGGGCAAGCAGTAGAAGCTATTAATGTATAGCTTTCCAGCACCACGGGGGTTTTTTTGGTGTCTATTTCCCGCTATCTTAGCACTATCAATTGTGGTCTTTGTGCGGAAAGTCTTCCTTAAATGGTGCAAACCCTAATGTCACCGCACCAAGACTTCGAACTTAATTTGACCTTAGCGGTGTAGCTTCTTCATCGCCAGCTGCGCTTTCATCATAATTATCTGCGAGATCGGTGTCGTCAAGTAATGGCTTAAAGGGCACTTCACAGGACAATCCTGGGAAGTAAGCAAAATACGCGTTATAAGCAAAGAACATTCCAAGGCAGCTCCCAAGAATCACATCGACAAAGTGATGTCTGTAGTCTTCAGTTCTGGAGAGTGCAATCGTTACGGCTCCCACCAGGGGTAGAAAGGCAAGTGCTTTGCGAATTTGACTAACAGCTGGATTCTGGACCAGCAACTGCCCTGCGAGCCATAACGAGAGATACCCAAGGCCAGCAAAACTTTCACTGGAGTGACCACTAGGTGTGGAGCGAAAACCGTCTCTGAGACGTCCCAGATTCTTCGATGTGCACACTTCTGCAGCTGTAACCAGAACGTCCACAGGAGTACCTTCTTTGGGTTTGCAACGTGCTAGAAAATCTGGCCGCGGTCTGCCTATTAAGTTCTTCAGAAAGTCCGTGACCAAGTTATTTGCCACCCACGAGACGGATAGCCCCAACACTGAAACGAATGCTAAATAGGATCTGTGCTGGGAGTCTGCTAAAACGAAAGAAACTAACACAATTGTAACAATTGGAATCACCAAACTGTAAGTTAGCAGCGCGGTACTTCCTACCCTCTGTGTTTCCGCATGTGGATGTGCTAAGGACAAATCATTAAGCGAAAACTGGCGTTCGAAAGGTGCAGCATAGTATATAGGGATATTGATCACATATAGTAAAACGCACAATACAATATCTGCTATTTTCCATTTCTTGATGATTGAGTAGTTGGACAACCCACGCATGCCCAAATTAAGCCTATCAATTGCCATCGTGAAGCCTCTTTTCAGAGATAGTTTTATTTCAGTTTGGGTTGATGCTCAGTTTAGTTTATATACCAATAAAATGATTAATTATCGATACGTTTTCTAACCCGAAGGGTAGTGAAAGTAGGTATAAACAAACACGTTTTTGATCACTGAGACAATCAGCACGAACTAGTTGCCAACTCGGTTGGTACTAATATTCATCGATACCCAGTAGTGAAAAGCCTTCGCGAGTAGACGTTTCCTTACAATTCGCAAGCACCACGGCGGCTAATGTCGAATTTCTTCCGCGATAGCGCTCACGGTTTCAAGCCTCGATCTAACATCTTTTCCAAGCTTCGAAACAAGGATCCTGAAGCGGATAGTGACACCAACACCGATAATGGGGTTTTGGACGCAGATTGGGGGTATTCGCAGGAGAGAACATCTAATATGGATGGGGTAGATTCTCGGTTTCTGACACACGAAACCAATATTTCAATTGCCAACGAGAGCACCCCGAAAACCAAGTCTCTAACTGGGAAGAACAAGGGCTTTGAAGAGGAGGAGCTTGAAATCACAGAGGTCAGAAATGTAAACGTGGCACATCAACACGACGAAAGGAAGCACGAAATTCCCGGTGGCAAAAACAGGGCCCTTCACGAGCAGTTGCTTAAAGTAAAAAACGTTATGGAGTCTAGTGATACCTCGACAAACGAAGTGTTGCTGGAGGCATTCAACAACACCCAAAGAATTTGCTCCAATTTGAAATCAGAATTACAACGATTGAAGTCGGAAAATCAGCAACAAAGTCGACTTGTTAGTAACTACAAAGCCGAGATCATGAACATTGAGGGAAAAGTCGGTCAGTATCGACAATTGTTGGCGTCCATCGAAACAAAGTCAGTGGACTTGCAAAAGCAAAAGCAAACTAGTGAGGAACAATTGTTAAAGTTGCGAAGCGATTATGACGAGCTTGTTGAGCGCTTGCATAATTACACTAAAGATAGTGGGTCAATTCGTAAGTTGTTGGAGGAAACTCGTTCGACGCAAAAAAGGTCGGATGCAGAGATAGCAAAGCGATTGAAAGAGCTGGAGTACCTGAAGAAGGAGCTAAATAACTCGTCTGGTCTGCTCAGCGAAGAGAAGTTGAAAAACCGGGACCTCATGCAAGAGTTGAAAAAATTCAGAGAATATTCAAACGTTTTGTTGGATAAAACGCTGAAGAAAATGGATCAAGATATTCGAAAAGAACTTTCTTCCATAAGTATCTCAGTGAAATCTACCAATTCCAAAAATTCTACTCTGGTGCAAGAAGATCTGCAAAGGTTCCTCGTAAGCTTAAGAGCGGCTATTGTGGAAGATTTTAAAAAGTATCACAAAGTGTTGCTACACTTGAAAACCCTTCGATCTGAAGTCCCTTTGGTCTAAAAATAAGCTAACGTCATAATTCACAGCGAAAATCAGGTTTTTAATGAACAGGCAAATCAAAACTTTGTACAAGGATTAGCGACATTAAAGAAGGCGCTTGAGGATGGCCTTACCTTTGATCGTAATTCAACAAAAAATGAGAATGCCAAAATCAATCGCGTAGAGTTTCTCTTAGATGACTTTGCCAAAAAACTTGAGCGCAGCTTACCTAAAGAGTCTTCTTCAAAAACTAGCGGAGCATTGATGTCGAACCTTCATGACTCGGTCAAAGACGTACAAGAAGTGGTCAATGCCGTCAACGATAAACTCTACCAATACTCGAAGCAGTTAACTCTTATCAGTACTCATGAGCAGAAAATAGATGGATTGCATGAAAAGCTACACGCCGTAGCATTGCAAAAAAGTGAGGCGGTGTTACTAATAAAAGCTCGGAACACTGAGATCGAGGAACTGAACAGCCAGCTTTCAACCAAAAGTAATTCTGTAGGTAGGCTTGCCGAAGAAGGTAAAGAGCTGAACTTGAAGGTTTTGGGACTCGAGCGAGTAGTTGAAGCAAAGGCTCAAGAAATGTCGAAAATGGAACAAGAGTTGCAAATGACAAGAGTAAATTGTGACAACAAGTTGACAGCTCAAAATGAAATCTTAAAACTAGTCACGGGCGAACGTGACCGTTTGCAGGCTGAAGTTGGCATGTTCAATCAGCTAAAAGACGAGGTTGAAAGGGAAAAGATGTGTGCTAAGAGTAAAGCAAAAAAGATCAACGATCAAGTTCAAAATCTTAACGTGGAAGTAATACAACTCAAAGCAAGAGAATTGGAACTCGACGAGGAAAACAGAAAATTAAAAAATACTGTTGAGCAGTTGAATTTGGATTCGCGGGAGAGTGGGGATCAAGTTCTTGGTTTAAAACAAAAGGTCGTGAGGCTCGAAAATGAGAAAAATACAGGAGCAAGCGAAAACCTCGACCATCAAGATAAAATCGCATTACTCGAACAGCAATTGCTAACAGTCCGCAAACAGATGCAAAACTTGAAGGACCAGCGACACAAGGTTCCACAGATAAAGAAGCATGCGTTACAGGTGACCCAGCATCCACGTGAGCTACAGGGAAACCGATCATCTAAAGTTGTTGCAAATGCAACTAGCGGTGCACCTACGGCTCCCGCTTCTCAAAGTAACGATGCATTTGATCTATCATCGTCTTCAGCATCGTCCAACGACGATCTGGAGATGACAAACCCATCGCCAAATACATCTAAATCCAGCAAAACTCGCGTGCCAACCTCAATGAGCCGATCGGCTACTTCAGCAAAGAAGAAAAAGCTTTTGCTGCACGAGGAAGCGGATAACTTGGATTCCAAACACCGCGGTCGCAAGAAACGTAGATTCTAAACGCTCAGAAATTTCGCACAATTGCTTAACACGCCAACAGGAAGAGGTGCCATACGAAGTCTTCTCATCTCAATTCCTTGATCTTGGCCTCGACTTGTAGGCGATCCAGTTTATGAAAGATCTTGGAAAGCGATTCCGGCTGCTGGGCATTTTCCACATGCAAGACAGGTACGTCCATACAGTACCTATTCCACCACTCTTTGTTCTGCGGAAGATCAATGTCTACAATATTGATGGCGATGTCTTTGAATTCAGATTTATCGTTGGCTACTTGGTCCAGCACCACTTTGGCCTTGTCACAGAGCCCGCAGTTATGTTTGGAAAAAAGCGTTAGCTGAACCTTTGAATAGTTGGCTAGTCGGGCAGCGCTATGGAGATATCTGAAGTTCATCAAGTATATTTTATGCCCTTTTACACAGGTGATAATGTACAACTTGCTTTAATAAGAGTACTACATTCTATTTTCAGTCCTCTTTTTGTATAGTGTGCCACTACCAGATCTTCACATGATAAACCCACAACCATAATACTAGGCGTCTAATCATTGACACTGAACTCTCGGGTTCTATAGTGTAGTGGTTATCACTCTCGGTTTTGATCCGAGCAACCCCGGTTCGAATCCGGGTAGGACCTAATATTTTTTTCAACTATCTAGATAAACCTAGCCTGTGCTGCCGCCACACCACCCATCACGCTGTACAAACACTGACAAACACTGCCAAATGGTTTAAGAACTGAGTGTATACGTCCATCTCAATCTGGATATTCAAAGCTGTACCTGTGGTGATCTATATCATGTTATACGTTATGCTCGACCTTATTTATTTTGCTATCTCAATAGCGGTAGCTAATATGCACATGGATATATATAGGGACCGTCTGTCTGGCTTCTATACTTTCGTTAAGTGTCAAATAGTAAGAATAGCCAGCTATAAGAAGATCACTTGGTGATACATCCAATAGTGCTAATAATCTTGTTTTAAAGTCAGCGAAAAAGGTTGTTTTGCGAGAATATTTCATTTGTTGACCCCTTCACATTCCAATCACAGCATACACAGGGCAACAATGGCATTAACAAAGGAGCAGTTGAAGGACATTGAGACCAAATTAGTGGAATTAGCTGCCAAACAGGTTGGTCCCCTTATAAAAGAGCACGCTGGAACACAGTTCGAGGCGTTTGACGACAAAGCCAACCAAGTAGACTTGGTAACGGCAGTTGACAAGAAAATCGAATCCATCATCAAGCAGTCTCTTTCCACGCTATATCCCGACTTCAAGTTTGTGGGCGAGGAGAGTTACGAAGAAGACCACACGGTGATTGGGAAAGAACCTACGTTTATCATCGACCCCATCGACGGAACCACCAATTTCATTCACGGGTATCCTTACAGCTGTACATCAATGGGACTTGTGGAAAACGGTGTTCCAGTGTGCGGTGTTGTGTTCAACCCCCACCTGGACGAGATGTACCACGCCTCGGCCGGAAACGGTGCTTTTTTGAACGGAAAGCCTCTTAAGGTCACCGAGCGTGAGTTAAAGTTGCAGCAATCGGTCATCGCGCTCGAGGCCGGTTCTGAGCGGTCCTCCGGCTCATCCGGCGACGATAACTTTGACATCAAGCAGGCTACCTACAGAAACTTGTTAAGCGACCAAGGTGGCTATATCCACGGCAGCAGAAGCTGCGGCAGCGCTGCCATGAACATGTGCATGGTTGCTGCGGGCAAGCTTGATGCCTACTGGGAAGGTGGCTGCTGGGCATGGGACGTTTGCGCTGGATGGTGCATTCTCGCGGAGGCCGGCGGTATTGTAGTCGGTGGTAATCCTCAGGAATGGGAGGTTCCTGTAGACGAGCGTTGTTACCTAGCAGTGAGAGGCGGCTGTTCGCAGCCGGCGCAGAAGGGGTTCGTGAAGGAGTTCTGGTCCCACGTAGCTGGTAAACTAAAATATAGATGGTAACAGGCGCTCAGTGAGATGCGAACTACCATCTTTCACACTGGTATCGGAAACAAAGTTACGTATAATCAATCCATGTAATCTATGACACTGTACACACACAATTTCCCTTCTGATGATTGTATGGTATTTGGTGGAATTCCGGGTGGCTCTTCAGAGATCTTTCCAAAGTTGTTCGCTGTAATGTCTTCCCCAAGTAATAGAAAAGGATATACAAACATGTATAATATATATATTGACATCAATTTCCAGCATGTCACCAGGATACAATTGAAAGGTAATTCATTCCAAGGAGGACAGTGAACGTGAGTCTTCTGGGCCATAGAGATTCTCGGGCTCCCTGACATTTCTTTCCGCGATCGACCTCTCCAGTATAGAGGACGGGCTAACTTTGTACAATACAGCTAGGTTTCCAGCTGCAAGCGGTTTAATCGATCCTGGCTGTTTCAATCAAGTCCCCATCAACCGCATGAGCCAGATCTATACACTATCAGACCAGGATGACGATCCCAACCTTGCTATGGTAACACGCGGAGTCGTACGACACTTGATGTCGTTGTCTGAGAGTCAATCTAATGTCTTCAGCAGAACCAAATTGACCACATTGGTCCGAGAGGCAGCCAGCAAGGAAACATCGCGCAAGCTCCGATTTGCGGTGGTGTTTGCCCAGATAAACGAGATTTTAAGCACCACCTTTGGCTATGAACTGGTCGGAGTGCACACGAAAACTATGGCACCTGGCTGGACACCTGACAGAGCACAGCTGTTCATGCTGGTTTCCAAAATGCCCACACCGCCACCCTCGTTCGAAGCCCTCCTTTTGCAGGAAGCTTCGCAGATGTATGAGTCCCGCATGGTGGGCGACGAATACGTGGGCGACGACCTCGGCACTATATCCGAGTCCGGCATGCATAATGCGGTTTCTACCGACGCCCATCTGGTTGCGCAAGGTCTCACACTCGCTGTACTAACCATTGTGCTGCTCTCCAAAAATAACGTCCATCAAGAGGAGCTTAAAGAGGCCATGGTGGAGTTTGGCGTGCATTCCGAGAATTTCCGCCTCCCGGTTCTGGATCTTACGCTCGACGAGTTTCTCAAAAACTTGGTGAAGCAGGAATATCTACGCTGTACCGAGGAAACCGCTCAAGACGGCGTCCGTCTGGCAGTAATCTATGGCATCGGTCGCAGGACTCAGGTCGAGTTCGACAAGGCCTCGCTTCTCGGAGCCTGTACTGAAATTATGGAACTGGATCCTGTCCGAGCGGCTCAACTGGAACCGATCCTGGAACTAAGCATTGGCGATGCCTATACCGAGATTTCTTGACTTGTTGGTGTGCCCATACATGCCAATTGTTTTCACGTGATCTCATCGTTCTTATCAACTGTCAGCTGTCATTATTTTTCTCGTTTAAGTGCACCTGGATCTACAAGAAAGGATGTGGAAGCTCAATCAACCAACATCTAACTTTCTCATCTACAGGCGTGACATCACAATTAACTCTTTGGTTTACGATCGAATTGCTGTGTGGATTGCCTTGTCCTATAGCATAATATCATTATCAGGCTGCAATCAGTGATAGGTGGTACTTTTTTGGTGTCTTCTAAATTGTTTTTGCGTACTGAACAGTGAAACTTTTGAGTTGTACCTGTGGTAAGATCATACCACAAAGAGATTGTGTATAGATTGGACACAGTAATGCCTCTTGGGTTGGACACTCTAGATTTTACGGTACTGTGTGGCCTGGCTTTGGCCGTGGCGGCTTATGTGGCGAAAGATAAGCTCAAGCGCGCGTTGGTTTCTGGCGAGTCTTTAGCTGTGCAGTCCGATTCGCGCGACATAGTCCAAGCACTGCATGACAATGGGAAGAACTACCTCGTCCTTTATGGCTCCCAAACGGGGACTGCCGAGGATTACGCCAAAAAATTCGCAAAGGAACTTGCGGCCAAGTTTTCGCTGAAGGTAATGTGCGCAGACGTGGAAAGTTACGACGTTGAGGGTCTTAATAAGCTTCCTTCCGATGTAGTGGTATCCATCTTTCTCTCTACGTATGGCGAGGGTGATTTTCCGGACGGTGCCGTGCCGTTCGAGGATTACTTGGCCGGTCTCAATGAGGGAGACCTCGAAAATCTCCGCTACACCTTGTTCGGACTCGGAAACTCCACCTACGAGTTTTTCAACGGTGCCAGTAAGAAGGTCCACAAATATTTGTCAGAAGCCGGGGCCACTTTGTTGGGCAAGTACGGAGAAGCCGACGATGGTGCAGGAACTACTGACGAAGACTATCTGGCCTGGAAGGATCCCCTGATGGATCTGCTGAAATCAGAACTCGGTCTGGACGAGCATGAGCAGAAGTTTGAACCCAACTTTGGGTATTCGGAGTTGGGCGACTCTTCAGAAAATGCCAACACCGTTTCGCTCGGAGAACCAACCACTCAGTACTTGCCTGGTAACCAGCTAACTTTCAGTCCGGACGGAAAGCAAACGGGGCCGTTCGATTCCACGCATCCATACGTAGCACCCATAGTGGCCACTAAGGAACTGTTCAATTCTGGCGACCGTAACTGTATTCACGCCGACTTCGACGTTTCTGGATCCAATCTGAAGTATTCCACAGGTGATCACTTAGCAGTCTGGCCATCGAACTCCAACGAAAAAGTGAGCCGGTTTCTGGACTGTTTCGGTCTTGATCCTGATATGGTATTCACTTTGAAGCCATTGGATTCAACTATCAAGCTACCGTTCCCGACACCCGTAACCGTGGGTGCAGCTGTTAGACATTACTTGGAGATTACCGGACCAATCTCTAGGCAGCTTTTCAGTTCCATAATGCAATTTGCCCCAAACGAGGAACTGAAAGAACGCCTGAAGGAGCTTTCAAGAGATAAAGACGACTTTGCGAAGGAAATTACCATAAAATATTTCAACTTGGTCGACGCTCTACTGTACTTGTCTAATGGCGCTAAGTGGGATTCTGTTCCTTGGAATTTTTTGGTTGAATCCATCCCTCATATGCAACCTCGTTACTACTCCATTTCTTCCTCTTCCTTGAGTGAGAAACAAACTATCAGCATCACTGCTATTGTTGAGCAGATGGCCAATCCAGTATCTGACAAGGCAGAACCTGTAACTGGTGTTGCTACCAATTTACTAAGACATATTCAATTGTCGCAGAATAAGCAAGATGTCGGTAGTTCAACCCTTCCAGTGCACTACGATCTGTCAGGTCCAAGGGGCCTTTTCAGAACCTATAGACTTCCGGTCCACGTTAGACGTTCCTCTTTTAGGTTACCTTCCAACCCTGCCACTCCGATAATCATGATAGGACCTGGAACAGGTGTCGCACCATTCCGTGGTTTCGTCCGGGATCGTGTGAAGTTTTCAGAACAACAGCCCAGCGTCTCTCTGGGAAAACATCTATTGTTTTACGGCTCAAGAGATGAGAATGACTTCTTGTATCAGGAGGAATGGCCTGAGTATAGTAAGAAGCTTGGGGGTGTGTTTGAGATGATTGTTGCTCATTCGAGGTTACCAGGCAAGCCCAAAAAATATGTTCAGGACAGACTCATCGAAAATGAGAAGGAGGTCTTCGACTTGATCGCCATCAAGGGTGCTTTCATCTACGTCTGCGGCGATGCCAAGGGCATGGCGCAAGGTGTGCATTCCGCGCTGGTAACCATCATCAGTAGAGGAAAGAACGTTAAGGAATCAGATGCCGCTGAAATGTTGAAATTGTTCAAATCGAGCGGTAAGTACCAAGAAGATGTCTGGTGAAAGTCACAATGTTTGTAGATATATACACTTTTATACAGTTTACTCGTTTCCAGCTAATTCTATCATGGTTAATTAAATTTCAGATATTTCCTTAAGTTATGGTGTGAGGCGCTGTCTGTTGTGGCCAGTATGGGTTTGACAGTTCCTGCATTGGCTTTAAGGCGGCTTCAGACGGGAATCCCCCAATTGTTGTCAACCAGATGTTTTAGAACCAATGGTATGGCTAGACAGTATTCTCAGCAGAGCGACACAGTTCGTCCTCGCTTAGCCAAAAGCATTAAACCTTCCTTCAATCCCACCAAAAACCTCAGGAGAGGTGTTACACCTAAAATTTCACAGCGAATGACCAACGCTCGGGCAGTCACACAATCTGATGGGTTTTTGACCACAAGGGAATGCACTACAATCACGACCAGTGAGGCTTATGATTTGGACAAAGTAATATGTTTGCTCAACAACTCAGGCTTCCATGCAATCAGCTTGGTTCCGGAGGAGATAGTTTCATTCAGATACCTCCACAATGGCTATAGGTCCGATATCATGGTACTGGGAAATTGCGGTACAATCGTATCATGGGGTCTGGGAGAACAGGCAGCTATGGAAAGCATTCTACCATTAATCGAGGAGGCGAGAATCCACCCCTTGCCTCAAGATCGAGTAGAGAGTGAGGACCTTGATTTCATTGAGATCAAGTCTGTCGAAGACCTTGAGAAAGTTCAATATTTGACTAACAAGTCTGGTGAAGGAAGCTTCATAGACGGTGATCTGATATTTGTGAATGCTATAGATCCAGAGCTAGGCCTTCTAGATAAGGCCGCCTTCTCGAGTGGTATGTCGAGAAGCACTCGGTTGGCAATTTTAGAAGAGCTCTTGAAAGGACATATTGAAAAGACCCGGATATTCACAGAACTTTTATCGCAAGGCAAGAAACTGAATCTTACCGAGTCTGAAGTATTGAAAAGTACCGGAAGCTTATTCTTGATACGAGGTAAGTTAAATTTGTATTCGGAGCTAACTGAGACGCCTGATCTTTACTGGAGTGAACCTAGACTTGAGGGAATATACAAACAGATATCTCGAAGCCTTGATACTCAACCGCGAATTAGCATACTGAATACGAAGTTGGATTTTGCAGCTGAGGAATCTCGGGCTTTTTTGGCGGTGCTAAACGAAAAAAAGAGCACTCATCTTGAATGGATTATCATATATTTAATCACTATTGAAGTGTGCTTCGAATTACATCACTACTACGAGCGGTACTGGCTTGATAGGCCCAGTGAAGGGACTGCTGAACGATAGGCAGCGTGCGATGCTCATCGGGAAACGCAGTTCGTTACCTCTAATTTTATTCTTTGCCGGGTGTTCTCCAGCACCTTGATTCCCGAAAGGTCTGGGACCACGTAGTCTGCACCTGCTGCCCATAGAATCTCTTTCGGGTACGAAGAGGTGATACCCACTACTATGGCCCCGATTTTCTTGCCCGCCTGGATGCCTACGGGGGCATCTTCGAAAACAACGTTGCGAACAGCTTTTGAGTCCTTACACCAAACTTCACTGAGTCTTTGCGATGCCATGGCATAACCCTGAGGATCAGGCTTACCTCTGGTCACGTCAAAACCTGTGATGAAGACTTTTGGCGGCCCAATGTCACGCAAAATTCCATCGAACCATGTACGAGCGATATGCGCCCCGGATGTGACAATTGCCCAGTTGCGCTCGGAAAAGGTCCCTTCTGTAGGATTGTCCAAAGAGCTCAACAATTGTGAGGCCCCTGGTATTAAACTGACCGACTCCGGATAGTCTCTTCCAATCGCGAGCTCGATCTCCTCAACTGCGCTGTCAAGTTTGTCGTTCAACTGAGGGAAAAACCTTTTTATAACTTCCTCGGTCCGCGTACCGTGTGAATGCCGGAACAATTCTTCCGGATCCACGCCATGCTTTAAACAAAGCGCCGTCCAGGCTTTCTCTACAGCTTCGGTTGTCTTTATGATTGTACCATCCAGATCGAACAAACAAAAGTCCACCTCGATGAGGTTTCGGCTTTTCACTGTCATTTATGAACTTCGACTACAGAAACGTAGTTGCTAACTCTGAGATGTCTGTATATCTTCTTATGTTAAAAGTATACTGAAACTTGAGCTATCAGCATATTAGGGGGCGTTCAATGCTCACCGATCGTAACTTAAAGCCAAGTAATGATCACGCACTCTCACGCACTCTCACATAAAATGATATACTGGAAATGGAAACTGCCGATGTTAATAATCGTTTCGTGATGACCATCCATGGGGCTTGTCTTCAAAGTGTGAAAACAGATTGTGTACTCATGGAACGCTCATAATAAGCTAGGGAACTAGTATCTAAATCACACACCTTTATACAAGCTTTCTTCATTGCATGGCTTACTTATTTCTATGGTGAGACCTAGTGAGATTAGATTACGCCCTTGCGAAAGTTGTTTGAAGTGTATATATAAAAAGAAGTAATGTCCGCTGTATGCCAAGCTACAATTACAGTTGTCATTAGGCCGGACCTTTCATTGTATCCTCTGTTCCTGTTGAGAACAACCCTTCGTCTTTTTACTGTGGTACCGTTCCCCTGTTGACTATTTTTGATCAAACATCCGCTTGGGCCAATTATGAGCCGGACTCGTATCGAAAATATCAATTGAAGTCAAGAAGCACGTCGGCCTGGCGGACTCCTATATGGCTGACTTGCTGGCTATTCACCATGCTAAAGTATCAAAATGCACACACTATTTACACAACAAGCAACCGTCTGTTCTAAGAGACCCTAGCGTTCTCGGAGCTGAGCATCGCGGCAAACTGGTTTCTCGAATCGGCGTCTCTTTTCAGCTCGGAGGTAATCTGATCTGTCAGCGTTTCTGTTATCTTGTAGGCCTTGTGGCAGCAGTCCATTAGCATCAGAGCATCCATGGGCAGCCCGCCCGCCTTAGACACCTGAACAACTTCCCGATTCTTGTTAAGGGTCACTGTCAGCGTCCCATCTCTGAGTAGCTCCTCTTTGAGCGTAGCGTCTATCAAGCATATCTCATTATTCAAATCCCCCTTGATGTTCTCTTCTGCATCTTCTGGATTGAAGAATGAAAACGTAACACATATTGGAATATGCAAAACACCCAGCGGTACTGGCTCTCGCTCGTCTAACGAATGAACGGTAATTTGCTCACCGGCAACCGTAACGTCAGGCTTGCGGAAATGCAGAAGCCCGCACATGACAGCTATGCAGCTAACATCGATAAATCCACCGTCACAGTTCAGAAAGTGTACGTCTGCTCTCACAGCCCAACACTTGCTGCCTGCCACAATGCACAGCCCTTCCACATCCAAAGCACCCGATCTTCTGACAGCTTTTTCGATAATCCTTGAGCACAAGACCTCGTCTTCACCGGTGTTATTGCCGTTCTCAAATTGTGGACCAGCCATGGGCGAGCTTTCGGTAGATATGTAAAAAAGTCCCTCAAATGGCCGATCTTCGTATGGTTGTGCTATGCTACAGCTGATTCGGCAATGTACTTTGGTTCTACCCACTGTCACAGTCACGTCTCCGAAGTCCTTGCCAAATTCGATGCCCACATCTCTGAATTCTTCAAATCCTCTCGAATCGAAACGGAATCCTTGTTTCAAGGAATCGATCAAGAATTTGGCCTCTGAACTTGAAATGTCGATGTCTTTGGCCATTTAATGTCGAACAGTTGATAGGGATCGATGTTCCCTGTGCTTGCTTTCCAATGAATGCCCAGTCCAGTAGTATCTTGTACTAAATTTTGATGTTTCGTGTAGCATGATGTATAAACTGCTACTCATCCAACCATCAAGGTAGAACTGGCTCATCTACCCTCCCCCTGGCTGTCCATAAACCTTAATTCACATCCGAGCCCTTCTTTTTTTGAAAAATCCATCGATCGCGCCTTTCCCAGCGTTCACTTTCTTGGTCTTCACCACTTTGGTGACCTTCTTCGCCGGCGTTTTTCCTGACGCCCCATTCGCAGTGCTGATACCAACCTTCATTGCTGCATCGATTAACAATTCTTGCTCCTTTTGACGAGCAGCCGTTTGTACCTGGTGATTTGTAAATTGTTGGAAAGACTTCGAAATGTTCAAATCCTCCCCATCGTACTGGATCAAATTCTGGTACGCTGGCTGCGGTATCAATGAGATAAGGAGGTTGCAGGCATAGACGACCTTAGCATGTTCCAAAAGGTCATCAGGAAGATGGCGGGGTAAAGGAATACTGGGCGGAAACGACTGAGTAATTTTTTCAACTTTGCCTATCAACCATTTTGTAACTTTGGCAGGCGTCACCTTGTGGTAGATATCGCCAGCTTCCTCAATGGACTCTCCCAGTTTTTCAAGGCAATTTTCCAGCAAGTCCAAGGGCACGAGGGACCAGTTAGCGTGGTGCTTCTCGACCAGATTTTCCAGAAAATCGCGAGTCATCAGATAGCGCTTTTCCTGCATCATTGTCGTTGCAGATGGGTCAATCTGTTGATACTCATTCTCATTCTTGCATTGAAACTTCAAGAACAGCGCTCCGCAAAGACTGAAACACAGGTCGTACTTGGTGGAAAATTCATAGGATCCGCTGCTGCGTAGCCATCCATCTTGAGGTTGTTCACTGTTGGTCAAAATCGCTGATTTTATGGGCTCGGACTGTGCTGTATAGTAGTATTTATCACTTGCGCTGTCACGGGCTCTGTGATACTCGCATCCTTGGCTGAATGCTTTTGTCTTCACCTGGTATGCCGCTCCATCCTGGATGAACACTTTGACAGGTTTCTTGCTCGAAATGTTGGAGGGATTCGGTAGTTCGAATATTTTAAGATCTTGACTCTTTAATACAGATCTTGGCAAAGCTATGATACGTTCTGGTAGGGGCCTACTAGTAGCCATTGTCTCTTAGGTCCAGCAATTTTACTGAGTTTCTGGCGTTCTATAACGAATATATTGAAGTTATTTAGCGAACGAATTCCGTACATTAGCCCAAAATAAGAAGGCCGCCTTTGAGGACTGGCTTCCTACTCATTCAGGCACCTTCGACAGTTCCAAGCATTTCTCCTAAAGAACTTCGAGTTTTCCTCGAGTAGAGTGTGTGTGTGCTTCTTTTGTCAATTACATCGTTCTTTGAGCTGTCGTTTAAACTGAAGTGCCCAGAAGTCACAAAAAGTGCTAGTAGCACTAAGGAGACCCGTCTTAATTGTTTCTACTGAAGTTGTTCCAAATATAATGTTTCAGCTTGATATTCGACTGATGTGCACGCTGCTGGCAATTTTGATCGCATCAGCGGTCGTTGTTACCAAGATAATAGTGGAAACCAAGAGAGACCTGCATCCAATTGCCTTGAGCCAGCAGTCTAACATTGGACCCACGCGCAAAGAAAATGAAACGGCGATATATCGAAACTTCACTATTCCTCCGGGATTTCCTTTAACCACTGGGATGAGTCTCAGCATGGGCTATAAATTCCGAAACGGAAACTTTGGCGACATTTGGTCAAGTATAATGGCAATAGCCAGGCATAATTATATTGAACTGAATGATCAACGGTATAGCTTGAGCTTGGTCAATGCAAATGCCAAAAATCTGTGTCAAAAATGGAAGACGGGCACAAAACCCTGCCATTTGGGTATTGCCAGTCCAATTGACGAGCTTCCAGGATTCGTATTAGCTATCACAGGTTTCATGGGCTCCCTTCAGGACCTAGTCCCAGTTTTTCTAACCTCTGTACCACGATCAAAGCCAGATTTGGACATCTTGGCAATCGACTCTTGGGAAACTTTCCATAAAATGAATGGTAGCCAGTCTTGGTACAAATTGGTCTTGGTCTGTGACAGCACGAAAGGTGAGCCTCCCCACGAAATTCCTTCCAACATTGTGACTTGGGATGCCTTGGCCTTGAACTTCGAACCAACCCCAGATCGAGAGGTTTCCCGATTTGATTACAAACCCCCCAGCGACAATCATCACGACTCCAAGTTAATTGCTGTCAGCAACTCCCCATTTGGAACTGCTACAAGTTTCACACATATGGCTTTGGTTAGCAGTGTAGCGGCTTTTATCAAATCTTTTCCTATTGATTTCGGACTGAGCAGTAATGATCATCTCAGCATTATTCTCGAGAGACGGTCTGCCGCCACAGATCCCATACAGATCTTTCCTAAGCTTCTTGCAATACTATTACATGGGGGATCGGTCTCCATTTTAAACAAGCAGGGTACGTTGCAAACACTTGGCCAAAGTTTGAATCTGACTACCACTCTGCTACAAATACCACAAGAGTGTGAAATGCTCGATAGACTACTCTCACATCCATTAAGCATAGTGCAAAGGATCAAACTTGCATGGGCGTCAAACCTCTTAAGTGAGGGAGTTTTCTCATCAAGTGCTCGCATATCGCCAGAGTTGAAGCAACTGAGATGCGTCTTCTTGTCAGATAACGTCAAAAACATTGGTTCTGTTGCAACAATTTGTGCTCCTACGGGCAAGGCCGGGTTGGCGCCAAAGAAGACCAAGACTACACTAGAGTTAAACCGCATGCGTGCCATTCTAGGTTCGAGGGTTGTTCGAGAGCTCTGCTGCCCTTATGTAGTATTGGGACCAGTGGCCAGTACCAATTTCTTTGATTATCGTGTATTTCCACACCAAGTGGATTTAAAGTTGTCCAACTATGGGCCAATTTCAACATCTTTAGAGGCCAAACTTGCTAAGGACGAAACCAAACCACAACTGTCGGTAGCAAAGCGACAGGGTTTACTTTGCATAAGGGGGTTCACCATTGGCCGGCCAGTCAACCCAGAGCAGATGACAAGGGCTCTCAAAGCTGTCGAAAAATTCGATGGAAGGGAAGGTTGGATGCCAATGTTCGGGGTGAGTTGTCTATGGGGTTTAGACGGGTGCCTTTATGAATTTAATTGATGCTATGTAAGCACGCGATGAGTTCGTCAATGTTCATTAAGTAAATATCGTTATGTATTCAATTGTATTGCAGCTTGCCGTCTACACAATCCCAGAATCGCTTTATGTACTCTTCTTGTTCTTGAGGATCTTCACATCCTCGAACCGCAAGATACGTTCTGTTGTGTACCGGCACTTCCCATTCTCCGGGATTAGCCCCGAGAATTCTACCCCCGGTCTCTTTCAGAATACACCAGCCAGCACAAACATCCCAAGAGTAGCAACCACCATCCCAGTAGCTATCTAAGTATCCTAGGCAAATGTAAGCCAAAGTCATTGCGCTAGAGCCCAAGTTTCTAAAGCCATGGACAAAACCGCCATCGCAGGATAGTAAATTTTGATAAGTTTTCATCTTAGTAGTAAAATTGGGGCCCTCACGAGCAGAACCAGGTTGCAAAGCTACCACGGACGAACTTAGTTTCAAGGAACCCATCTCAAGTTTCTTCGCTCGAACATCGAACTCTTCACCATTGACACGCACGCCATTGGACTTCGATGCAGAAATCAAAAGGTTCAAATGCGGATTGTAAATCACACCTACAACAGGTTCCTTGCCAACTGTGAGCCCCAGGGATGTGCAACTGAAGGGGAAATCGTGAACGAAATTGGTGGTGCCGTCGATGGGATCAATGATAAAAGTCGGTTCATCTGTAATTTGGGTTTGGCCCGCAACAAAACTCTCCTCCCCGACAAAAAGGAAATCGGGATACTGCTGCTTAACATTGCTCCATATCAGATTCTCCACCTGTTTATCAATGGCAGTCACAATGTCTACCGCTCTAGAGCCACTTTTGGCGTCATACGTATGCTGGGTTCCTGACTTAGCTTTGATGATAGGACCAACCTTTTCGACTGCAAGGTCGCATAAATACTTTTCGATGGATAGTAGATCTAGAAATGTATCAGCCATGTTATGCTCGCTTTTTGTTCGGCCCACTGAACTCTTAAAGTTGTACCTGAAATTGAGCGTTTTGTAATACAAAGGCCAATATGAATATGAATTAAGCAGGACGGGAGCGAGAACCACTCAGGCCAAACAAAAACTTTGAATTGAATTAACTATTTATATTTTGAATTAATTTTATGAGGGTTGCCAGCCGTTAAAGGCTCTTCGCTTTAGCCAGACTTGTCAAATCCATGATCTTTCAGATACTTGGAAACAAGTTCTCTGTCGCGATTGATCCATTGAGCCTTAGAAGTGATAGTATCCAGGGCTTGGGCCAAACTTTGGTCAAAACCCTTCGTTGACCTTTTGCTGAAGAAATCCTTGATCTCATCGATAGCCTCGAACGACGTGAAGCCAGAAGTAGCGATCTTCACTACGGACCCTAGCATTGAGAGGCCAGGAGGTAGTTTCTTAACAAGCTCATCCCAATTTTCTTGGGTCCAGACCCAGAGAGCATGGACACCAGCGGCGTGGCCCCTCATGCCCATCATGGGAATGTGGATATCTTGTAGAAGAACCGTACCATCAAACAAGTAGCCCAAAGTTCTTTGCAAGAGCTTTGGGTCTTCGAAGGCACCTAGGCTCTTGAGGGCTAAAAGCTTTTCGTCTGTGCTAACGGGATTCTTGTATATGTTAAAGATCTTTTCATAGGAGTCTTCGCCACCTTTCCTTGCTACGGCAGTGAAAACGGCGGGTTTTAGCAGAGCAGGAATGGCATGCTTATCACCAGAAATGTAAGCTTCGAACATTTTCAAACTAGCAGATAGAACGGAGGGCATTTTGGCACTACCTGCTGAAGCAAACATTTCGACCTTCATACGCTGATTTGCGTAAGAATCGGACTTGGTGAAACTCCAACCTAGCTCATTCAGCTTAGCATCTACAAGTTGCCTCGTGAATTCATTTAAAGCCCCATTCACACTGGCTGGCTCGAAAATCCAGCTGGCTCTCAACGAAAATAAACTGTTTACCATCTGCTCCCACACAACAAAAGAGCTTTCCGTTTTCCAATGAGAGACTAACTCCAAGAAATTAGTGGTTGGTGTGTAACCAGAAGTAGAAAGGGCCTTAGCATCGGCAACCAATCCAGTTCTGTCCTCCACTGAGAGCAACTCTGCTTGTTCAGCCAATTTTTTCCACCTTTCGTCAGAGTAAGAGGTGATATAGAGACCTGCTTGATCAGCATTTACCTTAAAGAATTCTGTGTCCTCCATGTTGACAGTAATCGACCTCTCGTCGAGAACCAACGGGTTGATGTCTTTGCTGGTCTTTACTGCCAAGAATACTGGGTAAAGAGTCTGGTCCTCTTCGGGTTTGACATCATTTGTAGTTAAGTAACGGTTTTGTGTGAAGGTGATTTGGTGGCCAACTTCTTTGACAGTAACAACTGGGAAACCAACCTGCTTGGTCCAGATGTTCATGACTTTACGCACGTCTTTGTTTGATGCGTCAGATAGCGCATCCCACAAATCACCCGTCTTGGCATTGCCGTATTTGAATTTGTTCAGGTATTGAGAAACACCCTTCACGAAAACGTCTTCGCCCAACCACACAGAGATCATTCTCAAGAGAGAAGAGCCCTTAGAATACGAGATGGCGTCAAAAATCTGATTGATTTCATCAGCCCTCTTGACAGGAACTTCAATTGGATGAGAAGATCTCAAGGCATCGAGTGACAACGCTGACTGTAGGTTGTCCGATACGTATTGCTCCCATACTTTCCATTCAGGCTCAAATTCGTTGCAGGAGTACCACGACATCCAAGTCGCAAACCCCTCATTAAGCCATAGTCCTTCCCACCAGTCCATGGTCACCAGATTTCCGAACCATTGGTGAGCCAGCTCGTGTTGAACAACTTCCGCCACTCTTTGGACACGACCCAACGACGAATTGTCGCGGTCAAGTAGAAGATCTACAACTCTGTAGGTGACCAACCCCCAGTTCTCCATGGCACCAGCACTGAACTCATGAATAGCAACATTGTCCATCTTAGGTAGTGGATATTCAATACCAAAAGCACGCTCAAAGAATGCCAACGTTTTTGCCGTTAAGTCGGCAGCAAACTGACCATTGTGCTCCTCGCCGGGAGAGGCATACACACGAACCGGAATACGGAAGTCCTTGTTCTCAACGTATTTTAATTCCGCCACGATGAAGGCCACCAGGTAAGTAGACATTTTGGGTGTGGTGTTGAATGACGTGTATTTTTTGTCACCCTTGATGCACTCAGACTTCACGTCCATGTTGGACAGATGTGTGAGGTGCGAGGCAGATATCAAGGTGATGTCGAAAGTGGCCTTTAGGTTGGGCTCGTCAAAACATGGGAAGGCTCTTCTGGCGTCTGTTGGTTCCATCTGCGTGGTTGCCATATATTTGGTCTCACCCGTGAGTCTGTCGGTGTATTTGGCCCGGTAGAAACCCGCCATGTTGTCGTTCAATGTACCTGTGAATGATAGTTCCAAAGTGGCAGTTTTTTTGTCTTTCAACAGACCCTTGGGAAATTCGAAGGTCGTTACCTGGGTCTCAGCATCGGTTGCCCATTTCTCGGCTGCCGTTCCAGCAATTTCCGCACCGTGGATCTCTATTTCATTGGTGTTAACAGCAATCGAATCTGTGGCCGCATCGTTGACTTGCAGGTCAATGTTGACCTTCCCGTCGAACTTGAAGTTGTCGAAATTAGGCTCTACGGTCAGGTCGTAGTGCACCGGTGTGACATTGGTTGGCAGAACTTCACGGTCGGGGTTTTCACTATCCATGTCCCGGTTTCTGGTTAGTACTAGTCTCAACTTGGCTGTAATTATGGGTTCAATTGCAAAGTCGGATAATAAGGTTGAGCTCCAATTCCGACGTCAATCCGAAGTGAATGAAGTTTAAGAACGCAATCAATGTCCGTAGCGTGAGAACTAAAAATCAAGCCAATCCGAAGTTTCGCTAGTTGGATTCAAGGGCGTAGGGGCCTGGCTTTCTCGTACTTATAGACAGACCCTACACCAGCTTTTTCCGTGGATTGGGTCAGCTGGCCCTCTGCTGGTAAGGCAAACACTTCAAGGGCTACACGTGAGTGCATCGGTTTCTATCAACGAAACGGCAAATGGAAATCGACTAGAGGGTCGTGCCAGAGCTCAAATGACAGCGTTTGTTACCTGCGGTGCCTTTGGTGGTCGTGGAGCCTCGACGACCCAACGTTCATCTACAGTCGATGTGCTTTTGTATGTTTTGTCCGTGCAACCCGCGCTTGCAGTAAAAAAAAAAACAGTTATACATACGTCTTGGAGGCAAGCTGGGTCTTCAGTTTCTCGCATTTTGCACAGGGAGTTCTTGTGGCTGTCATGAGGCCCCTCGAGTTCGGAAAACGCGTCTCATATGAGGGTGTTCTGAGAAAGCGAGAAGTGAACGGAAGTATTGCAGAGGCAGCTATCCTGCGCGTCAATGGCCTTGAAACTGCTCTCAATGCCGGCAGTACGATCATTGGAGATGAATAGGGCGCCCAGTAGGTTGTGAGATGCGTGTGGCCATCCCAAGGAATACGACAAAAGAGGCCTCGATTTGAGATTATTGCTAAATTCCGTACATGGTGATTATCATGGCTTATCCGTGTGTTAGCGACGCCAACGAGGCCGTGTGTAGTTCTGGAGTTGAGTTTCATTTGTGCTCATTCTGTATTTCATTTGGGCAGCTATTGCTGCTAATGCCAAAAGATCGTGCGGGCCAGGCTTATTTCTCATTCCGGCTAAAAGCGGTGGATTTGAAATCTCCCGCATCAGTACCAGCCCCAAGTAGGCTGGTTGTTTCAGCTCTTGTTCGACTATGTCGACCTACGATAGGAAACCTCAAGATGACATGATAATGTCATCTGTTGGTTTCAGGTGGTGTTTCAAAGACAATGGGGCTTAGCCTCACGTAGGGGCTCAAGTATAAGTAGAGCCAATGGAAACCACTCAACAGTGAATGGCTAGTCATAGGTAAAAGCTAAGTGTGGTTGAATCTCTGTCGTTTCTATATATTAAGTCTGACCTCACGACAATAACAAATCTTAAGTCAGAATAGTACAAAGTGATTTCAATCCCGAGAACGTCCAAGCAGCTTGCCGAAAGCGATACCAAGTCTCCAGCATCCCAGCTGAGGGTCCGACGGGCACAGTCTGGAGCACGCGGGACCAGAGTGACCTTGGAGCCCAGCCGACTTTCCTGACATTTTAGAAATCACAGGTGTCACAAATGGGGCCACAGACGGGGCGACGAACCCAACGCAAAAAAATAGAACAGAATATGCTCAGCAGAAGTGTGGAGGCGAACGCTCCTCCAACTGTAGTGCCCTTTCAAATTTGACTGCTCTAACCATCGCATACTGCGGCTACTTCCTTCTGCAATTGAACATTCAAAATGAAATTTACGTTGATGCAGATATTCAGGAATTTAGCTCATTCCGTCCTCGTCCGCCAACTGCTTACCATGTCACAAGCTATAGCTTTTGTCTCGTCCCAGTGGTGGCGATGGCCCTAAAAGCGAACCGTTGGTTGTAATTTGGGCTTATGAAGCCTGATCAGGCTTCATGGCCCTTTTTTCGGCCCGGGGCCGCGCGGCCGCCTATCTCCGCCTCATCGCAATGACCAATGTCTTTCTTACAATACTGGGCAACAACAGCGTAATGGTGCTGACTATAGCGAATCAAGACCGTTACCCAAGCTTTCCGCAAGCCATCGATGAGTCAGCAGAAAGACTATATCGATCAATAATCAAATTTTAACGCACATTTTAGTTTAGCATAAAAGCTCGGGTGCTGGATTAAAGCTTTCAAGTCAGCCGGTCAAGCTTCATCATCGAGCAATTCTATCAGACGTTTACCGCAAACGTCCGCGTCAAATACTGCCAAGCACTATACAAACCCCGGGATCTAAACTGACTACAATGGCAGCGGAAGATTCTAGAGATGCTGATTTCGAAAGCTCGGGTTCAACTCCACAGGTGGCCACTTGTGACCCAAGCACTAGTGTGGAAAAGTGCAGCTTCGAGGTGACATTGGAAGAAGACGATCCGGAAAACGTGGAAACGCAAATGACAACGCCGCGAAAGTGGTTTGTCGCGCTTTTGGTCACTTTCACATCGGCCGACATCACAATGACGTCTAGCTGTTGGTCCCTGGCGGAGGCCGACATTAGACGACGGTTCCACATCTCGGAAGAGGTCTCGGTATTAGGGCTGTCGCTGTATATTTTCGGCATGGGCGTCGGGCCGCTGCTGTTGAGCCCGCTCAGCGAATTGTATGGCCGAAGGCCCACTTTCATATGGTCGCTCGCGCTCAGCACCTGTTTTCTGTTTCTCACGGCTTGGGGACCCGACATTGTAGCTCTGCACATTGGCCGCTTTTTGTCCGGTTTTTTTGGCAGTTCTTTCCTCAGCGTCGCAGGTGGTGTCATCAGCGACATCTTCTCTAAGCAGCACATCGGTGTGCCCATGACCATATACACAACAGCTACTTTCCTGGGGCCCGCGCTGGGGCCGCTCGTCAGCGGTGCTTTGTCGGGAACCTCCTACCGCTGGACCTTTATCGTCATGATCATCGAATCTGGGCTATACCTTGCCGTTATTGTGGTGGCATTTTCGGAGACCTATAAGCCTGTCCTGCTGTTAAGAAAGGCCGAGCGTCTACGCAAAGAAACTGGCGATGATAGATACTTTGCACCACTGGAGACACTACGCCGTGAAACGTCTCTTCTCAGGGCCATCGGGCTTTCCGCAGGGCGGCCCTTTGGACTTTTGACGCGCGATCCCATGATGGGCGTGCTATGTTTCTACACAGGACTGGTTCTCGCCATCATATACATGTTTTTCATTGCCTTCCCGCTGGTCTTTTCAGGTCTCTATAATTTCACCACCGTCGAGGTGGGCGTCTCCTACATGGGCATCATGACGGGCATTCTGCTCGTGGCTCCATCCAGTCTTTATTTTCAAAAACGGTACACCCAAAAAGTCAAGCGTAACAACGGCGTCCAAGTGCCTGAATTTAGATTCGAGGCTCTATTTTATGGTGCATTTCTCTCCCCCATGGGTCTGATGATATTTGCCTGGACTAGTTATAGCCATGTACATTGGATTGCACCTATCATTGGCACAGCTGTGTTTGGCGCAGGTGTGTTTTTTGTGTTCATTAGCGTGTTTGGTTACACCGTTGATGCATTTCGTCTCTATGCGGCTTCTGCAATGGCCTGCAATTCGTTTGTAAGATCTATGATGGCCGGTGTCTTTCCGCTTTTCACGCTGCAGATGTACCGAGGAATGGGATTAAATTGGGCCAGCTTTCTATTAGCGATGGTAGCGATGGCTATGATCCCCGTCCCGTTTTTGTTTACACGGTACGGCGCCTACTTGAGGTCCAAGAGTCCTTATGCTTGGGATTGAACTTCACATTATACACATTGGAAAGTATACAGCCTACATGTCTACGAATAGGAATAATAATGCATACGAACACTTAATTGTTCGACTACGATAACAAATGGAACTTGACAACAGAAATCCTTTCCATAGCGGACCAATGTCAGAGGACAGCGAAAAGTTTGGAAACTGTCATTGTGGTATTCAGTCGGCTGACTTTTCGGCATTAAGAACACAAATATTTTTATGTATATAAAGACGGTAAGAGCCGGCCAGTCTAGCCATATTACTGTATCGAAAGCCTTGTCTCAGCACATCCTCGGTGATTCCTGCTTGGAGATGTCAGCTCCAAAATTGCTGTTTTTACATGGTTTCCTGCAAAACGGTAAAGTGTTTTCTGAAAAGTCTTCCGGCATTAGAAAGCTTTTGAAGAAGGCTAATATACAATGCGACTACCTAGATGGTCCAACTACTTTGCAAAAAACAGACTTGCCATTTGAATTGGACGACGAAAAATGGGAAGCCACCACGCAGGCTCAATTGAATAAATCGTGGTTTTATCACTCAGAAGTTTCGAAAGACCTGGACATTTCCAATGCTATCCAAAGCGTCTGTGACTACATCAGAGTAAATGGGCCATACGACGGCATTGTAGGCTTTTCCCAAGGTGCGGCGATTGCCACGATCGTCGCGAACAGAATCACGGAGCTGATACCAGAGCACCCTCCGTTTAAAGTCGGCTTGATATTTTCTGGCTACTCATTCACTGAACCTGACCCTCGACATGAGGGACAATTACGCATTGCAGAGAAGTTTCAGACCAGCTTCGCACCACAGGCTGCAAGTCCTACCAAAATGCTGTTTGTGTGGGGTGCTGCTGACCAAGCGGTGCCCGCAACAAGATCCAAGTACCTCTACAATTTATACGTCAACAGGGAGGACAGCCCAGTATTGGCTAAGTACTACGAACATCCCGGCGGCCACATGGTTCCCAACAAAAAGGACATTTTGAGGCCCATCGTCGAAGAAATAAGCTCGGCGCTGGGTAGCCCAGTCGCGTGAACAAAGAGTGTGACGCCTAGCCTGCCTAGCTTCGCCCGCTCATTGGATCCGATACTTATACCACAAAGAATGAGGGATTATGAAATAGACCCATGATAGACAGACTCTGACATGTAGACAATGGCTTACTCGAGTAGCTCAATCGAAGTACGACACACTCGTTACATGTGACTTAGTCACTGATTAGCTTGGTGATATATAAGTAAATGAACACAGGTGGGTAATGAGGCCAGTTTTTGACATCGAATAAACACGCGCTAGTCCTCGTTGCTAGCGCATTGCATTTAGTACCGCTGATTATTCTACATAAATTCGTATGTCTGAATACCAACGCGTACGAAGCTCCGAATCTGATGTTGCGTTTGCAGAGAACAACGAGTCGCGAACTATACCTCCACCACAGTTACCTGTGTCGTACGCTCGAAAGATCGTCGAAGTGCTGCGAAAGTATGGAAAGTTTATAGGACCAGGGCTTATGGTCTCAGTCTCGTACATGGACCCCGGAAACTTTAGCACAGCTGTCGCTGCTGGTTCTGCGCACCGCTACAAAATGTTGTTTTCAGTGCTTGTGGCCAATATTCTAGCAGCGTTCTGGCAATGTCTATGTGCCAAACTAGGCGCTGTGACGGGCTTGGACCTGGCACAAAACTGCAGAAGACACCTACCGGCAAACCTGAATTTGATGCTGTACATCTTGGCCGAAGTGGCCATTATCGCTACAGATTTAGCGGAGGTGGTGGGAACTGCTATTTCGCTAAATATCCTGTTCAACATTCCCCTGCCGCTGGGTGTAATCCTCACAGTTGTGGACGTTTTAGTGGTACTGATGGCTTACCGTCCCAATGGCTCATTGCGTCTCATTCGGTGGTTCGAGATGTTTGTGTCACTTTTAGTCGTTGCGACGGTCGTATGTTTCTCAATAGAACTGTTTTCTGTGAGTATTGACAATGCTGGTGATGTTTTTCGCGGGTTTCTTCCGAGTAAAGCTGTTGTGGAAGGGGACGGTATTTATCTCAGTTTGGCCATTTTAGGAGCAACCGTCATGCCCCACAGTCTCTACCTTGGGTCAGGCGTTGTGCAACCTCGGCTGCGTGACTACGATATCAACAACGGGCACTACAAACCCAGTGAAACGGATATTGACAACAATCACGACAATTACAAGCCTTCTTATGACGCAATTAACGAAACACTAAACTATACTATTGCAGAGTTATTGGTTTCTCTGTTCACAGTGGCTCTTTTTGTGAACTGTTCTATATTGATAGTTTCGGGGGCAACTCTGCATGGGACAGCCAAGGACGCTAGTGCTGATTTGTTCACAATCTATGAACTTTTGTGCAAAAGTTTGTCGAAAGCCGCGGGGACCGTATTTGTGCTGGCACTCTTATTTTCTGGACAATCAGCGGGTATTGTCTGCACGCTGAGCGGTCAAATGGTTTCCGAAGGATTCTTAAATTGGACCATAGCCCCTGCTCTACGTAGGGCCCTTACCCGGGCAGTTGCAATCACGCCGTGTCTTATTCTGGTCTTGGTCGCGGGACGCCGGGGCCTCAGTGGTGCTTTGAATGCTTCTCAGGTGGTGCTATCTTTACTGCTTCCATTCGTGTCAGCCCCGTTGTTATACTTCACCAGCAGCCGCAAGATAATGCGAGTGGAACTGGTGAACAATTGTTACTACGACCTTCGGGACGTGGGAATCCCTCTCCACAATTTAAGACGTCCTGAACGCAACGATGAAGACGACAACAACGGGGATGATGATGACATTAATAACTTCGAAATAGACGGCGACTCGTCCACAGAGGCCCTCTACGCAGATATGAGCAATAGCACATTCACTTCGGTGTGTGCGGTTCTGCTATGGGTGTTTATTTCCGGCCTAAATTTTTACTTGTTGGCGAGCTTCTCGACCGGCAATGATGTGCATATGTAAATAACTACACTAACTGAAATCTCCTCGGCACTTGAAGAGTCGCACGGTGACGCCGATACGCGGCTTACACGAGATGCTCGGCGTTGAAGAACGGTGTTTTCTCAACGTCCCAAGCGATGCTGCATTTTTAACCTTATATTACATCTCGCACGCTCGGTGACAAACCATACAAGGAATGCAGAGGTATAGAACTCCAGAAACTGGAAGGCAATTGCAATGTCGAAATGGTCACGAACACCTTAGTAATCACGTCTGATTTGGTCAATGCTGGTGAAAATGCAGCTCTAGAGCTACTTCGTGAATTTTTGGAAGATACAGTTCTAACACGATTTCATATTACACAAAAGCTTCCATTGCAGCTAGTTGCTCTTCCGGCCTTGCAGAGAGCGATAATCGTGTGCCCGACCCATGAGATAGCTCAATCTATCGCAGACAGAAAAGAAGATTGGCCCCAGTTGGCACCGTACACTTTCCGATTTTCTATGATCGATGCGACGTCTGGAGACTCTCCAAGATATTTGGAGCTACCGAAACACAAAGCGCTTTTCCTGGTGTCTCCACCGACGTCGCCTCCACCAGAATTCGACTACTCTCGGCTAGAGGAGTCACCCAACCGCCACAAGGGGTTATGGCCCGTGAGCTGCGCACGCGACATCAAAACAGACCCCGAGCACTGCCAGAAAGAAGAGCGCCACCACGTCCTGCTAAAGCATCCAAACGCCTCCATAACACTCGACAGCGTCCCCTCCGCCCAAATGGACTACACGGTTTCCGTGGGAAGTGACAGTGATCAATTCCCCACTATTGATCGTTTTCGGACGGCTGTTCCTCCCAGATCGGTCTTCGACGACATAGAGTGAACCCTTCCTAAGAGGCCCTTGATCACACTCCCTCCACCGAACCGTGCCGTTGAATACTCGCTACTGAGCTCACCGACCTTGCAATAATATCGGGTCATCTTTGACGAACCAATAGTAGATCCAGATTCAATTTCTTCCCACGATTCGTGGGTAATGTGTGTTATACCCGATATGTGAAAAAATTGAGTATGGGTCTACCAACCCATCTTTACTCTCGGGCCTGTTCAAGTGGTTGAATCGAAAGTTTCAAGTGAGCTGCAGTGGAATTAAGGAAGGCTTTTCTTGCGCATTCACTATTGTTTGACCTTGTTTTTGTTTTAATTGCGAGATGTTTTCCAGAGCTGTTTTTAGAAGTGTTCGTCTGAACAGAAGTTTGCTAGCTGTTCCTGCGCAAAATGGTGTTAGAGCCATGCCAAAGTTGGCTCAATTTCAATCCATAAGAAAATACTCGGACCACCACGAAGAAGAGACTTTCGAGGAGTTTACCACGAGATACGAACAAGAATTCGAACAGGCCTACGACTTGTTCGAGGTGCAGAGAGTCTTGAACAACTGTTTCTCGTATGACTTGGTGCCAGCGCCTGTTGTGGTGGAAAAGGCACTCAGGGCTGCCAGAAGGGTCAATGACTTGCCAACGGCCATCCGTGTCTTCGAAGCCCTTAAATACAAGGTCGAAAACGAAGAACAGTACAACGCCTATTTGGAAGAATTGAAGGATGTCAGAGCCGAGCTCGGCATTCCTCTAAAGGAAGAGCTATTCTCCAACTAAAGGAATAGGGAATAGAAGGTCACGAAAAAATTTCAAAGGAGCTACCGAGCGCCTGAACGCTTCATGAAATTGTAGCATCTTGAGCTTTTACGAATCTTTCTGCCCTGCCGCGCATATTTTATCACGCCCAAGTCATCAAACGCAACCGAATAGAGTCATCCGTGCCGTTTGTCGGTTTTAATAAAGAACTGTTATAGGAAAAATATTATTAGTATTTATGCTTTTGGAGAGGGGCGAATCGGATCAAAAGGAAAGCTTATGTTGTGAACCCTAGCGTCGTACATGTCTTTGGTTCGTCGTCGTTATTCGTCGTCATCGTCATCGTCTTCATCATCGTCTTCAGAGTCCACAATTTTGCCACGGCCGCGTTTTGAGTTACCAACGGCCTCTTCCTCGTCCGAGAGTTCCTCTTCATCTGAATCCACCTGTCCACTTCTTTTGTTCGCCACTTCCGCATCGGAATCACTCTCGTAGTCGCTGGCAGAGTCACTATCACCCTCTGAATCACTAACTTTACCGGCGTTGACCTCCTCTACTGCATCAAACCAGTCACTATAAACATCCACCGGCTGCGAAAGTGCATTGATGTGAGTCTGAAACGTCTGTCCGCATACCTTGCAAGAGAGTGAACCTATGCTATTCTTCTTATCCAATAGACATGTAACAGATCTTTCGTGGTTGCAAAACAAACAGTTGAACGTCGCATCTAACTTCTGGACAACTCTTTTGACTGGACCTCTGGAAGACTTCTTTCTTTTACCCATGATAGTCTGGACGTATTTGTTAGCCTAGAACCTATCTCACGTTAGTTGCCTAGATTGGACATCTAGGTTATCGTCGTGTTGATTTACGTTTTAATATAATATACAACTTGGACATCACACTAGGCATTAAGGACGATCGCGAACAAGCAGGAATGTCAGTATAAAAGGGGATTACATCGAGGAAATTGACTGCCAGAGCATTGGCAGTTGCCATCTATTGCTCAAGTGCTGAAGGAAAAGAGTGTAGTGGCTCTATTTTATAACTTCAATGCGACACCCACTGCAGCACCATCGTTCAATAACCGCAAAGCTCTTGCTACTTAATAATGTAAATAATTGGAAAAATCTCATCGTTCTACAGCTACTTTTCCAAAGGTTACTGGACTGCTGTTCCTGTGTTTGTTTGCTAACTCAGCGGTCACATATATAGTTTAATATAGCATGGCTTATCGAGGGAAAATACTGCATGAAGGTTCACTTGCAACAGATCAGCGCCATCCAAGAAATCAAACATCCTCTCGCTAACGAAAGCGTAAACCTATCCATTCCAAAGCATTGGTATCCCTGAAATCAATATGCTCAAAGATTTTGATCTAACTTCGCGTGCTACAAAATACAGGCCAAACATCACTGCTGCCAAATATTGTGGTAAAGTGAGTGGTCATGGACGCACACAAACCCAATCCTTTGCCAGGAAAATACATATTTCAACCAGCACTTACGGTGTTTTTTAGGTCTTCTCCAAAGTTCACGAATTCAAACAACACATAAACTCTAGCACGTGACAGAGATGACTCCACAATGCAGTGGGTACACTCATGTTGAATGTCCTAATAGATGTCCAAGATCCCAGGCAACACTCGCACTACAAACCTTGTCCCCAACAAGATCAATTCCAGGTAGACCAAAAAAAAGTAAAGATGTCTAACTGCTCATAATGACTTCCATGCTTCGTCCCGTAGGGGATTCAACTACAATACGAGGTTCGAGTCACTCGCGATGACATTGGACAGCGTTGCCACAGAAATTTTCAACTGATCGAATTTTGTGAGCTAGCCTACTTCTGACACAGTTCACTCGGACAGTGTTTAAGAGAGGGGATGTCAGGTGTTTCATTTATTGCAAGTGGGCTTATGGCTCTGCTCCTGATTCTGTATTCGAGATCTGGGTCAACTGGTCTTTGAGACTATGCGTTAATACTGTGAGCTGGCTCGGTCTCATGCTCGGAATTATGCTCACGGTCTATAGCTATTAGGTAGGTAGCATCGGAAAATTAAGTGCAACTGATAGTGGTTCCGGAAAAAAATCACATCAAGCCAATAAAATATGAACCGAATGAGTGCGAAATTTAACTGGATAAATATTGCAATTACCATCCCTCTAGCCAACCATCGAGCACCAGTGACAGCTTCGCTATCACTTTATGCAATAATGTCACATCCTTACTGCATGAGCCTACAACTTATGACTGACAAAATAGTTTCACACTCAGATTCAAAAGGAATTATATATGCGCGCCATCGAGTGAGCACTCCGCTTCCCTCAAGAACTACTTCAAACGATGATGAGCGGCTTGTGTGATAAGTTCATATCATCACTTTGACATGTTTTCCTTCTTCGCTCGGGAGCGTGCATTTTCATAGGTGAAAAGGGTTCGAACCTGGTTGTTTAGAAATCGGAATGGCTTTTTCAAAGTAAAACTTCGTCTTGCCAGCTACAATAGTGCCAGGGTCTCGTTTATCTAGAGTTTAAAAGTTCACGCTGACACTGTGCTTGGTGCCATCATCGATACTATCGTTTTTGACGTTTGGAAAAAATTTTCTATAGTATAGCGGCATCACATCTAGCTCATCTCATCTCATCTCATCTCATCTCGTCTCACCGCCAGTTACTCACGAGTCTTGAACCCATCCTTGTTGTACAGAGAGATGGCTAAAGGAACTCCTATTAAGAAGGGCAAGGGCTCCAAGAGCAACACCCCAGTTTCCACACCAGAGGTCAAAAATAAGAAGGTTACTAGCAAGAATGGAACCCCATTTTCCACTCCCAGCTCTACACCATCGAAAAAGGCTAAAAAGCCGGTCAAGCAAAGTGATAAGCAACGCACGAAACTATCACTAAAGCCTTCTCCATCTGAGCCCGAGACAGTGATCCCCAAAGACAGGATCTTGCGTGCTGTGGAAGAATTGCAAAAGTTCACCGCTAGCGAAAAGGAGAAAAACGACCAATCCAATCAGTTGCTGGATGACGAGGAGCTCGACAAGCAGGTGGAATTGATTGCCGTCAATACCACCTCGTTTTCTGAGAATAGGAAAACGTTCAAGCCCAAGCAATTCAAGATCGAACACTCTCTGTTCAGACCTTGGAAAACCGCAAGCGAGACCTCTGTCAAGGACTTTAAACTTTTGCTCATCTTGAGAGACCAGGATGTCTCCAAAGTTACGGAGGATGCTCTTTATGATCAATTGAAAGACACTGGTGTTACCGTGGACACAGTGATTTCAGGAAATGATCTCAAAACGAAATATAAAGTGTTTGAAAAAAGACGGGCTTTTGTCAATGAATACTCCCTCGTTTTGGCGGATGACTCTCTTGTCACAGCTCTACCAAAGCTTCTAGGTGGCAAAGCGTACGAAAAAGTCGCGACCACTCCAGTTCCAATCAAGACCAACAAAAATGGTACCTTTTCATTCACTACGCTCGTCAACAGCGTCAAAAAAATCTACCTGCATGTTTTACCCGCTAAGGTACCTCGTGGTACGACGATGAGCGCTCATTTAGGTAGCCTAGACTGGTTTTCGGCCCAAGAATTGGCCACCAATATCCTTGCTGTTTCAGAGCAATTGGTAAACGGTTCTCAAATCAGATCTATTTTCTTGAAGACGAACAAATCTCCAGTGCTCCCCCTATATTACAACCAAGCCGTTCTTGATGAACTTGCTAAACTCAAAGAAGTCAAGCCAAAGGATGCTTCTCTGCACAAAGTCACCATCAATGGCACAGAATTGGAGCTGTCCCATTTTGATGCTGCGTTACTGGAAATTGCAAATCCTGATGAGTTAGACAAAGTTTTTTCTTCACGGATAAGTAAAGCGAACAAGAGAGCCGCGGAGGAAACTGAACAAAACCTCCCTTCCAAGAAAACCAAGGCATAGAGTATAAAATTCTCCTGTATATTAAGACCCCTCATCTTCAAACGATAAAAATTTTGAATCTTCGATCATTAACTGAAAAAGATTAGTTTGTTAAGATCGACTAACCCCGGTCATGTTGATCGTTTAAACAAGCCTGAAATCCTGACGTGATTGTACCTAAGAAGCCTTCCGCCTTAATTCCTTAACTGTGAAGCAGACAAAGAAAGCGCCATTTTTCATCACAAGCAAATATTCATGAGATACCGATGGTCGAAAGTAACTGGACCTTAATGTTCGGACGGGCCAGTCGTAATTAGAATATTCCCTTCAGTACCAACTCAGCTTTATGCTCAAATATATTTGTTGTTTGTCAACTCGAAGCGTTTCTGATACTGAAAAAAATTCAAGAGATTCAATGGCCACCTTATCAAAGAACACTGGATGCTCTGAACGCTCGAAGCGACTGGAGCCTGTTAGGTGTTTAAGTATGATGAGGTCGATTGTCTATTGATCATGAATGACGATTTGTGAGGGCGGTGTCACTTTATTTCGAGAAATTACACAAAATGTTAAGTTCCGACATGAGAGCTGACATCGCCAACACTGAACGACACAGACCGACTTTCATTCCTTCCTATCTGTTCATATATTTGAACAAATTGGATCTGTTTATTTTTCATTGTTCTGGTGCCCAGCAAAAGTCCAGAAAGGACTTCTATTCTAAATCGATATCACGCATTCATTGTTTCCCCACCATCTCACATTTGGGAAGAACTATCTCTGCTAACTGTAACTTTGAAGCTGGATGAATATAAGTGCTGCAATTTCATCTTTTAAAGACCGTATTGATGCTTTGTCCAGCGATTGGGAACGTCTTTCCAGGACATGTAGCAGTAGTGCGGACGAGGAAATGAAATTACTGAAACAGAAACTAGATCTAGTTCAGGAACAGAACTCTAGTCTAATCATTGAGCTCTATGACTTGAAAAAGCTTACGAACCTGATGGATGATAAGTCAAGTAATATTTTTAGTTCGGTCACTGACACTTCAGTAGGTGCGCTGCATTTACAGTCTGGAGGTGATGAGCAATTTGTGCTAACTCCTCAGGGAGCCACAACAAAGCCATTGGATCTTCTTCCCTCTCTCAGCTCCCAAAAATTACCAAGGCCCGAATCTATGGTCGGTCGCCATGTAACTATCAATCATGAGAATTCTCCTACAAATCAATATCCATTTTCTTTTAACGTCCATGCATACTTCAATGCCAATTTCTCACCTTCTCCGTGGGCCCGAAAAGAGCCCTCGGCGTCACCCAAACACAGCCTCAAAAGATTTAAAAAAAGTGCTCAAATCGATGACGTGAGTGACCGCCCGGTAGAAAGAAGGACGAATTTGCTTGTTGTTGAATCGCCTTCAGGAAAACCAATGGTACGAAGGCAAGCTAAGTCTACTATTGAATCCTTCAAAAAAATCAAGAGGGCTGGTTCGTCAAAGGCCGTGAGCCCAAAACCTTTTGGTGACTTTAAATTAAGAATGACTGCTACGCCAAAAGGTGTCACAGAACTGTATCACGAATATGAGCAAGTTCTACGGCCCCAAATTGTAGAGTTTGAGAGAAACTTTGGGAAAGGACAACTTTCAAAATTATACAAGGTAAGAACGTACCAGAGGCGTAGGGCTTTAGTGTGTGAAATAAACAACTACGCAGCAAAGTATGATATTACTATCGATGAGGCGATATCTTACTTTGAAACAATTCGGGTTCGAAACGGGAAAACTGTTGCATGGCTATATAACAATCTAAATAAAATTATTGAATTTTATGGGTAAAGTAAAGCTGAAGCTAGAACCGTCAAGTATGTAATGCTAACTTGATAATTATGTATCCTTTTTCTTTTCTCGCTTTGATCTGTGAAATACCACCTTCCAAGTTCTTAGACCCTATCGTGTTCAGCATTTCTAGATTTGGCCGCCTTGATAATCTCGCCCCAATTGCAAGAAAAGACGGCGTAACTTTGACAAATGCTCATAAAGATAAGAGCACTGATAATGCCGTACCATAAACCTGCCATTCCTAATTTGCAGTTGAAAGTCAAAAAATAGGACATGGGAATACCGATGCAGTAAAATGCAAGGACGTTGATGTAACCGCCAATTTTTTGTTGGCCTTGACCTCTTAAGCAACCGGCTGTGCATGCATTGAATGCATCGAAAATCTGCATGAATGCGAGTAGCGGTAAGATGCTCACAACCAAAGAAACTACATCAGCATCCTTCGAAAAAGCTCTGGCGATGTGGAATCTGAGAGAGTATATGGTGGTTAAATTTAGCAAACTGGCAGCAAACGACAATAGTAACGACACTTTGCAGGTGACAATGCAGTTTTTGTACATGGAAGCTCCGATAAAGTTCGCGACACGAGTACTGGTGGAGATGGAGATAGAAAATGGGACTTGATATGCCAAAGATGCAACGGTGGATATGATTGACTGCGCCCCCAGTTCATTTGTACCCAAATGCGACGCAAATATGGTCAGTAGTTCAAATCCTAGAAATTCAGCTTCGACCATGATGACTCCTGGCAAAGCTAACCCAAACATCTTGCGCCAGTTCTTAAAAACTTGATCAGGTTTGATAAAACCTCCCCAGCACGAGCGTGGTTCCACTTTGTGCTTTGTAAACGCGGTGTACGCCATCAATCCCAGTGCCATCAGCCAGTAATTAAGAGCTACACTGATAGGGGCACCAATATATCCTATTCCCAGCCTTTTGTCTAGAACAAGGATATAGTTCATAATGGCATTGAAGGGGGCACAGAATAACAGCACAATTGTTGAAGCATGAAAGATGCCTTGACATTGCAAAAACCTCTTACCACATTCAAAGAAGATAAACCCAGGAACACCGATCGATACTATTTTCAGGTAGTTTGCAGCCAGTCTGCATAACTCACGCTCGGGAATAAACACGGCCAAAATAGATTCAGAAAAAAACCACCACACGCATAGCACTGGCGTGAAAAAGATCAGCGTGATTATGGCACATCTCTGCAGCAATATTCCGACCAGGTGCTTGTTGCCGGCCCCATAAGCCTGAGAACAGAGCGTATCTAGACAGGTGCAGAGACCCTGAATGGCAGCGAACCCAAAAATATTAGCGGTCATAGAACCCAAGGTTATCCCACCAAGTTCTTTGATACCTAGATGCGAGGTGGTGAAAACAGACGCTAACGACAGCGAGTTTTGCAAAACGAAGGTAAAGACTAGAGGGAAAGCGTTTTTGAGCAAAACCTGGCACTCTCGACGGTAAGTGGTGGTGATTGTTTTCCCCGACTCGATAGCTGTTTCCCACGTCTCCATGATTCGCTGTTCTTGTTCTTCCTCTGGAACATCAGTAAGCTCGGCATCATCCGTCAGTAGTTTGTTGTCTACCAGCAGGTCCCGTTCTTCCTCAAGCAGATCCCGCGTATACGAGTTTCGTGACCCTCTGTGAGCCGCCTTCTGGTGTTCACCTGCTCCTTGGCCCCCTGTAGCACCATATGAGCGCCGGTTGATCGATTTCAGCGATTTACGAGACAGCTCCGAGTCCGAGCCTCTCTGGTTTCTGTTTTCATCATCCTCCAGAGGTCCGATATCATCGACTGTAGCCTCCTCAGGAGTCAAATAGTCTACCGGGCTGAAAAACCCAGGCTTGATGATACCGTTGGAGTGGATGACAGACGACCGCCTTTCGGTGGTGCTGTGTGTAAATTGTTTTGACTGTGGAGCCATCGTGTCCAGAGCGATAACGTGCGCCTTAGACTACTATAGCAAAGCGACTGGTACAACGTTGACAGAATAAAAAATGTTCTGACTCGGTCGACTTCTAATATGCTTCACTTGCCTCTCAGCTAGTAACCTGTTTTCAGTGCACCAGCTCTCTCATCTCCGAGGTGAAAGGTTTCTTCGGCTAGCAGATTTTCAACAGTGCCATTTGCGTACACAATGATCCAGCAGATCTCATTTGAGAATACGAAAAACACAAACAATAAGTTCCATAAAGTTAACTCCCCAGGCTAAACTACGAGGAAGAGAGAAGTCATTAGCTCACCAGCTTACAAAAGCTTAGTTGATCAAAGAAGTCGCAGATACGTTGTTTGTTGGTCCCTGATAAGTCTGTCTGCTAGATTTTTTTTTTTTCGTGATTTGGTTGGTTCAGAAAGGACTGAAAGTATTATGTTTACACAGCGCAAGAATGCAAGGGAACAACAGAGGACACATCCAAATGCTGGTCTGAAGTCTCAAATGCGTCAGAAGACGGTGACGAGTTTTTTCGGCAAGAAAACGCGTCGCGTGATTGACAGCTCAGAAATAGCCGCCGAGCCTCGGCGGTCAATGTTAGGTCGCCAAAAGCCGCTCTTCACTTCTCAAGGATCCTTTGATGATGATGATCCGACTGGCGAGCAGGAGCTTTCCAAACTTGTGAATGAGACCCCTCTGCGTAATTTCAAGACGCAGGAGGAACTAACCAAGTTGAAATCAGGTAACCGTGGCGTACAGGAAAAAATCTCTGGACCGCGGACTTTCAAGGCCATTGGGGAGCCTCGAGAGTCAATAGTAGCAGAGTCCCAAATGCAAAGGTCTACGGCCAAAAGATCAGTTGTTTCGGGCTTCTCCATTCCGATGAGTAAAAGGTTGAAACCAGTCAGAACGAACTCGATTCAAGGAGCACAGAATCACAGGAGTCTTTCAAAAAGCTCTTCGGCGATAGAACTGACTGCGGAACAACGCAAGGTTATTGACTTAATTGTCAACCAGCGAAAAAATGTTTTTTACACGGGCTCTGCCGGTACCGGTAAATCCGTAGTTTTGCGAGAACTCGTCAGTCAGCTGCGTGCTCGATATGGAGTGTCGGCCGTCGCCATAACTGCCTCTACTGGTCTTGCTGCCGTGAATATCGGTGGCATGACAGTGAACCGGTTTTCCGGCATCAATATTGGTGTGGGCAGTGCTCAAAAACTGGCCGCTCAAGTGAGTCGTAATAAGACGAACAGTGAAAGATGGAAGCGTACGAGTGTTTTGGTTATCGACGAGGTATCCATGATTGATGGTAGATTTTTAGACAAAATGGACTTTGTTGCGCGGGAAGTGCGGCGAACACCAAACAAGGCATTTGGTGGTATCCAACTAGTATTGACGGGTGATTTTTTCCAATTGCCACCAGTGGCGAACAGAGACTCTAGTGTGGAAAAACCAACATTTTGTTTTGAGAGCAAAGTGTGGAAACAGGCCATAGACAACACGATATGTTTGACCGAAGTTTTTCGACAGAAAGATCCTGAGTTGGTCAACTTACTTAACAGCATTAGATTTGGCGATATTAATCCGATGATCATCCAGCAGATCAAAAAATATGAGAGAGAAGTGGAGTACGCAGACGGAATCTCGCCAACCGAGCTCTATCCTACAAGACGAGAAGTGGATTTGTCAAACAAGCGGATGCTGGACAGACTGCCTGGCGATGTCAAGATATTTATGGCTCAAGATCAGACTACTAGTGACAATCCCTACCTGCTCAAAATTTTGGATTCCTTGATGGTAGACAAGAATCTGGCGCTAAAAGAAGATGCACAGGTAATGATGCTGAAAAATATAGATGAGACTTTGGTGAATGGTTCGGTTGGCAAGCTATTGTTTTTTACCACAGAGCTTCTGTATCAGAAGATGTTGGAGCTCTTTCCTTCCTCGAAGCTGAGTGATCCTGACTTAGTAATCGACATGCGGCTGTTGAGCAAGTGCATTGGCCTAGCCCCACATTTGTACCCTCAAAATATTGAAAATGAGATAGCAACAAGACCAATGGCTAGGGCGGAGACGTTGAGAATTATGCTCAAAATTGCCGAGCGGGAAAACAAGCAATTCTCCTATCCGTTAATTCGCTTCACGACCCCCAATCATGGCTTTAGATTTGAGCTGATTCAACCCACTGAGTTCACAGTTGATGTTCCTGCACAAAAGACCAGTGTTAGTAGAATTCAGCTGCCCCTAATCTTATGCTGGGCGCTTTCAATCCATAAAGCCCAGGGTCAAACAATTGACCGACTCAAGGTTGATCTGAAAAAAATATTCGAGGAGGGTCAAGTCTACGTTGCGTTGTCAAGAGCTGTGTCCAAAGAGCGACTCCAAATTATAAATTTTGAATCTAGGGCAATCAAGGCTAACGACAAAGTCAAGCAATTCTACAAAACTCTAGAGGTTGTGGCCGCTTGAACCACGCAAACTGTGAATGTTGACTTAAGTCAACGTTTGCTTTCCTTCATCCAAGCTAGTAGATTGGAGCGCCAAAAAGCATACAAAGAGTCGATCTTAGCCGACAGACAGCATGAATTTTTTTGGCTTGGCACATCACGATGCTCGATAACCGACAGTCCAGAAAAATATTAACTGATAATGCACACAAATATTCGAAATGGAAAAAAAAAAAAGCTATTTTGGATCGGCCTATTTTTAGCACGAAGGGCACTTGACGTGACTGACGGAATCAACCACCGACGGTTAGTAGTTCTCGAAAACTATTAAAAGCGCTAATTTATGCTTCGAATTTTTTTGTACTGAGGTCGCGAAGGGAAGAAACAGAACGGTGGCCTAACCTCACTATCTGGATCCCTTTCGGATAAATTTGGGTACGACTCAAGTTTGAGAGAGTGCGGTTTTGAACCATTGGTTGCTTGCTAAAAAGCGGTCTTTGTTTCACTTATCCATTTCATCGAGTTTTTTCGAATCCACATTGGATCGTGTGTACTCGAAAATTTTTTTAGTTATTTCGGATCGTTGGTTTGTGCAAAGGGTACATCACAGAAACAGGGATTGGAATAACTAGCATTAACGCGAGAGGGCTTTGACAATTATTCAAGTGCTTATCTCAACGAGACGCTGTAATGGAGGACACTCTAGAAAGACACAGTTTCAAGGTCTTCAATCAAGACTTTACCGTGGACAAGAGGTTTCAGCTCATCAAGGAGATCGGACACGGAGCATATGGAATTGTGTGCTCCGCGAGGTTCGCCGAAGCAGCGGAAGAAACAAATGTGGCGATCAAGAAAGTGACTAACATATTCGCTAAAACGCTGCTCTGCAAAAGGTCGCTACGAGAGCTGAAGCTGCTGCGGCATTTCAGAGGCCACAAAAACATTACGTGCCTGTATGACATGGACATTGTATTCTCTTCGGATTCATCTTTCAATGGACTGTATTTATATGAAGAGCTCATGGAGTGCGACATCCATCAAATCATAAAATCTGGCCAATCATTGACAGATGCACATTATCAGAGTTTCATATATCAAATATTATGTGCCCTCAAGTACATACACTCGGCCGACGTTTTGCATAGAGACTTGAAGCCTGGGAACCTACTAGTCAATGCAGATTGCCAGCTGAAGGTCTGTGATTTCGGCCTAGCGAGGGGCTATTCGGAAAATCCAGTTGAGAACAATCAATTTTTAACAGAATACGTTGCAACTAGGTGGTATAGAGCCCCTGAAATTATGTTAAGTTACCAAGGCTACACAAAGGCGATCGACATATGGTCTTGCGGCTGTATTTTGGCAGAACTTCTTGGCGGAAAGCCTATCTTCAAGGGTAAGGACTACGTGGATCAACTCAACAGAATTCTACAAATTTTGGGGACCCCTCCTGAGGAAACTTTAAAACGTATTGGATCAAAAAATGTTCAAGACTATATACATCAGTTGGGCTATGTTCCTAAGGTACCTTTCAAGACCTTATATCCACAAGCCAACGCTCAAGCCTTGGACCTTTTAGAGAAAATGCTCGCATTTGATCCACAAAAGAGAATAACGGTTGAAGAGGCACTAGAACATCCCTACCTCAGCGTATGGCACGACCCCGCCGATGAACCTGTGTGCACTGAGAAGTTCAACTTCAGCTTTGAATCAGTAAATGAAATGGATCAGTTAAAACAAATGATTCTTGATGAGGTTCACGATTTTAGACAGTTTGTTAGACAGCCTTTGATGGAAGAGGAACAAGCGCAGCATGAGCAACAACTATTGGAACAACAACAACAACAACAACAGCAGGCGCAGCATGAGGAGCAACGTAAGATGAAACAAGAGCATGAGAAACAAGATCAACAGCAGCGGGAGCATGCTCAAAATGTTATGACAGCAGGCCGTTATTTATCGGATCAGTACCAGGATGGCTTTCGGCAATCAGAACTCTTCTCGCAACCAGCGAGTGCTTCCGCAGACTTGAATGACCAGTTTCTTGGCATACATTCCGGAAATTTGCCTGGACACGACGCTGACTTTCCTCCAAGGCCTCAAGAAAATTCCTTGGTCTCGCCTTTGGGCAGATCATCACATCCACTTGAGTCAGGCGGCTCATTTGATGACTGTCTAGATCTTGAGAAGGAACTAGAATTTGGTCTCGATCGCCAATATGCATAATCAATTTGGTTGTAATGAGAATTTCGCAAACAATTCGTGGCTATCAATAAACCGTTTGAGACACCACATCTAGTTGAGTTGTATTGTCCACTGGATTGATTTGAGACCATTGATTTTTCCACTTATATTCAGCATAACAGGGCCTTCCATTCAAAGTTTGGAATAGGAAGAGGTTTACATATCTACACACATATACATATGTACAGGCATAAAAGAACAATTCATAATGATGATGACTCTCGCCAGGGGCTATCAGTATTCAATTATTTAGAGGGACCTCGTCTGAAGGTATAATTTGATAGTGACACACTGTCCAGGTGCCGTCTGTATATAAGGGCAAGACCAACAAAGTGGATTGATAGATGATATCCTCCAGGAGGGCCTTTGGAGTAATTTCTGCCAGCTGTACACTTTAGTATGGACTACGAGACAGGAAAACGACGTGACTTGGAAAATGAATCGTTGTTAGGGTCAAGGAATGGTAAAAGAGGTTGGTTTCCCTCTCGTTTGGCTGTCTGGACGCTATTCGTGTGGGGTTCCGTAGTATTTATGAAAACCCTCAATGCTACAGTTAACAGCGAACATTCACTGAGTCCCAAAAGGTGGCCTTGGGGATTTAAGGTCAACAAACCTGAGCTTAATAGGGTTTCCTTTGAGAATGTGCGAAATGCTACTTTTGTTCCACAATTACACAACGTTCAATGGATCGGTGGATCCCATTCTCATGATGATATGGGATTGTTCCTTAAGGAGGAAGGCGAGGCGTACGTTGTTAAATCCGTAGCCGACGAAAAATACTCTCGCGCCCTTCTAAGTGCAAAAACATTTGTTTATGATGGCTATAACTACAGTATTGATTATTTACAAGCGTCTCCAGACTTGAAACAAGTGCTCGTTAGGTCCAACACGACGAAAAACTGGAGGCATTCCACTTTTGGGTCCTATTTCCTGATTAATCCCACCAGTGATTCCGTTCACCTTTTAGGCCACGAAATTGCGAAGGTACAGTGGTCTCCAAACTCCAAAGATTTGGCCTTTGTCCATGCTAATGACTTATATATATATTCCTCCCAGTCTTACACCATCAGCAAAAGGATAACGGATGACGGAAGCGCGCAGGTTTTCAACGGTAAACCTGATTGGGTTTACGAGGAAGAAGTATTTGAAGGAGATTCGGCGATGTGGTGGTCGCCTCAAGGTGATTACTTAGCTTTTCTCAAAATCAACGAGACCGAGGTTTTCGAATTCCCTATCCCATATTTTTCTCAACATGAGGATGATGTTTACCCAGAGGTCCGTTCTATTAAGTATCCAAAAAGTGGAAGCCCTAATCCCATTGCCAATTTGATGATCTACACGCTCGACACTCAAGATCTCTCGGGTGTGAAAACGGGCCACAACATGACTTTAATCACGGAAGTTGTATGGGTAGGGGACGCTCAGATTTTGTGTAAGGCTTCAGATCGGTCATCGGACGTGCTGTCTGTCATTCTAGCAGATGCCAAAAGCCCAGGATTATCCCAAGTCCCCCGGGTGGAGTCTTCTGAAGACGGTTGGTGGGAGATTACTTACCACACTTCTTATGTTGGGCAAGATTCTGCAAAAGGAAGGGAAGAGGATGGCTACGTGGATTTAATTCCAGTGGACGGATATAATCACTTGGCCTACTACTCGCCAGCGAACACCACAGAGCCCGTCATATTGACTAATGGGACTTGGGAGGTAGTGAATGGGCCTGCCGCGATTGATCTGGAAACCAATGACGTTTATTTCGTTGCAACCAAAAAATCATCCACTGAACGGCATATTTATAAAGTGAATTTGAAAGACCCTCTTAACGTCAAAGAGATTTCTGATACTACCATAGACGGTTACTTTTCCGTCTCATTTTCGTCAGGCGCAAGGTTCGCCTTGGTGTCATATTTGGGGCCCGAAGTCCCTTACCAAAAAATTATTGACCTCAAGCCAGAATCCACTGCGGCAAGTGAGGGAATAGCTGGCAAGACCTTATTTTACTTAGAGGAAAACAAATCTTTGAAAAATAGGCTGAAAGGTTATGCTGTTCCACACAGGATCTTCAAAGAAATACATCTCGGAGAAGATAAAGATGGAAATGCCATTATAGCAAATTCATACGAAATCTTGCCCATTGGCTTCAATCCTGAATTGAAGAACCATTATCCTGTATTTTTCTATGCATACGGAGGTCCTAATTCACAACAAGTAGCCAAAACGTTTTCAGTTGGTTTCAATGAGGTCGTTGCTACGCAATTGAATGCAATTGTTGTTGTCGTAGATGGCCGTGGAACAGGCTTTAAGGGCAAGGACTTCAGGTCACTAGTGCGGGATAACTTAGGAGACGCAGAGGCCCAGGACCAGATTTCAGCTGCCAAATTGTACGCTGATAAACCATTCGTTGATGCTGAAAAGATCTCCTTGTTTGGATGGTCTTATGGAGGATACCTGACCCTAAAAACGCTCGAGAAAGATGCAGGACAGACTTTCAAATATGGCATGTCTGTGGCACCCGTAACAGACTGGCGTCTTTACGATTCGGTCTATACAGAGAGGTACATGCATACTCCCCAAGAAAATAAGGCAGGCTATGCAAAGGCCAAGGTACACAACGCTACTGCCCTGGGAGGGGCTAATCGATTTTTGTTGATGCATGGGTCGGGCGACGACAATGTGCACTTCCAGAACTCGCTAAGATTCCTAGACCTACTAGATCTCGCGGGCGTTGAAAATTACGACATGCATGTCTTCCCTGACTCTGATCATAGCATCCGCTACCATAACGCTAACAATATTGTTTACGACAAGCTGTTGGGTTGGGCTGGGCAAGCATTCGAAGGAAAGTTTCTCAAGTAGGAAAGCTTGCAATATCACTACACAGCGATGCGCAAACTATAAATGGTAGACATTAATGCTATGACCAGTGGCTTAATTAGCCAATATTTCTGAATGAACAGGGCCCAAAAATTATCTACTGAATGATTCTGTCATCAAAAAGTCCGTAACCAAGATATTATAGAGACTGTCATGTATATATGTATCTGCGTATATAATGATATACATTATACTCTCAAGTTTTAGGATCTGGGTGGCGAAATGGTAAGGTTGAGAACAACTCTTCAGTACTGAGGAGGCAAGCAACCCGAGGACTGATTCGCCAACTTGTCACAGACCTTCAAGATGGTAGAAGAAACAGCCAAAGAGCAGGAAAAGCCGATCGAAACTTCGAATGGCTCACAAATTCCAACCAAAGGTGAGCCTGTGGCTAAAACGCAAGACAACAAAAAGGATGATGACGAAGAAGAGCTTTCTGAAGAAGACTTGAAGTTGAAGCACAACCTCGAGAATCTTGTAGAGCTGCTAATTGAGGACAAGTCCGAGCTCCACGAGGATGCTCTTTCGCAATTGAAGGATTTGATCCGTGACTCCACCAGTTCCATGACGGCGGTTCCAAAACCTCTTAAGTTTCTGCGTCCATACTATCCACAGCTTTGTAGCGTCTATGAAAAATGGCAGGAAGCCAAACTTAGATCGCTTTTGGCTGATGCTCTATCGGTGCTGGCAATGACGTACTCGGATGAAGGCAAGAGGGATTCTTTACATTTCAGATTGTTGTCCGAGGAGAAGAACATCGAAAATTGGGGTCACGAATACGTGCGTCATCTGGCACTTGAGATTGGTGAAGTATACAACGAGCAGGTCGAAAAGGAGGCCGGAGAATCCTCCGAAACTTCTCCGGAGCCGTTGTCAACCTCAAAATCAGAAGCTACATTCGATGTATCCAAAGAGTCCCTCATTCAGCTGTCCTTGGACATCGTGCCATACTTTTTGAAACACAATGGTGAAGCCGATGCGGTGGATTTGCTGCTAGAGATTGAATCTATCGACAAACTGCCACAATTTGTGGATGACAACACGTTTCAACGCGTTTGTCAATATATGATTGCATGTGTCCCACTTCTACCTCCCCCCGATGATATTTTTTTTCTCCAAACGACATATTCGATCTATCTCAGGGAACTGCAATTAACAGAAGCACTTGCTTTAGCTATCAGGCTAGATGACGAGTCTCTGATTAGAGCTGTTTTCGATGCTACTTCAGATTCTGTTATTCACAAGCAACTTGCATTCATCTTGTCTGCTCAGAAATCGTCTTTTCAGTATGAAGGTGTTCAAGATATCATAGGCAATACAAAGCTATCTGAACATTTCTTGTTCCTAGCCAAGGAATTGAACTTGACAATTCCAAAGGTCCCCGAGGACATTTACAAGAGTCACTTAGACAACTCGTCCAAGGGCGCATTTGCTGGAACGGGTCTAGATTCTGCTCAACAAAATTTAGCAGCATCATTTGTTAATGGATTTCTGAATCTCGGTTATTCAAGCGATAAATTGATTGTTTCTGACGATAACTGGGTTTACAAGACGAAGGGTAGCGGCATGACGTCTACCGTTGCTAGTATAGGATCCATATATCAATGGAACCTGGACGGGTTACAACAATTGGACAAGTACCTTTACGTGGAAGAACCTGAGGTCAAAGCTGGCGCCCTGCTCGGCATCGGGATCTCGGCATCAGGCGTTCATGACGGCGATGTAGAACCTGCTATGTTGCTGTTGCAGGAATACGTAACCAACCCTGACAAAAAATTAAGCTCGGCTGCTATCCTAGGTTTAGGCATTGCTTTTGCTGGCAGCAGAAATGATGAGCTTTTGGGACTATTGCTTCCAATTGCTGCTGATACAAATTTGCCCATTGAAACATCTGCTATGGCCTCTATGGCTTTAGCTCACGCATTTGTGGGTACATGCAACGGAGATATAACCACTGCTATCGTGGATAATCTATTAGAACGCACTGCGACTGAGTTAAAAACTGAATGGACAAGATTTCTAACGTTGGCTTTAGGCATCTTGTACCTGGGTCAAGGTGATCAAGTAGAAGATGTGTTGGAGACCATATCGGCAATCGATCACCCAATTACTTCAGCCATTGAGGTTCTCATCAACGTATGTGCATATACCGGCACAGGGGATGTCTTGTTGATCCAAGATCTATTACATCGTTTAACTCCAAAAGAGAAAAAGGACGAGGAGGAAGAAGAAAATGAAGATGAGAATGCCGGCGATTTAGAGGGCGCGATTTCCGAAGGACTCACAGAATCTTTAGACCTTGCTGGTAAGGAGGAGCAGGAACCGGAAACGACGGTAAAGCAGGAGGATAAGATGGACGTTGATGAAGAATCAGACAAGAAAATCGAGAACGACGATACCACAGGCGACGAAGAACTAAGCAAGAAAAAGGAAGAAGAGGAGAAGCAGTATGCTCTTATAGATGAACTGACTTATGCAGTCCTTGGAATTGCAATGATCGCCATGGGTGAAGAAATTGGCAAGGAAATGTCATTGCGTCATTTCAGTCATTTGATGCACTACGGTAATGAACACATTAGAAAGACTGTCCCATTGGCTATTGGGCTTTTATCTGTCTCTGACCCTCAAGTAAAAATATTTGATACGCTCTCGAGATTTTCACATGATGCTGATTTGGATGTTTCAATGAACTCGATATTTGCCATGGGTCTTACAGGTGCGGGTACTAACAATGCCAGGTTGGCTCAACTCTTGAGACAACTAGCCAGCTATTACTCGCGGGAACAAAATGCACTGTTCATCACTCGACTATCCCAGGGCTTGGTTCATCTCGGGAAGGGAACAATGACGTTTGATATTTTCAACGACGCACAAGTTTTGAACAAAGTCACATTGGCATCTTTACTCACTGTATTAGTGGGTTTGGTCACACCTTCATTTATGTTGGACCACCATTATCTATTCTACTACCTCAACAGCGGCGTCAGACCTAAATACATTTTGACCCTCAACGAAGAGGGAGAACCAATAAAGGTCAACGTTAGAGTGGGTCAGGCCGTTGACACGGTTGGCCAAGCTGGTAAGCCCAAAACGATAACGGGCTGGATAACGCATTCAACACCGGTGCTTTTGGGGCATGGTGAAAGAGCAGAACTTGAGACAAACGAATACATAAACTATGCCAGCAGACTTGAAGGTGTGGTGATCTTGAAGAAGAATCCTAATTATCGCGAGGAAGAGTAAAGTTATTGCATGGAATCAAGGTAGCCACCGCTAACACTACTCCATTGTGTATATGGTACATAGTCCCACTAAGCTAAAAATCAGGGAAGTGAAGGATGATTTTTTTATCTTTTAGTCTAAAGTATGGTTGGTACTTAAAAGAAAATTGAGTTCTAAATAGGAAGGTTACTAACCGTGTGGTTTGCAATCCGGTGTTTTCCACTTTTGAGATTCATTGGAATTCTACGGCCTTACCAGCCATCAACAGTCCGACAATTAAGCCCAGTAAGCCCAAAACAGACCCGAAAATTTCGATGACCAGGATCTTGACAAACAGACCAGAGTCAGCAGCATCAGACACAGCAGCGGTGGCGCCAGTAATGCCCACTGCAACACCGCAAATCAAGTTAGACACCCCAACAGTGAGACCGGCCCAGAAAAGGGAATACCCCGTATAAAGGTTGGATTTTGAGAACATAGTCTCTGGTGTAGCGACAGTGACTTTGGAGGAAAAAACAATCGCCATAATCAAACCATAGATTGCCACGACCTCACAGAAAATGATTGAAATCAAGTTCTTGGTCGTGATTCTGGGGGCACGCACACCTGCTCCGATAATGGACGAACCAGTGACAAAAATACCCCAAGCAGCACCCACCACACTGAGACCGATACACAAAGCAATACCTAAGTTTGCCCACATGTAAGGTGACGTTCTGGTGAGAAACTTACCAAAGTTGATGTCTTCACCGTGACCTGTGAACAGCTTGTATCCGGCGTACCACACAATGACTGCCAGAATTATGTAACGCACTATCTGCGTAAAGGAACATCCTGAAGCTCCCATTGTTGACTCAGGATTCCGGTGCTCTAGGGATAAACGCCGATTCTTTTCCTATATGTTTGATTAGGGTTAGAGTGTGCGCTATGAAGTTGTAATAGGTTATAAACTTTGATAGTAGTTACGTATATAGTGATACTACCATGTCTTGTCCAATTGATTATCCAAATCGCCCTACAGTTGTTACATACTGACGAGTAGCTGGCACGATAGAACCACCCAACGTGGAAGGTACTCACCTCATCCAGTCGCAGCATCTTCTATTTGAGCCTCAAATATGAATATCAGCATCGGCATACGCTGATATTTTTTGACAACCCTTACCTGCGGAAGTAAAAACGTCTGGTTTGTTTATAGTTTATCAGTCGTAATTTTAAATTCTGGGATCCGGCGCTCTAGTATATAACTGTATATATACGCCTGTACCCTTCAGAAAAGAGTTTCGTCTCAGTTGCTAACCTGGGCACCATCGTAAGCCAACTCCAGTAATTTCCAGGTGCAACCAATGTTCTTTTTGGAAAATCTGTTGATGATCTCCTCAGCGATGTCTTCGAAGTTGTCTACTGCCAAAGCGAGGATGGTAGGACCAGCGCCAGATAGACAAATGCCCAAGAGACCAGGGTATGTGGATGGCGTTACGCTCGAAAGAATTTCGGTTAAACCCGGAATCAAAGTCTTTCTGTATGGCTGATGAACACGGTCCTGCATGGCTGGGTAGATCAATTGAGGGTTTGGAGGGTCTTGAGTGAGGGCTGTTGTCAATACTGCCAATCTTTGAAGATTAAAGACCAAATCTTTGGCAGTGTAGGCGTGAGGGAGCACACCTCTGGAATCTGCGGTGGAGACTTCAAAGTTAGGAATGATGGCAATACACTTAATGGCCTTGTTCCACTTGTAGCTAACATGATGGCCGATATCCATGGGGGGGCTTGGAGGCACGAGACCGGTATCTTCTCCGCCGCTGGGTTCACCCAAAACTTCACTGAGTGGAATTTCTCGCCTTTCCATCTCTGCTGGAGTCAAGTCTCTCAAAAAGGAGCCCACGAACCCTCCCATCATCGCAGCCGTTATATTGTCGGGATGGCGTTCTATCATCAAACAGTAGTCCAACATTCGTTGCTTGGAAAAGCCCAATTGACCAACTTCATTGCCCAGCATGACACCAGCTACTACGGCGGCACCCGAAGATCCCAAACCACGGCCCAGTGGGATGGGGTTGTGAATATGAACTTTTGTTCCCGACGGGAAAGTCCGGTTATTATTGCACCGCAAGACATACAGAGCTGTCCTTGTGATCAAATTTTCATCCGATTTGAGTGGCACGCTGCTGTAGCCCTCGCTGTCCTCGGAATAGGAAATTCCGCAGTTGTTGGGGTCATTGTTTGTTGCACTCGCATTCTTCGCATTTATTTCAACGTCGAGCGTCAAATATAGGCCCAATCCAACACCTAGAACATCGTAGCCGGGTCCAATATTAGCGGAGGAGGCCGGAACACTGATCTTAAAGCTACGAGGCATATTTCCAGGAGTAAACGCAGATAATATGAGTGATTGAGTGTCCTGCTCTTGTCGAAGATATCGTAAACTTTCGTTAGTTCGTAAAGTTATTATTACGATGACTCTTTTTTTTTTCAAACTAATAGCACTGACTCGAGGGACGACAAGAAATTAGACTTGAGGATCGACCATTTGACGTTTCCGAGAAGACTACCTGTTTGTACGTCGGAAAATTAACGAGGGCACACGAATTTTCTTTGGGCTTTGTCTAGCTTAATGAAAAAATGTACTGTTTTCCACAATATCTTTTGGGACCCTCCAGGTATCATGATCTATAACCATACCGAAGGAGACTTTCATCCTCGATTCCTACTTGGTCACGTCATTCCTAATAATATCCAAAACTCAATATTCTGAACGTTGTTTTTGGAGGCTTTCTTCTGGTAATGATATGCCTGCTTCATCAATTTGCGACAGAATAGTACATAGTGATACACTTTCGTAGGGTCTACTGATGGTATTGTTCCGGCAAAGAAGATAGTGATTGCTCACAGATCATGGGACGAAGTCAGGGATGTTTCGCTGCTCTAAACTATTCTAAATAATAGGAGTTTCTTCTTCAAAAAGTTCCTATAATTGTGCCTGGTGGCGAGAGACGGCAAAAATTAACAGTATTCAATATGATTGGTCGTAGACGGGTCCAATTTGTCCAATTATAAAGCCTTGAACAAATTTGGAAGTTCGATATGCTAAAGAGAAGAGATTGGATGGTGTTCGGAATCCCGTCAAACGTACGATCTATGCGTGTCACTTTGTACTAAACGAGCTTCACTTTGACTAACCAAAGCTACTTGCCCGAGAAAGCTTGACGCAAGCCAAGCAACTAAAATACCTGGTCCTTCCAATTGAAGGGTTTGACACTTTTTTTAGTCACTGGACGCATCTTGAAGTCAATCCGTATTCTGAGAGAGTGATGTTGCGAGGAAGAATTCCTGTCTTGAGAAGACTATACTCACAAGCAGTCGGTAATGGGGAGAACTTTCAGTTATCTAAATTGAAAAACGGCCTGAAAGTGGCTACCAGCAATGTTCCGGGCCATTTTTCGGCACTAGGTGTGTACGTAGGAGCTGGATCCCGCTACGAAACGCAACATATGAAGGGATGCACCCACATAATGGACCGCTTGGCCTTCAAGTCTACCGACCACATGTCTGGCCGGGATATGGCAGAGACTCTGGAGCTGCTCGGTGGTAATTACCAATGTTCCAGCTCCCGTGAGACTATGATGTACCAAGCCTCTGTCTTCAACCGGGATGTGGAGAAAATGTTTGCACTTATGGCAGAAACAGTTCGGTTTCCAAACATTACTCCAGAAGAGCTCGAAGAGCAGAAAATGACGGCGGAGTACGAAATTGACGAAGTCTGGAACAAGCCTGATTTGATCCTTCCCGAACTTCTCCATGTCACCGCATACTCGGGGGACACTTTGGGATCGCCTTTGCTCTGTCCAAAGGAGTTAATTCCATCTATTTCCACTTATTACCTCAAAGACTACAGGCGCAAGCTGTACACGCCAGATAATATCGTTGCAGCTTTTGTAGGAGTACCCCATGAACAGGCTGTGGACTACGCCAGCAAACATTTTGGCGACATGCTCTCAACTTCCCAATCTGTCACACGCGACGTCAAGCCTGCTCACTATACGGGTGGTGAATTGTGCATACCACCTGGTCCCATTTTTGGTAACTTGCCCGAGCTATACCACATACAGATTGGATTTGAGGGTTTACCCATAGGCCACCCCGATATTTACGCATTGGCTACTCTTCAAACCTTACTTGGTGGAGGAGGTTCTTTCAGCGCTGGAGGCCCTGGAAAGGGAATGTATTCGCGTCTCTACACACACGTTTTAAATCAACACTTTTTCGTCGAGAACTGTGTGGCATTTAACCACTCATACTCTGATTCAGGCATATTTGGTATTTCAGCTTCATGTGTTCCAGAAGCAGCTCCATATATGGCTGAGCTGATTTCTCAACAGTTGGCAAACACATTCACGTCTGATAAATTGAAACTAACGGAAGAAGAAGTCTCAAGGGCTAAAAATCAACTCAAATCTTCACTGTTGATGAATCTCGAGTCCAAACTGGTGGAATTAGAGGATTTGGGCAGACAAGTTCAATTGCATGAGCGTAAAATCCCAATTAAAGAAATGATTGCTAGCATAGAAAAAGTTACTGTTGATGATATCAGAAGAACGGCAGAGATGGTGTTCACCGGTAAAGTTCGTAATAAGGGCCAGGGGACTGGTAAGGCAACTGTGGTAATGCAGGGCCAGAGGGAAAAGTTTGGTGATGTTGAAACAGTTTTGAGGTTTTATGGTCTGGGCAATTATGAAAAGCTGGATATCTCTGCTTTTAAGAAGACTAAAAGAGGCCGTTGGTTCTAAACAACGACTTCATCTTGTATATACATCGCATTTAGTTAAAAGGATATGTTCTAAATAAAAACCTCTTCTCCTGACCTGGCATCCAAACTTCTGCGCCTCATGGAAATACCGTCATATTTTTCTTTCCAAAGTTCAACTTGTTTGTCAAGAAATTGAATGCGCTCTTCCTGGTATGCTTTATCACGCTCCAGTCTTCGAGTGTCAACTTCCTGCTTCGCCATTTGACTTTCTAGTCTTCCTAAATTTTCCAACTGTTCCCTTATCTGTTGAGCGAACTCGTTCCTATCTTCATTGGCCGTAGTAATTGTCTCTGCTTGTTTTGCATTGACCGCTTTCAATTCTTCAATAGTTCTTTCAAGCGCTTTAACCTTCTTCATCTCTTCATACTTAGCATCAGATTCTTGAGTAGCCAGTTCTTCAAGCTCTTGGACTTTGGTGACCCATGAGTCTTTCTCTGTAGTATCTGCGAGTTTCACTTCCAGGGCATTTATTTGACTTGTCAATTGTTTGTTTGATTTGTTGAGAGATTCGTTTTCTTCATGCAATGTAATGTTTGCATCTTTTTCGCTTGCCAACTGAGTTTTTAAGTTCGAGGCCGAAAGTTGAAGCTTTTCGACAAGTCCCTCATTTCTGCCCGTCTGCTGCGTCTGTAGTGTCAGAGTCTCCTCAAACTTTCTTACTTTGTCTGCAAGAGTATCCCTATCTGCGGTCACCTTCTCAAAATCCGCTCTTGAATGGTCGAGTTTGAACTGTAAGGCATCCCTCTGAGTTTCTAATTGGCGTTTTTCGTCTTGTAAATTCTGTAGGGAGCCATTAAAGTCGATCATTTGCGACTTTAGAGAGTTCAAAGTTGTTTCCAACTTAGCATTTTCAGAGGTGACAGAGTCCCGTTCTTCAGCAAGTGAGCCTACAATCTGCTCGTAGTGTGCAATCTGCTTAAGCAAGTCTTCAATTTTCGACTCGTATTCGATCTTGGAACTTTCCAAGGAATACTGCACAGAGGAATTTTGTTTCTTCAGTTCCGTTTCTATCCTTAGCGACGTATCTAAATCTGCTCTCAACTTCTCAAGCTCGCCCATCACTTGACTTTGATCTCCCGCGGCCTTCACTCTACCTTTGAAATGGACAAGCTCTTTGCTGATGATGTCTATTTTAGACTGCAGTTTGTTGATTTCTATGCTCCTTTCTTCAATTTCCGTCTCCAGCTCATTGTTACGCGTCTCAACTTCCCATAAATGTTTGTCTTTTTGCTTATTTTGTAGCTTCAATCTGTCAATTATAGACGCCATAGTTTTGATATCTTCCTCCGATTCCTTCAAACACTGAATCACCTCTTTCAGCTGTTCCTCTGTAGCGTGAAGATCATTGATACAGTTTTCGTACTGCACCTTGTGGTTGTTGCAGCTCACAGTCAGCAATTGGTTTTGTCGCTCGGAGACGTCCAGGTTTTTTTGCAGCCTAGAATAGTCATCGCTTAACACAGACCGCTCCGTTTGTAAGTGTAGCACATTTTTCTTCATCATGGTTACGGCCTTCTCAGATTCAACGAGAAGGTCCTGAAGCCTGTAGTTTTCAAGCCTCTGAAATCTTAAATCTTCCTCATATTTGGAAATACTAACACGCTGCGTGAAAATTTCACCGTTGCTTAAATTTGTTTTATCTCTAGGGGCACTTGATGTAAATTTTGACTCAAGTGACCTCAAGCGTTGCTCACTGGCTTCGTATTTCAGCCTGAATATGTCAGAAGATGAATCTGACTTTTGAATTTGCCTGAACTTGCTGTGAAGGGCGGACGCTGCATTTTCTGCATCGTGCCTTGCCTGCTTTTCGAATTTCAACTGGCTTTTGAGGTGCTCGATTTCGAGGATAAGTTTCTCTTGATTTATCTCGACGGGTTCAACTTGGTTCATGATTTCGTCCATATCGACCCTAAGATCGGCCTTAATGATAATATCCTTCAATGTCTTTAACTGTGAGGCAGTACTCTGTATCTCAAAAGAAGCTGAAGCTAACCTAGTTTCAGTAAATCGTAGTTTAGAGATAAGATCTTTCTTCTGGTTTATTTCTTTCTCCAATTTATAAGCCATTTCCCTTAACTCTAGCTTCAATTCATCAGAAGTCGAATAGATATCTGTACTAGATTGGTAAGTTTGACGTTCCAGCGACTTGGATGTCCTGCGATTGTCTTCATTTCCTGAGAGCTTCTCATTAAGAAACCTTGTGAGCGACTTTTCTCTCGAGAGTTGTTCCTTTAACGATTGCATTTTTTCACCGATTGCATCATCGTTAACTTGTGCGTCTCTGGTTGCAGCTCCTTCTTTTGATGATTCATCTAAGGAAATTTGCAAAGTTGCGCACTGCTCTTCAAGTTTCTGATACTTTAACTTTTGCTCAGATAGCTCATTTTGCACTCCTTTGACTTCACTGATAAGTTTGCTCTGTTCTTGTAATAGATCCGAGCGTTCCTTGTTTAATGATGAGATCAAAAGCTGATTCTGCTCACATCTAGCCGATTGCCTCATTAATTCCTTCTCTTTCGACTTAAGAGTGTTTTGGGCATCTGCAAAATCCCTTTTGGAACGCTCAAGTGACATTCTTAAATTCTTGTTCTCGTCCACTAAAGAGCTCAATCGTTTGCTTGTGCTATTGAATTTCTTTTCAAGGCCCTGTAAACTCCTCTCTAATTGTTTGTCTGAGTCCGATAGCTTTGACTCGAGTTCTGTAATGTCTGACTCTTTTGATGATACATGCAATCTCACTTTTTGCAATTCATCTAACAAATTGGCTTTTGCAAGCTCGGTTTGGGTTTGAGAGCTTCTAGTTTCTGTCAGTGTCTTTTGAACCTTAGCGAGGTCTTCCATCAAGCTGTTTCTTTCCTTGAAAACGTTGGTTATGGTCACATTAGCTTGCTCAATCTCTGCCTGCAACTTTTTGAGTTCGTCTTGTTTCTCTTCCATGTTCCTTTCTAAATCCTGTTTTTCTACCGCCGCTCTATCTCTGTCAGCATTTGATTCTCGAAGTAAGGCGTCCAACTGTTTCTCCCTCTTCTCAATGGTAAACAAAGCACCTTGTTGCTCATTGAGTTTCTGTGTTTCATCTGAGAGAGCTTGTCGTACAGATGATAACTCTGACAGTAAAATTTCGTTTTCTCCTTCGAGCTTTCCGTTATCGGATTGAACGCTTTCTAGCTTAGATTCGAGGGTCTTGATCTGCTCTGCGATTCTCTTCGTCTTAGAGATCTCCTTCGTTGAGTCTAGTAATGGCTTTATTTTGACATAGAGACTAAACCAGTGATCATTCATCGAATTGTCATACGTTTCAAGAGCAGCTCTTATCACTTGGGCAGCCTGAAGCTTGTTAAGTTTATCAGACGTGCTAGCTCTCATTATATTCCCATTAATCCTGGCATTCAATCTTGTTACCATGGAGGTAATACGATCTTCTTTTTTGGCTTCTAAGCTTGCTAAAACACCAGCCTTGAAGAAAAGCTTGCTATTACCAACTTTGAATACCGATGGATCGAGTTGTAGTGAAGAAAGTACTATCTCACAATTTTTTTTCGAGTTGTGTGAAAAGCGATATTCATCGGACAAGATCTTATAACGTTGAAAGAACTCTTTGAAAAAAATCCGATTTGGGTATCCTTCACGGGCAATTCTAATGCCTTCTAGCACACCGTTGCAAAGCAGTTGATCCAAAATGAGCTTGCGATTAAAATCATGAGCTTTCTTTTTTGAGTTCGGTATAATGCAACGAACAAAATGAGGTTCTGTAGAAGATAGTCTCTTTAGTAAAGAGCTCAATTGCTCGCTATGCCTAGCTGAATTCGTTTTGAAGGAGCTGGCTCGATTTTGATTCTCGTTGTAAAACTGGCTTATTAATTCATTTTTCGAATTTGACAGAAGCTGTAAAACATTGGCCGACAATGGATCTTTATTTTTCGAGAGCCATCCATCGACGTTGTATTCCACATCGCCTGCGTAGTGCTTAAGGACAAAACTTCTATCTTTTTTTGATCTTTTGAATTTGGTAGATTTGTCGTCACAGAATGTGATTAATTTCGAATAGAAAGATTCATCCGTTGAGTTCGGCAGAATTGAAGCCTCATCTAATAAGGGTAAAATGCCTGGAGAATGATCTTTCTTCTCTATTAGATCAATAGTCGACTGCAAATCTTTCCCATAGTCGACGTAATTCCACTGAACGTTTTCTCTTATGTACTCATTCTGTTCCAGAACAAACATATGATGATTGAAAAACTGCTGCAGCTTTTCATTTGTGTAATTAATGCACAATTGTTCGAATGAGTTATGAGTAAAAATCTCAAACCCCGCGATATCGAGCAGCCCAATGTAGTTTTCTGTCATTGATCCATGATCCAGATTATCGTTTATTTTTTGAACGATATGTGCGAATAGGTTCTCGTATATTGACCTCGATATGGAATTCAAAATAAAACGGGCTTGGCCTGCATTTTTCGCCTGTGTTACCCACTCTTTTCCGGCTTTCGTTCGAGGCTTCAGAACAGCAGTTTTAAACTCGTTCTGTTCTACACCTAGTAGCTGACAAAGAGTTTCTATAGAGCCGCTAATTGTAGCTTGCTCTGCTCTCTCAGAAGTGAACTCAATATTACCAATGTGTAGAATTATGGCAATACAAGTCAACACAGCATTGATTTCATTTTCGCAGAAGCCAACGACCTTGAAAGAAGCCAGTAGAGCGTGGAAATCCTGAGCGTCATCAATGCCGGGTATGCTTGCATTTGACTCACGCAAATAGCGATAGTCCCTGATGGAATTAGTATCCAAACCAAATTTTCGAAGGTCTTGCATACTCATTCCCGCTAACAGTTGGTAAAAAATGTGGTAGTTTCTTTCTCGAGAAGTTTGGTGTATGACTCTTGATTTTTCCAGGAGATACCAGTCGACACGAGCTCCGTTTATTTTACCCATTTCGTCGAACTCGATTCTGATGAATTTTCCAAACCGAGAGGAATTGTTATTCCGCACTGTCTGCGCATTCCCGAACGATTCCAAAATAGGGTTGCTCTGGAGAATTTTCAGTTCAAAACTTTCGTGCGACTCACTTGGTACAAGCTTGTCCTCTGATGTGATACTCGCAAGGTATTGTAGAATTTTCTTAGTGTTTTCTGTTTTCCCGGCTCCAGACTCGCCCGTTACCAAGATCGACTGATCGCGTTTTAGGGTTAGTAGGTTCTGGTATGCTTCTTCTGCGACGGCAAAAATATGCGGCTTATTATCCTCCCTCGGCGATCCGTGGTACAAGCTAATGTACTCTTGCGAGTAGATGCGGATGTTTGCGTACGGGTTGATGGCAACAAGGAACAGCCCAGAATACGTGTAAATATTATCATCTGCATATCGGTTTTCGAGGTTGTGAAGAACGGATGGTTCGTTCAGGTGCGTGAGTTCGGACATATCATCTATACGATCGAATGTGCTAGGGTTTACCTCATGTATTTCGTCGACCAGAAAATCCTTTTCATGACCATTTACCCTTGCAATAGCCCACTTTTCCTCCTGATTTTGTTTATTCCTGACCGTTTTCTCTTCCACCAATTGTGCTCGAACGAACACCTGCTCCGAATCAGGAACCCATACAGTTCGCATCATTAACTGTGAACTGGAAATGAAGTGCAAAAGGTAGGATTCCGGCCTTGTTTAAGGTAGTCTCTCAACCTTGATCTAATCCCGTGCCCGTGTGTTTATGTGTTTTGATTTCCATCTTCAAAGACTAAACAAAGATCTCATTTGTGCGGGTAACGAACACAACAACCGAAACGAGCATCAACACTTAGAAAAGCTAGATTCATGAGCACGATTCGAGCCAGCATCAGGGTAAACAACTGTATTCCAGGAACGTAATTCACCTCTCACTCGTTTCAACTTGATTTATAGCCTTCCTTACCTTTACCAGATATAGGACGTCGTTAAAAGTAAATTGATGAAACACACAACGCTGGCCAGGCTCCAAAAGAATATTGCCACACTAAACCCATATCGGAGTTGTAATAAGTGGCTCATTATTACCCTTTTCAACCAGCTTCCAGATACTTGGTCTCATACAAGTTCACGCCCATTGATGTGAAAATGGGAGACGACAGTTTTGAAACAGTCCAGCAAATCTAAGTCTCAGGTCCTGAATTGAACAGCTTCGTTTTTGTTGCTCCTCCCAAGGTCCAGGAGATCCACCGACTGCTTCAGAAGCCCAGTGTGAATTGGTACACCCAACAATTATTGGCCAATTGTAAATCTTTTTTGAGTTTGGATCATATACATGGCGCACCTCTTGATCCATGTCTAAATTCACTGCGCTTGTGATCCTATCGTTATAGACAGGTAAGATTAACGCTCCAACTATAACTTGTTCCTTTCGATTGAACAAGCTGGGCGGTTATTTCGTCTTACGTGATACGATATGTGCCAGATTTACTACAAACAACCGTGTTCTTCGAAATCACCAACAGCCAGCCACAAGTTTTGAAACAGACGGTTTCTGTGATATTCGGCGCTCGAAAATCTTCTTAATGGTTTCACAATGCTTCACGCATCATCAGACGTCCTGCACATTGTGATGGCACAGAGCCTCAGCTTACACGTCAGGGATGTTCCGAACACCGTCCCTTGGAAAGCGGTGCGGTGAATTTGGAGAGGAATCAAAAACTAAACTGGTTCAGCCTTCTTAGAAACTTTGCTGCTTAGTTGGACACCGTCGATCTGTCGAGAAAAATTCCCCGCCCGTCAACAGCTTGGGAGATACCTCGGCCACCAAGCCGGGTCTTTGTTCTGTCCACCATTACTGGCTAATGAAGAGTCAGTTTCGCATATTCACAACCACTGGGCGCGTTGAAAGGGAGTGAGGGGCCACAGTTTACCCAGTGCTGTAAACGATATCTTTCACGTGCGTCTCGGTCGCTTTTCTGAAGTGTTGTGGGTGTAGGTGAAGTAATTAGGGTGCGTTAGACGCTGGCACCCCGGTTTCCATACACCTGGCTTAGAGACAATTCTGCACCTTTGCCAGAGCGGCTAGGCGTAATTTTATCATCAGTTTACGTATAAGTACGGACGGCATCCGCAAGTGCAAGATGAACAGCTCAGGACAAGCAGAAGAGGTCGATACCCCAATGACGGAGCATGTCAGTGTCTATACGCCTATCGGACACTCCGGAGTACCTTTGCCGCACGACTACTTTCAGGACGTCAATTATGAAGTACCAAAGAGCGCTACACCCGAAGTGTTGACCCTATACCCAAATGATGGGCAACGAGATATGATATCAAACCTTCCCACAGAAGTGAAGATGCACATTGCGCACAAATTGTCACAATACGATCTGATCAGTTTGGCCGCAGCTTCGAGTCTGTTCCAAAGAGTCGCCTCGCAGGCATTGTATTCCAAGATTGTGGTTGATGCGAACCATTCTTACCTTCAAAGCACGTCAACTCAACGTAACCGCGAGAGAGCAACCTACATCAAAACACGCTACAACTTCAACAAGCTTATTGAGGTGATTTCGCGACCGAGCAATGGCCTAGGGGCTCTCATTAAATGTTTCGAAATTATTCGACTGCCTGACGGCATGCACAGGTCCGAGATTCAAAACCTGATGTGCAACAGTCTACCTGCCATGACTAACTTGTGCAAAATTTATTGTGGTAGTGATGCAGTTTCGATACCACCCAGAGTTCTACAATTGATGCCTAACAAGCGTGAAGTCGAGGCGTTGGCCGTAAACGTAGATTTGCGTCAAAGCTGGGAATCAATCGATACTTTCGAAAATATTCAGAAACTCTCTATCTTCCCCTTTGTTGACTCCCAAAGGCTTGCATCGTTTCTTTCCAAGCTTTTAACCCCTTGCGTTGTCGAGAATTTGACTACCCTTCGAGTGGGCCGGGACTGTGCGGCAGTGACGAGTAGGTCTAGCAGGCAGTCTTTGATTGTAACCGGGTACATGTTGAACAATAATTTAGAGCAGCCAGATGTGGTGGAAGGGGATGCAGTGATACGGTATAACCAACTGGATCTAAACTTTTGGGAATTCTTGATCCCCGTAGCTAACAGTGGCTTAAAGATGAAGAGCCTGAACAGTTTCGAGATCAGTGGCGTCAGCGTTATTCCTGAAGATTCTAGTCGCATGGTACAAGGCGTTGACTTAACCTCCATAAGGACCTTGAGTTTCCTCGATATGCAGGAAGTGCAGTTGATTCCTGAGGTCGATTACGAAGTCAGCGATTTTACCAGTTTAGCGCTACAGCATATGCAAGCTAGTTTTTTAGGTGGATTGGCTCCGTACTTGCGAAACCTCCAGAAACTAAGATTGGATTATCGCGAGCCCGTGAAAGACTCCGTACATGAATTTCTTCGGGCGTTGAAGGAAGACGCCCATGCATCGCTGCAAGAGTTAGACTTAAACATCCATTGGGATGACAGTAAGCTGGCTATGTGGCCCAACTGGGAAACCCTTGCTCTCAAATACATGGATTCCATATTGCTGCACGCAGCCACCTTACAGAAATTGTCCCTCGTTGCGTACCACGATTTCCGATTCTACTCGCTGCCCAAGCGAATTCCTAGCCAGGCACTCATACACTTGCGCCTTTGTCGGCGATTGCAAAGCCTGCGTTTGCACGGAGAGTCTCTTCACCCCATGGGCGGAGAGCTCATCAGCCAAATGGCCCACTTGCGGAAGCTGGACCTGGTTGGTGTAGCCTCCGGCGGAGCTCAACACATGGCGCTACAAGTGATGTACGCCGGCGTGCTGGATCGATGGTACCGTGTCATTCACGTGGCCATTGCCTTGGCCAGGTCAAATCCGGGGCTCCAGCTGATACGCATCGATAAGTGTCTGTTCGAGTGTCTTGGTAATGGAACGGTGGGTCCCAAAACCGACGATGAAGACTTTGACACCGAAACTCGGGTGCTCATGTCGGAGAAAGATTGGGTTTAGGAAGAGCGGGTGCCGCTGCTGGATGGCAACGGGGCCGCGTGGCCGCGACAACCCAGTGGCTACGGGGCTGCAACACTGTACTAACGCCGTTGCCCTCTTTGTTCCTCGTACAGCTTTTTTCGTTCCAGCATGTGCTCGAGCACAAATGTCACTTTTTTTTTCAGGCTCTTCGAGGGAAATCCCTGCATGGAATTTTTTTTTCTTTTCCAAAAGCCAGGAAATCCACAATTCGAGTCGTCCTCACGCCATTGTTCCCAGGATTGCTATTTGGTGCTGCTGGCTTTCAATGAAGCATGGCACGCTCTTGGAACTTTACTTTGTGATGCAGCAGATAATGCCAAGATACACAAAAAGCAATGCGCTATAAAAGAAATCTCATGCCTCGAATTTGGACTATGCACACACAAAAATCGCAAATTTTCCTGCTCGATTCGGTGATCTAGATGCCTTGTAGTGGGGCTTTTACACCATCAAATCTCTGCTGGGTGTGGGTCAATCCTGCAGCATCAACAATACTGGAATAAAAGACAGCGAGTTCCAGGGAAGAACTACAAGTGCTAGAGTAAGGTCTCGGAACTGGCTTTTTTAAGGTGGATCACAGAGTTAAGTTTCTGGTCTCTTTGTAAGACGGTTAAAGCGCTACACGGAACCCTGCATTGCTGCATATTTTGTTTTTTTTTCCCTTTGGGCCCAAGCCAAGACCTTGAGCATCGAAGCCGCCTGACTCTAGTTGGCGAATAGACCAGAGTATAGCCCTGCTGCGTATTATGTCAGTTCTGTTCGACGCTGAAGAGTCGCCCGAGAAGGCGCTACCTCGAGAGTTGGATCTTTCAACGTCACGTATAGCGGTGGTCGGGGATCGCGGATGCGGCAAAACGTGGGTTGCAGTGCGTTGGTGTTATGGCAGTCTGAAGCTTTTGAACCTGGCCGACACAGGAGGCGCTGAAGACATTCATAGTCGCAAAATATACTACCAGCCCCTGGTCAAGTCTCAGAATTACCTTGAACACTCGAGGTTGCAGCTAGATCTACTTACCAATCTGGTGGAAGTCGAGCTGCTAAAGAGCAACGAGGTCGCGCACGTTTCGGAGGGGGCAGCAGATTCAGATGCCACTTCTCAGGACTGCGACGTGGATGTCCTAAATGTTCAGGTTCTGGAGGGTCTCAATTTCGAGCAGTCAGACTATATCGAACTAAAGGCTGTCCAAATCAAACAAACCGATGGGTTTTTGCTCTGCTATGATGTCACGAATCTGCAGTCTTTCCAGTACATTAAACTAATCTACCGCCAAATCCGTAAACTGCGCGGAGACGACGTCCCCATATTGGTGTGTGCGCTAAAGTCAGACTTGCTGCTAACCGAAGGAGCCGTCGACATGCCGCATGTCGCTGAGCTGTGCGATGAATTGCAAGTGGATATGGACAGGGAATACCTCGAGTTGTCCGCGCTGGAGGACTTTGGAGTGAATGAGGCGTTCTATCGGTTGTTGAAGGATATTGATGCGCATAAAGAGCAACTAAGGAAACGCCAGAGCGCGACAAGGCCTCCCGCCGCAATCGCAGTCGACCGAGTCATTTCCGGCGAGAAACCCAGCCCTGACGCTGTAAAATTGGCGACAAGGGAAACGGCTCACAGTGTGGCCAGCGCTGATTTAGACGGATCGTCGGGCACTCCTACCGTGGCTGCCGCTGGCAACGGGCGTAAAATTAAATCCGCCATCGGCAAGGCCGGCGGTCCCGAATCCTCGAAAAGCTCCAAATCCTGCTGCGTGGTCTGTTAGGAAGCTCCTACCCAGCAAATAGCCCCAGGTGACCTGGCTCAACGCAGATGCTCCAAGTTTTTGTCTTTTGTGTTTTATTCTTTATTCTTTAGAACCCGTGCTTCAGTCTTTGCATTGCATCCGGCCCTGAACACATGGACTACCGTCCATCGTCCATGCTGTAGCCTTTTGAGGGCCCACCTTTAATAGAAGCGCGTATAGTTTGCTAAACCTTTTATAGATTACGGTATAAAGTTTTGATGATTTCTCTTGGATGACCTTGGAGCGGATGTTAAACCTCTAATGTGCATCAATAGCTCGAAAGCTTAAAAATCACCCCACTGACAGTTATTCCACAAGTTACATACTTATATTTGGCCGAACGCACCAACAAAGCTGTTCTTCCCTATTCCGAAGTACTACGCATATACCGCGCTACAACGTAGACAGCAGACTGACGCATAGGCATTGCAAGCTCACACCTCTTCTTTTGTCTAAGAATCACTCGCTTCGAAGGCAAGGATACTCGTCCAGTCGAATAAGAAACTATTACAAACCTCCAGAAGAATGAAATAGAGAACCATTTGGCGACCAAGTACTCTAAACTCCTCCACACAAGCTTTTTATTGTGTCGTTGTCACTGTCCTCATCGCTGTCGCCCAGATGACTTAATGTACGGGTCCAAGGTAAATGACTAGCTTGTGACTGCGAACCCATACACCCATAAAAGATTTTGAATCATTTTGAAATTTCAAGAATTTTTATTTTTCAACTAGGATCACATCGAACGACATGGAACTACGTCGAATTTTTCAACAACTCAATACGGGATTCGGGATAATATTAAAAGTTGAAGGATGGATCTGAGCTACTCCAGCATACCTAATAGCTACTGTTAAGAGTTTCGATACACATAAGAACATATAATGGTATGTTGAGATAAAGCGCTACAGCTGGAAGACGTGCAAGATACAGAAGTCATGGGAAGAGAAGCAGGAAGCTCCGGCAAAAGAGACAGAGAAAGGGTCCGATAGCTCTTCGTGGACACGGTGGGACTTAAATTCCTAGAACACAGCAAGAAGAGAAGCGATTTTACTCCGTTTGACGTTAGACACCTGTTCAGGGCCATCTTAGATGGCGATAGGTCTGATATTACTGAGCGAGACCGCATAAGTTACAACATGTGCCCAGCGATCATTGGCTGTCAGTGAGTTGGGAAAATGCTGCCATTCATATTTTGCGTCTTACACCACTAGAGAAGACTAAATCCTTTTTTGTCCATCATTGTTCCTTTTTTGGGTCCTTTCTTGGGTCCTTTCCTGGGTCCTTTCCTCGTGCTTTGAACGTCTTTGGTACTCCAGCATTTATGGATTCACCGTTACTAACATATTTCTGCAGGTTTTAGTTCAAGATTTGTTGCACCCAACTCCAGCCTCCGAGGCCAGAAAGCACAAGCTAAAGACTCTAGTCCAAAGCCCAAGATCCTACTTCTTGGACGTCAAATGCCCAGGTTGTTTGAACATCACCACCGTGTTCTCCCACGCTCAAACCGCTGTCACCTGTGAATCTTGTGCCACCGTTTTGTGCACCCCAACTGGTGGTAAGGCCAAGTTGTCCGAAGGTACTTCTTTCAGAAGAAAGTAAGCTACTCGGACCGGAACACGGTAACCTTACAATCTGCACAATTAAACACCAATAACAAAACAACCAAACAACAACAACTCCATTATTTTACTTTCTATAGGTAAGTTTTGATGCTGTACACAATAATTAGTTAAGTCGTTATCAAAGGAAGAGAACTTTCGTTCAACTCGCGAATTTGAAAGAAACTCTTGTACCTTTTCGTTTACGTAAATATGACAATATCCACAAATACATGCCGTTATGTTGAAACTCCGCTCTGCCGCATCTATTTCCAATTCTTATTGAACTGGTCGCCATACATTGTGGCCAAAACACCCACACTCTCTTCAGTTGACAGTGGGGAGTCTCCATAGTCCACTGCGTTAACAGCTTCATCCAGTTCCCTTTCCCTCCGCTTCGCTAACCTTCTCGCTTCACGCAATTTTTGTTGCTCGACCTGCTCCAGCTTCTTGACATTCAGCCCACTCATTGCCACCGCTTTGGTCTTAGCATCCAGGGCCCACAAATCTCCTTTCATGGCCTTCCTCGCATCGTGATATATTTCCTTAGAGAAAGACTTTGGCACTGTCCACTTTTCAACTAATCCAGATGACCCGCACAGATCCATTACCACATGCCCTTTCCGCTTTATTGGCTGTCTGATTATTCGGGGCCATGTATCGGGTGTGTTATTTCCCAACGATCCAACGTCATAACTCAAATTCTGCTCCTCTCGTTGTTTGTGTATCAACTCAACTGTCTTTGAGTCTGTATGTGATCTCTCCATAATCAAGTAGCTGTAGTTCAAAATTTCAAAATTCCTACCGTTGGGTCTCCCAGTGCCCTTTTTGGCTAAACCTTTAATTCCTATTGGTTCATGATTATTCTCCCAAGGAGTCGCTAGAATTTTGCCTTTCTTCAATTCTATGGAGTAGCGTGGTCTCAGAACAGATTTCTGGAAGTTACAAAAGTTGAGATTCTTTCCTTCCCCGTACTCATAGTACTGCGGTTTACCGATTTGAAGAGGGCATTTACGTTGGTGTGGACAGGGTGCAATAATCTTAAGATGGTAACTTTCTTCCTTTCCCGAAGAAGTTGCTTGTTTTTCAATTTCTTCCTCAAACTTTGAATCTTTCGAATCAATCCCTTCCCATTTTCTTTCGATATCAGGGTTGGCACTATGAAACCCTCTTCCCCACGGTCTTGGAATTTTCCCATGTTCATTTAAGAAGTTTTCCGGGCGAACGGCCACTTGGCGAGCTCTCGCTATGATTTCAAACCCCATAGGATTTCCTCGCTCTATCAGAACTATGTGACCACCTGGTGCCAGAAGCTTGAGAAACAGCTCAATATTAGTGTCAACCTCATAGGGAAATTTCTCCTCTGTCTGCAAGAGTTGATGTGTTAATATAATAAGATCGTACCTCTTAGCTACGGGGATCTCATCTCTCAATGTGGTATGGGTGCGTATTTTTTTGATCATTACCTCACCTACCAGGTCATCTTCATCGCCATCAATCGTATGCTCCGACCGAGTTTCTTGTTCTGAGATAAGATGCGATACTTCATTAAGCTGTCGACTCAACATAATTTTGGCCCTTTTCTTCATTTCAGAATGGCCAAAGATAACAGCATCCTTCACGCTTGGGCGAAATTCAGCTCCCAAAAGATCATTAAGCGCCACCATCCCAGTAGCAGGACCGTATCCTACGTCTAAAACTTTGTCGGGTTTGAAGTCATCACGAAGCCTTTTCTTAAGCTCGCTTAAGCTTTGGAATATTGATGCATAATTTTGTAAAAAAATAGACGCAATGTGAGAGTCCACCTCCATGCTTGTTTTTGTAGCTCGATGGAGCCTGCTTTGCTTTAGCTCCACGAATTTATTTCCTGCAGAACGTCTCAAATTGCTCGGTATATGCAAACTCAATATATTCTTCCTAATAGCGTCTGCTACTTTGGTGTTGAGCTCGATCTGGTCTCTTGGAGCACGACCAAGCAAAGTCTCAGGTAATAGTCTGGATTCTTTGGCGTTTTTACCCTGTATAAGTTCTCCCGAGCTGTCACGATATGGACTTTGCGGCTGCTGGCGTAGCATATCTTCTCTTGAGACCACATCCATTTTGATCTCAGGCGTAATATTCTCTACAACTTGACCAAATTGATGTGTGTCGCTAGAGTATTTCGGAGCCTCATGGTCAAGGTCGAATCCTGCATGGTCAAAATCTTGTCTGGAGAAGGAAGCTCCGAGGCTACCTTTTTGTCTGAAAAAAGTTCTCGTCCTTGAAATGCTTCTGAAATTGGACCGTAGCATGAAAGGAGGTGTTTAAAGCTCAATACAAACTCACTAGAGCGTAAAGTTTCAAGTGATTTAAAGGCATTGCATCGTCTCATCACTAGACATCTGTAATTTTTCAGTCAACACGTTTAAAGCGATATAAACTGTCAGGCTTATTGGGACGATAATTGACATCTGCACTTAGACTCAATTATAACGTCCTAACGCCGCGGGATCAAGCATGATTGAATTGAGCAACACCGTGTTAGGGTCTTTACTGGTGATCCTCATCACCTCGGCGTTGCTTCTAATCGTCCATAAAAACTCAACAAATGTGATTCCTGGTTTGAAAGTATCCAACAGAGACCCCACATTTATCATAGCGGGCCCCAGTGGGAGTGGAAAAACGAGCTTGTTTAATATGGTATGTGCAATAAAGTAAGAGTTCCTTTTGACTCGTACCACATAAGACCCATCTAGAAAATTGCACGAAAAACACTACTAACATTCACGACTCGTAGCTGACCACGGATACCTTTAAGCCTACTTTAATGTCACAGTCGCCAAATATTGCGGAGGATTACATGCTGCCTTCAACATCCAAAAGCTTCAAATTCAAGCTTATGGAGTTCCCAGGCCACGTAAAACTAAGATACCGCCTGTTTGAAGCTTTGAAGGAATCGACACACTTAAAAGGACTACTGTTCGTCGTGGATTCCACCGTGGATCCCCAGAAACTGACGGAGACGGCGGAATTACTGTATGAGATTTTGATGCTTACTGAAAGGTTTCCCGACGGCGTTGATATCCTGATTGCGTGCAACAAGTCTGAGTCGTTCAGTTCGCGGCCTCCTCTAAAAATCAAGACGGCGTTGGAAAAAGAGATCAGCAAGATCATAGAGAGAAAGGCTAAATCCCTAAGCGCAGTCCATAAAAATGATGGTGTTTCCGATGGAAATGATACAGAAGAGGACGTCCATCCAAACTCTTTAGAAATCCAAGGTGGCCACCAATTTACCTTTGATGCACTAGATGGCAACGTCACTGCGTCTGCCGGAAGCGTCCTGAAGTGCCAAGTTGACAAATGGGAGTGCTGGATTGACGAGAAATCAGTGAATTAAGAATGCTTGCATTACGTTGTTTGGGCCCCTAACCCTAGCACCCAGTGCGGGGAAGCAGACCAATATTCCCAGGAATGACACTTCCAGAAATAAGCCGAACAATAGTAATAGTATAGGACATATAGTAGCGTATATCGACGGCAGTGGAAACACGATGAATTTATTTTCTAGCTCGAAAATTGGGAGTAGTAACCAAATGAGGTAGTAGACAAAAAGGCCCGTTAAAATTGCAAATCTATTCATCGTGGGCGGAGAACGATGGGATTAGACCGTGTACGAGCAAGTGCCAATGTAGTAGGACACACACTTCTTACAAGAAGCACTGTATTGATGGGCTCATCATTTGGCTTGTGACACGCCCTTCGCTTTAAGCAGTTCAGTCAAATAGCCAATTGATAATTCGCTGGGCATGGTATTTCTAGCTCGACTAGAGCTAGCGTTTTTGTTACCATTTCAACAATCGCTTGCGTGGCGTAATGGCAACGCGTCTGACTTCTAATCAGAAGATTGTGGGTTCGACCCCCACCGTGAGTGTTTTTTATTTTTATAGTGCTCTGAAGCATTAAGGCTTATAGTGAGAGAGCTCTCAATACTTGTTTCCTCTTTCGTGCTTCACACAGTCAACCACGTTTCCATTTGCGTGGGGACATCAACCTGCTTTCCAGCTTGAAGGCTAAATTTAATTAATGGATCAAGTAAAAGAGTGAGGCCAGTCCTGGCCGAACGTCCCATATATATAGTATTGGACAGAATCAGAGAACTCTTCAAGAAAGCTGCATTTGAAGCTCAAGACTAGATAGTTAAATCGACCGTAAATAGCTGAATACTGCTTTTATGGTTTGAAGCTGGAAACGAATCATCACTAACGAGCAGTATATCCGCTTAGGCGGTATTAGTGTCAGTGATATTCCTTTGTACTCTCTTATAGCCCAGGTTCTGGAAAACACCGAAATCATTACTTTGAACTTTACTGAATCATTTTAGTCTGTATACATTCTAGTCTTCTGTCAAACTATTTGCATTGTCAGAGCGACATAGGCAGGATTAATTAGAAAACTGAAAAAAAACACTGGTTGAATTCCGAAGTAACTTCAAAACGAGACACATCAAGCCACTAGTAATGACGGCATGGGCTATCGCACCATTCGAATCGGTTTACAACTCGATTGAATCAGGCCCATTCCAGGCGTCTGATTACAAGCTAATTCTTCCAGATCTGAAAACCTTAAATACTCTTAGTGGTAAGTCTAAGAACAATGCCAGTAGACAACAACTGGAAAAGGGTGAGATCAAATTAACATCGGGCGACGCTTATCAAGTGAACAAGGAGTTTATAATAGCAGCCGCGCTTCTGTCAGATGAGCTCGATCTTGACGAGCTGGTCACTGCCGAGGTTATGCTCTTGAACTGTGACGTTGGTTCCGAAGACGAAAATTCTGAGATTGCCTTGGTTAACGATGCGAAAGTGGCATTCTACGTGAGAAGACGTTATCTTCTCCAAACAGTTTCATTCATTGCCAATTGTTGTGATTCCCATGACCAGATCTATCTCGATCTCGTGTCCGATGGTGTCTTGGTCAAGAACATAGTAACTGCATTCAAACAAATCGAGGAACAATTGGAAGGAATAAAACAATTTGTAAACAAGTGCAAAATTCTAGATAACTACGATTGGCTAGCAAAGCAAAATGTTCGTTTCAGAAGGGACTTTCTTCTGGCCGAGTATGATCTCCTTAGCCAAATTATCTTTGGACTTGTGATTAATGGCACATTAATGGAGAAAGGCAAACTATTGGAGCTTGTAAATTGCGTTGCTCAAATGGATAGTAGTGACTTTTTCATCATTTATTTTCTCCCTGCGCTCTTCCAAGCTTTTGCCCAATTGCATTTGCTGGCCGATACTGACGTTAAAGAAATGCACAAGATGTTTTTAACAGAACTCAAACAAGAGTCCATTTACGCTCAGCCTGTTAAGGTGTCTCTTATTTTTGCATTTATGGCCTTTTTTATAGGATGGTGCAAGGCCGATCCTTCCACGAGGGCTGTTTCTTACGATTTTGCGACATCTGTGGATGAACCCATGACAAAAGCTGTCAATCTTGGAGCTATTGAACAACTTCTAGCCTTCGCTGCAGATACTTCTGAGCTTGAAAGTGACGCAAGTATAGAGCTTTTCTACGATATGAGATCGCTTTTGGAAAGGCACATACCGAGACTGCGTCCAAAGCAGCTTATCGATGGAGAACAATCTTCAATGCATAAAAATATGAGGGATATTGCATTTGAAAGTGTGTCCTTGTCTCAGCAGACACAGTCTTTCTTTTTGTTAGCTTTCAACCAGTTGCTGCAGGTTATAATAACAGATTGCGCTTACCTTTTAACCAAGATGAAAGATGCCGAGGAGGACTCTCTGCTATCGGGCGAAGATTTGTTTTTGGAAGAAATTTCGGCAAAGGCAGACCTAGAGCGATTCTTTCTTACAATCCATTACTTTTATGCATGCAGGTCGGATTACTGCGCGGTATTTTGGGAAGACAAGGAATCCAATGCTTACGGTTTCATAGAATGGGCTATGAAATGCACAGACACACTAATGCGCTCTTCTGTTTTTCTCATGCTTTCAAGTCTCTCCTTTGGATTCGAGAACTCCTTGAACGTTTACCACTATGTCAATCAAAATCCGATAATTTCCTGGACTAGCATTTTACAGTTGATTACCGATTACGTCGTAAAAATATCCTACCTGGAAAAAAGGCTACAAGAGAGCCAACAGATGGAAGACGAAGACCAAGATCCGACGACCGTTGCTTTGAAAAATGGTCTCAATGAAGAAGTTGTTATACTGCTGTCATCATTATTCACATTGGTAGGATGTGTTTCGCATGATTTGGACGAGACGACCAAAAATCATTTTAGTTCTCTCTTCAAAGATGTCCTCTTTGAGTTTGTCAAACTGAATACACCCTTGGTAGGTGCGGCCTTGAAAGTGCTAAGTAATCTCGTCCCAGCAAATGAAGGTGACAGAGCTGGGTACTGGCTCAGCTTGGACGAGTGGATATTTAAAGGTTCTAAGTTAACGGTGGCCAAGAATTCATATCGGAACGCTTTCGAGACAATCTTAGTCAACTTTTCTGACGTAACTGGTTTTCTCCAACTCTTGCAAAAGCTGCTAATGGTTTCGTCGACAGGAATTGGCGGATACCTAAAATTTGGGCTGTTGCCATTCCCAGCTAAACTAGGGAATGGCTACAGAAATGTTGGAATATGGCCCTATTTCGATTATGTTTTGAACGGCGTCTTTGTACAATCTCGTCAAATAGCAGAGGTCAAAGAAAAAGCAGCTATTCAAAAGCCCATTTTGCAAATCATAGAAAACGCACTGTACTCGTTTGATTACAGCGTGATCTTGAACTCGATACCTGCTGGATCGAACTTAAATGATCTGGTAACAACAGAAAGCTTCTATGCATATGTTCAAGAGTCTCCTGCCACTGCAACAATTAATTTTCTGTTCGACGAGAAGGTGTTTGCTATACTATTTGAAAGTGCTTCCTGTGGAATAGATGAGTTGAACTGTATGTCCCAAGATTCAGTAGCTGTATGTGATATGCTGCGTTCTACTCTGAGCATCATCGAGCACACTCTGAGTGTACAAGAGGCATATGTGGAAGAGCTTTGCCCGATCGTAAAGAAGAATGCCACAGAGGAATTTTTTCTGCCACAGAATGTGGGAATGCATGGCCTTAAATCGTTTTATGACGCAGTTTTCTTCAACCTCCCCATGATTGCGCATTTCGGCCTATATGTCGGACTTGACGATCACCTCATTGCCTCGCAATCACTTCATATCTTAACAAAGCTATCTATTGAATTGAACGGCAAGGACAATCAAGCAATTGTTAAGGATAAGCTATTGAGTGTATTTGATTCTGTCGACGAGTCCGCAAGACTTAAAGACGCGTTCATTGCTCAATTACAGGCTCCGCTGATATGCGAGGAGAGTCGGGAGCTTAAGGTGAGCATATTGAGATTTTTGCTGGAAAATCTTTCATATACAGATAAGCAACCCACTGTGGGGCATTTCTTGCTTGGGTTCTCTGTTGCTAATATGATGTCGTTAGGACCGAAGCTCAGTACTTTCATTTCTTCTGGCCATTCCCTCCTGAGCTCTGTTATTTATCTCTTGCAGTCTTCCCTGGAAACAATGACCTGTGACAATATCGGTTCCGTACCCGCTCAGCTGGCTTCGTTGTCAATGGAGATAATACTAAAGCTCTGCCGTAACTCCCTGACCTCAGATTTAACGTTGAGGCACCTCAATGACTCTAACTTATTTGAAACCATTCTATCACTTGATCCAAAGGTCGACGCAAAGACCAAGTGGTCGAATGAAAGGCACAAAGGGAGTAGTGGTTCAAATCCTCTCGGCTTCACAAGCCAAACTGCAATGGGGACATTTCTTTGGTTTCTAAGTTACAGAAGCTTCTCACTTCAATATCTCAGCCTCGATATTCACAGACTAAGCAACCAGTCATTAAGGTCAAAGATGAATTCAAGACTAGACGTTCTCACGTCCAATATAATGCAACCCCCTCGCATGTTCACTTTTCTGGGGGTTTTGAACTTTGACTTCAATGCCGACTTTCATGACCCACCTCAAAACTTGATTGTAGCCGCAGGCCTGGATTTAAGCCTTGTGCGCGCAGATACAATGGATGCTAGTAGCAAAGAGCTATGCGATATGTCACAAGTGGAGTCTCTCCTGCAACTTAGAAGTCAATACCTAGGCCTTTGTCTTCCTATCATGATCAAGGACACGAGCATTTCAAACGCTGAACAATTAGTTCGAGTAGCTGATATTGAAAAGAGACAAATCAAAGAACATTTGAGAACCACATTTTCTGTGGATCGTTTCAAATCGCTGAGATTGTCAGTACTTCATGCTTGGGTTCAGTTGGTCCAAGTTATGGTTTTGGATGGCCATCTATCAGAAGAAAAGAGATCTAACTTCATTCTTGAGTTGTTTGAAGCACTCGTGCCCAAAATTAACGAATTTGTGGAGATTGACGTAGGATACTCAGAAGAGGTTGTGTCGCTTTGCGTGTTCCTATACGATATCTATCACCGAGACCACCTTAAGGATGCAAAGGGAATGCCCGTGGATGGCAGGTTAGTGGCGCTATTTATGGCTTGCATCAATGGCATAAGGTCTCCTCTCTCCACACTGTCATTGCGATCAGATTTCTACGTGCTGTCGCATAGGTTCGTATTGAGCGTCTTGACCGACGAAAAATCTTCGGCCAGTATTATCCAGACATTAAAATTGACTAACGATAGGTTGATGGAAGTTGTTTGTAATGATGCTATTTCGGGTGAGGGTCCATCCAGAATAACTGGCATTCTCTTTCTCGATTCGCTTGTGCAGCTGGCAAGGCTAAACAAGGCCAATTTCATCCTTGACAGCTTAGTTAAGACGAATATGCTTCTGCTATTGGGCCATTCGCTGAAAGCTACGGACGATTTTTTGAAATCAGGTTTAGAAGGTATAACTCTGGACAATCTGTTATACGAACTAACTGCTTTCAAGTCAACGGTCCACTTTCTGATCCGTATCGCAGAGAGCCGTGCTGGCGCACAAGCATTAGTTCAGAACGAAATCCTTCGTGTTATAGGATCTTGCAGGTTCTTGGAAGTTGACCCAGATCTAGGACTTGATCTTGTATTCAACGAAGCAGACGTGCATAGCTTCCAAAAACTTCACGTATGCTTGAACTTAGACAGCTCCCTATCTTTGAATAGAGATGCGGTGGGATTATCCTTGTTTGAAATTGTTGTTCCTATTTTCAAATTGATGGCAACTATCTTGCTGAGCATGGGGAGCGCTAATAAACCTGTCGTCAGAAAGACTCGCGATCTTTTGAGTCACTTTAGAAAACTTGTCCAAGGTGTGTTGAAGAGAGATGCTCTTATAGAGGATGGCACCACCACGTCACATCAGGAAGCGCCGCATACCGACGGGTTGCAACAGCTTGTCAGGACAGTCGTATTACTATGCACATTGACATGTTACAATGAGGGCTGCTAAGGGTACTCAAGTATCCTGTTATTTCTTTTCAGCTCAAAAGTTTTCTCCCTTACATAATTATAGAACTTTATACTCGCTTAAAGCGACCTGAGCTTGGTTTCGAGATTTTCTGAACTGTGATCTAAGGACTTGAGGGCATCTAGATGCGAGTTCAAGAGTTTGATTAGCTGTGTGCTTTCATCTTCATTCGTGACGCTCATATTCGTGGCTTTATTAAAAGCTTCGCTTACACCATTCACTTCGGTTATGAGGGTAGATAGGTTGGCAGATAGGGACGTTATATTATCATCCAGGATTTCTGCCGTTTGATATGCTTGTTGCCTCTTTTGATCGTAAGTGTTACCTGACGAGCCAGATGCAGAAGTGAACACTCCTGAGAGGAGAGATTCGGCCTTTTCTTCATAGTTGTCTAAGAAAGTTTCAAGCTCACTTTGTTGCCTTTCAATATACTGCAGTGATTGGTCAACGCGACTTTGAGTTTGTTCAGCCATCAAAGTATCAGAATAAAGCTGCCCAATATGTTCACCTCCCAACATCAAAACTCGGTCCCATTCCTTCACTTTGTTCGCGTATAAGCTAAAATGTTCTGCAGAAGCTCCCAACTGAGATGTCCATTTCGTTACCAAATCGTCTAGCGTCTTATTATCTAATGTGATAGGTTGTATATCAATCTTTTTCTGAGAGTCCTCGACGCTTGTGGAAACTGGTTTTTTGGAGGCTACTTCACTTTTGGCGGGCCCCTTGTCAGCGCCAAATGAAAAAGGAGCCGCCTTGGACTCATTTGACTTGCTGCCACTGGCATTATTATCTGATGAGGATGGAAGCTCTTTATCCCCAGTTTTTGAACCAAATGCAAATGCACCAGGTTTCGTTGACGGAGCGTCATTTTTTGGCCCACCAAGGGAAAATCCGCTAAAACCCGATTTTTCCTTCGTATCAGGGGCATTATTTAATTTGGATGTGCTTTCTTCGGTCTGTTCTTCTGTAGAATGCCTTTTTCCAAGGTTAATACTGCCTGCAGGCATACCTTGTTCCTTCTTGGTTTCACTTGAACTTCCGAAAGCAAACGCAGGCTTTGCCTGCGCTGAAGCCGTGCCACTGCCAGAAGTGCTACTACTTCCGAAATTCAATCCTTTCGCGCCCTGGTCGCCAGCTCCCGACTTACTATCAAAAAGCGACGAGGTTTTCGCAATAGGATTTTTGTCGGTATTGATTGACGAGTCTTTGTTGGTGGCGGCTGGAGGTTTCCCCGACAGATTAAATAGCGGTGCAGACTTCGATTCATCATTTTGCAAGCTCGGGGACGAAAACATAGAGCCTTGCTTAGCCTCTCCGTTACTAGCAGTGTTTGAGCTAAAGTTAAACGCTGGCTTTTTATCCTCTTTCACAGCAGAGTTGGCAAGGAAGCTGGAAGATTGTTTACTCTCGTCCTTGGCAGCCGCACTACCACCAAAGCTAAATGCGGGCTTAGAGTCAGTTTTCGTAGTGTTCTGGGTGGACGCACCGAATGAGAATGGAGCCTTTTTATCTTCGGTAGTCTTCTTATCATTGCTTGCAGTGACGTCAGGACCCATAGGAAGTGATGGCTTATTGGCACCAGAGCCGAAAGAAAATCCTGACTTGCTCACATCTTTTTCAGAAGCTGAGGGTAAGCTGTTACCGAAAGTAGGCTTGCCAGCGGACTTCTCCGCTTTGACGGAAGAACCAAAACTAAATGTCGTCTTTTTGTCATCGTTGGTATTCGTTGTGGTGCTTTCGCCAGGTTTAGCGAACGAGAAGGCATTTCCATTTGGCTCTACATTCGAACTTCCAAATGATGGCTTAGAAGCGTTTTCTTTATTTGAGCTGGCCCCTCCAAAGGAAGGACCGGACACAGTATTCTGATTTTGGCCGCTGCTCTGGAATAATGAGGTGCCACTATCGTGCTTCTGATCCTGACCGAAACTAACACCACCTTGAGTATTTTTAGTACCGAAACTGAAGGGCGTATTGGCTTTGGCATCTTTGTTGTTATCGAGGCCACCAAAATTGAAGGCGGTGGGTTGCTTCTGAGTGGTCTCCTGTGCTCCTGACGAAGCTGCGAATCCTTTACCGAAAAGCGAAGTAGATCCAGTGCTACCACCAAATGAAGGCATACTGGCTTGCGCATTTTGTTGTGGTGCGGCTGAAGTGAAGGGAGCCGCCTGTTGGACCTCCTTTTTTGGTTCTTCTTGTTTCGTGAAATTGAAAGGGCTCGCATTGTTGGCTCCACTGGACTGGCTAGCACCACCAAATCCAAAGCCAAAACTGGTGGGTTTCGTGGTTCCGGAACCGAAAGGTTGCGTCCCTGAACCAGATGACGGCCCCCCAAATGATCCAGTTCCTTGAGATGGCTTTCCGAACATGCTACCAGATGGCTGGCTCGATTGAGTCCCTAAAGCTGAGCCAAATCCACCAAATGCCGGTTTTTGGCTATCTTCGGGTTTTGAAGGCGTGCTGGTGCCACCAAATGGAGACCCGGTCCCTGGTGCCCCACTGTTATTGCTAAAATTAAATTGAGACACTGTCAAAGGAAAATATGTGTTAGAAAGTTGATTTTGGAGTTCAAGACAACCAAGGGGTTACTAAAACATACTCAATAGCTTGATTGATTTCTCAAACCACAGTTGGTTGCTTCAATTGTCGTTCTGTTTTCTTTGACATCTTGATTTACACTATAATATACATACCACTGCTCATCTTAAAATTTGACGTTCTATTTAGTATCTATGTACGATAAACCGAGAAATCTTGGATAACCTTCGCCGCTTGCTTCATTAAGACTCTCATACTTCAGTTCACCACAGTTCAAAAACCTGTCTGCAACGGACCAGCCGTTACTCAAAGCGTTGTCCATCAAATGTTACAAAACTTCACTTACTCCTTTATCCTTGACTATATTTTCGAACTTTCTGTATGTTGTCAAGCACCTCGTCGTAAACTCTGTCAATAGAGGCGTCCTCCTCGTTACTTGCGTCCAGGATAGCAGTGTGTTCATCTTCATCATCCATATCCTGTTCTTTTTCTTTCTTCTGGACGCTTGACTGAAGTGCGTTGCTGAGGGGACGTGTGATATGTGGCTGAGAATTACCGGTTTCCTCGTCGTATTCACCTTCTTGCCGTTTCTTGAAAAGTTCATGTAAATTAACTCCTTGATCGCGAAGGTCTTCCAGGAATTGGGTGACTGATGCAATATCGTTTGTCAGAATAAACTCCTTGATCTGCTCGCTGTCAAGATTAGCGGCAGCATTTCTCAAGTTAGGATCTTCTAACAACAAATTTCTGCGTACCCCGTTGGGAAGGCCAGTGGCTTCATGTTGTTGTTTATGATGCTGGTGAGATCCAGTTTGATCCATGATGTGCTGACTCTTACGCAAAACACTTCCTTCCTCCTTCAACTGCTCTCGAGCATGAGAAGCAGGCGTATCGCTTTCATCTTCCTTTATCTCCACGGCATCTTCGGCTGGACCCGAGTACTCTATAGGTGGGTGGTGGAAAGGCAGCAAAGCGGAGTGGCCACTGTCTGTGAATTGCTTTGAGGACAGAGTAGCTGATGAGCCGGCTCTTTTAATGTTTCGAGGGTCCCCCAGATGTACACTCGTTTCCTGATGATTAGGAAGAGAGAGGTCAGTGTAGCGCTGGGCAAGTAGTCTCAAACCTCTTTCAAACGTAGCATCAATGAAACAAAATCTGATGAGCGTTTCTTTGCCACTAGTGCTCAAATTTCCGTCAACACGGAGTTTGAATAGATCCTCTGTCATTTTGTTGATAAAACAACGAGTCTTTGTTAAACGGGCCACAAAATTCTCGGCCACAACCTTTAAGTCTTCCTTCTTCATAGGTTTTTCGGTCAGAAGAACAGAAAGTTCTTTCTGTAAGCACTTCAAATTAGCTGACATTTCATCTGAATTTGCGTCATTATCAACTTTTTTTAGAGCAGATTCCATATTTCTTAGACCAAACAGAGATATTCTATCTCTTACTTTTTCTGACACACCATCGACGTCTATATCCAGTGTCAATAGGGACGTACTCTTGCGCATTGCAGCAGCTAGGGCACAGGCTGATGCAGAATCTAGTTTAGTTCCTTGCATTGAAACATAACTCAGCTTTGAGCACATTGGAAAAACTTCTGCAAGGGTCACAACAGATGTAGAAGGTATATTGTTGTAATCCAACTGAAGGCGCATCAAATTTACAAAGACAGGCAAATAATTGGTGAGATGACGAGTAATATGAGGAAAAATTTGAGGGTTGTTCGAAAGATCTAGCAACTTCAAGTTGTCACAATAACACAGACTGCTGATTAGTCTCAACAGCTCGTTGTTGGTAGACTCGGAGGTTTCTGAAACCTCCAAATTGGTAGAATTGAGTGAAATATACTTGAAGACGTTATTATTATATTGCATCTTCTCAATCAGCGTAGTCGAAAACATGTCAAGCTTACCACGAAGATCATTGTAACCCATATCAATCCCCGTAACATTAGATTGAGCCAACCATTCTGCTAGCAAAGTGCACTGTTCAGCTGTCAATTCATTATAAGCCAGCCCTAGTCGTTCGGTACTGATACAGCCAAGTTCAATAAAATTCTTGAATTGTTGCAACGACATCTTAGCACCAGATAATATAATTTCTTCGAGACCACCATTGGTTGTGAGAGAAGCCGTTAATAGGTCCCAATTCATGTCCTTTCTATTCTGCAAGGAAGATTCCATTCGCATCACGCTAGACTTTTGAGAGGATTTTGACGGTTTCTGAACATTAATGGAGACCCCGGGAACCATTGTCAAATCCAGTGAGCTTAAGCTCTTGCATTGGGCGACAAAGTAGCATAGTACCTTCCAACCTTCGGGATCCAGCTTTGCATTTCTAAGAGACAGCTTCTCAAACTCCTTCTTTTGCACAATTGCACACAATATAACATTGAGCATTTCAACACTGAGGCTCACGCCGTCCAAAGATAAACATAGCACTGGGGCCACGCTCAAAAAGTCGCTGAAAGATAAAACCTCTATGAGAGATGGCTTCGGGTTCCTCAACTGCAACAGCGGGATTGGGTCAGTCGATCCTTTTTTGAGCTGTTTTAAGGTTGCAGGAATGGGTAAAATTTCTCGGAGATGACAACAACGTGTGTACACTATGTCGAGTGGGACTTTAGCATCCTGTGGTGGGTAAACAGTGCTATCTTCATCATCGCTCACAGATGCAGTCGAATTTAAAGAGGCAGCTGAGCGTCTACTCATCATAGGTTTATCAATTTTGACTTCTGATGCTGTTTTGGAAACAGAAACTTCTTCCTCATTGTTGGGCAAAGACTTGCTAGCCTCTATTGAATTTTTCCTTGCTCGAGACTGCGCAGACTTAGCTGGCCGATCGGTGTTGTTAGCGACTTCAACTCCATTCTTAGCCTCGCTAGGTGCAACCTCCGGCTTTTTCTCTTCTCTCTTCTTCATATCAGTCTCGTTTATAGTTGGATTGCTGAGAAGCTTTAAATGACCGGAACCACCGACAACAATTCCTGAAGTTGTCTTCTGCAAAATTTCGCGCTTTTCTTCAGGAGTGAGCCTATGAATTATCACTGAGCCATCAGGATTAACCTCGACCTCTCCCCTCCTCGGATTTTTGCTGCAAATCTGTTGCGGAGGATCGTTGAAATAAGTGTTCGTCGCAAAAGAAACTTTCCGCAAGGGTTTGACCTTATCCAAACCAGGAATGTTGACCTTCTGCTTAACTTTGTGTCTTCTTGGAGGATCTTCATCACTTGACTCTGTATCCGAGTCAGACAAAGAAGCTCTCGAAGAAGGATCATCGGTATGTGAAGTGACTCTTTTTAAAAATGCGCCAAATTTGTTGGTAGGGGAGGCAGCAGTGGTGCTTAGACGCCTATTGTGCTCGGAACGCGCAAAGGAAGGTTGTTTCTTGATTGCAGGGGGGAGCCTCGACCGACGAGGATGAGAGGGGATTGGCCGTCCTTTGGCATCAACACGACGCTGCGACTTTGAAACCGCCGTAGACTCCACATCCTCATCTATCGAAAACGTGGCGTTAGACTTCGCACTTTTGGGGGGCGGAAGCTTATGGTCCAAAGAGTCTGTGACAAATGAGTTAGCCCTATAGCGCTGTAAGAATTCATCCAGTCTATAATTGTCGTCATTTTCGTGTTCTAAGGGTGCTGTTTTCGACCTGCCCAGTGGGGGCATCACGGGCTCCAACGATGTTTCCTTGTTCCCCCCAAGGGATGAAGCCGATTCGAGATTTTGTTTGGCTGCGGCTGCGTCATTTCCTTGTGAGGTATTGGACTGAAAGCTTCTGCCACCGGTCTCGCTGTTGTTTCCATCCGAGCTCATACTACTTCGCCTGGATGAATCTCTCTTGGTGTCGTCTTTCTTTTTGCGACCGAACAGTGATCTCAAAAAGCCAGGTTTCTCACGCTTGGAGTCGTCCATGTGCCCGCTGGAGTTCAACGACAGCGACTTAGTTCGCCGAACTGCAAGACCCTGGTCGTAGGGATTCAACGTGTATAAAGAGTATTCATTTGTGCCTCTGGAATCGGATGCGGAGCTTCTTCGCTCCCTAATATCACCATTCGAAGTCGCTGATAAGTTTGGAACTGACGATCTGGGTGATGCAGCTCGCGAAACACCGGAGGCTGACGTAGATCTCTCGCTGAGAACATTTTGCCGAGATAATTTCTCGGATTGCTTCGAAGCATTAACGGAGTGATTTTGTTCCTTCTCCACGTTTGAATCTGAGCTATCAGAGTGTTGTTGTGGCACCGGACTGTTGGTTCTGGTTAGCCAGTCCACGTTCAACGACTCCAGATGACCCTTTCTCCGGAGATTCGCTTCGCTCCATTTCCGCTCGGAGGAAACGCTTTCTGTCATCCTTAAGCAGAGTAGAGACTGGCCCGTAGTCAAATATGACGCTTGACACTCCCACCGACCTTGAGCCTGCTCTTATTGCAGTAGTTCCCGATGCTTTATTCTACCCTTGGATACATAATCAGAGATTTCTAAGACTTCTTACGTACATAATGACCAACATCTGCTCGATAATATCTCAGCGGTAATATGGCCAACAAAGAGCCTTCCTCCGATACTCGAAGGACGGGACATCCAAGCTCCAATGTAGGGTTCCGACTAGCATCTCCTAGAGCTAACTCAATTCAAATGTCAAGTTTATTTTCGGCATCTTAGCAGTTTTTTTATTGATTAATGTTTAAGTGTCCATGGTTTATGGGCCTAGCAAGGTTGGAATAACGGTCAGATAACACAGTATAATGGCCTTTGATTTGTCAATGCAATATTAACAGGCTCATTCATGTACTGGAATATCCGAGAGGACTGTGCTAGGAAATTTTGGTGGTGGCCCTTAGCATGTGCTTGACTGTCGAAAGGTTGTGTTGCATCATCCTAAAAGAGGTTCCAATACGATCAGAAGAACTAACTTCAGTAGAAGAATACAAGCCTAAGCACGAGATTTGCCCTCTGGGCTACAGTGGGGTTGCTACATGGCTTTTAATGCTGTTCGAATACCTAAGGGAATTTGCTACAGGGCTTTTAATGCTGTTCGAATACGTAAGGGAATTCGCTCAAGCGATGCAATCTAGTTGAAATCGGGAGTCCAGCTTGCTAGTTCGTCGAATTAACTTTTGGGTGGAAGCTTGAAATGCACTCCATGTCTGATTAGGCCGAGGAAATAACGGTCCAACTATACCAAGTGCGAAACGCAATTCACTATGTTGAGGTCATATTGGAGTTATCTGGAACTTTACAAGATGAGAGGACAACGATGAGCTACTTCAAGCTTAGTTTTACGCTTTTGCTTGTGTGTCTTTTTAAGCTGGGAAGCCGGTACACGTTTATCGAATTTCAACATCCTGAGAGAAAACTGATATATGAGATACCCATACGACGTCTGCCGATGAACAACTTAGACCAGATTGAGCACCTGGTAAGCCGCTATGAAACTCGCGAGGAGCTAGCCAAGCGTGGCGTATGGGGTGGAGCGCTGTATCGCGCGGAAGAAGTCCCCTTTCTGGACCGAGGGTGGTGCTGGAAGACGCTACTTTTGGGGGACGAAGACGAGCTTTTGGTCACGGAGCTGGCGGAAGTGCCCGAGGACAGCAGTACAACAACCCAGTGGTATTCCAGCGACCGTCAGCCGCAGGTCAGAAACCTTACATCTGAACAGGTGAGCACACATCCTTTAATGGAAACGTCCAGTGCACAGCCCAACTCAGTTCAAGAGCCAGATGATCGACTGAAGGAGAAAATATCAGTTCAAGAAACTCTGGAAATCGTGAGATTGGATGTTTCGCGTCTTTTGCTGCATCCAATATTCGAGTCTGCCGAAAGCAAGCGGGAGATGATTCAGATTCTGTACAACTACGTTATACACAATCAGACTAGCTATAAACAAGGTTACCACGAGCTATGTGGCGCTGTTTATATCCAGATGGCGAATGAGGAGCCGGAGAACCGGAAGCTCAATACCTTGAACATTTTTAACAAACTAATGCAGCGCGCGCGCCCCATATTTTACGAAGAGGCCACCCTACTTGATTTCGCGCAGTCAAAATTCGACAGGATCCTCCGGCTCGCCGTGCCAAACCTACACAAGCTGTTAACGAAACACCACGGCTTAGACAATGCTGTTTGGCTGATACGTTGGACACGACTGTTGTTTTTAAGAGAGTTTGACCTAAATTATGTGCTTCGCATCTGGGACCATTTGCTGACGTTCATGGTTCCGCTGGAAGATTTAGTGGCATGCTGTGTGGTTGTGTTACTGATAGCTATCACACGAGATTTGTATTCGTGTGAAGACCAGGGAGAAATCATCAGCATATTGCTACACTACCCCAGAGACAAATTGATAGACTGCGTGGAGCTGATGAAGCAGAGTGCGAGTCTCTTTGAACTCTACGCCACTAAGAGGTACGATGACATGCAATCGTTGGGCGACAACTTGTGCAGGATTCACAATCGCGACTGGTACGATAAACAGACGCAAGTCTCAGACCACAATCGCTTGAGACTGGAAGAGAGACTCAAGAGAAGGGTGGGCCTGAGGTTGAAAAAGTGAAGGGCGGAGGTGCGCGCTTCCCACCCCAACCCTTCCCCGCTGTCATTTTCGTAAAACAATGGGTTTATCTCATTATCGTTATATAGAGGCGTCGTAACAGCCAATTACAGCTAACTAACTCATCTATTTCTTCTGGCCCTGAGAAGCAACGGCAGCGGCACCAGCAGCAGCGGCTTCTGGGTCCAAGTAGTAAGAAGGCTTGGTTGGCTTCAAGTTGTCGTCCAACTCGAACACCAGTGGGATACCGGTAGGGATGTTCAACTTGGCAATGTCGGCGTCCGAGATGCCTTCCAAGTGCTTGACCAAGGCTCTCAAAGAGTTACCGTGGGCGGCGATCATAACGGTCTTGCCTTCCAACAACTCCTTGGAGATGGTGTCTTGCCAGTATGGCAACAATCTTTCGATGACAATCGATAGAGACTCGGTGGCTGGGATGGCACTTGGGTCGACGTCCTTGTATCTTTCGTCGTCCTTTTGCGAGAATTCAGACTTGTCCTCGATTGGTGGAGGAGGAACGTCGAACGATCTTCTCCAGGTGTTGAATTGTTCTTCACCGTATTCGGCCAAAGTAGCAGCCTTGTCCTTACCCTGCAAAGCACCGTAGTGTCTTTCGTTTAGTCTCCACGATCTGACAGTTGGGATCCATAGTCTGTCGGCAGAGCTCAAAGCGATGTTGGCAGTTTGAATGGCTCTGGACAACTTAGAGGTGAACAAAATGTCAGGGTTGACGTTCTTTTCCTTCAAAAGTTCACCGGCACGCGCAGCTTCTTTTTCACCAACAGCGGACAATCTAACGTCCACCCATCCGGTGAAAAGGTTTTTTTCGTTCCATTCGGATTGACCGTGTCTGACAAGAACTAGCTTAGGCATTGTGAGGCTGATATAAAAGTTGGTTTTGAGATACTAACACTAGAGATTTTTCGATTACTACAACAAAAATGGTGCCCGTCAATGTTCTACCCTACTTATAGGCTGGGAAAAGGTCAGTACTGTGGATCCCAGTCTGACCATTTTTTTCACTGCCTCACGAGAGTGCAACAGCGTGCTTGTGGGATACCCTGGTATCGCTGACGTTTCCATCCAGTGCTGATCTGCACGAGATTGGGCACACACCACACCTGGTGAAGTTCACAAAGTTAAGCCAAATGTGAACTACAGGCGCGAGAATCAAAAAGGAAGCCCAGGGAAGCCGAAGGACGCTGCCGGAAGCCGAGGGAAGCTCCAAGGCACGTGACGGAATGCGTTTAGAGGGAGCAAAATTGTATGCATCTAAACAGAGGGGAAGTATATCATTATGTACCAATGTGGCACGCCTGTGTCAGAGCCTGGACGGATACTTGGGCGAGCAGTGCCACTAGGTATGAGCGTGGGACGGCCGAGCCCTTCGAGTATGGTGTGTCGGGCTGGCTCGAACGGGAGAGGCTTTCACACCAATGTGCCGTCCCTGGCTTTTCATTTTTTTTTTGACCAGCGCAGTTAGGAGCCCGCTGCTAATCTCGTTCACCAAGCAGTCTCTCAAAAGCGTGCCCTACGCGGTCGTTGACGTCTGTGGTTTGCATGGATCTACCGACCTTTTCGTAGGCTAGACGTGCACACTCGCGGGTAATGGCGCTTCCCACGTAGCAACTAGTCACGACCATCGGTAGCCATTCCAGGGTCTCAGGAGGTTGCCAGATGCGGAAGTCGTGCGTAGCACGACTAAAAGCTAGCATTGTGGCTATTACCCCCGTTAGAGTGTCGCCCTGGCCCCCTACCCGTTTGCTGGAGCCCGTGGCCGAGCATTTCAACGGCTCGGAGCCCTCAAACCAGATGCAGTCGTCAGTGCCCTTCTCCACGACTACGCACTTCAAGGCGCGGGCTACCTCGGCGCCTGATTCGCAGCCTAGGCGGTCCAGAATCCGCTTGAATTCCACGACATTGGGGGTCAAAACTAGTCGCCCTGGCTTAAAAGCGCGCAGAATTGCGCACATCCTCTCCGAGTAGCGGGAGTCCGAGATCAAAAATAGTCCATCTGCGTCCAGCACCACCGGGACTTCCCCTTTGTGCGCAGTCGTTAGGTACTCCAGGATTTCAACAACCGAGTCTAGCATTTGGCGATCCCGACCCAGACCGGGACCCACCACGCAAACGTGCATGCGGTCCAACAGTCCCCGGATCTTGTCCATGGAAGGTGGTCCGTCCGAACCAGCCTGGCGCAAGTAGGGATGCACCATCAGATTGGGAGTGTAGCCCTTGATCACCGGCGCTGCGTTCAACTCGCACAACACATGTGTCAGATCAGCACCAAAAAGAGCTGCAGAGTGGGCACTAAAATAAGGAGCACCCGTGTAGTCTTCACACCCGCCTACCACACATACTCGCCCACATTGGCCCTTGTGGAACTCCGGACTCAGCGGCGGGATGACTGCCCTTTTGGCCAATTGCAAAATTTCCTTATGAGACAACCGCGCAAGCATCGTCATATCTGTTGGGAATCGCGGATGCGGCGCTTCAGTTACTAACTCTGTGGGCAAAAGCTCGCTATATGGTACGTACAGTATGTAAACGATGCTTCAGCGTAATCGAACGTTCAATTGAGAAATCAAAAAAAGGTATTGAAACTGCCCACAAATTTACGCTTATACTGCGCTTTCAAAATGTCTGTATACACTTTCAGATGAGCTCTGCGGTGTTTAATGCTCTTACTACCTTTGCTATTCGGAGGTTGGCCCTTAACGATAGATTAGCAAAAGCTGTACCGTAATGGTAATATAAAAATTAGATTCTACAGTGTCAGTGTAAACAAAGAAAACAAGAAGCACCGTGGCACCAGCCAAAGGGCCTTCACCTCAAGACTAACAGACCGGCTTAAAGTGCGTGTGCCATTATAGTATAGAAAATTCTCAGAATCGATTTTACATGTCTCGCTCGCATCGCGAAATTCTTACCAATATAAAGACCACCAGCTGTTTGCTGAGGCTAAGCTCGGAGTCTTCACTTTTTAGTTGCCATCCTCTTTCAGGCCCTCGTTTTCTAAGTTCCTCGCCATAGCACTGAATAGAAGGATCCTACGTAATCGCTCTTTCACCGGCATATATCGGCAACGTCAAATGTCTCGAGCTCATTGTTGATCACGCCTTCGTTGTCGTCCAATGAAAACACAGTCCTATGTGATGTCAATTGCAGACAAAATTGCACAGCAACTTACATTTTGGAATGGCGGGGCACCTTCAGGTGACTTGAGGTATTTGCTCAGATTCATAAACACTACACGGTTTGTAATCCTTAATCAGTCTCGCTGAGGACAGAAAAAGGTGGATCTTAAATTCCCATTTGCTTTGAACGCAACAGAGTGATTTTCCTATATATATCGGTGGCATTGTATATCAGACCGAGTTAGAAATTGCTACATAAGCTAAGACCGCGATTCGCTTACATTACACTACAGGTATGCTTTCGAGAGTCTTGAGACACAGGGCTACACTGCCATTGGCTATCGGCTCGGCCGCTATTGCAACCGCTTTTTACAACACTACATTCATCAAGAACGAACCCTTGAAGACGTTCCAAGGTGACAACGCTTGGATTGAATTGCCAATTGCGAAGATTGAGGATGTTTCCCACGATACCCGTCGCTTCACTTTTAACTTGCCTGAGAAAGACCAAGTCACCGGCTTGATCACAGCCTCGGCCTTGCTGGCTAAGCTGCAGACCCCAAAGGGATCAAATGTTATCAGACCATACACTCCAGTGAGTGACGTGAGCACCAAGGGCCACTTCGAGCTAGTCATCAAGCACTACAAGGACGGCAAGTTCACAGAGATGCTCTTCGACAAAAAGCCCTCCGACACAGTGGCGTTCAAAGGCCCCATCAAGAAGTGGGAATGGAAGCCCAACTCTTTTGAGTCCATCACTTTGCTAGGTGCCGGCTCCGGTATCACGCCACTGTACCAATTGGTGCACCACATCTCGCAAAACCCAGAGGACAAGACCAAGATCAACTTGTTGTATGGTAACAAGACTCCAAACGATATCTTGTTGAAGAAGGAATTGGAGGAAATCCAAGCTAAATACCCCGAACAGGTCAAACTGCACTTATTCGTGGACAAGGCCGAGGGCGACTTCAAGGGCAACCTCGGATTCATCACCAAGGAGTACTTGGAAGCCAACACCCCCAAGCCATCCGATTCTCACCAGGTTTTTGTATGTGGCCCTCCACCTTTCATGAAGGCTTACTCTGGTCCCAAGACCTCTCCACAAGATCAAGGTGAGCTCGTCGGTATTCTCAAAGATTTGGGTCACACCAAAGAGCATGTGTTCAAATTCTGAACGCATACCCGTCAAGTTACGATAAAGTACATATATATTCCATTTAAAGACATACATCCGATTCCCCACTAAGTAAGGCGGTTGCTACACTGCTTCTAATGCCGTTAGTCTCAACAGGTATCAATGTTTCAGTTCGTAATGCTCCCAGTTTATCTCCCCGGCGTCCCCACGTTGATGTCGTAGTTCTTCAAAATCGATGTCTTGAAGCTTACGGGCAGTTGCTTTATTCGTGGTCAAGAAGTCGCGATTCGCTTCAAATTCAGGATTCACATACATTCTCACCTCATTAGAATCAAAAGTGGGATGTGCTTCGTCCACGGGCAATTCGAGCAGTGACATATGCTTTCTTTTTGGTCCACACTTATCTAAAGCCAAAAACTTCGTGCGCCTAGGTTCTATATTGCAGTTCTTGCTAGAACTCGATTCATTGAAATCTAAATCCAGATCAATCTCGTCTGGATTTGTTTCCTGCAAACCTCTCTTCTTTTCAACGACCTCTGCTTCGTACTTTACGTGCAAGTGTGCACTGAGCCACCAGCGAGGCATGAGAGACCTCAGGAGCTCCCAATTGACTGGACTGCCCAACTTACCTTGACGAATATCCTCTTTAAAGTATGGCTTGAGCTTTATAAGCGTCTTTACATTTCCATGACCCACGACACCATTGGGCCAGTCATGGCTGAGCATAATGTCGCTCTTGCTCAACATAAACAGAGGTAAAACGTCAGATTTGCGGACATGATACATGCTCCTCACATAATTGTGCCAACCGTGAATTTTGATGTGCTCTAATGAAGGCCTTGCAGAATTGAAATCGTGGTGCTTGTATATGCCGCTCAATCCACTGATGGTAATCCCCTGAATGACGACAGAACCACTGTAGCCCATGTAGTAAATGTTTTTGGCTATGAACCCCCCAGATGGAAGTTCCGCCAGCCCTTGCATACACTCATGGTTTCCTCCGATGAAAATAGTCAGAATGGGCGCTTCTAGCTCACCACTGTAGTACTTGGGAAAGTCGCCTAACCTCTTATAACGATCAGGAATTGCAATGGATTCCATATCGTCTTCATTTCTAAGAGACTGGAAGTCTCCCAGAATTATTAACAGGTCTGGGAGCTTAGAGCCATATTGGGCCTCGAGTTTACTATAAATGTTAAGAAGCTCTCCATGTGCACATCCTTGGACCGCTATACTTAATGTTTTCACCATACGCGATGTGCTTTCATATAAGGATCTTATTTCACCTGATGACATACTGACAGGAATAAATAATGGTTAATATATATATATATATAGTAAAAGTTATGGAATAAATAATTTGCATGAACCCGACATTAGTCTAAATTAAAATCCGAGTCGCTCAGTATGCTCTCACAGTTGGCAAAACTGGTGGGCATTCGGCTTCGTCCAATGTTGTAGCAATCACGCCTCTGTATTTCAAATCAACCTCTCCTTGAGGGTCTGCTTGCCATGACAGGGTGTGCTTCATCCAGTTCTCATCGTCTCTTTCAGGATAATCTTCTCTGGCGTGAGCACCACGGGATTCTTTTCTGTTGGCAGCTGATTTAGCGGTTTGGATAGCGTTAGTCAACAGGTTTTGCAATTCCAGAGTTTCGACCATGTCGGAGTTCCAGATCATGGATCTGTCGGAGGTGCCAACATCGGCAAAAGATTTGTCAACGGCAGTGACGTTTTTGACACCCTCATCCAAAGATTCCTGGGTTCTGAAAACGGAAACATCATTTTGCATTGCCTTTTGCATGGCAAGTCTGATTTCAGCAGTGGACTTAGAACCAGATGCGTTTCTGATCTTATCTAGGTTGGCGATGGAGTCCTTACCCAAGTCAGCTGGCACAGGCTTGTGGGGTAGGCCAGGTTGTAGAGAGTCCGCAACGGTGTGAGCAACAGCACGACCGAAAACGACCAAATCCAACAAAGAGTTGGCACCCAATCTGTTAGCACCGTGAACAGAGACACATGCAGCTTCACCACAAGCCAATAGACCTGGGATGACTTTGTCCTTACCTTCTTCGTCGATGGTCAAGGCCTCACCCGACCATTTGGTTGGAATACCACCCATGTTATAGTGGACAGTTGGCAAAATTGGGATTGGTTCCTTGGTAACATCGACACCAGCAAAGATTGCAGCAGTCTCAGAGATACCTGGTAGTCTCTCCTTCAAGACACTGGCTGGCAAGTGGTTCAATTGCAAGAACATGTGATCCTTGTCGGGGCCAACACCTCTACCTTCACGGATTTCCATGGTAATGGAACGAGAGACAACATCTCTACAAGCCAAATCCTTAGCCGTTGGAGCGTAACGTTCCATAAATCTTTCACCTTCGGAGTTGACCAAGAAACCACCTTCACCACGAGCACCTTCGGTGATCAAACAACCGGACCCGTAGATACCAGAAGGGTGGAATTGCACGAATTCCAAATCTTGCAAGGGGAACCCGGCACGCGAAACCATGGCGTTACCGTCACCAGTACATGTGTGGGCAGAGGTACACGAAAAGTAAGTACGACCGTAACCACCGGTGGCCATGACGGTCTTGTGTGCTCTGAATCTGTGAATGGTACCATCTTCTTGGTTGTAAGCAATGACACCGACAACTTCACCGTTGTGAACAAGTAGGTCCATAGCGAAGTACTCGATAAAGAAGTGTGTGTTGTGTCTTAGAGCCTGGCCGTATAGTGTATGCAGTAAGGCATGACCGGTTCTGTCAGCGACGGCACAAGTTCTATAGGCTTGGCCACCTTTACCGTTCTCCTTGGTCTGCCCACCAAAAGCACGCTGGTAGATACGTCCTTCTTCGGTTCTGGAAAATGGGACACCAAAGTGTTCCAGCTCGATGATGGAGTCCGAGGCCTCACGCGTCATGTAGTGAATCGAGTCCTGGTCACCAAGCCAGTCCGAGCCCTTCACAGTGTCGTACATGTGCCACTTCCAGTCGTCCTTGTGCATGTTACCCAAGGCGGCGTTGATACCACCCTGGGCGGCCACGGTGTGCGATCTGGTGGGGAAAAGCTTGGAGATGCACGCGGTCTTGTACCCAGCCTCGGCAAGCCCGAAAGCAGCTCTGAGACCGGCACCACCGGCACCCACGACCAAACAGTCGTACTCGTGGTCCACCACCTGGTATTTCGAGCCAAAAGGCGCCGAATTCGCCCCGTTCACGTCGTCATGCGCGGCAAAAGCACGCATCGCACGGCTGGAGCGGCTAAACAGCCTTCTGCTAGAAGAGAGCTGCAACTGTCTGAGCGAAAGCATCCTAGTCTTTTTTTTTCTCTGGTTGGTGAGTTTCGCCGAGTTCTCTAGCTAAGACACTAACGACCTTGCTAAAACTCGCGCTTTGGGTCCTTGGCCGAAAATACCGCCCTTGAATAACCTCCGAAGCTGCTGCTTAGTGTGTGTCCGAGTATTTCCCACTACTTTGAGAGGAAAATGCCTTGGTATAACGTTTTCAAGTCACACGAAAAGATGACCCCAAAATTGGATATTTGAGTCCTGCTTGTTTTCCCGATGCGTATTACGAGAATTCTCTCCTAACACTCCCCACAATCTCAAATCTAAAGCTGATCTGCTTCCGCGATTCGTTGATGTTGAAGCTGGAAGATTGTCCAATGAAATGAAGTTCCCGGATATTTTCTTTGGTAGCTTATATATCGTCAGCATACCACATTCCACGAATCCCGAGAGGCTCCGAAAAAATGATCCATCTCATCACATTATACGTGTCCTATTTGGCGGCGTAATTTTTTATCGGAAGCGACACGGACTGGTCGACAGAGGCGACGACAACGACAGCGGAGGAGATAGTGTTTGAAGCGCAGTGGCAGCCAAAGGGGGCACAGATCTGGTTTGGATGGTGGGCAGGATGGCCATGAAATGGCATGCACCAGCGGGACGCGATCGGCGTTTTCGTGATTTTTTCTTTTGGGGAGTCGCTAATCCAGCCCGTTCTGTCGGCGGTGTGTGAGAACCGAGCGCTACTCGGTACTTGCAGGGCGCTGGTGGACTGGGCGGCGTCAGACGTTGGCGAAAGAGTCCGCGACGATGGATACCGCGCGTCACTTTGTACGTGTGTGTCGCTGTGCCACACTGGTACATAGTGATATTGGGATGGGCGACTTTACGGTGCGAGGGGAAAGGTGCGAGGCCAGAAGGAGCACATGTGTGCATCCTGAGCCTTGGCAGTGTGCCGTGGGGGTCTGTATGTCCGGTTCTTGTATATGTCTTGGTTATTTTTGTTTTTGTGTTGGCCGTAATTCATCCCATCCTCCCGCACCCAGAAGCGCGTCCTCCTGGGGCCATGGGGCGGTCGAGGATGCCGCAGGGACGCGCAAAGTCGCTGCTGTGCACGCTTTGTCGCGACTTTTCCCTGGTCATGTTCTGATGCTGCTCACATGTAACGGTTTTGGCCGTTTATATATTCTCTGATCTTAAGAACCCGACCGCATCTCTCCGCTCCCAGGGCAGTCAGCAATCAAATAATGCCAGTCAACCTTCGCAAAGACAGTCGCAGCGCGCTATCTGTAGACATTGATGCTTTGAGGTCTATTAGCGCCAGTCGCAGGCCCTCAGGAGCGGCCCCCAATGTTGTGGTAGCCAGTTCACCAGGTCAGCACGTTGCAGACGCCGTGTCTCGCCATTTGGTCAGTGCTTCCGACTCTGCAGATGCAGCGTCTTTCAACCCTTTGCATCTGCTCGGAGGAGATATCACCCGGGAGCTTTACCGTTGGCAAGACCAAAACCAGGATGAGGCGGTCGAAGGACAGCAAATTCGCTCCGAGATGCCCAAACATCGCCGGTCGGCTAGTTTTTCAGGCAGTGTGATGTCGCATAGCTCCATCCCAAACACTGAAATGTCGGCAGAACAAATGCGAGCTCCACAAGGCTTCAGACGTAGCTTTTTGGTTACCAAGAGTTTACAAGAAAACGGGGACATTCCCGTTTTCAGTGCTCGTAATTTCTACGAGTTCCTCACCCTGTATGGACATTTTGCCGGGCAGGATCTGAGTGAAGATGAGGATGAAGATTTGGATAAAACGCACCCTGTAGAGGAAGATGAGGAAACGGCGCTGTTAGGCGAGAGTCCTGCTAAAAGACGTGCTGCCATACGCGCGATGCGCCGCGGAGCTCACAAATCCTCCACTTTGAAGGCGGTCCTGCTATTGTTGAAGTCATTTATCGGGTCGGGTGTTTTATTTCTACCTCGTGCATTCCATAACGGCGGGTGGGCTTTCTCTTCGTTCTCTCTGCTTACGTGCTGCCTCTTATCGTATCACTGTTTCATTCTTTTGATCAATACCAAGAACAAGCTGAAAGTCAATGGCTATGGTGACTTGGGGGGCGCAATTTACGGTCGCCACATGGAAAATGCCATTTTGGGATCCATCGTTTTGTCGCAAATTGGGTTTGTGGCTGCTTACACTGTCTTCACTGCAACTAACCTTCAGGTTTTCTTCGCAAATGTGTTTGAATGGGAATCCTCAGTGACATTCTGGATTTTAGTGCAACTGCTTTTCATAACTCCCTTGTCGCTTACCAGAAACATTTCCAAACTAAGTGGAACTGCGTTAATTGCGGACCTTTTCATCTTTTTTGGACTCACATATGTCTACTACTACTGCGGTACATATGTCGCTGCGCATGGGATTGCCTCTGAGACAATGCTAGTTTTCAATAAAAATGATTGGACATTGTTCATTGGCACTGCAATCTTCACTTACGAAGGCATAGGGCTTCTTATCCCAATTCAAGAGTCGATGAAGCATCCAGAAAAATTTAACAAATGTTTATTCGGGGTCATGGCCTCGGCAGGGGTTGTTTTTATCTCCTGTGGATTTCTGTGCTACTCGGCTTTTGGCGAGGAGGTCAAGACTGTCATTCTACTGAACTTTCCTCGCGACTCAGGGATGACTACGATGGTACAATTACTGTATGCCTTGGCGATTTTACTTTCGACTCCTTTACAGTTGTTTCCCGTCATTAGAATTCTGGAAACAAGCATTTTCCCCAAAGACGCCTCGGGAAAATACAATCCCCGTGTCAAATGGCTCAAGAACTATTTTAGGATAGCAGTCGTTATCATGAACTTGACCATTGCTTGGTTAGGGGCAAATGACCTAGATAAATTCGTATCTCTGGTGGGGAGTTTTGCCTGTGTGCCTCTCATTTACGTGTATCCGCCAATGCTGCACCTACAAGCGTTTCGCAATGGCGGAGCTTCAAAGCTGTCATTGGTATCTGATATGCTGATCGCCATATTTGGCGTTTGCGTCATGGTCTACACCACTTATCAAGCAGTCTATCTGTGGTTTTCCTGATTTGATTTCGTGGTCAAAGTAGAACGATTTTGATGGGAATTACCGCAAACCTTTCCAATCGGTTTCGACCAAAACACTACTTGAAGGCAATTACGGCAAAGAATTAATATGGTAGAAATTTTTGGCCAAATTTCTCAGGAAGGCGGCATATTAGACATTATCAGCGCTTCCATTGTCGAATCACATAATCTTTGAACGTTATCCTCAAGGGCCTCTTATTTCTGTACCTTCAATGGTGATTTGCTGAATGGTGCGCAGCAGTCAGATTACCCAAAATAAAGCAGTAACACACCAAGCAGAAAATAGCCACACTTATCTTTTGAACAAATTCTTACAGTCTTCCTCCACGGAATAGGACATTCAAACACACGATCCTGGGAAAGCAGAAGCCTATACGTTCCATGTTATCGCAAATTGTATGTTGTTAGATGGTGATTGCGTCAGTACAGTTGTAAGTGATGCGACAAGTGTCGAGACAAAGAAATGATAGTATAGAATGAAAACCCTATGAAAAGTGCTCTGAGGAATCGCATCATACCCCAAAGATGTTCTGATACAGCATTCCATAATTTTAAGTATTTATAATAGATTATTCTTGAAACTTTGAAGAAAGTATATTGGAGCGAGCCAACGTCGGCAATAGTCAACTTGCTAGGTTGTTTGCTCAATTTGTTTATAGACATCGTTTATTATATCCTGAGTTCTTGATACACAATCTGAAACTTGTAAACCGACTTTTTAATGTCCTCCCGTGATTATTTGGGGTTATTATTATTGAGGCGAATCTGATTCATTAGTCGAAAGCTTACTAAATTTGTCTTGTAAGTCGGACATAGTCATTGTTAAGATCAGTAACTTGGATCTAGGGAATTCTATTTTTCTCTCCGTGATTATTTTAGGCATTAGGGTTGGTTCAGTTATCTGAACAAAAGCCTGGTATTTATACAATTCTCACTCGGTGACTCTGGTCAACACATTTATTAATCACCAATTCTAGATCATTCTATTGCCCAAGGATTACGGCTTCAATGCCGTACGCTACCGATAACTTATCGATCGCCAATCCCATTGGACAACAGTTGTTCTCTTCGGTTTGTCTTAGCTGTTAAGCAGACTTGTATGGCCACTGTTGTGTACTATCATTCTGCACCATTGTGTCACATATTTACTGACGCTGATTATGCGATTAGGCGCACATCACCATCAGTTTATTCACATTATTCCCAACAATTATCATGGTCTAAACCTGGAACATATAGCCGGTATTCATCCCAAACTCTGTCGCAAATAATCCGGATGTAGTTAAGGCTTGATAACGCAACGACTGAGTCCAGAAGATAAATTTCTGAGCTGCTGGATCATTTAAGTGGCTTCTCAACGCATTTTTCGGCAATCGCTGCTCCTCTGAATCCCATTGGTTAATCGTTCACCTAGTACAATTTCATTTTACTGACGGCGACAGCATCACTTTGTACTACACTGACACCTGGTTGATGATCGAAATTATTCAACTCGATGCTATCCAGACAGTATCAGAACTCTACCAGTCGGTAGTTCTAAGGACTTATAGCCCAGCCTCCTCCTATTTGGGACCGCTTGATTCATCGAAACTACAGTCGAAGCATGCTCACTCAAATCTCAGAGTCTAACACCCAATACCCACTGGTGAGCTAGACATAGCAAAAGGGAGCATCTCTCTTACGCTACAACAGTCTTATGCTACAGCACATCAGACTTTCTGAGAGTCCAGGTATCCGTTTAATTTTCGTTTTTATTGAAAAATCTGTAATACCTCTGCTCTCTTGATATATAGACCAAGTGTAGTAGAGATTAGAACTTCTTTAAGGTGTCTTAAATATTTGTATGCCTAGCTATACATTATCTGTTGTTCATGTACTTATGCCTGACTGTAAATCTGACGAGGTAGTCGACGACGCCTGGTAGGTATATTCGTAAGTAGTGCTGCAGTGATTTCAATTTAAGGAACTTTACTGTAGCTATGTTTGCCACCCATCACAACCAGTGTAAGAGAGACTAAGCGCAATGGCACCAAAAGAGGACTGGGAGAAGTATAAGGCTCCTGTTGAAGAGGAAAAGAAGGAGGAGAAACAAAATGTACCACTATCGGAAGGAGATATTCAAGTTTTAAAGACATACGTATGTTAACATCAAAGAAGTTCAGTTGCAGGACTGGTCCAGATCGAGCTGAGACTTTGGTGCATGTTGGCTTAAGTTGCATTGAGGAAATTTCAAAGGGAAGACTGAGATCTTGACGGTACTAAACCTAAGTCAATTTTGATTTCAAATTCAACACAGCCCTGCAAAAGGATTAGCCGGTTGACACTGACCAATTGTTCCTGCTCGATAGTGTGGTTTTATGGTCTATTTTACTAACATCTTATAGGGTGCGGCTCCGTATGCAGACAGACTAAAGTCTGCCGAAAAGGACTTGAAAGAGATTGAAGCCAGAATCAAAGAAAAAGCAGGAGTCAAGGAAAGCGATACTGGTCTTGCTCCCTCACATTTATGGGATATAATGGGCGACAGACAGAGACTGAGCGAAGAGCACCCGCTGCAAGTCGCAAGGTGTACAAAAATTATAAAACCAGAGGCATCTGATGAAACGACAGGTGAGGATGACGAGGAGGATTCAAAGTACATTATCAACCTCAAGCAGATTGCAAAATTTGTGGTAGGATTAGGAGAACGGGTCTCACCAACTGATATTGAGGAAGGTATGCGTGTGGGTGTCGATAGGTCAAAGTATCACATAGAGTTGCCATTGCCACCTCGCATAGATCCTTCAGTTACGATGATGACGGTCGAAGAAAAACCGGATGTTACCTACAGTGATGTAGGGGGCTGCAAAGAGCAAATCGATAAGCTGCGGGAAGTCGTTGAACTACCGCTGTTGTCTCCCGAGAGATTTGCTACATTGGGTATTGATCCACCAAAAGGTATTCTCCTTTATGGTCCTCCAGGTACCGGTAAAACCCTTTGCGCACGGGCCGTGGCGAACAGAACTGACGCCACCTTCATTAGAGTGATTGGATCTGAATTAGTTCAGAAATATGTCGGTGAGGGTGCCCGTATGGTGAGAGAACTGTTTGAAATGGCGAGAACCAGAAAGGCTTGTATTATATTCTTTGATGAGATTGACGCTATAGGTGGAGCTCGTTTTGATGATGGTGCAGGTGGTGACAACGAAGTACAAAGAACCATGCTTGAGCTGATTACACAACTAGACGGGTTTGACCCAAGAGGAAACATCAAGGTGATGTTTGCCACCAACAGGCCTAATACATTAGACCCTGCTTTGCTAAGACCTGGTAGGGTTGATCGTAAAGTAGAGTTCTCCCTCCCAGATTTGGAGGGACGTGCTAATATTTTCAGAATACACTCCAAATCTATGAGCGTTGAACGTGGCATACGGTGGGAGTTGATTTCAAGACTATGTTCCAACTCTACTGGTGCGGAACTGAGGTCTGTTTGTACCGAAGCAGGTATGTTCGCGATTCGTGCCAGGAGGAAGGTTGCCACAGAGAAGGATTTCTTGCAAGCAGTTGAAAAGGTCATCAACGGGTATAAGAAATTCAGCTCCACTTCTCGTTACATGCAATACAATTAAAACATATATGTAGCGTGGTGTTAAAATAATAGCATACAGAACAACAAGTGGCATCATGTGTCTGGAATTCCTACCTGAGGCCGCGCTTTGAACTTCCCATACCAACCATGTCATTTGATTTGATATACACGTATATAGTACAATAGTTGTTCTGAATTTCCATGCTCTCAAGGACACGTCCGATTTCGGTAGGGCCTTATTCCCACCAGCCGACAAGTCCCATTCCATCCGTTTGACAAGATCCCAGAAGCGCGTAGGCTGGAGGTTTTGCAATCTTGGCATTCTGTGCCTGAGCAGATTCCTCGCTCTCTTCTTCCATCTGTTCTTCTGCCTCCCTTTCTTTGGGTGACTTAGGCTTGACGTCTACAAACACCTCTTGCTCTACGCGAAATCGAATCTTTTCGTTGACGTCAAAGTACAGCTTTGTTTCTTCGTCCATTGGCCATACCCACGCACCATCAGTAGGCGAAAAATAGCATCCTTCGAAAAGCATTTTGTGGGGGATGAAAATATCATCGAAAACTCCAAGTAATGACACTTTGATGCCCTCTACAGTGCACTGAGATATCCAGCCCGTAAGTATTTCTCCAACAAACGGTTTGAACACTAATGCTCGGAAGGTGGTATTAATATACGCCGCACCATCCCCCGGCTTCAATTGGCCTTCATCAACTGCCAGCAGGTCATATATAGTGATGCACAATCCCACATGCGGGATCACCTTGTTGGCGAACTTGTTGTTCAATTGATGGAAAATGGAGGCCTTAGGGTGTCTATGAAATTGGTCTGGCGGAACCCGCACCAGATCCGATATCTTGGTCAGAATAAACATTTAAAAAGACCACACGTCAAGCCCGTGGTCTGCAGGTCCCTCAATGTGTCGTCAAACTAAAAACTCTCACGAAGTTCGATCACTGTCCCACAAATGATCGACCTATGCTGGACCGGTTAGTGGTTTGAAAATTTTCGAGATGAGCTTTTAGTATGATATATTATGTAAGCGACACAAGACAAGACCTATTTGCAAGCTACAGGCAGCCACTGGGTGGCCCCTGGCTCTAGAAAGATTAGAATCGTGCCAGGAATCGTGAAAGGAACATTGAAGTTGTGAAATGAGATGCTATTGTGCTACCTAAACGCTTAATTCACGATTATTACTGCCGCCTTTGAAGTAGTTCGTTTTATTTGATGTTAAGCGACATCAAAAAATCTTTTGGAATCATGGAGTATCGATGAGCCCAACTCGACGTCGACCGATATTCAAATAGTCCAAGAAAAGACTTCGTTTTCTTATAATTGCGGAAGGTTTGATAGAGCTATTGTATTATAATTAGTACGGCCGAGTGATGTCTTCTAAAGCCAGGTTTGACCGTAAGACGGCGCAGAAATTTGCAGTAGTGCATAGACCGCATGATGACCCAAAGTACCACGATCCGGAAGCCTCAGAACACATATTGGTTCCAATCAAGGATGCCAAGAAACAGCTTTCATTTGATGCCAAAAAAGCCAGATCTCCGTTTGCTAAGACAGCAACTAATGTGGAAAAAGCCCTAGCTCACGATCATGTTGGTGAAGCAGCACTGTACGGCATTGGCTTTGATGACTCAAAATACGACTACACGCAGCATTTGAAGCCAGTTGGTTTGGATCCTCAAAATTCGGTATTCATTCCGGCAAGCTCGGGCCAGAAGTCGCGGGATGCTCGCAAGCTGAAGGCAGAGGACTTGTTCGCGGAGTTGGGAGTAGAAGATGCGTCTCAAAAGAAGAATGAGTCAATGTTTGAGCGCGGTGGTGTGGCCAAGCGTGAATACCTAACACATCAGCAAGATGTAGAGGAGGAACTGCGTGGATTCAGACCGGATATGAACCCTGCACTGAGGGAAGTACTCGAGGCACTTGAAGACGAAGCGTATGTGGTCAACAAAGATACTGTCGTTACCAAAAAGGAGAAACCAGACCAGAAAGTTGGGTGGGAAGGCGCCGTGGACGAAGCGGCAGGTGGCGATGACGATCTGTTTGATCAACTGTTGATGAGTGGACAAGCTGACGACGCCGAGCAGTTCGAAAATGAGTTTGACGAATGGGACGTTGATCACCTGGAGGACTATGAGGCTGAAAACTATCGAGATGAAATGGAGCAGTTTGACAAAATAGAAAACTACGAAGATCTGCAAAATATCGACTATCAGGCAGACGTGCAGAGGTTCAAACAACATCAGTCCCGCAAGGCTTACCCTGGGGATGAAGAGGACGCAGATTCAGTAAACGACTTTGATCGTGCTTCCGATGACGTGGGGAGTTTGGACGCTTTGTCTGAAGACGGCGAAGATAAGGAAGAACTAGACACATTGGGAGACCTGCCGCAAATCAAGACCAGTAAGAAACCCTCAAAGAGCAACAGCAAAAGCCGCCGCAAAAAGGGCGCAATGTCAGATGTTTCTGGGTTCTCGATGTCTTCGAGTGCTATTGCAAGATCCGAGGCGATGACCATACTGGACGATCGATACGATCATATTATCTCCGGGTACGAGAATTACGAAGAGGAGCAAGAAGAACAGGAAGAAGACTATCAGCCCTTCGATATATCGAATGAGCGTGCGGACTTCGAGTCTTTGCTGGACGATTTCCTTGAGAACTACGAGCTTGAATCGGGAGGCAGAAAGCTGGTCAAAAAAAACCATGAGGCCGCACGTTTTCAACGCGCCGCTGATGAAGTTAGTAAAGGGAAACTCTCGCAGAGGAGAAACAAGCAACGAACCGGAAAGTCCGCTGGCGTTGAGACCATTACAGGTGGATTGAACAGTTTAAAGTTCTAAATCAAATCGAGTGACAGCGATACGCTCTCGGAATACCCGTACACGTGATAGTCACATGTATCTATTTTTTGACGTGACTCGTGATTGATGATAAACATTAATCAAGGGTATTTATAAGGTTACTGTGTCAAACACCTGCCACCTTCAAGCACGAATTCTGCTAGAAAGCATCAAAACCACTCACTGTATCTTGCTATCAGCGAAGATCATCTGGACAGGTAGTAGTATTGTTGTTAGCCCCTACAAAGCCCTATTTTTGAATAAATGTCCGACGAACTCTTGAAATTGAAAACTCAAGTGGAGGAACTCCAGCAATTGGTTAAAAAACAAAACCTTTTGATCAGCAAAACTGGTCAATCTGTGTTGGAACTTCAAGTTGCAAAGCAGAAAAGTGACGTGGATGGTTTGGACACCCAGTTTTCCGGGTTCGGAAAGGGTGGCAAAACAAGTACGTCCTCGGCACACAACGATCCAACAACCGATTTTGCCACAAATGAAGATCTTGTGCAATTGGTCGGTGAGTTACAAGGGCAGCTAGAGTCAATCGAGGAAAGATCCATTAGAAGATTGGTTAACTCGACTAAGACGGAGAAAAAGGACTATTTGGCTCCCTTGCCAAACTCTGACGGCGAGATTCCCGTGGTTGCTGACGGTTTTTTCCCTCGTTCTCTGGAGGATTTTGAGACCATCTCTAATGTGGACCTATTCAGATTGGCCAAATATTACGAACTACTTCCTCCAAGCTTGAAAGAGCAAGAGAAATTCGAGGATTATTTGGAGGGCAAGCTTGAAAACTTCCACATCAACGATTTGCCAGAAGAAGATGTGAAAAAGGAGCTGGGTAATTTCTCCGCAGACCAGTTGGTAGAAACCTTCAATGACGTGGCCAGATTCTTAGGGGTGAAGTCCAGAAGGGGCACTGACATCTGGTAAAATGGTAAATATTGCTGTAGTGCACCTATTTTAATTCAACGGCGCCATTTATATCCTACATAGCAACGTACAAATGCGTTTATATCATTTTTTACACTATTTCCCGAAGAGTCCCAGGCGTTGGCTACCTTCTAGCCTTCTTGTAATTATCTGCCACATCCCCATTCATCCTTCGTTTGTTGCCGACCGAAGAGGGCTGGGGTAGCGAGTTCTGCGTATCTGGGAACAGCTCCTCCACTTGCTCCTTTACAAGGCGCTTCCAGTCGAAGCGTTTCCTCATGAACTTATCAAGTGACCAATTTTTCCACGCCTGCCTTCCGTAAACGCTGTTCTTCACTTTCTCAGACTCGTTTGTCATACTTGTGGCAATCCGCTCCTTGTACATTGGCAGTTGTGCTGTGAATTCCCAAAGTTTGTCGATGAGATGAGAACCGTAAGCATTACAGGATAGATTTACCACGTCGGTGCAGAAAACATTAAGCAGACGTTTTCTCTGGATTTTATCAACCCTCTTCACCTGCAAGACGTGTTCAACAACGTGCGAAAACACGCCGTGGTAACACATTTGCAAAAGCCTTTGTTCGGGCAAGGCCAATAAACTCTCCACTGTTATATTCAAAAAGCTATCGTCGTAGTCAATCAGTTTCTCTAAAAATAATGACCTACGTCTTTCTTCTGCGGTGGGCCAGTCATCTCTCGTATTACCCAGGGTTGAGGATGTCAAATGTAAACAACTTTCGAGAATATTCTTCTCTTCTGATTCTTCCGGATAATACTTCTTTACCAGTTGAGAAACGATCGTTTCTTTCATGTAATCTTCTTGCTGGATGCTCGCTTCTAGGACAGTAGTGCAAAATTCCAGGTTTGAGTTTACGATCAAACTCAGTTCAGGGACAATATCGTTCAAAATGGACTTTACATCGTGTGGACGCAAATGTTTCAGCAGCGCTTGAACAACAAAAGCACCTGTCAACTCTCTCTTACTCAACTTCAGAATACGGTCTTTCATGTACATCTTATAGAGTCGTTCAGTGTACTTGACACGAGTAAAGGAGATCACGTTCTCAAGAAAGTGGGAGCCAACTGGATCGGATAGTAAGTATTCGACAAGGGCTTCTTCTTTAGCATTTTTCTCTTCACTTGATGAGAATATCAGATGCCAGTATGACCTATCTCTATCAAAGATACCTTCGACCTGAATGATCAATTGTAACACAGGAGAGGCAACCGGGTCAATACAGAGTTCTCTAACTTTGGTCACGCAGGTTGGACTAATGTTCTTAAAATTCGAAGATCCCAGGTCAGCACCATTTGTCAACACTTTATACAGAGAAGACAATATCTCGCGAAGTTTCACTTTGAAAGAGTCTGGAGTTTTGTATGTCTTGTTGAAGTCCTCGTTGTCCTTAATATCAATCATCTTGCGCGCAATTTTCGATTTCTTAGAACGCAATGCAGAGTTGCTTATCGTTGTGCTGGGGAGAGTCTTTGACGACAAGATCAATATCAATAGACGGAGAACATGGGATGAGTACCTATGGGTCAACATAAGCCGGACATTGGGTGTCAGTTCATTGATTGCATGCAAAAATAGTGCTTCCATAGAAGCGAACACCTCTCTGTCATCCTTCGCAACGGTGGCGTCTTCAAAATGCGGTGTCAACAGCTCTTTTTCTACAATAGCAGCGCCTCTGACCAGGAGAGTCTCCAGAACATGCGATGAGTATTTATGGCATGACATGTTGAAGAAAAACCCATTGAAGCCTTGGAAAACTGATTTCAATTCCACATTTGTGCAGTTTAGAATTAGTCTTTCCATAAGTTTTGAACAGATTTGAGACGTAGCTAGCTTCAATTCTTTGTTTTTCGTCTCCTCTATAACGCTGGAGACAAACTGAGCTTTTTCCTCAGGAGTCTCAAATGTATCAATATTCAAAGTGGATTCAGCTTGCTTAAAATACTCCAGTTCCTGAGTATCCAAAACGCCAAAAAATGTATTGGGTTGATCGCCAGAAGAAACTTGCCCGCTTTCAGCACGGTCAGCCCTTTCAGTTACCGCCTTCAAGCTATCATCGCGCTCCTCGGTCTTTGCATTCCTGTTGAAATTTCTACCTCTAGGCTTCCCCATTTTGGCACAAAGGTCTCAAGAGATATGGTGCAGGGTGCAGGCTTCGTTTGTTATAGAGTTTAGAAGGCAGATTTATACTGTGCTACTTAGAAGCTCATCGCATGAATTTTCAAAATTTTTCAAGCAGTAATGATCTTCAAAAATATTAGCGATGCCCTGGCGCCGACACAAGAAATATAAGTGACATCCAAGAGAAGCATTCCGGGGAATTAAATTCAAGCGCTTCTAGATCTGAGGATGTATTGAAAAATGACAGCTTCGAGATATTTCAAAAATTTAGTCCTCACGAACCACAACAAACCTCGAAAAGTGCATCGTCTCACTGTAGCATGAAAGATTGTGATTTGAAAACGTGTTAGCAGGTGGCTCTTTTGAAAGCCGCGATTTGATGGCTAGCTGCTTATGTGGCAAAATTTCTGAGACATGGATCAAAGAATGAGCATAGCGACCATAAGCGCTTGCGACTGTTTGTATTTTTTCATTGGGACGAAATGGAGAATCGGCCAATGTGTGTCACTAAAAAATGTACATGCCCGCGGTGAGGTTTAACGACTGGTGGATAAGTGAGGCTCGCCCCAAAAAAGGAACTACATTATACGATATTTCTCGTATATCAAAGCGCACAAATATTATTTTTTGGCCGATGGTTATGATGCACCTACTATATACTTGACTTTATTTAATCGTCCTGGTCCCAGTTGCCGGGCTTGGGACCCTTGGGCACCTGTGGACCACCTGCCCTCTTGGCCATGATAATTTGATCAACCGATAGGATCGTGGTTGCAGCTTCAGTTGCGACATTGACTGCAAATTTCTTGACGGCTAGCAGGTCAAAGATGCCATCCTCTCTAACATCTTTGACACCCTCCGAGCTTTCACCGTCTATGTCGACACCAAAAAAGGTTCCATTTGCCTGGGTAGTCTCGGTGTTTGAATTTGTCTGCTCGTCATTGGCGGTACTGCTATGAGCAGCATAAAGATTTGGAAGAACTTCATTGACATTTAACCCAGCTGTTTCAGCAAGAGTTCTGGGAACGACTTCAAACGCAACTGCAAATTGCTTGATAGCCAGTTGCAGTAGACCAGGAGTGCGCTCGCCATATTGTGTTATTCTCGAAACAAGCTCAATTTCTGTAGCACCCGCACCTGGCAATAGCTTACCTCCATCAGGCTTCATGAGACCCTTCACAGCTGCTACACCATCATCGATGGCCCTTTCGATGTCGTCAAGGTTGTTCTGAGTCGCGCCCCTAAGAATGATAGTGGCAGTTCTGGTTACCTCATCTTGTTCTTGCTTGAAAACAGTTACTCTATCACCACCAATCTCCATTGTCCTGACAGTTTCAACGACACCAACTTCTTCTGGCGTTGGGGCCCCTAATCTGGCCAGTGGTGTGGCGCCACACACGCGGCAGATTCTTCTGAGCTCAAACTTGCTAGGAACCTTGAGAACTAATATATTGTATCTGTTCAAGTAATGCAGTGCTAGCTCATTGACGCCGTTACCAGCAACGACACAGGTGATGCCGGCATCTGCGATTTCCCTTATCATTTCGTTCAGTTGTTTCTCTTCACCCTTGGTGAAGTCCAGCATTTCCTGGGCATTATGCAGCAGTACGGTGCCTTTAGTCTCTGTGTTTGATATATCAACTGGACAAGTGAACACAGCCACCTTATGCTTGGTGCCGGCAGCTAGAGATTTTACGTGACCCTCGGGTTCTCTGTTGAATACCATACCCTTGACAACCTCCGAGTTCGCGAGCGACCCACCCATGATCTTGACTACCCTCACGGAATCGACGTTGAAGTTGGTAGATTTGGCAGGAAGAACGTGAGAAACAGCTTCCGACACAAGTTCACTCAAAATATCTTCTGAACCGTACTGTTTGGACGCAATTACAGGTCTCATCACCTTAACCAATTCGTCTTTGCTGTGTTTGTCGGTGACTTGTTGCTGGCTCATCGAATCTAGCTCTTTCAAAGTGAAGTTTCTGGCTAGATTGTAGCCTTGGATGATCTCGACAGGGGATAGACCCAATCCAATCAGTTTTTCGCTCACATTCAGCAACTCGCCTGCAAGCACAAGCACCAAGTTGGTACCATCGCCCATGTCAATCTTCTGTTGTTCAGTGGCCATTACCAAAACTTTAACCGCTGGATGCACAATGTCCAGTTCCCTCAACATAGTAGCAGCATCATTGGTGATAATAATCCTACCCAAATGGTTCACAATTATTTTGTTACGGCCACATGGCCCCATCGATGTGAGGCACATCTGATGAATCTCCTTAATGGCGGCAATGGACTTATTGATCTGGCCATCAGCGTTCAAATACGAATTGTAACCTTGCTTAAAAAGACCCGCATTGGGATTTTGTGGAAGCTTCAAAGACATCGGTCAGCACCAGTAGCTTATCAGATACTCTGTAAATACCAATTACGCCAGCAATAGGGACCTCAAAAGGAGAATTGAATTGACAACTAGTCCTTGTTTGCCACCTTACCACAGCTTTGTGAGGAAAACTTTTCTATGTGATGAATCGTCCAGTGCTTTCGTGGCCCGTGATATCTTGGAATAATAGCGATTGCCATAATTTACACATGGAAACTTACCCTTTCTGCAATAACAAAAGGCGTGAGACTACTGACAGGGTGAGAGGAGGAGCGGCACTAGCCAGAATCAGGTATAGGTCCTTTGGCCATGGATTTGAGATGCAGCTGGTCCTGTCCTTTCTATATATCTTAACATAACATTATCAATCTCAGTCGTAGCTTCAGTAGCTCAGTCGGAAGAGCGTCAGTCTCATAATCTGAAGGTCGAGAGTTCGAACCTCCCCTGGAGCATTTATTTTTTGTTAATTCAGTGCTAGTTTGTATGATGAAAAGGATGCTACGGAATTAAATAATAACAGTAGCGGATAGTAGGTTGATAGTCTTAGCCTTCTATTCTGCAAATTTGGGACCAAGACCAATCTGCTGCTTTGATTGATCTGTGTCAATTAGCTTGTCATCTTATCGTGAGGACATTGGCAACGTTGATCTATAACTCATGGAAATTGAACAACTGAATTATGATACAGGGCCGGCTCTAAAAGCGATCCTTGGCTCAGAGCATTCGCTTTCGGAAATAGACCAACTGATACAAGCTACAAAATGTATGAAATTGCAGCTTGAGGAGGACATCATTGCAAGCACACAGGCAAGTGATGTCGGACGCAAAGATGGTCAGCTATCCAGTCTCAAATCCACGTTCGAGAAGCTAATGGGAAACGTTGACGGCATCACAAGTTTGTCCAAAGAGACGGAAACCACGATATCGCGATTAACCAAAGACATATCGTATTTGGACAATGCCAAGCGCAACCTGTCTCAGTCCATGACTTTCTTCCAAAATTTGCAGCTCATTACGGAAGCATATTTCGAGTGCCGTGATTTGCTGGCATGTAACGAGTTCAAAGAAATGAAAGCTCCTTATAGCCTCATGAGTGGCCTCATGGAGTATTTCCAAGATTACAAGTCCGTCGAGGAAATTGGTAAGCTCATGGCCAAGATTTCGCGTCTTCAGACGGAGACTCTTACTAGGATCAAAAAAAGCTACGAAACTCTTATCGGGTCTCGTTCTATCCCAGAAAAACGCTTTGATGAAAGCATGCTTCGAGATGGTGCCTGTGAATTATTGGAGACGAGTTCCAGCGCTAAGGCCGAACTTATAGACTGGAGTATCAGCAAGCTTCTGTATGAGGTCACAGAAATTTTCCATGTTGACGACGAAGCAGGCTCGCTGGAAAATTTATCGACACGGTACGTTTACTTCAAAAAAGTTTTGAACAGCTTTAATGCAGATCTGGCCAACTTTTTCCCAAAAGCTTGGGAAATGCCTTGGAGGCTAACCTCTCGCTTTTACACAGTAACGAAAAAGGATCTTGAAATCTTGCTGGGTCGTGAACTCAAGCAAAGTCCTTCCATCGATCTTTTCATGGGTTCGCTACAGACAACGTTGGATTTTGAAAAATACATTGACGTCAAGATATCCAACCGAGCTTACAATGCCTCTAAGTTAGACAAGATTTCTTCGTCCTTTGAGCCTTACCTCGTGCTTTGGATACAGCACCAAGAGAGCATGATGAACTCCAAGATTCTCAATTATATGGCTGAAGATAAACTGGTGCAATCTTCGGAGTCACTGGTTATACCCTCCAGCGCGGACCTGTTCAGAACTTACAGGTCTCTTTTGTCGCAAACTTTGGACTTGATTCAGGCTGGTCCTGGAAGGGACAGGATGTTAATTGAACTGGCTACTTTTTTTGACTCTTGGCTCAAGACTTACTCCTCAAAGATTCTTAACCCACTTTTGATTTCCACCGATACCAAGATCGAAAATAAAGAAGAATCGATTCTTTATACACTTTTAGTGCTAAACACAGCGGACTATTGCTCAACCACCATACGACAACTTGAAGAAAAATTGGCAGAATATCTATCGGCTGAGAAGGATCTGGTACCTATATTTGATAAGGTACAGATGCAATATGGGGGGCTGATAGCGGGCGCTATGGATGTGCTGGTGAATTCGCTCGTTGCTCCCGATTTGGCTTTTGCATGGAGAGAATTTGACAACACAGATTGGAGGACCGTTGCGGTGGAGGACTATAGTAGGTATACAGTGACGTTGAGGGGAATTATCAGAGATGAACAGTCTATCATCAAGAAAATTACGTCCAAGTTCAACCGAGAGATGTACAGCTGGAATTTTATGGATCGCGTTATTGAGTTAATTTCAAGCGGCTTTCTTAATTGCATAATTCGACTATTGAGGCCGAAACCTCCTCTCGCAAACTTGAGCATCAAGCGGAACTTTCAGGCTTCGCAAGTCGTTGTTATTGGAGAGCAATTGCAGCTTGACGCCGAATGTTTGAAGGAAGCGCTGAATTTTTGGGCGGATGATTCAACAGATTTGATAAATGGCAGTAATACCTCCTCAAAAAGAATAAAAAAGCATATAGATCAAAACATGGAGGATACTATCATATTATTGAAACTACTAATTGTACCACTTGACGACCCTGAGACGTATCAAGAAAACTATGCTGCCATCACTAACCACAATGTGAACATAGTATCCTGGTCATTCGTATTAGCGTTAAAGTGTCTTCCTTGGGATCTTGCTGAATGGAAACGATTGTACCGAATTTTTCAAGCCTCCTCCCAGTCTGGTAAACTTGAAATTTTGCCCGCCTTAGCAAAATGCAAGCCCTTACTTAACCAATTCGAATATGACTTTACGCATGTCGCCGATAACACATGGCAGAAATTTGTTCGAGATGAGCTAGGCATTCGGCTTATGCAAATGCCCTATAATCCCAAAGCGGGATCAGGCTCCTCCATGGCCCGGGTGCCATCCGGCAAGATAAACGGTAACATCAAAAGTTTAATGTCAAATACAGGATTTTTCAACAGAGGTGGTTAGCCTCAATGTTAGGGTCGCCAATGGAGGCACCGTATATCTAGTGTATAATGCAGAAACGATTTTTTTTATCATATATCGAATGTCAGTCACGACTTGGAACTGGGTTGCACCCGGTAGCAAACCTGCGTGCGAACTTGATGATCATTGGTAGAGAAGCTTCTGAATTGAACTTTTTCACTGTCTGCTATTTCTGCAGGACTAGAATCTGCCCATTCGAGTGGTACTTTGGCATTGGCGTCCGTGTACGCTAGAACATTAAATGTATAATTATCTTCCCCGTCGTCGAGCTCTGGAAGAAACGTAACGCTTGCAGTGATCTGCCGCATTAAAGCGCGAATTTGCTTCTGGGTCTCATCCTGGTTGGAATTCAGCTGCGCTTGGTCTCCATTAGCGCCTTCTTCGGTGCCCTGTGCGGTGTGTTCAACGTCAAACTCCCATCGTTCCACTATTTCGCAACTTGGCTTGTCCACAATACATAAAACCAATTTATTACATTTTCCCCCTAGTAGCCACCGATGTACTTGCTGGAGAATCTGTCTTATATATGTCTTGAGTTCGTCGTCGTGGGTCTTCAACAAATTCAAGTCATACTTCCTAACCGCAACAAAATCCTCAGATGGATACACCGCTCGTTGATAGAGTATTGAATTGATGCTGTATTCGAAAAACTCAGTTACTGTCCTTGTCGAACCTTTGAGTGAAAGCTGTGAAGACATCTTGGTCGAGCGATCTCGCAATTGATTAAAATTTGGAATAAATATGGATTTGATCTCGATGATATATACTTGAAATTAACATGCCGTACCTAACAGGAAACAGGAGAGAATCAAAACTGCAGAACTTCTGCTATCTAACAATCAGGAATTAGCGTTGAATGGTAAGCTTATCTCTTAATTTAATTTCAAAGGTCAAGTAGAAACTAACTAACATTCAAACAGCATGGTGTGAAAAGGCGAGAACTCAGCCAAGAGCTTCTCCGAAAGAAAAGGGCTCGTGATGCTGATAAAATCGCAACTTACAGAGCATTAACAGCCCAAGTGCTGCAATCGAAAAGGACCGAATTATATACGCCGCAAGAATTAAGGTCAACTACAAAACTGTTGGAGCTTAATCCGGAGTTCAATGCAGTGTGGAATTTCCGCCGAGATATCATAACAGCACTTAAATCTCAGCTTGACATGGAATTTTGGGATCATGAAATAAAGTTTACAACAGCGCAGCTCAAAGCGTATCCCAAGGTTTACTGGATTTGGAACCATCGGTTTTGGTGTCTGAAGGAGTACCCAGGATCGCCTATGGAAAAGTGGCAGATGGAGCTGGCTCTTGTGAACAAATTACTGGCAATGGATCCTAGGAACTTCCACAGTTGGCATTACAGACGGATTGTGGTTGAGCAGCTGGAGAACTTAACGGGGGTGAGCTTAAATCAGCAAGAACTAGACTACACTACCGAGAAGATCAACGCAAATATTTCAAACTTCTCGGCCTGGCATCAACGTGCAAGCCTGTTGCCACGTATGTTTTTGACGGGCCAAATAGCGGACAAGAAGGCTTTCATTAATCATGAGCTGCAATATATTACCAACGCCATTTTCACAGACGCGGAGGATCAGTCAGTATGGTACTACGTTAAGTGGTTTGTGAAGAGTGACTGTGTCTTAGAGAACACGACTCAAGAAGAATATAAGAATATGTTGCGGCAGTTGAGAGAAAGCATTATAGTGATAAATGAAGATGAGAAAGAATTTTCCGGTAAAGAGAATATATGGTGCTTGAAGCTGCTAATATTTTTGGGAACTATTTTGGAGCAGGAATTCGAAGTCGAAGCGTTTTCAGAAAAATCCGGTTTATTGAAGAAGTTGATTGAATTTGATCCATTGAGGCGTAGCCGTTACTTACACCTGGAAAAAGAGAAATAAGCTCCAAGGTTCAATGGTATCGCCATGCTTCGAACCTGGTTAATGCAATTTACTTTTATATTAACTTCTAATACTACTTAAATTACAACTGAGATAGGCCTGGGTCACGTCATACCTTTTCTCTTTTGTATGGATGCTTACTCGATCTTTCGTCATTTATTCTTTTTCTGGTCAGCACGTATCTCCTTTCTCGTATAGTGAAGTCCCTTTCCCCGCAGAGAAGTTCATCGGAGAGTATGTTCTCTGGTTCTTTTAAACCGCGCTCCAAACCGGCCTGCTTTTTCAACTCGATGAACGTTTCTATGCCAATATGTCGTAGGTTCTCCGTCAAGTTATTTCTTAAATCAGAGAGGTCGAAAACGTTTATGAAAAAATTCAGTATGTCGAAGTATGCCTCACTTACTGAAGGCTCGTCACTTTCAAATAGCGAGTACCTAATATTGGGCCAAGAAGTCCCCTCTGTCAGCTCGCAGGCGACTTTAAGCACCGCCAAGGCAATTGTGTGTTGGGGGACCATTAGTAAAATTTCGAGTTTTAGGGCGTCAAAAGCTATCAGCCATGCCAAATGTGCAACCTCACGGTCAAGTGATAAATCTTTAGCAATCTTCACTAATATATCGTCAATGTGGACGGAGTTGTTAACTCTGTAGTCAAAACAACAAGTTTCTAAAATTCGAAGTTCAAGTTGTACTATGCGTTTTTTGCAATTGTCTACCACTTCAGGTGACAGTTTCTGCACGTTGCGCAGCCGCAATGATAGTGTGGCCACGTCTGTTATTTTCTTAATTGTCTCCACTTGTTTGCAACTCAAGAACAAGCAGCTGGTTGCCACATCGTAACATAGCTCTGTCTCAAATTTGTTAAAAAGGTAATATCGCTGGTAAAAATACATTGCTGTTTCCAGCGTTTTCCGAGGAAATTTGAATTGGACACACATATCACATAGGAGCTTGAACACCGACAGTCGTTTTTGATTATAAACTCGCCGATCCGGTATTGTATTCTGTTGCGCTCTCTTTATTTGAGCTCGAGTCAGATAAGGCCGAGACAGCATTATCTGCGTCTGAAATGTTCCGGACATACTCTGGACAAGTTTCACCACGGAAAGAGCACTTAGTCACCAGCTAATTGGGACTCAACGTCTCATCGGCTGTTCCATTGCAGGTATACTCTGAATTTTTCAAATGCTAGCTATTTGTATGTCACTAAATACGCCTAAAATATCTTAAAGTTGTTCTACTTTAGTCGAGCTGAGACCATCAATCACACTTGAACTCAAAGTATGAGCGATCAGATTGACTTTGTCCAATTGATTCATGCTTCTGTAGGTTAGAAATTTTGCAGGACAATGTGCTCTTTTCTATTATAAGGCTTTAGAGGTCGACCGATGTATGAAAGTGATCGTACCATGATCCGTAATTAGACGTTGACCAAATTCGTGTTTATAAAGCTTAACGAACACGATGTAAATTGTCGGAGCTTGAGATTCCACGACGGCGCTGTGATTATCGTATGGCCTCTGATTGTTCTAGGGATTTTGTAACAAAGTGCCTGGGGCCAAGCGACATGAGATAACACCACCTAATTCTGCAAGAGTCTGGTTGTCAAGGATTCTAGATCTTCCAAGGACTCAGGTTCCTCCATCTCAATAACGCGCGCATGTCTGTCATTGGCTGATGGTTTATCTTTTTTGACGTAGCTCTCGCTCTCATAGCCACTGTCACTGGCGCTGTCATATTTAGCTCTTTTGGCAAAATGACCAGATTCCTCCGACGATGACACATCCAGGTCCTCATTCAAATCACCAGTTCCCAATGTGACCTGGTAAGGGCCACTACCCTCGTCATCCTCACTGTCCATTTCAGTCTCTTGCTCTCGCCTCAGGGCCTCGAGACGCTTTCTCTTCTTTTCCTGTCGTTTCTGTTTGGCAAGTTTCTTGTCTGCTATATCATGAGTTTTCATGGCCTCGGATTCCTTTAGAAGGTAAGCATCCTTTTGCTCCTCAGCAGCGCCCTTAGCGTGGAACTCATCTTCGCCTTCCAATTCGTAGATAGGATGAGCCTCTCCATCGTCGTCAAATACCAGCTTAGAGGGGTTTCCCTTACCGGCAAGTGAGGCTTTTTTTGAAGTCGCCTTTCTTTGTGCCCTCTTAGAAGTTGGGGCAATCAATTGCGGCAAGTCTTCTTCATTTATCTGATGATCATGGCGCTTAATGGACATAAACCCTTCTTCCTCGTCTTCGTCTGCCTGTGCTTTCGTGACATTGAGATAGTGTTCACTCAATACAGTTTGGTTTCTACGGTCGAACATTTTATCGATCTTAGTCCTGACCTCCTTGGTGCGATCTTCGATTTCGCCGTCTTCGTTGGCCTTTGAAAGCGCTAGCAACTGTCTTGAGGTATTTTTGAGCTCCTTGGCTTTCTCTACAGATTTCATACCCTTCATCTTTATCTTGGGTGCTCCGGGAAGCCCTAGTGAGTTTGCAAATTCTTCATTGGGCAGCTCTTCGAATTTAAACACTTCCTTGTCTTTTTGAATGTAGATGGACCGCACATACGATATGAAAGCCTTTTGGCCCAAGTACTTGAGCTCGGGATCTTGAAAGAGTAGTGATTGCAATTGTGGTTTGATGGACTTCCTCCGCGATTGTTTGATGGTTAATTTGTTAGGTTCAATATGCCTCTGCTTTAGCCTCTTCAAGAAACCTTCCTCTTCCTGAGGGGTAAGCATTATTAGAGATTTTCCTTGTTTACCATAACGAGCCGATCTCCCGACCCTGTGGATATACGTGTCAACATTTTCAGGGCAGTCCGCTTGAATGACCCAATCGACAGCCGGAAAATCAATGCCTCTGGCAACCACGTCCGTGGCAAAGAGGCAAGTGTGTTGAGCTCTGCTGTATTTGTCCAACGTCTCCGTCCTGGCCGTTTGTTTCTGTCTCCCATGAAGGTGCATCAGAGATATTCCGGGTTGAAGCTTCCTGAACGTTTCATATACGAAATGTACTTGCTTTGAGCTGGACAAAAAGACAATCATTTTGGTCTTAAGATGAGTCTTTATGAAACTGTAAAGAATATCCAGCTTGTCGGGAAGCTCTACTCCAATGTAGGACTGTTGGAGCGTTTCTGGGGTGGTAGGCATATTAGCTGACTCCTTGACTTCGGCAGTTCCGATAGTCTTATAATCTGTCAAAGACAGTCTTGCAAGGTCCGCTAAAGATTGTGATTGCGTGGCGGAAAACAACAGCGTTTGTCTTACTGGAGGCAAGTTGGTAACAATAGCGTCCAAAGTTTTCTTGAACCCCATATCTAGGCACCGATCAGCCTCATCGAGGACTAGAACTTGTAGATTTGAAGTGTTGAGCCCAACGGCTTGGTCCATATGCTGCAATATCCTTCCTGGAGTACCAACGAGAATGTTGATCTTCGCAATACGCTCCAGCTCAAACTTCACGTCTTTACCACCAATAACAAGCCCTGCGGAAAAAGATGTGTACCGTCCAATCTTCGCCAAGACCTCGTAAATTTGCATGGCCAATTCACGAGTCGGAGATATGATCAGAGCGCCCAGACCGTCGAACTCTGTCCATTTTTCGCGGTACAGCTTTTCGATAACGGGCACCAGAAAGGCTAGCGTCTTACCCGAGCCTGTCCTTGCTGCTCCCAGTATATCGTGGCCCTTTAGGGCCACTGGAATGCACTTCTGTTGGATTTCTGTCATTTTGACGAAAGCATTGTCTCGAAGGCCCTTCACGGCGTGATGACTCAGGGGCAGCTCCTTGAAAAGAGTGTGCTTGGAACTTTCAGCATCATATTCGTCTATCTGAGCCTCAAGGTTTGCGATGTACTCGTCTTCCTTTTGCCTAAGCTGTTTCCTAGTTGCCGTCGTAACTCTCTGTTTCTTTGCCATTCTTGAGAGTTTTTGTTCTTGGGATTCCTCAATCAGAGATCAAACTTAGCCGGATGTAACTCAAGAGTTTAAGTTGAAACCCAAAGATCTTATAATAAAAAATTGGCTAGTGCCGTGTATCTTCTATATCTGTGATTGTTGATGCGATGCCCTCTGATGCCCTGCGATGAGCTTTGAAAAATTCGTTCACTTTTTTGAGACGCTGAGATTCACTTCCGAAAGCATTTTTCACGACTAGCTCTTTGTAGATGATCAGTCAATGGCTCTCAATGAGAGGACAAGTGTGTGATATCTGATCTTCTGAAGGCCGCATTTTCATTGATAATCGCGAATTTTGCGCATTCCATTTGGAAACAGCTAAATTCTGGGGAAGAATACGCTAGACTGGCGGTCTGAAGCCCTGTTCATAAGCTCATTCTACATTATCACTTTGTTCGATAATGGCACGTCGTCGACTAGCCCGTCGAAAATTCAAGCTTGCACTGACTGTCGGTGCCGGTGTGCTTGACATTTCCTAGAATCATATATCTAAAGTACTTGTGTCTGCCGATATTAAGATATCGGAGCGAGTCGGCCTAGCTAACCTACTAAACCGTTCGTTCAAACTGTTGATAGACATCGTGTGTAATATTCTGAGCACTTAATGCTATATCTAGAGAGGTGAGCTTGTAAGGTGACTTTTGGCTGTCTCTCCTTAATTTAGAGCTGTAGGTCCGGGCCATAGCGAGGACATATAGTCGGTGTTGATACATAATTCTGGCGGTGATAATCTGGGTGTAGTAAGAGCTGGATATCCCAGCAGTTCCATCCAAAAGTACAAATTGCTAGGTTTTTAGATAATTGACATGGCTGGTCAGGGCTTACTTCAAATTCCATTGGTTGACCACTCGCCTTTGACACATTTGATTCACAGACGTCGCTATGATCACTTAGAGCTATACTGACATAAGGTTAACAGTTTTCCACTATGCAACTGGATGCCATTGAAGTAGCAAAAAATCACTACCACTCGGTAGTCCTAACACATATAAAAACGCCGATCGAGTTGGTCTAGTGAGTCGGTCTCAGCAAAAAATTGTAGCCACACACACTTTACTCCAACTCAGTCTGAAACCATACTCGCGGCCCCGCTGATATTTGTGTCCTGGTAATTTGCTGGCACTATACCAGGGGGAATAAGGTGACATCCCCCATAAATTACAATGAGCTGGCCCCAACACTTACAATTAATCAGGTGCGGGGCAATAGTTACCACTCTAATAGAAGAGTAGTGTATATTCGATTATTGAAGTTTGGTACGCAGGTCACGTTTATCACGATGCTAAGTCTACCACTTTTTTTGGCTACCTAACGCACAGAGGCTTTCTGTCAGCGAGTTGTAGCCAGTTGTGTCCCTCGGTCTGTAAGTAGGTGCATCTGTCTAGCTGACAAAATCAATTTACTAGGTTGGTGTCAAAGTTTGCCTTTCCCCTCGGGCAAAACTAATGTCTCTCGTTTTTCTGTGATTTACCTTTCCTGCCGAATAGAAGCGAGCTACGTATGCAGAAGAGTTTGGGCAAACGTTCACTCGATGTGAACGGAGATTTGGAACTACCAGGTAAGAGATCCCATAGTTCGAACTACAGGACCTTCGGCAAATTTCCCAGTAAGAAACCAGTTTTGCCCATCTTTGAACGATCTGGTTTGCTTGAGCTAGAATCCCACAACGTCAAGGGTGTCCAACTACAGCACATTGAACCGTACGATCGCATGTCGCCTGCCACCTTTTACCAGAAGCATGTTATTCCTCTTCACAAGCAAACACATTTCCGAGCTATGGTTTGCCATGACGAAGATGACAGCTACCACAAAACGTACGACCTTTTCGATCGCAGCAGTTATCTCATAGGGAGGAGGTTGAGCTCCGAAGAGGAAAATCCCGAAGATCTGGAGGAGGAAAAGGAAGTCGTGTTGGCCGATATCCCGATTCCCGAAGAAACATGCTCTAAGCAACATTGTGTGATTCAGTTCCGTCATAGGAATGGTCAGCTAAAAGCGTTTGTCATCGACTTGGATTCATCCAACGGTACTCTTTTGAACGATAATACCCTGCCTAGGGCGCGTTATGTGGAGTTAAAAAGCGAAGATGTGCTGCGCTTTTCTACAGCTGAATCTGACTCTGCTTACTTTCTGGTCTTCGTGGCAGCGTAACATGTACCTGAGCAACGAGAGCATATAAGTTCCGTCAAACAAATGAAATCGCTTTACAGGCGCTAAGTACATTTTATACAGGGATCTAAGAGCACTCCCGAATGGCAGCATTATAGTATCCACTCCACCAGTAGTTTCATGGAATGCAAATTATGCTTATGCACGGCCCCAAGGCCCAGATCATATAGGAATCATTTTCCTACACTACAATTCGTCGTGGTCGAAATAGTCATCATCATCTTCTTCTTCTTCTTCTTCGTCATCATATCCGGTGGCACCAGCGCCTCCATATAGCTTCGACGTGATAGGGTAAGCGACCTGAGATAGAGACTCGAATTTTTCCTTGAAGTCGTCGGCAACAGCGGTGTCAGAGTTATCTTCCATCCATTCCAAAACGTCATTCACGGCATCCAACAAAGTTTCTTTGTCTTCCTCTTCCAACTTTTCAGATAGTTCACCGTTGACTTGGTTCTTCAAAGAGTGGGCATAGTTTTCCAATTGGTTACGAGCCTCAATCTTGGACCTGACTTCAGCGTCCTCAGAAGCAAACTTTTCAGCCTCTTCCACCATCTTTTCAATTTGTTCAGGGGTCAGTCTGCCTTTGTCGTTGGTGATGGTGATAGAATTAGACTTCCCGGTTCCCTTATCAGTGGCAGACACCTTCAAAATACCATTAGCATCCAGCGCAAAAGTGACCTCAATTTGAGGAACACCTCTTGGGGCAGAGGGAATGCCAGTCAATTCGAATTGACCTAGTCTGTTGTTGTCCTTGGCCATAGCTCTTTCACCTTCGTAGACTTGAATCATAACAGTTGGTTGGTTGTCTACTGCGGTGGAAAACATTTGCGATTTCTTAGTTGGAATAGCAGTGTTTCTTTTGATCAATGGGGTCATAACACCTCCAGTAGTTTCGATACCCAAAGTCAAAGCATTGACATCCAACAAGACAATGTCCTCAACACTCTCTTCCCCGGACAGCACACCGGCTTGTACAGCAGCACCATAAGCAACAGCTTCATCTGGGTTGATGCCCTTTGAAGCCTTCTTACCACTGAAGTGGGATTCTAACAAAGCTTGCACCTTAGGGATCCTTGTGGAACCACCAACAAGAACAATGTCGTCAATGTCCTCCTTATTGACACCAGCATCCGCCAAAACTTTTTCCACGGGCTTCAAAGTTCTCTTGAAAAGAGCCAAGTTCATTTCTTCAAATTTGGCTCTGGTTAGAGTTTCGCTGAAGTCAATGCCGTCAACAAAAGAGTCAATCTCCACGCGGGTTGACATTTGGCTAGACAATGAACGCTTAGCCTTTTCCGCCTCTCTCTTAAGTTTAGCCAAGGCTTTAGCATTCTTGCTGACGTCGATTCCGTGCTTCTTCTTGAACAATTGAATGAAATGACGGACAATCTTATAGTCGAAATCCTCACCACCCAAGTGAGTATCACCCGCAGTAGCTTGGACCTCGAAGACGCCGGCTTCGATGGACAATAGGGAAACATCAAAAGTACCACCACCCAAGTCGTAAACAATAATTTGGTGTTCTTCCTCAGATTTGTCTAGACCGTACGCAATGGCAGCAGCAGTAGGTTCATTTACAATTCTCAATATGTTGAGACCAGCAATGGTACCGGCATCCTTTGTTGCCTGTCTCTGAGCATCATTGAAATAAGCTGGGACAGTGACAACTGCATGAGTGACTTGCTTGCCTAAATAATCCTCGGCGATTTGCTTCATTTTGCCCAATATCATCGCAGAGATCTCTTCCGGTGTGAAAGTCTTATCCTCACCCTTTACAGTGACTTCAATAGCTGGTTTGTTGTCCTTGTTGACAACCTTGAAAGGTAAATGCTTGAGATCTCTTTGAACAGAGTCATCGGAGTATTTTAGACCAATCAATCTCTTGACATCAAAAACGGTGTTGTGAGGGTTGGCAGCTGCTTGGTTCTTCGCAGCATCACCAATTAGCCTTTCTTCGTCGGTAAACGCGACGTAGGAAGGTGTGATCCTGTTACCTTGCTCGTTGGCCAAAATTTCCGTTTTACCGTTTTTCATCACCGCCACACACGAATATGTAGTACCCAAATCAATACCAATCACAGTTCCGTAGTTGTCCACTTCGTCGGCCGCTCTTGCAAACCCGTGCGACGAGCGCGACTGCGATGTTAGTGGTAGAGCCACTAGAAGTATCGCATACAAGATAGCCGCGAATGAAACCATCCATCCTCCATTTCTGGCACGACTGAAGACCATGTTTCCTTAGCTTAATTCACTAACCAGCAGCTTCTTGACACGTTTCAGATCTCAGCCAAATGTGTGCTTAAACTCTGAGGAAACCAATGAGCTTTTGTTACAATCGTCCTGCTGTAAGTTCATCTCAACATTGTGTTTCGTGTTTATATAGGTGGCAAAATCCAAAAAGACACGTTGGTCAAAATTGAAGTTTCTAGAATATCATTACATACGTTGAGGAAGCAAATGCCAGCGTCACGAAATGGGCAAAGTTATTATAAGGTTACCAAACTGGTCCAGAGAGTGGTTGAATGAAGCTATACCGTCCATTCCAATGCTCTTGTGCTGAAGTCAATTGGCGTGTTTGTTCTTCAACTATCTCAAAAGGTTAACAATAAAAAATATAAATGACAGTATTTTGTGGACGCGCCAACATCGTGGTGCGTAACGATTGATTCCTAGGAGGTCTCGGTTATTTGATACACTTCTTAACTTCAGAAGGCACAATTTTTCAAACCATAAGCTTCTGCCTACATGGCAGCAGCTGTCACTTTATTCGTAAGTGACACTTTGGATAACAGTTTATCAAGATAGGACACCTCAATAATCGATTTCAGATGGTGCTTCAAGGACAGTTGAGTTATGGCCCTATGGCTGAGCCCAGGTTTTAACTAGCGTTATAAGAGACTACTTAGCAGCTGCCGGCTAGTAATAGGTAGAGAGAACTAAGCGTGATTTAATCTATTTATTATATTTATCTATCGAACCGGATCGAAACACGACATACAGCTACATGGTGGTTCGAAGTAAATTATACCTTCTGGCCCTCGGCCTATCTCCCGATATGTGAAGAGCTCCGACAGCGTCCCAGCCCAGTTTGGACGATAACACATGGAGCTGAACTTCAGAAAGTTTTGAAATTCCGGTAACTGTTCACAGTCCGCTGGATCCTGCTAGCTTGGGTTACCGCGATTAGAAGCCTTGGAGTCATCCTGGGCAAATAAAACGTTCCATGATGCTATCACAATGTCAGCACTTCGTGGCTCGTAAACAGTGCTACCGTCAAGTGATTAAGTGCACGAACTACGAATGATGTCGAACGATGGCCAACCATGCCAGTGTGTCTCCGCCCGCTCCAGCGCCATTACAATGGGCTTAGATCTTCATGTTAATTACATGCGGATGGCTACCAAGCTTGCGAGGTACGCTTTGGACCACGATGAAACTCCTGTTGCATGTATTTTTGTTCACACGCCCACTGATCAAGTTCTAGCGTACGGGATGAACGACACGAATAGATCGCTGTCAGGAGTTGCACACGCTGAGTTCATGGGCATTGCCCAAATACAAGAGAAATTCGGGGCTCAGAACACAGCAATCTTCAAAGACGTAACCCTATATGTAACAGTCGAGCCATGCATCATGTGCGCATCGGCATTGAAGCAACTGGGGATTCAGAAAGTCGTCTTTGGATGTGGCAACGAACGGTTTGGTGGGAACGGGTCAATTCTGTCCATTCACCGAGATTCATGTACCGTCCCTCAGAATAAACACGAACTGATACCTGGGGTTCTGAGAAAAGAGGCCATCATGCTCCTTCGATATTTTTACGTGCGAGAAAACGAACGTTCTCCCAAGCCGCGGGCCAAGGCGAACCGAAAACTTGATGTCTCTGTATTTCCACCCATGAATTGGGGCCTATACCTTACTCGAAGCGAATTCGAGGAAATATTCGGGGCTTCGAAGATAGAATATTTCGACAAGAGCTTAGATTTGAGCACACATGTCGATTGGAGCCTCATTGATTGTAACCAAGATATATTCTTTCAGAACCTTAAGGTCGAATGTGAGCTATTTTCGCTACAAGTTGCCAAGAAACCTAAACCGCAAACCATAAGTTCATAAAACAATTAAAAATGCATTATACCTAGTACCTGACAGCGCATTTGTCTCACAGACCTTCTTCCACCTTGGTCCAAACGTCGACCATTTTTTTGTAGAATTCTATTTGATTATCAGCGAGTGACGTCAACGATGTCTTGAGTTCCTTAGTTTTAATCTCCTCGAAAATGGCCACCTCTTTTAGGACCTCACGTTCGAACGCATCGGCAACTTCCTTGGCATTTTCTACCTCACCAGTTAGCGAAGTTATTTTAGTTTCCAGCTTCAAGATCTTTTCACGCCGGGCAGCTTCCTGGTTGATTCCTGCAAGTTCCTCTAGCTTGCTGGTGAAAAAATTTCCACCCCCGTAGCCAGAAATTAAGTTATTCTTTTCATTGATAGATCTTGTCAAATAGTTACTAAGCTCTTCGTAGTCAATTTGTTTCTGGTCCTTCATCTTGACGGTCTGGTTAACCATATCAATGTAGTGTTCCAAATCTTTGAGATCAACGATGTACTCATACTCCAGGAACTTACTCAAATCTTTAAGCCCATATGAAAGTTGTGATACTCCATCATTGAAAAGTTTAACCTTAGACCTGAGATTTTCATCTTCAGCTGTACTGTTGGACACTAATTCTTGCAAGTCCTGTAAATTTGCACTAAATTTCAGATAGTCATCTGAAATAGAATCCTGCCGTTTGACAACTCTGTGAAAGACCTTGTCAATTTTGGAAACATTGTGGTCCAGTTTGTCGCTCTTTTCTTTAATCTCCACAAATTCTTCTGTTTGGTTGTGCACAGACTTAAATGCATTCATGAACGTGTCGCTCACTTCTTCTTTGCTACCATTTAAGGTACCTGAGAGACTTCTGCGGTAAGCATCCCAGTCGCCGCTTGTCAGAAAGGTCATTAAAATGTGTGATTTTGACAAAACAGGGTGTTCCGAGATTCGTCTCAAAAAGTTTTGCAGGCTATGACATCTTTTTTGAGTGAAGGATTGACTGAATCTGTCGCCGGCAATGTACTGGAACACTTTTTTATCTGGTAGCGGTGGGATCACACACGTTGGATGATCTTGGCTTAAAATACTTTGTAGTAGAAGAAAATCGCTGTACCTCCTGTGGACAACTATTATCTCAAGTCCAGCTCCATCCGAACTTTCCTCACTACGGCTTTCTTGCTTGTGGAATGCTTCGTAGTAGGATTTGTCATTAGTCTTGGTGGAAATTTGATACGTCACATAAAATGATGTTTTTCCCTGGTCTCCTCTTTGCTTCTGTGGATCCGAAACTAATATCGATAAATGAGGTGTTTCTTTGATATCTTCATGCTCCGTCATGATCGGACGTGGGATGAGTTCGAGTTAATCCCGGTTATATGAAAGTTTTGTAATGTCTGAGCAGTTGAGTGACAACAGAGACGAAAGCTTGAATCTATCAAGTATTACTGTAAACGGCTCGATGAGGCTTCGGTGGCTCGCCGAGGAGCTTTGTTGCAGTTCAACAAGCTGTCTGGACGCAGGTTATGTATTCTCGCCGCTTGTTGCAAACCCCTTTGGTTCCCATCAACATAAACTTATATAATGTGTACCTTTGTACGTCTCAGCCAGCAAACTAGAAATAATAGATGACTTTCCGAATAATCGACAGATTGCGGATTGACTGTTGTGTTTTGAGCCAAGCGTCGCGTCAGCGCATTTTACGTGACTTAAACTAGTCTACAGTCCGTCACTTCTTTGAGCTCCCCCCTCTTATTCGTCCCTCTACTAGCGCACAGTAGGATTATAGCTCCGTAGATTTCGAGCCATGACCAAACGCTCGCCACGAGCGTTGTTGCTGCAGGCAACCTTCTCATGTGCTTGATAGATATAGTTCTTCCAGGTTTGGTTTTGAAGCAATCAGTCGTCACTCACAATCTCAGCCTCAACTTCATCTATAATATCCCAGACTATATCATCAGCTATCTGCTCCTGTAGGATATCGTCGATAGTTTTGATTTCGGGAAACTGGCATCTTATGGTATCCCAGTATTTCAAATCGTCTTGACTTGTAATTATCTTTGCACTTCCCCCATTAAAGCAACTGACTGTGGGATAATAGCCCAATCTGCCATTATTGACGTATTTGTTTCTCAAGATGCTGCTTGTCTGTCGCTCATCGTGACCGGCCCCTATGTTTTCGGTGGCTACACCAGTACTAATCTCGTTTCTCCAATGGTTGAAGTATAGCTTTTCATTATACTTCAACTCGCTGAATGGTGGTAAAAAGGGCTTCAGGTTCTCAAAAGCGGAGCCTAGCTCCTTTCCATTCAAATAAACCTTGAGGTATGAGTCACGCAGCGAGTAGAATTCGTGACGTTCTCGTTTATCCGAAGTATAATATTCCGGTTTTGTGGTCTTGACGTAATCTGTGGCTTCAAAAAACAGCTGGTTCTTATAGCGGATTGCAATCTGGTCTCTGATCACATTGGTATAGTCTTGATCTCTTAAGAGATCTTTTTGAAATTCGCGACCCAGTTTTTTGGCTCTTTTCTTGACCGGGCCCTCCGTGGTGCTTTCCGCATACGATGACAAAGCATTGAGCTTTGCTTCAGTAAAGCTCTGTGCCTGAGAAATCTGCTCCTGTACAGTTGGCAGGTGGAGAACAAAACTCAGACGATCTCCGGCCTTGATGTGGCCCGTCGGTAAAACCTGGGCCAGTTTCCCGTCGTGAATAGACTCCATACTGAAGTTTCGAACACCGTATCCGTAGATGTCAAATCCCACAGGACATTCTAAAGAAGCTTCCCGCCTTGACACACCAAATCTAACGTGAGGCACGCTGTTAAGTTTATCCTTCAACGATTTGACAGAACCCCCAGGCGGAATCTCAAGACCACCGTCTTTTAAAACTTCAAGTTCCCAGTACGCTGTCCCCTCCTTGATACAGGCGTCGCATCTCGCGGTTCTCCAGCCCAATGGCTCTTGGACACCGACCATGTCGTTCCTATTCTCCGCTACGGCCAAATCATCTGCCCTATCCATGTAATTGAAACCAGCCTTCTCGAAGGGGTACTCGCTTGTCGCATATTTCAATGTCTTGAACAGTTCATTTGCAGCGCAGGGTGTGTAAACGAAGCATCTCCTGTTGAGCGGTATATCCTCCGGCTTTATAAGCTCCTCGTTGATTCTGGAAAAACTTGGAAAATGGGGCCTCGGAACCTCATTTTTTTGGCCCTTCTGCACAAAATCCGCATCTGGTTGATATGGAATGGCAACAAACTTCATAGACTCTTACTAGAAACCCTTTTTGACCCCATTGATACGCTGCTCGCTCAGAACCTATGGCTATTCCACTCTCGGAAACAAAACAATGAGGACCTTAATCACATGATCTTTCAGACGACAGCCGCCGAAGTTCCCCAAAGGCTTCCTTTTCCGCTATATATCGACTTTCCGAGCAGCGTTTGTTTATTCTCCACTTTGAGTCTACAGTTGTGTTGTTGTACAAGCAAACGCTGCTTGAAATGGCCAATTGAGTGCCCCTAAACGTGTACCGTATCCCCGCGATTAAAACCCAGCGAGAAATTCCCATACCGCAATAATGTCATAAGGTAAAACACGTTACAACTACCTACTGTCTGATAAAACGCACCTAACAGCTTTTGAAATGTTGTTTTTTCGAGTGGAGGCAAGACAGAGGTTCCGGGACAATCTCAAAGGCAAAGGCTTCCCAGTTCTCAATCATCTTAGAGAGTTTTAAGCCACCCAAAGGTTTTGGTCATGGACCGAAGGTTGATTTTGGGCTAATCTCCAGTTAATCAAAGTCAAGTTTCCGTTGTCATATCAAGTTTCGATGTCCGATATATCATAAGTAAATTTCATTATTTATTATGAATACATCAAAAATCAACATCAGTTTGAGACCCATAGCTAGGATCTCGGAATCCGTTCTGAGTAGTTGAACGCACAGGATCGTTCGAGATTGGTAGGATTTGGGCCGGGACAGGAGATTCAGATCAATGAGCGGTGATAGTCGGAAGAGAAGTAGTTCGGAGGCTGGCAGCCCAAATGTCAATGACTCTAAAAAAAGGCCATCGTCAGCAATCATGGCCATCACTAGATCGATCGCAGCGTGTAAAAGATGCAGAACGAAGAAGATTAAGTGTGACCAGCGTTTCCCTACGTGCTCGAAGTGCGCTGCGGCCAACGATCCGTGTGTTTCGGTGGACCCGGCGACCGGGCGAGATGTGCCCCGATCTTACGTAGTTTTCCTGGAAGACCGGCTGGAGGCGATGATGAACAAGCTCAAAGAGTGCGGAGTTGATCCCACGCACATTCAAGGAAATATTCCGGCAACTGATAGGGACAACCCTTGCGACTTGAAGCTGTACGAAGAGCAAATGAGAGATGAGCATAAGATACCGCACGATAACATCATGGCCGGCTACATTATTAACCATGGAACATCGATCCAGAAAGGTGTGAGTAAAGGTGCGAAGGGAGAGGTGAAAAGCTCTCCTGGCGAGCCCGTATCCGAGCTAAGCGAGTCTGCCCGGCGTCTGGAAAGTCTCGGCTCTATGAAGCGTTCACAACACAAATCTGGCGAGTCTGCGCTAGGTGCAGCTTCCAATTCGTATCTTGGAGATTCTTCGGGGATCCCTTTTGCGAAATTGATCTTTACCGCAATCAACTTCCTCCCAGACGCCGTTGAAGAAGCAGCAAAGCAGGAAGAGGAAGAACCAGAGAAAAAGGATGAAGATTTAGTGGTAGATATCTCCTATCTTCCCACGAAAATGGAGGCTCAGGAATTAGTCTCCCAATACTTCGCGCGTTGCAACTCCCAGCTCCCAATTTTGCATCGAGAATATTTCTTAAAGAGATACTTCGAACCTATTTACGGAACATGGGACAAAAGCGTGTCTATGTGTTCCGACACTACACTGATAAATGAAAATTTCACTCTCCCGCCGGACAAGATTGATGAGGACCTCGTTGGAGACCCCTGGTATGATCCACTGTTATCCGAAGTCGACCGAGAACCCAAGGAAGTACCTAGTAAATTTCACACTCCATTGTTTTTCCTGAATATAGTAATGGCGATTGGGGACTCTGCCAAAATTTTGATATCTGACGAACGCCGGTCTGTCGCATTCAAGAATAGGGCGTCGACTTTCATGGACGCCTTGTTTAGATCCGACGACCTCATGGCAGCCCTTGCGGGTACTCTTCTCATAGCTCAATATTCTACAATGCGGCCAAACGTCCCAGGTGTTTGGTATACCATGGGATCTGCCCTTAGGTTGGCTGTCGACCTCGGACTACATGCGGAGAAACTCAACAGAAACTATGATCCATTTACCAGGGACATGAGACGTCGACTGTTTTGGTGCACATACTCCCTTGATCGACAAATTTGCGCTTTTTTCGGGCGTCCTTTTGGAATTCCCGACGAAAATGTTTCCACTGAGTTTCCCAGTGATCTAGATGATGCGCTCATTACGACTGCAGCCGATGATATAGAGGACTACTCGCAAGTGAAAAGTGCAATGGCATCATACAAGTGCGTTTCCAGTGCATTTTTTGTGCTGCGAAAACTTCAAGCTGAGATTGTCCAGGAGCTTTATGCCCGTAAGAATCTGCCGGACGGATTTACCACTATCCACGAGTGGAGGGAGCACATGAACGCTCGCTTGGATAAGTGGTACCAAAAAAAAGTGCCCAAAACCACCCGGAAAATGAATTGCAATTTTACACTCGAACTTTTTCAACTGGAACTTCACCACTCGAAAGTTTTGTTGTATGGTTTATGTCCAAAATCGATGACATTAGATGAACATGGATTCCGCATCGTTTATCACAACACCAAGGGGATTATTGACGTCTACTACAAGTTATGCCGGGAGAAGAATATTATGTACACTTGGGTTGCGGTTCACAACCTTTTCATGGCCGGGATGACATATCTGTATGTGTTGCATAATGCGAGTGTTGAACTCCGAGAAACTATTCAAGATCCGCAAAAAACGTGCGCACAGTTAGTGTACGTATTGGAAAAATTGGTTGGTAAGTGTGAAGCTGCACGGAAGGGATCGATCATCTTCAAGGTGTTGTCGGCTGTGATCCTCAAGTTACAAGTAGAAAACGCGTCTAAAATCCAGAGCGTACCGCAACAGGAAGACCAAAGAAGAGAAAGCGAGAGCAATATGGTAGCGCTGGGGGAAGAGTCTCCTTTGTACCACTTGTTGGATACTGGGAAAGGTGCGCTTGCACCAACAGTCGACTCTCGTGCATTAGATCAGTTTTTCTCGGAGCTTGACAAATTACCCTCTTTGCCGGGTCTGGCGGACGATTTCGATGGCTTGGATAAGTCAGGTCCAGTAGTGGGCCCAATCACGAGCGAGGACCCCAAATTCGGTCAAAGTCAAGTAGTTCCTGTGATAGAAGGCACTGACGATCTGAGTAATGGAATGGATGCTTCGGATCCGACGTCTAAGGCTTCTACTTGGCCGGAAATAAGCGACCCCAGGGACGGCCAAAGGGTTTACGACATGATGAGCCAGTTCAGCACAGAGACTATATGGGATCAGGTATTCAGTAATGGAGGGTTTGTGGGTTTAAACGGTTAGGCGAGATATGTGATTAGTGGCCCTTGATAGGGTGTTTCAAATAGTCAGGCGAGGGAGCTACACTTGTAACTACGTTTCGCCAAAGGTCTGTAATATGTAATTAAATTAGCCTCAATATTTGAGCCCCTTCTGACGCACTACTTGGATGGTTTTCTTAGGCCGGAGGTTGGCAATTTCTCCTGTTCAGCAGGATGTTCTCGTGATGCGACAGGAATAGATAATATAGAAGATAGGTTTTGGACAAGATTTGGAGAGTGCTTGCCCGCGTAGACAAACACAAACGAATCCAGCAAACTTTAGATGGAAAAGTAAGGAAACTAGTAAGTTGAGTGACTAAGAAGTAGTACTGATAATCTATTTGAAGGTTTGGTAAACAGTCATAGCAGAGCTGATGTGATCAAAGAACAACGAATTATGTTGCTAATTTTAACAAATATCATAAAACGGTTGTTTGGCCGAGCGGTCTAAGGCGCCTGATTCAAGAAGTTTTCTTAACACTGTAAAACAGTGTGAAATCTCAGGTATCGTAAGATGCAAGAGTTCGAATCTCTTAGCAACCATTATTTTTGGCATTTCAGTACCTATAAGAGCAGTTACCCACCAACATAAAGACACCATTCTATACAATACTTATCTTTGTTGTTCAGGAAGTCTTTATTGCAGGTTTTACACAAGCCAGTTGCCTTAGTCGAGATTTCAACCCACCTAAAAAATGAGCTAAATTCGATATCTTACGAGAAGTTGTCACATTGGCTTATAACTGCTTCAATTACTCTCGACGGTGTCTTATTGCTATGTACTCTTCTTTGTTAGCCGTTTTTTGGTCTCATGTCGTTGATATGTTACTGGTCAGTCATAATTAGACATGATGTCTGTGACACCATCCCCAAATATGACCCCGATCCCAAAAAGTATATAAGGAGCAGGAAAATTGAGGTGGTCTGCCGAGCTCAACATTTGAGTAAGTTCAAGTGGTCAAAGCTTTGAGCTCGAGTGTTGTGTATAGCTTAAGTAATTTAGTGACATATATTATCCATGTCAGCCACGGTTGAGCAAGATGCAGCAGATTTTGAAACAAAACTCGCGGGTAACTCTAGTTCGCATGCTTTGAGAGAAAACCTAAGGGCCCTAGCGGCAGGTGGGGTTGGAGGGGTTTGTGCGGTTCTTACAGGCCACCCTTTTGATCTACTGAAGGTACGTTGTCAGTCCAATCAGGCATCAGGGACGTTGGACGCAATTCGACGTGTTTTGATGGAAGCCCGCGGCCAATCAGGAGCACTGCCACTCAATCAAATACGAGGCTTCTACAGAGGGGTGATTCCACCGCTGCTGGGAGTTACACCCATTTTCGCGGTGTCCTTTTGGGGCTACGACATGGGTAAAAAACTGGTGACCTGGGGCAGCCTGCCTATCTCAGAAATCGCTGGCTCAAGTTCTAAAGAGAGGCCCTTGAGTACAAATCAATTGGCTTTGGCGGGGTTTATTTCGGCTATTCCGACAACGCTGATAACAGCACCTACCGAGCGCGTGAAAGTTGTGCTACAAACCTCGGAGCGTAGCTCCTTTGCTAGTGCTGCCCAAAAATTGATGCGGGAAGGTGGAATTCAGTCTCTCTTCAAAGGATCTTTAGCCACCCTGGCTCGCGATGGACCGGGGAGCGCACTATATTTCGCCTCGTACGAGGTCTCCAAACGGTATTTATCCAGAAATCGGGAAAGTGACGCATTGAGTATTTTTAGCGTTTGCGTTGCTGGTGGCATTGCGGGTATGGCTATGTGGATAGGTGTGTTTCCCATAGACACCATAAAGACAAGGTTACAATCGAGTTCTTCAGCTGCGAGTATGTCGGACGCGACTAGGGAGATTTACCAACGTGCTGGAATCAAGGGTTTTTTCCCTGGTATTGGACCTGCTTTGATGAGGAGCTTCCCTGCTAACGCTGCCACATTTCTAGGCGTCGAACTTACCCATCATTTCTTCAAGCAGTACAACATCTGAACGAGTTTCGGTGGCCATTGGTCTGAGATTTCCTTAGCATACTCAACGTTGGTAGCGGTGACAATAGCATCACCCCGTGCATACACATTATAAGAAAAGACTGACCAGCCTTTAGCAAGGGTTGTCATGTTTTTTGCAAGTGCTCACTACAGCAGTGGGCTTAACTACCATTGGTCATAATACAAACCTATTTAATCAGCATATTTCTGCCAGCCTTTGGGTTTTTCTGTCTTGCTAACCGTGTAGAATTTGGAAGTGCATGAATAACCCTTCCAAGTAAAATCGTCGTTTGGGTTGCAGTTGCAACGGTTTTGAATTCTGATGCTTTCTTCGATAGGACAAGAGTGGAAAGGCACATGGTAGTACCCAATATCGCCGAAATGGTGGATTTCAGAGCGATCCAAGAACAAAGCTGCGCCGATGGAATGCACTGGCGCATCGCCCCATCTTTCGTAGAAAAATCCACCTGCTTGATCAAGGTGGTCGAAATAGGCGGAATACGCAGGACCACGCCATAGGTCCAGCCATCCAACTTCAAAATTGGACCAGAAGTGGCATAAGTTGTAAGAAGCACCACCATCGTCAGATATGAAGTCCATCATGTTGTTTGGGTGGATCAAGTCCGGATTTTTCTCCATAAATTCTTTGGTAGTAGACCACAACGTCTTGATTGTCGCATCATATTCACGAAGGGAGATGGTAAACCCGTATTTCTTGCCGTTGTCCCTCATGAACTTGAAGATATCGTAGTCGACGTCGCAGTAAATCCGAGTGTCAGGTTCCACACGCCAGTACCAATCGTAATCATCCAGCAACTCGTGTCGGTAGAAGAACCCTGACTCAAAGCGGCACATATGCCTGTAGGAGACGGAGTCCCCGTAAATGATCTGGTTTTCGCGCATTTCTTCTCTGACTTTCGCGGCCTTGTCCTGGTCGATCCAGGGTGGGAAAGACCAATGTTCCTTCGGAACGACCCCGTACTTGGTAGATCCGCTAATCATCGCACTCGTGATGCGCTTGAATTCGTCGCTGAATTCGGCGTCGTTTAGAAAAACCCAGTCGTATTGAAACTTACTATTGAAACGGTCCTCGACGCTGGCGATCGACCCCAACAGCGAATAGAGATCCTCATCCCGCGCCAACGTTACAAACGTGGCTTTTTCTTTGGGTCCCGTATACTTAGGACGCGCGACTTTCCGATATACGTAACCGTTTTTAGCGTCTTTGGTGTTCACCTTTTGGCGTTGCAATATGGTGGAGCTTGTGCCAGTCCCAGTTCCCTGCACCACAAGCCATAATGTCGAGGCTACAATACACGCAGCTATCAGTGCACGAAAGACCCCACTCTTGACGTTCAATTCCATGTTTTTTCGGTAGTTTGCAACTGTTGTCTGGTCAAGGTTATCTTCTCCGTCAGGGCTAATTTTATCAGTTTGGTGACACCAACCAATAACTAACTGTACTTCGGGCTTTTATTAGCCCGACCACGACGGGAAAAATCAAAGTGACGAAAAGAGTGAAGGGTTTAGCATTGACCTCTTGTGGTGGCACTACTCAGTATGTATTAAGTTGGGTTGGGTGTAGATCACTTTCTTTTATACTAGTATATACCCGACTGCCGTCAGGACCTCTTAAAAAAACGCCCGCAATTCTGCTAGAATTTCCATGAAGAGTTGGCGATACGTTGAGCTTACAGTTCTCTTTTCAGTGGTTGCAGCAGTTGTAAGAGTCTGAGTGAGCTACATCTCTCTAAATTGTTTGCAATTATACAATTAGACAAGAATTAGGTAATAGATCTTTTGAGTGCATAATAATCCAATTTCTAGTGCAGTATTGCCATTTACTTGAGAGAGACTTTGAGCACAGCTCGCTGATATTGTTTGGTCCGACTGCTCAATAGCGGACAGCGTAGTTCTCCAAACAGGCCAGAGACGGTATTTTTCAAAGTCTCTCGCTCACCGTCAGTGAAAACATAAGTCTCACAGAGTAAAAAGTAACCCCTAGGCATCCGGTTTCTCAGCAAGTCATTAATTTTAGTGGCATGGATGGTTTGACTTTTATGCTACCAGCGACGAAAGTGGGTTTTATGCCTTCAAGCAAGAGTTCACAGCTATCGTGCTTCATATATACTCTCAATGACCATTTCCGTACTAGAGCGAGACTTTCTCTCACTCGCTTCAGTAAGATCAAGCCGGGCACCCATGATCGTTGGAAGCCTCGAGAGAAATGGGACTGAAACAGTATATTGCGATCTCCTCTTCTTGGGCTAGGAAAGGGCCAGCACAATCGATAGATAGTTCATCCAAATGATCTGCGCTGGCATTTGAGCTTGTGCGTTATTATGGTATCTCTGTGTCGTTTGGGTAGGTGTCCTAACTATGCCACTCATAGCTTTTAGGTAACGCTTCAGAGAAAGAGTATTTATGCGATTTAATTCACCATTATAGGAAACAAACATAAACTCTTGGAGGAAAGAAAGGTTATCACCTTTGCACATATTAATGGATGTACCATAAATACAGTCTGAGTGTTTGCTAACAAGGTCTTACCGTATATCCCTCCCTCTCGAGAAGGACGGGGGTTCATATCAAAACCGCTTCGTTCGAAATTTCCGGACGTAGTTTCCTTCAAAAAAGGCCCAGGCATCTAACCGGTTTTGAAATACTTCACAAAAATAACAGCTCGAAATCAGCGCGGGTTGAAAGGAGCTACTAAAGCCAGCCTAGCTTACACAAATCGTTTACATATCGCTGTTATCGAGTCCTGTCATCTGTCACGTGACACTTGCCAATTAATTCAAATTTTGTATCGAGCTATGTGATGTGCTGCTAGTCGGATTGCACTGACATCAACTGGGTCTCGTATTGAGAAAGCTTACTGCTCTTATGTCGAGCGTTGTACCGCATCCGTCTAACAAGCGATCCATATCTTCTACGATTGCTAATTTTTTCAAAAAGGAAACACCGGCCGATTACCATCCTTCGACGGCCAAGGACAAACCAAGTAATATAACTGCTAACTTTGAAGATGCTGATACTACAGAATTGCCGTCGGTGCCTGATTTGATCCTCTATGACTCATTTGACGGTGAAAGACCGCCACTGCTTCCAATAATGCCCCTACAAAGGCTCAAAATCCTGCGCCATAAACAGTATCTACGTCGAATGGAGGACTCACACTTGCCGAGCCATTTGGGGCCCATGAGCGCTAACGGGAGTGAGATGTCAAACCTCAGTCAGAGTCAGCTTCTTCCGCTACGTGTCCTCAAGCGGAATGCCTCTCAAGCCGCCACTAGACAACCGAGAAGCACCAAATCAAAATCAGTCCTGGGTAAACGGTGGAGTGGTGATTTCGAGTATGATCTAGCCGAGTACGATGTGGTAAAAAAGCCTAAGAATTCGAAAACGCAGGGTAGTAGCGACGTAAATACACTAGAATCTCCGAGGCTGTCGCCAGCGGTATTGAAGAAGGGCACCATGGGAGGGAAGCAAAGCATATCAGCTGGTCTATCTTCTACACAAGCTAGTTTACTTAATGGAAAGGCAATAGCAGACCAGCCACTCAATGAAGGTGGTATCAGGATAAAACCGGCCGTGAGGGAAGTTTCCGAAAGTGAAAAGCCAACGAAACCGCTACTGGCTTTACCCAGCTCAGGGTTCGACTTTGTGCAGCCTGGGACTGACAAGACAGCGGACACAACTAATGTTAACGATGCCAACACCAATAAACCGATTTTTGCGTTTTCGAAACCCTCTGAGAACAATACAGCTGAAACCAAGAAACCATTTTCTTTTGGACAAACGGACGCCCCAATTAACGCCACTAACGATAGGAATGAGAATCAAGAACAGCCAAGCGAGAAATCCAAACCACCTTTCGCACTCGGAGGCACAACGGAGAAGAAACCCGCTTTCTCATTCGGAAAGAGTAATGATGATTCAACCTCTAAAGCAGCTCCGTTCTCATTTGGAAAGGCTAACGAAGACTCGACCTCTAAATCAACTTCTTTTTCCTTTGGAATGCCTGCAAAAACACCCAACGGCGACAAAAATATTCAAACTTCTATCAAATTTGGCGATTCTGACTCAAAGATAGGCAATGATTCTAAACAAGATAGTGACAGGGCCAAAATACCGTCCTTCACCTTCAAGGCCCCCCCTCAAGCTTCAGAGCCAGTGTCCTCTATCAACGGTACAGCCGAAAATAAAAAAGATGATGCCAGCGCAACGGAAAAATCGGAGGCTGCCTCCTCGAATGGAGGTCAGGCCACTTCTAAACCGGCGTTGGATTTAGGACTCAAAACTTCTGAGAAACCGGCTTTCAACTTTGGCTCAAAGCCCTTTTTACCTGGAGTCGATTCAAAATCAGAGACCCCTACCTCTCCCGCTTTTAGCTTCGGTGCCACCGGCGGGGTGAAGTCTTTTACCCAGCAAAATAAGGACAAAGATGATACAACTGCGAGCCAAGATGACCCCTCCAAGAAGAAAAGTACGTTTGCTTTCGGTGTCCCTCAGGACAATCCAAGCGATGCAAAGAATTTAACACCTTCCTTTTCCTTTGGTTTAAGTGGAGCAGTGACCAATAAACCTCAGGTCGAAACCAAACTTTCATCCGGCGCAGGTCAAGCGCCTAATCCATCAGCAGCCGCAAAGGAAGGCGGTGCATTAACGCCCTCTTTTTCATTCAAAAGTTCTTCTGGCCATGAGCAAACGAGTAAGCCATCGATTACCACAGCGAAATCCTTTGACCTTGGTGCGACTGCAGATAAAAAAGCGCAGACGCCCCCGCCTTTTTCGTTTGGAAACAGCACAAAAGCAAGTACACAATCGTCTTCCTCTAACTTTTTAGGCGGAGGCTTTAAGTTCGACACCAACGGATTGAATCCTGGGGCCAATTCGACTATTCCACCCAAACCGGCGCTCAATAATGGTTCCAGTAGTGATGTTTCGAAACCAACATTCAGTTTTGGAAATGCGCCGGCATCAGTAGTTGCCGCGCCACAACCGCAATCCGCCCTTCCATCAGCCATGCCACCTAGCCAAAACGCAGGCTTCACTTTTGGCTCAGGGTCTACTACAAACAACAACTCTCCTGCATTTGGCAATACTAACAATAACCAACAACTGGGATTCAATTTTGGAACAGATAATAGAACGGCGTCATCTACACCCCCTCCCTTTGGAAACTTGGCCGTTCCTGGATATGCACAGCCCCAGCCACAAAGCAGACCTTTCAGTCCCTCACACACAGTGAATTTGAATTTTGGTGGCAGTGGCTCTCAACCACCAAGTTCAATTTTCGGTGGAACTGGTAACTCTACACCTGCTCAAATATTTGGTGGGCAAAACAACGGCATTGGTCAAGGGTTTTCGAATGCTCCTTCGAGTAGTTCCATTTTTGGGGGCGTTAGTGCAGGTCAGGCACCTCAGCAACAGGCTCAAACTCCGATGCTAAACTTACCTCCAGGAAGGAAACTCGCTAGAATGAGGTCAAGGAGAAACTGAGAATGTAAAAGCTGAGGAATCAGCTCTTCCTGGGGTAACTACTTTTACATTGCGCAATCATAAACTACATATTTCACGTAAATCATTCAATACATCTCTATAATTAAAGGATCAAGGGCTGAAAAAGAGAACCTCTCCATCGGTAGCATCCATCCAAACCTTTCCGAGCCTTTCCAGATATGCAATGGTATCAGCATCAAAACTGACGATACTACCGGGTTGATTGGTCGACCTTGCGCAGTAGGTATAGCCGAGACACAAGTCACCGTAACCCCCCCGCCATGGATAGACGCCGACATCAGGTAAAACTGCCGCATTGAAAGACATCATCGACCCATAGTGATCTCTAGCCTCGTCGATCGAGGAAAAACGGGAATGAAGTTCGTGCTTCTTGAAAGCTTCCCAATCGTAATCTATCCCATCGGCAAACTTACAAACTTTGTAGCCACCATTGAACCATAGTAAAGATCCATCGTTATCCGTATGTCCTAACTGTACGGAACAAACTTCATTTTCCTCATTCAATTGGCCTATTGCGCTTGCAACAGTTGGATGAAAACGATAGTCGTGATTGGTCAGAAGAAATGCCAGCCAAAATGACTCTTTGTCACCATGCGTACATCTGGAGAGCATGGGCGCGAGATTCAAAAAAACACCTGCTATCAAAGGGATTAGATGTTTCGTCTTATCAACGACCAATAAGCCACTATCCATGTGATGGCGCTGTTGCTCCACAAACAGATTTTTGATGATGTCGCCCTCAACCGTTGAGCTAGTCAAGGACTTGAGCTCAGAATCTATCGGCTTCGAGCGCCCAAAATAGTGCGTTTCAAACGGAGTTGGTTGTAACGACGTCAATTCCGGAACACAGTACCCGAAGTCAAATTTGTGAGAGTAAGCACGATCTTTAAAAAAAAGGGCCCCTGATTGCGCATACTCTTCCAAATCGAAGTAAGAGCTCACAGGTAAAGGTGATACTGCGTCTGCATCTATAAAGATGATCTCTTGAAACGTATTGAATATTGTGGCAAGCCATTTGTTTCGATAGCTGTAAAAGTCCGAAGTAAAACGTTGATCTAGCATGGGAGAAACGTCAACAAACCATAAGTGCTGATTGTGAGCGAGACTGTCAGAGATGAGCTGCTGTGACTCGGGAGATAAGTCGCCCTTATGGACTACCTGAATAGGCAGCGTGTTTTTCTGGTAGGCAAGAACTTTCAACAGTCTCACTGCCATGGAGACATGGGAGTCAGGGAAAGACATCACGATTCCGCGGGAACTGGTTGCGGATGATCTATGGCACAATATATCCCAATTGTGGATCCAGGACCGAAGTGGATCGTATTCAAACTTGAAGGATCCTGGCTTGCCCATAATAGGGACGTTCCCGTTGCCGTAGCTTGTTTGAAGGTCACTTGAGACAAAGATGGGAGTTGCGTTGCGCGTAATGAAGGGAAACATCCTAGCGTCAAGCTCAACGACCCGGGATGGAAGCGCTTTTTGCGCCACACATGATTCGTACACGCGTAAACGCTCCAAAATGCCTCTGAGATTCTTAGTCTCGTAGTCCTCCGGGGAAGCTCCCACAGGAGTCTGATTTTCGCGGTAATCGTTCCGCCACAACGGCTCGGTTTTTTCGAGGGCCGCAAAGTAAGCGCTACACACCTCGGCCGAAACCCCGCGGCTGTCGCTGTTCTCATACTGCAGGTAGTTGGCGAGTAATTGAGCTCCAATGTCCGGCGTCAGGCTCGGCCCGCCGATCGAAGGCAGCGAGTATCTCATATTGTGGAAGAGACATAAGACGACCAGCAGCAGGATCACAGCGGCAGCGCGCCTCGTCAATTTACGGCCCTGCATTCCCGTGACAAGGCCATACATCTTGCAGTGGCTTTTGAACCCTGCAAGCTTGGAATAATGCGCAAGTGGTTGTCTCGTGTCAATAGTCCAAGGCGAGCGGTTGTTAGTGCGCTAAATCGTGAAAGTAGCAATAGCATCTTGGACGGCACCAGACAAGTAAATTATCGAGTCAATGATCTACTTGTTTCTCGATCCAATTTTCGAGCCAATTTTCGAGCCAATTTTCGAGCCAATTTTCGAGCCAGTCCTCGAACCAATCTTTAACTCAGCTTCCTGGTGCTCCGTTCACCCCAAACGGGCCGTGGTAGACCACGTTGACTATCAAGCCTCTCCACACGAGCCAAGATCTAACCTCACCGTCCTCCACTATTAGCTGTATTGCAACTCCCTTGGTTCCTTAATACGCCATGTTCCCCATCCTATTCGGTACCAGAACCGCTTCTCTCAATTATCTGCCCATAATCCGGAGAGGTAAACAGCCGCATTGTACCAAAAGTGTCCCAGACCAGCCCACTTTCACTTCATCATCTACACGGTCTACCACTCCCCAGCAAAAAAAGTGTCCATCCCTCAAGGTTCCCAGCTATGAGAACACAACTGTACCCTCAAGTCATTGAACAGCCATCTTCTCACCACTCTTCGAAGAATAATGTCACTGTTCTGGATAGCCAGTATAGGAAAAGGAACCAGATTGAACACTTGACTCAAGGGAGAGTTCTTTCCATTCCGTAAGGGTGTAAAGAACCCTGTACAAATCTGTCACGGTGTTCTGAAATTTGCGTACACCGTGATACAGATGGGTGAGTAGGTGCTGAAAATCACTGTTCAATGAGAAACCGGATTCATCTCGAATAACCCAGTGATATAGTCGGATATGTATAGCTCTTCACGTCCAGCTGTCGCTGAGTTTCGGGTTGGCACATATTTCAAGTCCCGTGATCCATAATGCGCAACTCAGTGGAGCAAGATCACACGGGACATATACCTCTAGGTCGTTCCATCAGCCTGCCCTTAATTGACTTGCACATATGCTCGCCGAATCAAGATTGGATCGGGCTCATCGGCATGGTTTCATATGAACTCAGTCTTTGATTGTGTGATAAGTTACGCACGCATACTGAACAGCACGTGACTGTACAGTCCGGAGCTGACGCCCCACAAAGAGAAGTGGTAAACATACCATGCGTCACGAAATGTTGTTCAGGTATTCTGCCCCCGCTTTGAGGTGAAGCGGTGGCACGTCAGGCAGCTAGACACCGTAAATGAGGAGACTCGACCCTGAACAGGGAAGCCAACCGAAGGCCCCAAAGATATAATACGGTATAGTCACCATCCACGAATATATGTCACATTTCTCATTCACACGTGATTTATTAAGTACTGTCACATGATTAAGGTTCAGCATGTATGTGTCTGATGAGAACATGCACTTCACACAACCTGGGACACCCATTAGGCTCGAGGTCCAGGTGCTCGTGTGCACCCTCGCTACCAGCCTTGAGAGAGTTCCAGTGCCGTTTTATACAATGGACAACGTGGCTCGATATGTATCTGTCCAGCTTACGAGTGCGAAGCGGTCGTGGGACGAACATGGCCTGGCTCGCGTCGATCCTTTGTCGTTCCTGTTGGGTTCTGCGGTGACGGTTCTCTGTGTGTTAATGGAACCGGTGGCCAGGGCGCTGGTCGGGGGCGTCTTGGTGGGTGTCCTTACACTCGTGAAGTATGCAGTTCTGATCACGGCTATTGGCCTGTGTGGTTACGTACTGACGGTTCAAAAACACGAGGCTCCAGCCGCTGGTCCCACGCCGAACCCTGCGGATCGTAGCAGCCACGAAAAGGCTGTTCGAGAGCAGTTTTTACAGGGAGCCGCCCCTGTGGAGGACGATTTCGAGGTCGTCGGATACAACGAGCTGCAGGTACATCCCGAACGTCCCCCCAAAGCTGTAAAGAGGGAAAGCACGTACGAGAAGTTTGTGAAACAAGCCCGCGGGTAAAACTGGCAGTGGCGGCGGCGGCAGTGGTGAGGATGCGGGCCCCAGCAATCGTATTCTGTAAATTGAAAAACGCTTTAAAATTATACACCTATTAAAACATTTTGAGTTTTCTGTTTTGTCCAGGGGGAACTTTAGTTATATTGTTAATATTGTAGATGAGGTTGGTTGGGAGTGGTAGTGGGTAAATAATGTCGTGAAATCCAGAGTGGTTGCGTTTAGTGAGATTCACCTGGGATTTCAAACACAATTTGCTTGCCGGTCAACTTGTTGTAAACGGCTTGGAAAGATTCCAACTTGTAGTCAACTTGTTGAACGTCCTTGGAGTCCAACAACACCTTTTGGACCTTGTTACCACCGACTAGGTATCTGATTCTCTTACCGACAATCTCGGTTGGGAAAACCAAGTCTTCCAAGATCTTGTCGTGGACAGCAGACAAAGTTCTGGATCTTGGTCTCTTTTGTTGTTGTCTGGATCTTCTGGATGGCTTTGGCAAGATTCTTCTCTCGGCCAAGAACACAACGTGACGGTCTGGGAACTTCTTTTCCAACTCACGGGTCAATTTGGTTTGCACCTTGTGGTAACCAGCCAAAGATGGGACTGGAACAAAGATGGCAATGGCCTTCTTACCGCCAGCGACATCGATCTGCGACAAAGTTAGTACTCGGCGAGGTGTTAAACATGGTACAGGAAATGTGGAGTGCGCCGCGGTGGCAGTTGTAAGTGCGTCGGAGAGCTAGAAGCGAATCGTCGTAGTCCATGAAAACAATACTTCACATCGCTACCCACCAGCCCTCCGCTCACCCACCTCCTCGGGTTCCACGTTTTCCTGCAAGACGGCATTCGCGTCCATTAACATACCTCTCTGATGGATTTGAATTGCAAAGGTCTCAAGTCAGCCTTGGCATCTGGGGAAGCGGCTTCCAAGTCCACGAAAGCTTGGGCAACTTGCAATTCCAATTCAGTTGGAGCTTGAGACAAAATCTTGGCTTGAGCAGACATTGTGTGGTGATTTGGGATCTTGACGTTGGAACTTTACCTGAAATCAGCTATATCAACACTTAATATTCACGAACCTCTATCTACTGTATGAGCACACCAGGTATTCCAGGAATTTGAAAAATGCACCACGTAGACTGCTGCTAGTGGGCCCAGCACCAAGCGGGAACAGACGTTAGGCGGAGCTCCGGCCCGGAGGCCTGCCTACTGGGAGGGAGACCCCTGGTGGTTAGCGAGAAACCTCGGCCCACTGCGGTACAGTCGCTCTGCCTAGCTTGTTGAGCACAGCAGAGCTCAATCAAACCGACGCACTTGCCTCTCCTCAGGACCTGGGGGTTTTTTTTTTTTCAGCTTTCGTTTATAGTGAAACAAAATCGACAAGCTCCGCGAGATGTACGGGTGTTCACGCAGTCACATCTCAGCCCAGGTCAAGCCAATACAGGCCAGCACTTACTGAACCTGCTTGCTCCCCACAACCACAAAGAAGATAGGGACAGCAGAGTTCTCATGCGTGTCAACATGCGTGCCAACAAGATTCCAAAAACACAGAGGAGCGCCACAGTCTTACCCAGTCTGACAAACTCCCCGTAACAAAATTCCGTTCGTCAGATTGCATGGAGAAGGACCTACTGGCACTTTTTGGCAGGCTCCCTTTTACCTCGCGCGCTTACAACATAGTCCATATCAACCTCCGCTCAATGGCTTACCGCTTTCTTCTTCATCGCCTACAGCTGTATCTCCCGGACTCGCATACGGTCACACTGGTAAAAAGTGATATAGGTATTTTTTTGAGGATACAGCACGTGACTTCTTGAAATACAGCGACAGGCCACGACTGACACCGACCAGCGTTGCGAGCGTTGCGCCTCTCGTCGCCCGGAACTGTCCCTACGTGGCCAGGCCAAAGTTTAACCGCTTGCGCCCGTGCTGCGGGTGGACAGCTACTCGTAGACTACACGTCACGTGACGAACGGGCTACACGTGCACAGTGATTGGGCTCGAAGCACTGGGGTTGGGCCCCAGCGAAAAGCACAAGCTCCTTCTGGCAACTTGCGCCGTGGTCTTGAATGAGGTTCATGCTGAGAAACCTAACTAATTTGGCTCAGTTCAGTGTGCGCCGCTCTGCCCGGAATATGTCTACTCTACCAGATGTCCATCATTTGCCTCAGCTACACAGTACGCTCGAACAGGCCAAACGGTTTGCTGCTTACAGAGCCGTAGATGAAAACCTGGATTACCTGAACCATCGGGTGATTGGCGTTGGTTCCGGTTCGACGGTAATCTACGTAGCGGAGAGGCTGGGTCAGTATCTTTTGGATCCGAAGTACGCCGTCCACGCTTCGCAATTTGTGTGTATTCCAACTGGATTTCAATCCAAGGGACTAATTCTAACAAACGGCCTAAGATTGGGCACTATCGAACAACATCCATCGCTAGACATCGTATTCGATGGTGCGGACGAGGTAGACGTCAACCTGCAACTCATCAAGGGTGGTGGTGGCTGTTTGTTTCAAGAGAAACTGGTGAGCACTTCGGCTGCAAAGTTCGTGGTGGTTGCTGACTATCGTAAGAGATCTCCCAAGTATCTAGGTACCAACTGGGTGAAAGGTGTTCCCATTGAGGTTGTTCCTACCAGTTACATACGGGTCCTCAGCGATTTGAAAACCAAGCTGAAATGCAAAAATGCTGTTCTCAGGCAAGGTGCCCCCGCGAAGGCTGGACCTGTGGTCACCGACAATTGTAACTTCATCATCGATGCTGATTTTGGCGAAATTGAGCACCCAGAAATCCTACACAGAGACATCAAGATGTTGGTTGGCGTTGTGGAAACAGGCTTATTCATCGACAACGCCTCCAAGGCATACTTTGGCAACCCAGATGGATCTGTTGACTTACGCGTATGAAGGAAGGCTATTGTAACTATCATCTCCTATTAGTCGCAGGTAGTCCTCGAGCCCCCGCATAAAAATAATGAACCCTTTTGCTCAACGCACTGCTTGCCAAATTTGTACAGTAATAGACTTTACCGAGAAGCCTGAAAAGGGCTAGTGGTCCTTGGTTCAGATACGTTGTTAAACATCTTTATATTCCCCAAAACCTCACTTGCGAGCCGCGATAACGGCTTTTTTTTAGGCAGTTGGTACTGAACTTAGCAACTGAGCTTAGTAGCGATAGTCGCTGTAAAGTAGTACATTCATTAAAAATAGTGTTACATTTTTATCGCTAAACTTTCATGAAGGCGAGGAAGAGTGTAGTGTTACACATTTGTGCTAGGTGGCGTCGCTAGTCTTCTTTTTGTTGTTCGACTTCGTGTTGTTGGTAATCCACGAGAGCCCTTCAACTAGACCTTGGCCAGTCAAGGCATTACTACCGATCACGCACCACAGTTGATTCTTAAGATGTTGCTTAAAATCCAAATATTCTGAAATTTCGTGTGGACTCATCGCATCCTTCAAGTCTTGTTTGTTGGCCAATACAAGGAGTACCACGTCTTCCATCTCTTTGTCGCTGATGATGCTGTACAGCTCCTCTTTGGCTTCATTAAGTCGTTTTATGTCATGCGAATCTACGACAAAGATCAATGCAGTAGTAGCAGGAAAATAATGCCTCCACAGTGGCCTGAGGCGGTCCTGCCCACCTACATCCCACATGTTAAATTTGACATTTCTGAAAGAGACCGTTTCCACATTGAACCCCACGGTAGGAGCCGAAGTCTTTATCTTGTTAAGCTTGAGCTTATATAAAATTGTAGTTTTCCCGGCATTGTCCAATCCCAACATGAGAATCTTCATCTCTCGGTACCCGAACATCTTCACCATCACTTTAGATATCGAGTTCCCCATTTTGAACTCGCTAATGTATTATAAGATTATCCTGTCGTACCTGGTTCCGAACCATTCACTAGTGCCGAGCAGAACCACAAACTAGAGTCAAAACAACTACTCTTGAATAATTCTGTTACGCTCTTAACCGTACGCTAGATTCTCAGCTTTATCAACTTACTGCTCTGTTAACGATTTCTGGCAATCTTCACTGCAAGTTCAATAAGATGTACAATAAGCTTAGGCGTTCATAGTGACGAGCCAATTTCATCCAAGCTATTTTCTTAGTGTGCCCTGCCGATCAACAGATGTGACACCAAATTCTTCCAGACTATTTATGGCATGGTAAGGTTGAAGCACTGGGACATGTTTGAACCTTTCATCCTCAACCGAGATTTTGATCGTCCTTATCCTCTGAACCACTTGGTGAAAAATATTGACCAAAATAATTGTGGTCGTGTCTTGGTGCCCAACAAACCAGTAACGTCTCTGCCCTTTACCGAGATATAACATAGTTTCTAGAATTTGTAGACACTGGATAGAAGGAGGCCACAGTAAGGGCTGTCATTGTAATTAATACTATCGTTTTAAGATAGGAAGCCTCGAGATGTCAGGATAATGTCAATAGTCGTTTTCAGATGGTGTTCCAAGGACAGTTGAGGTTGAGCCTCAACTGGGAGTTATGCATAAGTAGGGCTAATGGAAGCTCCTTGGTCGTGGATAGCTAGTCGTAGGTAGAGAAAATAAGCGCGATTTGATCTATTTATCATATTTATATACTAAGCCCCATCGTATCACGACAGTTAAGCCATCAGCGACTTTAAGGGATAAAGTGATCTCAAATTAGACACTCGTCGCTGCATCGGTTACGGCTTTCTAAGTACAACCAGATTCGTCCCATTCGAACCCATTCAATAAAAGAGCCTCTACTGCTGCTGTTGGTGTTGTTATTCTTGTGCTTTATACGTTTGAATAATGTGCCCTGTTAAGATAATGGTTGCAATGCAAGGTTAAACCAAAAATCTCTGAGTTTTGGCAGGTTCAAGTTTATAACTGTATATCTCAGCTTCTTCTTGTGTACCCCCTTCTGCTCTGCATTGCTCTACATTATTCAACGCTGCAGTGGTGTTTTTCGTCGCTTGAATCCAAGCCATTATAAATCTCATTCAAGGTATAGCACGTGACTGGGCAGTTCAAGGTATTCAATTATAGCATTTGCCAAAGATCAAATGATATACTTCTTCACTTAGCATACACACAGTACTGTCAAATCAATGGATTTCTCGATACCCTCGGGGCTATCGGCAGTTACCATTGGCAGGCTTCAGCAGCTAATACAAGAGTATCGGGATGGAGATTTGACTGCTAAGGGCTATTACAAAAAGAGACATGAATTGTTAAATATACCAAGGGTTGCAACAACGACGGCTGGTTCACCACCCCCTATTACACAGTCGCGTTCCATACATGGTCGCAGTCACAGCTTGGCCTCCAACGTCAGATCCCAACGTTCTCAAAACACACCCAAAATGGATAACTATTCGGTGGATACTTCATCAACGCCAAGCTCGCGGCACAATTCCATGTCGATGTACAGAGTTACAACCCGTAATTCTAGCGGGTTGAATGGGAGAGCAAGCTCTATAGCTTCTCCGGGTAAAAGAGGCGAAGAAGACCCTTCTTTGCCAGTTTACACCCCCATGATCCCGCTATTGCCCCGATCAGAAAGCGCGCCTATGTGGGATTCGTTGCCCGCCATCCTGAGGGCTCGATCTCAGCTTTACGAACGTGAGACAGCCTTTATTTGTATCAACCAAAGAAATAAAGAAACGACCATCTCGTGGGACAAGTTGTATTTGCGAGCGGAACGTGTAGCTCACGAACTTTCGAAGCATAGACTTTATAAAATGGCCAAAGTTCTCTTATGGTTCAATAAGGACGATCTCATTGAATTCAGTGTGTCGCTCATGGGCTGTTTTATAGCGGGAATGGTTGCAGTGCCTGTCTCCCTACAAACTTATTCCTTAAGCGAAATAACTCAAATTATCAGCCTGACAAGTGCAACAGTGGCACTAATATCGGAAGATTGCCTCAAGCAGATTGATAACTTAGAATACCGTGACAGTACAAAAGTGAAGCTCACTAAGGGTGGCTTTCTAGCCCAAATGACTTTCATCACAACAGAAAACTTGGGCACCTTTTCAAAAGCAAAAAAGAATAAGCCCGCATTTGATTTACCAAGTGTATCATACATCGAGTTTACAAGAACGCCTTTAGGACGTCTCTCGGGTGTTGTAATCAAGCAAAAGATACTGTCTAAACAACTAGAGACAATGGCTAGTATGTTGAATTCGCGCAGAAAACCAAACTGGACGACAGGAGACATAAAGAGATCGTATAAGAACAAAAGATCAAGCTCGCGATTCACCGTACTGAGTAGTTTAGATCCTACGCGATCCACCGGACTCATATTTGGGGTACTTTTCAATATCTACACCGGAAACCTTCTTATGACTGTTGACGACCGTTTGCTCCAACAAACTGGGCATTATGAGAACATAATCAATAAGCATAGGGTAAACATTTTACTCAACGATCAACTGCAACTAAAACAAGTTGTAATCAACTATCTGGACAATCCATCATTGGTGACCTCAAAGAAGAATAAGATAGATATGGGATGCGTCAAGTGGTGCTTAACTTCCTGTACAAATATTGACACGGAGGTGACTGATATGATTGTACATAAATGGCTAAAAAATCTTGGTTGTCTGGATGCTTCCCAATGCTATTCCCCAATGCTTACGCTTCTAGATTTTGGAGGAGTGTTTATCTCGCTCAAGGATCATCTCGGGCACTTAGAAAATTTTCCTGTGCACGATCCCAAGTTGCGCTTGCAAGATGAACTCTTTATTGACAAGGAGCAATTGAAGGAAAATATAGTCAAACCCAGCATCACTGCCATGATCAACTCTTCGAGCTCTACAAAAGACTATTTGAGACTTGCATGCTTCGGGTTTCCTATACCCGATGCTACTGTTTGTATCGTAAATCCGGACGACAGCACTCTTGTTCCCGATCTTACAATTGGCGAACTTTGGATCTCGTCGGCTAGTTTAACGGATGAATTTTACCAGATGGATAAGATAAATGAATTTGTGTTTAATGCACGTTTGAACTTTAAAAAGATGTTGGAAGTTTCACAATGGGCAGCAATGGACTCTCAGGTCGGATTACCACGGCCATCAGAACGTTTGAATATGATAATGGAAATATGTTCACCGACCAAGACCTATATCAGAACCAAGTTGATGGGGTTCGTTCATAACGGAAAGATATTTGTTCTTTCGCTAATTGAAGACATGTTTCTTCAAAATAAGCTGATAAGGTTACCAAACTGGTCACACACATCGGACGTGACACGAGCTAAAAACGCAGAACAAGAACAAGCTAACGAAGAGTCCGGAGTTCAGAGCTCCTTGACCTCGAAAAGAGTTGTACAGACTTTTTATTTGCAGCACGTAACCGAAAATGTTGTAAGAATGGTTGACAGGGCTTCAGAGGTGTCAGTCTTCGAACTGCCTCAGAACAAAGAAGAGCATTTTTTGGTTATGGCCATTGAAAGTTCGTTGGCCTCAAATGCCGCAATTGCAACGTCAACTAATTCAATTCTCCCTAATGCTCAACAGAAAGAGCAACAGGAAAAGAGAATGACAGTCGTTGTCGAACAGATATACAAAATTTTATGGATTTTCCACAGAATTCAGCCAATTTGCATAATGTTAGTTTCTCCAGGATCCCTGCCTCGGAGGTATTGTTCATTGGAGATTGCAAACAGTACCGTGGAGAAAAAATTTCTTAGTGGGCTCTTAAACTCGAAATTTGTTAAGTTTCAGCTCGATAATGTCATTCTCGACTTCATCCCACATTCGTCGTTTGTTAACGAAAGTATCTTTTCTGAGCACTTATCCAAACTAAGACACGAGGCTATTGCTCAAGATACGGCTTACTTAACTGGTAGTTCCCCTGCACTTACCTGGCAAACCTCTGGGATAGATTATCGCGAAAGATCGTTAGATTATAGGACAGGAACTGATCTGGCCCCGTTCCCGAATATTTTAGAAATACTTGAATGGAGAGTGCGTAAACACGGCGATGAGATAGCATTTAATGATGGAAAAGCAATGACCCCAAGCTCCGCAACAAACTCCGGGGGGCTTCACTCTAAAGTTTCCTGGAAAACCTTTTCGTCATTTGTTGGCTGCTTCGTCAAGAAGATCATACAATCGAAAACTCCTCTGAAAAGCGGCGATCATGTCATTATATTATGTGGAAATTCTGTCGAATACGTTGCTATGGTACTCGCTTGCTTCTACTGCAATTTGGTTGTCATACCCATGGCTCCACTGGTGGAGTCTCATGCTACTGAAGAGGTAGATTTCCTATTGAGCGTAACTGTAAACTACAAGGTCAAGAGAGTTTTTGTTGATTCAAGTATGCTGGCCATCTTGGAAGACGGAACTTGCATTAGTAAAGCGGTAAGACGCTTCAAACATTTACTTCCAAAAATTACTAACTTTTCTAAGATCAAGAAGAAGGCAGACGTTTCCTTTAGTACGCTGAAGAGTTTGTTAAAAGATAAAAATGGACAGGTTACTGTGAGCTCTCAAGTCTGCGTTGTGTGGATTGACCGTAGGTGCGATAGTCAAAGGGAAATCAATGTGGTGATGACGCATAAAGTCTTACTCCACATGTGTAAAATATTCAAAGAAACATTGCAATTAACTGCCGACCACCCCTTACTCTCCATGTACACGCATACGACTGGGCTGGGATTCATACAAAGTTGCTTGTTGGGCATTTATGTGGGCACGACGACGCTGCTCTATAATTCCGACGAGGTGATCTCAGATCCTACCAGTTTTTTGTTGGCGTTACAAAACTTGAGCATTAAAGATTTGATTCTAAGTCCTGAAATCCTTTATTCTGTTCTAGACTATGCCAATAAACTGATTCAGAACGGAAAATCAATGGGTCCTGGCAAATTCACTTCAAGATCGGTTGCATCTGCCGTCGGTCCTGATTTTTTTAAAAGGGTCCAGAATATTATGATACCTTCGAGAGGACGACCAAGGACTACTGCAATTGAAAATACTTTGAACAAGTTCCCCTCAATTTCAATTAACCCTACTCAGTTAAGTTACGTTTATCAACACATGTTCAACCCTTTGATCTCCCTACGTTCTTATCTCGGAATTGCACCAGTAGATACGTATCTGGATCCAACAGCACTGAGAGAAGGAATGATCAAGGAAGTGGATCCCAACACTGCATCGCATGCAGAACTCAGTCAATGTCTAGTGTTACAGGACTCAGGTGTGGTTCCGGTTTGCACAGACTTATCAGTTGTCAATCCAGAGACTCTTGAGCCTTGTTACGAAAATGAGATAGGCGAGCTGTGGTGCTGCTCCGAAGGAAACGCATACGATTACAATATTAGCAGCATAACTGCTGCAGAGAAACTGCTGGATCTGTCTCACACAAAGAGCTCGAAGAGCTCTTTGAAGAAACATCCATTCATCTCAGCTCAGTTTAAGTCCAAAATTCGTGGTAACACAGACAATGGACTTTCATATCTGAGAACCGGAGATTTGGGGTTTATCAAAAGTATAAGGTGCACAGACTCAAGGGACAATGTCCTCACCCTTTCCCTATTGTACGTGTTGGGGAGCATTAATGAGACTATAGAGATATTGGGCCTAACGCATTTCGTCATCGATCTCGAGACCACCATTAAAAACGCACACCCCTGTGTTTACAACTGTATGGTGGCCAAAGTAGGAGGTTTAGTAAGCTGTCTGGTGGAATGTCGTAGCCCGAGAACGTATGAGTACTCCAATCTAACGCCTTTAATTGTAGCTGCTCTATTAGAGAAGAATGGTGTTGTTCTCGATCTCTGCTCCTATGTTAAGGCCAAATCTGTCGATTATATTACGAAAAGCTGGCAAAACAACCGCATGACACTATTGTCGGACTGGGTTCGCGGCAAGCTGGCGATCGAGGCCCAGTTCGGAATCAATTACGGCGAGAACAATGCTATCTACCTCTTGTCGGACTTCGACAATAGAGTATGAAACTCAGACAACTTTTGAGATGGCATTCAAACATAAGTAAAGATTTTACTGTCACTGCTTGACCAGTGGCAGCAACCTTCGTACAGTGCTGTCACTGACTTGATTACCTATTTGTTCTTTGACTTACCTCGAGCATCTTGGCACATCATGTACGGTCTAGAGATTGCCGATAAGAAAGTTCGCTGCCAAGTCAGGTTCGACACGCACTATCCCAAAACGTTTCATGACTTCTTGTGACAAGGCTCGGTACCACACCTACATATATCTACTTGAAATCTTGGTGCACTCCTACTCAGGTTATTAGCGCACAAGGTCTCTGTGAGTATGTCACTAACTCTCGGGCAAGCTGTTTGGGCCTCTATAAAGCCTATCATAAAGATCTATTTAATCATTGGATGTGGATTTGGTTTGGCCCGGCTAGATATATTGACAATAGAAGCAACAAAGAGTATATCAAATATTGTTTTAACCCTGCTGCTACCATGCCTGTCGTTTAATAAAATTGTGGGAAATATCGAAGTTCAAGATATCAAGGATGTGGGTATCGTATGTCTATCTGCCGTTCTGGTCTTTGGAACCGGTGTGTTCTTTGCATTCGTGATCCGTTCATTCATGCCTGTGCCGAAAAGGTGGAGGGGTGGAATTTTAGCTGGTGGAATGTTTCCGAACATCAGCGATTTGCCCATCGCCTACCTACAAACCTTGGACGAAGGTCTGGTTTTTACTGTTGAGCAAGGGAACAAGGGTGTTGCGATTGTTATTATCTTTTTAGCCATGTTTTCCCTAACCTTGTTCAATCTAGGCGGGTTTCGATTGATAGAAAGTGACTTCAAGTACCATGACCAGGAAAGTGCGCTAGTCGATGAAAACTACGAAATGACCGACAAGCGCAATGTCAGCAGTCACGGCTCGAGTTCTGTGGAGCCCAAAACTGGAGCAGATGAATACACAACCCATGAAAATGGATCAAACGACCGCAATACGCTTCCTTCCCTAACTCCTCAAGATTCCGGCGGTAGCCAACAAAGCGAGGTTTCTATCGATTCTAACCAGCCCAAGCCTTTGCATCACGAAGGAAGTGTAACTAATCGCAGCTCCAGACGCAGATCTAATGTCAGCTCCATGCACACACAAGAGCTTCCGGAATATCCGTCGCAGGACATGGCAAATTTGATTCGACAGTACTCCAATGTGGACCAGTTTGGCAGGCGTAGCACTGGTAACCAATCATCGCAAAGTGTGACACGACAAGCTTCCATTGTCGAAAGAATCAAATATTCGGGACTTACCCGCATGTTGACTTCTGATGCGGCTGTCGGAGCTCAAGATGTCCAAGAATCGGGAAGAGCGCTGCCGTCATGGCTCTACAGGCTGTCTCCCACTCCTTACATTGTTTTTTTCATAAAGAATTGCTTGAGGCCTTGTTCGCTTGCCGTAATCGCCGGGCTGATAGTTGCATTTATACCTTGGGTCAAGGCTCTTTTCGTCACCACGTCAAATACGCCGGACATAAAGGGAGCTCCGGATGCTCAGCCTGCCCTTTCCTTTATCATGGATTTCACGAGTTACGTCGGAGCCGCGTCTGTTCCTTTTGGTCTGCTTTTGCTGGGAGGTACGCTTGGACGTTTGAAAATCAAAAAGCTCCACCCCGGGTTTTGGAAAAGCGCTGCAATTTTGGTTGCTTTGCGACTCTGTTTAATGCCCGTCTTTGGCGTCCTGTGGTGTAATCGACTAGTGAAAGCCGGCTGGGCAAATTGGGATGACGATGCCATGTTGCTGTTTGTCATTTGCATCGACTGGGCTCTTCCGAGCATGACTGCCCAAATCTATTTTACTGCCAGCTATACACCAACTGATGCCGTAGATACGGTACAGTTAGACTGTATCTCTTTCTACTTGATGATTCAATACCCTGTAATGGCCATCACACTGCCCGTCTTGGTAACATATTTCCTTAAGGTCCAAATGAAGGTATAACTAACACATAATATTATAGAAGCTCGTCCATTTATGTAACATAACCTACTAACCAAATCTGCATTCCCGTAAGGTTGGTTTAGGCGATTCTTGTTAGCGAGTATATCTGTATTCGTGGTATGAATATTATAAAGTCATCTCATCTTAACATTAATTCGGTTACTGAATTGAAGATCCTAGGAACCCTTCATTTTAAGGTTGGATCTATACAAGAGCTAATTTCTTTGTATACTTTAGGCTTGGGAGACATTTGAAATCAAGACAAGACATTTGTCAAATAGCCGGTTTGTTGGATTTCAGAAGTGTTTTGTACCAGACAAGATCGATCTCTCTGTCTAAGCGGTTCAAGCGGCGAGGACTCTGGCGTAAAAGGAGCAAGATGAGCAACAATGATGAGCTCAAAGGTAACTCGACGGCATTAAACAAAAGGCAAAGGTTTTTAAACATCATGCGCACGACAAGAGATGTCTATGTGCCAACGTTTAGCACCACCATCTCGCAGCTTAAATCGGATGCAAGCAGCACCATCAAGAGCTATTACGATGCATCTGCTGTTCCTGGGAGCTCCTCTGGAGCCCCTGTGTGGCCCACAGACATGAAAACGCTGGTGTACCCGTCTTACACGCGAATAGTTCCCGATGGTCACTACGAAACACACATCAGGGGTTTGGTATTTACACCCGGGACGATGAACCGGAAATCCAGACTGATTCTGTCTTTCTGCCGGCAATTGATTCGGCCTGCTTCTCCCGGTGAGAAGGTACCTTTGGAAGACGACAAGGAAGAGATCCCGTTTAATGACTCCCAGTCCACCGTTGAATTGTCGCCAGCGTCTCCATCACTTGCTTTGGATTCCACGGACGAAAGCACCCTCCGAGCGAGGATAGCCGGATTTTTGCAAAAGCATATTATGGGGGTAACAGTGGTTACAGATATTTCTAACCAAGATGGCACCGAGAGTGAATGTACCTACGTGGCTACGGATAATTGGGGGAATTACGATATCAGAGTGGTGACAAAATTCAAACCGGAGAAAATATCGGTAACTATAGATGTTCCCGATGGAGTGTCAACTGAATGCCCGGTAAATTTTGTTCAAGATCGCGGATTTGCCCTGATCAGCGATGTTGACGATACCATAAAGCACACCGGTGTGACGGGAGATAAGAGATCCCTCTTCACTAATGTATTCGTTCACGACTTCAAGCTATGGTCTGTCCCCGGGATGCCACTGTGGTATAATACTTTAAGAGATACAGAAACAGTTGACTTCTTTTACGTTTCCAATTGCCCGTTCCAACTGTATTCTTTGATTGAAGAGTATATTTTCCAAAATTTTCCCCGAGGTCCGCTCTTTCTCAAGCAGTATTCTGGCAATCTGGTCTCCAGTTTGATGTCATCAAGCGCAAAACGAAAGTTGGGATCAATACTTAGTGTCCTTGCAGACTTCCCACACAAAAAATTCATTCTAGTGGGCGACTCTGGTGAAAGAGATTTGGAGGCCTACACAGAGGCTGTAAAACAGTTCCCAGGTCAAATATCAGCAATTTATATTCGTGCCTGTAAAGATTCCATGAGCGATCTCGCCGTGAATGATTCAAAGGTGGTAAATGAGTTGAATTCTATGATCGAAAAGAATTATCATCAGGATTTGAAGTTGACGAGTGATAAATGCACAATAAAGACACAGGAGCAAGCTGACCCAAATTATTTGCATACCCGTCATTTAGCCAAACTCGACGCACAATCTAAAAGTGCGCCAACTAAACCCTTAAAAAAACCGACATTGGACGTTGCTCAGCAAATGGAAATTGAATGTTCTAAAAAGGGAAACCCCCCTCTTCCACCTAGAAAACCTGCCACATTCAATGGACGGGACAAAGATCCGTTAACGTTCAATCGCAGTAACACTGACGATGTAGTTTATTGTACGCCCTCCTCACAAAATGATTATGGTGCGTACTCTACATTCTTCGATTCCAGGGCTGATTCCTGGCGTCAAAGAGTCATGCATACAATTTTGGAATTCAAAAACTGTGGTGCTGATGTCCGCGTTCAATTTTTTACACAGCCTGAGTTGTGTTTAGAAGATAGTATAGCAACTATTAGAAGGGAAAAGAATGGACAAGATGCCCGCTGATGGACCTTTCTAATTAGTTTTTAAAGTAACTTTTGATGATGATAATGAAAACACTTATTCTATTATGATTACAAGAACTATGGAGTTGCAAATACAACGCATGATATTGTTGACCGTGTATTAAGTCTTCTGTGATGAACCATTGGGGAAAATGGGTTTATATGTAGGAAGATTAGTATCTTCATGCAGATGCAGTGGTAGGGCTTTTTGAAACAATATCAAAGGTTGGGTTGCTACCATCACCGTAATCCTTAATACCGTCACCGGACTTGCTCTCGGCTTCCTTCAAAGCTTTCGTGAACTCTGACAAGTCCCACGCAGATCCTTTAGTAGCATCCAAATCGTCCACCTCGGCAAATTTCTTATCTTCCATGTAGTTCTTGAGCACGATTTCACGACCAGATGGCTTGCGTTTGCCCATTTCCTTCCTGTCGGCATTGATTTTCTTGGTAACGTGGTCCTGTTTCCATTGGGCAAAATTGGCCACGGTGATTGGAGTCAACTTTGCCTTGTCCAAACGCTCTCTTTCCGTCTCAATGAACTCTTCCAACGTAATCTTGGGCTGGCTATCTAGCGCTTCTCTTTCCAAACGCTTTTGCTCCTTGGTTTTCAGCACAAATCCTTCGGGCAAGGAATGCTTATACATACACTTGTCGCCGTTATTGGGACAGACCCAAAACCAACCATACTTCCCATTCTCCACAGCCTCGATAAAAAATTTACAGACCTTGTCTGTCGTGGTTCTTGGGTTACCATGTTTGGAGAGAATGACGGATCTCAACTTTTCTTCATCCCAGGACTCCATGGTATCTTCCTCTTTCTCCTTTCTGGCGTCCTGGTACAAGTCTTTCTTTTCCACGCGGCGACCCACATTCGGATCGTGCGAAAATTTACATCTTGCTCCTTTGTTACAGTTACCAATTTTGAACATCGCACAGAGCACTGTTTTGGGGTCCACACCAGATCTGAGAGACTGATCCATTGCAGGGTTGAACAGCGCTCTTCTCTCGGCCTCTTCCCGCTCTCTCTGGGCTTTTTCTTCAGCCTTTTTCCGCTTCATCTCCTCCTTCTTCGGGTCTGACTGTGTCTGCACCTGCTGGATAAACTTCTGCACCTTCGTCGACCTATTCTTATTCTTCATCCCAAACGTCTTATCCACATTGTCTTTCTTCTTGGCTGGCTGCTGCTGCTGCTTCTTTTTAGGTGGCATCTTGACGGATTTTTTAGCTGAAAAAAAATGTTACCAATTTCCAAATACCCAGGAATCGATCTAATAATATAAACAGGTTGGATAACAGCTAGTTTCCTTGTGGTAAAACCTTTCAAACCTGTTCTCAATGGTGAAGCAAATTTCAATGAATTTCGATCAAAAAAAATTGACGAAGAAAAGCTTGTCATCATTATCACTTTCTACTAACATCACCACTTTTGAGTTAAAGGCTAAAAGCCTTTAACTAAAGGGAACTCACACCAACATCGTCTGAAGTCAACAGAGGTCGTGACAAGCTGGTAAAAGTGGCGCAATAATGGCTCTAATTCCCGGACTGGCCAGAAGATATGCAGGTCGCGTTTTGGGCCAAAATGTAATGAGAAACGGAGCATTTTTAGCTGCAGGGTCGTTGGTTTTGAGTTATGCAGTTTGGAACCAGCAACTTGTGTCGTCCGAAAGCGTCAAAGGAATCAAACAGTTCAGCTCGCAACCAGATGGCTCTGGTTCGGAAGCCCTCAATACTATTACGCTTTTGTCTGAAAACCAGGTCACCCAGCGTCTGCGGCAGCTGGACCAAAGTTTCTATGTCCAGCGGGGACAAGGCATCTTAAGGTACGACACGGCTCAGCTGCCATCCAACTCTCCCATCGAAGATTCGCACGTGGAGCAGGTGATAACGGTTCCGGGCTTAAAGGCTGGAAAGGACACAGACTTGTATTTTTTTGGAATATTTGACGGTCACGGCGGGCCCTACACGAGCGCGAAACTTGCTCAGAGCCTTGTGCCGTACGTAGCACATAAACTGGGACAGGTTTACGGGTCGGACCCGGGAGCTGTAGAGCAGGCGTCTTCTGCCGCTGTGGACGCTGCAATGACTTCAGCATTCCTGGGTTTGGACCGCGACCTTATCTTTGGATCGCTAGGAAAGCTGCTACAGGAACCCAGCAAGCAGACTCTTGTGAGTGCCCTACCAGCGATATCAGGCTCTTGTGCTCTTCTAACGATGTTTGACTCTCACAACTCTATTTTGAAATGCGCAGTGACGGGTGACTCCAGAGCATTGTTAGGCTGTCAAGACGCTAACGGCCAGTGGTCTGTCAAACCATTATCCGTTGATCAGACAGGTGACAATATCGATGAGGTCAATCGCATCAGAAACGAGCATCCGGGGGAGCCGGGCGCTGTGCGTAACGGCCGTGTTTTGGGCTCCTTACAACCGTCAAGGGCCTTTGGAGATCACCGCTATAAAGTCAAGGAGGTAGGTGGGAAGAGCTTCCGTGATTTACCTGACCATTTAAAGGTATACTTCCGGCGTGAACCACGGGACTGTAAAACACCGCCGTATGTCACCGCAGAGCCCGTAATTACTACTACTCCTGTCGATTCAAATGCCAGGTTCATGGTCTTGGCCTCAGACGGTCTATTTGAATTGCTGGAAAACGACCAAATCATGAAGTTGGTGGTGTCGTGGATGGACAAAGAAAAAAACACACAATCTAAGCCCTTGTCACACCCTTCCAACTATTTGCTGGAAGACAAGAACGCTGCCACCCACCTAATCAGAAATGCACTAAGCGCCGGTGGCCAGCGCGATTATGTCTCAACTCTCGTTAGCATTCCGTCTCCGATGAGCCGCAAATACAGAGACGATCTTACTGTCACTGTTGTCTTTTTTGGCGACGAGGCTGATCCTACTAGTACATCCGGTCAACTTATCTTGAACCCGGACGCCACTGCACCTCTCAAAGCAAAGCTATGAACTTGGCACTATTACTCGGGATTTAAGAAAGATGGAAACATAATAGAAGTAGCACCGTTTGAGCTTCTCATTACAAAGTTACTACGATCGTGGACTTCTCTCATCTGCTGCAGTCTATATACATCGACAAGCGATTATCATGGAGCTTTTCACGATCCAGTATCGCCCACATCCAAAAAATGATTGTGTTAAAGAATTTCAGTAGTTCCAGTGATGCTACCTGAGTAGTTATGGTTGATCGAAGTGACTGGAATGGGGTCACTGGCTCTACTTGGGTCCAAGTCTAGGCGAGATGACTTAGTTACCTTCGTGTATAGTGCTACTGGCCATCGAATATTGATTAATATCAGATAATATTCCAAGGGAGACAGTTGTTGAAAGTACACACCTCAAATACTCCAAATTCGTCAGGACGTTTTTGGTTTGATTTGCACGAGCTTGATAGATTTTCATTCGAGTTCAGTGAAACTTACATTTCAGCGGAATTTTGTTTCTCGGTTCAAGCAGCGATATTCAAGACAAAGCAGCCAACCCATATTGTAAGTATGAACACTTCAGTCACGTCGATAAAGTTGGTATTGCTGGGAGAAGCTGCAGTGGGTAAGAGCTCGATCGTGTTGAGGTTTGTTTCCAATGACTTCGCCGAAAACAAAGAACCTACGATCGGGGCAGCGTTTCTTACACAACGGGTCAACATGGGAGATCACACCATAAAATTCGAAATCTGGGACACCGCAGGGCAGGAAAGATTTGCGTCGCTAGCTCCAATGTACTACAGAAATGCACAAGCCGCGCTAGTGGTGTATGATGTGACAAAGCCGCAGTCGTTCATAAAGGCCCGCCATTGGGTAAAAGAGCTGCACGAACAGGCATCTAGGGACATCATTATCGCCCTAGTGGGAAACAAACTAGATATAATCGAAAACGGTGGAGAGAGAAAAGTTGCTCGGGAAGAGGCGGAGAATTTGGCGCAGCAGGAGGGCTTGCTGTTTTTTGAAACGAGTGCTAAATCAGGCAGCAATGTTAACGAAGTATTTCTGGGTATAGGCCAAAAAATCTCACTAAAACCAGCTCAGAACGCCCAAGATGGGGGCCAAGGTTCTTCAGGCCTGCGTATAAATGACGACTCTCGGATCGATCTCAGGGCACCTTATGGCCAGTCCAGTGCGGCCGGTTCTTGCAATTGTTAAGCTATGACTTACCTACTTTGATATTCCACACTATCATATCTATAGGTGTATGCACTTATATATTACCATCGAAGGTAGTTTTGTAAGAGATTTAATATAGACAAAACTGCATCATCAGTGCTCAGTCGTGCACAAAAAAGATGTAAAACAATCCTTGAGAGGCGGCCACTACGGCAAGTATGTTAGCGATAATCTCAGTGAAACAAATTATTTGGTAGAAAGGTCCTTCACCATTTTGGTTAATTCTTCGACCATCTTAGTCAAGTCTTCAACCTTCTTGTTGGAAATCTCCTTCTGCTCTTTCATCTCCTCGTAAAGAGCGTAGGATTCCCAGCCAATACCCGACTTAAATCCATCACCAACTGGTTGAACGGACTGCTTGACACTTTCAAACCAATCGGCGTGTACCTTGAAATTTGGATCCGAGTTTTCGGCCTCTTTTTGAAGTTGAAGAGACCTCTTATTCTTTTTTTGAGTTGCCATGATACCTGAAGATTCGCTGCTTGGGATCCAACCATCTGCCTCATCTACGTAACCATCAGTAAGGTTCCATGCGACATCTGTTTCATTAGCGTCATCTTCCAGTTTCTTCATTCTATTGTATGAGACGCGCTTCGCCTCTCTCACTTCTTTGATAGCAATGACCAGCAGGAAAGGAAAGTAAATGATGGACATGACGACGTAAGTTATGCGTCTGGCTGTTTTTACAGGAATTAGAAGCATGAAAGGAGCCATTATAAGCTCAACGAGATTCAAAGGTGGCACATAAACGTCCTCATCTGGAGCCCTGATGTACCTCAAAGTTTTTTGGGCCATTAGTGCCATGTACTCATCCAAAGCATTGTCGATGACCTTTTGGTAAGCCGTACTGTACAGAGCAATGAGAATGTTGAGGAGAATGACAGAAACGACAAAAGAGTACGAGTAGAAGAGAACAGCGGCATAAGGCGGGGCAAAATCTGTAAACGTGTCGAAGCTGCCGGCACCTAGAACTGTCAGCATTAGCTGCGAGATGATGGGCCAAGTAATCTCTCTGTTACCGTCCGAAGAATCTAAACCGATAAACCCCTGCAGGAAACCTATTAGAATTAATAGCAATAGAAAGAAAAATACGATGGATTCTTGCATCATATGTTTCAAGACCACCAATAGAGCGCCCACAAAGCGGCTGGACTCTAAGTAAAGTAGGAGACGAGCCCAAACCAAAGGCGCGGCACACGAGAGTACCCGGTAAGATATTTTGTCCCAGTACTCAGCGGGATAACGGGTTTGAATTGGAGTTACACTAATAATTCTTAGGATCATGGAACTGAGAATGATGAAATACATGGTATCGTTGAAGGCATTCCAAAAGCCGAAGTAAGACCATCCAACATGGTAAAATTTGAAAAGCTCATCAATCACACTTCCCAGGACAAAAAAGTAAAAAGCACCTTCAAAAAAATCAAACGTATCCACGGCCTTGGAGTTCTTGCTGTTTACAACCAAAGTGTAAAGAGCAATGAAAATGAAGGAAAAGAAAATTTGGATGATGTTTTGATACATCGGAGTTTTCAAGCGGTCAGGGCTGAAATGCTGGCCGAACTTTGAGGAAGCAACCGCATCGCAAACAACATAATCCTTATCATCATACTTGTTCTGGACGATCCAACCGCGCCACAACCATTTAAGGCACCTCTGGTAGCCACTGGAGCCGATCACTGTCGTGCAGTGCATGTCCATGGCAAGTTCCAAGGCATTCTCGGGGTCAGAGTCTTCATCGTTTTCGTTTATGACATATCTACGACAGAGCATGTGAATGAACAAAAATTGTGCATTTTTCCCCTCCTCTTCCTCTATGATCAGCTTGCATATCTGCTGTGCAGCGGAAGCCCTCAAATCGTAAAGTTCTGCATTGTGCAATTCTGCGGCTGCCAAGTCCCAGTACCAAGCACATACTTTTAACAAGCAGAAAACCAGCACCGATTCATACTTGTGGCGAGACTTAGAGTCCTTCTTGTCCCCACCGCATGCATCTTTGGCCAGGTCAAGAACGCGAGAGTTTAAGATGCGCGAGTGGTCGCACAGAATATCACTCTCATCGTACATTATTGGCACCACCTTGTCGATGAGATACTTCAAGTTCAAACATATCCGCAGAATCTGCCTTGGACTTGGCGCATCGTAGCTTGGAGGTTGTTCACACGACCAGTCAACACCATTTGAGGTTGGAAGTAGATGCGAAGGCATCTTTCCTAATTCCTGTTGCTTACTTTGTTCTTTCCATTGAAGTCAGTATACGCGTTAACCTTGAGGTCAGATTAATTTTTAGGTTTGTATACCATATCCCTTTATCCTTTTACGTCGCAATCTCGTGAAGTCAGATCCAAATACTAAAGGAACAGAGTCATGGTGGATAAATACCGTGGGAGGATTCACTTAAGGTTTAAAGGCGCCATAGCTTCGTGTGGAATATTGCAGGACACCAGGGACTTTTCTTCATGGTCTTTCGTCTCAAAAATAAAAAACTAAACAAAAGTTAATGGCCTCTTTTGCCTTGAGAGAAAGCTGGAAATATGGTGCTGCATGAATATGGAAGGTATTCGGCATTTCCGTTTGATGGTAAGCATGTATTGCTCTCCATTCCCTCTCACCGCCGACCACTTGTGAATGTCGGCATGAAAATTTTCAAAAGCTCGAGGACACTAGTGTTAAGAATATGAGATCCATTTGAGAAAGGTTGCTTTTCTCCCGCTCTCCCCGGTGTTCTGATTTTGCAATCCTTTTGGTCTGGGGGCCAGACCTTTGAGTCAGGCCGTCTGTTATAAGTTATCTTCGTAGGATTGTTTTCAGTACAGCATGCGAAAATTGTGATATCCAAGGCCAGGGAAATCAAGCTAGTTGCGGATCAGCTCTTTTCGAAATGATTCCAACTCTCGAAAACTTCCCCGCACAACAAGACGGCTAACCTTTGCCCAATATTGCCGAAATCACTCGAAAAAGAACTGAAAAAAAGACCTAGAAAGCCGTCATTTTCCACACAAGTCAAGGAATGCCCGACAACCGAATCAGTCTGGATAAGTTGGGATATTTCGTTAATGTAAGTTGATCTTTGACGATCTTACCGTTGAAGTCATTATGTACTAAGGGTCGTTATATGAAACACTATAAAACTTTTCAGAATTGGTACTAGTGTAAAGCGAGCAACAGCGAACAGCCCAAGCTAAAATGGGGAAGAAACGCCCAGCAAAAAAGACTTCTGAGTCAACAAATAATAGTGCAACAGTTGTAAGCGGGCACGACGTTCGATTTGAGCTTTCAGACGAATCAGCAGGGGCATCAACACGCCAAAATCCAAATAGTAAGAAGAGCTCTATTCCACAACGGGCGGAAGCCGAGGTCTACGACGATGAGGCTGAATACCCAAGTTCGAGAGTTATCAAAAGAGCAGCCAATGGAGACGTTATAGTCGAATCGCTAGAGGGACCGGAGCGGGTGAAGCCCGACAAGGAAGACTCCGGCATCACCGCCAAGCTTGATCTGCATTGGGAATCGTTGAGTAACGAAGAGAAAAAAAGAATCCTACGGATTGAAAAGCAAGAGGTCTTTGAGGTCATCAAGAACTACCAGTCCAGTAACAACTGCAACTGCTCAGTGTGTGGGCGGCGTAACGTCGCCATGGAGCAGGAACTGGAACAGATATACAACCGACTTTACGACAGCGCTAAAGAGAGCAATTCGGATACAGACTTTGTACTTTTTCACCTGAACATGATCAAAGAGCTTCAAAAGGCAAACACCAGCGCGAACGCAAGTGCGACCACCATTTCTAATAACGAGCGTACAAGCCGAACTATCGCCGACGCTCCTTCACCGCAATATCTCGATGACATGCGGGATGAAGCTGTTAAGTACTGTCTGTCCAATAAGGCTGTCGAATCTTTGAAAGAGGAAGTTCTTCAGTTTAAGCACAACAAACAACGACAACAGCAGATCCAGCAACAACAGCAACAACGGCAACAACAACATATACCACTTCATCCGGGCGTTGCAGAACACTTCAAAACTACAGAGCCTGTCTTCGAACAGCATCAGCAGACAACGCATAATCCTGCACAGCAGTCATCTTACGATCATCACGAACGCTTTCGAAGCCCGTTAGAAAGCGTTGGGACTAGTTCAGACACTTTGAGAGAAATGGATAATCAGATGCGGAAAATGATGCAGCAGCCGCCAACGATGAACGGTGCCAATTTCAAAGGGCAATCAGATGACACAGTGCGAGATATCCGGTCAGAGTTTTTGAGCTCAGAACTGCCTAGTGGAATGCCTCTGCCTTCCAATGATCACATTCCAGAAACTAACGAAGAGCTCAAAGATCGTTATATGTCTTTTGCTAAAACCTTCGTCTCCTCTCATCCCAAGATTGCTCATGAATACGTGAATCGAATGATGATGTACCCTGATATGAGAGCTTTGACTGAAGATCTGATGTACAACAATGGGCAAAGCTTTATAAAGGCCATGGAAGACTACGTAGTGCAAAAAGGAGACGTACCTCAAGAACAACCGCCTTCTGAAGATCACTCTTCATCAGGGTCCTTCGCTCCGGACAGAGTTCCTTTGACTCCTGAACAGTACGCTAGTATCCAGAGGCACATCGCAGCCGGAATGACCGCATCTTTTGAGTCACAGGCTCGCGAATTACAGAGTACTCGCGAAGGAGACGGGAAGGGCCTGTTTGAACAATTCCTTGCAGGTGAAGATCCTATTAGCATGCTGCTTAAATCTGTTACAAAGCAAACCGCACATCCTACCGAACATATGATGACAACCCAAGAGATTCAAGAGGAAATTGACTATGATGACGAAGACGAAGACGAATACGAGGATGACGAGTATTCTGATTACGAAGATGAGGAAGCATCGGAATATGAAGGCGATGCTTACGTGGACGATGAAACCGACAACTCTCAATATCATCAACAGCATCGTACGCATCCCTCACGTCATCGCCACGACCACGAATTAGAGGTCGGCGATGAAGATGTTAGCACTGCTGGCAACGAAGAAGACTATGATAGCGGCATTGACGAAGAGGAGCGCTTGGAAGAAGGGAGGAGACTGATACAAATCGCGATAACAAAGCTGTTACAAAAAAAGCTGGTCGATTCTTTTCACGAAAAGCAAGCTGAGGAAAATCGGTTAAGGTTGTTGCAAGAACTGGAAGCAGAAGAGCAGAAAAAGCGTGAGAAGGAGGAGAAAAAGCAACGTAAACGGGAGAAGGAAAAGGAGAAGAAGCGAGCTCAACAAGTCGCTAAGGAGCAAGAAAAGCGCCGGAAAGAGGAAGAGGAAGTGCGGCTAAAGAAGGAGGCTGAGGAACGTGAGATGCAAAGAAGAGAAACTCAAAGACAACGCGTTGAGGAGGCCAAACGAAAGAAGGATGAGGAAAGAAAGAGGAAACTAGAGGAGCAGAGGCGCAAAGAAGAAGAACAACAGAAACAGAAGAAGCTGAAGGAAGAACAAAGGCGCAAGCGTGAGGAAGAAAAACGTTTGAAAGAAGATATCAAAAAGCAGAAGGAGGAAGAATTGAGAAACACCAAAGAGCTGAAGCGACTAGAACAGGAGCGTCGAAAGCAAGCAGAAGAAGCTATCTTACAGCAGGATCTCAATCAAGCAAGAGGCTCTCAAACTCCCTCGCACCGCCGTTTGAGTACTCCACCAGAAGCTGTGCCGTATGGCGTCCCTAGCGCAGCCCAAGCTAACGAAAACAACGACCTATTCCATATGATTAATGAAGCTGCTTCCAAATCTCTATCATCTTCTTCCTCGCATTTGCAAGCTCTACTCCAGCCTCAGCTATCACGGACAGCTGTGCAACAACCGCCGGCAACAGGGATGTCTCTTCCCGGCATGAATACCAACGCAAACTGGCAACCTTCTGAGACATTTTCAAATCCGTCCTTTGACTCTCTGTCGGCCAGTGGAAAGTCTTTGGAAAATTCCTGGAGCAATGTAGGTGGATTTTTTCAGGCCTCGCCAAGGAAGGCGCCCACTAACCAAATTGATCCCCAAAGTGCGGCTGGCCCACAACATGGAGTGCCCCTTTATTCTCAGTTCGGTAGTAACGCAGGCGAGCGCAAGGCCTCTCTTAACGACGAGTTAGACAATTTGACAAACTTTTTGTCGTCCACTTCTCTAGGTACGAGTCATACTGCATCGGGGGGCTTTCATTTGCCAGAGCATCTATGGTCTGCAGTTGACCAAAGTAGTCATCCAATCAGTCAGTACATGCCCAGCTCCGCCCCCCCTGTGAATAGCGGTGTCAACGCTCAAAGAAAGTCCATATGGGAAAACGATGCTCCTTTGGGATCTAGCCCCAGTGTAGGGACTATCACACCCAGCATATGGGGCGGAATAAATAGCAATGCCTCTGCGGTTTCTGCTGTACCCACTGATGTTCTAGCGGACTCCATTTTGGCAGCCTATCCAATTTCAAGTCACGAAATTAGCTCCGATTACGTGGATGTGGAGAGACTCTATCGCAAGACGTTTTCCCTGCTCAAGAGTGGCTCGACACTGACCTACACGACGTTTTTAAATCAGCTTATCGCGATGCGCTCTACCCATAGCTGTGAAGTTCTCACCAACTCTAGTGGCAGTATCACACATGCTAGATTTCCTTTCAATTATTTTCAACAGCAGTCACAGGCAGGACCACCACAGTCCGGACTGTTAGGTGGTGTTTCAGAAAATGTTGGGCGACAGAATACGTTTGAAAGCAAGGGATACCCATCTGCCCTCTTTGATGAACTGTATAATGGAGCGCCTAATTCACTTCAGCAGCCTACAAATCCCATGACCGCTCCTGGTGCCTCCACTAACCACTTCAACTACGAACCATCATTTGGACAATCGCGAACCAATAACATTTGGGGGTAAATAGAGTCGATAATGGGAATCCTGTCATAACTAGCATAACAGACGCTCTGTATAATGTGGTATAATTAGTGCTCAACATTGTAGGTGTGGCACGTGAAAACGCATAATGAGTACTTATGTACCCCCAAAGCTTCAATTTGGTCTTCGAGGGCCCTTACTTTACATAGACGATAACTCAAAGAGAAGAGAGAGCTTAGGCTACTGCTGTACGCTAACCCGCGAGTAGTTCTGTTGCATTGATTTGAATTGAGTGATAAAAAAACCACAGAGGTGGCCCTGAGGTGTTAAGTGAAGCCATTTTTTTTACCAAACAGAACCTAAGTCACCCTTGGATCAAGAGCTACATAATACAAGATGTCAGAGAACGCGGTAAGGAGGAAGCTTGTTATAATAGGCGACGGTGCTTGTGGCAAAACGTCGCTTCTTCATGTATTTACGCTGGGCAAGTTCCCGCAAGAGTATCATCCAACAGTCTTTGAGAATTATGTGACGGATTGTCGAGTGGATGGGATTAAAGTAACGTTGGCCTTATGGGATACAGCAGGACAGGAAGAATACGAACGATTGCGACCCTTCTCATACTCCAAGGCTAACATAGTTCTAATAGGGTTTGCTATAGATGATCTAGAGTCATTGCGAAATGCGCGTTCTAAGTGGACAGAGGAGGCCCTGCGCTATTGTCCCGATTCCCCAATCATACTGGTGGGGCTCAAGAGTGATCTACGGAGAACGGAGAGAAATTCTTCTGATCGGCAGTTTGTCCGTCAGGAAGAAGCCGAGAAAGTGGCTCACGCGATAGGAGCGAAACGATACATGGAATGCAGCGCGCTCGATGGCACCGGGGTGGATGACGTTTTTGAAGTGGCTACAAGAACGAGCCTTTTGGTCAACAAAGAGCCTGGTGGAGGGTGTTGCACAGTAATATAAGTTAGCTTAGCGAGTTTTTTCATGTAATGAATGAAAGACGAAGACAATGAAGACTGATGACAATGAATACATAGCAAGGCTCTATATCTCGGTGCGCAGGCCGGGGTGACCCGCCTGGAATGTTTAAAAACTGGGTACTGAGCCAAGTAAAGCTTCACCTCGTACAAAAAAATTCGACCTCGGTGAGGATTGAACTCACGATCTTGCGATTAACAGTCGCACGCCTTAACCAGCTTGGCCACGAAGTCTCTTATTTCTTGAAGTCTGGATTACTGAAACTTAATATATATAGAGCATTAAATATCATTTACCTTTTGTCGCGTTTTCTGTTTGTTTACGCGATCTGAACATTTCATCGGCATCATCATTTCCATTCACACCTTCATACAGCTACACACAAGCGGATCGCCAGCACTAAAGTGGTCACCCAGGTCCTGAAAGTGTGCCACTGTCATGACGGGGGTCAAAAGCGCTTCTGAGCGCTACCAAAAGATATCACAGCTGGAGCATATTCTAAAGAGACCTGATACATACGTGGGCTCGGTTGAGGTACAGGAGCAAACACAGTGGATCCACAATGAAGAGACTGAGTGCATGGAGGAGAAGGTGGTTAAAATTGTTCCGGGATTGTTTAAGATTTTCGACGAAATTCTGGTAAACGCTGCAGACAACAAAGTTCGCGACCCAACTATGAAGAAAATCGAGGTAACCATTAACAAAGAGGAAGGTCTAATTGAGGTCAAAAACGACGGAAAGGGGATCCCTATTGAAATTCACGATAAGGAACAAATCTACATTCCTGAAATGATTTTTGGACATCTATTAACATCTTCAAATTACGATGATGATGAGAAAAAAGTCACTGGTGGTAGAAATGGTTATGGTGCCAAACTCTGCAATATCTTCTCGTCAGAATTTATTTTGGAGACATGCGACCCTGTAAAGGGCGAAAAATATGTCCAGAAGTGGGAGAACAATATGACAGTCTGCCATAAGCCCAAAATCACCTCTTACAAGAAAGGTCCTTCGTATACTAAGGTTTCATTTCGGCCCGACTTAAAAAGATTTGGCATGGATGTATTGGATGATGACACCGTTGGTGTCATGCGTAGAAGGGCGTTCGATGTCAATGGCTCTGTTAGAGATGTCAGTGTCTACTTAAATGGAAAAAGCTTAAAGATTCGGAACTTCAAAAATTATGTGGAACTATACCTAAAGTCACTGGAGAAAAAGAAATCCGAGGAGCAGGGTACTGAAGCTGGAAATACTCCTACCATACTTTACGAAAGGCTCAATGATAGGTGGGAAATAGCATTTGCGGTATCAGATGTGGCCTTTCAACAAATTTCTTTCGTGAACTCGATAGCGACAACATCTGGAGGTACCCACGTAAACTATGTGTCCGACCAAATTGTGAAAAAGATTACAGAATATTTGAAGAAGAGAAAGAAGGGCAAGACAATCAAAGCCTTTCAAATCAAGAATCATATGTTTGTGTTTATTAACTGTCAGATTGAGAACCCTGCCTTCACATCCCAAACCAAAGAACAGTTAACCACAAGAGTTAAGGACTTTGGTTCAAAGTGCGAATTGAAGGACGAGTTTATTAACAAGATTATGAAAACCGAACTGGCGGAGAAGATCTTTGAGATCGCTGACAAAAATGAAGACAAAGCATTACAAAAATCTGATGGTACAAGGAAGAATCGAATCACAGACTACCCTTCGCTCGAGGATGCCAATTTTGCTGGTACGAAGCAAAGTCAAAAATGTACTTTAGTTTTGACCGAAGGTCTTTCTGCCCAGTCCCTTGCTGTAGCCGGGCTAGGTGTTGTAGGCCGTGATTTTTATGGCTGTTATCCATTGCGGGGCAAGATGTTGAACGTGAGAGAAGCGAATGCCGATCAGATTATGAAAAACGCTGAAATTCAAGCTATCAAGAAAATTGTGGGGTTGCAACACAAGAAGAAGTATGAAGATACCAAAACTCTACGATACGGCCATATCATGATTATGACCGATCAAGATCACGATGGGTCTCACATTAAGGGGTTGATCATAAATTTCCTCGAAAGCTCCTTTCCGGGTCTGTTAGATATACCAGGGTTCCTGATTGAGTTTATTACCCCAATTGTGAAGGTAACAATAACTAGACCCAAACGTGAAGTAATTTCCTTCTACAACATGCCTGATTATGAAGATTGGAGAGAGAAGGAGGGTCACAAAGTGACATGGAAGCAGAAGTACTATAAAGGTTTGGGTACCTCATCGTTGCAAGAAGCCAGAGAGTATTTCTCGGATCTCGACACACATTTGAAGAGATTTCATGCCCTTGCGGGAGATGACTGTCACCTCATTGATCTAGCTTTCTCTAAAAAGAAGGCCGATGATCGTAAAGAGTGGTTGCGACAATATGAGCCAGGGAACACCTTGGACCCTCAATTGGCCGAAATTCCGATCTGTGACTTTATCAACAAAGAACTCATTCTTTTTTCCTTAGCTGACAATGTCAGATCTATTCCTTCCGTATTGGATGGCTTTAAACCAGGACAGCGTAAGGTTTTGTACAGTTGTTTCAAGAGGAAGCTGCGGTCTGAAATTAAAGTTGCTCAGCTTATCGGGTATGTGTCAGAGCATACAAGTTATCATCATGGTGAAATGTCACTGGCTCAGACAATTGTGGGCATGGCTCAAGATTTTGTCGGCTCCAACAATATCTATTTATTGAAACCTAACGGTGCTTTTGGTACCAGAGCTACCGGTGGTAAAGATTCTGCTGCCCCTCGTTATATTTTCACGGAATTGAACCAAATTACACCCGTAATTTTCAATCCTCTTGACAGTCCGTTGCTGAACTTTTTGCAAGAAGATGATCAAACAATCGAGCCTGAATGGTACCTTCCTGTTATACCTATGTTACTTGTCAACGGAGGTGAAGGTATTGGTACTGGTTGGAGCACTAATGTTCCTCCTTTTAACCCGTTGGACATCGTCAAAAACATCAAGAAGTTGATGACAGGGGAGGAAATGGACGGGATGGCACCTTTTTACAGAGGCTGGAGAGGAAGCTTAGAAAAAATTGACGCCCAACGCTACAGAATGTACGGCCGTATTGAGCAAGTTGGGCCTAATACTCTAGAAATCACTGAACTCCCAGCTAAAACGTGGATTGCCACTGTGAAGGAGCATTTATTACTCGGCTTGTCCGGTAATGAGAAAGTCAAGCCTTGGATCAAAGACATGCAGGAAAACCACGGTGCAACAATCAAATTTACTGTTACACTTTCCGATGAAGAGATGACCAAGACTCGAAAATTAGGTTTTTATGAGAGGTTCAAATTAATTTCGAGCATCAGCTTGGCCAATATGGTAGCTTTCGATCCTCAGGGCCGCATAAAGAAATATGAGGATGTAAGGGATATGTTAGCAGACTTTTACTATGTGCGTCTGGAATATTATCAGAAACGGAAGGACTACATGTCCGAAAGGTTACAGTGGCAAGTGGAGAAGTTATCACAGCAGGTGCGATTTCTAAAGCTGATTGTGGAAAAAAAATTAATTGTGAGTAACAAATCGCGCGCCATGCTCTTTGCGGAACTTGAGCAGCTTGGTTTCCCCAAAATAAATCAAGAAGGAAGGCCATTTTATGGAAAGGTTGACAATGAAGAGGAACAAAACGTCATAGAAGCTACTCTCGAGGAAGTTGAGGATGAAGACGATGATGTCGAAGGAGAGATAAATGGACCGCAGCAGAAGTATGGTACTTTTGAATATTTGTTGGGTATGAAGATTTGGTCCTTGACTAAGGAGAAGTATGAACGGTTGATGAGGCAACAGCAAGAAAAAGAGGTTGAACTGGAAGCTTTGCTGCGGTTATCAGCCAAAGATTTATGGACTCAGGATCTAGATGAGTTTGAAAAAGCCTATTCGGCCTTTATGAAACATGACGAAATGGTGCGCAACACGATAACTCCAGATGCGGCAGTGAAGCAAAAGGGGAAACGGAAAAGGGGCAAGAAAGATGATGATGATTATGATCCCGGTCGTAAGAAGAAGTCAAAAACTACCTCTGCAACGAAGGTTAAAGTAGAGGATCCACAGTTCGAATCCATCTTAATCGAACAAAAAGCCCTTGAAAAGCCCAAGAGAACCGCCAAGGTAAAAGATGAAAACCAGCCAACGCTTGAAGGTTTGGTTGGTAAATCAAAAGGGAAGCAAGTAATGAAAGATTCCGAGTCTCTCCCTCAATCTGTGTCTGGATCGGCGACGCCCCCGGGCCAGAAATCTGAGTCCTCTAGAAGCCAAAGCGTTGATTCGGCAGGTAATTCCGCTAAACCTAAGGAGGAGGAGAAAGACAGCATGAGTGTGTTTTCCAGCAAATTCAAGCAAGCCAGTGCGCTGTTCGATAACTCGACTTCGCCTGAACCTGCATCTGCTTCCTTGAAAGACGCAAGCTCAACGAAGCCCAAAAAAGTTGCAGTACGGAAGGCCGCAGCTCCCAAATCCAAGTCAAACAGGAAGAAGAATATTATTCTTGACGACGACGACGACGACGACGATATTGAATTTGGAGCAGATAGCGACTTTGAAGTTTTATCAAATGAGCCGAGCGAAGTTAGGAGAGAACCGCGCAGCAGACGTGCTGCCGCTAGAACTCCTCCAGCCGTATCCTACAGAGATGAAGGCTCTGGTGACGAAAACCAAGACGATGATCTGGACCAATCCGTTGCGTTGGACGGCGACGACGAATCCTTCTACGAGTCCGAGTAAGAGCCTAAAAAGTCAAGAGGGATTAGGAAACGGCCCGTAGGGATACAGCGCCCGATTTTTGCTTTGCACATCACCACGTTGCTGAATTTCAAGTAAGTTTCATTTTATGTAGAAGTGAGATATATTGTCGAGCTTCACGTCTCATTGACTCTTTAAGATGGGTGAAAGCGCCTTTGCTGCCTGTCCGTTGTAGAGACTCAAGGGCGACAGACGACAATGAGCTAAAAGAAGAATTTCCTCATTATTTTGGAAGAAACGCCCATCAATGTGCTTATTAGGCACACAGTAGCTGACACCAGAGATACGTGGGTATATTAGCCGGAGCGTATTTATATGAATATGTGTCCCGTTAGCATTCTTGCCACTCAAAGAAGCTGAGGTGTCGATAGCCCAATGAATGTCTCCTCCAGATTATGAAAATATAGTCCATCAAATGTGTCATAAATCTTCGTACAGTTGTAAAAGAGAAACAAATGGAACGGCTGCCAAACGTCTTCCACCTAAAAAATTTTGCGAAATAGTAGGATTTCTTGAATGGCAAGAGGTGGTGTATACACGACGGAATGGTACTTAGTAGTGAGGGAGTTCTCTAGGTGTTAGGCAAAATCTTAATTCAAAATTGACATATTTAGGCTCAGTGGCATTACTGAGCATGGCCCTTGGTTTGCTATCCCAAGTTCAATTCCTCAAATAACAATACACTATAATTATAGTCTACGCATATTGGAGCGGGCCAGCGTTGGCAGTAAATACCATGCTGAACTTTTCGTTCAATCTGTGGATATACATCTTGAATCATTATCTGAGCACTTGAAAACGAACCCTCAGCTTGAAAAGCGTCCTCTACTTGGCTCTCCATGGTTACTCGGATTATCAATATAGTTCACATTTGGGACGTACTGCCGGTCTATGTGCAGCATTTTGGCTGGCACAATCTGGGTCAGTGAAGGCTGAATAATCGAAATGGCTGTTCAGGGTGTTTTGGGTAAAGATGGTGGTCGTTATGTAGCTCATCCATATTCTGTCATCAGTGTCAATTTTATTTGGTATTCAGCGCCGGTGGAATGTTCGCTGCGTGAGATAGGCATGAAAAAAAATATTACCATCCCGACTATGTCCTCTAACCTACAAACAACATCAATCTTAAGGGATAGACAAAAAGAGTCACTAGATAGAGCTCTTATCTCAGGTAAAGGGGCCCAATTAGTTTTTTAGAATGGCTACTACCGGCTCTGAGGTTGTTCTGCCCACAGATCGGGATCAGGTAGCTGTAATCGACGGAATTGACAAACTTGCACCTCCTCAAGTAAACGCGGAGAAGTCGAGTAAGAATGTGACAGAGCGAGACGTATCGAACGTGACTGCCTCTGATGTTGAAAGAGCAACGGTAGATGCCTCATATGTTGGTTGGAAGCAAATAGGAGGATGGGAAGAAAAAGACGCATTGACCTTGGATGACGAACTCATCGACTTGAACAGTGAGACATTTCTGGACAATGTAATCCCAGAAAAGTTTTACGGGGACTGGTATCATGCAGCTGCAGTGTTTTTCGTTGGAGGGACGCTATCGTTTCTGGTAGGCAAACTGGGCTTTTCGCTGGGGCCAGTTTTCTTTGTCATTCTGGCCATGAGCTTTTTGTATAGGGCTACGATTAAGCGGTACAGAGGTGCTATCAGAGATCAGGTACAGAAAGAATTTACGGTGCAGAAAGTAGAAGGCGATTCAGAGTCGATGGAATGGCTTAACAGCTTCTTGGATAAATATTGGACTCGTCTGGAACCGGAGGTGTCGCAAATGGTGGTTCAACAAGCCAACCAAATACTAGCTACACACCCAGCCATTCCAGGCTTCATAAAAGCAATTTGGATTGACCAATTCACGCTCGGAATTAAGCCTCCTAGAGTTGACCTGGTTAAGACGTACCAAAACACAGATACTGACGTTGTTGTGATGGACTGGGGCGTCTCTTTCACACCACACGATTTGTCGGACCTCAATGCCAAGCAACTCAAGAACTATGTTAATCAAAAGATCACCGTTAAAGCAAAAGCGTTCGGTTTACCTCTCTCTGTCACTGTCTCCGAGTCTGCGTTTAAATGTGACCTCAAGGTAAGATTTAAGCTTATGACACCATTTCCCCACATTGAAACCGTGAATGTGCAGTTACTGGATGTGCCAGAGGTCGACTTTGTTGCCAAGTTGTTAGGGGAATCTATCTTCAATTGGGAAGTGATGAACCTTCCAGGGCTTTACCCGTTGATCAGAGAATTGGCCAAAAAATACATGGCTCCTATTTTTATGCCTCCATTCTCCCTGCAATTGAATATTCCTCAGTTGCTATCCACGTCACCCGTCTCTATCGGAGTGCTAGAAGTGTCAGTGAAAGATGCAGTGGATATCAAACGTGCACGGAACATTTTGAATAAGTCCGTTGATCCATACTTGTCCTTTGAATTTAACGGTGTCTCTTTGGGCAAAACCAGAACTGTCAGAGACTCTTTAAACCCAGTCTGGAACGAAACGATGTTTTTGCTACTGAACTCTTTTACTGAACCACTTTCTATTGTCCTTTACGACAGACGTGAGAAGGTGAAGGATAAGGTTATGGGCAGGATAGAATACAATCTAAGTACACTGCATGATGAAAAGACACAAAACGGTCTATCAGCGTCCTTCCTCAGAAATTCCAAGCCTATCGGAAACTTGAATTTCAATCTTAAATTTCATCCAACCTTGGAATCTAAGCAACTACCCGATGGCACTGTCGAAGAAGCTCCAGACTTGAATGTTGGTGTCAGTAAAGTGATTATTGAAGAAGCCAAGGAACTTGATGCTCCAGGCTCCAAGGTCTCGACATTCGTGGAAATGTACTTCAATGCCAAATTGGTTTTGACCACAGGCACTCTCAAGAATACAGAAAATCCAGTTTGGAACCAGGAATACGAGGCTGTAATCACTGATCGTCGCAAGACCAGGGCGAAGATTGTTGTCAAGAATGCCAAGGGCGAAATCATAGGATATACCGTCCAGTCTTTGAATGATCTCATTGACAGAGCAGAGGTTGACAAATTATGGATTCCATTGAAAAACGGAAAGGGCCAAATTAAAGTGAGGACCCATTGGAAACCTGTTGAGCTTGACTTGGGAGCCAATGCTGTGGCATATACTCCACCGATTGGCACTTTGAGGGTCTTCATCAGTAAAGCAGAAGGTCTTAGAAATCTTGAAAAATTCGGAAAGATTGACCCATATGCTAGAGTATCTGTCAATGGAGTAGCGAGAGGGCGTACGGATGTTCGTGAATCCACGTTAAATCCTGTTTGGAATCAAGCGATTTATGTCGCTGTCACGTCGCCTAACCAAAAAATAACTCTTGAGTGTTTTGACGTCGAAACAGCTGGTAGAGACCGCACGCTCGGTAAGTTTGACATCAATGTCTCTGAAATGTTTCAAAAAGGTGATGATGATAAATATATCGAGAATATTAGCAATGAGCCACAAATTGGTCGCCTAGTTGATAAGAAAGGTGCTAAGGGTACGATTACTTATTACGTTTCTTTTTATCCAACTCTTCCCGTTTTGAGCTTGGAGGAAATCCAGGAGGTTGACGAGATTAATGATAGAAAGAAGAGCCTTCAGGTGAAAGTGAGTGAACAGGACGAAAAGACCATGACCAAGCTAGCAAAACAGAAATTGAAAGAAGAGGAATTTGAAGTTAAGGAGATGGAAGACCTTTTCAGTAATAAAATGAAGTTAGACCTTGATGAGCTATTGCAGTACAATAGCGGTGTCCTTTCATTCTCCATATTAAGTGGTGAACTTCCTCAAACAGGAGTTGTAGTGCAAGCGTTTTTCGATTCCAACAGCTATCCTCGTTACGTAACCCAGAAGTACAAGGGAAGAACCATCAGAAACGGTTCGACCGGTGATACCATTATAAAAGAATTGGAGTGGTCTATTGCTACATTCAGAATCACATCAAAGCCGGACAATAGCAAGGCCGAAGATTGTTTAGCCGAAGTGACGCTGCCAACTATCGAACTTGTGAGAAACTGCTACTATAAACCTTCCATCTTGAACTTAGCTGGCCATGGCAGCTGTAAGCTGTTGGTTCAGGTTTCCTGGTTCCCGATAACTGCTACAAAGTTACCACAAGCAGACCTCATCACTAACACTGGTGATCTTACTATCAATGTTGTGGGTGCCAATAATCTCATTGCAGCTGACAGAAACGGTAAGTCCGATCCTCTTGTCAAGTTTTACATGGATAACAATGAAGATTCATTTTTCAAGACGCATCACAAAAAGAAAACTTTGGATCCAACTTGGAACGAGACGGTGGAGGTTCAAGTTAACAATCGTGTTAACAACTACCTAAAGATTCGCGTGATGGATTGGGACGCTGGTAACAAAGATGACCTGATCGGTACCGCTGTTTTGCCTTTAGCCAATGTTGATCCTGAAAACCCAAGTGACATTGATGTTCCTCTCACTGGTCCTGAAGGACAAGACGGAGGCGTCCTACACCTCAACTTCAGCTTCAGTCCAAGACATGTGTTGACTACTCAAAAACAAGAAAAGAAGGTCGGTGACTTGGCTTCTAAGGGTTTGTCTACTGGCCTGCAGGCGGGTACTTCCGTAATTGGGGGTGGATTCGGGGCCGTGGGGAAAATCAAGAAGGGTATTTTCGGTGGCGAGAAGAAAGACAACGGAGAAAATCCCAAGTAAGCTACCGGTTTCAGCCAGTTTTCCTTGCGCTGTACAATTTCCTTGTCTCTTTTTTAAGTATTTTTAGCTCTGAAATCTGTATGCCATCTGTTAGACTAACTTTCAATATGTGCTATTAATTGAACACCCAGGTACGACCTCCATAATTTGGCAAACTCAGAACTCGATCCACAAATACTGTAGTGCTGTCCACCACACTACTTCGCACAGTGGTAGAAATCGTTGTAAACTTGGTGCTGTTATTTAGAAGTTTCAAGTTTCTGTAAGCTGGTGGAAGTGTACTGCTGTGTACAAAATGTAAAATATAGTTCTACCACCAAACAAAGATGACCATGCACAATACTATTCTTTCTGATTTGGCAACAAGCGGTCTATTGCTTCATCTCGCTAGCGGATCGTTCGAACTGTATCAGTCACTTGTTCATTCCCGCTATCCAGACAAGTAGTTCGGATGGGTAGATGTGACATTATTGTACACAGTGATGATAAAGTTTTGTAGTTATCAAGTCTTCACAGGCTGCTGGTATACCGGGCCGAATTGATGTCGATGGCATCCTAGTGTAACAAGTTAGTTAATCTAAGAAGGTAGTAAACTAGTGTAAGGTTATCACAAAGTCGAAAAATTTGGGTCGAGCTCCTGACGTTGCTCGCATTTCACAGAGCCTAGTGAAGAGTTGTATATAGCGCATGAATGAAAGGAAAAGGAATCATAACATCTCAAATGTTTCCATTTCAGAAAAGCAAGTGAAAACGTCCAACGAAGAGTATAGAAGCGGGACAGTGCCAGCAGTGGAAAACTTGCTAAAACTTTCATCCAATCTGCTGATAGATATCCAGAATTATTATCTGAGAACCTGCAGCTTACTAAGCGTCTTCTACTTGTCTCTCCATGATTACTTGGACTCTCAATATAGTCCACATTTGGAACGTACTGCCGGCCTTTACGCAACATTATGGCTGGCACAATCTAGGTTCAATGACGGCTGAATAGTTGAAATGGCTGGTCATTTCCATGTGATCACATAATCTCTGGATCCCATTTGTTAAGTTTTCACCTTGTACATCCTTATTTTACTGACATCGCTAGTATCACCCCGTACTAAACTGACACTAAGGCGATGTAAGCTATTAAGGAACTCAACGGTAATCAAACAGTACTGGACCACTCCTATGTGGTAGTTTCAACAGATAGGTGATACAGAGAGGTGTCAGTATGAAGAGTCAAGCGTGTTGGACAAGGTTTGATATAACTTTATACGGGATATACCATCCAAATCTGTCCTCATTCACATTATGAGAAGCGAGAAGCGAGAAGCGAACAGCTGTGTAACGCTCTTCGAATAGGCATCTAAAGTGTTGAGCAATGGAGCCTCACGAAGTTTCCACTGCAACGGGATTACACCCTATAGAACTGTGTGTTTACTCTGTTCTTTCCAACAACCTTGACGGTCTCTATCAGTCTGTAAATGAACTGCGTGAGTCTCAGGCCCTACTGCTTGTCAAGCTGCGCCAAATACGGACATTCTTGAAAGACGAACAAGACTTTTATGATGAGCAGCAGGGACTGACAGATGAAATTCGCAGATTAAAGGCTATAAAAGTACGAACTGAAGCGTTGGTCGAAAGATATGAGGCGCTATCAAAATCTTGTTTATAAAGTCTTTCTACATGGAAACAAGAAAGGATGCTAAATGGAGGGAAAGCGGAAAAGCTTAAATGGATATCCCGAACTCTTTAGGCCAAACACGGCAGTCAGTGCGCTGTAGACCACATACAGAGCAACCAAGAACGAAACCGTCAATGCGAGCTCGATCAATGAAGCTTTGGAAGGGGAAGGTCTGCCAGCCTTGTCGTGAGAGTAGAATTTCTTGGCATAAGGGACAAACGCGATTAACGCCACGGTGCTAGATGCGAGAATGCCGTAGATGACGCTAATAATTTGAGTTTCGACACCAAATTGATTTTGTTGTTGGCCCTCTAAAAAGTACACTACCGCGCTTCCATCCTGTGTCATGCCGGCGAATTGACTACCTCGTATAGAGTTGAACATGTATCCCGCATTCCAAAGGACGATAATAGCCACAGTGCCAAGCCCCCATACTGTCTTCGAGGTCAACATTTTGATGGCAATGGGTTTATATTGCCTAACCAGCAGCGCAACAAGAAACGTGGCCATGGCTGTGATCGACACCGAACCCCAGTTGATAGGCTGGTAAATTTCAAAGTCCGAAATCCCAATGGCGTCTTTCAGGGTATGCACAATTGCAGCCATTCTGGTGATCCCCCCTTCAGAAGGCAAGTTTATTTGGTTAAAAGTACCAATGTCCTGATCAGGGCTCAGAAATAGGACTCGAGGCACATTGTTGACTTTGAAGTTCATGAAAACCTCGTTGTTCGTTTTAGGCTCAAAGTCGGCTTTAGCGAAGAAAAGAGCGTGCTCGCCATCGGCTGACAGACCGCTGGGATGATCTTTATACCACGAGTCCGAAATGGTCGCGAATTCCGGTTCCAGTTCCATGCACAAGCTGCAACCAATAGACGGATTGGTCGAGGTTAGCAATACCACCATATATGCTTCCCTTTGCCCTCCCAAGATGCGCTCATAGTTGCTGTTAGTCAGTGTAATCGTTCCTTTATTCTTGGCGACTTCTTTAGCTAGGAGGCCGTTTGAGAGAGCCGAAGTTAGCGACAGGTACAAGAAAACCAAAAGAGAAGTCAATTGAGTCAATTTCATTCTTGTTACTGGATACTAGGGTCTCTGCGATCTCAAGATCGACTACTTTGTAACCGTTTTGTGGCTTGCCAAAAGTATGTTTTCCAAGATTATTCTTGAGTCGTACTTCAAGGATCACCGTCCACGAACACCATACGTCTTCCCGACATCAATTGAATATTCAAAAGTCAAGCTTAGCCCGATCTCCTATAGCTGGCTCTTTCCGAAAGTATTCGGGTATTGGAGCCGACTGAACACACATGAATATTTGTCGACTTCACTCGCAGTACAAAGGAGCTCAACGTATAGGGAAATTACAACTATAGTTTGAAAAGGATGCACGGCTGCTTTTTATTATACGTCTGTTGGAAGCATTCCCGGGGCTAGTACTGAATTATCAACGTTCGTAAATTCAGAAAAATAGCGACCAAAAAGGAGATGAGCTGGAGACCCATTTCGATTATACTACAGCCCAATCATCCATCAGTGGAGTGATGATATAAATGACAGAGCCTCAACTGGTCCCTTTAATTTCTTATGGAAGTTTGTATAAATACCAGGTGTACGTTTCATGGTAGCCGGACTCATAGTCCAGATAACCGAGGAGAGACAACTAAAATAGTCACTATGTACTTCTCGATCCACCATCAATTTGGAAGATTATTCACAGTATCCATCAAAAAGTTGGGAATCGCCCAAAAGCTGAAGGACTGCTGTGGGAGGGATGCTCTTATAGAAATATTGCAGGTAGATAGGCGGGTCGTAGGTCTAATGTAGTTGCCATCGTTTCACTGATATGATGCCATGAGACACCCGTAATGATGAAGTTGCACCAATGCAGGACACGCGAACTCGAAATTCATCAAGGATGGTGTTGAAACGAAAACTTTCACCATCAAGAATCCTTTCAAGAATTTTTGGTGATAGTTGGCGCAAATTGTAGGCATGAGTTTTTGGAGTGCTAGGTTACATTGTCATTATGGTATAAAGTGATTTGAAGTCCGATATGGTATTTCCAACAGGTCTAATCACGACACAGTTGCACTGGAGAGAATGAGAGGGCAGTTTCCAAGGCCCTGCAAGCTGCAGAAAGGATCTTCAAGCTTATATCTAGAAAAATCTTTGATCCTAGCTTTTTTTTTTGATTATGAAGCGCCTTCTCGCAAGTCGTGTACTAACAAGCCCAAAACCTCTCCCACTGACGAAGTAAGTTCTAAACAAACTTCAGGTTGATAATAACCGTTCTCGGAAGAGCGGTTTGCTGATTTCACCGCTACTTTCTTGCCCACGACTGTGTACACCAGCGTATAGAATGATATCATGTTAATTTGGTGGCGAACGTCAACAAGAGCTAGCTCAAGTGAGCAGACATGGGTCTTATTGGGTGACAGTTCCAAAGGTACCAGCCATTGAAGGCATCTTTCACATCCTGGGTAACAAATTGAGGAATGCCAATCAAGTCTTTGGAAACTTTTCTTTTTGAAAAGGGTCTGGTGGGAACTTATCCAATTGAGTCACTGAAGAACGCAACTTTAGGGATTGATGTTGATCATTATGTTTCGCGACTTCTCACGGCAAAGAGAGAACAGTATCTCGATGCAATTGGTGGATTTCCAACAAGCCTGAAGATGTACTTGGAATCAGATCTCCAGGTCTTCCAAGAATATGACATCACGCCCTTGTTTATATTCAGTGGATCACCTGTAGCCAACCAGGCAGAGGCCAGCGGGTATTACACGGCTTCTGCGTCAGAAGCTGCAGCGGCCGCACTTAACGCTTCGAACTCGGGCCCCATGAGCTCAGCGTCATCGCTGCCTGTGCGTACCGTCAAGGAAGCCACCCTTGCTCAAAGACATAAAGGTTGGACTCAATGGACCAATCTCTTGTCTAATAATCAAAATACTTATATTGATCAACCTTTAACGCCAACGGAGCCTTTCCGGTACAATGTTCCCTTAGACACCAAACGCTTCCAGAGTGATTTAATACAGTTTTTCATTTCGCGGAAAATCCATTATCAAGTAGCACCCTATTCTTCGTGGTTTCAACTAGCTTACCTTTTGCGCAAGGGTTACATTGACGCAATTTACGGACCCACTGAGCTGCTAATGCTGCAATCGGTGGAAAAATTTATTTTAGGCATGGAATTTCCGAACAAAGAGTATCGATTTGTCGACAGCAACCGGGTCTTAAGTGAATTTCGCTGCTCCAAGGAAGAGTTTATAGACATTAGCATGGCGGTGGGTAATGATCTTCAGCCCTACACTTTATCTCCACTTCGGATTTACCCTAGTCAGCAGTTATTTGAAATCGCACTGGAGATGGTGATGAATAGCGGTACAGACTTCTATGCATATCAACTGGTGAATCCAATTAAAAGCGAAAGTACGCTATCTGTGGCACGTTATCAAAAGGGAGTTTCGGCTTTGAGATACATGCCTGTTTTGAAGGAAAATGGTAAAGTTGAACTGTATTCCTCGAGTGAGAGGAATGAGGAAGGAGTTATAAGTCCCTCTGATTCTTCTCCGCCTTCTTCAACAGGCTCCTTGGATGCGATTCCTAATGACGTACACGATGTTGTGGCTCAGAGATTGCCACACGAATACTATTTTTACCGATCTGTTGGACTTATTAGTGGGAACGTTCTAGATGCGATTACCACAGGAATATATGCTGAGGAGCCACCTTTGGATGGGGGATCGTCCAATTCTTACAGACAGCTAGTGCGTAACTCCGTCGATATCTTCAAAAACAAGGAAATCAATCAATTAACACAACCGATCAACCGCTATTATCAAATCAAACCCATAAAACAGGTAAAATGGTTCACTCCAGATGAACCAGTCACTCTTATGAACAGAGTGGTTCCTTCAATATTCGAAAAAGTCAATCTCTTGGTTGTAAAGACTGACCAAGTCGATAGGGAATTTTCTATCTCCAATTTTCTTTCAGTCATAATGCAACCGGAAAATATGACAGATTCATTTGTTTCCGAAAAGGTTTTATTCCCAAATAATGTTCCCCAGAGTAAGAAACTGACAGCGCCATTCGATTTGTTGGCGACAGCATTCTTAAGATTTTTAACGTTGTTGGAGTTCATGGACTTCGACGCCGCCACTAAAAAATTGAAAGTAACTACCTGGGGTGAAGTTCTATGTTCTTTGACCCATGAGCAGTTTGATGCGCAATTCGTTGAGTCGTACTTCACGCTACTTGTTTTTGTCAAAACCGGCGTTTTATCGTTGTTCGAAGAAAGCACCCCCCCTACACCATCAGCATTATCAAAGGCAACCTTAAGGTCGTACCCAAAAGAATCATCATTTATCCTGGCTATAACACGAGTGCTAAGTGTCTTTCAACTCGAGCAGAAACCTTCGAATTACCATGGCCCTGTGGACAGAAAAACTTTAATATTCAGAGACCATGTGGACTACATCAAGGAAAACCTTAGCGAATTGTTCGAAGCCACATTGGTTTCGTCTTTGACGGCTGGCGAATTCGACAGACTCTCTTTGGATAACGCTGGTTGGCAACAGAGAGTCGTTGGCACAATGCCATTTAAATTGTCTACACCAAGTACCGTGACTGCCATGATTTGGCAATTCTATCTTCAGAAGTACCTGCATAGCGGAAATTCCAAGACCGATGCTTTAGCCTTAATTGTGACTTTATTCAATACAAGCAAAACCATTCCAAGTCTAGATGAAGAGCTCACAAGATCGCTGAAGTTCATGAGACAATTTTCAAAGCTGTTACAAACTCTTTCTGAGGCAGGTTTGTGCAAGAGAGAGGAGTACGAAATTTTTGTGGATGCAGTGGCATTTGCAGAGCAAGCCCTATAGTGGTGAAGAGCTTCATATCAAATACAATGTATAGTCAAACCGATGCACTATTCCATTGTGTAGGTGGGACAATCATGCCAAAGCATTAGTCGAAGTTGAATTTCCCTAAAGGGCATCGAATTTATTGGATCGCACGAGGCGATCCCATTTTGCAGCATGACCGTGCACGTCAAAAAATTTCGCTGATTGTACTCTAACATTTCATAAGTCTGGCGAAGTGCGGTGTGTCCTGATACGATCAGACTCAACAATAAAATATAAATCAATCAGGCTTATTTTCTCCTTTTTTTTACTAACTGGCAAGTACTTCGTACTTTCCACAAGCTCTACTTATACTTGAACTGCGGCGGAGGGTCAGCGCTTGTATAAGTATAATGAAACTCCCTCCAAAATCTTTGGGTGAGGTGACATGACATTATCCTGTCATTTTGAGGTTTCACTCTGATTATGACAGGAATACAAAGAATGATGGGCCGAGCGCCAGAGTCGAGTAACGCATCTACATGGCTATGAGACACTGATCAGAGCATGATTCAATCCAAGTCAGTCTGCTAGAGTAAACAAGATCATTTGAGGCTCTACGGGACGCCCCCCACACTTGAGTCGGAGCAGGGGAAAAGAGATAAAAAAACCGCTGAGCAAGAACCAATAGAATGAATAGATATAGAAAAAAAAGTCAATAAAAGTCAATACTGAATATCAACGAGATCTACTGGTTCTAAAAGCCATTAAACAACGCCTTCGTTAAATTGACGTTGTGAGAGTTGTTCACAAAAAGCGTGCCTGATACAGCTAGCTATGTATTTTCAGTTATCCTAACCACCCAGCGAACGAATAGCTTCTATGGCCAAGTTGGTAAGGCGCCACACTAGTAATGTGGAGATCATCAGTTCAAATCTGGTTGGAAGCATATATTTTTATTTTTACACGCGAACATAAACCACTACCTGGTTACGGCCATTTGAGTGTTGACCATCCTTCTTTGGCGGTTTGCTCAAAGAGTTTAAGCTGCTTTGATATTTTTGTTTACTATGAGTCAAAAATAGTGGCGATTTATCGATCTGCCGCTTCTTGCAATTAGTTGAAGTGTAGCCTTACGAATCGTCACTTGTGAAACTGGATGTAGATTCTGCTTCTACGCTCACTGGTACTACTGGAAAATACACGGAGTTACTCGCACTCTGACAACTTTTGCGTCGTTGCATCCATCTCGTAGATGTTGCTTCAGGTTCTTCAGGAATTCGCGACAATCAAAATATGAGAATCTTCGAATGATCCCTCATACGAAGCTATCGCAAGTAAGTGATTGAGATACGGCATGTTGTAAAATAGCTTGTAAAAGCTAAGCACGTAAACTTCCTTTTTTGACGTATTCCCATTTTTGAGTCACTTGTATTCTAGCATCTCAGGGAGCACTGCCAAAATAGGTTGAAAACAAGGAATTCTGTTTGCCGGATAAAGGGGCTCCTCTACGACGTTCTACGCTCATTTTTCTACGTTGTGAACAGATAATATGACTAAAATTATCCGCTAGCCACTACCGGGTTATCAACTGAATGATTTTAGCTGTCGCTCCGACTATTCCTACAATATATGGAATACAATCGAGTGTACAACACTAGACTCGCGGGCTAGATGACATGGCTGAAGCAACTCGCTGTGATTCCAATTATATTCTTGATGATCCCAATAAATCACTATTAACGAGTGGCGAAAATTGACTACTTCATCAATTAAACTGCTTGGTAAAACGCATAAGAGCTTTTGGCGCTGTGAAGCTGCTGAAAAACTGTGACTTCAGATTCTTTGAGGATGGTATGATAACATAGACTATGCATTTTGAAAGGCTGTTTGAAATAATGCACCTTCGCTGCCTTGCTAGCCGCTTTTACTAACCTAAAGTTTGTCTCATAAGAGTGTCCAGATATTTGGTGATCAAGTAACAGAAGAAAGGGCTGAGAATGCCCGTATGTCGGCTTTTGTTGGCGCAATTGCAGTAGGTGATCTTGTGAAAACGACCTTGGGGCCAAAGGGTATGGACAAGCTTTTGCAGAGCGCGAGCAGCGACACATCCATGGTCACCAACGATGGGGCCACAATTTTGAAATCCATTCCGCTAGATAATCCAGCCGCCAAGGTTCTAGTCAATATCAGTAAGGTCCAAGATGACGAAGTCGGTGATGGAACCACAAGCGTGACGGTTCTCAGCGCAGAACTCTTGAGGGAAGCGGAAAAGCTCATTGATCAGGGAAAAATCCATCCCCAAACCATCATCGAGGGATATAGAATCGCATCCAAGGCCGCTCTAAACGCTCTCGCAAAGACCGCTGTCGACCATTCCGCGAACAAAGAAAATTTTTACCAGGATTTGATCTCGATTGCGAAGACCACACTTTCCTCAAAAATTTTATCCCAAGATAAAGAACACTTTTCCAAATTAGCGGCCGATTCCATTATCAGACTGGGTAGTCGTGTTGATCTAGAACACATTCAAGTTCTGAAAATTATTGGTGGTAGATTATCAGATTCCTTCTTAGACGAGGGTTTCATATTGCCTAAGAGATTTGGTAACAATCAGCCCAGACGCGTTGAAAATGCCAAGATTCTGATTGCTAACACATCTTTAGATACTGACAAGGTCAAGATTTTTGGCGCTAAATTTAAAGTTGATTCTACTTCTAAACTAGCTGAGTTAGAGAAGGCTGAGAAAGGCAAGATGAAGAATAAGATAGACAAGATCTCCAAGTTCGGTATCAACACTTTCATCAACAGACAGCTCATTTACGACTACCCCGAGCAACTATTCACCGATTTAAACATTAACTCTATCGAGCACGCAGACTTCGAAGGTGTTGAAAGGTTAGCATTGGTCACTGGTGGGGAGGTTGTTTCGACTTTTGACAACCCAGAGAAGTGTAAGCTAGGTGAGTGTGATCTCATTGAGGAGGTCATGATCGGTGAGGAGACATTTACGAAATTTAGCGGGTGTAAGGCAGGAGCCGCATGTACCATCGTGCTGAGGGGTGCCACAGAACAAGTTCTGGACGAAGCTGAAAGATCTCTTCACGACGCCTTGTCAGTACTCTCGCAAACTACCAAAGAAACTAGAACGGTTTTAGGTGGGGGTTGTGCCGAGATGATTATGTCGAAAGCTGTTGACACCGCTGCCCAAAACGTGGACGGCAAAAAATCTTTCGCCGTCGAGGCTTTCGCTCGTGCTCTGAGACAGCTCCCCACAATTCTAGCTGACAACGCTGGCTTCGATAGCAGTGAACTGGTTTCTAAATTGAGGTCCTCAATTTACAACGGAATGACTACTTCTGGTCTCAACTTGAACGACGGAACCATTGCTGACATGAGAGACCAGGGAATTGTTGAAAGTTACAAGTTGAAACAGGCTGTTGTCAGCTCCGCGTCAGAGGCTGCTGAGGTTCTACTGAGAGTAGACAATATTATTAGAGCCAAGCCAAGAACAGCCAACAGACAACATATGTAGGAGCTGAGTTTGCCAGTCATGTACTTAAGAGTTTAATAAGATTTGCCCGAAAAAAAGTTCACATTTTATGCAAGTATCGCGCGACGTTGTATATATATACACCGAACTACCTATATCCGCAAAGACTGCGATTCTGATTTCAATTGTTGAAGTTCTTCTTTCTTGCTAGCCAAAAATTGCTCTAACACCCCAACTTGCTGTTCTATGGTCTCTAAATCCTCTCTTACGCCCCTTACATCCAAAAGGGTCTCGGATGGTCGCTGAGTAGTCGAAGTTTGATCCTGGAGATAATAATATAGTTCTTCGAATTGTTTACTAGCAACACTTGGGTCTGATTTGCTAGTATCATACGACAATTCTAGTTTATTTGGACTTCCACCCAGGTTTCCCAGCTGACTCCTCAAGGCGCTTAGTTCGGAGTCTGTCCCATCCCCTTCTGAGTTGTTGGTATTTTTTGCTGAACTGTCCTGAGAGTTCGTGTAGTTTTTGTAATTTTGAGGTGAATGACGTTTTACGTCACCTTGATGAGAATTTAAGTCGTAAGTCACACGCTGCTGATTGCAGATATCTCTGATAGCTTGTGGGAGTTCAGTAGGCAAATCGCAGCCAAGATCATTCTTTTGTTTGAGGGCATGAAGTAGGTAGACGGCAGGATCCTTGTTGATAGAGGACGCATTTTGAGAATTTACAAGGACCCACACGCGGTCGAACTCGGCTGTACTGATTTTTGGAAATTTTGACCTAGCAACACTTGAAAGGGGACCATATGTGACAGTACCATCTGTGAGAGTATCGCATGATTCATAGATCGCCGCATAGAGATTTTTGTTAGAAGGAGAAATATACCAGTCCAATTTGGGCGCAGGCGCCGAGGAAGGTGTTTCCTGATGATCAGTCCTGCTGGAAGAGGGCTTAGCTACTGCAGATGACTCTTGGCTCGCCTCTCGAGGAATGCGTTGTTGGTTGAGTTTTGCCTTGCTGCCGGGAATGAGCCAGTCCGGTAGCGTGTCTGGCACGGAGTCGATGTTTTTGTTTACCATATCAAAAATGAGACGCATACAAATGACGAACTCTTCAAAGTCCAGGTTGTCATCATCGTCTATATCGGCTAAAAACCAAATTTTGTTCAGCAAGGAAGAGTCCAGCTTCGAATTGAACAGAATGGGTTGAACCTGATCATGCGTTAATTTGTTGTCCACGGGTTTCAATCCCGAAAAAATCTGCCAGTACTTCTTGATCTCAAACTGCTCTAGCTTAGGCATCTCGAATAGTTTAAATGCGTAGTCCCTGACTGGCAGTATCCAAAAACTGTTTCCGTGTTCTACGTGACAGATGTGTAAATTTTAGTTAATCATAGGGGCCAATATAAATTGTACTGCACAAATATTTGATCACTATATACAACTGTGACGTCCCGTTAAATATCGAAAGCAGTGGCCATGCTGCCAGTTACACATCCAGCGAGCCCACTCCACTGTCATCTATTGTACATAATGAGCTGCTCCACATTTAGATGATTAGAAAGTAATATTGGTCTGGATGGGTCGCAGGTTCGAGTTATGCTAAGAAGAAGACAACTTGCTATAAAAAAGCATTGCTCCTTCAAGAGCCAGACCTATTTAGCGGTCAATATACGTGCTACAGTCCTTACCACTCCATCAAGCTCATTTTGAAGCGCATCAGAGGTTACCTACAAGCAATGCGGAACGATCATGGCTTAACAGTCGTCCTTGCTACGAGACGCCTCTTGGTCCTATGGTGCTGTATAAATCCCAAAAACTGATTTGCTCGAAAATTAGACCCGCCCTGTCTCGACGGCTAAGTTCACCTTTTACCGTGGAATAGAACCATCCTACCAAGTCACTTAACACCACTGTGACATGAGTAATCATCTTACCATTTCCCTGCGCCCAAGCCCGAGCTGCCCGCGCGTGTCTCCACTCTAACGTAATTCCGAGCGAGCTACAATTACGACGGCAGAACACGGTCGTTCCCGGATCATAATTTCATGCAGACCATTTTCCCACCTTAAACCCTGCGTTAAGCAGTGTTACACCAAAACTTTAGGACCGACGCAGTATTACTTGCCAATCCCCATGGCGGCTATCCAATATGAACTTGCTCCTTAACATGGACGATCTAAGATGCCATTAACATCGATGTTGTCGCAATTTTGGGCTCTCAGTTATCAGCTCAAGCTAATAATTATCAAAAGCTTGTTCAAGATTTTACTTTCTCAATTACGGCTGACCACACTTGAGCAAGAATAAGAAGAGCAGACGCAACATAAACTAGCACAACTGTAGCCTAAACCGAAGCTGTCACAGACATACCACCATGAAACTTCGGGCAGCGTCTGCAGTTTATTTTTAGCGTAAATGCGTGGACTATCGGATTAATTTGACTACTGGTTTGGGTGAAGCCCATTAGAATGCCGAAATAACTCAAGAATGCAATGCTGACTGAACAGGCAACATGGTATGGCCTAATTAGAGGAGAAGGGTATGAAAACCTTTTCTTGGAGTCAGTCTTTGAACTTTGATGGGAAATGGTTCACCAAAAATTCGTGATTATCCAAGAAGAACGCGAAAAATGAAACCCGCGAAAAGATCAAAACGCGTTCACCAAAGTGTGGACCGAGCAGCTGGCCAACCATCTTAAAAAGAGGTCGAGTCGATGAGGGCGCCCGTTTAGAGGAGCCCGACCTTGCCAACTATTTTGACGAACTTTACACCACTTTTGCAGGACCGTTACCATCAAGACTATCGACATCGCATGCACTTAGCTGGGCTTCTTCTCTTAGGCCTCTGGACAGCTCTGGTGCGGTGCAAGCCCTACGAAGCTTTTGGGGCGGACAGTCAGTATCTTCCGATCGCCTCTGTTGGTTCCGACTTCTCCGTTCAGCTCTCAAACGACACCTTCAAGTCTACAGAAAATGACGACGTTCAAATACAATACGAAGCTTTCGATCTTCCCTCCTGGCTTCAATTCGATTCGGACTCTCGTGTTCTTTCTGGCACTCCTTCTAGTTCGGATTTAAGTAATGAAGACGACACTAGTCGTGTCTCGTACGTGTTACAGGGCACAGACCCAAACGACAATCAATCCATCAACAAGACCTACCATCTAGCTATTACCAGAAACGAGCAGCTTTCTGTCTCTTCAGGCTTTAATCTGCTAAGTTTATTGAAAAACAGCGGATACACCAACGGTAAAAACGCTTTAAAGTTGAAACCAGGGGAAGTTTTCAACGTAACGTTCGACAGGGACACGTTTGATAACACAAACTCATCCACCCAGTATTATGGTCGCTCCAAATTGTACCATGTCTCCCTACCACCGTGGGTGGCTTTTGATCAAACGAACCTGAAATTTAGCGGTGTTGCTCCTGTTGTCAATTCAGAAATTGCACCTGAATTTTCATACTCCTTCTCACTAATCGCCACGGATATCGAAGGATACACTGGCGCGGAAGTGGATTTCGACTTAGTTATCGGTGCTCACCAGTTCACTACTTCAATCCAAAACACTTTGGCCGTTAATGTCTCAAGTTCGGGATCTTTCTCGTATCCTTTGCCAATGGCGTACGTTTATCTTGACAATGAGCCGGTATCTACTTCCAATATTAGCTCTATCGATCTGTTAGACAACCCTGATTGGGCTAACATTTCTAACAACACTTTGAAGGGGACACTACCTGACGGGCAAGATAGCCAGAATCTGACGGTAGCCATTTCTGATACATATGGAGATTCAGTATATCTCAACTTTTTGGTTGAGTCTACGCGTGAGTTATTTGCAGTATCATCTCTTCCTAACGTTAATGCAACACAAGGCGAGTGGTTCCAAACACAATTTTTGCCATCCCAATTTACCGATTATGACAATACAAATGTGTCTCTGAAGTTTACCAACACCTCTCAATCTACGTCTTGGCTGTCGTACCACAGTGCTAATATGACCCTATCTGGCGAAGTACCGGACAATTTTGAAGATTTGACGGTTAATGTGATTGCCGCGCAAGGTTCTGAATTGCAAGAACTCCCATTCAAGATGACAGCCGTACGTGCAAAACACAAAACTTCATCTTCGTCAACTTCATCGTCTCACTCTGCTACGTCAACCTCTTCGTCTGCAGCTAGCACGGGCTCTTCATCCTCGAGCTCCACACCTTCGGCTACTCACCCCATATCAAAGGCAGCGTCCAAGCAAAACAATCATGCTGTTGCTATAGCTTGTGGTGTGGCAATTCCTCTCGTCGCCATAATTGCACTAATTATCTTGTTCCTACTTTTGTGGAGACGCAGAAAGAGTAAATCGGGAGAAACCAGGGACAGCGAGAACCCTCCACAAATAAGCAATCCACAACTAGGAAACCCTGCTAACAATCCTGCATTCTATGGGGCAGGTTCTCCTTTTGGTGATGAAAACACAATCGATGACAATTCGACAGCCAAAAGGCTAGCGGCTTTGAACGCAATGAAATTAGACGAACAAGCAGGCTCTGGTTCAGAAGTGTCAACATTGGAAGAAAAAGCCGGATATGCCACTTCACATTCATCAAGCTCAGACCTCTATCATGACGCGCAGCAAGTAGGGAGCACTGATGCGTTACTTGAAGATAATGATCCCTATTTTGATTCCAATAAACACACGTCGTCAGTATATCTAAACAGTGAGCCCACCAACCGGAAATCATGGAGGTTCTCCACTCTAGGGACTAACGCGAGAGAGAATATACGGGAAAGCTATAATTCACTGAATACCGTGAGTACGGCTGAACTTTTCAACACCAACATTACCAGCAACCAAACGCTACCAAAGGACCCTAGAAAATCTTCTTTGGGTCTTCGAGATTCGGTATTTATGGGAATGGGTTCTGGCGGTACCAAGAAGGGTAACATGCATTCAAGCACGGGAAGTCCACGAAAGTCGTATACTGGATTGAGGAGTGAGTTGTCAGGCGATCGTGTCCTCCCTAACTTAACTGAATATCCACACGACCAACACTCTAGTAATTCGCGGGTCACTAGCAGCAGTTCAGACGATCTCATTCCCGTCAAACAAGGTGACAATTATCAGTGGGTCGAGCGAGACGGATCCAGAGATGCACTGCCCAATAGAAAGAGAAGTATAAAAAAGCTAGTGAATCTGCCCAATAAGAGTGGCGTCGGCGTCTGGGACGCCAATGACATCGAGGGACAGGTACCAGAAATGGAAATCTCCATGGATTCTAATCTCTAGGGGTTGAAATTAAACCTCATTTAGATATTTGTAACATTATATATACGCAGAAAGGTTAATACGAGGGGATGTTATTTGCATGTATCATTTGATAGTATCTCTGCAAAGCATATTTGGAATATTGAATATATAGACATTCCCAGAGAATGGAGAAATTCACAAAAAAATAAAAGCCAACGCTTGTTCTATAATTTCACCTCTCTCTTTAGGCTACTAGCGTAATTGGCTGTGTCCATAGCACGTCTTCTTGCGCTGACGTACTCGACCATCTCAGAATAGCTTTCTGGCACCACGGTTGCATAACCTGGCTCACCGACAGTTTTGTCGTCTGAGTCTCTGTGAGCGTAGAAAGAGAAGATGAAGGAACCGGAAGAAGTATTTCCCTCTGAGGCTAGTTCCTGAACCATTGTGTCAACTCTCACTTGAATCAAAGTACCGGGCTTGCTGAGCATAGCATCTAGATTGCTTGAAAGCTTATTGATTGGAGAAGGGTCAAAATGAAAAACTGTATTGCCATCGATCGACTTGTCGGTCACAGCTGCAATTTTGGGCTTAGATCCTTGTTCATACAGGTGTTCAGTGTGAACGACCGAGGCATCCATATGTAAGATGGACCCTACAGGTACGGGTGCCTTGAAATGGGTGGAGTCCAAGGACACAAATCTAGGGAAAGCATGTGAAAAGGACGCCGCAGCACAGTAGGCCAATTCAAATGTTTGTCTCATTAAATAACCACCGAAAATCATGTAAGAGTGTCTGTTTCTATATTGTGGTTGCATGAACATAGTGGATTTGACGTTTGTATCCTTCATGAACATAACATTGTTTGGCTTTTTAGACACTTTGGCCAACTGTTTGGAAGCTGCCCACATGTCATGGATGATCTTGGATTCTTGACCAGTTGGAGGGTTGGTATCCAAATTCTCGTTTGCAGCACGCAGCTTTTTGGCGGCATTGTGGGACTCTGCACGTCTGAAGTCTTTCCATTCCTTTTCGTTGAGTGGCAAGAGTTTGTTCACTGCCAAAGACTTATGAGTTTCCGGGTTTCTGGCAACAAAAGTGAAAGAAGCAGTTAAAAAGGTATCGTCGTCCGCCAAAGAAGATTCATTGATTTCTTTAGGAATTTCTCCCTTGATAGCACTGGCCTTAATGGAGATTTCCATCGAGGACCTACCGGTCCAAACCACAGCGCCCGAAAGGACCACGTTGTAGTCGGCCATGTAATCGATGCTCTTGAGCATGTAAATACGGTCCACCGATGCAGTCACAATGACCGGCTCGGCTGGTGAAGTGTGTCTATAAGCAATTCTTCCGGCCAAAGCATCCAAATCCTGGAAAATTTGACCCATTCTTAGTCGCCCTGCGGCATTCACGTAAAAATCCGCAACCGTTGGGTCATCACGGAAAGGAAGAGTTAGGTACGAGAACGAGTCCTTGCGAGATCTTTCGCCGACTTCGGTTGATTTGACCGAATTGTAAACATAAGAGTCGATGATCTTCCCCTGCGCTAATTGTTTTTCACGCTCCGCGAGGGCATTGAGCCAAGTAGCTTCGTAGCCGTCTACAGTTGTGGGGCTACCAGTTAGCCTTCTGTGTTCGTACTGGTCCGTCAGGGTCGTGGCGGCGGCGTCTGGCTGGCTGGAAGCATCGTTGGACTTGCCGTCGTCCTTTTTATGCACCATTCTGATGCTGTGCCTCTGCAAGTGCGGAGCGTACACCTGTTTCAAGCCGTTTGTTGCTGACGTTTTGGTCAAAGCTGCCGAGCCGGCTTTGGAGCTTGGACGAAATAATAGGGAACGAATCATGTATCCGGATGGAAATGAGAACGGAAACTAGAACAAAGCCTGAGGATCGTAGCGCTTACTGATGGGATGAACTACCTTTCTAATAACTTCCGGCAAATTACTAGCTCTAGTTTTCTGTTGGTCTTTCAGAAGGCCGTAACGGGAACGCTGTCGAAAATAAGTGAGCTTGCCTCGAGTGCGTGTCGCTGAGTCTAGCTGCGTACAAGCCAGATGGGAAAAATTAGAAAACTGGACCTTTCTGTGTATACTCTTTGCCGAGCAAACTCGTCAAAAGCCGTAAATCCGGTTTGGTTTTTGGTTGGAAAACCCACACGTTGTGAAGCGTAGGGGTAATGAAATAGTAGCTTCAAATACGGTTGATTGAAGGCGTTGTAGTTACAACGGATAAGCAGGACCTCTTATATACCACCAATTGACTCTAACCGGAGCCTTTCAGGAGAGATGAGAGGGTTAAGAAATCGTATATGTAATATCTGCCCCGCTCCCGATGCCGTTTATCACTTACTCCCTTCCAACAAAAAAAACAGGTGGATGGGAAAGCCAACTGTTCGTTGAGCGTGATGGCGCCTCCACGTGGAGGCCACGTGCACAGTGTCACGTGGAATGTAGATAACGGTTTGTCGTTTGGAAATGCACGACGGGTCGGCAGAGATGCGATACTTGGCACTACCGCGAGCTTCTAAAAAGTCGCCCTGGGCCTTTGAAGATCCAGTGAGGGCCGGATGCTCGCCGCCCGCGTGTGGTTGTAGCAGAAGAGGGCACGTCACTTTGTACAAAAGTGATACGCAAACGGTGGGTTCTTGTTCTTAGTACTTGGCTCAACAGAAGCTGAAGCGGGGGTCTGTGTGACAATTACAGGGGCTGGATTTCTCTTGGGAACGCTGTTCCCTCACGGTTGAAGGTGTCTCAAAAAATAAATGCTTCCAACCAGATTTGAACTGATGATCTCCACATTACTAGTGTGGCGCCTTACCAACTTGGCCATAGAAGCTATTTCTGTTGGAAGCGCAGGGCAGCTAGCTCCATGCCATGCAAACAGCAACACGTGACGCTAATCCGAGAGCGTATCAATGCACCGTTGATGATTTCCAGCCGGCAGGTTTGTCCAGCTCTCTTTTCTGTGCCTGTACTTAGGACCAGCATGCTTGCATGCCTCTCTATGTATTATCCTAGTGCGGAGCGTCGACGCCGACAATCGCCTAACATTTTGCTTCCGGGCAGTTCACTATGACCTTTATTGGTCGCCTGGGCCACCAGATGCTTGATCTGACCGGTGCACAATACCTATACGACACCCCAAGTGGCTAACGGGGCTGAAACCTATCTAGAATTCCGAAATTCGTACCATACTCCGTTCTTTTCGCACAAAGAGGTATAATAACATAGAATATAGTGTACTATTAGGAGGTGTTTTGTTTAGGTAGTTAGAAAACGGGAAAAATGGGTGTTTGTGGGAGGGGGGGATAGTGAAGGTGTATCATGTGGAAAAACGGGCAGAAAGGATAGGAAGTGATATAAGGTTATTGTATCAAAAGTTTTTGCGCTATGCGCCAACTGCACCCCGCTGCTCTTTGTCCCTGGCTCCAATCGCATAGCTCGCCTTCAGATCTCCATCTGGATTCATTTACTGGCATCAGTATCGTCACTTCTTCGAATACTGACACGTGCTCGTGCCCTATTGCCCAATAATGTAGCACGCTATTGTATCCCTCGATGCCATTGGAACAACGGGTTGGGAAAACCTACAACACCGAACGGTATTCTCGTCATGTATAGCCATTTAATTTGGAAGATCAGACTTCACATGCACCACAAGCTGTACCACCACTGTCACCCCGTGTATGCACTTCCTGGTATTAAAAAAAATCACGACAGAAGGCGGCTCGCAATAGCACACTCTTAAATGTTTTCATTCACCGCCTAGCTGTGAGACCACCATGCTCGGCTTACATCTTCAATGCTAGTTGCTTGGTGTGCCCGGATTCTGTCTCAATTAGTATCACGTGCTTGCTGCGTAAAACAGCTAAGCATTCGCAAAGTAATACTCTGACAGATACGTTGAGGTGTATCTCAACTCGCTCCAATACACCGAGAGCTTCGCGAGGAGTACAACCGAGCACACCAGCCACTAAATGTTTCCATTTCCTTGCCCTCAGAACAGACCGATCGGCCAATCTGGTGGTCACTGTAGACGAGAGCAGTGTAGTTGAAAATGTGCTTACTGTGGTTTACACGGTTTGTTTGCTCAAACATGAGCAATCGGAGGAATAGGCGAGATTGATCGTAGCCCAGTGTTCGTGAGTTGAGTAGATCTATCGACACTTGAGTTTAGAAGATGGCTCTCCCCGAAGAAACGATTGAGGAACGAGATCTTCGAATTCAAAAATTGTTCGATACGCTTGATATCGATGACACGGGCAAGGTAAACTGTGAGCAGTTAACAAGAGCTCTTCAAAAAAGCAGCCATCCGCTAAAAAACTCTCCTGAAGCCATTGAGCAGCTCTTTCGGTCACTAGATTGTAACAATGATACTGTAGTAGATTTCGGGGACTTCAAGAAATACGTGCTAACGGCAGAGAGTCAGATACGGCAGGGGTTTCTAAAGCTGGATAGAGATCATGACGGGAAAATTCGCACAAGTGAACTCAGCAGCTATTTGAGCACACTAGCTGAAGTCAACGAACCCCGTCCCGAACAATCATCTACCTTTAAAAATTTCTTGCATTGGGCCTTCTCATCCAAGAGGAAAGAAGCTGAAAACTACCCCTATATCACATACGATCAATGGCGTGATTTCCTTTTATTGATGCCGCGGAAGAAGGGATCGCGATTGCATACCGCATATTCATATTTTTATCTATTCAACGAAGACGTTGACCTGTCGTCCGAGGGGGATGTAACGTTAATTAACGATTTCATACGCGGATTCGGCTTCTTTATAGCGGGCGGCGTTTCTGGAGTCATATCGAGAACCTGTACTGCGCCTTTCGATAGAATAAAGGTTTTCCTTATTGCTAGAACCGATCTGTCGTCAACTCTTTTGAACTCTAGAGACAAAGTGCTCAAAAACAACCCCGCGATAGATAGGGCCAAAATCAAGTCACCTCTGATAAAAGCTGCTACTTCGCTTTATAGACAGGGTGGGCTTAGAGCGTTTTACGTTGGCAATGGGCTGAATGTAATGAAAGTATTCCCTGAATCTGCAATAAAATTCGGATCTTTCGAATTCGCTAAAAGAATGATGGCTCAGCTAGAAGGCGTTAAAAGCACTTCTGATATCTCTAAGTTCTCAACGTACGTTGCTGGTGGTTTAGGAGGTGTGATGGCTCAATTTTCGGTGTATCCAGTGGACACCCTAAAGTACAGAGTTCAATGCGCGCCGCTCAACGCTCATAAACAAGGAAGTCGATTGATGGTGGAAACAGCCAAGCAAATGTATCGAGAGGGGGGTTTGAAGTTATTTTATCGAGGCGTCACTGTTGGAGTCATGGGGATCTTCCCTTATGCGGCCCTGGATCTGGGCACGTTTTCGGCGCTAAAGAAGTGGTACATCACCAGGCAGTCACAGATATCTGGTCTTCCTGAGGACCAAGTTACAATGAGCAATATGTTCGTGCTTCTGATGGGGGCCTTTAGCGGCACTGTGGGTGCCACCGTCGTCTATCCGATCAATCTCCTGAGAACCAGACTACAAGCGCAAGGCACCTTCGCGCATCCTCACACGTACAACGGGTTCAGCGATGTCTTTTTGAAGACGGTCGCTAGAGAGGGTTATCCAGGGCTGTTCAAAGGTCTGGTACCTAACTTGGCCAAAGTATGTCCAGCCGTCTCTATCAGCTATTTATGTTACGAAAACCTCAAAAGAGGCATGAATCTGGAGTAAGAATGTTAACCGCTTACTTCCAAATACCCTTGGCAATGATTAGACCCATGGGCTCCCTACTCTCATCCTTGTATGATATACGTATGCATTTCTTAAATCACACCATTATTTAAGATTAATAATATTCATGGAAATGGATCTGACCGCGATTGTTGAGAGCTGTCGGAGCTTTCGTAAACCTGCGAAGTGGTGTCAGGTGTGCTAAGCAAGATTTCCATAAACTGGTATATCACCAATGGACCCGCCTCACACCCTGCTAGTGCTATCATCTTCACTCGTGGTAATTGCTGCTGCCCTTGAGGACTTCGAGGGGATGAAAATGTATCCTCAGAGCACTTGACCCAATTAAAGTCCTGTTCCTGCGTTAAGCGTTCTTTGAGATTGTGCACGCGGCTCATCTGGCGGCCCAAGCTTAATCCCACTGCGTCGATGGCCACTTCGAAAGTAACACTAGCAGGTTTCACTACCGGTAATTTTTCTAAACGTGCAATCAAGGAGTTTAAACTAGATCGCAGCTCGTCGAACACTTGTATTTCCAGCTCCTCATCGGCTTCTTCATGACGAAACTCGCTGAAGTCCAGCGCATATCGTTCTATACACGCACCGTCTTGTACTTGAACAATGCGTAAATTGAACTGACGAATTGATTCCAATTTTGTAAGAATGTCTTTCACTAAAGTCTCGATATAATTCTGCAAGTCAGGATGTCGGTTCATTGGCATGTGTCGTGGCAAATTGAAAGCTTGGTAAGAAAGCCAGTCAAAAGCCTCTTTCGGGTATACATTTCTAAAGTAGAGAATCACATTTATGAAGCATTTTAAATACACACTTAGCCATCTTTCGATCGGTTTGTTCATCGTTAAGAATTTATATGTGTATTCTTAAATGTTACTTCTACACGATGACAATGAAGTAAATAGTAATTATTGACCTTAGCACTTTAAAAACTAGCAAATAGTATCGAATATAATACATTGTATTATAGATGGCTTCTCTGCCTTCTTAATGAGCAACCAAATAGCTGCTATCAATGAATCTGATGTGCGAAGGATCACCTCGGGACAAGTGATCGTGGACTTGACATCAGCGGTCAAAGAAATACTGGATAATAGCATCGATGCCGGGGCAGACCAGTTTGAGTGCGTATTTAAAAACTATGGAATGGAATCTTTTGAGTGCAGTGACAATGGTAGTGGGATCTCTGAGGAAAGTCATGCAGGCTTGGCCTTAAAGCATCATACTTCAAAGATTTCCACGTTTGAGGACGTCTCCCAAGTCACTACACTAGGATTCAGAGGCGAGGCACTGTCGTCTATCGCAGCGGTTGCTAATCTTGTGGTCACTACCACCTCGAGGGCTCCAAAGGCTGCAAAGTTGGAATTCAATTTTAAAGGTGAACTGGTCAAATCTACTGTTACGTCGCGAAATAAAGGTACTACCGTACACGTCTCACAGCTATTTAACACTCTGCCTGTACGCAAGAAAGAGTTTACTCGCAATCACAAACGGCAGTTTAACAAATGTATCTCCCTTCTACAGCAGTATACTATCATTCAAGACCGAATGAAAATCTCTGTGTGGCATATCACCAGCAATGGACGCAGAACGCTCGTCCTATCATCAACCAAAGATCAGGGAATCCCGAAAAGAATTGTCGGGGTATTTGGGTCAACGGCTATGCAGGGTCTAACTGAGATCAAACTTGATCTCGCTGTGAGCTCGAGCAAGACCTGGGCATCGCAGGCATTCGCAGAAGAAGAGGTTGAAGGTTCACCGTGTTATAATATTCTAGTCACGGGCTACATCTCAAAGAATTCACTTGGAAGTGGAAGAAATACCAAGGATCGTCAATATGTTTATATCAACCGACGGCCCGTGGTGTGCCCCTCTCTCCTCAAGTGCTGTAACGAAGTCTATCGTACACATAACAACGTCCAGTTTCCAGTCTGCTTCCTCAATTTCGAAGTAAATCCCAGCTTTCTCGACGTCAATGTCACACCTGACAAGAGAACTGTTCTTCTTCATAGTGAGAATTTGGTGATTGATGCGCTGAGGGACGGTTTAACAGAATTTTACTCTCAACAGGAGATGGTGATGCCAGTCTCGGCGGCTTTCAGGACAAGAGGCACTGCTCAGGAACCGGATTTGAAAAAGCCCAAAATCAGTGCAGCGAGCCAAGAGCTGAACTTTGAATTTAGCCACGACGAAGAAGAGATGCAATCTACAATCGACGTCACTGAAAATACGGGACCCAAGCAAACGATAACTGCTACTTTGGATCGAGAGAATGATGTTGATACGGATGTCCCAAGTATTTTTGTCCGAGATCCAGAAGATTCTGAGGAAGTTCAAACCGGTAAAGAAACCTCCAGCACAGCACCTTCTCAAAGTGACCATCAACTCTCACCCATATCAAATGAAGAGCGAGTCAGGACTAGTGAGAATCAGGTTCAGAACCAGAAACCAATAGAAGTATTCGAAAATCCTTCGAGTAGAAAAGACCCAAGTCTACATGTGCAGGGGCTGGCGCCTTCGGGCGAGTTATTAACTGAAGGCGATAGGGTCGAAGAAAGCGCCAAGAAAACTCGAGCCAATCGCTTGATATTTCAAACGCAGGATGCCGATAGCAACTTGAATGAAGAATCGTGTACATGTTCATCCGCAAATGAAGGGAGCTTAAGTGATGACGAATTAGGAGCATCTCACCCGAACCCACCTTTCCGCTTGGCCAGACGTGAAAGTAATATATCCATGGATGAAATGGGTCAAATCAACTGCACTCCAGCGCCTATACCGCTACCGCGGGCCAGTTTGGCGAACTCAGCACAAAATTCTGGGCCGGGTATTTTCGCTACCAGCTTGGCAGTCGACCCTAACGACTTGATTAGTTCCTTTGTCCATGAAACGAATTTGATACAGAAACAAAAAGTAAGGAAGCACAAGAATTACATTCAAAAGAATGAGCAGCTTGACGACTTTGATCAAGGTGAGAAGTACTTGACGCTTTCAGTGTCGAAGGCAGATTTCAAGACTATGGAAATTGTGGGGCAATTTAACCTCGGCTTTATACTGGTGACTCGGTGTATCGGTGAGAAGTTTGACCTATTCATCGTCGATCAGCATGCAAGCGATGAGAAATACAACTTCGAGATGTTGCAAAGAACCACAGTTCTCAAGAGTCAGCCATTAATTGCCCCTCAAACCGTTGAATTGAGCGTCATGGACGAACTTATAGCCATGGAAAACTTGAGCGTTTTGGAGAAAAACGGTTTCAAGCTCGAAGTGAAGGAAGATCAGCCACAGGGCACCCGGGTAAAGTTGGTGAGTCTGCCAGTATCCAAAAAAACGGTATTCGACATGAATGATTTACACGAGCTGCTGCACTTCGTGAAAGAATCAGACGGGTTGAATAAAGATGCTGTACGCTGCTCAAAAGTACGTTCCATGTTTGCAATGCGTGCCTGTCGCAGTAGTATTATGGTGGGAAAGCCTCTGTCTAAGAAATCCATGGTACATGTCGTTCGAAATCTGAGCGAACTCGACAAACCATGGAATTGTCCCCACGGAAGGCCGACTATGCGACACCTATTGGAGCTTCGCGATTGGAATGCATTTGATGAGGACTACGCCTTATAATTGTAATATACGTTGATTTTTCCTAAAAATACACTATGTCTCTATATACAAGGAATGCGGCTGGTCTCTGAACTTCAACTTTCAAACACTGGGTGAAAACAGACGGAGAAACCAATTACGGCTGTCATTTTGTTTGCCCATGCCACTTTCGGTATGGAATCCACGTCTGTCGATCCGGTTGAGTCGTCTGGCCGTCTTGGCATTGTTTCTAGTACGTTGACCACGAACCGGAAGATTCAAAGCATGCCGCATACCTTCATATGATCCAATGCGTCTTTTGAGTGCAATGTTTTCCTTCACCACAGCCCGAGCGTTACCTTCGATGGTTAGGTTCGAAAGTTCGCTCGTTATGCTCATAATCTGCGGTTCCGAAAGCTGATGCATACGCATCCAAGGGTAAAAACCAAGCTTCGAACATACTGTTTCCGATGTTTTTAGGCCGATACCGTAGAACTTTGAAGCCAAAGCGATCTTGATCACTTCTTTGCCTTTGAAACCTTTCCCTAGGATGTGTACAACCATTTTGTAGGCTCAAAATGAAGCTTTAGATCGTAGCAGTCTGCAGTGATCCGATCAAACCAAGAGCAAAACGTCTCTGGGATATTGGTTCAGTTTTATTGCACTCTGATTTTGAATGTCCGATTGATTGTTCTACGAACATAACCATTTCAATATCAAGCCGGAAAAAATCGATGTTCGTATGTAATGCTAAATATTATTCGACTATAACTTTTGGATCTGGAATCCCTGGTCTCCACAGCTGACTGAGTGGCTATCCTATAGCTTCTTGAGTGTCATTCTACTCTGGCAGCGGCCATTAATATTATTCGGAGTAGCCTTGGGTGAGCATGCGTTCCAATTGCTCGAGATCCAGACGCTGAATCACGAGGTTTCGCAGAAGCCCAATCATAGTGATAAAACTGGCAAGACCCACTGGAACAACACAGAAAACTGTGATGTTGTAGAGATGGATTTGATGATGCTTGGCAAGCCGCAGCGCAGGTCGCGCACCTCGCCTGCGCTTGCGGGAGGCAAATTCAGGTGTATCGCACGTGACCTGGTGCGAAGGATTCGAGATGGAATGCGAGGAGGAAGTACGGCGATGAAGCGGGCCCGTGGGGCCCGTGGGGCCCGCAGTGGATGCGGCGGTCGTGTTGCTCGCGGGTGTGCCTGGAGGGGTTTCGTGCTCGACGTAGTTAAGATCAGAGGTCAAGAAACTCTGCCATATGTAAGCACCCGTGAGAAGGCAGCATATAAGAATCCAGGTGTGGAGGTAGTAATCGCCCTTGGGCGACAGCGACGAGAGCAAAAGCATTTCAAGCGTCACGATCAGAAGCGACATCGAAAACATGCGCAAGATGGCGGCGACCGTGGAGTATTTGACTATCCAACGAACCATCAGCGAGTCCAGAATGGAATACGTGAGATAGGCGGCCACGACACACCACAGCGAGCACAGCAGATACTCCGACGAGCGCGCTGTGACCAGCTGCGAGGTCAGCTCCGAGTCAGCAGAAGACGCCTGCGTCTTCAAAGCCCGGTAGGAATGATCCATCTGTGACACGCTGATCGCAATGGCGTCCGCGATTGCATCTGCTGTGTTGGAGAGCACATCCGCACGATACGAAAGTACCCACGCTTTTTTCAGCGCGTGGGCTAGTGACAGTAGCGGCGGGAGCAAAGACACGTCTCTGCATACTGCAATAAAAAAGTGCTGTTTGGCATTCAGGTTGTTGAGTGTGAGTGATTTCAGCGATTGGTACGTGGAACTCGGCCCATTGCCGCTGCCACCATGGTCCCGCTTACCCTGGGTGGTCGCAGTGCCGTCGCTGGAGGCCCGTCGGTGGTAATGGTGGTGATGGTGGATGTGTATTTGGGATTGCGATCCTCGCGATTCCAACAGTCCTGGTAGGGACGTGGTTGAGTCCGACATTAAGGGGCAGGTGAAAGCGATGGGCAACTCCCAAGCTCGGCAAAGTCAAAGACACCAGGAGAAGGATCCAATGAGGAATCTTCGTGGTGAACTTTAGTCCACTTGTATGCAATTCTTATTATGCAATGTTACAATCGATGAGATTATTTTTTCCCACCACGTCCAGCAAGTCAACGACGGTGAAAAAGAAGCAGTCCGAACTTTTGACCTCATGATAGTACTCGATAGCGATGAAATTAGGCGTGGTGACAGCTGATCAGCTCTTCAATGGAATACGCGATAAATTTGTAAATACTCTCACCTTTTCCAGCAGGTTTCTCGCTCATCTTCAGCATATTTAGTGCATTTTCGAGTGTATTTTCCTCTCAGAAGAAGCCCACGGGCAGCTTGGATATTTGAAAATGGTTTCTAGATGCCTGAGAGATGGAGCTATGCGGCTCTCAATCCTGTTTCTTTGCGAAAGACATTTTGTTGCGCACAAAGCATTTACAACTTATTAGGCGTCGATCGGTGGAAATCGCTTAATTAAAGTGGAACTTGACTTCGTGGCGAGTACCAGCATGATTATGACCAGCGCCATGTGTATTTCGAGGGCACTGAGAACCAAAGCTGGGCCGCATTTGTTCGTGGCGACTTTATGGTACATAGTGATCAGAGCAGGTGTCAGATGAAGATGCGAGGGTTTCAGCCACGAGCATTAGAGCAACCCTCGACTTCTATGTCCATAGCAATGTTCTTGGTTACTTCACTCTTTCAGCCTAGCGGATTCCGTTTGTTCGAAATGGTTGTGGATTTTCACGGGTACGAGTGGCATACCACTTGAGTTTTTGAACTTTTGTGAGCTTTCCTTGAGGTTTCTGGTAAGTGTCATATCTTGTGAGGTTTTCCAAGAGCCTAGGTTGACAAAAATCTAACTCCGGCTTCCAGCTTTCTCTACTAATTTTCCTTATCTCTCTGGTGAGAACAGCTCTTGATTGCTTTGGCAACCGCGCGCAAACTCTGCTTCTGATCGGCCCTTACGATCAACTTCGAAGGCCACTGAAACAGCAATACCACCAGGCAGGGTCTCGCTATCACTCTTTGGTTATTCATTATGTAGCATCATATATAACTTCAAAATAATTAGTAGTAACAGGGCCATAACAAACCCAGTTTCAAACGGCTCACAAAAGAAATCCCACTGCGGGAACTCGTCGGAACCTCCATCACAGACCACAAGGGTATCGTTGGAGTTGTGATGGGCCGATTTGCCCACTTTTTCACAATAGCAAGTTGAGCAAGCGGTAGAGATACGCGGAGTTGCGACAAACGTCGCATCACTGGAGGCCGATTCGATGGGCCGGGTGCCCCGGAGTTCCGGGGTTGCCTCGTTAGTGGCCGGCACCAAAATCATAAATTTTCGAGCGATGCAGCGATCTCGTCTAGCTCCTTCTTCGCCTCGTCGTACTTAGCGGTCAGCTCCTCATACTTCTTCTCCCAGTCGTCACGCTCCTGCTCGAGGGAAACTACCTTGCGCTCGAGACCCTCCGCCTTGAGGTCTGTTTCGCGCAACTTGTCAGTGGTTTCCTTGAGCTTCGAGTCGCTTTCTTCCAGCTCCTCTTCCAACTGTTGGTTCTTCTTCGTAAAGTTTTCGTTGTGCGAACGCAAGTTATGCGAGTCTTCTGACAACTGCTTGTGTTCTGAAAGCTCCGATTCCAATTTCTCCACCTCGTCTTCCAAATGTTGGTTCTTGGTTGTGAGCGACTTGATGTGGTTCTCCTTTTCGGTGTTGTCCTGCTCCAGCTGCTTCAATTGCTCCTTGACCTCCTCATACTTTTCCTGCCAGCTTTCAGCTTCGAGTTTCAAGTTGCTGAGCTTCTGTATATACCCGTGATTCGCGTTAGTCATTGTTTTGGCCCCCTATGTGTGGTATCACATTGATCCTCACTTTCGCATTGCCCACATACCTCTCTGATCTTGTCCATTGTGTACTTTGATTGACGGTTTGTAAGTTTTGTCCCTGTGAAGTGTTCGACAATGCCAAAGACTCCCGATCGTTTTCTTGGCCCTTTTTATAGTCAAACTTAAGAATTTACTTTAAAAAATCCAGATCAAAACAATAAAACAATAAAACAATAACATTGGACCAGACAAGAACGACGTTTTGAAGAAGAGCGTTGAACGGTGGACAAGCCGGATATGGAGTCGATCGGTAGTTTCTATATTTGTAGAAGGCAATTGGCCTTATAGAGGTGCGAAAACGCCGTTAAATTTGGGCCTGGGGCAAAAGAACGGCATTTTGAGCCTGGCGCACGCCTTGCAGACAACCAGAGGGGCCAGCCACAGAGAGAGCAAGAGGGTAGTTGTGACAATTTTGGACTTCAGGGCTATATTGTGCGTATGCAGGTGTATTTATAAGGCTGACGGCAATTTTAGGTTCCGTGACAGGTTTTTCAAAAGAAAATGTAAATGTCAAGACGGGAAAGAGCTGGCAAAAGACGCCAAAGCAAGTTCACATATGGTCTCGTTTGATTTTATTGGCTGGTAAGAAAGGCGGTGTGGTGACGCCTGGGAAAAGGGTACGCGATCCGTAGCAAGAATTCCATATCATGCATCCTTGAGAAAACATGTGGAGTACGTGCCTGACAAGTAGGGTCCACGATGTTGCAGATAAAATAAGTATATATGAGCGTCCATTGCGGTACTCAGATCAGCATGTTCTCGAGTAGGCCGGCGAAAGCGATACGTTGCGGAGGGCCGCAAAGCGACCCAGGCGCCAAGCTGGAGAACAGCCACACATGCCATTCTTAGCTTGAGTCCACTGGTAGGTGCCCGAGCGACTATAACAAGGACAAATCTGGGTTTGATACCCAGGTTTAGGGCTTCCTCTTGGTGATGTTCTTGGGTGAACATCTGTCACTTTGTACAATAATGGCATAGGCATGGACTTTGCGACACAGGCTATGTAATCTCGTCAACTGTCCACATCGGGCGGCCCGGCAGTTCCGTATTAAACATCGACGAAGAATGACCCTAGAGAGAGAATTTCGGCCATGGGAGTACCTACAATTCAGTCAGCTGCAGGCTTCGAGAGGCACCAAAACCTGTTTAATTATGGAGACGTTCCTGAAGCGTGAGAGTGGAAAATGTAGTGTTTATGCGAAGTGGAAAACAGTGCTAGGTTCCAAAATGTTATAGCCCTGGCTAAACGTGTTTTTTTGTTTCTTGCAACGCATTACTCTCAGGTTTAATTGAATTCCTCAGGCCGGAAAAACGGCCAAAGTCACCAACAGACGGGTAGCGCTGTTCAAAATCAATTTTAAAGAAGCTGCAATTCAAATCTTGGTATTGGCCATTCAATGCCAACCGGGATTGAATATCGCTCAAAGAGGGCTCAGTTTACGCGGTCTCCATGACATTATAGTTCAGTCAACAACCCCTACTAGTTGGTAATCTTTAGAGACGTGCTTCGGAGCCGCTGGAAAGGAGGAAGCGGTCCTTTTTTTATATAGGCTAGCCTGTAGCTCGCCGCTATATGGCAATTCTGTGGTCTCCGTTTTGTAGCCTCAAAAATGGCCAAGAGCATCTGGAACGCGATATGATGGACAACTCCACAATCGAGCCTCTGTTTTCTTGACATTAGTCTCTCCCGATAGGTGTGCTAACTGTCCTTTCGCGATCTGCTTCGCATTACGAGATTCGTTATACCACTTGACTCCTACTTAATCTATTTCCGTTCACTCATGCTCTTATTCCCTGTCATTATCGGCACGAGTACGTTTTGCATACCTACCATGCTTCGGCCCATCATTTTTGGGCCGCTTCCGTTGGTTCGCAAGTCCAGTACTTAAAACATGCTCCTCTGAGGGCTTCGTCTTCTCGGCCGCGCCTTGTAGCTTTCCCTCCACCTCCAGAACATTAGCGTCCTTTCCTAAAATGGATTCGAGTGCTTCTAGAGTCTCCACCGCCAGGCTCTTTGGGTATACAACTTCAAATTGGATATATAAGTTGCCGAATTTTCCGTGCCCATCAGGCATGCCCAAATTTTCCACACACTTCACAGCGCCCGATTGCAGAATCTCACCTGGTATCACTTCAATCTTGATTTGTTTCCCACTAGGATGCGAGTCTATCCAAACGGATCCTCCGCACATACTAGTCTTCAATCCTACTTTGCAATTATGCAACTTGAGGTCTCTGTGTGGCAGCACTTCAAATTTCGGATGTGCAATCTGTTCCATTATGATGATCACATCCCCAGGGATGACCTTCTCACTCCCATACCCAGTATTTATCACTTCGTCTGCCTCGCCGGGCATTATGAGTTCTTGTCCCTCTTCCATGCCCCTTTCTATCCGCACATCGAAAATCTTCCGTTCTCCATAGTACCCTTGGCCTTGACAGTCTCCGCACCTATCTTCGGGCTGCAACAAAGTCCCCTGCCCGCCACATGTACCACACGTAGACGACCATGATTGCGTGACAGGGCCATGGCGTTTGGTTCGGGTGTGCATGCCACTACCCTTGCACTCGCTGCACACCGAGTACTTAATACCACCGTTTCCTTTACATTTCAAGCACAATCGAGTCCTATTGAGGGCCAGCTTGGTGTCCTTGCCGTTGTAAACTTCTTCGAGGGTGCACCTTAGACGGTGCTTGATATCTGGACCACGGGTGGGACCACGTTGCCGTGCCGGTTTCGAGCGACGCCCAAAGAGGCCGAAGCCGTCCCCCAGCCCATCCTCGTCCTCGTCCTCATCAAAAAACCTCCTCCCAGCAGTAGTGCTTCCTCCTCCGAAAAACTGTGCGAAGAGGTCACCTGCAGACATCGTCGATGCACGGCCGTACCCATGCGATGGCCCGTATCCTGTACGCCCTTGCATTGCTACCCACTGCGACTCATCACTCGTGCCAAAACGGTCGTACATTGCCCGCTTATGCTCATCTTTCAAGACCTCGTAGGCAGCAGAAACTTGGTGGAATCGTACTTTTGCTTCCTCCGAATGTCCATTTTTATCAGGGTGGTACTTCAACGCTTGGACACGATATGCCTTCTTGATTTCATTACCGGAAGCTCCACTTGATACCCCCAAAGTGTCATAAAGTTCCGTATTAACAACTGTTCCCATTTGCTGTCACCTCTACAACTATTTTTATAAATTCAGGCTCAATTTTCTTGTACTTTCTTGACAGTCCTCTGCTATGACCCAAAGCTTAGCTGATCAACAGTTCCCTTCGTGAATTGAAGTGAAATAAATTTATTAAAGGTAGTCCGAATTTACTTCAATTCGCTTATTTGAACTTACTTATATATTAGAACACTTTTCCAATAATTTCTTGAAATTTCCATAGAAAAATGTGTCTATATAGCACCGTCAAACTCAAGTACTGAAGTGCTAGCCATGCTTTCGCTCACCAATAGCTTAATTCCGACTAAGTATGAAGTAGAATTGACAATTGAGCCAAGCAGAGCAAATTTCCGGGGTTTTTTACGGGTGTTTTTGACCAAGAATCGTAATTCTGGCGTAAGCGATGAGGTGACGGGGTTCTCGCTACACGGACAGGACCTGGTGGTCCTTTCTGCCAAGATAGGTGACAAAAGTCTGACAGTAACCTGTAACCGCCAAGTAGGTGTGATACAGTTCCAAGCTGAGACGGGCCCTCTAGCGATTTCACAGCAGCTACAAAAAGAAGTAGTCGTGGATATTGAGTACGTGGGCAAAATACATTCCATAAAGACGTTCCAAGACTTCACCAGGGGTATCTTCAAGACCAATTTCATGGACCCCGATACCGGAAACAGTGATAACTACGTGGTGGCTACACATGGGCAACCTGGGTTTGCGAAAATGATGGTGCCGTGCATCGACGAAATCAACCACAAGGCACAATTTCAGCTTACAATCAACACACTGGAGCGGTTTGTCGTAGTGTCCAACACGCCGATGGTGTCGCAATCAGCCCCCGGACCGCAATCTACGCTAAAAAAAGTGCGCTTTGGCACTACTCCACTCATGACACCGTCACTGTTTGGCTTCACCCTTGGAGATCTGAAATCCATAGAAGCAGAAGTACCGCTACCTCAGGGACACCTACCGGTCCGCTTTTTCGCAGTACAAGACGTGGAGCTGGCTACATTTGGCCTCGATACGGTTTGCGAGTTTTTGCCAGCTCTCCAGGAAATGTTCCAGGTGGAATATCCTCTCAAAAAACTGGATTTTGCCTTGGTGCCTTTTTTGAGTGACATGGCCATGGAGAATTTCGGCTTAGTGACAGTCCAGCAAGGGCATCTACTGCTAGAGCCTTCCATGTTGGCAGATGCGACCACTCGCGGTCAAGTCCAACAGCTTGTTGTTCATGAGCTAGTTCACCAGTGGATGGGAAACCTTATTTCTTTTGATTCATGGGAACATTTGTGGTTCAACGAAGCGTTCGCTACTTGGTGTGCTTGTGAAATTCTGAGCGTCACAACCGGCAAAGATCATTGGTCATCGCAAGAGTATTTGCAACAACTCAACTCTTCTTTGAAGCAAGATGCCTCTATTGAGTGTCAAAGCATAGTGCAGTCTTCTCACAAAAGCACCATTGTTCAAACGTCGGATGCCGTCGATCCACACAGCTATACGAAGGGTATCGCAATCATAAGGTCCTTGCAGCGCTGCATTGGCCCTAAGAAATTCAAAGAAGCTTTACAAAGTTTCATGGGCCAAGTCGAGTTTCATAAACGTGGAATCAAACCTTCAGAAATTTGGAATTATTTCGGGCAGCTGCTGAAGTCTGCAAATATAGCCAATTTTATGTTCTCTTGGACCCAAACTGCTAGTTTTCCAGTTTTGCATGTCTCAGTTAAAGATGGAGCAACTGTCTTGAAACAGCATCGTTCCCAAGGTGGAGCAAATGACGATACGGAGGACGTTCCATACCACTTGCCTCTATTTGCTCGTTTGCCTGACGGTTCCATGGATGAGAAGCACGTTTTGATGACAGACCGCTCGCTCACTTTGACCTATCCGACGATAGTCTTCAACTCAGATGTCCAGGGCTATTACAGAGTTTCCTATGAAAGCGCAAAATGCTATGATCGGCTATGCGATGGCCTTGTTAGTGGTGCGCTTTCCGAGCTTGATCTGTATGGCGTTTTCAGAGATTTGGAGGGGTTTCTGGGAGACGAAACTTACCAAAAACGAGAACACATTGATGGCTTGTTACAAGTACTTCGCACAATTGCATCTCGTGTAGAACTTGAAATGTTTCCCAAATACTATCACGGTCTAAGTTTGGGCTTAACTATTCTGCAACAATTCGAAGTAAGCATATTAAGGTTCGGTAGTGATAAAAACGATTTTGGATTCGTGGCATCTATTATAGGGCCACTATTCCGCCAATTCAAGTGGCCAAATGATTTTCAAAATGGTAAATACGAATTTCATCAGCTTCACACCATGTCGCAAGTGCTCTCTGCCGGTAAGAGTCTTCCAGAAGTTCAGTCCGTTTGCGCCAAATACTACAAAATTGTACTACAGGGCCCCAATAATGCTTTGCCCTCAGAGATTCTTGACAGTATTTTCACAGTAAGCTCTTTTCAAAACTCGAGTTTAAAACATTGGAAGAAACATTATGAATTGGCCAAATCCAGCCAGGGAATTTCAAATCACATATCCGGTCTCTCTGCAGGTGAAATTCAGACTATTGCACTTGAGACTGTAGGTTTTAGTACCTCGTTGGAACTAGTCCGAAAAGTGCTCAATTACGTGTTAACCAACTTCGACGTCGACGGTAGCGAACGAGCTCTATTTGGCCTATCCTATAATGCAAAGTATTCTTATGGAGCGGAGCAAATACGAGACGTGGTTTGGGAGTGGTTTACATTACATTTTGACAAATGGGCTCAAAAGTCTGTTTTAGACGACAGTCGCAATACCCAAAGGTTGAGAAATACCTTGATGGCGATTTCAGTAGTTGTGTTTGAGATGTGGCAGGACGCACCTGAGAAGATTGACATCTTTACAATTGCAAAGCAAGCTAAATTCGGCAAAGGCTTGAGGATTGCTGAAATATGGGCCTCTGTTAAGCGCAGCAATGTGCCTAAAATGATCATTTACCAAGGCCTTTTAGGCTTTTGAATAACCTGCGTTTTATCCGTTCCGTTAACCTTAATGCAATATATAATTATAGATTAGACTATTACTCAATGAGCCTTTTGCGGTAATCTGCTACCCCTATCTGCTCTGCCAACGCTCGACAGTGAGGCGACATCACCGTGTTGTCCAAATGACTTGAAGCTGCGGGATGTAGTAAGACTGTTGGTTAAGCCATATGAATCACTGTCACTGCCAGAAGGAGTATTATGCAAGTGCGTACCCTCTGAGGGTGTCGAAAAACTAAACTCTGCGGAATAACCATTTCCCTGGCTAGTGGAACTTAGAGACGAAGCGTACAACGTCGACAGGTGCTGTCGGAATTGAATTCTTTGCAAAACGACACTCATGAGATAGTGACGCCATACATTGTAAAGCTGTTTGTTCTCAAGCTGTGACAACGAAAGTCGATGAGGACCAGGATGTGATTTTGTTCTTCGCACACTGGCCACGCGGCGCACAGCCGGAAATTTGCGTTTTATGCTGTTTCGATGTTCCACCGGACTATACCACTGCGAAATATTTCGCGACGGTTTACGGATGGGCTTGGATGGTAATGTTTTGAATACGAATCTTGGGTGGAGTCTCATAACCTGCCAGAAAGTGGGTGACTTGAGCTGCATCACCAGCATGCGTTGACCACTGGTGAAGTTGGAACATGGTAGTGATTCCGGGTTGATGTAGTTCATCACCGATGTGAGTTCTGCCCGAGATCTAAACTTGTACCTTAGAGACGGGTGTCGTGAGCGGCGAAGAGAGAACCCACGGTGGAAGACGAAGTTACCAGACTCTGCAAGCTGGGTTATTTCTCCGCCGTTTGAGAAATCTTTCCGTCTCGAAAGCGAATTGGCTCGTTTCATGGACTTTTTTCTCTTGACTGCTGGACCGGTCTCTTTACTTTGCGTCAGTGAGTATCGGGACCACTTGCAAAACTTGCCGAGAATCTTCTCTGAGCTGGTGGGCTTCTTGCGCTCTTGCTGCTCGGCCTGGAGCCGAAGTGCCGCTCTTTGTTGATAATTTTGGGTCTGCTGGAGGTCAAACTGGCTCATTGTCAGAGGCTGCTCGAAAAAAGGTGGTGGCGAGGCCTTGGGCTCGTCCAGAATTGTGACCGTCTGTGAATGCTGCGGTTTGTGCGTGCGTCTGTATGGTAGGGTACGAGGTACGCCCCCCAGAGGAGATTCAGAAGAGGCGTTGTTGTGTGCGTCCATCAGAGGTTTTATCAGGGATTGTTCCTCTTCCTCGTCCGTGGTGTCACCACCTTCGTCTCGGTTGAAATGCAATCGTCCGGAGGAGTTTTGGTAGTATGCACTTGGCCTTTCCGAAGCACTGTGAGCAGCAGCGGTCGGGAAACTTTGCAAAGTGTGTCTAGGACGCGAGCTGTGATCACTGAGATCAAACACCATATAATCCTGAGCCATCAATGGGCTTCCAGTGTGCATCGTGATCCCCACCCAATTCAGCGGGTTTACACACGTAGCGCTACGTATTTGCCCGCTTGTGAGGAAGAACCGTTCCAAGTTCAGTCCAGTTCGTTCTAATTTTAAGCATATTTACTAAATACAGTGGCTACCAGCCATTGATCGAGCCAAGTAGATTGTCTTTGGCATGTGCAGTGTCACTACAATTGACAAGGCTGGTTTGTTTATTAAGATATAGTTTTAGACGCCAAGTTTGACTTTCGTCAACACAATATTACAATGGAGCCAGCGGAAGATCACAATCGGCAGGAACATGACAGAGGTGCCAAAAGCGATGGGGCTTTGAAACTGGAACTGGCAACTGTGCTAAGGGGAATTCACGAGGGTTATAAACGTCATCTGACCAAGATCTTGCAAAGACCAGGAGCTTATGCAGTGGACAGGTAATGCCACCCAGCTGGCTGGTACCGTGCAGAAATAACTCGGACCGCACTGACAAAATGACGATGCCAAATCGGCGCCATGGCTCGCAACTCAGGACCAAGACGAGAGAGCGTGACCTTGCTTCCACGGTTCCAGGGCCACTCTGGCTGCCCAGCTTTCGTGAAAAAAAAAAATCCCAGCTATCGTTGTGGTTTACCTTGACCAGTAAATCCAACGCACAGACCCAGCTCGCCAATCTCTGCAGCATCTCGAGCAATATCAAAACGTTCTAGCGGGCCCCAACGTAGTTTCTTTGAGCTATCTCTTGCTACTGGTGCGAGCTATCACTCTGTACAAAACTGGCACAGGTAATGTAAAAAGCTCTTCTTTTATCTGGAGCCTCAACGAGCCAACTGACGGGTCCTATTCTACCTAAAAACCCACAAACACTGTGGACCCCCACACATTCCTTCCCTTAGCCAACTATCCGGACGGGAACCGAGCAGACGGAGAGCACCATCCGCCAGCGTAAGAACGAGTACTCGCGAGTACAATTGAGCGCACACTTTAAGAGTTTCAGCGGCAAATTGCCAATCATCACCATTACCTTTTACTCACCACAGAAGCAAGAAACATCGGTCGTCAGCACCAGTGGCGATAAAGACCACGCGGGTAAGCTCCCAGTGCGGCCAGCCATCGGATAGATCCATATTTCTCAAACCTCGGGTGGCTGCCAGCGCTTCGCGCCTGGTACAAGACCACCTTGATACACAGCCCGTGATCGACCACCACGGCATCCAGCCCTTCAAAGGCCACAAGAACCCTCTCTCACCACCAGGCACTGCGTCTCCTACGACGACTCGAAGTATCGTTGCCCTTTCGATGTTCTACAACGCCACCGGTTTAACCGCCCAACTACAACATCATCACACACGGCATATTTCCCAAGTCGCTATTTTATTTCCTGGCGCAAGCGGGTATCACATGATACAATAACGTCACACGGCTTTGCGATTCCGCCCCACAGCAAAAAGCGACGCAATTTAGAGCAACGGCAATTGGATCAGGGGAGCAAAATGGGCGCTGGGGCATTGGGGGAAGCTCATGGCAGATGGGACTCTTCAGGGCAGGAGGAAAAAGTATATAAGGAGCCGCTCAGGACAGGACCTATATGGTACTTTTTCCAACATCTTCTCTTTTGTATGATCAAGACTGAACCGAAATACTTCTAGATCTACAGTAACGCCGCAGGAATTGGATAGCGCACTGTTATATTCGTAAAGAACAGAAGAATTAGCCGTTTAGCGCCTTTTACCAGCAATTTATTACAAGAAACATGTCATCCAAAGTGATTATTGGTGGAGCCGTTACAGTAGCGGCAGGCTACGCGTTGTACGAGTACCAACTTCAGCAGAGACAGCAGCGGTCGGCCCTGCAGCCAGCAGCGTCGATACCGGGTCGCGACACTCATGCTTTTGAGAAAAAAGGCGAGTCTGCCGGAGCCAAGCTGGACGATGTTGCCAACAAGGGGCGCGAGCAGCTCAACCAGCTGGCGCGCGACACAGACGAGAAGGTGACTTCGACGATGGAGGAGGTTGAGCGTGCCAAGGCCAAGGGCTCGCAATGGGTTTGGGAGCACCTCGGAGAGGCCCAGGACGCTGCGGAAGATCGCAGAGACAAGTATCTAGAGCGCTCGGGCGAGCTGCACGCCATGGTGGAGGACGCCGCTGAGCGCGAGCGCGCCAAGCAAAATGCCATCAAGCGCTTCGTGACCGGCACACGTGACCAGATTTCCTCGGACCTCAGAAACATCAAGGAGGGCGTGTCCGACGACGCTTCCAGCATCAGAGACGCCCTGGTCGGCGCCAAGAAGCAAGGGAGCGACACCGCCAAGTCCTGGGAGGATTCGGCGCGCCAAAGCGCGCAGGACGCCAAGGACGCGACCCACGAGACCTCAGAATCTATCTTCAACTGGGGGTTCAGCAGGGCTGAAAAGGCGCGTGCATTGGCCATTCAAGAGTACGACCAAGCCCACAAGCATTACGACGACCTGCGCGACCAGTACAAGTCGGAATCTGGTGTTTTCTCTGGTGGCAGTGAGGAGCTGAAGAAGAAGCTGGACGAGGCCCAAGCCCAATTGGAGAGCTACAAGCATAAGCTAGAGGACGCCACCGCCAAGTATTCGCAGTACACCACTGACAACATCAACGAACTGTCCAACAAGCTCGAGGAGCAGGACCGTAAGCTGCGCAAGAAGGGCTTCTTCAAGTGGCTCACAGGCGATGACTCCGGCTCCCCAAAGGCTCGCGACGTGGATGAAATAGCCTCCCACAGCGTGGTTGGGTGGGGTGAAACCGCTGAAGCTTTGGCCAAGGAAGAATTGGACGAATTGGTGAGAAATAAGAAGATTGGACCTAGCGAAGCTCAGAGAAGACTCGACGAGCTCGCCAAGATCAAAAACGAGGGCTGGTTCACTTACAAGGGCAAGAACGACGAGGATTTGGCCAAGCGTGCTGCCAAGGCCCTGGAAGGCTGGGGTGAAACTGCCTCGCAGCTCGCTCAGGATGAGTACGAGGAGGCTCGCAGGGCACTACCTCAATCCTCTCAGTCTGTTTCCGACGCAGTGGAGACGGCCAAACAGAAACTTGATGTTGCTAAGAAGCAACTGGATCAAACCACCTCTACATGGTGGGCCCAAGGTAAGGATAAGAAAAATGAATTGCACGAAAAGGCCCAGCAGCAGTATGCGGAGGCTGAACGCGAGTACAAAGATTCTTTAGAAGCTCTCACCGACTGGTCTGAAAAGGCCAAGGGCAAGTTCTGGGGGGGCGCCGATTCTGCCTTGGACTCCACGAAATCCACTGCTGACACCTTGCATTCCAAAGCCAAACAAGGCTTGAATTCCGTTCAAGATTACGTTCAGGATAAGAAAGACTAAGTTATGAATAGTCTTCCTGGCCCAGCTATGGGAACTATCGGCCCGAAATCGCTGTGGGAGATTGTTTGTGATGACAAGCAAGACATCAAAACAAAATACTCGTAAACATAATGACATAACGCAATAAGTAATGATATCTACGTGCACGAAAAAACAAATGAACAACGATAACATCACATAAAGATACTGGCATTGGTCAGCATGTTGCAAGCTAGCCCAGATTTTGACATTCACGTAGATTGTAGTCCTTTAAGACTTCGTCCACGAACCGGGTTGTTCGTTTTATTGTGGTCGCGTGACCCAACGGCGTGCTAAATAAGTTAATGTAAAGTGTTGTGATTATAAGTAGAATGACACCATTTAGCGTCAATACCTGTTGTACCCAAGAGTCAAGCCTATAATTGCGTGCAGGCGCTGGTAGTCAAAGCTTTTTGCGTTTGGAACATAGTCCTCTTTTTTCAGGCTCGAAAAATCAGGTCTATCTACCTCTTTGAGTGTCCGTAAAACAATTGCTGTTGAAGATGGGCAAAGAGGTGAACAATCCGGTATCACCGGCCTCCAAGGGCAAGGCTGCACAAAAAACACTCAATGTTAGCAAAGAGCAGGGCGCACATACATTTTTAAAAGTGGCACCAGGTCTGTTCACCGCGGATAAACTGCCGTTGTTTGACGACCTTGAACTGTACACTACGTTGATTCGCAGCAGCAAAGCTTTAGAACAAGGAGAACGGCTTCACAACTTGAGTTGGCGCATAATGAACAAGGCGCTGCTCAAGGATCATGAAGTTAACAAGTCGAAGAGGCGCGATGGCGTGAAAAACCTGTACCGCGTCATCAACCCTGCTCAAAACGCTCAACCACTGCACACAAATGTTAAGAAACCCGTTGACAGGGTCCCCGCTATGCAGGTAATGAGTGCCATGAGAAACTCGACCAGTGAACCTCGAACTCCACAGGATTCGCGACATCGGAACCTAATTAAGGCGCATGACGTCACGCCACAGCACGTTCAATACCACGGCGGAGATTTTAGCCACCCCCAGGCTCTACCGACTAGGGCAATTAGCGAATTACAAGTGCGCAGGGATGCTCACAAACCCCATCACGATATTCCGGCCCCTCTATCGAGAATTGACCAGCGTGACCAGCGCGATGTGCGATTCACACTGGGCTTCGAGAATGGCTCTCAGATTTCATCTCCAGAAACCCCTCAACATGCCACCACTGGATTTCAGATACCGGCTACACAACTCAAGAAAAAAGATATTGCTTCAAGACATCATGCCGGCCACCCTGACGTTATAGATGGACCTCAGCATCGCAAGAAGCCGATAAAGAAAAACAATCTTCTTTCTAGAGCACCAGAAAGTCTGTTCGCCACGAGAGCAGACGACAGAGCTCCAGAATCCGACAAACCTGGCGCCCGCTCCATATTGCTGGAACGCCAGCCCAAGTCGTTGTTCGGACAACGGCCTCAGTCCACACAGGATAGAGTCTTCCACGATAGTAGTGACGAGGACGAGTCTGATTGGGACTCTCTGTCGGACGACTCCCAGCTGTACGATGAAGAAGAAGACGATATCTACTACCAGAAGCAGTGGGATAAGTTGATGTTCCCGCGGAATGACTCTCTGAGGACAAATTTCAACAAAAGTACAGCGTCCTCGACCACAAGCGTTGATCACCAGCAGGATCCTAAGAGAAGTTTACTGAGCGGATTATTTTTGAGCGAAATGAATAAGAAACCTACTCCGCAAATCATGAGCTCTTGGAGTTTACCCCAGCAGCCGACGCTGGAGGAAAGCAGCATAGTCGCTGTGGGCGACGTTACCCCCTCTTCATCATGGAAGGGGACCGACGCAATAAGCCACGCGATATCGCGCGATCATATCCCTGCACAGCGTAACAGTTTTAGCAGCATAATATCAGATTCCACGCGGCAACGCTACACTTTCCAGTCTAATGCTCCACCCACTGCGCAGACGATTTTGCCGACTGCACTTTCCACCCATATGTTTTTGCCAAACAATGTACATCAGCAGCGAATAGCCAAATCAGAGTCCCTGCGGTCGGAGCCTGTGAAGAGAAGGGAATCGATGGATATTCCATCCAAGAAAACAAGTTCGAGATCTTTACTCAAGACGCGGCACGAAATTTCCGAAGAAGAATATTTTGCCAGAGGAAATCGCAATCGGTGAAGTTGGCAGCTGTGCCCACTACCCTGGGATCTTACACTCGATATATTTGGTGGTGTCAGCATGCTCGAAGATGACAATGTCTTCAAAGTCTGATATATCAAAAATCATCATACACGAAAGCTACTGGGTTTCCAATTTTGAAAAATTTTTGGACCTAAAGTACCTGAGAGATGGCGATGAGATGACCTTCAACTCAGCATAGGCCATTAACAAACTGGACCAAAACCAACATCGACTCTAACTTCATCAAGATGATCAGAAGACAGGCTCGTGAGCGTCGGGAGTATCTTTATCGGAAAGCTCAGGAACTCCAGGATTCCCAGCTACAGGAAAAGAGACAGCTAATCAAGCAAGCTTTGGCACAAGGAAAACCACTCCCAAAAGATGTGGCGGACGACGAACAGCTCCAGAAAGACTTTCAATACGATCAAACCATACAGGAAACGATAGATGACGAATATAGTGCCACCAGTGGGCTGGCAGAACCCAAAGTGATTGTCACGACTTCTAGAGATCCTAGTACCAGGCTTTCTCAATTCGCCAAGGAAATCCGCCTGCTGTTCCCAACTTCGGTAAGGCTTAATAGAGGTAATTACATTATGCCAAATCTGGTCGATGCATGCAAAAAATCGGGCACTTCAGACCTGGTGGTACTGCACGAGCATAGAGGTGTTCCTACGTCGCTCACCATTTCCCATTTCCCACATGGCCCGACAGCTTATTTCACACTCCACAACGTTGTTCTAAGGCACGACATTATGAATGCAGGTAACCAAAGCGAAGTGAATCCACATCTCATTTTCGACAATTTCACAACACCTCTAGGGCAAAGAGTTGTCACGGTTTTGAAGCATATGTTTCCACCGGGACCAAAGAAGGACTCACCTCGAGTAATCACTTTCGCAAACCGCGGTGATTTTATCAGTGTAAGGCAGCATGTGTATGTGAGAACTAGGGAAGGCGTGGAACTAGCAGAAGTAGGACCCAGGTTTGAAATGCGCTTATTTGAGTTGAGACTCGGCACTTTGGACAATAAGGATGCAGATGTCGAATGGCAGCTCAGAAGGTTCGTAAGGACCGCCAGTAGGAAAGACTACTTATGAATATTTTCGAACATATCGAAGCTGCATGACTATCAATAAATAACAGAATAGAGCACTAGTTGAAGGTCAAAATAATCAAATGATAATGCATTTTAATTTTCTTTAAGTCAGATAGTTAAATCTTGTATGAACGAAAACTTGTGGCGGTGACCATAAGGCTTTGCGTTTTACACATCGTGAAGTAAAATAGCCCTTCATTGAGAAGGTGGAAGGCTATGAATCTACTTCCACGCACTTAATGTCATCCTCTATAAGGAGAGCAACTTGGTATTCATGCGATCAAGACGGGCCCCCATTTCTTTATATGTTAAGTAAGCTCGTTGGATTTATAAGAATTTTCAAACAGTCCTTCACGTCAAGCCCCCTTGAAGAAATGAATACAGATCGTTACGATTATTATTTGAACCAAAACAATGAGGTATAGGTACTGCTATATACCCAAAACGCCTTTTTTTTTGTCCCTTGTAGCGGTACTTTTTGAAGGATATCGAAAGATGAAATTTAGCCGTGGTTCACTATAACGATAACATGATCGCGTGGCAGTATTATGAGAACTGAAAGTTGGGGCAATGCTTAATGCGACATAAGATCGTACCCATGATCTTTGCCGATATCAAAAAGACAAGAAAGCAATAGTAATTAACGCTAAAGTTCGCGTTCTGATCGTCCTTCACCTAGAACAATATTCTCACCGAACCGCTACCCTGCAACATTCTAAAATGCGCGTGTCCCAATTAAATTTATTTTGCTTCATTACAAGAGAGCTTTTAGTACTCACTTGCATTGCTGATTTTCTTCCGCAGCACTTCGCCAACAGAGTTGCTCTGCAATCCATCGTCAAACAAAACGTCATTCATATTTTGTGTTGGCCCCTGATGAGACTGCAAACTTCTTCCTGTGCTTAACAAAGGAGACATAGAGCTTGCATTAGAATAGGTGCGAACCTTGTAAATAGGACGTCCCTTCTTGAAGCTATTCTGCGTGGAAGTCCTTGTCAGACGCGGTCCCGTGACTGTATTGTATAGAGCCTGAGAATTGGGGGGGCTTGACGAGTTGAGCATTGAAGTAGGTGAATTAGGAGAGTTGGCCACATCTTGATCCGAGTCCTCTTCATTTTCACCTTCGCTAGTGGAGCAGTCACTGCCGCTGCTCTCAATCACGAACTTGTTTTGGGATTTCGTAAAACCCTTCACTGGGTTACTAGAAGGGTTAGAGCTGTTGTGACATGAATGAACAGAAGGCGAAATACTGTTGATTGGAGTTCCAATACGTATGGAAGGCGACCGGGAAGTCGTTCTTAGTTGTGATGTCAAGTTTCGAGAGCTTAACGAAGGAGCAGACAGCCCCAACGCGGAGGAAGCGGAGTCCCGTCTAGTAGTTGGACTATGGAATGGATTTGAAAATGATGGCTGTGGGGATTGTCTCAAAACGGAGGAAGAGGTTGACTGCGTCAACGAAGGTCTTCTGGAGTGCGCATTTTCGTCCGAAATCATATCGGCGTACGAGTAGAAACGAAGAATGCGTGGTCTATCAGAAGCTGTGGACGTACCGTTACTGCAGTTGCTGGCGTTGGAGTTGGCGCTAGCGATGCTGACCGCGCTAGTGGTGCTATTGGCGCGGGATAGCTGCGGTAGTTGGTAGTTGGAGTTCGCGCGGTTGCGGCCTAGCGCACGGTCCAAGCCAATACAAGAGTTTCTGCCCGAATATATCATCTCCACATTGTCAAGGTCAGTCTCCTTATCCGTGACAAGAGTAGCGGAAGCGTCAAGCGCCGGTGCCACTTGGTCTTCCAGCGCATGTCTTTTGGAATGATTGAACCCTATTTCTTCGCCACTACGCACTTGACTGCTGCGGGGGCCGTCTTGCACAGCCGATGGAACCGAGCGAGGGAACTGAGCGGCTGAAAAAGATCCCTGGCGGGACAACGATTCGCGAACGGAGCCTGGTCTTCCAGGAGGCACGACGAAAGAACCAGAGCGCGAATAAGTAGGGCGTCCGGCCACTTCCTGGGGATAGTGCTCTTGCACATTCCGTTCGAAGATCATGGGTTGTTCTTCCCCCGTGCTGTTTTCGCCGCCGGGCAGTTCGCTGGAGGCGTCCTCGAATTTTTGGTCGTCGAAGTCCATGCTATATCAACGAGCGATCGTAGGGGATAGAGAAAGAGAAAGCGATACCTTTCACGGTGATTGCAGTAAACGTAGAACAACACGATCCTAACACTTTTGGATCGCTTGGATTCTTGCTCAAAACGGGGGTAGCGGGGGTGGGTTTCCAATTTTTATACCAACTCCAATACTGGCGAAAAAAACGAGGCCAAATAAATATAGGGTCACCTGCCAAATTGTGGTTTATTAACACAGAATGTCTCTGGGAGAGAGGAATGAGTTTCAAATGGGACGAGACAGAGTACAGAGGGAAAGGACGCTGTATTGTTATATTAAAGTCCCCAAATGGGCTAGCAGGGAGTAGTTCCAAAAAAAAAAGGATTTTTAGATCTGCTGCTCTCCGTCAAGAAAAACGCCGTTAGTCTATCTGCTCCTTGTCAGTGGTCGTCGTTAACCAGGGGGCGGCCATTCACGGCTAAAAACTGCTTCGTTATCCAGCAAAATGCCAACCGGATCGTGATAACAGCATTATCGCCACACCTGAAAATGGGACGAGCGACAGAGGGACAGCCAGGACCGAGGAAAAAAAATATCGAGCACACCCAGAGCAAAGCCCAGGGAAAAGGCCAAGGCAAGGCAAAAAAAAAAATACCAATACACCTGCACTTTCAGCCACGCACGTTTCGGGTGTTCACAACGCAGCGCACATGCCGAGCCACTGGCATGAATGAGAACGTTAGCGATCCACAGAGAGAGCCCTTGTTGCAGCTCCGAAGCTCCAGTCAGGTGACTGGTGGGGCCACCTGAGATGGATCACATGACATCACGTGGCGCTACCTTCGAACGAGCATGTAGTTTGATTTTGTGGGTCACGGGACTGTAGCCGCTGCCAATTACTTTGGGTCTGCGTCTGTGGTGTCTGAAGCGATCCATGACACGTATGGCGTCTCCCGAGTCCACCTTTGCGGACGCGACTGCCGTCCTTATGTTAAAACACGTTCTAATACTTGGATGCTTCCTCTTTTGCGCGCCTAGAAAGCCCTTCTTGGATGGGCGGGTATTTCAGAAAACCCTCAAGGCTCGGGCCACTATGATCAAGTGGTTAGCGCGTAGTCATGGTTAGCACTGTGGATGATTCGAACGAAGCTGTTTTGAGAAAGACAGCCGGGAGAAGTATCCTCTAAAGTGTTCAGGGGAGAACCGCTGTTGTACGTTTCCCCGCGTGTTTTCCTTATATATGACTTTTTTGAAAGCCTCGCTAAGGGCAAGTGTCGCGCACCCTTTGTGTCCGTAGGAAAGGACAGACCCAGAAGCACGTGACCACTACTTGGGGTGGGTTTCCACTCGGGTATCTGAGGCGCCAGTATGGCCCCAGATCAAAATCCATTCGTGGCGGGCGGTCTACCGTTATTCGATAAACATCAGAGTTCCATGTTCAACACTGTGGTCTTAGGGACCATGTCCCTCGAGTAGCCCGAAATAATCGACCAGGGTAGCTCGTCAGCCCAAAAACGGATTAGAAAACGGGCATTTACGAAAGCGTAGCGACGGTTCGAATGTCTGCTGAAGTTGTATTTGATGGCCTTCTGGGTGTTGCGGAGACGGTGAGAATGCCTACCTATTTATAAAGTGTTTATCCATAGTCTACACGACCGCACCATCTACAGAGGGGCGGTGATCAATGCTCTGATCAATGCGTCTCACGGAGCTTTCATCTTCTTGACTCTGCCCTTTCTTGTTCTTCGCCGTTTTTCTTTTCATTTCCATCCACAGTGACGGATGGAATACTGCCAACCCCAGCGCTGCCAGTAAAATTGGGACACCATCAAATATATAGGTGAATATGGCGTGGTGAAAAATGTACCCAAATCCTTGGGCATATTCAATGAGCCTAAACACGTTTCTCACAAAAAAAAGGACCGAGATCACTATGAGCAAAACGAAAAAGCTCGGCAATTGAAACCGAGAGTTCACCTGGTTAACGGGGCTTCTACCCACTCTTCTTTTGACCATAATCACCGTGCCCACGAAAAACACAAAAAGAATAATCTGGAACACAAAACTAATGATCACCAGCGCTCTACCAACATTTTGTTTGCCGCTCATAAACTGAAGGACAATTCCTGCAACCTGAGCAGCTAGGCATAATAGATCAATGCAAAACAACAATAATGACAAAAGTGACGGCGGCACTGGAATAAGGTGTCTTAGTTCGTAATGGTTGATTATGTGACTGAATGAAACATAAACAGACGCTGCTAGAAAGATGGGAGCTATAATGATGCTTGCGGCTTGAGAGCTCGAGCCAGAATGTTCTTGAACGTAACCAACGATCTCAAGTATGCAGCCAATGACGAACCAGATCATAAACCAAGTTCTTTTCCATAGCATCAGGATAGCATGTAGGATCAGGCATATTATGAATGCGACGATAAAAAACATGGCTGCCCCTCGACTAGTCACGAAATCTGAATTAGAAATTGTCATGGTTGGCAAACTTCGGAAGTCAAGACTTAAACGCTTCCGGACAATAGGAAAGCCTTAGGGGACTGCATGAATCAGCTAACATTATATAGCAGAAAACATGTTTGGACGTTCTAACACCTCTCTTATACTTCTTGTAGTTTGGCGGGAAGCCTTTACAGCTTATTGACGAACCGCATGTAGGTCCGAATTCACTAGCACAGTCATCACGTGGAATTTGGATTCCGACACCAATCCCGAGATCGTGATATCATGCGCGAGTAAAAGTTTGAAGAGGCGTTCTGGTCCAGTTATAGAAACGCGGAGTAGACGATCAGAGAAAGAATGTATCAGCCTACCACTATGGTCCTCACAAATTAACAGCATTTGAGTCTTAATTGTTAATGCCATCCTACATTTGCCGTACTTCTTGGCGCTTTCTGGCATGAGCATTATCATCGCCATACATCTCTGAAAAAAGGTTATGATGACAATTGCGCATCTTTGAAGCAGAGTTTCATTAATTGTCGAAGACCTTGTAAAATACGCTCTCCTCGGCCACCACTAGGCTTGCCGCATGTAAGCCTAAAAATTTGGAGCATTTACGACACTTTTTTCCTGGAGGGCGGAAGGAGCCCATCTCCCTTTATCCACTAAATGAAATCGAAACGCCTTGTTTAACTTACGGCCAAGACAAGTAGTTACAGAAGAATTGAGTTTTTTTAATGCTTTACTCGATAGCACGCTTGCCATCTAGGAAAGGTCTAGCAAGTCTTCCGCACGATTCATGTAGAGTAAAGCCTCCAAGCTCTGAAAATCCACATCCGATAAAAAGTTCGAGATATCATTCTCTGCGTCAAGTACCGAGAAGGCTCCATAATCCATCTCCTCTTCGAAGACCTTGTCATCTTCAAAATCACGAATCTGCATCTTTACTTCTTGGAGTATAGCTTCTCGCAGAAACGATATTCTGTCCGAGCTTTTCAAATTATTGAAGGCTTGATCGTTTGAATTTAGTGCGACAATAGCTGCTTGTGCACAATCCGGGCCTACCTCTGCTAGTTTCGAGCAGAGCTCATCCTTTTTCATGTTGTGGTCTTTCATGAATACCAAACAACAGATACGAGAGATGATAAGGAGCATGAGGGGGTGCCAAGTATTACGACTTGTGCGCTTGGACGTCTCAGCATCATCTCGGCCGTATAAAATTGCTTGCGAAGCCCTATTTGCGACACAACAAATCAGAGACAGAGTATTCAGCGCATTTGGCTGCGATTTTTCTACCATAATTCGAACCGCACACAGAAATAGAACAGTAATATACCATGCATATCTGACGAATATGTATGACTTATTTTGTGCAAGCAACGTTTTCATTGTTTCGTCGAACGTAGCGAGTAGATTGGCCTTTAAATTTTGGGAAACATCTCTTATCTTCGGAACAACTTGTTTCGGAGAAACATTTTGAAGTTTGGTTAGCTGGCACCCTATTGCCTGAGCGCAAATAATTCTCACTGCTTGCATATGCAAATAGAGTTCGAAAACTGCTGAGTTTCCTGTGTTACCAGTGAGAAACTGTAAAAATGTTTTATCCAAAAGACCAAAAATCTCCGAGATTCTGTGAGCTCTTGCCAGCAATTCTCCGATAGTGTCATGAAAGTTCATCAAGGAGCGCGTTGAAAAAATACTGAAGTGTGTAAACTTTCTTGAATATAAGATAGTTTTCTGCACTTCTTCAATAAGCTTAACCAACAAAATGTAACCAAATGACAAAGAACATTCCACGTCTAGCGCATCATGGTGGTAGCTGCATAGGAGATCATACACAGTCATAGAGGAGTCAACGTGAATCTTTGCTAATTCTCTGGGAAACAGTGACAAAGCGGTGTCCTCTGTTAGCAGAAACGCCTTTCCCGAAATAGTGGCATACCATTTGTCCCACCAACAACATTGCCACCAAACCTGCCGCCTTTGATTTGCGTCTTCCTCGGTTCTTCCTATATTGTATTCCCATCGATCAAGACCTAGATCAAGAGCGAGGCGACATATAGTGGATACAAGCTTCCCCGTCTCCAAATTAAAATCTAGTGGATACCGCAACGATATAAGGCTTAGCAGGGTTTTTAAATTCTCGAGGTCGGGCATACCAATGAACAATGTGCGTTCAAACAGTTCGTAATTCAAGCTCGATATCAAAGAGTCTTCTTCGAAAAAAAGGTTGACTTTTTGTGGGTTTAGAGAGCTAGCTTTCAACAATTCCTGATGCTGCTGTAAGAGTAAGACCGTGGTCTTGAAAATTAAAGTGTAGCTGCTATCATTACCAATCCCTGGCTCGGTGGAAAAATTAGGGATTATTGACAAAGCCTTAGTCAAGCAAAACATCAAAGGGTCTTCGAAAGGTTTCAGATGATTTCTTATAAGATACCCTTCCAGTGGAGACACGTTACTGGCTTTCTGCTCTATCTCGGATACAGTACCATGAGAATCCAAAAACTTGAGAAACAAGAATACAGTTAATTTCATTTCACAATCCGAGGACTTCGATAAAAGTGCTCTTATTAACCATCCTCCACCCTGCGCAGATATCAGTAGCAGAGGAGAATAGAGCCCAAAATAAATATTTAGGGGTTTCCTTGGGGATTCTGCTGTATCAAAAGAGCAGAAATCATTCGGTTTAAGAGCCCCACGGTCTAGTAGATGAGTTTCGATAGATTTTTCTCCTGAGAACCGAGCAACCTCTTCTAAATTCAGATGCGCATTATATTGGTCTTGCACATCTTTAGTCAATTTTCCAATGGCATCCTCAAGGTCATGTAATGTGTTCCTACCTTGAGGAAAATGTGATTTGAGCCGTCTTAGACTTGTATCAATACTTTCAATCTCATTTTGGATCTTAGCAGTATTATTGTATACAGAGCTCTCATTATTATCATTTGCACCAGATTTGAATGAGCATTCCACCTTCGATTGCACACATCTTGAGCATGGATAGTGACCGTTGCATTTCATTTTTTTGTACCTACATCTGCTACACGCTTGCGGAACCTTGGTTCTTTTGCGAAGCTTAGACGACTTGAGGGGTGCCTTCGCACTAATCATTTCCCTACAGAAGATCCCAAGCAAGTGTTTGTAGGCGGACTCATGATCACTGTTTGTTGTGCTCTATTTTGGCTCAATTTTTCCTTGGATTTGGACTTTAAATAGATGTATGACATAAAGCACAATACCTAAACTAATGGAAACACGGAAAATTAATAAAGGTGCAGGGTGCTTCACAATTTAGTAAGAGGATCAACCGCTTCATACCGCTTGAAGGAGATTGATACGAGAAGCGGTGCATAGCTCAAGCTCCGTAAGCAACGCTTATACGTTAACTGCTTGAGGAGTTGGCAATATTTTAGCAAAAATCCTGAGATACTAGCATGTAATGCCCCAAGGGCCGTGTAGAAAAAGCACAACCTGTACTTTGAGCGAAGCCAAAAAAAGAGCCTTAGTTGGTTAAACAAAAGTTCCAGGAAAACCCGTTGACTAGGTCTTAAACATGCGGCCACTATCACAAACCATCGTAAAGGTCCTATAGTGTAGTGGTTATCACTTTCGGTTCTGATCCGAACAACCCCGGTTCGAATCCGGGTAGGACCTACATTTTTAATTTTTCTGCTACAATCGTTTGTGTTCTTGAGCAGGAGCCTGAGTAAATTATTATTTTGCCTCGTTCTTACGTGGACTACGGGCGAGGTGCGGCAAGTAGCGTTAGGTTGGGCTTTACTATTTTTTTTGGGGCCTGATTCAAGTTACAATTCAAATTAGCCGAGGGCAGCAGCACAGTAGTATATGAAATTTCCCGATTAGCTCATTCCTCGTCTATTTCCCCACGATTTACATGTCTGCGGATAGGACAGGCTTTGATGAAATAATCCAAGCATCTCTGGAGCAAAAATTAGTGCTGAAATTTAGTGTTGCCCAATAGCATGTAGCATGTTTCTGTCATATATGTCATTATCATACAAAGTGATACCGCTTGAATTATGGAAGTCTGAAAAATTTTACACGGGACTCAATGTTTGTATAAGTACTAGCTAGTTACTCAACTTACTTGAACATTCTACAGGGCACTCCTTAATGCTACAATGTTTTGGGCAAATTAAAGGCATTGTTCAGATGATTGATATGGTCAGTCATCGGACACTTTGGCGGTGAAGCAGCCTTTAAAGCAGGTTCACTTCCTTCGAGTGAGACCCGTGAGCTTGTCATAGACTTTTTTGCTCCGCAGGCGCTTAGCACAAGATCTACGTCAAGCTTTCTGGCCCGAACAAGTGACCTTGAGAGTTTGTTTTTTGCGAAGATGATCAATAATACTGCGTTATCGTATTGAAACCTGTTTAATTACAGCAACTGGAAAACATCTATTAACACACGACTGAGCGAAAAACAAGAAGTCTTGTAAAGTCCGTAATTATGTCTTGAATCTGCTATCAGAGCGTTCTTGAAACCACTATCACTAAGTACGCGAGGCTAGAGCTCTTTTTAGCTTTCCTGTCATGTATAATTATTTATCTTACTCTTGAATGTGCATGAATCATCGCGGTACCTAACAGCATTTGCTGAAGGATGCATCGTTGGTTGACGGTGCCCAAGGTACGATGCTACTCTAAATCAGCAGAGTCACACGCTTTGGATTATTCCTCTCGAAAGGAAATCATCTCACATAATACCAGCCACTTTTATCCGTCTCTTTCGCAGCTTACAGCCGCTACTACAACAATAGCTCAATTTAAACAGAAGTACAGTGCATTAGAAGCAGATGAACCGCTCAAAATAGAGACATTGCGTGCTCGCATCAACTCCATCCGCCTTGCGGGCAAAAATATGTGCTTCATTGATGTCTCGCATGCTCAAAATTCCATGCAATTTATCCTAAATTATAACATCATGAAGACTCATACTCAAGCCACAACTGGTGATCAGTTCTTTCAGCATGTTTTGAATCTAAAGCCCGGAGATCACATTCAAGCTTGCGGATTTCCAGGACGTTCTCAGCGGGGACGTACTTTGTCTTTGAAGTGTACAGAGTTGACTCAGATGCTTGCTCCTGCATTACATGCCGTGCCGCCCAAATTGTCAGATCCCATAAAACGCAATGAAAATCGGGTTCTAGACTATTTGGTTAATGGTTACGATTCTTTAGTTGTACGCCACAGAGTCATTTCAGCCTTACGCGAGTTCCTGAACGATCGAGCGTTTCTTGAAGTTGAAACACCCATACTCTCATCCAAGGCTAATGGGGCTGCTGCAGAGCCCTTTTCTACTCATTCCAAAGCCACTGGAATGGATCTAGAACTTCGTGTAGCACCAGAGCTGTGGCTAAAGCGCCTGATTGTAGGTGGCATGGATCGTGTTTACGAAGTAGGCAAGGTGTTTCGTAACGAGGGCATCGACGCTACGCATAACCCTGAATTCACCACCTTAGAATTCTACCAGACGTATGCGTCAATGGAACAACTAATCAGTATAAGCGAAGAGCTTTACCTCCATGTTCTTGATAGAGTGGACACCCGCAGCTCGAGAGAATTGAAAAAGGACCTATTACAGAATGGCGGGAGATTCAACCGCATAGAATTTCTTCCTACACTACAGAAAGAGACCGGTTTGGATTTGAGTAGTATAGACCTGACCAATTCGGAGGAAATTTGCCGAGTGGTGGCTTCTAAAGGGCTTCATATCGGCGCCAGTGAAAATTCTCCACAGCAAATACTAAACGCTTTATGCGCAAAGTACATTGAAGCTAGGTATTGCATGGGCACAGTACCAACGCTGATTTTTCACCACCCTACTGTAATGTCGCCTCTCGCAAAAGGGAACCCTGTCGATAACATGCTGACTACCAAAAGATTTGAGGTTTTTATTGGTGGCAAAGAGTACATTAATGCATATGAGGAAGAGAATTGCCCTGAGTCGCAGCTCCAAAAGTTCATACTACAACAGCAAGCCCAGAACAAGTACGGTGATGCAGAATCGCTCGCTATAGACCGTTCTTATGTAGAGGCGATGAAGTGGGGAATGCCCCCCATTGGTGGCTTTGGTCTGGGAATTGACCGTTTGTGTATGCTTTTGACCGGAAGCACAAGGATTGAACGGGTTTTAACCTTTGGCGCGATTGATGACATTGGTCGCCAATAAACACAACTTGTACATATAATACCATATAAAACGGATACAAACCACGGCATTAGAAGCGGGAAGGCTCGGTGAACCTTCGAAGACTCCTAAAAATTCAGAATGATATGGCACCAACCTCGGTAAATCTGATGAAGTATTTCATCCCAACAGATGTTCATCTTTTTACACTTTCTTATGGCAACGGGTATTTAAGTAAAACTCCATTATTTACGTTTTATTGTCAAGTGTGCTTAAAAAATACCACTTAAAGCGTTTGCATAAATCGCCTTGAACCTGAGTCAGCACAATCAACGAAATGGACGTTACCTCAGATGCTGTATCCTATACGCAATCACCAGAGCCATTAGATGTCTTACCGCCAACGGCAATTGAATCGAAGGATTCATTACACACGCGAACATTTTATTCTGATGTCCCGCAAAATATCTTGAAATCTAATGATTCCGTGATCCTCGGAGTTGATGAAGCAGGTCGTGGTCCTGTGATTGGTCCCATGGTATATGGTATAAGTTATTGTACAAGAGAGTACCAGGATAAGGTCTTAAAAAAACGATATGCGTTCGATGATTCCAAAAAGCTTACAGATCCTGTGAGAAGAGACCTCTTCCAGCGTATGTACACTGGAGAAATAAATCAAGTTGGATATGCTACCACTAGCATAACTCCATGCGATATATCGAGCGGAATGCTACGATTTCCGCCGGAGAAGAACTACAATCTCAATGAGCAAGCTCACGATGTGACAATTGCCTTGATCCAGGGAGTCATTGACAGGGGCGTCGGAATAGAGCATGTGTACGTTGATACAGTTGGACCACCCGCTACATATCAGAAGAAACTAGAATCCACTTTTCCCAATATTAAGTTTACCGTCGCAAAGAAGGCAGATTCCCTTTATTGCGTGGTAAGTGTGGCTAGTGTTGTGGCAAAAGTTACGCGTGACGTGCTTGTAGAGCTTCTCAAGACCCGCGACGATGAAGTGATCGGGTCTGGGTATCCTTCTGATGGCAAGACAACAGCCTGGTTGCGTTCTAACAAGACCGAACTCTTTGGGTGGTCCTCCAAAATGGTGCGGTTCTCATGGCAGACAGCGCAAACCCTGCTAGACAAGAATCCCGATGCAGTTAGTATGGAATGGGAGGATGACTTTTTAGGGAAGGGATCTCAGTCTGTGTCGGCAATGTTTGCAGTTCCACCAAAAGTGATCACCTTAGATAATTGGTATGGAGAGTGAAGCTTAGGTCTTCAAACCCTACAGTGGCTCCAAAAAAATACTGGGACCTCGACCGACGCCGTTGCCGAGCCATTTTTTTTTTTTTTGGGCTATTGTCAGAGTTGTTCACACCAGCCGCTCATAAGAAGCTGATTATTTGAGCCCGAGAAAACCAAATTGATTAAGTTGTCACCAAGAGGTGTCACACGGCTTGACTTACATTGGAAGGAAGAAATGTTGGGTCTACTTGAAAATGCCATACTAAAACAGGACAACTATCTAAGACAACCAGCGAGGCTGTTCCTGCGAGGCACACCTATTTCACAGACTACTGGAGTAACCTCCAGTCGAACAAGGCAATGTTCAATGGCACTTCTTTCTTCTATTCTCCTACGCCGTCGTACAAAGGTTTATTGTCACACCTGACATTCAGCATAGGCATCTTGGTAAAGCCAAGTTCTGCTGAAAGAGCTAGCGATTCCTCAATTCTAGCAGTCTGTTTCCAATCTACGCGGATACTATTGTTTCGGGTACTGATTCAAGCAATTGTTTCTTCCCCTAGAGAAAAGATTGCCTTCGACTGGGCGCGACTAATTATAGAAAAATTACTGCGCTTCACAACGCTTGAAAAGCCATAGAACCCTAACATCGAACGATGATTTTCCTTTCAACTTGTGTCAAAACTCGTCTTTCCCTCCGTCGCGATTTCGCGACGCCGCTACTGAAGGAAGCTCAATTCCGTTCCAAGCGATTTCTATATCTCTAAAATTTTTCAGCCTATAATGGGCCTGAAATTAAGAGGTGAATATAAAAGGAGGGAAATCCAACAATCTGTCATCCTATAGGTTCAAAACAATAGATATCGTGAACGAGGAGACAAAAGTCTAACAGTCAGTAGCTTTCGTGGTTGAGTTGTCCATTTTAGTGGAAACGTTGTCTTGCTGGTTTCCTTAATATTTGTCAGATATTTGTTGAATTGGTGAAGAGTCGCAGACTTATCAAACAATCCCTTGTGACGTTCTTTGAAATTTAGAGCACGTACTATCACTACTAATCGCGTGATTTTCTTACAATTGGACTAAATCCCGAGCCATACACATTTTATCCTCCACCTCTACCATGTCCGCTTTTATCCGCACTATCCCCTCTGTTAGGGCTTCGATCTTGCGTTCTGCAAGATTGCAATTGAGAACTTATGCTTCTTATCCACCTCACACTGTCATCGGCATGCCTGCTTTGTCTCCAACCATGACTCAAGGTAGTTTGGCTGTTTGGTCCAAGCAGGTTGGTGACCAATTGGAGCCTGGCTGCGTCTTGGCTGAGATCGAGACCGACAAAGCACAAATGGAATTTGAATTCCAAGATGACGGTTACTTGGCAAAGCTTCTGGTCTCTGAAGGTACCAAGGACTTGCCTGTTGGTAAGCCCATTGCTGTTTATGTCGAGGACGAAGGCGATGTCGCTGCTTTCAAGGACTTTGAGGTCGAGGACTCTGGCGCCAGCCAGAGTGCTGCAGCCCCAGAAGCCAAGAAGGAGGAGCCAAAGAAGGAGGAAGCTTCTTCGGAGGCCGCAGCTCCAAAGAAAAAGGCCAGCAGCGCTGGCTCTTCTTCCGCCCCTACTGACAGGATCATCGCCTCTCCTCTTGCGAAGACCATTGCTTTGGACAAAGGGATTTCTTTGAAGGAGGTTACTGGCAGTGGTCCAAATGGCAGAATCACTAAATCCGATGTCGAAGCCTACCTCAAGAAGGCTCCTGCTGCCCCTGCCAAGGCTGCTTCTCCAGCTGCCACCGGCTCTGCCGCCGCCGCTGAATACGAAGATATTCCTATCACCAGCATGAGAAAGATCATTGGCGACCGTTTGCTAGAGTCTACTTCTGGAACTCCTTCTTACATCGTGTCGTCCCAGGTCTCGGTTTCCAAACTTTTGAAGTTGAGACAATCCTTGAACGCCTCTGGCAAAGACCAATACAAACTGTCGGTTAACGACATGCTGATTAAGGCCATCACCGTGGCTGCGCAAAAGGTGCCAGATGCCAACGCCTACTGGATGCCTTCCGAAGGTGTCATCAGAAAGTTCAAGAACGTTGACGTTTCTGTCGCTGTTGCCACTCCACAAGGTCTATTAACTCCTATTGTGAAAAACGCCAACCACAAGGGCTTGGTCTCCATCTCCCAGGAGGTCAAGGAGCTTGGAAAGCGCGCTAAGATCAACAAGTTGAAGCCAGAGGAGTTCCAGGGTGGTACCATCTGCATTTCCAACCTTGGTATGAACAACGCCGTCTCCATGTTCACTTCCATTATTAACCCTCCACAGTCCACCATTCTCGCCATCGCCACCGTCCAGAGGGTGGCTGTCGAAGATGCTGGGGCTGAATACGGTTTCTCTTTCGACGACAAGATCAACATCACCGGTACGTTCGACCACAGGACTATCGACGGTGCCAAGGCCGGCGACTTCATGAAAGAACTGAAGAAGATCATTGAAAATCCTTTGGAAATGCTATTGTGAGGAAACAACAGTGTTCTACAATCACTGCAAAGCTACAACATTGAAATATTCTTAAAAAACCAACCTGTAAACTAATTAGGGAGCCGAATGCCTTACGCGAAACCATATATTATATATATATAAGTGAACCTGTCGCAAGGTGTCTAATAAGTGTCATAATTGTGAAAGAGTGATAGCTTATAGAGTTCAGACGATATGATTCCTTACGGTAGACGTTATATTACTGCCATTTTCAAATTTTTATATATATTATTTCCTGCAAAGTTGAAAAAGATAGTACATATCCAAAAGTGGCACCAAACTCATAGATCTTCACAACGGGAATCAGAACATTCATCGGTCCATATTGTTCTGTCTAACACTCCAATTGTCAATATATATCTAAAGAAAATGGCTTACCTTCCATCTTTTATTTTGAGTGACGAATCCAAAGAGCGCATTACCAAGATCTTCAACTTGTCGCAAACCGTTGCTCATTACGGATGGCTACCTTTTGTGCTATACTTGGGGTGGGCCCACACCTCTAACAGACCAAACTTGTTTAGTCTTTTGAGTCCTTTGCCAAGCGTGTAAGGCAGAAATTATCGGCCTAGACAGGATGGTGTTTTATCTGCATATAGTGTAATGTATTGCTTGTAAATATGAGTAATGAAATAGTGAAAGAATCTTGCGTAAATGCAGCGGAATATTGGGCAAGGACTCGGTCAAAGCTGTTGGTTTTGCACCGATGATTCTGCGATATTTGACTTTTAAACCAGTCACGGTGGGGATCTTCATCAATCTCAACTTTACGATCTCCACTACATAGAGCAAATTTCGTGCCAATGAGCAATGGGTTAAGTTCATTACAAAGGGAAATAATAGCCGGCTTTACTGCAGGTACTTTGACTACTATTGCAACCCATCCTCTGGATCTGGTCAAATTACGCCTGCAACTGCTAGCTAGCACCAACTCGTCGCTGGGATACACCGATGTCATAAAGACCATCCTCACGGACTCCAGGAAGCAGCAAAGTATTCTACGAGAGGCTTATAGGGGCCTGGGTGTCAACTTGATAGGAAACTCGGTAGCATGGGGCTTATATTTTGGGTTATATCGGTATTCTAAGGACCTAGTCTTCAAGATTTGGGCCGGAAGCAATGCTGAAAAGCAAAGCTCTTTCCAAAAGGATAGTAGAATGGGGCCTGCCCTATATTTTTTGTCCGCAGCTCTCAGTGGAGCCACGACTGCGGTTTTGACAAACCCGGTATGGGTTGTCAAGACCAGAATAATGTCCACTAGCGCGAATGCCCGCACCCGCTACAAATCGACATGGGATGGGATGCTAAAGATATATCAACAAGAAGGATATCGTGGGTTTTGGAGAGGTTTGGCTCCTTCGTTATTTGGAGTCGCTCAGGGTGCAATCTACTTCGCAGCTTACGATTCGCTGAAGCATCGCTATTTTGCGAGTAAAGGGATCCAAACAGACCAGAAGTTGGGGAACATTGAGAACATCGTGCTTACATCTACGAGTAAGATGATTTCCGTGACAGCAGTTTACCCATTACAACTGCTAAAATCTAACTTGCAAAGTTTTGATGCTATTCGTAACGCGCAGTCCTACAAGATGTTTTCCCTGGTGAAGTCGATACACGACCGCCATGGGATCAAAGGTCTTTACAAGGGACTGTCTGCCAATCTAGTAAGAGCGATTCCTTCGACCTGTATAACCTTTTGTATCTATGAAAATCTACGACATTGGCTATAGCCAATCTATCAGCTATTACCACACTTCAGACAGAATAAAACTTTCCAATTTTATTAGTTTTAGTTAGTTATACAAAAAACTGTAGGATTGATGTGATTGAAGATTTGCTTTAACACAATTCATGAAATTTAGTAACCGAAAGTGGCCAATTTTTGAGCAACTTCAGATTCGGCGTTGGCAGCGTTGGCGACGAGGACCTTCTTGTTGAAAGCCTTCTTCTTGGCGTAGTACTCGGCGGATCTGACCTTTCTCTTTTCTTCCAACTTGGCGACAACGTCTTCGTACTTCCAGCCAACAGAGGTGGACAACTTACCGACGGTGGTGTATTTTCTACCTGGCTTCAATCTCAAGACTCTCAAAGCTTGTGGGACGACAACTCTCTTCTTCTTGTCGTATGGAGGAGGGACACCTTCGAAGACCTTCAAACGCTCCATGGCAGCTTGACCACGGGCGGTCTTGTGAGCAACCATACCACGGACAGCCTTGTAGAAGATTCTAGATGGGGCTCTGAAGTGGAAAGGACCACGGGTCTTGTTGAAACGGGTGGCCTTTCTCAAGTAGTCGTGGTACTTCAACTTGTTTCTGAAGAACTCACCAGAGATGTTCAGAGACTCGGCTCTGACAACAACGATCTTTTGGCCGTTCAACAATTGCTTGGCAACAGTCGAAGCCAAACGACCTAGCAAATGGCCCTTACCTATAAAACACAAGTTAGTAATCAACATTCAACGGCTAATACTCGCGAGCCGAGAGTAATAGAGAGACAGAGACGGGACACGTCACCACACGCTTGCCCAGGCCAACCCACTCCTGGTCGACTCCGACACAAATCCGCCGTCGCACCCCAACAAGGTGGAGCCAAACAGGCAGAAAGCCTGTCCCTCACCCACCAGCCTGGATGCTACAGCGTTGCCCTAACCCACCGGTCGCACCTTGCGTCCTAACTCTCCTGTTTTGCAGTTCTCTCCCACTAACACCTAGATCTCGCTGCTTCAACGCGGTTCACATTCAACGTACCATCAATAACAACAACTGGCTCGAAAGAAGACATGTCTATTGGTTGTGCTTAGCTGCTTTAACACTATGAGAGTAACTTCGGCCAATAATGCTCAAATTCCAATTTTGTTTTTTCCAGAGACTAACTAACAATCCAGTAGGTATCCCGTTACCGTGCGGTGAGAGCGACACACGCCGTGATGCGACCAGCTCGTCTTTCCGCTGGGCTCACTTGCGTGGGACGGCACCAACAGAGAGCTAGGCAGGGCCCCACGGGCCTGGGCCGAGCTAGGCGGAATGCCAAAGGGAATTTCCAGGCCGCCAGCCGGGAGGCGATGCCCACTGGTGGGCAGAGCGTCCCACCAGCGCCAGGGCCGGTCCGGCCGACCACGCGCTGGCTGTGCGTCGCGTGCGTGGTTCGACGGCTGCTCACCCCGCACGAGAGGCCGCGGGCCACTGGAAAAAGTCCAAAAAATTCAAATGGGGTGTGGGTTTTAGCAGCGAAGATTTCCAAAAAGCAGTCACACGATAATCCGCCGTTAGAAGTGCTCATGAGGGCTGGGCGTACTCGAGTACCAGGGTTCGATCTGCATAGAACTTGCTGAGGTAAGCTGGAAGCGAGGTCACGTGGACGGAGCCCAGGCTCTGTTTCTTGAAGGGCGGGCCCGAGGAGCCCGTCGAGCGGACAGGAGCACCGGCCTGGGACTCTGGGAAGAGGACAACTGTGGTGGTCGGAAACTGCGCGGAGTTGGCCAGCATGCGCAAGCGCAACATGGTGTCTTTGAGCAGCAGATGCGCACGCGCCGGGTCCTTCAGGGCTGTGTTGCGGAAGGCCACGTCCAGGCCGCGAAGAAACACCAGCACGTGCGGGACCGGTGTCGTCTGCGGTGCTCGTGAGTGGGCGGAACGCGCCATTTGGGTCAGCTGCGCGATCTTGCGCACGACGTTGGCCAGCTCTTCCATGTCCAGGGCCGTCATAATCCGCACATCTTCGAAAAGCGCGTCGTTGTCGCCCGGGGGCAGACACTGGCAGAATTCCGACACCGGGAAGCGGTCCATCGCGTCCACAAAGTACAACGTCCTGAGACGGGCCGCAGTATCAGCCACGGGGCCCGCGGTTGGCAGCAGGAAAGCAGCCATGGTCTCCGAAATGCTCTGCTCGGCGGAGCTGTACCATACCACTACTTTATCCTCGGGCAGCAGTCCTATGGCCATCGCGCAATACCTCCCCGTTGCGTGTCGTGCGTTGGTCTCGGGAACCCTCTTCATATATATCTTCCGCCGTGCCGTACACAGTGATGTGCAATTTGGATATAAGCCGGGCACCCAGCTGTATTACATAAGCTACCATGTTTAGCCGCCCAGCTCCCACCGACACTCCCAAAGCCCAACAGCGAAGGATTAAATAGGTCAACGGTGAGACACGCCAAGCTTGGCTGTTTTGTCTAGCCCCGCATAGAGCTTTCTGAGTTTTTGTTTGCGAACTATATAGCTTCCGTTTAAGTATCGTCGACGACGCTTATCTTGGCACCTTCGATATCTAACATCAGGTCTTTTACACCCTTGGAGTCGTCCTTATTATGATTTCGAATGGGTGACGAAACAAACTCTGAGTGGTTATCGTGGTTATCGTGGGTTTTCGCTTTTCCAGAAGCGACAGAGCTGCCGTTGATATGTACGGCAGGTAACTTAGTGCGGTCTTCTGGATTTCGCGTTAGCTGTGGTTCGTGGTGCAGCATGCGAGCACCGTCATTGAGATTATTTCCGTGCGTCGACTCATCTGCTGTCCGAAAGGCTGCAGGGGTGTTGTTGACCGAGCTAAATTGTAGTAAATTCCAGACACCTGGGGAGCTCTGAGCTGTTGGAGGCAGCTGCTGCAGTTGCTGTGCCTGCTGTTGGCGCTGGGTGTGCGATTGCGTCGCCAATGACCCGGAATTGACGTTCAACTGCTGCGAGTTCGCTGCAACCGGTGACCGAGTCACAGGTCCACTTCCACGCTCAGGAGTGTATGCTTCCATCGCCGTGATGTGGAATGGTCTTGTGGGCGACCTTAAAAGAGATTCTTGGCTGGGAGAAAGCCTTGAAGCTGAGTTCGGCAAGCTGCTGCCAATAGGTGCATGATGAGATGTAGAAGGGCGTGACGTAGTTGGACGCGGTAGCGCATGGAAAGTTGAAGGAGGCTGTCTACCCGGGACATTTAATGGGGGTTGCATATGGGGTGAAGATGGCCTTCGTGGCGCCAGGGGAGATAGCGACGATGCAGGTGGTAAAGTCGTGGGAGGTTGCAATGTGTTTATTAAATTTCCTGCCGATGGCCGTTTATGCGGTGCGTTGCCGTCGTGTGATTGTTGAGGCATAACTTGCTCGCCGGGGCTCCTCAGAGACTGCGGTGGATTTTGATGCTGAGCACGGCTCTCCTGGTCTTCCTTGAAGCCTTGAACATGCACCTCTCGCTGCCCTAACGGTTGTGGGTGACCTGCATGCTGAGTTTGTGATGCCTGGCTTTGCGGCGACACCTCGGACCGAGAATAATTCTGCAGCTGAGTATGGTGATCCAAAGTGGCATTATGGAGTTCAGAATCATTATCCGCTGCCCGAAGGGGTAAAGAGTTGAATTTCGTCAAGTGTAATTGTAATTGTCTGGCCACTGAAGAACCCCTTCTAACTTTTGAAATCTTACCCGATTGCCATTTATCTAAAAAGTCCTTCTGATAATCCTGGCTGATTCTCCACTTCATACCTTTTCCCGGCTCGTTAGGCTTCCTGGGAACCTTCTCGAATGCTTTATTCAGCGACAAGTTGTGCCTGATCGAATTCTGCCAGCCGGTTTTCGCGTATCGGTAGTACGCAAAATTCGACGAGATATATTTGTAGATGTCGGCCAATGACAGGACACCCTCAGGGTTGGACAGAATGGCCTGTGTAATCATAGTAGCGTACGAAAACGGAGGTTTTACATTTTTGTTTTCTTCTCGAGATAAATCAGATGCCATGTCGTTGACACCGGAAAAGCTAGGGTCCATGATTGTACCGTATCCTACGCCCATTTGCGGCGAGTTATATGAGTTCCCCATTGCTGGAGCAACATAGGGGTTTTCATACGAATTGTACATGCGGAAAGCTTTTACCGCGTTCTTGGGTTGGGAAACATCTCTCAAGACGTCTTGGAGTAGGGGATTAGTGGTGGTGGCTCCATATACCGCGTTAAGCTTAGGTATTAGATGATCCAACGCCTGTTGATCCACAAAAGGACCGCGGTCAGGTAAAATGAACATCATTTGAGTGCCCCCAATGTCCAATATAGAGCCTGATTGTAGCTGTACCGGATCGGCCTGCGGTCCCGCGCCAACGCGTCTAAAATCAACTTTCGCACCGTTTCGACCCTGGACCTGAAGTTCCCAAAACCCACCACTCAAATTGTATTTGATAGTTGCATGTTTGCGGGACACCACTTTTGCAGGTCCTAGATCAATATCGACGGAATCGTCATCTGGGTCGGTGTTACGCCCTATAGCCAAAGACAAATGCTTCACATACAGGGTCCAGTCACGTCCGGCGATTTTTGCATATGCCTGCACCTCTGTGGCTAAGTTGCGTTCATTGGAGTGGACGCTTGCCACGGCCGTCGGTTGATCTGGGGTGGCCAGCACCGAGATTACTGCATTTATAAAGTCCTGTTACGAATATTCGGTTAGTAAAATTGAAATGCGATGATGAAAAGCAGAGAAGGGCGACTTTTCCACTAATGGCACGCTCTCGAGTACCGTGATTGTTACGTTTCCCGCAAGATGCATTGTCACGTGAGAGCACGATTTGACGTTGCTCATTCCGTTTGCTTATTCAGGAGACAGACCTGCAAGTCCAGAAACGTAACACCCAGCAGCAGCTTAAGCCCGATGCTCACCGGTGCATCTCCTCCCCACATCCTTTTAACTATTGACCACCAATCTCACGGTTGGCATACTGCCACTTGCCACATACTTGATTTTGCTGTGAATTACCCAGCTCTTGGCTCTTCGCAGTACTCATAAGTCAAGAGATCAAAATGGGTATTGGAGGCCACGATACCACAGATATCTAGCAGTGCGTTTGTAGAACGAGATAGGGGAACAAAAACGTCAAACCAATTAGCTTTGTTGCGTATTATTTCTTATTATTATTAGCCAATTGTGAGTGAAATTTCACCGCTTGCCAGAGAAAAACCAAAACAAACGTTTCTAGCCAAATTTTTTGTCGGTCGAAGCTAGATATTCTTTGGTTTTTTCAATAGCTGCTAAAGCAATTGAGCCAGCCTGATTTGTAAATTACCAGTTTTTTGGCGTCTAGTGATGATTCTCACCAAAAGGTTGTATAATTTGCTGATGCAATGTTTATTTGTTTTTGTTTATAGACAAATTAGATGATGTCTCTGTGTACGTAAATACAACTACTCATGAATCCAGTGTTAGAGTCCATGCGTTTGGCGTATAGAGGTGCCATTGATCGAAACAAGTCGAAGGTGACGAGATAGGCCTGATTGTGTTGTTGGTTAGTTTTGGGTTTTTGTTTGATTTTTTTTCTTGTGATCTACCTTACTGAAATTTTGTCTGGCGAAGAACATGGAGTAAGCAAAAAGCGCATCTCGTAGTGTTGAAATAGTTTCAGTGGCGGTATCTTTCATGTCTTGCAATTTTCCGCCAGACCTTTCATGGAAGCTGCTTAGTCGCACAGCTTCTCAGAAACAAGATTTCAAAGACAAGAGGTTTCATGAACATCAACTTTTAGCTCTCATATAGAGACAATACTGCAGCTCAAGTACATCTGAAGACCTTCCTATCCAGGCTCTTAATGCTCGGGCCAAAAAGCCCTAGATTTCCCAGCTAAACATATTGGAAGTACATTACCATATGATGTAGTTTTCCTGTGTCACGCATGCACAAAGTGATAAAAATGAGCCGGGCACCCCACAAGCTAGTATAACGATTTATTACAAGTTGAGATCATTTGGAGCACTGTAACAATATGTACCACAGTATGTGTTTTTTGGGTTCAGCATGTAGACGTGTTGAAATCGAATGTTAGTCGTTTCACAGATTTTGCAAGATATGATGAAGTATTGACCATTGGCTGGCTGGCTGACCACCCGCTGGTCAGAAATAGTCAGATTACGAGTCGATAGTAGGGGCATGCAAAATATTTGAATCAGCCGTTTTCATTTTGCAAATGATTAGCAAGTGACATCCAATCATTTGTCGACCAAAACGTCCCTAGTTCTCTAAAGTGTCGAGTCAAGGCAAGTGTACATTATAGCATAATGAGATCTCCACGCGCTGAATTTTTCTCACATTGAAATAGGCTTCCCCATATATACAAGCAACCTCAAAGATGAGGCAAGACTCGAGACTCACTCAATGGCATACAAATTCTTCTCTCATACTTGCTGGCCCAGCGAACTGGTCTCCTGTCACATGCCTCAAAATACCGCAGGACTCGTCCTGTTAATCTATAAATACTCCGAAAACTTCGAGCGGCTGATATCCCTTAACCATACAGACTAGAGGGCACTCACTGAAGGATATTGATGCTCGAGACTTTTACCCTGTATTAGGCACTCCACATAGTGTGGTGAAAAATTCGGCATGGGGCGCTTCATGTTGGGCGATTCTCAACCTCCAAGGTTGGAATATGGATATTAATATTTAGCTTAGTCAACACGAGCAATCTCGATTCTACACATGTGGTTCTATAGTAAGAGAAGGAGGGGTTTTTATTGAGGCTAATTTGACTCACTAGTGGAAAGCTTACTAAATTTGTCTTGTAAATCGTTCATAGACATTGTAAGATAAGTAACTTGCATCAAGGGAGTTCTATTTGTATGACCTCTATTATGTACCATAATTCTGTACCACTGTGTCACATATTTCCTGACACTGATTATGCGATTAGGCGCACAACATCACCAGTTTCCTAGTAACTCACATTATTCCCAACAGCTTTCTCATGCGTTTATTCTCCAGTTATTGAGAAAAGAAGACTCAAGAGCCAAAACCAGTTTCGAATGCGACCTCTACATTACTGAGCAGGAACTCTGCGCGGCACGAATTGCTTGTTAAGGCTCCCAGCAATCAGCAAGTCTTGAGGCCGCAAAAAGACTAAAGGAGAAGAGAGTCCAAGTGTCACAGAAGACTGCTCGAAGGCAGCTATCTGGTTCAAAGAGCTAATGGGGAGCTCCTTCCACGAATTAGCGAGAGACTTTCACAGAGGTGTCGCACCGGTACAAAATGATCTGAGGGCTTTTTGTGCGAAGCATGACACTGATCGGCTATGGTGCAGAAGTTTGTGCCATCAAGTTAGCGGATAAGCACCATTAAAACAGTCACCATACCGCTACGCATCGGCGTAAAAGTGCAGCAGTATTTGCAATACATGGACAACGTTCTCTCCTCCTCTCAACTATAGAATTAGAGACAAGTAGCTTATATAAGGCTGGAAATGCATCCAGGATCCTTCGCGAGAAAAATATTAACACAACCACCAGTTCATCCTAAGTACCTGTCTTTCCTCTTGTAATTACATTTAGCGTCATAATGGCTCTTGTACTGGGAGCCAAAATTATATTTATCTTTTCAACCGATCTCGTCAAATATCAATATTTCAAAGGAAGTGACAATGGTACCGTAAAAATGAGATCTCTGTTCAAACACCCGTCTACCCTATCACCGTTTGCTTTCTATTTCAAACGCTTTCTCTGTTTGCTAGTCCTTGGATAAATGGCTATTTTGTCGGTTTTATTGTAGGAAAATGCCTCAAGCTGTGAGGTCTAATAAGGTCTTGGCAAAAAGCGCAACTGAAAAATCGTCACTATAATACAATGGTGGATTATATAAAAATAACGCTACAAAACATTTAGCTGACCCTCGAATGTCGATGATTAGAACGTAGTGGTCTAGCTATAGGGTTGCAAGTTGTATGCGACGTTATATCCTTTGGTAGATTCTGCAGATATTCCATCTGGTCAACATTAGGTAATCGGTTACAACGAACTTGAGCTAAAGCTGAACTGTATATCTGCAGCGATGTCGGATACGCAGCACAAACGGCGGCGTGTAACCCGTGCGTGCGACGAATGCCGCAAGAAAAAAGTGAAGTGTGACGGTCAACAGCCTTGTATACACTGTACTGTTTATTCATATGAATGCACTTACAACCAACCGAGCAAACGGACGTCGTTTACGTCTTCGTCGATGCAGCAGTCGCCTACGAGTGCTGTAGCGGAAGGACCAGCGACTCCAGTACTCTCGGGCCCTCCCAGACAACTGCGGCGGGCGAGTTCCAATTTCACCCGAGCTTCAAGAAACTTGCAATTGCAATCATTGTCCCAGTATAAGAGCTTGTTTAGTCAATTGTTCCCACAAATGCCTCCAATCGAGAAAGTGGACGTCTCTGCTTTTGTAAAATCGCTGCAATGCTCTTCTTCTTTCAATGCGGCGGTGCAAGAGGCCATGAAAGAGCGACACTATGGTGCAAGAGACTTGAGTAGCGACGAAAGCCCGTCCGCCGTGTCCGGGTCCGGCACCGGTATGACGTCTCCAGAGCTCTCAAACGATGCCATCGAAGGTATTGATGGCTCAATACACTCCATAGAAGGCCGTGAAATAAAAATTATACTGCCTCCAAAGGCTGTGGCATTGCATTTCATTCATGTTACATGGGAGCAATGCTGTGTGCTCTTCCGGTTCTATCACCGGCCAAGCTTTATGGCCTGCCTCGATGAACTTTATGAAACTGACCCCCATGAGTATACGCATGAACAAATGCATTTTTTACCGCTCTGCTATAGCGTTATGGCTGTTGGTGCGTTATTCTCCAAGTCCATGCCGAGAGCAGTGGGAGACGAAGAAAGCCCACCACTTGAAGTTGCCTCCCCACCAAACCAATTCATGCAAGATGAGGGGTATAAGTACTTTGTGGCAGCTCGTGCACTTATCGACATCACCAACGCGCGCGACCTCAACTCCATACAAGCCATCGTAATGCTCTTTATTTTTTTGCAATGCTCTGCCAGACTTTCGACTTGCTATACGTACATTGGCGTCGCGATGCGCAATGCTCTCCGAGAGGGCATGCATCGAAATTTGAACGCTGACACTCATGGATACAATCCGATTGAACTTGAGATGCGTAAAAGGCTTTTTTACACGATCTACAAAATGGACGTCTACGTGAATACTATGCTGGGACTACCGCGAAGCGTTTCGCAAAGAGATTTCGACCAAGCTTTCCCGGCAGACCTTTCAGACGATTGCATCACCAAGATGGGGTTGCTACCAGAGAAGCAAGGTGATGCCTTATCTTCTGCTGGGATAGCAAACTTTCATACGAAGCTTATCATGATACTTGACAACATTGTCGCTGAGCTTTACCCAGTCAAAAAGACCAATAATTTGATATCTCACGACGTCGTCACACAGTTAGAGATCAAACTTCGCCAATGGCTGCGGAATTTGCCTCCTGAGCTAACACCAGGAGTCGGTGATTTACCTCCAAAATATGAAAGGGCTAATCAGTTGTTACACTTGTCATTCCTTCAAGTGCAAGTAATTTTATATCGTCCTTTCATCCACTATCTCTCACCCGCGCTGTCTTCGAAGGGGTCTGATTCTCTATCTGTTCAAAGGGCTCGGAACTGCATTTCGGTTGCCCGCACGGTTGTGAAGTTGGCGAAGAAAATGATGGACAAGAAAACGTTGACCGGAGCCTACTGGTTCAGCATTTACAATATTTTTTTCTCTGTTGCAGGTCTTATCTTCTACTTACATGAGGTCACGCCCGCTGACGAAGAAGGTGAGCGGGAGTATGGTGAGGTTCAAGAAGATGTCCAAGTAGGAAAAAGTGTACTGCTGCATTTGAAAGATACAAGCATGGCAGCGAGGCGCTCTTATAACTTGTTACATCTGCTTTTCGAGAAATTTAATTCTAAAACCATCAAATGGAGTCATGTAAAGCAAGACGAGTATAATGCCACTGCTCCCTCAACTAGCGATCAGTTTCCAGATAGCCCAAGTTTAGACTTAAGCAATCAATCCAACTCTTATAATATGGACCCCAGCGGGGTGGACCTCTTCTCATTCGGAAACCTAGGGAACAATCCTATGCAGGCTACTTCTACAATATCTGGTGTTAATACAATGAACACCATCAATACATCTAATATGCTCATGAACAAGGAATTCCCCGAATCGAATGACGCGCTGGAGATGGAAACTTTTTTCGATCTGGGTAATTCAGCTGCAGCTGATGAGAGTACAGATATACCTTCTACCAGTTACATCCCCAAGGAAGGCTACGAGTTATCAACCGACCCCAACGCCGCGGAATCCTACGTCTCGGGTGCGTTTGATCAACTAGATGTCCAACTCTTTGGCCGTTATTTACCACCTTACATGTCACAGTAAATGCATTTATTATACCTGTCACGCGAGGAGTTTGGTTTTCCTGTCGCGAATAATTTCAATGCAATATGGTTGATGATATCATTGGATGTAATGTGTTATGCTATGCTTAATTATTTAATTGCAACCGATTGAAGAGATGGCTAATTCGAGCTGAATTTGCCACTCACTGATCTACTCTGAAGCTCATCCTGTAATGAAAGTAGTTGTTTTTCTATCATTAGATCATCCTCTAAATTTCTGTCCTGCATCAACTTCTGTACTGGTGTCTCCTCGCCCAGAGCCGCCTTCTCTAGACCACCGCTCTTAGATTTGCCTTGAAATGATTTAACTCTTTTAGAGAGTTGGCTATGGGGGCTTTTCGAAAGACTAGGACCTGACTGTTTGCTGGATCTCGGAGACGGAGAACTTTTAAGAGAAAATCCTGCCGAGGAACTTGATAGAGTAGGTGTGGATTTTCCATCAGATAAACGGCTGGAGAAATGAGGAAGATGATAATGGTGTCTCTGTGCTCTTGGTTTTGCTTGTGAATTTTTTTGTTTAACAGATTCTTTAACTGAGGACTGTGTACTCTTTGCGTCGCTCACTGCCGGAGAGAGAGGTGGGCTGACTTTACCCCCAACGGTAGGTGACGAATGAGACGGTGACTCCTTTTCATAGTGGTAAGCTCCATGGTCTTCTTTAAAAGTTTGCGCGAAAAGTTGTTGTTGCTGTCTCTGCCATTTTTGCTTAGCTCTTTGAGGATTTCTCAATATTCCTTCAAATCTGAAAACCATTTCAGGATTTTCAGTAATTGCCATTTTCGTTGGCGATGTATCATCAGCGTTAGCATGTGGTGATATTTCTCCGGCCCTCGAAGCTAGTTTGCTGGATGGAAACTGACCATTTGAGCTAGATCTCGAGGGGTTTGGGTTAACGCTTTTAGAATGCATATTTGCATTGTCTCTCAAGATGTGCGGCCCACCGTGCATACTTGTTCCGAAAGAATCTGCCAAGTTTGTCTTGAAAGAAACATTCGAAGGAGTTCTGGTCAAGCTATTTTGCAAAATAGCAGAGACTTTCTTATCGTACAGCTGAGGGGCAGATTCGTACGCGTTTGGATTTTCAATTCTCACGGTGTCTCCAGAATCAGTATGGGCATGATCATACAATTTTTGCTCGAATCCGTTACCTGGCATTCCAACCTCGGCTGTAAAAAATGTGTCCAAATTGTCTAGCTCTGCCCACATATGGCTTAGTGACTCATCCCTCTCTTCTTTTTCTTCCAAGACAGACGTAGTGTCATTTGTTTCAAGTGCGGTAGCAGTTGCGTACCCGCCGTCCGCGTGAAATTCTAGAACATCTGCCATGTTTTCAGCACGATGGTTTGAATCATCGGTCGTACTATCTGAGCATGTAGTAAAAACTGCATGCACATTATGCCTTGTGGTTGCTGCTGTCATCGTTGGCATTGGTACAGACCAGCCACTTTCCTCAGGTATGCCGAATAATGTAGCTGTCCTGCTGTATGAAATTTTGGCATCTTTGTTACCCATGCTGATACGCAAAACATCCTTATCCATTTTACTACCGGACACATTTCTAACGCAATTCAACACCTCAAGTGCTTTCGATTCGTAGTCGGTCAAAAGTAGCCTCAAGAGAGGAGAGATCAAGTCAGCACCAACCCCAGTGAACTCTGGTCCACTTAGATCAATCAATGGTACTATGTGTTCTAATAACTGCAAAGTTTGAAGTTTGACCCAATCTGTTTTATTGAAAAGAAGGCCCATCAAAAATACCAGGGTTTGCGCTCCATAATCGGGGAAATAAACGCGGGAGATAAATGTGACGATCTGGCTCAAGAAATCTTTCTTTGACCGGAACTTGTTTTTGGATAGGGAGTCAACAAGTCGTGCTAAAGAAGGTTGATTATTGGAATCTGCAAGTACCTTAAGGGACGCCGATGCTTTCTTTATGTCATCGTCAAACTCTTCCTTGTCCATGGCATTGAGAAGGCGAGGTAAATTAGCGAGCAGAGCAAATAATATTCTTGACTCACTATTAGCGATGATGCGACTATCTTGAAATAGATTTAGGCGATCGAGAAATCTTAGAGAAATATCCCAAGAGTTTTGAGATCGCAAACCCGTCATGATAGTATGCTGTAAACCATCAAACTTGCCCTCCCACGACGAAGGAAAGGTGGCAATCAAGCACTGTACGGTATCAGGTGAATCTAAGTCAATTTTAGATACAAACTTGGTGAGACTGGACAAAACTTCCACGAACTCTTGTTCATGAATACTGTTGAGACAAGCAACTAAAGCCCAGAACATCTGGGGGAAATCGATCAATTTGGCTGGGCTCAGCTCGGCTGTCACAGCATTTAAGGTCATGAGAATCTGCATAGCAAATCCCTGTATTTCAGGATTTTCATCCGATATTGTATTAGATAGCCGGTGCAGCATATCCCGTAGCATGTTTTTGTCCAGAAATGTCAAAAGGGACCTGAACACCTGGAAGGAACGACAAGCAATGTGCTTCACTGGACATGTAGTTGCCCATTTTAAGGCTATAGTTTGCCAGTCTGCTTGTATGTGCTCAAAATTGGAAAACAATGCAACAACATTGCGAACTAATGAATCCATGGCCATAGGAGAACGTGCGCCATTCTTTTCCTTGACGAGATTGTCATATGCCCAAATATTATTTCTATCTTTGATTAATTTTACAGTCTCCTCTGCCTTTTCATGTGTAGGAACTAGCCCGAAAATAAGGTCTGACAATATCTTAGCAGCACTCTCGTGAATAATCGGCACGTAATGATCAATCAAAGAAAAGCATATATGCAACAATAGCGGGACCTTGGGCCTCATCGAATCATTTGGTATTGTCAGTAGATTTACCAAATAGATGATAGACAGCTGAGCCTTGGAAAAAACAACTTCCTTCCCTCTATAAGCAAGTGATTTCCAAATATTTGCCACAAATGCAAACTTCTCACCAGCAGGCATCTCGATCTTGACCCGCGACGTTTCAGGAATCATATGCCTAGGTTCTAGGTTAATCATGAAAGAATCGATGACTCCTATGCCGCCCGGTACGTTAGCCAGGTAGAGAACAACATCCTTCGCTCTTTTCACAAATTTTGGATTCCTTGAAGATATCGACATCTGCAAAATATAATCAAGCGCCACATGAATGTTTTGAAACCCATTTCCTTTCCCTAGCGAAATCCATAGCTGCTCTATCTCCATCGGATAGCGATTATTTTGCTCAATTGTGATAGCGAAAAGATTATTCAACACCATGAAAGTTCCAGAGTCATCTAGGTTTTTCAAAGTAATCTTATGGACCCAAGGAATCAGCAGTGTAAAGATATCCTGCTTCATTTCAGTGTTCAGAAAGTCAATATTCCAACAGATTTTGGAGAATATTTTGAGAAGTACTTCGGAGGAGGGCAGCTCTGCGAAAATCGTCGAGATTTCTTTTGCGGTTGATTTGTATACAGTCTTCGAATCATTGGACAACCTTTCTTTGAATACTTTAGTGTATGAAGACTTGTAAATCTTCGTTTCTATAGCCGACAAAATATCAATCGAGTACGAACGTACTTCAGTGCTCTCATTGTAAAGCCCACTCAAGCCCAAAAATACAACGTCATCCTCAGGAAGGACGAAGAAATCCATTTGGAGCAGCGAGTCGCACACTGCGGTATAGTATAGTGTGGCGATCCGTGTATCTAAGGTGTGGATCGAATATTGCATCAGCGTATCGTGGTAAAGCTGGGTATTCTCTTTGTTATGTTCAAGTAAACCTTTCAAGGCCATCGTCCCAAGTTTCCGAACTCTGTCCTCGCGAGCACTAAAAAGCGAGTCAATCCAAGAAATCAAACCTGGAATATCAAACGATATATAGATGGGTGAATGCGGGATATCATTGATCGTTTTAGTAATAGTGTCGCAACATAAGTGTACCATGGCTTCGAGAGCGACAAACTCCAACCGAGATTTTTGGAATTCAATGGCCGTTGAAAGAGTGCTTCTATCCTTAATGGTATCGCTCACTCTCATTTTATTATATCTATCGACCGAGACTGTGCTATATTGACCATATCCACACCACTCTTTCAAGTAATTGAAGCACGACGCTCGGGCCTCAAATGGAAATAACTCGTTGATCATTGGATGATTCTTGACAGCCAAATAGTAGCTTGCCAATAGTCCTGAAAAATAGCTGCGCAACTGCTGATACTTGAATGAAAACTGGATCTCTTTCAATTCCAAAAATTGCTTGGCATCTTTTAAGGTTTTTGAAAGCCTCTTTAGGACCCACTCGTCATCTAAGACCGTTGAGTTTCTAAAGAACGGGGCCAGAACTGCCAGCACGTGGAATATCTCAATTCGCAAAACATTGGATGAGCTCTCGACACTCCAAGAAACAAGATATCTATCGACGCTCTGTAGATATGCCTTGAAGATGTTGACGTTCATTGAGCTGAGACCGCTGATTATTGCATCTTTAACAAACGAATTGTGGCAATTGAGGAGCGGTAAAACCATCTTAAATATCGAAGTAGCGGATTTGATTTTCTGGTGCTGAACAGTTAATATCTGTTGTGACTTATTTCTACCGTGCTGATGCTGAGTAGCAGGAATATGCAATTTCTGATCGCTTATCGACGTCAACGAAGAACAAGCTACTATCAAGTAGAGTTTCCATTGATTTACCACAACCTGCGGCGAAATATCCCTCGATTGGATTTGCGTGTTGCTCGCAACGGACAAAATGATTTCATGAAGTTGAACGAGCCGAATGCACACTAGAGAGCGACAAAGCGCCATAGTAACTGGAGAACGCTCAAAGATCAAGGAGAGTAGCTTCGAGAAGGTACGCATCCAAAGAGCCGCATCCACCCCGTACTCTGATTCAGCTATCTTTACCAAAATGCCGGTCTTGTATTTTGCGCTTAGTTTCGCAAATCGAGTTTTCTCAGCAACACTCATAGCTAACCTTTTGTCCTCTAGTAGGTTGGAATAATTAAAAGTCTGGAGTAAATCGATTAGGCGCGTGCCCCTCTCGGCAACCAATCTCGATGTTGATCGTGAATGCGATTTTTCTAAACTGTTAGTCTTTTCTAACAGAGCTTCGTCAAACTTGGAAACTATTTTGAGAATCTGGATTGCCAAGCGCCGGACTAAATGATCGTGGGAACATAAAAAGAAAAGTCCATTTCCTTCAACATCTTCAATCACTGTTACAGTGTTTTTCCACTCATACTTTTCAGTGTCCTTTCCTTCTAATGTAGTTGATTCATGGACTTCGGTGGGGAAACTTCCTACACCAGTTTCCTTCACATTCTTTGCTTTCTTCGATTTTTTGAATTCACCTAACCAACAATGTAAAAGTTCGATGTAAAGAATAAGCAGTTTGCGATATTCAGTGGAAGACAAATACGATAAATTATAGCTGGACTGAGTCTTCTCGTCAAAATCAAAAGAGTACTTCGCAAACCATGTAATTAATGTGTAGGGATTCTTTTTCAAGGCCAGCGCTCTCAAAGCGTTTTGAGAGCTGGCGGCAATCAGTGTGTTGTGGTGAACTGCGTTTCTTGCCAATATCTCGATTGTTGATTTGAACGGTATGCTCTTTGAAACTGTTAAGCAGCATGGCATAACCTCAATTAAAGCAGCAAACAAGGCAGCATTCAATCCTCGATTTGAATTATTGGCATTTTCACTTGAAAATCCAAAATTGAAAGATGAAATTCCAGCGAAGGGAGTATTACTTTGCCGGTGATGTTCATTCTCAGGTGACCACACCTCTGAACCAATATTTGAGTCCAATAAAAGGAATAATTTGTAAAATGATTTGCATGCCTCTTCATGATCACTTGATGCTACACCTCCCATATGGCTAGAAATTTTGTTCAAATTTACCTCATAAAATCTACAGTCGTTCTCAGGAAACTCTGGTCGCTCTGTAGTAACAAGAAGACCTCTATAAGCGTCAATGGCTAAAATCATTCTCTCATATCCTATATTTTCCAAAGTGGCACCGTTAAAGGACATCTTTATGAGCGGTAAAATGACGTTCTCCATTATGAATCCTTGGTGAAGATTGCCAATTGTAACTAAAACATCCGTGAGGGGATTGATTAAATCCATATCTGTCGTGATCCAGTTGTCTTTTTTTTTTCCAGTAAGAAAAAACATGAAAAGCTTTTTTAAGCGACGTTCCGTATTGTTCAAAGTTTCAGCACACCTGTAGAGGTAGACCCAAACAAGCCGAGATAACCCAGTTGCGAAAACAACGCGTTCATCAAGGCTCTTGGACTTGATCTTGCCAATGTTGTTCTCAAGGAGAGTCAACCAACTTTCCGAAAAAAGAGGCTGCGGTGAGACACAAATGACTGTCACCATTAGTTTGAAGGAGCTGGCCCAGAATTTACTCTCGTGTTGAAATTTGAGACAGTTCTCCAATATCATCGTCATTGCCTCCACCCACGTAGGGTGGTTGACTTCGGCTGTTAAGGACCCGACCAATGGAAGAAGTAGTTGGGTTATGACTTCTGCATAAGCGAGACGGATAGAATAATTTTGAGACGCAATGAAGAACTTCGTTAAAGACTTGATGAATTCTGCACTTTCTTCAAAATTTTCCAGAGGGTAGTTCTTTAGCTTCAGATACCTCATTCCTAAAATGAGGAGATGAACAGATGGCTCTAATGCACGAGGTAGAGATGGTGGTAATTTCTCTAAGTCTGCGATAAAGCGATCACTTACTGCGACAAATTTAGTCTCTGACATGCATCCTAATAGTTCTGCAAAAGAGTTCCAATTGGATGACTTTATCATACTGGAAGATATGGACATAGGATCGGTAGTCTTCAGTTGAGTAAAAACTATTTCTTCAAGTTTATCACTCAGATCGTCGTCAGACGTTCCTGATCCTTGCCTGACAATCTCGAGCAAAACACGGCATAAAATGTAAATGCTGATCAAAGATTTTCGATCAGCTTGAAAGGCTGTTTCCTTAGCTGTCTCTATTTGATCTTCCATCAAACGCTGTCTCATATCTCCAGTGCTGTTAACACTTGTGTAAGATTTCGAAGAATTATTTCGACGATGTGATTTTTTGCTCCCCAGACTAGAGGATTTTGAGTGTAGCTTGTGTGTAGGTGGACCAGTATGCTCTTCTTGAGACAAGCTTCGCCTCTGTAGACCGTACTCTTGAATTAGCTTCTCCACGTTTTCCGCAGCGACTGCCGCTACCTCCGACTTAGTTTTCCTCCAAAACATCATGGCATCTATTACTGGCTTAGGCTTTTTCTTTGATATGAAGCCGAGCGACTCAATGATCTTATCAAATGTCTGATCCACGCCTTCACCTAACAAGTCCACGATTGGAGGTTCCGAATCCAGCGGATATTGTAGACAGAGATTGAGTTTGTTTTCAGCATGGCGAACAAACTTGGTGAAAAGGATGTGGAGTGCGTACTCGGAGGGGCTTTTCCAGTCTGTGGCCAAGTTTAGACGCATATTTTGCGCGTAGTCGATGGCGGTGGACTTTCCATTCGTTGTTACATGGGACGTGTTCGCTCGGTCTGTACCTAGCCCTGTCATTACTGGATCGGCGAGCTGAGTAACTCCCTCGCGTATAAGTGGGGTTGAAGATCGCACGATGTCCGGAGAAGTTTCCAACGACGGTATCTCTGACCTCGAGTGGGCTGCACTTTGTGGACCAGGTACGACCACAGCTGTCGATAGTATTGGCACGTTACTACCAGACTCTTCTATATTCGTGTTTGCAGACTCATTCGGGAGTGTAATGCTTGGTTGCTGAGCTGTCTTTGGGAATCTGGAAAGGTCAACTTTGGGCTCTTCGGCACTAGGCGGAAATGTGAATCCTGTATTCATAATACAAAGAAGCTACGTCAGAATACCGTTTTCAATGTATCCTGGGGTGTATTATACCTTTACTGGCTGCTTCTGACCGATCTATAGTTGCTGTTGCTCGTTAAATCAGGTTTGTTTGTGATTATAGATTGGGTTGGCTTCCTATTATTATTTTTAATACAGATCAATCAATATAGAGATCATCTGAAGGGTCTTCGTAAAAAGACCGCTGAGAGTAGGCAGAGAGATCCATTAAGTATTTAATGCCCCAGTAGTCCTTATTCAATCCTTCTGCCTTCAATATTTGGCATCGTTGCAAGGGGGTATCCACCAGTTGTACATCGAAGCTTCTCAAAGGTAACGAGAACTCGCGATGGCGCTTTTCCGCAGGTGCGCGCTGGCGTCATTTTAGAATATGCGCATCACAAGTTGCAAAATTCAATGAAAATTTATTAGTCGTGGCAAGTGGAAGTGGTGGTGAAACTGTTGTTTCTTTCGGCCTTCCACAGCCACGAAATGGTTCGTAGATTGTAGAGCACAAATAGTGTTGTGAAGTTGATGTAAAGATGTTGTGTGTGTGTGTGTGTATGTGTGTGTGTGTGTGTGTGTGAATTGCGCACGCTACGGCCTCCAATTCAGTGTGCTTTGTTCTGATCTGCGGTCTCTTCCGAGATTTTTGTCAATTGAAGTTAATGTTTTCAATGAGGTATACAACATTTAGAAATACAGTAAAACAACAAAACATTGGATGATAAACAGTTTGCTGGACACTTGCGGTCTAGCAAGTCTGGACTAAAGATGGTAGTACTAAGATAGTGTCACTTACAAGAACCTCGATGGGAGCCTCAGTTGTTCGATATAATATTGTGATACTACACGTAGAGGAACTAGTTATTGGCAGGTGCCCCATTTAATCGAAAGAGATCTAGTCAACAACACTATTCTAGCCAGAGGTCAGAAGTATCCAGGGATATGAACTTGCTAAATAATATTGAGTCGCGGTTTTCATGAGCACGATTGAGAGATTATAAACGAAGCATTGTATTTCATCAAGCAAAATTACGCTCCCTCAAAAACCAAAAAGTGGAACAATCAGCTTGCTCATTACTGAAAGTGTCACCTCTGCTGTGAATCAACTCTTCTTGGGTATTGAGCTCGAGGGACGTGCAGCCGCGTTCGTTTCCTTTCGGAAATTGGTGAAAGTACAATAAAATAGAGCATATTGACTGAGATGGAAGATGGGAGTGGACACGAGTGGCAGGCCACATTTAAATATGTTGACATAGTGGAGGGCATACATGTCACTGAGTACGTATTAAGGTTTCTTTAAGATCGAGTCTATCTACATATTACATGACTAACTCGGTCGTGATAAATTGCATTGATCAGCTTTCAACACTCTGCTCTCCTAAATGGCGCTAAACTACCCCGCACGAGAACTCAGAGCCGACATAGTTTCGGTAATTGCGAATGTGGCCACTAATGAACACAAGGCTGTTGAATTGAGCTCTCAAATAGCTTCCAAAATTACCAGCGGCGATCTAAAGTTATTGGAGCTAGTTCTTGGCTTACGAGACTTCATAACATCTCCAGACCAAGTTGATCGCAAGAATGCTCTGCATTGCCTATCAATGGTTTTAGGACAGCTGCCGGAAACTGCGTTACTAAAAAATGACGTTTCAGTGGTTTTAGAGTTTTACTTGGGCAAATTTGAGGATTCCTCTTGTCTCGACGAGGTTCTGCTTGGAATTAGCAACATTGTTCAAATGAAGTGCTTCTATTCCAACCAGATATCTACTACTCTAGAAGCTCTTAAAGATGAATATCATCCGACACAAAATTTGGCGGCCACCCGGTATCACGGTTTTGTCATCTTGGACCGACTTCTGGATAAATTCCAAGCGACCTTTTTGGAAAAAACCTCGTTGAGTAGCTTGCTTGTGAAAACGTTTCTGTCTGTTGCTGCAGGTGAAAAAGATCCGAGAAATTTATTGATCTCATTTCGTATCAATGCAAAGATCACAACCGCGCTCAAGGATGTTGCTCCCTTCAAAGAAGATCTATTCGATACTTTGTTCTGCTACTTTCCGATTACTTTTAGACCGCCTGAAAATGATCCTTACAAAATCACCAATAGCGATCTAAAAGTGGCTCTACGTGATGCCATATCGGCAACTCCTTTGTTTGAAGAAGACGCGTTTGGCAATTTGATCGATAAAATGACAGCTTCATCTCCGAGTGTGAAAAACGATACCCTGTTGACATTGAAATCATGTGTTGAGCGTTTTGGTGCAGAGTCCTGCTACAAAAACTGGCTCCCCATTTGGAACGCCTTGAAATTCGAGATTATGCACGGGTCCGACACAGAATCGGATGTGACGTTGCCTGAGTTCAACAATTATGAGGATTCGTTAAAAGTTTTAACTGCTTTATCCACTCAACTGGTAACTTATAAGGATGGGGCTTTTGATAAGTTTTACCGTCATATTTTTGATGAGCTTAAGTCAAACTTTCAATATGAGAAGGATTTGAAACAGAGCTGCGCAGCTCTATCAGCAATCTCTAAGGCAAACTCAGTTGCTTTTGAAAAGGTGCTGTCGGATGTCCTCGCCCTTTTTTTCGAGGGTGCAAGCGACCTGGATGTTAACAAACAAAAACTGCTGATCCTGAATCTTTCATTCTTTTTTGATGCATATGCCGCTGTATTTAAGGAGCTCAAATTTGGAAATGGGCCAGGGACATTTCCGGCCAATAAATTAAGTGAATATAAGGATGAGATTTTGATGCTTATGGGCAAAAGCCTGAAGGGGAGTTCTAAAAATGAAGTGAGCCTGAGAACATTGTCGATAGTTCAAATGACAAAACTTGTTGATCTGCCGGGATTTTTGACGGAGGAAGAGATTTCGCTCATCGTACAATACTTTACTGACACTATACTAACTGATGACAACAAAAACATATACTTCGCTTCGCTCGAGGGACTTAAAACCATAAGCAAAATTTCAGAGCAGGCTACCATCCAAATATCTCTAAAGCAGATGCTACTTCTACTGAAGCCTGAAGGATCGCGACCTGGTTTTCTGAACGATCAAAGTGGTATTGGAGTTGATAAGATCTTGAAGATAATACTTGATTTTACGACGTCAAAACATCAACTCGTTGTTGAGAGCATACTTGGCATTACGAGGAGATTATATGAGTACTCTGATATCTCAGAAGATCGTGAGATCTGCTTCGCACTTCTTTCTTGCCTTTATTCTCTACTCGATAAAAACCTCGATGTTGTGTCTGAAGAAGTGGCTTGTAGCCTAAAAAATGAGCTAGGGAGCGAACTTATGGTGATTGCTAGAAGAAAGCCGATATTTGAAGACGATCATAATTTGACCTTGATCTCTTCAGTTCTGTATTTCATTAATATCCGTCTGCCCAAAAGTTTGCATCAAGGCGAAATTGATAAAACACTCGAGAGGCTTGTAACTGATGATCAAGTTTTTGAACGGCCAAATAGGTCAGTCATTGTGCTGACAAAATTACTATCGGCTTTCGATAAGTCGTGTAACTTAGCGGCTGAAACCTTGATGTCGAAGAGCTTGAGCTTAATTCTCGATACGAAAGTGCCATGCACTGAATTTGAGAAATTGGCATACCTTGAGCTATTGGCGGTCCTGTCCAACAAGTGGTGTAACGAGTCTTTCGTTGAGGAAGCGCTGAACTATGAGAAGCAATCCATTGCTTCATTAGAGGTTGTTGCGTGGTGTACCAAGGGCCTAGTGATGAAGAATTCTTCGGTGGCAGTAAAAGTCATCAATATGTTCGTCAACTTTCTCTCCGATAGTACGTTGGGCCAAAAAGTCGCTAAGTTATTTGAAGTTTTTGTGGTCGATATTCCGACGCTTGACAGATTCAAAGGCATATCGTGGAACAATAATGTTCGGCTACTTTACAAGCAGAAGTTTTTTGGAGATGTGGCACCCCAGTTGGTAACCGCTTACGGAGCCACAGATGACATGTCTATTAAGGCAAACTACCTGATGGCACTTTCCTGTGTTTTGAAGAACACTCCCAACACAATCACAATTACCTACATCCCCAAGCTTCTAGCATTGCTACTACAAGCAGTCAAGCTGAATAATAGCGAAGTTCGCTTTTCGGCTTTAAGTACCATAAAGGGCACCATCGATCAAGCGCCACAATTAATAACCGAACATGTCCACAGTTTGATTCCAATATTGCTCGCTCTAGTGCATCCTGGAAGTCATAACACATATATGGTCAGACTTACTGCACTTGAGATTATACTCAAATTTTCCACCGACGTTCCTTTGAACTACCTGCTACCTTACAGACTTGAAGTGCTCAATAAACTAGCAGTTGCACTTGACGACAAGAAGCGTAGAGTTCGCAAAACTTGCATCGACACAAGGCAGGCATTTTTCGAGCTTGGCCAGGTACCATTTGATTGAAATAATGTACAGAGAGAATTGTGATGTAAATTTGTATTGTACAGAGAAAATCCCGCCAGATAGATAATGGAATGACTATACGCACTAGGTTGCTATTCGCCGTCGGACTCCTCTTCATCGCTGAGACCGACAGGTGCAAGACCGGGGGTGAGGCCAGGGTAACGATGGTCTGCAGTGCGAGCAGACGCAGGCGACTCTTCCACGAAGCCTCTCTTCTTCTTGCTCTTTCCACCGATGGCTCTACTGCCATGGGAATGGTGGTATTCAAGGACAGCATCTTGCAGATCGCGCAAATCGTCGTCTTGCGAGTCCCAACTTTTGAAATCGCGAACATTTCTGGCTATAACCTTATTCAAAAACTTACGTTCTTTTTGAGTGAGCGTGCCTTCTTCTCGGTGCTTCTGCAAAACCTCCAGTTTGGCCCTTTGTTCAGCCTCATCCTCAAGCACTTGTTTTGCCCTGATTTGCTTCTTTCTAGCCTTCATCTCTCGTTTCTTGATGCCTTGTGCGTCTCTCTCTCGTACTCTGACAGCTTTTTTCAAGTTCTGATTGATAAGTTGAGCCTTCGATCCTTTTTTGGACCGGTTTTTTAGCGAGCTTCTTGTGTTGTCATCAACTCTTGGGCTTCCTGGAAGCATCCATGATAGCACACTATTAACAGCAGCCGTAGCTTGTTCTCTAGAGGCGGTTGAAGACATAATGTACGGCTAATGTCTCAGGAAAATGGTCGGTGAGAACTATAACGGCTACTTCCCGCGCGTTGCTGTATCAGAGTTCTACAAGACGTTGGACAGCTATCTCATCGGCCACAGGGCATGGCCAGTTCCTCATCTCTAAATTTTACATCTCGTTCAAAAAGACAGAAAAGTAGCATATATCACGAGATAAGCACATGATCACCATAAGTTTTTTTCTTGAAATTCTCAGATCGTGTCTAACGAATTTACCCGCTCATTGGGTTTTCTCTCTAAAACATCAAGGGCCATTTTGACGACTTTTCATGTATTAACGTCAATTTCCACAATAAAGGACATATCTGAGCGTAAACACGACCAATAGCGTCTATATATCGCAGGACAAAAAGACGCGACAAGTGCTCTGGAAGCTAAGAACGCATAAGTCGCTAAAAATACGGAATACCCGGAAGTGAATTGAACCCAGGTAATACACTTTCGTATTTCTAGTTTCCATTTGAATTCTGAAATAGCATCACTTGTTGGTGGTAGTGGGGCAGCTTTTCCCGAACCACAACAGTCGATCCAGCCAGTTCAATCGGTGCGTGGATAGAAGTGGTATCGCTCTGGACTTTTGAGCTGAAGGCGCAGAAACTGGCTTCCTTTCACCTCCACGATAGTTTCAAAGGCGAAGGCTCAATCAAAATGAACATGACCGAAATCCCAGTACCGGTGCATGCACCAAAGCAACAGCCCGAATCAAACGCTTCCATTGAAATTCCCGAGCCAGAGACCCTTGCGCAATTAGAGCAACTCCTGAACAGATATCGGACTGTATTTCAGGAGCCCGAGAGAAATCGTGTTGAAATTAACGCGCTGGAGCGTGTTTTTAGCTCTATCTCCCAGCAGCAGGACGAATATGTGAGCAAACTTGGTGAACTGAGGCAAGCTATGGAGCGGGAGGCAACATATGACGCAAAAGTCTTTCAAAACCAACTCATTGCTCTGCAGTTGTTGAGCCGGGATCTTGATTTACCAGATGGATTACTGGTAGATCCTGCTGTGGTCGAGAGAAGTGATGATGAAACTCAAAGCGTCGAATTTATGAAACTGGAGCCATTGAAGCTCTCTCTAAATTTTGAAGAAAACGCCAAAAACTTTGGGCTTAGCGATAAGTTTTATAACTTCGAGGTTACTCGAGGCAAGAAGAACCTCGGCTCTCCCTATATCGAGTCTGCAATAGTCTCTCGAATTGCAGAGCGAATCGCGGAGCTCGAAAGATTGCCTGCCAACCTTGGAACATATTCTCTGGCTGACAGTTTGCAGTTCACGGCTAAGGATGACGTTCCTTCTGGTGTTGACGAACTGAAGCTTAGAGCGCTTGTAGAACTGAAGGCTTTGAAGCTTCTTACAAAGCAAAAGTCTTTGAGACAAAAGCTTATCGTGAATGTTACAAGCCAGGCTCACCACAATGTCCCCTGCTTGCGCGATTCACCTTACACTATGGCAGCCCAGCGATCAGTACAGGTAAGAAACAAAGTCATTGTTCCACAAACTGCTAGGCTTGCCGAGGAACTTGAAAGGCAGCAGTTGCTAGAGAAGCGCAGAAAAGAACGGAATCTCCATATGCACAAGGTAAACAAGATAATTGCTCACGTTCATGAGCAGCAAACCACGCAGTCTACTCATAGAGAGCGTAGTGCTCAGTTTGGCAGACTCTGTGCCTCATTGCATAATCAAACGGAAAAAGATGAACAGAAACGAGTTGAGAGAACTGCCAAGCAACGTCTCCAGGCTCTTAAGTCCAATGATGAGGAAGCTTACCTTAAATTATTGGACCAAACGAAGGACACGAGAATTACGCATTTGCTCAGACAAACTAACACTTTTCTGGATTCTCTGGCTCAAGCAGTTAAGGTTCAACAAAACGAAGCTAAAATGAGACGCGGTGAAGAAGTGGGCCCCATGACAGATGAAGAAAGAGAAAAGATAGACTATTACGAAGTCGCGCACACCGTCAAAGAAAAGGTAGACAAACAGCCCTCTATTTTGATTGGCGGGACCTTGAAGGAATATCAACTGAAAGGTCTTGAGTGGATGGTCTCATTGTATAATAATCATTTGAATGGTATTCTAGCAGACGAAATGGGTCTAGGTAAAACCATCCAGTCTATTTCTCTCATCACCCATTTGCGCGAAGTCAAGAATGAGCCAGGGCCATTTTTAGTCATAGTGCCATTATCAACCATAACCAATTGGACTTTGGAATTCGAAAAGTGGGCACCTGCCCTTACAACTATTGTTTACAAAGGTACACCAAACCAAAGGAAGTCGATGCAATATCAAATCAGATCTGGTAGTTTTGAGGTCCTCCTGACGACGTATGAGTATATCATCAAAGATCGGTCTTTGCTGGCAAAACACGACTGGGCCCATATGATCATCGATGAAGGTCACAGAATGAAGAACGCGCAGTCGAAACTGTCCTTTACTCTAACAAGATACTATAGAACGAGGAACCGTTTGATCCTAACGGGTACTCCTTTACAAAATAACTTACCAGAATTATGGGCTCTACTAAATTTTGTGCTACCGAAAATTTTCAATTCTGCGAAAACTTTCGATGAGTGGTTCAATACACCTTTTGCCAATACCGGTGGCCAAGAAAAGTTAGAGTTAACTGAAGAAGAGACCCTTCTTGTCATCCGAAGATTGCACAAGGTTTTGAGACCCTTTTTGTTGAGGCGTTTGAAAAAGGAAGTCGAGAAAGACCTTCCTGATAAAGTGGAAAAGGTTATCAAATGTAAACTCTCCGGATTACAGCACCAACTTTATCAGCAAATGCTCAAACATAATGCTTTATTTGTAGGGGCTGGTACCGAAGGAGCCACAAAAGGTGGTATCAAGGGTTTGAATAATAAGATTATGCAGCTAAGAAAGATCTGCAATCACCCCTTTGTGTTTGACGAAGTAGAAGGCATTATCAATCCAACCAGAAATAACGGTCCACTGTTATACCGTGTTGCAGGGAAATTCGAGCTGCTAGATAGAATATTACCGAAATTCAAGGCGACTGGCCACAGGATCCTTATGTTTTTCCAAATGACACAAGTTATGGATATTATGGAAGACTTTCTGCGAATGAGAAATCTGAAGTACCTAAGGTTAGATGGTGCTACCAAAACCGAAGAGCGTACTGGTATGTTGAAGGACTTTAATGCTCCGGCTTCAGAATATTTCTGTTTTTTACTTTCCACTAGAGCTGGTGGTTTGGGTTTGAACTTGCAGACTGCCGATACCGTCGTGATTTTTGATACAGATTGGAACCCTCACCAAGATTTACAGGCCCAGGACAGAGCTCACAGAATCGGGCAGAAGAATGAAGTTCGTATTTTGAGATTAATTACCACTGACTCAGTCGAAGAAGTCATTTTGGAGAGGGCGATGCAGAAGTTAGACATAGATGGCAAAGTTATTCAAGCCGGTAAGTTCGACAACAAATCGACTGCGGAAGAGCAAGAGGCATTTTTACGGAGGCTTTTGGAAAGCGAGACAACCAAGGACGAAGGAGACGAGGCTGAGCTAGATGACGAGGAGTTGAACGACATTTTGGCTCGTAGCGAAGAGGAGCGTGTGCTTTTCGATGAAATGGATAGGGAAAGGGAGGCGAATGAAATGAAGTCAGCAAAGGCCCAGGGTCTCTCCACCCCTCTCCCAAGGCTAATCACATCGGGTGAATTGCCTGAAGTGTTTACGGAAGATATTAGCGAGCACTTGAACGTTGAGCCAACCGCTGTTGGCCGTGTTCGAGAACGTAAAAAAGTGTACTACGACGATGGACTGACTGAAGAGCAATGGTTACAGGCTGTGGACGATGATGCTGACTCCTTGGAGGATGCTATTTCCAGAAAGCGGCAGTTGAGAGAATCCCGACATGCCGACAAGATGCTCAAAGATAAGTCAGGTGTCGACGAGATTGGAACTCTGGAGAATAGTCTAGAACCCACACCGGATGCAGAGGCGCCCAAGCTTGACGAGAGTCGCGGCACACTTAAACGCAAGGCAGAAGATATGGCGCACAAAGAGGAAGAAACAAATCCATTAGTTCAAAACCAAGCTGATGGACTAGATACTGAGGTTAAGGGATCGGCACCAAAAAAACAAAAACTGAAAGTGAAGCTTTCCTTGAAGAAGAGGGCCACTGAGCCCACAGAGAATGGCACAGGGCTTTCAGAATCCAACGTCCCGGAGCCAGATGGCAAGTTGAACCAGACAAAGGCTGCTACTCGCCCTAAAACCAAAAAAAAACTCGTGGCTTGCGAATTTATTGGTCGCGTCGAGAAATTGTTCGAGGAAATGCGCGCGATTGTAGATCCTAATGACGAACATCCTCGTACCTCCATTTTCGAGACACTTCCTTCCAAAAAACTCTACCCTGACTACTACGCGCTAATTAAGAAGCCTGTGGCCTTGGACACTATCTATAAACAATGCAAAAAAGGCCTTTACTCAACGTTTGACGATGTTTGTGGGGATTTGGAAGTGATGTTTGAAAATGCCCAGTTTTATAATGAAGAAGGCTCTTGGATTTTTAATGATGCTGGTGAACTCCGAGCTTTCGTAAAAAACTGGTCTGAGGTGAATAAATAGCTGGTGTATTATATAGATGTATTGATATGACATTTTGTTTGTTGAGTGACAGCTCTGGCTCGACATTGAGTTGAGCATGAAAATCGAGCGTCTTTCTCGTAGTATGTGACAATACAATTTGACGAAAAATTGTTTGGGTGAAAAATTTTCTTCGACTATATATATTCATAGGAACTACTTTTATCTTCCCTTCCTACTTTCCATCATAAACCTTTTCAAAACCAATACCCTTAGCCAACAATGAAGTACATTCAAACCGATCAAGTTCTAGACATTCCAGAAGGCGTTACTGTCAACATCAAATCCAGAGTGATCAAGGTCACTGGTCCAAGAGGTGTTTTGACCAAGAACTTGAAGCACATCGATGTGACTTTCACCAAGGTCAGCAACAGACAAGTCAAGATCACCGTTCACAATGGTGACAGAAAGCACGTTGCTGCTTTGAGAACCGTCAAGTCTTTGGTGGCCAACATGGTGACCGGTGTTACCAGAGGTTTCAAGTACAAGATGAGATACGTGTATGCGCATTTTCCCATCAACGTTAACGTTGTTGAGAAGGACGGCGACAAGTTCGTTGAAATCAGAAACTTTTTGGGTGACAAGTTGGTGAGAATGGTGCCAGTCAGAGAAGGTGTGTCTATTGACTTCTCCACCAACCAAAAGGACGAGATTGTTTTGTCCGGTAACTCGATCGAAAACGTTTCTCAAAACGCTGCTGACATCCAGCAAATTTGTCGTGTCAGAAACAAGGATATCCGTAAGTTTTTGGATGGTATCTACGTCTCCGAAAAGGGCTTCATTGAGGAGGAGGCTTAGTTTTGCAGATCTTCTGTCCTCATTGGGAAGTCTCAATCTTTTAGGTAGCTGTACATTAGTGTGTTTATAGGTGGTTTCTACCTCTCCAGGAGTCGAACTCCAATCACAACGGGAGGAACGTTACTAGTGCTCGCTGAAATAAAGAGCCATTCGACGTTCCTCAGATTTTCAGGTTACTTACCTCCAATTGTGTTATCACTTTTCTTGTCGTAGCGTTTGTTCTCAAGAATCTGTCAAAATTATGTGCTTTCAGCTGAAGGCCTTCATTTTGTCTTTGAGTCGCCATGGCTGCCTTTTCTGGCGTGGCTTGATTTTAACAGGATACAGTATTAATTATCCAGATTGTACTAACTAACTTTAAACAAAATTGAACGTAGAATATAATAAGAAAAAGTCCCAATTAAGACAAACCTCAAAATTTGATTATCCAGAAGCCTAATATCTGTAAGTCTGTCGCTCTCTATGTCCAGGTCATATTATTCTATGGCATGAAAGACTTGAAAGTTGATCTCTTTGGAAAGAGCTTCTTCCAAGTATTTGAATTCCATGACAGACAGCGATGAATCAGAGCCAAAGGGCCTCATATGGGTGTAACCCATTATCTGGCCGAATGTTCCTACAATAAAGGACTTGCGTCTATCGGCTGTCTCAGCATTTAACAACTCATGTGCGCTTTTCACTGCCTTCCCTTCAAAGTATATTTTGGCGTGCGACCGTGTTCGCATATCGTGTCTCTTTTCGGGCGAGATAACCTTTCCATCACTGCCTCTGGTCTCCCCCAACTGGTTGTCATTTAGGCTGTAATCGTAGGTGGTACCAAGCATGAACGAAACTAGTTTAAAATATTCAAAGCTAGTCAACAAATGCCGCCAGCGGAACATTTTCCCGTGGTCGGCTCTCTTTTCTCTGTCGAGCTCATCTTGGATTCTGTTTGCCTTCTTCTTGTTAGCAGATTGGGGATTGCCGAAACAATCGTGTGGTAGAAGTCTAGAAATAACTGAAAACTGGTAGTTATTACCGTCACAGGTTGCCACACCATCATAAGGAGTCAAGCATAACGTTATTGTCGGCCCGTCTTCAATTCTATGGTAGTTCCATATTGTTCTGAACTGGCCAGCAGGTTCGAATTGGACACATTGGTCGTCAAGGTACTGAAGAACCTGGCCAAACATGGTCCCCCCGAATCTTAGAGTTGGCACGACACATGAACCCTCTATCTTGAGCTCCTTGGATATGCTTTTTCTGATCAGGAAACCCATTGTACCATCACTGCGACTCTCATTTTTTGATTGCAATTCGGCGACTAACTTCTCAAGGGAAGCTCTCTTGGCACTGTGATTGAACTTTGAACTTCTTTTGGCGCGAGGTTTTTTTGCAGTTTGCTTCTGGATTTTTCCCGTCGATGGCTTTTTGGTGGGCTTCACAAATAGTTTTGCTTGAGACTGAAGACTGCCACTGTTGGCACTTGTCTCAAGCTTCTGATAAGATGAATGGCCTCTGTTGTTAAGCATTGAACTCGGACTGACTTTGTCATCGAATTCGTATCGGTGGGCTGCTTCTCTGTGTACCGCGGTCGACAGGTCATTATTGAAAGCAGCTCCGTACTCCTGCCCAATAGCTGCGTCAGACCCTGAATGAAATTTACTGTAGTTCGAGGGGCTGGTGAAGGAGGAACTACTGAGGTCACCTACTGGTTTTTCTTCTTCACTTAGAGCTCCTGTCCACAGAGAAGATTTTTCGGGTGTACACTCTGCCAAAATATCGTCAATTGACCACTGATGGGAGTCTGATGCAGTGTACATATTAGATTCAAACTTGTGAAGAACTTGCTCTTCTTGTGAGCAGGATCCCAACAGCAATGGATCTTTCCTCGAGGATTCGATATTGAGCTCGGGGGTGTCACGGTCTTCTGAATCCTCAAAAAGCGAGTTATAGGCTAAAACCTCCGGCGACTGCTGGTCTAGCTCCTTCGATGTCCCAAAAAATGGCTGCGTTAAATCTTTCCAAGCAGATTGTTGCTGATCAACCGAAAGAAGTGACATATACACTGGACGGGTGAGTTAAAAATAGCGAAGTTTCTGTTGCTGTTGATAAAATAGCAAATGTGGTTTCTTGTATGATTGTCTCAAGTAAAAGGTTCTGTATGATTGTAAGGCCTTGTGTGACGACGCGAAGCAGCAAACGATGAGCTTCAAAATCCGACTCGTGTACCTCTCTTTTAAACCTCGAGGGTACCTAACGGAGAGTAGGGGTTAAAGTAGAGCAGTGCTAGATATAGTTTTGGTCTTCGAGCAGACACAAGTTATTATGGTGAAATATGTCAGGCTTTGTTTTTACGAAATTTATTTTTGTGACGCTAGTAACTACCCAGGATTATTTGTTATGGGGAAACCTGAGTAATTTTGGCAATGACCAAAGAAACCCAGTGCAGGGAGCTAACATAGCTCTAGATCTTTAGTAAGGGTTTACTGTTTGAACACAGACTTCCCGCAGGACTTGATTTTTGGCTTCTCGGAGAAACCAAATTAGAAGTCCCCATCCATATTGTAGCCCCGTTTAAGGACTCCCGCAGCCCTCTACAAACGGGGTGTTCACAGCTCAACCAAACTTAATAGAACGGTCTCCATGCTGCCTACTTACTCAGAAAGCGTCACTGGCACGAACCAGACCCACGAACCAGGCGGCGACGATGAGGGACAAAGTGATATGACCTCATTCTAATCTCTGAGCTGAGAAGAAGGGAGGCGGGTGCCATAAAAGCGTGTGTGCACGTATAGGCGAGTAGAAGCCAACAAAGCAATGACAGAGTAAAAAATCCACAAGAGACCTGCCGCGGAAACTCGAGTAACATGCTGCTTTGACCACACGTCAGTAGAGAAGTTTCGGACCATCACTACACACGAACGAGTTGTCGCTCACAGTTCAGGTGCTGCGTTACCTCTTCTCCACTCAGCTGTGCGCGAATTTTGAGTTCTACACACCATAAGAGTCGCTTTACAGAACCCTGATTGACGATAGAGACCCAAATAATTTTAAAGCGTATCGAAAATGTTTTATGATAAAACTATGAAAACATCCACGTACCTTAAAAAAATACTCATAGTATCCCCAAACTAGATATTCTAACTCCCAACGCTGGACTGCTCTCTTCAACCACCACTGTTTGTACGTATCTTCCGAACTTCGTAGCTCATCTCTCATTCTTCACCATGCTGTCTGATACGTATCCAGCGATCTCCGGCGTCGCTTCCGAAACTCTTTTTTCCATCTTAAAAATTATCGCTACTACTCTGCCCTGAACATTGATAGACGTGCGTGGGTATATATATACTGGGGGCAATCCTTATTTTCACAAACAAGCCAATGGGAAACGTAAGTCTTCAGATCGAAAGATTCGAAAACTCGAACAAGACAGTACTCCAGAACCGCCAGGTAAACGCCGAGGTTCTCAGCAGAGTCTGTCAGATTACAGTATCGAGCGAATAACGCGATCAGAGCTATTTTCACGACAATGTTGAGAGGTATTAGCCGCTGTTCGCAGCAAAGCATTTTGCAAAGAACGGTGTACCGTAGCCAGCAAGTGGGATGGACGTTGAATAGAAGCCTAGGTGGAGCGAGGACGCTAGCTACCAGCAATGGTGGTAGCGACATTTTCTTGTCTACCACGAACGCTACATACATCGACGAGATGTTTGAAGCGTGGAAGAACGACCCCAGCTCCGTTCACGCTTCGTGGAACGCGTACTTCAAAAATATGGGCAACACAAAGGTCCCAGCTTCGTCTGCATTCATGGCGCCTCCCACGCTTGTTTCGCAACACACGGGCGGCCACATCCCCCAAGACATGGCGATGGGTGTCTCCAGCGCTAAAATTGGCGGCGTGGACCAGGATATCCTCATACATATGAAGGTGCAACTGCTATGCAGAGCCTACCAGGTTAGAGGCCACCAAAAGGCCCACATCGATCCGTTGCAGATTTCGTTTGGGGACGACAAGAGCAAACAATTGCCCAAAGAACTGACTTTGGAGCATTATGGTTTCACGGAGCGTGACCTAGACCACGAAATCACGCTTGGTCCCGGTATTTTGCCTCGTTTCGCCGGCGAGGGAAAGAAATCGATGGCGCTCCGCGACATTATTGCCTCCTTGGAGAAGCTATATTGCTCTTCATATGGTATCGAATACATCCACATTCCTTCGAGGAACCAGTGTGACTGGCTAAGGGAGAGAATTGAAATTCCCAAACCATTCAGTTACACGATTGACGAAAAAAGGCAAATCTTGGACAGGTTGACATGGGCTACCTCATTCGAGAGCTTTTTGTCCACCAAGTTCCCCAATGACAAGCGTTTTGGGCTTGAAGGTCTAGAAGGTGTTGTTCCAGGTATCAAAACTTTGATTGACAAGTCAGTGGATTTAGGTGTTGAGGACGTTGTTTTGGGTATGGCACACCGTGGGAGATTGAATGTATTGTCCAACGTTGTGCGTAAGCCAAACGAGTCTATTTTCTCCGAATTCACAGGCTCTGCTGCTCCAGAGGAGTACGAAGGTTCTGGTGATGTCAAGTACCATTTGGGTATGAACTACCAAAGACCAACCACTTCGGGCAAATACGTAAACCTGTCACTGGTGGCCAATCCTTCCCATTTGGAAGCCCAGGATCCAGTTGTCCTCGGTAGAACAAGAGCTATCCAATTCTCCAAGAATGACTTGGGAAAGTATCAAAAAGCTATGGGTGTATTGCTGCACGGTGATGCTGCAATTGCAGCCCAAGGTGTCGTGTATGAAACTATGGGTTTCAGTCACCTACCCGAGTACTCTACTGGTGGTACCATCCACATCATCACCAATAACCAGATCGGTTTCACCACTGACCCAAGATTTGCTAGGTCTACCTCATACCCCTCTGATATTGCCAAGGCTATTGACGCTCCTATCTTCCATGTAAATGCCAATGATGTCGAGGCTTTAACCTTTATCTTTAATTTGGCTGCTGAATGGAGAGCCACTTTCCACACAGATGCCATTATTGACGTTGTGGGCTGGAGAAAGCACGGTCATAACGAAACTGATCAGCCTTCTTTCACTCAGCCTCTCATGTACCAAAAGATTAGCAAGCAAAAGTCCGTTATTGACGTTTACACAGAGAAATTGATATCAGAAGGTTCCTTCACTAAGCAAGACATTGACGAGCATAAGCAATGGGTTTGGGGTCTATTTGAACAAGCTTTCGACAAGGCCAAGGATTACAAACCTACTTCCAGAGAATGGTTGACCGCTGACTGGGCCAACTTCAAATCTCCCAAAGAAATAGCTTTGGAGACTCTTCCTAACGAGCCAACCGCTGTGAACGAGGCGACTCTGAAGAGCATTGGTCAGATGATCTCCTCGTGGCCTGAAGATTTCGAAGTTCACAAAAACTTGAAGAGGATCTTGAACAACAGAGGTAAATCTGTGGACACTGGTGAAGGTATTGACTGGTCTACCGGTGAGGCCTTGGCTTTAGGGTCCTTGGCCCTGGAAGGTTATCACGTTAGAGTCTCTGGTGAGGATGTTGAAAGAGGTACGTTTTCGCAGAGACACGCTGTTTTGCATGATCAGAAATCCGAAAAGACTTATACCCCACTAAAGCACTTGTCGGAAAAGCAGGCCAATTTCACCATCTGTAACTCATCGCTATCGGAATATGGTTGTATGGGTTTCGAGTACGGTTATTCTTTAACTTCTCCCGACTTCTTCGTGATGTGGGAGGCCCAATTCGGTGACTTTGCCAACACTGCCCAAGTTATTATCGATCAGTTTTTGGCCGGTGGTGAGGCCAAGTGGAAGCAACGCTCCGGCTTGGTTTTGTCGTTGCCACACGGTTATGACGGCCAGGGTCCAGAACATTCTTCCGGTAGATTGGAGAGGTTTTTGCAAATGGCAAACGAAGATCCAAGATTTTTCCCATCGGAGGAGAAATTGAAGAGACAGCATCAAGACTGCAACTACCAAGTGGTTTACCCAACCACTCCTGCTAACCTGTTCCACATCTTGAGAAGGCAACAACACCGCCAATTCCGTAAACCTCTAATATTGTTTTTCTCAAAACAACTACTACGTCATCCTCTTGCTAGATCTAGCTTGAGTGAGTTTACGGATGGCGGCTTCCAGTGGATCATCGAGGACGTTGCTCACGGAAAGACCATTGGCACAAAGGAGGAAACCAAGCGCTTGGTGATTTGCACTGGCCAGGTCTATACTGCTTTGCACAAGAAGCGTGAGGCTTTGGAAGACAAAAACACCGCTTTCCTCAAGGTGGAACAGATGCACCCATTCCCATTTGCGCAATTGAGAGACTCGCTCAACTCTTATCCAAACTTGGAAGACATTGTTTTCTGTCAAGAGGAGCCTCTGAACATGGGATGTTGGAGCTACGCTTCTCCTAGATTTGACACGGTGTTGAAAGAAACGGACAAATATCAGGACCGCAAGATAAGATTTGCCGGTAGAAACCCAAGCGGTGCTGTTGCTGCGGGATCTAAGGGCCTACACATCGCGGAGGAAGAGGCGTTCCTCAAGGAAGTGTTTGGCGAGTAAGTCAATCGTCTTCTCTCCGACTTCTAAATGTAAATATATTCCCAGCAGGTATCCATACTTAAACTATTATTTATTGTTATGATTTTGGCAAGCGGCAAGTGGCAAGTGGCCAGCGGCTGGCCTGCGGTCAACTGATAGCCACGTGAAAAAACTTCTAAATACCAGCAACTCTCGTTGCGACGTTGGGTCGAAGTATAGTCACATAATACGACAAAGGTGGGACGACAATATGCAGTATTGTCGTCTGTGCCGGATATTGTCATCTGTTGGTATTCCAGTAGAACCGAGAGGACCCTAGTGCTGACGTTAGGTCAGAATGTGTTCTGCGCAACTTTTGTTGCCTGGCTAGAGCTGAGCTGTGCGCATCCCAACGGGCGCTGGTTTGTTTTTTGTTTGGGATCTGCAAGCTAGAGTAGACCGCACGCATCCCAATCAGGAAGTTCAGCTGCCCTAAGCTACATCAAGGTTACCTATTTAGGACAGGTAATTACCGCTGCCTGCAGAGCTCGAGGAAAGGACCTAAACCCAATGCGGTAAGCGCTGCTTGTATTTGTTTACTGGTTACGTAATAACGGCTTGCTCTATGCAAGGTATGGGCCTTTATCCTACCAAAAAGCCGGATCCAAGTATATAAGGCGAGACTAGGTCAGAGCCACCAGTGACTGGTGGCTGGAGTTGGTTCCTTAGTTTTTGAAATATCTCGAGAACAGATATCATAAAGCAAACCGCGATCCCGTTAGCTCAGGTCTAAAATCCTAACTACATCCATTCCTTTTGAACCACCAACTTCATTCACTCTTTGAAAGTTACAATACCGCTATCGTCGAGTATATTTCCAGGTTTTTCCACCATTAAATTAGTGCTCTGAGATCGTCACTTGTTCCGGTTTTAGGTATGTTTGATTCCGTTAATTTTGTTCTTGTTTTTGTTTCCGTTGTTGTTGCTGTGGCCAGTTAGTTTGTGGGCTGCACCTTGATGAATAGAGTCATCTTGGAGAACGTCCAGTGGGACTGGGAGCGCTATTGAGTACTACTGAACCGAACTCGAGGTGTGGTGGAAGAGGTTGGAAATCTAACGTTCCTACGCTAGACATCAAAACGCACGTATAAAATTACACCCACCGATTGTCATCCCGAGTAGTTTTGGATTAAGCAGTACTTTTCAGCCTCTATCGCCGCCACACGAAATGGCATTCTTGGTTGAGGGCCTCACTTAGGTTATGCGTGTCGTTCCCTCTATCCTCTGGTTGGTTGAGGTGTGTTTTCGTTGTCGTGATTTTTCGTGGGCATGTGGACACACTTCCGTTTTGGGCGATCTTGGTTCGTGGTTCTATAGAAAAGCCTGCGGCCGGTAAATCGCGAAGATCGTGGAAACCATAGCTCACAAATGAGCACAGTGGCCGTGGTACTATGGACATCTACGTTCTCATTCCCGAGTACCGATGTAAGAGCCCAAAAAAATGCTTTCTTTCAGGGTGATCTTTTCTCACTGGCTCAGTTCGCGACAAAACAAACAATCCTAACTTCTTACTTTCGTTAAGCCTCCCGTACTAACAAAGCTCACCAAGTTTCCGTTTTATCCCGCTTCCAATAGCGCATTCACTCCTTTCTTTATTCGAAAACTTCGTGCACTCTCACTATGAAAGTTTCCGCTGTTTTGGCACTCTCTGTTGCCGGTTCCACCCTCGTTCAGGCTTTGCCTCACGTCCACAAAAGAGGTCAGTCTCACGACGAACCTTGTACCACCACGGCTCACGCCCACCGTCCAGGCAAGCGTGCTGTGGCTGTTGAATATGTTTACCAAACTGTGACTGTCGATGGGCAGGGCAGTACTTTGAGCTTTCCAACGACCACCTTGAGCACCTCGGCTCAATCCAGCTCTTTGGCCAGTCCATCCAGTTCTGCTGCTGTTTCTAGTTCTGCTGCTGCTTCCAGCTCTACTGCTCCAAGCTCTTCAGCCGTTGTTTCCAGCTCTGCTGCTTCTAGTTCTGCTGCTGCTTCCAGCTCTGCTGCTTCTAGTTCTGCTATTGCTTCCAGCTCTGCTGCTTCTAGTTCTGCTGCTGCTTCCAGCTCTACTGCTTCTAGTTCTGCTGCTGCTTCCAGCTCTGCCCCATCTAGCTCTGCTGCCGCTTCTACCTCATCCTCCACCTCCTCGAGCGCTTCCTCCACCCAAACTGCCTCCTCTGGTGGTATTGATGGTGACTTGTCCGCTTTCTCTGCCCCTTCTGAGTCCTTCGAAGATGGAACTATTGCCTGTAGCGACTTCCCATCCGGTCAAGGTGTCATTTCTCTTGACTGGTTGGACTTCGGTGGCTGGTCCGGGATTGAAAACTCCGACGGCTCCACTGGTGGCACTTGTAAAGAAGGTTCTTACTGTTCTTACGCTTGTCAGACTGGTATGTCCAAGACTCAATGGCCTTCCAACCAGCCAAGCAACGGTGTTTCCGTTGGTGGCCTGCTATGTAAGAATGGCTACCTCTACCGCTCCAACACCAATGCTGATACCTTATGTGAATGGGGAAAGGACATGGCCGAGGTTGTTTCTGAATTGAGCCAAGACGTTGCAATTTGCAGAACTGATTACCCTGGTACTGAAAACATGGTCATCCCAACTTATGTTAAAGCCGGTTCCTCTGCGCCATTGACCGTTGTTGACGAAGACAACTACTACCAATGGAAGGGAATGAAGACCTCTGCGCAATTCTACGTAAACAACGCTGGTGTCTCTTTGGAGGACGGTTGTGTTTGGGGTACTGCTGGATCCGGTGTTGGTAACTGGGCTCCATTGAACTTCGGCGGTGGCTACACTGACGGCATCGCTTACTTGGCCTTGATTCCAAACCCCAACAACTACGATTCCTTAAACTACAACGTTAAGATTGTTGCAGCTGACTCTGACAGCACTGTCTTGGGTGACTGTAAGTATGAGAACGGCAAATACAATGACGGATCATCTGATGGATGTACCGTTTCTGTAACCAAGGGTAAGGCACGCTTTGTTTTGTACAACTAAGTGAAGGCCGCCTCGTCGAAGCGATAACTAATTCAAAACCAGAACGATGTTCTTGTTTCAAAATTGATTTTACTTCTTCTCTAGTACCTACTAAAATTTGATGCTTCGACTGATTCTTTTCAAATCTGTGTATTTTTATTATCATTATTATTGGCTTATCTTCTGATGACAATAAATTAATATGGGGCCATAGGTTACTGAGAGCTAGCACGGCAGAGAGTTGACGAACAATGCGCAACAGACCAAAGTCTTAAGTTGATATAATGCATGCATTGATTATGAAGAGCTGCTATATATGTAGTATATTCGTAAAAGATGAAGTTTCGCAAGTAACTTGCGCTGTTCATTAGCAAAACACCGGCACCCTCATGCGAAGGCGGTAGTGAACATCAAGTCAGCCCCGAAGTGACCTTAGTTGGCATATGCAGATCTCCCTCTTAGGCTGGGTCCATATTTGTAAAACACGAATGGAATGGCTGCCAACGCGATACAGAAAAATCCAATCAAAGAAGAACCCCAACCAACTGGGTACTTTTCGGAACCCAAGTTCAAGTACATGGCTCTACCGAACAATGGGAAGGCACAGGCGAATACAGCACGTGTGAAACCGTTTCCTGCAAACACCGACGCCAAGTAACGAGGATAACAGATAGCTAGATAGGCAAATGTGGCCTGGAATAAGTTGAACACGCACAACACGAAGAAAATTTGAGCAATCATGGGCACGATCCAATGAGTTCCAGCCGCCCAACCAAAGAGGAATAATGAGAGGGGCAAAGACCAACAAACACCCATGGCCAGCAACAAAAAGGCCTCCGGAGTGAAAGTGTTATTTTGGAACTTTGGCCCGATCACTTTGGCTAAGAAGATCAGCAGCACAATGTAAGCAATGACACAACCGACACAGAATCCCAAGTAGGCCAGCCCAACCTCTACTAGAGTGAAGTTGTAAATTCCAACGAACACAATTGGGAAGGCCTCGAAAAACAAGTAAAAAGCACCGTAACATAGGGCAATGTAGATGTCAAAAGCGAGCACAATGGGTTCCTGAGCGATGATGGCAAAGGGTCTGTATAAGGTGTCAATAGCAAAGTCCTTGATGTGAACTTGTGCGTCAATACGCTCTTGCTTGGTATAATAGCGAGAGTCACCGGTTTCCTTTCTGATTCTCACGGCACGACGGTGTAGAATATTGTTGTGTTGAGTTTCTGGGAAAAAGATAACCAGCAGAATTAGAGTAGCCGCGGCCAGCCACATCAGTAGCCAAAAGATAAATCTCCAGTTTTCAGCCACGGTCATAGCGGCACCCAACAATGGAGCCAGCACAGGAGCTGCAACAGCACCAACGGCCCACAAACCAATGAAGATGGGAACCATTTGAGGGTCAATAAAATCACCCATACTACCAGCACCAGTAGCCAACGAGGGCGAGCACAAAACTCCCGAAATAAAACGGATCACGATCAGGCCACCAATGTTACGAACCGTGGCAGCACCGATTTGGAAAATCATGAAGAAAAACAAAGTTATGATGTAGATCTGTTGGCGACCGATGCTGGCCACTTCTGATAGCGGAGAGAATATCATGGGCCCCAGACCGTAGCCCAACACGTACATCGACAGGCTAAGAGTCCCCACCACGTGACCCACGCCGAACTCCTCTTGGATATAGTCTTGGCCCGGCGTGTAGATGGAGGCGCCCATGTAGGTGACGCACGTTAGAATCATGATTTCGATCACGACAAGCGCTTTTTTGCCCTTGGACCAGTTAAAAGGGTGTTCAGGGTCATTCGGCCCGTTCCAATCGACCAGGAACGGATCTGGCGAATCAGACGAAGCCGTCGAGCCAGAGGTCCCATCTTGTGCTTGCTCCTCGCCCTCCACAGCCTTTTCGTCTCCGACAGCTCCAGTGCTCGGGAGCGGGAGCGAGCCTTGTATTTCTTGGGACCCACGAGGCGAGCTACCCTTTTCTAGATCGTCTAGCTGTGACTTCTGTGAGTCGGCAGTCTCACCACTCAGCTCATTCTGTTCTTGATGGGCCACCTGCGGCACAAAATTATGAGGAACTTTAATCCAACCAAACAGTTCCAGGACGTCAACCAGAAACGTGTTTCTGTACGTGTCTTTATACATCGCTAGTAGAGATTGATATGAGTAAGGTTTGGGTTTGGAGTTTGGTATAATATTTGAAAACAAGACATGCTACCAATCCTTCACAATCATGGCCCTTCTTATAGGCCATCCCACGCATCCACCAACTTCGATGACAATTAATTCATCGTTACAGGGACTGACAAATGTATTGCGTTGTACCTTCTAAGGGATTCTTTGGTAATCAATTTCGCCCGAAGCTCGTAGCACCTAGTCTGAGGGCAACCCTTCTACTTCCCTGGACGTAGCTTAAAGTTTAAAAAATTGTGTTTGTTGAACTTTCTGGAATGGTGACGCCCTAATATCGCTGAGTAATCTACCCAGTCGCCGCCTTAGATGCGATGAGTAGTTTCACACTTGTAGCAGTCTCTCTGTGGAGTGAGGGACTCAATGAAGGCCCTGTCAAGAGCAAGCCTGCATGTAGCGTGGAGGAACAAGTCCTCCTTGAGTGTGGATGGCTGCGGGCAAAACGCGGATGTAAAATGAGCCTTGGAGACGAGATATTATCACGGAAAAACTCTGCATTACATAAGCACACGGTGCATATTGGCGCATCGAGAGTTGCGCAATGCGCGAGGAAATGGTACAAAACCGAAAATTTTAGGACCCCGCGGATCTAAGACGGGACGGACGCAAGGCGGTCCATTGGGTGTAAACTTTTTGTTTTTTTTTGTCAGCGGCTGTGGTAGCCGCTGAGTAGCTTTGTCACCAGAGGCTCGAGGGTTTACCAATGCCTAACCCACAAGCCCCGATACACAGGATTAGCAGGAGTAAGGGAATGGGAATACCAACTGCTGGTGTTACTAAGTACATGTGCTGGCTGAGTAGTTGTGTTTACTAAGTAGTCGTGTTCACTAAGTAGGTGTGTTTACTAAGTAGTATTTGCTACCCATGTTTTATAATGTGGTCTCGGGCAACATAGCCTTGGGCATGCAGAGAGTATTGCCTTGAGCTACGACAAATTGGCCGCGTGTGAGACCGCTCCTGGAATAATGGAAACAGGACTACAAGGTTTGCGGGGATACTTCATTAATGGGAATTTGGGTTTGCGATGACATGAGTTTGAGTTTGTGCGCTGGCCGTCCACCGCGGGAAAGTAATGAGGTATGATTAAGAGAGTGGCGCGGACGTTCGTAAGAGAGATATTCAACCTTTCATGAATCTGCGAAAACCGCAAGCCAGAAGAAGCCTCTACAATGTGGGTTTTATTTTGGGTAGTCGACCAGGAGTGGCCTTTTCCTCTTGAATCACCGCAATGGCGGGGGAGGGTATCAAGTTTGGCCGAGATGTGTGGGCTTAAGGTGTGGGTGTTGGCAGGTGATGGACTTTTTACATAGTCATTACCCACGACAAAATCGGGCTTGATCGCTCAAAAACGCAACGTGATAGTCAGATGACCAGAGATGCTGATGCGAAAAAAGGTAAAAATATGCCGAGTATAGCGTTGATCGGGTGTTGATCGGCCGTTCTGTTAGTTATCACCGTAGGTGAGGTGCTTAGTTGGTCATTTGTGGGCTTCAGTAGTGTCACATTGGGTGCTTCCGGAGCTTATCAAGACCGATATCGGAATTAGCGATTTTCGCCAAGACAACATCCCGTAATTGCACCGCGTCCCGGATGACAAGTTGCATCTGAACAATAAAAACTCTATCTGACTTCATCATCGCCGTGATGTCTTGTCGACACAGTACAGTATAAGATAAAGTGGATCCACTTGTGTTACTCAAACAAAAGTTTGTGTGTCAGGTTGCGTCTGAACTACGATCCCATACACAATTGGTCGCTTCCAATACTACGGTTATCGCGCGAATGCCAAAAAACGATCCACAGCAAGAAGAGAAAGAGCAACAGCGCCTGGACCCGGCCACTGCTAGTCCCGTAGAGAACCTGGATAGACCGACCACCAGCGAAGGCTCCAAAAGCTCGTCAGAATGCAAAGCCCCTCCTTATTCACGGTTCGGCGTCCGTGAAAAATACTTGATGGTTCTGATATGCGCCTCCAGTGGAGTGTTTTCAACCATTGCAGGATCCATCTACTACCCCGCCTTAAACACGATTGAAAATGAGTTTCATATCACCACGGAAATGGTGAACGTGTCTGTGGTGCTGTATTTCGTATTCCAGGGCTTGTCGCCGACGTTGATGGGCGGACTAGCTGACACATTTGGGCGTCGCCCTGTGGTGCTTTGGTCCGTGGCACTTTATTTTGCCGCGTGCATTGGTTTGGCCTGTGCAAAGACTTATGGTGAGATTTTGTTTCTGCGATGTCTGCAAAGTGCTGGCATTTCCCCTGTTATTGCCGTGAACAGCGGGATCATGGGCGATATCACCACCCGCGAGCAGCGAGGAGGCTACGTGGGGCTAACCTCCGGCTTTCAGATCGTGGGCTCAGCGTTCGGAGCACTCATCGGCGGTGGTGTAGTGTCGCGCTGGGATTGGCGGGCCATATTTTGGCTGTTGGCCATTGGATCGGGCGTCAGTTTGATCTTCACTTCGATTATGCTCCCCGAAACCAAGCGTACGATCGTTGGAAATGGCTCCGTCAGACCACTCGCCATTTGGTCGCGGGCACCGATCTTGGCTACGCCGTCCTGGAGGCGGAAGCTACACCTCGATGCCCCGGATTACGACACCCTGGTCCCTAGAGACAAGCTAAACCTACTAGCACCGCTAACCCTTTACACTCGCCCTGAAATTGCAGTGCTTTTGTTGGTGACGGGGTTACAATTTGCACTTTGGGTAACGCATCTCACAGCAATGGCCTCCTTACTGGAAAAAGACTATCATTTGAGTGTTGCGAAAGTAGGCCTGTGCTATTTACCAAGTGGGCTTTGCACCATGACAAGTGTTGTGGGTGCAGGAAGAGTTTTGAACTGGAATTATAAGCGTCGCTATGCTAAGCACAAGCAGTTCATCGAAACGTCTCGAGCACAATTGCTACAACAACACGAAAACAACGAAGAGATTGTAGACGATATTCTGTCGAATGAGCTCGAGTACGCTTTCAACATTTTCCGCACGAGACTGGAAATCATTTTCATCCCGCTTATACTGAGTGGTGCAGGGTTTATTATTTTTGGATGGTGTTTGAGCAAGCATTTGCATTTGGCCCTGGTACTAGTATTTAGCGGATTCTCCTCTCTCTTTTCAAATTGTGTCATCGCATGTGCCACTACTTTGGTAGTCGACCTTTATCCACAGAAATCATCCACAGCCACCAGCTGCATCAATTTTTCCCGTTGTATCATGGCTGCCGTCTTCGTTGCAGCTCTGAACAAAATGCTGTCTTCGATGACTGCAGGGGGAACGTTCACTTTCTTAGCTGGTCTGACAATATCGTCGACATTTACGCTGGTAATTCCAGTAAAGAAAGGCATGCGTATGATGCATGATCGGAAATTAAGGCAGTTGGCCGAAGAAAAGGCTGCCAATGCTGCAGCTCCGCAAGATTTGGAGGATCAAGTTAACAACGAGGTTGAACAAGATGAAATCGAAAATGAAGCTTATCACCCACAGGAGGACACTAGCAGCGAAAGTAGCCGCGGTGTAGAGATACTAAGACGCATGTCAACCATTCACTCTGCACACATGACAACGTGACCTCTTTAACGCGGTTATAGCACTGGATCAAAAAGCAATTCCCACTGGATAGGTCTCGGAAAAACCCGGAAAAAACCCGGAAAAAACCCTGGAAAAATCCGGAAGTACGCGGAAGAAATCGGGCAAGCACGGAAAAACTAATACTGCGTGGACAATCTCTCGAGCGCCACCGGAAAAACTTGATATCGGACTGTACCATTTTAGCTGGCTTGAGCACCCGGGTTTTTCCGCCGTATTTTTCCGCACTTGGGTCACATGAAAACCACTTTTGTGCGCTCGCCTGTGGGAGGTCTCTGGATATACTTACGTTTTCAAGAATTTTAGTTGTCACCCGCCGACGTTGTATGATGATTCACAGTCCGATCGTTAGCGTAGACAATAAATTTCGCAAGATACAAGCAGGAGTTTAAAAGGCTCGAGGTGTCGAGATTCAAAGGGAGCTCGGGACGGTATGCTGAAGGATTTTGGGGATAAGTACCGCTTTTTAGGCCGGTAATACGACGCATACATTTTTGCTGATGAGTACAGACAGCTTCGAGTCAAGCTTACCGAGCCAAGAGGGCCATGTGAAAAGTAGTTTGCCTGTTGAGAAGCCAGTATATGCCTATGATCATCAAGTTGCCCAGAAAGCAAGTGTTGGCGACACATACAAAAAGGGGTGTCCTTTGGACCACAACCAGCAAGCCGACCTTGCAACGGCTTCGAGAACCACTACCAGGGAATTAGGGAGCACGACACCCGATTCGGCAAGCCTTGCGAGCTCTCCTCATCAAAATTTACACGAGGGCGCGTGGGAGAAATCTCACGAGTCTACTGCTCCTCACACACTTTTGAATAACAGTCAAAAGTGGTTTATGGTCGCTTTGCTAACATCGGCAGGTTTTTGGTCATCGCTGGGCTCGCCCATTTATTACCCAGCTCTTAAACAACTGGAAAAGCAGTTCGACGTTGATGAGGAACTGGTAAATATTACTGTCGTGGTGTATTTGATATTTCAAGGCGTTGCGCCCACGGTTTGTGGAAGTTTAGCAGATGTTTACGGCCGCAGGCCCGTAATTCTGTTAGGGATGCTAGTATATGTGTGTGCATCGATCGGATTAGCGTGCTCACAGTCCTATGGAGCTATCGTGGTTTTGAGATGCTTACAAAGCGCTGGAATCTCTCCAATCATTGCTATCAACTCTGGTGTAGTAGGTGATTTCACGGTAAAGCGGGAGCGAGGAACGTTCGTCGGGGCTGTTTCAGGTTTTACGCTAATGGGCCAGGCTTTTGGCTCTTTGATCGGTGCCGCCTTAACAGCCGCATACGATTGGAGGGCCATCTTTTGGTTCTTGGCTATCGGATCTGGGACATGCATGATGATTAATGTGTTGTTGTTGCCAGAGACCAAGAGAACCCTTGTTGGAAACATGTCGGTGAAGCCAGCAAGGCTGATCAACAGATCTCCTGTATTTTTGCTCAAGCGCGTTCAGAAGCAGTTCCATTACGATTCTCCAGACTTTGAAACCCTGAGCCCTGATAGACCGAGGGTGGATTTAATCTCCACTTTCAAGATTTTAGCACATCCAGAAATCCTAATGTCACTCTTACCCGCTGGATTGCAATTTGCACTATGGACACTAACTCTCACATCCATTTCCTCACAACTTTCAGCGGCTCCTTACAACTACAAATTGACCATTATCGGTATTTGTTACTTGCCCTCGGGAATCGGCGGTTTAATAGGGTCCTTTGTGACTGGTAAAATTATTGATATCTATTATAAGAGGGCAGTCCAAAGATTCGAGAACAGAAAGGAGCATGGCATTATTCCTTCCGATGCCAAATTCAACACACTTAGATCCCGGTTGTTCACTTCAATTCCTCAAAACTTTTTGTCTGTTGTTGCGTTCACAATATTTGGATGGAGCGTTGAAAAGGGTTGGCATATTTCAGTGCCATTAATCACGTCCGCCATAGGATCATTTTGCGCCATGAGCACTCTATCTACGTCGAGCACACTTCTTGTGGACCTATACCCGAGCCGATCATCGACGGCCTCCAGTTGTTACAACTTCATAAGGTGTTCATTAAGCGCCATTTTCATGGCTTGTTTGGCAAAGATGAACAGAGCCTTGACAGTAGGGGGAACATTCACACTTATAAGCGGACTGATATTCGTTGGAAATTTTATCACCTTTATTCCCATGGCATATGGGATGAGTTGGCGTGAAAAGAGAGCCAGCAGAGCCGAACGAAAGGCAATGATAAATTAAACTGTGTAACATTGAACCTTGAATATAGTAATACATTAATTTTATTCACAGTAAATAACCTTTTCATGCAATCTTTGACACAGATAATGTGTCACTGTTGATAGTCTTCAGACACCCAAAAATAATGTTCAAGACCAGATTTTTAGTTATTTGACTAACTAAATCGGAATTATTGTACAAAAAAGGAGCAAACGATTTATAACTTTGCGAAGACACCATGTAAATGTCGCAAACCCAGAAGTAAAATCACAAGTATAACTTATGGAAATAATTTCTTCATTGAGATGCGCACTGGACACCCTCGGCGCCACCACCACGCTCTTCGTCGTCAGAATCGTACGATGAGCCTCTGCCGTACGATTGAGAGCCAGAGTGCTTAGAAGGATCGAAGTCAGTCAAGATGCATTCTTCAATTTCGGCGCTCTTTGGAATTGTTGGAAGAGATCTTGGAGGTAGAATTTGCTCCAGTTTCTTGAGAGATTCTTCATCAGCAAAGTGGTTTTGTGGGAAGTTAACTTTGAAAGTGATGATCAGGTTACCGTATCCACCGTACTTCTGGACAGGCATACCTTTGCCCTCGATCACCTTCGTCATGCCAGGAGAGATGACCTCGCCAGGAATGATACCAACCTTGAGCCACTCGCCGGAGACATGCTCAATAGCAAATTCTCCACCAGCAACAGCGGTGAGCAAATCAACTTCGGCCTGATAATGCAGGTTGTCGCCCTTTCTCTCAAAGTGCTTGTGAGGTCTCTGGGAGATGACAAATACAACATCACCCGGAATGATATCAGGCGCTTGGTCCGCTTCGCCTTGGAAAACAACTCTTTGACCATCCTTCATACCGGCTTCGATGTGGACTTCTAGGATCTTTCTTTCGTTGGCAACCTTCTTGGCATTGCAAGTCTTGCAACGGTCTTTGGGGTCGATGATGGTACCGGTTCCGCTACAGGCGTCACACTCAACTTGGAATCTTTGGATCATAGGTCCCATTTGTCTGGTGATGAACTTCATACCTTGCCCGTTGCAGCCAACACACTTCTTGACCGATCCGGCCTTACCTCCACGGCCCTCGCATGTCTTACACAAAACCTGTTTGTTTAGCGCGAGCTTGGCGGTTCTGCCCTTGTACAGTTCCTCGAGAGACGCGCTCATCTCGTGCTTGATGTCCTTACCCTTCTGGGGCCCTCTAGGTCTGGCAGAAGCGCCGCCGCCGAAAAACTGCGAGAAAATGTCGTCACCAAAGCCGCCGAATCCGCCGAAGCCGCCGGCACCGCCGGCTCCCCCGCCGCTTAGACCGTCCATACCCATCTGGTCGTACACCTCACGCTTCTCTGGGTCGCTGAGCACCTCGTATGCCACTGTGAGTTCCTTGAACTTGTCTGCAGCCTCTGCACTTGGGTTTTTGTCGGGGTGGTATTTCAGAGCCTGCTTTCTGTAAGCCTTTTTGATCTGCGTTTCGTTGGCGTCTACCGAGACGCCCAGCAAATCGTAGAACTTTGTTTCTTTGACCATCTTGAATACTATTTGGTATGTGTGTGTGTGTGTGTGTGTGTGTGTGTGTGTGTGTGTGTGTGTGTGTGTATACCTGAAACCTGAGTTGATTTCCAGTAACCACAAGCCTAGTTATAAAGAATCCACCAAATGGAGTGTATCAAAAAGACCCGAACAGATAAGATGCTTATGAGCCAAAGAATAAAATGCTATCTATTCCAACGAATGCACTTGCCTGGTCACTTTCTGTTATCCACTTGCGTAGTAATAAGTTTGAAAGGAATTTATACTAAATCGCATCTCATCGTCTGAGTTCGACTTTTTCCAGTTTAGAAACTTCTCGAAAAGTTTTTTCAGTCGCTGTAGACGAAAGAAAAAAATGACATAGGCCAGCGTCAGTTTGGTAGAAAGTGATGTGGACCAGCGACCAGAACGGCAGGTCCACAGGGTCCTGGGGCTGGTACCAGCTGGTTAGCACGTCGTACAGCGAGTGGCGCGTGTGTGTCTCGTCTGTGTTCCACTTTTGTGTCGTTTTCTTTTTGCGTCGCGAAGATGGCCCTCCCCTCTAACACTACTTCACAGCCCCGGGAAGCATCTGCTGGGAGATGGTTGGGTAGCAGCAACGCTTTTGTCGCTGCGGTGCGCCAGTGCACGCTTGGATCCATGCTATGTTCCTCCAAAACCTAAATGGACGGCCTCTACTGCGTCGAAAATCGAAAAACGAACGTTTCAATTAACCTCATCGCCGTTTATGTAATTAGTACCAGCTAGCTACTATCAACCATCGGATTGAAAATTACATCTCTTCGCACCCACCGCTTCTGGTCGTCCTCTTTATAGGAAAAATTAGCGGGAACTAACCCACAAGGTTCACTTCTTTTGTTAAGTGGTCGTGACGGGCGGCACCAGAAAATGCCTCGTATCAGGCCCTCGACCATCTGGGAGGCTCATCGACTACACAAAGCGCTGCCTCTTTTGTTACCAGAATGCCGAGCCATACCCATCGCTTTGCAAGAACTACAATGGATACGCAATGAACTCGGTGACAAAAAATATAAGATTTGGAAAAGTTGCCGACTGCGATACCACCGTTACCCTCTGCAGTACATTTTGGGCACACAGCCGTTTGGGCCGTTGGAGATCGACTGCAGGCCGGGGGTTTTGATTCCACGATGGGAGACTGAAGAATGGGCCCTTGACCTGGCTCATCGACTACCACCCGACAAAAACTTGCAGGTTTTGGACCTATGTACTGGCACGGGGTGCATTCCTCTTTTAATCAAGCGACTCAGACCGCAATTCGCGGTCGGTGCCATCGAGTGCTCGCCTGTGGCTGTGAAACTGGCATCTCAAAATGCGGAAAAGTTGGGTATCCATATAGATATCTGCACAGAAGACGTCTTGAAGTGCCCGCCGCTACCCCACAAAGTGGACTTCATCACATGTAACCCACCGTACATTTCCCGATCGTCTTTTGTCGGCGACACAGCCAAATCAGTTCAATTATTTGAACCCAAGCTGGCACTGATCGGATCATTGGAATTCTATGAGAACCTTTGCGACTTCTGGATCCACCAAATAGAGGCGTTTGCGTATGAGGTCGGCACTCTGTCACAGTGTAGGTACGTGGAAAGCCGCATCGCAGCCGATCCTGCGCTACGAGAACAATGGCGAGTGGGAACTAAGAAAGATTCCAACAACAAGGAGCGAGTGGTGTATGGTTATAAGACTATCAGTGCAAAGGGTATCGATTGGCATACCTTGTTCCGAGGATTTGGGGGTCCTACATGCTGACTCGAGATATCTATAAATTATATGGTACACGATTAATCTAATCTCTGCTTTTTAGCGTCGGAATCTCCAGTAGACCCAGATTGAATCGAAGTGGGTGCTTTGACATCGTCTGGATTAACTGGGATGACTTTATGACACCACATAAGATAACCACCGCCGCCCCTCTGGGTCATGAGAGGATGCAAGCGACCTCTGATGGTTTGATAGGGCCTACAACGAGTTTCCATGATCGTTGGGGCCAGGTATTCTAAATTTCTGTAAAGAGCGTGGGACAACTCTAGCACGGTTTCCTTGAACTGGCTGTAGCAGACAACGGGCCTGGAACCATGAACTCTTTCTCCCAACCTCGGTACAAAGGTGGGTAGATGCAAAGTAGATGCAACGATCAAACCATCATACTGCAGTTTGCTGGTCCAATCGATAATATCGAGTTGACTGTTGTACCACTTTAGTCGGCGATAATATGCACCTTTCTTATTGCTTTTCATCAATTTCAGTTGTTCTTCTGATAATGGCGTAAACGCTTCCTGGACCTCAGCTAACGCCGGCGGCTCAAAGTAGTCCAATATCGACACGGTTTTGACGTGCTTTTGAATGAAATCCTCGGGATAGTTCGAAAATTTAAGTAGGTCTAGGTTGGCGTGCTCGTTTTCGTGGACCACAATCACCTTTCCAGCTGCATCTGCACTGTGTTCGCCCCCGTACATGCGCTCCAATAAAGCATACACCAGTAAGCCACCAGTTTCGTCCACGCACAGATAAGTCCCGTTAGACTTGACGTTGGCAAGGTTGAGAATCATCCCTAAACTTTCCTCTGACATATCCATCGCACGCACAACGTCGCCCTTGTCTAGCAGATACTGTAAAAGCCCGGAACTGCTCAGGTACTCGAGGGTAAAGAACTTGGCAAATTTCTGTTTTTTCCGCTTCAGGTATTTCTCTTGGGAGTAAACGGTTTTTTGGTGAAAACTACCATGTGCTTCGATCATCTTGTTGATAATTTCTTCACTAGACGCTGTTTGAAGCTTGAGCTGCTCGATTTCCTCCGTGCTCAATTTCTGGATGCTATTGCCAATATTGATGAGGTGCTGATTATTTTCACTGTTCCCGATGGACTGCAGTTCCGGCTGAGGCGTTGATTCTTCTTCCAAGCCGAGCGTGGCCCCTGAATTACTAGCAGTGAGGCGACTTCCCAGCACGCGCAGCGTACCCACCGGGATCTTGAACTTGTTTTTCGAGTTTTTGTTGTCATTCGACGAGCCACTAACCGATACTTTCTCGTCGTCCGCCTGGTCATACTGAATTTCAAACGTCGTTCCGAAAGGAAACCCGACAACGTCGTTTGTGCGAAATGCGCCAAATTTTCCCAGCGAAATATCCGTGTCAGGTTTGAGCTCGCAGATCTTAAGATTATTTGATGGCAGTCGAAGCAATACGTGTGTATTGAAGGTAGCGTGTGTAATTGCGTCCATTATAACAGTGGCTTAAAGACCTACTAAGGGAAGTTCTTTAAGAGCGTATCAAGCTCACTGGTGTATCTACTACTAACGATGAGCAGGCCGAGTTGGTCTTAGCCGATGAGTTTGCCTAAGTAATCTTTGAAAAATCGAATCTATGTATCTATATACGGGTATGTATTTATGTGACGCTCGCACCTCCTTCGAACAAAGCCTTGTGGATACTCGGTTGAAGTACTTGACACTCTTTCAATATGCCACATGGCTCAAATAATAGGAGAGGACGTCAATGCATGGATTTAGGTTTTGTGTGGACTGGACCAGCGGCAGGCTCTGTCACCACCAGGTGAAACTCATTCAGGACCCGTTTTGAACCAGAAAACCAACTCTTAGAGTTTGGGCGGCTCAATACAGTGAATCCAAGTCTTTACATGGAAATATAGACCCTTCTTTTACAGAGTTTATGACGATGACAGTTTTCCGCTCGCCGGTTGAAATATCACTTTGTACAATAATGTCATCGGTTCCCGCCAGAAGTGAAATATTTTGCCCCAATCCAACTTCATCGCCCTTTCTCGGATGCGGTCGTTCAAACCTACCATGTTCTATCCATAGGCTTCATGGCAGCTTGAATGCTCTCTTTGGTGCCTTTATGTAGAGTTAAGAATGCACGCTATAGTAGCGTCAAGAAGAAGAAAAATAAAGACATTCTACTCGACCAAAAGCATCAAACGGCAGTATAGGATGGTCCTGGGCTCCCCGCTAGCCGAGAGCTGTGCTAAAAAGGTAAGTAAGTTATCCGGCAAACCTAAAATGTCACTACAATCCTGGTCCATTTTATCTGAATAACTTCGAGGGCGCATGAATTATTTCAGGTTCCTTCGCATTCCAGATGTTGATTAAATCTCTTGGAGCTACACAAACAAAGAGCGTATTGCTGGCCATCATTTTGATCTTTTCCACTCTCATTTTCTTGTTATTTTGTATGTTTTTTTATTCCATTCCATCAACTGGAAAATTTTCAATTAAAGAAAGCTCATCGCATCTCATCGCATCGCTTGAAAAGTCCAAAATTCAACACACAAGGCTAACCTGTTGTTTCTATCAGAACCTCGTTAAGCACAAATCGTGATCACAATGGGTAGCAGACGTGCAAAGAATAAACAGGCCGCTCCTCCAAGTTTTGATGAATTTCAAGCAAGAAAATCTAAGAAATCTGAGCATTCGCACAAAGGAAAGAAAAAGGAGACTAGCGGGGACTCTAAGCCAGTAAGAACCAAGCGAAAGGCCGATGGAGCTGTTGGTAAAACTAGCAAGAGAAGCAAGTCTGTAAAGGCTGACGTTATAAGCCCAGAGGCTAGCGACGAAGGAGCAGAACTAGTAGGAGAAGAAGCAGCAGAAGAAGAAGCAGAAGATCAGCTGCCAGAGGTGGATTTAGAGGCTCTCTCCGAGGCTAAGAAATCTCTTTTTGATGACGACGAGGAAGAAGACAGTGAAGGGTTGGATGAAGACTTGCAGGACGAATTTGACTTGGAGCAGGAGTACGAGGGCGAAGATGACGACGAAGCAGAAGAACGTCCAGTTTTCTCCGACGAAGAGGAAGGTGACATGGATGAGCTGAACGCAGCAAACATGGAAGCCCTTTCTATGAAACTGGACGAGGAGCAAGCGCTTGAAGAAGAAGAGGCCGAGGCGGAATTGGCCGAGGCAGCTCAACTACAACCAAGGGCCCAAGTGCTACCAACTCCCGAAGAAGAAGAAGCGCTAGCCAATCAACCTGTTGATTTGAACTCTGTGAGAACCCGTATGATTGAAATCGTTAAAGTTCTTGAAGATTTCAAGAATCTCGGTGCAGAGGGCCGTTCCAGGAGTGAATATGTTGATCGACTCCTTAAGGATATCTGTGAGTACTTTGGTTACAGTCCATTCTTGGCAGAAAAGCTTTTTAATCTATTCTCAGCCACAGAGGCCCTAGAATTCTTCGAGGCAAACGAGATCGCCAGACCCATCACCATCAGAACAAATAGTTTGAAAACAAGAAGAAGAGACTTGGCTCAAACGTTGGTGAATCGCGGTGTCAATCTGCAGCCTATCGGCTCCTGGACCAAAGTAGGTCTACAAATTTTTGACTCTCAGGTTCCACTTGGAGCCACTCCGGAGTATTTGGCGGGCCAATATATCCTGCAAGCAGCGTCTTCTTTCCTACCCGTCATTGCCCTTGACCCTCACGAAAACGAGAGGATTTTGGATATGGCTGCCGCGCCAGGTGGTAAAACTACTTACATTTCCGCAATGATGAAGAATACAGGCTGTGTTTTTGCCAACGATGCCAATAAAGCTAGAACCAAGTCCTTGATTGCCAACATTCATCGTTTAGGCTGTACCAACACAGTTGTTTGCAACTACGATGCCCGTGAGTTCCCTAAGGTGATCGGTGGTTTTGATAGAATTTTACTAGATGCCCCATGCTCTGGTACTGGTGTTATTGGGAAAGATCAGTCTGTCAAGGTTTCTCGTACGGAAAAGGACTTTATGCAAATCCCGCATTTGCAGAAGCAGTTACTTTTGTCTGCCATTGACTCGGTTGATGCAAACTCCAAAACTGGAGGTATAATTGTATACTCAACATGCTCGGTTGCTGTGGAGGAGAACGAAGCTGTCATTGACTATGCACTAAGAAAAAGGCCCAACGTTAAATTGGTAGATGCTGGCCTAGAAATTGGTAAAGAAGCTTTCGTCAGTTATAGAGGTAAAAAGTTTCACCCTAGCGTCAAACTTGCCAGAAGATATTACCCACATGTTTACAACGTCGATGGTTTTTTCGTTGCTAAATTCAAGAAGGTCTCTTCATCTAAATACGATGATAATCAAGCAAGCGCCAGGGAGAAGGAAAACCATGCCAGACAAGAAGCCTTGGAAGAAGGTATTATACACGATGACTTTGCTGATTTTGGTAAAGAAGAAGATGAAAAATATATCGAGAAATCTAGGAAGATTGGTCTGTTGAAGAAGGGTATTGATCCGAAGGCCGACAAAAGGAAGGAACCTTCAGGAGGCAAATAGAAGAATTCTGCATAAGATTTAATAGTGCTCTGAGTAAATTGTATATATAGTCAAAGTCATGGTCACAGGCGACTCCCCTTAAATTCATTCTTCACTTCAAATCTTTCGTTAACATACGCTGGTAATATTATACATGCCCAATATTACCCAAGTTGTGTTCCTTGATGTAGTCTGCCCCGTACTCATAGTATTCTTCCCTCGTTACAGCAGTTTTTTCATATGCTGTACCTGACCGCGACAACTTAGCCATACCCTTCCAAGCATCTACAGTGGGGCTCTTCGCTAAATTAACACGCAGCTGGCTGTTGATTGGTAAAAGACCAGTAAACTCCGAAACAATCCTTTCCCTCATGCCTGGTAACCTCATGTTACCTCCCGTTAGGAACACATTAGATGCCAGGTTCCGAGTGATTGGACTCAACCCACGTCTAGATGAACCGAATTTTTTGAGGAGCACAGTTTCGCAGATCTCTGTGATTCCTGCTTGATCCAAGCCACCCATTGATGGCTGGAATATGACTTCTGGGACTCTGATTCTCTCAATATTCAAATGCATTTGATGTTGTTGGTTGATATCTTCACCATCATGTGGTCTGGGACCTCTCAAAAAGAGATGAAGAGTAGAGTTTCTCCAGTCATATTGCGCGTCTAAAGTGTCTTCTTCCGTGAAATTTTGATCGAACTCTAGCAACAGTCTCTCCAGTTCGATGATGGCATTATATTCATCTTCGATTGCTTGGTCAAGAGCCTCCGGATTGGAGGTTATGTCATTATAAACAAGCCAGTCTTCGTCATTTGCACCAAATGTGTCATTTGGATCATTATCAACAGTAGCAACTAGTCTTGATCGTTTCGTTCCAGAGCGAGAATTTTCTTCCGCAAGAGTCGCGATATTTTTCATACGTTTCTGCGCAGCATGAGACTTTCTGTCTCTCATGTCTGACTTGATTTTCAGCTTCTGCTTTCGCGATTCTATCAGTTCTCCCAAGTTTTTCCTCTTCTCCTTGATCCAATCGGCCAAATTTTCCTTGCGCCAATTTTCATCCTTTTGTCTAGCTTCTTCTTCTTCTTGCTCTTTCTTGATCCTTTCTTCCTTCGCTTTTATCCGTGCATCTAAGTTTGCCTTCAAGAGCCTTTGCTTTCGTTTCTCTTTTATCTGTTCTTCATCAAGTTGCTCGTCTGGTATGTCTACCAATTCGAATTTGTTGGCTTCATTTTCATTTTCTTCGTCGCCTGTTTCCAGAACTTGAGCTTTCTTCAATGTTTTTTCTAACCCGCTTAAGTATTTCCGAAAGTCTTGCTCGTCATCAAAACCAGCACTTTGTAAGGTTGATAGTATGGCCTTTTTTGGCTGATCTTTCATTTGTTCTTTAAGCTGAGAATAGTATTCATACTCTTCCTCTTTCTGAGCGAGCTTCTCTACACGCCTTTGCCTAGCCTGTTCCTGTAACCTCTTCCCTGTCTCTCTTCTCTTTTCGGCTTGCAGGCGGAGCTCCTCTTCGGATTTCTCCTGTTGAACAATTTCTGAAAAGGGAGCCTCTATTACAACATTTTTAGTCTCAAGTTCTTCCATACTTAGAATCGTTTGAATCTCTTGTTGATAATTGGGGGAAGTATAGCAATGATCGTAGTAAAGGGACTGAAATTGTTGAGGAGAAGGTTTGATTGGAAAGTAAGGATATTTCAAAGCCAAAAGATTAGACAAATAATCAACTGAATGACGACCGCCCCAATTAATCCTTTTCGCTTCACTGAGTATTCCTTTTCCTTCTACGACAGGTATGATATGCGTGTCTTCATTACCGCTGCTAATTACTAGGCCCGAAGCAGAAGGATCGTTGTTTGCGTAGAACGAAAATAAACTATCCAGTCCAAACGTAACTTGAGTAGTGCCATAGCATTCAAAAAGTAATTGGTACCAGTTTTCTCTTTGCGCTTGAAGCGTTGCCAGCCTTTCTGTCATCAAAATTGGATTAGGAACGCCATCCTGGTTATTTACACCTAAGTGGTGGAATGTGTACTCCAAAATCTCTTCTGTGTAATCCCAGTTTGACACAATAGCACCATCATATGGACTTTTGGCTTGCAGTCGTATACTCAAATCCAGGTTTGTGTCGTTTCCGATGAAGGTCAAGTTCTTGTTCTTCTTTCGATCCCTCCATCTAGCTATGCGGTTTGGGAATACATGCGATGGTTCTTCTTGGTTCCCAAAGCCTGCTCTAACTTCGCTTGAACCAAAATCAATGGCGATTGGCGTTTCAGGGTTATAGCTGTCCTGAGAGTCAAAGGGCTCTGCCCTTTCGGTAAGACTCGGTTCTTTGAGAACGTAAGTGGTCAACGGCGCTAAACTTGATCCCCTTGACATTCTTTCAAACAAAATAGGCGATCCGAGCGCGCGCAAATTGGGCCAGGAGGAGTGCTTAGGCTGTAATTGTTGAAGTTGAACTAAACAATTTTGGAAGTGTCTAATTAAAAAATTGTACTTTGACTAGAAACCTGATTATATACATCAATTTCAAATAGACGACAACCGGTAAGAATTTGCCCCCTCAATTCGGTGAGTTTCCGCTATAGTAATTATCTTGGCGGATCTGCTACTAACTTATCAAATACAGATCCCTTTTATTTATACCGCTAGTATACCTTGTTGATTTTCTAAAGAATAGTAATTTTTAGCCTTTCGTCGGCTCTTAACAATGGCCCTGAGTACACGTTACTCTCCTCACGGTCGTTGAGTTGGGGCTTTGGTTTGAGTTGGCATATTTTTCCATGCTTAGAGCATTTGAAAATCGACGATGTGCAAGGCCTTCTCTCTTTTCAGCTATAAGAGCGTACTGGAGGTACTCTTGTTCTGATAGGGTCGTCAAAACAAAGATAGCGTTCATTATAGGCAAGTGTACCCTTTTGCTCAAATCCAAAAGAAGTTAAGCATGCTGCCTTTACATTTCCCAGTAATAAGCGCCATTTCATTGCTTAAGCGCCTCGACGCTGTTGACGAAGCAGTCGAGACAGATGTCATTGCCGGGCCATTTCTTGCACGTATTTCTTTCCACCAACGAGTTGACAAATAACTCCGTTTTTGTGACGACTTTGTCTGCAGAATATAGTGACGAATGGACGCGACGTCTGAGACATAAACCCAAAAGGCCTTCGAGTTTTGGCCAAACTCCTCGAGAGAAGGGGTTGGGCTGTAGTGCAAATTGAGTAATCTTCACCACGCCGAAATCTGCCCGATTGGCAATGTTTTGAAGAGCATGATAAAATCCCTTGCCTAGACCAATTCTATGCAAAGTCGAACACCCTGACTTTTCGGAGGGGAAAAAAGCTGCCGAATTGAACTGCCAATGAGCTCTAGTCCAAATTCAAGATTGATTGCTAGCAATCTTTTTTTTACTTCTAGCAACTCTGCTTTCGAACTGAGTATCTCTGCTTTGTGATTTGGTACATTCGAATGTTGATTCAAGTGCACTTACTCATTTTGGTTTCCTATTCTCGGTTCAAAAGAAAGTGTTCTTCGATACTTACAACCTTCGGTTTTTAATCCTCAAGATGTGCACCCGGCGTCTTCTCAAAAAGTTGAGAGGGGGCTGAAATGAGCGGAACATTGAAACTTTTAACATAGCAGACACAGCATTCAGCGATAAAGTCCTAGGTTTCCTTGGCGCTAGAAAACCTGTTGCTCAAATTTTGGGAGGCCGTAAATATGAGAATTGCCGGAGTATCGTTGCTATTCCAGGAGTGGGATAAGTACCTCTTTACATGGTTTATGCTGCAAAATTTGGAATCAAATTTTTGTGACATAAAGTTAGCCACGATGACAGAGGTAAGTTTAACTAAAGCACTGCAAGGTACCAGATTTTCAGCAATCACTTTCAAGGGATTGTTTACAATATCTCTAATGGGCGCTGAGTCGGGAAACTCTTTCTGAATGTCTCCAACGATTTCATTTTGTACGCTTAATTTGCCTCTGCATAGATCTTTAATCGATCTGCTCAGTGGGAAGGAGGCGATATCAGGGGATTTCACTTTGCCAGAAGCTATAGATCTTAAGATTAAATCTACGGTAAGTACTGGCTCGGATCCAAAACTTTGCCTAACACTATGCTTGATTGATTCGAAAACCCCACATTCTTGGAGACGACCTTACTTGTGCAATCCCTACAATCTGCAGCTTTACCACCACCGCAATGCATAAAATTTTCTCATTTTATTTATCGGTAGCTTATGTCTTCCACATTTCTGACGACAGAAAAGATCTGTCGTCGTTTGGATAGACTAGTTGCATTTTCACAGCTGGAATTTTGGGCTAGAGTTTTCTTGGCAACGTTTGCCAAGATAGGTTGCGGGCCCACTTCCATAAACCTTTCGGTTTTGAATTCATTAAAAATAACATTGTGGGTTTCAATCCATCTAACTGGCCAAGCAAATTGACGAGCCAGTAGCTCTGCCAATAGAAGATGATACAGTTCGTGTCTATTTTTAGTCTTCATCAGTGATAAGTATGGTCGCGGATGATTATAGTTTTCCACAATAAGTAACTGGAATTGAAGAAGGAAAATACCAGTTTCACTGCTCCGATTTATATTCTAGCTTTCAGCCCTCTCAGTCGAGTCGTTTCTTGATTGTGAGATGTCTGTGACTAAACGAAACTCAGGTCTTGTGTTGACTTTTCAACAATCGCTTTCACCATCATGCTTCTAGCACATTCTTAAACCTCTACCTTTTCAACGAGTCCAACTACTTCTACGGGCGAGTGCAGGATAGTCTCTCAGCAAAATGGTGGTTGTTAGATGTTCGACCATTCAGGGGCGTCTGCCGTTTAGCTATGATAGTAGGTTCACGTGCCACCACACACTAATGTGATGGGTAAGCTAACCGCGCAGGCTCTTCATTTTTGGTTGAAGGTCGGTGCTGTCTTTACGGCTGGTGACTTGAGCTCACCCCACCTTATCCCGCTGTTCTCTCAAAAACCAATTGTTTGTTCTCAACAGTGAATGCGGCAGAAGCTTGAATACTCTGTACCTATCCGGCTGTCGCAAGCAAGCGCGGTGGCAGAGCCACTGATAATACGTGTGAAAGACATCATAATACCTGTATCACTAAGAAAAGCGGCCCCGAAGTATCCGATCGTACAGGTCAGAAACGCGCTGGTATAGTAAACCCTCATCGAGCTTATAAATCATTTAACGTAGGCCAGCTTCTCCCAGCCATGGATGATATGCAGCTGCGGGGGGAAACGCCAATGATTGTATTTCACTTGAAATTTTAACCTTTGTGAGGCCACGCGTTAGAAGCGAGGCAGGTTGCAACCCGGAAGCAGCTCAATAAAGCGACACTATGTAACTCTTGAACAGGCGAGTCTACTGTGTATGCTTCTGTCAATTTTCGTTTGGTTGTAATAACCTTGGCAACTGATCAACGGGCAACAATTTCAAAAGTGTCGATTACAATTGACAGGAGCTCCCTTAACCACCATCTGGACCTAGCACATACTTTCAAGCCTATTTTAAAGCTCGCACTCTAAAGTTCAGGTGACAACGTGGATCTGCTATCCCCTTCCCTTTAGGTCTCTAGGACCCCTAAAGTTCTATTTTTGTGCAGTAAAACCACTACACCGGCCACCCTACTAAACAGCCATCTATATCTACACAAAAGTACCCTTCAATGGCTTGAATGGTTCATCAGCTCGTGCTATGATGGTAAGTGAGCTGTCTCAGGTAGAATTTACAGGTTCATTTTTGAATTCTCTTTGTTTATATGCTTTTGAACGAACTTTTTGTAATGTTGATTCAAGAACGGGAAACATTCAATATGAAAACAATACCATTAGTAGTGGTCATTGTTGGCAACTTACCAGACATATATAAGCCGATTGCTTTATAACCAGGCTCAGCACTGTCTAAAACTTTCAGGGTAATATATTACATTCAAGATGGTGTTGTGTGGCGGATCGAGCTCCTCCAAAAAGCCTATTGAACGGAAAATCGTGATTTTGGGGGATGGTGCATGCGGTAAAACTTCCTTGCTAAATGTGTTCACGAGAGGCTACTTCCCTAAGGTTTACGAACCAACAGTGTTCGAGAACTATATACACGACATCTTTGTGGACAGCCAGCATATCACCCTCAGTCTGTGGGATACCGCGGGACAAGAAGAATTTGACAGGTTACGATCATTGTCGTACTCAGACACACACACCATTATGCTGTGTTTCTCGGTGGACTCAAGGGACTCGCTAGATAATGTTCAGCACAAGTGGGTGGGCGAAATCGCAGACCACTGTGAAGGCGTCAAATTGGTATTGGTCGCGCTGAAGTGCGACCTGAGGAACAACACAGAAGAATTTGCTTTGGACTCAGCCATTACACCGGGAAACATCCAGCAGCAGCAGCAGCAGCAGCAGTTGAACGGCTCGGGCGAAAACCCAAAGCTGATTTCGTATGAAGAGGGACTGGCCATGGCCAAAAAGATCGGCGCTTTGCGCTATCTGGAGTGCAGCGCCAAAATGAATAGAGGAGTGAATGAAGCCTTTACCGAAGCCGCCAGATGTGCTTTGACAGCACACCCCAAAGGTGCGAAGGATGGCAACCATGAGGAGGGTAAGAAGAGTAGCGGCTGTGTTGTAATGTAAAATGCTAGATTGCGGGAAAAATCCAGCAGTTATAATAGTGTGCCAGGTACGAAACAAGAAAGTTAGTAACTAGAGCAGACAAAGATATTAACCTAAGTATTTCAGTCGCCAGTTTTAATACAAAATGTCGGATGTAAATGAGACTCGTCAATAGTCCGCCTTTTCTTTTTATCGAGCATACCCCGGTCCCCGGCATGCGCAAAAAGCTGAGACTAAACAATAAACATGCTAAAGACCTCCGAGGCCCTGATCTATAAGTATCAGTTGTGTTCAAGTAGTTCTTCCAAATACTGCGAGGGTACCTTCGCTCTCTGTATTGCCGAGTCTTGCAACTGGATGTTCTCGGGAGAGTTACTGCTACTCTTGGCAGAAACAACTGAAGAACTGAGATTAGATTTGTGTCTCGTTTGGGGGGCTTTTCTTCTCTCCGGGGATGCTGCTCGTTCGGGCTTACTGAGGTCGGATCCTGGTTCAGATATTAATGAAGGCGAAGAATTATTGCCATTCTGTAGAACGGCCTTGCGTTGCTGGTTGACGATTTCCACGGTCGGGGAGATAAACAACGACTTTCGGTTGAGAGCAGCATTTTGATCTTGAAGAGACGAATACAACTCCTGTGGTATTGAAGTGTTAGATGCATGAGGTGAAAGTGCGAGTGGTTGTTCAGACGGCTCTTGGGCATCCAGCAGACGGATTGTGCTACGAGTGGGACTCATGCGAGAGGATCTTTTCTTGCCCACGCCAAACTGAAATTTCTCGTGGTCAAACATCCCGCCACTATGTGAATTCATGTATGATTGGAATTCGGAGTCTATAACGTCGTAACGCTGCTTTTCTGTGTGCCGACGTGAGATATAAGCGGAAACAAGATACATCAGCACAATGGCCAATAAAATGGACCCAACAACCGACCCTACTGCTATGAATACAGTTCCCGAGGGTTTGTCAGATGTCCATATGTGGGGGTTTCCCTTTGCCGAGGGCGGAGTGATGGTCGGCACGGCATATGAAGATGTGGAGGTGCTTGTGTCCCCAGTTGCGGAGGCTGTGGAAGCGCCGCTGGACGACGCTGTGGTTAATGCCGGCAGTGCACGTCTGGCTACATTCGCATTTATCATATTAGTAGCGTAGTAATGTACCTTTGCAAAAGAGATGGATTATGAAACTTATCGTTTCATGACTTTATGTTGATCTCTATTTATATATATGGTATTCATATATATATTTTATTATATTTAAATCTATCTATATATACTAAAAAGGCTATTTATTTACCATTGAGCCATCTCGACGGTACGATTGGTGGGAGAATCAAATTGACAACTTAGAATATAGTAAGCGTACAAATGGTATATATACCACCTTTGAACTTTGCGCCAGTCGTAAGTACGGCAGTTTCGCTGTATCGATCGGGGTATCCGATGCCTCTAAACTATCCATTTATTGCGGATCGATTACACTTGAAGACGGTGATATACGTTGGGGATAAGGATATATCCGACGACTATAAGAACTTTTTGGACGCACAAGACATCAATTACGAGTTTGTCTATGTCAAATCGTGCCGCGACGCAAATATCAACGAACAAATGGACCAAGTATTGCTTAAGGTTCTCGACAAAAAGAACTATCCAATTCTGATCCACTCTAACAAGGGTAAGCACAGGGTTGGTGTGGTGGTTGGTATCATTCGAAAACTGTTGCAAGGATGGTCAACAACTGGAATTTATCAGGAATATGGAATTTTCAGCGGTGGTCTGAAAGGAGAAGTCGACCTGGAATTTATCACAATGTTTGATACGGAGCTGGTGGTACGAAAAGACGGCGTGCCAGACTTTGTCAAGGCTCGGGAGGGGGATGATGGAGCATACTAAACCGATCGTTGACTGCAGCGGTAGTAAGAGGTCAACAACCCCATCGAAATTCACGGTCACCGCGTACCGGGTATTTTTTTTTCAAATCGCCGACTTGGGCGTTGGAGAAATGGTCCTGTACCTATGCAAGAAGGCTTGGAGATCTAGTAAGCCTTAGTACGTATCGTCAACCTCGGTCGTTAAGCAATTGTCAGGTTTCAATTCGTGCCCCATGATTGTGACTCATGGCACGACTACCTAATCGAAAAACGTTAATTCATCAAATGACTAGGAAACTCACGAACAAATCCTCTAACATCTGATAGTTTGCACGAATCGTACAGCAATTCGAGAGGAGCCATGACATTCGACCTTTCGAAGATTATCAGACCCAAGATTTACAATTTGGAACCCTACCGCTGCGCCAGAGATGATTTCAAAGAGGGTATTCTTCTCGATGCCAATGAAAACCCTCACGGTCCCACAATGAAAGTAGACGAGGAGCACTCCGGACTTAACAGATATCCCGACCCTCACCAGATAGAATTCAAGACGAAAATTACTTCTCTTCGAAATGCTCAGTCCGATTACAAAGACGAAAATCTAGAGTCTTTAACAGCAGAAAACGTTTGTCTGGGAGTTGGCTCTGATGAAAGCATCGATGCCTTAATTCGTTCCTGCTGCCAACCTGGAAGGGATAAAATTTTGATCATGCCACCAACGTATGGTATGTATTCCGTTTGCACAGAGATCAACGATGTGGAGACCGTCAAGGTACCTCTAATTGTGGAAGATAACTCTTTTCAAATGAATTTACCCGCAGTGCTCGAAGCTCTGCGCAACGACCCATCTATCAAGCTAGTGTTCATTACTTCTCCTGGAAATCCCGTCGGATCTCTCGTGAACCCAAAGAGTATAGAAGAATTGACCTCGCAGTGGCCGTCTGGTATCGTGGTAGTGGATGAGGCCTATATCGATTTCGCAACGTCAGGAGGCTCGATGTCTCCTTTGGTAAACAAACACCCAAACTTGGCTGTTTTGCAAACTTTATCTAAATCTTTTGGCTTGGCCGGTATAAGACTTGGAATGACTTTTGCCTCTAAACCTCTTGCCCGTGTTCTCAATGCAATGAAAGCACCTTACAACATTTCGTCGCTGGCCTCACAAATTGCTTTGAAAGCCATGGAGCCAGAAAACATTGAAATTATGAAAATGACTGTTGATGATGTTTCTCAGCAAAGGATCCGTGTTTTAAATGAGCTAACTTCTTTGAAACAAACTGCCGATACTCAAATTGGCGGGCTAGACGCCAACTTCATTATGATCCGGATATTGGGTGCTGATGGTAAACCTTGTAATAAAACCGCAAAGGCGCTTTACCACAAACTTGCTTCAGAATCAAAAATAGTGGTTAGATTTAGAGGAACAGAGTATGGGTGTGAGGGCTGCCTGAGAATTACGATAGGAACAAGCGAAGAGAATGATTTTTTGATCAAGGAGTTTGCAGCCACTCTTGCTAACCTTCAGAAATAGCATACTTACATATATGTAATGGTCTTACATCAAGACCGACCAGCAACTCAATTGCACTGTGTCCTAAATGCTTCTGTTAAGTAAAACTTGTCCAATTTGCCTCTTGGTGTCTAGTTTCAAGTTCAGTTCACTAATAGGGGCTGCCTCGACTGTACGTTCGACCTGAGAAACACTCCCGACCTCGCGATCCCTGATCTTGAGCTCTGCTACCTCATTCCGTAGTGACTTGATAGCTTCGAGTAAGTCGCCTCTCTGTGTGCTTTCATCCATAATTTTGGAGATCAAAGGGACCCTGCGAAGGTCTTCTTTCGACAAATGAATCTTCAATATCCGTAATACTTGCTCTATCGTTTTAATCCGATCATAAGCACTTGAGAGCTTACCCCGTAAATTATGCTGCATTTGAGTTTGCCTTAGATTTAGCCCGCCGTCTATCACCTTTTTCTCATGTAGAGACTTTTCTAGTTGATCGTAGTGAAATCTTGACGCGAATCGGCATTCCTCTAAGGTGGCCAAAGAACCTTTGACAAGCGCAGCAACATCATTTGAAAGAGACGATGCTACTTTAAAAACTGGCTTTACCTCTGTGAACGTTTGATCGACAATGGCATTCAAAACCTCAGCCTCCTCCAACCGCCATGTATATGACTGAGGTAGAGTGCGTTTGGTTCTTTCGAAGGGTTTGGTACTTTGGTCTTTGATAAAAGACTCGAGGTTTTTCAAGTTAACTGTGAGAACCTCTATCTCGGATGATACGACATTAACAGTGCTTTCGATTCGATTCAGAGTCTCATTTGCATGTTTTGAACATTTTGCCATCGCTGCGGCCCCAGTGTAGAACTTTTCTATAATCCTAGGCTTAAACTCTTGTGCTTGGTATAGTTCATCATTCTCGAAACTTTGCATTTCAAAATCTCTAGTTTCAGTTGGAATGGTCTCGGTGGCAGCGTCCCCTGTCAATGAACACGCTTGAGTACCAGTACTCAGAGTTTCAATTGGAATGGTTTGACTGCTCGTATTCAGGCCTTGCCCTTCTGTGTCCCTGCCTTCGAATGATTTGTGAATGCTCTTCTCCTTGGATGCCTTTATTTGATCTAGTTCCTCCTTCAAATCATCAAATTCATCAAACGACTCGTTTTCTGTACTACTTCTCGATTTTCTGGCCAAAAGACCTCCCTCGGGGACGTGTATCGGAGATTCCTCACTAGAATGTGTTTCCGGGTCTTCGTTGGCAGTATGTAGAGTAAAATCAGCATTTTCCTTTTCTTGAACTGAATTCTCTTTCGTTCCATTTTCGTTGTCATGAGCTGAATTTTCTTTTCTTTCCGTTGCGTCGCTTACGGGTTCCTGCTGTTCGTCAAATTTGTTCGCCTCAGCTACTTCACCATGACCTTGCATTACTGGAGGGCCACTTGTTTCGGAGGACAGCTGTTGTTCTAGCTTGTTTTCCTCTTCCAAGGATATTGGGTAAGGGGAGTTCATCTCAGGTTTCACATCTTTAGTCGTCACGTACTCCAATGCAGCAGACTCTCCCTCGCCTTTCAATTGGTCATTAGAATTTTTGTTTTCGAAGTTATCTTCAGTTCCAGTATCTTGAGTTGCAGTACCTCGCTTCTTTGCCAAAGTAGCAAAAGAAAATGGAGAAGAACCACTACTCAAGTTGTTTGAGTACTTCGCAAAAGCAGTGCTCCCGGACTCTTCGGGCTTGGGAGATGGCGTATTAGATAACGAATCCGGGATATTCTCGGCGGATATATTTGCAACCCGCTTGATTCTCTCTGTTAATGAGCTAAAATCTGACTTCTTCAAATCGGCTTCAGCTGGCTTCTCTTTCTCGCCTGTGTTTTCAGAATTAGTCGTAGCAATTTCCAAATCGCGATTATCCTCGCTCAAACTTTCGGTTGAGTCGCGTTCTTCTTCGTCGTAAGGCGGTGAGGAGCTATCGCTATTAGATTCCTCTGAAAATCTATCACTTTCATTGGCTTGAGTTGTGTCATTGCTTTCACTTTCAGTTGCGTTGGTTGACCCTGTTAGACTTTCGCTTTCTCGTTCATGATCGCTAGAGTATTGCTCAACCTTCTCACTATTCGTGATCTCTGAGTTGGCCCCAAATACTGCGCTAGTTTGGAATTGAGAAAATGGATTATCGGCTGGCTTGTGCTCATTCATCTTATCCTTCAAGGAGGAAAATGGGGATGTGGTGGCGTTTGACGATTCGCCTCCTAACCAGCCTTGGGCCCCGAAAGGGGCCGTTGCGGTTGTATTTGAGGAACTCTGGCTAGCAAAAGATGGCACATTCTTGAACGGTGAAGGTCCATCTTTGAGCTTTGCAAAGGGAGACTCTGAACTTGCAAAAGGAGTGAAAGCACTCTTCTGAGAGCCTTCATTCTTCTGAGAGCCTTCATTCTTCTGAGAGCCTTCATTCTTCTGAGAGCCTTCATTCTTCTGAAACCTGGTGTCTTCCCCCACTGCGCTAAAACTTGTTGTGCCAAATTGTGGAGTTCCAAAGGCCTGTGCTGAGAAGGCTGGCTTTCCAAATGCACTTGATCCGGGTGCTTTTTCACTATGCAAACCATTGTTGAAGCCAAATGGACTAGATTTATTTTGAGAGGCGCTAAAGTTAGGTTTTCCAAAAGATGGTTGGCCAAAAGCAGAGGAAGTGTTGGCAGTTGAATCATTCGATGTAGCATTTTCTCCTGTTGTAAATGAAAAAGCACTTGATCCGAAAGCGGGCTTTGTCTTCCCGGATGTGCTACCAAAACCAAAACCCGCTTTTTTGTCGAAACTTTGAGTACTGCCAAATCCCAGTGCAACCCCTGCTCCTTTATTTTCATCCTGCGAATTATTTTCGTTGGTGGAAGCGGAACCAAAGGGTCCGTCCTTTGTAGTGCTCTGGCCGAAACCAAAGTTATTGGTTCCAAAATGTGGCTTCCCGAATGTACTTTGGCCAAATCCAGATTTTTCGGTGGTATCTGATGCTAAGTTGGCTCCAAAAGTTATTGGGTTCTCAATTACTCCGGTAGGTGGCGATTTCTTTTCATCTTCGTTCGCTTCGTCGTCGTTCATCTCCTCAGTGAGAGTGCTCTCTCTTTCTTTCGAGTTATTATCAGCGCTTCCAGCTGCCAGTTGTTCCATGCCAATGCGTCGTTTCGTTCCCAATCTTTCTCGGGTCTTAACGGTTGAAAACTGATTGTTTTTGATTCCATAACTATTGAATAGAGCAAACGTGGTTAGGTTTCCCTCGTTGTTGAAAATATAGAATAGCGGTAGGTCAGACGCAACATCCACGCCCTGGCAAGGTTCCAGGATTTGTACGCCAGGTGTTGTGTCAACGGCAAGGCCAATAGGGTTTGTGTCATTGTCGGTGTCCTGATTGATTGGCAAAACAGCTCGGTCACTATCTTGGCTTGGCTGAAGCACACTCGCATCATCGAGGATTGTAATTTCCGAAGACGTCGCAGATCCAATCACATAAATATGGGGATACGATGGCATCATTTCGTATAGGGTAGAATGATAATATGTGGGATCTCTGAGGACACTGCCAAACGCTGGTGCAATATCAAAACTTTGGTGAAACTCCCAGTTTTCATCGGCACCTTCCTGTACGACATACATGTTTTGTTCGTACATTACATCTTCATCATCTGCGTGGACTGGATTTCCAAGGGCAATTAAATACCTCTGACAGGACAAAATCATGATGGAGAGCGGTTGGTACTCACTCTGTACCTCATCTTGGATTTCTGCGGGTAAGGTGAAGGTTTTCAGAGGATCCTGTTTGGCACCTTCGCGAATTTCCATCCTCCCGTTGGACTTCAATACAACCCATTGCTCTGCGCTCGTATCGAAATCAACCACACCTTCCACCAGCAATTTTGTTTCTCCGTTCAGAGACGCTATACGTAGTTGGTTATTTGTCGATTGAACGAGCACGAACTCCTCAGTACCGGCAATTATTTTTGCTGCCCTAATTCTCTCACCCGCAGAAAACTTTGGATCAAGCGGCAGACGGATCCATTCGTCTTTCCCAGCACAAAATGTGAAGAAGTGGCCATCTCTAGTTATACTCAAAATATTTTCTTCGTGTGCCCCGTAGAAACCAACAAGCACGACGTTTTCGAGCTTTTTCTCAGCGACAAACTTTAGCGGTTGCGGCTCGGCTTCTTGGCTTAAAACCCGGTTTCGCAAATCTTCAAGTTTACCCACTGCCACAGTCGTCTGATTGGCTGCCACAAAGAGCCCTTTGGAAGTGGAGATCGCGAAATTTTGTAGCTTAGAGAAAGGAACCTTCTCATTATAACCAGGCAAAATTGGGACTTCACCCAATGGCTTGAACCCAAAGTCCTCTGACGTTACCGTGGGCAGCTCTTCGCCTACTGAAGACATAGTTTGGGACAGTTTCGAGCTTGAGCTTGGGCAAAGATCGTGAATTTTTGTGAGGTGATGGAGGGAACCCATTTGCTTAATTTACTGCGTATGCCGATGAGTGTGTTATATGACTAGTACATGATGACATAGAAGAAAGTGTACTAGAATCTGCTTCTGACGTGCTTGCTAGAGACGATACAATAAGTTCAACCTGAGGAGCTACTGGTGTAGTTCTAACGCAACTGCAGAACCCACTGATCGCCTCAATGAGAAATTGGCATTGTAGGTGGTTTAATGAAGTTAGCGAAGACATTTACTTGACCTTGAATATACACATATACGTCGTAACATTCTCACAGCAAGCTGCGTTTGCAGCTTAACGTGAACTGGATTAGATATTTAGTAGACATTTAACATAAGAGTGGTCGCAGCATGTTTCCCCAGACAAAGAATAAAAAAAGACCAGGGTACAGCACACGCCGCTTCTGCTTGGCAGCTCATCTCAAGCGCATCGCTTAAGCCGAGAACGACAAGGACCAGCCAAGCTTGTGAACAGGTTCACCCAACTTGAGGGCATCGAAAGAGGCACCGACACCCAAGTCGACACCTGGTCTCAAGGCCTGTTTGTAAGCCAAAGCGACGATACCAGAGTCGGCGACCTTGGCCTTGACCTGGGAAGTTGGGTCCAAGGCGTACTTGGAGGCAAACTCAATGTTGACGTTGGAGCCGGCCTGAGGGTTGAGCACAGCCTTGGCACCGACCTCGAGCAATGGGCTGACCTTTTGGAAGAACGACGCGGTGGTCAACTGTGCGTTGTTGATGGACAAAGCGACAGAGTAGGCGCCGGCCGAGTAGCCCAAAGCCACAGCGTAGCGGGACACGGCCGCGGCAGCAATGTCGTAGCCGACCTCGGCACCGCCGACGAAGCCCTCGTGGGCCAAAGTCAAGTCACCCACGAACGATGGGCCCTTCAACAGGTCGAACGCACCGCGCGCGGTGAAAAAGGGCTGGATGAAGCTCAGGTTGAGCTTGGCGGCCTTGGACGCGCCTGGCACGAACGACGTGACCAGCTCCGACTTCAGGCCCGGCGTCAATTCCGCCAGCTCGATCTTGGTGTCCAAAGCGTTGGCCGACGACCAGCCCTGCGTCAAAGTCAGCCCGGTTGGCTTGTCCGAGACCTTAGCCTCCACGTTAGCAGCGATGGACCCGTCCTTTGGAGAGCTCTTACCCTTGACGGTGAAACCAACCCCGTTTGGAGCAGTAGTCTTGACGTCCACGGCAGCTGGAGTGCCATGGTAGAAGTCACGGTTCAACAACCCGTTGATGTCCTTGGAGATGTCATTGAAGAAAGGAGGAGCCATTGCGAGCTGAGTATATACAGAATCTGCAGAGAAAAGTAAGAGCTTTGGGAGAACGTGTGTTCAAAGTCTGTAGACAGGCCTCTTTCAAACAGTTGTAAACAACCTACCTTGTGTCCGATCTGACTTAGGTGTGCCCTTTATATACGCTGCGTGTAAATTATGGCGAATATATTTTTTTCCCGTGGGTTGGCTTATTATTGTGATTGGCTTTCTTTCGTTGCTAGCGACCCTTTTTATAGTCATTTGTTGGGTTTAGCTGAAATGGTCCAATGAAATTGTCAAGAATTTGTAGGTTACCAGGAAAAGGCTGGAATGGAAAGGCAGTGGTGGTAGATGGCGGCGAGTGTAGGAGCTGGAAGTTGATGGAAGCTTGACAAGGGCGCTTGCAGAGAAAGACGCTCAACAACTGTGGAGTTTTCATGTAGGTCGTATCTTGTGACTAAGTTTCTCTCGCACGCGGTCTTCTGTGGCGTCGTGAAATTGTAAAGACAATCAACGAGCGGGCGGTCGTGATGGAGGTGCTAAAGGCACTAGGTGTGTGGTGGTGCATGTGCGGATGAAGCTTTGGTTGTATGTAGGCCGTGGAGCCAGGCCCAGTGCGAACATAAGTTGGACTTGCGTTTGGACTTGCGTTTGGTTCCAGCGAGATGGTACAGCTCCACGTGCAAGCATGTCCAAGGCTGCCGAGCCATGCGCGGGCTGTTTGCAAAGGAGCGTTGATACCTAGGCTTATGGAGGGGGCTCGAGCTTTGGCAACGCGTGAAGCCAGTCGTCGTCACGATCACGGGTTGGGAGCTTGCTTGTATTGAGGTGAGCTTGCTTATATTGAGGTGAGCTTACTGAATAAGTCGGACATAGTCATCATAAGATGAGTAACTTGGATCTAGGGAGTTCTATCTATCTCTCCGTGATTATTTTAGACATTGGAGCTGGTTCAGTTACCGCAACAAAAGCCTGGTATTTATACAATTCTCACCGGTGACTCTGGTCAACACATTTATTGACCACCCGTTCCAGATCTGGATTGCGGCTCTAACTTATCAATCGCCTATCCCATTGGACAACAGTTGTTCTCTGCGGTTTGTCTTAGCTTGTAACTCTAATTGTATGGCCTCTGTTGTGTACTATCATTCTGTACCACTGTGTCACATATTTACTGACGCTGATTATGCGTTTAGGCGCACACCACCATCAGTTTCCTCACATTATTCCCAACAACTTTACTTTGGCGGCCTCAATATTCCAAAGAGATTCTCATTTTGAATACGTTCGTCAAAGACCCAGAGCGCCGCTTAGAAACGTTGGGAGGCTCTAACAGCTGTCTTGGCCCAAATAAGATTACAATGCTGATCGCCAGTGATGTTGCCGCTTGAGGCCTTGATATTCCTGATTGTTCCTACATGTCCTATATTTAACAAAATCAATCGGGGAATTTTTTTGATACATTTAGGGCAGGATACCCCCACAATCTCTTTGTTGGGCACTGAATAATTGAAACGGGCTCGTCGTAGCACTCCCATGCCATCGCCACTCCGCGAAATTTGATCGGCTTTAAAACCACTTCGTGCAATCTTTGTGCTACTGTCATCACTTTCTACTGCAATGGCATGGAGCTATAATGTCCGCTGCGTTAGAATAGGAACCCTCAAGATGACAGGGTAGTGTCAATAGTCGGCTTCAAATGGTGTTTCAAGGGCAGTTGGGGGTCGACCACAAGACGACGTCCAAGGTCAAGTAGAGCTTAGGCAGAGGGAGGAGCACGATTAGATCTACGGCTTCTAGCTAAATACTAAGCTCGACCCTGCCACAACGGTCCTGCCACAACGTTGTCTATTACGCGCTTGATGCTAATCACGTCGTACCCCCGGACAACCTTCGGTAGCCCCGACATAGCTTGCTCGAAGCAGGCCACCAATCGCCAGCTACGCGTGGTGTCAGTATTGTACAAAGTGACTGGAACATAGCAGCCCTGCCGCATACATACACGGGCGCTCTGGGCAGTCCCATAAGAGATAGTTTTTCAGCGGAGAACTGATTGAAACTGTGAGCAGCTGGCCACGGCGAATACCAGCGTGCCGGGCTAAATACCTCTTCAGATGTCGTTGAGGAAAAGAAGCTGGCCTGATCTCGGTCCAAAATTTTCCATCACTCTCCAAACAACGCACCTGTCAAGATCGCTCCTGCTGGACTCTCCCACCAGCGAAATGTAATACAAGTGTAGATGTACATACATATATAAAAGCTGCACGTCATCCTTCCAAAGACACCACAAAACTCTCCGAGCTGGGAAAGTCATCAAGGGTCCACTTAACAGTACATTTCCACCCTGCCATCGCGAAACAAGGCCACGTCAACCCTCTTATATCGCCAGTGGGTCCTAACTCACCCTCTGATTCTCTTCATCTTTTTGAACGACGTGGAGAACGCCTTTTGTTTTCTTGCTGATTTCGAATACTGTGGTTGCAGACTAGAATTTCTACTCATAATTAACATATTTATTTCATTACATGAATGAATTACATAGATTTAATTGCTACCGCTAGCCATTGACACCTTAATCTCCACAGCTGGGTAAAAGCGATGAATGCCGAAGATGACAAGAGAATAACGGTCGAGACAGAAACTGTGCAGACACCAGCACAGAACCTTTTACCAGTTCAACCGGAGGAGAAGGCCGACGATGAGGCTTCCAGCGTCCAAGGTGAACAATCCGCGAACCTCATCGATCACAATCCGCTCTCGCTGCACAACAGCAGTGGGGCTATACGCAACAAGAAGTCTAACTTGTTTATGGACTCGTTTCTGGGCAAGGAGCCCTCGCCGTCAGTGGCTTCAGCCGCTACGCATACCGGTGTGCTCAATAAGCCGCTAGTGTTGTCCGGGGCTACCACGCCGAATCAACCGTTCAAAAGTCCCACGGAAGAAATGGCGCTTCCGATTCGCTCCTCTGCTACAGATGAGCGCAAAGCTGAGGACAAAAGGGGCAGTCCTGGCGCGCTGGTACCGAGCTCCGGCGAGCACGCCAACGAGGACTCGTCCCGCAACAAGAATCGCGATCCTCCCAAGAAATCCGACTTTTTCGCCGCCCGGCTCGCGTCCGCTGTCGGGGAAAACGAGATCAGCGACTCGGAAGAAACGTTTGTATATGAATCTGCAGCCAATTCCAACCAGGCCGCTGCTCCCGGAGAACCCCGAAGCCACGGCGTGGTCTCTAAGATGAGTGCCCCCGCCCTGAACCATAGTGCATCCAACAACACAAATGCCAAGCTGCTGAATCGGGCGAAGGCCAAGCGCCACACTAGCATTGCAGCAATCCCGCCACCATTATCGGAACACTCCGAAACCGACGCGCACAGCCTGCGATTTGTAAATCGCAATAACCCCCAGGAAATCCGGTCTGTACGATCCTATAAAACCATGCCACAGTCACCGGGGAAAAGACTCTCTCTCATATCGCTCGCTCAAAATGGTGGACCTTCGGTTCCGCGGCGTACCTCACGCAAAGTTTCCAGCAATTCCAACCCCAACAACGTGAGGCGTAAGGCTTCTCAAAAGCGACAACTAAGAACGACGGCCTCCAAAATATTTGACGCTCATGGAGCTTCCCTTCGACGGTATTCAGGAGTTCCTGATGACGTTAACTTGGAAGATTACATCGAACAAACTGGTGGAGAGTTAACGCCCAATAAGTTTGCATACAACACCGAATCTGAATACGAGGATGATCCCGTGAGTTATATCCACCAGGGGGACGATGAAGAAGACACACATTCGATGTTTTATTACCAGCATCCCAAGAACGATGGCGAGGCGCGAAACGGTTTGTCAGACTATGACGAAGAGGAAGAAGAGGAGTTGGATGGCGAGGAAGAGCGCCAGGGATATGGGACGACCGATCCCTTGGGCTATCCTCCGCCAGTAGATTATTATGATGACAATTATTTTTATCGTCCGACAGAGGCCTCGCCTTTGAAAAGGAGAGGATCACATTATACTGGTTACTCTCCTCATAATTTTTACACTACGAAGACGACTTGGGTACGCTTCAGGAACTTTATTTATTTTGCATTCGTCGTCTCGTTTCTACTGACATTGGGATTCATCTCGGGGTTTTTGCTTGCCACCAACAAAGAGCTACACGACCTTGAGCTCTCGAAGTTAACGTCAATTTTGGTAAGCACGGATGAGTTGGTATTTGATGTTATAGCCACAGCGTTCAATCCCGGCTTCTTTACAGTCGAAATTCAGAAGGTAGAACTGGATATCTTTGCCAAAACGTCTCATTTGGGAATGGAAGGCGACCCCTCAGGCACACCGTATCAAACAATATTACTGGGAACTGTTCAAAACATGGAAACGTCTTTGCAATTCCAAGGTGGATTTTTTAGGAGGAATTACGACCTATCCAGAGCTAGTGTTAAACTAATCAAGCCAGGGAGCGGTGAAAACTCGGATAGGCAGGACACATCCGGAACTTGGAGTCAGCTGGAGGTTGAAAACGGACCGGAAAAATGGCGGCAATTGATTCGTTATGAATTCGATTTGATTGTACGCGGGAATATGTACTACAAAATGGCATTTTTGAACAGCGAGAAAAGCATAGGCGTACAATGTACCACCACGGTTGACCCGGATGGTGAAAGTGACAGTCGGGCAATATTACCGGCAGAGCTGGACTTCGTGTAATTTTTTTGGTGCAAAATTGAGCTTGCTGGTGGGCCTTGATAGATAGCGCGTATACTATTTAAGATTGCTCAGCCGATGCATGGTACCTCATTACTTCTAATTTCTCATGTGAACAGCTCTCGCTACTGACGTTCGGGGCTACACAACAGTTTGACAGCTTAATGGGTGAATGCCACTTTGACAATTGTTGTTTTTAACGAAAAGGGTGACATTTGATTGACACATAAATGACATTAAACGCTCATTTCATCAACGACTCGGTGCAAAGAACCCAATTGTATCATCCATGATTTTCAATGGGTCAAGAGGAGTCTGGAAACCATTAGTGAATTACATTATGGTGCTGCTTGATGCGGGCAGCCAATTTTCTCCCTAGCGGCAGCTAGGTCATTCTTTCCACATTCGATTCGTGGGCATTTCTCATTGCTCACCAGGACTGCAAATAGTAGCGTTTGGCTGGATGACTGAAAATAGGATTCCGTGATTCTGCTAGATGCTCTTTTCAAGAAAGTATTAGATTACTATGTCAACAGCGATAAAACCCGTCTATTATATTACGCCGAATGCTACTCACGAGAAACAGAGTATCATAAAAACAATCTGTCTAATTCCCTTTGGGCCTGCAAAATTAGTTGTGGTGCTTTCTGGAGAACTAGCTGGAGGGAATTTGCTATCAATTCGAGAGCAATGAATGGGGCCAGTGCCACAGGCTTACACTAACATTACACGCTACTCGAAAAGTAGTCAGAATGTAGTTAAAACGCAGCTCCTCGCCAGGATGAGATTACCAAATGCGTATATAACCTCCGTACACCACATTGCAACATAATTGCGGTACCAACTATGCTCCGAAAGGCCCGTGCTCAGAAACCCACTTTAATGCTCTACCTATTGTATTAATTGGAAGCACGATGTCCTCAATTGGCTAGTGTGTTCACCTTAGCAATAGGCGCTTTAAGAACTTTACGCTTGCTTCCAGAACTTCAGTATCACCGAATGCGTGCGTTTTTGGCTTCAACAATCAGAAACCTAAATTAGGGCAGAGGTAGCTATCAATGACACTTGATATTTTCATTTGATCTTCAATGGGCCATTAGGTTCTATACATTATGGGTCGTTATCATGACGCTGGCATTACAAGCTCGAACTGTGTTGTGGGCATCACGTGAAACAAATTCCTGGTTTAGTTTCTTTTGCCCAGCACGATTTCAATCCTGAAACAAATGCCTTTTGACTATATCCACGCAAGACTTGGCTTTGGTAAGTCCGGAGCTTCGGGGACTAGCCAACAAACCCAGGACGTGTATCAAAAGCACTGGGAACCATTGGAGGCCGAAGCTCGACCGACTTAGAGGCACGGCGGTAGAGGAAGCTGGCTCACTCTGGAGGCCTTAAATTTGCAGAAAAACAGCTGCACATTGCACCGTTTGGAGGGGTGCCAGAGTTCGTGTCTAGCAGTAATAGCGGTGTTTTTTAGATGCCTAGTTTTGATCAGTTGAGTTTTGCCGAGCGAAAAGGCGTCGCTCAAACTGAGCTACAGGAATGTGGTAGTTCTCCATACCGTGCTCGTAATCGTAATACGAAGAACCTGTTTTTGAAAATCGGAAACTCACCCGTCCAGAAACTAGCGCAAGGTAGTACACAAGATGAATTTGACTCTGAAGCGACTTCTCAAACTTCTTTACGAGACCCTGTTGCAATTGCTAGCCGAAAGCAAACAGCTCGCAACGAAGCACACATTTTCTCTCTCTCCAGCGTTCTAGACAAGGCGAAAATTTCCCCAGTTTCTAGTAAAGGTTCGTCTGGTGTACAATCCACGGCAGATATTGGGGGCACGCGAAGCAGAATCAAAAGGAAGATGTCCTCACCTTTGCAGCTCAAAACTTCTTCTGTAAGTAGCAACAGTACTGACGGGCTTACAACTCCTATTGAACTTCAAAGTTTGTCGCTCGAACAAAATACGGATTCTGCACACCACACAACGTCTTGGGTGTACCATAAGAAATCGGCTTCAGCATCGCCGTCATCATCCAATGATGACAACGGCTTTTACAAGTATCATGAAGAATACAAGGGCAACGCGTATCCACAGGGGCCTTTGCTAGTCCATGGGTCAATGCTATACCTATGCTCTGAGCCAACTTTTGAGGAACTGCAAGACTACGATGTTACGATCAATGTTGCTCAGGAGGTCAAAAGCTTCCGCTCACAACTCCCGGTCGAGAAGCAAGGCTACTATCATCACATAGAGTGGACGCATACGGCCAAAATATGTCCTGATTTACCCAGGCTAACGCAGCTAATACATCAGGCTGTAAGATCTGGCCAAAAAGTGCTAGTACATTGCCAGTGTGGCGTGTCTCGTTCGGCGTCGCTTATCGTAGCTTATATTATGCGATACGAGGAATTGTCCTTGAATGACGCGTACAATCACCTCAAGGCTGTGGCCAAAGATATAAGCCCTAATATGAGTCTGATATTTCAGCTCATGGAGTGGAACGAAGCACTCACGACACACAGATTACATACCCAGACGGAGAATGCTGGAACGGGCCAGAATGGGTCACCATCCCAGGATGAGAACAAGCCGGACTTGAAACCGTGGGAAATTGCCAACATCTTATCACAGCAGACTGCAGATGAACTAGCAAAGGCTTTTCTCAGTAGTCCCAATAGCTCAAGTATATCAACAGAAAATACACCGCGCACGCCTCGCGAGCTACCAAACTACTCCCAGGTTCCCTATAAGCCGTCATTGACGGGAAAATCTGCGAATTGTTTTGGGGCCCCAGTGGCAGGTTCTTCACAGTACTATTCTCTATTTGATAGTTTAAGCCCATCTTTGGTGCAACTGGGTGAAAAAGATGGATCAACATGGAATTAGTCAAGTCTAGACCTTGTGTCTTTCTCCTATTGCATTTTGACAGATCACTGTCCATCCATATCTGTCAATAACAGGCCATATTCAAACATTTTTTCTGTTAATTCGATTTACGAAGAAACATAGAACATTCATTAGGATATTCAAGTCCCATGTAATTATATTGTGAATTAAGCATCGTAGTGTTTGTGACCTGCGGAAATGACTTGTGTCACATTGTACTAATTGTAGTCAAAATTCAAGAAGAGTTCAATGAGGTATCGGGTTGTGCAAAAAGAGCTTAGGCTACTACTACTAGGGCAGCGGCGTAGAGAGCCTATTGGTAGTATGGGGGATGGTACAGGTGGTCGTAAGGAAAATGACAATCCTTCGCCTGTCAAAAGAAGGTCGCTAAGCAACTATTTATTAAACATTCAAAAAAGACGACAACAACTAGAGGAAAGCGCCAAAGCACAGCCCGAAATATCATCAAAAGCCCCTCTAAATGAATCAATAAAATCCAATTCAGAGACGGATGAAGCTGAAGAAACTGGTGCGGGACGGAATCCTAATAACGCCAGCATAACTGTCAACATAAAAACTCCCCACGATATTTCCCCCAATGAGCAGCAGCATGCGTTACCAACCAATACCGACTGGGCATTAAAATCTTTGGGTAGCTCTCAAGCAGAGAGAAGCTCTGTAGCTGAGTCAAAACATGGTATTGTCAAATCTCGTTCTGAGGACGAGACCCAGGCGCCGCAAAACGTGGCCAGGTGTGATATAGAACAACCCGGATCGCCTCCGCACTCCAAGCTTGGCACGGCTGTTGACCTACAACCTATCGAGCGGCCACCTCCAGTAAAAATTCACGAGGCCACTAATGGACAGCCAGAAAGGCTCTCCACGACATCGCTTAATACCCAAAACAACGTTATTGAAAGGGAGGAAAGAGTCAAAGCAAAGAATGATGACAAGAGGAAAGCATCGAACCAAGCGGAGCTACTGAAATCTTTTTCACCAAATGTGACGAAAGAGTCTGATGTAGGTACCGTCTTAAACCAGTCGCAGGAAGATGAAAGCGAACTTAGCGAAGTTGAAAGTGACGCCCCAACTGAACCTGCCTCACCTCCTAAACCTCGGCTTGGGAGATTAGTTCGCGGGGATCAGTTACGATCCTCTCCTTCACGCACGGTTCCTCATATCCCACCTACCCACAGCGATGAATCGGAACTCTCTGATTTGGAAGACTTGAACCAGCCTCCCATTTCGAGCAGTATTTTGCATGGTGATTCTCCAACACATAGGTCCATTGTCACTCTCAATTCGTCACCAGCTAGACTGTTGAAAAAATCTCCGAAGCACATGAAGAGCTATGTGGCTGTTCGAAAGCCTCAGAATATAAAAAAGAGCGGTGTTCACAGAGACGCTGGAGGCAGAACCAAGTTACAGATATCCTGTGATAAAGGTAAGTTCGATTCTGCTAAGAAACTCATTGAAGAAGGATATGACGTGAATGATCAGGATAATGCTGGGAACTCTTCATTGCATGAAGCTGCTCTGAATGGTCACTACGATATTGTAAAGCTACTTTTAGAAAACGGGGCGAACGTTAATATTCAATCTTTTGAGCCAATCAAGGATACTCCACTAATCGATGCCGCAGCCAATGGCCACTTGGATGTAGTCAAAATTCTTCTCAAGTATAACGCTGATCCCACCATTGTGAATTCAAAAGGTTTAACGGCGATAGAGTCAATCGAAGAAGACTCAGATCTAGATGATGACGACTTAGAGACAGTACGGAGTCTCAAATCAGAGTTACGAAGGGCTGCCAGGCGACTTAACAGCGATGACGAAAGACGACAGCGTTCATCATCAGCTAATAGACACTCTGACGGCGATCGATCTTCATCCAATGTTCGACTTGGAGATGAGTTTTATTGGTCAGATATCACATCCAAAGTTGGACGGGAAAAGCTGCTCAGGTCCTCAAGAGAGGGAAAATTACCGTACGTTGGTGCATATCTCGAAAATGGTGGCCGTGTCGACCTCAAATCATTTCTTGAAGCTGTCAAGTTTGGCCATGAGGATATCGCAAGTTTATTTCTCGCCTTTGGGGCACAGACCAGCATGGCTACTCGCGATGGTCAAACCCCATTGATGGTCGCGCTGGGTCGTGGCCATACTGGGACTGTTAAGCTACTATTGGAGGCTGGAGCAGACCCCACTGCAAGAGATAAATCTGGGAAATCAGTTTTGAGCTATGCGCAATCTAGCGAGCTCGGACTTGCGAGTAAGGGCGAAATTGAACTGATTCAGAATGCTTTAGAAAAGCACCAACCAAAAGCATTTGCTCAGACCTTCTGGCATGATGATGAAGACAACCAAGCTAAAGATGTGAGCAGCTCACCTCAACCACTGGTTCCCCAAAAACGAACAGAGGTGCTGGATCGCGACCTTGGCCGCGAATCTACTAGCAAGTTAACACCCCAAGAGCTCAACAGTTCCAGAGCCTCCTCCCCTGCACCGGTTAGTTCTTTTTTCTCCTCAGCTCCTGCTAAAAAACCCAAGTTGGAAGCTTCTCTGAGCCCCGGAGCTGTGGATACGGCTTTCGAAGTACAGAGAAGCCAGAACGGAACTCCTGCCAACTCGACTACCCCTAGGCCGGCGGAGACTGCACAGGAGAAGGAGGCAAGATTGAAGGCAGAGGAAGAATACAGGCTAAAAAGACTGTCTACGAAAAAGCGGAAAGAGCAAGAGCTGCTCAACAAACTGGCTGATGATGAAAAGAAGCGTGCGGAAGAGCGCGATCGGAAGGATGCGGAAAGGCTGCGAAGACTGCAAGACGAAAAAGCCAGAGAGGCTGAGAAAGAAGCCATTGAACGCATAAGGGACGAAATTGATCGGAGGCATCTGATCCGAGCACAGTATCCGTTGGGTCTGCGCCTGGTAAATTTTCAGACCACCGATGATTTAAACAGTTTCTTGCCAGTCTACTACTCGGTCATTAATACAAAAAGGTATGTCATGGACATGCACATGTGCGTGCTACTGAAGGATGTCAATTTCGTTGCCCGATGTTCAGGCGGGATAATAATATCTGCGGCTCACAAACTACAAATGTGGAACATTTACAAATTTATTTTTTTGCTGGGGGGCCGCGGCGTCACAAAATCACAGGTCCAACGGGACTTAGATGCTCTGTCATTCCAGAGTCGAGCCGAATTCGAAGCACAGGAGCGAGAGCGGTTTATATCGCTACCGCTCCACTGGGTCCCATGGGACGAAATTGAATTTCCCGAGAATTTAGTACCGTCTAAAGGCGCTTTAGAAGCCCAAATGGTGGAACTCAGTATGTGGTCCGAAAGAGCGCCGGGGGCAGCTCCCTCGCAATCAACTACAGCTGTGGGGGCTGTCGCCCGTCTTGGGACCTCTGAACCACGTGACCAAGGCACTCTGGATCACACCACACGAACAGTGCTTTCTTCTGTCAGTAAGGAGTTACCAGTCCGATTCAGGAATCGCCCTAGTATTAACGGTGCTCTAAAAGGCCCACTTCCGGCTTGGTAGCGAGCTTCATTGAAGCAGGTACCGTATCCGAGTATCGCACCTCGTTATACATGACAAATATATTTTCCCACCCTGTGATTGGCTCTTATTGATTGGTCAAAATTTGTATAGACCACACGATACGAAATTTTTCAGTAACATTGGAATAGGAAGAATATTCAGCTTGGATCCCATATAATCCTCTCGACTTCTCAAAAGCCGCAGAACCCGAAATTTCAAGGTGAACCAGAACTGAATTCAATCCGGATTACCATAATATAAGTATGTGGCAATGACTAAGCAAAGGTTGAATGTTGAGAGATGGCAGAGGACATTTGGGCGAGAAACTTTCCTTGGAGACCGCACGAAAAGCAGACCACAGTTTTGAACATGCGACCGGCCGACAGTGTGGAAGGTCTGATGAAAAATGCGTCGCGCATGTCGTCTTTCCCTTTTACGTGGAGGCTTGGCTATGTTGTTTTTTGTACTCCGCAGGTCAGCAATTGCTATAATCGCCAGAGCAAGCGGTCGCTCTATGTTTTTGAATTTCTCTGCTGTCCTCCAAGCACCCATGAGCAATTACTAACGTTTCTTAAACAGTGTTGCGCTCGTCGTTCACCAAAGTGGCTCGTGTAGCGCCCGTGAGATTCGCACAAACACAAGCAGTTTCCAAGGCTGCCATTGTCGACCTACACAGCAGATGGGAAGACCTACCATCTGTCGAGCAGCAGGAGCTAGTCTCCAAATTGACTGAGCGTCAAAAACTCCCATGGGCCCAATTGACCGAGACCGAAAAGCAGGCCGCTTGGTACATCTCTTATGGTGAATGGGGACCAAGAAGACCTGTGCATGCCAAAGGGGACGGTGCTTACATAGCCAAGGGTGTTGTTGTTGGACTTGTTGGATCCGTGGCTCTTTTCGCCTTGATCAGACAATTCGGTGGTGAAGAGCCAAAGACTATGACAAAGGAATGGCAATTGAAGTCTGACGAATACCTAAAGTCTAAGAACGCCAACCCATGGGGTGGTTACTCTCAGGTCCAGTCCAAATAAGCATGTTACCACCAATTTTACTACTATTCAACAATAGCAGCTTCATTTTTTGCGAAGTTTTTCGGGCTACTGGCACCGGAAAACTGAGTGGGCGCATATTCATTCAACAACATCCATAGAGTGGTCTTCCAAACATTGAAGAGCTCGCCGATTCGTAAGTCCGAGAGTCACCTATGTTTTTTATTTAAATGAGAAGAAACAATACAATAAAGGAAACAAAATAATCTTGAACAAGCTTAGCATAAGTTCTTACATACATCTTGAATTCAACCCTAAATTGAATTGTTGCACGGCTTGAGCGTGTAAGTCCACGTTTGTCCCGACCAAATTCCTTTACCATTTGGATCGCGGGCTTTTACTGGCTTTGCTAACTTGAAAAATTTAAGAGTCACTAATTACTACTTGGCCTGCAGAGCTCATCGCACATATTTGGTGCAACCTTCAGAAGCACAGAGCAGGATCTGATACCTATCATGGCATTCCAGTTTGGATTTTCTGGACAAGATTTAAGCGACGATGAATTGAGCGACCATCGGCAGTGTTCTCAAGACAGCCCTGGCATGATTGGCGAAGCGGAGAAGCCAGCATGTAACCCACTAGACTCCCCCAATCTACAGTCGTCAGTCTTCAAGCAACCAGCTTGGGAAGATCTGGGTGCAATTTTGGAAAGTCTCGTTAATGTCAGGATTTCATTTGAAAAGATTCTAACTCCGCAATGTGGGATCCCGCTGTATCGGCGGGAACTTTTCGATGTCAAACATCAACTTATGACAGAGGCAGACGACGAGGCAAGCGTGCATAGTAGTGTAGAGCTAGAGATTTTAATGGGTGAAACGAATGAAGATGTACGCCGAAATGTTTACGAAGGGGGCCTAAAGTCGTGGGAGTGCTCGATTGATCTTGTCGATGCTTTGTCTTTAAGCCTTAGTGAAAGCATTCGGTCAAGTACGATCTTGGAGCTTGGATGTGGTACATCTCTGCCGACTGAATATCTATTCGCACAATTGCTACAAAACAAGGGCCAAAGGTGTAATGCAAACATATATTTGGCTGATTACAATGAATCCGTGCTGCGTTTAGTGTCAATTCCAAATTTAGTACTTACGTGGGCGGTAGTGACTCTAAGCTCTCAAGAACTGACTGAATTACAGAAACATGAAGACCCCAATACCCCTGTTGCCGAGGGCGAGCTTTTATTGACAAAGGCTCTGCTTCGCAAATTTGCACAGGACATATCTGCCAAAGGTGTCCACTTGAACCTTTTATCGGGCGCATGGGGGCGCGATTTCTGCAACATTCTACTTCCGCGACTACCAGAAACGAGCTCAGAACTCCTAATATTGTCGTCTGAGACAATATATCAACCTGAAACGCTCCCAGTGATCTCAGAAGTCATCCTGGAACTTCTGCAGTCAAAACCCGGTGCAAGAGCATTAGTGGCCGCCAAGGATATATACTTTGGAGTTGGAGGTAGCGTTATTGAGTTTCAAAACTACATCCACGACAAAATACAGAGCCGCTCTCTAAATCTGGTTCAACAGACCAGCAAAATCCAGGCTGGTCTTAAAAGGTCTATAGTATCTATTCACCAAAAAGAGCAATAGAGGAAATTATTGAAGGGTTGTCTTAGGCTTCGTATTTCTAAGGTCATAGAACTTTAAAATAATCTAACGTATTTGACCAGTTCTAGTTATAATATTAGTTTATATCAGGCGATTCGAAGTCATCTCAAGATGTGTTATTGTTTTTGTTGTTAAATAACTTTATAAACTTTCAAGAAATTGTTGTGCCACCAAGTTCAAATGACTACGATCAAGTTCAATTTACGTGCTGCTCAGCCAGCATGACTAACAAGAAATATCTCAAAGATTTTGAAGAGTATCTGGCTGATGACTTCAATGCTGTTCGAGCTTGTTCTGAGCTAATCAAGGCGTCTAATGTTGATCCAGAATCTTCAGAACTCGACTTGGTAACGTCAATAAAAAAGGTGGGATATAACATTGACGAAGTCGATAAAAGAATCGAGAGCGTAATAAAGGCAAACTCTCTAAATTTGGTTGACGTCTTCGATAATCGGAAGTTAGCACAAGAGAAAAGTCGCGAGTCTTTGAGTTCCAGTGTCGAGTACTTGAGCATGTCATACAGTAGGCTCGAGAAAGACGTGTTGAAGCCCTACGAACAGTGCACCCAGTTGCAAGCAGCATTGAGTAAGATTCACCAAACCTCCAGCCTTTTAAGAGATGTTTTGATCTTCATGCATCTAGTGAGACAGATCGCACAGAATACTATATCTGCATCCGAAAAGGAAATACCAGATCAAAACCTTTTAATACTAGCTTCGATACATTCGCAGATTCAAATGGAGCTAAGCTCCAATCCAAGCATGAGGGCCTTGCGACTAGTTAAAAAACATGAGTTAGAAACAGTTGGTCCTAGCCGTCGCGAAACACTCAGAGTTTTAACAGAAACACTTCTCCGGTATTGTGGTGAATCTTCAAATCCTCAGGAGCAGCACGATACCGGCCGGCTGCTTTCTGCTCTTTATAAGCTGTCACAGAAAGATTTCATTAGCACAATCGATAAAGTGGTACAACTGAGGGTCAATTCCAGTTGTCAAACCCTTTCTAAAACTATAACGTCCATCAGAAATTTTCCACACGCCTTGCAGGAAGCCATCGTCCAAGCCCACCAACTAGCAAATGTAGAGGACACGCTTCGAATGACCCCCGCGGAGAACACCAATCTGCTTCAAGAGCACTCATCTCACAAAAAATATGCGTCGCTAACTCACATATTTTGGAATCGTGTTGCGAAGTCATTTAAAAGAGATTTCGAGATATCCTATCATAGAGGTGGCCCTGTGGGCAAATCACTAGCCTCTAACTCCAAAATGATTATTGACAGTATTGAGGAAATGATAGCGCGGGAATCTGCAAAAGGCAGGGCCGAACTAGAACAAATGCGTGACTCTGTATCCATTATACGTGTACAGACTACAAAATGAAGAGAAGTGCAAAAAAGGAGCGGATGAGTTGGGTAGCAGATTGAACCGAAAACACCAACATTCGTACTCAAATATCGCAGTATTATTCTGTGCGAAAGCGTGGGGCTGGCTTTACATCCGGTGCAGCTGACTTCTTGTTTTTCTTGCCGCCCCGTTTGTGGAATTTTTTCTTTGCTAGTTTCTTCACCTCCTTGAGTTGCTGTGCGCGGCTCTGATCTCGTTCTGCACCGAGTTTTCTAGCTTCACGCTGCTTTTTCCCTGGTCTCCTGCGTTTGGCTTTCAGCGCTCGCAGACGTTCGAGTTCAATTTTCTCATTATGCTTGTTGACGTCTAGAAAACGATTCTTGAATGGCGCGGACCTAGAGCCACATTCTTCCAGGATATCCTTCAGTTCGAGCGCACTTCTTTCAAACTTGATAAGCTCCTGCGTTGTGTATTTAGCAAAATAATAGCTCTGGGGTCTTTCCTGTCGAACTATATCGGGCGATGGTTCTCTCAATGAGACCTTCATCAGCCTCGAAGAGCTGCGGCCTCTATTGTCGCTATCGTTGTCTCTAATTTTGACGTCAACTTCTGTCGACTTGACCTTGCTTTCGGCTATGCCAAAGGAAAACAATGGGAAGTCGTATTCATCTTGAAAAGACTCCTTATTATCCGTATCTGCTGATGGTTCCACAGAGACAAATTCTAGTTCGGGAATCAATCCGTCATGGCTGCTGGGTGGTTGGGATTCCTGAGCATCATCAGAGTCGAATAATTCTTTCCGTGATACACTGAGCGATGCCAAATTAGTATTGTGTTGCAAAGCAAATAGGCATTAAAGTTTATTATTTAGCTTACTGTTTGGTAGTCTCCATTGCTTGGCGAAAGACCCTATCTGGTCGTCATGTCATCTCTTGTCAGTTAATGTCGATTCAAGTAAGTCAGTCGACTAATACATAAAAAATTGACGACCGTCATATGATCGAGACACTCAGTAAGAAGATTGACTAGAAGACGCCACGGGTGTCAGGAATACTGTACAATGATCAGACTTTGGAATTGAGCTCAAGGCAGTTTGGTTTCCTACGGACGGATTTGGAGCGGGTTACTTACTCTTGATATTATTATAAAGGAAGCTGGATTTATAACCGCACGCCCGAAGCGATGCTGTGCGGCTTCGTTTTAAAGTACAGTCTATCTAAGCTGCGAAGAGCGCTTATATGTGTGGGATCGTTGTGCCACCAAAAAGCATTCCTTAGAACTGCTTTCTGAGGTAAAATCACTTGCTGATTCTTGTCTTCATGTTCTGCAAAAATTCGCGATAAGATTGACTGTTGAGAATTTTGTCCTCCACTAAAGTGCTCGTGGCCCACAATCTCAAGGTCGCTACTTCTCTAGCCGAGGCGTGGTTGACAGGTTCGCTCAATGACGCCCCACGAACGATGTATAGAGGTTGGTAAGTGATGACATCGGCATGCTCACGTAATTTAGAAACAACATTTCTTACTCTGGCATTGAATTCGGAACCTTCCAATACAGGTAACTCTTGTTTGCCAATCGGAATCTCCAAAATATCAGGGGTACCAAAAACGTCCATTGTCAGCTCGTTCACAGCATCTCCACCAACCCACAAAAATAGCTCCGTGCTGTTGTCGATGAGATAAAGACCATAACGCTCTAATAATGAAGATGTTGCATTGATGCGCTCGGGTAGCACGACCTCGCCTTGCTCGTTTGGCAAGCCTGCGTCATCAGGCATGTCATGCAAAGAGTAGACCTTGGCGTAGATGTTCTTAATCACATATGGAAGGGGATTGGATTCCAAAAAGTTGAGCGCGGCAGCTCTGTGATCACTAGGCACCAAACCAGCGCGGAAAGCCATGTGTTTCGTCAAAGAATGCATTAATAGGGGCAGCATTCTCAAGTTAGCACTCAGTCTCAATGGAGCGCCTCCAGCGGTGTTCGAGACCACTATCTCCTTCTTATATGTTGCTAATATCTCTTGGACGGATCTATTCAAAGACTCGCGGGCCTCTTCGAGATTACTGTACGCCTTCTCGATTGCTTTTTGGGAAAAGAATGCAGTGATGGCTAACTGGTCTGCAGACGCATACGTTTCTGCCAAAGAATCTGTGGTTGGGATGGCCAAAGTAATGACCCTAATTCTACGTTGCCCAGTGTTCAATGACAGTAGAACAGCGATTTGCAGGTAGGCGTAATCACGGACCAGCTGCTCATCTATGCTAACTTCAAAAACGTAAGATTGGTCTCTTGGAAAAGTGGGGAACGCACACAAATCAGAGGATCTGTTGAAGAAGTGACCGTAGAATCTTGTCATTCTCAAACCGGATGATCCACGCGCTCTCATGACAGCCTCCATGGACAGGTCCATAGTCAAGTGCTTAGAAAACTCTTTCGTGAACTTCGTCACATCTGTGAGCTTAGCAGCAGACCAACCAGGGTAAAAATGTGTTTGTCCTGCGGTGAACCGCGATAGGTTCGACAATGATGCAACATCAATATAGTCCTCAGTAGCCAGAAAGAGATCGATAGTAATTTGATTTTTGTTACAATCAATTGTGAAATTTTTGTAGAAAGAGTCCTGACAGCTTAGTAACTGAGATGCTTCCTTTGGCGTGTTTGCAACACCCGTTTCATTACGCTTTTGCAGTTTCCCAATTCCCGAATTTGGCAAAGTTGAAGAAACTACGATAATTTTACCCCCAACACCTTTGATGAGGTTGAAAGCAGCTTTCAAAGCAGGTCCTAGGGCCAATTTTGACATGATGTTGAACTGAAAGATTTCTGGAAGTTGACTCAACAACTTCTCGATATTTGATCTGCAATCTTGTAAAGACACATACATGGAGCTGGGCATAGGAAGGAATGGTTCGTCCAAATCCACTACATCCAGCATTTTGATTTGGTCACTTTCCTCGTCCAACGGAATAGAGAAATAATGGATGGAGTTGTCAACTGCCAAAATGGTGATTCTAGTTCTTTGGTCATGATTTGGTAGTGTGTCCAGTGTCTCCAACAAGGTTCTTGCGGCGGTCGCGAGAAGGCCATTTTTAATAGCGTTCTGCGAAACATCGAGAATAAACGCGTATGAGGAAGGTGGTGGTTGTCTTGCAGCGTACTCTTTGGGAGCCAAGTACTCAACCACGGCGTGTTGCATCTCATTTCTTTCGTATCGATTAACAGGAAGACCTTGCTGAGACGCGTCAAAGGCCATAGGAACATCATTGGCCAGGTTACAGAAGTTACATCTCCATCTGCGGCCGCCATCAACAAAAGTTACGAATGGGTTGATGTAGGAGCGGCACCGACGACATCTGACAACCAAACCATCGGAATTGAGTGGTACCTGACACTCCGAGTCTTGCAAGTTCAAATAAGGTCTGATTACCAAACCCAAAGGTAATTTGGACTTTTTCAGCAAGGAGTTGGATTTCGGAATTGCATTCAGTGTGCAGCGGACATAATCAGATGAAGCATTGGCTGTTTCGACGGGAACCACAAACTTTTCGGGTGGTACCATGAGTGGCGGTGGAGGCAATTCTAAATCCGACACAGGTGGGGGCAGCTCCGTCAACAAGTCGATCGGGTACAATTGGTTCATGGGCCTGCCCACAGAGACCGGTTGTTGCTGCCCGTACACGGGATTACCAGCACTGGGAGAGTTGTAATCGTTGATCTGTTGAGGAGTTCCTAGACCCGCATTCTGAGCCAAAGTAGGGTCCATAACTGGCACATTGTGCAAATGCATACCGGCCATGGCTTGAGAAGCATGGTCGACTTGTTGGTGAAGTTGTTGTTGCAACTGCTGCTGTGCTGGAGTCAAAAACTGGGGCTGCTGGTTGGTAACAGGCGTCTGGATCTGGGAAGGGTGATCCTGACCCAGTACGGGCGAATTGGCTGGATTCACACCTTGTCCAAACTGAAACTGAGCTTGCGGGTATACACGCTTCCTGTGAGACATTTCAGGCCCGAGAACGATAGAACTTTACGCGACTTCTCTCTCTCTTCAGTTGCAGGAAGGTCAATGTTTAGGTTTGCCACCTGTCTTTTTCCTGATAGATACTGGAGAATTATCGTTCAAAGGCATAAAAGCTCGAGTAGACAAACGATCGGATAAAATGAACAGAAAAACGAGTGGCTGGCGCGAATAACTCGAATGGTATCGCCGCATCCTTAGCACCTTGCTTCCATAAAACCAGATGGGCGTGTGTCTTGGGTACTTTTATAATATAGGACGCTGCTTGGAATTTCCGGGGCTTTAAATACTTACGATACGAGGCCCCAAGCATGTTGGAACGGGAAGTTCAGGTACTGACAGCTCTGTGCTAGCAATTGAGACCTCAGAGCTCGCTTCTCGAAGTTGATTAGTACATGTCTTGAAATGCGCTTGGGGAAAAACACACGTTGCGTGTAATTCTAAAAAATGGTTGATTGATTGATCAGATCATAGAATACTGACAAGAAAGATAGTATAGTAATAAGCCTCCAATCTACCCGGAAGTCCCAGGCGAACGTTTAAGCCTCCGGCATAAGCTTGGGCTACGCCGATCTGCCTAATGCTTCGCAGAGACCATCTTTTGTTCACGTGCCAGTCCTCGAGCTCTTTATTAAGGTAAGCTTCAATCGAATTGAATATTATAGAGGACAGTTGGAGACCCTACCAAAAGCGCTCTGTGACTCTCTTGGTAACTCCAACCTGTCAGTTTCCAGTCTTCTTCATCTTGGATCTTATAGAACTTCAATTTTATTTTACTAACGCACGTTATCCTCGAATTGTTGTAAATGGGTGAGATTGTACTCTTCAATTTGGCTGACGCAAGCGAAACATATTCGGCATGTATCGTGGTCCATGGAAAGGTTCCCAAGTCAGGATCTTCTGCTGTGCAGGTTCGCTGCTCTCAAACGCCGCCATTGCGCTTTCCTGTTCATGAGTCGTTCTTTAAATGTGTCATCATGCTTAGTCCCGGAGAGAACCAATTGTCCTTTGTGTCAGACCAGGATGATCACAAAAGTGTTACTTTACGCTATGTACCTCTCCTACAAAATGAACCGGTCCATATGTGTCTTCTGGTAGCACGGGACTCGCCCTTGGTGTTTGACTCACCACGCTCACAGCAAGACAAAGAGCATGGCAACGATTTGGAACTTGCATGCCGTAAACTCAGAATTGGTGCTCGACTGATGCAGGCCTTTACAAATGAGCAAATGCTGCGTAATGGGTTTGGCCAAAGAACTTTTCCGTTTGTAGAGGAATACGCTGAGGATACCACTTTTCGACAACCCGCTTTGCGTAATCGAGTCAAGATACACATATTACGCTCCGAAAAATCTGTTGGTGAACTGCGCAATCCAAATCTGGCACAGCAAAATCCCAATGCTTCAGACGCAGGCGGATTATTTGGAATTGCCATGGATGCTTTGCGCAATTATGGGGGTCCATTCAAAACTACTGACCAACACCCAGTGCAAGCCGCGGTAATGTTCCTTGACACACACTGGGATTCCAAGAATAAGCTGATCACCGCACATGCTGCGCTTGGTGGTGGTGACAGCAGCATTAAGTTAGCCATTTTCGGCTCACATGGTCTTTATTCGTGGCCATCCTGTATCGAAGACGTCGTTCCTTATTTTACAGATGACACTCGCTGCTCTAACTCAGAGGTCGCAAATGATGCGGGTGAGTGTGGAACACATTGGGAATGTTTCACACTCACACTGGGGGCATTCATGCATGAAATTGGTCATTTACTTGGTTGTCCGCACCAAGAAAGTGGTGTCATGCTGCGTGACTATGTGCGATTGAATCGATCTTTCCTAACAAAAGAAGCATTTTCTACCAGGACAAACTCCTCTGGGGCGAAGCCACCCATTTTCCCCAGAGAGGAATGCACTTGGCATAGGTTGGATGTGCTAAAGTTCTTACACCATCCTTCATTTACTGTGCCACAAGATTATAAGGACTCCTCCATGCTGAGACCTTCGAGAATCGGAGGATTCAAAACTTCTTCACCATCAGTTTATGCTCTTCCTAACAATTGTTGTGTGCTAAAATCGGAAACTGGTATATTTTGCATTCAAATTATATGCGGAGATCTGGCACGCGCGCACATCGAATACCTTCCAGTCTCCATTGGCGGAACTGGTGCTCAGAATGAAATTATGCTGTCACTAGATGACCTGAGATCCCGAATTCCGCCTGACCATCTTTCAAAATATCGCGATTCATTCAAAATTAAGGTATGCGCCTTAAACTCTCCAGAAGCACAGTGGGACAAATTTCCAGAGTTCCTAAAAGCCTCTCAAATTTCATTGGCTTCGTATGGATTTGCTAGTAATGCCATAGGAATGAAATCAATGCTTTATGGTGGTGCCGATAGGGGACAAGACGTAGGAGTAATTCCATTCACGAGCGGCAATATTGTTGCGCTAAGAGTCTACCACGGAGCTGCTTTAGATGGCATAAGAGTCTATTTTAGCTCACATGCTGAAATTAATAACCCCCCACCGATTCCTCCACGATCATATATGAAAAAGTTGACCAGTGCCCTCAAGTCTGTGAAAATACAGGATGCGTCTGGGCCAAGTATCCTTTTTGGGCATCAAACAAACTCTTACTCAGACTTTTGTCTAAATCAAGGCGAGAATTTCATAGGACTCAGGTTAAGATCGGGCTGTTGGGTCGACGCGGTTTCAATTGTAACAAGTGAGGGCCGTGCCAGTCCATTTTTTGGAAACGCCAATGGTGGGAGCCACCACGAAATAATAATTCCAGAACACCAGAAGATTTTAGGATTATATGGAAGAGTAGGACAGTGGGTCGATGCTATTGGGATTATTTATGGATCAGTTTAAATAGTAATTTCATCATGTCATTAAAATCGGAGGCTACATAATCCAACACTCATAAGGATGGACTGCCTAAGATAATGGGTGTCCTCATATCTCACTTTGGCTCCTGCTCATCTGTGGTGGTCTTGGTACAGGCCCTCTTTGTTTACCCAAAAGAGCTAATTTTTCGTTCAACTTGTTCATTTCAATTTCATGCTCATTGCGCCCTCCACCCGGCGGTGGTGAAGAAGTAGATCTGCTATCTCCATTCCTGCTGCTTAATGCACTTCTCGCAAACCTGCTAGATGCAAAGGAATGAGAAGTATGTGGTCTCAAGGCAGGCCTCGCAATTGAGGTCCCCCCACCAATTGTTGGAAACCGTTGGCCTTGCTTGTTGTTGGAGTGCGCCGAAGAATTTTTGGATAGACCAGTAGCGCTGGCTTTGTTTGCCATAAACTCACCTTTCGTATTACCATTGTTAGGAGGTGCAGTGGGTATAATCGAGTAACGCCTTTCGGCATGAACAAGCCCCATTTCTTGGACTTTCATGGTGTTGAGTTCAGTGTGAGGAACTTTGAAAAATGTGTCCTTACCATCGTCATATTCATATAAAGACCAGGTTACGCCGTATGGTTTGGGTTCCAAACAATAAACGCAATGCAGAGGCACGTCGAGGTTGGCTATGATATCGCGATTGAGGTTGAGAAAATACCCCAGAAGAACACGAGCGACCACGCGATGAGTGACTATAAGAACATTTTCCTTGATTCTTTCGATCTCAGTAATAACTGGTCTCAGGCGATTGATAACATCCATATATGATTCTCCACCAATTCCGGGGTATCTGTATCTTAGCTTGTCGTTCAATCGTTCCTCGAATTCTTCGGGATAGTTGGCTTGAATTTCAGCATAAGTCTGTCCTTCACAATCTCCAGCGCTCAGCTCATCTAGCATGCGCATCTGCTTATTGGGATAATCGTCTTCATTAAAATAATCACCGGTTTCAACTGCTCGCCGGAGCATAGATGTCCAGACGAAGAACTCTGTCGCACTGAAGTTTTTATCGTCATCGTGTGATTCCAAATACGATTTCATTTCAGCCTCAGTAAATTCAACTCGCTGCTTGTCAATAAATTTTGCCAATGCTTTCCCGAAACGCTTCCCTCGGGCCGTTAGATTAGAATCTCCGCCAATTTTGCCCTGAACATTGAACTCACTTTCCCCATTACGCGTAATCCAAATCTGCCTTTCGGCCAAATTAAAATTCAAAAGATAGTATACCGTTTGTGAGGCTAAAAAGCCTTGGATGTTGTATGATATCACTTTCTTGCCCACATCGATCATCTTAATATATTGCACGTTTTCGTCGTCATCCACTTGCTCATAGGCTTTCAAATAATTTGAAAGACGGCCTTTGAAGTCATTAAGAGAAGCCTCGGGATCCTTTCCTTTGTAATCGGGGCCAAAAAGCTTCAACTTGATATTTTTCTCCACCATCTCTTTGTCAGAGCAAACACTCTCCAGAAACAACACCTTAATTTGGTTATTGCGAGAGTGAATTTTCGCTAAGACCTTCTTTCTGCGGCTCTTGGTGGAATTGGTGGCATCAAAAATACCCACCGAGCCAGGTCCATCCAACAGATAATCTAAAAGCTGATCCAAGGTATCCATTGCCCACTTCTCTCTTAAAGCTTTGCTCTCTGGATTTGTAGGGTCAAAGAATTTGGAATCTTGGTCCTGCAAATTGTTGTCCTTGGCAAACTGGCGGCGAGTATTACCCACGTTGAACACTTTGCAGTAATACATTGAGTAGTTAAGAAATCGCGAAAGTTTGTTGGTAATGAATGATTTACCTGTAGCTGGCAAGCCCACCATGACAATAACCAACTTGGACCCGGGATCCTTGTTAGAAATGGTACCGTCTGGACTTGTCCTCGACTTCGTCAGGCCCGGGACATCGATTGTTGTGGGTCTTACTTTAGGATGTATGAAATGTGTGTTGCTTGGGGATTCAGACTCGCCATCCTTCTGTATCGCTTGGTGAAAGCTCTGCAAGTTGCTAGAGCTGCTGTGAGGCGATGGAACAGGAGTCGAGTCACCAGAGCTTTCCTGGGAATCACTTGGCGAATTTATGTATGACGCAACTGGTGTATCACTCAGTGGGCGTTTTTGAAACACAGGAAGTTCGAAGTAATCATCTTTGGGAGAAATTGGTCGCCCTGCTCCTGTCTCAATGTCTAGATGAACGTGTTTTTCATCCTCATCACCCTGGGATCCTCGTTTCTCCAGAGGTTCGACTTCAGAGTCCGAGCTCGCTGCTGACACATTATGCGAGAATTGCACCGGTTTGAACATCATTACATAGGAGTCTCACCTGCTCTTGACCGTTCACTATAGACTTTTGTAGGATTCTATTTTGAATAACAGTGCGATAAAAAAGGATTAATTCTCTTAAAATAAAGGATCAGGTATTTATCAATAGATGATGGGAAAATAGGCGCAGGAGAGCAATGGTAGACTCAAAACACCACAAATCTCAATATAGAGTAGACTTACACTTACGTGGGAAGCTAGAAATATAGTTCCTAAGCGTTCTCGACATGGAAACACTACAAAGGTTGAGGTTCGGGCGATGCTTGCTTGGGTAGGCCAGATTAAGAGAGGTGAACTTTAAACGTGCATTCAATAGTTGCACCACAGGAAAGTCAGCTGTTCTCTGGCCGCAATGAGATATTCGTTACTTAGATTACCTTGAAGATAAAAGCTTCATGGCCAAGGCCCTTCGTGGAAAAGACTACAATAGAGCTATGGATAGGATTAGTATGGAGGGTACAAGCAGTTGGTACTTTCAAACTGTACGAATTAGCTTCTATTGTATCGTCGTTCAATGATCTGAGCGCTCACAGAAGCCAAAGAAACACACGTCCTCGGTCAAGAAGGTGTGCCAGCAACTTCTAGTGCTGGATATTATCCCATGGAGACAATTGACAAGCGGTCCAACGTAGACGAATGTATGGAATAGGTCAAGGGTCTCCAATGCCCTGTGTCGGGCCTCTCACTGCGTAAGAAGCGATGACGCAGTAGCCTTCTGGAAAATGACTGACAACACTAAAGTAAAATTAAACTGCCTATAATCGTATATTAATCAAGCTACCTCTGCCTGAACCTGACACTGTTGTCCGTCACCTCGTTATGGTCTTACTCAACCATCGCCGTGTACGAAGACAATCCTAAATCAGCAAAACCAAAACAACCTTTTGTTAAATTGGGCAAAGAAGAGCCTGAACTAAGCTTCAACAGTAACATCTTGGACTTGGAGCTATTAACCACTACCTAGGTACCAATCGATCCAAACTATTGAATAGAGGCGCTCTTTGGTCAAGCATGTCGTTTCTGCAAAATTTGTATGTTAAATGGATATCAGATCTAACCCCACAACCCAAATTCGAATTAGCTTTAACAGGAAAACTACACTACTTTCAATCTACCGAGCATTTGGGAATCTCTCAAGTCACTGCAGTATTACTAACATCAACTTTCGGCATCTAAATAGCCATCTGAGTCCAGGTCAAACCATCAGATCCACGCGAGGCTTCAAATGGAATACTACCAGAAGCCCTCTAAACGACAATGGCGACTCCAGCAGCCCCAACTTGGCAGAGACAAATGTGCCGCTATTTGCCACGCCTCAGAAAGCCGAAAACACGACTGTCACTGACTTCAATTATACCCCATCTCACCAAAAACCATTCTTGGATATATCACAAGGTACCGCCGTGTCCTCTCATAAAGACCTCAAAGAAATAGTGGAAACAACTTTGGGCTCGGAAGGGGTCCTCAATCAAGCTATTAAGCTACCAAAAGGCGAGGACGTCAATGAGTGGGTTGCCGTACACTGCGTTGACTTTTACAATCAAATAAACATGCTTTACGGAGCCATTACTGAGTTTTGTTCCCCAGAGTCCTGCCCTCGCATGATAGCTACAAATGAATATGAATACCTGTGGTACGTTAAGCCTGGCTCGCCGCCTTTATCTGTATCTGCCCCCAAGTACGTTGAATTTCTTATGAAATGGTGCCAAGATCAATTTGATGACGAAACGGTTTTCCCACCTAAATCAAACATGCCCTTCAGTGCTTCATTTATCGACACCAATGCAAAGCCCATCCTGAAGAGGCTCTTCAGGGTCTACGCGCATATCTATTGCCATCACTTTAACGAGATGCTCGAGCTAAACCTACAAACCGTGCTGAATACCAGCTTCAGACATTTTTGCCTCTTCACACAGCAGTTCCAGCTTCTAAGGAAGCAAGATTATGGTCCGCTTATTGAGCTGGTCCAAGAACTCAAAGATAGATAGTTCAGCGGGGTTTTAGTCTATAATGTTGGTTCAAATTAAGTAGGTATTGATGGTTTTTTAAGAAATATACGTGCGTAGCACTGATGAAATTTTGATGTTTAATTTTCCAAGAAAAATGGCAAGTGTGGTAGACGCCAGCTTTGCACTTTTGATACTCCGAAATATTCACGCACGTCTCTCTATTGCGAAGGAACAACAAAAAACATTCTCCACTCGTCTCCTGAGTCAGTGAGGAGAGAGTAAACTCGAATATATGGTACTCCCTGGATGAGATAGTACATTAGATCTGCTGTGAATTGTGCTCCTTTCCATAACTTTAGTTTGTCCCATAATTTGTCGGATCACTTCTCTTCAATAATTGTAGAATTTACTTACTTGAATACTGAACTCAGAAACATGTGCTTAATCTTGAGCGACAGGTGTTTAGCTTACCTATGGCCACTCACCACTCGTAATTATAGAAAATTCTGGAGCAGTTTGTTGCAAGAAGATACAAAGACATTCTTCCAAGCAATTTGCCTTGAAATTAGACCACTAAGATCAAGCTGCTAAAATAAAAACTTGGGCTGAGCTTATAAAAGTTTTGTCATCATCTGGAGCCATCTGTGGCCCATTATAAACGCTGTCAACTTGATTTTAGCAGCATATGGCATTGGCTTCCGGGAGATATACTTGTACCTGTACTCGTACTCGCACCGATGTCTAATAAACTGTTGTATACAGTGGTCTTCCACTAAGCGAATAACTATTCGGTAATAGAATGGACTAAAGAGCTACAGGGTTCAGAGGAGGAACGAGCTACAGCATGCTAACTACAGCTAATGGAATCTTTGGTACATTGCTGGCTATTGTAGTGGCCTCTGTTTTTTCTTCAAGAGTTCTTGTAGGATTCTTACCACACTTTTTTCGCGTTCCACCCGTTCAATGGAGATTGAGGGTGAATAAGGCTATCACACGCGCTGAGTCTAGCACTAACAAAATCCCTGTGATGGACTTTGGCTGGAAAACCAGTAGTGTAAGACGTCAGATGATAATCGCTTCCTCCAAGCCCTCTGCGTATTCTAACGAGAAATTTGGAAACAAAATTCACGTAGGCATAGAAGACCGTAAAGACCGGCAACACTTTGTGGATCAAATGGCTCCACAAAACAGAAAGTACAACAGAACTATTTACGGCTACTTTCACCCCTTCTGCAATGCTGGCGGAGGGGGCGAAAAGGTACTTTGGAAAGCTGTAGAAACAACGTTACAGAGAGACACCAGTTCTGTTGTTGCGATTTACACAGGCGACTTAGACGCATCGGGCGAAAAGATACTTGCTAGTGTCACGAAGAGATTCGATTACAAGCTCGATAGCTCCAGGATCGTTTTCATATTTCTGACCAAGAGGCATCTCGTAGATCCCAAGACTTGGCCCAGGCTAACCCTTATTGGGCAGGCAATTGGCTCAATTATTCTAACTGTGGAAGCATTGTACAAGCTAACCCCTGATGTCTGGTGTGATACCATGGGCTATCCATTTTCGTACCCAGTTGTCCACTGGTGCACGCAAATCCCAATAGTAACATATACGCACTATCCTATCATCTCCTCAGACATGCTGGGTAAGCTTTCTCTTAGTCCGGATTTTCAAACCAGCTTCAGGCTCAAATTGAAATACTACTACTGGAAAGTTTTCATGTTGCTATATCAATGTACCGGCAACTTTGTTAGCATAGCAACTACCAATTCATCTTGGACTCAGAATCACATTATGAAAATTTGGAAATCTAGCGCTGCTAAAGTGGTGTATCCCCCATGCTCTACCGAGAATCTCATTGTTGAGGAAAACACAGAAGCGAGGAGAAGAAGAAAAAATCAAGCTGTCATAATAGCGCAATTCAGACCAGAAAAAAGACATAAGCTAATCATAAGTTCATTTGCAACTGCGTTAAAAGAGTCTTCTCCAAAGTCTGTCGCTAATCTTCCCAACCTAATTTTTATAGGTTCGACAAGAGGTGTGTCAGATCGAAACTACGTCGAAGAGCTAAAAGAATTGTGTTTCAATGATTATAAAATTCCTACGAATTTGGTAGAGTTCCGGACTGATTGTGACTACGAGGTAATGAAAAAGACCCTACATGATTCTACTTATGGTATTAATGCAATGTGGAATGAGCATTTTGGTATCGCAGTGGTTGAATACGCGGCTTCTGGATTGATTCCGCTTGTACATGCGTCGGCAGGTCCTTTGTTGGATATTGTGGTGCCTTGGGATGTTCAATCGGCTTCTCAAATGACTGAATGTAGTGACCAATACAGAACGGGATTCTTTTTTAAGGATCCAAGTGATCCGGATTTTGCGGCAGTGGATTCAAAAAACTACAGCACACTTGCGGGAGTTTTTATGACAATTTCTGAGCTTCGTACAGAAGAGAAGATCGCCATGTCTCGAAGAAGCCAACAATGCGTCTTGAATAAGTTTTCAGATAAAGTTTTTGCTCAGAAGTGGGGAGAGGTGCTAAGCGAACTTCCTGACATGAAATCCTCTTTCTGACGAAGTTAAGTCCTAAGAATGGGCCTTTCTTTCAATTTAGACAGAAGGTGTAAAAGTATAAGATACATAATGAAGAAAGGATGCCGATACAACCGCTGTCCCATGGGGTTGAGAGCTTCAACGGTAATACTGTTACAACGAGCCTCAAGCTCAGCATCTTGACAAGGTGACCGTTTCAATAGTGTCTCATATCTTTGGGCTTCGATTCTCTGGAGTGACGTTGGTCTTTAGCATCGTCGATATACAGATTCTCGACATATGAATGCTCACCACTGCCTCGAGAAATTCTGGGTTGATCCAAATTCACCCTATGAGTGCTGTACTCGGTTTCTGGGATGGAAATAGAGGTATTTGTGTTAGTTTGATTGTCTAGGTTAGGGGCTGCTAAACTGCTATTGCGATATTGCTGAGCGGAATGCGAGTTTGGATGTACGGTCTCCCTACCGTTAGTCTTAGACGAGACTTTGCGTGACACAGACTTTTCGGTATTCAACATTAACTTGCTGGTAACAAACTTTGCTTTTTCGGTAGGATTAGAAGTTAACGTGAGTTTCTTCAGATCCTCAAACCACATTAGCATTGAATCATATGACTCCACTCTAAATACCCAGTTATGCCCCCTATGGATAATGCCATTTTGCTTGGCGTGCAAGATAAACTTATACTCGGATGATCCCTTCTTGGAGTGCTCGGCGACCGTACAGTCGGTTAGTGAAAGCGACATTACAGGTACTGGGTCTCTTTTCCTATCAGGCGTTTTGAATTCATGCAAATAACTTGGTGTCAATAAGTAAAACCCTTTAGAGTATGACTTCAAAAACTTGGAGCGTCTTTCCAAATAGCCTGATTTAATTTCATAAGTTAATGGATCATCTTGATACTTGTAAACAATGTCTCGCATACTCCTAACCGGCAAGTTTGGCTCAATGAAATTGGAGTCCTTGGCGACAAAATTGTCCCATTCAAATACTGGCTCCTTATTGAAAAAACCTTCATCAAGTTTCGATATCAAAATATCAAAAACTGCTTGGGCATTTTGGCCCATTAGTCGTGCATAAATAGTCAAGGCATTTTGAATCTCCATGACCACAACCTTCTCCAATTCTCTACCGGAACCTTGCAAATTATCAAAGGCCTCATGCAAAAGATTCTCTTCACTCAGTTGTTTCCTAATTTGTCTCTCAAGAGACATTTTCAACAGATGAGGGTCTTGTTTCGGGGAGCTGTAACGCGCCAACTCTACAGCGTCCTGAAACTGCTTCATTTCCGTCTTTGTTTGATGAACTTCTTTGACGCATGCATTTTTGAAATCGGAAGCCAGACCCTTTATTTCCTTTATTTTGATCAACAGGTCACCTCTCAAATCTTCTAGTCGGGGAACAACTTCATTTGCCAAGTCCTTGGAAGCCTTCAGAGCATTGTTAGCCATCTGAGAATGAAACTGAGACAGGATGTTAGGGAGGTCTTGGACGGAACCAGTGCCAAACGGCAGGAAAAACCGTTGAATGGCCTTTTCTTCCGGGGTAGAAGGTTGCAATTGATTTTCGGTCGCAAAAAAAGGGAAATTGACCGCATGAGAGAGACGTAGTTGCTGTCTGACAATTTCGTCTTGAATAGATACCGTCTCTGTCAGATAAATTAGAATGGACCGAATGATGGACCTCCATGCAGCGAATCGCTGTGCCAAGATCTCGGTTGGATTTGCAGATGTTGGAATCAACGTCACAAGGGGCGACCGAGGATCTTGCTGCTTAGTCGCATTATGGACCCGCTGTTGGGAGACGCGTGGTCTGCTAAGTCCAGTAGAGATGGATGCACTTGTCAGTGATGACGCGTGCCCTTTTTGCTTTTGGAATAAATGGTCCATTAGATCTGTTGTTTTATGATCTTCATTGGGTATTGAGTAACTCGCACTTATCGATGAAGCAGTTTCTACTGGATAAGGTTGTTGATTTTTGGCTAAGTTTCTGCTTTCGGTGGCCCTGAGATTGGCGTTGTTCTTACTATTTTCATTAGACATAAGACTTTTCGCACCGCCATCCACCCCAATTAAGCCGTGGTTGAGACCATTTCCAGTACCTTCTTGCTGTTGATGTGACAGTCGATCTACAATAGTGGAATTCATCGACATCTGGACGTGGTGAGGTTAGCTCAAGGCCATGGGACAACTGCCCATATCAACAAACCCAATATAATAATAATACATGGGTCACGATAATCGCGATATACGGAGGATCCTGTGACTAGAAAATCGACCAACGGATTGATTAGATTAATGGGTAGGTGACGCTAACCGTAAGCGTCCTCCAGTCGTACATACGTGGTGCTGCTCAAACTTAGTCGGCTAAGAAGTAGCTGAGACCTTTTTAATATTTGTGGCAAGGCTGCTTGCTGGTTTAAAATTAGTTGAAATTCCTGTAAGTGAAGAAAAAAACGGGCCCAACATAATGGTGCCAGGATATATCGAAGTGGGAATACTGGCTCCTCTCGAAGTGGTTCAAATACAGAATTTGCAATAGTTACGCTCTACAATATTTTGAACTAGCGTTTCGGAAACAGTAATACTCGCATCATTGCGAACTTAGCTTTGAATCGTGCAGCACACAAATGGTTTTTACTGAGCCCATGTATGAAAAGATTAGTTGAAGACATCTATTGAACTCCATTAGTTCTCGATACTACTTTTTTTGAGCCGGAGAATTATCTTTGAAGCGGTATTATTTTCTTTCTCGCCGCTGCTGACAGCTTTAATTAATTGTTTATTTACCTTTCGCTCAGGCTCTGTCACTATCAAAAAACAAAAGACGGTAATGGATAAGCTTGGGAAGGGCTCCAGTGGTCAGGAAACCAGACAATCCCGCAATTTGCTGAGTTTTCCCTCCTCATCAACGCTCTCGCGGCGTGGAAAAGCTCAGCTTGTCGCAAATTCAAAGAGGGCCAAGGTAAAGCCTTTTTGGAAAACATGGACTCGAAAGAAAGGATCCAAAGTGGAGCTCTCTAGCCATACTGATAAATTACGAGCAATTTACGGCACAGAACTATCTCTGGTCACTGCCCTAGTGGTCTGTTTTGTCATGGCCATTTTGTTGATGATCGTAAAAGAGGTGGGGCAAACAGCAAGATATTGCATCAAATGGGATTTTTGGACAATTCTCGTTACGGGAAAGAGAAACTCGGTTGTGAGCATAGTGCAAAGTGCATGCTACAAAATTTGGGAGGCCTCGTAGCCCGATGTGTTGTCGAGGAAAGATATAAGAAGAGGAAACTAGGGTGCAAGTCTTCGCATGCAGCAATCAACGATCGGATGGGTACTCTCGCTTTTCATAGCTTAGGATGATGAAGGACCTGCTTCATATTAGACAGGCGCAACTCATGATTGGTTTTCGTCCTTGACCCTATTCGCTCTTCGAGTGAGAAAAGTACATCGATCCCTCCCCCCGCCGGTAGAGCCACTTGCAAGACATGCCAAAACTGTGATTTGCGCTGGGCCGGTCGAGGGATTGCCGCGGTGGTACTGCCTGGAACCGGGTCTAGAACAGACATCACTAAGATTGTCGGTGTACAGTAAAGGCCGCGATACGGCTCTCCACCGAGCAGCTGCGCAGGGGAGTAACTGGAATCTCTACCGCTGACGCATACCAACAACTCTTTGTCACCTTTTCCAATGCAACACACTTGGCGCGAACCTCTAGTGTCACGTCCTGCTGTTTAATACGACACCAGTTTGACCTCTCTCAATTCAGGGATTCCGTTGATCAGCTCTGGTGCCATGCTGCATGCACCTTAAGGGGTGCCGAGAGGCTCATCTCACTCCTTCAGCAAGCTCAGCTCGACGTATGTAACTGACTAGTGACACATACCTACGGCCTTGTAACTACGTACTGTCATGGCTGTTAAACCGCTCGTAAGATTGTCTGCATGCACCCTTCCACGGCACCTGGCCCATCGCATAAAGCTACAATTCGAGCACTTCCCAATATTCGCCTATACTAATCATCGAGACCTCCAAAAGTATTTATCAAGATGATATGTAATTATTCGTTCGCAATAGACCAACACTAGCCTCTGCTGGATGCTGCTTTAACACTGTCGTAGAAACAATCAATCCTTAAAAAGACAGCTCAAGTTAAGACGCTTATTAATGCTCGGCTGGTTGTTCTTGCCAAACCTTTTCCATAAAATTGTTCCTACAATCTTGTTGACAACGCTGCTGATGGAGCGGACACACAGCATGACCATCAGTATTGACAATTAAACCACTACAATAAAGCTGACGATGAGGCGTCTCGACGGGACTAACTTCCACGCCCGGGAACGGATTACCAACTCTATAAAGGATTTTCACTTGTTAAGTAGTGGTGCCGTGCCCAGTGCGGAAGAATAAAGAGTCTTTGCCGTACGTACGGAAAATGGTCAACTCATACAAAAGGGAAGCGAATGTTGAAAACTTTCCAACTAGTAAGACGCTTTTGCAAACCAATGTCGCCTCTCCAGGAGTTTGACGTGAAGCCTAGGCTTCCTGCGGTACTAGAAAGGCGTAGACCGGCTCAGAGCCCTGAGACCGATTATTCCACATTATCCAACTACCAAAGCTTCAAAGTTGAGCACTCTAAGCTGGACTGGAAGGTATCTTTTGATATAAAGACCATCAGCGGTGAGGTGCAGTATGACTTGCGCAGCTTGAAACAAGAGAGCCAGATTTGCTTGGACACATCGTTTCTAGAAGTACATGAGGTGTTGATCAATGGAATTGCCACGGCGTTTCAACTGGATACCAGAAAAGAACCACTGGGAAGCCGCTTGGTCGTGGCATCAAGTCAGCCGCTGCCAGAAAGCTTCAAATTGACATGTAAATTCTCCACAACAGAGCGTTGTACCGCTTTGCAATGGTTAGGGGAACATCAAACTTCAGGGAAACCCTATGTTTTCTCGCAATTAGAGGCCATCCACGCGCGCTCGCTGTTTCCATGTTTTGATACTCCATCGGTTAAGTCGACCTACACTGCAAGCATCACATCTCCTCTGCCCACGGTGTTTTCGGGAATTGCTCAGTCAAGTACGGAGGTTGGAACGTACCATTTTAAGCAGGATATCCCAATACCCACATACCTGATTGGTATAGCTTCGGGTGACTTGAAGTCCGCAGATGTGGGTCCACGTTCAAAGGTTTACTCGGAACCATTCAGACTGGACGCCTCGCAGTGGGAGTTCAATGGTGATGTGGAGAAATTCATTGAAACCGCGGAGAACCTGATATTCGCTTACGAATGGGGCACATACGACATCCTGATCAACCCAAGCTCGTATCCCTACGGTGGCATGGAGTCTCCTAACATGACTTTTGCTACACCAACGCTGATTGCACACGACAAGAGTAACGTGGATGTTATTGCCCACGAACTGGCCCATTCATGGTCCGGTAACCTGGTTACCAACTGTTCATGGGATCATTTCTGGTTGAATGAGGGCTGGACTGTGTATCTAGAGAGGAGAATAATGGGTGCCATTCACGGAGAGGCAACCAGACATTTCAGTGCTTTGAATGGCTGGAACGACCTCGAAAACACTATCAAAGCCATGAAAGACCCAAACCGGTTCTCCACGCTAGTTCAGAACCTGAAGGACGGCACGGATCCCGATGATGCATTCTCCACAGTGCCCTACGAAAAGGGTTCGACTTTTTTGATGTACCTCGAAAATTTGTTAGGGGGCAAGGAGGAATTCGACCCTTTCATCAAACACTACTTCCGTAAGTTTGCCCGCCAATCTCTGGACACTTGGCAATTCTTGGACACTGTTTTCGAGTTTTTCTCCGACAAAAGAGAGCTTCTCGACACAGTGGATTGGGAAAAATGGCTTTTCACCCCAGGCATGCCTCCTAGGCTTTCTCTGATTACTACCCTTGCTGACGACGTCTACAAGCTGGCCGAAAAATGGATGGTCAATGCACGCACCCTACATAACGAGACAGATTTTGCAAAGGTTTTCTTACCTGATGATGTGGCCAAATTCAGCTCTAACCAAATGATTCTGCTGCTTGATTCACTTGTGCAAGGAACTCCAGCCACATCCCAACAGGGCAAAACTGGCTCGCTGATTGACTGGTCCAAGTACCCCGTTGCGGCTCACGCATTGCTCTCTTTCTACCATTCCAAGACTGTCCAATCCCAAAATGCCGAAGTCGTCTTCCGCGTCTTCCGCTTTCAGATCAGTGCTAAGATCCCCGAATCATACCCAAAGCTCTCCGAGTGGCTGGGAACAGTGGGCAGAATGAAATTTGTCCGTCCAGGCTACCGTCTTCTAAATTCTGTCGACAGAAGTCTTGCGCTTGCTACTTTCGAAAAGTACAAAAACATCTACCATCCTATCTGTAAGTCTCTGGTTAAGCAGGACCTAGAGCTGTAGAAGCAGAATCAGAACAGGAACTTCCTCCAATCCTTTTGGGTACGGAGCCGGGCCATTCGATTCCTATCGGAGGCACCTATATTATCGTTTATAATGACATATACTAATTTTAATTTTTCGAGAATATTTTATCGCCATGAACGGGAATCATATGCTCTGTTTTTATTTATCGTAGACTGCCAAGTTGTCAAACATCACAACAGCTGTTGATAAAGTGGGGAAACTTAAAGATCAACTCGTCAGTATGAACCAATTATCTCAGCTTTCAGTATGTTGCTTGAACGGATTTGAATGCAAAATAGTTTTATCATGGTAGGGGAGTTTTGGGCTTTTCAGAAAGAGTAAGCTTTTTTCTTAGGCTCTGTTTGGCGAGATACCAAATAAAACAGGCTAAGAATTTCCTTTCATGTGTTCATTGACTAACCGAACGGCATTTTTCTTCGCTGTAGAATCTCTCACGTTATGCCGATAACCTTTCGGTGGACCGCATCAAGGCGGAACTGAATTCGATGCACAGTAAACTCGCAACATTGCGCCCTGTCCAGGAATTTTTCAATGTGAAAAAAGTATCCAAGCCCCAGAACTTTGGGGAGCTGCAATCGCGAGTATCCTATAATCTCAGACACTTCTCTACAAACTATGCGCTGATTGTCGGGCTGCTCAGCATCTACACGCTGCTCACGAACCTGCTGCTGTTGTTTGTGCTTGTGTTTGTGTTTTTTGGTCTCTACGGAATCAATAAACTCGAGGGTCAGGATCTGGTCACTCCCTTCGGCGCATTCAAGAGCTCCCAGCTCTACACAGGACTCATGTGTGTCGCGATTCCTCTCGGATTTTTCGCCTCCCCTTTCACCACGTTGATGTGGCTCATTGGTGCATCAGCTGTTTCTGTGTTGGGACATGCCTCTTTCGTGGAAAAGCCTATTGAAACCGTTTTTGAGGAGTCCGTTTGATCACTTGGCCCTTCCAACGTTAAGTGTACTCAAAGCTGCCCGTTCGACTTTATCTACCTATTTGTTACGCGGCGATTAGATGTCGTTCGACATCCTTCAATATAAACTAGGGCGAGTAGTTACGATCCACATATATATACCTATTATACAACAACCATCCGGTGTATGTGAGAGTTCCTGTGTTACTAGCGGTAATCCTCATCGTTTGAAGTAACTAGGTGATTATCAATTATCTACAACTTTACGTGATTCTTGAAAACTTAGCCTTTAGCAGTAGTACAAGCATTGACTAGACGCTCTTTCAACTTGAATATCGAGCTGTAGGCCATTTCGAAAGCTATGGGCAATGCTGACAATACGCCCGAGTCTTTGAAGAATATCATGTCGTCTTTGTTCGGTACGGAATGTTCGGAATGGCCCTTCTCAGACTCGGCTCTGACACAAGCGTTAATGTTCAAGACCCAGCAAGAAAAAACCAAGCAGCAGTTCTACAAATTGGAGTGTGTGAATCGCTCGATAGAGCTGCTCAAAACAGCAATGAGCGCGAATGTGCCGGGCCATATGATTACGCATTTGTTTCAAGGATCAGGATCAGGCGTGGATCCGACAAACGACAAAGCTAGCGGGCTGCAGGACTCGGCCGCTCCAAACACAAACTCTTCTGGCTCCTCAGCTGCTGTGACTAGTCTTGGGTCAAAGAAACCATCGGAATCGATACCCTTGAATTACAAATTCCCCCCCGTCAATACTTCTGTCACTCTGCACCGAAGAACAAACTCGCCGGCGAGAATCGGGGCTGCTGCGGTGGCAAATCTGACGGAGAATAATCAGCTCAAAGAGGAGGAAAATAACGAACTTCCGGACCCGGGGGCGCCACATCCGCCTAACGTTGCACACCAGCGATCCCCTCTACAATTTCGTACGCATCGCCGAAACTTATCACTGCCTCTAGCACGACCCGCCCCATTGTTACCTCAAGAGCTCCCAGCACAATATTCGAACAGACGCTCACAAAACCCAATGACTTCAGTGATAAATTTCGGCTCCTGGCAGAGTTACGAACCAAGTCCTTCTTCGATGATGATGAAAAGGCAGGGGTCGATCAAAAAACATCGTAAGACGAAATCGGCAACGACAGCCTCCAACTTTGGCGTCATAGATCTTAATATGGCAAACCAGGTTCGCCTCCCAGAGCTGCCCAAATCTCAGGACTTTTTAAAGAGAAACACAGACCACACGAACGAGGACGAAAATGAGTTTGATGATCAGCAGACATGTAGTGACCATAGTAGTAGGGAGACAACACCAATCATTCAGGTTACGAAAGGACCCAATTTTGCTAATAATCTCTTAAATAGCTAGTTAACTTCGAACACTAATTGAAATATAGATACATAATATGAATTCATAATTTCTGTGGACCAACTTGTTGAGAAGAATCATTGTTTTGGAGATACTCTTCTTCGGCCAAATGTTCCATCTCTTTGACGGTCAAGTTCTCCCAAGAAACCTGGCTGGTCTCTTCATCAACTCCACACACACAGTCAAAGTCAATATCCTCCTTTTTAACCCCATCCAAATCGTTTTTCAAAGTTATGGCCAGACTTCTAATCACATTCTCGTTTCCTTCTGATATAAACCATGAGCACAGGTCATTGAGTAAGATCGTATTGTAAACGTAGTAAACATCATGAAAACGAAATACTTCATGTATATCCAGTAAGGCTTTGATCACCAATCTCTTCCCACCCCGAAGTATGTAGTAAACATAGTTCCACACTTTAGCAGATAGCTCATAGTTTCTATGCAAGGGATAGCTGAGGCTCCGCCTAAAGCCAGTGACGACAATCGCTTTAATAATGGAAACATCTGAAGGCTTATTAGGTATAATAATCTGTTGATCGAGAAATGCGATTTGTGGCGCTAGCTTTCCGATAGTCCACGCCGATTCTGTGTTATGAACGCCCTCATTCTCCGTCTGTTCAAAGTTATAGGCAAAAAGTAAAGACAGAATCGTCAGATATAAACGCTTAGCATCATCGACCATATATCTCTTATTGGGTAGATTTTCTCGCATTTGTTTCTGTTCTATTTCCGAAAACTGAACATCCATGACACCATCTTTGTCTTCTGCATTCTTATACCATTTTAAAAATGACTTGGCTAGTGGAGGGGTGAATTTTAAAAGCGTGCGAATTCCGTTTATCTCAAGGTCGTCCTCGTTTCCGTATTTCGCTGTCATATATTCAGAAACGTAGTACTCTGGATCGAACTTCAAGTTTTCTTTCCTTAGCCTCTCCTGAATACGTTCCTCATAGTTACTTTTATCCGGTTGGTCTAGCTCATTGATATCATTGCCATTCACTACCGATATTCCTATAGCTCTCTCGTACTTGTCGTCGAACCCATACTTTGCAGTCAGCAAGTTGAAAGAATTTTCTGTAGCAGCAGGGGTTTGCTTAAGTTCCCAATCAAATTGTTCACCAATCTGTCGCAAGTCCTGGTCTGGTGCTGTGCCAACTGCCTCATTAATCCCACCTACCGACGGGTCTTTTTCAGCGTCCGTGGAGTCAACTTCTTGAATTAGCGGACCCTTAAGCGGCTGATGTGTTGTCTTCTCCTCAACACCCATTGCAGCCAGATCTCCCTGTCTTGCCAATAACTTTGTCGGCAGATCCAGATCTTCAAAGTGCTGTCCCCTATGCAATTTTGGTATTTGAATCCGGATACTTTCGTCTTGAGCCTTGAATTCAGCTTTACATCTCTCATCATCAACAAGACTCTGGCTGAAGCGCAATCTTAAGTAGTAAGGCGACAGGTGAAAAATGAAAAGCGTATCATCCACCACCATTTCCATGCCCGGTGCATTGAATCTCACCATAGCTATATTGATGCAAAGATGTAGAAACTCCTCATCCTGGGATACTTTGAAGCCTGGTGTTAGCATTCTAGTGCTAGCGTGAAATACAAAGTTTTGAAGCTTCAAGTTACTCCTTCGATTTATTTCCCGATTACTGATTTTACTATGTCGATGAGATGCCCTTTAATACATGAAAAATTGTTCATCACGGAGAGAAGATAAACTGTTTTATTAACGACGCAGTAAACCAAACGGATTCAAAGTCACTGGTCTAGTATCGTAGATGAGCTCGAATATAGATACTGCAAAGAAACCAAAAAGACGTTTTGTCGGCACGAAGGCTGGCGAGGTGATTACCACTGCACAAGACGGACAAAGTAATGAACTTATAGCGAAGCCCCGGCCCAAAACTAACGTTAGGCGAGCAATCAACCAAATTCCAGACGATATTTTGAACGACCAGGCTTTGAACGAAGCCATTAAACTGCTGCCCTCAAATTATAACTTCGAAATTCAGAAGACCGTGTGGAATATCAGGAAACATAATGCCAAACGAGTTGCACTGCAGATGCCAGAGGGCCTTTTGATATATGCACTGGTCATAAGCGATATACTGGAACAGTTTTGTGGTTCTGAGACCATTGTAATGGGGGACGTGTCTTATGGAGCATGTTGCATCGACGATTTCACGGCGCGATCACTAAATTGCGACTTTGTAGTCCATTATGCACACTCATGCCTGGTACCCATCGATTTAACACAGATCAAGGTCCTTTACATCTTTGTAACTATTAACATCGATGAAACGCACCTCATCAAGACTCTGCAGAAAAACTTTGTAAGCGGTTCTCGGCTGGCAACTTTTGGTACAATTCAATTCAATCCAACGATACACAGTATTAAAGACAAGCTATTGAACGCAGAGAAAATGTTATACATTATTCCGCCCCAAATCAAACCGTTATCAAAAGGTGAAGTACTTGGATGCACGTCCCAAAAGCTCGACAAAAATCAGATTGATGCCATGATCTACATCGGAGACGGCAGATTTCATTTAGAAAGCTCTATGATACACAATCCCGAAATTCCTGCCTATCGATACGACCCATACAGTCGAAAGTTTACCATCGAAAAATATAACCAGAAACAGTTAGTACAGGTTAGAGCGGAAGCTATCACCATTGCCAAGAAGGGGAAGACATTCGGACTTATATTAGGTGCATTGGGACGTCAAGGGAATCTGGCCACCGTCAATAACCTTGAACAAAAGTTGAAGTTGGCAGGTAAATCTGTTTGTCGCATCATTCTCAGTGAGATATTTCCACAAAAACTGGCTATGTTTGATGACATTGATGTATTTGTACAGGTCGCATGTCCGAGGTTGTCAATAGACTGGGGCTATGCTTTCAATAAGCCTCTTTTAACTCCGTATGAGGCCAATGTGCTTTTGGAACAAGATGTTATGTTCAACGAGACCTATTACCCAATGGATTATTATGAGATTGATGGGTATGGTCGTGGTAAGATCCCCTCACACTAGGCGATGCTAGAGGCAAGCATATATATTTAAAATAGCATTATACTACTCCGACTATGGTATCAAAATCCTCACTCGTGAAGTTCAGAATACTGAAAATGTCATCGATAGAATTAGGATATAAGCGAACCAACGTCTCTCTGAATACCTTGTAAAATTTTGACAAGTTTTTGAAACAGCTATTGGCAATCTCGTCAGCAATCGTGGGCGAAACCACATTCAATACCAAGGCATCCTGTACGTCGCTGTTCAAATTTGGCAAGTTCCCGTTCAACTTATCATACACATTGGCCCTGATGGTCTCAATCTTCATAATGGGATTTTCTGAAACCGGCAAGTACATGTCATAATCCAGCTCATCTTCAACAGAATCGATGGGGAAGATCATGTTGAGCAAATTACTGTAAATATCCATCCCTAGCCTTTCAAGCAAAACACCTGATTCTAATGTCACGAGTGTCTTTATGGCATTTTGTAACTCTTTGCGACAGCCGCTTTCATGGCCATCCAATATTAATCCAAATGGCAACAGCCGTGTCAAAATAAGGTCAAGACTGTTTATTTCAAAAATTAACAGTTTGACCTTCTCTTCTTTATCCTTTTTTGCAAGGGGGAAGTGAGTTTGGTAGTATTGTGGAAGTCTCTCAATAATCAACGTGTCAAGAGTTTTCTGTAAAAAGTCAGATTCAATCAAGTAATTTGAAGTTTCTGCATTGCCGCTCTTTTCGATTTTAGACAAAATCTTGCAAAGATTTGTCATGTAATTCAATAACCAATCGGAAGGTAGAAGTTCTAAGCCTATCTTTTCCTCCGGGACATGTTCATTCATCAGGGTTAAGAGGCCAGACATAACCTTATCACCTGAGTTATTTTTCAGAGTGTTGAGTTGACGAATGAATGACCCTTCTGGGTCGATGCCATATTTAATAAACATCATTTGATATAGCTTCAGTAGTTCGCAGATATCAAAGTTTATCGATGGGTCATCTTCGAATCTTATGATTTGCTCTAACCTAATTCTAATTGAGTTTTCTGCCGGCTTGAACGTTTCGTTCAAGAGGTTGGTACCTAAACCATTGAGGTAATCACCATTTTCTTGTAATACTGATTTTGGAGTACCCTCGATTTTCAAGTCTTGAAATTTGAACATCGAGTTCATAAAATCTGCTTCATCGACAATAAGGGAGTGCACATGAGCAAGCACATCACCTAGGTATCGTACAGGATCATGGGCTGACATCACAATCGGCCTCGAATTTTTTGAAGGGTCGACATCAAATTGAGACAAGAAATCATCTAAAACCCTTTGTGACCTTAGCCTCACAATTTTTTTCAAAACTTCATTGAAAAGTGGAAGGTCATTAGACATGTATATCATACTTTTTTGAAAGTTTATCAAAGATCTGTCATCCGAAGCAAAAGCCCTTTCTCCAAATGTCTTCGACGCAGATTGTAAGTCGTAAAAAAAGTTGATCAAGTAATTGTAGATGCGCTTAGAAGCCCCAGATAGTTTCATGTTTGTTTGCTGAAGCAATGACTGCCCCGCTTTTGGATTCTCAAGTGCTAATAAGTGGGAGGATGTCTCTTTTATCCGCATGAGTTTGTTGACGACCTCGAAAAAGTCAGTGTCAATAGGAGCATTTATGAGAGCTTCCTCCTCTACTTGGGTCAGTGTAAGCTTTTCGCGTATTATAGAAAGTAGCTGTTTCTGTAACTGTAACTCTTTCATCTTTTTTCGTAGTGCATATATGCCCTCCATGTTTAGAGCGGAATCTTTCTTGTTACAGGAACTCCCGTGCAGAATTTCGTCGCTAATATGTTTTATAGTTGTTATAGGTGGAGTCAGCCGCTTGATGCGTCCGACAATGGGTTGAATATCTTCGATGAGCGTCAAGTGAGATCGCAGAAGCTCGTTTTCTAATGCACTCCTCAATGACTTCCGGGCCAAGGAGCCAACAAAATCAGGACGAGTTATGGCTTGACTATGAAAATTCAAGTTTTCTCGATTATCCTCGAGTATCATGAATGACTTTTCCAGTTGGGCAGCGGAAATCGAGCTCGGGCGGCCATGGGCACCCAGAACACGAGACAGTTTTTTGGAGAGCAAGCTATCGGCGCTATTCGGCGTTGAATCGCTGCTTTCAAGTAGTTGCTTGAGGTTGCCATCTCTGGGAAGGGCCCCACCAAAAGGAACGGGTAGGTCAGCGCCTGTCAACAGAGAGGTAGCTGCTGAGCCTAATTGATCCAGGGACATCGACGCATATCTCTGCATTTTCTCCTGTAAAGTACCATTATTGTCATTGATGAATTCCGTAGGCTTTGAGCTCGGCAGTGTAAACGGTTTGTCTAGCTCAACAAACGATCTTTGAGATTGGAACTTTAATCTCGACGCCGGCTCTGGAAGCTGATTGTCATTTTCAGAACTGTCACCTAGAGCGTATGTTTGATAGTCAAGGAAATCCATTCTGTGGTCTCGAATGGGATCCCAGAGCGGTCCTTTATTGTATAGATCTGCTGGGTATACATATTATGCCGATAGTTATGGCCCGGTCTCTAGTTTAGTCACCATAGACGAGCCACATTTCTAACTTCACAAATCAAATATTTTGACACGAGCGCCAGCAAACCTGCTCAAAAACAATGGCGCTTCGGCATGCAACTTTTAGATCAAGCGTCATCCGTTGGTAACTCGCCGAAAAGGCCCATCTTATCCATGGACACCACGGTAAAAAAATATTGAGGCGAATCTGATTCATCAGTAGAAAGCTTACTAAATTTGTCTTGTAAGTCGGACATAGTCATTGTAAGATGAGTAACTTGGATCTAGGGAATTCTACTTATCTCTCCGTGATTATTTTAGGCATTAGAGCTGGTTCAGTTACCTGAACAAAATCCTGGTATTTATACAATTCTCACTCGGTGACTCTGGTCAACATATTTATTAATCACCAATTCTAGATCATTCTATTGCCCAAGGATTACGGCTTCAATGCCGTACACTACCGATAACTTATCAGTGGCCAATCCCATTGGACAACAGTTGTTCTCTTCGGTTTGTCTTAGCTTGTAACTCTATTTGTATGGCCTCGGTTGTGTGCTATCATTCTGTACCACTGTGTCACATATTTACTGACGCTGATTATGCGATTGGACGCACATCACCATCAGTTTATTCACATCATTTCCAACAAAAAATATTGAATGCCTAAGTTTCGAGTTCCTGCTCCGTAGTTGTTTCGGGGATAATGCCAGTCAATCCAATTGATCAAATAGACCGTATTTACCCCGCTAATACAATTTTTCCACCTGAGCTTCCGTTAGTCCATCACGCATTGGATGATTCACCATATCTTGCTGGAGGTATCGTTTGACTTCTCATGCCACTTTATATGCATATTATGCTCATTAATCATTTACAGACACTTGTGCTATCACTCTGTACAGCCCTGTCACACGTCGACAATTTGTCGTGATCCGATCGGGCTTCATATATATAAATGTAATAAATAGCTCAAAACACGCTTAGATGTCTCTGCCTATTACTAGCTATAATCGAATGAGTGCTTTCGTTAGTCCTACTGATACTTGAGATCCGTCCTGTGGCTAATCCTCAATTCTCTTTGAAAGACCATCTGGATGCGATTCTTGACATTTTCCTGCCAGCTTCAGGTTTCGTATATCTATGTGACGCAATTATGCCATTGAGCGCTATTGGATAGCATGAGACATGCGTGCACTTCACCGTTACTATATACATTCATATGAACAACGTTGAAAAAACCAAGAATTTTTAAACCAGTATAAAAGTAGTCCATTAAACGTCGATTGAGCAATAGTTCTCCTTACCAGAGGACTTCGACTGCTGTGGATGTTGCTGCTCGACGGTGCTTGCCGAGTTTTGAGGGCGATACATGACCTGCATGCCACCGGGATACGTATACTTGTGCCCATGAGAGTTGTAGAAATGTGCGATGTTATTTAATGCCATCGGGTTAATTGGATGGTGGGCCGGCTGATCGCCAGCAGTTGGGGGGTTCGAGTAGGGACTCATGGCGACAGAAGAAAATGCACCAGACACAGGAGGGGTTGTCACGAAATTCATGTCTCCGTTGTGGACAGGGCTCGCGCCATATGCTTTGGGTGCCTCGGCTATAGTACTATAGCCGGGAGAGATTGGAGGGCTTGAGTAACTAGTGTCTCCGCTTAAAGGGGAAGAGAAATATTCGGCGTTAGAGTTAAAGTTAGTGGTGGTGGGTTTGGAAGAAGGCGAATAGTTGCGCTCCAAAGAGTCCAGTAAGGGTCTTATCGGGGGCAGGTTTTGGGATTGGTAAGAGGAATGCGTGGAATAGTTTGGAGAGGAGAGTTCTGGTGCCCAAGAGGCAGCGCGGTCTCTGAAAAATGGCGCAACGGCCATCTGAGACTGTGCTGGCAGATCCGGAGGGGAAATGTTGTCTCGTGATAGCCGCAGCAGGTTTTGGGATGCATCAAGCAGCTCTACGTCAACTTTGGGACGCTTGACAGGTCGCGAAACAGACAAATCCAATTTAGGAGGGCGGCTGCGGTGGTGTACAGAAGGAAGGGAGTATATGGGGTGCTGGGCGGCAGTGGCTCTTTCGGAAACAGTCTTGGGTGGATAGAGTCCGATATAATGCTCGTACCAGGCCACGCAATCGTCTGGGAAGCTGGGTCCGAAAATGGGTACCAAAAGGTAGCGGATGGGGTAGCAGAAACGTACACACAGGGCTCTTGCGAGTTCAAACGGAAGCCAGGTGCCTTGGATTTTGATGTACCCACCACGGATGCGTTTCATGAGGTCTTGGAACTCGACGTCGCGGTCCAGGTGGTAGGTCTCGCGGTACACCCGGCACAGCGACTGTTTCAGCTGCGGGTCCAGATTGTGCCAGTGGATGTCGGCGTAGTGGAGCGAGGAAGAAGGCGCGCCGGAGGCGGTGGACGTGGCCGCAGCGTGGTGGGTGCGGGATTGCGAAGACGAGGCGGCTGACGTGGAGACGTTAGGGACGCTGGCGTGTCTATGGACGCCGCGCTTGGCCGAGGACTTGCGGCGAGAAAAATGCAAGGGGGACTCCACGGGCTGAGCGCACTCGTAGAAGCACTTTGACAGAACGTAGTCCAGCTCCAGCTGGCAGTGCGCCTTGCGATCGACAGAGCCGGCGGTCGTGTCAGGCCGGTCCAGCGACACCAGCGCTTGCATCACATCCTGGTACAGCCGCCAGATGCCCGTGAAGAAGACGTAGCCGGTCTGGTGGTCCCACAACACGCAGTTGTTGGGGTTGATGGCCCGCGACACGCGCTGGTCCGAGTACTGGATCTTGCGAAGCCGGAACTGCTGGTTTTTGGTCAGCGAGTTGAGCTCGTGGGTGTGTGGAGCGAGAAACACCTGAGCTGGCGCGCGCGGCTGCTGCTGCTGCTGGGGCTGCTGTTGGGCGTGGCCATTCGCAGAGCCCATGTCCAGCACGTCGGGAAACTGGTACTCCGAGCACTCGAGCCCCACGCGCTTCGCTGCCGCCCCGCCGCCCGCCAGCACGTCGTGGAAGCCCTGCACCGCGCACGTGCGGTAGCGCGTGCGCGTTACCCGCAGCAGCGACGGTTGCCCCTGCCAACCGTGTGTGTCACTTCGGACGTCGCCGGCCGCCAGCCACGTGCGCTGGTAGTCGTCTATGGGATTTTCCGACAGCTTTATGCTGGTCGGCGGGAGCGGGTATTCAGGATACATTGTTGGGGGGGGGGGGAATCGCGGAGATAGTTAAAAAAACCGCAAGCTAGAGCGAACTGGCCGTCTGTGAGCGTTAGCGACGTCGGGACCGGGGTAGTGGTGTGTCGACTCTTGAAACTGTGTGAGCTCGGTCTTTCAGGGCGTTGTTATTACGTGCAGAAGCGCTGGGCCGTTCCCCGAGTGTCGTTCTCTCCCAAGGCCAACCCTTGCTTGCTTATATAGCCCTTGGGCTGGAGAAGTGCAAAGGGCGGAAAAAATTAAAAACAGACGAGCTCCTTCCAGAGAGGCCGGGGCACTCTCTGGAACAATGCGGTCAGCGCCCGGAGCGCTGTCGGCCCCTCCCAGTTGCTATCGGATACTGGCCGGGGCCCATGCATGTATATGTGCGGGGCATGCATTGATCTACCGCTGTGTATGCCTGGTACTGCGGAGCTATCTGATTACAAAGCAGCCCGCCAGCGCTTACCAATCAGCTCTCCTGAGGTCTGTGCGTCGCTATGCATGGGCCCCACGGAGGTCCAGGCCATTTGTGTGCCATCCCATACGGGCTCTCGAAAGGCCGTAAGGCGGTTGTGCGGCACGCGTACTTCGGGGGAGGCACTCACACGCTTCGCCAGCGCGGGGCGGGAGCGTGTGGTGTGAGGGTGGTTGGGTGAGTGGGTGGAGGAGCCACGGCAGGTCACATGCCACAGTGTGCTGGGTGGCTGGGTGGCTGGGCGGCTGGGAACATCGGCCTCGCGCGACGTCACATGATGTACAAGGTAGGCGATCCACGAAGGGGAGCGTCTCTCGGCTTCAAAATCTGCCAGCAGCAGCCTCACGACGTCAGGAAGCCTGGCACGTGCAAGGCGAACGGTCAGCTGGCGGGATCCAGGGAAACGCCACCGGGGTTGACAGTTGCCGACGCCGACCATTCCCAAAGACGTGACAGTATTCGATCACGTGTGCTGCCATGAGACCCACTTTCAATAATGATGAGGAATTCGGGGCAGTGGCGCTGGGTCTTGGATTTGAGCATTCGCAGGCAATTTATCCAAGACACATGCCGGTCCTCGCGTCTCGAAAAATAAATTCATACTGCTAAGTAACCTTTTATGTAGCCAGAGTGGGTTTTCTTCGCGTTCGTAGCTTTCTGCCAAATCCGAAGCCCTAGTGCCGATATAGACCAGCGATTGGGGGGAACCGCTAGAAACTTGAGCCCATTACGAGGTATTTCTGATGTGACCCGCGGATTTTGGGAAACCGCACCCCTGGGCTCTTGCGAATGTGTCTTTATCGCACCTCTCGATCCTTGTGGTTTTGCCATTCAATTTTTTTTTATGAATGTGGGCCATTTCGGACTTTTAGTTGTACGCTTTTAGTTGTACGGTGCACATCAGCGAAGAACCCGACCACGGGACTCCTGCTGATTCTTGTGGGCCATTTCGGACTTTTAGTTGTACGGTGCACTGCAGCGAAGAACCCGACCTCAAGACTCCTGCCGAAATACGAGAATTCATGTGCGATTCCGATTCTCCGCGTTTTGAGCATATGGAAATTTGCTCTCCACAACCTCTTCCCCATAACGCTCGTCGTAGCCCCTCCAACTATCTCAACGAACCACTAGCCAGATGCTCCCAGAAGCTCCGGATCTCAGCGGTAGAGTTGCTGGCCCGCCGGCCCAACGTACGTCGCCCGCAGGCCCTCGCACCTATACCTCGTGATAGTCACATGCGTCGTCCATAATGACAAATCATAAGCTCGTTAAGGGCGAGATAAATTCCATTGGTATATCTTAGGTGTTATGCAGGCACATGCAGAAATCTGCTGTGTGGCTGCAAAATAAAGGCTCTGGACAAGGTTACGGGAGCATATTTCACAGCATGACGATGCTAGTCGCACCAGGAAACGGACGTGTAGCATGCATTATGTTACACGAGGATGCATGGTGCTACATTCTGTCAGGCTTTCATATATCTCTAGCACTAATTGACGTCAACCCAGTGTAAGAAGTTCAATAGCATGAGTTCAACGTTAGCTTTTTCAACAATTCGTTACTCACAGTCATCGCTTCCGAATAACGCCAAGTGTGGCACCGCTAAGTGCATTGTATATAAATGGGTTGGAACTCGAGATCGACCGTGTTAGCGTCTTGGCTTCTATCGTTTTGCTTACGGACTAATTGAGGGCGAGCAAGGGTTACATATACAAACGACTTCTTTCCAATCGTACTCGTGAGACTCACACACACATACAACAATGTCTCCAGCTTCCACTAATATATTCACGTTAACCCACGGGTCCAACTTGCCAGACCTTTTGGAATCCAACCAAAAATGGTCGTCCAAGACTACCGAGGAACATCCCGCGCTGTTCCGCGACTACAATGCTAACGGCCAGGCTCCCCACACTCTGTTTATCGGGTGCTCGGACTCCCGTTACAACGAAAACTGTCTGGGCGTGATCCCAGGCGAAGCCTTCACTTGGAAAACCATCGCCAATGTAGTGCGCCAAGACGACCTCACGTGCCGCGCCACCTTGGAGTTTGCCATCAACGTTTTGAAAGTCAATAAAGTGGTGGTCTGCGGCCACACTGACTGTGGTGGGATCAACACCTGTTTGCAGCACAAAAGAGCGTCTCTGGAAGGCGGAGAGAACAATCACCTGTTCCAGTACTTGCAAGACCTAGACGACTTGTACCACGAGCATAAGGCAGATGTTTTTGCCGCTACGGACGACGTCAAGACCCAGAGCCGTCTACTGTCGAAGCTAAACGTCGAGAGACAGGTATCAAAGCTGCTGGCCATTGACACCGTGAAGAGTGCTCTGGCACGCGGTGAGATACAGGTGTACGGCCTTCTGTACGACGTGGCCACCGGTTTCGTGGAGCAAGTCTCCGAGACCACTGCTTGAAGCGATCGATGCAACTAAGAAACGGATAAATAGCGCTTGGATGGTCTCCTTCCCCGTTCACCTGCACGGGCTGCTGGACGTGCTCGGGAAAGTACCAACCAAGCTGATAGCATAGAATCAATAACTATTTTGTACCTACCCATGTGATTGGCCGTTACTGGCTCCAAACCATGACCACATTGTATCTACCGATGTGATTAGCTGTAAATGGTTAGAGTAACTGGTTGTTGCATGGCTAATTGTTAATATAAAGCTTATCTCCAGATATCACTTTGTACTTTCCTGTCAATTGGTGCACCTCATGAAATCTTATTCACCGACTTCTGGCGAGACCTATATGGTTGCCAGGCAGTATCAATTGCAACACCATGCGCGACATCTTAGCTGCTGTGATTCGAGACGAATAGCGCAGGCGAATAGTGATGATTTACCTACCCGTCATTTTATTATACAACCATCGCTGGGAAAACTCATATTCTACCTGGCACTAGTCTGCTGTATTTCCATCTCGTATACCAGCGCTGGATTATAGTTTTTCAACAACAGCCGCTAGCCCCGTGAATGGTGTGTCTGAGTGTTGGAAAGCTTACAGGTTTTTACGGGTCGCTGAATAAATTGAATATATGGTGACGGCCCAAGGGGGGGATCACTCATCGTTAATGATAAAGTCGAGTGCAATCATGAAAAAGTCAGATGTATATAAGGAACCCTCAGATAAAAACGAATCTGATTTGGTTGTTGCCGGGCTCCATTGAAAGTTAAGCTGGTTGTGTATCGTTTATTTACTGTCATCATCGTCTGTTCATAATACGTATTAGATTTGCTCGAAAGCACTCTGACGTTGTCGTTTTGAGCTCGATTGACTAAAAAAAGGTAGACAACACAGAAAAGGCTCGCATCTACGATCCGGGCTTTTTTATTTGAACCTCCCACTTAAAGCTAACTGCCACTCACGATCTTAGAACGCAGCACAAAAATATAAATTCTGTTTGCGCCAGCATTTCTCCGGAAACTTTGGATATACCAGGAAGTGATTTACGACTCCCTTATTGATAAACTACGATCATTGTGAATTACCATCACAATAATGGCCAAAGAATCGTGTAAGTCGACTGTCCGCTTTGATTCGAGTCACAAATGGACTAAAAACCTGCTGCTGACACTTTGTGCCAGCCTTTTGCTATGGTCCTGCTTTGGCCCGTCCCTGAAGGAACCCCGAGAAATACAAAAATTCCGGACTCTCTCACCACCAGCGTTCCACGGTGTTACAGCTCACAACGTAACGATTGTGGATTTTCACAGCCATGCTCGAATGAGTCCCACATCTACCCCTGGCTCTTCCTATTATCAGCAGCGCATACGCCTTAAGCCGATGATCTCGCACACAGTTGCTCGAGAGGAGTTCAACAACTGGTTGCAACAACAGACAGAGCTCAGCTTTGAAAGAGTCCTGGCGAACATTGGTGACGTTAATCTGAACAAATTGCACGAAGACGACGGTGTTGTGGAAGGGGTCGTCATTGCATCCCCTTCCAGGAGTTCGCCTGATTATTTTTACCAATGGATCAGAGATGGGGCGATCACGGTTAACACAGTTGTGAATCGGGTCTGGGATTCGTCACAGACTAGCCGGCCAATTGTTAATTTAACGCTCGTGGGGACGGTCTTGAAATATTTGAACAACGCTTATGTTTTGCAGCGCACGGACAACCCTTCAGGATCTCTGGCACCAGACTACAAGGGCTTGGGCGAGCCCAAATGGATGGTAGATGACTCCCCCTTTGTCGGTAATTGGGGCCGACCTCAAAACGATGGCCCGCCACTCAGAATCATCACCACTTTCAATTTTTTGCAGGTGCTCAAAAACCTCGATCTCACTTTGGAGGAAGCGATTAGTCAGTACGAGGCCTCGAGTGGGACTGATCTTTGTTTAAGCTTTGGTAATGAAAAAGATCTGTATGAAAAAATCCTGAAGCTGGATCTCGAATTTATCGCTGCGAATTGGCAAGCAGACACCTTCGATCTATGGGAAGAAGTCAAAGCTCAGCACTTTTTCACAAGTTTGGTACAGTTGAAGGCCATCAAAATGGGCTGGAGCTATCTGGTCAACGTCCATCCAGAGTTCGACGACAAGCCCAACTCTCTAGCGGCTAACTTACAGGATAAGTTTCAAGACATTTTGAAGTTTTTGACGGACGAGGGCGGGTTCCTCGATGAAAACAAGAACTACATCGTGGAAACACCAAAAATTTTGGGCACTAGGTCAGGCTTAGATATAGCAGTCTTAATTGGATCTATGATAACTCATGACAATCATGGAGCATCACTCCTACAAGACGACGTTCCCTTCAATGTATATGACAGTGGAATCTTGAATTCTTTACATGGTCTGACGAAGCAAATGGAGATCTTATATCCAGTTAATCATCATCGGGCTAATCTAAATCTCGGCGTGGCCCTGGGGAGATATCCGGAGGATATTTATGATGGAGTTGGCACCTCTGAAGGCAACCCCTGGTTTTTAGCCACGTCAGCAGCCGCAGAAGTACTTTATAAAGTGATCTGGCACTATTACGCCTCGCAGAAGGATCTCGTCATTCCCATGGATGGCTGGAAATCAGAATTTTGGACTCGCATAATTGATAACATCGATAACAACGTAAAAGAAAACGAAGAATGGCAGTTGGTGCTTCCATATGGCTCGCCTGCCTACAATCAGACTATGATTTCTCTATTTACATTGGGAGACTCTTTCTTGGATAAAGTGAGAGAGCACGTTAGTAACGACGGGGAGATGTCGGAACAATTTAACAAATACAGTGGGTATTTGCAAGGAGCTAGGCATTTGACATGGTCCTATGGATCATTTTGGAATTCTTGCCGGTGGAGGACCCAGGTTCTCATTAAACTGGGCAAGAACGGAGAATAGGCGTCTTTGTTTTATTTTTTATTGGTAGCGACTGGCTTTACGTAATTTGGAGTAGCCTCACCCTTTCTATCATTTTTAGTATCTACAAATCTGGGACTTGTAGGCCGACTCTGGCAGCAGTACGCTTCACTTTTTCTTCTTGATCCATCTTTAGGCCCGGGTTGTATCTTTCCACCAGTTCTTCATATTCCATTTGGTTTTTTACAAATCCGGAGATGTCCTTCAAGTGCTGCAACCTTTTGTTGACACTGCCAGCATCTCCTGGGAAATTTTGGAAAATCATCTCTCTAAGGCTACTGGAGTTTTCGTAATAGTGCAGTGCTTTGGACCGGGCTGGATCGTTAGCCTTCAAACGCTCAATTTCATTTGTTAGCTCACTTAAGTGACCATTGTGCTTTGAACTATTGCTTGAAGCCTGATCAGACGCCTGCTGTCTCAACAAGTTGAACTTTCTGTAGGTCAGTAGCGCTACCTGTTTCTTATTGTCTTCGGTGATTTGCGCAATCTTCGACCGCTTGTTGGACTTGACCAATGACCTTATCAGTTGCTTGTACACTACCAGAAGTTGCTGATTTGAACTCATAGTAATTGGAAGAAGCGCCTGTGTTATTGTACCAACCTTAGTTGTCAACTGATGGATGACTTCATGAATTGTACGATCGTGCACGAATTTTTCAGTGCCCGACGAAACTAATGACGGTAAAATGAAGGAAAATCGCCAAGGTGGGCAGAACGTTGAGAAGACTCGAAGTGGCCAAGGCCACTCTAGCCCCGAGACAGTGTAACTTGCTGTCAAAACTACCTGACTCATTGAGACTCACAGAAAACGCATAACACCGAAAGCACCTGTGGGCAAACAGTAAGCAAGAGCAAGAAAAGCTGTGCGTCCAGATATCACACACAATGAGGAGAGTATCCCAGACACCTTATTAGATATTCTTGGGCAGAGCACGGCACACTCCACTCTCTTGTCTTACGTTAGCCTTGGCTACGCAAGTGTTTTACTGCTACTACTCGCAAACATCATATCATACGTGTGTGACGCAGCGCAAATACAAATCTCGCCTATCGTGAGAAGCTCAAGACACTCTACCAAACACGCAATCCAATACGTATAGTGTTGACCATGTACCACATTTACCATTGTCCAATCAATCAAGGGCACGTAGGTTAGAATCTATCGCACCGACGAAACACCAAGGACTACCGTGAACCCGGCAGAAAAGAGAAGAAGGTACGCTGGCTGGTGTTGTGTGGGACCGCAGAACTCTCATCTGCTCTCACGCCAGGGTATTGACTCCAGGAAGGAAGCTTGGGTCGAACCCACGACGCTACGATTCGAAGTCATTATCGACGGGCCGAGTCGGACCCGAAGTTTCGAGCCCGGATCCGAAAAAATATGAAATTGGGCTTCAAAATACTTGATGACCATTTTTAACGAATATATATAGACAGCACAGCTGAATTATCATTAGAGACAACATCAGTGGATCTCGAGGAAATCAGGTATCTTTGGAGACTAGACTTAGGATCAACAAGTATAACCAGCAAACTGCATTTTCTGGCTATTTTTGCTACTGCAGAGTTGAATTAGAAAGAAGTGCCCTGTTTTTTCCCCGATAGCAGCTTCCTCTTTCGAATAGTTTAATCGACTAATCATCGCCCAATTCAACATCACATAATGTTTAAGAACGGAATTGGTATGTCTAAAAGATCGCTGGCCAGTGTGGCTGCCGAGCAGCTGCTTCCAAAGAAGTACGGTGGCCGCTACACCGTTACTTTGATTCCAGGAGACGGTGTGGGTAAGGAAGTTACCGACTCTGTAGTGTCGATTTTCGACGCCGAAAACGTTCCAGTGGACTGGGAGTCCGTGGAGATCTCCGGGTTGGAAAACCAAGAAGGTGTACAAAAGGCCGTGGATTCGCTAAAGAGAAACAAGATCGGTCTTAAAGGTATCTGGCACACACCCGTGGACCAATCCGGCTTCGGCTCGCTAAATGTTGCTCTCCGCAAGCAGTTGGATATTTTTGCCAATGTTGCTTTGTTCAAGAGTGTTCCAGGCGTCCAGACCCGTCACTCCAACGTTGATCTAGTTGTTATCAGAGAAAACACCGAGGGTGAATACTCTGGTTTGGAGCACGAGTCCGTCCCAGGTGTTGTTGAATCCCTAAAGATCATGACCAAGACCAAATCCGAGAGAATCGGTCGTTTCGCTTTTGATTTTGCCGTCAAGAACAACAGAAAGTCCGTCTGTGCCGTTCACAAAGCCAACATCATGAAGTTGGGTGACGGTTTGTTCAGAAACTGCATCAACGAAGTCGGTGCCAAAGAATACCCAGAGATCGACGTTAAGAACATCATTGTCGACAACGCCTCTATGCAAGCCGCTGCCAAGCCACAACAATTCGACGTGCTTGTCACTCCAAACTTGTACGGTTCCATTTTGGGTAACATTGGTGCTGCTTTGATCGGTGGCCCAGGTCTTGTCCCAGGTGCCAACTTTGGTAGAGAATACGCTGTTTTCGAACCTGGTTCCAGACACGTTGGTTTGGACATCAAGGGCCAAAACCTAGCTAACCCTACTGCCATGATCTTGTCCTCCACCCTCATGTTGAGACACCTCGGTTTGAACGCCTACGCCGACAGAATTTCCAAGGCTACTTACGATGTCATTGCCGAAGGTAAGACCACTACTCAAGACATCGGTGGTTCTTCTTCTACTACTGACTTCACCAATGCCATTATTGAAAAATTGAAGGCTTTGTAATGAAAATTAAGGATTTGACGTCAGGATTTAAATAGAGAAAGTGCGGCGAGTTTGTCATAAGCTTTACTGGCACTTTTCAGATAAATAGTAACATTCAATTGAATCTCAGAAAGACAGCGTAAACTTGATCTTTTGAAGTCGATGTCAATTTCTCATCAGATGAGAGTCGTGAGTACTCTATAGTACTCATGCCCGCTTTAATTGATTCAGCAGGATGTGGGATATAAAATTGGCTGTCCCTTAAGTTTCCATCGTCTATACTTGGGACAGGCCTAAACAGTGTGCCGTTGGTAAGCCAACTTCACAGGGTCTCAAGAATGTCCATGTTGAATGAGCCCACTGTTGACTTTCATTTAAAGCTTAACGAGCAAACGTTCCATATACCCAATGAGCTCTTGAAGAATAACGTAAAAAAGGTCCACAAGCTGGTCGAACATGAATCCAGGCGACTGAATCAGCTCTTCGATGACGTGAATATATTCATGGGAGCTCAAGAAAGTCAGAATATTATCAACAAGCTGAATGAGATTATTAAGGTAGTTGAGCTTTTGGAACGCAAACTGGAAAAAAGGGTTAATGTAGAATGTGAGCTGCTGAAGCGGATTGAATACCGTATCAATTACTACAAGGAGCTGGAAAGTCTCAAAAGTACACGCAATCGTGACGGCCTCATAAATTGGTATCAAAGGTACACTAACATATTGATTGGAGAATACCTCACGCGAAATAACAATTTGTACGACCAGGAGCTGGGTGTAGATAGCAAAACAGGCGCTAACATCGGCACAGACCTTAACGCTGGTATACGCCAAAAACGTAAGATGTCGTCGCCGACAGTCCCGAACCTACCGATGAATGCGGGTTTTCAGTTTTTGAAATCACAAAATTTGGAAAACTACTTGGACTATGATATTTTAATTACAGCGAACCAAATTGCAAATAGTCTGGAGACCCATCATGACTTGTCATTGCTTATCAGCTGGATTAGGGAAAACCAAGCATTCTTGGAAAGCAAGTCATCTGTCCTTGAATTTGAAACGCGGTTCCAAGAATACATCGAGCTGGTAAAAGTTCAAAACTATCCGGGCGCTATCAACTGTTTCCAAACCCACCTCATCAACTTCATACACACAAATTTTGAAGAGCTGAAACTTGCTTCAGGGCTTTTGGTTTTCATTAAAAGTTGCAAGGGCAGTATGCTGAAGCAGCACTCAGCTGAAAACGACCTCACAAGTAGAAGAGGGTTTTTCCAGTTTTTTTTTCGTAAGCCGCTGCCGAAAACGTTTTCTCCGGAAACTAGTGGCTTGGGCAGTGACTCAGCTATTGTAGGTTCAAGCAATGGTGATTTCGAGAGATATACAAGAGTTCTGGACGATGAAAGATGGGATACTTTGAAGGGCCTTTTTTTACAAGAATATTATTCCATGTATGGAATTTCTCAACATGATCCCCTCTTAATATATTTATCTCTAGGGATCTCAACGTTGAAGACGAAAGCATGTCTCCAAGGCTTGCCGAATCCAGATGCTGAGGACTCTCCAATGGATAACTTTTTGCATAATGAGCTTAATCATTCCAAGTGCCCAGTTTGCAGCGCAGAATTTGCTCCATTGGCCAGTGATTTGCCTTATGCCCACCATATTCAGTCGAATTTATTCGACAACCCGGTTATGTTACCAAATGGTAATGTTTATGATGGAAAAAAGCTGAAAGCTTTGGCAAATAAGCTGGTCAGTAAAAATCTCTGCAGCCTGGATACAGATCAGATCATGGATCCTGTAGACCGATCTGTCTACAACGAGAAAGAGTTTATCACTATGTATCCAACCTGACAACTGTTTTGCAGCATTTAACCTAATTAATCTTCATCGCTTTCGGAGTCTCTTTGCTTCTTGCCATTTTTGGTATGTTTGACTTTGTCAAAGATATCGAAGACATAAGTCCTGGCCTCTCTTTGGGAGGCAGGTTTTGTCGTATCCTGCTCGCTATTGGTACGCTTGTGATTGTATTCTGGATAATTTTCCCATTGAAAGTTGCCTGATCTTTCTATTTTCCATCCTGTTGTTTTGGCCAAAATTTTGATTTGCCAACTGTCGTAGGGTTCACCCTGAAACAATGTAAGCAATACCTTCCCACATCCATCAGCATCGACTCCAATTGATTCCTTCCTTTCCTCTAAATCGTAGCCTTGCGTGTATACCTCGGATTTATTGAGAGGAAGGTGATTGACGGTCCTATAGAAACGCTTGCAACTGTCAAGAAATGTAGTGATTAGAATTTGATGATCTCGAATATTTTTGTCCTGATCTTTGACACCTTTGCCGGTGTGTGGAAAGTTGAACATAATGTTCTGCAGTGGTTTTAACGCCCATCCGGCACCTACTAGTTTGGCCCACGTCGTCTTCTTGCTGAGCTTAAAAGACTTGATGAGGTTGGTAGCGTCTATTTTGAAAAAAATCTTAACACCATTCTCTACCAGAAATTCGTAATTCTCCTGGAAGCTACGTGGATATTTCAATTTAAGCTCCGTAGACGAAGCATCGAAGCTGGTCACTATGAGGTTTTCTGGTTTGATATGCTCTTGAAGCACAATTGATCGGGCAAATGAAAAGTCGCCTTCACCCACTAACAATAATGTTGAGTTCTTGTCAAATGGGACTATTTTACTTGCTCTTTCTTGTTGAAGGGTCCGCTGTTCAATACTTGCTTTTGTAGGCTGTGTTTTGTGTAAAGCATGGTCCAACTTACTTTTTGCTCTCTTTTTGTTCTGTTCTATTGCCTGGTGTCGCAAAAGAGCACCTTTTAAGCCCTTGGATCCTAACTTTCCCTTAAGTTTGCGCCCCATCGTCTTCAAAAATAAGCAGCAGACCTCTAAAGAAGTTACTCAACAGCTCTTAAACGTTTCCCAGCCTGAGCTCCTGTCGTCTCATCTCATCGCATTAATGTTGACTTGACAAATTTTCCAGCTCGTGATAAAAACACACATAACACATGCGAAGTCATTCACGCATATAAGCACTTTCTGGACCCATTGTAAATCTTCTTCAAGTCCTCTAATCTTGGTTGAGTTTTCTGGTTTTAGTGTTAGTAGTTGCTGCAAAGCTCGCTGTTTAGCGGAAGTAAGATAAAAGCTTAACATACAGGAAATACCAATTGTAGCTTTGTAGCGTCTTTTAGGATTACAGCCATGTAAAATATCACTTGAAACCCTTTAGTGAAGCCCTCATTGATGACTAGATCAACAATTCTGTCGTTGGGAATGAATATTGTTTGTTCAAGCCATCGCTCATTAAGAGACCGTGGTAAGAGAACACATCCTGCCATGGTGGACATCTGAATTCCAGTTTGTCTGAACACATATAGCGATTCGATAGTAGGATTCCGTATCAGTATTAGTGACAGCGCCACGGATAGTAGCTGCAGAATCATTTTGGTAAAATGAGAGATGGATAACTTTGCATCTGTGTAGCAAGCTACAGCAGCGTTTAACGCTGCAAAAATGAGTAGATTCAACAAACAAGAAAGTCGATAGCGCCTGGGAACAACCGTATATTTCCTATATAGCTTCCCATCTTTCGCATCGACAGTCACACTGTAGTTCTTCATCAGCCTTCCCTTATGCGCATTGCCTTTAGCTTAGTTTTTCTTTTAAGCACGCTTAAAAAAGTGTATGGTACTCTATAGAGGGCTAACGCTTCACAGCAAGCCGAACCTCGTGTTGATAGTATATACAAAAGACCGTATTACCAACTACCAATTATTTATCTGTCTCATCTGGCTCCAGAGCCCTTTGCCTTTTCATTTGGTCAATTGTTCCCAGCACAACTTCAGTTTTCCGGTAGGCATTGAGTTGATCTTGTCTCAGACCACCGGACGATTTCTTGTGTGTGTTATCCATCTCCTTAACCTTTTGTGTCTGTAGGTCTTCTTCCTTGGCACTTTGCTTCGAGAGTTCTATCTGCTTCAAATGTTCTTCGTGGTCGGCCTGTAGGCTTTGTAACTTGTGATTAAAATCCTCAAGTGAGACCAGGTCTTTTCGAATGTCCGCGCAGTACTGATCAAAGTCTGGGGGCAGTTTTGAGCGCAAAGCTAGCTCAATCATAACAGGGTTCTTCTTTTCTTCGTTCACGAACTTAGCTTTGATCTGGCGCCGTGTTCGATACGGAAACATCTGCGCTATTAAATTGAAATCAGTGCCCCACATGGAGAGAGCCTTGTAGAACTGCATAAGCTCATCAATCGTCCAAGGATCAGTATACTGCTGACGGCCGTAAGTAGCAGAATTGAAGAGATTTTCGAACGGGTTTTCGTCCATTCGCAGCTTGTGTGCATGCTCAAGAGTGGCATTTTTATGCCTATCAACAACTGTAGACTCTTCATCAACGGCAAAGGTACCATCTTGACTTATTCTCAATTGAATGGCATTGTGACCTCTATCTGGCTCAGGGATATCGGCGTTCATAATGTCTTCAGCAGCCTTTTTGCGACTTTCTAATAGCCTGTCGGCCTCTTCTTTGTTTAACTCATTTAGAGGTTTGAAATGTTCCCGGGCCTTGAGACGCATTGCCCTCCTTTGAAGACGAAGTTGATGTTTCGCCTTCAAAGCTTCCTGTGCTCTTTGGAAATTATCGGACGTCTCTCCAATTGGAAGGTTAGGCTTGCATAGATCTGCAATTGTAAAATTATCCTCATCTACTAAATATCGAGATGAGTCACCATCGGCGATATTCTTTGGTATTTGATTTGCACAAGCAATCGTGTACTTTTCATACAATTTATCTGTTCTCTGAAATAAATCATCCACACCTTCACTCTTTAAACTACTTTCGTCTGTACCAGCACTCGAGGTTCCGTCCTCGACAGGGTTGAGGTGAGAAACAATACTGATACGTTGTGCAGATCCTGTCTTGCGTGAGATGGATGATCTGGAAGACATACGCCTTTTCTTTATCGCTTGAAATGAAGAATCTGACTCTGAGATACTGCTCATTCGCTTTTTCTTGGCATGCACCTGTGGTCCACCGATGCTGGACAATCGTCGGCTCCTCCCGGACTCCTTAGACCCATTGGTCACGGCTTGGGGTTCCGCAAATCCATTCTTGAACACAGCGCTGGCATTGCTCAGTGAGTCCAATCTGCTGGATCTCCTTCTTTGATTCAGTGATGCATTTTCGTTGCTGGAAGTTACTATCGATACAACTTCCGGAGTTTTTTGCGTACTTTGGCTCAGTGGATCAAGTTCCTCTGGAATAGAAGTCACATCTTGTGAGGAAAAATCCTTGACAGGTTTTTGAGAGCTATTAACAGCCGTTGCATCATTCTCCGGTGTATCGTCTTGTTCTGCAGCCGGTTTAAGAGCGGGGCTCCTGTCAGGAGGGGTTACAGCAACCCTTCGCTGTCTTATTTTAGGAGCAAACCGGGTCCCACTTTTGTTCACAATGCTACTCATTGCTCATGAATGTTGAAAGACGTTATTAGACGTTGAAGTAGCGTCACTAGGAGAATTCTCTTGCAGATACAATGTTAACGCGATGCGATGGATGTCAGTTAAGTCAAAGAAATTTGACAAACAAGAGCCTACGTTCGAAGTGATTGTATAATGTTTACTTCGTACTGACCAATGTCATCAGGGCTCTCCTTGGCCTAATAAGGATGGAATCTTTGATCCCTGGACGAAGGTTTCGTTGAACTTTTCGAACTTTTAGAGCCCTTCGATTTTTTAGACTTTTTTTTGTCTTTTTTGCTAGTATTTTTCGACGCTTCGGAATGTGTCATGGCAGGTTCTGGAGTGCTGTCAGCTGTCGCAGCAGTTACATCTGACATGTCCAACAGTGGCACTTCATCTTTGAACAAATCCATAGGCTCAGAGTAGTTCCAGAATTCACTGGGGACGTTGATAGCACCGTTATCGGATTTCCAGATATTAACATTACCATCTTCTGCGCAGGAATACAACAGTTCCTGATTCACAGTGGGTACGAGAACATCTCTTATGACCTCATCACCATGCGCGTTTGGAATTCTCACCGCAGACGCAGGATCCACACTATCATTTTGAAATGGAATTATTCTGAGCTCCCCGTCGCCCTCTTCGGATTTACCCGTGGCCACAAATCCCGGGTATACGTCGATCACATAGTTGCACTTCCAATGGCCTCTGATGTCTCCAAAGTCAATTGGCTTCGGCTCACTGAGCTCTTCGAATTTGTCATTCAAGGCATGGATCCCGAAAGTCTCCATGTGTGACAAGGTGTAAATTTTGTTGTAGGCAGACCACCCACAAGAGTGGATCGAGGCAAAATTTATCACTTGGTGTAGAGCATCGTCCTCCTCTTGCTGTACAAGGTCATACACGTTGGCGTAGCCATCAGTGGAACCGCTCAGCAGCACGTTGGGATCGCTAGGATGAAATTTGATGGAGGTAACGTCGTCGTGGTGGGAATCTACCAGAGACCGCAAAGGCTTACTCCAAGACCTTATGTCGTATAAATGCAATTCAGCGTCAACACCGCTCAGCTCAGTACCGTATGCCAATAGATTGTGCCTGGAATCCAGCGATAGTGCAGGGGCAGATTTGTCGTTCTTAAGACTGGCCACTAGCGCACTAGATCTCAGGTCATAGATCTTTACGCCATCTTCCGCTGCAGTTGCTACTATGCTTCCGCTTTTCGAGTCGCTGTTGATAATTGCCATGTCGTTAACGGGACTTTCGTGAGCGTGAATTGTATGAGCTGCAACATTTTTCGTCCAATCGATTACTTGGACATCGCCACTGCTCAAGGATACTAGCAAGCCGCGGTCATAGATAGGTTGGAGCTTCAAGCACCAGTTGTTGGTGCCGAAGCTGATCGCGCTTAATTTGGAATAAGACATGCCTATGGGAGTCAACAACTATCAAAGCACGAACAACTTTCCAAAGTCAAAACTTCCCTAGATTCCCCTCTCTTGATTCACTTAAGCTAAAAACTAGTCCGTTCGAATAGCTACGAAACCAAATCCTGCGAGTTTGCTTTCTCGCACCCATATGAACAAGATGGCTTAATGAAGGTGAATCTCCTAATAAAATATATAATATAGTGGTGAGCTAAAGAAGCTGTTCAACAACAACTCTCTTCAGACACAATTCCTTGCGGCTGACTAGAGCAAACCTCAACATATGAGTTGATATGTTGCATCTAAGTTTATGATTTCAGACAGCATTGACCTATCCTGAAGTTTGGATACAGGGCACTCGATGTACTCTGAAAGATGTGTATGGTGGCGAGGAATGAACGTCATCTGAAGTTTCTACACAAATGAACATGCACCAATGAGATTTTGGACTGGGCAACTGAACACTTGACTGCTACCAACTCCTCTCACATTATCAAGGATGAACGATGGCAGACCTGACCCTGACACATGTGTGGACAACAAAAGTCTGAAAGATCACGGCCAAAGAAGGCTCGGAAGCCTTGAAAATCCATATTAGCTACTGATATTACTACTGGTGACAACAGCGGCGTAAGATATCTCAACTGTTGACATATAGGCTATGGGCCATAGTTAACCGCCGAGCTCAGACTTTAGTGTGGCGTACATGGTGATCATTGAGAAGCGGATGAAAAACCGATCTTTGAACCCCTTTCCAGGCTGAATTCTGAACTCAAGCAGGGAGCTGACGTCTTGAAAAGCTATCGAAGCTGTCACCAGGAGGATTTGAAAAGTTACGAAAGCTGTGACTTGCTGTCGATACAACGGTGGGCGAGTTTTTCCACCGCTTTTTCCCCATATCTGTCTCCTCATTAGTGCTTCAATTTGGAGAACTACTATTCTCCGATTGGTAGAGTAATCCATGCAATGAATAACTCACTCCCTGATATATATCCTTCCGGAACGACCCTGACAGTCGGGTCTCATCATGCACGCATACAGAAGTATGTGACGAGCGGGGGCTTTGCCCACATCTATTCAGTGGAGATATCCCCACCTGATCCTAATAGTGCTAGCAACCTGGCTTGCTTGAAGCGAGTGCTGGTTCCCGATAAACCGAGCCTGAATGTGCTTCGCGCAGAGGTGGATGCTATGAAGCTTCTGCGGGGAAATAAACACGTTGTTTCGTACATAGACTCGCACGCTGCGAAAACGGCTTCCCCACATGGATCTTATGAGGTGTTCTTGTTAATGGAATACTGTACCAGTGGTGGGTTGATAGATTTCATGAATACGAGATTGCAGCATCGCCTTACAGAAGCAGAAGTGTTAAAGATTATGAGCGATATAGTGCAAGGTATCGCTGCAATGCACGCTTTGCTGCCGCCGCTCATCCATCGGGACATCAAGATCGAAAACGTGCTAATTTCCAACGACCAAACGTTCAAAGTTTGTGATTTTGGCTCCGTCTGCGGTGTTATCAGACCGCCTAAAAACTCTCATGAATTTAATTATGTTCAACATGACATTATGAAGAACACCACCGCACAATATCGATCTCCAGAGATGATCGATCTTTACCGAGGATATTCAATCAATGAAAAGTCCGATATATGGGCCCTCGGAGTATTTCTTTACAAGCTTTGTTATTATACAACACCATTTGAAAAAGTTGGCGAAAGCGCCATTTTGCATTCTAGATTTCAGTTCCCTGCATTTCCACAATATAGCGACAAGCTAAAAAATCTAATTGGCGTCCTCTTATCCGAGAATCCCATCAAAAGACCTAATATTTGCCAAGTGCTCGAGGAAGTATCCCGCATTCGTGGCGTCCCATGTCCTTTGCAGAACTTCTACCTCCTAAGAAACATACAGCAGCAGCAGCAGCAACAGCAGCAACAACAGATGATGCCGCCTTCAGTCGAGTCCCATCGCTCTTTAAGTCAACCCAGATTGGACATTCTTCAAGGTGCGATCGATCTACATCATGCCACACCCCAAAGTCAATCTAATCTGAGGACATCCAAAACATTTGCATTGGGTGCAAATCAAAATGGCTATTTTGAACAGAAAGCAACATTGGAGCAGCCACCTCTACGTTCCGAGCACACTAAATCGGCAGATCCTTTCATGTCCATTGACAAATCCTCGCTTCTTCATGAAAAAGCTCCAAATCTACCCCCCATCTCGACCCCCGAGCAATTGTACAGGTCGCAAGCTTCCATAGATACCAAGGATATACCTTTGAGAAGTACGGCCAACTCCGCACTTGGGGGGCGTGGCGATATATCGAAGATTGTCAGTGCCAATCCAACCAGCTTCCAATCAAACTCACTATATGTATCCTCATCCACCCAAACTGACACCGAACTACCCCCTGCTGTGCCGCATAAGGCTCCGCGGACAAACTCATCTGCTGATGGGCTGGAGGGCCAGACGACCGGAGAAAGCCGGGCACGGCGGCTGGGACAGAAGCTGAAAACGGTGTTTACTGGTGAGAAAAGGTCTACTTCTCCCATTAAGTCAAGACAAAATACGGGTGATAGCGTGAAGTCGTCATTTGCCACACTTCGCCGCGGGATTTCGAGGGGCAGCTTCAAGGGAGATCATTTTGATTCAAGGACACTAAAAGACTTCCCACAACCGCAACATCCATCTTATGGTAACAAATTCAGAGTTTCTTCAACAGAGTCGATCGAAGAAGAAGAATATGTACCCAGGAGATCCCACACTAGAACGAGTAGTAGTGCTTCAATTGTCTCTGACTTGGATGAACTTGAACGCGATAACACTGGAGCCCGGGAATACTACAGGTCAAGATCTCCAGTAAAGATAGCTGGGGATCAGGACTCTAGGTCAAGCATACAAAAGCGGGTGCAGGATCTTTTGAAGAATTCTGAAGAATCTCCCGTACAGAAGACTGCTCACGGATATGGCAGGTATTCGGGTAACACTGCAACAGAGCTTTCTGTCCAATTAACCAATGAGAGTAGACTGGGAGTTCCAGAAGAGGCGAATAACTTCAATTCATCGGTTCCATCGCCCATTAAGCGCGATTCCAGCGTTGTCGTCACCAAACTCGATATGTTGCCGAACAAAAGCGGTCAGAAGCCTTCCACAGTTCTGAAAGAGGACCACGTCAAGCCAAAGCGACCTGCAAAGCCTTCTTACTTAAAAGGTAATAAGGTTGCCAGGATAAAAGAGCCTCGCAGTAACAATCATCAAAGAAATGTTAGTGATCTCGATATCGAAGAGCTTGAAAAAGATTTCAAAATGAGATTCCCAAGTGCCGTTTAATGAACTTTGTAAGATTAACTGCGGGTGTTTGCCCAAAAATATCATGTAATGTAGCACTATACAGTTTTATTCACTGTCACTCCACTCTTCAAAAGCATCAAGAATGAAGTCTGTTGCTTCATCAAACCTCTCCTCAAAGTTGTTATTAAGACCATCAGTGTCACACTTCAGAACTCTCCCAAATTTCTTTCTTGGCTTCTTTTGATCATTATCGTCACTTCCCCAACATGCGTTTTCCATGCTTGCAAATACCAATGAATTTTTATAATACCAATCTGCTAATGATTCATCGACCAATGGTATTAGAGGCCGTAGAGGTTTCTGATCAATGAAAGAAATAGCAGCTTTCACAACGCTGCGTGTATCCCTGTGACCTAATAGGTGCACAACGCCACTGTGAGCATCTCCAATTCCAACAAATGCAAGCTTGTTGAGCAAAGGGAAAAACTTGAGATAATTATCCCAAACGAAAACTAAAACTTCTTGCGCAATTGATACAGCGGAATAATTATCTTGCTCGTGTAGCGACTGTGGGATATTCACATCAATTACGCCATATTTTCTTCCAGATGCCCATTTAATGACATCTACGGTGGTATCAATGATAATGGACGTAGAAGGATCTATCATTCCCGTAACTCGGCTACGCTGTGCCCATATTTCGGGTGTATCGTGGACGCAGACAATGATAGACGAGGCCTCATAAATGTTGGGTGAACAGATTACAGCGTCATCTTTAAGACCTAGGTTAAATAGCGGAAGTGTGACAAATCTGTACTCGTTAGCCAGAATTTTTATCTGCTGCTGGCGTATAGCACTTTGTAGTGGAAAATTCTTGTTGACAATTGTATCACTGACCTTATGTTTGAAATTGCATCCGTCATTACCGTGTGTGCTCTTGAAACAGTTCCAATATTTGGACTGTGCCTTAATTACTGTATCAACTATTTCCACTGCTTCCGGCTTGGGCTGCTTTACCTTGGGTAATTCGTCTGGAGGCTCGCCTATCAGAACTTTTGCAACGACTAGTGCACTCTTTGCGATTGAATCCAAGCTATATCCGCCTTCTAGTATCACACAAAGATTTCCTCTTGCCAAAGATTTGAGCATATGCGTCATGTGCCCGTAACAGCTAGGAGTTACGTGGCACTGGCCAATGGTATCACCATCGGCAGCATCAAAACCCGACGAAATGATCACTAGATCGGGGCCAAATTCTCGAGCCATGGGCATTACAACTTGTTCAAACGCCCATAGGTACTCAGCATCGCCTAGACCCCCACATGGCCACGGAATATTGCAATTGAATCCCTCACCTTTGCCTTCACCAGTTCGGTCGTAATTACCATGGATGGTACCCGGATAGTACTTCCCTAGTTCATAACGGTGAAGCGATATGTAGAGGACCCTGTCGTCTTTGTAGAAGGCCTTTTGAGTTCCGTTTCCATGGTGCACGTCCCAGTCTAGAATCATGATTTTCCGAACACTTTCAGGATAGTTCTTTAGCATGTTTTGAGCAGCCACCGCAACGTTGCTGAACAGACAGAATCCGCCGGCCAGTTCTGGCTCTGCATGATGGCCCGGAGGTCTTACAACAGCTAGGGCATTTTTGACACGCCCTTCAACAACGGCTTTGCACGCCTCGATCGCACCACCGCATGACAGCCGGGCACTTAATAGTGAATCGTTGTTAAAGTACACAGAGTCTCCCTTCTCGGTCTCTTTCAGAAGCTGGTCTCGGGTCATTTGAGGAGTTCGCGAAAGAAATTCCAAGTGTTCCTTCGTGTGAACTTCTAAAATTTCTAGGTCAGTCGCTTCCCGGACCGGTATTTTCAGCATCCAATCTCCGATTTCGTCAACACCACTTAACGTCGGATCGTTGATAAGTCCGTTTTCCGCTAGTATCTTGTAAATTCTGTAGATACGTCTAGGATCTTCCGGATGGGGATCGATGTATTCAAAGTAAGACGTGAAAATTTTAGCATGGTATCGCATTCTGACATCATAGCAAAGACCAGTTTTCAATGGACTATAACGTAGTTTCGCTTTGCAGGTTGGTACAATTACTGGTCTCTTCGTGATAATGGCATCTGACGTTATATTATTTGAGTCACTTTCAGCAGGTCTTTTCAATGAAATTTCGGATTTGACACCGATAGTATTAGCCTCGCCTTCAGTCATCAAGACTAGCGTTCGCCAATACCTTCAGCACGATCGACTGTCCAGTTGTTGACCGTATCTAAAGTAATTAAATTTCGAAGATCAGTAACCATATTCTGTCAAAGAAAAAAAATAAACATCTGTGAGCGACTCGAAAGAATAATTGGAACTTTGAAAAAGTACGGAACCTTTCATTGTCCGTTGAGAGAGCGATATCACCGCATCGGGAAGAGCCACTAGCAGCTAGAAGTTATTTGTTGAATCTTTCTCTGACTTTATAAAGAATAGCGTTAGTCGTCACGGATGGACGTTCATTGAGCATGGAGAATAAAGAGAATTTCTGAGTTATAGGAAACCTTTTTATGAATATGTGTCATTCTTCTTCGCACTCGCTTTGCGACTTGAACCTTGCCTTGTAATGTCTTCAAACACCTGGCGTTGAATTTTTTATGCCCGAAAATAATGATACATAAAGCATTTTATTCTGATGGAGAGCTGTCACAGTGCTCTCTGGTATGCGTACACATTTTTCCATATTGGGTTGGGTATAAGAGGAGATGCGGTCAAATTGGGGCCGGTAACATTCACGAGAAGGGCTCGCCTGCTTTCTTTGGCTGATCAATAGCCTTCAGTCTAATCATTACACTTTGTAAGGCAGTCATACCTCCTGTCAGGTATGACCGCAAGCTTGGAGAAAGTATTCGGATGAGCAAAGGATTTGGATAATTGTTTAGTTTCTACTTTCATAGTCTCCCGGCATCTGCCTCTTTGAGGAGTTGGTATAGAATTGCAAGTGCTATGAAACCAATGAGACTTTGATTGAAATACAATATTCAAACTCTGGTTCTTGTCGTCCGCCGAGGCTATCTGCCGGACTGCTTATATTGTACAGTATACCTAGGCCCTATGTCACTTTGTTATAATCTGTCAGGTAATTGATATTTTTCGACTCGTATTTTTGTTGATGCTCATCGCCTTCAGCATAATCACCACTGCGCGGTGAGAGCTAAAGCATTCGTCTGCTCCAGCGATTCAAAATGAATTTCTACCGAGATGCTTCTTGGGTATTGGAATATGTGGAGAAAACTGAATCAAAGGGCCGAGTGGCCGGGTCTCTGCAAACCTTAGTGCTACAATCCTGTAAGAAATACAAATTAAAAACAAACCCCAAACACATTTACGCTGCTGTGAGCTCATGCTGGCACTACAGGGAGTTTTTAGACAGGATTTTGCAACGTTCCGGGATCTTGAAAGATGTTCCAAACAAGAAGGGACAACCTGCTTTTAGTAAGTATACTATCAAGCTACTTGTTCATGACCTCTTATTTTCAAAGAACAAACGGATTCAAATGGGAAAGCACCCAGTTAAAGACTTTGTCCTTAAGCACAAGACGAGATTGAATAGTGAGTTGGTTCGCCTCAAACTCAAGCTGAAAGTTACTGATCTCAAGCAGCTGATAAAGGATGACGCTACTGATATAACCCCGGTAAGGTGGATTAGAATCAACCCGGTACGATCTCGCGACAAACAAAAGGAAGTCCTCGCAGAACTGGAAAAGAAATTCCCCACAAAAGTATCGAGCTGGGCCGAGATAGTGCCGGGAACGATCTATCATGATGAGTATGTGCCCAATCTCTTCGGTGTGCATCCGGGGGACAAGATCACTTCACATGAGTTGTACAAAACAGGTAAGGTCATCATTCAAGACCGCGCCTCTTGCTTTCCAGCCCATATTCTAAACCCTTCGAAGGATGATATAATTATCGATGCTTGTGCCGCGCCCGGAAACAAAACTACACACGTTGCAGCCCATATATTCCAAGACCAAAGTCCCGAAGGGGCTCAGATTCATGCTTTTGAGAAGGACCCGGAAAGAGCCAACACACTGCGTACCATGATAAAGACTGCAGGCTGCTCGAAAGGCATTGACGTTCATGTGGGGGATTTCACGAAAATTGCCAAGCCGGCTTCTTTTCCAGGTGTGACCGGTTTTATCGTTGACCCAAGCTGTTCGGGCAGTGGTATCTTTGGGCGTAAGAACATGGATTATCATAACAAGAATAAAGAAGAATCCATTAATGTCGCGCCGGAAGAAGAAGTCGCCGAAGATATAGCCGACAAAGACCTTAAGGATAGGCTAAGCAAATTGTCCTCTTTTCAATTCGAAATTGTAAGATATGCGCTTTCCTTCCCTAGCGCCAAGAAACTCGTCTACAGCACATGTTCGGTTCACGCGGAAGAAAATGAACGCATCGTTATTGATTTGTTGTTAGATTCAAAGGTAAAGGAATGGGGCTGGCGCGTAAGGAAAAGAGCGGGCGTTATACCAGCTTGGCCAAGAAGAGGATTTTTGAATGAATTCGAAGAAGTATTCCGTGACAAGCAAGAGGCACAGGACTTGGCCGAGGGATGTATTCGTGTTTTGCCAAGAGAAGACGGAGGTATCGGCTTTTTTGCAGTTTGCTTCGAGCGTGATTAGGCTCAGTCGCCATTAGATTGTGATATAATATTAACGTAAATTACATGTTATTTAGTGCCCGGTTCACATCTTTGACAGCACATCGTCGATGACCTGTTGCGTGGTGGACTTGCCTCCCAAATCAGGGGTCATGATTGCCTGGTCGCGTAAGTTAGCGTCGACGGCCTTGTGGATGTCTTGAGCAGCTTCTGGGTGGCCCATAAATTCTAACAACAAAGCAGTGGATCTGATTGTGGCAATAGGGTTGGAGATCCCCTTGCCAGCGATGTCTGGAGCGGAACCATGGCATGGCTCTCCAACAACGAAGTCGAACCCAACGTTCGCACTAGGGACAACACCGAGTGAGCCGACCAACGCAGCAGCACCATCCGATAGGATATCACCGTACAAGTTTGGAGCGACAACAACGTCAAAGCACTCAGGCTCTCTGAACATTCTGTAAACCATTGAGTCCACAATTTGTTCGTTGTAGTTTACAATGCCAAATTTCTCCTTGTTAGATTCGTACACCTCTCTGCACACTTCTCTGAACAAACCGTCACTTTGCGACAAAACATTCGATTTATGGGTAACAGTCAAAGTGGCCTTGCCATACACTTTTTGCCTTTGCAGAGCGATTTCTAGAGCAATGTTAGCAATGTTTTTGGTTGCAGTTTCCGAGATCCGCTTAATAGCCTCAGCCACACGGGTACCTGTGGCTTCGTCAATGTAGGACCTTTCGGTTTTAATGTACAGGTCTTCGGTGTTTTCCCTGACAATAACCATGTCGACAGGTTTATCATTAGTGCCTTCAACAGACTTGACGGGGCGAACATTGGCGTACAAGCCCAGCTGCTTTCTCAAGGCGACAATCGGAGAAGAGTATCCTTCGACTTTGTTGGTGGGCGATTGAACAGCGCCAAAAAGAGCACCTTGACAGTCGCTCTTCAAAATATCAATAGTTTCAGTTGGCAACGCTTTACCGGTATCCAAAAACGTTTGCCAGCCAGCTTGCAAGTCAACAAAGTTGAATTTCAGGCCATGCTTGCTAGAGAGGTTTTCCAACACCAATTTACCTGCAGGAATGACTTCTTTCCCAATACCATCACCTGGGATCAAACCAATGGTCAAAGGTTTGGCAGATTTAGTATACGCTCTACGAGCAACTTGACTGAAGGGGGTTCTCAACATTTGGATGATTTTATAGAGCGAGTTTTCAGCTTAGTGCAGAATAGTGGTGAAGAGCGGCAAGGAAGAGAGAATTGAACGCTTTAAAAGCGTTCACTACGCTCAAGATGGGTGCGAGCTAGCAGGTGTGGAACCAACATCAGGTGCTTTATCGAACAAATTCCGATGGAATTTTATGAATGGTTACCACAATACACAAAATTTCAAAAAAAAATCGTGACAATGCGAGGACCGCTGGGAATTCAATCAGTCCCCTCGGACTATTTTGGTTGTCCTCTAGCTTATTGAAATGGTCTCATTTTCTCCTGCGGGCAGTGAAAAATACTCGACTCATCAAGGGCCTAAAATTGGTGGCAATAGTGAAGATCAGCCTATAACATCTTCATTGCCACCAGCTTTCCTGACGGTTCGGAACCCTCCAAAACTGTATTTATTTCAAAAATTGTTTGTCACTTGCAGTGTTACCATTTTGAAGGTCCTTTAATTTTCTCGTTGTTCGGAAGGTGAGGGAAAGGATGACAGTTACATGACTGAAAACAAGCAAGTTTGCGACAGATTCACCCGGTACTTCCTCGCGATAAGCAACAAACTCTATCTTTTGTCCGCTGAAATAATGTTCGCTTCCAGAACTATCACTTATCGCCATTCTGTCATATGTTTCCTTCCGACGTGACACGGAAATAAACCGTTTACTTCAAGAATCAACTTTATAGGATTCTCTTGAATAGATGTCAAATCTGCGCTGCGTAAGAAAGTTTGGACGATCAAACCAATTGTATTTATACTCAAATTATGATTTGCGGCTGATACCTCTTTTGCCATTCCAGCATGCACTTGAAACCGTCCTTTTTTGTTGATTTTGGGGTTAGCCGTCCTCTCATAACACCATCAAGAAAAATGTCTCAATGAGTGGCCTATTCTATTTGCTGGCAGGCATATATAGTGTAGACGAGGGTCAGCACAAACTGGATATAAATGCCCTTGCCAGCTCCAGGTACTCCTGATCACTTTGTACTAATCTGACATGTCATATCAAATCGATGCTCTAAAACAGACTGGCAGCTGCGCACTTCAAAGCACGCCGCCCATTCAGCATGCCTCGGTACGTGATTCTAACGCATTTAGGGACTGTCCATCAACGAACGGTTGGTGGTCCCTCTGTCACTCTGTACGCAGTTGCAGGTGATGAGTAAATTAGAGACTAGGATACTCTAAGAGGAGTCCAAACTAACCATCGTCACTCAATCACAAAGGATGAGTTTGAGCGGCGATTCTATTACCGGTACCTCTATTGAGGACGAGTATGTGATAATAAAATCGCCCTCACCAACTGCGTCAGTATCAGACCTTGAGGAGTTCGAAGATTTGGAGCGAGCTATCGATCGAGAAGATCGCGATGAGCTTAGTGATGAACCTTACTATGAGAAAGCAGTCCGAGAAATCGCACAGGGCGACGTTTATCCATGCATGATCTGTACAGTGGAGATGGACTTTACTTGCCGCATGTACGCCTGTCCAGAGTGCTATCGCGTATTTGATTACGATTGCATCAGAGAATGGGCTGTCAAATCGGCAAAAAAGAATGCGAGTGGTAGCTGGAAATGTCCAAACTGCTATTTTGAGAGACGTGAAATTCCTTTGAAAAATAGACCTACTTGTTGGTGCGGGAAGAATGTTTATCCGGATCCAAATCCTCTTAGCCCCAATAGTTGTGGTCAGACGTGTGATACTGCCATCTGTGTCCATGGATGTTCCAAGGCTTGTCATCTGGGACCACATCCCTCGTGTCTACGTATGGTGCCAACGAGATGCGCGTGCGGAAAAGAGTCGAAAAGCGTATTCTGCGCCGAACGACCAAAACGCCAATCATATCGCTGTAGCCAGCGCTGTGGGTTGACGCTGCCGTGTGGCATCCATCGTTGCGAACAAGAATGTCACGCAGGACTGTGTGGTGAATGTCCAGAAACGATAGAAAAGATGGTCAAGTGCTATTGTGGATCAGAATCTAAGGCTTCAATTCCATGCAAAGATATTGTTATCGAGGGCAGGTCACAGGATGGTAATCACAACAAATGGATCGGAGTATTTGCATGTAAAACCATGCGCACAGTCATGTACTCTTGCAATAAGCACTCTTTCACTGAAGCATGCAAAGCACCATTTACTCGAGACGGTCAGCTACAATGCCCTTTCGCGGTCGAGGTTTTGAAAACCTGCCCTTGTGGCAGAAATCCTTTGAGTGACATGAACTCAGCTCGAAATAAGTGCACTGATCCTATCCCAACTTGTGATTCTATCTGTGGTAAACGTCTTAGGTGTGGTAAGCATACATGCCCATTTAAGTGCCATAACGGAGACTGCATGCAGGAATGCCTGTGCTCTGACAAGGTGAAATGTTCTTGCCATGCAAAGACATTTTTGGTGCCATGCAAGTTTGAGCAAGATGCCAAATGTACAACTAAGTGTGAATCCTTAATGTCATGTCGCCGCCACCGTTGTTCTCTTAGGTGTTGCGAGAGCAGAGAGCAGGCTCGAAGAAGAGAGAAAAGCGTATTTTTAGCCCGTGATAAGCTGGATGAATCATTAGTTGAAGCTCAGCATATCTGTTTGAAGCAATGTAACTTAGGACTGTCTTGTGGCGAACATTTTTGTACAAGAAAATGTCATCCTGGAAGCTGCCCTCCTTGCTTGGAAAGTAGCTCTGAAGACTTAGTGTGCCCCTGTGGTAAAACGGTTGTATCAGCACCCGTGCGGTGTGGAACAAGTTTACCCCGGTGCTTGAACCCCTGTATCAAAACCCTCCAGGGCCCATTGGAGTGTGGACATCCGCCAATGCCTCATCCATGTCACCCGTTAAGTGAATCATGCCCGTCATGCACGGCGCCGGTCTTTAAAAGATGCAAATGTGGCAAAAGTGAAAAAGTCAGAACGCTTTGCTTTCAAAATGACGTATCTTGTGGACGCCCTTGTGGGGAGCCATTGTCCTCGTGCAATCACACTTGCCAAAAGACATGTCATCAAGTAGGTGACCATCAAACTCGCTGTAATCAAACATGTGGTACGCCTCAACCTGTATGTGGGCACCCGTGTGCATTTAAATGTCACTCCGGCTCTCCATGCCCAGATAAGCCATGCTCGACCAGGGTGACTATTACTTGTCCTTGTGGGCGCCGTGCAACCCAAGTTGCTTGTGGTGCTCATAATGGTAAACAATCGGCATCCGACCAGTCTCTCGCCTGTAGCGAGATCTGTGAAAGCTCCAAACGGCATGCAGAGCTAATGGAAGCTTTCGGAATTCAGCCTGTGGAGGGGAAAGGAACCAATACTTTAAGCAACCTGGAATCACTTGCGGAGAAGGTGGGCACATTCCCAGAGTTGATGCTACCCTTCACTGAGGCGGCTCTATCGATATATGCTAAGCAAAGTAACTGGTGCTCACAAATAGAGGATTGTTTGAACAAGTTGATGGAAGATTCCAGTAGACCCAGCCTGCATTTCAAGCCTATGAGGCCACCACAACGCCACTTTATTCACGAACTTTCCCAGGCATACCACCTGTACTGTGAATCACAAGACCTTGAGCCCAGAAGGTCGTGCTTTGTTAAAAAATCCAATCAATCTGGAAAGCCACCCATATCTTTACGAGAAGCATTGCCCTTGTATCATTCCTTCAAACAGGCCCAAAAGGAACGTAAACAGAGGGAGTTTGAAAAATCAACAACAACCAGAATTTTCAACTATTCAGCTAGTAGAGATCCAACACCAGCCCCCGTTGCGCACTTCAATGGTCTTTTGGTTAAAGGAGTTTTCCCTGGTGTAGACATTGACATTGTAAGGATTAAATTCCAAGATATTCTGAAGCATACGTTACTTAAAGAATCAAAATTTACTAAGCTCAATTCCCATGACATATTGGTATGCACAGAAAATTACTCCCAAGCAAGCTTGAATGTTGAATCAGACATCAATCGCGTAGTTGGACACTTAAGTTTATTTGTCAAAGAACAACTCCTAGCTGATTCTGTCTCGCCTTGCGCAGTTGACCAGGTTCTCCACGGGAATGACGAAAGCGAAAAGCCTAATGTAACGATAAATTTGGAGACAAACTTGGACTCTTCTGACGACTAGTGAGCTCCGTATGGAGTGGGTTCAAAGATTATGCCCTAAGTCAATTGTTTCTTCCATCGAGATCTACATGAGGGGACTTTGTCATTAGTTTCTTTTGTGTCACCATTCTACGTCGGGCCCAGAAAATAATTTAGACTCATTTGTCAATTGGCGTCGATTGAGACGTACTTAAACAATGACAGATTTAGTTGAGTTCACCGCTCACTTTGATGACCTGGTGCCACCAAGGCCAGTAGAACACTTCGGTAGCTCAGATTTGTCTTTTGGAGGAAGAATCGAGCCTCCCTTGAAGATTCATGAAGATGGCGGTGAGCGTGGCTGCGGTGGAAAAGTTTGGCTAGCGGGTGAAATGTTGTGCAACTACTTAATAGAGAAATCCGACTCGAAAGGACTCCTCTCTCTAAGTCAGTTGTCGAATGGTTCTTGTCATTTTAGAAACGTTCTAGAGTTAGGCAGTGGAACAGGCTTAGTAGGGTTGTGTGCTGGCTCCTTGGCTAAATCTAACAGCTTGAAAGTTAAAGTCTTTGCAACAGACATTGGCAATCTGGTAGAACTGTTGAATGTTAATACACAACTGAATAATCTTGATAAGTATGTTTTTCCCGAAATCTTGATGTGGGGAGAAGCTTTGGCGGAAAAATTCGAGGGCGACGCTACTGATAAGATAGACCTGATTTTGGCCGCAGACTGTGTTTATTTAGAAGCAGCATTCACCTTGCTGGAGAAGACACTTTTAGACTTGACGGACGGCTCACATCCACCAATTGTGTTGATGTCCTACAAGAAACGAAGGAAAGCAGATAAGAACTTCTTTCGCCAGATACGAAAGAGTTTCCAAGTGATTCGGGTGACCGATTTCGCAAAAAGTGACGAATACGTCAAGCACCGTACTCACTTGTTCCAACTAATTCGTATCTCACGTTAACGAAACACCGGGCCAAGTTGCATGCCAGGAATGTATATTTACATGTAAACTATTTAGGTAGAGAAGAGAATCCCAGCCAAATGCAACCTTAAATTTGAATTTCTTGATGTTCTGATGATTTGACTTCTGAATCCGCTTGCTGCTGAGGTGTTGACCACGACTCCGCTGGATTCGAATTTCTCGCTGACATTAGTTCCGATTGATCGATGGCTTTTTGTTTCCATACATCGATGATTTTTTGCTCCTTTTGTAAACCAAAGTCGATAGCAGAGGGTCCGAAAACACTTCCTGACATTTCGGCCTCTTCCTGGGCAACTTGGGCCTGTACTTCTTCTTGAATCCGCAGACGGTAAAATTCGAATCTTGCTTGATCATAGGCAGCAAGCAATTCGGTCTGTGTCTTAGTTTGTAGCAAATGAAGGGTTCTTTGGATGACACTTTCCCCGTCCAGTGGCTTACCCAGCTGCTGGATCGTGTTCCAATCGTAGTCATGTACGCCTGTGTCTTCCACGAGCAATTTAGGCCTTGAGCGTTCCCAAGGATGTTGCTCGTAGAAAAGTTCCCGCAAATTATCCTCCACATATTTCAACTTTGGTGCCCTGTATAACTTGTTTCCCGATTCGGCCTTGTCCGCACGACTCGCTCTGGTCTTGTACGTACCATTCGAGTCTCTGGAAACTGCATCAAAATCTGCAAGCTCTGCTGTTGGCTCATTGGTAGCTGGGTTCACTAAACGGGGTTCACGTACAAATCGCTTGGAGGGCGGAATGTGCGCTACCACATTATACCATGCCGGAGTCTTTTTCAAGAGCCCTGACTTCAAGTAAGATGATGTCCGCTCTAGTACATTAACAGCCTGCTGTTGGACCTTCATTGAGAGTTTGTGGGAGCAGATGCGAGGCAGGAGACGTAGAACTGATACAGCCAACCAGATGCTCATGGCATCTAACACTAATAGCGAGAACTGCCTAATTATCAAAATTTTCCAGAGACTATGTCACGTGAAAGGGTCTGACGCCAATAACCAGCTAATTGACTAGATAAATGACTAGATGGCGGAGGAAAATACGTAGCGTCACAAGCAGGTGCTACAGTTTAATGTGGCAGCCTCGGACTGTATAGATGGTCACAGCCGAACCAAAAAAACGCACTTTTTGGCAACCCTTTCTATTGATGAATTTTATCTCGCGTGCGCGATCACCATGGACCGCGGGAGCACTCACATTTTATCGCACGCTCTCAAGTACACTTGCGCAGTACTTCAGCTGAAACCCAGTCTCTTTTGGGTGGCCTGTGTAGACCAACAAGGTCTTCTTAATTCAGAGTAAGAAAAAGTAATTTGACTGCTGAGTTTCAATCATTATTTGCATAGAGCTTACTAAAATTGAATTCCGGCAATAATATTTGAGATCTCACGCTGCTGCCGTCCACGGTGGAATACATTGAGGTGGCACAGGCCACAGCAGGAAGCAAAAGGTTTTGGACACTTTCCAGTCGTCTATGGTGATTTTTATCCTAATTAAATAACACTGTTTCTGTCTTCTCACCGAAAGATTAGCCATTGCAGCCGATAGCACAACCAGTTCTGTCGTTGCGAACTCTCCATATAAGCTAAATGAGCGCGTTGTTCAATTTCCAAGCTCTTCTTCAAGTGCTACTGCTATTGGTCTGCGCTTGTACCTATATTCATTCACAGTGGCCATCGCTGCTGGACAGGTACAAAGAGCATAGCATGTTGGGAGCATTTTGGAAATGCGCTCGAATCGGCGAGAGGGCAAGTCCTTATGTAAGCATTGCATGTATTATCATGGCCATTAACCAGTTTCAGGCTTGATTGCAGGTGGTTGTATTAATGTTGCAGGTCACAATAATGGTATATACTAAATTGAATTTAAGCACGTCCGGCTTCCGCGGTCTTGAAGTGGCAGTCTCAGTTTCCAGAAAATATGGGTTTGGCTTAATGCCTGAAAAAATTGGATCTTGAATGTTAAAGATTTTTTTATATTGTGTGCTCGAAGTGGGACTTTCGAGGACCTTTAGCTTACTATACAGGTGCAGCATAATTGAACGTTTATGTGATCTACTTAAATTCGTAAGTTTCATTAGGCCCCCGCGTTAGAACTGCTGCCCTTTCTGTACCGACGATCCTTTCCAACGCAAGACCGTCTAATTTTGAATACAAACATCTCACCACTGAAATGTTTAAGTCGGCAACCCCCAAAAAGGCACTTTTGCCCAAGAAACGAACCGTCTCCTCGAAGAACTCGGGATTCGTGGGAGGTTTATAGAAAATCACGGTTTTCACGCCTTTAATTTCATAACGACGGAAATGGTGGAGTCTTTCTGTATACAGAAGCACCTTGGTCCTACCTTGGTCGAACAAAGCCCTGTTGGCTGTGAGTTGTCGTTGTTCAGAGTACTCATTGATGTCTCCAAATAAGATGCTGGTCTTCTCGCGCAAATAATTGCGCACACGAATAAAATCGGTGTAGTCCGGAATGTACAATAGTATACCGTCCTCGTAACCCGTTGATTTTACAATGTTCGAGACGATCACGCTACAAAAATACTTGAAGCGGTAATCGGGTTCGTCAATTGCCGAATTTCCGGCCAAATCGAACCTTTGGAAAATCAGACGCGTGCGCATACCAAGTTGACCTAAACTGGACTTATCTGGACTCACTAGAGTATGATTCTTCCACCGACCAGCGTAGTTTTTGCATTTGCCGTTTATGAGTGAATTGGCAAATGGCGAGGAGTATCGAGTGAAAATTAGGGACTGGCGAAGAAGCTTGGCCTGATCGTTGATGTACCACATTCTTATTCTGCTAAAATCAGCGTCATGTTGTTGTTGTGGTATCTTGTTGAGATGCTCGAATATCGACGACAAATGTAACACATTTTGGAATTCGATGCTATGCAGTTGATCGATCACCAACAGTTCAATGGACGACAAAAAGTCATCTTGCCTCTTTTTTTTGTCTGTGTTTTCTAGAATTAATTGAAGACCCAATGGCGAGCATACAATGATGTCAGATTGATAGAAGTTAGAGTACAACTTGATAGCCTTTCTGGTAAACTTAACGCCCAAAACAAAAAAATCGTTTGTATTTCCTTGAAAGACATGTTGAAATGACTTAGGCTTGTGTTTGATTGTAGCAGAAGGCTGAAAGAATTGGTCTTGGAACTTACCTTTCTTATCCACTTGATCAATACCAGATTTTTCGATTATTTTGGTAAGGACCTTATGAGCAGTATCCCTAGTAGGTACAACAATCAGGACTTTAGGTCTTGTAAAGCCCTGATCGAGAATTTCTTGATCTGGGTTTTCTTGAAGTCGCTGGTTATTCTTCAAAATTCGATCTCTTGTTTTGTAAACATGGTTCAAAACGTGAAGAGCATACAAGTCTCGATATTCTGACTCTTGTTCATAACCACTGTACTCGTAAAGTAGATCTTGATATTGGAAGATGGGATCTACCAATTCTTTTTGAAGTTCTGTAAGAACATTCTTGCTAGGGTCTAAAAGATCGTTCTGTACCTTCAATTTTTGCTTTACGAAGTAGGGACTTATCGAACGATTACGCTCTGGAAGCTCAAACTGCTGAGGGGGATCTTTTGGTAGAGCTGGACGAGAGTAAATGTATTCCTGACTGGGGCCCACGGGAGATTTTCCAGAGCGGTAGCGAACAGACTTGACCTTGAAGGCAGCGTCCAGATCATCTAACACTTTGTCTGGAACAGAGTTGAAATGGCTCTCTAAAGTGTCAATAAGGGTTTCATCATCATTGGCCATGTCCGAGTCACCTAAGTCATTATCATCATCATCATCTTGCTGATCGACCAGAGCATTCTCTATAGCAAGTTCCTCATCTTCTTCCTCGTCTTCGGCCTCACCACCCCATGCGGGTTTCTGGCTTAGCGTAGAATCACCATTTTTGACGTTGGATTTGGTGCCATCGTTTTTCATAGAGCTATGGTCAGTTTTTAACAACGTTAAAAGAGCAGTGTAAGCTTCTCTCTGATGCCCAGCTTCGTTTGCTGACTTATGAAGCGCATCAGAGCCATCCTTTGCGGCAGAAGTGGGTTGTTTAAGTTCATCAGAAGCGTCATTGTTGGCCTCGTCCGATGTTTCATGGCGATTATTTTTACCGCCAGTTTTTCTAATGGTCCTCAGCTGTTTTCTTCCACCTTTTGAAGATTTATACCCAAGGCCACTATCTTGATCATATTTAGAACGCTTGACTCCCTTCATGAGCGTACTATCAGCTTTGTAGGTGATGCGAATTGTGGTCAATTGCCTGGTTTTCATCTCATCGCGGGCATTTTTCAAAAGTCGTACAAATTATCAAAATAACGTGACCGCAGCAGGAAGATCAGGCAGGTGTGGTTCGATCCTACTCAGCTTAGATTGATAGTCGACTACATCAATATATTCAGGTACCAAGTAAATGTTGATGAATTTATGGCTCAAGCTAGAGAGAGAGTTTCTGACCTAGATGTTTCACAATTTAAGAAAAAAAAGCACAGTATTTGGCAACATTTCTCGAGAAATTTCCGGAACCCATATGCTCTATAGAGAGCCCTTCTGCCAATGGTGTATCACTGGGGAAAGTCTAAAAGCTCTGACCGATAGAGCCCTTCTCATCATGCCGTGAACAGTGTGTCACATAAGTACAAAGTGACCAAGAAACCAGTGCGGTAGGTATTTTGTTTAGGATCAACCACAGCTACTCTGACCATTCCAGCAAAACAATTGTAGCCCATAATTTCAAAAAGGAATTTATATGAGATGCCTTTGATCTCAAAATTATAGGATTGCTACGAATTGTTACTGATAAAATCTCGTTGCAGTGGATGTTAGGCATATTTCAATAATTCCTTACTAGTATAACTGGCAATGGCCTTGCATACTTGATTTGAATGATGGAGCTAAATATTGAGGAGTCTTTTCACTGCTTTAACAGGAACCATATAGAACGTTGCAAAGACATCAACAGCTGCTCGTGAGTGGTGATCTCAGTAATTATACCGAAATGGTTTTATTATGTACACTGACTCAAGGACTTCGATGAGACACACTTTCTACCGGAACGGCTACCGCGAGAAGGGAAGACTTCTTGACTAGACAACTCTTCTTACGGATTGACTTCCAATCGTTTGACTATCCAGGAGTCTCAAGTTTGCTGCCATACGGACTGCTGACTATCGCAGGAATACTATTCGCGTTTGTTTTGGGTTTTGAACGGGTGGAGTGCTAAACCGGCGGTTGAACTCAGTTCTTTTCTAGACAATTCCTAAGATGATTTCTAAAGGTATTCTGAGGGGTGCAAGAGTCATACTGACTACTTTCTACCTGCTTTTGATTTTAATAACCATTCCAATTTCATTCCAGGTGGGAGGGCTTTACTGTGGCCTTTCCTTCACGGTAACGCTGTTCAATGTGTATTTGATAACGGCAACGCTAAAGGTAGCTGCGGGATCACGGGGGCTCGCCAAACTCGCGACGGTAATATACTACGCGCAGCATTTTTTCATCCCATCGCTGTTGTTCCTGTTTCTTTCGGGGTTTTCGCATGACGAACTTAAGAAACAAATCGATACCAACACCAGCCCCGAAGAGCCCCTGTTAAACCTGCTGCGTCGATCAACACAGACGCAGTCTTGGATCCTGTACTATTATTACTACCAATACGTCGTCAGACCTTGGCAGTATATGTTGCTGCGGTCAACGCCATATTTTACCCTTTTAGAAGGGTTTTTTACGATATTAGGGATTCAAGCAGTGGGAGAGACCAGTCGATGGCTGTCACGCACACAGTCGCGCTCCAATTCATGGGTGATTGCTGGCCTGATGGCATCCGGAGGGGTCATCACCGCATCATTGTACTACCTATTTCGCATTTATGTGACGCCCATCTGGGAGTTGGATGCACAAACTGCATCTTTACTCGGCTTTACATTTTCCATTGTGTGTGGGCTAGGAGTATATGGCATTGTATCTGGCCGCGGCTCCACCATTGAATCATCCTTGTTTTTCGCATACATCGTACGTTGTCTTTACGAAATTTCTCCACAACTTGCAACAAGCGCTATGGATGAGATATTCACCTTAGTGAAAGATACGTGGCAAAATCAGAATCACACTCTTGGATCTCCTGATAGTTTCCTAGCCTACTACCGTGATCGTATCTTGATCAATGGTGAAATGATTTGGGACACCATTCTCGAGCATACAACAAACGTCGCCGTCAACACTCCTTCCCATTCTGCGCTATGGGGTTCCTGGAGCCGTCTGAAGCCGCTCTGGACGTTTACTAAGCACTTTACATCCAGTGTCCCCAGCTCGATTCAGGAGATAGTTTATTTGACTTTGGACATGGCAACGGAAGCTATTGCACCAGCCGTGGTCATGAACCTGTGCTTCCGGATCCTGATATTCTACTCTGCCACCAGAATAATACCTGCCTTACAGAAAAACCACAAACGAAGATCTCGCCGCTTCATGCGAGTTCTATATCTCTACAGTCCTTGCATTGTCATCGCCATGTACACGCATTTGATTCTGCAGTATTCGGGTCAAATCAGCAACGATTTGTGTTTGTGGGGCTGCTTTCCCTGGTCGTCGGACCAGAGCGCCATAGTCGTAGTAGACTCGTGGGGTTTCTGGAATTGGTGTAACATTTTCTGCACTGTGGCCATATACGCTTCAGAGCTTTTCGGCAATAGCTGATGGGGCCAGAGCTTCGCAAACAGGTCGAAATTTATAGTAATTTTATAGAATTTTTACGATGTTAATGGTGTTTTCGAGGTGTTTATCACGTCTAACCAGATAGTGTTCATGCAAAGATGTTTGTTGGACAGATTCGAGGCCTCATCTAGCGACTTCTTCGGGAGCCAACATTTCTCGTATCAGACTGTAAAGCGGTTCTCGTCCATACCCATTTGACGGGCTCAGAGCTTGACTCAATGTTGCATAATTTAATCATCCTTGAAAGTATGTTGTCCCTTTTGAAGCTAGACGTTAGAATATGAACCACGAAGACTCACATCCAACAAAAACCTTTCCTTAACACTAGCCGTGCTCTCCTGAGCACACGGTAGAAAAACCCGAATAAAAAAAAAAACTTCAGTCTGGCATATGTGACTATGCAAAAGCATCCAGGACACGACGTCCCAGCTTCAAACTGCTACAGAAAATGGCGGATCCATAAACCAAGAAAAGTAAGCTCCATTGGGTTACGACAAAACGAGAGTTTGTCACAATCGTCATAACTATGGTTTGAAACCCATTTGCGTAGATTTCCTTACCGAAGACACCGCTGGAATTCGCAGAATTCCAGGGGACAGAAGATATAAAAACTCAGGAGAGTAACAGGACCATGGCAAGCCACAGCACCTGTACATCAACCGAGTTTCTACTCTAATGAGTGGATTTAAACGATTTGTAAAAATTTTTAAATCTCATTGCGTTTTCCGCATACGGTCTGGTGGGAGACTTTCAACCCAAAGCTTAATTGGCGTTCCCGCCTGGAACGTGAGTCCATTGTGCAAGCTTCGATCAGTGACGATTCTTCGGCTATGGGTCCGCGTCATGACAAGAACTGTTTGTCTAGGTGAAAATCCATTCAATCAGCTCCTTATATACCTCGAATGGGGTTACCCGTCTCTGATATTTTTCCACGATATCCCAGCCCAGGGCAAGCGGAAATCTACATTCAGACCGACGCAGTTTTACAATGGTAGCCCACGAGTGTACGGTGATGCAAAGGTCATCCAGGCTTGTGAAAGAAACTGCCAACGCTATTTGACTGGTCGTCGCTTTTTTCTTCGTACTTTTTTTGGTATTTGCTTTTGTTGCGTGCTGAGTTAATTCACGGCCTCCTTCTAGAGTTATAGAGCTAGGAACTACGCTTTGATCTGTATGTGGCTTATAGATCACTTCACGTATTGTTAAGCATGTAAATGCCTGTATGATTTTCTCTCTACAACTGTTGTTCGCAATGGTCTAGAATCATGATTGTGCTCAAACGGGGTCTTGGAGTAGTAGTCAGCCTTCTGTTAGAGTTACTTTCTCAAAGGAGGCTAATAGGTGGAGACGCCAGACTCCTCACTCAGATGTTTTTTGTACACTCGAATATCTTCCTTGGTGCCCGGACTTTTTACTGACGCCAGTTGGTCACTATGTACAAAACTGGCGTTCTACCGGTCATATAGTCTTTAGTCGCTAATGATTGACCATTATGGCGGCTTTAGGACCAGTTGATCGGGTGGCATTTGGGATCTTGACAAGAATGCTCAGATTAGGCTGTTACATGCGAATGGTGGAGCCTCTCGGAAAGTTGAGGTGATCTTATCCACTGCCACCAAACGTTTCTAATCACTAGACACAGGTTCCAAGCCCCAGAGACCTGGTCACATAGCCAATGTACCCAAACCTGGCCCTGCCCCTGGCGTCTTGGACTGAGAATGTACCATACCATCTCGTATGAAGGTACCTCTTGACTTCAATTAGCAACTAAGAGCCCAAGACCGTAGGTTTGGAGTGATGCTACTGACACGGCACCCATACGACGACGTCTGCGGGGCTGATGTCCGCCAGCTATTGGGAATCAACTCAGCGGCTTAAGTGGCAACATACGAGGGAAAGCTTGTCAGCAGAAAGACGTCAATTATGGCTGTTGGAATGCCAGTTGTTTCCGCAGGGGCTGACGGTGACCATGGAGAACAGTAAAGGGCAAGGCGAGCCCGTGACGCGGAACATACCGATTACTAGCATCGAAATGCACTACGGAAGGGATTATAACCTCAGAATCTATTGCTATTTTTTGATAATGAAATTGGGTCGGAGGCTGAATATTCGGCAATATGCCTTGGCAACAGCGCATGTATATCTTTCACGATTTTTGCTTCGTGCCTCGGTCCGAGAGTGCAACTTGTACTTGCTTGTTACCACTTGCATATACCTTGCGTGCAAAGTCGAAGAATGCCCTCAGCATATCCGATCCTTGGTTAACGAGGCCCGGTCTTTGTGGCCCGAATTTGTTCCACCAGATCCAACCAAGGTGACAGAGTTCGAATTTTATGTATTGGAAGAGCTACAAAGTTACCTAGTGGTTCACCACCCATACCGCTCGATGGAACAAATTGTTCAGGCCTTACACACGGAACCTTACGGCTTGACACTGTCCGCCGATGATCTGCAGAACACATGGTCGTTAATTAACGACAGCTACATTACCGATGTACACTTGATATTTCCTCCCCATGTCATTGCCATGGCTTGTTTTTTCGTGATCGTGTGTTTACAGAAAAACCAATGGTCTTCTTACCAAGAGACTTTCAACCGATTCATAGCAGAGTCGCAGGTCGATTTAGCCGAAGTGATGAATACTATTCAAGATCTAATTGCCCTCTACGATTGTTGGGACAGGTATAACGAGCCTTGGATCAAATTTTTATTGCACTCGTTATACTCGCGTCGCGGTTGATTTTGACACTTTCTTTAGTGATTTGCCGGAGAAGGAATGAAACTACTAATCGATCTAGAATGCTTCATCTAAGGCCTCGTGCTTTTTACAACGCGGCAGAGCCGTTGTCTGGAGCTCGCTTTTATCGCTGATCTGTCTTAACTCGCTTGTCACGAAGGTTGGCCCATTCTGAAAAATTTAAGCATGTCGAACCACATTTAAACACATCATCATTATAAGCCCATCAAGCACAGGATCGACATCAAGTGGCACAGCAATTTTGCTGCGAACATTCGTTTTAATAGCTGTTCAATTCCTGTCGACCGGGATTTGGGGCTATTCTCAAATATTTCTGAGCTTGCAGGACCATTGATCAACCAGACACATTGGAGATTATTTAAATTATGAGTGGTGAGGTGATCCAGCGAAAGTCGGTCTCTCCATTGAAGCAAGCCAGTGTCGGAGAAAAAAAGAGTGCTGAAGTCAGCAAAGCGGACAAAAGCGTCAGAACCTCAAAGGAAAAGCAGGCTTCTCGCCATCAGCGCAAAGCCAGAAAAAATGTTTCGTACGTGGATCGCTACTCAGTGCTCTTGTCGATCCTATTCTTCGCCCTGCTGTATGTCGTGAGCCTTTTCAATCCTGCTTTGACACGTAAGTTCACTACCCTCCAGTACCGATATTCCGGCCTGGAGGACGCGTATGACATTGGGATCGACGATGCTTATGTGGTTGTGACATGTATTGTGGCTCTGGTTTTGGTTCGCTCGTGCTTGCTTGAGTTTGTACTAAAACCAATTGCTCTGAGCAAGTTCCACATTAGATCCCAAAAATCCCAACAACGATACGCGGAGCAAGGCTGGTCTTTAGTGTACTATACGTTCTCGTGGGTCTATGGATTTTACCTGTACTATAACTCGCCATATTTTCTAGATTGTGACCACATTTATTTGGAGTGGCCTCATGACAGTCTCTCGGGAACTTTTAAGCTCTATTATCTCCTACAAATGGCATCATGGCTACAACAGATTTTGGTCCTGAATGTAGAGGAGAGACGCAAGGATCACTGGCAAATGTTTGCGCATCATATCATCACCTGCCTGTTGACACTGGGATCCTATTACTACTATTTCAATCGGATCGGTCACGTCATCCTCATCATGATGGACATTGTCGACGTGCTTCTATCCAGCGCCAAAATGTTGAAATACTGCGGATTTACCACTGCTTGTGATTATATGTTTGCCGTTTTCTTGGTGTTTTGGGTCTTACTGAGACATATTGCTTACAACTACATTTTCTATCATGCTGGGACTAAGGCCCCTCGGTTAATGGCCAATGGGGAATGCGTCGCTTCTGCAGTACAGAAAAGATGCTGGACACCCATGATCATTGATGTGTTTTTATGGTTACTAGGAGGTTTGCAGGTTATTACTATCATATGGATGGCCCTGATTTTGAAGGTTTTGATTAAAATTATAAAAGGCGGCAGCGCCGAAGATGTCAGGAGTGACGCGGAAGATAGTGACTGAGTAATGACTGATCACCACACCTCAAAGAAAAAGGGAAAGGTCAATTAATAGTGCTCTGTCAAAATAGATGATGATCTCCCACTCGCAGCATTTAAACATTATTAGCATTAATAGAAAACAAGAAATTGCACTTATTTTAATAACGTTCTTGACAGCATATTCTAACTAAAGTAAGTCGTATATTATGGGAGGAACTGCAACGATTGTCGCCTTTTATCAAGGGCCAAACTTCAAGGTGACGTAAAGAGATAAACACATGACAATAATCCCATAGATCGTTAGCAGCAAGCTGAAGAATTTGAAGAATTGATCTGACTTAGACATCAACTTTCCATTTCTAGCAGCTTCTGATCCAATTAGTTTGTATCCGAATAGCCCGGGTAATGTGAAGGAGATAGCCGTTGAACCAGTTGCACCAACGACACCCAGGACAAGAGCAAAAGACTTGACGTTCAATGCTAAAAGATAGAGTGAGAATATCATAATGGTTGTAATGAGGTAAAAGCGGAAATCGGGGAAAGGCACAGCTCCAGCTGCTTGTAAAGAGCGGGTCTGCTGCAATTCTTCGTCAGCATCATGACTTGTAGTAGAATAATAACCATTGTCATTTCCCAGCACCAAGCGATCCTCTTCCTCTTCGATGTTCATTGATATTGGTGTGGCAGTGTGAGTGTGCTCGTGATGGGGGGCATTGTGATCTTCGCACTTGCCAAAATTCAACATTATCCAGTAGATCATGTTGTTTGCGGCGACACGGGATGGATGAAACAAGAGTGGGAAGGACAAAGTTACCATTACACCGAGGCACAGTTGTCCTACCTTGGTGAATGTCGAGTCTTGGTCATAATTTAGCATGATGTTTCCTACAACATTGCTGCCAAAGGTCAAGTATCCGCAAAGTCCCACAATCAGAAATAAAACCGAGGAGGTACTCATAGTTGTGATGATAACCTTGTTGATATTCTTCATGCTGTTATCCCTCAATTCGTTAACGATGCTGAAGATGTTCATGGAGCCCGTGTAAGCGAAAATGACAATGGAGAAGGTACTTATTAGGCCCTTTAGATCGTAAACACGAATCCATGAAACCTCCCCCCTAATTGTTTTGTAACCGTCAGTAAGAAGCACATTTTCCATGAAGGATCCCGCAACCAGACCAACCATATAGGCAATGGCGAAGAGACCCAGTATACTGGAATACTTCAAACTATCTAGTTTTTTGACCAAAACCAGCGGAAGAATGACCACCGAGCTCCCTAAGATCCAGCCCTCCCGGGTGCCACCTACAATTCCTGGAAACAAGTCTCCGACTAAGATCAAATAGCTCAAGTTTGTTCCATAACACTGAATGAACATCGAGAAATCGAAAAGCAGGGAAAGCGAAGGGTACGTAATGGAACACAAGGTGAAGAACGACGAGCTTCTAGGATCCTTTAAAGTCTTAGAGCATTTAGCGAGGACGAAGAGCCCAAAGCCCGATGTTACAGATGCAAACAGAGTCAAAATAACACCTACTAAAACCCCGAAATTTCTGAAAGCGAAGGGAATGGCCAGCATTCCAGCTCCCACGATTGTTTTCACCAAATTAACAGTGGAGAAGAAAGTAGTAGCATTTCCTTCCATCGAATCTGCCTTGAACACTAACGTCGTAGAATAGCCAAGGCCAGTTCCTAGTTCTAGCTTTGTTAATTATTGTTCACGTAGATAGGAATTTAATAAAGTGAAATAGTCACTGCATTAAAATTATCAGTAGATAACGACGGTATATACACGAATCAACAACTTTACAAAGTGTGAGTCAAAGTTCCATGCAATGAGCGACGAGGTTAATGTTGGGGACAAGCTTCGAGCGTTGGCCTTGAGAGGACCTGAAAACTTAGTTCAATTGCTCAAACAGCAGGATGAAGAACTGGAAAGTAAATTGGGCCAGGACAGCGGGATTCTGGACCTCCACAGAGCTATCAATGAGGATCCAGAGCTTAAACAGCGCGTTTCCATGATTCTGGACAAATTCTACAACATGGCCGAGAGAAATGAAGAAGACGTGGACGACATTTACGATGCCGAAGAACACCGAGGGAAATCGGCCGCCAGGCTGCGAGATGTAAATGTCACAGAAGAGGTAGTACCGCCCGAGAATTTTAGTCATATAGTAGGTGAGATTTACCGGTCAAGTTTCCCACGACCGGAGAACTTCTCGTTCTTGCAACATAGCCTTCGGCTCAAATCGATCATGGTCCTGATACCCGAGGAGTATCCCTCCGAAAACACAGACTTTATGGCCCAGGCTGGTATTGAATTGTTTCAAATTGGAATGAGCGGGAACAAGGAACCGTTTGTGAACATTCCGTGGGACCTTCTAACGAGAGCCCTGGAAGTGGCCATCAATCCAGCAAACCACCCGATTCTGATACATTGCAACAGGGGCAAACACCGCACAGGATGCCTGGTTGGGTGTATCCGACGATTGCAAAACTGGTCGCTAACGATGATTTTCGACGAGTATCGTCGCTTCGCGTTCCCGAAGGCGAGGGCCTTGGACCAACAGTTCATTGAGATGTACGACGAGGACAAGATAAAACAAATTGCGGAGGACAAGGACTGGCTGCCGATCAGATGGTGACAACGGGCTACGATGACCGGTTAGATTTTTCTTTTTGTAGTGGAATATTTACCTAGCTAAAACCTCCGGATACAAACCTCTTGGTGTAGACCACAGTGTTGGACAGGGCGGCGGAGGAGAGGGCCAGGGGCCACACCCTGCCATATCTGAGGGCCTTGATGGAACCACGGCCGCCAACGATCAAATACAACGCAGACCAGGCTCCGAGAAACCCGGAACCGCTTTCCACGTCACCGTCGTAGACTATCCAGGACCCTACAGCCTGGGCTGCTCCGAACAGCAACGCTGTTTTCGTGGTGGGGCCCACGAACTTAGGGCGGGACCACACGCGGAAGATGCCCGTATGGGACTGACCGGCACCAATGGGCGACAAAGCAGCTGGTGAAATCATAGGGGTCGCCAGCAGCATGGCTGCGTTGAGCGCAGCGGGATAAGGCGTGGAGCTTAAGTTATACAGCACGTCCATGGAAGTACACGGTTTGGGTTGGGCTCAACACAGCTGACGGAAGTGCACAAATACAGCCTTTTTTGCGCCCTTTGTAGGTCTTAAATCTCTTGCTTGCAGCTAACTTTCTTCAAATATTACACGGTAAACGCAATGACTCTACTTAACTGCGCAATTACGATATACCTACTATACAAAATACACCATCAAGAGACCCGCTCTAAGATCTTTCGCCTCTCAATCTTCTGGCCAGCTTGATGTCCTTCTTTTGGATGGTCACACGCTTGGCGTGGATGGCAGCCAGATTGGTGTCTTCGAACAGCGACACCAAGTAAGCTTCCACGGATTCCTGGAGCGCACCGATGGCCGACGATTGGAATCTCAAGTCGGTCTTGAAGTCCTGCGCGATTTCACGCACCAATCTCTGGAAAGGCAGCTTTCTGATCAATAGTTCCGTCGATTTCTGGAATCTTCTGATTTCTCTCAACGCCACAGTACCAGGCTTGTATCTGTGAGGCTTCTTGACACCACCGGTGGATGGTGCCGATTTTCTGGCGGCCTTGGAGGCTAGTTGCTTTCTTGGGGCCTTACCACCGGTAGACTTTCTTGCGGTTTGCTTAGTTCTAGCCATGACTGACTTGTAATATGTGTGAGTGTTTGATGTCTAACAAGAAGGAGATTGAACAAAAGAAGGATGTATAAGTGGAAAGTGCTAACTTCTTCCTCCTCCTACCTTATATACCTGACATGAAAAAGAAAATTTATGAGTAAGCTAATTATTTCTGTGCTGCGACATTACCCTTTTGCTACTGAGTCATTTAGCACTCTACTTGCCACGCTTCGGCCGGCCCCATTATTACTGTGAGTTCTCATACCACGAAATAGTTAACGACCGCATACGGGGGGCCGGTTCACGGACCAGGATTAACGCTATGAAAAACTTATGGAATTACCGGAAGCAGCAGTATGGCCCAGGATCTTCGCGGGGTCGCATTGCATTTAGGCGGCTGCACCGGCCCAGGAAGTTCGCGTTGGCTCAGTAAATTGGTTTCGCGAGCGCCTGCTTACCCGAAAACACCATAGTAAACGGGCCATCCGAAAGTGCAGGAATGGTGGCGGGAAATGTGGCCAAAATTGCGCGTCTCAAGCGGCGAGAAAACTTATATAAAAGACCACCAGCAGACGAAGGGGGGAACTTAGATTTTGTTCTGTTACTTTTACTTGCTTCTTATCCTACACAAACAAACAACAACTCAAAACAATGTCTGGTAGAGGTAAAGGTGGTAAAGGTCTAGGTAAAGGTGGTGCTAAGCGTCACAGAAAGATTCTAAGAGACAACATCCAGGGTATCACCAAGCCTGCCATCAGAAGGTTGGCCAGAAGAGGTGGTGTCAAGCGTATTTCGGGTCTGATCTACGAAGAAGTGAGAGCCGTGTTGAAGACTTTCCTAGAATCGGTCATCAGAGACGCCGTCACCTACACTGAACACGCCAAGAGAAAGACTGTCACATCTTTGGACGTCGTGTACGCCTTGAAGAGACAAGGCAGAACCTTGTACGGTTTCGGAGGTTGATTGGGAAAGTGTTATATTGGTTGTATTTCGATTGTACTATATATATTGTAATGAAAGTTTGAAGCTAAACGGACGGCAGAAGAGCGCTGTTTTTTCAATTATGGTAGGCGTGCCTCACACGCAGAGCTTGGCATCGCAGCTTGCTTAGCAGTTGAGTCGCGCGCGTACAGACTCTCTGGCAGTCGCGGTGCGTTCCGGTCATATGCAGTGTACGTATTAATCAATACTTGGGCGTTCTGGCCTCCGGCTTCGGGCTATATGTTGTCTACATTCTAACGGCCACTCGTGGGCATCGGCTTCAGGCGTCGCGAGTAATGTCGTACCATAAGTTGAAGCATTGGTCGGTATCCTCGATGTCTCTCTGCCTGGGGCACTCGCACCGACAGCCGACGCCGAAGTCCTCTGCCGGCTCCGCCGTCCACGTCATTCCCGCAAGCTTGCCTGCCACATCGCCGCGCGGACGCAGGATATCGGAGTAAGCTGGGTTCTCGGCGTACGGTAGTTGCGATCCGGCTTTGTTTATAGGGCAATGCACCAGAGTGGAATGCTGGTAACCAATGTCTCGGAAGTAGTGCACGTCGGCTACGTCTAGGACTATTCCAAGCCCCAACGAGTGCACCGGAGCATCTCCCCAACGCTCTGTCCAAAATCCACCACTTGCCTCTAGAAATTCAAAATACTTTGCGTACAGGCCCTCACTGAACAGATCCACGCGGGCAATCTCAAAATTGCTCCAAAAATGACACAGGTTGAATTCCTCGTTGTCAAATTTATCCTCCACCACGGGTATCTTCCTCGACGCACGTTCAATCAAAAGTCTTGTGGCGTCCCTGTCGAGTTCCTCAGACTTTCTATATTTCAAGTCTACGAGCAGCTGTTTGATTTTGTCGTCCTTCTCCAGTTCCGGCTGTATCTCGTGGTCGTAGTTGACAAGCTTGTCCAAAAGGTCGTCGTCGGAGAAAACGTTGTAACCTTGGACAAAGAGGCGCCATAGATTACCAACTTCCACATTATTTTGTCTTATGAAGCTGCGTGTGAAGCGAAACAGGTTCGGTACTGTCCAATACAGTTCCTTGATCAGCACGGTGAAACCGTATTTCTTGCCACGACGATGCATCTCGAAAAAGGGGTCGTAAGTGAGGTCGCAGAAAAACTCCACGTCGGGCTCCAGCCGCCAGTACCATTCGTATTGACGAACCAGCGGGTGCTGATAAAAGGCTCCCGCGAAAAACCGACACATCTTATGATAGGACTCCATGTTCCCGTACATAATACCACGATCGCCTTGATCGTCTATACTTTCCTGGAATATCGATTGCTCGCGTACGCTTGGCGGGAATTCCCATTCAGCAACACTCAAAACTCCAAAATGCGTTTCTGCGCGCGTTGCAGTTTTGACTAACTGTACAAACTCGGGCGTAAATGGCGCGTCGTTCAGAAACACATAAGGATATTGGTACCATTGGTTGAAGTGCCGCTCGATGCTGTGCAAAGACTTCAAAACACCTTCAATGTCCTCGTTTCGCGTCAGCATCACAAAGGTCGCATTCTGGGCACTGTACTCGAGCTGCTCTCGATACCATGTTGGGTCTAAACACCCTTCAACAAAAACGCTATCCTGTTTACCATCCAGACTTGAGTACCCAAATGAATCTGTACCTCTCAATCTGCGCCTGCTTCCCTGAATCACACTCCATGCGGCCACCACTGTACAGCATAATAGCATGAAACGGAAGCATTTTCGATAGCGTCTGCCTTGCATACTCAAAGTTTCAATCTCACAAGAAATGCTCCATTTCAAGGAGTGTTTGAAAGCTTTGCTCGCTGGTTTGTAACTCTTCGGAAGACGGTCTAATGGCTTTGACTAGCCATAAGATGTGTACCAATTAAAGCAGGCATCATCTAAAGAAGATCGCCGAATACGGACCGAGTAAGTTCAGCGAAGCATAGGAATTGAACCTTTGGGCAGTCTTGACCTAGTTCCTTGATTCTACAAGGGATCAGTTTCGAAACGGAGCAGGCGGTAGTCCTGACAGCGATCTGATTAGAGCAATGTCATTGGTAACTTCTTCGGGCTTTAACGATTGCAAAGGTGGTGCAGACTTGGTGGACAGTCTATTTGTGCCTCTAGTCTTCTTCTTCTCTCGTTCTTTGTCGCCAAACAATAACGTATGGAGCTCGGACGAGTCACTGAGGCCCTGCAATAGCATAGAGTCTGAGCTTTCGCTAGCGTAGTTTGGTGGTGCGGGAGAGTCCTTTGCGGAGGCAATTTCTTGATCCTCACTCATAGCCCGTGATGTAGCAGTGGTTGCCAGACGGCGCCTCAACGATCGGCGCTCTGTTCCAGTATCGGTAGCGCTTTCGTTAGCAGACATTTCTCTGCCAAATTCGTTGGGGGATGAGTCCCAAGCGGTGGCCGTAGCGCTTCTGGTGGTCTTGTGGAATTTGGCGCGCGAGTAGTCCATAGAGTACGAGTGAGAATTGGCGACTTCTGTCAGGAGCCTTTCCTCCTGTAATTTTTTCATTTTGGACTCCAGAGACTCGTACAGTTTCTCTTTACACAGCTTGATAATCTTCTCGTGCTCTTCTTTAGTCTTTTCTAAATCCTCCTGGAACTCGATACTCGAGCGATTCACACGATACTCTTCAAAAAGCCGCAAGCGCACCAGTTCAAAGTCTCGTTCTTCCTCGAGGTCTCGCAGTTCCCGTATAAGCTCTCTGCTGTTTCCTTGGTGTAACGTCGTCAATGTGGTTTGCAGAGACGTCAGCCTATTTCGATAATGTATGTCTCTCTCAACCGAAAAGCTGTGCGCAATCTTGCTGACTTTCGATTCGAAGTTGTGTCTTCTCTTATCCTTTCGGGAGATGGCTGTGTGCAATATTCGTCAGTGGTTAATATACCGCAATTCATTCTGTTCTAGAAGTCGGTGACATACTTTCAAATTGTGGAGTTGTGTTAGCCATATCTACTTGACCAAGCAGAGGTTTATTCTTATAGGGTTATGTTTGTTCGATGGCTGTTCATAATAGAGGGAACTTTTAAATTTATATACTCTCTTTTCGTAATGGGCATACTCAGCAGCTATGCGATGAGTGCGGCAATATGGGCCAAATAGAGCTTCTAGTCAGTAACAATGGCCTGATAAAAGGGATAAAGACTCAACTGGAACAGATCGATGCTTTTGAGAGGCCGATCAGGAGAGAAAACAACCTCACGGTAATCAAAACCAAACTTGACATAAGCGATGCTACAATCAGAGAAATTCTATCTCACTATGGACCAGACGTGAAAACAAGAGAGTACCAGAACAGCGTGGATGTGCATTTGAAAGTCGATCGCCTTTCTCAGTTCGTGGTCCAATATTTGGGCGAGCACTGTCCTGTAAACGAGGAGGAACTACAACACTTGCTTGAGCACTTGCCTTTGCGTTTCTCGCTCTACCAACCACTAGTATTATTCAACTTCTCTCAAGAACGCAGCTTTTTGCATAGCAGCTGGAAGAGACAACTGGAAAAGCCTGGGTGTGGCGGGTTTATGAAAGCCATGTTAGCAGAGATGTTTCCGAATTTCTCTCACGTCGCTACCAACAGGCCCATTGTGGAGCACGATACGATGCGCAGGCCATTTCACATCGTCCCTCTCGAAGGCGAGCTGCTCAGCGGGGCCGTCAGTCCGGAAACCTGGGAGCTCCCATCACAAGCGGATTTCGATCGAGCCCTATGGTGCCATGTGGTCCAAAATGGCATTCATCAGGTCTGGGCCCCCGCATTCACAATGTTCAGTCGCGGCAACATCAAGGAAAAGAAGCGGATTCTCGATCCGACGTCTTACCCCGAAGTTGAGGGCAACGACGTCGTGGACCTGTACGCGGGCATCGGATATTTCGCACTCAGCTATCTCAAACGCAGAGCAAGACGTATATTTTGTTTTGAATTGAACCCATGGAGTACTGAGGGGCTGCGACGTGGGGTCAACCTAAACAAATTCTCCGGCGAATGCAACATTTTTCAGCAATCAAACGAAGATTGTCTCCTGCAATTGGAGCGTTTTGAGTTTCTACAAATTCGCCACATTAATTTGGGACTTCTTCCAACCAGTCGGCAGGGGTACCCATGGGCACTGCATCTCGTTTTGAAATATGGAGCTACTCCGACCACTACGTTACATATACACGAGAACGTTCATATCGGTGATATTGAGAGCGGGAACTTCGCTCAACAGGTTTTAAAGACGCTTAGCGACCTTGAGGGTAGATTATCTTTTACTCTTGCTCATGTCGAAAAAGTCAAGACATTTGCACCCGACGTTTGGCACTGCGTCCTAGACCTTGAGGTATCAAAAAGGCCAGAGTTTCATTAGGTACCTACTTACACAAGAGTTATTATTAACCTGGTCAAAATTTTAATAAAAACTCGCGGAAACCGGAGGGAAAGGGCTGCTGAGTACTATGAATTCATTGGGATTAGCACATATGTATCAAAATAACCAGACTCATTCAAGGCACGAAGTTGTCTTGATTGTTTTGATATAGAGCGTTTCTGATGATGACCTTAGTTTGTCAAAACCCCGATATATTTAACCGTTTATTATTATTGTAGAGATAAAAAATGGCAACAACACCTCAGAACCAAACAAACCTAGCAGACGGTGGGTTTACACAACCACAGTTCTTGTCAAAATCATGGACTTTGAACAGTTTATGAGCTATCAAAAGAAGTCCGAGAGCGAAAATGGAAGCTCCAGCCCAAATGAGCAGCCCAGTTTTCACAATAGAGGCTCATCTCCCACAAGCGCTAGGTTTTTTGGCAAGAATGCCCCACTCCGGTTGGATACAGGGATAAGGATGCCGACAAATGTACCCGATGACTCTCTGGATGCTGCAGAAAAGATGTTTCTGTCGCCCCTCAGTGACGAAGCGCCGGACATTTTCTCCGTAGGGTCCCATTTAACAACACCGAAAATTACCATTGAGCCTACGGTTGAAGTGGCCGGGAACTATAACCAGAATGAAGGAATGCTGCCGTCAAGAGAGACGGAAGGAGCTGGCCCTGGTGTTTTTATGCAGTTCCTTACATCTCAGCAGCAGGAACCATATGCCGAACAAACAACTTACGTTCCGCCGCCAAATCGCGAAAATACACGTTCAAGACTACTGCCCAATTTCAATGAGGACTCCATTTCGGAAAGGTCACCTTCAGTACACTCAGTCTACTCTGCTGCTTCTTTCAATGATAACGGGCCGGGGACATGGCAGCTGCAAGACATGGCCCTTTCACCGGCCCCGTCCCGTCTTACCACAGGAGACGACGAGCTGGACGAGATTCTGAGTATAAACTCCACTAACGAACCTTTTTACGACGCTGAATACGGGCCTTCTAATATCGCTGTACCAAACTCTGACAATTTCTTAGACCCGGTTGGCAACGTTTTCGAAGGAGACGGTAGCGTATACTTCGGTCAGTCAGATCCGCTTCAACGTAGTCCGAATGTTCCAGCTAGAGATTTCCTGAAGCCGCAGATATCAATCGAGGAGTTCAAAGCACTTTCTCCCGCAGAAACCGTTAGACATAGGCAATTCAGCAACGCATCTTCTCCTATGTCCTTTCACACCGCTCGGCAGAATACTGACTTTCTTTCAGTCCAAGCTGACGATCCTGCTTTAACCAGTGAAGATGAAAGAAGCATACATGACATGATGCGCCAAGGACGTAAGATCCGACGCAGGTCTACCCAATTATCACGTCGACTAAGCGCCTCAAGCAGAAGTCTTTCTGCCGATGAGAAAGCTCGCTCTTTGAGTGAAGATCGCGAAAAGCTCATGGCACTGGCTGCTCTCAAACCTTATAAATCTCACAATGATCACTTTGGAACCTACGCCGACAGTGAAGGAGTGGACAGTGAGAAATCGCCCTCCTCTGACACATTGAATCTGGTGCGCAGAAAAAGCTCACAAAAAAATCCAGCTGTGTATGCCTGCCACGTTTGTGATAAGAAATTTACCAGACCTTACAACTTGAAATCGCACTTAAAGACTCACACCGATGAGAGGCCATTCGTATGCAGTATATGTGGTAAGGCTTTTGCAAGGCAACACGATCGCAAACGCCACGAAGACCTTCATTCGGGTAAGAAGAGGTACATATGCCAGGGAAATCTGAAGGACGGAAGTCAATGGGGCTGTGGAAAGAAGTTTGCCAGGAGCGATGCCCTAGGTCGACATTTCAAGACGGAGGGCGGAAAAAGATGCATCGCTCCGCTTTACGAGGAAGTTTCTAGAGAGCGCGCAGCGGGTCGTGAAACCGACCTGGACCTTCCGGTAGACTTTTGATCAATTCGTGATAGAGAGCCATTATAAAGTAGGTGTAATCATTAGAGCATATACGTTATCGCTAGGACTGTAATATTAAGAACTTAAAGCTAGCTAGATACAAATCAAAAATTTCGCACTCATCAAGTATAACTGCTTGTCAGTTGAATTGCTTGTCAGTTGAAGACTGCTCTTTTTTTATGTCACTTTTTTAGTCAAGCTGTGTCTAAACGGCCGTTCAACTTATTAAAAGCAGTCCATAGACCAATTTGATTTCTCTCATCCCAAGACCGAAAAATAAGCCAAATGGACGGCCCTGACCTTGATGAGCCTTTAGAATCAAGAATACTGCTAAATGCTAACAAGGACTCAATACTCAATGAGATTGAGGTTAAACACCAGCAGCTTTTACAAACCCAGCAGACGCGTTATGCAAAGAGCCTACTGTCTCAGAATTTGCATACGCCAGTCAAACTATCAAACGTTATAGTCCAAAATGCTGAATGTGTACGCTCCACGGTTTTACAAAACTACCTAGACCATACTATAGGCAAAGCTACTACTTTTCAAGAGCTATGTCAACAATCTGATATCTTGAACATGAAGCTCATCTCGAATGGGCTGGTCGAAAACTGCATCCAGACAATCGATAGCAGAGGTGTGCTGCACTACAATTTAGAAAACTCAATTCTTTCACCAAGCTACGCGATGCCGCATGGGCCAAATCAAAACATATCAGTTGTTGACATTGTGTCCATTCTTAAGCTTCAACCGCTAAAAAAGTTCACAGCCAAGACTGGAACGAATATTGGAAATGGTGAAGGGGATGGTTATCTTCAATTTCAATGGCGTAACGCACTAGGCGGTGGCGAGAAGTTTACGTTTGATGCCACCAAAGGGACAAAAACGCATTCATCGTACCTCATTGATTATCAACAGCCTATCTCACCCTGGTGGTCCTGGGACTCTGCACTCTACAAAAACTCTAGGGAGCTTGGGAGCTCTGAGCTCTTTTTAAGAGGTCTACGAGGCTCTTTAAGATCTTCTTTTGAAAAGCATTCTAGTGTTAACCACGAACTACAATTAGAAAGTGTTTGGCGTACCACTAGAGCGACCACAAGCCGTAGCTCTAACTCTTTACTAGCAGAATGTGGCGACGATTTGAAAAATGTTTTGGGATATTCTTTATTCTGGGATTCGCGTGATAGACCCATTTTTCCATTTTCAGGAACTTTCCTTAAGGTGTCGAACGAAGTGGCACTTAGCAGATTCTTGAAATCCAGTTTTGAAGCTTCAAAGGTTAAAAGTTGGAAGGAGAATAATTTTATCACGGCAAGTGCTACAGTGAAGGGCGGTTACATCAACAATCTTCACCCCACGACAAAACCGCTTCATATCAGCGACAAATTTCATAGTGGTGGTAGCAACGATGTCCGCAGCTTTCAGTTAATGGGACTGGGTCCGAAAGATCTTTATGATTCTCTCGGTGGTGATGCGTTTATCTCTTATGGACTAAGTGTCTTTAGTCGGCTTCCGATAAAACGCTGGTCTGAATCTAACTTTAGACTGCATGCCTTTTTTAATGGCGGGAGACTAATAAATTCCAATGGCTGTAATGTGAGTTCCTGCCTGAGATCATTATCACAAGAGCATTCCACATCAACAGGTTTTGGTATCGTATTTGGCCATCCCTTGGCAAGGTTCGAACTAAACTTCACTCTTCCACTCACAGCTCACACCGGTGACTCTGTAAGAAAGGGTTTCCAATATGGAATTGGTTTGTCATTTCTATAAACTTGTATTTAAGTGAGAATCATTTCTCGAGACATTAATGAAAGATTTTGTAATTAGGTCATTAGTGTGCTTGTTCTGTTACGTTCACGATTGCTCTGCCTGCTGGCTTATCCATATATTGTGATGTTTGATGACTTCTGGAACAATCATCGCCTCGATGATCTGTTCTCCGGAGTTGCTCCGTATCCATGAGCCTTTGCGGTTTTGCTCGGAAACAAAAACCACCTCCCTATTTCTTGTTTGTAGTAAATTGCCGATGACCAACTGGTGGTTGTAGCGGTCCAACGCATGTGTGGCTTTTTTGATTAGAATACTCTCATCTGTCTCCAGTTTGAAGGACACAATCATTGCTTGGGCAGCCCACGACGTCACCAATCTCTTCAAAAATTTGGGGACTGGATCTAGATCAACGATTAGTTTCCCATCTACCGGCGTATGATGACTTGAATTGGAATTTGAACCAGGCTCGTGAAACTCGCTGGACTGGATTTTGTGCTCAGGAAGCTTGGAGTGCGGCACGAAAAAATCACTGACAGCAGCTGCCAGATAAAACAAACTGCCACTGCTGTTCAAAAGTTGGGCGATCGATTTCAGGGACCATAAGTACTGGTTCACTGTGGTGAACGGCAATAAAAGAAGTCTTTTCTCCTCGTGAAGGTATTTGTCAAAGAGCAACTTATTTGCCAACAACTTTTCCTTGTATTTCGGAGCTAGGCCACCATGTTGGTCGAAATAATCCAGGAAGCATGTGTCACTGTTGTGGGTGAAGCTCCTATTGAACGGCGTCAGGGAAAACTCTCTATGCAGAAAGATAACGGAGTAGCCCTCATATAAAAACTGTTCGGCACTGGATGCACCTCTAGTGCCGGCAGAAAAGTTGTCGATAAACCGAACTGTGTTATTCTCCAAGGGCACTGTGGTTCCACCTGATGTTACCAAAACAATTCGAGATCTTTCCATCGAGAGTTGGGCCTGGATAAAGTCATCGGCCTCCTTTATAAGGTCGTCAAGGTATTCTGGCCTTGGGTTACACAGGAAGAACTTTTCTTCCGCAGTGTCATCGGCCGGTGGTTGTAAGCCTGCATCAAACGACCTATCGATTGCCCTAGAGATCTCTGTCGTAGAGGTGTGAATGGGCATGTAAGGCTGGTGAATGTGTAGGTGACGTCTTCGAGATGGCTTTTTAAGCGAGCTTACTTACCATGAACACTTGACAGAGAAGAGTTAAAGGTAGGTGGTATACGAGGCAGACAGTAGTGCACGAGGCTTTCATGTGCTGATATTAATACAAATTCTTGGCGTTGTTTTAAAAATTGGTCTCTTGGCCCAGTTGGTTAAGGCACCGTGCTAATAACGCGGGGATCAGCGGTTCGATCCCGCTAGAGACCATTTATTTTTTGTCGGGTTTCCTAAAATCCCTTTTTGGATACCTACAACCGTACACAGTTGAAGAGGCCCGACATGGAAGACCTGGACTGCTAAATAGGTGCAACAGGGCGCTCAAGTCTATGAAGACTGGTAGGGAAACAATCACAATCGGATCGACACATATGTGGATCACATGACGCGACAGCGACACGGTCTTGGTATTGTGTTTAGCAGTTGACTAAAGACAGCTAGACTTAAGTGATCGCTGTTCAAGTCACAGGATTTGTTTCCTCTCGATCTACTGTCCGTCTCCTGTTTTCCGCACCTACGAATTCTGCTAAGTTTTATGACATTGTCATGGACTCCCTAAATGAGTGGAAAATAGTGCGATATTTCAATCAAACGCCCGTTACTCATGAGTGCCCATCCCCATTAGTTTGGTTAGGCAGGAACATTACCCATTCAATCAGGATGCCAAAGCAGGCGTTAGGTTGTTTGTTATTGAAGATGTAATTTAGCGCGTTCGTTAACTATGAGTCGCGGGCTAGTTGGACAGTGGGAAGAAAAAAATGGTCAAAAAAACGGTTAGTATCGGATCTCCTCACCTTTCGTTTGTCAAGGTTTAGCATCAATTCCAAACCGAGGTCGCAAGTGGATTGCTTTTTGCGAAGGCGTACTCTGAGTCTAGTGGCTGGCTTTTTGGCTCTCTCTTTATCCGAATACCGAGAATAATTTGGACCAGTGGTACTGTTGGTGGAAGGAATTTTGAAAAATACTCTCAATTGCAGTGTACTTTGATCACTCACAGATTTTGAATCGCTCACTCATATCTCCCAATCGAATTGATTTGAGAGTTGTACTTGTGTCAAGATCCCGGCATTTTTTTTATATAACCTATTGGACGCATTATAGACCTTCTGTGATACATTAAACAAATGAGCGCATCTCAACAAACAGAAAAGCAGCAGCTCGCAAAGCAAGAGTTTGCAGATGTTGGCAGCGAGCAAGATGCCAAAAATACACAAGATCAAGGGGCTACGCAAGATGGACCAACTGGCGCCGGTGAAGCCCCGGAAACATCTACGCAGCCAGCGCAGGAGAAACCCGCTGCAGCCGAAGAGGCCGCGGTTACTCCTGCAAACGCTTCGAAGGGTGGCAGAGAGACCTCTGACCGGATCTTGTACGTTGGCAATTTGGACCTGAGTGTCACTGAGGAAATGCTCAGACAGTACTTTCAAGTGGGTGGGGCCGTTGCCAATGTCAAAATCTTGATGGACAAGAACAACAAGGATGCAAACTATGCCTTCGTGGAATTCTACAAGCCTCACGACGCCAATGTGGCTTTCCAGACTCTGGACGGAAAGCAGGTGGAAAACAATGTTATCAAGATCAACTGGGCTTTCCAATCGCAGCAGGTGTCGTCAGAAGCCACTTTCAACCTGTTTGTTGGGGATCTGAGCGTTGACGTTGACGACGAAACGCTTGCTTCCACTTTCAAAGCGGTCCCCACCTTCATCCAGGCCCATGTCATGTGGGATATGCAAACCGGAAGATCTAGAGGTTACGGTTTTGTATCCTTTGGTGACCAGTCTCAAGCTCAAACGGCCATGGAACAGAGCCAGGGTACCATATTAAATGGCCGAGCAATCCGCATCAACTGGGCTTCCAAGCGTGAGCATAGCAACAGCAACAACAGCAACAACAACAATAACAACAATAACAGCAACAGCAACAGCAACAGCTACCATGCCGGCGGAAATCCATATCACGTTAACACGCGCGGAGGTGGCGCGCGCCGTGGAGGCTTCCGTGGGAATCAGCAATACAGAAGCCCAATGGGTCCCATGGCCATGTCTGCACCACCCCGTGGTCCACATTTGCCAGCCATGGGCTTGCCTCCTCAAGCTGCTCTGCTCCAGCATCAAGGTCCCGTCATGTTGCCCCAAGTTCCCCCTCAGGCAATCGAGGCCATGGTCAGAAGTGCGCCCCTTAGAGTCACAACCGTCTACATTGGTAACATCCCTCACTTTGCCTCCGAGCAGGATCTCATCACACTACTGCAGAACTTTGGTTTCATCGTCGATTTTAAACATTACGCTGAAAGAGGCTGCTGCTTCGTGAAATATGGTACCCACGAGCAAGCTGCGGTTTGTATTCTATCACTTGGAAACTTCCCGTTCCAAGGAAGAAACCTCAGAACTGGATGGGGCAAAGAAAAGCCTGCCTACAATCCACCTACCAAGCTGGATGGCGCAGGACATCCCGCAGGCCAGGCGCCAATCCCAAGTGTGCAGTCTGAGACTCAAGAGCCCTCTATAAATAACGACTCAGATCAAACTCAGGAAGAAGGCCAGGTGTGATACTTTTGTATCGCTTGTATGTACAACTTAGCTTTTACAAATTATAAATTACCACAAATTGATCATCCTTTCGCGGGCCGTAAAAGAGTTAGTTATTTTAACTAAATTGTATTATGGATAGTCGACTTTGATAAAGTAGTTCAACCCAACCAAACGGCATTACGGTCGCTGCTTTTGTAGCTTTGGTTGTACCTTGTAAACACTGACACCATTATATATTTTGCCCTTTACGCACTTGCTGATCATATGCTAAAACCACTGAAAAAAATTGAAAATTCACTTAACGATGGGCACAACAGATCCAACGCTAACTGTCAGTTGTAAACCCATTTGTATTTTATAATACTCGCTGGCAATAGCAGTTAATCCTTTTGGAGGTGTGTATAGCAAATCAGGTTCACGCTGTTTTGTATGAGCTTTGTTCTGGAAAAGTTAAGTGCATTATTCTCCACTTGGGACTCTCTGATCAGAAACTTTAACAAATCCGAGCATAGAAACTCCACGCTTCTTGTACTGATTGCGTCAACAACTATACTGCTATACAAGAATCGGAGACAAATTCGGGATATCATGGAGAACTTTGGGATGGTCGGAGGTGACCTGACGCGAGGGTTCCGTAATAACTATCGCAGCAGCATGTTCAACAAATGGGGCTCTAAGAACCCTGCTTTAGAGGAAAAGATGTTTGAAAGGGGTGGGTACGTAGGCGGACTGGTGAACGATGGCAATACCTGTTTTATGAACTCCGTCCTCCAAAGCTTAGCTTCATCCCAGCGACTACTGCAGTTTTTGGATGAAGAACTTATTGAAGCCAACAAAGAGTTGGATAACGCAAACCCTATAGAAGAAACAGTTTCAGCAGGCGCAAACTCGCAAGAACCTACTGATACTTTGAATACAGAAAAAAAACCGAAGGGTTCCAAAGTGTATGGAAAACGCAAAAAAAGAGCAGCAAGACTTGCGGAAAAGCAAGCCGCAGAGGACGATAATGGAGCGGTGGATATTACATTCAGTACCACTTTGAAGGAACTTGTCGATACTTTGAATGCACAACATCACAGAGACCGGCCATATTATAAGACCAACAAGCTTTTGAAAACTATGTCTAAAGCACCCAATAAAAGCATATTACTCGGCTACGATCAAGAAGATGCACAGGAGTTTTTCCAGACCATACTCTCCGAGCTGGAGAAGAATGTGATTTCACTGTACGGGAAAGCTTCTAGGGCGGACAATGCCAAGGTCAAAGCCAGTGATCTTTCTGAGGACGCGATGGTCGGACAGCAGAAACTAGGATCCATGGGCACGGTATTTATTCCAAGTGACCAAATTGATCCAAATTCTGTCCTTGGTAATGATCCAGAGCAGTTTTACTCACCATATCCGTTGGTGACACCCCTCGATGGTATCACGGTGGAGAGAATTGGATGTTTGAATTGCGGAGAAAATGGAGGCATGCGATACTCAGTATTTTCAGGACTCAGCTTAAATTTACCCAATGAAAACATAGGGTCTAATTTAAAGCTTTCAAAACTCTTAAATGATTGGTCGAAACCAGAGATAATAGAGGGCGTGGAGTGTAATCGGTGTTCTTTAAAAGCTGTTTTAGAGCATTTGGAGAAAACTCTGGTTGGTTACGAGGCCTCTGAAACTTGTTCAGAAAAATTAGTAGAAGCGGTCAGAACTAGAATTCTCGAGCTTAGAGATTTCTTAGCCAAACCGGTTATTGACGATAACGATTATAAAAACTTACACACTGATAACATGGTCAAGAAAACATCAAAAGCCAAACAAATACTCATTTCCCGACCACCGCCTTTGCTTTGCATTCATATCAACAGATCTGTATTTGATCCCCGCACTTATATGATCCGGAAAAATAACTCTCGAGTTCTATTCAAGTCAAAGTTAAACTTGGCACCGTGGTGCTGTGATATCGGTGATATCAATTTAGACGCTCGTTTACCGATGTCGAAAAATGACCAGCAAACCCACGACTCTTCTGAAGACGAGAACGTGGGTGGGGAGTATTTTGCTCAATTGCACCGCCGTTATGAAGAAGAATTTGATGACAGTGATGAAGAGGAGGATGGAAATGGGTACCATCGGTCGGGGAGGGATGTGTCGAATTATGATCCTTTGAAAGGTGAAGTGGATTCATCTTCCGGCGAAGAAAACCGTGATTCTGAGGAAGAAGAGGATTTTGAGGTAGACACACTTGGAAACCGCGTGTACAAGCCTAAGGAGCGTACAACACATAATGACGTGGTCGGGAACTCAGACGATGAAAAAGGCGATGTGGCACATGAGCCAGGGCATGCTGGGTCACCAAACGAAGGTTCCTCTGACGACGAAGTTGAGAGTCTTGAAGAGAACCAAACAGATGCCGATAGGGCCTCTGCTATCGCACCCGTTCAACAGCGGCCCATCCCAAGCGCTTCGACGGTTCCTGCTGGTCCTTTGACATACGCTCTCCGCTCAGTAATTGTTCACTACGGTACGCACAACTATGGCCACTACATTGCATTCCGCAAATTCAGAGGTTTGTGGTGGAGGATTTCTGATGAAACAGTGTACGTGGTGGAAGAGGAAGAAGTTTTGTCGACACCTGGTATTTTCATGATGTTTTACGAGTACGACTACAACGAGGAGTTAGACAAAATGAATGACGATCTCGAATGGACTGAGGCTGACGAAGTGCCAGACCATGCGGAATCGTAGTCTGCCAAACCTTTGTTCAGTCGCCAAGTCTTCGATTCCTAATTTATCGTGTTGTAGATCTGTAGTTCAGGGCTTGTAAACGACCCAGTACATAACACGATGGCCTCCCAAATACTAATCACTTCCGTAAACAAGCTTTCTTTCTACTATAACTATGGGATTGTTACTAACGCTCTAGCCAATGCATCTTCGGCATGTAACTTGTAGCGTTATCATATCTACACTAGGGACTCGTGGACTTCTTGTTGCTTTCCCGCAAACTGCCGGAACTGAAGCTCGCGTTCGCGCTGTTCCTCACGTTCATCCTCACCGATCAGCTCTGCCAGATCGTAATCATAGGTGTTGGGGTCGTTATCGAATTTGGCAATTGTACGCCTCTTGGGACCCGTTTTCGAGTCAATACCGTACTTCCGAGAGGGAATCGACGAAGACGCTGCTGCATCCAGATGAATCCGCAAGGGATTTTGTTCCTTAGTGATATTCAATTTTTCGCGGAGTTTCTGTCTCCTGGATATAGAACTAGCACTCTCTTGAGACGTATGGCTGTTGTGGGACGTTGGCTTGTGGAGCTTGTAAGAGAAAGTTCCGGAAAGCAGCGGCAGAACCAGAATAAAGGCAAAAACCACGAACAATACTACAAAATAGGCATATAGATTCATGCTAAGGGCTAATAGACTATCGCAGTTCCACGCTGCCTTGCTGGAGATGGCCGATGAGTCTTTGGAATTCTTTCAAGTGTGAGAGGTAGAGTGAAAATTTCTGAAATATTGACCTCAATCAACAACTCATCGCTATATTTCGTTTCCCACACAGAGCTACCTAGTGGTTATTCAGTAATAATGTTGGTATTCAAAAGAGGTCTGTTGTCTGCGGCCTCAAGAAGGCTGGCAAAATCGTCAATCCGCCGCCTTCCGATCTCGTCCCTGGGCTTCTCCGGCTTCCAACACCCCTCCAAGTTTCGGACTGTGGTCAGAGGCCTGGCTATGTCGTCTTCTGGTGATCCCACCCACAATTCGAACCAAGCCGTCAAAACCAGCAGCGGCAGCTCGACAGACGGCAATGAAATTCCACAAGAAGTGTTGAACTTGAGCTCAGACGAATACCACACCCGCTCCGATCAGTTTCTGGAGACCCTTCAGGACCAGCTGGAGCAGGTCAGCGACTCGTATCCACAATTGATCCCCGATGTAGAACTGACGCAGGGTGTCATGACCCTGACCGTCGCGACCGTGGGCACCTACGTACTGAACAAACAGCCTCCTAACAAGCAGATCTGGCTGTCGTCGCCGGTCTCGGGTCCCAACCGCTTTGATCTATATCGCCACCGCTGGGTGTCACTCCGGAATGGCCAGGATCTTCTACAATTGCTAAATCAAGAACTGAACGCTGTCATGCCCGAGCCGGTGGAACTGCAGGCCGACCAGTGAAACTAGGCCGTGGCATCTGCGAAGATGCTTGGAATGTACGTATATATATGAACTCATTTTAAGAACGCCAATGGCACACATGCTGTTGTTATCAATTTTAGGCCGGACTCGGGGAGCGATTTGTACACGGAGGGTGAGTGATAGCCGTTCGCGTAGGTCTTCCATCACGTGGAGTCCGGCGTGAGCCAAGTAGCGTGTTGGACGGGTGGTTAGGTGCGTTGCGGTTGGGATTGATGGTGGTGTCTTTATAATTCGATCCTCGGATAGAAAGATCCCCCCCTGAGGTAAAGTTTGTTGCTCTGTTGGAAGCGTATAAAAGCTGGAAAAATATAACAAATACACACCCACCTCACCAAGCCAGTGTACACCGGCCCAAAAGCATATTTTAAGTATACAGATAGAAACAAGAGACCCATAATGGCTGCCAAGACTTTTATTGTTACTTTGAAAGACCACGTCGCTGACGTGGACATCTCGAGTGTAAAAGAATCGTTTTCCAAGCTTGGGGGTGAGATCACACACGAGTTCTCGCTGATTAAGGGCTTCACGGTGAAGGTGCCCGAGTCCGGAATAGCCACGGTCAAGGATGAACACGCAGACTCAATTGCCAACATCGAGGAGGACCAAGAGGTGTCTACGAAGGAATAGGGGTAAGGTAGCATGCTGGTCGTGGAAAGGTGTCTGGCCGCAAAGGGCTGCTTGTCTGTATCATGATATAGTCGTTGTACTAAGTCAGAAGTAAGAGGAAATAAAAAAGAAATAGTAACGTGTAATCAGCTGTGGATTTGCCCTTTTGCTAGGACGTCACGTAGCCGAAAGTTGGTCAAGGCCGATGCCCTTCGTGTATAGTGCTATCAACACCGATGCTGTGGGGTGTGTGGGTCTTGTGTCTGGGTGGACACCGAGCACAGTGCCGGGTGGCCTCCGCTCGGCGAATGGCACCAAGCGCATAGAGATCAACGCTTCATCAGCACGACTTCGTATTGTGTTGAGTGCGATCCAGCTGGAACAGTCGAGACCGTCACACGATAGGGCCATTATTGTGAAAAACGACATCGCAAACGGGGGGAAGCACAACAATTCCCAAATGCGCCTTCAAAGAGAGCTTCTGACGGTTGAGTTGGCGTCACGCGGCACAGGAAGCGTAAAAATATCTTGAAATCAAGCTTCTCGGCCCGAGCATGCCCTGAGTGCCGGCATTGGCGTCCTTGCATTTGACACATGAGACTCATCGATACCACTGTTAGAAGACTGACCGCATCTATGAGCATCATTATCACTCGCGTTGCCAATCGAGGGTATTATATATCTAGGCCCTTGCGTCTCCAGAAGCAGATATACGTAATAGCACACGCAACGAAAGCGACACCGAAAGAAACTGCGGTGAGAGAGAAGACTGGACTGACACATTGGGCACCCGCATACGCTGTGGAGCACTGGGCATCATATATACGGGCGTAAAGTATGCCAAACATGGTTGAACCAAAAGCGGGGGCAACCATAAAACACCCATAGGCAGTTCCAAAAATACTGTAGCCCCAAATACTTAGGGTCAAGGTTGGAAAAATGGTAAAGAGTCCGCCGTATGCAGTACCGCACAGCGCACTGGCCAACAAAATGAGATTTGTATTGGATCCAACATTCAAAACTAACAGTTGGGCAGTAAGACCAATTGCGAGGCCTACGTATAGGATTGGCATCCTCGAAAGTTTGTGGCTGGCGAAAAAATCGGCAACGAGTCCCACAATAAGGCGAGTTATCGTCGACATGAATGCGTAAAATGACAGAACGCGAGGTTGAATATCACGGTCCTCGGGCGACACCAGGATGGCCACAGACCCCATATTTGTAAGGAACATCTCTAAGCTGCCAATGGTCAGAAAGAAGGTGAAAAAGATCAGGTACATCGCGGGGTCTCTGAAGAAACGGCCGATTCGTTCTTTGTAGTCGTTAGTTGAGATACCTGACTGGCCATCGAGCAGAGGTTCATGCTCCTCCTGTTCCACAGGACTCTTGAGGATAGTCACTACACTGGTTGACACCCAGGTCAAGGTGCCCACCACTGCGTGGAACCAAGCAAAGGCCTTGAAGACACGCCCAAGGTCTAGGTAATCGTAGCCGTGAAAGAACCACGAGTTCTTCAAGATCTCCGACCCGATCAGCGAGGCGAGTCCGTAGAAAGTAGTTGGGCAACTAATCGACAGAAACTTGGATCTGGGAAACAATTTTGCACATGTTAAGAGGCCGCTGAAGAAGAGGGCACTGGTGGAAACCCCAATGACCGAAAATGCAATAATGGTGAGAGAGAAATGCGCTTCTCCGTGCTCAAATATGTAAGACCCGTATGAGTAGCTTGATACAAACCCCACTGTCGCAAGCCAACTTAATACCACCGGCCCGTGCGAATCCGATATAATTCCCAGTAGTGGCGGTGTAAGATACCCACCGAGATTGACAGCACTGGAAATGAGGTTTATTTGTAGGGAAGTGTAGTGCATGTGGCTGTGCCAGGGCCTTGTAAATAATGAGATGATGGACACCAGGCCAGAAGCCACGCACGATACCAACGCAATGACAAAAGCGACTTTTCGTAGTGTGGTTATATGAAACTTAGGGTGCAAGCATGATCGAATGTGGAATGTGAGCCAGTGCTCAAGAGATGATAGTGACATTTCAATGGAATGAGCGGATGACGCTTTTACACTTATTGGTAGTTACTTAATGTAAGTTCGGTGGACCACTAGAAAATAGTGATGAGAAAAAGTGACACACCGTCCAAGCCGAAGAAGCCAACAAACAAGTTGCCATTAACCTCGCTATGGATGGGCTCAGATTTTGACGAGGTTTAGGGACGTTGCTAAATAATGATAGTTAATATTACGAGTGAGGAGATGACGGTGATGCAGTATTATATTAGACGATGATAAACCCCAGGATAGAGCTTGTAAAGCTATGCGTTCGCCAAAAGCAATGAGGGACATGTAGCAGGAGTTCTAGGCGCGAGAAAATCAACTCCGTAGGTGCCGAGCAACTTCATTCAAGCATGCATACTTTTTAGACTTCCACTTGTTGTTGGTAGTGGTCCCCCAATCTGGAGAGCCTTGTGACTTAGGCCTGGAATAGACGGTTGTGTTTGGCTGCGTAGCTTGTTGTGTGTAGTTTTTTTTCAAGAATTCGGCTACTTCTTGGGAATTGAATGGCTTGGCAAAAGGCTTTTTGGGTTTCTTCTGTGCAGCAGGAGCAGGGGCACTGGCGATGACTGGGGCGTCTTTATCCTTAGCGGCGCCATGAGGGCGTTCCAAGGACACTTTTTTGTTCTTACTTGAAGAATTGGCCAGCCTGTTTGGGTTTATGGGCGATACTGCCTCTCTGGCAGGAGTCGCGGGGGCTGCTTTCGCGGCAGCAGCTGCCCAGCCTGTCAGTTTTGGTTTGCCAGTAGCTGTGGACATGATTGTGTATCTAAGATGCAAATGACACCTGTAACGAGTGCAGGAATTACTATATGCGAGGGAGCCTCGGGGGGCAACCAGGTGTTTTAATTGCCTTGTGGGTGGATCTTTGCGTGAAGGTTAGATGCTTCTTGATAGTCGGAAACCCAATCATTCGCGGACAAGTGTTTCGTGCGGAGTGACGCAGCGTATCTGTGTGCAGTGTGATAGCCGGCGACTTCCTGGAACGCTTATGGTTGTTGGCTCTAGTATACTATTGAGCTAGTACGCTTTGTGGGCTGACACGGGAGGTGGTGTCTAGAATAGCCCAAGTTTAATGCACATGATATTGCCTGGCGCACAACGTCTGGCAGATAGTCGATTTCATACTCCAGAAGAAGAGCCGCGCGGTGGGCTCTCGAATACTGCATACATTCGGTTTCAAACCAATTGCTCGCCTCCCACATTGGAGCTCGCAGTAAAATTATTTGACATTAGTGTTATCACTATATAGGATAATGTCACAAGACAGCGACTGATTTTCACTTACGTCCAGCCCCATTTAGAAAGTGTCGAGCCAAGACCCCCACTGACTCCGGCGCTGGCATAGAAGAGATCTGGAGCGAAGTAGCTCTCAAGAAGTTCAGGTCTGCGGCCCGTTTGTCATCCTACGCGCGGTTAGCCACACGTCGGGTGATCCCCAGAGCACTTTGTATCACTTTGTATCACTTTGTATCACTTTGTATCACTTTTTACAATAATGGCGCCGGCGGCCAAGCACCATATCTTCATGTGCCCCAGTTCATCTCATTTCAACCGCAATACAACATACCGCTACACATTGCGCACGTTGCCACGCACACCAGACCCACCATGTTTCACTATGCATCGAGCCTTCATGTGTTTTCCCACCTTTTTTTTCGCTATGTGACCTCTACTGTCGTCGGTCTCTCTAAGTGTTCTTCCTATCTTAACTTTGCTAGTTTCTACATAATCCACATACGATAGCAATGCTTCTGGAGCCCCGGCTTTCCATGTGCTTGCGACGCATAACGGTACATGTTTCTATAACCCCCCGTTTTGTTCTCATCCCATGCCAGAGCCAACTCCGTTAACCCGTAGCCAGTTTTATAACCCTGTGTATTGCAATGGTGACATGATGACATTATCCAGCCAATGACATTAAGCCATCATTTAGGCCAGGATGCATCCAGAACACACAGCCTTTAACCAGGTGTCGACGACACACGTACAATTTGGCCTTCGTCTCCGCGTAGGGAAACAGTAATAGATACAAAAACCGCTACTCCGGACTTGGGTGCGTGTGCGCGTCTGACGTAGAAGCTCAGGTGGCTAAGGTGTGCACTTGTTCGTTTTCCTGTAACCCGACTTGAGTGCCATTATTGAGTGCTGGTGGCATAATGGGGCTGAAGCATGGTAGTTGATTAAGGTGCGTGAGGCTTCTGAACTAAGTGGTTCCGGAAGAATGGTCAAGGATTGTGAAGAGGGGTGGGGATATGCGTAGAGCAGTACATAAGGATCGTGAATAGTGTAGCATCTGAGGCAGACGTGTGAGGTTTGGAGGCAGCTCTACAGTAGTTGTGACTGATTCAAAAGGGCCCACCAGTGTGCCCAGCTATATCGACAAATACAAAAGATCAAGCCACTATGCCAGCAGCCGTACATCCCAGAAGAGATTCAGCAGAGTCCATCAACACCGATATCATCACCTTGTCGCGATTCATACTTGAAAGCCAACGCTACGGCGCCAAGAATGCGACGGGAGAGTTCTCGCTGTTGCTGAACTCTCTACAATTTGCGTTCAAATTCATCTCGCAAACGATTAGACGTGCAGAACTGGTCAATCTGATTGGCTTGGCGGGCGCCTCCAACGCCACGGGCGACCAGCAGAAAAAACTGGACGTTCTAGGGGACGAGATATTCATCAATGCCATGCGTGCTAGTGGCAATGTCAAAGTGCTCGTTTCCGAAGAACAAGAAGAGCTGCTGGTATTCAGAAACAACCCCGCCACATACGCGGTGTGTTGTGACCCGATTGATGGTTCTTCCAATCTGGACGCGGGAGTCTCTGTGGGAACCATCGTCTCGCTGTTCAAGATCCTCCCTGACTCTCAGGGGTCGACATCCGACGTTTTGCGCTGCGGACGTGAAATGGTCGCGGCTTGCTATGCCATGTACGGTGCCTCCACTCATTTGATGCTGACTACGGGCAGCGGTGTTAACGGGTTCACTCTGGACACCAACTTGGGCGAGTTCATTCTCACGTATCCTGAACTGAGAATGCCATTAGAGCATCCCATTTACTCTGTGAACGAAGGAAACTCTGTCTACTGGGAAAACTCTATTCAGCAGTTTTTCGAGGAACTGAAGGCCCCCCAGCCAGATCTGCAAAACAAGCCTTATTCTTCTCGTTATATTGGCTCCATGGTGGCCGATGTCCACCGGACCCTTCTGTACGGAGGCCTGTTTGCTTATCCCTGCGATAGGAAGAACCGAGACGGCAAGTTGAGACTGCTATACGAGGCATTTCCTATGGCCTTTTTGGTTGAACAGGCTGGTGGCAAGGCCGTGAACGATCGAGGAGAACGCATCTTAGACCTGACCCCAGATCATATTCATGCCAAGAGCAGCATATGGTTAGGAAGCAGCCACGACGTGGATAAGTACCTCAAGCACATAGCTCAGTAGGCTTGCATAGGTATCAATTGCCGGGCCAAAATATATAGGTTGCGATGAGGTTTAAGATTAATGCATATGTATATCCATCATGCTGATATATTAGCACAAATTATAATTATGGTTGTGCTAAGTGCTGGATGGGGCTCCTTCCAATCCCGTGGGAGCTTGGTTTTCCTGTTGCTCCTCGATCACTTCGACCGCTTCGTCCATGCTGTCCTTAGAAGACGCTTCATGATCAGCGGTAGAATCAGCAGATTCGTCTGTGAATGAGGTTTCCATGGGAGGCTTGGCTTCTGGTGGTAAGTCGGTATCAACGATTACCTCGGAATAACCCAATTTCTCCACTTCAAGCTCCATGATCTCGTGGACTCTTTGGCTAAAAGCCGTCACATCCTCCTTCTTCAAGTCTGCAGTGGAAATAGGGTCTAGCACCTTAACCATGATTACACCGCGATTGAAAACTTTGAACTTGGAGTTCACAATGGTGCTTGTATTCGACACGATGACTGGCACAATTGGAATTTTCCCTTGCTGGGCCAAATGGAACGCACCCTTTTTAAAGGGCAGAAGACAAGGCTTCGTAGCATGGGAACGAGTTCCCTCTGGGAAAATCCAAATAGCACGCTTCTCGGTCTTCATGTTGGCCAGCGCCCTGTTGAGAGTCTCCACGCTTTTTTTCCGGTCTGCACGATCCAAGAACAAAGTTCCGCTCAAACTCATGAACCAGCCCAAGAAAGGCACCCATTTCAAGGAGCTTTTAGCTGTAACAGTGCACCCTTGCGGAAAAGTTCTACCAAGCATCAAGATGTCCAGAGCCGACTGGTGGTTCGACACGAAGATTGCAGGGAGTTTCTCGAGATTTTCCGGGTTGATGACTTGGACATCGATGCCTAGTAGCGTGCCCATCACGTAGTAGAACGACCTGGCCGTGGTCCACTGTGCCAAGTGCCTTTTTCCTACACACGTCAAAACAATCGATGCCAGCACACCATATATTGCGCAGGTGCTCAGTAGCGTCACGCCCAGGACTGATCTACAGTAGTAGAGTACCCTACCAAAAAAACCCATCTGGTAAGTTCCGATGTCTCTTGCTGCGCGATGAAAAGTGCTGAAAAATGGGTAATGTGCGAAGTTCTGATCACCTAGCTCTCGACGCTTGGTCAATAGGACCTACTAGAAAGACACCTAATAAAGAAGGCAGGGCAGCTCAGTAATAGCTGGTTCTCGTGTAAGGTCTTTCGCCGTGCTGTGAACGATACTTCGGTAACAACCACGCAGAAACTGGGCAACTGAAGCGGAGCATCATCACTCGCATTAACTTGTTGGCTACTAATTGTTGGGTCTCACTATATACGATCGGTTCTAGTGCCATCCAGTCCTATGAAACCTACAGACCGGAGAGAGGTTGTGTTGGCAGCTCTCTAGAGGCAAAGTTGCGCGATCATACGGTTCGCTGCTTTGGCATTTACATCCTAAGGACCGTACGCCAAGTCTTGGTTACATCTTTTTCTTATCCCGCAAAATGAGCTCGACACAGGAACATGCTTTCTATTTGCAGCATTTACCCGAGATGAGGCAATGTGCGCAATAATCAGACCTTGATCAGTGCCGGATCTCGAAAACACACTCTTGAGGCACCCATGTTGTCGTATGACGGTGAAAAACCCAAAGGTGACAGGATAAAGTCAATAGAATAGATAAGTGGGTTCTTCCAAGACAGTTGAGGTTTTGCGTCAAGATGGAGTCCAAGCACAATCCGAGCCAATGGAAACTACTCATTGGTTGCTAGCTGCCCATGAATAGAGAGAACTTTGCGTGATTTGATTCAGTACATTTATATCGACATACGTGGTATGTTGTCATAATAGCACCGGGTGATCATCAATTTCTAGAGTAGTCATTTGGCCACCAATTTTACACGTGAATGTTGACGGTCAACAAACGGGATTTTTGGGCTGGGCAGACTTGGCAGGCTTGGCAGGCTGGGTTCACTTGGCTCTACTATTTCGAGTTTCTACCGCTATATTTCCATTGTGAGATTCTGCCCTTTTTGCGCTGCCAATTTAAAGGACTGGAAGTGAGGTTAACGATCTCCGTTCAAGACCCGAGCGTGCAAAATTCCGTGAAGGTTGGTGAGACCCTAAAAGATCTGGAAACATCGCGTATAAAAGCTATACCAATCTCCATCCATTAGAACCAAAGTTTGATTGATTCAATTGACTGATTCTGGCTTAATCTGTGGATCTCCGTCAGCAACCTGCCCACATTTCTGCACTAATCAAACCTGCCCTTAACTATGCTTTCTGTTCAAGAAATAAGAGATGCGCACTTTGCTGCGTCGGCCGGCTACGGTTTGATGGGCCTCACCTGGACGCCACAGCCGGCTGCTAAGGACCAGGCTTTCGGCGCTTTGGATAAAGCTATTGAACTTAATAAGGCCCCAGTACTTTTTAACGTGGGAGAATTCTACGGCCCAGACTTCCGCAACCTCCATTTGGCTCGCGACTATTTTGCTGCTCGTCCAGGGGCCCGCGAAAAAACCATTGTCAGCTGCAAAGGTTGCATTGATGCCAAGACTCTGACGCCCGTAGGAGACCGCGCCGGTGTTGTAAAATCGGTTGAAAATTGTTTGCGCGAGTTTGGTGGCCCCATCGACGTCTTCGAACCGGCAAGAATCGACTCTAAGCTTGCCGGATCCGAGCCATTCGCCGCGGAGACGTTTGATACGTTAGTCGAGTTTATCGAAAACGGAAAAATTGGTGCCATCTCTTTGAGTGAGGTCACCGAGGAGCAAATCCGCGCGATTGATGCGAAATATCACAAATACATTGTCTGCGTTGAAGTTGAGCTGTCGCTCTTCTCCCCACACATTTTATCCGATGGCGTTGCGGATGCTTGTAATGAACTAGGCTTGCCCATCCTATGTTACTCTCCATTGTGTCGTGGCCTCTTGACAGGCGCTGTCAAATCCACCGAAGATGTCCGTGATGGAAGTATCCAGAAGAGACTTAAAAAGTTCAATGGTGATGCGCTGGCACATAATCTTCTTCTACCCCAATTCCTGACTCAAGAGATTGTTGCTAAACGCCAGGACGGTGTAACTCTGCCCCAAGTCGCCCTAGCCTGGGTCAGGTCGTGGAACACCAAGTACCCCAAAACCAACTTTATCCCGCTTCCTGGAGGCTCCTCCGCGAAGCGCGTGGAGGAAAACTTGACTGAAAAACATCTCAACCAGCAGGAACTCGACAAAATCAATAGTTTTATCAAAGAGTTTGTCGTCGTGGGAGACCGTTACGAACATGTATAATTTATATTGTCTACGTGATTTATGTTGTCTACATTAGACTTTAGCGCCTCAAATCTGTACTTACAGGAACAAAAGCTGAGCTGCTGGACACATGGTCAGTATATGAGCGACGTTCAACATCTTTGACTTACAACTCTGACTACCACCACTTTCGGTTTTACACTGTTCTTTCAATTTGCGTCTTGCATCGTGAGCAAAATCTTGAGTATTTGATATCAAACCTGGAGCTTATAAACCGACTTTTGGCTGTCTCTCATTAGTTGCCCTAGCTATAAGTCTTTATAAATTTCTAGCGGGAAAATGTTGGATGCAGTTAGAGCTGGCTAATCCAGCAATTGCATACAACAAATGAACCACTGGGCTGTTGGACAATTGATAAGCTGATTGGGGTATATGTACGCGACCGCTGGCTCCCGGGTTCCCATGGATTGTTATAGTCGTCTTGCCCAATTTTGTATTGCAGAAACGACTGTATCGCTCGTATTATACTGACACTCAGTTAGTAATTACTATAACGCAATTCGATGTTCTTCAAGCGGCCGTAGATCACTGCTAGTTGGTAGTTCTAACATCTTTTAACTCTATACCACTGTATCTCCATTGTGGGTTCCAAGAATCTTAACGGACCGAAGATGACGTTGAAGACCTCCGTTCAAGACCCGAGCGTGCAAATTCCGTAAAGGTTGATTAGACCTTCAAATTTCCGGACTTGTAGAGTATAAGAGGCCCTATTGACCAGCGCCTGCAAAAATCAGTCACGTCCGTCAATTGCCATTAGCTGATTAAGCTTTGATCCGTGAATTAAATCTCTGTTGCCAACCTGCCCACATTTCTGCACTAATCAAACCTGCCCTTAACTATGCTTACTGTCCAAGAAATAAGAGATGCGCACTTTGCTGCGTCCTCCGGCTACGGTTTGATGGGTCTCACTGCACCGCAACTCACTGCCAGGGACCAGGCTTTTGGCGCTTTGGATAAAGCTATTGAACTTAATAGGGCCCCAGTGCTGTTGAACGTGGGAGAATTCTACGGTCCAGACTTCCGCAACCTCCATTTGGCTCGCGACTATTTTGCTGCTCGTCCAGGGGCCCGCGAAAAAACCATTGTCAGCTGCAAAGGTTGCATTGATGCCAAGACTCTCACGCCCACAGGAGACCGCGCCAGTGTTGTAAAATCGGTTGAAAACTGTTTGCGCGAGTTCGGTGGCCCTATCGACGTTTTCGAACCGGCAAGAATCGACTCTAAGCTTGCCGGATCAGAGCCATTCGCCGCGGAGACGTTTGATACGTTAGTCGAGTTTATCGAAAACGGAAAAATTGGTGCCATTTCTTTGAGTGAGGTGACTGAGGAGCAAATCCGTGCGATTGATGCGAAATATCACAAATACATTGTCTGCGTTGAAGTTGAGCTGTCGCTTTTCTCCCCACACATTTTATCCGATGGCGTTGCGGATGCTTGTAATGAACTAGGCTTGCCCATCCTATGTTACTCTCCATTGTGTCGTGGCCTCTTGACAGGCGCTGTCAAATCCACCGAGGATGTCCGTGACGGAAGTTTCCAGAAGAGACTTAAAAAGTTCAATGGTGATGCGCTGACCCATAATCTTCTACTACCCCAATTCTTGACACAAGAGATTGTTGCTAAACGCCAGGACGGTGTAACTCTGCCCCAAGTCGCCCTAGCCTGGGTCAGGTCGTGGAACACCAAGTACCCCAAAACCAACTTTATCCCGCTTCCTGGGGGCTCCTCCGCGAAGCGCGTGGAGGAAAACTTGACTGAAAAACATCTCAACCAGCAGGAACTCGACAAAATCAATAGTTTTATCAAAGAGTTTGTCGTCGTGGGAGACCGTTACGAACGTGTATAATTTACATAGTGTGCATTATATAAGTGCTTCACTATCTTGGACTTGAGCGGAACAAACGTTGGACTGGTGAGTTCAAAAATTAGCCTGTTGAGCACGGTTCGGCTCTTCAACATCTTATCCTGCCTAATCAACAATAGTCAGTATTGCAAGAAATGATCTAAAAACTTACCTCGTATATAAGTATATGACGAGCGACATTATCCGGTAATGGTGGTTGAAACTTTAAAGGTGACGGACTAGCCGTAAGCCGAGATGAACTGAGTGTAGATAATGCAACTCTCTGATCCATGAATGTGTTGGCTCATTGTAGAGTATATCCGCTCTCCACGGTACGTGCTACCAAATGTGAATTTCGCAGCCTTCCTCCCATTTTGTTACTAACATCATTCCTCCACAGTTTTACGACCCTACTGCAATCAGCATAGATTGGCTGTATAAGGATCTTTTTGGAAAGACTGTTTTTGATTTTGATGAAGACGACAGCACTTCTAATCTAGAGTCTTCAAAACGAAAGCTAGGACCGATCGCCTTTTTACACTTGATAGAGCACACCTTTAAAGTTTCGACGTTCAAACTCAATCTGCTGAAAAAGCTGGTGCAATCATCGCCAAGTCAGAGTTTCGTGCTGATCATCGATGTGATGTCCTGCTGGCACGAACTGATACCGAGCTTATCTGTTGAAGACAGAAGCGCGGTTTACATGAACTCATCTTCACTTTTGCATTTCGATGCACTGGTGAATTTTCTGTCACAGCTCAATGAGAACCCACCGGAAGCCCTATCGCGCTGCCAGAGCCCTGTTAACATGCAGCACCAACTCGCTGGCATCGTGATAGACAATATATCCTACTATACCCATGACTCGGCCTCCTACGACTTGCTTTTCAAGTTGTTGCGCATGCTGAGGAAAAAATACGGATGCTACACAGTGACAGTTGGATATGGTCTAGAGTTTTATAACGGGGTCGAACAGCAACAGCCACTGGCTCCTTCCCAGGGTTATGATATCCCTACGCGACTCCCAATGTCGTATGTTAAAAACATGGACTGTGTCGTCCTTCGAGAAACAGACGAACTGGCCAGAACAGTGTATCTGAGAAACTCTTAGGCCCAACGACCAGGAGTCAGTCACATCAGAGGGAACTCTACTCATGACTTCTATCATGGCATACGAACTTTTTTTTCAGCATCGAAAACTTTCGGGACGCAGGCCATCGGTGACCAAGACTCAGTTCCTTGTATGAAAGGTTTCTAGTGATTCAAAGTTTGTTTCGAGCTTAACGTATAGTCACCTTGTACTTTGAAGTTGAAAATATCAATTCGTAAGCTGCTGGCATCTTCTTAATCCTGCGGTGTGTTAGAATTCGGATCTTTTCGAACACAAAAGCTACGATGAGCAGCACTAATCCAACTGAAGAAGTCACCTCTAGACGTAACTCGTATGCTCCAGTCGAGTTCACAGAGGAAGTCGAAAAACAATGTCTAAAGCAGGTGGAGTTCTACTTTTCTGAGTTCAATTTGCCTTATGACAAATTTCTACGCACAACAGCTGAAAAGAATGGAGGATGGGTCCCAATTTCTACAATTGCGACTTTCAACAGGATGAAAAAGTTCCGTCCTGTGGACAGAGTAGTAGCTACTCTGCGCGGATCTAAAATACTTGAAATTAGTGAAGATGGCGAAAATGTGAAGAGGCGTATGCCATTGGATTTGCAAAGTGACGACAGGCGCGAAAGAGGTAACAGAACCGTGGTTGTGATGAACTTTGACTTCTCCACAAAAGACGAGCAGAAAAGGTCCGAGCAGGAAAAGACCGCACTACAAGAAAGCGTGGAACAATTTTTCGCCAAGTTGGGGTCCATTAGTCAAGTTCGTTTGAAGAAAGATCATCGCAAGAATTTCAATGGCACTGTAGTGGTTGAATTTGCCGATGAAAAGAATGCACAGGAGTTTGCTAACAATTATGGGCCCGACAAGGAGACTTTATCTTACGAAGGACGCAAGCTAGACGTTGTCTCCAAGAAACAGTACGATCAGCAGCGCGAGGCTACTCGCAGCAAAAACTTCAGCGGTTCAGGCCAACGCTCGCGCTCTTTTACTGGCCACAGGAAGAATATGCCAAAGTTGAAGAAGCCCAAGAATGAAACAACAAAGAAAGAAGTGCCTCCAATTAAGAGTGTCGAAGAAGACAAGACCGACAACACTTCACAAGAAGTGACTGAGTCTGCTGTTGCATCAGAGTCTGCTGTGGAGTAGAGACTGACACATCAGAATAGTGTTTCTCGCTCTTTAGTGAATGACGGCAGCCGTGTCCGAAAGTCATCGTTGGCTACCCTTCACTACCTATCTTGAAATAAATAAACTGAAAAACCTGCATTATCTGGCCAAAGCCTAGTAATTAAACCTATTAACCTTTCTTGCCGTCAAAGTTATCTTTTTATCTGGCTTGTACCATCCTCCGTTGTGTTGCGGCATTGGTCTTGGATGAATGTCATTTACACGGGTTTGGATGGTGTAATCCCAACCTGCGGTAATGGTAGTATGCCACTCTGGCTTGTTGGTCAGTGCTGTGAAAAATGTGCAAGAGCTGCTTGGATTCTGCCTGGACCAAGCTGTGGCACTGACGCTAGTTCCTGGTTGAGTTTGCATAGGGGCGAAACGATAAGACCCAGTTTGTAAAGTATATGGGATGGTAAACGACGCAGAATTTATGGGCGGTGGTGCCCCATCTGGCCCGATCTTCATTGTTTCCGGGTGTGGACCCTGAGCATTGTTTACCGCAAGCGCGGGTAAATTTCCTTGCATCCCGCGGATAGTGAACCTGTCAGAGTAATGTATTGTGACCCACTCAGACGAAACAGCTACAATCTGAATAAAATACATGCCACTTGAGCCCAAACTGCTATCAATAGAGACTGTGTGTTGATATCCGCCTACATCACCGGCAGCTACAGTATCCAGAGTTGCAACCGCTTGGATTTTGTCGTTAGTACCGGTGCAAAGTGTAAAGACATATTGACTCACGGTGTCTAAATCTGGCTGTCGTCCCACATCCTGCCACGCAACCTGAATTTGCAAAGAATGGGAATTGGGAGGTATAGACCATTCAGCTCCCCCTTCGGGTCTGGTCACTATCAAATCTGCAGTCGCAAATTGCAGAAAGATGAGAAAGTACTGCAATATTCCTGCTAAGGAAACTGAATTCATAGTCAATAGAGTATTTCATCGCATCTTTGTATGGGGGAATTATAATGGGCATTGGGTTGGCCTTATAAAGCCAGCAAAGTAGAAAAGGGTTGGCGAAACTTTACGAAAAGTTTGGGGTAGCATTTTCTGATATACATTTGAATTGAAGCGACTGCAATGTGATTACTGGAACGTGAACTCTTTTTTGGCACTTTGAGAACGGTATACAATATGGCTCTGCTCCTGACGCTGGTGTCAGTGAAATCACTTCATCAATAAGCACGGCTATCAGTAAGTAATTGCACTTGATAGATTAATAGCTACCATCCAGCCTTCACAAAACCTTGGTGGCAGTGCCGCTTACTAGATATTCGGTTGTGTTAATTTTTCTTAGAAACCTCGATGCAAAATCGTCGGTTCGCAGAAGTCGAGTGTTTTTATGAGCACAGAACTGTGAGCCGCAAACACGCACATAAACCGGCCCTAAAGTGAAAGCCCACATTCCACAGAGCTCGCGTTCCCTGCAGCTCGCTATATTGGCCCTTCGTTCCACCGTCGGCACTATGACTGGTCCAATAGCCACTTAACTAGACAAAAATTATATCATACTCAAGCCATAAAGCACTGAAGACTACATTTCTTTGGAGAGACATACCTCTCACTATCATTATCTTCACAGAGCACTCAAATTTATAAGCACCGAGGCGAATCTCAGCAAAGTTTCTGGTAAAGCTGAAAGCAAGCGGTAAGTTTCTAATGAAAGGGTGGGCCCTCTCATTAGACACATTACACCGGATGGAAGTGTCAAACGAAGATTTGGATAAGTTTCTTCGCCATTCGATAGAGGAGGGGTATTGCAGCCATTTACTTTTAGGCTGTACAAAGACTAAATGGTGGCTGATCCGGATCCAACAGCACTGTCCAAAATATTTGGTCTATGATAAGGCTGATATCAAGCTCTAGAGTTTGCTGCCCATGCCACCAACAAGAAACATTACCAACAAGAAACTGGGCTAACGCTTAAGGAGACTGGGCTCAATAGACGATAAAAAGGTACGAAGCTCCTTTCTGTATCTCTACGTATTAGTAAACTAGCCCGAGGCGTTCTGGACGTTGTGTCCTTCAGGTAAGTCTGATTCTCTGGGAAGTCCACTCGTACAACGATATTTGGAGTTCTTCACTGTTAAGAGCATAATAATAAATTAATCTACTACAGTAATCTTTAATCCTTCTGTCACTTCTCCACCAAGCTGTCAGTTGCTTCATCAAAATGCTAAGAGCGAGCACTAGGTATTTTGGTGATCCTTTAAGACTTGTAACAAAAAGATGGGCGAGCTCCAGGGTAATTGGAATTGACCTGGGAACAACTAATAGCGCCGTTGCGTACATCAGAGATCCATCTGAATTGAACTCTGTGTCCATTATTGAGAATGACGAAGGAAAGCGTACAACTCCCTCGGTAGTAGGGTTTGATGTTAAAAATGGCAATTATTTAGTAGGAGAAGCTGCAAAGCGGCAAGCGCTTGTGAACCCAGAAAATACCTTCTATGCCACTAAGAGACTCATTGGACGCCAGTTTGCGGATGAAGAGATCCAGAAGGACTTAAGTCATATGCCATTCGGAATCGTGGAAAACTCTGTCAACAAGCAGGCGTACCTCGCCACTTCGTCAGGTGAGGTCAAATCCCCAAGTGAGATTGGTTCTGCTATTTTAACCTACTTAAAGAAGACCGCGGAAAATTATTTGACGGAGGAGATCAACAAAGCTGTAATCACCGTCCCTGCCTACTTTAATGACTCGCAAAGACAGGCAACCAAAGATGCTGGTACAATGGCAGGCCTCAAAGTCCTCAGGGTTGTGAACGAGCCAACTGCAGCGGCCTTGAGCTTTGGGTTGAACACAAATGACTACTCTGGCATAATTGCTGTGTATGATCTCGGTGGTGGCACTTTTGATATCTCTATTTTGGACATCGAAGGTGGTATCTTTGAAGTGCGGGCCACAAACGGAGACACCCATTTGGGGGGTGAAGATTTTGACAATTTGCTCGTCAAATTTGTTGTGGACGAATTTACCAAGGTGAATACGGAAGTCGATAAAGCGGCAATGATGAAAAATCAAGAGGTAATGCAGCGAATCAGAATAGCTTGTGAACAAGCCAAAATTGATTTATCGCATGTCAAGGAAACTAGTATTGACATCCCATTTATTTATGAAAACAAGCACATCAAATTACCTCTCACCGAAAGTCAGTTGGACGACCTTTCCATGCATCTGATACGAAACACGATCCCACCTATTAAAAGAGCTCTTAAAGATGCCGATTTGACGGCGGATGAGGTGGATGAAGTCATTCTGGTCGGAGGCATGACCAGAATGCCGAAAATCAGATCAGTTGTCGCTGAAACTTTTGGGCAGAAGCCAAACACTAGTGTTAATCCTGATGAAACGGTCGCATTGGGTGCTGCTATTCAAGGCGGTGTTTTGTCCGGTGAAATAAGAAATGTCCTGCTGTTAGACGTCACTCCCTTGACCTTAGGTATTGAGACTTATGGAGGCGTCTTCACACCATTAATTCCACGTAATACCACAGTTCCGGTAAAGAAGACCGAAGTTTTCAGTACAGGAGTGGATGGCCAGACTGGCGTTGACATCAGAGTATATCAGGGTGAAAGAGGATTGGTCAAAGATAACAAAAATATTGGTGACTTCAAACTAGCTGGAATTCAGCCAATGCCCAAAGGTGTCCCCCAAATTGGGGTTACTTTTGATATAGACGCGGATGGTATTATCAATGTGTCGGCTGCGGAAACCAGTACCGGTAAGGAAAACTCTATCACTGTCATTGCCAATTCCGGTCTTACCGAAGAGGAAATCAACAGAATGGTGAATGAGGCGAATGCAAACAAGGAAACTGACAACCTTATACGGCAAAGAGTTGAGCTCATTACCAAGGCAGACATTATGATCTCGGATACCGAAAATGCTTTTTCAAGGTTTAAAGACACCATTGTGAAGAGCCAGTTGTATCCCGAAGTTTTGTCAGAATTACAAGAAACGCGCGCAAAGATCACAACCTTTAAGGCCAATGAATCGAATTTGGCTTATGACGTAAATGAAATAAAGAGAGCAACAGATCAAGTGCAGAAGAGAGCCATGCAACTTTTCCAGGACGCCTCAAAGAAATGAAATGAAATATGACAATGTAATTTTATCCACATACGTTAGATATAAACTCTACGAGTTCAAACCCCTACCTAACTCTTGTAAAGAGTATAATACTAGAAGAACATGTCATGGTTTGTCGTCATCACTGCTTATAACGACTTGTTCATGAATCTTCTTCTGGTAAAACCCAGCCAAAACTTTGAAGGCCCTTCTTTGGAGTCAGCATAGAGCCTCTCTAGAAGTCGGGTAGCCAGTTCCTGGCGAAATTGTTGAATGTAGGATTTAAGTAGATCCATTTCAGCGTGGCTTTGCACGGGGACAGAGTAGACGTTATTTAACGGAAATCGGGGGGTCCCTGGAACAGCGAAATCACCCAATGCAACATTTGTGAGTATTTTGAGAGCTTCGTTATAAGAGGTAGAGGATTTGAGCTGAGATAAACATTCATTAACAAACAGGATACCGTAGATCAAAACACGGTCCGCTGGTGACCGAATCTCGAAATTCTTAAAAAATGAGTTGGCACGAAACAGATCCAGGCATTCGTCAATGATATCGTAGTCTGAATTAGCTTGATACGCAGGGCCTCTAAAATTGGTCTTTAGGGGCAGCAAGACGACGTTGCCCACCATTCGGTCGTTCAGAGAATCAGCTGCAAAAGTAGAGTGATAGGCCTGAAAATTTTGAAGTAGTTAGTTTATGTTCAGCAGGGAAAAGTTCCGGACTTTGGTGGCAGTCGGACCCATCTATAACATACCGGCATATCTGGACGTGATGTAAAAAGGCAGGGAGAGACTGGCTTTGAGCTATGAAACGTCTTTTGAACTAAATTATCAAATTCAGCAAGAAAACGGAGCAATGAAAAAAATACCAACACTCAATTGAATCTGCTTCCTTAAAGGATTCACACGTCTCTCTACTGTTCTTTACACTTATTATATAGGGTGGTTTATCAATTCAATTTTAAACTTTTGGAATAATACCGTCAATTAAGAGATACACAAAATTTGTCCTGGAAAGCGTCTCACCACGGCTTTACAAAGCCCCTAAGCTAGAATTAGAGACTTAGATTTGATATCAAAGCCACAGGCTCCTTCAAACGACTGAAACAGCCCCCCGCTGGTCTTTGGGACTTGTTATAAACTTCACCCCCAATTGAACTGTACGTGGAGCTTTGGGGAAAATAGTAACGTCGTTCAACTTTTGAGCACACGTATGCCGAAGGCCGTTGATCCTGCTGTCAAGGGTCGTGAGATCTTTTGTGAAATCTTTGGAGTGGACAGGCCGGTACCACAGCCACAAGCAGAAATTGTTGGTGCTGCGTCTGGGGCCATTCCAGATCGTTTTGAAGAGATTGAATCTCTTCAAGATGCAATTCTGGGGGATATACAGAAAGATATTGTGCCAGCAGAAGTGGGAAATTATATACTAGCCAGACACACGGATCTCTTATCAGTCTCGGATACTCAAAGTTTGTCTAGTAATGATGATGCCGCTTCATTTGTTGATAGTACGCAGAAAGCTGCCCAGAAACAGTCACCACTACGCACGGCCGCTAGCGGACAATCGAGGCCTCCTCCTCCTCCTTTAAATTTACCATCAGGCACCAATTTAGGGCCCCACAATTCTATCTCGACCTCTCAGCCTTCGAATTATTCGCCCCAGAGGTCCCACAGTGATGTCTCAAAATTGAAACCTTCATTCAGCCAGCTCACTCAACCAGGATCCCACAAAAAGCAGCAGACTTTGGCTTACGGCTCGAACTCAAATCACTCTGGTTTTAGCGCCAAGAAATCTCCCTCACACAACTTCGGCTTCTTTTCTAGACCCAGCTCCAAGGACAATATTACAGATGCGCAATCGAATGCTCACCAGATAAGTCCACAGCCTCATCTTACTAACAGTCGATCTTTGTCCTTCACTTCTTCTTCTCTGAAGAATTTCGCTTCCTCATTCCAACCAAAGACTCCAACTGGCAGAAGTGTCTCACAAAAACATCAGCATTCTTCTAATCCTTTCTTAGATAATTACTCCTCTAATGTTGGTCCTCACAACTCAAATGCATATCAATCAACCGCAGGTTTAGGAATCAAGTCAAGAGACTCATCTACATCGTTGAATAGTAGTTCCGTGAACGTGAACTCTAGAAAACCAGGAGGCTCCAGTCCTTCTTTGCATTATCACAGAAAGAGCAGCACTTCTCTGCTTTCAAAGCCAATTTTGAGTACGACCTCCATGACAAGACCACAAGTGTATCCTGCAATGTTATCCAGAGTAGCGACAAGATTCAAGAAGTCGATGCTTCTAGGTGAGCATAAAAAAGATGGGCTACTCTACAGAGATGCTTTCACGGGGCAGCAGGCTGTTGATGTAATCTGTTCAATTTTAAGAACATCCGATCGCAACTTAGCCTTATTATTGGGTAGAGCTCTTGACGCCCAAAAGCTGTTCCATGATGTGGTATATGAACACCGGCTAAGAGATTCGCCAAATGAAGTTTATGAGTTCACGGGCAATTCGCGAATAATAGGAGGTGGCTCAACTGGAATGGTTCCCGCCTCCTCGCAAGAGCCACTATTAATGGGATCCCATCATAATCTTATTAGTACCCATGCGTCAAAGTCTACGCTCGCCACTTCTGCCTCAACTAGCTCTGTGGTTAGTGAAAGCTTCGAGAAACAGATGGACCCCGCAAAAATGCATCAAGTCAACGGTGTCTTCACATTACTTGCGGAATGCTATGTGCCAACCTGCTCAAGAAACAAATTGTGTTATTCTATCTCGTGTCCTCGTCGCCTTGAGCAACAGGCACGGTTGAACTTAAAGCCTAATTCGGGTCTGAAACGTAACATTTCCATGGCCGTCGACGATGAAGAGGAGGAGAAGCCATCATGGACCAGTTCAGTTCCAGAAGAAGTTTGGTCATCGCTTTCGAAAAAGGACATAAAAAGGCAGGAAGCAATTTATGAGGTATTCATAACTGAAAAGAATTTCGTGAAGTCACTAGAGGTCATCAGAGACACATTCATGAAATCTTTGGCAGAAACAAACATTATAGCTGCAGATATCAGGAAAAATTTCCTCAAGCATGTCTTTGCCCATGTTAATGACATCTATTCGGTGAATAGAAGATTTTTAGATGCGCTGAGCGACAGACAGAAATCTTCGCCAATAGTTGAAGGTATCGGCGATATTCTTCTAAAGTTTATTCCGTTCTTTGAGCCATTTGTCATGTATGTTGCGTCAAGACCGTATGCAAAATACCTGATAGAAACCCAAAGGTCTGTGAACCCTTATTTTGCAAGGTTCGATGAGGATCTAATGAACTCCTCCCTGAGGCACGGCATTGATTCATTCTTGTCGCAAGGTGTGTCAAGACCAGGTCGCTACATTCTATTGGTACGTGAAATCATCAAATCTTCTGATAGTGAGAATAATAAGAGGGACCTGGAAAACCTGAATAAGGCCCTAGAATCTTTGCGTGAGTTTATGACGAGAATCGACAGGGCTAGTGGTGCATCGCAAGACAGACATGATATCGAGCTCTTGAAGCAAAAGATATTGTTCAAAAATGAATATGTGAACTTGGGTCTCAATAATGGCAAACGAAAAATCAAACATGAGGGTGTACTTTCCCGAAAGGAACTTACTAAGTCTGACAACAACTTCGGTGGCGATATTCAATTTTACCTTTTGGACAATATGCTCCTGTTCCTCAAGGCGAAAGCGGTCAATAAATGGCAACAACATAAAGTATTTCAAAGGCCCATTCCACTTCCTCTTCTATTCTTGTGCGCTGGAGAAGACATGCCTCCCATCAAGAGGTATATTAACAAATCACCGGAAAGTGCGGGTACAGTGATACCCTTCGACGGCCACCACGGCAATCCTAGAAATGCGCTGACCTTTTTATACTACGGTGCCAAGCACAGGTATCAAGTTACTCTTTACGCGGCCCAATATGCGGCTCTGCAGACGCTACTAGAGAAAATAAAACAGGAGCAAGCACATCTGCTTGCCTCTAATGATATCTTCAACATCACAAAAATCAGCACCAAGTTCTTTGACTTTACTAATAAAATCAATAGTGTGGCGTCCTGTGATGGGGGCCGGAAGCTTTTGATTGCCACCAACTTAGGGCTTTACGTGAGTGATACGAAGAGAGAGCCATCTGCCCACGGCCATGAAGCAACGACATATTTCGCTACACCCGTCAGAATCCTCCATAAATGCATAACGCAGGTTGCTGTGCTGGAGGAATTTCAATCTATTCTCTTATTAGCCGACAAGAAGCTTTACAGCTGTCCCCTTGCTCTCTTGACAGAATCAAAGGATGGCACGTCATATTTCAAAAAGCATGCCAAAGAATTGGTCAACCATGTCAACTTTTTTTCCGAGGGCGACTGCGATGGGAGAAGACTGGTGGTTACAGCCCACAGCTCATCGCATTCCATCAAATACTTTGAGCACGACCACCCTATGTTGATGGAGGGCAAGAAAAATGTCAAGCGCAAGATAAATGAAATTGTGTTCGAATCTGAGCCGGTTTCGATATCCTTTTTGAGGACCAATCTTTGTATTGGATGCAAGAAGGGGTTTCAGATTGTGTCTGTTTCACAGAATGTACACGAGCCACTGCTCGATCCAGCCGATACGTCACTTGAATTTGCGTTCAAGGATGTGCTCAAGCCATTGTCAATATACCGTGTTGGGGCCTCCATGTTTCTACTGTGCTATTCTGAGTTTGCATTTTTTGTTAATAGCCAAGGCTGGAGAAAAAAGGAGTCATATGTGATCCACTGGGAAGGTGAACCTCAGAAATTTACAATCTGGTATCCGTATATCTTAGCTTTTGATCCGAACTTTATCGAAATCAGGAAAATCGACACAGGGGAACTTGTTCGTTGTGTTTTGGGTGACAAAATGAGGCTTCTTCAGGCTACATCCCAGCAAATTCTTTACGCCTACGAAGATGAGAATGGGTATGATTCGGTGGTCTCGTTGGATTTTTGGGGCAAGTGAGCGACAAATCGAAAGCAGCTCTCTCCAATCAGTGTCCAATGCCACACACGTGACCTCGAGGCCATCTTGGTTACTTTTTACGTAAGTTTCGCGGTATAACTATTTACGCTCAAAATTTTTCCGATATTCAGACTCAACGAGTATATATCGTAAGTATCATAAACAAGCCTGATAACTTCCCGGTCTCGAACTCAATTCGAAATTCAGATTTCGCAAGTATCGAGCGATCCTTCGGACGTACAGAGGTATTATTCGAGAACTGTTGATCTGCTGAAAGCCACGATATGGAGCAAATTAAATCGCAGATCCTGCCTTTGGCGGAGCAGTTGAAGACTCAAATTCAACCTTATGCTGAGCTTTTGGTCGAAAAGACCGAACCTTATAGCTGGATCAACCTACATGTGCCTTCCGTCGAGCACCCGTTCGGCTTGGAACTGTGGCCCATCTTCAGCACCATTTTCGAAAAATATGCGGGGTACCCAGCCGAGGATTTTGACTTCATCTACAACAAGACCTTTATGGCTAATGGGTATCAAGCATTGGGAGTTATTGCCGCCTACTACGTGGTTATCTTTGGTGGCCAAGCTATTTTGCGCGCTGCCAACGCGTCTCCGTTGAAGCTAGGTTTCCTTTTCCAATTGCATAACTTGGTGTTAACCTCGGTGTCCTTGGTGCTTCTGTTGCTGCTGATTGAGCAATTGGTGCCAATGGTTGTGCAGAACGGTGTGTTCTGGGCCATATGCTCAAAGCAAGCGTTTGCACCAAAATTGGTGACTTTGTACTACTTGAACTACTTAACCAAGTACCTTGAGTTGATTGACACTGTGTTCTTGATTTTGAAGCGCAAGAAGCTTTTGTTTTTGCACACCTATCACCACGGTGCTACTGCGTTGTTGTGTTACACACAATTGACCGGACAAACTTCTGTGGAATGGGTTCCAATTACTCTGAACTTGGGAGTCCATGTGGTGATGTACTGGTACTACTTTTTGAGCGCTCGTGGAATCAGGGTGTGGTGGAAAGAGTGGGTTACCAGATTCCAAATCATTCAGTTTTTGATCGATTTGGTTTTTGTCTACTTTGCCACCTACACTTTTTACGCTCACAAGTATTTCAACGGTATCTTGCCTAACAAGGGCACCTGTTACGGTACCCAAGATGCTGCTGCGTACGGCTATTTGATTTTGACATCCTACTTGGTGTTATTCATTTCCTTTTATATTCAAAGTTACCGTAGGGGTATTTCCAAGAAGAAGGCTGTTACTGAAGCTGCCGCCAAGGTTGCCAAAGAGGCAACTACTGACGCTACTACTGGTCCAACCACCGGCAAGCGCGTTCACTCCACCAAAGCCACCTCTAGAAAGGCTTAAACGTGGCCTTAAATGTCCTAAATCTCTTACTACTTACGAAGTGGATTGCCTAGCTGCTACGTACTCTTCAAAGGTTTGTGTAGGACCTTTTGTAAAATAATTCTCAGGGCATCGATGATGTGTCTTAATTATGGGCCCATTGGCATATAGTTTTTATTACACAGATTCTTGGAAGAGAATATAATCAGAGACTCGGCCGTTCTTACATTGAGAAGATACATTAGCACATCATATGCGAAGGTATAAGATGGAGCGTGAGTCTCGATTCGAAGGCCAGAGAGTACGATCGCTAGAATCTGGTATTTGTGGACTCTCTCGAAAACAATCCTCGGCCGCAGATCCAACTGCGAAAAACATCCTCAAAGATCAACATCAACCACTGCTTCCGATTCGATCCTTATACAACTTACTTCAAGTTCGTTGAATAAATAGGTTAAGTTTATCTATCAAAATACTGGTATTCGACTTCTTCACTTCTCCCCCACGCCAACGCCGAGGTTGTTGAGATTTCTGAACATCATGACACCTTCTGTGCCATCAACATACTGACAAGCACGAGCAGAACTCCACAGGGACTTGAACATGTTCTCGTCACTGAATTGGTAATGATCACCCATCACTTTCTTGATAGCTTCAGTAGCAGGGCGAGCGTTGTAAAATGGAATGCGGCTGACGTAGTGGTGCAAGACGTGGGTCTCGATAATGTCATGAAAGATGTGAGGGCCAATAAACCCAAATTTGCGGTCGATCGTAGCGGCAGCCCCCTTAGCGAAGTTCCATTCAGCACCTTCATAATGTGGAAGAGCTGGATCAGTGTGCTGCAAGTACGTGATGAACACTAACCAGTGATTGACCCATAGATAAGGCACGAACCAGTTAATGAATAGTGACCAGCCACCAAATCTCACGTACCACATTCTTAAGACCAACGACTGAACGAGGATACCCAAATCACTTAGAGCAATATACACAGCGTCCTTGGACTCGAAAAGAGGTGACGTTGGCCAGAAATGATTACGTTTCCAAGCAGGAGAATCTTCATGTTTTTGACCTGTCACATTGGTAAACAAATAAGCGATCCAGCCCCCCAATTGTTGCAAGACCAGCTCACCTAAAGTGCGTAAGGGTGAATCTTCAGTACATTCGGCCAAATTCGCAGTTATTCCACGAAAAGACTTGAATTCTTCCTTAGTGGGGGGTACGAAAACCATATCACGGTCCAAATTACCGGTAGTTTTGTGATGTTTGGAATGACTGTATTTCCATGAAAAGTAGGGGACCATCAGGTATGAATGTAAAATCCAGCCAACAAAGTCGTTCACAGCACCGTAGTCCGAAAAAGCCTGATGGCCACATTCATGCGCCAATACCCACAACCCGGTACCTACGGCACCCATGGCAGCCGCATACACGTTCCAGAAAGCGAACCGTAGAATCCAGGCCGCTGAGGCGATCCTTGGGGCCACAAAGCCGTGTGCAACCAAGCCCATCGATACCATCAGAAGAATGTCGCGGGCCACGTAAGCAAGCGACGTGGCCAGGTTACGCTGGTAGCACTCCGGAGGGATGGCTGAAAGAATGTCTTTGATGGTGAAGTCAGGTACCTTGAATACCTTGCCGCGTCCATCAATTGCAGTTTTTGGAGACTCCTGGGTCTCGGTTTGACTCTGGCTGGAGCCACTGTTGCCGGCGAAGCGTTGGAATCCTGACATCGAGTAAAATGAACGTAGTGGTTGCACCGAACTCTAGATACCTACTCCAACAATTATGGAGCTGCTTGAACAAACAGGAAACGTGATAGTTACGCTGCCTTCTGGTCTCAGATGGAGTTCAAGCGTCAGATATCGGGAAAACGAAGGTCTCCTTCTTGAAGCTCATCTCTTCTCAATATGTATACGGTGAATTTTTTTTTTTAACACATTTCTTTCGTTCTTTTTTTTCCAACATCACCAAAGAATCGTTGGGATCCCGCAATGTCACTCTCGAGAGAAGGGCTCGATTTCACGCGGCCACCATCTTGCACGAAAAAAAAGGAAGAAGGAACGACAAGAGTATCAGGCACTGATAGCAGCTGATGCTCGTCCAGGGCCAGGCGGTAGCGGGGGACCTAACTGCACTTAGAAAAGGCAACGAGGCTAGATGGGCGAGTTGAAGGATAGCACAAATGCAGCGGTAAGGGGTACCAGCACCCAGATCGATTGGGCAGCACATGATGTAGCGAGTTCAGCACCGCAGTGCGTAGCAGTGCGAAGCAGCGCTAGGAAAAACGACAGTGTACTCATCCGAGGCAGAGAGTACATTGAATGGCACATGAAGAACGGGTAACAAATGTAGGGTTCACGTGATGGGCTGGCGTTTGAGACTCCGCTTTCAAAGAAGGCCTTTTGGGTCAAGCCGAGTGCACTGGCGTGATTCCTACAACCGGACTCGCCAGTACACGGCCTCGAAGCGTATATCACGATTATGAGCTGCGCACTAAGCTGGGGGGGACATGTGTGTCCCGAAGGTGAGGCAGCTACAAGGATCAATTGGATTTCCCCGGGCCACTTCTGACGTTTGACTAGGCGAAGTGCCGGTCGCTAACTGCTTTCGCGCTCTACAGCAAACGAAGTTGCTGAGTTTCCTACTTTTTGTTCTTGTCTGGTGCTCCTGTTTTTTTTTGCGCGAATGGCCAAAGATCGTCATTCTGGGGAGTTCACGATCACCAGAGTTGTAGGTTTTAGTATATCCCCCAGGCCAAAAAAAGTGATCAATGGAAGGTAAGGATAACCAGACCAGACGCTTGGTATTTATACCTTTTTCCTGAACCTCTCTGCGTGCCCCAATGGCCGCCGACTCCTTATTAATATACAGCCTTCGCGAACTTTTCTGTGACCATGACTCGGCAATGTTAGCATCACCCGCAAAAAGCGAACAAACTACCCAAGTCCTCTCTAGCTATTTGAGATCCCGGCAAAATAGCTTCAGGACTGGTATCTTTGGATACTACATGCTTTGTGGGCCAGTTTGACACCGCGATTGGCCGTGGTCTTGGTCTTGGTCTTGGGATTAGCCGCCGATGCTTTGGCATTACTTTGACTCATCTATACTGGGCTCCTACAAAGTGCGAGGAGTTTGAAAAGGATTGAGGGCGCCAAAGAGCCTTTCATACAACAACTGATCGAAAGGTTGTCGTCTGCGAGTTTAATGTTTGGAACGGTCTGAGCATCATGGTAATAATTAGTTACTATCGCTTGGTACTAAACGTTCCATCGAGGGCATGGCCAGAAGTGCTACTAAGAGACGGCACATGCGTACAGCAACGGGGAACATAGAGCGCCTTCTGTAATCGAGTGGAAATAAATAGCTAGCTTCCTTGAGTAGCAGGTTGCTGGTACATAAGCTTTTTTAGCAATAGCATGAATAGCATCATTTAGAGCTCAAATGTCCCGTGCGGCTTGAGCAGGAAGTCTCGGGATTGCTGACAAGAGGTCCGCGGCCCATCCTCCTGTAAGACGTTGGCCGATCCGTGATTGAAGTGAGACTCTGTGTTTCACGGAAATCCCGGTTATTGGGGTCCCACGCTTCGACGGCTTGCATCTTGTCTACTGCGAGTCGGTAGCAAACCGACACCAAGCATCCGAGTCTGGCCTTCTTGCGTACCCTGTATCAAGGACGGCATCGACAATTTGTCGTAGATTGACTTCCGCTGTTTTGGTTCCTCTGTGTTGGCAGAGCCTGCTGACGCTCCCAAACAAGGCTTTTTCTACTTTCTTATCTCTGCTCTGTGCAATCTAGTACAATGTTTCTCTGGCCTGATTAGGCACTCACTTGCTGCTATCCTCCGGCGACATTTCCTAGCAGAATGAGACATGTTGCATAGCATCCAAGAGCGCAACCCTGACGTCGATAACCATGAGAACCTTTTGAAAGCTACACTGGCAATTGTGACATCTAAAGCACATTCTGATGCAGGAGGAACAGGGCCAGGCAGGTTTATCGAGTAAACTGCGCGCGAGTGAGGAAATGAAGAGTGTATGTCATGCGTCCACCCATGAGTTGCTCGAGCTAGCTTTTTGAAAAACAGCTTTTGACAAAACCCTGCGTTGCTGCATGAGGCAATTAAACGGCAACCAGTGGCCCACTGGGGCTGGCCCTATCTGAAGTTCTTCAGAGAAACACGGTCGTGATACAAACCGATATGGCAAATAGCCCAAACACGCTGAACTCCCTCAAACCGACAAATGGCTAGCACGTTGCTAGTTAGTCTCCATCGGCTCGACTCATACTTGGGATCCAGTATCAAACCGCTCACTGGTATTCACCTGTCAACTCAGGTAGTTCTCAATACGACAGAACTCTAGTCACGCGACAGTATTGCAAGAAGTGATCAATTTTAGCACAAGGTGAATCACCCTCCAGTCGGAGTACACATAAATGATCACAAGCACCAGCAACAACCAGTGCTCTTACCATGCTACAGTTCTACAAATTCGTGCAATGAAAGCGGCTCTCATCCGGCGTCTCGCCTAACTGTTTTCCTAGTTTTAAAATAAACTTGACATATTAACTGGTTCGTAATGGTACTGCACCTGCCGTGACGTCCGTAAAAGACACAGAAACACTTACCGTTAGGCCGTTTTCTCGCTGTATCGTTCCAACTTGAGCAAGCATGCTTCTTGCCTCATCGACTTATTTAACATTTTGAGCGTGTAAGTCCACATTACCTCAAATTTCGTTGTCCGTTACAATAGACTCAAATTTGCGTACGTCGTCACTTAGACCAAAACCAAGAACCAAGCATAATCTCTGCGTAGCCACGCACCATGCACATATGAACAACAGCCCAAATTCGAACACAACAAACACTCAAAACGTCACGCTCGCTGTCCCAAGCTCGCAGCGTTGGGACGTGAGTCACGTAGTACGAACGGAATGGCATCTCAAAAATCATGAACTCAGACCCCTACAAGACCAAGAAACGTATACATCCAAACGGCCGTAGATAGAGGGCGAAGAAAAAATAAAGCCCACGGCTGGGTGAAGGTGAACACCATTTACGGGGCTGTTTTTACGAAATTACGGCAGTTCGCAAAACTGGCGAGACAGAAACGCCCAATCTTGTGTCAAACGGAATCAAATGGGGCAATTAGATGAGATCATCTCTCCGTACCCAAACACCCCAAGTCTCGTGGCATGACAAGCACGGCCAAATCTTGAACGCGCGATGGCTCCTTCTGCCTTTGTGGTCCTACGCAGTTGGATCTCTGAACTGTATTATCCCTAATATAGAGTCCTGCTTTTTGGCCACGGACACCGACTATCAACGACTGCTAAGCTTCATCTGTCTTGTATTTTATAACCATAAAATTTTTTTCCGTGATCGGAAGCCTCTCTCCCCTCTGTGACCGATTATCTTAATTTTAATAGGAGTTTTTAAAGTTTCGGAACTTTTCAAAGATTTAGCAATCGTTCTTTTATTTCACCTCGCCACCGGACAATTTCGCCACAAGAATCGTACCAAACCAACCAGTGGTTCACTGCGAGAGGGAAAATTTTTTGGCTTCACCCAAGAGCGCTAAGTCTGCACTCCAGTCACGTAGGGTCACAGGCCAACACGAACTGGGATTTGAATCAAGCTAAGGTACTTCAAGTCGTTGCACAATGTCTTTGGCAGCGCTATTGAACGACGACAAGGACGCAAATAGTAATCGCATTGTTCACGGCAAGGCTCCTGTGCAGCTTCCGAGCCAGTATCACAGCAGGAATCGAGATGGAAAAAGCGCAGGTGCCGGAGCTGGCAACTCTTTGTCTACAAGAGAGGGTTTTTTGCAACAGCTGAATCGGGACTTCCGAGTACTGGGTGCGAGAGACATCAGGGAGCAACGGTTCCAGGATTGGAGGATGTTGAATTACCAAGAGTTCGAGTTGGTGACTGAGTGGAACAACCAGTCGAGGGAGTTGGGATCCAACGGGTGTGAAAGCCTGCTGGCCAACATGGAGACTGCCCATCAGGAATGGGACCAATTCCAGGACTACACCCGGCATAAGCACGAGGTTATTCGTCAGCAGCGCGAAGCGCGCGAGAGACTTCGTCGTCAACAAGAACAGGAACGCATTTTACAAGAGCAAGAACGGCGCCAGGCCCTAGATCGTGAAGCTCGCGAGCGAAAGGCTCTGGATCAACAGCAGAGGGCCAAAACTGCAACAGCCTCGGATAAAAAGACGGGTTTATCGGGAGCAAGACCAGGGTCCGCAAATGGCGTTGACATTTCAAGCTCTCATATTAATGGTCATGGCGAGCGCGGACACGGCGCTGGTGGCCACGGGAAGCTGCGTCAAGGCCACAACCATGATGTTAACGATGAAGACGACCACGATAATGACGACGACGACGACCACATTCAAGATGACGACAACAGCATCAACACGAGCAACAGCAACGACAACGGCGAAGATATGGATGGCGTAGAGGATCCCGATGGGGAGGCCGAGATAGAAGAGGATATTGACGAAGAGGAGCTCGAGGATGCAGACCATGACGAGGAGGTGGTTATGCCGGAAGATGACGACGATAACGATGAAGATTTTCTGCTAGAAGATGACAAAGGCAACTCGTTGGGTAAAACGTCCAGTAAGGTGGACCTCACATCGGAGAATGCCAAAATCAGGCGAGAAATTGCGCGCATGGTAAATAAGAACAAGAATGTGAAAGCCAAGAAACGTCGTTTTACAAACTCTACCATCGTCGAACATATTCAAAATGAAAAACTTGAGGTCAAAGTGACTCTCAAGCAGTATCACGTACGGCAGCTTAAACGCCTAATTGCCGAAAAACAGCGTGCTGAAGAGGAAGAAAAATCTGGAGGAGCCGAGCCTGCGGCAAAGAAACGCAAAACAGCACAAAAGGGCGAAAATGCCGCCATCCCAGATTCTATTGATGGCTTGCCCACTTATGGTCTTAAGATGACGGTCAAGGAAGCGCGAGGTATACAAAGACATTACGATAATACCTATTTCACCATCTGGAAGGATATGGCGAGAAAAGATTCAGCAAAAGTCGCTCGGTTAGTTCAACAAGCACAAGCGAGTAGGAATGTCAACTTCAAGAAAACTTGTGCGTTAGTTTGCCGAGAAGCACGCAAATGGCAGCTTAGGAATTTCCGTCAGGCAAAGGATTTTCAATCTCGTGCACGTAGAGGAGTCCGAGAAATGTCCAGTTTCTGGAAAAAGAATGAACGGGAGGAACGCGATCTCAAGAAAAAAGCTGAGAAGGAAGCTCTTGATCAGGCCAAGAAGGACGAGGAAGAACGTGAAAATAAAAGACAAGCCAGAAAACTGAACTTTTTAATCACTCAAACGGAACTTTACTCACATTTTATTGGTCGAAAGATCAAAACTGATGAGATCGAGGGTACTATGGCCGACAATTCATTTGCGTCACAAGATAAAGGAAAAAACGAAATCGATTTGTCTACAACAGAGGCCTCCAAGACTGACTTCCATTCTATCGATTTTGACAATGAAGACGATGAAATGTTACGAATGAAGGCTGCGCAGAATGCCTCTAGCGCGTTGCTAGCAAGTCAGAATAAGGCCAAAGAATTTGATGCAAACCCGGATGAGGAAGATGAATTGAACTTCCAAAATCCTACTTCTTTAGGAGATATCACGATTGATCAACCCAAACTCCTGACATGCACATTGAAGGAATATCAACTAAAAGGTTTGAACTGGCTTGCTAATCTGTACGACCAAGGTATAAACGGTATCTTGGCAGACGAGATGGGTTTGGGGAAAACTGTACAGTCTATCTCAGTTTTGGCTCACCTCGCAGAAAATCATAACATCTGGGGCCCCTTCATCGTGGTAACCCCTGCGTCGACTTTGCATAACTGGGTTAACGAGATTTCTAAATTCGTTCCTGATTTCAAAATTTTACCTTACTGGGGTAATGGAAATGATCGTAAGATCTTAAGAAGATTTTGGGATAGAAAACACTTTCGCTATGGTAAAGATGCGCCATTCCATGTATTGATCACTTCTTATCAAATGGTGGTGTCTGATGCAGCATACATTCAAAAAATGAAATGGCAGTATATGATTTTGGATGAGGCCCAAGCAATTAAGTCTTCTCAGTCGTCTCGCTGGAAAAATTTATTAAGCTTTCACTGCAGGAATAGGCTTCTTTTGACCGGCACTCCAATCCAAAACAATATGCAAGAGTTGTGGGCCCTGCTTCACTTCATCATGCCTTCGTTGTTTGATTCACATGATGAGTTTAGCGACTGGTTCTCAAAAGATATTGAATCTCATGCCCAGTCTAACACTAAGCTCAACCAACAACAACTGCGGCGTCTGCACATGATTTTGAAGCCTTTCATGTTGAGACGTATCAAAAAGAATGTTCAGTCTGAATTAGGAGACAAAATCGAGATTGATGTGATGTGCGACTTGACAAGACGGCAGCACAAATTGTATCAAGTTCTGAAGACCCAAATGTCTGCTGCTTATGATGCTATCGAAAATGCTGCTGGTAATGATGAAGTTTCATCCGACCAGAACATCGTAAACACGGTAATGCAGTTCCGTAAAGTTTGCAATCACCCAGATCTATTTGAAAGAGAGGATGTCAGCTCTCCATTCGCTTTTACAGATTTTGGGAAAAGCGGTCCACTTTTAAAAGGTAGCAATTTGAGTGACGTAGAATATTCCGCCAGGAACTGCGTCGACTACCATGTGCCACGGCTCATTTTTGATGAAATGCTAACGCCTCAGTATGAGAACAATATAAAGGCGAATGACAAGTTACTGAATCACACTCTCAATATTCTACATCCTTCAAACTCCAGAGATCTCTGTACAGCTTTGTCATGTCTTTCTGGACATAGCCCTAATGAGTTCTATGCTCTTTCCAATGAAAACCTTGTTAAGAGAGCTTTAAACTCAGAAGAGGGTAAATCTCACAGACCAAAAATTGTATACTCCAATGATGAGCTTGCGGAAGTGAATAGAAATCGATTCACCGTTGAAAATTGTTCCGACGCTCTTTTCAATGTTGGACAAACAACGACAAAGGGTGTTCTTGATTCGCTACTTAACATCAGACGAGGTGTTTATGAGGAGCAGTATATGAATGTATGGCACCCTGCATACCATCGTGCTGTTAACGCGCCCCCTATTAACATGGAAGTTGCCAGCTCCAGCCAATTTTCTCGCAGGAGACAGCTTGAACTCTTCGATCCAGTTTTATGCCAGGCCTTCAGCAGCATTCCTGCAGAGACCCAACTTGAACTACTTACAAAATACAAGCTATCACCAAATGCGTTTCCTATATCAGAGCGTTTTCCAAAGCCTCTCAATAAAAATTTCACGTCTGCTATTTCGATGCCTTCCATGGATAAATTTATCATGGAGTCTACTAAACTGAAGAAATTGGACGAAATGTTGGTAGACTTGAAGAAAGGAGGTCACCGCGTCTTAATATATTTTCAAATGACCAAAATGATGGATCTAATGGAAGAATACTTAACATACAGACAATACAAGCATATCCGTTTAGATGGCTCCTCCAAGCTAGAAGATAGAAGAGATCTCGTTCACGATTGGCAAACTAGGCCAGAAATTTTCATCTTCTTACTGAGTACTAGGGCCGGTGGGCTGGGCATCAACCTAACTGCTGCCGACACGGTTATATTCTACGATTCTGATTGGAACCCGACAATTGACTCCCAAGCCATGGACAGAGCGCACAGGCTCGGTCAAACAAGGCAAGTGACAGTATATAGGCTTCTGATCAGAGGAACAATCGAAGAACGGATGCGCGATAGAGCCAAACAGAAGGAACACGTGCAACAGGTGGTCATGGAGGGCAAGACACAAGAAAAAACAATCCACACCGTCGGTGCTACTAGTTAGTCGTAAAAGCCTAATGTAATCATTAATTCAAGAAACTTTTTAGCGCTACATAGTATCAGTGCTCGCAACGACGAAGGGGATCCCTGGGAGACTTCCATATTAAACAGCCTCTGATTTCAAAATATTAATATACTTGTCATGTAGGGATATAACGCGTTGGTAGTCTTCTTGATATATGGATCCAATATCCAAAGCCGTTTTGTCTGCCAGTACCATATTTTGAAGGGTAAAAAAAAAGAGTTCTTCAGCAAGTAGAGAGCCTTGGGGCTTAGGACGTCGCCCACCTTGTAATCGTCAGCTGTCATATTGGTCTCATTTCCAGGAAGGCTAGTATCTTCTCCAAATAGCATGTCAAAATCTTCATCCGGCGCTTGTTCAGGCTTTGTCATTGCCTGCGTGTCCACGCTAGTTTTCTTTGTATCGCTCTCAACCTCGGAGGCGGACTCGAGAAACCGTAAAAGTTCCACTTTGCTCGTGCTCTTTTTTAGGTCGTGAGTAACCATAAAGTAAAACAGATAGTCCAAACTATTGGACCCCTCCCCGTCGGTATCCTTTCTTCGATGGCCTGTATTTTTTGGATCTGAAGCTTTCGCGTACAGAGCATTCAGAACATCCCGCAAAAAGGTGGCGGGAGTAACAATATCAACCAGAGCAAAGAGGTAGTCGAGGTTATAGTACGTGCTGCTCTGCAAATTCCAAAAAGAATTGACTTGATTGGTTATTATGCTATTAATGGAGTTTTCAGCCGTGATTAAAAAAGGGTAGTACCCAATTTCTTTCTTCTGGTAACCATTCTCAGAAGTGAGTAGCAATGGATCTACGTTGTAGAGATTTCCAGCGCGAGCAATGTCCTCTAAAAGAGAAATGATGGACCCCAACCTCGGATCTCCTTCCCCTTCAGATGAATACATGCCATAATTTGATCTCGATCGCGTTCGAAGCGCCCTCGCTGCCTTAAGCAATTGGGCGCTATTTAATCTCAAAATGAGAGTATGTAAGGGTTTCGATTCATTGTTGAGAGATGAGGGATTAAGAACGGTACTCAACATCTCCAGAACAGAGTCTAGTATTTCCTTTGAAATATCTTGACTCCTTAGGGAGTTCAAGCACTGTTCCGCCCAAAACACTATGCCAACCATCCCTACTATCAAGAATGGCTGCAAAAAGTATTCAAAACCACCTGTTAACGCCGTGATATCCTTTACTAGCCCCGATTCAACGCTTAAAACACTCTGCTTAAAAATGTATGGAATAAATGTGGCCAATTCCTTGGCGTCAGCACTCTTCATCAACGAGTCAGAAATTGATCCATTTACGAATAAGTCACGGACCCAGTTCTCTAGCACCTTGCTGGGCCCATTGTCATCTTGCTTCAGTGGCGGTGGCGGTACGTTACCTAACTCTGAAATAAGTTTAACTGTGAAAGAATCCGGAGATATATGAATATTAGTGGAAATCATGTCCACTAAAGGTATCTCGTACGTTTTTGTAATATGGATGACGAAAATGAGGGCGTAGGTAAAACAAACAAATTCCGTATTAGGCTCGAACTCATCACTCATCCCGTTGTCTGCGGCCTTCACATTTGCGTCCCACGTTTCATCTATAAACTGAATGGCGACAGTTAAAAAGTTGTGAGGTGAAACAAACGTTAGCATACTTGTTAAAGAGTGGCAGAGGTTCAACGACATTAAACAACAGACCTTGGAGAAGTTTCTGCAGTCGAAGTTCTTGGCTGATTCGCAAAATAGTTCGTAGAACAATTCGGCAAGATCGCGCTGTTTCGTTGACGCCAAGGTATCGAACTTTCGTATGATTTGAATAATCCCATTTTCTGCGTTACCAAATGTTCCACCATTTTGATCGAAAATGGACTCGAGATCTAGTTCGCCCATCTTATCCTTAATGAAGCGCGAAAAGTTGGTAATGCTTTCCTTCACTCCTTGAGCGTTCGTAAACGTAACATTGTCGCTACTAGGTAGTGATTTCACGTCGACAACCTGATCGTCACGTAAATAGTCGTTAAAAATTGAAGGAGGAAGCAACCCTATATTTATAAGATTTCTGAGAAATTCGTGTCTGATATCCATATTCTTATTTGGAACATCTTCAAATAAATCTTCTCCTCCATTTTTAGATTCGTCTTTCTCGGAGGTGTATTGCCTGAGTGCCTTTATTACCTTGTGATCTATGTTTTCTAACGCCGTGGTGACAATCTCGGACTTTCGAGGTGCGTGCTCCAGCAAGTACAGTGGCAGCTGTTTTGTAATGAAGATAGTCCATTGCCGTTCCAGCAGATTGAAATGGGCGTTGGGCTGATGATATTGTTGATTAGTAACGAACTGAGCAAACGATGTAAAAGACGTTTCTATCAAATCAACGAGGACAGATTCAACGTTGTTATGTGGGGCTTTATCAAGTTTTTGTACACCAACTTCGATCACACCATAGCTGGAAATAAAGTCTCTTTCGTTGGTAGACCAGTTCATTACTTTATTGTTGAGCCATAAGTTTTTACAGTATCTAGTTAGCTTGATTGATCGGTGGGAGGAATTCCCCAGATTGGATATGTTGGAATTTTTAGGACTTGTTGGCAGGGTATCGATTCGTTTGGGTGATAAAACTGATGGCGAGCCCAAATTTTGTAATGCCTCTTGGTGGAAAAGGTTAGGAGCATGGCCCACGTAGTTAACGTGAGATTCTAGATCTTTAGATAATTTGCGGTACAATAATTTGTGGGTTTTGGAAATACGGCCCAACAATGCCGTTACTCCCTCTTTCACCGCTAAATCGGTGATCGTGATAGCGTGGGTCGACAGTTTCAATACATTTCGAATGAACTTTGCAGCGGCCAGTATGACTTCATCAGTTTGGCTCGCAAAATTGATGGTGAAGATAGATGGCAGTATTAGGGTCGCGAGATCTGCGCAGATTTGATCCACGACCAATTTGTCGTCCAAATTCAGAAAAAAAGCACTAGCTTTTGCGAAAAGGAGAGCAAGGTGCGACGAGTTTTGAACCTTATGGAGTTGTGGAAGAAATCGCTGCACAAGTTGGCTATTATAGTTGATGAAAATGACCTCGGTAACATAATCGGCGGACAAAATATTAACACCAGATTCCAGGATTTGAAGCAGGCAGGTAGAAAGTTCTTCATACACATCGATATTGTTTTCATGGGTTTGTACATCCTCTGAACTTGTTAGGAAGTTCCCAAATTGATCGTTCACCAATTCATTGTAGAAGTTGAGAAACTGAGTAGCAGGAAGACGTCGCTTGGAGCAATTAAGGGCCAGAGCGATAATTGAATCGCGCTTCTCATCCATAGCAGTAGATGACAACGTTGAAGAATTCAGTCAAACGTACACACTTAAGCCGATAATGTCCTGGTCGCCTAAGCCCGCTGGCGCTGAGAAGTAGTACAATATTTGATTAAAACAGGCATTAACAAATTACGTATATGACGATGCAACATTAAGAGGGCACCAGCATGGAAGACATAAAAAGGCGAAGGCTAGGCTGGATCTGGGCTGGGTGACTCTGCATTAAACATCGCTTTCTGCCAGTCAGGAATGGGGGTTGGTGGTTTTTCAGCGGCTGTCACCTGCCATTCGGGAATCGACTTTTCGGTAACTGTATTCTCTCGAGATTTCTTCCAAGCTGGGACGTCGTGGTCATTCTTCTTGGGTAAATTCATTTTGGCAAGAATTTCAGAAGCTGAGGGAATCACTTCGACTCCTGGGATTGGCGATTTATTATGATCTGAGGGTGTAGGGGCGTCTCTCAAAAAATCACTATTTTTGATGAGGTTCTTCAGGGATAATATCTCGTCACTCAATCTTCGCACTGCAGGGCTATCAGTGTTTTCCGAAATGAAGGTTTCAAGATTCTTCTGTAGTCCTTCTATTTCCAGACGCATGATTCGGACGTCGTCCTCTAGTTTTTCGCGGGTTCTAGTGGTAGTTTTCAAAGCAGAGCTCAACTCATTTACGACTTGATCGAGCTCTTCAAACTTTTCGTTCTCTTTCTTCACATATGCAGAATGCTCGCTGTCAATGGTCTCAAGCAGTTGTTCCATCCGATCAAATTGTTGCGCTATTTCTAGCTTGTCTTGCTCCAACTTGGAATGTGACTCCGGCAGCAAATTTGGGAGGACGTATCGTTTTGTGAGCTGGTACAAACCGTAACACAAACCAGCCGTTGACGTGGCCATGAAAAAATAGTCTTTCCAGTCCCTTTGGGGGAGGGGTGGCGGCACTGCTTCGTACTGTGGTTCATATTCGCTATTTTTTGATTGGTATGTGTTGAAATTTGAAACTTGCAGCTCCTGGGGGTTTTCTTTAGCCTCCTTGAGAGCACTGTCGATCTCACTTTGCGAAAGTCCCTTTGATTCTAGAAACTCCACCTTTTTAGCTAACGGAGCATCAGAGACGCTTGGGTCTGATAGAAAAGCTATAGCAGATTTATAAAGCTCAGCTCGCTCAGCTCGATTACCAGAATCGGTCTGTGACATTTCTCAAAGCCAAGGGAGCTTTTGTCCACGATTTCGCCTATGATGATGATTCTACAAAGCGTGGGATATATTCACAACTTGTCCCACTGGAGCGTGCACGTGATTTACAATAAAGAGTGGTCCCTCACTTGCTGGATGGCCATGATTCGAAGCGCATCCTGATGATGGCCGACCACCGATAAGTAATATCGTTTCGGTCGAGCCGATTCAAGAAGAGAAATTGGGCGTCATAGGGAATACTTTGAATTAAGAAAGTTTATTGATTTGACGATAAGGGAGACCCTGCCTGAAAAGCTCGGAGGATCGCGAGCTAAGGATGTAATCAAATGGCTTATTAGTATTTTGGCCCATTAGCTTGGAATATCTCAATTTAAATGGCTCTGAGGAATAGGAAACGGTGTAAGTGGCCAGTAACCGGTTTTTTTCGTGTAGCTTCTCGCTGGTTTGTTCTGATGGCGTGAGAAAGAAAGATAAGTGACTACTCCACTATGTACTTGCGGCACGGGCAAATAAGTAGGAAAAGCTCCTGAAGTTGAGAAAAAGTATCCACACTGGGTGTATTTCGTAGTTTACTCTTATCAAACTTCCTGATTATCAGTTGCCGTATCGCGGCCCCCTTCATATTCTCGACGGCTCCTATTAGGCTACAGGATCTCATGACACAGGCCAGGCATCTATTGGCCGACTATTAGTGATTAAAAAATGGAGATACCTATTTGAATACTCAAACGCTGGGTTATCGAAAGTGGCTGCTTGTCAGGAAGGTTATTCAGGGTCTCATTACATACCATCGAATTTTGTTGATAATTTATTTGGCAGGGTAGTTAATACGAACTAGAGACAGTTGAAAAGCTTACTCTAGCCATGTGGCTAGCCCAAGAATCTTCAATACCATGTGTATTGATTTGCGATAGCCGAAGAGCTATTTTGAGTGATGATTTTGAGTTCGAAACCCTTCTACGACTGTTCTCTTTGGAAACGCAGCGAAAGATTACAAATAAGAGAGAACGAAAATTGAGAAATCTTGCTCTCTGCAATCAACTTCTACAGCTTGCAAGCTTATCGAGAGCTAGCGGCCAAGCATGGCGGGAGACGAAGTTTGAGTTTAATGCCTATGGCAAACCACAATGCGCTGGCTTCCCTAACCTTTCATTTAACATGTCCAATAGCGACGGTCGTACCGCAATATACTTGGATCTCGAGTCAGATGTAGGCTTGGATCTAGCCAGCACCAAGGACTGTCAAAATTTCGGCGAAGAAAACTACCTTGAGGTTTTTCGGCCCATTTTCACCGAGCATGAATTCCGTCACCTTAACAAATTACCGCCAGGAGCCACCAGAGATAGGCTTTTTACCCATTATTGGTCTCTCAAAGAAGCTTATACCAAGCTTAAAGGCGTTGGTCTGAATTGCAACTTATCCGAAATAGATTTAGGCGTAATTGAGCCCTGTACCTACAAAGACAGTGCTCAATCAATTGAGCGCGATATTGGTATCGATACAATATACTTCCAGTCAAAATGGCTTGATAGTGATTTGATTGTATCTATCTGTAAGGTAACTGGACCAAAACAGCCGACTATGACTAAAGTACCCATAGTGGACTTGGAACTTGCTGACGTTGTAGAATGGATCCATAGTACAAAGTGACAAGGCACTAAGGGCAAAATGTTAATAGAAGGTTCTTGCCAGTCGGTACTTTACTTGGAACTACAGGCCTCGCAACATTGTCACTTGGACTTTATAAGGAGCATGCACGAAAGACCCAAGAAAACGTCACATCTTTTGGGTGGCTTTATTGGTGGTCTAACATCTGCGGTTGTGTTGCAGCCATTCGATTTACTTAAGACCAGACTTCAGCAGAACAAAAGCTCCACACTTTTAACCGTTGTACGGTCAATTAATTCACCAGCTGAGCTATGGAAGGGTACGGTTCCTTCAGCGCTCCGAACGTCTGTGGGTAGTGCTCTTTTTTTGTCAACCTTGAACGTGGTTAGAACCGCAATTGCAGAGAGGAGAACAGGAGGCTCAAGAAACTCAACGAAAAGCAGCTTTTTACCCCAACTCTCAATGTATGAAAACCTTATGTCAGGGGCCATCACAAGAGCGACTGTTGGATTTGTGACCATGCCTATAACCGTGTTGAAAGTGAGATTCGAATCAACTATGTACCACTACAAGACTCTAGCAGAAGCTGCAAAACACATATACATTTCAGAAGGATTGGGCGGGCTCTTCAGTGGCTGGAATGCCACTATTCTTAGGGATGCCCCATATGCAGGACTCTACGTTCTGTTTTATGAACAGTCCAAACTGCACCTACCACAGTTCTTACCCTCAGCATTGCTAATTCGTGATGATCAAGGCATGTATTCGAGTAGGACATCTACGATTGTGAACTCCATTGCCGCTTTTGGCTCTGCCAGTTTAGCGACTACGATAACATCACCTTTTGATACGATTAAGACCAGAATGCAACTTAATCCAAAACAATACTCGAGTTTCCTACAAACATTTTCTTCAATACTAAAGAGCGAGCGGCCAAGGAATCTGTTTGATGGGTTGAGTCTGAGGTTGGCAAGAAAGGCATTTAGTGCAGGTATCGCATGGGGGATTTATGAGGAATTAATAAAACGATTCGTGTAAATAGAGTTTCATTACCAGTGAAATGCATATTGCATAGAGATAGGAGGATTTTCATGATATGGACAAAGAGATGTCCTTAGGGAGAAAAAGAGGTCCGTTAAAATTTCCACCTCTTAAAGCGAGCGCGGCTAAACCTAGACAGGTATGGTACAGATCCGGATCATCTTCGTTATTTTTGGCAAATCCTCCTATTAAGTTATTTTGGGTGGTATCCAGTAGGTAATTGAAAAGAAGATCATGTTTGTCAAATCGAGCCGAACATTGATCTTCAAGAATGCTCAATGAGTTGAGAGCCCAGAAGCAATAGCAGGTGTCTGCAAACTTATTCTCTCTTCCTTGAAAACCACCGTGATCTGCAAGATCGTAGTTTTCATTACCCTCAGCCATTGATGTAGTAGATCCTTGGCTTGATACTTGACGTTCCAGTAGCCAATGCACAGTTGTTTCGTAAAATGTAGGAGTCAAAATAGACCATTGATCACCAAGCATATGCAAGATGGAAAGTGCACAAGATGTAAAGCCCGCATGCGGCTCACAGTACTGACCAAAACCACCTTGAGCGCAGGCTTGATCACTGATATTAGCCAAGATACTTTGAAGAGAAATGTATTTCTCAAAGTCCTTAGATCTCCGACAACCCATTAGGTGAAGGATAGCTATTGCAGCGTATGTATACCTTAGATCTGTTGGATCAATGGACGAGGTGTGACATCCATCCAGCGGAGTCACATCAAAACTTGATACAAAAGAACCGCTCTCTACCTGACAGTGGGAAACGAAACGGCAGATGCGTTCTTTGTCGACCTCGTCATACATGTTTTCCTCTTGACCTAAACAGGCCAAGCTCCAGAGGCCAAATAATGTGTTGATTAAACTTAGGGATGGAATGCTGTCGATGTTGATTGACGTACTTGGTACAAAACCAGCAAGGAGGCAACTGCCGCCATAGTCAACTTCTCGATAATGATTACTTAGCCAGTTTTTACTGCTTTTATACTTCTCAGATGTGTCGACACCTAAAACATTGAGACCTATTAAAGCATATGTCACAATTGCGAGCTTATTCGCTTCGTTATCTTGATACTTTGACGGCAGAATTGCCAAATGTCGCTCCAAGTATTTCTGATGTTTTGAGTTCAAAAGTCGATCATCCGAAATAAGTAAAGGCATCGTAACTAGGTTAGGAACTTGATAGATGTGCCTTGCCGTTATACAGGCTTAACCTGATATTGTTAAAAGATCACACTTATTGGATAACAATAAGGCTAATTAATTTTGTGAAAGTGTCATAATATCATAATACTTAAAGACATAACTATATTCTGCTGTTCGTAAACAGATCATGTTTCTTTAAAAGACGAAGCGATATGTCGCGATCTCAAATGGTTTGAGTTTTATTTTGACCTCCTTACTACTTTTCTTAGGGCTGGTCCTAATATCGAGAGCTACCCCACTGGTGAGCTCTAAGCTGTCAATTTTGGTCACGCTGGTCACAGCTTGGTCAGTTGCTATGGTGGCAGATGCTTCACCACCAAGAGCCTCATAGATTCTCACAATCATTGACCTTTGATCCCATCTCTTCGATGAATAGTCAGAACGCAGTTCCTTGTCGTCGTCTCCTCTTTTGATGTTCGAGAGAATAACGTTTGGATCACCCTTAATACAAATCATACCATCAAAAGCCTTGGAAACTACATCAGGGATTTTGTACCGATGACAGAAATTAAATTCCAGAGCCTTGTGCACAGTTTGATGGGAAAGCCCACCAAAATGCGGGAAAATGGCATATCTCATATGGTGTGTACCCATGTCAGCATGCGCATCCGGCTCCTTAGGGGAACGCAGTAAAGACAAGCGCATCAGGTTGCCATGCGTAGAGAAACCATACTTGCAATCGTTGATGACCGAAACACCTTTGCTGTACTCAGAGTAGTCGGCAAACTTGTGATGACATACTTCAAATTTGGCCACGTCCCACGAAGTGTTATAGTGAGTCGGTCTTTTAGTTATGCCAAATTGAGTTTCATACGAAGCGTAATCATTGCGAACATTGACAGGAAACTCAACTTTCAAAAATTTGTTGGTCAGATTCCAATTATTGACGGTAGTGTCTATTTCGATTAGACCGTGTTCATTATCTGATGTTCGCTCGTGCAACGTAATTACTGTTACGAGATCGCAACTCTCCGTAATATTGAATTTGGCTTGAACTGAGCATTTCTTAGATGACTTTTCGAGAATATCAAGACTCTTCAAATCACTTATATATTTGTACTGGTCAACAGAGTACACTTCGGTATCCCACGCCTGCCATCCTAAAGGTTTGTCATCAAAGAGAACAAATTGGTTAGCACCCAAATGATTTCTTCCATTCTCTCGATCCAAAAACTCGATATCTTTTTCCACATCTGTTATGGATGTGATAATTCCCTTTTCTTTACTGATGAAAACGTTGAGCTTTCCATCACTCAGTACCACATACGTTTTATTCTCGGTCAAACGTGCAAAGCCATCCCTACTACTGACGCATGGATTTTCATGGAGAGATTCTCGAGCTAAAGGAACGGTTGTAATGGGTACTGAGGGCTTGCCTTTCTTTTCTAGTACTTTTAGAACGTCAGATGTCAACTTTTCGATTTCCTCGAGAGCTCCTCTAAGCATAGGACGTGCTTCGTACTTGTACACCAACTCAATACAGGAGCCAGGCAGAACATCGTGGAACTGACATAGAAGTATGTCTTCCCATATCCTGTTGATTTTGTTAACGGGATAGTCATAATCTTGAGGGTACAAAAGAGAAGTTTTGGTAGCAAGCCATTCCAAGTCGTGGATCTTAATTTCGCATGTTCTCATCAAACGTTTGACCTGGGCCTGTGTCGTGTAAGTGCCTCTGTGGAACTCAAAGTACAACTCTCCAAGCCACGAAGGAAGTTTCGTTCCGTTTACAGTCTTTTTCAAAATGTCATTGTAAAAATCGCTTATCGTCGAACCTACATGAACCTTGGGAATAACATTACCGTTGCGGTTATTCATGGAACGGATACGTCTCATCTTTTCAAGCATTTCAGTTGTTGGGCCACCTCCACCATCGCCTTTACCATACAGCATCAGCCCTGAACCGTAAACGTCAGCGTTTTTGTTGCCCTTTGCCGTGCGTAAAACGTCTCCAAAATGAGAACTGGCGGTGTAGGTGTTTCCAGGTGGCATGTGGGTTAATAGTTGCGAACCATCAATACCCACCCAGTTGAAAGTAGTATGGGGAAAATTATTTATGTTATTCCAAGACAGTTTTTGAGTCAAAAACTTATCAATTCCAGAGATTCTGGCAATTTGAGGTATTTGAGAGGAATACCCAAATGTGTCTGGCAGCCAGAAGATGTCGGAAGTTTTGCCAAAATGCTTTAAATAAAACCGTTGTCCAAGGAAAAATTGTCGACACAAGGATTCCCCTGCTGGAATGTTAGTGTCGTTTTCCACCCAAGAACCACCGATCGGAAAGAATTGTGACTGTTGAATCTTGGGAATGAGAACATCTTGGAAGAAATTCTTATGCTCTTCCCAAAGCCATTTGAACTGTTGTGCTTGTGAAGCTACAAACTGATATTCAGGGTACTTTTCCATCAACGTACATTGCGAGGTCCAAGAACGCACAATTTTCCTGTGCGTTTCGGCAAAGGGCCATAACCAGGCCGTGTCGATGTGACAATTGCCCATTGCGAAAACCTCGGTAGCCACGTTCGGGTCTCCCTTTTGGTACACGTCGGCACTATAGGCGAACTTGTCAAAATACTCCTTGTGCACCAGGTCTCTGCACTTCAGTACACTGGCCTCATCTTCAGGGTCAAACAGGCTCATGACTTCATTCCCGACATGTCTGGCTTTATGTTTTTGCCAAGAATCGTTAGGAAGCTCGCGAGCTGCATCAGAAAGCATCCAAAAGTCAATATAAAGAGCCCTTGCATCCCAGTTGGGCCACACCAGGTCGGCTTTGTTCAGATGGAAGAACTGGTTGTTATTGGGAGGACGTCCGGTACCAAACATACCATTATTTCCACATTCCACGTAAAAGAAATGGTGTTTTTGACCCTTTGGCAATAGATACTCGTTTCTTTCACCACCACCAGAGAACGCCGTCTTTGGGATCAGCGTTTCGGGATCAATAACAATGCCCTCGTTGCTGCAATCCCATTCGAACACCAATTGGTCGCCATGGTCAATCCATTCATCTGGGATATCCAAGGTAACCTTGAACCAAGTAGTTGACCAGCTCGGCCCAAAAGGTTGGCCCTTCCAGGCGTCGCGGAACTTTAGTTCTTTATTTTTGTCACGCTGAATGATCTCATCCCAGGGTGGTCGCTTATCGGGTGACACCGGGGAAGAACCTTTTTCGAAAGCCACCTGGTACCATTGCACCTTGATGTAATCTCGGTCGAGCGAGATACGGGCTTTGTCGTAGAACTTGGGAAGGTTTAACTGCTTATATTGACCACCATTATCGATAAACTGGCGCAAGCGACCTTCATAAATGCCCTTTACCGGAGTGATATTGGGGTCACTGCTTCTTTCAGGGTACCCCATAGTAGCAACACAGGAAGGTATTGTACAGACTTTATTGTCACAGTAATCAAAAGAAGCCAGCTCTGAAGTGACTTGGCGAGGCTATTGACCCTTTTTCCCCCTTAGTTAAGGTAAGATGCGAGATCGCGATTTTTGAGGGTCTCAACGCTGCAAGCAAAACTTTGACAGCGAGTGGCGATATTTGGGAAGGGACTTCGCGCTAACTCGAACCGTCACACCCGTCCTGGAGTGCGTTTCAACTCGGTGAGCCTACTTCCCTTTATATATTGGAGGCATCGCATCCCTCGCCCCTCCTCATAAAGCACATGCCCATCTAGTCACGCGACACATGCCTAGTTCGAACATCTTTGAAGCGCTTGTAACTTGGCTCAGGAAGTACTCCAAAAAGCCGATTATTTCATGTGCCAAGGGAGCTTGGTCTGTGGACTACATGTGCTATATTTGAGTTTTTTCTGGTTGCAACTTAGATAGATTCTGGATACCAACTGGGTACTAAATAAGTACTTTATAGATACCGTATGATACCATTCAGGATTTACTGTGACTACCTTACGATACAGGGTGGCTACCTCACAATACCTCACGATACCTCACATCTGTATAAAAATAGCTACTAAAGTTTTAGACCGATGTAGTGTTCACACCAAAATGGAGCTCTTAATATGCGGGCGTCAAACGCGTATAATATGGGTTTTCGTGACATGCTGAGACGCCGTTCTATGCTAGTGCAGAACCGCACTTTATAGGCCTCAGCTTGGATGACTGATTCATCCAATCACTGGGAGTCGCTTAGTTTTATAGACTGCCACACCTCTAGATGACAGCAATATTGGCAGTGTACTCAAAAACGGAGAAGTAATCTTTTAGAGCCAAGTAGTCCCTTACTTTCCCTTATACAATTGGGTTTACAGCTGGGACAGCATAAGAGGTACTATGTGAGTAGCTTCCAATAGTGGTCGGTGGAATGTGTGTTCGAAGCGTTCATTTCCACCCTCAAAAGCACAAACCGAACGTATAGGCAACGCCACAAGCGACAGCCCTGCAGCCAAGAAATTGACAATGCCTGTCCAGATTATCAGGTAAGACAAGGCAGAAGTACAATCATCAGGGCGTATTATTAGAGCCTCGCAGCGGGCCATTATACTTGTTTTTCTGTAACACCCGACGGACAAGTACTCGCAATCATTTCTACCAAGGTAAGCGGTTGGGGCAAGTGAATACGCAAGTTAAAACGCAAGTGTTAATAAGCATCTACCCAATCAGCAACACAGGCAGAAGTGTCAATGATACTAAAATATACCATTAACGTTTCTCGCTTTCCGTCAAGCGTGTCGTGTTACACGAAATACCACGACACGCATTCTCACACCGTGTTCAATCTTTTTCGATCTGCCTTAGGCCCAACTGAAGAAATCCGTAATTTCCTAAACTTCCACCAAATACTCTTAATATTGAAACAGCTCCGTGGATAGGTTTATCACAGGTCCTTGACGTGTCTTGTTGTATCAATTACGAACGCATATTTCATTGTACCATGAGTGGCCGTGTGCTGGATTTGTTCAAGCCGTTCGAGGCATATTTGCCAGATGTGATCTCGCCTGAAAGAAAAGTGCCTTACAATCAGAAGCTGATCTGGACAGGTGTTTCGCTGCTAATTTTCTTGGTGCTGGGCCAAATTCCGCTGTATGGGATTGTGTCGAGTGAAACCTCGGATCCATTGTACTGGCTTCGTGCCATGCTGGCCTCCAACAGAGGTACACTAATGGAACTAGGTGTGACACCAATCATTACCTCTTCTATGATCTTCCAGTTCTTGCAGGGAACTCAATTGCTCCAGGTCAACATGGAAAACAAGCATGACCGTGAACTGTTCCAAATTGCCCAAAAAGTATGTGCTATTTTGCTCACATTCGGCCAAGCTGTCGTTGTGGTGCTCTCGGGCAACTATGGGAGACCTTCGGACCTGGGAATTGCCATCTCCCTTCTTTTGATTTTCCAACTGATGTTCGCATCGTTCATTGTTCTTTTGCTGGACGAATTGCTCGCTAAAGGCTATGGCCTTGGATCTGGAATTTCACTGTTCACCGCCACCAACATTGCCGAGCAAATTTTTTGGAAAGCTTTCGCACCCACCACAGTCAACTCAGGCCGTGGAAATGAATTTGAAGGCGCGGTTGTTGCTTTGTTCCATCTGCTAGCTATCAGGAAAGACAAGAAAAGAGCCTTGGTCGAGGCCTTTTATAGAGAGAACTTGCCCAACATGTTCCAGGTCTTGTCCACTGTTGCTGTGTTCTTGTTTGTGCTCTATTTGCAAGGATTCCGCTACGAACTGCCCATCAGATCAACCAGAACTAGAGGTCAAGTCGGTGTTTACCCAATCAAGCTATTTTACACTTCCAACACACCTATCATGTTACAGAGTGCTCTGACCTCCAATGTGTTCTTGATCTCGCAGATCATGTACCAGCGGTTCCCATCAAACCCGGTTGTGCGCCTTGTCGGTGTATGGGGTGCGAGACCCGGATCCCCAATGGGCCAACAAGTTGCTTTGAGCGGGCTTTCTTACTATATCCAACCACCATTTTCTGTAACTGATGCCATCTTGGATCCAATCAAGACCGTCATTTACGTGGCCTTCGTGTTGGGTGCATGTGCCATGTTTTCCAAAACGTGGACCGAGATCTCTGGTACTTCGCCCCGTGATATAGCCAAACAATTCAAAGATCAGGGTCTTGTTATCAACGGTAAGAGAGAGTCTTCTGTCTACAAAGAACTGAAAAAAATTATCCCAACCGCTGCTGCTTTCGGTGGTGCAACCATCGGTGCATTGTCGGTTGGATCTGATCTACTGGGAACCTTGGGTTCTGGTACTTCCATTTTGATGGCCACCACTACCATCTACGGATACTACGAAACTGCTGCCAAAGAAGGTGGCTTTTCTAAGAACTTGGTGGCTGGCTTCTCCGAGTTGATGTAAATAAGTCTCGGGTATAGTAGCGTGTAAAGATTAAAAGTTTGTTTAGGGCCTGTAAAGAGCGACAGTGCTTCGCTAAGTGATGTTAATTCTTTTCTACCTGGAGTTACTGGGCAAAAAAAAGAACTCCTCATAGGGGGCTCGAACCCCTGACATTTCGGTTCCTTGCAAGCAGCGCTTAAAAGCCGAACGCTCTACCAACTGAGCTAACAAGGACGAGTTCTTCCCACACACTGTGGAGACCTAACACTATGAGGCTTTGGATACGAATTCCGCTTGTGAACAAGCCTCACAGTTCCAGCATAACTAATGAAGGTATTGAGTTATGATGGCTATTGGATATCGTCAGCATTCGGCATCGGCTTACTTTCTCCTATCTGTAGTCTCCTCTTTCGAGAACCACGCCCTGGAAGGATCGTAATAGTGACCCGTTCAAAACATTGTGTCAGAGCATGAGTAAGAGGACCGTCAACGAGTCCACATTAGCCTGACTGAAGGTGACAAGATGGCTCGAGTGAGGAAGAAGTTTTGAGAAGACGGCTACTGAGACACCACGGGCTAGACACAGACATATCAGGGTCGGTCTGAACAAATCATTCAAGGCCAAGTGAGGCCCTTCACAAGCCAACACCTAGACCGTTTGACTCCTCTGTGGTACTTGTCGGACACAGGACCTGAACTGTACTCGCCTACAGCTGCCCAGCCTCCGGCGGCTAATCCGTCTTGGCATTTTTTCTTTTTCTTTCCGCTTGTTTTTCTTTTGTTTAAAATTTTTCCTTTTTTTTTTTTTGTGTCATCGCGAATCACCCTCAACGACATGCCTCATCCACACGCCAATGAGGCAAGCGAGGCTCTCAGATTTCCACGGCGTTAGCCACAGACGCTGCTGTCCACTCTGTCCGACTGTTCTTGCGTAGGTGTCAAAAAGAATTTTCGACCACCGCTAGTCGCTAACCGCTGACCCAGAAAACTACCGATGGCGATGTGTTGACGGCAATAGTTTATCAGCGTCTGTGCAGTAAGTGTGAAACTTTTTTCAGCTTACTTACGGCTCTGGAAACTCCATCGGGGGTATATAAGAAGGTTGGTTTTGTCCGGGCTGGCGTCCCAGTGTTGTCCCATGCACATATTGTGAATGTTGTAATTGTAGTTTCCATTTCTGTGAGCAGGCTTTCAAATTCCGCCGGGGCTTTTTTTTGATTGCTATAAATCTGATCAGCTTAGATAACGATAAGGCCTCTTATCGCGACACATCTACCGATCCACACACGGAGACGGATTGAATAGGCCGAAATCTGGTTATTCGTCATTAGTAGTCCGAAGCTCAGACTGCGGTTGAGTGTGGCTACGCCCGCAAAGGTCTTGTCGAGAGATAGACCCTAATTTTCTGCGGAATATCACATCACTTGCTCATTATAGCACGCCAAGGAGGCGAGGAGAGGGTTCTTATCAACAACAGCCTGCATCGAGTTCAAAACACCAAGCTCCGCACACGTTCTGCATAAAAACCACACAGGTTATAATAATTAATTCTCTGAAGTGCGCTAGGTTTTGAGTGTTCCTTTATAATGTCATCGCATGCCAATAATCACAACATGGAATCGGCCAACGACGCAGCGTCAGCGTTCGAAATTCTGACCCACAGGTCACCCAACGGTCACGGCGACAACTTGCATAAAAGAACCACGGATGTGGAGGTTCTGGACAGCCAGCTCAACAGCAGCGAAGCCGAGGAAGTCGATCCTCCCAAGACCCTGTGGCAGAAGATTGCCAAGCGCGCCAAGTGGGAGCGTCACAACTACTACGACGAACCCGCGAAAAACTGGGGCGAAAAAGTCATCCGCTTCTTGGAAGTCCACCAGCACAAGCGTGCGTCTTCCAAGCGGTCCGAAAACATTGTGGAATCGTTCTTGTTCAATGACGACCTGGCGCCCGTAGAGGCTGGCAGACGGGTGTGGGATTGGAAGCAGTACGTGTTTTTTTGGATTTCGGGGTCTTTTAATGTCAACACCTGGCAGATCTCTGCGACCGGTATGCAGCTGGGGCTGAACTGGTGGCAGACCTGGATCTGTATTTGGATCGGGTATATCGCGGTGGCTCTATACGTGGTCATCAACTCTCGTATTGGTAATTTCTACCACATTGCGTTCCCCATATCGTCCAGAATCGCCTATGGTATCTATTTTTCGTTATGGATTGTTCTTAACAGAGTTGTCATGGGATGTGTGTGGTACAGCGTGCAAACCTACATTGGTTCGCAGACTGTCCAGCTGATGCTGAAGAGTATCTTCGGCACGGATCTCGAGACCCGCATTCCTAACACTATGAACACTCAAAACATCACCACGTTCGAGTTCATGTGTTTCATGCTATTCTGGGCCGCTCAGCTGCCTGCTCTATGGTTCCCGCCACAAACGTTGCGCTACCTGTTCACTCTAAAAAGTATCATCACCCCCTTTGCCGCTTTTGGTTTTTTGATCTGGACTTTGAAGAAAGCAGACGGACACCTCGCCCTGGGATCACTTACAGTCATCCATCCAAAGGGATCCGTCCTTGGCTGGAACTTCGTCATTAGTATAATGAGTGCTCTGGACAACTTTGCCACTTTAATTCTGAATGCTCCAGATTTCTCCCGTTTTGCAAGAACCAAACACTCCTCCATCTATTCTCAGCTGATTATTTTACCACTCATGTATGCCATTATCTCCATTATCGGGATTTTGGTAACGTCAGCGGCTTACACAATTTATGGAGTGAATTACTGGTCTCCTCTTGACGTTCTTGGTAGATTTCTGGATCATCAAACAGCAGGAAATCGTGGTGGTGTATTCATGATTGCACTCTGTTTCGGTATTGCTCAACTGGGTACCAACATAGCTTCCAACTCCATCTCCGTTGGCACAGACATGACAGCGATTTTCCCTAAATTCATCAACATCAGAAGAGGTGGGTACATTTGTGCTGCTATATCACTGGCCATTTGCCCCTGGAACCTCATGGCTTCTTCTTCGAAATTTACCACTGCTCTTTCCGCGTATGCTGTATTTTTGTCGTCAATTTCCGGTGTGGTGTGCGCAGACTATTACGTCGTCAGAAAAGGACTAATCAAACTCCAGCATTGTTACACGAATAGACCAAACAGTCTGTATATGTACGGCACGCGTTTTGGTACCAATTGGAGGGCAGTGCTAGCCTATGTTTTAGGTATTGTCCCTAATTTTCCAGGATTCCTGGGTTCAGTGGGTGTCAGCATTCCAGAGAATGCGATGCGAGTTTATTACTTAAACTACTTTGTCGGGTTTCTGATATCGTTCCTACTGTACAGCACTTTCTGCTACTTCAGCCCTGTTCCCGGGATGCCCGAGGGCGTCAGTTACTTTGACTTTTCCCAATGGTTTGAGAAATGGACGGAGGTGGAGAATTTCGTGGAGCAAAGAAAGCGTTTTGAGGTCGACGGCGTCGATGTGGACGATGAAGACTTCACAGATGAACTGTCATCTACCATGGAGGAGAACTACAAGACCACTGAGAAAGTTTAGGTGGCAGAGAAGGTAGGTGTGTACATATTGATATTTATATGAATTTTGAACTTAAATTGCCTAGCGACGACACAGTGCAGCCATGTGGAGAGGCTGCCAACTATGCCGGGGATGCCCAGTGGAGTTCGACTCACGGAGACAGAAGAGTATAAAGTGATATAAAGGTCAATGCACCCGCAGGCCACAGGTGCAACCCAGGCTAGATTGGCCTGAAGCCTTCGAAAATGGGACCTGCTAAATTTAAGAAGACGATTCAGATACCCACTTATGGAGAAGATCGTTCGGAGTGTATGGTGTGAAGACCTGAGACTGGTGAACCAAACAAGTCTTCAAGGCCGCTGTACAGGCTGCCCCACCGGACATCCAGATGTGTGCGCGCAGCTTGATAGTTTTTCCGAGCGGATTTCGCCAAATATATTCCAAGACCACCGCCGTGTTACATACAGCAGAAACAGAAGCACCCTGACACACGGGGCCCTACTTTGAGCTTCGCACGAAGCACTCGAATCCACAGGACCAAACAACGTCCTGATCTGAGCCGCCTCTTACGTATATAATGACAACACTTTTCATCCAGAGCATTTCGCCTGTGCGTAATGCTTTAGATTGAGGACCCAGGCCGATTTCCAGGTTGCTGATCGTACTACTGTCAACGCGCAAGCCACTCTAAACGTGTTTTGACCGCGAACCTTGTTTGCTTGTGCCTATCGCTCCGACCGTACGCCTCCAGTCGCGAGGCGTCGAAAAAGGCAGGCCTCTTTCCGCATTCGGTTTGTCCCCAATTGGTACAAGGCCAGCGTCGCGAGGTCAAAATGCCAGCTCTTCGCCTCGCTCTCACCCGAGCCCACAGGCATTGCAAAAATTTTCGCCTTGTAGCTTAAAATTTTTCGTTCACCGGGCATGTTGTCGACACCCTGTCAAGTTCATGGGATCTTCATTGGATAAGGACGCGCACGCGGCACGCCTGTGTATCATACAGTCGGACAGCTCATTACCACTTCCACTGCTCCTTTTGAGGTCACTTTAACGTGGGTGCCATGCATGTCGCGACGCCAGTATGAACAACGAGCGCAGCGAAATCGCACCAGTCAACGCCAAAGGAGTACGCCAAAATTCGCCTAAAATTTTTGGCGTTCCACATAGTTGATCCTAGAGATATACACAGCGTTCTGAGATCTTTGGCTCGTCGCTGATGGTATTAACCTTTTCAATCTTGGGCGTACGTAGTTATGTCGAAAATTTCAAGTTTATCATGTGGGCATTCCTTGTTATAGATATAAATTTATATATATACTTGGCATGCTGGTATTTTTGACCCATCATAACGCTTACAACTTGGTTACACTTTTTGTCAAAGCGAGAATACCCACAACAACATCGCTCTGCGAACTCTTTGAGCCATCTCTAACTCTCACACTCGCTCGTTTCTATTGCTAACATAATGAAAGGTCTAATTCTAGTCGGTGGTTACGGTACCAGATTGAGACCATTGACTTTGACAGTGCCTAAGCCATTGGTGGAATTCGGTAACAGACCAATGATTCTGCACCAAATCGAAGCCTTGGCCGCTGCCGGCGTCACTGACATTGTTTTGGCGGTCAACTACAGACCAGAAGTGATGGTTGAAACCCTACAGAAGTACGAGAAGGAATACGGTGTGAACATCACGTTCTCGGTGGAAACTGAGCCTTTGGGCACGGCTGGTCCGTTGAAACTTGCCGAAAAGGTGTTGAAGAAGGACAAGTCGCCTTTCTTTGTGTTGAACTCGGACGTGATCTGCGACTACCCATTCCAGGAGCTTGCCGACTTCCACAATGCTCACGGGGGCAAGGGTACAATTGTGGCCACCAAGGTCGACGAGCCTTCCAAGTACGGTGTCATTGTGCATGACATCGCCACCCCAAACCTGATCGACCGTTTCGTCGAGAAGCCAGTCGAGTTTGTGGGTAACAGAATTAATGCTGGTTTGTACATTCTAAACCCCGAGGTTATCGACCTCATTGACTTGAAACCAACCTCGATTGAAAAGGAGACTTTCCCAATCTTGGTTGAACAAAAGTCTCTCTACTCCTTCGACCTTGAGGGCTACTGGATGGACGTTGGTCAGCCAAAGGACTTCTTGTCTGGTTCCGTGTTGTACCTAAACTCTTTGTCCAAGAGATCCCCACAATCCATGGCCAAGGGCGAAAACATCGTCGGCAACGTCATTGTTGACCCATCCGCCAAGATCGCCTCGACTGCCAAGATCGGTCCTGATGTCGTTATCGGTCCTAACGTTACCATCGGAGACGGTGTCAGAATTACCAGATCTGTTGTGTTGTCCAACTCTCATATCAAGGACCACGCTTTGGTCAAATCCACCATCGTTGGCTGGAACTCCACCGTTGGTAAGTGGGCCAGATTGGAAGGTTGTACCGTCTTGGGTGATGATGTTGAAGTCAAGGACGAAGTCTATGTCAACGGTGGTAAGGTCTTGCCTCACAAGTCTATCTCGGCTAATGTTCCAAAGGAAGCTATTATCATGTGAAGTTGCCTGTTGAGTCCTTGTTGTTTTGGTTTCTCTTTAACACCCTAGTTTCACATCGAATGAAAAGCGCTGGTTTGTCTAAAGTATAATGTTTGTTTAAGGTTGATAATGAATCTTTTAAATCATACCCCGTGTAAATGCTTACTATGCCTCTATTACTTTATATGCTTTCTACTGGATTTTGCTGAGACTGTGAAGTATGACGTCTAAACAGCCGTCCACTTCGCCAATATCAATCTCCGTCCCATGAGATATCATTTTCCGATATTTGTAGATCTTGGAGTTGTCCCCAATCAATGAGAGAATTTCCGATAGTTTTTGCCTGCGCTGCAATTGTAATTGAGACAGTTGAAGTGCCAGCTTCATCTGCTCAACTCTATTACTTTTAGATTCCTCCCCATTAGCAAATTCGGAGATCTTAGCCTCCCGTTCATGAACAAACTTGGCCAATTGCTCTGCTTGTCCCCTTTCTAACTGTCTGTACACTTGACTGCGACATTGTGCAAACTGGGCTTGCATTGTTTTAACCTCTGCTGATCGTATTGCAAGAAGCTGTTCAATGTCGCATTGAGGGGCGTCACTCTCTTCTTCTAGAGCTTCCGTAGTTTTCATGTCTACCGAAGAGATAGTCTTAGTAAGAGTCTTTAATGTTTTCTCCATGCTGGCCAAATCTGTTTCTCTGGTTTGATGCAATCTGTTGTACAAGTCTGACATTTCCTTCATTATGTTCACCACCTCAGGTATGCCTCGACTCAAACGGTTAGCTGCTTGAGATGGGTACATTAAATATTCCGATGGTGACGAAGGAGAATGCTGGGACTTGACCTTTCCATTAGTTACAGACGACGCTTGAGAAGCCTGTATGCTCTGATTGATAAGTTCCATCGCGGTATAACCATTTCCATTCTTCACTGTAGCAAGACCACCATGCTGGATCAAACGTTCAAAAAATTCCTTGTCGCCATTCTGAGCTGCAATATGAACGGCAGTATCACCATTCTGATCTTGAGCATTGATTAAATTTTCGATGCGATACTGAGGAGAGAAATCTTTTAGTTTCGATAATACAATATCCATGTAAAAGACTGCAGACGGTGTTGAGGATTTCCGTTTTACTATATGATGGATCACACTTTGTAGTTTGGAATCCACATCAAAAATAGTGTCGTGCAAAATTTGAAATATGCGAGGATAGGTGCGTCTGGTGAATGAGTTATGAAAAATGGAACATCTTATCAGTGGATTCTCACCCCGTAAATTGACAGCACGCGTACTTGCTCCAGCATTGTATAAAGCCTCCACTATTGTCAAATTACCCATTGCACAAGCCCAGTGAAATGCGGTATGATGTTCGTGATCTATCCATGCATCAATGTAAGGCGCACTATTTTGAGGTGGAAATAACAGCTCAGATGGAACGTTTTCTTCAGCGTGCATATCATTTGAAACAAAGAAGTCCACAAGCTTTGAAAGGTAGTCATTTACCTTAACATTAATATCAGTACTTTGAGAGAAGGAATGATTATTGAAGCGGGGTATCATAGCTGATATGGGGGATGTCGCACTTCCTAACTCATCATGACCAGCCGATCCAGCAACAGCACGCTGATCAAACGTGTGATCCTCAGAAAATCCGCTCGGTGACGTAGGGATGGAAGACGAAGTGGAACGAGCACGCTCGACATTTGTGACGGCCGCCGGTTCGATGTCGCTCGAGAGACCATCTTCAATGTCAAGTTCCTTAAATTGCTGTGGAGTCGTACCAGATTCTCGTATTATAGCTGGATCTAAACTTATAGTTCTTTGTAGAGGGCTTTGTAACGACGGCAGTTTCTTAGACGAAATGTTGGATACTGGTATTGCCGGGCGAGGAAAAACCATATCGCTCTGAGATCTCTCTAAATTGTTAGATGCACCATTTTTATACTTGTTAGAAGGAGGGCGACCCCTCCTTTTCGGGACCGTGGGTGTAGTAGAATCGCCTGAAGACTCGACAGTCCTTGATCTGGTGGCATGGCCAGGGTTGGTCGAGGAAGCCTTCGTAGCCTTTTTTCTGGTGGAGTCTACACGAGACGCATGGTGGTGCTTTGGAGCTCTTGGTGGTGATGCGGAGCCTTCCACCTGAGTAAAATCGAACAATGGATTTAGCTCTTCGAGAACGTCAAACTTCTTGGCTAGGTTCCGAGCTATGACCAGAGGCACCCAGGTACCTTGGTATTTCCCAAAACCACCCTGCACTTTTTCATGTGTGTCTTTTATGACCTCCTTCTCCAAAATCCGAGTCCGTCTAGCCTTAGGGAATTTCGCCGCTTTCAAAATGTGAGTAGCGTTGACCCAGTCATCCATCTTGCGCTTCATGATTGAGCCCGTGGGATGTATATATTCATATACATCCACACCGGAGTACTTCGCAGAGTAGATTTGGTTAGCTGACATGAATATAAGCTCTGTTTTCGGACCTTGGGTTTAGTACCTTCAAAACAGTGTCAGACTTGGTGTGGTACCGCGCCAGTTTAACGTTCGGTCCTCTTGCAACCAAGCCAGCAATTAAATGTCCACAGCAAGTATTGGTACTTGCCAATAGAAGACACCGAAGTTTCACTAACCAATTGTCGTTGTTTTGCACACTAACGTTTTGTACCTGATGGATGTCTTCAAACCAGATGATGAGACAGACTTCATCGTTCACTTGAGAATATCATTATAGACGTTAGTATTTAAAGAGATCTTACGAACAGACAGAGATGACCATCAAACTCTGAACGCTAGTTGTTTACCCAGTATTTACTATTAGCTTTATCTTTTAATGACCAGCTCTCCACATGGTTAACACACAACAGGTAACTATCTGGAACCTTGGTTTGCAGAATGTAGCTCCCCCCATTCCAAGGTGAAGAGCATAATAGGTGATGTGAAATCATGGCACAGCATAACAGGAAGTTGTGCTGTTTACCAGTTTCATATAGTTAGTTGTCTTTTTGTTTATTTAGTCTTCTACCCCAGCCCTAATTTATTCAATGCAAATCAGATCGGGACTTCAGCAAATACTCGCGCTGACTTCCCAACGTGCCGTCTGTGACTTAAAAACCTATTGAGCTCCCTCTATATATACACCATAATTACCGCTCACTGCACCTGCCGTGAGCTCCGTTATTCCTACAAAATACTCCCTTTAAAAAACCCAATCGAACTGCCCATGGTCCATATAAATGACTACTCCAACAATGCATTTTTGAACATCCGAATGTCTTCACCAGATAACTTCACGATGTTCAAGAAAAAACGATCAAACGACCCGTAAACGGTACGGAACGAATCCAAAAATAACCGCATCGCTTCGTATTTGGAAGAAACCAAACTCCGGCACATAGAATCTGGAGTGGCGTGATACTCTTCTGCAAGTTTATCCGAATCTAACAGTTCGAAATAAGCATCACCACGATCTTCCAAAGCCTTGAGTAACTTCCTTTCGGTTTTGAGGCCAATTGTCGTTAACTCGTAGTCGCGCGCAATTGTGTCATCGTCCACCCCCAATAACCCATAAATAAGCATCGCAAGTATTCCTGTCCGGTCCTTACCAGCCGTACAATGAAAGACAGCTGATTCGGCTTCGTTACAGCGCCCTTCAATGATGTAACGACAAAACTGCGCTATGGGTGCTATGCTATTCTTAAGCATAACTTGATATGCCTGAGAAAATAAATATGGTGACAAAAACATACCACGGTACACACCCTTTAGATCCTGAGGGGCTGCGCTTTGCTGATGGTTAAAAGGCAGGTTGTAAACTGGCACCCCTGTGATCAATTTGTTCTCCTGGACTTCCTTGGGCGATCTTAGATCAAACACTCGAGAGACCCTCAAGACTTCAGTCAAATAATGAAGACCTTCCTCTGTTATATCTCCGGGATTGGCACATCTAAATAGAACATTGGGTTTCACACGACGGCCGTCGACGGTGCTGTACCCACCAATGTCCCGGAAGTTGGACACCTGCGAAATTTCATAAGGTAGGCTCCAACGTGCAAAGGTTTGTGCCGGGTTCCAAGAGGATTGGATAGTTTTGGTGAACTTGAAGAACCTTTGCAGCTGTTGCTCCGGCTCCAGAAAAGATGCAATACGATCGACAACGGTAACATTGTAGTTTACCTTGCCTTTGCGAAGAGGCAAACCGCCAGCATTGGCGTCGCCTTCGAGTCCGTAGAAATTATGGTCTGCGTACATAACTAGATCCGCGGTATGTCTACCTTCGAACAAGTTTGAATACTGAGCCAGGGCGCTGAGAGGAATGACGGCGTCATTTGACCCGTAAATCGACATTACGGACGATCTGGGGTTAATTTCAGCGAATTTTAGCGTATCTACCGTGGCTGCGCTCATAGTTTCAGATTTGGGAATCCAAACCTCTTGCATCTTACCGTAACGTAAGATCTGACAGTTGAAACCGCCATCACGGTCCCAGTTAGGATTTCTGCGCAACGACTTTTCGAACAAGCCATGCGACACGTATCTACCACAAGCGTTGACCAAATTGGGCACAAAGCGTCCAAGAGCGAACTGGAACATCGACATCACGCCTCGAGAATGAGCCACGATAGTGTCAAGTACCAAATTGTGGCCAATTAGCTGCTTGCACTGCTCGGTAGCACCCCATTGATATACTGTCTCGATATCTTCGCAGTCCTGGGCGATAGTGCGACCGACTTTGGCGTCCCTGTTGGGCTCCGAGTCCCCCATGCTGCGAAAATCCATCCGCAACACATAGTATCCCATATCTGCTAGTTTTTTGGCGAGCAAAGGCATGTACACTGTGTTTTTATGCGCAGAATGGCCGTGGCACAGCAGCACCAACTTGTGGCTTGGAAACCCGTACTCCGCTTCATGCGCAACCTTTTCACTCAACGTTTGGTATTTTAATGAAGTTGGCACTGTCAGTATACCAGCAACACCTGTGGATCCATGGAACTCACTATGCTTTAAATACAGAAACCGTTCTTGCCAGGAATCGCTTTCTTGCTGTTTTATGATTGTAGTCTCTACAATATCTTGCTGAACCATCTTGACAGAAGACTGACTGATTGTCGAGGTTGCTGAATGGCCTGTGAATAGCGAACTACAGTGAAACGAATGTGCAAGTTTAAGTTAGGAGGAGGACCTCTCTAACATCCTATATATATAAATGAGAAGGGCATTTTTTTGTGCGATGAGAGTCATCGCTTATGTCCTCAGTCACTCATTAGCATCATAAAAAGAAATCTGAGGCATTTTTTGGCCATACGGCAGAGAGCTCGTGGAACGTGATATTCTGCACCTCATACACACAGTTCTTGAGTAACCCATTTTTTGGCATAGTAAAGATCAACAAAAACTGATCGCCTTCAATTAAGAGGTCTTTCATGGGATCCCGGTAACCATTCCTCACTGTCCCCGTTTGTGGACTGGCTACTTTCCCAACAAGTGTTTAATTCGTATACCCCCGCAATGAGGTACGTCATAGTATACGGAGTAATGCAGCTAACCCAGCGGCAGAATCATAACTTTATGGCCCGCGTTCGACACCTGACAGAGAGCATTTGGAATGATATACACTCTCAGGAAAGCAAGGATTTTATCACTATGTACTAAGACTAAGATGTGGCGTAACAGGCATTGTGCATCAAAGACTCAGGCGTTCGAATTGAGATAGTAACAGCATAACTGTGATTTTGGTGGGCTCGCGTTTCGTAATACAGCATTTTTTTCCCCTGTCATGAGTGTTGTTAGAATGCACTTCAATTACACGAAGACGAACGAATCCAACAACAGTGAGGGCTTGAATCGTCTGCAATTATTATACCTGGGCGTCGCTCGATAGGTGTCTCAATATCATAATCCCAAATCAATGTCTATGGAAGTGCCCAAAGGGCGTGTTCAGACGCTTTCCCGGAGTGAAGAAGTCCATCTCAAGCAATTGTGGGCCCATCTTTTCCAACATTGGGGCATCCATGTAAATAGTGAACAGGTTCTTGCCGCTCAAAAGACGGGCCCAAAAACCGCAGATGCATCGGTAGCTAATGGGACATCGCCATCCTCGTCATCACACGCAAAAAATGGCGATGCCAAGCCGTCTAAAAAGTCAGGCAAGCTGTTCAGCAAGTTCCGTAAAGCAACTAGCAGCAGCGGATCTAGCGAAAGCAAGGACTCCCGAGAACGGCCCAGAGCAACGTCAGCTGCTTCGAGAAGGTCGGCTGAAGACATCGAACAAAGATATGTGCCAAGCATGACCCATCAGGCCTTCAACGATCTTTCGGCCAAAGAGGTCAGCGAGAATTTTTGGGACATGATCAGAACTGACTATCCCGATAATCTCATTTTGAGATTTCTGAGAGCTCGTAAGTGGGATACTGACAAGGCCCTGGGAATGCTGGCCCACACACTTCACTGGAGGTTGAAAGAAGCTCGCCCCGATGCAATCATCCGGGGCGGTGAGCGTGCTGCCTACGAAGACAATGAGACTGGATACATCAAGAACATTGAGCTTTGTAAGGCTTCGCTACATGGTTTCGATTTGAAGGGCCGCCCCGTCGTCTTGGTTCGCCCTAAGTTGCACCACGCCAGCGACCAAACGGAGGATGAAATGAAAAAGTACTGTCTTCTAATCATCGAACAGGCAAGGATGTTTTTAAAAGAGCCTGTAGACTGTGCAACGATTCTTTTCGATTTGACTGGGTTCTCAATGTCGAACATGGATTATTCACCGGTCCAATATCTTATCAGCTGTTTCGAGGCTCAGTACCCTGAGTGCTTGGGCCACCTATTCATCCACAAAGCTCCTTGGATTTTCCCTCCAATTTGGAATATCATTAAAAACTGGTTGGATCCAGTGGTAGCCTCCAAGATCGTTTTCACCAAAAACACTGAAGATTTGGCAAAATATTTGCCCATGAAGTACATCCCCAAATACTTGGGTGGAGATGATGACTATGATTATGATTCGTTCAACAAACCTACGGAATCTAGCGACACAAAATTAAAGGATATAGAAACTCGCGACGCCATATTAAAGGACCGTAAGGATATCATTCAATCCTTCATTGAAGCCACCAAAAACTGGATCGAAAGCTCTGACGAAACTACCTCCAAAAAATGGTTGGATGCCAAAATTTCCATCAGCAAAGAGTTGACGGAAAACTACAGAAAACTTGATCCGTATGTTAGGTCCAGATCTACATATGATCTGAACGGAACTTTGAAGGTTTGAATTAGAAATATAACAGATACATTTAACACGTTTAACACATTTAAATCGCCATACATCAAGCCTATGTATACGCTACATCAACGGGTTTGGTGACTTGAGTCCTATAAATATCAAATATGTAATTAATTTCGTGGCACACCTGAACTCAAAACATTTTGGTTGATGTACATCTATCGCAAAACTGCAACACTCATGCAAATTGATGAATGGGAGTAGTTGACAACTGTCTCCATCTGCTGATACACGCTCACGAATTGGATACTACTCAAATACATGAGATACTAACCAAAATTCATGCCAGTGTGAATCGCGAGGGAGTATCCGCGGAACTTCTCGATCAATTCATAGTTTTTCTGTGCGAAACTTCGCGCATTTCAGTTTCAACGAAAATCTTTCTAGTTAGGGAAGCTTTACTTCCCAATGGCAAGATTCCTGACAGTACTGTTCACACTGTCATCAAGTATCTTGGAGTGACGAACTTTTCAACTTCTCAAAAGCAAGAGACTCCACGATCGCTGCAGACAGAGCTCTGCAAATGGCTTGTTCATGTGTATCTTTACATGGAGGATGTTTCTGTTTTTGAAAGGACATACTCTGTATGGTTTCACTTGTGGAGCCTGGACTACCTTCAAATATGGATCACGTATTTACTATTTTGGTCGACGAGCAGGTACCTGGCGAAGCCCTGGCGCATGAAAGTACATATTTCTGTCGGAAATAATCCAGGCTACTCAAACTCCAGGGCTACAGCAACTTTGTTGCTCCACAAGTACTACAATATTCACAGGCATTCCTCTATTGCCCGCGCCATTACAAATTTAAAATGCAATGCACGGCGATTAAAAACTATCCAGCAATCTTTTTGGGATCATGTTTTTCTGATCAAGTGGTGTTTCGTTCTGGAACTCTCGAATAGCATCTCAAGTGCCTCTTTCCACGTCCTGGTAAATGAACTAGAAACTAAACTAAGATGCCAACCTTCTAAAGAGTGGGACGACAAACCGATTCCTCTCAAAAGCATCGAAACTCTTGAAAATCTTTCTCAGCACTTTGGTAAGATATCATTTCCTAACGATATAGACGCAATTTTGACCAAAAGAGATCGAAACTCTTTAGTGTTCCTGGCGACTGCTGACTCAACTAATGACTTGTGGGACCGTGTTTTACAATGGTTCCAATTGAAGCAGAACTATCAGCCCAGTAAGGGCCGTTTGCATGAGTCCGATGTACGATACAGACATGGAATGATGGCTGCGTGGATACTTAATCCCAAATGCTTATCTAGTCCTATAATTATTCAATCTGAAGAGAGGGGCCCATCTAATATTCTAATGCTGCTTGGGCTTTTATGCAAATTTGAAATGGTCGAGAACATAGCAAATTCAATGACTCACATGCAGTGCAGAGGCATTTTGGCAATGATTTGCACTTTTTCGAAAGGGCTGGATGTCGAGCGCGCAGCAATGTATTTCTCGGCCATCAAAGATTTTTTGGAACAAGAGGCTTTCTGTGATCTTCATGATGGAAACTTAGCGGTTACCTTCAGACTTTTCGTGAAAGTACTACGCGAGAGAATTGCGACCACCAATTCTACAGTTTTGAGTGACTCATGGTTGTTCTCTCAAAAATTTCTAACCAAATTGATAATCTCAAATGATCCCATTTTACTTGATTCTGTTTCAGAGTATTTGATTCTTTCTAGAGAGGGCGTTGTGAATTCTTCACGAGCCGAAGTATCCGAAATGCATAATACAATTATCTTGGATTTAACCAACTATCTTTGGAGAAATAAGTTAAGCAAAGTAGGATCAATGCTTATGCTTCCAACTTGTTTCATTCGTATCCTTGCGGACATAGTTTTCCAAGTCAATTCTCATGTGAGTGAAAAACGCTGTTTTAACTTGCTTAATATCCCCGCCTTATCATTCGTTGGTAAAAAAGCTGTTGAACGCTTAGAAGATGCTCTTGGGAGTGAGGCCCGCTTCCATGGCGCAATTTCTGAGAAGGGCTTTCTGAGTTTCAAACTGAAGGTAGGAACTGACAAGTGGCTGGATACAATTACTAATTTCTATGAATTGAAGCTGGCAGTGCTTGCCAAAATTAGATACGAAGATGCTTATGGAAATATCTCGTTATTTTTGTACACTTATCTGAGAAGTCTCACAAATAGTGAGGACATCTAATAAAGCAAGTGTATAACGCACTCTAAAGACAGACAAATGAAAATCATTCAGTATGTTTGCATCTCCAACTAGTTGTGGAACCTTATGTATCATTGAAAACAATCTAATTGAATGTTTGAGTCGAAAGGGACGCCAAGGGATGCATCTTGGCAAAAAATGCCTTTTAAATTGGACACATATACATGTGCTGTTTATTTTACGACAAAACTTACGACCTTACCTTTCATAATTGTGTTCTTCACCTCCCTTCCAGCAAGATATTTTCGACCCTCGGGCAAGTCGAGTAGTGTTTTTATAGCGGACTCGCGATCTTCAATGAAGGTCTTTTCCGCCAAGTGAGTGAACCGCATTTTACCGTTTATGACAATTTGATACTTGACAAGGCTAGATTCACGAACACCTTGTAAAGTTGGCCATTCATATGGCGTCCATTTCCACTTTAAATTACTCCGAATCTTTTCACTAGCTTCCTCGGCAACAGACGGTACTACAGGATATATTGTAGTTATGAGTGTTTTTAGAGATTGCATGATCAAATCTAGGTTGACGTTGTTCGACTTTAAACCTAATTCAATTACTTTTGTAAGCTTCATGTAATCGGAAATAACTGTATTGAGTGACAGAGTGTCTTTAAAGGATGACGTAATGCCCTCTAAAAGCTGCTGTACTTCATTGTGAAACTTAAGATCGTGTTTGTTCAGATGAGGATAAGCAGAATTATCCTCTGTGAATCCATATGGCATTGTAGTGACAGTTTGCGTGAGGTTAAGTACTCTAGCCAGCCAGCGCTCAATCCCAACTATCTTGCTTTCATCCCAACTCAAGACATCAGCGATGGGTGCCTGGAAAAGGATATGCGCCCTCGTTGCATCAGCGCCATGCAGTTTTATGCATTCATCTGGATCTGCACCGTTATATTTGGACTTTGACATCTTTTCATAGGTTACGAGGGGTTTTTGCCCTGTAGCCTTGATGAAAACATCGGATCCTTCGGCTTTTTCTATCTCATCCGATTTAAGGAACCTGCCCGTCAAAGGGTCAATATATGTTTTTCCGTGCACCATACCCTGGGTAACAAGCCTCTTAAAAGGTTCACCCTTGCCCTGAGTATGATCCCATTTTCCAATAGAGGCTAGAAATTTCGATATAAACCTTGAATAAAGCAGATGCAAAATTGCGTGCTCGATACCGCCAATGTAAAGATCTACCGGTAAGTTTTTATTGGCAACTTCCGAGCTGAATGGTTCGCTAGAATTTTTGGGATCGGTATAACGGAAGAAATACCACGAACTGTCCATAAATGTGTCCATGGTATCAGTTTCTCTCTTGGCAGCATTCCCACATGAAGGACATGTAGTATGTACAAACGTGCTCATGTCCTTTAAGGGATTCCCTTTGGTGGCCAAACGGTCAACTTTGGGCAAGAGAACTGGCAGATCCTCTTTTGGAACGGCGACTGGGCCACATGAGTCACAGTGAATGATCGGAATAGGTGCCCCCCAGTATCTTTGTCGACTAATCAACCAATCTCTTAATTTGTAAGTAACAACCGGCCTGCCACGCCCAATCTCCTCGAGTTTTTTTGATATCCGTGTAGCAGCCGCTTCAACCTCCATACCTGCAAATTCCGCAGCGCCGAGTCCCAAAAAGCCACGTTTGTCCGTATATGGGAGCACCAAATATTCAGACTTCTCATTTTTGTCAGGAAATATTGTTGCCTTCGGGCTTATCTGTGGCATGTTTTGCTTCCAGAAAGCATAATCCCTCTCATCGTGAGCTGGGCAGCCCATTACTGCACCGTGGCCGTAACCGCTTAAAACATATGGTGCTACAAATATTGGTAAGTCGAACTCACTAACAAAAGGATTCTGTGCGGATAAACCTTTCAGAAGAAAACCTCGTTTTGAATCATTCAGCAGAGTCTTGGACTCTTCAATGAATGCCTTTAACTCGGGGTCTGCCTTTAAAAACTCTGAAATCAACGGGTGGTCGAGGGCTAGTGCGATGTACTGAACGCTGAAGAGCGTCTCGACTCGAGTTGTGAAAACCTTCAATTGTTCTGATCCTTTCACCGATAGCTTGAAGCCAATTTCGGTGCCATGTGATTCTCCGATCCAATTCTTCTGCATGGTTTTAACATTCTGGGGCCAGTCCTTCAGCAGATCCAGGTCCTTTTCCAAGTCATGAGCAAACTTAGTAATTCCCAGAAACCATTGAGTTAAGTTGCGCTTCTCTACCACAGCACCCGACCTCCATGACCTGCCTTGGGCATCAACTTGCTCATTAGCAAGTACTGTCTGGTCTACTGGATCCCAATTAATTTCTGCATTCTTTTGATACGCCATTCCATGTTTAAAAAGCTCAAGAAATATCTCTTGCGTGAATTTGTAATAATCGGGACTGCAGGTTGTTACCTCACGGTCCCAATCAAAATTTGCTAGCATTGTCCCGAGCTGTTCTTTCATTTTGGCGATATTTTGGGCAGTCCAGACAGCTGGGTCTATCTGTCGTTCAATAGCAGCGTTTTCAGCAGGAAGTCCGAAAGCATCCCATCCCATAGGGTGTACCACGTAATAGCCATTCAGTCGATAAAAACGATTTAGCGCATCCGTAATTGTATAGACTCGCAAGTGTCCTATATGCAATGATCCTGATGGATATGGAAACTGAGACAGGACATACATCTTCTTGTCCTTGGCCGGCATGCTGGAATGTGGAACACCTTGCAAAACTTTGGACTTCCATTTGTTACCGATATCGATCAAGCTAACCTCTTGGTGTGACATTTTGCTGTAAGATCTTCGTAGACATGACGGGAGTAATCTTTCAAGACCCATTGACCCTGGATTGAGCTCGTCACCGCCTTGAAGGTTGGCTGTAACTGGGCCTTATGTTAACAGTCGGTTGAAATGAGATCACGACATTAGTATTTTTTTTCGCTCTTTAATTAATATGATCAGTAAACCATTGTGCAGAAGCTGTGGACACCAATTGGTTTGTCACTACATGTTATGATCTTTGATGCATTCTGTAACGCGTGGAAATATTTGTCCATGAGTCCTCGTTCTATTGTGTAGCATCGATATTCTTGATGGAGAAGTCTGAAATGAGCTTTATCGTAGTACATTATTCCTCCAATGACAGCCAAACTTGTGTTCATCTCGTTCTCCTCACATATCATGAGCGGTCTTAAAACCACCAAACAGTAGTGATCTAGTGTTCTTTAAATACCGCTGATGGTGATCATCAACCTAGTGTCGTTATGGTACTAAGTGATAGAAGCAACGTCAGTATAACTAGAATTTACAAGTTGAGTAATCAAGCAGTGGGTTCTTGAGAAACATGAGATTCCAAGGCCATGCATCTCAATTACCTAGCAGCCCAGCAATACGTATATTGGATGCAAGGTTTTCCCGGTCTAACTGTAGTCAGATTTATTGCCCAAAAATTCACGGGGAGACCGCCAGATGTCGCTGCATAAGCATCAGCTATGATATCAGACATTCGAAGTATTGTTCACGATGTCTTGAACAAGCTGAAAGGTGTTTCAGTAAATTAACATAAAAGCAGGAATTGACCTTTGAATTCGATTATCTCTGTTTCCTGCCATTTCCATATGCAATCATGCAGTGACTATTCTTCAGAAAATCTTTGAGCGTGGGCAAGTCCAAATGCGCAAGAGCATTGCTCCTGTATCTAATTTCACAAAAAACTCACAGGAGAAAATTAGCTATCTTTGTGAAGAGTCGATGAAGTAATTTCTTTGACTTGGTATTAACCAACATTGTGGAACAGCTACCTTTGGACAACCATTGCCATACTATATCCAATCACCTCGCTCCCTGGTGCCCGGTGTATTTTGAGCGGTAGCGAGAAGAACATTTCATTGCAGTCCCGATAGCCTTACATGTTGGAGCGAGTCAGCGTCGGCAGTAGTTACGTCCGTTCGTCGTTCGTTCAAATTGTTGATAGACATCGTGTATAATACTCTGAGTACTTGAAAATACATCCTGTGTTTGCAAAGCGACTTATGGTTATTTCTCTGTGATAATTTGGGCTATATTCCAAGTCCATATTTGGGACATAGAGATGGTATATATACAAAATTCTGACGGGAAGAATACGGTTGAATTAGGCTCGATGATCCAACAATTGAATCCAGCAGATAAAGTTTTTGGGTTGTTGGATGGTTGAAATGGCTGGCCAAGGCCATTCTGTGCAATCGCTGTTCTTCTGAATCCCATTGGTTCCAAATTCTTGTTATACTGGCGTCGCCAATATCACTTCGTACTATACTGGCACTCGGTAGATGGGTGCCATTATGCAACACGATGCTATCCAAACAGTACTAGAGCACTACCACTCGGTAGCTCTGATATTATAACTCAAGCAAGATCACTCTCTTGTTGTGAGATCGATGGGCGCCATTTGCTAAAGTCACTTAAATCGATACTAAGGCCAAAAGTTAGCCATTAGTTACAAACGTACTCATCAAAATGGATTCGCGCACTATCGGCTGTTCTCATTGTAACGGTAATAATAACAATAACAAATGCTGTCGCGATATTCGTGATGTCCATCCTTTACCCATTGGCGGAGAATGGACCTAGAATCACCAGCATCCTCGGGACATGGTGGTAAACGACCTGCATCAGACGTTGATACCGATCTGCGCTCCTTGGTCCAAACGATGACGCCAGAAAGCATCGAAAGACCAAGGAAACGAGCCAGGCATCTGATGCCGATGACGCAGTTGGATACTCAAAGCACCAACAATGACGACCCTCAAAATCCCAACTGGCTCCCACCTGGTAATGTTAAACGTGTGAAGCTTCGAAATTTCATGTGCCACGAAAACTTCGAACTAGACCTGGGCCCACGATTGAACTTTATCGTCGGGAAAAACGGCAGTGGCAAAAGCGCTGTGTTGACGGCTATCACCATAGGTCTGGGAGCAAAGGCCACGGACACGAACAGAGGATCTAGCTTGAAGGATTTGATTCGCGAAGGATGTCGTTCTTCGAAAATTGTACTAGTTCTCAATAACGCAGGGTACGGGGGGTACCAACAACAAACATACGGATCTGAAATAACAATCGAGCGCACCATAAAAAAGGATGGCCCAGCAACTTTTAGCGTGAAGGATGAAAGTGGGAAGGAAATTTCGAGTAAGAAACGTGATTTGCAAGCTATCGTGGATTACTTTGCAATTCCTGTCATGAATCCCATGTGCTTCCTGTCACAGGATGCCGCCAGATCATTTCTTACTGCTAGTTCACCTGCTGACAGGTACAAGCATTTCATGAGGGGAACGCTGTTGGAAGACACGGAGAACAACTTGAATCGCGCAGTCGAAACTGCTATAAGCGCGCAAAACAATTTGAACTTTCATGCCAAAAACATCAAAGCGCTGCGACGGGAATACGAAGATTCAAAGCGACTATTAAAGGAGATAAGTGCTAACCACGATTTAAACAGACGCAAGAAGGCATTACAAGGCAAGTTATTGTGGCTGAGTGTGGTGGAAAACGAAAATTCATATGACAAACTTCAACACAACTGCTCAGAACTCCAAAATAAAATCCAAGAAATCGAGAATAAAGTAGGTAGGAAGCAGGACAGCATTGAGCGTCTTATAACGGACCAAACAGCCGTGGAGCAGGAACTAGAACGCGCTCTAAACACATGGCAAGACCAGAAACGCGCATACGATGATGCAAGGCATGGAGTTAATCAAGTAAAGCTGGAATTCGAAACCCAAAAACAAAACCGTTCGGAGACGGCCAAACTCATTGAGGAGGCAAAGGCTAAGATTAGCGCTTGTGAGGATACTATTAAAAGATTCGAAGAGTCAAGAAGATTGCAATTAGGAGGCGATCGAAAGCAACTCCTCAAAGAAGCCGAGCACTTCAGAGATAAAATAGAACAACAAAAGAAGGTTCGCTCCGATTACGGCCTCAAACTGCAAAAACTTTTAGATGATCAACGAAATATCGAAAAACGCCGCGATACTGAGATTGCAGCAATAGCCAGTGCAATGAGACATCACCAGGAAGAACTCAAAAGGGTTCGTAGCGGAGACAATAATTTTTTAGCCAACTTCGATCGAAATATGGAGAAAGTTGTCCAGGCGATACAGGCCAACATTAAAAGGTTTTCAGCAGCTCCAATAGGACCACTTGGAGCGTATGTGACAATAAGGAACGAATACAAGGAATGGACGAGGTCGATACAGGCTTACTTGGGCCCTACATTGAATGCCTTTATTGTTGCTAATGGCGAAGATAATGCTCTCTTGAAACAAATTTTTCATAACTGCGGGCTGCGTCTCAAGGCCCCAGTAATTACTTATAAGCCATATGCCTTTGATTATACATCTGGGAAAGCCAAAACGAAGTATCCGACTCTGATTGATGCTTTGGATTGCTCAGCGAATACCCGTTACCTGTTCATCGATCAAAATAGGATTGAAAAGGTCCTCCTGATTAAGGACAAGGACGATGCTAGGAGATTTCTCGCTGAAAAGCCAGAAAATGTTAGTATGGCCCTATGTCGTTTGACAGATAACAGTGGCTTCCAATGTTCCTATAGACTCGCTTTTAGCATCAATTCGGTCGACTACGACTCAAATTTGAGAATACGAGCCAAGGCATCGTCAGAAGAAGTTACAACGTATTTGGAAAAGCTTATAGAACAGGAAAGAAAAAAGAACAAAGAGGCGGAGATTTCTTATAAAGAATCTGTTTCCAAGGTTCGCGATCAGATCGTTGCTATACGCAATCAAATCAAACAGATCGAAGATGACATTGCAGTAGATGGAAGGAAGGAAGCGAGTTTGCGTTTAGAGCTTGAAAAGGAGGTTGACACCGGCATTTGTGTTCAAGCGGAAGCCGACATAAAATCTTACGAGGAAGCGATCACAAGCTACTTGCTGACCATCGCCGATATTGATAAAAAATTGGATGAGATCGGTCAAAGAGGACAACCCTTGAAGCAGATTTTGAATGAAACGAAGGCCAGTGTCCAGGCGGCAGATGACGCTTTGAGTAATTTACGAAATTCAATTTCGTCAAGGTCATCAAAATTAGAGCAGTTGAACGATGACGTCAAGTACTACCGAGAGAAGCTGGACAATTACCACATGAAGTTAGAAAGCACAAGGACGAAATCTGGCGAATTTCGAGAAGGTATTCAAGAGCAGATTTCAAATGCCGAGGTTTACTGTCGTAGGGAAGTCGCCTTCGCAGCAGATATGCCAGAGTCAATAGATGATACTAAATCGGAAATTGAGAGAGTTTCACAACAGATCAATAGGGCTGAGGAGAGGGTGGGGCTATCACAGGATGAAATCATGGCACTCTTCGAAAACTCCAAGTCCAAATATAACAATGCTGTTACTAAATATGCAGAGATCGAAACTGCGATCAAGCAAGTTAATGACTCTATTAAAAGACGTTTACAATCATTAAGTTATGCAAAGGCTGATACCTGCGGCACAGCAGACCTTGATTTCAAAGAATCGTTGCGTTTCAGAAATTTATCAGGAGGGCTCAACTTTGACTTCAATAAGAAGACGTTGAACATGCTTCTCAAAACACCGAACGACGAACAACCACGAAATGTTGACACTTTCTCTGGCGGAGAGAAGTCATTTGCTCAAACATCGCTGTTACTTGCCACGTGGAGACCAATGCGGTCCAGAGTTATTGCATTAGACGAATTTGACGTATTTATGGACCAAATTTACCGCGAGATTGGATCAAAGTTGATTATGACAAAGTTATCTAAGGAAGAACGAACTCAAACAATTATAATTACCCCGCAAGACATTGGAAAGATTGCTAATTTTGACGATCCAGGGATAAGAATACATAAAATGAATGATCCGGAAAGGGCAAATAACTCAGGCGCACGAGCTTGATGATCAGTTGCGTTTCGATGACCTAAACACGACGTAGTTGATATACGTTATTGTATAACGAATTCATTTTCTTACATACTTCATTCCAACAAAATAGGGTTAACTTCTGGCGTTCTTTTTGTTGTTTAATTTTTGATTTCATTGTCACCATCATCGTCATCTTCGTCGTGTTCATCTTCATCTTCATTGTCATCTTCATCGTCATCGCCATCGTCATCGTCGTCTTCATCGTCATCTGACGTGAAGTTAGTTCCCAGATCTTCAAGCTTATTGCGATATCTGCTATTCTTCTCGTCGAGCTCGGAAACTAGCAACATCAAATCATCTATCTCGCTTCTGTCTGTTCCAGCCTTCCAATTGCTCTTCTCGCGCTTTAATGCCTCAACTTCTGATCTCAAACTTGAAATAATAGATTCTTTTTCAGTCAGAATATTGGACTGTACAAGTTTCTGCTCTTGGTATTCATGTTGCTGACTTTTAAGTTCAGTAGAAAGATCATTGTTGAGCTGCTTTTCCCTCTCTAACTGTTTTTTATGCTCTTCATTTTCTTTTTCGACTTTTTCGAGCCTTGTGACAACTTCTTGATTTGATTTTTGGAGCTGCCCGTGTTGCCAAGACGATTGTTCTAAGTCCACAATATGAGCAGATTTACTCTTAAGCTCGTGACTCATATCCTGAAGTTCTGATGCTATTTGTTCAGAGCGAATTCGATTTTTGGCTGAATCTTCTTCCAATCTCAAGCGTTCTTCATTAGCAAGCTTTTGTATATTCTCCAGTTCAAGTTGCAAACCATCTTTTGTATGCTGCAATTCATCGCGTAACCGCGTTTCTTGAATGTCATGCTGTTGCTCTTGATTAGCAACTCTAGACTCAAGACTTTCAACCATGGTCTCCAATGCCCGTATACTGTCATCTTTTTGAGAGAGAACCAAGCCCAAGTCTTTCAATTGAATCTTGTAATCTTCAAGTTGGGAGAGGTTTCTGGTCATTAACGCGCTATGTTTTTCGTCAATTGTTTGTTGAATCTCTTTCGCTTTAGACAACCTCGAAGCCATCTGCTCGAGCTCATTGGCACTATTAGCAGCTCTACTCTCAGCCCTTCTTAAGAGTTCGCTCATCTTTACATTTTCGCTTTCAGACTGCCCTAATTTTGTGTCCTTATCGTTTTGTAGAACTTCCAGTTGGCCCTCTAAACTACGAATTTTCCTCAAATATTCGCCAGCAACGCTGGCAGATCCCTCATCCATGGCTTCTCTCTCCTTTTCAAACTCTGCCTTTTTTACTTTGAGCGCGGCTTTCAGATTATCAATATCTTCTATTAAAGACTTTCTTTCTCTTTCAAATATTGTCTTTGAACTGCTGAGTTCATCTGCCGTAAACCTGCACTCGTCAGTCAATTTCCCTACTTCTATTTCAAGAGTCTCGATTGTATCATTTTTGACTTTCAGCTGCAACTCAGTTTTCGAAAGCTCTTCCTTCACTTGTAAGACGTTCGCTTGGATCTGTTCGTTGCCGGAACTGCTCTTCAGCAAATCTGAGCGCGCATGTTCCAGCTCCTTCTCTAGGCCGTTGCAGCGAGATTCTAGTTTTTCTGACTTCAAGGTGTTATTGTGAAGGTCGGTCTGGCAAGAAGCCAATTTTTCGGAGTCTTCGCTAGCTTTGGCGCTTAAACTCGATAACTCCACTGTAGCAAGTTTGAGTTTCTCCTCAAAATTTTTTATCAACCCATTAGATTGTATCTGAAACTTCTCTTTCGACTCTTCTGAATTGAGTAATTCAAGTTCCAGTGATTTCACTCTTTCTGAGCTGATGTTTTCCTTCTCCACATACTGACCAACTTGACTTTCAAAGCCTGCACGCTCCTCATTAAGTTTTTTCTCCAGTTCCTTGTAGTCATTAGTCAAATTTGAAATGATTCTTTCAGCCTCCTTTTTCCCAGCTTCTAGGTTTTCTTTGGTGAGTTGTAGACCGTTAAGTTCATCTTTCAAAGACACCAATTCCTCTTCCTTCTTTGTCTTCTCTTTCTGGGATGCCTTCAAATCGTTTTTGTACGATTGCGACAATTGCAAGGCCTTCTCTAATTCGCTCGATTTCTCTTTGTAAGTAATTTGTAGAGCTCTGAGACCTTCGCCTAGAAGGCTAGTATGTTTGCGTAATTCTAACACCTCAGTTCTAAAGTTTACAGTGTGTGTCTTTAGATCCTTCAAGCCAAGGTTGAATGAGCCGAAACGCTTTTTCAACATTGAGTTCTCTTCAAAAAGCGCTTTATGGGCACTGCTAGCGGCGCTCCTTGACTTCTGTAGGCTCTCAATCTCTGCAATTGCATCTTTAACTTCACAGTGGAGGGAGGTATTCTTGTCCTGAAGCGAACCAACTTGAGTCTCTAAATGTGAAATTCTCTCTTTACTCTTCAAAGCAAGCTCATTGATTTCAGAAGACTTAGACTGGTTACCTTCACTAAGCTCCTTACATTTTTCTGCCATTTCTCTTAACTTGGCGGAGAGTTTAGATATCAAAGAATCCTGATTATCGATTTTTGATTTATAATCACTGCATTCGCTTTTAAGACTCTTCTTTTCATCTTGAAGCCCAACAATTTCTTTCTGCGCTTTTTCCAAATCGGACAGATGAATCGCAATCTTACTTTCTTTGTCTATTTGGGCTTCTTCACGCTTTTGTACTTCGGCTTTTAAGCGGTTGATTGTAGTATGCAGTTGTGCCTCGCTTTTTGCGGAATCACTTTTGAAGGCCTTGTGTTCCTTCGACAAAGAGAACAGCTCTCGGTTCATTTTGTTGATACCAGCTTCAGCATTTCTTTTCTCCTCCGAAATTTTGTTTAATTCAAGTTCCAGCCTTTCGACAGTGGAGTCTCTTTCAGAAAGATACTTTCCAAGTTCCTTCAACTTGCCTTCGCTTTTGACCTTGGCCAACTCGAGCTGAGCCTTCGTTACATTTAAGCCCTTCAATTGTTCGCTTAATGTAATTTGTTCGGATCGGAGTGTCTCAAGCTCCGAGCTGCTTTTTTTGAGATTGCTAATCGCCTCTTCTTTTTTTGCCTGGCAGTCTTTAACTTCCTCCTCTGCTTTACGAAGTGATGATTGCAACATGGTGACGTCTCTCTTTGAAATTTGCTCAAGTTCATGTAGCCTCATTTCGAGAGATGTCTTGCGCTCTTGTAGTTCTTCGAAGGATTCGAACGACACTTTTTCAATGACCTCGATTTCTGGTCCCCTCTTGAGAGCAGTTTGAACTCTATAAAAGTTGTCTTTGATCAAAGCCGTGAAGTAGGGACTGAAGTAAACTTTGGGAAGACCTGAATCATCTGTTTCAAAATTACCCACGGTGGTTTCCATTCTTTGGCAGACAGTGAAAAGCGAACATTCATTAAATTGTTTGACTTTAGAAAAATAGTTGTTGACGCCAATACCTTGCGACAACAATTTGTAGACTTCAGAACGAGAAAGAGGGCTCTTCTGTGTGGAGAACTCGTATGCTACTCCAAGCACCATGCAAGTTAAACAATTGGCGGTTATTCCTTCTTCCTTCATATGGGAGGAGTACGAAATTAGAGAATTTAGCACAGCTTTATTGGAAAGAAAATCGTCAACTGCGTTCCTATCTTCGTACAGCCAACAAATCAACAGACTAAGATAAGATATGCTTACCCTGAAGTCTTCGAGAGAGAATGAAGTTAATAGAAGCTCAAGAACAGTTTGAATAGGGCCCAAAGTATTTTGATGCTCATTTGCATCATCATATCCTTCGCACTTGATCCCTCTCATTAGATCTTTATTTCCACCCGTGGAGTCTCTATCGAAGAGGAAGAGCACTAAATCTACGGCGAAATACAACTTGTAGGGGTTAAGCTTCAACTCTGGATCATATTCAAGAATAATGTGGAAAATACCCAATTTGCGATCTCCTACTTCCTCGCTTTCGCCGAGTAGATCAGACTCTTCATAAAGAGCTATTTGATCTCTGATGAAGGACAGCTGAATATCCATGTTATTATCTAAAAACGCTTTCAAAAGCTCGGACGATGCATACCGTATTTCAAATGTATGAACCGAGTTGGCGAAAAAACACCAGTTCAGCAGTAGCTCAGTCACGGGCACAAGCTTTCCAGTGTTATTTTTTTGAGCTCCGCTCACGCTTGGATCAAACATAGGAACATCAATCTTTTTAAACGCTTGTTGAACTTCTCCGTTATCCCTAATCATATCAGCTGCTGCTAGAAGACAAAAGGGTCGTATACTATTTGGAGCCGACGGCAGCAGCGCTAGTCTCAAAACAATAATGAGAAGGTGAGACTCGAAAAGGATAAGCTGGTTTCGGTATGTGGTTGTATTGTGCCTTTCAATGGTGAGTTGCAAAATCTCCATCGATGTCTTAATATTAAGCATCTTTTGATCATTCCAATAAAAGGAATCCTCCATAGGCTCGTTCAAAAGCCTTGCCATTTGGGGAAGGTTGTTGGTTTCTAAAAACAAGGTTTGATTAGAGGTATTGTACTTTAGAACATTAACAATCAGTGAGAGACAATCGCTCACCACCAGAGAACCTCGCAGGCCACCTTCTTCTTGAATGATATTAAATAGCCTCTCAAATATATTGTCAAAAGCAACCAACTTTTGTATATGCGGACTATCATTGGCAACAGCCATAAGGAGCAATATTGCTTCATCTCTGACTGGATCGTGAACATCATCCAACAGCGAGACAAGAGTTGAGATCCCAATAGGCAATGAAACGAGGGCGTCACGAGTCCGGGAAGCCCTTGAAGCCACAAATGCTTCCAGAAGCTGAATAGCATATAGCTTAATGTGAAAATTCTCAACTTCCAACAATTGCACGAAAAGATGTACCATTTCATCCGATTGAGTCATGAAATCTGCAATCCACAGAGAAAACTGGTCTACTGATCCTTGGTCTTGCTCTTGCTTCATCACAAGTGGAGATGGATATTTTCCGTTCCGGAGTCGTGACTGCTGTGAAATCCAGTTTCGCGTCAAGTCTGCATTTCCTTCGCCTCGGATGAACAGAATAAGTAAAGTTTCCAAAATCGCTTTCACTGAGTCTTCATCTGCTGCATCCTTCTTTAACGTACTTATTAACGGTTTCAAGCCTGATGCTATGACTGCCTCTCTGTAGTCCCTGCTAAACGATTTGAGACCTAGCACTGCCGATCTTCGGTCACTCAATAATGTGGCATTTTCAACTCTGTCGCACAGTGTCGGGATTGTGTCGTCTACAGACTGCACTTTTGGTGGTTGAATAAAACCTTGGATCAGCTCCATTTGTTGACCTCCTTGACAGCCCAATGGCCTTTCCCTACGTGTTACTTTGAATTCTGGAAGTGTTCCGCGACTTTGGTGTCGAATATTTTTCTAACAGATCAAATGATATGATCAATTTCAAAAAACACCGCTTGATCTGTATCATGCCGAGGGGACCCCGCTGTATATCATATATAAACACAGTCGGTGAGTCACCTTCATATCCAACGTTGGCATCCTTTGACTTCTTATATACCTATATATACGATTCCTACTAACGAGGCGTTGGATAGTTGATGAGTTGGGGGTTAGCAGCTCATTTTATATGTACGGCCTATAATGAGTGGATCGTTGACCAACATTACTTATGAGGGAACCAAGTATGAGACGGGTGCTGGCCTTGATGACTTTAATATTGAAGATTTGCAGATAGTAGAAAAATGGTTCAACAGGCCAGCTAGTGCCTGGGCGGTGCAACGACTGGGTATATTACAATCAAAGATAGAATCACAAACGTATAACATATACCACAGAAATCGGTATGGTAAGCATCCAGTGGCAAAACTGATACCGGCGCATCTGCTCATTCAATATGCTAACGAAGCTCTCGGGTTTGATGGGTGGTCCTTAGAAGTGCTTGATCTCCACACCACGAACTGCAGATCAGTGCCAGAAACGCAATCGGTGGATGATGGGCTGGAACCACGTTACCAAGTGCTGTCAGAGGCCAAGGTTAGGATCAGATTGAAGGACGGTACGAATACCGAGGCACTAGGGTTTGGTTCCGCAGTGGCTATTTCCAAAGGTGAAAGTTACAGCAAATCTAAGAAGGCAGCAGTCAACGATGCCCTCAAAAAGAGCTTCTTGCAATTTGAGGCTATCATTCTGGAGCACGAACAGCGGGTATCTTCAAGCTATTATGTAGATGGGCTCTACGGTTCTAAATCAGTGTCTAAAAAAGTGTGAATACAGCTCTTGGCGTAAGCCTTTTAAGTTGAAAGTAATTAGAAGTCAATGACCTGCCTGCCAGAAAATTCTGGGATTACTGGCACTGGAATTTCGGGGACATGGTATACGTTACCCTCTTCGTCAATTCTCTCTCTGTCCTTCTCACTGACGTTGTAAATTTCCGTGACATTCTCCTTAAGTAGTACAATCACATCAATGAAATACTTCTGGATTTGATGAGCTTCCTCCTTTCTATTGTGCCTCAACAACGCGTCTATCAGCTTGGCAGCATCGGGTTGGCTTTGCGTTAGACGCTCTATTAACCGGCCAATAGACTGGACTAAGTACTCCTCTTCGTAAATGGTACCTTTCTTCCCACGGGCCCGTTTGCGCTCTTCCCGACGCTTGTTTTTGGCGGTACGTCGTGAAGCCCCAGTTTTGGCTGTTCCGCCGGTTTTCCCGGTATAACGCGTGAAAAAGGACTCTTTGGTCGAAGTTTCAGATGCGGCAATGGAAATGTCATCAGCTTGGTCCGTTTCTTGACCATAAAATGCGTAAGGATCTTCGTCCTTCTTCTGTCTTAACTCACGCAACCTGCGCAACTGCGAAGTCACCTGGCCCTTACAATCGGCTAACAGCTCCGCGATTGTTCCAAAGCCTTCGCCCAATGCAGGTTCTATTACCTGATCGATTAACTCAGGACAACCTTGAGTTGCCCCCACCAGGGCAGCTTTCTCGTACAAGTAGGCCTTGCAATAAAAATCCATAGCTCCCTTCGCGTTCTTTAGATAAGTGAGCTCAATTTCGGCAGCATCGGCATACTTGTGATCAAATGACAGAGAGGCTACCAGAGTCTCTGCGACTTCCGTTACCTTATCGCTAAATTGCAATGTTGCGATGGTCAATGCCTCGTTCCAATTCTTGGCGTGTGTGTGTGCTTCCATCGCCTCCTTGTATTCGGTCAACATCTCATGGATAATAGCGGCCTCTCCGTAATTTTGTTTCGAGGATAAGTATGGCGCAAAAATGTGGTAAACAGCATTCTGCTTGCTGTGATCGTACCTGAAAAGTTTCAAAGCAAACCTATAGAGTTCATGGACTTGGATATAATCAATAATTTTGTCGGAGAGCCCAGAGATGTCCTTTTCAATCTCAGCAAGGTGTTCCAAGGCCTTTTCATAGTTCTTCAAGTAGTCATCGATCATGAACTTGCGAACAGTTACTTCTTGGTTATGGAGGTCTTGCAAAAATGGAAGATACTCTCTGGGATCCATCTGTGATTTTTGAGCAATTGCTAGAGTGAGTTTGACATCATACACAGATAATCCAACCTTGTACAGCGCATTGACGTCGTGCAGGAAACACAAATATGTTAAGCTTGTTTCGCTGTCATCGCCAAGAGATGAGATTAGCAGCAACGCTTCCTTCAAATTAGGAGGATTTTGACAAGCATAAGCAGTTATAATAGATTGCAAGTACCTTACTTTGTATTCCGGATTCTTCAATAAAACCTCTAAAAGAGCGTTACAGATTTTGTTCACCTTTGACTTTTTGGAATCGAACATTTTCTTTTTCATGTAAAGCTCCATCTCGGTAGGTGGTGGGGGTGCGACTTCGAATACCTGATCCATACTTCTCCCAAGTGTCTCCTTGTATTTTGTTTCCGCGACGTCTTCTTCAGTCAAACAAGAAATGAATAGATCAAGAAAATCACCCCTCTCTATATCATCAATGAAGTGCTCGAGATTCTCGTAAAATAGCTTGGGAGCATAATCGTGAACAATATCCAAGTGAATTCTGTGGGTACGACAAGTTTCAAATGCGTCGCGGTATTTCTTGGCCAAGATGTTTTTCCTAACGCCCGCTAAGACCATGATACGAGGGCAGATCACCTCCAAGTTTCCTCGAGCAGCTTGCAAAGCGACGGAAAATTTGGAGGGAATCGCAGTTACCAAGAGAGACCCTCTCTCAATCGCTCGTATTCTCTCGTCATCAACGTTTTCGGGAACCAAAGGCAGAGGCTTGAAATTAGTTGAGTTCAAATGTACAAATTGAAGGTTGTGTTGGGCAGTGGTGAACATCAGAAAATCATCGGTAATTTCCATGGACGTTACAGTCATGTTTAGAAGAACATCATTTGCATACAGTTTGCCATTAGCAGTTAATCCGAAAGCAATCAGTTGGGAGTCCCCCGCAACTCCGCCATCAGCATGTGCAGAATTCTCAACGCGCTTGACACGTAGGTCGCGTACAAGTTGCGGAAAGCAACAAATTTCGCTAACGTTTCCTTCTTGATCAGTCTGATATACCCTACAACTTTTGGTCTCATAAACCATATAGTTATATTCGAACCCAGTGCGAAGCAACACTACTTTATCGAGAGCTTCAATGACATTGATCAGAGTCGGCTGCGTTACATCTGAAACATCTAGCAACGCGATACGGGAGAGATTTTGTGCGTCTAATAAAACACACACGATGTTATCATTTATGAACGCCGCCTGTCTTAGGGTGTCAAACTCGGTTGCAAACAAAGATTTAGGGATAGTCGTGGAGATACATGGATGAAGACCTCCCTTCATATCCTCTAGGCTAGGAACTGAGGCCAATATCAGCTCATCTTTCGTGATCGCTGCATATATCTCATTTGAGAGGCTAATTGCAACATCTTGAACATTCCCTGGAGCATCAAAGTCCCGATAATACATCGGAGGTGGCACACAAGCCATGCCCAGAGGGGAAATGTTGATAGTGGTTCCATCGATCACCATTACAGTCCCCGAATCGCAAGGTTCTAATGTAGGACCCGATGCAAGTTTGTATGCAAAATCAACAATATTTATGCCGTTATAGTCTCCAAACATCAAGGTAAAATCTTTCTCGGGGTGCCACTTGACAAAGTTGATGTCCTTAGCATAAATCTCTTGCTTCAAATACCAATGATAATTTTTCGTGGTCCAAAGCATGATTCTGTCAGTAAGGATGATCGCTAAAATCTCAGAGCTGGAGTTCCAAGCAAGATACTTGACTTTTTCACCCATGGCCAACCTCGTATCAAATTCACCATGTCGTAATCCATTCCTCTCGAAGAAAATCAACTGAATAGATTCTTCACCGGGTATCTCATCACTTCTTTGTGTTGAAGCTATCAGCGAGCCCTGGGGTTTCCAGGCTAGAAGATCTTCTTGACCATCTACAGGTTCAGACGCGCTATCAAGTTGCCCGTCTCTCGAAAAAACTCTCAGCACTCTTCTTCTAATCTGCTCCCCGTTAGCTTCCGCCACGTCCTCGACGGAAGACATAACGAAAAATTCACAGTCACCCCTCCATGAGAGAGTGGTGTTCCCTGAGTCCATTGCCCCGACTTCACCGCTATCTACTGCATAAGGCATCGTAGGATCCCGCAGCTCGTTTCCTTTGAGACCAGACGCTTTCAAGCTTTCTAAAGCAGCTTTTTCCATTGCTCGAGCACCTTTTCCTCTAAATTGAGTCTCATGTTTACCCCATCCAACATTGACATGTTTTGACATTTCCAGATCGTCGCTCAAAAGCTTGTACTCTGAGATAGGGTCAAACTGCCTACTCAACAGTACGACATTACGCTCCACTGTTACCAGCGCTAGGGTTTCTTCGTCGTGAGACCACTCGGCTGCTTCGATACCTCCATCAATCGAACCAACAATCTCAACTACGCTTGACGATGGATCGAACGTAATGGAATCATATGTAGCTGCTATTATGTCACCTTGTGCCATCACAAACACAACCTGGTTGAGATCTCCGAAATGTACAAACGAAAGCAGCTTGTCGTCAAACGTCTGTATATTGAAGGATACGAGGACATTGCAGCTACCATCTTTCATATACTGATGAACCTCAAAAGCTCCTATTTCAGGATCCCCTAAAACGCATGTAATACTATCCGATAGTGTGTCAAACACACTGCTTTGTAATTTAAGGTCGGGCACTTGTTGCGAAGCAGGTTTAAAACAGCCTCTATTGAGCGTGATTATGTTGCGCATTGTATCGGTAAGGTAACCTTACGAGTTCAGAAGTTCTGGGCTTGATCTCTCACAGTGAATCACGTCTATTATGCTGATATCCAAAAGCTAGGCTGGGCGATGAGCTGCGCTTGCCAGGGTATCTGCTAAAGAATAGATCGAATTCTTTTAAAATTTTGCATCATTGTGCACGTATTCTGAAGCGCCCTATTTCGCTACCACCATTGCATTGACCTGAGACCGCAATTATAATCGAAACACTACCATTTAAATCGTAGTACTCTTTAGCGGTGCCAGGACCTTCGCTAATTCGCCTTTCAGATTGGGTATCTCTTCTTGTTCCAACTCGGTTACGCGGACAAAATAGTAGTGGTTGGCCAACGTAACTACTGTCACAGGTAAACTTTTATCCGGCAATCCCTTTTTGAAGAGGTCATTTACTAGTACCCTCAAAGTACGCAGTTGTAATCCCCGAAGTTCTGGAACGTAAAGTTTTACAAGGCGGTGAGTACTGAACTTGGTTAAGATGGACTCATCGACAACAGGTTCCACCAGCAGATCGTCCAGCTTCAAATCTTTTCCCGTGTGTGAAAGCTCCTGCTGGCGATAGAGAGTGAGCTGCAGTAAGAGGAGAGAGACATTAGCAGGCAGATCCATGTCGAGCTTTGATCTCAATCAGCTCTGAGGTGAAGATGATGAAAAAGGCTAATTTAGTATCTCACTTTATACTTCAATCGTAAACTCGTAAACTTACCGAGAACAGCAATAGCGCAGGTGTACACGAGGTCCAGGTGGTTCAATGGGTATGTTCTATTATATGATAAAGGAGGACAGTAAACCAAACTCACAGGTAACTAACCAAGCCTTTATGGGCATCTTTAGATAAAGCTATTGTAAAGGGACTCAACGATAAACTCTATGAGAAACGGAAAGCTACTGCTATCAATTTGGAGAAACTCGTGAAACAATGTTTAGCCGAAGGGAACTACGATCGCGTTGACGCCATCTTGGACGAGCTATGCAGGGACTTCGCATATGCGTTGCATCAACCCATGGCCCGAAACGCGGGTTTAATGGGGCTGGCAGCAGGGGCCATTGCGTTAGGCTCGACGGAGGTAGCGCGCTATTTGGACCGAATTCTTCCGCCTGTACTAGCTTGCTTTGGGGATCAAAATGATCAGGTTCGCTTTTATGCGTGTGAAAGTCTGTATAACATTGCCAAGATCGCGAAAGGAGAAATCCTGGTATATTTCAACGAGATTTTCGACGTACTCTGTAAAATCAGCGCTGATACAGAGTCATCGGTAAGGGGAGCCGCTGAGCTGCTCGATCGGTTAATAAAAGACATTGTTGCGGAACGTGCTTCGAATTATATAAGCATTGTAAGCAGCAATCCAGAAGATCTGTCGCCTGCAACACGCACTGATCCTCAAACTGGTGAGGTATTACAGGAGGAGTACAAACAAGAGCCTCAGTTTGCATTCTCGCTGCCTAAATTCATTCCCTTACTGACAGAACGGATCTATGCTATAAACCCGGACACGAGGATGTTCTTGGTGTCATGGCTACAAGTCTTGGAAAACATTCCTGATTTGGAGCTGGTCACCTACCTACCCTCCTTTTTAGGTGGCCTTTTCACCTTTCTTGGTGACACTCACAAGGATGTTCGAACCGTGACGCATTCCTTAATAGACTTGCTACTTCATGAAACGCAGCGTATCTCTGAAGTTAAAGCCATTGCTAAAAAAAAAATAGATGAGAAAGCTCAAAAACGGCTGGTGTCAGAAGAGTCCTCTATAAAGAAACAAGATGGGCTTTCCATCAGCGAAAGAAAGAAGTCTCTGCTAACCGCTTTTGAACAGCTTGCGGTCAAAGATTCGCCACACGTACCTAAGAATAGATCAGCTTCTGGTGGAGATGAACTTAAGACCACCGAGATTTCCGAACCAACTTCGGCTACAGAGAACTTGGAAAAGGCGGGCTTGGGGGCCACTAAGATGCTTGAATCAATAGATTCTAACGATGGTGATCTCTATAATCCTGGCCAGGACATTCATTTAGACTTTCCTAAAATTATCGAGATACTCATTAACACTCTCACTTCTTCGGAGCCTGAAATCCAACTAGTGGTTTTGACGTGGATAGACACTATACTGGATATCTGTCCCTCTGCATTTTTACCATTCCTATCCCGATTATTGTCACTTCTTTTGAAGATTTTAAGTGATGTTGATCAAAGAGTCCGAAAACTGGCCCGGGCGGTAAACGAAAAGCTTATTGATTTGACAGGTAAGTTCGATTATAAAGATGGACCCGACGCCATAAATTACGGGCCTATAGTTAACACCCTCACGTTGCACTTTTTGGATAGTGACGTCGTCGCTAAAGTTGCGTGCCTCGAATGGCTGATCTTGATTTATCACAAAGTTCCTAAGCAGCTATTAGAACACAGTGACAGCACCTTTCTGACCTTATTGAAATCTCTCTCTGATAAGGATAACCAGTTGATTTCGAAAGCTTTGGATTTGTTAGGGGATTTGTGCAATAATTCGAATGACGAATATTTCAAAAAGTTTGTAGGAGAACTACTGCTTCTTTTCAAAAACGATGGGAGGCTTATGAAAACAAGAGCCAGTCACATCTTTAGACAACTCGGTATAAAACTTTCCACCGAAAAGGTGTACAATGTGATTTCGTCCATTTTAGAAAAAGAAGAAGATATTCTGTTCGTGCGGATGATGATTCAGATACTCAATACCAATTTGATCACGGCCCCAGAGTTCGAAGGTTTGAGAAAGAAACTGAAGGCCGATACTGATAGTGACTTCTTTTCTTGCCTTTTTAAGTCATGGTCACATAACCCAACCTCTCTACTTTCTCTTTGTTTATTGGCAGGCAAATATGAACTTGCGTACTACGTCCTACAGACTTTCGTGGAATATGAACTATCAGTGAATGATTTAGTGCAGATAGACATTTTAGTTCAATTGCTAGAATCTCCGGTTTTCACTAGCCTACGGCTGCAATTGTTGGAGCAGGAGCGTTTCCCGTACCTTTACAAATGTCTATATGGCATTTTGATGGTACTGCCACAATCCAAAGCTTTCCAAATACTCAACACCAGACTCAGTAGTGTCAGCGCACTAGCAGCCCGTAAAATTCCATCTAGTCCTGTTTACAAGCTCAATAACGGGTCCGGAAATTTAAGTGTTGGCGTTTCACAAGAATCTATTAATTCCAATAATTCCATCCATCAAAAGACGGCAAAATTTCAAGGCCTTTTGGACCACTTTAAAAACGTTTGTGATGCTGAGTTGAGCTCAAGTAAGTCAAACGCAGTTGAAGACACACACTTTGCGCTTCTAGATCACGTCTTGAAGAGTGAGGCTTCTTTTGGGAGTTCAAGCTCTCCAGTGAATGGAACCGAAAACGAGAATGACGACACTCAATCGGTCATCTTTCATGGATAAATACCTGCTTATATATTTTATAATGCGTTACTTGGATTTCTTAGCATGGCCTAAAGAAGTTTGTTACGGAGTGCGTAGTTCATTATCCCAAAATCAAAGATTCTCCTCAGAAGAAATTACGTGTTATTCAATCATCATAAATCATTTCCCTATAAATTCGCCAAGAGCCCTAACCGATAGATCTATAGGCCTCGTCCAACCAATAATGCTTATTGGCAGCATCCACTCGGAGCTGATCAAGGAAGGTGGTGAAACTGTAGTGCTATCAATTGAGATTATCCAAGCTAATGCTCATTGCAAGAGCTCGTCTCTAAAATGAGTTTGGAAATTGCCGCGCCTTGTTTCAGACCGGATCTTACGATTAATGTGTTGGCGTTCTACCTGTTGAGCTTTTTTATCATTCTTTTTTAACATTTTTTCGGTGACACCGCCTAAGAATCTTCTATCACCTAATGCAACTGTTCTGTTTCCATCACTAGCATCAGGAGGAAGTGGTAGATTCTGGCGATAGTATCTTCTCATCGAACGGTGGCCCGCTCTAACACCTGTTGGTAACGAAAGCTCGACACCAGAATCGTCGATTTCCGCCTGGGTAAAGTTGGAATTTATTCCTTGAACAACATTCTCGTCAATAACTTCCACACCTGGAGCATGCGGTGGTTCAGCATTTTGTGTCGTGGAACTATCGCTAGACTGGGATGATTCGAGATCGTTGTGCTCTAACGAGCTGAAGTCGTAAAAATCTGAAATCTTGAAACGGTCATCCTTGGTTTCGTAGGGCAACTTTCCATGGCCCTTAGACGCAATATGGGCACGTATACTTTCAAGACTGCTACCTTGAAAAGAGCAGCACAAACACCGCTTGGCGACCACGATGGAATCAACCAAGTATCTCAGTAATCCTTCTAGGTTTGTCAAGTAAGATCTTTCTGGAATATAAAGCCCGTGTGCCCTGAACATGTGGTTGACATTGCGCTCGACTTCCTTATTCTCTGCGCCACAAAAAATGCAATTTGATTTAAAGAGTTCTCTATCATTCGAAGGATCGTCGTCTTCGGATTTCTCACTGTCATAATCACTAGTATAGTAGTCGTAGTTTGAATCGGTGGTGAACCCATGATCGTAGGATTTTTCATCGTCGAAATCGGTGCTTTGCAGGGAGAACTTCGAGATGTCTGATGCTATAGACATCGCCGGCGAGGTTGAACGAAATTCATCTCTTTCGCTCTTTTGAAGGTCTTCAAGTGGGCGTCCTCTCTTTTTTTTGGGCTTTGCCTTAGGATTTGCATTTGACGAACGACGTTCTCTTGATTTCAAGAGTGGAAAACCAAACTCATCCACTTGGTTGAGTTCCTTCTCCTTTTCGGAAATTTGCACTTTTTCCGCAAACAGATCGGCAGAAATCGGCGCTAACTGGGCTATTTTACGCTTTAAGTTGTACCTGTGCCACTCTGTCTTCATATGGTACCGCTGTTGGTCACTAGATCTGAATTGAATCAAACAAGCATTACATGTAAATGCCGCATTCATGCCAAATATTGAAAGTTTATTAGGGGAGAACGAAGTTGTTAAGAGAACCTTGGGTATAATGTGTCGGTCAGTTCAGTGTTCAATGTTCCGTATATATTTTGAGCAATACAGTGCTTAATAAACCCTTCGGAGGCGACACATTAACCGAAAATGACATTGGGCAGGAACAACTCTGTTGGCCGAACAAAGCTATACTTGACGTCCAACCAGCATAGCATCTGCTCGGAAACTTGGGTGTTATGTGAACGTCACTTCTATATAGTTTACATTTTATTAATTACAACCTCCGCGTTACCAGTACTAAAAGTCCAAAGGCTTGGATACCCGAGGCCACACTCTCTTGAACAACGACATTGCCACGACATCCTGAGCCGAGAGTTTTCCATCAAAAGTGGCTTTGAAATAGCCATGAGTACCTAAGCTTTCCTTGATAAAACCAGACCTGCCGCTCTTAGTGAAAAGTGGAATAGACTTGAACCATTCGACGTCTTCAGGACGGAAGAACATGTACCGCACGGTGACTACGCTCTTGTGGAACCTGAATGGATCACCCGTTAAAATAGACCTCTTGCTGATGATACGAGTGTGGTCGGCGTTGAGGAAAGACCCATGGCCGACAAACTTGATACCCTTAATGTCATCTGCAGACTCTTTGAAGAAAAGGGCAGGCGATTGTGTAAAGTCTACTGGAGCAATGCACGTGGCAATCGATGCTGAATCCTGGTGCAGAAAACGTTCAAATTTATGAACATTATTAGGAGTATTAGATGTGGAAGAAAACAGAGGTTGAATCTGATATCTTCTGACACCGTACTGCACAAATAAAGCTGCCTTCGAGGGAACAGGGTCTTCAAAATCCTCCCACCTCTGAATCGAGAAATTAACTAACGCATTCTTGTGTTCGTGTTTTAACAATCCGTAGACAGCCAAGACTTGATGCTGAGGATCTTTCAACTTGGATAGAAGACTTTTCTTGACCATTATATGAAGCTTGATTCGATCACCTGCGATAACTTCAGCTCCTTTGATAGCTTCCTTCGTGATTCTATTCCTAGTACTAGTGTAATTACCAATTCGCAGGATGCGCTTGAATTCAGGAGTAGCGTCAGGGTCATGCTCATCCACGTCCCAAACACAGTTATGCAAATTTTTTAAACCTCTATACCTCTTCAGTCTTTCAATTGCAGACTGAGAAGGTTCGAGCTCTATTTCATCCGGGAATGCCCTATCCTCGCTTTCTAGAGCACGATATTCGTTAAGTTGTCGTTCTTCTTCCTCGGGAGACAGGTCAACAAACATGTCATCTTGTCCCAAATCGTGCTGGTCCTCAGCTTCATCGTCGACCATGTCGCCATCGCTTTCAGAAGCATCCATGTCGGCATCTTCAGCCATATTGTTGTCGTCGTTATCCATCAATTCTTCCTCGTCCGCCGCTTCTATCACATCATCAAGGTACCACCTGGCTTGATAATCCGAAGTTCCTTTGGGAAGTCTCTTTCTCCCCATAGGCTGCTCCCGGCCGGGAAGGAATCCATGATCGTCGTAACGAGCGGCCGTCAACTCGTCGTACTGAAAATTCTCACGATCCGAATATTCCTCCATGTCCATATCCTTGGGAGCGTAATCATCCAGCGTGTCTTGAGAGTCGGGATTGGGTTCAAATGCAGAAATCAAATCCAAGTCTAGAGGATCGGAAGATTGATTTTTTTTGGCCTTGACAATCCTGCGATTCGAGTCGGACAACTTTTCGATTTGAGAGAGTTGAAAGTCGCCCAGTCCTGGGATGTGAACTAGCCGGTTTGCGTCGAATCCAATCCCGCGCACCGTACCCTTGACTATAAGGATGCCTTCGGAATCACCGCCAGGAACGTCCCCTGTCGCCTCTTCGAATTCTACCGATTCGGCAACCATATATCCTCGATTATCCCTCCAGCTCACTTGCCGGGGATATTTCTGGCACAGCGTGCGTAGTGCGTTCAGTGCCTCGGTGGGCTTTTCTAAGTTGTATATGCGTTCTTCGTTGGGGAAAAAGTGCGTGAAGAAACTGGTCAGTGACTGCTTGAGATCCAGCTGGAACTTTTCCTTAGGATGTGCGCTGGAAAGATTAGTAACACACCCCATGTACGATGAAATACCTTGGAGTTCCACGGCGCGAATGATTTGCTCGCCGTATTCAGTGTCGACTTCCGCAGCAGCACTGAGGCCAAATATGGTGAAATCGGCAACCTTAGTGGTATCCAGGATGTTGATGAAATTCTGCATGTCCGGAACCACAAACTTCAAGTTGGCTCTAAACTTCTTGACCGGACAGTTGAATACGCAAGGAGCACTGGACACTGGCAGCTGGCACGGGGCATCGGGATCCGCGCTGGCCGTTGCCACGATTTGTGCTACTATGTCCAATGCATTGACGTCTGGCGTCAGAGGGATCACTGCGACGATTTTCTCCGCTCCGTTGGAGCCTTCAAAGAGCCGACGTATCTCCAATGCATCCATAACCTTCTGTTCGCGCGCTTGTTTGGCGGCATTGGTACGCTGAAGTTTCGATACAACTTTAGGTCCGTTTGACTTCTTGTGCGACGCCCCAGTACCCTTCTCGACTTTGCCCTTGTGCATGTTCTTGAGAGCTCCTTTTGAAGCATGTTTGGATTTGAACGGTTTGTGGCCGTTTTTGACCGATGATCTGTGCGAATGCCCTGCCATTTTGCAAAATTGGTATCAATAAAAACCTGCTATACGATCAACCAAACCCTGTGCCTTTCGTTTTGCCAGAGCCTTTTTCTATTTTGCACTCTTATTGCTGGCGATGCTCATCGCATGGATTCGACAGAAGTTAGTCTATAGTTAAAATTTTCAATACATTCCATTAGGGCTGGACTGCTAGGGCTTAATTCTCGAAGAAAACCATTTGGATTAGCCAACGATATGCACAATAGGGCTTTGGGATTAGGGCTGGATATCAGTTTTAGTTGTGACTTTGCATCCGTACATTTTTAGATAATTATTATTTTTTTCAATTCAATAAAACTTTCTGGTATTTTTTGGCCTCACCCCACGCAAAACTTTTTTCATCTCACCCACGCACTGATATTTTGCGTGTAGAGTGATCATTACATGGTGTGGACCAAGCATTGTGCGGTAGATTCTGAGGGAGTGCTGATGAGAGGTGAGTGGGAATCTGGCAAGCTCAAACTCTGGGAACCAACCGGCGAACTTGAAGAATAGTTATTCAATTGCAGTGCACGTAGTGGTTCAACTCATAGGTTAGATTCAAACTCAAGAGATTATCGCTTAAAGTATGTCTGAATGGGCAGTAAATGGAGCAGACAAGTGGAGAGAAAATGGCGCACCGTCAATAGTGGGTAGGTGTGCGAGCACCGTGGTTTAGAAGTGCTGCGCAAAACTAGATTGAAATTTGAACCAGAGAAGTAGCGGCGATGGAACCTGAGGCGGTGATGTATAATGTCGGCATCCGCAGCGGTTATGGGAACAGGCTGTGTGGTATGGACTACTTGGCTGGATTCAGTGTGCGCACAGGCTGGGAACGGCTTTTTCAGCTTAGTTGCATGGGCTGTGGTACAGGTTTTCAGTTTTAGTGGGCATGGGCCGTGGTACAGATTTTCAGTTTTAGTGGCACAGGCCGTGGTACACACCAGCGTGGGTACCGAGCCACGGGTAAAGTCGCTTCTTCGATGTGAAACTAAAGGTTGTTTATGTGACGGTGTTGCTCTCAAGTGTCGTTTGATCCACCCCCAATTTTCTTCTACTAACTTTTCCGGCAGCAATATGGCTCACGAAAACGTCTGGTTCTCTCACCCAAGAAACTTCGGTAAAGGTTCTCGCCAATGCCGTGTCTGCAGCTCCCACCAGGGTTTGATCAGAAAGTACGGTTTGAACATCTGCCGTCAATGCTTCAGAGAAAAGGCTAACGACATTGGTTTCAACAAATACAGGTAAGCAAATCGAACTGTTAGCTTGTCGACTTCTGTGCCTTGTCTGAGCGTGAGAGTTTGGTTTTTGCTGGGAGCGTCAGAACAGGAACTTAACCGTCCAGCATTTGCCGCGGTTGGTTCTACCTTTCTGCTGTTCTACTTAGTACTTCCGACGGGCTCTCACCCAAACTCGCTGTAATCGTATAGCATCCTTCTACATAATTAAAAAATACAATTAAACTACGTTTGACATCGTTCCGAAAACTCACTTGGCTGTCTGAGGACGCTATGTGGTCGGACAAACCCTAGATACCTGGGTTGACGTGGAAGGTTCGCATATTTCAATATTTCAAGAATTACCCGGGGCTGTCGTTGTTCACCTGTGTGTTGTCCAATTTTGTATAAATATCGGTAATTGATAGTCACATCTTGATAAATTAAGAACACTTTTTGTTGCATTTCTTCTCTCTTTGAATCAAAAATGCACGGAAACGATGCCACAGTTAGCTTAGTCTGTCTTCTAACAGCTGCTAATTGCCAATATTCCATTTCCTATTTATAGGAAGTTAATAAAATGGAATATGAGTTTCCCAGATTAACTTATGAAATGACTGGATTTTAGGAAGTTCGCGGTCCGTGATTCCTTCTGGAACGATAGACCGGGAATGTCGAAGAAAGGCTACATTTTTTTTCTCAAGGAGAGTGATCTTGAAGGTAAATTGTGCTCTGTAGACGAGCGCTTCTTGACAAAGATCAATTATATTCTATACATGACTTTTCAGAGATCAATCTACTTAACTACAGTTTAGAAACTATTTCCAGCTTCTTGACGGGCTGGCGCACAGGTGCTAAGCTTAGTTGACCTTGGAATCGTCCGATATCAGTGATCAATGTTCCTGTTGGGTAGTTGTCGACTTGGTCTCTCTTGGCCGATGCATCATCCTGGACTTGAGATTTCAAATGAATGACCAGCTTACAAGCGCTTCCGGACAAGACGTGATGGCGGTAAAAGTCGAGCACTTCTGACTTGGTCAAGCTTTCAACGATCGCCGCCTTACGCTCCTTATCAGTGAAGTTATAGTCGCCCATATATATTGTGGTGGTGAATCGTGAGTTCTCCTCTGACAAGTTTTTGTACTTTTGTAGCAGGGTCTTGCAAAGTGCAGTCTTGTGCCTCTGGAATTCGTCTTCTGTCATTTGCTCAATTTCACTCTCCATTTTTGCTAAAAATGCATCGATTCTGGATTCCAAGTAACCCGTTCCACGTTCTGATTGAACCAACAATCTCAAATTCACCGTTCCATGTGTATTCATAGCGGAGCTGAACACTACGTAGCCTAGCTGTTCTTTAGTCCGCAAAGTATTGAAAGCAGGCTCATCAATCAGCTGGGCCAACAATGAGGCTTTGGCGGCAAGCTCCTCAGAGTAAACTCCCAACTGAGTTACATGTTGAATGCAGGAATTGAGATTTTTGTCGTCTGCCAGTTTGTGCTCATAGTAGTAAGTGTGTCCTTGTGGGAGCAGGATGGATCTAGGTTTTATGGTCTTTGATGGAGCAATGTGCAAATTGTCAGGGGCTAAAGTCCTAATCATTTCATCAATCTCAATAGCTACATCATGTTTAAAATTCCCATGGACTAAAGTTTCAAAAGAAAACTGTTCAAATATGGTAGGGATGAAATTTTGCAAGTGGGTGAATGAAAGCTGCTGGACGGTCTGTATTTTTTCAGCGATCGTCCAAGATCTTTCATTGATGAGAGAATTGTAAACATCAGATATTTGGCCATATGGAACGTCAAACAAATGGTTGTTCAACGACTGAACTAGCTTCTTTTGGAAATTTTTAAAGCGTAATTCGGTTGGCTCAAAGCTGTTGATCCCCTCCAAGTAACGCGTAAGCAGGATAGCAATTTTTTGATTATAACCACTTAGCGATAAATCTAGCCCTTGATTTGTCTTTCTGAATGAAATGCGTAAACTAGCCACCTGGGCATCATACTCTACGTCCTTTAGATGGTCATTGACAAGATCCACATAAATAGAAGTTAGCATGCTGTTTACGATGCTAGAGTATGTGTGGGGGAGTTTCATGGACACATAAACATGGCCCTTAGGAGCCCAGAAGCGATCATCTTTCTTATACCACAGCTTAGCTTGGCTATCACTCTTTAAGAGTAATGGCTCTGGTAACGGCTTTGCATTTTCAATTTTATCAACGTGAAAGTTTGTAGATATAAATTCGTTAGGACGAGGTAAATGCAAGTGTGGGTTGAGACCAGGGTTTTTCAGGGACTTCATGAAGTCATCGGAATACTTTGTGACGCTGTATTCTGTGCCATACCACTTTTCTTTCTTATCTGTACTGACATTCTTATGAATCAAGTTTACACGAGAATTCTCAGGTGTGAGTCCCGCCAAATAGGACGTGATAAGAACAGGGTCATACTTCCTTAGTAAAGACGTGCTCAGAATGTCGCCAACGGGTATAAATTCTTTCTCAAGTGCCTTGGATAGAGATGATACTGTGGACGACGCGTTACCTTTCTGCTTGAACTTGAAATTGGCAGCCGCAGTATCACGTAGCTCGGTAAATATCCAATCCTGAGGAAGTTGCTCCTTTAACATCTCGATGTATTGAAAGACGAAAAGGACGATTTGCTCATAGTTTTCAACACCTTCATCTGTCAAATCAATGTCTATCGAAAAAAGGGCATTTCCTTCGGAAACGGTGTGAGCACCTGCAGACAATTCATTGGCCCAACCCTTGGATTTCAAGAGGGCAAGTAAAGAGCCCGACCCTTCATGACCAATCAAATGGCTGAGGTGATGGCTTGGTTTTGAATCCCAGTGTAAGTCAACATCTAGAGATGAGAAAGTAATCTCTACCTTTTTCAAGTCTTTTACAGGCTTTGCGTGAACTATTTGAGTCAAGTATTCAGCGGGCAACATTTTTCCCGGATAGGAAGGCACTGGACGATCAATGTTGCGAACATCCTTGAATAGTTCGTTAACCCACTCTGACATTACATCCAAGTCTTCTCTTCCTAAAACACAAAGCTTCATAAGATTAGCGGAGTAGGAAGCATCGTAAAACTTAAGCAGCTCGTCTCTGATGTCCAAGTTCTGTGACTTTGGAATAACACCTAAAGTTTTTATGTTGCCGGTTGAGAATTTGTGAAAAGGATGTTCACTGGATGTGAGAGACTTGTCGAGTTGGTAGAGCCGCCACAAGTCACTTTGCAAGTTCTTCTTGTTCTCACTGTCAACCGCATTAATTTCCTTGTCAGTGGAGCTCTGATTGAATAGAGGGCAGCTGAAAAATCCTGAAAACCTGTCTAATGCACCGTAAAGACTCTCATGGTTTACTTGAAAGAAGTAATTCGTGTTTTGAGAACTCGTGTAGGCATTAGATCCTCCGCCATGTTTGCTCAAGAAGCTGGAATACTCATTTTCATTTGGAAACTTTGAGCTGCCCATGAAAAGAAGGTGTTCACAGAAGTGCGCAAGACCAGGGAGATTTTCAGGGTCCTCGAACGAGCCGATGTGGACATCCAAAGAAGCCGCGGCTTTGTCCGTTTCAGGGTCTTGAATAAGAAGGGCTCTCAACTTGTTAGGCAATTCGATGAATCGGTAATTTCTATCGTCTAAAGAAGGTTTGGTAAAGTCAATCTTGAGATTGGTGTAGGTCGACATTTTTGAAAGGCTTGAACTGGGCGCTAAAGTGGCGTTGGATAACAAAATTCTGCTCGACGAAGTAAGAAGGGTTGAATAATTGGACCAAGCCAAACGCATAAAACTTTCTCGGTTAGCTCTCTTCTTGAGATAGGTACCACTTTCTAAACAATCCTCGTTTTTTGTCCTCTTCGTCTGTGAGCGACTCGCAAGGTGTTTTCGTCAATTTATTGAAGGACACTTTAATTTCGGCGAAAACATCCAATTTTTTATAAACTTTGCTAACATTAGCGCGCATCAATTCAGACTAAAGGATGGCCAGAATCCGTGCTTTTGATGTCTTCGCATTTGCATTGGTCGGGTTTGCTGGTATATATAGTGGAACCCAGTTTTTTGAACCTATAGTCATCGAGAGACTGAAGAAAGACGGAAACCTCAGAACAGATGTAGAAATTCCGCAGTACGATGAAGAGGGGAATCCTCTCTCTCCTAAATCGATGCTCGAAATCAAGCAAGAGTTAGAAAAGATACAACAGCACCAGAAGCTAGAATCAACCGAAATATCGAAAGAAAACTGATTGATACGACGTCATGATCTTAGATTAGCTCTTTGGAGATTGCAAAACTCGCAATCAGAACTGGCCCCCAAGTGTATATTGTTAAGGTTTAACAGCTGCCTGCATTGGAAAGGCAGAGGCGTAGATTTTCAGCGGGCCCTTTAATGACCACAGTAATTTCCTGGGCGGTGCAAGCTGACCAAAGACTTACATGATCATTTTCACTACAATTACTGCATTGCCGAAGTTCAACGTGAATTTTGGCGCCTTTATAACTATAATTATTTAAAGCATGTACACATACTAAATGTTAGCCTTGTCAACTAAATCATGGAAAAACTCTCGTGACTGAAACTAATATAGAGACATTTGGCTACCTGTTCGAACAAAGTAATAACTGTAGCTTCAAGAGAATCTGTAGACAAAAAAGTCCTTGTACCTGGCAAACTTTCCAACTAGACATGGAACGAAGGGAAATCTCTCTATGTGACCCAGCTCTCAGTCGTAGTAAGCGCTTGAGATGGCAATCCAATCTCGTAACATATGATAATTTAGACAAAATTTGAGCTCATCGCGGGTCCCGCGCCTTTAGGCTAAATCATGGTATTGCTGACCTAGGAACTTTCTATATCTTTCCGTTCAAGCTTCCTTTGTGCACCATCATTTCAAAATGGGTAAATCCAAGAGAAGATCTAAGGCGTCCAGATTCCATGCCACTCCCTTGGGGAAAAACAGATCTACTCAAAAAGATGAGGTTATGACAGCCAAAAAGGTGCAGCCTCTGCTTAAGCAGCTTCAGAGCGCTGTACCTAATGACAGAGCAATGGCGCTGGGCAGCGTTACAGTTCTTTGCGAGGACCCCTACCTTAGAAAGCTTTTCTTAAAGGAAAAATTGGTTCCCTTGGTGATGACCAAGCTTTTGTCCGACACCAACATGGAAATTATGGTAGAAGCTCACGGGCTTTTGAGAAACTTGGCTTTAGAGGAGGGGTATGACGTCTGCGTCTTTCTTTGGAGATCTGACATATGGACCAGTATTACCGCTGGTTTTGACAAGCTACAAAAATCATTACAATGGCTATCTTCGAATAATCCTTCCAAAAAAGAGTCATCCCGACAACTTTTCGATTTCGGTGAAAACTTAATATCATTAGTGGTTGCTTTGGCTGACGGCTCAGACAAAATCGTAGATGACATACTGAGCTCCGATAAGCTGCAAAGCATTTTTTCTGTCGTCCGTTCGGTGGCCGAATATGGCATTACATATGAAGATGGCTCAGCCTGCTTGCGAATTCCTCCCGCGCTTTTCAATACCATTTTAGACCTTCTTTTCGATTTTGGTTCTGAGTCTGCGGATTTTATGCATGCATTGGCTCAAGATTCATTTCTGAGTGGGTTTGTGGAAGCGCTGCCTACACTTCAATTAAAGACAGCCAACGAATTGAGCGCTGTACTAATCCAAGGTATTCGTCTACAGTGTTTAGATCTCAGTTTGACTAGTATCCAGGCAAATGAGATCATAATAAATGCTTGTTCCGCGATTGAAGCCATTGATTTAGAGAACATGAAAAAGTTTCTTTCGACTACAGATCTGGACAATGAGCTGGGAAATGCTCCAGATGATCAGATTTCAAAGAAAATCAAAGAACATACGAAGCAGCGTGCTTTGGCAAGCATGAGACTGCAAAGTATTGAAGCTACCCTGGACATTGTCACGGCATCTTTGGAGATACTTGCTGCCAAATATGAAGATGAGAACGAGACTGTAAATGAAAATCTCATGCAGACACTAACCGTTTCTTTGCCAGTTGTTTTCCAATCTCTTTACAATGACTTTCAGTCTAGAGTTCTTATTGCATGGAACAACATGCTATGGTTGTATCTGACGATGCAAATTAATTTCTTAGGGTTATCTGACGTAACTTGGCAACAGCTATGGCTCTCCGTTTCTGCATCAAGTGATGAAGAAGAATCTGATTATGGCATAAAGTTAGGAAAATTAGGCGTTATGTGGGCTTTACTGAAAACTTTACAGCTCCAAGATAATAAAACGCCTTATTTGACCTCTTTCAACTGCGATAATGCCGAATTTGTTAGCGCTATTCAAGCTGACTTCACCAATTCTACACAACTGGGCGCCGAAGAAGGCATTGCAATAAGACAAAGGTGCTGCGGCATCCTATCCTGTCTCGCAATGCTCCCTGATCACATTGAATTGAATCGCCAAATAGGCCATTTTTTTATGGAAATACTAGCGGACAAGGAGACAACCGCGGCCACAATGGTAGATGTCTGCGACGTTCTTTTCGATGTTTATGCTGATGCCAGCTATGATTACGATGAGTCCGTTTTTGTGAAAGACCAATTTTTAGGTATTTTTGAAAACACCGTTGTTCCCAATATGAAGGAAAACTTCAAATTTGTCGATAAGAATAAGGATCCTGCTTTCAAAGCAAGAACTCAAAACTGTCTGAGGACAGTGGAAAGATTTATAGATTATAAGGTGAGCGAGCGCCGTTAGTTTGTATCGATGTACCTTTAAGAACTTGCATTTGTTTGAGTAATACACATTAGGGTGTTGGCACAGAAAAGAGTCTTGAAATTCTAACAATCACAAGTTGGCGTTCGATTTACTTAGTGTACTCTTTAGCTTGCTCTATGACATTCCTTTCGTACTCTTTTCTGTTCTTCGAGAAAGCTCTCCATGCTGGCTCCTGAGCTGGGGAGTCAGGGTTGGGACTGTTCAGTAAGTCCTGAATCCCCAGCGCGATCTGTTTTAAAGTGATCGCTGGCCTCCAGTCCTGGTCTTCGTTCAATATACTTAAGCATACCGTACCACTAGGATAAATATTAGGATGGTAGAACCCTGCTGGAAACTTCACTTTAGGAGGTTTTGAAGGATAGTCATCTGGATACTCAATTACAACGGGGTAAACTCCATCTTTCCATAGCGTGCCCTCTTTCCCAGGTATGCCAGCCTCCCATTTTTGTAAGTTCATAGACCCATCTGCCTTTTTGGTAGGTTTAGCGAAAAACCCAAATGGATGGTCTTTACGCCATTTCTTTCTGAGCAAGAAATATGGGTTAGCAAGCTTTCCACCATAGTTTAAGCCATCAGCCCAAACTACCAACTAGAATTGGCAAGATCGACCGAAGTAAACATACCTCTCTTCTTGTAGACGTTGTAAGCACAAACTGCTCATTGTTCTTGATTGTTTGAGGATCGCATTGGTGTTTACATCGGCTAAGGTCAACTTTTTGGATTTAAATTTTGAAAAATCCCACACGGCGTTTAGACGACCACATCGAATTTATTTGGCTACACTATCAATTGAGTCAGAAGGCCCAGCATTTATAAGCCTTCTTAGGTCAACTTACTGTCTGACTATGGGCAAGAAGTCAAGTAAGGCGTCTCCAGCGCCGATAGATCCACCGGTCACAAAGAAGAAAGGCAGGAAAGGTGCCAAGGAAGAAACAGAAGAAATGAAAAACACCAGACTTGCCAATCGAGCAAAAGTGACTTCAACTTCTAGCTGGACCGGTAAGCTGCCGCATACTCTACTGCATGAAAATTGTCAGAAACGTAAGTGGAACAAGGTCGAATACGACATGAAGAAAGTTGGCGAAAAGGGAATGATAGCAACCGCTGTTCTGTCCCAAACTGATCCTAAGACTAAAGAGACATTGACATTGAAGATGCATGACCCTGCCTTTGATCGAACAACCGGAAAGGGTCTGTTGGTCCCGCAAGAAACTCCCATGGAGGCCCGTCATATGGCGGCTACCGTGGCACTGTATAGAATTGCTTCCAATTCTAACATGCAGATGATGTTGCCACCCAACCATAAATCTTTATGGTATGACCTGGATGATTATCGAAAAGTGTTAGCAAAGGAACACCTTGCTCTGGCACAGAAGCTATTTGATCCAGAGCCTTTTAAGACACTAGTTGCAGACAGGAAGGCGAAGGATATTAAAGATAAAGAGCGTATGGCTAAGCAACAGCAAGCTCAAAAGATGAGGCACTCTCCGACTGTTATTACCTCGATTGGACCCAATAAGAGCAAATTATCCTCATCCAAAGATGGGGTCGCCAAAACCCGAGTTTCACGGCCACTCGACCAGAAAGTAATACGCTTCCCGTTGAAAGTTTGGGAAAATGCTACATTTGTAGATTTAAAAGAGTCTTCCAGAACTGACATAGAGCAGGCACTAAGGTCGCATATTGATTGGAACTCTAAAAAATGGGGAGGTGACATGACTACAGAGAGGGACCTCCTCCAGGAAAAACTCATACTTCTTGGATTTAGAAAGCCACATGTCATGGAATCTCTTAGCTACTCAGATCCCCTCTCTTTTCTGCTCCTGAATTTGCCAGAAGATGACCTACCCACATTTTTCCATAAGCGGCAAGAGGATACAAAGATGAAGGTTGAAATTTCTTCCCTACCGCTTCGAACTCAAAATATGATTTCTCGTCTCATGGAAGGTGGAGCTTCATACACTGAGGTGCTTTATGCTTTAGAATCCACTGATTATGATGAAAATGAAGCCGCTGGAAAATTAACAGAGAAGCTTTCCGCCCACCTGTTGGAACCCTCACCCGAGATAAGTGAGGAAGATTCGACTGAAATGTGGATTCAAGAACTTGAGAGCTTGCAAAGCATCTATGGTAACGAAGTTGTTGAAATAATGAATCACGAGAAGACCTGCTATACAATTAAATTGGTCGAAAAGTTCAACCTGAAGCTCAAGGTTTACAAGACGACAAAATACCCATCAACACTACCTGGTCTGATTGTTTCCACGTTCGATAAAAACGTTAAGCTTCCTAATTACATTAAACAAAATGCCCTTACTATGCTCTTAGATCATGTGGTCAAATCAAGCCTCCTGGGAGATATGATGGTCTATAGTATCTACGAATGGCTTCAGGAGCACTTGGCTGCTATTATAGATAATCCAGGGCTGTTAATTTCCGATTTCAAGCCTTCAAACGAGGTGTTGTCAAGAAGTTCAACGCAAAAGCCTTCATCGAAGCCAAGGACCAAAAACACTCGCGCATACGCGACATCCCTAGATGAGCTTCATAGACTGGAGTATGAATATAAAACACGAGTTACATCTCCAAGGTACGTGGGCATGGTCAAACAACGCTCGCAACTGCCGGCCTGGGGCCAACAGGAAAAAATAGTTGAATTGATTGAAAGCCATGATGTAGTATTGATAACTGGTGAAACGGGTTCTGGTAAATCGACCCAGGCCGTTCAATACGTTCTTGATTATTTGATGACTAAAAAGAACGATTTTGGTGAAACTAAGATTATTTGCACCCAGCCGAGAAGAATTTCTGCGATAGGCTTGGCAGAACGAGTGTCAGAAGAGAGATGTAGTGACTGTGGTGATGAAGTCGGCTACGTGATACGTGGTGTAAACAAAACGAAGCCCACCACTCGCATAAAATTTATGACAACGGGTGTATTGGTTCGTATACTCCAAGGCTCCAGAGATGTTTTGAAAAACACTATAGTTTTTATTGATGAAGTTCATGAAAGATCAGTCGACACTGACCTCATCGTAATTCTTTTGAAAAGTTTGCGAGGTAAAATACCTGGCCTTAAAATTGTGTTGATGAGTGCGACCGTCAATGTTGAAGTTTTCAACAAGTACTTCACGGATCTGAAGAGTTGTCACATCAAGGGTCGAACATTCCCCATAAAGGATTTCTATTTGGAGGAAATCCTCGAGTCCATGGACTACAAAATCAAACGCAAAAATCTTGAGTACGATGACCCTGAGGACGAAGGACAGTATTTGAGACCAAGGGCCAATTCCACGTTCTTTCAATCAGGTCAGATTGATTATGATTTGATTTCGTCTTTAGTAATCCATGTCGACAAAAAGTTAAATGGTCTTGGCAATGACGGCTCAATCGTAATCTTCTTGCCCGGTGTTGGTGAAATAAGTCGCTGTTGCAGAAAACTAGAAAAGAGCTCGCACTCCGATCAATTTGTAGTGCTACCACTTCACTCTGCCTTAACTCCGGATGCTCAAAAAAAGGTTTTTAAGCGGTTTCAAGGTAAACGAAAAGTTGTTGTTTCCACCAACATTGCCGAAACCTCCATTACTATCGATGACTGTGTTGCAACGATAGACTCTGGCCGAGTCAAATCTATGTTTTACAGTGCTCAAGACAATACAACGAGACTTAAAGAAACATTTGTGTCCAAAGCTGAGGCGAAACAGCGGAGAGGTCGTGCAGGAAGAGTTCGTGCCGGTTTTTCTTTCAAGCTCTTTTCAAAAAACATCTTTGAAGAAATGCCCGAACAGCCTATTCCAGAGATCAAGCGTGTCGGTTTAGAATCCTTGTACCTTTCTGTTAAGTCTATGGGCATTAAAGATGTTATCGGATTTTTGGGTACGGGCCTCGATCCTCCTCCATTAGACTCTTTGCAAAAATCTGAACAACTACTACTGGCTGCCGGTTTGTTGAGCGATGATGGAAATTCACTTACCGAACTTGGCAGGTACATCAGCCTAATGCCAATAATGGATCATAAGCATGGTAAGTTACTAATCTACTCCATTATGTTTGGTTGCACAGATTTAGGAATTGACATGGTAGCATTATTAAGTTGCGGAGGGTCACCTTTTGCCATTTCGCAAGATAATAGAGACCTGATCAAGGCTCTGTTTCTAAGGTATAGCAACTCTGGAGACTTTCTGGCTCAATTGGAAATCGTCCGACAATATCTGAATATTGAAAACCCTGTGCATAAACGCAAGTTCATGACACAAAATTATTTGTCCTTCAACAAGATGAAAGAGATCATATCTTCTAGGGCGCAGTTACTGAGTATTTTGAAAGATATTGGATTCTTGCCAATGCAGTATAGAATGGGCGAATCGGATTATCTCAACAGAAACGGTAGGAATCTAGAAATCACTAAGGCCATACTGACCGGTTCTTTTTACCCACAAGTTGCCCGAGTTGAACTGCCATCTCAAAAGTTCGTTTCCACAAGTTCAGGAGCGATAGAAAAGGACCCCGAAGCCAAAATGGTCAAGTACTGGATCCGAAATGAGAAGTACATCGATCAATTATATGCAATGGGTGACCAAGATCGTGAAGTGGAAAACACCGCGTTACCGGCAACACGAGGTTTTGTGCACCCGTCTTCCGTTTTTTTCTCGTCCAAAAACGACGTCTTGGAGGGCGATTTGACAACCCTAGACGCTAACAACAGCCAGTCGTTGTCGGGGAAAGTCACCAATGGTGCTCAACCTTTTTCCAAGACCCCATTTATCATTTACAACAGCTCCCACGTCAGCAGCAAGCTATACCTGCGCGACGTCACGCCGACCTCTTCTTTGGCTCTGCTCCTATTTGGCGGCTCGATAAAATACGAATTGCAGGGTGCCCACCATTCTCCCGGCCTCGTAGTCGACAATTGGCTGCCAATCCGTACATGGTGCAAGAACGGGGTGTTGATCAAAGAGCTCAGGACATTACTGGACATGGTGGTCCGACAAAAACTGGAAAATCCAGTGGATTACCACTCGCAAGACACTTCTCATACCGGTGACGATATTCTGACGGTGGTTGAAAATATTCTGAAGGCGGAGTCATTGTGAACCGACCCACAGATAGTTCTCAATGTTTGGTCATAAATAAACCCCGGCTCAAATATCGAGCCAGGCATCATTATATAAAATTATGACACTAATATGGTTCTTGGCTAACCTAAATTTAGGAACACGACGCCAGAGCCAGAATTTCCACTCATGCCGACCTTAGTCAGTTGAAGTGCAATTCCAACCTACCATAACTTCATATTAAACAGTTCCATCCGACAAGTTTATCGAACCACGAAAAACTGTGGAAAATGTATATTTTAGAAAATTACTCCAGGCATGTGGGTCTTGTCAGTGCATTTTTTTTTATTCTCCATATTGACATTGGATGAGATAAGCGAGTGAGGTGCGGGAACGCCAAGTCTGTTTGGTTACCCTCAGGGTTGATAACCACAATATACATTAAATATGGTCACATAACGTTCACGTCTTCCTGCACACCCACCAGTACTCAACACGCATTCCTCCTACAATGGCGAATATTCTCAGCAAAGTCAAGAACAAATATCGGGTGGTGGCACTGACGCTGGTTTGCCTAGCAGTGATGTTTGGGCTTGTGATCGCCGCTTTCCCTGCTTTCTCTGAAGGAGACATCACTTCACTGCTGAAGTGGGATGACAATGGCAGGACTGGCAACAGTTATGGGACTGGAAACTCTCACGAAGACGCTTGGCAGAAGCAAATATTGAGTGAAGTGGAAGGCACCTATAATGTCCAAGAGGGTCATTATATCAAGAGTGTAATTAAGTTCAACACACAGACGTCACTAGGGGAAGACAGCGAGGTGGACGAGCGCAGTACAATTATCCTAAGCGTAGTCGCTAGCAATAGCTCTTATGGTGGCGAAAATACGTTTGCGGATTTCTTCAACACCACTCTCACCGGTTTCGAGTATGTCTATCCTCAGCTGTCATTGGGCCTGCTGTTCACAGAGGAAGACGAATACTACCACGTGCGCTCGTTCCTCAGAGACTACTTCAACGACGAGGATATTGCAAGCGACCAAAAATTCAGCAAGGTTACGCTGTTGTGTGCTCCTTTCTTGAAGGGTAATATCAACAGAGCAGACAGACACTCAAATGCAGTCCAAAAATATAGGAGAATTTTGATTGCTAAGTCGAGGAACTTCCTCATCAACAACGCGCTAGAAAATGAAAGATACACGCTCTCTATTGATTCGGATATGGTCCAAGTCAATCCGTTAACTCTTGATTATTTTGTCGACAGCGGGAAGGACATCATAGTGCCCAGGATAGTCACAAAGGCGAAGGGAGACTACGATTATAACTCCTGGCAAGGAGAGCGTGCACAGCCTTCGCCAGAAGAATATGAGAGGATCAGAAATGCCCAGGAAAAGTCCATTGCGGAAAATACCCCAGAAGAATACATTTACGTACCTCACGACAAGAATATGAAGCACTTGTCAAAGCTGTGGGATGAGCTTAGAGAAGCCGACCCAAACACTCCGGAGAATGCGGCGGTTGAGATCGACTCTGTAGGAGGTGCTATTTTATTTGTCAAATCCGAAGTGTTCAAATACGGTGTTCAGTTCCCTACATATCACGTCATTGGCGCGGATTGGGATTTACCTCTAGGAGGATACGATGGTATCGAAACAGAGGGGTTGTGCTACGGATCTAAGATGCTAGGTTTTAAATGCTGGGCAATGCCTGCCCTGACTGCGACGCATACTTCTGGTTGAATTTACATCTTAATGACCTGCATAAATCAGACCATTGGTAACGAAAATAATAGAAATTGTTTGAACTGTGTGCATAAGTAGCTGTATTAGTAAATGAATTTCACATTCCATCCCTTAAACTGACCCAAGTTGCTGTGGGGAGGACGGGGATATAACTTGATAGGAGACTTACTGCAATGAGTTTTATGTTTGATAGGATACCCTACCATCAAACCATCTGACTAACAAGGGAAACTCTGGATTTATACACAATGGCCCTCGCATGAGGTTTTGATTCATTGCACAAGATCTCTCTGGATACTGCCATCTCAAAAATATCAAACCAAAGAGATTCTAACAGCAAGGATGACCACTCAATCGCCCAATTTTCGTAACTGTTCGCTTGACGAAGAGACATCAGTGTGGTATCGGGAAGCCGGGTCACAGCATGATCCCACTATCTTACTCCTCCACGGGTATCCAACTTCCTCCAATATGTTTAGAAACCTCATTCCATTGATAGCCTCAAAGTTCCATGTCGTTGCCCCAGATTTCCCCGGATTCGGTTTTACTACAGTGAGTCCAGATTTCGATTATACGTTTGAAAATATAGCAAAAACGATTGACAGTTTTGTCAAAAAGATTGGTTTGTCAAAGTACCTGCTGTATATCTTTGATTATGGAAGTCCAGTGGGATTCAGACTGGCGCTTATGAATCCAAATTCTGTGATCTTCCTTGTTGTTCAAAATGGGAACGCATACGAAGAGGGTTTGGATGACAGGTTCTGGGCACCATTAAGAGATTATTGGGGAAAAGACCAGCAAGATCCGCAAATGCTCAAGGCGCTCAAAGGGTTCGTAGAAGACCCTAAAAACATCAAGAGTCAATACTACGATGGCGTGCCCCGTCCAGAAACGGTAGATCCCACTGGTTGCACCCTCGATATCGCATTGTTGAAAAGGCCAAATCAATCTACCGTTCAAGTTAAGCTCTTTCATGATTATCAAACGAATGTGGCGATGTACCCAAAGTTTCAAGAATTTCTTAGGACCCATAGCATTCCAATTCTAGTCGTTTGGGGCACGAATGACTCCATTTTCACTTTGGCTGGAGCAAAAGCTTACGCTAGAGATGCTAGCGATGTAATTTTGCGATTATACGATACGGGACACTTCGCTTTAGAAACTCACTGTGATGAAATAGCGAGAGAAATATTGGAAGTGTTCGCCTCTCAAGAGTGAGACAGCGGAAGAATTACGTACCTCCCTGGAATCCAAATTGCAACAAAGATACGGGGACTGCACCATGTGTCTCGTCATAATGAGCGATCAATTCTGAATAAGATGGTGCCATCCAAAAGCCGCACTCACAGTGCTTGCACTGTAGATCTACCCACGTACTCGCTTCTTGAGCATAGTCTCGATTGTATATTTCTTCACATTGTTGAAAAAAGACCTCGATCTCCCGTTTATCCTGGTCAGATGAAGGTATTTTCAATTCCGCGCTCTTTTCCTCCGCTGGAGCTATCATACTTAGAATGTGTGTGTCCAATAAATGTTCCGTTAGCGCACATTGTGTATCGAATATAGCCGTGCAGTCATCATATGTGCACATACTTTTGGGTGGGCCCCTTTTCAAATGTGTGTTTCTGTGCCTTGACAGTTGCTGTTTTGTGACAAATCTCTTGTCACATTGGTCACATCCCAAAGGCTTATCCCGTCTATGGGTCCACCTGTGAACATTCATGTGGCAAACACGGTTAAATCTTTTGCCACAGTCGATCTCGGGGCACACGAATGGTTTATCATTGGTATGTGACCGCATATGTTCCCTCAACTGACATGGTTTCTGATATTTTTTATCACAACCTATCAAAGGACACTCATGTCTCCTGACAGTTTTCGAGAATTGGGTCATTCAGGTGAAGAAGTGCTCTTTATAATATATCCTTGTTCACAACGTTTGCCAATAATCAAGAGCAGTGAAATTATGCCTTCCCCACACTATCTACAACATTTGTGCCAAGAAGTTGTTCTTATTGAAGTGTCATCCGCTCACAAAAAATGATTGGTGCCTGCGAGGTTCGAACTCGCGCGGACAACTGTCCATCAGATCTTAAGTCTGACGCCTTAGACCAACTCGGCCAAAACACCTTATGATATTTTCATCACTGTTTCAAGAAGCAGTTTCGAACCGCTGTCTCTACCAATGGTTAGAACCGCCAGACTAGGAGGCTACTACCGTTGGATGTTATGTTGAAGAAAACTGCCCTACATATTGTGCAAATTAAGTGTCATATAACCACGAACGAAAAACAGACAGGGCTCACCGTACATTTTGTTCAGAGGGGTGAATAGTTATTGTGCATTCATTAACCACCACGAGATATAATATTGGCCAAGTAGCTTCCAATTGAGCGTGTGATCCACCACACCTTTCCCCGCTAGACCTTTCGGGACAAGTGCCTTATTTTGAACATCGACTTAAAGACCGTAAATGGATTGGTCTTAAATTGTAATTCAACTGCGTCATCTTTGCTCGCATCGGCCATGGCCACTTCGTCGCGGGCCACTATATAACCCCTCAGAATCAATTGACACACTGCGCCACTAAAATATCCGAACCCACTGAAGATGGCCGTTTTCGTATAACCACTGTTGGAGACCAGTTCAAAACCTATAATAGACGAGGCTATCCCAAATGCAGCCAAAAATATCCACACGCTGGCAAACGTCACACTCATTTTTTGAAGTCCCACTACCCTAGCAGTAATTGAGCCCACTGTAGCCCAAATTGTGCCCATCAATATCCCCTGCAATAAGGCAAAAGCAATAGCAGTGGCCAAATTTTGACAAGGAATCCACATGGCCCAACACAGGATGGCCAAAATAGAATGTACAATAAAACCAACAGTTAGAACCCCTAAGCGGTCAGATAGGTAGCCAATGATTGGTCGACCCACTGTCCAACCGGCACTTATCATGCAGGTAACATATGAGCCCTGTTTGGCAGTGTATCCAAGACTTACTGTAAAATCGGATAAGGAAAACAGCACCACAACATAACCAAGCATGGTAAATGATACCCAGCCGAGTAACAACCAGAACCCAGCGGTGCCAAATAGGTCCTTATCGAAGATTTGTATTTTATTGGCCACTTTTTTTGGGGTGCCTGTTGCTTCTCTCGTTCTCGTGAAAAGGAGAGCAACTGTATTGAGTGCCAAACATATGATGAATTGGAATATCAGTGCCCATTTTACGTTTCTCATTTCAATTATTTTTTGAGTTGCGAGGTTAAAAATAATACCGCCAATTCCGCTACCACTGGTGGCAATCCCCATGGCCAGTGCCCTTTTCTTGCGAAACCAAAAAGGTATTAGCGTCATATTGGGGATGAAAATAGAGGCGAGGCCGAACGAAAGTAATACACCTTGAGTGAGATTAAGTGCCACAAATATTTGGAATATGCCGCCAACATAAAAGCTGTGGCTTGAAGTATAATTCCAAAGGTTATTACTATTCGCACTCCAAATTGGCGATAAAACCAAGTAATTATGGGGGCAAAAAGCAAACCTGATCCGAATGTTAGACCGCCAATCACCGCAAAATGGATGTCATCTCTGCCACCAAAAGTATCATCGTTGATATAGTTTTCAATGAATATCGCGTAGCTGGAGTTGGCACCCCAGGTGGAGAAATTATAAATGAAACATGCTACAACGACTAGCCAACCAAATCCACCGTCGGGGACATCAAGATCTGTGTGCGATTTAATCTTTGGTAAATTTTCAGCGTCCTTTGAAGACGACTTTTCGGAATGTGCAGGATCTGAGGACATTGGTGATATTGATTGATCCTGAAATTAAAGCGACAGCAACCTTTGAGAATCACCGCTTACATATATACCGTATTAATGGTCAACCTATGAGCTCACTTCTCGTCCGGAGTTAACCGGAAAATTCGTAGTTACGGACGGCGGATCTATCACTATGAAATTTGCTTTCCACCTTTTTTGTAGCCATGAGGAACTTCTTGGGGACCGTATCTTGGGCACCGTATCTTGGGCGCCGTATTTTGGGCACCGTCTGTTTTTGATATAGTTCATCTCTTACTCTCACCGTGCATGAAGACGTTGCTGTACTGATCGTTAGAATTAATCAGCTACCAATGGCGGTTTTGGTAACGCTTGTAATGTCTGTTGCCACGCCCCTTGGTACTCTTTGGAGGAATACTACTTTCTGGTCATCGACTATCATATTTGGTAAGCGGGGCCCTTTTTGAAGGTTTAGCTACAATATTTCAATATCAACACCATCATGTACGATTTTAGCGTCAATTATGGCAGCCGCCACGGAAACTGTAATGATTGTATCTCATCACCAAAGATCTGGTTATCTTCCACTGACTTTTACTTTGCCGTAAGAGTTTTTACTTCAAATCATTCCAATAAATTGTAAAATATATGATGTTATCGAGAATCCTCTATATTATCGTCAAATTCATCAAGTAAATCTATTGCTCAAAAGGAGATCACATATCTGGCTCTCTAACCTTGGGACTAGATAGAGTATGAATTGAAATTGACTATAATTGAAAATTGAAACCACTGGTGATAAGGCGAAGGTTCTATATTTTAACCGCTCTGATCATACTTGCGTAATAGTTTTCAGTCTGCATGGAGGAATATTCATTTGAGTAAGGTCATCCGAAACAAGATCAAAAGGCACAAATGATGCGTGGAGACTACAATTCATTTATGCGCAGAGAATAGGAAGGGGTGAGCGGATAGCGATGGTATTTAAATGTTGTGAAACAAAACACAGCGAACTGTCCAGATTAGTTCTCGCATATCTAACTCAGTATTAATTTTTAATCGCTAAACTGGCAAATTCTTCTTATCGTTCAATGTAGGCCTGGCCTACCACTACAACGTTCCATTCTCGTTATCTGCTTTAATCTACAGCCTTTTATCTGTGTTGTCCTTCAACCACACTCAACAGCAAGGAACGTGGCACGAGCATTGAGTTTTTGTTATTATACCAAAGCCAGTGTAAAGGACTCACGATGTCTCATCGGCGCTTCACGACAACGCGTAACGCTCAACTATTCTCAGACCCATGGCCGGTAATTGTTCTTTTTCCTGTCATTGCGCGAGAAGTTCGACACTATTGACCCACAACAAAATCAATGAATTCATACTATATCAATTTTAGGTAGCTTGGCCGAGTGGTTAAGGCGGCAGACTTAAGATCTGTTGGACAGTTGTCCGCGCGAGTTCGAACCTCGTAGCTACCAACTATTTTTTTAAATACGGAGATGCAAACACTACTTGTCTCTTATCTCATTGGCCCTAACAATATAGTAGCAGTCTATGATTGTGATCTGTTTCAAGCCTAACTTCGTTTTCAAAGTTTGCGACACGGGTTTGACAGGAGCGTTTTGTCCTCAACTGCTGTAGCTTCACATTCCTCAGATTTAACATCAAACACTAATATATATGTCATATATAGATAGATATATAGATAGATATATATATAATAATAAATAGACTTCTTTTTAAAAAGCAGAAGCTAGGCTTGTGGACTTGGCGTATTCGTCAAAGGATAGAGGTTCGTATTTAACACCTAAGCCCTTGGCAATTGCGGCACCCAAATCTTTGTTCAAAAGCCCAAAGTACTGAGTGACCTTGGTTTGAATCGGAGCAGCAGCAGTGCTGACATGGCCCACGACGTTGTGAACAAATCTTTCTTTTGCGGCATCATCATAGACCTTCTCGTAAAGGGCTCTTGGCTGTTCCAGGTCTAGTGGGGAACAGCCGGTAACCCAATAGTACTCATTGATCTTGGAGTCCACGATTTCATTATGCTGCTTGACCTCTTCTTGGGATTTCAAGGCAGCGTCCGAGTTCTCCTTGGTTACAACACCTGCGAATTTGTTTGGACACGCTTTGTCGTCATTTAGGTTTTTGAACTGCGCCCTTTGCTCGTCCTGGGTTGAGATATAGTTTGGATAAGATCCTTGGTTGTATAAGGCACCTGGGCCATCTCTTTGGAAGTTGCCCATTAAAAATGGACAGCCAGAGCTACCTGCAGAAACAGGACACATGTTTCTAGGACTGTTGACGGGCAATTGAGAATAATTAGCACCAAGTCTGTGACGCTGCGTATCAGGATAAGAGAACAATCTAGATTGCAAGACAGAATCATTAGAAGGCTCGATACCAGGGATACAAGTGTTGCTAGGGCTGAAAGCAATCTGCTCAATTTCTTCAAAGTAGTTGTCCACGTTTTCTGTCAAGGTGATCTTACCAAACTTACGCAATGGAAACTCCTTATGAGGCCAAACCTTGGTCAAATCATTAACTGAGTAGCGGAACGCCTCCGCCTGCTTGGGAGTCATTGTCTGTACATAGCAGTTGTAGACCGGACGCTCGCCCCTTTCCAAAGTGTCAAACATGTCTTTTTGATTGTGGTCTGGATTTTTACCACCCAGTTCGGCAGCTTCCTCATTGTTGAGACACTTGACACCACCTTCAGGTCTCACATGGATTTGGACATAAGTTAAATCGCCCTTCTCGTTGAAAAACTTGAAGGTATGGCCAGAGTATCCGCTCATGTTGGCCCAGCTGGCCGGGGTACCCCTGTCGCCAAACATATACACAATTTGGTGCATAGATTCCAGGTTTTGGGTCAGGTAGTCCCAATACATGGAACTATCATTACCATGATTCAAATGGGAACGAGGATAACGCTTCTGCGTGTGGATAAAATGTGGGAACTTGTTGGCATCACGAATGAAGAAAATAGGTGTGTTGTTGAACACCCAGTCGTGGTTACCCCATTCTGTGTAGAACTTGAACGACATCCCGCGAGGGTCACGTGCAGTGTCAGGAGTTCCTGCCTCACCTCCCACGGTAGAGTAACGCACCATACCCGGGCACTTGTAGCCTGGTTTCTGGTAAGGGGCAGCAAACGTTATATCCGACAAAGAGTCTGTAACCTCGAACTCGAAACGGCAGCCACCTCCCTTGGCATGCACGACACGTTCAGGAATTCTTTCACGGTCGAAATGCGCGAGCGACTCCACTAGGTGTACATCTTGCAACAACAAGGGACCATCAGGGCGCGAATATTGCGCACCGTATGGATGGTGAGTGTATGGAAAGCCATTGGCTTGGGTGTAGGTCAGTTGTGGTGGTTGGGCGCTTTTCTTTTCAATCATGTTGTTGGGCAACGAAGAGTTCACTTGATAGTTGGGAGATATGTTTGCAAGGTTCACAAGTCCTTATATATATATATACTTTCAGCGCTAAGTGAAAGCAATCTTATCGATGTAAAATCTATGTAATCATTACAAGTCTGGCTCGTGGCTCAACATGAGGGATGCTCCGCTATGTTCGTGCGATCCTCGCGAATTTCCGTATATCGTGTTTTGCTTTAATATTTGTTATTTTGCTGCCAGTATAGCAGATTTCGATGCATCTCTATGCAAGTCCACGCATACGTATGTTATGGAAAGAATAGATCGTGTTAGTTGACTTTTAGTTATTCACTTCAGTTCTCCATGTATATGTTATATGCTTACACCATACGATCGGCACCGGTGAGTCTCACAGCAGTTCCATACTTCTGCAGCTTCGTGAGCAGGCTATCACCCTCCTTGATTAGCATGTGATACTGTACATTTTTGTTATCCGGTCTGTTGGTTTCCACAATGCCGTTGACCCTGTCAATAACACAGTTGAGTTGCTTGTTGGGAATGAACTTGCCTAAATCCTTATCTAGGAAATCAACTGAGACACCGAATGCCTTTGCCATGGATTTTATGGAAAGAGTCTTATAGGACTCGAGTAATTGGGCATACACTTTGCGTCTCATCTCGCGGACGAAATAGTCGGCGTGTTTGTTGAGATACTTGGACGGAACAAGCACGTTGTCGTAGGTCTCTAATAGATAGGGGAAGTAGCTGGAGTATTCAGAAGTGTAGAGTGATATGGTGAGGGAGGAGATGGACTGGAGAGCCTTGGTGTCGCTCATCAGCGACAGCACCTCTGGTGAATCGACAATTTTGTCCTTGAGTTCAGTTCTTCCGAGAGCAAAGAGACCCGCTACGGAAGCGTAAGTGGCGATGTTTTCGTAGGAGGTAAACTCCAATGAGGTGAAAGTAGCCAAAGAGTCTACCAACAAGTCTGCTGCCTCCCTAAAATTACGGATGGCCAGACAGTGCACACCTTTGTAGGTCTTGTACCGGTTTCTTCGTTCCCAATCGCCTCCTTTCTCAATCATAGTGTTTGTCTGTTCCAGCTTTTCTTTCACGAATTGTTGATCGTTGTAGAAAAACCCTAGCCGCGTTATCGTTAGCATGATATCAATTTTGGATCCCGTGGAAACCGCTTTTTCCAATGCTTTAGCCAATGTTTCTTCTGCATTTGCTTTATCGCCAATCTGGGCATAGTATTCTCCTAGTTTAACCCAAGCTTGTGCCTTCTCCAGTTCACCTTCGTCTTTGTCCTCGACTTCTTGAATACGTTCCTTCAGTTCTGTTATTTCCTGTTGATTGCGGTCTAGCAGCGATTGATACAACGTCTGGTCCCATTGGAAAGCACCTTTGGGGAGGTATTCCTCGTACAGATACTTGTAGAATGGCCCCATAGCCTCTTCCTGCACTTTCTCCAGGACGAATCTTAAGCTGGCTTCGTGTTGTCCCTTAAGTCTGGGCTCTGAAAGAATAAATGCATGATCAGCTACTTCATAATTGGGGACTTTGTTGAGGGACGTCTCTAAGGTATTGGAATCTTCTTCGGCCATTGAATAAGCGTACCTGTTAAAGTGGGTTTACCGAGGTCAACCAGATTAGCGGTGGCAAATGTGTACATATTGTAAAATGATGAGCAGTAGCGAACAGCATTGTACACGAAGGGAAAGTTCACCAGGCAAGGTATTTTGTTCGTGTCTAGTTATTCACATGAAATCTAAAGTCTGCAGTTTGAAATATGCAACGCACCTCTTAACGCATACATTTGATTGGAATTCTTGACTGGTATATGCTCACCTACGGTATCAAGTTCTATGCTACGTACTAAAGAAGCCTCGCACAGCAAATCTTTGTTATTCTTGTATTTTGAGGAAACGATCAAATTGGCTGTGAATCGTGGTTCAACATCATTCGTATCGTAATTGTTATTGTAGTTGTACTATACGTAGTTTTTCTGGCGATCTTTGAACAAAAACTGTACAATCACGGCTTGCACCACGCTGACACCGACCATCAACCCCATGGTCAACATGGAAAGCCATACAAGTCTGCTCTCGGTGGATTTAACAGTGTACATGTTTCTCCACTCTCTGGCTCTGAGATAGTTCATCATCTTGGTGATTTTGTTGAGGTTTCTCTCTATTTCTTCGATCGAATGGATTGAAATGGCATTTTCCGGAGCTGAGTTGGCACCCAAGTTTTCTTTTTCGAGTTCAAGAGTTACCTCCACTTTCTTGAGGGCAGTTCCGTAACTGTTGGAAAAGCAAAACGAATATTGGCCCAAACCAAACGATTTCAGCAGAAAATCAGAATATTTCTTTTGCTTTTCCGTGGCAATTACGGATCCATCGGGTGATTTGATCTCAAAATCGATTTCGAAGTTGCCACCAGTCAGAACTTGGTAACTTATAACAATTGAGTCGTCATTGGAGGTCAAATCGTAGTAAAGACATTCCTTGGTAAATGAGGGCAGCATCAATGCTACCGGTGAGTAGGTGCTTGCCGAAGCAGATACACCTATAGAGCACAGAATTAATGCCGAGAAGAGGTAAACAATGGACTTAAGAGACATTATCTTTCGTCTGCTCTTGATATTGCAAAGGACAACCTAAACTGCTCGCTCTATTTTGGATCTCGAATTTTTCTAATTTCACATTTTTTCAAGTTACGTGTTTTGAGTTTCATATTCAACGTGTATAACGATATCCTTCACAAATAAATGTCGTGCGAAATGGCGAAGACGAGAACTGACACTGGAAATTATCCAAATGAAACAAGTTACGATGTTCGGCCAATCCGCCAATCGATGCTAGGGTTTATTTTTTAGCCAATTCTCTTGTAAGCTCTTACCTGCTCTCTGATTTCTCCATTTAGATTGTCATAGGGCATTCTAGCTACGACATTACAGAGCACATTTTCTTGATTCACATCATTCGGGCGTGTGGTCTAGTGGTATGATTCTCGCTTTGGGCGAAGTTCGAGTCTTAACTTGAGCTACATTACATGTCACGAGCATGCGAGAGGCCCTGGGTTCAATTCCCAGCTCGCCCCGTTTATCTTTTTTGGGAGGTTGTTTCACCTATCTTGATGAGAAAGTAGTCGCAAAAATTGGAGCCATTGATCGTGTTCATCTCCGCCTTCTTGAAGTAAAACATTTGTCTCTGCAACTCTTGAATCAATGTTTTCTTGTTTCGAGTTCTTATGGGGACGTCGTTCAATTTTCTGAGTAAATTCTTTGCGTAGGCAAAGTCCCGGGAAGACAAGTTCAATAACCGAAGTCCAGCAGGGGAATCCTTGTTTGCTATAACTTCATGCATTAAGACGCCCCTGTAATTCAGTCGAGGACATTGATACGTTGCTTTGATATCGTTGTGAATATACTTGAGAGCTATGTCAATCCCGTATGGGTCACTATCGGTGTACACTTCAAAGAACACTCGATCTGGGCAGAAAAGCATCAATTTGTAAAGAAAATGACGAGTTAGCCAATCTGGGTATCCTTTACCCGTGACGAGCATACATCGCTCGCTAATTGAAGGGTGGTCGGCAACTTTACTAAAAATTGCATCCTTCTCAAAAACGATCACCCTTTCCAAACCTGACCAATCTGCCTCCAATTCGGTGGATGCAGCTATGAGGGGAACCAGAGAGCTTTGCTGTCTCGCGATCAACTTATTGAAGTCGAATCTCAACTCCACGGGCGTGCAAAATAAACCTTTTTGTGCTGCCACAATTCCCAGTGCGTCCAATTGGGGGAGTTCAAAAGCATCGACAATGTTTCGCAGCCACGTAGCTACGATTTTCTGATTTTGGTAGAGCTCAACATTAAGGTAAAAAACATCGCGAACTGTACACAGGTCATGGGTTTTGATCTTCATTGATATACATTTCAAAAGATTCAATAACACCGCTATTTGCTTGATAGGTGGACCCTTCATCTTCTCAAAACCATAGTAGGGACAACACAAAATGGTCTTCCCCGTTTTGCCTTGGCCACCTACATGTAGAACGAAATGTTCATCTTGCTGTTCTATAGCATTTCTGGTAAGGGACAAAAGTATATCAATCTCTAATTTGATACTCCTGGATTCTTCAACCTTCATAAACTTGATCTTTCTATGACTGGGGGTAAGTGTTTCTTCTAGTTTGACTCTAGAATGATTGTGACTCATGTAATCTGATAGAGAGTCGCTCAAGATCACACGGTTTAAGCCAGATGGCATTGGCAGTGGCTGTTTTTGCTCACACATCGCGTCCGTGAGATAAGCGCGGCTAACGATCTATTTTCATATTCCATAATAATTATGATTAGACAGACAGCGTACAGAATAAGCTCTCTAAAAAAGACACACCAATATGGTCTGAAGTGCGTCGAACGATGCCATAGAAGCCTATTTACGGTGCCCAAAAGTTGCCTCTGAGATGTCAGTTTAACTCCTGCAAATACGACAACCTACTATTCACTGCGTCATCGTCTAAATAGCAGCCCCGCAGCCATCGGTGGCCTGTAAAGGAAGTGCGAGCATGAAGGAGACGCCTGTTATTGAAAATAACACATGTATTCTCAGGGAGTTTGAGCCTGAATTGGTTTTCCGGAAGACTTATAAATTTCTCAAAAAGAGCCAAGCCTCGCAGGAAATCCTTGAAAAGCAGCCTTTGAGTCAATTTGCCGCTTGGTGTGGATAGCTCCTGGCCCTTGGGTTTATCCCAAATCCCAAAGTCGAAAGGCGCTTGAAACATAGGGGAATAATTTATAGCTTTTACCAATGAAGCGTAATTAGATGACACTAGTTTGTCAGTGTTGACCTCATTTTCCACTATCAATGGACGAGAATTGTAATAACGATTATCGTTGCGGTTGTAGTGGTAGTTGATGGGGACCTGTGTCAGTGCCTCGTAGGCATCTGCATCTGAATCACGAACGAAACGGGCAGCATTGAACCCATCTACAAAATAGTTCATGCCGGCTTCGCTACCACTAGACGAGTTTTTAATGGCATGCAAAATCTGCCAGCCAGGCGCGCTGTCCAAATAAAGAAGATCCTGGTGCAATGGAAGGTTATGTGCTGTGTATGCGATGTTCTCTGCATCTGGTTTATTCATTACGTCAAAAACTTCGCCATAAAACGTGGCACGGATGGGACCAATCCGCTCTGCGACATTTTTCAGCAGGGTTTCCTGCTCTTCCTTTGGAAACTCGGCAATGAATGAAATACCAAATTTACGCATGTTCTCTAGGGTGTTGAGTAAAGCACTCGGGTTAGCTTCGTCCATGTACGAACCGTAGTTGACGGACAAGAGCTTCCCGATATTCTGCTTGAGAAGCGCTTGATCCCAAATTACTGGTGGTTGCTGAGCCAACGGTAAAGCTGCTGATAGGTCTTCACTCGAGTGTCCAGAGTAGCGATCCAAAAACTCAAGAGAATATGTGAAGGAATCGCCATCGCCCCAGTCGATCTGCAGTGATTGTCGATCTGCTGTCACATCTACTTTCTGCGGTACGGTAGATCTGGGGTTCATAAGCAGCTGACCGGTTTGGAATAGCTTTTGGCCCGATGACGGATCTACCGATTTCTTACTCTGTGACGAGTCTCTTAAAAAAAGGTTACTAAACGAGACAGTTCTAGTAGCCTGATCACTGGACAAACCCGAACCAACCGCCCGTTTGTAGGTTATTGTGGTGGATTCTTTGTTGAATAATGTTTTAAAAATGTTCCACGAACTGTTGTCCTTCTCTGGACCAGCATCTCCGGATAAGAGCGACGATGACAGCCCACTGTTCAAACGTTTCCCTACTAATCGTAAACCGTTCTGAGAGCCTAATCCTCGGAGATTCATAAGCATTTTGCTACTTTCCAGGCCTTGCCCATGCCAAAAAAAAGCCTTTGTAACCCTTGAATTCTTGTCGTTTTATATACGATCGAAGGCTCAGTAGCTCCGTTTGTCCTGTGTAAACGGAGAAAAAGCTACGCGGCGAACATAAGAGGGTCACCCATTTCACCCAAAAATTAAAATCACGTCTAGACTCGATAAGGACAACTCAAGCACCAAGACATGGGGATGGGCCCTCAATATGGATGAATGCCAGCGGTTCAAATGTCTCGCAAGTGGTGTGGGTTAACTACTAATATATGTGATTTGGGTTATCTTGAAATTTGTTATATGAAGATTTTGTAGTATACGATGAGCATATCCAGAAAGGGCGGTGAAGATTATGCTTAGAAGCCGAACTGGACTCAAACCCGTTCTTGGAAGATCACCGGCTCGCCTGTACTATTCGGAAAATGCACAATCTTCCAAAAATGATCGGCAGAGAGCGAAGAACATCAAAGACGATCTGCAACATGTTTTGAGTTTGTCGAACCGCATTACTAGGGAAAGTAACGCGGATTGCAACGTCACAGAAGAGGCCGACGAGAGACCGGCTCTGGAACTTCGAAAAAAACTAGATCAGTTTCCACAAAGGATCGGAGAACACCCAAGTTATGTTAGAGAGCTGGACCAGATGCTGCAGCTTGATCGACCTGGACAGGCTTATGATAAAAACAAAGGGGACGCAAGACACTCTACGCTTCGAAAAACCGTTTCAGGTCCCGAAGTTCTAAGAGAAAACTTTCACATCAACGCGGATAATGTGGAATTTGAACCTGTCGCGCTCCAGGAGTCCGAAAGCAAGCCGCCACGCTTGTGCCACGAACTGGATAGAGTTCTATTCCAGCCGATGAACTTTCATACATTGCAGGACAGTCGAAGTGGGACCTATAATTTCAGCAAGTGGCTTGAAGATATTATTCGCGTCGACGATTTTGATTTCGATGCAGTTTCGGAGTTTGTGACTTCGTCAAGGGATAAAGATATGCTTCAATTGGCAGAAAAATACCAAAAAAGGTACTACTCTTCGACCAGCTCCATGACGGGAGTCTTGTCACACATGCACTTTTTATTATCGAATTTCCGTAAAAGCAACATGTCGATAATTTCAAAACACTTTCGTGAGAGATCAGCTAGCTTCAGCCGAGGTGCTCAGCTTCCAGCAGTGGTGATAATGAAACGAATGAAGAGTAAAAAGGGCATATTTTCTATCGATTCAGATAAATCCTCTGACCGTGAAATCATTTTATCACTATTGGGTCATGCTCTAGAAACCGTGCTAACCACGGAAGAACAGCAGTTCAAACGAACGTTTGATAAATCTAAAGAAGACTACAAAGGCAGCTCTATTCGACCAGAGGGCAAGTACCACTATTCAAAAATAGAGAACTTCGTACTGCGATCTCAACTGGATGCCTACCATCCAAAACTGCCTGGGACAGGTATTTTCGATTTGAAGACTAGAGCTGTGGCTGCTGTTAGACACGACATTGCATACGTTGAAGAAAATGACAATTATACCGGCTATCAGCTGCAGCAAGTGTTGGGTAAGTTTGAATCTTTTGAGCGTGAGCTTTTTGAGTTGATAAGAAGCACCATGCTCAAATATTCCCTGCAAGCTCGCATCGGTCGTATGGATGGAATATTTGTTGCATATCACAATATTTCCAAAATGTTTGGCTTTCAGTACATTCCACTCGAAGAAATGGATCACATTTTGCATAGTTACGGTTGTCCGAACTTTGAAAGTATCTTACAAGAGCGCAATGACTCTCTCAAAGCCATGATAGGAGATGAAGCTTTCATTTTGAAGCATGACCATGCTAATCTCGATCGCGATATTGCTTCAAACATCGCCGATAGCGAATTCAAAATTTCAATGTCACTCCTGAGCCAATTACTCCGCAAAGCTGAAAAATCCTTACCAGCTAAATTTTCTTCTTGCCGTATAGTCTTCAAGACTGAGAGTAAGAAAATATCCGATCGTTCTGGCAACATTTATAGGAAACCGGTGTTGAATGTTCTTATCGCACCATTGACAGAAGAGCAAACCAGTCAATTTCAAAGGGCAGATTTAACTAAAGAGTTTCTACAGGATGGAAAAAACATAGACACTTACGTGGAGAAAACGAGAAGACTTAACATGGCCACTGCTAAGGATGTGATAGGGTTTGAGATCCATGTGAATCACAAGGTCCATCACCACCCAGGTTCCATTGTTAATCCTCGCATCGCAAATAAGAAGTCGACTGTCTTAGATGATTCTGCTAAGCAGTTTGTCAAGACGATGGCGAACAAAAATTTTTACAGTACGCTGAAGGAATGGAAACATGTTCAGTTCTTCCATCCTTTGGACGTTTTGAAATGGACACCTGAGTTCAGTATACGCCAACTTGGCCATCAAGACAGGGTTAAAAAACTATATATGCATTATCTTGATGATAAATTATACGCATTGAAGGGTCAAACGGTGGTAAGGAAGCCATCAAAGTCAATGCAAGAGATCATAGCGGAACGGATAAGGCAGTTCATGTCGGGGGATGCAAAATGTAAAAAACGGGAAGGAGGAGCTATAGATGAGAATGAGGTTTCCCAGCTTCAAGCCGTGCTGAGGGCTTACTCAAAGAAGGGAGAACTTGCGAAAAGACGCCACAAATAGAAGCGCAACACTTCAGTCCTCCCGATACAAATAATCGTAGACTATTTGATACCAATGCAACCGCAAAATTATGCTATTGAGTTTACCTGTCCTTCAAGAAGGTAAGGAACCTAATGTAGTCATCTCGATCTCTTCGAAAGAGCTTTTGTTTTCCCGCTTCTTTGGGTAGTAAAATCGATAGTAGATGTATTGGCCAGCAATGTAGAAGTCCAAAGACATTTGAAAGGAGGCAAAGAACAAAAATAGCGGTGATATATTGTTTGCTCCAAAAATCAGATAGCTAATCTTGACAATGTCCCCGCATAGCCAGCTCACTAGTAAAATTAGCTTGAACCCTTGAACGGACTTAAGCTTGTTTAAAATTGAGATTTGCGGAAGAGGCAAAAGAGACTCGATAAACAAGCTTAAAGAACCTATGACGGATCCTATTGTTTGCGCAAAAGAAGTCCAGCTCATGATCTTGGCAACAAACAAGGTGAGGCCCAGTTGAGCTGTCGAAAAACATGCCAGGAACGTCCAAAAATTCATTGCTTGATTCCATTGCCAAAACGAACAGTATCTTTTATAGCTCGGATCAAAGAACTTCAGAAATTTGTAGATCACAACTAAGCAAATTTTGTAGTTGAACTCCAGAAGTCCTCTGAATGAAAGCGACTTGATCGTATTCTTCCAGTCTGATCCGAATGGGCTTAGCGGAAAGTATTCGACCCAGACTCCATGCAGCAGCTGGGTAAAAGGTTCCACTGTTTCGAGTTTGTCAAATTTATATTCATCAGGTCTGTACTTCAAGCTTGTACGCAGCAAGATCAATTGAATGAAGATCATTACCATAGATTGTCGCAATAATATGATGTCGTAGGGCGTAATGAGGTAGTAAGAAATGCGGAGAATGCTTGCAAGTAACATCGTAGCACAAATGTCCATGGAAAATCCCAGCGAAGTCCTTGACTTCTGGATACTAAGCACTGTGGTGCCATACGAAATCAGAGGTGTAAAACAAATCAGGTTGTTAAGCACAAACTGCATGGTCAGCCACTCGGGAATATAAAACTGGTCTATGCGGGGAAAATACGATCCAGTACCTTGTCCAGGAACCAGCGCAGGGTTCGAGGCCGCGTCATTGCTTTGCCCTCCACTGTCTACCACGGCGGCCATCTTTTGGTTCTGTTCCCACTTATGGTGCGTTTCTCGGGTAAGCTGGTTATTCCACAAGTTTCGGCTAACTTTAACCGATACAATATCCAGGGAAACAACAAGTTATAGTTCACTCTATGCTTTGACAAATTTCCCGGTCGTTTAAAAGTGGGCGTATGTTGACACTTTTTCACCCAAGAAGTTCGAACAGAACGACATGCATATAAGCCATAATAATACTACTTAAACATATTTATATATAAATGATCCAAAAATCAGCTGCTAGAATAAACATGCCACCGGGTTCGGGCACTTATTCTCTGCAGGAAACGCGAAGAAGTACCAATTCACTAAAGCTGAATTGATGCGAGATACTCCTTGCGGATGGACAGGGTGTCTGCAACCGGTCTACCGTGAGCGACCCATTTAGGCTCCTCTTTGAACAAACGCGCCGCTACAACGCGATTCTGGGTGGTGAGCGTGAAGCGATGATAAATTCCTGCTGGCAAGATCAGTAGATCACCTCTAACAAGCTTACAACGGATCCAGCGGTCATCTGGGGCGCTCCGCACATCAAAATACCCTTCTCCGTCCAGAATGTATCTGATTTCTTCATCCTCGTGGAGATGTTCGGCATAGAAATTCTGCAATTTGGGAAGCAACGCGTCCCCCAGGCTCTCTGAAGAAATACTAACTTCGTCTCTGTTCTTGTATTGTCTTTCCAAGGCAACCTCGTTAACCTGTTCTTCCGTGGAACAGTGCTTGTAAATGACCCCGATCCGGGCCAGATGGTCTAGTGAGACAGGATGTCCTGAGTCGTGTGCTTCCCGAAAGTCAACATTATCCTTGTTGTCATGAAAGTAAACCTCGACCATGGTAATAACGAACTGTGTTGCGGTTGAGCTTGTAGAGCTTGTAGAGCTTCCAATCTTCGTTCGTTGGAGAATAGGCCCTATTTTTATATTTAGCCGTTAGGGTACTAAGTAAGGACACGGCTGTGGGAAAGAAAAAATAGCGCCGCTCGGTTTCGATCCGAGGACATCAGGGTTATGAGCCCTGCGCGCTTCCACTGCGCCACGGCGCTGACCTGGGACTTTAAAAGTGTAGTTTGCTGGTGTTGTAGCAGTTCAGCTGGAGAGTATTCTCACCTCGCCTGCAACAACTGAATGCTTGACGTTTACTAGTTGCCAGATTCTTTTTGCTACAGCTTACTCTTTAACTACCTCCACTCCTCGTCGATATATTATAAGTGGTAGTCCTATCCACGAGCCTTCATTTTACGTGTGTCTGCCGAGCTGCCTTACCGTGGAAGAATACCGTCTTGACACTGGTGGGTGTCATCTCCTCAACCTGAGTGGTTGGCGTATGCTGGCGTATTTTATTAATACCAGTGCTTCATTGCCATGCGGACCCATTACATCTGACATATATTCTTTCGTTACTATTTCTGCAATCGTTCAACAAAAATGGACTTTAAGTTTCACAGATTACTGATGGAGCATCCAGGTTAGCCAATGTACTCTCCCCATTGGGGTCATTCATTTGAACTAGTCACCTTCCGCCAAATATATGGAGCAAACATCAAAGATTTACGAACCGGCCCAAATGCTAGGTCCAGACATATGCAAGGTGCTCTGAAAGGTATACAAAGTGTCAGAGTCTGGTGGTGCATCAATCAGCTATTCGGGTACCAACCGACTATCAAGCCCACTTCACTACTGTCGTGAGTAATTGTCAATTTTCCCGTCGCAGAAACATCACATTATAAGGAGCAGTGCTCCCATACATATTTTGCACCATACGAATTAACATCGTATAGCTTCTATGGCCAAGTTGGTAAGGCGCCACACTAGTAATGTGGAGATCATCAGTTCAAATCTGGTTGGAAGCATTTATTTTGTGTTTTCTTTTTTTGGTGCTCAAGCGTTATTATCTTTTTTTACTCATTATGTTCATTTTTGAATCATTGTTTACCTCTCATTCACTAACTTTCAAATCCTGACGGTAGCCACACACAACCAAATATCAGTTAAATTTGACTGTCAGTCTTTCGCTCAGACATAGAACATGCACTTGGGGAGGTCATCTTTCTGGGGTCTAGCCACCTCTCTACTGGCCTGTACTACTGCGAGTGGTACAAATAACAGTCTTCCAGCTATCGAGATCAAAGGCAACGCTTATTTCGATTCTGAGAGCGGAGAAAGATTCTACATCCGCGGGGTGGCTTATCAACCTGGCGGATCGTCCAACCTTACAGATCCACTAGGCGATCCGCAAATTTGCTCAAGAGATGTGCCGGTTTTCAAAGATCTCGGCCTAAATGCGGTACGTGTCTACACTGTCGACAACACTCAGGACCATACTGAGTGTATGCAGATGCTTGCAGATGCAGGAATATATGTGATTTTGGATGTGAACACTCCTGACAGCTCCATCTCCAGGTTCGACCCTGCTTGCTCGTATAATGCAGACTACTTACAGACTATCTTCGCAACTATAGACTCCTTTGCGCAGTTCAGCAATATCCTTGGGTTTTTCGCAGGAAACGAAGTGATCAACGATGATACCAACACGAATACGGCCACTTACGTAAAGGCAGTGGTTAGAGATATGAAGAAATACATGCGGGCCAGGAACTACCGCCAAATTCCAGTGGGGTATTCAGCCGCCGATGTTACCTCCAATGTTCAACTAGCCGCCCACTATTTCAATTGCGGCGATGATGAAGATGCTCGTATTGATATGTTTGGTGTCAATGACTACTCTTGGTGTGGATACTCATCGTTTCAAGAGTCTGGTTATTCTGTTAAAGTAAAGGATTATAGCAACTACTCTGTACCCATTTTCTTGAGCGAGTTTGGGTGTATTAAGACAACTCCGAGACCTTTCACAGAAATCGGTTCCATTTATTCAACTCAGATGTCTTCCGTATTCTCTGGAGGGCTTGTTTATGAATACTCGATGGAGGCGAATAATTATGGATTGGTGCAAATTGATGACGGATCATCCGTTACAAAGCTCCAAGATTTTCAAAACTCAAAGAATCAATACCAGGACAACCCAAATCCTGAAGGCGATGGAAACTATTCCCAAAATAATAACATCTCTGCTTGTCCTTCTTACCAACAGGGGACATGGGAGGCGAATAACACTCTGCCCCCCATGCCAAGTGCTGCTTCAGTGTTTTTCTCTATGGGTGCCGGACAACCCATGGGTACTGGATACCCCACGCAATTCAGATGTGGAGATGCGAACGTAAGTGACTATTTCACCGCAGATGCAACTTCGTCCTCCATCATTTCAAGTTCTAAATCTTCATCGTCCTCAAAAAGTTCCGCTTCTTCCAGCTCTTTTTCATCCTCTTCTTCATCCTCTTCTCATGTCAGTAGTGGTACTACGTCTTCCAAAAGCTCCTCTAAATCAAAAGGTGGAGCTTTGGCTGCAGCTCAGATTCCCCTTGTATTCAGAGCAATGGGTCACATATGGAACTACATTTTATAAAGCTGATATGAGTGGTAATTTTGCAATTATCGCCTTTTGCCTCCGTCACTAGCATTCGATTACAATAATACTGATTCGGATCATCTGTTTACTAATTTAAGATCATATTTATTGCCTACCATTTATATATAGTGTCGACCATACGACATACGATAAAATTATTGAGAAATAGCTTCCCTCGCCATCGACTGGGTCTCTAATTCTTTGCACAGGCACGTTGAGCTTTCGGAACAGAAACCACAGCCCTGATCACCTACCTCAAGGCCCAAGCGTTCATCCTGGTTTGTACTGGAATCGCTTTGACCCTGCACCTGTTGGCTTCTACGCAACTTTGACCTCTTGAAAACGGGAAGATTTCCAGCGATCTCCAGTCTTGGACGCTTACTACGGAGACGTGGCAAAGGAACCGCGCTCATCGGCTTGAATGTATCAATGTGATGTTGAAGATCCGGTGTCAAGAGATTGGTTGCTATTTCCACTTCGCCACAGATGCATAGTTCTTGAGTGCACATGTCACATTTTCCGACAAATTTTGAAGATCGGATTTCGTGTTCTGGCCGCAACCGGCCAGCCTGCCTCGACTTTTCAAGGTCCGTTACCTTTTCCTCTAGACCCTCTTTCTCTTGTAGAAGTTCTTTTACGATTTCTTGCTGTTTTTCAAGTTCCCTTTTGTATACATCGCATTTTTGGCTTAGTTTCAGAACGCGGTTTTGTAATTCTTGCAGTTGACTAGATTGTCGTTCCCGGAAGGCCCTTTGTGCCTCTCTGTTGCGAACCTTTCGGTTCGCCTCTGGTGAGATCTCATCAACAGTGTGTTCCTTGTGCACGTACTGTCCAGCACGGCGGCCAGGCTTCGGACGTGCTGGTAGAACCCATGTTTTCGAAGTGCGTAAAGTGCTCGCTATTGTATTACTACTCGAATTAGTCGGATACGGTTTCAATGAAGAATGAATCATAGCTTCAGGTAAATTTATTAGAAATGACGATGCCATGCACCTTGGTTGTAACTTCTTTAGAGCCAAGTTCATCTAAACAACATCCCTTTATACGAAATACTCTCAGCCTCTCATTAAGATAGAAGAGATCGTGTACATTACCTGAAGTCGAAACGATTGGAGCAAGTTACGTTGACAGAAGTTAACTTGCTGGATTGTTTGTTAAATTTGCTGGTAGACATCCTGTATAATGTTCTGTGTACTTGATGCTAAATCAGGAGCTTGTTGAACGATTTCTATGGTTGTCTCCCCGCGATTGTTTTGACTATAAGCCTGGGGGGCTTCTGAGACATATAGTAGATATTCGTAAGAAATTCTGATAGGAATAATCCAGGTACAAGGCTGGCTTTCCAACAATTGCATCCAACAAATGGGTTCTTAGGTTGTTAAATAGTTGATTTGAGTGGGCAGGGCATTTTTGTGTAATCATTGCTCATCTGGATCCCATTGATGATTATTCACCTTGCAAAGTCTTATCCTGACGTTGCTAATATCACTCTCGTACTATTCTGACACTATGTTGATGATTATCATTGTGCAACTCTAAATTATTTAAACAGTACCAGACCACTATTTTCCGGTAGTTCTAACAAGTGAATAAGACACGGGTACAAGTAAGGTTTGTTTTAAACTGTTGTGGAACGAGAGGGAACGAGAGACATGGTGATGGTGATAGGAATTATAATTACGAACGGCTTTAAATCAGAAACTAGTCAACGAGTCTGCGTCGTCATGAGGCGCTGATAGGACTGTTTGAGGCAAGATTCAAAAGCCACGCTGGATATTACAAGACGACTGGAGACTTGTCAGCCAACGTGGTGTCCGTCACGGTGGTGTCAGAATGAGGAAAAACAAATAAAAAATGAGGGTAGGTGGACCGGGATATATTGGAAGAGTAGGTATATAAGAAGGAAGAAAATTAGCGAATACAACAAGATACATTGATTCTAATAAAAACTCGGTAGCGTTAATTCTTCAAGTTGACGTTGTGGTAATTACTCACGCCACTTTACTCACATACAATTATTGATTATATAGCAACATACTTCTATCATAATTCAAGAAATGAAGCGGTGGCTCAATGGTAGAGCTTTCGACTCCAGTTTGATCCTGGTTAAATAGGAAATATTGCAATCGAAGGGTTGCAGGTTCAATTCCTGTCCGTTTCATTTTTAAATTATTTTTACAATAAGTAGCTAAAGTCATTGAGAAGTGATGTGGCATGTTCGTCAAGAGACCCGAAAATGGGTCATCTGGTTTTTGTTTTCTATCTGATCCTTAGAGTGAAGTACAACTCCATAGCGCTTAGACAGTCTTCACAATCTTTATCTAAATTTACTAGCCCATGACGCTGAGCGAATTTGCTCGATTTGAAGTGAACTATGGAAAAAAATCAAACCCAAGATTCATTCATCAATATTTGGAGCACAATCAAACTCCAAATCGCACATATTCACATTTGATGTAGTTTAATCTATTGCCTACAACGAGATCGTCAAAGCCACGCAAGAGCATGCGACGGTTGGAGCATGTGTACTAGGCCCTGATGAGACGTGTTACTTTATTTTAAATTAGGGAGAAGGGCGTCTTTGATCAGAGACAAGTGGTTCTAAACGCCACTTTATCAACATAGCCAACCTTCGATAATTACATTGAATTATTCCGGACAACTGTATATATACTGCTGAAACTACTTTTAACCCACGGCAGACCCTGTCGGTTTCTATGCCTCACACGGTAAGAGGAAACCCGGAAGGGACTAGGAAAAACCAACAGACTACCCCGAAAGGGACCCAAAATAGGCCGTGGAGGTCTTAACAAAATAAACTGACTCATTTAAAAGTTAGGAAGCGTTTCAACTCACAGGGGAGGAAGGTCAGATGACATACAATGCGGCGACATCTTTGAACTAATCACCAATGAGTTGAAACTTTACAATCGTGAGAAGGTAGAATGGTGAGGTTAACATAGACTTCATTATACCCAAAAAAAAGGAAGTAGTGCTACAGTTTATACTGAAATTATTACCTGAGAAGTCGAGTGACTATTTTATAAAAAGAACTTAGAAGACTTCACGGCGAACATGAGCTTTTGCCAGCCAAGAATTTTTGGATACAATACAGTCCTCAAGAAATAGACAGCACTTAACAATTCAAATATAATAATTGGATTTTTAATCAATCCTCTCGCCACACAAATTAAACCATCTGATTATACCACGTGTCATCCCAGGAAATGTCCGATTTCAGTTGCGGCTTTCGGCGACCGCATTTTCCACTTCCCCTTCCCCTGATATGTAGTCAAAGACATGATAATTTGTCATGATGGCCATGATTTTGCTAAGCATGAGGAATGTGAATCAAACATATTGCAGTCGGAAATTTGATTCACATGAGTTTTCCGCGATAGTTTAGTGGCTAGAATTCGGGCTTGTCGCGCCCGGGACCGGGGTTCAATTCCCCGTCGCGGAGTTCTTTTTGTAATTTTTTTTCGGGAAGTTTCACATCCCGGATGGTATTGTGAGTTTCCGTTACTTATGAAAGATCAACGTATAGTTCCCACATTTGTCCATCTTGCAGTCTCAATTGCAACGCTTAATGTCCAAGGTGCTTATAAGCTACAAGAAGAAGCAGAATGAATCGCCTTACCTGCGCTCATGGATACAGTCAGATATAATACACCTTGTGAAGAAACACATAGAGCATCCAGTTTGGCCAGAGATGAGGAATTTTATACCTCCCTTAAGAGGCACGGGACCCTCTTTGTTTTCTTCCAATCATTTAAGTAATAGGCGCCATCTCGTGAAGGTAACAGGTTTTCATGCTGTACATAACTACACGGTATACGGCTCGGTCCGTGATGCTGATTGCCATTTGCTTAGTTGAGTTCACACCTCAATGTGTGGCTGAATTTGAAAGACACCATAACATCCGTCTAACCTCCAATACCATTAACACTATATTTCTGATTGGGGGCGCTACGTTAAAATATTTGCCCGTGTATGAGCTGCGCAGGAGTGATAAATGGGTTGTTAACATTTGTGTAGATCCACAAATCCCAGTTATACCCATTTTGGTTGTCGAAGAATGTTCGGCGTTCGACCTAGATCAAGTTGAAACGCGCTTGAGATTTCCTTATGTTTACAGTCTGCATGAATTCGTTTCTATCTTTCATCAAACATAGGAACAATTTACCAACCCTGTGTTCTCCAAAATATCTCTCGACAAGGAAGATAGGATTTGTAAGGAACACAGAAAAGACCCGTACCTTGGCTTAGAGTAATCCATAAACTCAAAATGCACCTTGCTGGTCTTTTGTTGCCCCTCATCAGCCGTACTCCAATCCTGAATGCGGAGAATAAAACCCACAGTATATTCGCTTTGGTTGATGGCACAATATATGGATGGTGTGGAAATGAGCAGGGTTTGCTATGTATTTTTTGAGATTTTTTGGTCTTCAACTTGATCGAACTCACTGGTCGAGTCATCGGGACCCACCTATTCGAAAAAAAAAACTCTAGCCCGAAATGACAAAATTGAAGTTTGACAACGCAAAGCGTGGTGTCCTTTTTTGACTACATTGGCTCCAAACTGGCTGGATGAGATCGGGTTGGGGTAAGTAAGCAGTTGTTGCGCCAGGGCTCTGTAAGACCAAAAAAACTTCTACCGACACAACTCATCTGGGGCTGCGGTAGCTGGAGTTTAGTCTAGTAATCTCGTTTTTCTGGACATCTGTCATGTCATCAAAATCTAACACTGAATCTGCGAGCACAACGTAGCATAAGCGGTAAAGTTTGTGGTTTCTTTGTGTTCAAACAGTCTGTATGAAAAAAAGTGTAATTGAAACCATTGAGGAGAGCGTACGCTACAGCGGGATGCTCTATGTACTAACAGTATTGACGGGTGGTTCCGTAATTTGATCCGACTTCATAATCGTAAACTAACTAGGGTGTCCACACTCACTTTAGGCCACCTTATACTAGCATAGCTACAGCTTTGATCCAGAAGCAAGTAGGCCGCTCCATGACTATATCATAAAGCATAGTCTCCTCTTGAGGGAACTGAGCTAGGTAGTGAGGATTCCCCATTGACACTCTCCACGTATGCTATGATAATCATTTTATAAATCAATATAGAATTGATAGCGTCAAGAGTGATACGATTGTTTGGATAGAAATGTCAGGTTCTTCACCAGCTGCTATTCATGAACCGCTGAAGGGATTGACATACCAAACAGTAGCCTAAATTCCTAATTTAGATGGCATCCTGTATATTTTTCTGCGATAGCAAGGGAAAGACTATACTCTCAAGAAGGTATCGCAATGACGTTCCGCCATCAGCCATCGAAAAGTTCCCTGCACTGTTACTTGAGGCGGAGCAAGAATCAAGTGTGATTCCACCATGTTTGACGCACAATGGTGTACAGTATCTTTTCATCCAGCACAACGACATCTACGTGCTTACGATGAGTTGTTCGCTATCACTCAATGTGGCCCAAGTGTTCTCCTTCCTATACAAACTTGTTGATGTACTGGCAGAATATGTGAAAACTGTGCAAGAGGAATCTATCAGAGATAATTTTGTGATAATTTATGAACTTCTGGATGAGATGTTGGATTTTGGAGTCCCGCAAATTACTGAGACCAAGATGCTCAAACAGTACATTACTCAGAAGTCTTTCAAGCTTATCAAGTCCGCTAAGAAATCGAAGAACGTTGTTAGGCCACCTTCTCAATTGACTAACTCCGTAAGCTGGCGACCAGAGGGCATCACGTATAAGAAGAACGAAGCGTTTTTGGATGTCGTTGAATCGATCAATATGCTTATAGCTGCCAACGGACAAGTCCTGCGGTCAGAAATTCAGGGCAAAATCAAGGTTAAATCCCACTTGTCGGGTATGCCAGATTTGAAACTTGGGCTTAATGACAAAGGTATTTTTACAACTGATGATTCGGGCTCTAAAATGGGCGCATCCAGCAAAGGGCCCAGCATAGAATTGGAGGATATCAAATTTCACCAGTGCGTTCGTTTGAGCAAGTTCGAAAATGAGAAAATTATCACATTCATACCACCTGACGGGGACTTTGATCTAATGAACTATAGACTTTCGTTACCTATCAAGCCATTAATCTGGTGCGATGTCAAGATTAAAGTCCATTCACAGTCCAGAATCGAAATTCATTGCAGGGCAAAAGCACAGATCAAAAAGAAATCCGCAGCCAATAATGTAGAGATTCTGATACCTGTTCCAGAAGACGCAGATTCTCCTAAATTCCGTTATTCGCACGGATCTTTAAAATACGTTCCGGAAAAAAGTGCGATTCTTTGGAAAATCAAGACCTTCAATGGGGGCAAAGAGTATTCATTTGCGGCTCAACTGGGACTTCCTTCAATGAACGACATAGAAGTTCCTAAGGCCAAACGACCCATCGAGGTCAAGTTTCAGATTCCTTACTTTACGACGTCTGGAATTCAGGTGCGTTATCTCAAGGTTCATGAACCAAAATTGCAATATCAAAGCTACCCCTGGGTTAGATATATAACTCAGAGCGGCGATGATTACACCATTAGAACCGCATAAACGTACAATAAATGTCAGAAACAATTTTAGGCGTTGCTCCAGAGGAGAAATGTGATCGTCATTATAAACATACTTCGTTTTTCAATAAATTCAAGTTCTTATTGGGACGACACCCCGTCGAGTATCTTTTCTTGAACACCCAAATTTATGGCGTCACCCATTCGGTTCCACGCTGAACCTTTTGCATATCTTTTTATTCGTCTTGCACATCGGCTAAGTCTTCTTTGCCACCATCTATATCGTCTTCAGCTGGCTGATCATTTTTCAAGGTCTTTTCATCGTACTCGGCATCGTCTTCCTGACCAATTTCTTCCAACGCTGGATCTTCGGCATCGTCACCCGCAAAATCATCATCATCATCATCATCATCAATTTCTTCTTCTTCTTCTTCTTCTTCTTCTCCTTCGTCCTCTTCTTGCTTGGCAACTTCGTCCTTCTGCTCCGAAGCATCCCGTGCAGAGTTGATAGCATCCGTTACCGATGCTTCTGGTACCACGCCAATGCGTTTGTCGACCAATTTGCCATTAGAAAAAACCCAGTGAGAACGCTTTGTTGATGATGCATCTTTCTTGGCTCCTAGAATGCCAATTAGTTCACGTTTGGGATCTGACAGCAAGTCGTAAGGGAGAGATTGTTTGGTAGCAAAGTTCTTCTGAGAATTGGGTGAGTCAGTACTGAGACCGAACACTGCCGCCATTTTCTTGAGTTCTTCATAGTTGTCTCTGTAAGCGCATGCTTGCTTGGTACATCCTGGGGTGCTCGCTTTGGGGTAGGCGAAAATTACCACAACTTTGTTCTCTGTGGCCACCTTCTTAAGCGAGACATCTTCATTTTCCTGATTTTTCAACACAATATCAGGGATTTTGTCACCGACTTCCAGCTCTTCCGGTGCTTGGTATGTAGTAGACTTAGCTTTCTTGGTTTCAGGCCCCTCCATGCCCGCTTCTTGGTCTGGACTTCTTTTAGCACCATTACTATCGTTAGAGCCTTTTGTTCTTGAAGAACGACGAAGTTCAACCATTTTCTTAGATTTGGAGATTGACTTAATTATTCGAAAGGCTAGGACCTATTTGGCTTGCTTCACTTCCTTTATAACAGACTCTGCCCCTATTCCTCAAGCTGCACCTCAGCGGAACTCGAAATACTTCCATGTACTTATTTATATAGGGGTTACTTGCGTAGCCTTGAAAAGCTACAGTTCAATACTAGGCCAGACACATTGAGCGCAATTTGGCAAATTTCTTTAACACCGTGACCAAGAGAGGTGATCGAAAAACAACCTAGTTAGCAAAAAACACCTCGATGGTATCGTTGCGAACAAGATGAGAACGAAAAAACTGGTCAAAATGCTGGCCATCCGTAGCACATTAGTCTTCAGCATGACTTGTGGTTGCGTAATCATCTTCATCGTCCTCATAGCTATGCTCGCTGTAGTTGGCAGAGTACTCCTCCTCTTCTTCGTCATCTTCGTCATCGTCGTCATCATCGTTGTCATCACCACGAGCGTATTGCTTGGAAACATCTAAAAATTTTGCCCGGGGTTGTAGCCTCTCATAAGTGTTGGTAGAGTCCGCTGATCGCGGCGTTGCTACTTCACTCGACTCGTTGAATGCATCGGTATTGGTATCACTTAGGCATGTGTGTTCACTTCCTTCTGCATCCGAGCCTTGGCGTTCTTCTGCCTCGATTTTTAGTTCATGAAGGATGTCAAAGCATTCGGCCAATAACGCATTCAATGTGCCTTGCCCTTCCGGAATATTACCTTCTGAGTCATAAAATATCCCATCAACACGCATGTTGTCTAAGGATGCAAGCTTCATCTGGTATGGATAGAGTTCTCTGTCGTTCTCAACACCACCCATCCTCTTCAGCTCTAATAAACAGCGACGCACTGTAGAAAGTTGGTTGTGAATTTTTTGTAAAGCTTCTGAAACCGGTTCTGAGCATTCCAGCAGTTTGTATATAATGGCGTAGCATCGACGCAGCAAGTATAAAAGGATTGATTGACCCTTTGTCTCTGTCGAAGATGTAGGGAACTTGCCATTCACCCTCAGTTTATCGATCTCCGAGAGTCGCTTTTGGTACCCAAATAAATCGGTTTCTCTAAGGGTCCAGCGCCGTGTCACTAACAGGTTTTCCAACGTGGTTTTTATCTCGATTAGATTTTCATATATGGGTTGCAATTTCGAGTCCAACGTTACTACATCATGATGCGAAAGATCATTTATGAGATCATGACAGTCGTCGAGCAGACCATTTAGCACATTTTGACCCTTTGTCGCGACTTGCCCGGTTGCTGCCGAAATAAATTTTCCAGATGGGTCTCTATGAGATTCAATTTCGACCAACTCCGACTTCAAAGCATGCAGCTTTTCGTTTATGGATACTTGCGACATTGGGGCATCGGTGCTTTTCGTCTGACTACTGTTGGCGTGCATCTTTCTCTTGGAGTACGCAGCCAGTGACAGGAGTCCGCGTCTCAACTGAAATAACTTTTCCATGGTTTCCTGCAGACCGGAGTCAATCTCCTCAAGTTTGGATTCAATGTGGTCGTATTCTTGTAAGCAATGATTTAGCTTTGCGCGTAGCAGCAAATCTTCCTCTATCTTGTTCCGATTTTTTTCGTCTGTGATATTGTCATTATCAATGGACAGGTCTGAATCTCTGCATTCGGTAGGTGGCGAGCTATGCGCAACAATTTTGGATATTTCGTCTAGTCTCTCTTTGATGGGACGCAGGTCGTGATGTGTAAAAACATTGGATTCGTCCAAATGTTCCAGCAGCCGTTGTACTGTGCTGAGAGACGCATAGGTCGCAGGCGCCGAGTTTTTGAGACCCACTGTCAGAAAACTCAGTGAAAGCAACTGAAACACATCATCCAGGACAGAATCGACCCGATTGTGAAGTTCAGCGTTGTGAATCAGGGTTGTCGCGTTGTCAGGAGAAATTTGGTGCGCATTCTTTCGGATTGCATCCAGTTCGCACACCTTGGTAAGGACCCTCTGGTACGAACTCAGAACATCCTTAGAGTTCAGATATTGGGTTCTGTTCTGTTTCAAGCGTGAAAGGAAGCTTCGGACTTCCAGGAAGTAAGCAAGACTAGCTTCTTCTTCCTTAGGAACTTCTTGTATATGCTTGTGCATAAAAATGGCGCACCGTCAGTTATCTGGATTATAGTTAAGCACAAGAGCTTCGCGACCACTGTGATCAGGAGGTATTAGTTCACACTTCAAATGAAGACCGTGAAAAAGATGAATTTCGGACTTTTTCTGCCACCTATTGGGAATTCCAACTGGATGAAAATCTTTGGATGACAAACACTGTTCTTTTGGCCCTTTGGGTTTTGCGGTATCTGAGTGCGATGAACAATAACAGTTGCCCTTATTATGGCGACAATAATGTCATATCATTTAAATCGCTCAAACTAACTCATATATATGTCTTTGTGTACGAAACCTTCGACCAGTTCGCATTACAAGATAAAACTTCCAAAATCCGAAACTATAATAGAGACTCACCCTCTATTATGCTATTAAGCATTACCTTCTCAATCTTGTAATGCCACTGCCTTTGGATAAAGGCTTGGTGGCTGGCTACCTCATGCATGACTTGAAAACAACGTAGTTTCTGATAAAATGCCTAACACTATGATACATATTTGTATAGAAGGGAGTCTAGTGACCCAAATATTCCTGAAAAGTATGAGCTGAAGTCATAAAATACCTGACTGTTTCTCTCTTCTTTTCCCTCCCCATCTCTACTCTCTTAAAGCGCCTAACGTTTACTCATCCGGATTGGCAACTGTTAAGGTCTTTTGCGTGTTCTGGTTCTGATCAACCGGCTGCTCTACTAAAGACCCATTGCTGACTCGGCGTGGATCATCAAACGGATTCACGGCATTTCCCTTGTGTGTCGATATTGAAGAGCGGTATAGCGTGTCGTCGAAATCAACGGGCTTGATAGCCTCCTGGTATTCCTTTTCCATCCGCTCCTGTTCTCTTCTCTTACTCACACGCCGCAGTATCAGTAAGAAAATTAGTGCGACGAGTGCAGCACCACAAACGCCACCAACAACGCCACCTATGATGGCGCCCAAATTTTTTGACTTGCTGTGGGACTTTTCATTCTTGCTGTCGCTGCTCAAAGTAGCCGACGACGAATCGGCGGTAACCGTCTTTGTGACTAAATTAGTGTAGCCATCGGAAGTCTGTGTCGAGGTTACAACGTTGTCATTGGAAGTTGGAGAAGATGATGCTGCTGAGGATGAAGTTGAGGATGAAGAATCCTGAGACTGTGTAGACGAGGCTAATAGTCCAGATGAGGAGCTTGATATTGAGCTACTTGAGGTGGTATCTGAACTGGTTGCAGAGCTCGATGTTGAGCCAGAACTGACAGAGCTCCCAGAAGAGGCCGACGCAGAGGCCGACGCAGAGGCCGAAGTGGAGGCCGACGTGGAGCCCGAGCTTACCGAACTACCGGCTACAACGCTTGAGTATCCACTTCCGCCATCATCCAAGTTGTCTTCAATAGCGAATACAGAGTACGCGTCGGAACCCCCGCACTTTTGTGTGCCGTAACCGTTGCACGAACTGGTACATCCTGAGCTCGAGGATTCGGTTTCGGATGGATTCGAATCACCACAATAGCAATCTCCACCATTGAACAATGCAAAATACTTAGTACCCGCGTCTTTGCAAGTGCTGTAACATAACGAACTTGTCTGATAGATGTTACTATTGTTGAACGAAAAATCCGACGGCAAGCTCGCGAAGCAGTTACCATCTGCTTTACAAACAGCTGCAAATAACAGCCATAGAAAGTAATAACGCATGTAGGAGATCTTAAATAGCGATCGCACCGGTCTATATGCTTTCCGATATTCGTGTATTTAATGAGGAATTCGCCGGAATTCACAGACATCACGAAGTAATTTTGATCGAATACCACCGTCAATAACGATTTAATTATTACAGTATTTTTCGTTTCTAGTGATATTGGGAACTCAACTGAAGCAGGTTTCTTTGCGGGACCTATTCAGCATACTAAAGCCCTTTTTAGCTGAATATGTGTTTTCTTCTGTTGAAACTACGCCATATCCATGGTCTAGTACTGTCTCCATAGTGTCGAGTTGAAAAACCCTGAAGCATCAACGTAGCGTCACACTAGTACGGAGTGATAATGGGGATGCCTGTACAACAAAATTGTGGAATGAGATTGCTTAACCCACCAAATCCAAAGGTGCAGCGACCACATAGAAACTCTCTGGTTAGACACATTGCAATCATTCGACAGTGAACAAGCCATCTGTTGGATGTCATTATTGGATGATTAACCCTTGCTGCAACCAGATGACCCATGCCACAATTTCGTATAAAATCTGGCTGCATGCCCAGTTATGGATTAGACTTAGTGTTCAAATGATGATGAAAAGACTACGAGTCGCTCTATAAGCTCAAGCTGTATTATTGAATAATTCTCTAATTACACCAAAACTCTTGACAAATTGCCCCAATATGCAGGGTATCGCTGGCGCTAACTCGCTTAAATACTGAATAACTCGACAATTGTGGCATTCAATTAAAATCAGTTGTGGTCGATTAAAGTTATCTTTAACAACGACCATAAAAGACCGAAGTAAATAAAAAAAGCACTCACGGTGGGGGTCGAACCCACAATCTTCTGATTAGAAGTCAGACGCGTTGCCATTACGCCACGCAAGCCCGATTTTCCCTAAATAAACCGTTACTATATATGCCGAAGATTAACTCACGTTACTTAAACTGACCCATGAATAGTTTTAGAACACAGCGAACTTTTCAACGCATCGACCTGACGCCTTTAGTAATACTGAGCGTACCAAACAAGATGGTGAACGTCAAGGTAGAGTTTTTAGGTGGCCTGGACATCATTTTTGAAAAGCAGAGAACCCACAAGGTAAATGTGAAAAGAGATGGTGAACAAGAGGTTACCGTCGGGATGCTCATCGACTACATTGTTCTCAACATGATAAAAAATCCCAAAGACAAGGATGTGTTCATAGAAAATGATACCATTAGGCCAGGCATTTTGACTCTCATAAACGATACAGATTGGGAGCTTGAAGGCGAGAAAGATTATGTACTGGAAGATGGCGATATCGTCTCTTTCACGTCAACGCTTCATGGGGGTTAGGATAGATAGAAATCGTACTTACATCTAAACATGTACCAATCTACAACCTAGCAACCCAGGACCTATCCAATTATTTGTCGGTTTTAATGTCAGATCAAAAAATTGCTCATGCCTCAAGACGCGGACCAAAAGCGGCAAGTCTTGACTTTTCTTTACAAGAGGCCCGATCGCTGTCAGGGAACGGTGATTTCCAGCATGTATTTCCCCGAAACGGACAATTTTGTCACCTTCCACTAGTCCCTTTGAAGCACAAAGTTAGTAATAAGTCTAGGGTGGACTGCCCTTAGTAGTGAAATCATACATACGGCTATTTGTGATGGGCTCTCCGGAACTACCTCTGTAACCAATGCAAACGGTACTCGGTATTCCCTGATTCGACAATCATCTTCAATTTGATGGGTCTTGGCGGCAAGTATTTGAAATTGTTTTGTCAAAAGCTCTTGAGATTTAGCTATCACATCTCTTAAGTCATGCCTCAAGCTATTGATGCTACGTCGCAATAACCTCACTTGTAAGACATCTACGTCTGACCTAGGATAACCTTCTGGTGTAACGAGGCTTGAATTTAAATCCGCGCCTTGTAGCTCTAGTTGGTCGAAAAGACTTTCCAGTTCATTCTCCACTTTCGTTTTCAAGTCGAAAACTTCATTTATTGATAGTGTCCCTAAGTGTTCGATCTGGAATCTGAGTTCATCGTTAATGTTGGGGTCCTCTATTCCACCCGACAGGACGTCAAACCGGTTGCCGCTTTGCATTGGGTGGATCGAATTTAGCCTCACAGGCGTCAAGTTGCTATGCTTGGGGCCTCCGTTTTATAAAGTAATTTGACCATGCGAGATATGTGCTGGTCATTTTAATAACTTCGCACGTACGAGTAAAGCTGTCAGAGCTCATTGTCATTTATATGGTTATCAATGGCCTATATAAAGATTAGCTTGGTCGTTAACCTTGACTTCCCAGAAGCGACCTCAATGTAGCAACCTCGTGTTCCAGCTGAGTGTTCTTCTTCAGTAACTCCTCAACAGTATCCTCCAACTGGTTCATCCTTTGGAGCTTTCTAGCACGAGAACGTCTAGCAGCCTCCGTGTTCTTTGCACGTTTGACAGTAACAGGGTCGTCAGATTCAGGAATAACGGGGGTTAAAGGTGTAGCACGGTTCTTACGGTTGTAAGAAGCTAAGCCTAGCTGATCCAGATGCTTTGGCTTTTGAATAGCACCACTGGATGCAGATTTTTTGCCGTATACTGGAATTTTGGCATCCTCGATGACAGGGGTGGGCAAGAATGATCTTTGATCAATAATCGTTACAGGCTCTGGAGCAGCCTCAAAAAACTCGTCGGTCGGGATCGACAACGAGGTCTGTGCCTCGCGAGATTCCACGTGGACGGGATCAGAGACGCTAACAGATATATCATCGTCAAAGAGAGAGGTCCACGTCTGCGGATCTGATTCTACATCCTCCAATCCAAATAGAGGGGTGGAGTCGGCACTGGAGGCGAAAAATTGATCCAAATCACTCTGGCTAGAAGCAGGATCTTCATGGGCAGCTTGCGAAGCTACATCCAAGATCGGAGACTCAAACTCGGACTTGACCACAGGGGTTGCAAATGATTGATGGCGAGGTTGGGACTTAGCAAATTTGTCAAACATCAATTCGCCAACGATTGGTTCATGGGACTGGGAGCCGTCAACACCCTGAGGCTGCTGCTCCAGGGTGCTCATATCAAATAAAGAAGGGAATGATCTTGTAGTCATAATTAGGGGAAGGAAATAGGATTCTGTGTAAAAAATTCGGATTTCAAATTAATGAAGGATGGTTCAAAAAAGCCATGATGGACAGTAAGTCTTATTGCATAAATGCAGACGATGGTGATGAAGGGATTATGGAAACATTTTGAAAACTTTGAGCGGAGAGCTGAGTGAGACAACACAGTAACACGCGAGGGGTAAAAAAGTAAGAAAATAGGAAGGTATTGCAGACACTAGTAATGATTAACAATTCTCAGAGTTAGCTGGGAATTTTGTTATTGTGACATTTGGGAAAACCTTCTTTCTTGGAGTACTCTTTTCACTTGATTAACAGTAAAAAATTTAGCAGGCCATTTTTGCTAAGACACTTGTGCTTTGATGATATTCTGGACTAAGTAACTCGTAAAAATGGGTCAAATTGAGCTTGTTTGCTAAATTTTCTATTGATCGCGGGGAAGTAGTTGGGTGTGGTGTCGCTAGGGTAGGAAAGGAAAGGTTTTCTTGATGTTGGTGTATCTTCAATTAACTAAACAAGTAGTTTAATCGACTGAACTGGGGAATATGATTCCAAAACTTGCGTGAAGGATTTTTTGGCTTTCGATGAAAGAATTCAATTGCTGATCAGGCGATTCTGTTAGCGACCCAACAGCTGGCCGTGCTCTCTTTATATATTTTTAAGAAAAAAATTTTTTCTCAGCTGCTCACCGCGTTAGTGAGCGGAGTGAGAGCGCCGCCATAGATAACTGAAAAACTGCGTACAGACGATAGCAGAGAGATTTGCATCCCGTAGCGACAAGAAGGTGAGTCAGTTTAGGCACGACGAGGCGCACGACAAGGCCTACTAAGTTGTTATGTTAATAATCATCATACACCAACCTCGGGCCATAATTACCTGAAATGATGCGTTTGGGGACTTAATGTCAAGACTGTTAGTTCAGTTGGAGCGCGTTCATATGTGTAGCCGGTGCTACAGCAATGTCTCTCTTAAAACGTAAAATGTTAAGTAAGCATGGCTTGCCACCCCCGAATTTCGGGCTACATCAATAAAAAGACCCGGGTTGCCTAATTGCGGGTACGAATCAACCCTAATATAGAGCCAAACCAGTTTACATCCAGACCTTCATTCATGACAGAGTTGCGTGTATTTTTGAAGAAAACTTGCCCAGGATGTCACCTTGAGACACGATACAGGACGATTCAGCGGCTCTGTCTCGACGAGACACATCGCACACTCGCCGGACATCTGGACATCGCAAGGCTGCAGTAGGTGCTCGCTGTAACTTTTTTTGTCGGCGACGGTTTTTCCGCATCAACAGCAAGCGTCACGGGCGGAACCTTATTTTTCTCGATTTTCCACCGTCTGTTTGGAGTAAAGGCTTGATTGGGTTTCCTCTGAAGGGTTTTGAGGGCCCGGGGGTTCCTGACATTACACCCAGGCTTCTGAAAAGCGAGATATTGTGCTGCTGCATCCTTCTAATTTCTATCGTTCAGCAGTTTAAAATTTGAAAGCTGGATATCGGGATCGAAACACCTCTCAGACGCCCCTTTGCACTGAGCACAGACTGCTTCCAGCGAGCGGAAAAATCACCGACACACTCTTTTCCAATGTCCAGTCTCTCATCCTCGAAGCATTCTATCCCAATGATTTGAACTTAGCTAAATTCAAATGGAGATTACATGGTCGTCGGTGTTTTTTTTCCTGTTGGGAGTGCCGGCGTAAAAGGGCCTGGCTTCTCTTGGCTATTATCTCGAGGAACGTGCTCGCTCTTATCAGTGGAAAGAGACTTATAGTCGACAACTAGGGTATCTGCATCTATAGCGAAAGTTGGCGCTTTCATCCTTACCATTCTTTCCACCACTGGTGTCGGTGTCGCAAATCTGACGCTTTAATCAAGCTCCAAAGACCAATTGGAATCTTTCCCTTTCCACTATTGCTTGGACAGACATGAACTGAAGGTGCCTCCCACATACCGGGGCTCCATTGACTCGCACTTGAATGTACTGCTAATATTACAAGATATGTTAGATGGTAAGCTATTTCCAGTTTATCGCAGGCCCTTTAAAAGGGAGCGATCTGGCTGGTTGTTTCCGATGGAATTTCTTGGTCCGCAACGCGAATTTCGGGGAAGTTCCTGATATATCGCCAGACTGAAAACCGCAAGGCTCCTCGACATCCTCCAAGCTTTGCGTTCCCATTGACACCCTCTTACTTCAATTCCTTCGCTGAAAGGTGACCTTTCGACGGCCTTCTTAAGGCTTGTCAAGAAAGCTATTTTTGTCCAAGATTATGATTCTCCAGGTGAACGACCACGGACATTGCATTTGATATCATATTGGACAACGAAAGATATTCAATCGGGGACATTGTTATCCCAATCCTTAGACGTCATTTCAAACCTATATCACCTGGCCACAACAAATTCGTGACGCGTCGGAGAAAAGACCTGTGCTCTGTACATTTCGTGACGAAGATTTTAAGTACACCTCCGAAACTGTAGTTAGTACTGCAAATATCACTCTTATGCCACGACATGCTCCCGGTTATTCAACGACGCCTCAATCTTTCCCGTACACGTAAACGTGTTCCCCAACTTCTGTACCTCCCTCACCCTGTCTACGTTGCCTCAACTAGTGCGATGAAATTTCACTGCTTCTCACCAGCATTCTTACCAGCATTCTCACCAGCAGCGGATCACGAGAACCAAACGCGCTCTAACACCTCCATGTCTGCTGTGTTGTTGCCTCCATCATTTCCTTCTGATGCCAAGTGTTTTCATTAACCTCATTCTATACAATTCTGCACCCGACCACGTTTCCGATCAGTTAATGGCGGTCACATAAAGTTGATTGGATCACTATTCGATGCGGTCAACAGAAGGGTCTCGCAAAGTTTTGTAGTCCACGAACATCAAATACCGGTTTCAACAATACGATAGGCCAAGATCGCATACAAGATGGAAGCCCATGGTTTCAGCCCATTTCTTTCATGACAGATCAACTATGAGTAGGCGAAAATTGAATGCCGCGCGACCAGAAATTGATTCAAAGGTAATAGTTTTCAAGCAGTTCAGAAACTCAGTCAGATCCTCAACACTGCCAGCTCTGATCGTTTCACATTCTTCACTCATGAAGAATAAACAAAACAAAAAAGAAGGGTATGTATTCTCTGCGATTAGTCACAATTGAACGTGCCAGCGAGGACTTGAATCCCGACTTTAAGCTTTCACCACTTATGCACCTTTGGCTTGGGGTAACTCTAGGATATGTTGTACATGAAAATATTGTCTTAGAATGAGATTTATCAAATGAAATTGTTATGGACTTGATATTCAAACTTCGGTTCATGAACTCGTGAACCTGATTGCCTCTGCTATGCCACAAGATAACATTTGTATTTCAGTGCACCCCTCTGATGTCGCAATAACAAAAACTAAAGTTTTAAATTTTCTACCAGCTACGATTCTTGCTGAGATTAGCCCAAGCTTCTGCTTCATATTTTGACCTAATCAAATATATATATCGTGTGGTTGTAGGCCACTATTACTTTCCATAAGAGGATCACTTTTGGCTAGCACATAGATAAATAATTGATTTTGTAGCACTGTTGAAAAAATGAAGTTGAGCAAGATGGATAGTCCGATATTTTGTGATTACGACTTGTATGATATTTGGAAAATTCTAAATGGCATCTTACATTTGCCGACATTTGTCTCCTATGATTTGAGCTGTGCGTACTTTTAATTTTTTGAAAAAATACGTTCAACAAGGTTATCACCAAATGCAGGTCCTCACTAGTAGAACGAAGCAAGTCATATGAGCTCCTTCCCGCTCCTGGAGGATGATAAGACTTTGGTAAATTTAAGTATACGGCTTATCAAAGAGATCTCGGATAGGCCGGCCATTGTTTACGATGAAATCTTAGCCCCAGACTGCTCAACACCACTCTCATCCGCAGACGTACTGGAGGACTACGACAGGGTCAGGTATGGTGGAAGCAATGATGATGACGATACAGTGCCATTTTCTGCTAAAAAGTTTGAAGATACACATATCACTGCTCTATCCGGAGCCATGGCAGGGTTCCTTGCGGGAGTCATTGTCTGTCCCTTAGACGTTGCCAAAACTAGGTTACAAGCCCAGGGAATGCGTTCTAGCGCCCATAAATACTACAATGGCATCTTTGGAACTCTCAGTACTATAGTTCGTGACGAGGGAGCCCGTGGCTTGTATAAAGGACTAGTGCCGATTATCATGGGCTATTTTCCCACCTGGATGATTTATTTCACTGTGTATGAAAGAAGCAAGAAGGTATATCCGAAGTTATTCCCTTCTTTTGACTTTGTGTCTCATTCAATGTCAGCCCTTACAGCGGGATCCGTATCAACTATACTGACCAACCCCGTGTGGGTCGTCAAGACTAGGCTGATGCTACAGACACATGTGGACAAAAATTCTACGCACTATAAGGGCACTTTCGATGCATTCCACAAAATGTACACTACTGAAGGCTTCAGAGCGTTCTACGCGGGACTCATCCCTTCTTTGTTTGGGCTTCTGCATGTTGCCATCCACTTCCCCATATACGAGAAGCTCAAGATCTGGCTACGCTGTTCACCGGCGTTAACAAATTCAGATGAACCCAACTTAGATCTAGCACGATTTTTCGCTGCGTCGAGTGTGTCGAAAATGGTTGCTAGCACACTGACATACCCTCATGAGATTCTCCGAACAAGAATGCAAATTAAAGTAAGGCCTTCAAATGGCAAAGAAGAACTACGAAAGTCTACAAACCACGAATTGGTTCGACTCATTCGGCATACCTACACATCCGAGGGCCTGAGAGGTTTTTATTCGGGATTTACAACAAATTTGGTAAGGACTGTTCCGGCGTCAGCAATAACCTTAGTCTCTTTCGAGTATTTCAGGAAGTACTTGAACAAATTTAATGATAACTTCGCCATATGATATATCTCATTTATTCAGCATTTTTAGGATTACAACTGGGTCGACAGCTCATCAAACCCGCTGCAATTTAATTGCCTCATTTGGCTTGTGTAATAAATATTAAACATCGTAAACGATACAATATTAAGGAAAATCAGCAGTCCGCTATAAGCATAATTTCTGGCAACGCAGCGAGCGCCATTCTAGAAGTATTCTCAAGAGACATCAATTGAGAAAAATGCTTTTTAAATTACTTTGGTACTTGCTGGTTGGTGCACCCGTTCTTGTTTGCTGCTCAAACAGCAAACTTGAGCAACTAGATACCGACACGTTGGCATTCCCTGAGCCTCTTACCGCTATTAACTTCGATATGGAAATGTCAAAACATCTACATCTGGTTGAATTTTATAGTCCGTACTGTCACCACTGCAAAGCTCTTGCCCCAACGTGGGAGAAAACTTGGCGGACGTTTTTTAACGAAGGACGTAAGCTGAACATCTCACTGGTACAGATCAACTGCGTGGAAAGCGGCGATCTTTGTGCTAGAGAGAGGATTAACTCTTACCCTGCTATCAAACTTTATGGGCCAAGCGGCTTCATAAAAGACTACCCTGACTCTTTGAAACGGACTTCAGAAGCGTTGATTAACTTTGCCCGTCAAGAAGCATTAAATGTGGATAACTTTGATTCAACTCTACTTGAAAGTCAAAGCATTTCTTTGAAAGGTTCAGAGCTTTTACGTTTATTAGCTGGTGCCGCTGAGAAATCGTATTTGGTCTCATTTTGGCCATCATCCAGTCTTGATAGGCCAGACAATAGTGACGTTGCATTTGAAAAGTGCAATGTGTGTCCAGCTTTTCAGAAGACCTGGACTGTCATTTCCAACAATCTTCCAAATGAAGGCTATGTGACTGCCCACGTTAACTGTGAAACTGAAAGAATAGTTTGTGAAGAACTAGGATTCAATGATTTAGCTGAACTAAGGAACCACAGACAAAACAGAGCGCCACGAGTAGCTCTTATTGTCCCAAACAAAGAAACGAATAATTTTTTTCCCTACACTGGTGGAGATCAGAGCGTGCGTGCTATTGAGGACTTTGCACTACGAACAAACGCCAATGCTCAAATACCTGACGTTGATGAAAAAGCACTGAGGGCCTTGGTGTCTGAGTTCCAGCCGATCAAACAAACTGCTGAAGAAATAGATACTACCGTTCATGTTGTCTTCAAGTATGACGCGGGTACCGTTGTGCCAGAAGACTTTGACATTCTCGAACAACTTATTGAGCCGGTCTCGAAAATTCCCAACACGTATCTGCACAAAAGCACAGATGATTTGAAGCAACTTTCGCACGATCTATATACTGATCTGTACCAGGCAGTGAATCAGCTCCCAGAAGAACGCGATATATTTCCAAATGAGGAATTTTTTACCATGACTACATTGACGCAGTATCCAACCTTTTTCATCTTCAAACAGAACGGCCTGATTCCAAGTGTATTTCATGGCTACTCAACTACCGAAATGCGCAATTTAGAGCTCATTTTAGACTGGATTAATCGAAATACTCTTCCTGTGATAAATGAGCTCACCCCCACGACATACGAAGGGCTATTGAACTTTTTTCCGGACTGGTATGAGTACATGACCATCATGTTTGTAGACTCAAGCGACAATGAGTTGTCCCAGAGCATGAAGTTCATCAACGATTGCATTTTAAGTACTTACGATTTTGAGTCTGTTCGAAGCCAAAACTTGATGGAAGAAATAAGGAGACAGAGGTCTCGTAAAGCTGAAGAGGTCGAAAACTTGACAGCAAAGCATGCCACGTCTTCAAGCATTGTTGATAAAATGCGCGAAGAAATTGCCCACGACGATGGTCATCGGGTTCTCTTTGCATTCCTCGACCTAGCAAAATACAGATCACTACTTAATGACGAAGGCCTGAGAGCGGGCGGTCGCCATTACCAAAACGGGGAAGTTATTATCATAGATAAGAAGACGACTTTAAGTTTCTACGAAAATGATATTCAGGGAAACATGCTGACGATGAGAAACCCATCAGGTTTAAAAGAAACTTTATCCACGTTGGTGTTTCCCTCCTCTATTGGATCCAACCCGATAGTTGGGACGAAAGTCGATAAGATTCAGGCGCGTTTGTTCTCAATCCTCGGTTTATTCAAGGGACCCGGCATTGTCGGATACCTTCTCGTTTTCATCCTTATTATCCTTGTAACCAGGCTTCCAACATTGACGAGAAAACTCTCTATTGCACGCAAGTACCGGAATCGCAGAGACGTCACTGGCATTTTAGGGAGGCAAAAATCCAAGGATTGATCCCCTCACTTATTATCTGTAACGCATGCTCAGATAATTCCATCATAACTTATGAGTTACTAAGAGATCCAAACCCAAAAAAATAAGAGAGATACGATCAAAAAGATGATCAACCACGTCTTGAGCGAAATTTTCGATCTTCCTGCCATTGCCATCATATCACGATAAGTGCGCTGCAGACGTTTGCTCGTACCCTCAAAAACTTCACCGAGCTTCTCGACTGTATCATTACTTCCACGAATTTCGTCACCCATTCTGAGCGACAAAGTTTTGAGTCTGCCCAGCTTCTCACTCATGGCGCTAACGTGTCGATCGCTTTGATCTTCCAAGTTCGAGAGTATTGATTGAGAAAAATCCAAATTGCCACCTTTATCATATGGCGAACTTGCTCTGCCATTCATCTTATCATATTTTGAATCGAAAAGATGGGTACGACTCCCATTATCCCGCTGATGTAAAGCATTGTCCTGGTTTCTTGAGATCTTGTTAGAAATTAAGAAATGAGTAAAAGTGAAAGCAATTTGCCGCTATCCGAAGGCTCAAATTTAGAGATTGGGTTAAACTTACAAATAGCTCATGAAGTCTTTCTTTATGGGATATCTGTTCGTCTGCCTTTTCTCCGGAAAATTCATTTTAATAACACGAATGTGAACTTCATGAGACATAAGCAAACTTGAGGGTATCATCGTGAACGTATAATTTTTAGTGTATTATTCATCTATTATGCCCGAGATTTCAAGATATCCAACACTAGCGAATCAAATAATCATCAGAGCTATGAATACCGATAACAGGTCACCGCCAGATGCGCTGAGGCACGTCAAACATATTTTGCTAATTTTATCCGGCAAGGGTGGTGTGGGGAAGAGTTCGGTCACTACTCAATTGGCGCTTACATTGGCGGCGATGGGCCACAAGGTGGGTGTTTTGGACATTGACTTAACGGGGCCATCGATCCCAAGAATGTTTGGGTTGGAAGGCCAATCTATATATCAGTCAGATGAGGGCTGGATGCCTGTGGTCAAGTTCAAGCAAGGTCCCGGGGTACTAAAAGTCATGTCTCTCGGTTTTCTGTTAGATGACAGGGGAAGTAGCGTAGTGTGGAGAGGTCCCAAAAAAACTGCAATGATTAAACAATTTATCAAAGATGTAGTATGGGGCGAGCTTGACTTTTTACTGATCGACACCCCTCCTGGCACCTCGGACGAGCATATATCCATAGCAGAGGAGCTTCGTTGGGCGAATCCGGATGGAGGCATCATTGTCACGACCCCACAAAATGTAGCCACAGCCGACGTTAAAAAAGAAATTAACTTTTGTCGAAAAGTCAATTTTGAAATTCTTGGAGTCATTGAGAACATGTCTGGTTTCGTATGCCCTCATTGTGCGGAGTGTACAAATATTTTTTCCAAAGGCGGTGGCCAAAAACTTTGCGAAGACCTTGATATTGACTTTCTTGGGAGCATTCCAATTGATCCAACTTTTGTTGACCTCATTGAAAACCAAAATTCATCTAATTCAAATTTAGTAGAACTTTATCAGAGGCAAGCCCTTTTTCCAGTCTTCCAAGCAATAATACAGTCAATTCACCAGAATGGTGCTGCTCCTCGAGTATCTAGTTAACAATACTTTCATCGGGTTTCATCTTCGAATAGTTAGGCTATCTTGTAAACTACTTGAACTTTTCCACTTAGAATTACTGTCTACATCATCTTGTCGGGTTGCTTGGTCGAAACAGGTACTTACCGAGGCAGCAGAGACTAGACGAAAGTCTGGGACAAGCAAACCACTCGAAGTGGTACTGGGGTGATTGACTTGATGAGAGATTTCCTCACCTATCCATCCTTGACAATTGTCGTTATTGACTACTGGTTGATAATCAATACTCGAAATTTCAGGCCTGTTTGCATTGTTCCTCTCCATTATTTGTTCAGAAGATAAACGAGAGTATTCTGAGTTATTTTCCGAGCGGTTCTCTTCTGAAATGCTTTGCTTTAAAACTTCAAACAAAAGCGGATAATGTCGCTTGTTAAACGATATGTCATTAAGCAGCCTGTTTTTGAGAGGGAGTTCCCTGTCCTTCTTGTTTACTTTTTCCATTAATTCTTCAGAATCTGACTGCAACAGAGCTAGCGCATTGTCAATGCTAGTGACCATATCTGAACAGCTGCGGTAATCTGAATCAAATTTGGCTGTATAAACCTTCCGTGCTTGGAACGTCTTCCTGTAATGGCGATTCAACTTCCTTAATGACAATTTCAGTTGATTCTCAATCTTCTCCGTTTGACCCAACTCTAGTGCTATGTCGTTTGTCACCAGATTGTCGATGTGAGCGACGTCCTTCTTCACCTGTTGAACTTCATCTTGGACTTCTCGGAAAATAGCATCTTGAGTCAGTTGTTTGTGTGATATTAGTGGCGGTAGCTGTAATAAAGCATCATAATAAGTCGAATGCTTAATCGATTGAAATTCAGGTTGTCTTCTTCTCTTTATCGGACCCGATTCTCCACGAATTCTACTCATATGCATTGTTAAGGTTACAAAACTATAGGAAACGAAGAGTTAGCCAGCAACAACAATCCAACAGCTTGGATTCTTTTAGCTGATTATTTTCTTGAAGCTGTTCTTGTATAATGTCACGTTAACTTAGAAACGAAGATATTAATTAGATTAAAAGCCAACTTCATGTCAATAAACATTATTATGGTACAAACTTCCGCAACAAATATTAAAAGGTACAAAAAATATCATCTGGCAGCCAACGACAAGTGTTCCCTCTAAACACATATCCTGAATAGAGGTAAACAAGGCTTTTGAGTGAGACAAGCTCACTTATGGAGTGTGATCGTTCCCTTTGTAGCAATAAGTAAATTCAAACGACGCGCGAAACTTAACGAGAAACCGTGTTTGTTATAACAGTTCGAAATTACAATCAAGCGTCTTGAAATGTAGAAAAATAGCTCTTCAGTCTTGTGAGCCATCTGCATGCTTATGGATCAAATAACATTAATACTTGACGTCGTAAAAAATGCTTCCTCGTCGAAGCTACATTACATCTCAAGTGTGTGTGATTCCGAAGTGCAGTTAAGCTAAAGCTCGCTTGATAGTAAGACAATCATGGAGCAGCACTCCAATGGTATGAACTGAAGCCACAAATGAAAAAAAATTTGACTATGATATTAACAAGGCCAGGTAGTTCTTCAGGTAAAATACAATGAATACAAACAAATAATGGAGGACTTGCAAACGAAAATTATCGAACTGGGCAACGACAAAGATGAACACCAAGTTGTTCTATCCACCCTTTCAGAGACTGATCCTAGTAGAAAATGTTATAGAATGATAGGAGGGGCTTTGGTAGAGACGGACGTTAAATCTACGCTGCCCGTTCTGAAAACGAATGAAGGCAATTTGACCAATACAATCTCTACAATGAAGGCTGAATTAATAAAGACCGCCGACGAGTTCGAAAAATGGAAAAAGGATAACAAAATTCAAGTCGTGAGGCAATGATGCGTAACTTCAAGGCTTTTTGGCCCATTTTTTTAAAGTTGTGGGGCAATCAATGTTCGCCTTTTAGGCTTCAGAATCTCGTAGAAAAAGGATACATAGTTTGTAAATAGCTAATTGTTCTTCTTTTCAACAGTGACGTCTTTGCGGCCTTGAATACCCAGAAATAGCACAACAAATATTGACCAGGCACCGATGACCGAATAGATTGCAGTCAGGTACACCCACGAATTCGTAATTTCCCAACTTCTGGGATACTCATCGTTAGCCAAATGACGAATCGCTTTGACGTCTCGCTCGCTAACAAAGGATAGTCCGCTTCTCATGTAATTGACACTAAATGTGAAAATGCCATGATGATCAGGAAGGTTTATTTCGCCAGACGAGTAATACTGAACGCAATCTGTGGATGTATTTGGCACCAAAGTGATACGGTAGTAAGGATCAATCATTCTGAGCTCGAGTTGGACATCGTCGGCCATGAATGGAACCCAAAATTCCCCATTCCATTCACTGAGCCCTATCTTGTAAACAACTTGATCATTTATCTTGTATGGAACGTCTGCATAGTCGAGGCCACTTAGATGTACGTGTGACCCTCCTACAGACTTCAGAACAGATTTTTCGCTAAATGTCCACTTCATCAGCTCGTCAACAAATTGAGAATTGGGAGAAGAGCTTCTATCACTGAAGAAGGAGTCGCTACCTACCCAAGAAACTCGTGAGTTATACAGACTTTGAAATGATACAGCCGCGTAGCCTTGCGTGCCTACAGTCCATTTTTCATTAGCCTTTTGTGAATCTTCAGTAAACGATGTTCTAGGAGCCTGTAGAACTGGAATAATCAGCTCAGAGTTATCGAGCAATGCGGCGGAACCCTTATATTTCAACTCATAGTTGCCCTTTGTCACAACATGCTCATTGAGGATACTGGATGATGAAAGCAGAAGTGAGTTGTCGTCGTCAGTAGCATGCATATAGTCTTTCAAAACAAAGTTCTTTGGGCTCGGATATATTCCCAATTGATTCAAAAAGACGCGAACATTATCAGCTACCCCATCGGGAGAGGTCATAGCAAGTACGTCACCACCATTATTTAAAAAGGCTAGAAGTTTGTTGGCTGGCAGTTGCCTATTGAAGTGTCTGGATCTTGTGGGAAAAATGATCAGCTTATCGTAATCCCTGGACTCTCCATCAAAGAGCTCAATCGGTGTAGAGTCATTGCCTATGGCTGTGTAGTGAATGTCGAAAGATCGATCTTTTAGACTGTTGAAAACTACGCTGTACTCTTCGAGAGCGGTGACCCTTTGGTCGTAAACGATCAGTGTTTTTGAACCCGATGAAGACTTTGCCTGAGCAATTGCTATCACTTGGATCCATGCAAATAGCAGCTTAAGCACATAGGAAAGACGAAATTCCATCTCAGCTCAAACGTTCTTCTTTCCTCGAAGTGTCGGTCAGAAATTGTTAACTGTACTTCCAGAATTAGAAAATTTATGTCTTAGAATTACGTTTGAAATAATAAATCCGTGAGAAAGCTTATTATAAGACAAGGAAAATATTCAAGAACCCAGACTGAAGAGGAACATGACCACCGACGATCAAAACCAGCAATTCAATAATTCATCCGACTTTTTGGAGACCTTCAAGCAGTTACAGCATGGTGAAAAAACCGCAGAAAAACTCGAAAAGATGCTTGATCAATTAGAAGGGAAGTTGGATGATCTTCTCTCAGCGACGAACACGGTAGAAGCTCCGTCGGACAGTCCTGTATCAAGCGTCAAGTCACAATCAGACGAACGAAAGCAAGGCCAATAAATTTTAGATTAATGCCTTATTTAAGATTCCTTTCTACGTATAAAAAATGGCTCGTCATCTGTCTCGACGAATGGATTGACCGGTCGGTTGGGATTTATCATGTATTTTGCCGGATCAATATGCAATGAGACTTTGACTTGCTTTGCACTACCAACCCACCATTTTCTCGTAGCAGAACTTGGAGGCGGTAATTTGCGCCCTTTCCTGATCTCTGGGCCTATAGGATCATCACTTTCAGCCTTTTCCATGACGACATCACTGTTATTGAGCACTGCATATCTCTCTTCATCAGTTAGGTCAGCAAGTTGCTCGGTTAATCTCTCATATATCTGTGTCGTTAAATTTGACCTCAATTTCTCATCCACGACTGTCACTAGCGAGCTGAAAGTGGCATATACGGGTCTGTGGTCTGAGAATATAATATTGTCCGCTGACCCGTAACTGGTTTGCCTTAAAGATTCACCTCTACTGAGTATGCGGTCCGTCCACGCAGGAATCCTCAGTTTTTCACTAGTGTCGTACGTTTTCGTGCCGGGGTCAAACTTATAAGTTGGAGGAAAGTTGATTTCCATCTCGTTATAGTACGGGAAAGATTCACCTGCTATCATTTGCTCATTTAACTGGTCCTTTTCGAAGAGTTTTCCAAACTCGGCATTGCGAACAGCCAAGCGAACCTCATCATTTGGGAGGGATATTCTGTAGTTGAAGTCACCCATCCATATAATCACATCATGATCTTTGATGGAGAGATCCCCTGCAAATCTGATGTTTTTGACGATAGTTTTGTAGTCATGATGTCTCTGCTCGACATTCTCGAGTCCGGCTGCAAGGTGAGATACCAGCATGCAAAATTTAGTTGTTGAGTAGGTAAACCTGACTGCAACTGCCCCTTTATTGGACGACATGCCTCCAAAACCTGTTTTTTTCACATCTCCCTCGAGATGTTTGACCTTGGAGTACTCAGATTCACTAATAAAAAGGAGGAGTAAAACACCACCCAGCTGCCCACTCCAGGCAAGCATGAATCTCCTGGATTCATCACTGTTCAAAGTCTCTAAAACTTTTTTTTCCCAGAACTGTTTGGCGTATGGATCGGTTGCTAGCATTTGCCCTGGACTCAACTCAACAACTTCTTCGAAGCCCAACACATACACATCTGCCCGCTGATCAATTGGTGATCCGCTTGGAAACAACCATTCTCTAATGTCATCTGCTTGTGTCTTGCCATTAACGTTGAAGGTTCCTGCGAAGATGTTGATGTTTTTCTGGTATGTGAACTCCCTCTTCATTTTACGCATGAATTTCGAAATATGGGCATGGAGAGGGTCATAGAGGTGTACACGGGAAGAAGAGCTGAATAGTTTCCAATAAACCTTCTTATATTTGTGTAGAGTTTTGAAGTTTTCGTTGAATAGCCTATTAAGCCAGAAATTATTGTCTGCCCAAAGTTTGTCGTGAGCACCCAGGAATGCACCAGATAATTGGATTCCATCCAGTTCTGAAATGGTCAATTCCAATACTTCTTTGCTAACACACTTTTCTACCACGTTTGGACGTTCAATGGAATCAAATGCACTTATGCGTAAACACCCCGTCTGCTTCCCCGCATAAATCCCCCTTTGATTGTCATATACAAAAGCACCAAACTCAAAGATATCTTGCTTCAGCAAATATATGAGCTTGTGTGTCTGTTTTGTCAAAATTTCGGAGTTGTACTGGACGTTGATTATTCTTACATTTTTCTTGTCAGCGCAGGTTTTGTAGGCTGCGCTTAAAATTTCTTGAGATTCACTCTTCGGCTTCACCAAATTCAAGACACTGATCACCCCATATTTAGAAGCCAACGTGTCGAAGTGTTTGTCGAAAGGCCCTTGGAAGTATGCTGGATCTTCAAGAAGCTTTATCTTTCTCCCGTGTAAAATTTGGCCTTCAGTAACTTCCCAGCTGAGCGGGACATTACCTCTCGTTTGAACATATGCAAAAACATACTGGGGTGAGGAAAAAACAATTTCAGTTTCAATAAAGCTGGAGACATGTCCTTGCTTATCGATCCCTTGTAGGTCGAAGATATTGTCCCTGTTTTCCGTTGAAATTCTTGAAATTATGGTGAGTGTCAATGGTGCAGAGTTGGCCTCTGATGTGAGAATTGTTTTGCAGAATCCTCTCACAACAAATGTCAGAAAAAGAGCACCATCGAAAAGAGGTCTCTCTATGGTCGTCATACGGTTCCTTAATTGGACAACCTCGTTCATCATATTACTATTCCATATGAACCGTTGATCCTGATTATAAATAGCATAATCGAGTCCATTTGCCAATCCCCGCTCTTGCAAAATGTTTGATAGATCGAAGTCGCGAGAATAATAGAAGGATCCATCACTGAACAGCTTTTTGAGATCAGAACAGGGGTGCTCACTTGCGGACTTTTCGGAGCTCTGTTCAGAGAGATCATTGAGCATATGGTCAAAAGCATCACTGTTCAGACAGAAGAACTCCACGTTCAAAATTTGGTATATGGATTCTATATCTTCCCGATCACCTGTGCTAGCAAGCTTCCACCTAGGGTATGCCACCTTTTGGTTGTTTGTAACGACGCCCACAAAAAGATAGTTGTTGACGCATATGAGCCCCAGTAATCCATTAAAAATGCGGCCTGTTATCTCTATAAAGTTGTGCTCTTCAAGAGCATTTAAGGGCATGGAAACGACTACCGCTCTAGGCTGGGCATTTCTCTCGTCTTGTTCGGAATATACGATCGTGGACTTCTCAAAAACTAGCAGATAGCCATTGGACAAGAGGGCTAAACATCTAGGCTCTTTACGTATGAATAGTCTCATTTAGGACTTGCCAATCCTTGAGTTCGTTAAGTTTCAAGGTTGTGATATTGTTATCTATCTTTTTCAACGATTGATTTAGCTAACATCTATTCATTCAACAATGTCTTCCCAAGCCCATGAGCTCAACGAGTCATGATTTCAAAGAGCTATGCTTCTGGTGCAGGCTAGGGGACCTGGAGAATGTTGATAGGCTCATTTCAAAAGGTGTCAATGTGAATAGTATCGATGAATTCAACAATTCTCCTCTTTTTCTCGCCAGTTTGTGTGGCCATGAAGAATTGGTTAAGCTTCTGTTGCAACGTGGAGCCGTATGCGATAGAGATAGGCATGAGGGAGCACGTTGTATATACGGGGCCCTAAATGATTCTATAAGGAATATTCTGCTAAAGTACGATATCTCTAAAGCTGTTGATTTAAAGCAGCCCTTTGCCTCACACTTATCTTCGCAACTAAGCGACACTTCTCTCAAAAGCCATGACATTATTTTGCGTTTTGCCAACAAGAAAGAAATTAGGTTACACCGATTTCTTCTCGCTACGAGAAGCAACTACTTTGCGCAACAATTACACGGACCTTGGTCTGGATATACCGTCGCCGAAATGCCCCAGGATGCACCTCCTGTCGCTATAGACATTATATCGGGGTATGTGTATCTTGTTCCACTTTTACACAATCTGAATAAACAAGAGAGCGACTGGTTGTTGCAGTTTTGCGAGGAACTCGGCTTTTCTAGTCTTGCTGACTTCGTTAAACGTTCAAGGCTCTTGGCCGACCAAGCTCAAATCACGAAGTTAATGACCGAATACCAACACACTTTTACTGAAGAGGCAAGGGGGCAGATGGGGGCGCTTGTCGAGGATATATTCAAGCAAAGGTTGAAAGTAAAGTTGATTGACGAGTTCCCAACCTCGCGTGTAGACATTCCGAGAGAAGGCTCCGTCATTCCCGATGTCTATGTGTTGGTAAAGAACAGCGATGAAGCAAAAAGTGGACTCCTCTACCCTTGCCACAGGTCGATACTTGCCAGATCAGACTATTTTCATGTGATGTTCTCTTCAAGTTTTGGAGAAGCTTCATCTTACCAGCTAACAACGGAGGGTGTGGTCGACAGGACCAGCCCATTTCCAGTCGTTTCATTTCCAAATTGTGAACCTTCAGTAGCAGAACTTATTCTATGTTACCTTTATTTTGACAAAACAGATGTTCCATGGGAACTTGCTATCGCGGTCTTAAAGGCGGCAGATTCCCTCATGATCGATCGTCTCAAGACAATGGCAGCGGTTTCAATAACTCAATCAAGCGAATTTCTCAGCGTTTACTCAGTTTTCGACATACTTCATACAGCCTGGGAGTTTAGACTTGAGAGATTAGAACACCACGCGGCAAAAATAATTGCCGACCAGATTGGATACTATACTTCTCAACCACAGCTCAAAGAGGTAATCTTAGAAAGTTGCGATAGACTGCAGGCACGAGAGGAAACAGACACTATCGAGTTGGTAGACGATATCAGATATTATCTTATGAAAAAATATAATGTTGATGCTGACGATTTAGATGACTTGAAATGGAGTGAAAATTTAAAAGGCGGTTTCGAAGAAAGTGAGGAGCTCAGGTTGTACCAGCACGATTACATAATGCTCGATGATATTTTGCAAGAATTGGGTCTTGAAGCCTGAATGTCGAATAAGTTTTACTTCAGTATTTATTTTATACACGGCACACATTCTTTGGTATTTTTCAGCAGTTTACCTTTTAGCGTGATTTGCAGGAAGCCAGCCGGAGCTGACAGTGCCAGGCAAATTGTCTTTGGAACTTGGCTTCTTGCGAGAAATAACTCCACGAGCGGGCTTTAAAGCCGAGTACGACACGCCAACGATTAGTAAGGCTAAAACCAATTGAACTAGAATGAACTTAGGATTGAAAAATGACATTGGAGGCGGCAAAACTCTGATCAGACTTGGATTCGCAATAATTCTCATGGTCTGCTCATTTATTTCCACATAAATGTCTGGTGACAAAACATACTCCCCCTCTGGAAGAAGCAGCTTGACTATTTGCTGAAAAACGATTGATCCATTGACCGCTGCAGGGATTGGTCCAACAGTAGCTGCACTGATGTTGGCAGCGATACTTTTGGCGTGGACATCGTACAGAGAACCACCGACGGCGACAACAGAGACGTTCACTTCTTCGTTATTGTGAAATGAGTATTTTAGAGTAGCGTTACTACCCTCCTCAAACTCTAAGAATGTAGCGAGGTTACCAGCTCCTTGTTCAAGAGTCTCATAGGAAATGTCGAAATTTGGGCGGTCTAGCCTAGGGTCTCCGATGGCAGTTGAGTCGTCCATTTCCACAGGTAGCTCCTCAACGGAAGCGAAAACCACCTTAAAAATAGTCAAAAGGCTAATCGACAGACAGGACAACTTCATTCGATAGTCTTCGTTGGTGATCGCTTTATGATTCTCTATATACTGAATAAAGGCTTTCTTTGTTGGCTGGAAACCCTCCGACAAAAATTAACTTTCGCCTAATATTTAAAAATATCCAATAAATATTGGGTGCCTGATCGATAGGCGGAAACTAGTGTAAATTGAGGGGAGGAGAGAGCTCTGAGAGACATGTACAATATTTTTGAGTCTCGCTTGACTCCGTCAGTTCCACGAGATTAATCTGTTACACTTCAGACTTAAGAGTGAGTCTAATATGGTCACGATCCGCAAACGATACCCTATGAACTACAGATTAAAAAAATAAAGGTCAAAATATTAATAAAAAATATAACAATAAGATAATAAAAATAATCTAAATCATATGACAATATATCTTTACTTTTTACTATTTAACATTTATAGAGTTTTGTAATAATTGTTAAATAAAAACAATTTGCAATATAAAAACAAAAAAGCAATGGTGAGATTTCCGAACATTGAAACTTGTTTATGGGGCAATATTGGATAATCAAGTAGCTAGGTTTGCATTACTGGTAATGGCCATGAATCTTATTGAGTATTTCGAATATATCAGATATAAAACTATCAGCTCTAAAAGGTACATCGCGTGGAGGAGCTTGAGGCTTGAGCGGACCATCTCACGTATCTTCTTACGTTTGTTCTCTTTTTCGATATCTCAAGGATATGGCCGTCTACTACCTTTTTTCCGAAGCTCAACGATCTTTGAGCTGATTCCACGTTTTCAAACTCGATATAAGCGTAGCTCTTTAACGAGCCTCGGCTCTTCTTTGTAAAAATGGTAACGCGGTTGATAGTACCACTATCCTTAAAAGCCTTACTCAAACAAGATGGCGTTACATGTATAGGAAGATTTCGTACAAAAATTGAACGTGAATCGGCTTCATTTTGTTTGTCCCTTGCCATTGGGTCAGTAATGATCTCAGTTTCGCTAGAGGAAACGCCCTCCACCGAGGGAGAACTGTGTACATGCACAGGTTTATTACTCCAGTCCTCTAAGCACCTGAACAATTCATTCTTTTCTGTCGTAGTGAATTCACTGGTCATAAATGGCCTCACAGCGTCCCTTCACTGACAACGCTGAAGGTGCCACCATATTTCGGTAATGGTAGATAATTTTAATCTTCCTTACGTGATCACGTGTTTAGCCGAAGCTCATCAAAGGACCAGAATAAAAAACTTCATATGCGATGAGCTATCGTCTCTCCATCTTTAACGGAATTCACATAAGCTTTCACAGTGATAAAAGTTCGCCATTTACAACAATAGTGTCTCAGTGACCTAAAGTAGCATGGCGTCAGTAAGGAAAAGAAAGATGGCAAGATCGTCCGTCAAAAAGGCGAGCAGAAAACATAAGGATCGCAGGAGGAAGGTTAACATCACAAGTAACCCCATCATCGCCAAAAATTGGGACTATTCTTTGACACTAGCCCAAAATTATGAGCTATTAGGTCTGAGGTCGAAGCTGCAGAGTCCTGCGGGAGGTAGAGAGGCTAAGTTGGATAAAGTCGTTTCAAAGGAACCTGTGACTAGTTCGACGTTTATGGAGAGCGATGACGAATTTGGTCCAGAATCGAAGACCACTGACAGCGAGGAAGAAGAAGACGTATTAGACGAAGAGAGCATCTTACAAGGTGAAGCGAGAATCATTCGTGATTCTGAAGGGACCGTAATTAAGGTTCTTTATGGAAAGAAGAAGGGATCGGCCACGGAACTGGCTGCGGACAATGGCTCAGATTCACCAGCTGAAACGAATACTGTAAGAGAGTTGAAAGCTTTTGCATCAAGACCCTGCGTCAAAAAGGAAAGGGTGCCCAGCGAACGAGAAGAGCTTTGGCTGAAAGCTCTCTACGAAAAACACGGTGACAACTACAAAAAGATGTTTTTTGACAAAAAGCTGAATATTAATCAACAGTCAGAGGGTGATCTAAAAAGACGACTAGAAAGGTGGAAGACAAGACACGCAATCGTCTGATTCCTAATGGGTCGTTCATGGAGTTGTGGTACGCCAAGCGGCCAATATCACGCATTCAATTACTTGTAGAGTAGGATTTTTAACACCCTATATTCATATATATCAGATGGAGCACCAATATAAAACGAAATTGTTACTCAGTTTGGTTCCACGAAAGCCCTGTAGGTTGTGAATTGATTATCCGCGGCGATAAATTCAACAGGCGTCTGTGGCGCAATGAAAAACACGAAACCTGGCTCGGCTTTCAACTTGATACCGTTGGTCTGCACATGCCCGGAACCCTTGGTCGTGATAACAATGCTAGGACCATCTAGTCCATCAAACTTTCTCACACCAGCTCCATCGACAAATGTGGTCTCTACAACAGCGAATTCTTCAATTGGAGGATTGTAGAGTGTAGACTTTCCGTCTCCAGATGACCTCGAAAACTCTTCTAGTTTCATCTTTTGGTCTTCGACCGAATCGTACGCGTAAGTCAGCATTTCCACAAGATTTGTAACATCCTTAAACTTTGGTGTGAAGCCAGCTCTCACGACATTGTCAGAAGCAGCCATACATTCAATGATGTCTCCACTGATGTAGGCATGCGGATCTTTGGCTCTCAAGAAAATAGCCTCACCTGCTTTCAAAACACAGTGGTTCAAAAGAAGGCCACCACAAAACAAGCCCACGTCGTCAGGAAACTGTTTGTTCAATCTGATCAGCAATTCGGGCAGCGCCTTTTTGTTGAAATCCGATGGAGAATTTGAAGCTCTTTTTATCAAAGCTCTTGCATTCGTCACGATCTTTTCTTCACTTGCTCTCATAACCTGGCCAAAGACACTTTGCAAAAGTTCTTTGTTGAGCAAATCTTCTTTAGACCCAGGTTGGGCAGAAGCGGTGTATTTGTTGATGAAATCGGAGCTAATCGCTTCACCCACGACATTTCTCAATTCAGGTATGCGTTGTAGCTCATCCGCAATTTCAGCTAACGGCTTGAAACCACAAAAGCCTTCAAAGTCGGTGACGGCTATGGCCATTTCTGGCTTGTGGTTGTCGTCTGGATAGTTTTTAGGATCCTCCAAATGCAACCTTTTCGCCAAGGTCTTGTCCGGGTGGGCTTGAATTGACAACACCTTTTCAATCGACAAGACTTTGAATAGGAATGGTAATTCTTGTTTGGAACCAAATTTTTCAACGTTTCCATCGCCCAACATCTCAACGGGTTCCTCAGCGATCAAGTCGCGCAAGCTTTTCTTGGAGTCGTGGTTCAAAGAAGGGACCTTGTGGTGGGTACCCATCCAAAGTTCTGCGTATGGCTTACCTTCTTCTATCACAACCTTTGGGTCAGAATGGGACGCGAACTGAGCCACTGCCGAGGAAGATCCTATCTTACCCCAATCGTATTGCTGATAGCCTTCGAAATGGAACAAAGTTAGTAATGATAGCAAATTTTGGATTCAATTGATGGATAAACTTACCAGCATCTAGTCTAAATAGTCTGGTACTCATATTCTTGTTCGTTAAGGTGTTTGTTGACGTGTTTGTTGACGTGTTATTAGTTAGTTGTCTTGTATCGTCAAAATATAGCCAATTATATATCCGTTACACGTTTCCAACGAATGTCACGTTTGTATCAACTCAAAGGAAACTGTCCATAATGCAAATCAGAAAGGGCTAGCTCATTGCATGATGGACTCCGGTAATGATTGGATCCAGACGAGGTCTGGTTCCCGAATCTCCAGACGTGCTCAAATTCGTGGCCAGAATAAGGTCATCCTAGCCGGCATGTGTGTGCTTTCAGACCATTGCACACTGAAAGGTGACGTCCCGTTGAGAAGCAAAGTGGCCGCTGCCATCTCTATGGGAGAATTCTGCATTATTGAGAAAGGTTGCTGGTTGGAGCCTCCGCAGATTGGTCATAAAAGTTTAAAAGGAAATGTTTCACAAGAGGAGATCACGGCCGTCCACGGTTCTTTAACCCTGGGCTCATTCGTGCTGTTGAGAGAGAATTGCAAAATTCAGTGCAGCCAAATTGGAAGAAGTGTCGTTGTGGGCCATAACGCGTTGTTGTCTCTTGGTTGTGAGATCGGAGATGTGGTTATTGTAGACCCACACGTAAAAGTACCAGCAAAGTCTAAAATTCCGTCATTCTCGAGAGTACGTCAGCACGCAAGATTCAAGGACGCTGTTGAGTTGAGTATTTTGCCCAATGGCTTCCGAAAGTGCATCGAGACATGGTGTAAATTCGAATATCTGGGCATACCTGTCGACGTTGATGAGATTCTATCAGATAATTGAGATCTGCCTCCAAGGCCAACCAGATCAGAAACTGTACAAAAGGCTTTCTTTGAAGTTCAATTCATATGAGCTTCTTGTGATGAGCAATGGAACAACAGAAGCCTTTGTAAGTCATGTACCATCCTAGCGCTTAATTAGTTATCATTTTGTTCGTTTTCTGACGCCATTTATTTTTACAATTCCTATCTAAGCATCCGGATAATATCATAGAGTGTTTCAAGCAACATAAGAAAGATCCAGCTTAGCTTCTCGACTCCAATGCTCATTTCACCGGCTGCAAGTACTCCGGCAGAAAAGTTCGGGGTTGTAATTGATGCAGGTTCCTCCGGATCCAGAGCCTATGTGTACAGGTGGCTGGATTCCCAAGGTGTGTCTGCTCAGGCGAGCTCAAGAGATAAGTACTCCGTTCCAAAGATTCACTTGGATAAAGAATGGTCGCAAAAATCATCTCCAGGTCTATCGTCGTTTGCCAAAAATCCGGAATCTGCCTATTCTAGCCATATTCGCCCTCTGCTAGAATTCGCTGAGCAAATCATCCCCAAAGAACACGTCAGCTCGACACCTGTTTTCGTTCAAGCAACTGCAGGGATGAGACTTCTGCCCAAAAAAAAGAGAAATGCGATTTTGAATAACCTTTGTACAGACCTGGCACATTCTTCCAATTTCCTTCTGGAAGATTGCAGTTCCCAAATTCAGGTAATTGATGGAGAAACTGAAGGGCTTTACGGGTGGATAGGCCTCAATTATCTGATGGGTAACTTCGATAAATTCAATTCATCTGAACTTAGCCATAGCTCGTCTGGCTTCATGGATATGGGTGGCGCTTCTGCTCAGATCGCCTTTGTGCCAAGTAGCCTCCAGGAGGTGCAGAAGCATGACGATGACATGTCTACTATCACACTGAGAAGTGTCAACGGCGAATCCCAAACATGGAGAGTTTTCGTAAGTACGTGGCTGGGATTTGGAGCAAATCAAGCTAGAACTCGGTATCTGGCTCAGTTAGTGAACAGTCTACCTGAAAATACAAATGATGAAGACGATGATGATTACAATACGCGAAAGCTGGTCGACCCGTGCATGCTGAAGGGATCAAGAACTGAGTTTGAATACAAGGACGTTGATTTTGAGGTTATAGGCTCAGGAAATTATGCGCACTGTTCCAAATCCATCTTCCCTTTGCTTATGAAAGATTTACCCTGCCGAGAAGAGCCATGTCTGTTTAATGGGGTACACTCTCCAGCCATTGATTTCTACAATGACAAGTTTATTGGAACCTCAGAATTTTGGTACACGGCAAATGATGTATTTGAAGTTGGAGGAGAGTACAACTTCCATGATTTCAGTCAAAAAGTGAAGGAGTTTTGCGAGACAGATTGGGGTGAGGTCCAGGCCCTTAGCGACTCAGGTAAATATAATGGCATATCGACCAAATTACTTTTGGATTCCTGCTTCAAAGCTAACTGGATTCTCTCAGTTCTTCACGAAGGATTCGAGATGCCTCGGGTGGGGATTGAAGTCTCAGATCAGGAAAAACCAAAAGATGATACTAAAGACGTAGTTGCTGCTGCAGTGGCTTTCCAGAGTTCTGACTCTGTTGATGGTTATGAGCTCTCGTGGACTTTAGGAAAAATTGTAATGTATGCCTGTTCTTTAGTCGCCACTCAGAAACATAGCAGCGCGGTTGGTATCATGCCAAGTGAAAATGATATAAGGAACTTCAATAAAAAGTTCATAGCAGGGTCGATCAATAAGCCGGTGGGCAGCGACAACACTGTGGTCAAAAATGTTTTACCTCCCTGGTATACATTCCTCCTGCTGTTTCTTCTTGGAGCCATCTTCATATTGTTGGGACGAAACTATTCGAGGAAGAATCTGCCATCCGCAATCTCTTTAAGCATGATGGCCAACAAAATCCGCGCGAAATTCACAAAGTGGAAGTATTCAGCTCTTGCTCCAGGAGATCCATTGTGCAGTCTCGAAGAGGGTCGTTACGCCAGACTGGGGCGTACTAGTGACGAAAGGGAGGGCGTACAAGTACGAAGTCGCAGCATGCTCAATTTAGATGGCGCCGGAAAATCTTCCATTGAGCACTACAAAATGAACGAGCGAACTTCAGCTAATGGAAAGCATGATGCAGAACGGTTTCAATTGCGAACGGCGTTTTCTTTGGCTGACTTCAGCAAGATAATGAATCCTAGCGGCATAGGGAAAAAGAGCCGAGCCTTCAGTTAAAAAAATTGGATGTAAACGTTATTAATGAATTAAAAGACATACTATACCTTATAGTGATTGAGGTTTTTCATAAGTCTCAGTAATTTGATGGCTGAAATTGTGTCATGAACATGGGAAGGCCCATTGCGAGTGAGTAAACGAACGAATTTAGGTCGGAGGCTCTAGTCAGATGCCTTTTCGAGCTTATCGCTGACCTTTGACAGGCTATCCAAATTGATTTTTCCGGAAGTGATCAACTGAGGGTCCACTACCTTATCTCTATACTCATAAAGTATTTTGTAGCCACCTTTTATCGTTCCCTCTGTTACTTGCAGTGTATGAGACACTTGGGTGGCAGAGATGTTCACCTTAAACAGCTGGATAGCCAGATAGATGGCAGAAGCTGCGATAGTGATAGGTGACTTACCGGCCAAGACATTAATATCTTTGGAATGCTTGGCAGTATACTCAGCCGCATTGGCAATTTGAACTGGGAGACCCAAATGTGAACAAAATCTGGGGATAAAAGTTTCCGCCGACGTTTGACCCGACGAAATTGTAGTTGTATCAATATTTGCAAAACCGTTGGCGTTCTTTTCCCTCAGAATATTCTTTATGATGCTAAAAGTTTTCCCAATTTCTTTCTTTCTGACGTTGGTTAAAGACAAAATTTCCTTGAAGGATCTTCCAACCTCAGCTCTTCGACACCCTACTAGGATAACGGATGCCATGATACTCTCCTGGGACTTGCCCTTCAATGCTCGTTCCTCGTAACAGATTTTGTATGCTTCCTTAGCACAGTCTTTCACGATCTTTGGCAGTTCCGCTGCATCACACATCATGGTGATCCTGGCGTAGGCCGCTTGTAGTTCGTTATCCTTCTTGTCGACTATACTCTTACTCTGGGCACGGCTCAGGTCACGCATGAGCTTAATATCGCTACCCTGGGCCTGGCCTATTCTTGTAGACAAGTGGTTGCCGTCCAAAAGTGGATTAGAGGCCTCACCAACACGGCTAGGATCGTCACCATTTTGGTCGTCATTTGAAAATGTACGCCATTCGGAACGTGTATCCACTATCCTATCGGAAAGGACCAAACCGCACAGAGCACAAACAACGTCCCCCTCGCTAAAACGCTCCGCAACTTTTGGCGGATACACCTTACACTCCGGGCATGATACAACTATGTTTAAGTTGGGCCCCCTTCTCCGTGCTGATGCAGCGGCATTCGCAGAAGCAGCTGTGGGTAGCGACATTAGGCACTTGAAAGAACAATAGAGCAGACGAAGTGGTTGTTTCAGGGAAATTTAGAGAAAAAACTCTCAAAACGGGCCGATAGCTAGCAACTTCACTAGGTTTCCAAAGATATCAGTCCTCCACTCAAAAACTCAGTGCTCCTTAACCACTTGAAGGTGTGTCGGATGTTGCGTTGGTCCTTTCCACCGCTATAATAATGGTTGGCATTTATCATCCATCTCTTGAACTTGTCAGTTCATTTGAATCCTTCAATCACGTGCTATGTAATAGAGACCACTGGCTGAAAAATTTTAAGAACAGGCTATTATTTAAAGCTCATCTCATCTCATCTCATCTCATCGCATCAACTCGCGTCAGTTCTGAAACAGTTACTCGGTGTGAGGAAAACTATAAGTTAAGTAACGCAGTATGAAGGTCAGAAAGAAGCAGTCGAAGAGAACGTCCACGAGGATGAGAGAAGGGATCAAAAAGAAGGCCGCCGCTCAACACCGGAAAGAGAGAAAGCAGGCTAAGAAGGACGTTACGTGGAAGTCGAATAAGAAGGATCCCGGTATTCCAGCCAGTTTTCCTTATAAAGGAAAGATTCTAGAGGCTATTGAAACTCGGAGACAACAGGAACTAGAAGACAAGGAGGCTAAGAGGCAGGAAAGGCTCAACGCCAAGAGACAGGCGGTGGAAAACGGAGAAGTTTCTATGGATGACGACATGGATGCAGAACACGATGAAGGTAGTAATGGTTTGGCAGCTCTTATGGAGTCTGCACAACAGGCGGCTGCAGAGTACAATAATGGAGTAGGCCAGCATGCACCTGAGCAGCAAGACGAAGAACCACATGACGTTGTGGAGTATGACATCGACTTCTATGCCAATGATGATGATGACGAAGATGCTGAGGTCTCCAGTTCTGAACTAGACAAATCTAGAAAGGCATACGACAAGATCTTCAAGACCGTCGTTGACGCCTCCGATGTAGTTCTGTATGTTCTTGATGCCCGCGATCCCGAGGGTACCCGTTCCAGGAAAGTAGAAGAAGCAGTTCTCCAGAGTCAGGGCAAGAGACTCATTTTGATTCTGAACAAAATTGACTTGGTCCCTCCTTTCGTATTAGAGCAGTGGATGGCATTTTTAAAGTCCAGTTTTCCTACGATTCCCCTGAGAGCGGCGCCTGGGGCTACCAACGCTTCCTCATTCAACAAAAAGCTTACACAAAGCGGTACCGCTAGTGCACTACTAGAGAGTTTGAAGACGTACGCGAACAACTCCAATTTCAAGAGGTCGATTGTTGTTGGTGTTATTGGGTATCCCAACGTTGGCAAGTCTTCGGTTATTAATGCGTTGACCTCTCGTAGAGGAGGATTTTCAAAAGTTTGTCCTGTTGGTAACCAAGCTGGTGTAACTACCTCGTTGCGTGAGGTGAAGATTGACAATAAACTAAAGATTTTGGACTCTCCAGGTATATGCTTCCCAAGTGAAACTGGAAAGAAATCCAGGAAAGAACAGGAAGCCGAGCTGGCACTTCTCAACGCCCTCCCTCCTAAGTACATTGTCGACCCGTATCCTGCTATTCTTATGATGGTTAAAAGACTGTCGAAATCGGAAGAAATGACTGAGGCTTTCAAAAAGCTTTATGAGCTACCTCCAATTCCAGCAAGTGACGCCGACACATTTACCAAACATTTTCTCATTCACGTCGCTCGTAAGAGGGGTAGGATTGGTAAAGGTGGTGTCCCAAATTTAAGCAGTGCCGGTATATCGGTACTAAACGACTGGAGAGATGGCAAAATTCTAGGCTGGGTTTTGCCAAACTCCTCAAAGGATACGGCCACGAAAGCAGCTTCTCAGGTGAAAGGTGCAACTTCTACTCAACTTAAGAAGACCGAACAAACTGCCATTGTTAATGAGTGGTCTAAAGAGTTTGACCTAGACGGTTTGTTTGCATCTTTAGATAATGCCATAGCTGCTGACGATACTGACATGAATTAGACAGCGTGAAAGTAGCATCTATCATATATTGTATAGTAGAATAAGTTGAGTTAGGAATTGTATTCAAACTACAGGTTTATTTTATTACGAAAGTCTTTGAAGTGTTCACAATCTTTTAATTCTTTGACACTTAAAAGACCCCACGCATAATGAAATGATAAGGTCCTTCAAATAAGCTCGAAACGTTCTTCACTCACAAGAAGTCCAAAGAGTAGCTTTATGCCGCATTTGCCCTGGCCCAGTGTGGGTGACAGATTGTGCGTGGAGGGCCAATTCTGCACTATTCGCTTCGTGGGGGAGATTCCGCAGTGGAAGAGTGAAAAGGCATACGGTCTAGAATGGGACAACATCACTCGAGGAAAACATTCAGGTGTGGTGGGCGGCGTTAGGTATTTTGAGACCAAGTTCAGAACGTCGGGGTCCATTGTCAAAGAGTCTAAGGTAATTGAGGCCATCCATAGAAGATGCACATTTATCGACTCTTTATCCAACGTGTACCTCAGCAAGGCAGGAAAGCATAGGGACGTATATTTCGGGTCAAAAAGAGTGGAGATGACAGGATTGGATGTTTTAGATCTAAGAAATGGAGATGTCTCCAGTTTGAAATGTATCAATCTCTCCTACAGAAATATTGCAGCAATGGGTGACCTTTCAAAGTTGAGACTGTTAGCGCCTACGCTCAAATCTTTAAAGCAACTGAATCTATCTCACAATTTACTTACTGATATCAGTCAGGTAATATCACTAATTGGGGGCATAAAAAGCCTCCGAAGCTTAGATATCAGCGGCAACAAGTTCACTGAATTTAAAATTGGAGAAGGAGATCGGGTATGGTCTGTAACGGAGTTGTCGGCCAATTGTTGTGAGCTATCGGCGGAAAATATCGAAAAACTTTGCTACGTTTTTCCTGCGCTGCAAACACTACAACTTGATGGAAACGGACGTAGTGCTTCTATCGTTTTATCTCAGAATCTTCTTCCAGATTTGTCGGAGCTAAGTCTGGCAAACAACTATTTGGAGGAATTCCCTCAGCACTGTGAGAAATCTGCTGTTACCTCGTTGAACTTATCTTACAATCCGATTTCAAGAATCTCACTAAAACGGGCTACCAAAATTAGAACACTTGCGATGTCAAACTGTGAATTGAATACGTGGAGCTCAATTGACGCTATTTGCATCACATTTCCTGAATTGACAAATCTTAAAATTAATGACAATCCTATTAACACAAAGGGGAGTTCTGACGATGCGTACTTACAAACAATTGGGCGCATAAGAAAACTCCTTTACCTAGACGGCACTTTCATTGCGGAAAAGGAAAAACAAGATGCAGAAATTTATCTAATGACTCTTGTTTCGAAGAGTCAGGCCCCAATCAATGAACTAGGAGAGCAATGGCGGTACCTCACAAACAAGCATGGCAAAATCAGCAGAAAGCCTTCTAGTAATATAATGGGCTCCGGCTTGGCTACTCTGAATCTTAGCATATATTTTGAGGGTAGAAAAATACGGGAAATTGAAGTTCTTCCATGTTATTCGGTAAGATATCTTAAGAGCATCATTTCGAAATTGGTGACACTATCGATTTTTGATTTCGAACTGAGTCGCATATCTTCAGATGGTGTAGAACATGAATTCAATTTTGAATTCTCCCCGATAAGCACATTCAGTGTAAAAAATAACGACGTAATAAGCGTGCTACGGACAGGCCGCTGAGAGGTTCTGGCGTCTGACTCTCCTTCTGACAGTTTGCGTACAATATTACGTATATCCATATTTAAAGTGCGATCATTCGCTCAGCGTGGAATACAGTGAAGCTCAATGCTAGTGATGCTATTATTCGAGTGCGAAACTCCACAAGTTGTCGCCTAAATGATGCAGAAGCTCCACCCCATGTCCCTTGTTAACGGATTTGATGTCTTCGGTGCTCATTAATAGCCGTCCCACAGCTAAAGGACTGTCCTTCTTTTCTGCTTTCACAATAACCAAAGCATCGTTCTCAAACCCTGGTGCTTCTGGCAACGCAGCACCAGGCGAAGTTAGCCCTGGGCACATAATATTGGCCCCTGACAAAACAAACTTGATAGCACCGCGATCAACCTGAATGGTGGGAAAGGCCTCTGGAAATTTATGCACAAGTTTCAGAGAAGGAATCAGCTCGTCGAACTTCTGGAAGAAAAGCACCTGCCCGTCGACGCAGTATAATTGAATTTTATCCTCACACTTGATTAGTTCGACTTGGCTCTTTTTGGGCACCAATTCATCGATAACAGGCTCGAGCTTGGGGAATTGCCTTACCAGCTTTGACTTCAGCGTACGTTGAACTGAGGATTTGACATTGGACCTGGAATGTACGTCTTCTTTGGAAAATCTATGTAAAAGTGAATAAAGGTTAGTAAATAGAGCAACGAAAGACGAGAAGACAGCGAACCATGACTAAACATTCGAACATACTTTCTGAACATCAGTTATTGAGATCGATAGCGCTGGACACGTTGTGTTAGTTGGCTCATCGCATTACAAGCACAGTATGCAGCTCATTTTCATCATTTTTCAATAATTCTCGAGTTAGGGCGTTACCCGAACAGAGATTAGTCTTCCCGTGCTCATTGCTAGATATCCATCGATCACCTAGCTACTTCTCAGACTATATTAGCCAAGAGCAGTCAATAGTGCACCAAGCTAGCCGTGTCAACAAAGCAGTTGACTTACAATTACAGAGTTCTACAAAGTTCGATCGCCAAATCTAAGAATTTGGCGTGTTCTCATGCCTCAGCAATTCTTGGAATGGGTCGAACTAGCGATAGTCTTGTAAGAACATAAGTACAAACCAGAAAAAGTTGCCAAAAATTCCCTACATAGCCACAGTGTGTATAGGACACTTAAAACTATGAGGAGCGGGTCAGGTTAAATTATTAATTTCAACCAGCAATAACACAATCTCGGACGAATCCTCACTGATATGCGTATTTCCCGTGCATAAGGATGGGTTTTTAAGAGAACACTGATGAAAAGGTGGGCTAAGTTAGTTACCTTGGCCTTATATAGTATTTGAATTTTTTGGCCATTTTCTCAGTGTTCGTTGAACTTTTGATAATTACTGCATTTGGAGGATCGGACAGAAATGTTCAAGTTGTGGTCTGATTTATACGCATGGTTCACTGGGTCCTGCTACATGCGATACTGGCACGAAGAATAGGCCTATTTCATACTCACTTCAAGTATTGTCGTCACGGTCATTAATATTGCTATGTAAGGTCCTTGGTAGGTCGTTTCTATAAATCAGAGAAGTCAGAGTCCAAAAAATCCGAGAGGTCCGCGTCGTTAGTTCTGTTCCTTACGTCGCAAGAGCCGGGGGACATTTGCTTGCACGCAGAGCCAGTGATGTACCGGACATCACTATCTTGGACGACAATTGATGGAGGGAACCTCTCTTTGGGTTCGACAAGAGGTCGTGCGTTGTTTTCCAACTGAGCTGCGATTGCCTTGTAGCTACTCATGGCCAGAATGATTTCCTTGGTATTAGTTGTCATGTTTTTGAAGGCTTCTATTAGCCGGCCCGTCTTTTGAGAGTGAGGTAGGTGTCCCGTTTTAACGTTTTCACGGAAATTCGGCACCGGCTCTATGCACACGCGACATAACGCGGAGTAATTATCTTGGAAGTACTGCCTTTCCTGGCTGCTCAGTAGACCATCGAGTTTGTGAAACTCATTCTTGTAGACTTGACTACCGTTCGGTCCTGAACTTTCCTGGCTCTTAGCAGTCAAGGGTATACCCACGTTTTCAGTTTTGAAGGCATAGGTGGTAGGCGCCGCTTCGCCAGATATCCTGGGACGTTTAGAAGGGAGGTCAGCCTCATCCAAAGAGTTGGTAGGGGTCGTGGAACTCTGAGTCCTTTTTGAATCTGAGACAGGCTGGTCGGAAAAAACTGAAGTGTACCCTGTCTCGACTGTCCCCATAGCTTCACTTGTATCACCATTTTTAGTAGCCTTTCTGTGACGAGCAAGAATGCTGCTCATTTCAAAGGGTTCCAGGCGGCAAGATGGTTCCGTTTCCGGTTTGATTGGTGACGACGCTGGGGATTCTAAAGCAATGTCGTCCAGTAATGCGTATCTCAGATCAACCTGGGGCTCCGGCCTTTCAAGCTTTATTTTATTGCCATTTATATCGCTACCGAATTTGTTGACCATGCTGCTGGCAGGAACAATGCCAGTCTCAACATTATCAGGCATAAAAAAGGCTTTTGCTGTCTTCTCAACCTTTTTCTTGGCTCTGGAAGATTTGTTTTTCTTAATATTGAGCTTTCCTGTCATAGCTTGGGTTGCAAACTTGATAACATCATCAGAATCGTCCATGTTATTGAGTTCATCTTCTTCTTCACCGATGCATATGAATTTTTTCTCGCAGATGGGTGCAACACTAATGGGTAAAATTCTGTCTGACGGGCGATATTCGAGAGAGTTTCTACCAACAATCCTTTGTAGTTCGGCATAGTCATCCATAGCCTGGGCGAACTTTTTGGGCTCTGAACCACTTAAAAGAAGCGTGATTCTGCCGTCTCTTTTTCTACCGGTTCTACCCATTCTTTGTATGTTCTTGATGGGGCTGCCAGTAGAGTCATAGCATATTATCAAATCTACCTCTCCAATATCCAACCCCTCTTCACCAATTGATGTGCAAACTAAGACGTTATAGATCCCATCTTTGAATTTTTGAAGAACATCCTTCTGCTGCTTTTGATTCATTCCTGTTACCTGTGCTTCTTCCGATGTACCAGTTCGACTTGACATTCGATTTAGACGGTCGCGCTCTTTGTTTTGCTTCTTCTTTTCCTCTCTCTCCTTTTCTTCCTCCAGCCGCCTCAATCTGTCTGTTTTTTTTCTTCCCTTGGGCTTATGTTTCCTGGTGTATTCTTCGTCGTCAAAGCCCTCTTTACCACGAGCTTGCCCAATGAAGATATGGGGTCTTAGATCATTTGTCTGCATCATATCAATGCATTTAACAATTTCCAGCGCGGATTCCCTCAGTTCAGTAAATACGATGACTCTTGACGTTGGCTGACATTCCTGTACAAACCTTTTGAGTTCTTCCTGGACATATTCCAGCTTGCGGTGTCCAAGGAAGCCCGGGTTGGCTAATAGCTTTTCACAGGTTCGGATAACATTTTTCAAAATGGGGTTATAAAAGAAAGATGCGGCTGTTTTATTAGTCGACTTGCCCATCCCATACTTTGTTGTGAACTCTTTGTGCTTGTTTTCAAAATACTTATAAAATGAATGAATGCCATAAATTTTAAGTCTCTTGAGCATATGTCCAACATGACTGAGCAGTTGCAGGATAAAGAAATTCCTCCATTTGACGCCTTCAGGAATGGTTGGGTTGGCAACAAGTTTCTGGCTCTTTTGCAACGCAACAAACGCATTTATTTGAGCAGGAGGACAATCATCGTATAAACCAAGCTCCACCGCTTCCTTTAAAACTGGAGTTACAGCTACACCAAGCTGTTCAATAAGATCCTCAATCTCAGCGCTTAATGGTACCTCTATTTCTTCCTTGTCACGTTTTTTCATATAGCGAGATACATCCGCATCTTCTTCAGTCCGAAGTTCAATTCTCGAAATATTTAGATTGTGCACGACTTCTTGAACTCCTTCTAGGTCAGCAGCCGGAGTCGCTGTCAAGGCCAGAAGTCTATACGACGTGTTAAACCTATCCAAAAACTTCGTAACCTCGACATATGAGTATGATCCTCGAGCCCTGTGAGCCTCGTCAATGACCATACACACGATGTCTTTAGGATTCAAGACCCCTCGTTTTAGATCATTCTCCACAACCTGAGGTGTAGTAAAAAAGACTCGCTTGGACGCCCATATTTCAACTCTATTCTTCCGCGATTTGTCGAGGAGGATGGCAGTATCACTATGTGGTATACCTGTCACTCCAAGACATGCTTTGATTTGCTGCGCTACTAGAGGCCTCGTAGGCGCTGTGAATATTATTTTAGCGTCTTTGGTCCATCTGTAGAAGTTTAGCATGACTGCGCTCGCTATAAATGTTTTGCCTGTACCTGTGGGAATAGCGCATATGAGGTTTTCAAACAGTGCCCTTTTTACGATCTCAAATTGATATTCACGAATTTCGTAGTTTGTCGGGTAGATATAGGTGCCAACTTGGTCCATATCCAGCTGATGGTGGGTTGGCCCATAAGTAACCTCCGTGTGAACTTCTTCGTAAAAAGCCTTTTGATTCGATAGGACCTTGCCAAACAGATCCCTTTGCTGAGGTATACTTCTTCGTGATACAGTTTGCTCCACACTTCTGTTAACATTATTTTCTAGAAAGTTTTCCAAATCGTCATCACTAAAGCTGTCGCCTTCGGCTGAATGCATTACTCATCAGCTCCTTCTCTCAACGATTCACCATGCCTCTGTCTGTGCAATCTCATCAACCAACGAAGGTAACGCGTTTGTTTATTTTCCTAAACTCGTATAGAATGAGTGGCCATCAGTGCCAATATAGACCCATCGTGCGATACACTCATATGGTATGACTCCTCCTCTACCAATTGAAAACTGTAGTATGATCCTTTTTGATTACGGTCCAATCTTATGTACATTGAAGGCCGAAATGATCTCGTTTTTGGTGAACTTCACAGTAGTTCCCTTATAATGCTTCTCGATCAGCGTGTAGAGTTTCAAGTAGAGTGAAACCGTTTGTCCTTGTATGCAGGACCAAAGCTTGTCAAATAAGACGGCGTTGATCATGTTCTCATTTTCATATGGAAAGTCGCTCTGAACTATGCCACAAAGCTTATCGATTGCCAACCTTATCTCCTGAGCATTATAGCGATCCAAAATTTTCGTCAAATTCTGCTGGCTATAGACAGCCCACTGTGAAGGATTGACCTTCTTTGTTTTGGCTGCTTCGACTAGTGTACAAGCACCCTCTACGAAACTGTGCAAATGATTCATGGTGCTGCGTAAGAGGGACTCCGCGTAATGTTCTTTTTCTACGTTGAATAGACTCTTCGACCTGTGCAGGCAGTCATTGAATAACATATCGCTGCCAAAAAGTGGCAAAATCTCAATAAGCCAATTGCAGTTGATGAGGAGAGATATGCTTTCCAGCTTCCCATCAGGAGTAGATGATTGCATGATTTCGGGGGTCATAGGGTCCTTTGCACTTCTCGTGACAAGTTTCAGTAGCGACTGGCCAACTCTATCGTAGGAGTGGTCTAGAAGTTTGCGAGATTTGGGGTAATTTACAGATTTCATTTTCAGACTGTCGCAAACAAAGAATACTTCATCTTCGAGGTGTGCTACGAAAGAGGTCAAGCCAGTTGTATAAGGAGAGACAGACATACTCCTAATGTTCAAAGTCGCTCTTTCTATGGCCCGTGACTGGTCAGTGATGTACTCTTCCCATTCCAGTGTGAACTTTTCATAAAACTTCTCGTAAGTGGAAGTCAAAAACTCTTGATCAGAGGATTTGAAACGGTCTACTCCGCATTCTGCAATGAGCAAAAGTATTGGAATTATCGAAGGCTGCTTTTTTGAAATATTCAGAATTTCGACCAGAAAATTGTTGTACGAAGACTGAAATATTCTTGTCATCAAATGCAATTTTAAGTTCGCTGCTTCTCTGTCAGCATCCATAGGCGAAATAATCTCCAGTCTAGATATTCGCATTTCGGGATCTGGATGAGAAGTTATAAACTCATGAAAGCTTGCATTGTCGCCAATGTGGAAGAAAGCAGTTAAAAAATTTTGGCACGTCATAGCTAGGGTCTCCAGGGTCTGTAAAAATGAGATGACGTTCCCTAATTGGCGTGAATTCTTTGGTTTTGAAGGTGTAAACTGTTTTGATAGTCTACTCGCCTCTAAATGAGCAACCTGCTGCGTCTGATTTTGTCCAGAGAAGTCAGAAGCGGACAAATCTCCGCCACCACCTTGCCACTGGGACTTAATATCTTGAAGTAATGGCGTCAGCCTTTTCCTGAGAAGCACTCCTGTTTCCTGGACAGCATGCTCAATTATTTCCCAGTAGGACTTATGTGAGATGTCTTTGCTGAATAGGACCAGTGAAGAAAACAGCAAAAGCCTTTCGTGAACGTGCCCCAGATGGCCTTCTGAGACGCGCTCATTCTGCAGGTTAATAAACTTCTTGTGAATATCTTCTACTAAGCGCGCCAAAAAGAGTGCTGAAATTCTATCATAAGCTAACCTTCTTTCTTTGAGAGCTCTCAAAACTCCGAAGTTGGACCCGTCATCGACAGCATCGCTGCCAATGGCCGTGAGCGCCGTATGTAGGGAACTAAGCAAGTCCTCAACTTGTCTTAAATTTCGTTCACTTAGCGGCAAGGTTAAAAGCCCATTTAGGGTTGTCTCGTCCACTGTTACGGAGCCCAAGACTTCGGATAGCTGCTTCCAAAGCATCTTTTTGTTGGCACTTTCAACCTGTAATCCATTTGATTGATTTTCGACGTATTCAATATCTCGGGCTACAGTGGACAATTCCATGGCGAAGAAAGATAGAAGCGGGTCAAGTTTCTCGCATTGTTCCATAACTCTTCGCTGATAACTTGAGACATTGTCACTTGCTTTAGGGAGAGATATTAATTCCCGATTCAAGACATATTCTGTTTCTGAATGTTTTTTCTTCAGTTTGTAAAGAAGGTCTGCGGAGCCATCATTCACAGACCAATTCACACCTTCCAGCGTATCCATTAATGCTTCATTGTTGACCCTAGTAAATGCAGTTTGTTTCCCGCTTGTATCTTCGAGCTTCGTCTCATCAACTGGTATAGATGATGGCTCCTCTCGGATTGTGGAAACTTCGTGATAGTCATGGTGGCCATTGATTTCTTCTTTATCATGTACCTTATCACCATTCATGTTATCCACTTCTTCCTCTACCTCTTGTACGTCAGAATAATGTTGGGAGTGGCCAAGAACCTGGCTATGGCGTACTTCATCACCTTTTTCAAACGACAGCTCATTCGTATCCTCGTTGGCATATCGAAACACCTCCTCTTCATCGGAAGAGGCCGACTGATAGAGATTTGCAACGTCACTTTCCCTGTCACTTAGTTCATAACCTTCTTTGGTACTATCGTTACTGCCTAAAGACAACTCTTTGATAGGAGGATCTTGAGTCAAAGAAACAGCTGGTGCTTCCGTTTGGTCTGTTAATACTGAATTTAACTCAGAAAGGAAATTTGCAGAATCAGGGGTCTGTGCCTTTTCAATGTTACGCTGAGTATGAGACTTTGTTGAAAGGGGCATTTGCGAAGGTCGAGTACTAGTATTATCAACGTCCAACTTAAATTGTTGATAAGGTATTTTCTCCAATGGCATTGTACGGACAGGACTGTGCTCTCGTACACTTTGGTGGGCGGAGACAAGTGACTGGTCCGAATCCTTGGAAGGATTGTAGCCACTGCGAACAGCGGATGTGGTGACAAGTGAATTTTGACCTGCAGGCTTATCAACACCACCCTGCATGGTGTCCTGTTTATTGGAATTTTCTGTGGGCTTCAAAAAGGATTGGCCACCGGTAGCAGCTGACAAGTTAGGCTTAGCGTAAGAGTCAGCAGGTTGCGGCGCCAGCACCGGTAGTTTGACAGGCGCCGGAGGATAGTGGGGTGCACTTTCAGCGTGGACTTCGGTTGGGGTCTTGGAAGCAGAAATGCCAGAAACTCTGGTATTAGCCTGATGTGGGCTGGTAATCAGGGCCCTATGGTAACTGGTCTCGTCCAAGTAGAAGAGTGAGAGGTCCCACTGTAAGAGCCTTGGCACACGCCCGCCCGAATCCTCCATGAAGATTTTGATGAGAGTCTTTATGAAAACTGTCCGTTCTTTGGCCGAATTGGTTTCCCAGTAGTAGCGTTTTCCCATGGTAAGGAAAAACCCCTCAAGCTGCTCAGTATCACGCTCAACAGCTGTCAGCTCCTTTAGGGCCCAGGTTCGACCAATTTGAAATGACCCGTTGCTGTTTTCACGCGCCTTATGAATCTGCATTCCGGTCCCATTTCTCAGCGAGCTTATGATCAGCACCCTTTTTTTCTTGTTCGTAAGCGGAGAGTTTACAGGCGGCCTTGTGCTGGGGAATTTAGCATCCTCTATTATTCTAATGTGCGTAACGTAGCTCTTGGAAGGTCCCTGGGACGGATCTGTGCCCGACTGGTGCGCGAAGCAACTGCCCAAGATAGCGCGCCTGTCACGTTCGTACTGCTCAGCAAGAAAGTTAGAGCTGACCGATGTGTTGGAAGTACGCGACGCATTCCTCGTATGCCCTGTAACAGGTGGATTGTGACTGCCACTGGACGGAGTTGTACGGTGGAACCCATTAGAGGACCGTGATTCTTCAATTGATCTACCACGATGGTGCGAGAACTTTTTGAGAGGCGAGCTTTTGCCTAACATATCCGATATAGGTAAGTCCCACCAATTGAGTCCCCTTCGTCTTCGATCGACACCTTTATACAGTCCTCTTGTTACTAGGCTTGATGGTAGTACTTGGTCGAAACCTTAAGCTTGTAAACTGGATGATGATATATATTTTAATTATATGATAGCTACCCGGAGACCTCAAAAATTTTAAAGCTGGCATCTCATCCAAGGTTATATTACCTTCATCAGCTTTTAAGAAAGTTGTTTTCAAAGGGATAAACCGCCAGCTAGCTCTTTTTGATCACAATCGTGTAATTCATCATGTCCGTTGACTTCAACACTTTAGCACAACAGTTCACGGAATTTTACTACAACCAGTTCGACACTGACAGAACCCAGTTGGGTAATTTATATAGGGAACAGTCGATGTTGACTTTTGAAACAACACAACTGCAAGGCGCTAAGGATATCGTCGAGAAACTGGTGTCCCTACCTTTCCAAAAGGTAGGTCACAGAATCAGCACTTTAGATGCCCAACCTGCGTCTCCTAATGGCGACGTTTTGGTGATGATCACCGGAGATTTGTTGATCGACGAGGAACAGAACGCACAGAGGTTCTCGCAGGTGTTCCATCTGATGCCCGAGGGCAACTCATATTATGTGTTTAACGACATATTTCGTCTCAACTACGCTGCCTAGAGGTCGAGCTCCTGTGCGTCTACGCCCTAGACTGCCAGCTGCAAATACAAGTATGTACTGTGTATACCGCCGAATAGAAGGAGCATCGCAAAATGATGCAGATGCAAGGATTCGTTGAGCTGCTTTCGAGTTGCCGAGCTGAAGCGTCTTCGGTGGTCCTTTCAAACGACAGATGTGTCCTCAATAGACCTATATATATTATACATTTGAATCAATCCCCTTAGAACTACTCTCTAATTGGTGTTAGACAGCTATTACACTCCCGAATAACCGCCAATGAGCACCGAGAGCTTCCCAGGGGAATCAAAGTTGCCGGTATGTTATGTACTGACCAAAAATCTTCATATTTTGGGTCAGTAATGGTACATGCGATGGAATACTAACCCTCCTACAGGATCAGGATTCGAACCAGATAAATACCCCACAAGTGCCATCATCACGGCCACTTCGAGCTAGAACAGCCAGAAACTTAGAACAAGTGCCCAAAATTCCCCAGGGCCGGCCCGCACGGAGACATACGGAATATTTAGATGCAGCTGTCCAAGGTGCCAATGACCAGCTAGACCAGTTACGGGAAGCCATTGATGGTAAACACTCATTAAATAAGCATACTGAAGGTCATGAGAAGACGAAAGAGCAAGTCTCGGGAGCCGGCGATGTAGAACTTCCAACGAGCATTCCACAAGAGCTTGCTACCGATGAATATGCCAGCGATGAGCCCGAAGATTCGAAGCATAGTCCACTTGCGGATCGGAACGATTCTGTGTTGAATAGTATAGAAAAACAGGTCGAATCTTCGGCGTCTGATGCAGAGAACAAAACGTCAGCGGTTGGCGGACCGAGCCTGTTGAAGGAGCAGTCCTCGGGAGTTCATGGTTTCGAAGCCTCAAAAATCAAATCAGGATTGCTGGCACAGCGTGAGGCCCCTATTGTGGAAGATGGGGAAACTAAGGAATATTCTCCGGAGCCAAAGAGGGATCAGCCAAATAAAACCTTTTGCGATACCGGCGACAGCGTAGGTGACACAGCATCCGAGAAGGGGAGTACGGAAGCAATGGACATCACCGCTGCAGGTGGTATCTCCAAAGAAATGAGCACACAAAGCGACGATTCAGGTACAGAGGGACCAATGACCGAAGTTCTGAAAAGAGACCAAGGAACTCAAGAAGCAAGTTCAAAATCTAGTGATTCTCCTCAGACGACACAGACAGAGGATGAAAGTGTACCTCTTTCGAATACCAGTGCAGAGGATTTGGGCAGCGATAAAACATCAAAAGAAGCCCCGGTCGAAGGTACCACGGTCGAGCAGACTACTGCCGATATGCCAAAGGTGCCATCGAGACCCGCGAAGAGAGCGCCTCCTAAAAAGCCCTCTTCCAAAATTGCCGCGTTCCAGGAGATGCTTAAACAGCAGCAGTTACAGGACCAGTCGAAGCAAGGAGGAAGGGCTCTAGAAGATGGAAATACATTGAGTAGTGGTGGGAGAAACAAGATCGCAACTAGTTTGAATGGTATTTTCGGCATCCCAGGGATGGTTCCGCCAGGGCAAGCTCTTAGCGTGTCGTCTAGAAAGCCGGAGGTAAATGAAGCTACGAAGAGCCCAGAAAACTCTCCTCCAATCAAGCAGGAACGAACGCCTGATGTGCCCCAGAGGAGAGCAAAGGGCCCCCGAGGTAGAAAGCTTCCTGCGCATTTGGCCAATGTCGAAAAAGTTGATGCGTCCGCAAACAAGTGCGACGTACAGGTTACCAGAGTTTGGTCTTTGCAATTTCACAACACCAAGAGGGGGTCGGGAAGTGAAACAAGAAGCCAGGAAAGTGACTTAAAAGATACTGAGATCTGTGTGCCGTTGGAGAGAATAGAAGCGGTACGCTCGGAAGTTCATGGTATAGATAATACCTCACCTGCGGTCCCGACAGGGTTGAGTTCGTCCTCCGCTATCGTGAGCGCTTCTCAAGGAGAGACCAAACAGTTATCCGCGGGAGAAGAAAGTTTAGAGACTTCAAGCCCTGATCTTGAAATACAAGGAATGCCAAGCATGCCCTCGGCCGAGAGGAACTCCCCCGCAGAAGTTCAATAAATGTGCTTCGCTTTGCTGGATCAAGAAAATAGCCCAGATTAAAATTCACCACCAAACTATTCTAAAGAGTATTCAGTGTTTAAGAAGTAGAGAGAGTCTTGCCTACAATTGTTCGAGAAAAGCTTGTAATTCTTATCGGTATCATCTTTTGTAGTCTTCATCTGTTCGTACGCTTGCACAGGCAACAACTAAAATTTAGTTCTTATTATTTGATTTGTCTAACAACCCTCGAAGGGCGATAGAACTGGGCCAGTATGGTGGTAGATACAACTTATTACGACCTCCTTGGCGTTTCAACAGATGCCAAGGCTATCGATATTAAAAAGGCATATCGAAAGAAGTCAATTCAAGAACATCCTGACAAAAATCCCAATGACCCTGGTGCAACAGAACGGTTCCAAGCCATATCGCAGGCCTACCAAGTTCTCAGCAAGGAAGACATACGTGCGAAGTACGATAAATTCGGAAAAGAGGAGGCTGTTCCTCAGGAAGGTTTTGAAGATGCAGCTGAGCAGTTTTCGATGATTTTTGGCGGCGACGCTTTTGCTTCCTACATCGGTGAGTTAACGCTCTTGAAGAATCTACAGAAGACTGGCGAATTAAGTGCCGAGGATGAAAAAGAGGAGGCAGAAGAGAAAGCTGCAGCGGAAAAAAAGGAGTCGACTGCCTTCAGTGGTGCCACAGAAGGCTTGGAGAGACTTCATTTGACAGAAGGGGCTCCAAGCGTGAAATCGTCCAACCAGCACTCACAACAAGCCACCAGGGCCAAGGAGGAAAAACCAAAGAAGAAGACTAAATTAGAGCTGTTCGAAGAGGAGCAAAAACGCGAAAAGGAGAAGAGCATTAAAGAGTTAAGCAAACTCTTGAGTGATCGTTTATCGATCCTGACAGAGAGTGAATACAACGCAGCCTGCAAAGAGTCTTTTTCCAGAAAGTTTGAGGAAGAAGCAAATATGCTTAAAATGGAGTCCTTTGGACTCGATATTCTGCACACGATTGGTTACATCTACTGCGAGAAGGGCCAAATATATTTGAAATCGCAACACGCGTGGGGATTTGGAGGCGTTTTTCATTCAATCAAGGCTAAGAGTGGTGTGGTTGTTGATACTCTCAAGACAGTTTCAGCGGCACTGGATGCCCAAAATACCATGCAGGAGCTAGAAAAACTAAAGGCTCTTGCAGAATCTGATGAAGTGCTACGAGACGAAAAAGGTCAAGAACTTGCCAAACCGTCCGCGGAAGAACTTGCTCAGCTGGAACAACGCTTAATGGGCAAGGTTTTGTCTGCCGCGTGGCACGGTTCTAAATTCGAGATAATGTCTACACTCAGATCAGTTTGCGATAATGTATTGGAAGACGATCATACTGACAGAAAAACCTTGATCAGAAGAGCTGAGTCGTTGGTACTCCTGGGAAAGGTGTTCAAGAGGGCTTTCAGAAGTAAGGTAGAACAAGAGGAAGCACAGGTTTTCGAAGAATTAGTTGCCGAGGCCACAAAAAAAAAATCGAAACACAAGTAAGATAATAGGTGCTCCTCTCATTAATGAAGAATAGTGTGAAATTTGATCATTTCGTTATTTTGCAGCTGCTCATCAAATACCAGCTTGAAAGCGGTCACCTCGGCCGCCATGAAGTATCAAACCCCGATAGTACATTTTTCAGTACCGCTCTCCGGCTGTTTTGCGACGACTTCAGTGGCTTCCCCTCTGCGACATCCTGCGCGATGAGCCTGTCTGCCGCAACCGACTTGTGCATGTAATGGAAGAAGTCTTGCATAACAACTTTTTCAGTAGGGATCCGAACAATCCCATTTTCGTCGCCCACCATATAATCCCCTGGACGTATATTTTGTATTTTAGCTTCACAACATAAGATGTGCAACCGAACCTGCACTGCTACGGGCTTTACAGCCATCTTTGGCGAGCATGTTCCCAATGCATAGCTGTAAACGGGAAAGTTTAATTCTCTGTGTTCTGCGAGGTCTCTAATACGACCAAAAACGATTGTACCTTTAGCGCCAAGATTTTGAGCTCTTCGAGACATCAGGCCACCGTACATAGCCTGCGAAATCCTTACGTATGGCGCGGCTTCTAGCTGCATCGGGAGCGTCAGTGCCATCACGACCACACTACCTTCGGGCACCGCATCGATGTAGTTAATTTCTGGCCGAGGATCATCGTGAGGGGCGAAAAGAACAGTGTAAGCCTGGCCCACCAGGGTATCCCCATGTTGTCCAGACCATTGATGCAGATTAGGGATATAACCGCCTTCAGGATCGCCATACATATTTAGTAGACAGTCAGACACATCACAGGTGCTGAAAGCTGCTAGTTGCAAAGCGATATCGGACATTCCTGATGTATAGATCAACTAGATGAGTTTTTACAAGTAATCTCATCGATGAAGGTCAACGAGATATAATTATGAGTAAACACCAATATCTTCTATACGGCAGCGTATAAATAGATAATCTCGTCCAAAGTCGAGCGTTTACCCTAGGAATGAATCAAATCCGAGCTATACAAAACCTGAGTTTGAGGGAGCTGGAGAGCGGTATTTTATCACCTTCTGCTTCATGGCATAATGAGTATAAGGATCAAGCGTATATATACGTAGGAGGCCTCAATAAAGATCTTACAGAAGGTGATGTGCTGACTATCTTTTCTCAATATGGCGTTCCTGTGGATGTGAAGCTTGTAAGAGATCAGGAAACCGGTGACTCAAAGGGATTCGGCTATTTGAAATACGAAGATCAGCGATCCACAGCGCTTGCGGTAGATAACTTGAACGGCACAACCATTGCGGGGAAGTCACTTCGAGTCGATCATACATTTTATACACCGCGAGATGTTGACAGAGACTACAACGAAGCCGTCAAGACAGAGTTAGAAAGAGATCTTGCTGGAATTCCTAAGCTAGCGGATACCTCCGAATTGCTTATCACATCGACATCAAGGGCCGGAAACGAATTCGAAGATCCTATGGCACAGCATATATAGACACGAATTGGTCACCACAGGTACTTTACACAGCTATATAAAATAATGCACATCCACTTATCGTTTTAAGGCAGTGGTGGTGGAGGAGGAATACCGGAAGGAGGAAGAGGAGCGTCCGGCAGCGAATGAGCGTCGTTGAAGGAGTCCACCGATTCGGGAATTGAAAGATTGTCATCAAAATTCTCATCACTTTCGTCCTCTTTGCTTGGCGCGGAGTTGACGGTAGGCCCCGAATTGTTCACAAGTTGAGGAAGAGGGGGAGCTGTGGGAACGGGCGGCATTCTTGCAGACTCAGAGAGCTGACTTCCCTCAGCAGGAGCAACTGGAGCAGGAGCAACTGGAGCAGGAGCAACTGGAGCAGGAGCAACTGGAGCAGGAGCAACTGGAGCAGGAGCAACTGGAGCAGGAGCAACTGGAGCAGGAGCAACTGGAGCAGGAGCAATTGGAGCAGAAGCAATTGGAGCAGGAGCAACTGGAGCAGGAGCAGCTGGGGCAGGAGCAACTGGGGCAGGAGCAACTGGAGCAGGAGCAACTGGAGCAGGAGCAGCTGGGGCAGGAGCAACTGGGGCAGGAGCAACTGGGGCAGGAGCATTGATGGTTGTTTTGGACGAGTCCTCAGCATCCGACCAGTCATCGTCGTCATCTAAACCTCTCTGTATCCTTCTTTGGGCTTCAGCAGCTTTAGCATCAAACGATGGGGAGCCAGATTGCGTTGGCTTGAAAAAAGGGTTTCTTTCGCCAGTACCCGTCGAAGTGGAGGATAATGGTCGTACCGAGGAGGAACTCTGCCTCTGTGGCATTCCGAAAGGATTACCCTTGTGGTGGTTGCTCGCTGACCGTGATATGGGACTGGCGCTATCTAATTGAGGAAGCTCGTCGGTTTGCTGTACTATTTTCAAAGCTGGAGCAGCAGCTGTTTGATGCTTCGTATCATGAATGGGCCCCTGAGTCGTGTTTATTTGTTCACTAGCTGAAACCTCTTTATGTGGAGATTGATCTCTACTTTCAGCTTTAGGTTCATAGATTTGCCTAGTTTCCGCTGCTCCACTCTGGTCTTTCTTCTTAGCCTTCAGGGCCGCTAGCTGTTCGGTGAGCTTTCTCACCTCCTCGTCTTCTTCATTGATATCCAGTTCTTCTGCATGAAAAGCGTGCGAATTCTTTTCGCGAATGTCTTCTCCCAAACTTAAGCTGGCTAGCCGTTCCTTCATTTTTCTTTGTGCTTGCTCCTTCAAAAAAGTTGATCTATCAAGTGAAGAAGAAGTGCGTTGCTGGAAATTCGAAGAGCTAGAAGACGAAGGTGCCGTCGCTCTGTAAATATGCTTGACCTCAGAATTCTTTTTCACAGATGGGCTGGGATGCAACTTGGAAATGAAAGCGCTGACATGAGAATCGACACCGATCCCTAGTTCCCACATTTCATATTGACGCCCACTGATATTTTTCTTACCGCCCAAAGCAGACTTCACAGAGGCAGCTATTTCAAAAATGGATGTTTGAATATCCTCAATGATTGATTGATTGGCACTATTTTCACTTCTAAATTTAGCCACCTCCTCGTTGAACACCTGTTCCTGTTGTTCAACATTAGCGCTTGCAGGTTGCTTTCCCATTAAGGTAGCCATCCTGGAGGCTAGCAAAGCCTTACTTTTGGCTTTCCTACGATCCTCCTCTGTAACTTCCCCATTTTTCCCGGTACCAACCATCGAGGAGGGGTTTCTCTGTCTGTACAGTTCAATTTTTGCCATGGTAATTTGATTGTTCACGTTGCTTATTTCGGCCAATAGCTGTGGAACCCGACTGGTAAGAGCTGCGAACTTTTCTTCCAATTCGGCGGGGGCCCCTCCTGCATCTTGCTTAATGACTGATGAAGGTTGTGGTAGCGCCAAAATCTTCCTCTTCCAGTCTTCAATTGCTCTCTCGTCACTAACTCGTGGCCTCATAGTGTTCACGGAAGCAGGCTCTTTTGGTGTCTGCGAAGCTCTTGTATTGCTGGGCTCAATCGAAGCACTCGTTAATTCACTGCCCGTGGCTGAGGGGCTCTGATAAGTTTTTCTACGATTCCTGGAACTGGGCAAAAGTTCGTCATCGTTGTGCTTAAATGAAATGCCATCAACTTTGGTTGGCTCTTTTCTTTCAGAGCCAGAACTATTTTTAAGTTGGTCTTTGACAGAATTCAAAATTTGATTGCTCGATGGAATCAAACTGGGGGGAAGACGATTTGGCAGTTCGTGACCTTTGAGCCTTCTATACACTAGGTGCATTCCTAGTGCGAATTCTTGTCTATTCAGCTGCCCACTATTGTTGATATCGCAAAGATTCCAAATTTGTTCCAAGTCATTCCTATTCAAGCCAGACTTCCTGAAAACTTCGACGGCGGTTGCAGATCCCATTAATCCGTGTCCCTGGGAATCGTATGTATCGAATATTTTATAGAACAGCGCCTTTTCATCACTGCTGATCACATCGGAATCATCAACCATAAACTTCTTGGCAAAATTAGCTTGACTGTAAATTTCATTGTTACCAAAACCGGTCTTTTGAGCTGTTAGGGGTGCAGTCGGATTAAAATTGGAAGGAGGCAAATATCCAGTTGGCTGTGGCTGCAGTGTAGCAGAGCCATTGAAAGATGTCTCAGGGAATTGACCAGGGAATTGACCAGTGGGTTGACCAGTTAAAACTGATGTTAACGAGTTTGGAAGACCGGTGGTCTGAGGCTGAAAATTGTTTATACCGGTAAACTGACTTTGGAGAGGCTGATTGAAAGATGTCTGTGGCATAAAGCCGGTGGATTGGGGCTGTAGGAAGCCACCCGTAGACTGACTCTGAAGGATGTTCCCTGTCTGTTGCTGAGGGAAGCTGGCCGTGGGTTGTTGTTGTTGTTGTTGTTGTTGTTGAGAGTATCCGCCAGTTGGCTGGGATTGTAGCAGTCCACCAGTAGCTTGAGCTGTCAATGCTTGATTAAATGACGTTTGAGGAATGAAACCCGTCAACTGTGGATTCAATTGCCCTTGAGTGGTTTGCGACTGCAATGGCATGCCAAAGCTTGTGTTGGGCATCATACCTGTAGGCTGCGGTTGCAAATTCTGGAATCCGGAGGTAAGATCATCAAAAGGAGTCTTCGGTTGGGGTGGAGCGGAGGACTCATCGCCACTCGCAATACTGAAGTTTATGGCGTCCACGAAGCTCGCTACCTCGTTTTTCATTTTTGTACTAAGCTCGAAAGGTACGCTGTCACCTTGAATAACGTCATTCACAAGATGCATTGCTAAGGCAAATTCGGGGAACAACAACTCACCCGCTCTACTCGTGTCGCACAATGTCCAGATTCTAGCCAACAGGGTTGGAGAAACTCCAGATTTCATGAGGATACTTCTACAGGAATTTCCTGAAATTGTGTTGGAGCCTCTTGGAACAGAAGATCTGAACAAAGTTTCAAACTTCGCCTGATCATTAGCTGTCATAAATGACAGTCTCATAGCAGGGATTTTCATATCGTCATTAACCCCATTATTCGCAAAAGAGTTCACAAATCCAGTCGCAGAAGGCTTTAGAGGTTGCATAGGAGGCTGCGCGTTTTGAGAATAAAAGCCAGTCTGCTGGGGCTGGAGAGGCTGTTGAGAGGGTTGAGAGTAGTAGCCAGTCTGCTGGGGCTGGAGTGGCTGTGAAGTTTGCGGTAATGCACCAGTCTGCGATGGCTGATTTGCTTGTGAGTTAGACGTGGGACGTGGTTGATTGTAATCAGTGCCCTGGAGTTGTTGCTGGGCCATGTATCCCGTAGTCTGAGGAGGCTGGCTCGAGTAATTTGTCTGTTGAAATGGTTGCAAATTTGACTGCTGTACCGCCATGGGTTGCTGATAGGTTCCAGTGGGTTGTTGTTGTTGTTGATTGGAGCTCTGTGGCTGCACTTGTTGCCCAAAGAACGAAGTCGGAGGAACTTGCTGCCCATAAGCGCCAGTTAGTTGGGGCTGCAAAGTGTTCTGCTGGGAGTAAAAGTTCGTTTGTTGGGGCTGAATTGCAGTGGAGCCGCTAAAAGCTTCTGTTTGTTGCCCACCTTGAAATCCACCCTGAGCACCACCAAACGCATTGGGACCTCCGAAGGAAGACCCATTACTTACAAACCCCGTCATTTGGTGCTGGTGCTGGTGTTGCTGCTGCTGCTGCTGCTGCGATGGCTGTTGCTGAAGGCCAAAAGAGCTCGGGACGTTTTGCTGATAATTGCCAAACTCACTCGTGGGACGTTGAGTAAGCTGCGTTGGCGGTTGATTATTCCCTGGGTAATTACCTAGGGGTTGCTGGTTAAAACCATGCCCCTGGGCCTGATAAGGGTTGAACATAATCTTCCGACGCCGCCTCTGATTTCGTTGTCCTGTTTAGTTATAGCTTAATCCATGTCTGATCTGAAATAATTGATTTTATATAGGGGCCCTGGTCAAGAACAGCAAGTCTTCGTAAATAGGCATAGCCTCCAGTAAAAAGTGGCACATCTTCTCCCATAAATACTACGGCTGTCTGGCATAATGCGAATTGAAGTTTGAATTGACGACCTCTTTTGCAAATACCTATATGCCTATCGTTTGCTCGAAGATCGCAGAATCACCAAAAGAGGTTAAGTTTCTTGCGACATGATATTGTTGCGCACGATGTCACATTTCAAATGCGCTGTACTTGAACAGACGTGCTTCAAATCTGATAAAGGAATGCATTCAAATCTATGTACGTTCTTTTTATTCTTGAGAATGAGACAGACCATGCTTCTAGGTACGTCGTAAAAATTCTTGGTGCGACGTGAAACTGAAGAGACTTATCGAGATAGGTTGTCGCCTGACTAAAACAAAAAAGCTTTTCAATTATAGTAGTATTGTTGGGAGAGCGACTGGTAGTGACCTGATACTGTTCGAATAGTTTCGAGTTGCAGAAGAGTAACCAACAAAGTGGTGTCAGTATAGTACGAAGTGATACGGACGACGTCAGTAAAACGAAAGTGTACACGGTGAATGATCAACCTACGGAATTCAGAGGTGCAGTTCTTACACGGAAATGCCTTGGTTACTCACTTCAGCTATCCAATAGCCCGAACAGCCCATTTGCTAAATTACCCAGCCCCAACTGCCCCTAGGGTATTCCCACCTGAAAATTGTGTCAACACCAGCTCTATGTCCCAGATGTGAATCAGACTTAGAGCCAAGATAATCGCGGAGCACAACCAGAGGCCGTTTCACAAGCTGAACTTCTGATATCAAGTACACAGAGTTTCATACACGCTGTCTATCATTTTAAACTGAAGGAAAAATTCGGCAAGTTGACTAGTGCCGACGTTGAATCTCTCCAATAGAAAATTCAACAATAAATAAGCAAACCACACAGTACTAAGTGTAATACCATTGTATACACTGCAATGCCGTGCTCTCGTTCTCGAAACCTTCTGCTTCGGTATATAAGAGACGTGATCACCTACTATACCGTCACCGTCGTTTACCAATACTTGAAACTACTAAATAAACAACAGGTCAAGTGGGATGTATCTCTCCAGATCAACATTTAGCTATGGAAGACACTAAAACCACGGTTTTTAGAATTCCTGTCTTTCGATATCCAGTAACGAGTTTACTCGGTTTCCGACCCCATCACGGTCCTACACTACAAGTGTTTCTGTCCACTTTAAACCGTAATGCGACCAAGCTGTGAACAAGAGATTCTTTACCCTCAATGCCAATGCTACGGCCACGAACAGTGCTAATTTCACCGCCCGTAGTACGGATGGTCGCCCTCTAATTTTTCTCTTCAGACTACATGCACGATTTGGATTTAACTTACAGAATACACGGTGCCTTGTCTCAATTCCGAAGGAACCCTTCGAGGGACCAACCGTCTACTCGTCGCTTTGATCAAAACTTGGCCAGTAACTTTACGAAAGTGACACACGCTCGTGCCAAGCGACCTGGAAAATTTTTAGTAGAGATGTGAGTCGAGAAGTTCATCTCGACCTAGACGAATACATCTTAGAACATAGGCGCCAAGCACGGTCTCTTCAACAAGTTTGTTTAATACGTTCGGTGAAAATGTCGTGGCTTTTTGGTGGAAGTAAAAAAAATGATTCCAACACTTCTGCTTCCGCCGAGCATCAACAGATTGTGCAGGATGAGGGCAAAGCCCAACATGCTCTAGGATTCGATCCTAGCCAAGTTACCAACGTGTCGAGCATCATATCCACACCAGGCGCTTTGGACCCTTCAAGATTACACCCACTGGCCGGCCTGGAGCGCGGTGTCGAATATCTGGATCTAGAGGAGGAACAGCTATCTACTATGGAAGGCTCCAGAAGCTTGATCCCTTCAAGAGGTTGGACTGACGATTTGTGCTACGGAACAGGTGCCGTTTACTTGCTAGGTCTTGGTCTTGGGGGCTCATACGGTTTTTTCGAGGGGTTGAAAAACATCCCACCCAACAGCCCTGGAAAGCTGCAACTTAATACCGTGCTGAATCATATTACCAGGAGAGGTCCTTTTATCGGCAACAATGCTGGTGTGTTGACTCTCACTTACAATTTAATCAATTCTTCGATTGATGCTCTGAGAGGAAAACATGACGCTGCCAATTCTGTTGTTGCAGGTGCCCTGACAGGCGCAATCTTCAAATCTTCCAAAGGTCTCAAGCCCATGGCGTACGCCTCTGGTATGGTCGCCGCTGCAGCCGCGACGTGGAGTGGCGCCAAATCCTTTATTTTGTGAGGTGGGTAAACTCCAAAGCAAATTTTAATGACATGCGTGATCCTCAAGCACCAGCCACCATCAAAACTTCGGGCCCCAAAGCAAGACCTACCATCTTTGACGACCTCGCCACTCATACCAACACTCAACGCATTACGAACAACCAAGCACATCTTCATTCGTGTACACTAAACTTAAACTAGGCCCCACGATTGATCAAGGGCTTCCGATAATTCATATAGCTCTGAATAATTTTGAATGGGAACACTATAAAAAAGAACGAGCAAACGAAAATTACAATCGTTGATAGGTAAGTTCCAACCTTTGGGCTTTCAACGTTGCTGCTCTACTTGTACATAAAGTAATTGAATATTTCACTTATCAAAGCAGCCGCTTACACAACGGTAGTTGGGTAGATGGGCTTTATATATGGTCTTAATGTCGTCGCCCTTGACCGCTTACGTATTCTTATGTCACCCAGGGGCAAAGTTGCATCATCTTCGGCAACATGCCCGTCCTTATTGTAACCTTCCAAGTCTCTCACTAATTCGTCAATATCAACGCCGGGGTAAATTGCATCGTCAAAAATATCATCCTGTTTGTCAACCCCGGTGAAGAGAATTCTGTTCGGTGTTCCAGGCTTGAATATTAAGCTTCTTTTGTGGAAAATCGACTCAGTAGAAAGCTCGACAAGGGCGGCTTTAATGTCATAGGGATGCACGCCACTATCCAACAACGTAGCCACCATGCCAGAAACAATTGGTGATGCCATAGAAGTGCCAGAGTATGCGACTGGTTTATAGGGTGGTTTGTTCGACAGGGAATTGACTCTCACACCAGGCGCAAAAATATCAACACAATTGCCCCAGTTTGAAAACCTGGCAACGGTGTCAGTGCGGTCGTCAAAAGCACCAACCGTAAGTGCAGACAAAGATGAAGCTGGGCTACTCCAGCAAGCATTTGCGTTTGAGTTCCCGGCTGCCACCACAACCACCACACCTGCCTCAAGAGCAGCTTCAACCGCTTGATTCAACACTGAGTTCCTAAATGAGCCCAAACTCAAATTGGCCACACAACTACGCCCACTCTGCCGGCAGTGGTTGACGGTGAACTCGATGGCACTAATGACTGATGTTAAATTGCCTTGGCCCCTGCCATTGAGAGCTTTAACCTCAATCAAGGTGACATCCTTAGCAATGCCGTAGGTTCGGGAGCCAAGGAGCCCAGCGACATGTGTTCCGTGTCCGTTCATGTCACCAGGCCCTTCTCCTACGAGGTCTGCACCGAATTTTGCACGTCCCTCAAATTCTTTGTGTTCTTTGGTAATGCCGGTATCAATAACATAGGCATTAACACAGGTGCCCAAGAAATCGGGGTCAAAGTAGTAGCTAAAATTGGAGCTCACAGAAGCGACCTCGGTTGGATCATATGGCAAAGCAGACCTTCGAGAGACCCGGGCCAAGTGTCTGGGCGCATTTTTCTGAATACCAACATCGAGGAAGTCTCCTTCATCATCGTCAGTTTCATCATCATCGTCATCGCCGCTATCATCATCTTCATCATTATTATCGTCATCATCGTCGTTGCTGCCATCGCGAGCATTTTGTTCTCGTCCGTCCCTGGCTGGCAGATTGCGCTCCTCACCATCATATGCCCGAAGCGCGCTATCAAAAGCATTGAATTCGACGTTAGGAACAATTTCCGCTACCAGCGGGTTAGTTCTGAGTTTCGCAATGGAGTTGATTGGGAAATCTACCGTGAACCCTTCGAATTTTCCGAACGAGAAAGTTCTGAGAATCTTGCCTTCGGAAAAGGCATTCAAGACGTCATCGTTGATCCGAGCTTCGACAAGCCTGCTTAATGTCTTGGGTGCTTTCAGCCGTATCAAAAACTCCTCGGCATTTGCTAAGTTGAGGGCTGCGGCTAACATCGCAGCAAGCTGGGTTACTTTCATGGTGCCCGCTTGCAGTTGTAGACTAGGGCTCAGTAGAAGTAGTGAAAGAAGAATGGCCGCATTCGGCCGTTTTTATACTTGATGCACAAAAGTTCTGTTGCTAAATTGCATCTGCAATGGCAATGGCACTGACGCTGACGCTGTGCGTCGTCTTGGAGTTTGACCTTTAAGCCATTCCTTTCCTCGAAATTCAGATCACGACGTGCGACTAGAGGGTGTATGGAGCGCAGTATATCGTGCGGTTGGTCATCAATCGAACAGCGCCAAAAAGTTCACCAAACCGACCCCATCCAAGTGCCATTCAGGCATATTCCCACCGCCTGTCTTTTTCTGTCATCAAAATATCACTTCTTACCGCATTGACACATTCCTTCCACATCGCCTGTTCTCTCATCTAAACAAACATCGATCACGACGAGCGTTCTCGTACCTCAAAGGTACCACTACTCTCTCTCAAGGTCTCGTAAACACAACACTTTTAGCTTCTGATCTGCACGTAATCTCGCGAACGTTAACTTTCATGGCTCCACCTGCCGTTGCTCGTATACTCCCGAAAAATTTCACTACAGGGTCGTCTCGGACTCCTGACAGTTTAGCCCATCTGATAGTTTTGATAAACCAGCCAGCTACACCTAAGATGATATGCCGAGATCACTAGCAAGTTTGCTGGTCCGACTAGAAGCCCAGTAAGAGATAGGAAGTTTTTGATCACCTGAAAATTCCTTCAGTGCGCTGAGGAAACGACGCACTTTTCAGCTGATTCATGGGATACTTTGAACGGGTATAATCCCGCTTGCTCAGTTGACGGCATCAAAAGGGTCAAACAGGAAGCTGCTTTGGAGATTTTTTGGCAGCAGCACTGGGCTTAAGTCCGTACCAGAAATAAGGACATATATCGTTTCTTGGGATATAAGTATAAGGAAGCCACTTGACTGACTGAAAAATAAGAAGGTAACAACTACAAAGCTGTCTTGCTAAGTAAAGAAGGTTCATATAAGCGAACGCAATGAAGATTCTCACAGAAGAAGAAATTGAAGCACACAGATACCATACTATTTCTGGCGGATTGAAGGGTGCGTTGGCCGGATTGGTTGTGTCCGGATTGATTTTTAAGATGGCACCGGCACGGTTCCCCAGATTCCAGCCATCGAAGCTGCCCTGGTCTCTGAGAACCGCTATTTTCATTACACCTCCAACGCTGCTAACGTCGATCTCTGCAGAGGAAGCGTCGTCTGGATTCGAGAGAATGATGTACGGGACCGGCGAGTCGTCGCGGGCTGCGCTGGAGGAACACAGACGCTGGAAGCAGCTGCCATTGTTTGAGAAGTTCATCGAGGGGGCGTCCTACCACAAATACAAGATCATCGTTGCTGCATGGGCAGCGTCGCTGTACGGATCGTGGAGAATTGTCGATCGCGATCCTATCATGACGAAAACGCAAAAGGCTGTCCAGGCCAGAATGTACGCACAATCCGTCACCGTGGCCCTGCTGCTAGGCTCCATCGGGTTATCGATGTACGAAGAGAAACTGCGTCCCGACGCCCGTAAACTGGAGGCGTCTCGCCGTTGGGAGAGGGCTCTGGAGCGGGCGGAAGAAGAGGAGGCCACCGTCGCACATGCTGGCACTCGTACCAACGAAGACCGTATCAAGGCTAAGATATACAAATAGCGCTGCAGCAGCACGGCGGTCCACTGTTTTTAACGAGTTTTCACGAATAAAAAAAAGGGCAGAAGTGGAAAGGATGCGGAAAGAGCGTGTGCTCGTCCCAGCGTGCGCTCGTCCCAGCGTGCGCTCGTCCCAGCGTTCGCAACCTCCCACCTGCCGTTGTAAAACATACCTAGCAACTGAAATAAAAGATATTTACAAGAACTTTATTCTGGTACTTCTATGTACTGCCTTCTATCCTCACCGGCGCTTCCTCATACCAGCCTCCAAGTCTTTAACATCCAACTTGGTGCCTCTGATGTAATAATGCTTGTTTCTCTGTCTCCTGCCGTCCGCTCTTCTGATCAGATCGATTCTCTCAATGACCGGCGAAAAAATTGGGACCCTCACTTCCACAAAGGTCTTAGCGTACTGGTTTCTCAGCAGGATCGAAGCATCTTGCGTAATCTCTTTCCGGTCTACGGAAAGCACGTACCCCATCAGATTATCGTATTTGCATTTTTGAGAGTTGTAAGCCACACGGACTACGTCTCCAGCACGTAGACGCTCCTTGTTATGTTTTGAAATTAACTCGCGCCTCCATTTTTGTGGATCCAGGCTTTCATCTAGGTCTTTCTCCGTCACTCTTTTCAACAGCTTGGGTTTGCCAGCATTTTCGATGGCTGGATACACCGGTATAATTTTCCTGCTAGTGGAACCGAGTTGGTAACTTCTCGTAAAACACTTGACAGCTCCACTCAATGTAAGATTCAATCCACAGTTCATCAGAGGCGTTGTCCGAAAGCTACTGTAGATAGTTGTTCGCAAGTCGTTGAGTGTCGCACAACTACGATCAATGATCATTTGGTCAAATGCAGGAAAATTATTCATCATTATACACGTTTTAAATATGACAGACGACACTTTAGTTTCCAGTCCCATAGGACTGTAATGCCACTGGGCTACGCGCTCTAGCACCAAGTTCCCAGTATCTCAACGAAAGTGCCCTTACTCATGACCACAATTCAGCACCCTCTCCGAGGTCGATCTGTCAATCAATTTTGGACTGTACATCAAACACGTGATAAAGTCTAACCTGTAATGGGACGGTTCAACCTATCTAGATACGCTTTGCTTTACAAAGCGCGTCCTTCCTTTCGAATGACCTTCCGGCTCCCTTTGAATGATTTTACCAGTTATCTGCTCTATTATACAAGGTTAAATCGCGCAGGCTCTCAATGACACCTGGCTATGGTACACATGGGATCGATCTCCATGGGCTACAATCAAAAACGGTTTTTACGCTTGCGACCTGTGAATTTGGAGTCCTTCGCAACAACCCTACCCCTCTTGCGCATCAAGTCTTTTTTGCGTTGAATGTAGTTCTTGTTAGACTCGGTGGCTTTTTTCTTCTCACGACGCACCTTGATCATTTCCTCCGCGTTCATGGTAACACCCTGTAGATTGACTTGTTTATCCTCTGTGGAAGTCCCTGAACTCAATACCAAGTAGTATTTCTTGTTTTTCTTGGATTCCGGATCATCCACAACCAGGCCCCCGCTAAAACCGGCCACTTTCGCAGCGCCTAGAATTTGCTGAATTTGATCGTCGTTTTTGGGATAAAATTGTGCCACGAACTTACCACCTTTCTTCAAACATGCAAATAAGGTGTTGAAAAACCGCATTAACCGTTTTTTGGGGTCGTTATAAGAAGTGTCTGCGTTGCAAAGCCATTGTATCGCACTTATACTCATAGCAGCATCGAACGTACCGGCTCTAAATGGCAGACCCTGGCCCATATCATGCAACATTAGATCGCCCTCCAGTTCTCGGGTCAGCCCTGTGGCCAACATTGATGGGGAAATATCCACACCGCACCAAATGTGGCCTTCCTCGGTCAAGATCTCCCCGCTGAGACCTGAACCACATCCTATATCCAACACAAACGACGTATCTGCTAAGTTGAGAAGTTCCAGTGCCCGCAACGACATTTTCGCTTGTATGTGCTGAACTCTGGTGGAAGAGGTATATTTATGCGATTCTGTATCATTGTAAAACACCTCTGGGGGTGCCAAGTCTTCTGGCCGAGACATATTAGGTGTTCAACGGTCAAGATATTAAGAGCTGAGGCCGCGTTTTGTCAACCTTTATGTTTTTCGTTGCGAAGACAAGCGATGAGGTATGCTGAAATTTTTTAATTACTAGGTGGAACGAGATGAGATAGAGAACAAATAAAAAAGTCCGTAAAAATAGTCGAGATTCGGCAGCAATGGCCGCTTTTCAATTGGAGACTCCGCTTCGATACTAATTATGATGGATAACAATTGAAGGGTTAGTTTTTGCTTAATTTTCGCGCGGACCCTGACCTGCTGCGAGCCAAATCGAATTTATGAGTTCTGAAAACAGCCGGCTACCTGTGTAGTCGATACTATAATCAGTGCTAGAGTATTGGAGTTATACTGCATCAACCTCGTCCTCAGTTCTTAAGAGCTGTATTGCGGCGGTCTTTGGATAGGGTGCTGGTGACTTATGTCTAAGCACCGTCCGAAAAAAACGTGGAATGGACAGTGCCGAAACCCTCTCAAAGATTTGGTAGCTAGTTATTGTGCGGACTTCTTATCGACATTTTGCCCCTACGTCGTGAATATTCATCTGTCGCATTACAAAGAACCTAGACTAGATGATTAGCACCTTGAAAGCGTTCCACCCAAAAGCGTTTCACCCAAAAGCTTCAAGGATCGTATTTAAGGTTTTTTCGAAAGTTGTTCTCCGATGCGACTGATCCGTTCACGTTCAAGAGTCTTCCTTTTGCTGGTTCACATGTTTTCATGTGAGCACTTCACGTATCATATTTAATACCTGTAATTAGGGTCTAACGCTTTCAAGTAGCAAACTCCATTTCGCCAAGAGGAGTGTGATCAAGAGATTAGTAAAGAAACCAAATGAATACCGATGAGAGCCATCTCGAAAAGAAGCTGCCCAAAAAAGAAGTGCGAAGAATCGAAGAGATTACTCGCAATACAAAGTCCCGAAAACCCCTTCCGGGAGTAGAGACCGGCTTCGACGAATATGGGCCCGAGGACAGCAACAAAGGACTGTCAGACTTCACGTTATATGCAAGCAGTCTCAGCAATAAAGAAAAACATCGCTACCACAAACGAACCGGTCGGATGCGATCATTTTTCGAAGATGTAAGGTTTGGCCATCGGAGCACGATAATGGACGACTTGGTGAGTTCATCGCTAACAGCGACCTCTTTTAAAGCAGCTGGTTATGCTAGGGCTACAGATCAAGAGGATGCAAGTGGAAACTCCGATGGATCTCAAGATAGGACACTTGTCTTTTTTAATTTCTCTGGGTTCTACGTATTGCTATGGATGGTAATAGCTTTCATTGTTTTGAGACTGAGTGTTGACTATTACATTACTCATAATGGAGATCTCTCGCAGTCAGAAATCTTGAAGTTCATGACCACAGATCTGGTATCCGTTGCCTTAATTGATTTGGCCATGTATTTGTGCATTTATTTCGTGCTGCTTGTACACCTGGGATGTAAAAACAGGTGGATAGCATGGAAGAGAACCGGTCGCTATGCGACCTACGCTTATGAGGTTGGGTTCTTGTCATTTTTCTTGTACGTCGCCGAAACAGTGATGCAATTCCATTGGGTTGCGAAGATCTTCATCTTTTTACACTCTTTGGTATTGCTCATGAAGATGCACTCATTTGCACTTTACAACGGTTACTTATGGGGCATTTTAGAGGAGCTGGAGTTTTCCAAGAAGACACTTGCGAGGTCTAAGGACATAGCCATGGACGGTAGCTTCAAGGAAGCTTTAAAGAAAAGTTGTGAGTTTTGTGAGTTTGAACTTGACCTACAGTCCACAGACGTACACTTTCCGGCAAACATGACTTTGAAGAATTTTTTTGAGTATAGTGTATTCCCAACCGTTGTTTATCAGATTGAATACCCAAGAACCGAGCGTATCAGATGGTCCTACGTTTTTGAAAAATTGTGTGCGATCTTCGGCGTAATATTTGTTATGATGATCATCGCACAGTTCTTTATGTACCCGATTGCTATCCGTGCTATGGCAGTACGAGATGCCGGAATGCCTATTTTTTGGGATCGAATTTTCGAATGGCTGTACCTTTTGCTAAAGTTGGTTCCAAGTTTCATCATCATGTATTTATTAGTTTGGTACTTGATCTGGGATGCAATTTTGAATTGTATTGCTGAACTAACATGTTTTGGTGACCGGTATTTCTACGGCGACTGGTGGAACTGCGTATCATGGGATGAATTTAGCCGTCAGTGGAACGTCCCCGTCCATAAATTCTTACTGAGGCACGTATACCACAGCTCTATTAGTTTCCTGCAGTTGAACAAATTGCAGGCAACCTTGATGACCTTCTTGCTGAGCTCCGTTGTGCATGAGTTGGCCATGTATGTGCTATTTCGGAAGTTGAGATTCTACCTCTTCATTCTACAAATGGCACAGCTTCCTTTAATACAATTAGGTAACTCCAGGTTTTTGAAATCTAAAAAGGTTTTGGGAAATGCCATTTTTTGGCTTGGAATTTGTACAGGTCCCAGTCTCATGTGCACCTTGTATCTGACTTTTTGAACTCGCAAAACTAGTAACCCTCTGGTGACACATAAATTTACACATGTATGTTACAAACCATATGGTTTCTAAAAAGTTTTTATCATTCTACTTTTTCTATGTCAGCGGTAGATCTCTTCAAAGGGCCGCGTATCACTAAAACAGCTATCCCAAACCTCGCTGACAATTTTTTCGGCATGTTTTTGATCTTTGCAACTCGGATTGCCCATAACACTGAGCGTAGCTCTCCGACGAACACATTCTTGATGGCCATTGCTCACTTTGAAGCCTAGACCACGCCGAGCAAATTCTTGCATGAAGCGGCACTCGCCGCTTAGACTTGAAGCTCGAATTTCAGAGCAAGCGTGGTGCCTTAGGTTTAGCCAATCTACACTCCACCGCGTGTTATCGTAGTAGTGGACCATTTCATGCGCTAGAGTATCTTCCAAATGCCATTTATCACGAATTCTATTTTGGCAGAGTAATATCCCCAGTTCTGGGTGAAACCCACCACTTCTCCACTCTGGACAAACGTCACAGATAATTTTGGACTCGTCGAATTTATATTCAGACCCGTTACTCTCTTTTGTTGAATCACTGCTAGTGTTCAATCTGGCGATCTGTTGAGCCATAAAAATGACCGTTGGAGAATATTTCAAAAGCCAATCTCGGTACTGGTAGCATTCGTTACACTGCTTACGCTGTAAAACGTATTTGTAGTCATTTTCATATTGATCCTTCTCTGTGCCAGTTAGTCCGATGCCCGTATTGTACTGAAAAGTTCTTCTCCACCACTGGAATCCACGAATTGACGATTCATCAGCTGGAGGTTGAGGTTTGTCCAGGGTCTCGGCTGCGGGGATCTCCTCGTTCATTTATAGTTTGTAAGACGTGGGAGTCTCTTAGCCACTGCTCTCGAGCCGATCTGTTGATCGGTATATGCCAAACAAAACCTTTCAAAAATTTTGAAATTGCTCATCGCCTGCTAACCCACCTTTATTACAAAAGCCAACTTCATCTGTCTTGAAAAGAAGCTGAATCATATTCCAACGAAATGAACATCTGGATAGCCGCTAGTGACGGTAATTTGCAGAAAGTTGAATCCTTTTTGTCCGCGGGCTTTGGACCGGAATCTAAGGATCCTAATGGATATACACCAATACATGCAGCAGCAGCTTATGGCCACCTTGAACTGCTACGTAAGCTGTGCTCATCTCCTTATAATGGAAGCATCAACATTCGTGATAACGATGGCGACACGCCGTTGCATCACTGTGAGGATCTGGAGGCAGCGAAATTGATAGTCGAAGAGTTAGGAGGGGATTGGAAGCTGACCAACAGCGATGGCAAAACTGCGTTGGAGGTGCTGGAAGAAGACCAAGAATTTCCTGAGTTGATTGGGTACTTACGGGAAAAGAGCGGTGTGGAACAAGAAAACTTAGGCATAGACAGCGAGCAAATGGCGTTATTTAAAGACAACTTGCGTTATACCCTAGAAAACGAACCGGAGACTAATGACCCAGAGAGCGCAGCTCGTCGCAATAGAATCGAACAGATTTTGAATGGCGGAAATGCCGAGCAGGAGTTGGAACAGTATATCCGCACTCTAGTGCGGTCACAGTGGACAGATCAGGAAAATGTAGAGCCTGACTCCAAAAAAAGAAGAGAATAGAACTACAAATGTGTACGAGTCAAGGTAAATCAGCACCGCATAGCATACCTACATAGCGACAACAGCAACAACAGCAACAACAGCAACAACAGCAACAACAGAAAACAACCTTGGTGGAGATAGCCAAGAACATGAAGTTAAATCCCACCTTGGTATATCGCATGCAAATTTCAGATTCGAATAGCGAGCCACGTACGCGGGACAGTGAACTAATTTGAAAAGCCACCGACGGCAAATAGGCGGTCTCTCTACTTCTCCGGCTATCTTCATTCCGTTCAACATGACTCATAACGAAGCTCAAATTTACTAAATGGACGGCGCTTGAAGTACTTGACTAGCGGTTGATGTTTATAAAGATTATTATTTAGCACAAAACAGAGCTTCTGAAAGATGTCAATGTTTTTCGAGCCCGTGGTAAAGCTATCAAACGCGTTGAACTCACTCAACTCTGGCTATGCAGATCTTTCGTTTGAGGAGCAAAAAGCTCTGACTGTTCTGGAGAGAATTAAGTTGTACAACTGGACTTTCGAATTTTATGCTTTGGGAGCATTGGTGCTCATCTTCTTGGCATATACTATTGGTACTAAGGTCAATTCAGGTCGTGGTCGTCAGCTAATGATGTCATTAAATCAGGTATTCAATGATTTGGCATTTGCCAAGATTGGGTTCACCACTAAGGGTCCTCAAAACCAGCCATTTGTAGCTGAGAACAACAATACCTGGTTCACCACTTACACTTCTGGGCGTTCGAGCATTGAAAGTATCACCGCTCGTGCTCATCTACTCTCCCGTTTCAATCCTTTGTCCATAATAATGGAAAAGGTACTGGGCATTTTTTTCCCTAGCTTGGTGGCTAAGGACTTAGAAGAGTTTCTAGAAGTTACTATTGTGCCCAATGGACACTATGTGACCAGCTCTGCTGCTCCACTACCAAAGGATACCAGTTCAGCTTCGTCAGTCGTTAACAAGTTCAAATTCATTTCTGCTATTGTAAACAAGTCCGACATGGCCAAAGCTCGTGAAGCCAACTATTACTTGTCGCTCACTCACACTTCCGAAAGCGACAAGTTGCCCTTCGAGTATGTTTTCATGTCCGAAAATAACCAACTCAATGGCCTGTTCGAATTTTACGGAGGCGCTGAGTTCAGAGAGTTGTTAAGTCAAAGCACCAAGTTCTTGTCGTTTATCGCTTTCACTGATTTGCCGGAGGAGAAGCCTGTCACTGAGAAGACCTGGGAGCTGAGCTTGCAACCAAGATGTGTGATTAGAACCAAGATGGTCACCGGTTCTGCTGACCTTGCTCGCTTAAACCAACTGATCAAAGAGGTTGTTGCAATTGTCGATGCTGCCACCCAACATTTTGTTCAAAATCCTTCCAAGGCCTTTATTACCAACGACATGCTAAAGAAATTCTCAAACTTGCGTTCTCAAGAACTTGCCAAGATCGTCAAGGTTGTGAAGCAGACCGAAAGAGAGCTCTTACAGGAGAAAAAACAAGACCTGGAGAGAGAAAAGAGACGTCAAGCTAGAAACAAGTTGAGTGGAGAAGACCAAGACAAGGTTGATCAAAAGATGCGCGAGAAGAGAGAAAGACGTCAGCGCAACAGGCAAAAGGTCCGCATGTAAATACAGACAGGCCCTAATTCCATCCAGGCCAGAGTTTTTTTTTATTACGTACAACCTAGCCATTTTTGCACGGCCAGTGCAATGCCTCTTAACTACTGAAGTTCTATTTACAGGTACGATAATGGCTTCATTCAAATGCGTGCAGCTTTATTTTAACATAATATTGACAAGTGGCATCTGGCGCTCTGCCTGGCTAGCTAGCCCAAACCGCAGAAGGTCAGAACTCATGTCTTCGAGAATCCACTTCATATCACCAAACCAGGAATTTTAACATCCTTCACAGTAACTCCACTTTTGAAAATCTTGACGTCCTCAACCTTCGTCTTTGGTTCAGACTTAGCGACCTCAACGGTCACATTTTCCTCTTTCAAAACATTTGGCTGAACTTTACTCTCTAAGGAGACAGACATTATTCTTGAGCTAGCTAGCTCAACAGACTTGGCTTGTAGCTGGGTATCGATATCAGCGTCTTTCAGAATGTAGCGAGCACCATTTCCCCGATGCAGGTAGTTTCTCATTAACGATGGGCTCACAGTAGCCACTTGGCCCTCATACAACTGAAATTTTGGGAAATCTTTCAGTAGTTGAACTTTGACCTTGTTAGTGCGTTTGGAAAGAGCAGAATAAGACCTCAACGATGTAACTCTCAGCATGGCAAGCAGAATGGACGTGCGCCTTTTTGATTATAATGCTGTGGTCCGAATAAGCTAACCTGAAACTTTTTTCACAACATAAGTGAACTCTTATAAAAACATATTAAACGTCAGCGAAAGATGTCTGAACACTTAGCAACCCGACAATAACCGAATCGGAGTCTACCCACCAAATAGAATTAAAAGTCCGATTAAGTAAGGCATATTTGGATTCTACGATCTACATTTCTTGAAGGGCAGCAGTTCGCTTGACCAACCAATATCATTTTGTACCACAGAGTCGCTGCCTGGCTTGCCGTATCAAAACCAAACAGTAGAGTCGTGCTTTTGAAGGACACCGGGTACAATCGTCCGTGCTCGCCCTTTCCACACTTCACACACACGGGTTATCGACTGCATTTTTGCAAAATGGTGGTCGTCATCATAAACTTTACCTCAGTTACTGGAGTCTGCTCTAACATAAAATATCCCAATACCTTCTTCACAAGTGGATGCAAAACACGGCAATAGCATCAAGGTGTCTGTTAAGCAGGTGGTTCTATTTACAATTCGCTCTGCGTTGAGTAGTGATAAAAGAGAAATTCTGCTGAAAAGAAGCTAGGTGAAGATTGGAAGCCTGATCACTCCTCTTTCAACACTTGACATATAAGGATAACGTTCGAGGGGCACGAGGCATCGTGCTCGTAGTTTGTCGGCGCTGTCACGATATTCCAACAACTTTCTAAAAGAGAGAATGAAAAGGTCGGAGGACCAATCGGCAGCCAATCAATACTCTGGGATTACGTGCTAATAGGTGGCAAACGGAATGGTGTGATTACAACTGGTGGAGAAGCGACTGTAATCCTTCAAAACCATCTACGTACATAACGATATATGTTGAATATGCCGTTTGATTATCGACTATTGAAAACATCAACACCATCGACTGTTCAACTTAATAAGGAAGCTGCTCATATCGTCAAGGATCGAGGCAGATCGTTAGTAGAGCCGGTCAAACCCATGTCCAGGAATCGTAAACAAGGAAGTGCACCTGCTGCCAATATGCAGGCTGCTCCAATGCCTATTGCCCAACCTACGGATGCTTATATCCCGCCATATCTGGCCACTCAAGTTCCAGAACTAGAGTCTTTCAAAGAGCTCTTGGAAGCTGAGAGGAAAATTGACATCTACATCAATCGAAAGAAAATTGACTTATACCAGTCTGTGTCGCAGTGGAACACGCTGAAGCAAGAGTCGCAGGAAAAACAATACTTACGGATCTTCATTTCGAATATCGCTGAAAACCAAGCATGGCAAACACAAGAAGCCGGTGTTGAGCCCTCATGGACTTTGAGAGTTGAGGGTAGGCTTTTGAACTCTCAAGATGTAGCAGATCCCCAGAGACCAAAATTCAGTACTTTTCTGCAAGGCATCGCCGTAGACTTTACAGAACCACAGGATACGACTGTAGGTGGAGCGGCAGCAAGTGAGAATGGCCAGTCGAGTGCTCCACAAGAACCACACCAACCTGGACAACCACAACACTCGCAACAACCGCAAGCACCACAGCAGAACCAACCTCCATCTATCGTGGAGTGGCATTTTGACCCTGCTAACCCAGCGGACTTTGACGGGCTAGACATCAAACGTGACGGATCGCACAATATAGAATGTAAAATTGTGATCCAACCGAGGGGAACAACAGGGGAATGGATCCAGTTTTCACCCGAGCTTGCTTCTATCATCGGCATCTCTCGCGGAACTCTCCATGAAGCCATTTATTCGTTGTATAAATACATTCTCCTCAACGACCTCCTTTCCAGCGGCGAATCCGAGGTGGCATCAAACGGCCAACAGGCACAGGGGCAGAGCAATAACACCAATGGTGAAAGAACAATAGTCAAAACTGACAAATATCTGGCCGTTCTTTTCCCGGAGGAGCGTAGTTTTTTCAAATTAGGCGAAATCCCCGCACTGATCAATCGCCACGTTTCGCCCCTGCCACCTATTAAGATCGACTACACTGTTCGGGTCGACAAGGCTTCTACCTACGGTGAAACTGTGCTTGATGTGGAGGTGCCCGCGAAGGTAAATGACGAAGTCGCACAGCAAGGTATGTCTTTGCTTTCCGAACTCAACCAGTTGAGTACAACGCTGGAGCCCCAGATGCAACAACTCAATCAAGAGATCAACATCTTGCAATTGCAGCTAAATTCAAGCGCCAACAAATATCAGTTTTTCCAAAAACTGGCCAACGATCCAGTGCCCATGCTGGAAGAGTACATCCAGTCTTCCTCCAGAGCATTAAAGATCTTGAGTGGAGATGACGGCTTCAACGAGGATACGGTAAGACGTGCTTCATTTTACAAAGAGAACGAGGGTATGCTTTTCGAAAATCTCGGAGTTTTGTTGTCCAATGGGCGAATTTAATGGGCCTTTTCTGCGCCCATCTAGTCCAACCGGCAAGGTTTTTTTCGAGTTCAAGAAAAGTTGTGTCGCGTTAACTTTGAAGATCTACAGAAATTTATTGCACAACCTGGCGAACGCCTTGGCTCTGACGTGACGTTCACTCATAGTATTCATGCTTCTGAACACTGATCGTGGCAGTCCCAGACTTGGAACTCACCAAAGTACTCGCCTAAATATATGACGAGTACTCATGACTCGAGCGAATGATTCATCAAAATTTTTCACCAAGTGACCTGACAACTTAATCACACACACTCGTCCCACTTAAAGTTCAAATTGACCATCTCTTTCTATTGATTGACCATCCCAGTTTCTCTATTGGAAGGTTCGGTTGACAACCAACTTGAACTTTAAAATGTCCCAAAGTTATAGATCGACTAGATCCTCTGCGAAGGAAACACAATCTTTCGAAAAGACTATCATCCAGGGTCTTGCCTCTGATGGCGGTCTTTTCATTCCATCTGAAATTCCACAACTAAGCCCTGAAACAATTCAACAATGGTCTCATTTAAGCTTTCAAGATTTGGCGCTAGAAATCATGAAGTTGTATATATCGAGCGAAGAGATCCCGGAGGCGGACTTAAAGGGCTTAATTCAGAGATCGTACTCTACATTCCGTTCTGCTGATGTGACCCCATTAGCGAAAAATGTCACTGGTGGCGATGAGAATTTGAATGTATTGGAGCTTTTCCATGGCCCAACTTACGCCTTCAAGGACGTTGCGCTGCAGTTCGTGGGTAACCTGTTCGAGTACTTCTTGCAAAGAGCTAACAAAGATCTGCCCCAAGAACAACGCAAGAAGATTACCGTTGTAGGTGCCACATCTGGTGACACCGGTAGTGCGGCCATTTACGGTATGAGAGGCAAAAAAGACGTCTCTGTTTTCATCTTGTACCCTACAGGAAGGATTTCACCAATTCAAGAAGAGCAGATGACCACTGTTCCAGACAAAAATGTCCAAACCTTGTCGGTGAAGGGTACGTTCGACAACTGTCAGGATATTGTCAAAGCAATTTTTGGTGATGTTGAATTCAATAAGAAGCACAACGTAGGCGCTGTCAACTCCATCAACTGGGCCAGAATTCTAGCCCAAATGACCTACTACTTCTATGCATACTTTCAGGCCGTCAAAGCTTCTCCATCTAAAGTGAAGTTTGTTGTCCCCAGTGGTAATTTTGGGGACATTTTGGCCGGTTACTACGCTAAAAAGATGGGGCTACCTGTTGAGAAGCTGGTTATTGCTACCAATGCCAATGATATCCTAGACAGATTTATGAAGAGTGGTGTCTATGAGAGATCGGATGACGTGGCCTCGACATTGTCTCCTGCTATGGACATTCTAGTCTCATCGAACTTCGAACGTTTATTATGGTATCTGGCTCGTGACGTGCTGGCTTCTGGCGACGACCAAAGAGCCGGTGAAATTGTGAACAATTGGTTTATTCAGCTTAAAACAGAAGGAAAATTTGTTGCTGATGATGCTGTCGTTCGTGAGGCATTTGTCGACTTCGATTCTGAAAGAGTTTCAGACTTAGAGACTAAAGAGACAATCAAGGAAACTTATGTGACATCTCAAAACCCAAAGAACTATATTTTGGATCCCCACACTGCTGTAGGCGTTTGTGCCACCAAGAGGCAGATCGCCAAGGACAACGATAAGTCTGTTCAATATGTTTCTCTTTCAACCGCCCATCCTGCCAAATTTGCGGATGCTGTTAATGACGCGTTGTCCGAGTTCGATGGCTACTCTTTTGAGAAAGATGTTTTGCCGGAAGAGTTGAAGAAGTTATCCACCCTTGAAAAGAAATTGAAGTTTATTGAAAGGGCCGACGTTGAACTTGTAAAGGCTGCCATTGAAGAAGAATTGGCTAAGATGGGCTTGCTTTAAAGGACTTAAACAAGCAAAACTCTTACGTAGCATGTAAATGTAATAACGAAAATTAAGTGTACTGGTATATAAAGTTATTGCTTTAGCCCTGTGGGCGTGCCAACTGAACTTTTCCATCGTCACCAACGTTGATCTGATACCCAGCCGAACTCAATGCTTCGTCCTGAACTGCGGTCTTGGACTCCAACTGTGCTACAATTTTCTGATTTTCGTCATTGTCTTGAAGCAGATGCTTTATGCACATTATGCTTCGTTCTTTGATGAAGGGGTCATTATCATCGATAACACAGTTACTGAGCACGGCCTCGAGCCCTTGTAAATCACGCACCATATCCTGAGCTTGTTTATTGGAATATACAAGAAAACCAAGGACTTCAATAACCAGAGACTTACACTCCGGAAAGTTAGTTGGTTTGATTGCTCCATTAGTCAGATCGAGACGTGACTGTATCAAAGCTTCATCCCATACTTTTTCCCCCCTCCCATTAGTTATTTTAAAGCTGGACGAATTTTTGGTAGTCTGCTTAAGGACATTAACTCGAAGCAAATTTGTTTGAAACACATGCAGTAGGCTAACTAAGAGCTCCAAGCCATTGTAGGATAGTAGGAATTTACGTACATGCTCGAACTTAGCCAACGTGGCGAGAATGTCGAGTACAACCAGCATTTTATCGTGTAGAAACTTTGCTCGGGACTCATCTTCTACATTACGCTCAAAGTAGGTTTTAACCTCCTCGCACATGCTTTTGAGCTGCACAAAGCACCAACTCATAATAGTCGTTAATTCGAATTTATTCCACGACTCAATACTTGTCGCAAGCAATTGCGCCATGGCCAGATATTCAAGAAAAGCTTTTGGGTTAGAGACTTCTAATTCGCTCAAAAAGGGCGAAAACGACTCATGGCAACAGATATTGCGGAAAACTGATAGTATGATACTTGACAAGGTTGATAGCTCGACATCGTCTTGAGAGGTACCTCTGAGAATAGCAGGAATCTCAGTGTAGCGATAGGCAATTGTCTTCAGAAGAAAGTCGTAAAGAACGTTGGATGACTCTTTCAATTTGAGAAAGTCAAACACGAAATCAGTATGGCCCGTCAAATTGCGCAAAAGTAAAGCATATGGTGCAAACAGATTTTCATCTTCGAGCCCTTTTGTAGGGTAGCACAAAAACTGCGCCACAAGGTTGCTATTCTTTGGTTCATATAAAACTGCTTTCATGGTCAAGTTGCTAATAAATTCGAGTATCGTTTTATAGAGGGCCACCTCAATCTCATCAAACGCAAATGTTGCCCCTAAACTGTTGAAAGCTTTCATCGCTTTGTCCTGAATCATTAGCCTCTGTGGAAAATCTTGGGAATCGATACATAAGTTTCTAGCCAAAAGCACAACACCTCGCAGAAGTCTCAGATACCAATATCGAACGACCGGAGGTTGGTCATGCGAGGGTTTTACATATGCGATATCAAAGCATGAGCTAATTAGCCTCCAAATGCCTTCCGATCCACTCAAAGATCGGCGGTATGTATCATTTTGAGACGATTTTATGACAATAGAGTTTAGACCAGGAATGGCTGCTTCCCAAGCTTTTGTTTCATCACTGGAGGTTTTGAAGAGCGATTCCACATCCTGGAGGGCTGAGATCTCGAGCTCAGGCATCTTTTACATGATACTATGCTTACATTTTTAATTCATCGTATTTCTCATCGAATAATAATACCAAATTATAATCATTCGTATAAGATGATCAACGAACGTCAGCAAAATAAACAATGAGAATGGAAACCATTGGTCGTAAGGCCATAAACTTCAAGAGCTTACAGAAATGGCCACATTTCCTTCATTGCCCGTTAGATCAAAATATTTCTTGATATATATCTTCCTTCTACGAGTCTCGTTTATATCAGCTCTTCGTCAGAAGACGGTGTTTGCTCAAAGTGTAAATTGTTACTTTTTGCGTCACTAAAGCCGACCCACCCTTCTTCATCGTCTGAAGCGTCTTCCATTATCTCATCCTCGCTGTCCGATTCATTGGTAATGACATCTGATCCGGTTGCACTGGCGTCCTCGTCTGAAGCATCATTTCCAGCAGAACCGTCCGTGGAAGTGAGGAATAAAAACGCATATCTATTGTCCTTGGAAGCATTAACAACCTCTTTGGCAATTCGGCCGATAAAACGCTGCACAGTGCGCAAAGCTGATCCGAACTCTGATTTATGCGAGGATATGTAGCGGCCATGAGCAGATAAAAGCGCTTTCACCCAAAGTAAGTTGAATTCGAGATGCTGGGACTCTGTAGCAAAATCCCCAATGAATTTGAGGAAGCGAGCCACATAAATAACAGGTAGACCACTGCTTACTAGATTCAGATCTTTGAGCGGTATCGATTCGTAGACACGTTTGATGAGATACTCCTCGTTTAATCTGAATGCCATGACGAGAGCATGCAAAAACTCCTTCTCCTTGAGAGCTTCACTGACAGCTTGTGGGGTGATATCCACGTCCAAATCGAATGGATCAAACAGAAGACTGTCGTCTACCGAGTAAACGAGAATACCCTCCGTGGAAGCTGCCGCAAACGCATTTGACGTTGGAGAGAACTTAAGACCAGTAACCCTCACTTCTGGCCGTACTCTTCTAGTAGATAAATCACCTCCTCTGTTAGAACCCGGGAGACTGTTGTCAATGCGATCCTCCAAATCTGAGTTTTCACCATCCCGATCGATCAAGTCCAAAGAACCGGCTTCCGTCATTTTTTTACTATTCAAGAACTCTTGAGTACCGTTGAGAGACATGTTTTTGGATACTGTAAACCTTCTCAAGAGAACACTGTTAGGAATGTCGTACAAGCAGATGGAATTATTGTTACCCCCCGCTACCAAGGAGAGCCCATCAAAGCTGTAGTCAATGCTTGTGAAATACTTTGACCTAGCTGAGTTCTTAGAAGTAAATCTATCCTCTAAATGCCTTCCTGAAATGATATCTTTTTTGCCGTCAATCGCATTGGTCTGTTTGCCCTCTTGAACGTCAAAAAACAGGATGGTACCATCAAGAGTCGAAGCAGCGACTTCAACACCGTCTGGTCTCATGGAGATCGATAGTACGTCGGCATATACCTCGAAAGGCTCGACTTGTTGGGATCTACCAAAAAGAGACCATACTCTGATTGTTTTGTCCCAGGAAGCTGAAGCTAAAACTCCAGTCTCTTTGCTGAATGAGAGACATGACACGGGGCCCTCATGCCCATCGAGGGTTTCGAGTAACTGACCGGTTTGAACGGACCAGACGTGGATTGCAAAGCCATCGAGAGAGCCGGCACAGACAACCTCACCGGATGGATCTGCCGCTAGGCAATTAAATTGAATTCTTTCAGCAGCTGTGAAAGTTCGGAAGTTACGGTACCTAACGAGGTCCCAAGCTCTCACTGTACCATCCAATGACGCCGAAAACAGAACCTGGCCTTTTTTGGCAAACGAGAGAGCTGTAACGGTAGATGTATGCTCTTGAAACGTCACAAGACAAAATCCCGAGACGATGTCCCATATTTTGATTTTTCCGTCGTCAGAAGCTGTGACAACACGAGATCCATCTGGAGAGTACGCGATTGCATTTGTAGCATCAAAATGTCCTTGCTGCTTCAGTATATAAGACTCCGATTGCCACTCGTAGACCAAAAGTTGACCCAGCTTGGCTGAACCAAAAGCTAGCCATTCACCGGTCTGATTGATGGACACGGCATTAACAGCATTTTGACCCATAGACAACTGCTGTATCATTGTGAAGTCCGGCAATTCATATAGTCTGAATTCTCCATTGTTAAAACCAACCACTAAAATTTTGGAATTCGCATGAAACGTGGCGCACTTCACTTTGGCTTGAGATGCATAAAAGTAGTTTTTCTTAGTTATACGCCAACTGTAGGTTGACAAGTCGGGTTCTTGGTTTTCTTCGGTTTCTTCTTTCGAAGTATACTCCCATTGAAAAAGAGCACCATCTTTGCTGACAGTATATATGCGTTCCTGGTCTGCGGAAAAGAAGGACGCTACGACGTAATCACGGTGACCAGCAAAAGCAGTCGCGGCCAGGTTCTTTTCCTCAGATTCAAGAGACCAGATACGTGCAGTGAGATCTTTAGATGTTGAGATTAAAAATCGGGAATCTCCTGACCAGCTCAATGATAGGATTGATGCAAAATGTCCAGCGTGGACTCTATGACGCACGAAAGGCGCAAATTGCCGGTCTTCCATTACGTCGGGTGTCCGCCAGATCTGAATGAACCTCCCGCATGCCAAGGCAAAGTATAAGCCGTTGGGCGAGAACTTAAGATCAGTTACGGGCTCTTTAAAATTGAAATGGTGTAGCACTGTTTTGGCTCGAAAATTGACAAGGATGGCTCTTCCATCTTCATCCACGGAGAGTAACAGCGTTCCCTGGGGATTAAGTGCTATGCAACTGATATTCTTGCGGTGTTCATATTCAAAGGTGAATGAACGGCTGTTAACCAAATCGAATACCGAAACTCTGTTGCCAACGGGCGAAAGTAGTTGGGTACCATCTTGGGAGAAAATTACATTTCCTTGACGGTAAACCGTACCCAACAAGTTTGAAAACTTGAAATCAGACTTCATAAAGTCCTATTGTTATTGGTTTTTGGGTTTTTCTTAAGGTTAAACTGAAGCTCATCGCATCAACTTTTTAATTGAACGTTCAAAATTTTTCAAGGCCTTTAAAATCTACATTTGAAATGAAGTCATCTCAAAGAGTTTTGAGATGAGAAATGTGAAGTAACCTAGCTTTGGATTACGAGCTGCTTGAATCAGATGGGAGAAGAAGTGAGCGGCAAGCTTTCAAGCCGCGTGCTGAACATGAAGTTCATGCGACAAGCGGACAATGCGGCAGAGGCGCTTAAGGTAGAAGAAGAAAAACGGCAGTTGGTGGACTCTAGCGAGTGGAAAATCCCAGGTAATGAGTCAATAAAAGCACGCCTGCAACCAAGCTGGACGAGTGTGGGGGCCACCGAGCTTTTAGAGCAATCACAGCCGGTTGCTGCTCTTGGCAGACGAAAAATGGGAGCACCTGAGAAGAGGGAGGAAGAGAAGGACAAAGAAGAGTTAGAAGCTCTCGAAACGCTGTGGCAAAATCAAAAACGTCAACGAGAGCCTGAGGGTCTAGATAACTCTGAAGACAACAGTGTGTCAAAAGCCGACGAATCTGGAACGATCAGCAAGGGAAAGGGAAATGGACAGGGAAAAGGAGCTTCCCATGCTCGCAGAAAGCGCGCGAAATCAGAAAAGGAGGCTCTTTGAAAAAATATTGTGGAAGACACGGAGAGGTCAATTATGAGAGGTAGATTGCCAACTCATGGGCGGCGGACGGGATTGTGTAACTAGTTTATCGTGTATATTAGTTGGAGGAGGAAGTCGTGGGATGTAAATATTGAAAAACCTAGGAGCGAAATAGGGTGTGCACGGGATAGAGGACAAACAGCTTTCGTGAGCCTTCATTTTTTCTTTCTACCGGCTTTGGAGGCGTCCGCGAAAGATCCTTTTAAGACTGCCTGACGGGCCGTGGAATTTATGTGTTTAAAGCGATCAGGTCCTATATGAGTACCAGTAAACCACCTTGCCACGGCGACGACAACATCCCATGCATCCATCAGCGTAAGTAAGTGCAATAGTCTGCCGCCGGCAGCGGTTTCGCCGTCGTCGTCGCAGTCCTGAAAACTGATGTTGCCGGGGCCGCGGATGCGCCAAGCTGTCATGACATGCTGGCACTTGTTGATTTTTGGGTCCATTCGTAATTGATCTAGTATCAATTGTGCGTCTGCCTCTTCGGAGATATGAGCCGCGAATGCGATGAAGGTGGATCCGCGATCAACAACTGGATCGCTTTGGAACCAGACTACGTTTATTTCTGCCAGAGCTACATCTTGCGGCGGATCTGAATCGACTTGCGAGTCGGCATGAAGAGCGGCGTCTGTATAGCTATTACAAGATTCCGCGGCCTCGACGATGAAATCGAAGATGCAAACGTCTTGCTTCCATGTCTGATCCATGAGGTCTTGGAACCGCTCCCGAGACTTTTTGGGGTCTGGATAGCCCTTGACTCCCAGCACCTGTGGCGCTGAAGCAGTTGGATACCCGCTGGGGAAAGAAAGGTGTACTGAGATGCGCTCATGATCCGGGACTTTCAGTTCACATTGCGTATCTGACAATTGTAGCAGGAAGCCTGGGTATATGGCATCCACAGTTTCGAACTCCTGTTGCAATTCTTGCCGCAGGTCTTGAGATCCGTCGGCGAGTGCCATGGGCCGGTACAGGGAGTAGAGGTGTCTTGTCCGGCAGCAGGACGTGGAGTCTTGGAAAACGTGAATTTCAGAGAAAACGAATACCGTAATGTGACAAGATTGGCTGAAGGAATGCCGCGCTGTATGGAAGAAGGGGAGATGTGGAGCTGGAGAGCGCACGAGACGACCTGCGTCACTTACCGCGCGACCAGGGTACACAAAGTCCTTGTATTCGAGTCGATGCGTGGCCGTGGGTCGTGGTGAAGGTCCAAAAACACCCATACACCACGCCGGTGGGAGTGCGCGCGCCCAAAGACCGGGGCTGGCGGGCCCACGAAACTACATACAAACGAGCACAAAAGCACGCTGGCGCCGCCGCCAGGTTTGGGCAACGTCCAGCGCACTGATATACACCACCCTAGTGACAGAATGGTACGACGTGATATCCGCGACGTCAGTAAAACAAAAAATTATCGAGCCGGCCGAGCCGTATGATACATCGGTGGCGCTTTTCGCACTGTCGTTTGGGACTGTCGCTTTTCGCACTGTCGTTCGACACTGTTGCCACCACTGTCGTTCGGGACCCGCACCTCCCCCGTCCATCGCACCAATATGTGTGCGACTGTCCACAACGTACATAGTGATATATATATATATTCGACACGCCCCAGTTCCTGGAGCTCGCCGCTCGTAGCGTTTGCGGAGGGCGGCGCCCCATCCGATCTATCGGGCCACAGCGGCTTGTCCACTGGTGACCGTCGGCCATTGCGCCAGCCTCCCGCGTTATGGTGTCGGACGACGCTGTGTCACACTCGCCAGTGGTGCGGGCCAGGGCGCACATAACGCCCCCACACCCAGACCCCCACACCTTCAAACCAGTTCCACCCGTCTAAACCCGAAACCCGTCTATACCCGAAACCCGTCTAGACCCGTCTAGACCCGTCTAAACCCGAGGACCCAAAGCTCGTGACTTGCGCCTGCTCTCTGCGCTACTTGCGTGTTTATCGACTGAGGCAATTTGCATCATGCCTTGCAGGGCCATTATTAAGCGTACTGCGACAATAACAACGGCCGTCTGAACTGGCCGCCGTCCCTCGCCTCGTGCAGCGCGATTACCCACGGACGGTGCGCGCGCTCTTTTTGCGATGCCCCGATGGCCGTTGCCCTATGTAAAATTTGACATATATAAGATCCGCGCTACCCAAGCTGTTTGGAAAAAGGGTCAAGGCGCCAGCAGGAACGAAGCGGAACCCAGCGGAACCACGGAAGACCCTTAACGGAACACATTCCGGGAAGAGAAAGAAAAAAAGGACGTCGGACTTAGCGGACTTTGCAGCGCGAAAAACTCCGAATCTCGGGCCACAAATCTGCCATACGAAAGCGTTCGGGAGGCGGGAAAGAACAAGCAGTAGCGCGACCTCCCCCCTGACTTTTTGGCCTCCGTCTTAGAGCCGCGGACCGCGACACGAAAGACAGAAATGATGACACTGCCGCGCGCGGCGCTGCTCACGTGGGCGGCTGTGGCGTGTGGCGTGATTGCAGCCGAGGAACACCCACACCACAGCGGGGGTATGGGTGCGGCGGCGGCGACGACCGCGCTCGTGCCCGTGCCGCACGAGGTCCAGCACGAGCACGGGAGCATGCCGATCCTGGAGACCGAGCTGACCGCCAGCGAGCGTGCGTACTGGGCGAACTACTCCACGGCCTCCTACTTCAACCTCCCGGCCGCGGCCACGCCGATGCAGCGCCGGACGATGCACGCGCACGTGACCGCGATGCTCCTGGTCACGTGCGTGGTGTACCCGGTGTCGCTGATGGTGGGTCACGTGGCCTGGAAGCCCCGGCGCGGCCAGCCGCGCGCGCTGGTCCTGAAGACCGCGCACACGGGACTGGTTGTGTGCGGTGCGGTCGTGCTTTTCATCGGCATGTGGGCGCTGCATGCGTTCCACGCCAGAGGTCCGGCGTTGCCGGAGCTGCGATACCCGGGAAACGTGTACGCTGCGACGAGCGTAATCGTCGTGGTCCTCACAGTGCTGAATCTCCTAGGTACCTGTGTCCGGTTTGCACTGGCCTGCTGTCAAAGGGCGCTCACAGGACCGCCTGGAGGAGGCCAAGACCCGCCCCACTCGCTCGACACGTACGAAATGATCCCGGCCGTGGACCATCGCCATCAATCCCAGAGCTCGCAAGACTCCGATCTTACTGCAGCGCTGTCCATGGGTTCTGACGGTGCCCTTGCATGCACTCATAAGCCGGGTTCTCTCGGCGGCGGAAAGCCCGCTCGATCGTCTCCTTTCGGAGGCTCTCCGCGCGACTCATTTGACGAAAATCTCAACTCAGACCTGGAGGCCCACCGCCGCGCGCTGACCCACGTTGCAGGCTCATTTACTCAGCGGCTGGCCAGTGTCGTGATTGGTCTCACGTCCTGGCCGCTTTTCATAATGTTGGCGGTCCACTGCCTCATCGGTCTAGCCGTAGGCAATTTGTTTGGCCAGGGCCTGCGGGTGTTCAACTTGCTGGCACACTGGATCAAAGGTGGGGTTTTTGTTACTCTCGGTATCGTTTCGCTTGCCCGCTACTGTGGATGTGGTGCAAGTAAAGGTTGGGCCTGGAACCGTTGTGCCGTGCCATTGCATCCCAACAGCGCACTACACAATCTCCAAAATTTCATCTTGCCCAACGGCTCTATGATCACCATGGAATTTATAGAGACGTTCCTGATTTTCTTTTACGGAACTACCAACGTTTTTTTGGAGCACCTATCCAACCAAGATGGGCAATGGCATGCTAAGGACTTACAACACGTGTCCATAGCGTTCATGTACATTGGGTGTGGGCTATGCGGTCTGCTGATAGAGTATAAACTCTCGGGCTGGAGGAGGAGAAGCGCTTTGCAGAAAGGTGATTCAACTTTGGATCACTATTCAACTACCGGTACTCCCGGTTTCACACCAAATCCGTTCCCAACTTTCACCATTTTTTGGACAGGAATACTTATGTCACAACATGCTCAAGCATCGGCAACTTCCACAGCGATTCACGTGCAATGGGGTAATCTACTCTCTTATGGATCTTTCTTTCGTCTGCTGACATACGTTTTGCTTATTCTGAAGCCCAATACGGACAGCAAGCCCTCTAAGCCCTTCACTGAGCTCATCACATCTTTCTGCCTCTTATGCGGCGGCCTCATTTTTATGGAGTCCACCGATCAAGTGGTCGAAGCCCTTGAATATCGTGGGCTCACGGGCATGTTTACGTTCAACCTCAGCGTCGGATTTACAACTCTATTTATGGCCTGGGAAATCATCCTGCTCCATTGCAAGGATTGGCTTGAAAACGTGTTTCTTTAAACTAACTGTTGGCAACAACAATAAAATTATGACCACGAAATTGCAAATACTCGCCGTCTTTGGACAGGTGGCTGACTATTTTGCTAATGACACAGCTTATGAAGAACCTTAATTTAACCTACTAATCATTATGTGCCTTTTGTCCACCTTGCGGAGAGCGACATCTCTATATGCGATGCCACTCTCCGCCAGATCGCTTCTAGTTCTTCCAAAATAAAATCAACTCATAATTATGCTAAAGTAATATAATTGTAAAAAAGTTTATGCCCGCCTAATTAATTGTGACAGAGTCGCGATCTGTCTCCGAAGGTAATTTCAGAGAAGACATCCCTCTACACACCCTGGCTTAGTTAACCAGTGTAGTTCATCTTAACGCTAACACGCGATAACTCAACAAGTTTATTGGGGCAAGTCGGCCTCGGTGGTAGTTACCTTGCTCAACTATGTCTTCAAATTTTTGATGGCCATCGTCATTGTGTTCTAATTGTCTGGAACAGAGCTAGACCTTATCAAGCATGCTTCAGACATCTCCCTTTGATTATTGACCCATTGTGATGGGACGTTGACTCGGTGTTTATGCAAATTCTTGGTGGAGATAATCTAAGAGCACCCCAAAACATGGTTGACCAGGGCATTGCTACGCGGTCGCTATTTATGTAGATCCCATTGATTGACGATTTTGGCGCTCCACATTACCGGCAGTACATGTATCATTTCGTACCATCATGACACTGGTTTGTTGGTTGTCGTGATACGAGCGGGCCCGGTCAGATCACGCTTCATCAGTTCCACCTATGACCGGTTTCTGTTAGCTCTGCTTATTTTTGAACTTGATCTTCAGACTAACCCTCAACTAGCCTTGAAGCACCGTCTGAAACCGATTATTGACATTTTCTTGTCATCTTCAGATTTCCCATCTTAATATGGCAATGGTGCCTATCATGCAAGCTGGCCCTGCCCAAGCAGTACTAGACCACTGCCATCTGATATCTTTTAAAATATCACACGCATTTAACCAATGTACGGCCACCAACATGTCTTATTACGTTGTTAAGTGCGAGCTGTGGGTATCCCTTTAGCTTTTCTACAATTGTTCTAGTTATTCAATCATCTTTGATGGTCTTCAGCTAGCTACATCGCGCAAGTTGGCTGCGTTCTACGCCTATTGAATTGCCGTACTTCAAAGAAAAAACAAAAAAGCAGAGACTAATTTAGTGACTCAGTGAAACCGACGCTTAGGCTACTTGCCCAGAACTTAGTGTAATCTCTGATTCTTACTGTCTGGCTCTCTATGCGCTTACAAATGAAGATAAATCGAAGCTCGTGAGTTAACATGCCGTGTCTCGATGTTGGGTTAGAGCGAAGGACAATACATAAAATGACGACAGTCGATGGGAAAAAATATCTGAGGTTAAGACTAAAGTAAAGTAGGTCCGCAGCGAACTAAACGATATCCCTCGATTTCATAGTAAACATGCAGTTTTACATTCTTCTGGATCGACAATGTGGTTTGTATGGTATTTACACAATCATGCCCTAACAGCATATCTTAGCCTAACTCTTCCTACTGGAAGTTCAGAACAGGTGTGAATGGTGCAACGGTCATCTGGCATCTGTTTTCCCCCGGGTTCGAAACCTCGGGGGAGCCGATCGAAGTGAGGGTCAGTTTGGCCGAGAGGTTAAGGCGATAGACTCGAATCTAGTTACAAACAAGAACGAGGTCATCTATTGGGCTATGCCCGCGTCGGTTCAAATCCGGCAGCTGACGATTCTTCAATTTTTTTGAAGCTTATTATAACTTCGATACGGCTTGGCTACTGGTTAAATAGACACTCGTAGTGTGATCACTATGAACGTGAACGTTTAATTATAATTGCATGGATGAGCTCACAGTTTTCCTGAGGAAAAGGTTAGCACCGCCGCATTGACTATTGAAGTTGTATTGGTGGTAGTTTGTTGTAAGTACTGGTTTTGTTCGGCTAGACTAGTGCACCTGTGGTTCTTTTCGCTCTCGAATTATGCCACGGATAAAGACCAAGCGAACAAAAGCCGCCCCCGAAGGGTTCGAGCAGATCAAGCCGACCTTGACAGACTTTGACCACCGCTTGCGGAAATTGCAGGATAATGGTGCCTCCAGAATGGCAGCAAAGGCTAATGAGGGGTCTTGGAAGGTCTTCCAGCTCACAAACGAGCGTTCGCGGTACATATACGATCTGTATTTCAAACGCAAGGCGATCTCCAAGGAGCTTTACGACTGGCTGCTGCGCGAGAGATACGCCGACAAGATGCTGATATCCAAGTGGAAGAAACGTGGGTACGAAAAGCTGTGCTGTTTGAAGTGCATTCAAAGCTCAGAGTCTGCGACACAGGGCAATACCTGTATTTGCCGGGTACCGAGAGCCACTCTCGTGAAGAATAGCTCAGACGGCGTCGTTACGTTTACAAGGTGCGTCCACTGTGGGTGCGCTGGATGCTCAAGCAGTGATTAAGCCATGGTGGCGTGAATTTTCCTTCAACCAAGTGGTCGCCCGGCACTTTCTCTGCAGTAAAAACTGTAGCGTCTCTCAAGCTGAAGGGACAATGACATTAACTGAGCTTTAGAGACGACTCTTGACGCTCGTTGAGTCTATTCATACAGCTCAGAGCGGGGATGTCACGTGCCAAGGTATCGAAAAACGGATGTTAACATTCAACATCCCTCTGGTTTTGGTAAGCGGCGAGGCCACCCTAGCTCTTGAGCTTTTCCCATGCGTTCGTTGCTACCCCATATGCGTATGCTCACTTACAAACGCAAAGGCGTTCCATCTCACGATATTCCATACGCGAAAACGCGAAAAATGTGACGCGTCTTGATTCGATTTTTTAAACGCGAAAAATCATGCTAGTTATCGCTGCAAGTTCAAAAGAGCTTTTCAACCCTTTCCAGCCAGTGGTGATGGCTCTCATGCCCTGCTTTATTCGCGTGTGTCGATGCACACGTACACACACACATATATATATATATTGACGGTGTATGCGCGTACAGCGACGGCCATATTTAGGGCCGCAAGTATCGTCTAAAGTCAAGGGTCTAAGGAAAGATACAAGCCAGAGGGCATTAAACGAGTTGCCCAAGCACCAAAAATGGCATCTTGGAACGGTGACGCCCGTTGCATGGGAGAACAAGGTCTAGATTCCCCAGAAGTCGCAGCGTTGACCCCGCCAAGTTCTACGCTGCGGAAACCAGCGACCCCTGTCAAACGGGACAAAACTGTCCATCCATTATCTCCCGAAATGTCATCACCGATCAGACCTCCCAAATCTCGCAAAACTTCCAACAAGCAGGATACTCCGTTGATTACGACTCGATCCTCAAACTCGCAAACCTTAGAAGAACTTATTGACACTTTTACAGACGATAAAAGGCTTTTGCTGCTTCGAGATCCCACGAGAAAACCACCTTTTTCATACGCGATGCTTATCGGGCTTGCAATTTTGCAGTCAGAACACTTAAGACTAACGTTGTCTCAAATCTATCAGTGGATTACTCTCCATTTCCCCTTCTACAAACTGAGTGACTACGGTTGGCAAAACAGTATACGTCACAATTTGTCACTCAACGAGGCCTTCATAAAAGGCGATAAGTCGCCAGACGGGAAAGGTCATTACTGGCAGGTGAAGCGCGGATGTGAAGCCAAGTTTTTTAAAGGTGGCCAATCAGACGACGAGATCCGGCTCAAACTGGCAAAGCTTTGTTCCAGCGTGCTGGCTGCAACGGGGACAGGGCCACAATCACCCCCAGATGCTGCAGACCTTTCGCGGGATCTTTTTAGCCAAACCATCCGCGAAACAGCTAGAGAACGTCGTAGGATGAAGGGAAGAAAATTGGAAGAACCTTGTCAGCTAGATATCTCGACCGATGAGGACAGCGATGGCGATGAAGTCAAGGGGACTACTTTCAATGTGGCATCATCACCTTCGCCCTTCGATACACAACGTGAAATAAGCAGCAATGATGCCTGTGTCATCGACGAGCCCGCTGAGACGTCCGGTGGACACGCATTTCCTGCACACAAATCACAATCCGACTGTTTATGGAATGAATTTAGTCTTTCCTTCTCACCAGTCCAAGAGGTGAAAAAGTACTCATGCTCTTTTAACACCAGTTTTGACACCTCGCCACATGCAAGAACCCCAAAGTTAGACTGTTCATCGTGGGCTAAATTCGGATCACCGGAAGCGCACCCTCGCACCAAGACTACAGCCAGTTCCTTGGATTTATTAAAAACTCCTCAAATCAAATCGATGAGCGCGACGTGTACCCCGCGTGATCCCAATTCGGTGCGCAGATGGCGTTCTCCGAACGCCTTCGTGGACGATTTCACGAGATCTCCGATTCTTATCAATGCCTCAAGGACGCCAATGGTTCTGACCGATCAAAGCATGATTTCTGATGTCATCCTCGACAAACAGCTTCCCGGCCACCATTCTCAAAATTTTTTTGAGAACATCCGATATTCTTCTGGTTTATTTGGCGTCGATGTCTGCTCTGTTTGGAAACGTGCAGTGGAGAGTCGTCAGGACCCTTCGGCGCCTGGGATAAATGCTAAAGACACTGCCAGACTGGACAAGCCGTTTCAGCTTTCTCACAAATAGAGCAGGGATAAAAGATTTGGACTTGGGAAAGGATAGACAAATAATACGAGGCAAGGGATGGAACCATTTATTGGAGGTTCTAAACACACACCGGGTGTAGTTTTCCATAGAGAAACGTATGTAACATTAATCGAACATTCTATTAGCACTTCTACGCAGAAAAAAACAGATTCGCGAGAATGCTTGGGTAGCAAATCTGTTAAGGGGGGTTACTACTAAGTCGGCTGCCTGACGTTGTTCGTTTTGTCACTGGGTCTGTTACTCTGCTATAATATCATCACGTAACTTCAGCTGTAATGCAAAAATCATGAACTTGACCAAATTGGTACAGGCTGGAGATCATTGAAACCTGCTAGACCATTGGTGTGGCCCACAGGAAGAGATTGGAAGCCATCTTAAGAAAGCACCTAAGGAATGCCAAGAAGAACAAACTTGGAGGAAATAACTAATGTTTCTGATCCAAGAGATTTCCTTCAAACGACCATACCCGAACTGACAGATATAGATACTTTGCTGCGATGCCATATTTGCAAAGACTTTTTGAAAACGCCGGTTCTGACTCCTTGTGGCCATACATTCTGTTCGCTGTGCATTAGAGAGTATTTGAAGCGAGAGCTCAAGTGTCCATTGTGCTTAGCCGAGCTACGAGAGTCAATGCTAAAAAGCGAGTATTTGGTCAACGAAATAGTAGCGAGCTATGGAGAAGTACGAACCAAGCTATTAGAAACTCTCAGCGTGGTCAGAAGTCTATCCACGGGCGACCATAATGACAGTTCACTGATCGAACTTCCAGATGGTCGTAATAGCGTTGCCACACACAACAAAAATAGCAGTCACAAACATTTCGATGTCGAGGATGATGAGGATCTTCAAATCATAGAAACTCGAGATAATTTACCACTGTCAAAACGAGGCATCCAGGATATTACCACTGCGCACAAAAAACCACGGAAAGACTCTTCTAAATCGGGAATAGCATCTTTACTGAATAAGGCCAAGAGTCCAGATCCCCGTCAAGACTTGGCCAACTGTCCAATCTGTGTAAAATCTTTTCCAGTCGATTTTCTTCAAAGAACACACTTGGATGAATGCTTGTCGGTCGGGGCAGTTGATATGGAGACGGCTGACTCCAATAATTTACCGCAAGAGTCCATTGTTCAAAGCGCTAAAATAGATTCGAGCGTACCGAGGCAAAGCTTACCGTCTCTTGAGACACCTACTAACTTGCATTTCAACCGGTACTTAGAATCGTCATCCAACGCTTCGGTTACAAGGCTTGCCAAGCTCAACTTTTCATCCATGAGCTTGCAACAGCTCAAAGCCAAACTCTCTGCTTTAAAATTGCCAACGACTGGTTCGCGGCAACAAATGATTAATCGTTACAATCACTACGAAATGCTGTGGAACAGCAATTACCTTGACGCCATCAACCCGGTCGATGAAAGAGAGTTGCGTAGACGTCTCGCCAATTGGGAAAGTAGCCATAATTGCGCCTCAGACTTGACACAAAATGCCGGTGCAATATCCAGATACCTAAATAAGAACCCGATGAAAGATTTTAGGACGGATAAATTCGACAGGAGAGGTTGGATGCTAGCTCACCGGCGCATATTCCGTAGACTGATCAAAGAGGCGAAAGATGGTCTCCAATACTCAGAAAGCACTGACAAGAGAGCTGAAGAACATAATTCATACGATACCTGTCACAACGATAGCTCCATTAAAGATCCAGATGTAATACCCAGCAACCAATTGGTTACGAAACCCAATCCAGTTGCTTTCTCAAGTCAGAAATCAACAGAAACTTGAGGCACCTGTACAGCTGTCTATAGACAATTAAATGACTATTCTTACCAAAATACTTTCTACTTAAAGTTCGTCATGCGTCAACGCGTTTACTTCATCACCTGCGGGGGTTGCCTGTGGGGTAAAGCTTTTTCTTGCTGAGGGAGAAGATTCGAAATCGAAAGAATCTTGGCTTCTTTTATTTTCTTCGAGAAGATTTCCTGAGCTTTCATTTCGATCTTCAAAGTAAGAGTCAGCCGTAGCCTCAATGACTGGCTTAATTTCCTCAATCGGTGCAGCGTAAGGCTCGTCAAGTGTCACAGCATCGGGTGTTGTTTCCTCTTGGTCTCTCTCATAATTCATATGTTCAGCCATATCAGGTGTGAAGTTGTTCTCTAGATCATCGGGTATGGCAAACGATGAGGAGGTGGGATGTGTGGTCAAAGTGTCTTCCCAAGAAGTCTGCAAAGTACTTTCAGGCCTCTGAGTTATTGAGCTCGTGGCGTCTGGTGAAAGAGAGACGGATTGAGGCGAGCTGCTAGACTGTTCATTAGACGAAAAAATGTAAACATGCTCAGTTCCACTCTCAGTGACTTGAGACGTATTCTCAGATGAAGCAGACCCAATAACTAGCTGAGAGCTCGATATAGTATCTATGACTTCTGTTTCAACTGGAGTTTGAACAGATGATTTGGTTTCTGAAGTTTTTCCAGTCATCGGCGTTGGTTCCGGCTCTGGGGCTGCTTCAAATGGAACGACATTTGATACTCGTTTAACTTTTTCTGTAGTTTCAGAAGTTGGTGCTTGTTCAATGGTTTCCATGGTTTTGAAAACCGAAGTCTGCTCGATTTGTTTCACAATTTCGGAAGCTGTTGGCAACTGCACTGACTCGAAGTTATCCAGTGCTTGTTTATCGCCCTCGGGTGAAATTATGTCATCATGTGTAGCAAAGCTTTTGGAGGTTAGGTTCCCGGCTTCCACATGCGATCTCTTGGCCTTAGTTTCCGCAGCAGTTACTACAGACCTTTTGGTGGAAGAGGTTCCAATTGAATTTGCTGCAGAGTTCGATAATTGGCTAGCAGAGGCTGATACTAAGGAGGTTGTTGTGGTGATCGTAATGATTTCTTCTGACTGAGATTGTGATCCGGTCCCGATGTCAAAAGATAAGTTCTGGTTAGAGGCAGAAGAAGAAGAAAATGAATACAATTGAGGATCAGTCTCTATTATAGATGAATATTCCAAGGGCACTGTCAAATGCTTTAGGGAGCTAACGTTCAGATCTTGGTGTACAGGGGCCTTTGACGGCATAACAGAATCTCTTTCATCCAAAAAATCGTTGTTTGAAACTGATAGACTTGGATCATTAGTGCTTAAAGGTGAAACTGACAGACTTGGAAAGTCTGTGCTTGAGGATGAGGGAAAAGAAAAGCCAATAGTGTCGAGGAGTGAGGACTTCGTAAAATCCTGAGTGGTAGACAGAGAAACTGCCTCCCGACCGCCACCAGAAGTAGAGGTTATTGCAGTATAAGATTCATTTGAGTTTGGATCTGCTATTTCAGTTGCTGTCGTATCAGGTTTGACGGTGCTACTCATTTCAGTAAAATTCTCTTCAATCTCGTGAACGTTCGTGGGATCAGCTGAAGGTTCCGGAGTGTAGGTCTCATAAGAAGACAAGTGTGTTATGCTTGGAAGAGAAGTGCTTATGACTGAACTGTCAGTTGGAGGAAGTCTAGTATAGGACTGAATACTCACCACATCGCCCACCAATGTTGTTTGCCTAAAGACATCATTCATCTTGAAATCCCCTCTGCCATACCATTTACTCAATGCAAAATGGTAGGATCTTTGATATAGGTTGTGTTTATAAGCAAATTGAGCAACCACAGCGATGAAGACAACCACTACAAATTTTAACAATGTTTTCAGGATTTTTTCAATCACTGAAGTTGCATTTGCAAAATTGTTTGGGATTTTGATAACGTGAATAGTATTTGCAGCTGATACGCTGGCCAATAGGTTACCATTGGGTGAGAAAACAATCTTGGTTATGGCAAATGAATGAACCTGTTTAAAAAACTTTGCAACGCTCAAATTTTTTAGTTTCACAAGAGCTACAGAATTATCATTTCCTGCAAGCGCTGCCAGTTGACCCTCAGAATCAACGTCCATGGAAGTTACACCCCTAAATTTAGTGGTAACGACCCTGGTTTTGAGCACTGACGTTGTTCCTGATTTCAGACTTACCTTACAGAGTACAATTCCATTCCCTTTTCTCAAGGCAGCAGCAACTAGAACCGTATCATCTCCGATGAATCGTATCTTAGAAAGGGCCCAGTTCTTATCGAAATCAGTTTTGCGGACGATAAAACGTCCGGTTACAATCGAAATTACCTCCAATGTGGACGTTGTGATATAACTGAGAACTTTACCATCAGGACTAAAATGCAAATCTTTGACGTCATTTCCAGTCTCAATTTCATAGGTTTCAGCTAGAAGATTAGGGTTTAAGATGCGAATCACAGTTGGCAGCTTCGACGATGCAATTGCCGCTACAGACCCATCCTGAGATAGATAGGTCAGCTTTGTATAGTCCTCTGGAACTTTAGAGCGGTCGAGATCCACACTGGCCACAAACTTCAAGTGATCATTCTCAAACACATATTTCCGCACATGGTGGTTATCACCGCCAGCTTTGATCTTAGCAGAAGACTCGTTGCACCCCATCAAAATAACATTATTCGCAGCATCTAACGTAGTCGGCGAGTCATCCTTCTCATTAAGTGTCAATTCCCGGTATCGCTTGATCGCTTTCCGTTTGTCAAAGTTCACTTGTAAGGCTGTCAACTTATTGGCTATACCGTTATTCCCTTCACCGCCACCACCCGCTACCAACAATACAGAGTCATTGAGAAATCTCGCGCCATAGGCTGGATAGCCCAGGCTATACATTGTTTCCTGAAACTTCATAGTCCCAGTCTGCTTGGCCTGCTTGACCCCATTATACCACGTATAGGTTGTAACTATAAGACCTTCATTTATTGGAATCCTGTGACACTATCGTAAATCATGATTATATAAGACTGGACAACCTCAGTTTACTAACTTGCCTCGGCAAATCAATCCGACAGACACTGACTCGTACATTTCATTCTTGAATTCATCTCAGTGTGAAAATGGTAAATTTTTGAAATTGTTTGATTGGTTCTATGATGGTTTGTAGCCACTCGCGACAGTGACTTTCAAATGATTACAAATTTCTTTCTAATCCGAACTTCATTCCCAGCGCTGCCGGTGCTTTCCGTCAAATTATACTGTCACTGTGGGCTAAGTTTTGAAAAGAAAACTGGCTAGGTATATGTCGTGATTTGTTCGTCAGCAAGGACGATTGTTAGCTGCACCTGCCAATATTAGTCTACCGATTAATCTTGCTAGAACCTTTTTTTCAGGGACTATTAATGGACCCTGTCATTCGGCAGTTTGGTCGCGATTTGTCTAGCATGTACTTCCAAATTTCTAAGTCTTAGCAAAGCTTCAAAAGTTAAAGCTTAACTATTATGCAAAATTACGGGCCTTCGTTCGCTTGAAATAGACACCCACAATGGAGGACATAGATACACTACAGCAGAGAATCCATTGTCGTCAATGATTCGAAAGTTTCCTTATATCGCGAAGAATTGAACATTGAGGTTGAACCTTCCTTCATTACCACCCCGCTGGCGAAGAACCATGTTTCTCAAAAGGTGGCTAAACAGGAAAAACAGCATGATGCCCATGATCGTAAGTACATCGGGAAGATTTGGTACGTCATACTCACCTAAGGGGAAACCATTCCTTCTTTTATGAGCCTGGCGAGCTTTTTGAAACGCCTTGAGGACTCTAGAGTGGATGGCCTCCTTTACTTCTTGCGCTTCTTTGTCAGCATCAAGTTCTGGACTCTTTTGAAGTATTCCTTCCATAAACCAACACATCCATGATTTGAACTCTAGTTTCAACGTCGAGAGTTTCACGCCCAGAAACAGCTTAGAGTTAAGAGCCAGGGCCGCATCGTAATATCGTTTCGCTAGATGAAAATCTCGATCCACCCCTAAACCATATTCGTACATGTATCCCAAATTCCAGTTACCTAGTGCAGAGTATGGGTGGCTTTGATACAGAGCAACTGCTTGTGCGTAATCATTCATATCAAAATAAATATTGCCTGCAATCACAGCAGCCTCGGCATAACCTGATTTTGACGCAAGTCTATAGTACTTCGCAGCAGCCAATTTTCTTTCGATTGGCATAATGGGGGGTTCGTCCAGCTCATAAGGTGGTTGGTATAGCAAAAAAGCTGCGTTGACCTGAGCCGTGTTAATTCCCTGTTCCGCTGCCTGTGCATATAGCCAGAGGGCCGCTTCTGTTTCACCTCTCAATAATGCTGCAAATGCGTCCTTCATTTGTGGTAGGATCAAATGTTCTTGGGACTCAATGAATGACATATACTGGTTTACTAAACTGTTAACGCTCTGATGATAAAAATCGCGATCACCCTTCTCAGAGCGGGAGGCGACCTCAAAAGCGGCCCTTGAGTGGCCCATGGTACTTGCGGTTTTCAACAATATAGGATAATCGGTTAATCTGTTCTTCTTGAGGTCTTTTGGTAATGCTGGTGGCATTAAACCTGCTTTGTAGAGTTGAAAAAACTGGAAATATGCCTCAGAGCTAATAGCGTCCAAAGATGAAGAGAGAGCGTCGTAGTATTCTAGTGCTGCAGTAATATTCTGATGGACGTACTGGTTTATTAGGCCTAGGTCTAAATGTGCACTTTTGCCTTTCAGTTTCAATTCATGTATGGCTTCTGACAGAAACCGTTCTGCTGCTTCGATATTCGGCTCCGGTAAACCCTCTCCTGTGAAACAAATGTGGCCCCATAGTTCTAGACATTTCGCGTAATAGAACTTCTGTAACGTATCCATATCCCGAACTTGAGAGTGATACTCCGACACTGTTATTTTTAAAAGCTCTGCGGCGATTTTGACATTGCGCTGCTGGGTATAGGTGCCTTTATAATTGTCTAGAGCAGTATAATAGACGTCCACAAAATTATTCCCATCTTCATCGTCATCTTCCATGAAATCATTAGAACCAGAGCCAAAATGCAAAACCACCATTCCGGAGTGCAAATTTGTGAGGATGGAGGAAGTAACGTCGGGACGACTTGCCCTAAGCCTCCTCACAGACGATGGTGTGAGTCCCAAGCCATTGCCCAGGATTCCACCATTAAAATCGGGAATCCGTACGAGATAAGACTCGACATATGGGGGAAACAACTTCCACTCCACCTCTGTGTATTGTTCATGGAGTTCAGCCGCTAGTGTTCGATACAGCAACAGTGCCCTGTCCCGATTTGGAGGAACATTGATGCCTCGAAAATAGCGATGGGCCAAAGCCATGATGGCCCGGTGTTCCCCCAAATCAGCTGCCTTTTCGTAATATATAAGACCCTTTGGAGTGTCTATTGGAATTGTACCAAAAAGACCCGTCGTGTGCATCAAGCCAAGTTCAAAAAGAGCAGTCGCATTTGTATAATCTGTGAGTTCGTTGAATTTCTGCATGTAGCGAAATGCCAAGCTTTTATTGTGCGGAAACCCATACTCTTGAAGTAGGTGAATTTGAGCCAGCGCAAAAGTTGCTTCTGTGTTATTGAACTCCTCGCTAGACTGTACCAACCGCTTGTACAACAATCGATCTTCTAGTTCGTCTGCACTGTAAAACCGCTCCCAGTTTAGCTCTTGCTCCTCCTCAAAATAGTCAATGGGGATTGTAATATCAATTCCACCTTGGAAAGGATCTGGCTGCTGGGCTGAGTGCACCATAATTTCCTTATGCTTTGGCATTGTTTTCAACTGCTGTGCCAAGTCATGCCACGGGTCTTCAGTCTGTTGTGAAGAGCCCAGAGAAGCACAGCTGGACAGCAGAGTCAGAAGCACAGACAATTTCATGGAGCCCTATCTTAAGTGGGATCGCAATGAAACGTCACCCTCCTATTTTAGTATACTTGGTTGCTTGTCGTTGTTAGGGCCGGGCAAATTATTACATCTTAGAGTATTAGTACCATGTTAATTACTTATAGTTCGACTAGAAGGCAGAAAACTAGGGCGACAGAATGCAACGCTCCTGATGCGTGTCAAATGGTTGTGTAGCTGTTCGGATTCTCCAAAATCGCTATTGGAACTCAATGTCTGTGGACAGTGCCAGTGTGTATCCTGTCACCTTTGTCAAAGACCCGAGCTCTCGGTTAAATATTGTCCAGGATGCTTTAAGAAGTACGAGCTGGGTGACCAGACAAGATGCTCCCGAAATTGTTTGGAATGCGGTATGTGTGAGTCTCAAGTTATCCTCACAAGCAGTAAAGATAAGGTCGGAAGCAGACGCCTCATCTTAAAGTGCCACGGTTGCGGATGGGACTACAAGTTGAAAACAATTGACACCACTCAGTCCTTAACTAGCTATGTCAACGAATTGAGAGGTTATCAAGACAAATATCATGCTAGATTTCGGGAACTGCAAAAGTTTTACAGCCTCAAACGAAAATTGCAGGATCTTGACATGAGCAGTAAGATGGGCAAAATTGACACCCTGGATGAAACCACCTCGCATGAATTGGTTGCTGAGCTTTCCGGGCGCAAAATATTTGAGCTCATCAATGAAGAACGCCCCTCTCCTCCTACGTTGGAGATGAATGCACCTGTGGCATCCTTGCCAAGAGGCCGCCGCTTGAAGGCACGTTACAATTTTAAATGTCCCTCGTGTGATACATGGCTCACGAAGTGTTATCCTGACCCTAGATCTTCGCGTTTCTTGCTGGAGTCGTGTGCTTTGCAGACCATTCCCGAGCTCAGGATCATCCCTTTATCACAAGCTCACTCTATCGAGCCGCAGGACGCGAATAAACTAGCACTAGCTTTCTGTTCTGCGTTTCAATCCAATAGCAGGACTACAGACATATCGCTGATTGGATCTGCTACCATATATTTACCTGTGCCACAATTCACTATTCAATCTCTCGACTCGCTGGCCCCAGCACTTTCACCGACAGAAAACCTGTCGCAGTTTATTACACGTATTCCAACCTACTTGCTGAGCTCTGAGCTCGATCTAGTGGAAAATGAAAGAGTTAGAAGGACTAAGAGCAGGGCGGAATGCAAGCTTCGTAATTTTCAAAACTCTGAAGTAATAGATCAAGGCAATGGCTGGACTATTGTTCCGATCCATATACTAGAATCAAAAGACTACCATAATATCCAACTGATCTTTACCACACCAGATCATAGAGTGTCACTTCGAGCTGTCATCTGTTCATAAGTATTTATCATCTCCTACTAAATAATTGAAGGACCTACCTTTAAGCTTCTTTACCCAGGATTAATATCCCACAGATTGATGACAGGGGCTGTGCCAAAGGACACCATCGCTCGAATTTTTCAGCTATGTTCTTTCAGTGATGAAGGCACCAGGATTACTGAGTCCACACTGGCCCTAATTGATGAATACCTTGAGATTTTTGTTCGCGAGGCGGTACTTCGGTCGATTGAAAACAAGGAACGGTTAAAGGACGAAAATCGCGACCAATTGGGAAATCAATTGGTATTAACCCACAAAGATTTAGAAAACATCTCGGGTCTTCTATTGCTGGATATGTAAAACTATTTGCTCTAGTGTGTAAGACGGATTTTATATATAGTACACTGAACGCATCCAGTAAGCGGACCGTATAGTAACAAGGAAACAGGTCATAAATCAATTAGACTAACACCTTGGTCGGCGGTGCCACTTCCGGCGAAGTGTGTAGCCGACTGTTGGTGGGGCTGTTGTTGAATATTGGCGTTCCCATTGCCGAAACCATATCCAGTGTATGATGGAACAACGGAGGTGCTTGGAAGGCCAGTGTATTGTTGTGCCAAAAATGGGTTTTTCTTGCCCTGGGGGGCCTCATTCGTGACTTGTTTGTACCCAGTGCCCTGGGAATTGATGAATGTCCCAGTCTTTGTATGTTGGGCTGGGATACGAGTTTGGCCTGTATTACCGAAAGTGTCCAGGCCACTTCCTGATGCCAAAAGATTGTTAAGATCACTGTATTTGTCGGAAATTGACTGGTTCCCGGTTCTTGTTTGCCTCAGTGGCTGCTGTGGAGCTGACATAGCACTTTGTGGAGGCAGGTTTTGCAACCTTTGCTCTGATCTTGGAGGTTGAACGGGTTGCGGGGAAGGTGCCTCTGTTGTTTTGCTTTGTGCACCTAACGCAAATGGATTGTTAGAACCAGTGGCGAGCGGTTGTTGTTGTTGTTGTTGTTGTTGCGCCAACGACTGCAGATATTGCTGTTGTGCAAGAGCCTGCTGATCTTGTTGTTGCTGCATTGCCAGATACTGTTGCTGCGCAAGAAATTGTTGTTGTGCAAGTTGTTGTTGTGCCAACTGTTCATTCATCTGCTGTTGGTATTGTAAATACTCTTCTGCGGTGATAGGATTTCCAAACACATCGTAATAAAGAGCTGGCTGCTGAGGCTGTTGACCATAACCAAACATCTCACCTTGAGCCTGTTGCATTTGTTGTTGTCTCTGCAATTCTCGAAGACGTTTGAGTTCTTCCTCTTCCTTGCTGAGTTGTATAGCTGTTTGCAGGTCGTCGTTGCTGTTATCGTACATTTCGTATCTTCTGCGCCTGTCTTCTTCTTCTTGTTCCGCGGTGAGCTTACTTTCCTCCAATGCACGTTGCAGGTCGTCATCCATGTCCGGGGTCCTGCGCCTTCTTGGACGACGGTCTCTTTGCCTGAGCTGTCTTTCTTCGCGTAAACGCTCGTCGTCCAGCAACAGCGATGTCAGTTCACGAGCTTTAACACGCACAATTTGCCCCTGGTCAATTCCAAACTCATCTTCATGGGTAAATTCTCGTAGAGTTTTGATGATGTAGAGATTCTCTCTGACCCAAGGAACACAGTTTTCGGAGCCACAGCGAACCAGGTAGTCCAGAACGGTCAGAGACTTGGCTACATGGCGCCAGTTCTTGCCTTTATCATTCAGCCGCTTGTCAAGCATGTCCATAATCTCAAAGAAGCTCACGTTATCAAAAGACCGATCTGCGATTTCGTCCAGCAGTTCGACCGAAGGTCCATCTGAATCGTTCGAAGTAGCTTCCCGCAGTACCACTTGCGTACCGGAGTAGCCATTAACCACATTTTTTGCCCTGCGGATCAGAGACTTCGACATGATGCCAGAGAATAAATATGCGGATAATACAAGAATAGATCTTCCAGAAAACGTTTAAAAGTCTTCTAACTCACAAATCCAGGATACCTGGGTTATCCTCAAAGGCTCTGTTAGCTGCTATTTGTCGTGTGTGCTTGGTGACTTTAACTGGACTGACGGACCCCTTTTAGATTTGAAAAAGTATGTCGTTTTATACGTATATGGATACGTTTATGAGCTCACGTTCAAACTCGTCACTAAGCTTAGGTCGATGGGAGATGACTCTGGTCAAGCTTAGGATGTCTTACAATGTTGCCGCTCAAGGGTAGTTGTGGCTACCAACTTTTAAAACGTTCCTGAGATTTTAGACGTGCTGAAAAAATCTGTTGTGACTGGAACTGCCCTCTCCATCCCTAACTGAGTGTCCAACAGTGTAGGCAAGGTTTTAAGGAATTCGCGGGTAGCTACACTGCTGTCTTATCGTTGGTATATCCCAGAAGTCCTGTCGCTGAGTTCCTAGGAGTGTGTAGGTTTTTACATAGACCTATATCTGGGGAAAAATTGATGGAAACGTTCGCCAACAATCTCTCTGCAGAGACATGGGATGTATTTTACGGGTCAGAGGAAGTTCTCCCAGAAGCGCAACCTACACTGCCATCAAAAACCATTCGCGACGCATAAGTCTATAATGATCAAATTGGGGTTCTAGGAGACACAATCCTGCGAGACGGATGCAGTGTAGAGACCAGACGATTGTCTTGGGGCTTATGAAATACTTATCTTGGTAGGCTCTTCAAATTTTAAATTTGGGGGGTTTCTCCTTCAGCGTGAGGGAACTCCACGCACTGTCCGAACTTTCAAAATTTGGCCAGCATTGGGTAATTTCTTCTGTTCAAACCACGTATTGGTGTCCTATTTGATTGGAATAGTTATTTCATATATCGAAGCCATGTTTCTTCCTTTGGTTTGGTCTTTCTCGCATGTTTCTTTGGTGTGACGCTCAAGTTCATACATAAAGCTGAAATGTCAAAACTCATAACTTAAAAGATATACAAGTAGCTTTTTTTGTGCGCGGATAGGCAACAATCGACATCATAAGAAGCCAAGGGCTAGTTTATGCTCCAAATAGCACGATTGGGGATGTCATCTGCTAAAAAACAGGCCACTCTTGCGAAATTTTTCAGCTCCAAGAAGAGGAACGGCGATGACCTTCCTAAAGTTGATGATATAGCGAAAAAATCGCAACTGGCACCCGTGCAGCCATCAGGTAATGATCCCGTACCAGAGCTGTCACAGCTCAAGGGCGATAGTAAAGGATCCATTCCCATGCCATCGACCGCAAGCGATCATACAGTTGTCAAAAACGATATAAAGGATGCCCCCAAAATAGTACCAATGGCACCCAAGGACTCGAAGATTTTGTATTCCACTATGTGCAATGTTTTCAATGAAATCGAGAATACTTCTTCCAGGCTTCAAATTGTGAAATTATGCAGTGATTTCCTTTATTCTGTGCTCAGTAAGACCCAAGATGATCTGGTTCCAATTACGTATTTGTTAATCAACAAACTAGGACCAGACTACCAGCCGGGGATGGAACTTGGACTCGGGGAAGGTCTGTTAATGAAAACTATCAGTGAAAGTTGCGGGAAGTCCTTGGCTCAGGTGAAAGCCCGTTATCGAGAATTGGGCGATCTGGGTCGTATTGCTCAAGAAGCTCGAGCTGTACAACCTACGATGTTCAAGCCCAAGCCGTTGAGCACTGGCGAAGTATTTTCCAATCTTCAAGCAATTGCTAAATCGCAAGGTAAGGACTCGCAACTTCGAAAAGTTCAGTTGATCAAGAAAATGCTTACAGCCTGCGAAGGCGTGGAGGCCAAATTCCTGATTAGATCGCTTGAGTCTAAGCTCAGAATAGGGCTTGCCGAAAAGTCTGTTTTGATCGCCCTGTCTAAGGCAATTTTGACAAAAGAACATAACGGCAACGAACCGTCAAGTGAATTGGTCGATGAGGCCGAACAAAAAATTCGAGACGCGTTTTGTCAAGTCCCCAATTATGAGATAGTAATTAGGACTGCACTTAAACATGGGATCATGAATTTGGATAAGCATTGTGTTCTCACCCCAGGAATTCCGCTCAAACCGATGTTGGCCAAACCTTCCAAGTCCGTTTCAGAGGTTCTCGACCGGTTTCAAGGTCAGAGATTTACATGTGAGTATAAATACGATGGGGAGCGGGCTCAAGTTCACCTACTTCCCGATGGCACCATGCACATCTACTCCAGGAACGGCGAAAATATGACCGAGCGGTATCCTGAGATCAGGATAGATGATTTCATTGCGGATAAGGACAAGACCCATACCCTAATTTTAGACTGCGAGGCTGTGGCATGGGATAAGGAAAAGCAAACTATTTTGCCATTCCAAGTCTTGAGCACCCGTAAGCGGAAGGGCGTTGTCGCAGAGGACGTCAAAGTGCGTGTGTGTTTGTTTGCGTTTGACATACTGTGCTACAACGATGAACCTTTGATAAACCGGTCTTTTGCAGAAAGAAGAGAGTATCTTCACCGAGCGCTTCGGCCGGTCGCAGGAGAGCTGCAATTTGCAAGCGAAATGACCACAGTCAGCCTTGACGCCATGCAACAGTATTTAGACCAGTCGGTAAAGGATTCTTGCGAAGGACTCATGGTGAAATCGCTGGACGGCGAGGAATCGCAGTATGAGCCCAGCAAGCGGTCCCGCAATTGGCTGAAGTTGAAAAAAGACTACCTACAAGGCGTAGGAGACTCGCTTGACCTCTGTGTTTTGGGCGCCTACTACGGCCGTGGCAAACGGACAGGCACCTACGGCGGGTTTCTTTTGGGATGCTATAACCAGGACAGCGGCGAGTATGAGACCTGTTGCAAGATTGGAACTGGATTTTCCGACGAAATGTTGCAGAAGTTACACGAACAATTGAGCCCGACGGAAATAAAAGAGCCAAAGGCCTTCTTCGTGTTTAGCGAAAGTGCACAGCCGGATGTCTGGTTCGAACCCTCGATGCTATTTGAGGTTCTCACCGCTGACCTGTCACTCTCGCCCGTTTACAAAGCCGGGAGCAGCTCATATGATAAAGGTATTTCGCTGCGTTTCCCTAGGTTCATCCGCATCAGAGATGACAAAAGCGTTGAAGATGCCACTTCGTCAGAACAAGTTATAGAGTTTTACGAAAGCCAAGCCCATATGCAGTAATTGTGAAGTGTGGAAATATTCCACTAACACTCCCGGCTTGTGAAAATTATTGGGTGTACCTTACACATCCACCTTCCGGGCAACGCCAGTCCAGGAGCCTTTAGTCCAATTTTTTTATTACTGTCATCAACAAACCATGTGATCTAGTGGCACTTATCGGACAACACCCGAATAAGCCATTGTGCACCCAATTCGAGGCCAACTTAAAGCCTGTATATATAGTTGGTATTAATCGAGGGGCTAGTGTCCGAAAGTGAGCTGCATTTCGAGGCGGACAATCATTTCAAATCAAGAATTCAAGTAATCTGTTAGTCCTCTGACCGTCATAGAACCTCTAAATCTTCAAGGTCAATGTCAGCAACTGTGATTCCCTCACCAACAGATGTGGGTGCTCTAGCCAACCGTATTAATTTCCACACTCGAGAGCAGCACAATGAGATTGGATTACAAATGGGGGTTAAATTCGCCTTTGCCATGAGGCACGGGTTTATTTACCGTCAAGGTGTTTTAGCGTATTACTATGCGTTCAACGCCATCGAACAGGAAATCGACCGAATTTTAGAAAATGCCACGACACAAGAGGAAATCCAGACCCGGGACATTCTACAACAGTTCTGGGTCGACGAATTTCGTCGAAGTGATATGATCTTCAAGGACCTCGAGCTTCTGTTTTCCAAAGAGTACCCGTGCAGCGCCAGTCTACGCATGTTTCTCGCGGAGAATGTTTTGCCTCCCGAGCAGCAGAATTTTGTGGATTATATTCATTCCGGCATCAAGGCTGCCCCAACATCAGTTTTGGCATATTGTCATGTGCTGTATCTAGCCCTCTTCGCTGGGGGTAGAGCTATGCGGTCTACTATGTATCGGAATACGGGCCTGTTTCCCCAGTTTCCAGATTTGACACCCCAGGAGGTTGTCAAGCGCGGCACAAATTTCTTCACCTTCAGTCAGGACGGCGTTATGGCGGAGAACCAACTGCGCAAAGATTACAAGAGGGGCTACGAATTGGCAACACGCCAGGGCTTGAGTGAAGAACAAAAACTACACATTTTGGAAGTTTCCAAAGAGGTGTTTCGGTGGAACACTCGCATCGTGTCAGAAATCGGTGAAATCAACCGCCAAGAGCTCATGGGCAAACTCAGTTTCAAGCTGATCACGTTCGTCTTTGAGGAATGGCAACACACCGAAAAGTTGACTCGCAAGCAAAAAAGTTTCGTGCTGGCCATGGGCGTTGTGATTCAGATTTTGGCAATGTATTGGATGCTACGCAGGCTTTTTTGAGGCGCACGAGAAAAGAGTGTATATCGCAGGGTTTAATCGGACATTTGGAAATTACGGTATATTCGGAACATAGACTACATAGAAAATAGATCTACTTTTCTGAACTTTAGCTACAGACCTTGAATTGTCGTGACACCTGAAAAGAATCCTTTGATTATTTTATATATACATGAATATGCTATGCAGCGTAACAGAACTTGAACAGATGGATTCTACCTGGAGTTGCGGGCCCTAGTGCACTCATTTGCCCCGAGATTGTTTCCTCGTCTCAGCCTTTTGTCTCTTTCTTCTCTTGCGCAACTTGTGCTTCTTCATCTTGAGCCTTCTCTTGCGCATAACGCTATCTGTGAACATCTCCTCGCGAGATGTTTCGTTCTCGATTGGTATCACTGGCTTAAGTAGTGTTATGGGAAGTATCGACGGCTGGCTGAGATTGTAATTGCTGATATAGTGCATTCTACGGTTCAGTCCGGCCAATGGAAGACGAGGCCTCGCCGCACTCACGGCCAAACGGCCTAATAATCTGAACATGGTTCGAGAAGGCTAGGAATCCACGAATCTCCACGATTGATGGTTACCAAATCTCGCTCACGTATGGTGATAATCGAAAATTTTTGGCTATACACCGTATTTCGTGAATTACGATTATATGGTGTTTGACGATTCGGTTCTCTGATAATTTTTATGGAACTGTGAGATGCATGCTCGGACAGGGCCCCACTCTGGCATGTCCGATCTTGTGGTTTGGACTTTACGGCAATGGGGGACCATGGCCTCCTATCACCGTTTGCCAATCTCCCATCTCCGTGTATGTCACTTTGTACTAGAGTGACGCGGTTCAGTCAGTTCAAGGCCGCGCTATGGCATCTTGGAAGAGGAAGCAGTACATTTCATGACGGGAGTCTGGTTTTGCTGAATAAAATTTCGCCATCTGCTCAATTTTGATGGCGAGTGGTATTTACAGCTTACTCTTTCACTGTCCAAGTACGGGGGAGACCGAGCTGGCTGCATTTGAGTACACCTGGATGAAGAGGGTGGGTGACAGCGAGCCGAGGATACCGGTCGTATGCACGAGTGATGTTCCATCGTGACGTTTTATCCAAATTTACGATTTAGCCACGAGTGTTCAGTTGACAAGGTAAGTGTGCAAACCAGCATTTTCGACTGTTCCCCGCAAAAGTCAGGAAGGCAGGTAAAGCGCAGCGTCGCCATTGGGTATTTCTACGGATGTATTCTGAAACATATACCGGGGATTCCATCTTGATCTACATACGCGCGTCCAACACTTAATCCCGCCGCCGTCAACACACTCGCTATCTTGGAAGTGTGTCAAAAACATGATTTTTTTTCAAGCTCGCACCCAAAGCATTTCTAATGCCCTCGTTTCTTGACATGAAGACATGCCACCTGTCATACAGACACCAGAAATACCTGTCCCATTCATTAATGAATGTTTGGCAAAGACTCAAGTAGAGCTGAAAAACAACATAATCCTTGAATTAAACAGAGCCAACTTGCCAGGAACCATGCTTATTTTATGTTTGAAATACTAATGTGTTGAGTTGCCTGGTCTCGATGATTTTTTGTCTTTATAGCTCAGCACTAATAATCCTTCTAACAAATGTATGATTGATAGATATATTGAAAAATTTTAGAACTGACGACTAAGACATCGAACTTAGACAAGATCCATCCATTCCTAGCACTTCCCTTGTCACTTACTTGACAACTAGATCTGAAGCTCTTCAGGTGTGCTCGGTAACTATCTAATCGGAATCATGCTGCGGTGTACAGCCACTCCAAGAATTCTACGCAATGGTGCACCCATAGTTCAAAAGAGGAACATCATGGGCTTTGTTAGGAACGCCCTAGGGCTAGACCCTCCTCCCTCCCCAGACGAGCCCACACCTGCGAATCGCTTTCACCCTTGGGATCAATCTCCATCGCCCGACTTGAGAGAAAGAGCTGCCACCATACGAGCCATGGCAAAATGCCCGGTAACAGGCCAGGAGATCAACTACACTTGTCCGATATCTGGTATCCCCACGCACCACTCGCGTGAAGCCTGGGAAAATGACGTGGCCTACCAGGAGTCAACGAAACCTGAAATTCTGAAGAAAGTGAATATCTACGAACACGATCTGAGGTCCGGCAGGCCGTTCCCCGAGTTCGATTTCCCATTAGATCAGGACTTCGACCGCATGGTCAATCTTACAAACTGGGACCTATTCTTTTATACGCGTGGGTTTTACTCCATGGACACCGAATTCCAACTGGCTGCGGTCACCAAGATGCTGAGTTACCCTGTCACTATCGGCTCGGTGCTACACCAGTTTTCTCCCTATTCGTTGAATCCCAAGGGCCCCATAACGCTAGAGGGCTTGAAGTCGCTCGCTGCCTTGCGTTACACTTTGTACCCTGAGCAAAACCGTAGGGTCTCATCTTCCACCAAAAACAGTCCTCTTCGAATTTTCATATTGGGCGCTAGAGCAGAAGCCCAACTACCTGGTCATGTTTGGAAACAGTTACAGTATATGTTCCCTGAAACGCAGATGGAACTCCATTTCGTGGGTCCTGAGTCACATTTTGATAGAAACAAGCGCGAATATGTGAATTCTTCGGCTCCAATAATTCGCAGAGTGGATGAGACTTTGAGTTTCGTATACCATACCGACTATTTCCATGTGTTTCACGAAGCTCAGGACTTCTTCCCTTACGATCCTTACACGGATATTTTCTTCTGTTTCCATCCCGGCTTCGCAGCTCCCGAATCCAAGGAAAACTGGATGGGGAAAACCATGGAAGCTCTGTTAGAGACCAAATGTGCCATTTTCACTACTGGGTTCAACGAAGCGGACCTGAAACGCGACATGGACGCCGTTGTGGGGGCCTACGGTAAAGAGGTCGACATGTTGATGGAACCTAGCAAAAATGTTTTTGGCAGTACTAAGTGGGAGCTCAATGACGTGAATCCACAACAAGTGTATCAATTCAACATGTACATGGCCGGTTTTAGAGGTAAACGGTACCATGCCATCGAAGTATGATACGTCGTATAATCTGCATCCCTCGGTGATCTCCAGGGTATATCAAAAACTCATGTAAATACAAAGGCCCATAACAATGGGCCGCAAGCTCGATGAAAGTGGCAGATACTGCCGTCTATTATTTTCGTATCATTACAAGTTTTTACATTATAGCGTTATAAAATAGCACGAAATCGCGCTGGCACTTTTCCCAACGCTGCGGGTCGAAAAACACATACGAGCCTCTCTCCGATGCGCCTCCTGGAGCGACCACGGGCTCCATCATCGGGTCCTTTGTGAGCCACACTTTCAAAGTCTTGTGGTACCTCCAGTTGCGCTTGCGAAGCTCCAAGTATGTCAGCTCCTGCACCACACTCCCGGGGTGCTTGTAAAACAGATAGAAAAGCGTTTCGTCTTGAAACAACGAGATTTTCGCCAGGTCCTGTTGCACTGAGTTGAATACCGGGCTCCTATTGCCGGCCTGAAGCACGTTGGGTATTTTTTTGAACGATTCCGGTACAAAAAAACGAGGCTCCACCTCGCTACGCGATGTTTCTACCCACGGTGACTGGAACGTCTCTAGAACGCGGTGTCGTCCCTGTTGGTTGCTGGGTATTCCCAGCGAATGAAGTACTGGAGTGAGGTCTATTCCAAGTGTCATTGAGGGATCATATTCCGTAGACTGATCCTCTCGCCTTATTAAGGGCAATAATGCTTTGAGTCCGTATTTATCCATCTTTGAACTCTTTCTGGCCAGAGGTTATAGTTTCTGTATCTGCTGATAGCTGGTTTGACTATGTATTTAATTAATTATTCAAATATCATTCAAAATTTTAAGCATCTACACCGTAGTTTTGATAAAACTAGAGCAACGTATAGCTTGACGACTAACCGTTTTTACCGTCATCAAAATGTCTGCCTCGAGAATTATGCCCAATATTTTGGTCACTGGGACTCCCGGTTGTGGAAAGACAACAACGTGTGAACTTTTGCAGAGACATCTGAAGGGCTCGAAATACTACAATATTAGTGACTTTGCAGAGCAAAACAAGTGCTACGATGGATACGACGAGGCGAGAAAATCACATATAGTAGATGAAGACAAATTGCTGGATGAGTTGGAGCCCTTGCTTCGTCAAGGTGGAGCCATCATCGATTGGCATGTCAATGACATTTTCCCGGAACGACTGATCGATCTGGTAGTGGTCCTGAGATGTGACAATTCAGTCCTGTACGACAGACTGTCGCAGCGGAAATACCACGAGGCGAAGATCCAGGAGAACATCGACGCGGAGATCATGGGTGTAGTGATGCAGGACGCAGTAGATTCGTACGCGCAGGAGATCGTAGTGGAGTTGCAGAGCGACTCTACCGAGGAGATGGCGAATAATGTGGACCGGATCGTGGCTTGGACGGACTCGTGGCGCGCACAGCATCCGAAAGGCGTGACCAACGAGCTGGAGGACCATAGCGCAGCGGAGGACGAGAGTTCGGGGGGAGAAAGCAATATTGTGGAAGAGCAAAGCGCAGAGGAGGAGGAGGCGGAAAGTGCACACGAAGAGAACAGCCTTCACAGTGACGGGGAGTGAGCCTTGCCGGGCACTACCCTCCACGCCGTTCAGAGCACTTGTTGAAGCACCTGCTCCGTACTTTCCCCTGCTCTGGTTCAGCTCATCCATTAGGCCCCATGTCTTGGCCCCCATCGTACCCACTGCATACGTTCATCGTACTCCCGAACTTCTTGAAAAATGATCCAAATTTGACGGTTTTTTCGACCAGAGAAATCGTGTACACTCTGTCACTCAACACAAGTCCCAATGGTCCCCTGACTCCACTGCCGTGCTCCCAACACTCCTGCGAACACCTGTCGAGTTTCCCGTCGTGCTAGAATTTGTCCCTCGTGGTAAGTGACCTGGTACTCGTTCTTTCCCCATAGTGAAGAAAATTTTTTTTCAGCTAACTACAGCTCATCTCGACTCTAAAATGGTTCTACTGCTTAGGAAAACGGAAAAGTTAAAAGCTGGATCCATAGCTCCAGAGGTGTCACAGCGATGCATTATGTTGTGTTAGAGGTGGAGCTAGCACACAGGGAAGATAACCCAAAAGACTGGGCTCAAATATCGCGATTTCACTACCAGTTTCTGGATGCCAAGACTCTCAGAGCAGTATTCCAAGAAAACCAGATGGTGCAACTGGGACCGGAATGTAACCTGCAGCAGGCAGTGGGCCAATTGGACCGGGACATATCTGCACACGTAAAGGAGGACTTTGTGCTGTGTTCTTTGAACTCCACGTGGCACTTTCGGGTTACCATTCCGCGGCAAGCTCGCGACGAGGTTTTCATTCTTCCGCCTCATTTACAGCATCCCAAGGTGTTCGATCTTTGGAAAGAATACGACCGGTGGTGTGTGAACCACCCGGAGATTCTGGCCCTTCGCAATACTGCAGTGGCCCCCAAGAAAGCGAAAGACCTCGACGAACTCAAGACCGTGCTGAAGTTGAACGCAGCGACGTGTGGAAGCGAGGCTGTGGAACAACAGTCCGATGGGGATGTGCAACAATTGAACAGCCTGCTTGACCAGACTATCTCGGTACTCACCCAGCTACACCAGAAGTGCGTTACTCCAGACGACAAACTGCTGGTCCTCACGCATCCATACGATTCGTATCTGGACGTGCGAAACTTTTTGCAAGAGAGGTCTAAAGTTCTGTATATGAACAACCTGCCGCCGGATACTACTCAGAGCGAACTGGAGTCCTGGTTTACTCAATTTGGAGCCCGGCCGGTGGGGTTCTGGACCGTGAAAAATATCGTGGAGGAGACCTCTAACGTTAATAACAATTGGTCTAGCAACAACAGCACGTATGTGGAAGCTGAAGATAGTATTTCTGGATTTGTGGTGTTCCAGTCGCACGAGGAGGCTACCGAGGCACTTTCTCTGAATGGAAGGTCCATCCTGTCTAACATTGCTAATACCAAGCAGCCTCGCGTGATTGAACACACCGTGGAGATTCAACCATCCAGCACGAGGGTTTTGGATAGGGCACAGGAAATCTTATCACCTTTTCCTCAGAGCAAAAACAAGCCTAGACCTGGTGATTGGAACTGTCCTTCATGCGGTTTCTCGAATTTCCAAAGGCGTACGTCTTGTTTCCGTTGCTCCTTCCCTTCAAGTAACGCTGCTTCCTTGAACAAGGGTGGCTACATGAGGAACACATTGCATGCACAGAATGCTCAGGGCGTCACGGATCAGCAAGTTCCTCATAAAGTTGGTAACAGTTCTGCCCCTTTGGCCTCTCTTTCGGCAGGACACAATGGGGGTGTGGGCCAACAATCGTCCCATGCTCAACAGCAGCAGCAGCAACAACAGCAGCAACAGCAACAACACCCTCAACAACAACCTCAACAACGTATGCGTTTCAACCACGGACACCGTTTTGGTCAAAATCAGCAACAAGGCGGTTCAAACGTTCCATTTCGGGCCGGTGATTGGAAATGCGCTGTTTGTACTTATCACAATTTTGCCAAAAATGTTGTTTGCTTACGTTGCGGTGGCCCCAAGACCACAGAACACCAGCAAAAGGATTTAGGAAGCGTCAACTCTTATACTAATATTCAAGAGGTTGGCAATGGGATGGGTATCTCCTTGAATACAAGGAGTTTTTCGGAGCCTGCGTGGTAAGCAAGAGCTTTAATGTCTTGAAAAATAAAATATGAAAGAGGAGAAAATCGAACTGTGCGATAGAGGCCGGTATATTCGTTTTGCCTTGGTCTAATGTTCGATTGGAGGTATTGTAATAAGGTTGGGTATTGAGGCATAAAAAGTAGTTATCGTTTGCTTTGAAATATAAAAACTAATTAAACGTTTCAATGATAGATTCAATTCACTTAATGTACCATCCGTCCTAGAAGAATTAATAAGAAATTCTGGTAGCAAGCAATTATTTAGATAGGTCCAGGACGGTTCTCAAACAGTCACCGTGATGCAAGTCTTCGAAGGCAGCGTTGATGTCTGTGAATGGTCTCTCGTGAGTAACAAATTCGTCAACCTTCAGTTTACCGTCCCTGTAATCTGAAATCAGGCCATCCATGTCAGATCTTCCCTTGATTCCGCCAAAAGCAGAGCCCTTCCAGACTCTACCGGTGACCAATTGGAAGGGCCTCGTAGATATTTCTTGGCCTGCAGCTGCAACACCGATGATAATCGATTGTCCCCAGCCTTTATGGCATGCTTCTAGAGCGTCTCTCATGACTGAGGTGTTACCAGTGCAGTCAAATGTGAAATCGCACCCACCATCGGTGATTTCGACTAGTTTGTCGACGATGCTCTGGCCTTCCTTGAGATCGGTTTTAGGGTTGACGAAATCGGTAGCGCCAAAGTCTTGAGCCCACTGCTTCTTTTGGTTGTTGATATCGACCACGATGATCTTGGAGCAACCTCTAGCCTTGGCGCCCTGCACTACGGAAAGACCGACAGTCCCAGCACCAAAAACCGCTACGGTATCGCCCTTTTGGACATCTGCAGTCTTGACAGCAGCGCCGTAGCCAGTTGTGACACCGCAACCTAACAAGCAAATTTTCTCCAGTGGGGCTTCAGGCGTCACAGCCACTACTGACACGTCCGCCACCACAGTGTACTGGGAGAACGTCGAGCAGCCCATAAAGTGCAGCAGCTTCTCGCCTTTTGCATTGTGAAATCTGGAGGTCCCATCGGGCATTACGCCTTTGCCCTGGGTGGCCCTCACTGAGCTGCACAAGTTGGTCTTGTTCGAAGTACAAAACTTGCACTCTTTGCACTCAGCAGTGTAAAGCGCGATGACATGGTCGCCTGGTTTCACGTTGGTAACTTTGTCACCAACGGACTCGACGATTCCCGCCCCTTCGTGACCCAAAATCGAGGGGAAGGCACCCTCCGGGTCCATACCACTCAATGTGTATGCATCGGTGTGGCAAACAGCAGTGTACTCGACTTTGATACGGACTTCGTGTTCCTTAGGTGCGTCGACTGTGATTTCCTCGACTGTGAGTGGTTTTCCCGCCTCATATGCTACTGCGGCGATACACTTGATAGGTTTGCCAGGTGACATCGTTGGTTTGTTGCAAATACTGCCTGACTAGAATTGGCGACTTCGTAAAAAAACCAGAGCTATTCCTCTAGTTGGATCACTTATAGTTGAGCTACTTAAGCAAAATAAATCTCAAGCTACCTCAGCTATCTCGGTCTTGCTATTACGAATGCCCTGAGCCATGTCCTAAATTTTCCATCTTTTCCACCCTCCACTATCCAACCGTAGGGGAACGGGCATTGAGATCACTATAGACGTGTGTCGACTAGTCGGTTTTTGTGTAACTTCGTTTTTGTGTAACTTCGTTTTTGTGATTTCTTGGCGGCTAACGAATTAGGAAGTGTGTCCTAATTGGGGTTAACTGCCCAAGAAGGAATTTGTGTTTCCTAAAGTGAAGTTAACCTTTATCAGGTAGCACGATTGCCCCATTGGGAAGTCATCTGCTTTTGTGTACTGGAATCACGTGGTCAGATCCAATTGTTACCCTGCAACTTTAGAAGCACTGCTGGTCCACACATTTACAGCTGGTTGGTAGTTGAACGTCTAGTCGTTTCTTCCCGGTGGTCCCCATATTCATGTTGACCGATTGTCTTTAGTCACTTTGCCAATACAAATAATGAGTTCCACTTGCTTATCTTATTCACTTTGTAGATATTATATTTATATGTACTATATATACTTGAATTTGCACTTTATAGCTGAACACCTACAAGGTGTATCCAAAACAAAAGAGGGCTTTTTGAAACCACACCATGAAACTGCCACCTCGCATATTGTGCCGAAGGTTATACCATCCCAACGTCGTTGAGCATCAGGTCAAACACCCGTTGTTTCCCCTCACGTATGGCCCCCACTCGCTGCAGTATAAGGTGCTAGAGAACACTCTAAGCAAATACGTGCCTTTGTACGGATTCGACGAGAGAGCCATAGTGGCATCGGCAAACGAGCTAGGACTCGGAGGAGCAGTGATTTCAGCCCTTGGGGCGCATAACTCGCCCTCTTTTTTCCACACGTCGCCTGCGGTACTGGAGCTAGTTAAATTTCATTTGGTTACCAAGAGGTACGCTTTGACGAACGCCCTGGATCCCTCTAGAGCTCCAGGCGGACTGTCTTCCATACCAGACGAGCTGCCAACGCTAGAGGCTCTCTTCAAGCGAAGACTAGAGCTCAATGTTCCTATTGGGTCGCACTTAACCCCTTTGTTGTCAATGCTTTCGATTCCTGGTGAGTACCTCGTGAACACTGCGCTGCCGGAGCTGCATCGCCTTTCCGACGACTTAGTCTTCTTCTCGCAGGAAAAGGACTCTCATGATTTTGCGTGGTATGCAAAACGCGCAGCTATTTCCTGTGCCTTCGTGAGCTCAGAGCTTTTCATGGCCCAGGACAAATCCCACAACTTCAACAAGACATTCGAGTTTGCCGAGGAAAAGCTACATAAGGTCACCAAGCTAGGCGAGTACTACAACAACACGGAGGAATATATGTGGTACACGCTGTTGACGAGTATCAATCTGGCCAAATCTCAGCTCACCCGCGGCTGAACAGTCCTAAACATTACTTTCTTAGATCTATCGAACGACTAATTACTATGTATAAACACTTCCCCGCCAAGGCACACTTTCGACCTATGCCCCCTGAGCTGCTTGTTGGGCCTTCATGATTTCAGCCCGCATTTGATCCTGTGCCGTCTGTTTGTTCTTGATGTTCTCCTCACATCTCTTGATTTCTCCCGTGATAAACTCTAGTCTTTTGCTCACATTATTCTTCGCCTCGAATTGTTCCACTGGTAGTAGGACGTTTCCCGTAAGCTTGTAGACTTTGGTATCGTCTTTTAAAGTGCCAAATTCATCTTGTACAATTTTGTTTTCCTGAAGTTGAGTTTCCAGCTTCTGTCTAGCAATCACAAGGTCTTCAAGTTCTTGTTGAGATGCAGTATAATTAGCGGTGAGAGCTTGCATAGCAGTTGACATCCTTTCTATCTGAGTTGTTTAGTATGAATTCTGTTCCTATGATGTTAACCATTAAAATAGTTGGTTTATGAACTCATCACCATAAAAAATCACCAATCAAATCAAAGACAACCTTTCAAGTATAAGGGCCCTCAGCATGTTAGTATGTTATCTTTGAGAGTACACATGCCTAGACACTCAACTAACAAGACACCAGTTCAAACAATGGAACGTTTACTCAGAACCTAGACATCATCTGGATACTCTCCTAGAGGATACCTCTGATAGGGAATCCTTGCAAGTAGCTCCGTTACCAACAATAAAGCTGATAACACCGATAGACACCAGTATCTATAAGAAGATTATCATTACAACAAAACTGTTTAGGTCCCTTTTCTCGCGACATGCAGATAGGGCCACCCAGGTATCCTGCTTTCAAATTGGCTGGCAAACCAAAGGTAAAGAACATGTGCTGTATCGCGAAGACTTTCAAGTTCAGGAGGACAATACGAGCCAAACTGAATCGCACATCCTGGAGTTTCCAGTCCTTCAGTTCGACGAAGAGACCTTATTTTTGAGTGTCGCGGAAGACATTTTGCATGTCCCGCCTGTCGCAGCAAACTTACTTTCGAGAGAAGTGGCCAAGCTTTGCGCTGCCCCACTTGATGTTCTAGTTGTTGGAGCAAGTGACAGAATTGAAGAGGTTAAATATGTAGGCTATCCCACAGCTGACAGTAACCACAATCTCCCCATATTTAATCCACCCGAATTTCTGACTAACTTCACTGCAAGCATCATGACCCAGTTGATTTTGAACAAGGTTGAGTTCAGGGGTTATATTGCACCCAGCGAGGGCCCCTCTGGCTATGAAAAACTCACCATGGAGACAATGGATACGTTAATAGATTTGACGTGGTTTGAGCTAGGATCTGGGGACCGCGATGCTTATGTCAAGGAATGTCACAGGAATTGGAGGCTCAATGGGACTGCCATGGGCGCGCAAACAGGTCTTTATTTGTAATGTCAAGGTTAACAGAATGTAGCAGATTCCTCGTTGGCTAGATATACACAATATACAAAGTAAAGTTTAAGTTTTAGTACATGAAAATTTTAATGCAGAAAAGAAGGGCGTACAGTGAATACCGTCGGGGGACTTAGTCCTTCTTCTTTTTCTCCTTCTTGTCCTTCTTGTCCTTCTTCTCTTTCTTGTCCTTCTTGTCCTTCTTCTCTTTCTTGTCCTTCTTCTCCTTCTTGTCCTTCTTCTCCTTCTTGGTGACCTTCTTGTCCTCCTCGTCTTGGTTGTCTTCTTCTTCGCTAGCTTCTAGCTTTCTCTTCTTAGACTCCTTAACTGGGGCAGCAGGCTGTTCCTTCTTATATAACTCAATAGCTTCCTGAATGGCCAATTCGTTCTTCAAAGTAGGAGCACCTGTGCTGTAAAACTCCAATCTTTGTTCGACTTGCTTCTTCAAGACTTGACCAAAGATATTGCTAGGCTCGTCAGAGTAGTTGTCAATTCTAGAAGCCATGGAGCACTTGTTGGCGAGATATCTGGAGATTCTACCTTTGTTCTTAGCACCAGCTTTGCCAATAAAACCACTGTGATAGATCAAACCATACTTTGGGGTATTACCTTTAGTCTTTAAGGCTCTGAAAAGAGCTTTTTCGGCACCCAAGATCTGCACGGTAGAAGCAGCTTGTTTGGACAAGCTGGTCAAAGAACCAGCATGCGAGATCAGTCTGGCACCGATAACTTCACCGATTAATTCAGAAAGGTTGGGGGCCACGGTGTGCATCTTGGAGCACAAGTAGTCGTACAGCTGTCTGCGGTAGTCTGCCAAAGATCTTACTCTTTCGGCAAAAACGCAAACGTTCTCCATATCGGTTTCAGACAGGTCTTGTCCCATAGAGATACGGGCATTGTCGATGACACGTTCAGCGATACCGGCATCGTTGTCTAAGATGGCAGCAAGGTCGTGGACAGAGTCCTCTGTCAGAGAAGCCTTGTCTTTGATGAAAAGGACAAGCTGGGCAAACTTGTAGTTGTCAGGGACGAGCTTGGCAAGCTCTGGGAAATGCCATCCGTACCATTCCTTGACACGCATGGCAAAAGTGTTAATGTCCTTGTCAAGTTGGTCGAGCAAAGCAATGGCCTGAATGATATGGTTGTCATTCTTTTGAACAGAGAACTTCACTTTGGCCCTAGAGTAGGCGTGACCCAGACCCAACTGAGCCCTTTCCAAATCTCCCTGTTGCAAGTCCTTTAGAAGCTTGTCGCCGTGGAGTCTGACACCACGGATCAGGTCCTGGGCCAACTCGTTGGACATACAGTCCACGTAAGGGAAAGTCTCCTTGATAGAAGGACCAAGGTTCTTATCCGAGATACCAAGGGTCACAGTTTTCTTGCTAGAGGCCTTTGGCAGGTTCATGTCCAAAACAGCCTTCAAGTATTCAGAAACGAGACCTTCGGAAATGTCGTTGGCGTTTTCCAAAGCCTGGGCCGCACCTTTGAATGGGGCAAACGACACCAGTTCCACAAGCTTGGTGAACGAGCCAAAGTCGTTGATCTGCTGTTGCACCTCTTTTAGACGGGACCCGATGTCATCTTGCTGAAGTTTGACCTTGAAGATACCGTACCCGGTAGGTTCTTCGAAAAGTAGATATTCAATTGGCGCCATGGTGATATTCAAGAAGTTGTCGACGAGAGCTCAGATTTCACACCTGCAAAAACTTGTGAATGATACCTTTGTGTATTGTCAAGTGCTTAATCTAACACCAACCACCTTTTTAATTCCACTGCAAAGCTTACGAATACGACGCTGCTGAGTATAACAACACACACCTATAATACACGACAGGAGCTAGCTCATCTCCAGTTGAAGTTCGAAAATTTTTCAGCCGATGAGCTTGGTAAAATTTTCCAAAAAGTGGTGATGGTGTTACCCGGATATTTTTATAATATTTGACTGATTATTGACCTCAGAAAGACGAACTTTGACCGTCAAGAGATAACGAATACAAAGAAGGTTGAGTGGACAAATTTCTCTCAAGTAAATCAGTCTTTGGATGATGAGAGTGTATCCATGCTGTAGAGCGTAGTTTTTGCTATCTAGTGATACAAATTTCAAGGTGGTATGAGAAATTATGTAGTTCGTATAAGAAAGTAGGACCACCTCGTGAGCACTTTTACCTCTTACCACCACTCTTAAAATTCAAAAAGTCCAATTCTTGCGGGATTAGAGTCTCTCTGCACCCCGCTCACCTCGAGAACCATGAATATATCAGACGCAATGCTCTGTAGCGAAACGCCCGTCGCTTACGCCATGAGTTTTGGCGATACCCCTCACTACACAGTGTCAACCTCCCAATCACAGGGTTTTGCGTGGAACCAGGACATCTTCGCATCGCAGTACCAGCAAATGTGCAAGGTAGTATACGATGGCCACGAAGATTGCGTGGAAGAGCTGTTGGCGAGTTCATGGCATTACGAAGCACCCGACAGCGCAGGGGCTGTTTTTGACGAGGAGGACCAAGATATGACACCGCTGGACGAGATTAGGGCTCGCAGGCTATCGCAGGTGCTAGCCAGGCCCAGGAGACGGTCCGAGAGATCACTCAGTTTTGTTTCGGACTCTAAGAACGGGCACTACCAGAAAACCGAGGTCATTGTGGTCAACGTTGAGGAAGAGACAGAGGAAAACAGGCGTCTCAGAGTTCTTATCGATGGCTCGTGATAAGGGAGAGCAGAGGCATCGATGTGGATTTTGCGTAGAGAGAGCTAGGGACTTCGTTGTCGCGACGTCTTTAGCTAAGAGACCAAAAACCATGCAGCGCCTCTAGTCCACCCACTTCCCGCCCACCGCCTCGCAAATGCTTCCGCTGGCGGCAGCATCGAGCCAGGTACGTGTTATGTGCCTCTCATTTAGGAATAATATACATATATATATGACTTGAGTAATGAATTATGGTTTTTGTTATATCCCTCTATTCTTCGTCCTCCCATTCATCTTGGGCCCCCTGACCATCATTCTCTTCTTCGTCTTCGCCTTGATCGTCAACAGAAACGACGGTATCGGGGTTGTCGTTCTTCGTGTACTTTCTGGCGATCCGTGAAGCCCTTCCTACCTTTTGCGCTTCTTCTCTGGCCTGTCTCTGCACCGATTGAAGCTCTTTCCCGAAATTCTTACGAACGGATCTGTTTGTGAACACATCCCATAATTTTAGGCCTTTTCCAACACCACCGATGACCATGTTTCCTGCTATCTCCAGGTCTGGAGCAAAAGATGTCGTCAAAACGTTGCCCACACCGAAATCTCTGGACAGAACCATGCTTGGGCCAGATTCACCGCACTTCCATAGTTTGACCGCTTGCTCGCCCATGGCCCCTGTGGCAAGCAGGTTAGGAATGAAGGGGTTGACGTTAAGAGTAGATATACCTGCGTCGTGAGCATTCAAAGTCCACAATGGAGAGCTCTTCTCGCCTCGTCTGATGTCGAAGGAGTAGACGTTGCCCGAATCGGTACCGCACATAAAGGTATTTTCATCGGCGAACTGTACGCATTCGATCTCTTCACCCGACATAACCGACCAGTACTTGCTCATTTTAGAGTCTTCGGCAATTCTAACGTCCGACAATGCAGCGCGAGAGTCATAACCACCGGTAAGAAGAACCGAGCCGCTGGTACTGTGCCACTGACACGATGAAACATTTTTATTGGAATGAATAGATGCAATGGAGCGAGCGGCGGTACCCTCGTTCAAATCCCACAATTTCACGGTATGATCTGCGGAAGTGGACGCCAAAACCGGACGGAAAAGTTTACTCTGCGCCAACGAGAGAACTGCGTCTGTATGGTGGGTTGTGACATGCTTGTTCTTGTTCTTTTTGTTCTTCTTGCTCTTTCCTGTGCCAGCGTTGGAAAGTGCTTGTGGATCGCCGAGAATCATGTCTGGAAAGGCTTTCTCCACACAATCCAAGTTCCAGATTTCAATTTGAGGATCAAAACTACCAACGGCAGCGAAATTCGCTGGGTCGTCCGAATTGGAGCCTGGTCGGTAATTTAGCCACTCCACACACAATGGAAAAGCCGGTAGCATTAGATCGTGGTGGACATACAGGGAACCGTCCCGAACCATTCCGCGAGCTACATCTGGGTCCAACTCGTCTGCAGCCTCCGTGGCGACTTCTGCATCGTGGAACCCTGCACCATCGTCGTAGACGTACACGTCCAAATATGAAATATCGTCCTCTGTTCTGGTGGCCAGTACCATGTTATCCGTGGGGTACACCTGCAGCTCCTGCTTGGCCTCCTGGTTATCCTGATCGGTGGGCAGTGACATGTAAGCATCTTCGCCGTTCTCGGCTTGGTGGAACTTGACCTCCTCAGATAACCCGGGAAACATTGACGCCTCAGTTCCTTCTCCCAAGTCCTCGTCGTCATCGTAGTGTTCCAGGTCATACTCCTTCAAGTCATCGTCAGCTTCAGCCTGCGAGCTCAGTTGCGAGTTTTTTGAAGTAGCTTGGATCTCGACATCGTCCTCAGCAAGATCGGCGTCTTCACCTTCCCTGGCATCGTCCAGGTTGAGCTGCGCCAGTTGGTTGATTCTTTCCATTTCCTCATCATCAAGTTCGTACTTTTCTGGAAACTCAGACGGAAATCCACGCGGCACCCACGTTGTTGACGAAATCATGTTGATTCAATGATCAATGCTCGGTCGCTGGAGTTGAACTTTCGATATCAGTTATGCGCATCTCATCTCATCAGCTCATCTCATCGCTCTTATTGAAAATTTTTTGTCAAAAACGTTTAAGCTGGCGCTGGACAGTTTGGAAGAAAGTGACTTCGATTAGTACGTTTACTCCACGCCCACCGCCGTAGTTTAGGCCGGTAGAGAACACTTTGAGTGGCCAGCACTTGGTGACTTTATAGATGCTGGTCCTTTCCATATCGTTGTCTTTGAGAATACCTTGAAGCTTGGGGCACTCTTATATTGTGGCAGTAGCAACGCTAATGAGGACAATTATCGCTACAGCGGTCTTTTGAGAACATATGAGAATGACTGCTACTTGTTGATTGACTGCTGAACTGATGCTGTAGATGTTAAGCTTGGCACAGGGTGTTCATTTTGGTCGCTAAGGCTGGAATATGACTCCAGAGGAAACAGAGGCTGGCGTGGGCAAGAACACACACCGGCGACGATACTCGGGAACTCTGAACCTCTTTGAACTTCTTATTTGCGACAATGGGATTGCCTGCGGAAACCTTCGCTTTTGTGGGCACGCCTCGTGGCTTGTCGAAATAGGATTGAGGATAGAGGAATATCGACGAATTAAAGGCTCAGAGTGCCCGAGAATTCCAATATCCGAATGGACAAGCGCTACTGGTACTCGCGTGTCTCTCTCTTTGCTAAGTACAAGTCGACTCTATGGCTCAAAAAATTCGATATAGAGTAGTTTGGAAGCCCCGATAGCACGTTTGATCCTAGCTGGGGTGCATAGACACGTTATACCCATAAACACAAGGATAGACAACTTAGGCGTCAAAAACATTGACTGACTGTAGCACCCAAATAAGGCTATATCTGCTGATGGCGCCAACTCTCCTCGACGTGGCAACATCACACGGCCTGCAGCCATTGAAGAACAACGTCACAGAAGCTGTTGTAAAGAGCACCCGCACTCTAGCGAACAAAGCTATGGGGCCATTTCAGGTACCACCCAGTTGGTCTATCTCTCCCAGCAGCATACCGTCCATAAATGAAGCCCCGCTTGACTTTCGATTGCATGTCGATTCAGCTTTTAGGTTAATCGCGCGACTTGTCAAGCTCCCTAGAGGTTTAAGCTCGTTAAAACCATTTGGTGGTATAAGCCGTTTGTCGGTCCTCAGGTTTCCAAAATAGAGCCACTTTTCGTGCACCCCATCAAACCACTTTCTCAATGGGAAACAAATGAAACTATATGGCTTGAAGGTCATCCTCGAGCCGCCGTCTTGTATTCCAATGGCTAAACCGTAAGGTTTTAGATGTATGCGTGATGACTATCAATTTTCTTCGATTGTCACCACAAAATATCGCTTCTAATGGCAGCTCTGAAGCAGAAGACATAGTTGCAGACTTGAAATCTGCTTTGGGTATACTCAGTCCATGATTCAGCGAGGATCAAGCGCTGGTGGCTCGGAGAATTTCGTGTCGTCAAATCTTGGTATCACTTTTTCATATGCTGTCGATATATTGGTAGCTACTAAATTAATGTGCTAAATAATGTGTTACCGGTTTTAACAAGTGTACGAACAAGAAACCGTCAGTGGTATCACCCCAAGGGATAAGCAGTTCTTGGATATTTCCACCCCACACTAGAATGTCGCAGGATCCAGAGCAGGCCAAGAAGCTGCAGGATCTTTTAAAAATGCTCTCGCTTTCGCAAGGTGATACGTCGAAGTTGACGCAACCTCAGCGTAAGCAGTTTGAAGAATACAAATTCTGGAAGACGCAGCCTGTGGCTAGGTTCGATGAACAGGTGGACGATGAGGGTCCTATCAACAGCTCGCAAAGGCCTGAGGATATCCCCGATGAGCCTTTGCCACTGCTGAGCGAGTTTGAATGGTGTACTGTGGACTTGACGAACTCTCAACAATTGGAAGACGTGTTCGTTTTGTTGAATGAAAACTACGTTGAGGATCAAGATGCGACGTTCCGTTTCAACTACTCGCGCGAATTTTTCAATTGGTCTCTAAAGGGTCCCGGATGGAGAAAAGACTGGCACGTTGGGGTTCGCACCAAGCAGTCGGGTCGGTTGGTGGCCTTCATCAGTGCAGTTCCAGCGACTTTAAGGGTGAGGAAGAAGCTTGTTAAGAGTGTCGAAATCAATTTCTTGTGCATTCACAAGAAATTGAGGGCCAAGCGCCTCACGCCGATCCTGATCAAGGAGGTCACCAGACGAGTCAACAAGCAGGACATCTGGCAGGCGCTATACACTGCTGGGGTCGTGCTGCCATCCCCTGCTGCGACTTGTCGCTATGCTCACCGTCCGCTGAACTGGTCAAAACTCTATGAGGTGGGCTTCACGGGTCTCCCAGCCAATGCTACCAAAACGCAAATGATAGCCAAATACACACTTCCAAAAGAGACAGACACTCCCGGATTAAGATCCCTGGAGGAAAAGGATGTGGACGAAGTGTATGACCTTCTAGAGAAGTACCAATCAAGGTTTGACCTGGTTCAGGTCTTCACAAAGGAGGAGTTTAAACATATATTCTTGAGCTCGAAGAATGTGGTTTATTCCTATGTTGTTGAAAATGGCGGCAAGATAACGGACTTTGTCTCTTTTTACTCTCTACCGTTCACTGTTTTGAACAACCCGCATTACAAGGAACTAGGAATCGGATACCTATTTTACTACGCTTCCGATGCCGATTTCCAATACCCTGACAGATTCCACCCAGAGGGTAGCTTGAAACTTCGCAAACGCCTCAACCGCCTCATTGCAGATGTATGCATCAAGGCGCGGGACTTGAAGATGGATGTGTTCAACGCCATGAGTTGTCAGGACAATTCCCTTTTCTTGGACGACTTGAAGTTCGGTCCTGGCGATGGCTTTTTGAACTTCTACCTTTTCAACTACAAGGTACGTCCTATTGCGGGCGGTTTGAAGCAAGACAACACCTTCGATACTGAGAAACGCAGCAGTGTTGGTGTTGTCATGCTCTGAAATAGCCGTAGCATCAGAGACTTCATAGCCAAGAGACCTTAAAAATAGCACACTGTAAATTATAGACCCATTTCTTGATAGAACGAGGCGTTTCGCGGATAGAATGTCCGGGATCCGCGGTGAGCTTCGCTACCAAAATTTTTTTTAAGAAGGTGGCTGGCATTGGTAATTTAACGCCTCGTCGTTCCTTGTAGCGACTCGAAATTAAACCAGCAAACGAAAAGCCAGGAATTTACATATAACACAGGTGCTCTCTTTGCGTAGATCAACGATGTAAACGTTAGCTCAATAATACAAGGACTTGCGTACGCTGGAAAATTTTTTAATACCACCATTTCGGAATGAGATTTACATACGCCGCGCTTACACTAACTGGCGTCAGTCTAGTACTTGGAGATAGCGGTGCTTTGGGCGCCTATGGGGGAGACGCGAGCTCCAGTAACAAAGCGGCTTCTGTAACTAGTTCTGTACAAAGCCATAAATTGGTCCAAACTAGCAACGTCGAACAAAATACCTGGGCATCATCTGACATAGGAGACTCTACCGATGCGACAGCTACCGATGCGACAGCTTCCTCTGCAGCTACTGCTGCAGCTACTGCCACCACTACCACAACAGGCGGTCCCATTACGGTAGTAACATCACAAAATTCCGCCGGCGAGACCTATCTGTCGACGGTGTGGTGGACACCCAGTGTCACGAAATGGTGGACCCCAGAGAGTGAAATAGCGAGCAGCACGGCAAGCGACAGCTCGACCGGCTCTTCATCCGCATCTCACGTAACAACGGCTACCTCCTCAGGTTCTAAAAGTGCCAAGAGTTCATCCACCGCATCCGTGAGCTCTTTGAACACCCAAAACTCCACCAACGCTGCAGATCGGCCTCAGGCCGGTGTCTTCCTCGGCCTGGGAGCCATGGCGCTTGGAGCGATGGCCCTTTGACCACATAATAGCATAAACATTAGCATCTACATAACTAAAAAACCTGACACTTGCACGCCATATAATTAGCGCTCTCTCACGGCCATGCTTTCGACAGCCCACGGTCCAATCCGTTATAGATAGAAGATTCGGCAATTTTGCAAGGACCAGAATCAACACAAGGAACAGGTCGAAGGATGCCTAGCGAAGTCCGAAATTGAAGACACATCAGGTGGCTGATTTTGTGACATTGTCATCTCGAAAATGCCAAGCCTTCTACTCGTTTATTCACCCACTTATTCACTCGAGGGTCTCGAGCTTAGTGAAAAATTAGTGATCATAATCACTCGCCTACCAGCTAGCTGCCTTCGTTCAAGTCGCTCGGCATTCTATCAACTTTTGATCAGCGGACAGCAGTTGGAAGGCTTCTCTAGTTATTGTGAGTGGGGTGGCCGTGTCGGCTTTGGTTGAACGTCGGATTGAGGGAATAGTGCACTGGCAAGTGATAAAATATTGAAATATGGTGCTCTGGTACCACAATACTCATATCTATAACAAAGATTTCCAAACAGTCTCACTGGCGTTCTTTAATCGATACCCCAATCCGTATGCCTCGCATGTTCTCTCTATCGACACGATCTCGCGAGACTTCTCCAGCAACGGGAACCTGTCGACCACCAGACTCATCAGGAAAACCGGGCGCCTTCCAGAGTGGGTGAGGCCGTTTTTAGGCGGGATATCCGAATCCTGGATCATTGAGAAGTCGGAAGTAGACTCCAATCGGAAAGAGCTGCGAACGTACACTCGAAATTTGGACCATACTAGGATCATCCAGGTGGAAGAATTCACGACTTACACCTATGATAACGACGCAGGGGTGACGAAAGCATCAAGCGCTGTTAAATTCTCCAGCGGCTTCAATCTCGCCATAAGAAATCGAATCGAAAAGTGGTCTCACAATAGGTTTGACGAGAATGTCAAGCGCAGTCGGATGGGAATGGCGTTTGTCATGGAAAAACTGGAACAACGTCGTCACCCGTGTTAGGAAGGGCGGGGACCTCCTTCAACGGTTGATGGTTTAAAAGCTACCTTTTGTACATACATTATACACATGCCTCTTTATGAACGTCCAGGTCCACTATGCAAAATTCAAGTTCCAGCCTATTTCGTCAACGACATCGAACCAATCTTGGGCGAGTCCGCGGTCAGACCTGTCCCATACTTGCCGGAGAACTATGAGGGCTCTTTCGACATTGCGGAACTTGTATCGCTGTAGAAAGCCTTCGAACTTCGATTCCAAGTTTCTTCTTTGAGCGAGGTTGTAGGAGTTAACGCCGCAGATGAATAGTGGAAAACACGATCCGGCCTCTATTGGAGAACCTAAGATCTGGTCTAAACCATTGGACAGTTGCGCGACTAAGAATTGAATCTCATACGAGCTAATATCTTGTCGAAGTATTGCGGTCTTGAGATGTAATAAAGCTGTGTCTCGGAAAACGGAAAATAGCGTCTGGGCGAGCGAACGTGTACTTTTATATGTATCTGCAACACTTTGATACCATGAGAGATCTTCTTCGCTGGGCTGGATTTTGTAAAGGCATACTTGTAGTTCTTGAGCAGCAGCTATCATGTCGTATAGCGGCTTATGGGAGACTAGATCCTCCATGAGGCCTGCAGAAGTCAGTTCTTCCTTCACTTTTCGGGCGAGATTTTTTACCTGTCCAAGCAGCTGGAAAATCGGTCTATTAATCCCGTATAAGGGATCTATGTGGTATTCGTGCGTTGAGTCTGGATGATCTAGAATTTGGCGATACTGCTGCATTGGAAAGTGCGTTGGATCTGATCCCATAATGTCATGGTACGCGAAATTGGATAAAAGCCAGCGGGTTGTCTTAGCATCAGTCGAAGAGTTTGGCCTTTCGCTCTCGGCTAAAAGTTCACCGATGTCACAATTTGGTGCGTAATCTCTTATCATGCGAGCGCCCCATCGGAGAAGAATCTGCCAGCGTGAAATATCACCCTGACAAATCTCCGCTCCACATAGAATCAAAATGTTAGCCAAAGCCGCCAGCAACCCGTGAGTTTTTGGATCAGCAACCCGTTGCAAAGAATATAAAGTGTACTCATTGGCAAGTGCGGCGTAACGAGAGTCGCGCGCCGACCTTGTGGACAACTCATTCGACGATATGGACGTTGTAGATACGTGCGGCCTTATTGCCTGTGAATTTGGATAATCTGACGGCGGTAGGTTAAAGAACTGCCGATCTTGATTGTCGTCACTTTTGGGGAAATCTCGAAACGTTTCATCTAAAGCAGCTGGACTCTTCTCCTTGATCATGCTCCCATGGTTTTTATTTGGTTCGCCCAGAGACAAGTGATGTGCTGCCCATGCCAAGATTCCATAGAGAATCCCTTCGTCCTGGTGTGCCATGGGAAGAAAAATCTGAAGAAAGTAGTTCTGTCTGTCGGGCGCGATTGAAACAATATGTGACAATGAGTCTCTGTAGTACCTGTAAAGATGGAGAGCAGTATCATCAAGCTGCATGAGTAAAGGTTCTGACGGCGGGGGCAGCGGCGTTGGTACGTAGGGAGAATTTTCCAAAAACTCCCAATTATACCGCTCCTCGATCGGAACAAAATCTAAACCGTTCATGTCACTATCAATTTTGGAGATCACGCCTTGCGGAGATAATTCTGCAAGAACATTCGAGCGTGCAAAGTCGTCGTCACCTACTTCGGCCTCGATTTCATCGATGGATGAACTAGAGTCTAGCAGGGGAGGACCAGGCAACGTACCGCTCGGTTTACGACTTTTCCGCTCTAGCAGCTGTTTTTGGACACTATCTCGATATATATTTGCCTTCTCCCTTGAGCAGCTTGCTGGTAAATAGACGCATGATATATCCAACCGTTCGCAGTCTGTACACACCGGTTTATGTTCGGAACATCTTTTCTTGCGGATTTTACAAGGTACGCAGCCTGTTTTACGGTGAATTCGTCTACTCAGTGAGGTCATGAACTTGGCATTGAGCTTTATTGAGATGGTTAAGCTGGCCCATCGCAACGAAAGCTACACTGTTTTCATGAAGATGAGTAAGAAGTTTGAGTAAAAGGGCATGGCTCGTACAAGACTATATCACACATTCAATGTGCTTTGTAGCGCGACGTTTATGTTTATCCAAAGGTAGAATTTGGTACAGATCTTAATGTGAACTGGGTAGAATATATCGCTCTAGTGACGAACAGACATTAGTACTCACTCGCCACAGTTTCTCGGCCGCCGTTTATTGATGGATTGTTATCACCATTTTTCCACAATTATTACATCAAATTACGACAGAATAGTACAGAATGATTGTGATCACTTTGCATCTCCAAACTATTACTTTGGGCCCACTCGATTCTCTAGTCTGAATGCTGCAAAAACTCTTACGGTCACCTTTATGTTAGCAGGGACCCTATGTGAAAGTAATGTGGATTTTCTTGTTTTGAAGCGTTGGCTAGAAATTTAATAGCACGATAACAAGCTTTACAGGGTAGTCATTGTAAACAGTGTATGTTTATTTACATCACCAAATCTCACCGCATACAGATGCTGCTGCTAGATGTGAAATTCTATTTTGTCAATTACCATTATGTACATATCGTTCTGAGAAATATTAAATAGGTTCCCGGCATTTTGACATTCCAGGCAATGCGTTTTATCTCTGTACTGCTGTTTTTTGTGTCTTTTTGGGATTAATGATAGTGTTCTTCTTCTGAGAATATAGTTTTTCTTTTACTGGGCTTTCTTCGCTAGAGCAAGCTCATTAGACTTTATAATGTCATCTTTGGTAATTCCAGATCTACCACACATTTCAGTGAAAATACCTTTTTTATCGAATAAGGCAGCTGGAGTGTCGAACTCGGCCACCTCACCCTGTTCTAAGACCAGAATCCTGTCATAGTCTAAAATAGTATTCAAACGATGAGCAATGCACAAGATGGTGCAGTCAGAGAAGGACGAAGCTATACGCTCCTGGATTTGGGCGTCGGTTTCGTAATCCACAGAAGATGTTGCTTCATCCAAAATGAGGATTTTGGACTGTCTCACTAGTGCTCTCGCTAGGGCAAGCAGTTGACGTTCACCAAGAGAATAGTTGCTACCATCTTCTTCAACTTCTTGATTCAAATGAAATTTGTGCAAATTACTCAACGATCCCATGTTCTCAACCGTCTGCGTGCGAACCTGAGAAGCGTCATCTGCTTCTATGGCACCACTCTTCGAAAGTGCGTCCCATAATTGATCTTCAGAGCGCTCTCCGAAGGGGTCCAAATTTTTGCGCACACTACCCTTGAAAAGAACTGGGTCTTGTGGGATAATCGATAACTTGGATCGCAGGTCAAAAAGACCTAAAGTGGATACGTCGATTCCATCAATCAAGATTCTACCTGTTTGAAGTTCACAAACTCTGTACAATGCGCTCATAATTGTAGACTTACCAGCCCCAGTACGCCCACATACACCAATTTTCTCATTACCTCGAATTTGTAAGTTGACGTGCTTCAACACCAAGGGCAGGCCAGGTCTGTACGCCAAGCTTGCATCATCAAATTCGATCGCGCCATGGGTGGGCCATTCGGGAGGGGGAGTCATTTCCGGTTTACGGTAATCTGCCTCTAGAGGTAGTCCAGTTGCGTACGCCGTCAACCTTTCAGCACTATTCATATCGTTTTCACCCTGTGTTAATGCTCTTAATAGGGAGTTCAGTAAACCGGGCAATTGTAAGACATATGTGAGTAAAACACCAACGGATGCGGGAGAGATATGGAACTGGCGTGTGACACACAATAGCGTAATGATTAAGGCGAAAGTCATTGCAATCATATCAAGAGCAATCGCAACCCACCGTTGCAATGCAACAACCAAATAACCAGCTTCATTCATTCTGTCAGTCATGAAATCAGACTTCTTCAAGAATCTCTTTTGACTTCTGTAAGCGCGAATCGTGTCCATACCACCCAAAACCTCATTAAAGTTATTGAATACATGCGATCTTTGGAGAGCCTCTAGTCTTTTGATCTCACGGGTTGAACTTTGGTAATGATCGGTGACTGCAACAAATACCAAGGCCAAAAATGGAACGGCAATGGCAAACCATGGCAAATAGATGATACACATCACAATAACACCAATGATGTTGGCGAACTGATAGAGGAACAACCTGATGTTTTCCACCAAGTCTGAGTCTAAAGTATCGGTATCCTTGGTGAAGCGATTCAAAATACGCCCTATCGGGGTGGTATCAATAAATGACATTGGGGCGTGTAGTAACCTTTTGACTGCTTTCAAATTCAACCATTTTGAAGCTGTTAATCCTAAGTAGCATAAGACCGTAAATTGACTGGTCGTACTGAGATAATTGAAAAACACAAAAAAACAGTACATTCCCATGTAAAAAGAAGTACTTCTGCCTTTGAATTTATACTCTGTCCAGAAGGAAAGCCAAACTGAGGTGAACAAAAGGGTGAATGTAGAAATCGCCAAGAACAGCACGTACAAGGGCAAAATCAGGAAGCCCTTTTTGCCCACACCAGATGCGATATATTCCTTGTAAACTTTGAGACTGATTGAATTAACTGCACGTTCTTCTGTACTCATTATCCGCCCATCGGCTCCCTTTTGAGAACTATCCTCGCCCAGAGACCTCTTACTGAGTTGTTTTTGCAATTCGGAAGTTTCATGTTGACTAACACCACGATCGACTGTTGGCCTTACCTGATCCGAATCACCTTCTTGAGGCTCATCTGTTTCAGAGTGGTTGGAATAGTCCATTAGTTTCACAAATCCTGGGCGTCTTTGCTTCAAATTGCCAACAGTGTCAACGTCGACCGATCCGTCGGTATCAATGAAAATAACCTTAGAGGCTTTGGCAATTAAGCTCAGCTGGTGTGTGGCCAAAATTCTGGTTTTACCAGCCAGCATACCAAGCATACATTCGTCCATAATATGTTTTCCGACACGGGCGTCAACGGCGCTTAAAACATCGTCAAACAAGTAAATATCTCTTTCCTTGTAGACACTTCTAGCCAAATTGATCCGTGCTTTTTGCCCACCGGAAAGCGTGATACCACGCTCACCAATTTCAGTCTTGTCGCCTGCAGGCAACAAGTCTAAATCAGCCTGTAAAGAGCATACACGGATGACTTCCTTATATTTGGCCTTATCGTAAGGGGAGCCAAATATAATGTTGTCCTTAACAGTGGTATTTTGTACCCAAGGGTATCCGCATAATAATAAAGACCCGTCTTTATAAATACCACCATTGGTTTTGTTCATAAAACCAGACATGGCGCTCAACAGTGAAGATTTACCAGTACCAACAGAACCTGTTACAATAACCAATTCGCCTTTCGCAATACTGAAATTAAGATCGTTGAAGCCATTGAAAGAAATTTTGGGGGTCTTAGAATCATCTGAGAGAGAATTGGAATCATCTTTGCTCAAGGCTCCACCTTTGTCCGGAATCTTTTGCTTGGATTTCTTTTTCTTCTTGCCCTTCTTTTCGTTTTCTAGCTCGGCAGCTTTTTTGCGAGCATTTTCCTTGGCCTCCTGGAATTCGAAATTTTCCCAGGCAAACGAGGCGTTTACCAGTTTGAGTGCCAGTTTTTCATCATCCATAGGTAGAGCATCTTTCTCAATATCTTGTTCATCTTCCCCAGCCTCCAGGACATCTTGAACACGATTCAAAGCGATAGAACCATCAACCGCAGTACTTAGAGCCATGGGCAAGAAGAAGAACTGAATACTCAACACTTGGAAAAGTGATAAAGACGAAAAAATGTTTGCAGGGCTTCTTCCACCGTTGTTCACCTTGTACATGACCAAGAAAGTGACACAAGATGCCATGCTGGGCAGGCATACGGCCAACGCGACCACAAAGTTTCTGGTAAACTGCATGATTCTAGTCTTGCGGATTTCTTTGCTACGAATTTCCTCCACATTTTTCTCGTAAGCATCCTCCCAGGCATAAAACTTGATCATTTTCATACTATTGAGAATCTCCCGAATCAAAGTGACACGGGCATCGGTGAAAACATTGGTAGCTTTACGCACGTTGACCAACGCTCTGAAAGCATATCCGGAGCCCACCATTGCTACAAGGAAAATCCCCAAACCAACCAAGGCAACTGGGCCCAAATTAACGATCAAGAGCACAATACAAATCGTGACAGCGACGAAGAAAGCACCCAACAGCGGTTGAAAAATGACAGCCATTTCCAAGCGAGACAAGTCCGTCGACATGATCGAGGTGATTTTACCGTTGGGGAATTTGTGTTTGGAGTAAGCGGACAGTTTTAGGGATTTGGTCAAAAGTGCCTTGATGAGAACAGATTTCACCTGGACACCTGTAAGCTGGGAATTATAGAAAAAATGGTTGAACAAAACCGCGTTGAGTAACATGAGCACACTGGCACCGATGGCATAGCCGATGCCGGCATTGACTTTCAAGTTGGCGTCCAGGGCTTTGCGTTCGACAAACGAGATGACCCGTTTGGTGACCATGGGCAGAAAGGCCGAAGTCGCGTTCGACAGCGCCATGCACATGAACGACATGAAATACTGCCATTTGAAGGTCCACAGCAGCGCGCGGGTGACGGTGTGTTTCGACAGGACTGTGTTCTCGATAACGTCACTCTCGGAGGCCTCCGGGTGATCCGCGGCATACTGGGCGCGCGCGCGTTGAATATACCCTTCCAGGTAGCCCTCAAAGTCGCTATAAAGCGCGTCAATGGACATGCGTGGATCCATTACCCACAGATCCAGCGGTTGCAGCGTACGCTTGTAGCCCACGCGAATGACTGGGAAGACCCACCAGAAGAAGATACGGTAGAGCCAGTTGGTATGGTACATTGGGAATACCGTGCGGTCCTCCTGCGCCGGTATGGCCGGCATTTTACGCGTGTGGAAGATCGAAAAAAGCCGTTTCTGAGGGTAGATTTGCGACTCTGTCACTTTTTCGAGGTCATCGCTGTTGAGAAACGTTTCAGGCCGGTTCGAGTCCACTGCTTGCACCGACCCCGTTTCCACAGCATCGATCACCATTGCCTCCGCCTCTGGCTTCTGCAGCGGCAGCTCTTTCGCGGCAACGGCCATGCTGTGCGCAGCAGTATCCGAATCACTGGAGCTCATTTTGGTCGAAGAGCTGAGACAGAGCGTTTGGATATTTCACTATCCTGCAACTATCAGCTATTTGTACTCTGAGCGTGTACGCTTATGGATATCCTAGCTTTCTGCTGGTCGCCACCTTCTTACCTTGACACTTTCCATCTCTGTCTTAAATACAAATCTCCATCACTTAACACCCGCCGCTTCGGCCGGTCGTCTTTGGTGATGAGGATCTTATTCCCACCGAAAAAAAACACTGCGAAAAAGAGCACTCACTAGCAACGACACTGGAGTGTCTTGGCTTGAAAGCTGCCAAGCCCAGCCTACGAAAATCGGCAATGACTAGTAGTGAGTGGTATCCACGACGCCGTGCGTCTGTCGGGCATAGATGCAGGGGTGAGTAAGCGTACGTGAAGGACAATGTAGGACGAACAGCGTAGGAAAGAAGTCCGTGTACAAAGCGTCTTGGTGCTGACAAGTACTCTCGGGTTTTGCTGCCGCATCAGAGGCAGGTTCCGCGGAGGAAGGACGGATAGTAGGAGTACGGACAGGGACAGAGGCCAGTTACTCGAATGCATGGAGCGGGTTAGCCAGCGGGAGGCGATTAGTCAACATGGGGACAGTTGCTGAGGTTCTTCCATGGTGTAGCGAGAATAGGAGGGCGGGGTAGGAACCTGAAGGAAGCACAAGCACCGTGAAGTACTTTTTTTTTTTGGGACTGGTATTGGAAGCTGGGAGCACAGTGCCGGTGCGATGATGGTTTGTAGGTGGAAAAGGCTACTTGTTTGATAGGTGCCACCCCCGAAGGCATGTAACATAAGTCGCAGAGTGGGTATTCTTCTCACGACGAGGAATAGGTCATTATTGTCACAGTTAGTAGAGGAGTTGTAGCCCGATGTTGGTGAAAAGATGTGGGCATGTGATCGTGAAGTAGACAGTGAGTAATCTTGCCGTAGTTGAGGGTGCCACGCGCCGCGGTCGTGGATATAGTTATGGATATTTCACGATTTTAGGTAGATATCACTGGCGGCGCCGCAATGTCGGCAACAGTTTTCAGTGGCTAACGGTGGGCCTTGGCAACTAATTTGGGCAATTTTTAGAACAGAGGAAGTCAATGTTCGAGAGTGTGAACTCACATTTCTTGCGTCTTTGTCGCTTGCACTTTTCCGCGTGGAAGGCAAACCTGCGCTTATCGCGACATAATGTGCAGCTGTGGTCAGCTTTTATCGCGCTCGCGTTAAAATCATGGAGCATTGGGGCACGTAAACCAGTCACAAGCTCGATGACAAGGGATGTACATCATTAAACGGTTATTCTCAATGTTGTCGGAAAAATGACATCATGGTATTTAGGAGAGTTGTCTTTGTGACCTGGCGTTGAGCCAACTAAAAGCATATTCTTTCACCGGGAACCGTTGCCTCGAGCAGCATAAATGATCAAAGGTTCTGTTTGGTCGATCTTTCCAGGGTGTATACTTGACCCGCTGCAATGGGGAGCGCCAGCGGCTTCCGCGGAGCCAAGGATGACTACCGGGGCCCAAGGAAACGCTTGCTCAGTGTAGATGCCCTAACAATCCATCGAGCAGCATCATGACAATCTTCGTCTCCCCTTGCGCTTCGGCGACTACCTGCACCCTTTTAAAGCCCACTTGATTAGCCGCCAATGTCTCTTCTGTGCCAATCACCTTTTCATTCCCAGTGGGCAGCAGCTCGTGCTCATACTTCACACCTTATCGTTCTTGGAGATTAGAAGATATCTATCCCAGCCATTACATTCAGTTTTAGGTGTTCCGTATAGGTCGAGTTGTTTTGTTTTATATTCGAGTTGTTTTGTTTTATATTTGTTGATTAGTCATCGGTACTCGCAGATACCCATCATCCAATGACAGATAATATCAGAAGACTTCTAACAAGTTCAAGAAGACTAGAGGCCTCCCATAATTGGAGGCGCAACTATGGAAGCCCTGATTCTAGTTTAAGGTAATTCAAGCATACCACAGACGTTGTTAGCATAGATTCTTCACATGAGCATGGCGCTACATGACGCACTCAATTCGGCTGTGATGGCTTTGAGCCAATCCATAAACGTTCTGAGAGCGCACAGTAACCCTGATATTATTTCAATATCATATAGACTATATTTAAGTGTCTGAGACAAATTATGGAGTAAATTGCTGATAAGTCCTTGGTTTGAGTCAAATGACACACTCCTGGTTTCACTACAAAAGCAAGCTTCTTTGGGCGCCAGATAATGTCTTGTATCCATCAGCTCGAAACTCTCCGTGTGGTGCATTATGGGCTGATCTTAGTGGGAGAAAAAGGTAATCGCAAGCATCAAAAAGCCACTACTTTGTTTGACTTTTGATGCTGACTGGCCCTGTCATGTACCCTCCAGTAAGCTGTAATTCTTGAATGAGCTACAACAAAATGATTAGAAAATTTTGAGTAATGAGAGGAGAATTCGCATCAAAGCTCATCTAGCCAACACCCCCACGCTTATTGTATTGTACATCTTCTAGACTGGGTTGCTGAGCTAGTCCAGGCTGGGTATTCCTGAGTTTAACTACTCCCGCAACATTGAAATACCCTGTACCAACATATGAAGGACAGCGTAGCAGCTTCCAATTTGTATACGCCTTGATTACTTAGCATCGTGAATTTGTTTTGCGTTGGGGAAGAGCTCAGGCAAACAGTTGCGCCAATACTCTGAATACTCCCACACTCTATCTTTCCATTGACTTTCTATGGGGCGTACTTGTTTCTTGTTCTTAGCAATCAATTCGCAGGCATTCCACACACGAAGCACATTAAGTCCCATCAATTTGGAAATTTGCTCCTCAGTAGCATTGTATTTCCGCCATACGCGTTTGATAAGATCTGGATATTTGGAAACATCTTCCAGACCTCTTGGACAGCAATCGATGCCATCAAAATCTGAACCCAAGCCTACATGGTCCCATCCAATTAGGTCAATAACGTGGGAGATATGGGCAACGGCGTCTGTGATGTCCGCAACTGCTTTACCTGAATCATCCACTTGGCCGGAAGTAATGAAGTAGGCGTAAAAATTGATGTTAATCACACCTCCGTTTTCCTTCAGCATAAGCAAAACGTCGTCCCTTACATTACGCTCATGTGCTGTAAGTTTGTACACAGCAGAATGGGAAAATATAATAGGAGCTTGGGAAGTCTTCAAAACGTCAATCATAGTCTGGTAACTAACGTGCGAGAGGTCTACCATCATACCAAGTCTGTTCATCTCCAGTACGCAGTCCACCCCATAAGAAGTGAGACCAAAATCACGCTCCCGATGGCCAATTGAACTTGCTGCCATTGCGAATGGGTTGTCGCAGTTGTGTGTCAATGTAATATATCTGACACCTAGGTCGTAGTACATCCTTACTACAGCCAAGGAGAGATCACATTGGTGCAGTCCTTCGACACCAAGTGTAACGCTGATTTTATGCTCTTTTTGAAAGACCTCTAGGGCCTCTTTGCTGCAGTTGACAAATTTCAGATCTTTGTAATACTTGTCGACGATTCTCTTGGTAACGTCTATCTGCTCCAGCGTGTCACGGACGGCACTATTGGCCTTGTTGAAGTCGGTATAAAGCTTGTCCCCACCATCTTTGCACTCGATGTATACGCTAAAAAACTGAACTCCAACCCGCCCCTTTCTAAGCTTAGGTAAATCTGTGTGACTGGTTAAATTGGAGTTGAAGTCCAGACCTTCAATTTCGTTGTGAAGTTGTACTCTGAGAAGGTATGGGAAATCATTATGTGTGTCTACTATGGGCACTCTCGATGCAAGTTGATTGAACCTTTCATCAATATTACTTTTCGAGGCGCTGGGTGAACCTTGGGCAGTCATGTTTTAGTTCGCTCGAGTTGCGCAAACTTAACAAATAAGATAGCCTCGCAGCTTGTTTAACAGATCTACTGATGCTCACTTCAACAAGTTATAGTTCATGTTTGATCTCCTGAGATAGATACTAATGATTGTTTTTCAGCGTCGCCAAGCTATCCTACTGATAAGATAAGCGATAGTTCATAATGGAAATTTCCAACATTCTTGATAATTTCTGGGCACAATGTGGCCTACTCGCTGGTCGGCTGCGGTTTACCACTTTTAGTAATCTACCATAGTTGCCTACCACGCGATCGGCTCACTCATTTGTTGATCATCTAATCAAACTCTATCTAGTGCTGAAGGCTCAAAAAGTGCTGTGCAGTTCGATTCTACCTTATGAGAGCAGTGCTGATCGCTCAACCTGTGGAAATAAAAATCGAATGAAGCTTTCTTAGAGCTCTGTTGAGAAGCACCTTGTTCTGTTCTTGTTTAGTGATGACGTTCATGCCATTAAAATATGCTATTATTGAAAGTACTGGTACAATTTGTTGCAGTAAGAAGCAATCCGTAATCTTCACAAAACACCGGGCGATGCGCTGAAGTATACTATTACCTTACTGATATTTATTCTTATTTTGGCCTCTTCTCAAAATTCGTGATAGTTTATTGGTCACTAGGTTTTGAATGATCGTATATGCACCATTTGCTGGCCACCCAAGAGAACAAGCACGTCGTCCTGGTATATATAGGCTCTACGAAGAGTGTTCACAAATCCATCATTTTTAATGTTTGAAAGTCTTGGCTCTCCGCAACAAATCGAACCAGAAAAAGAGTAGCAGAGGCAACATTCAGTTGAGCATAGGCTGTACCACAAAGCAGCCTTAAATGAAAGGCTTATATCTCGACCTTCCAATTTTTGAAACCTAACTTACCTTCTATACAATTAATTTATGTACCATGCTCTACTGCTATCTAGTGGGAAAGAGCGGACGTTAGGTCCATAAGCTGGGATTTTCTTACAGCGTCATCAACATCAATACGTTTGCCTGTCTCAAAATCCATGTCTGCGTACCTGACAATTCGCGTCTTCAAAAAGACGAAATCATACGCCGCCCAAACTATCATAAAAACTGGCAACAAGATATAAGCATCGATGAATGTGGAATAGTCCCATGGATCAAAACTGGACCAGCCTTGAACAAGGATCAGGACTATCCCCAAGCAAATGGCCACTACATTCGACCAAGGGTATAAGGGAGCAGAGAACCCCAAGTCTTCCAGAGATTTTCCTTGATGTATCCACCCCTTCCTAAACCGAAAATGAGTGAACGAGATACCTGTCCAAATGATGAAGGCCGCCACGCCCGTGACATTGACAATATAGCTGTAGGCAACTGCAGACCCATTGGATATACTCAGGAGACACAAAAAAGAAAATAAGTGGCAAGTATGAACAGACACCCATGGGACACCCTTTTTGTCAGTCTTCTTGAAAACTTTGGGACCCATGCCCATATCCGCCCAAGTGAACAGAGATCTCGACGCAAGGAAGATCGCTGAATTGATGGAAGATACGCAGGTCAAAAGGACAATAGTTGTAACAAAGTATTTTGCATGATACCAGCCTGCATTTGTTAAAGCAATAGTCATTGGTGCACGCAGGGCCAAGTTGTCACCATGTAGGGCCGGATCTTGAGGAGAAACTGTGATCGCGTAAAATATCGATAGCCCGAAGTAGACAAAAAAAATTCTGAACATGGTGTTTCTGACTGCCACTGGAATAGCTTTTCTAGGGTTACGCGCTTCACTGGCAAACACGGATACACTCTCAATGCCACTCAGAAAAATTCCTGCAAATACGAACGAGTTTGCAATTCCTCTGAATCCCCCTACGAGTGGAACTTCCCCAAACGGATTTCCTGTCTTATGACCGGGCACCCCGCCCGACGCATAGATAATGGCGAATAGGTAGAATCCTCCGATAAAGATCAGTTTCACAAAACCCAGAATGTATTCTGCCTCTCCATAAGCAGTGACGCCCAAGAACTGGAAAGCTGTGAAGAAACCCCAAAAAATTAGATACCAGCCATAGAATGGTACTTTCGTAGTGTAGTTCGTGCAAATACTGCTCAGCGAAGTGTACTCTGCAATAAGATTGGTAATCCACATCACCACATATGCAAGTGCCATGCTGCCCCCAAAACCAGGGGACACATACCTCGAAGCATGGACACAAAAGTTGAAGTCCAAAGTGGCGTTAATTTCCCCAACGCTGAACATCATGCTTATCACTAAAATTGCCACGATCGCGAAACCGGCAAGCATGCCGGCACCACCCCCGGACTTAAGCATGCTTCCCATACCAACAAATGTTCCTGGCCCCAAAATCCCACATATAGTCATAAGGTTTATCATCCTGTTTTTCAGTCCAGGTTTCAGCCCATTTTTCAACCTGAGGTTGCCATCTGCGTCAATGAGATAGCCGTTTGCCTGTGCATCTTGAACATCGACGATAGAGCCGGCTTCAATCCTGGAGGCTTCTGTAAGCGGTGTCACATGCTGGACGTCTTTCGAGTCGCCTATTTGAACACTGTGCGATTCGTTTTTTTCTGTCATAGCTAGTGAAGCGGCTTGATTTCAGAAATAGTTGAACCTTCTTCTTCACCGGTAGTTGAATGAATATATATAAGAGCCTATTGACCTAAGGGCCTTTGCTGAACGATAATCAATCAATTCTAGAACCCACAACTTCCAACATTGTCCTGATAGGAATATGGGCCTTTTCTGGGAAGCAAATCCGATCGCTTTCTTTATGGCCGCTATTTAGATAAGATACAAATGATACAATTAAAATTTATCTTATCGATAGTAAGAAAGCACGTATATTAAATTGTACAATGCTTATCGCGCCAAGTAATTGAAAACGTCATCAAGTGACATAAGAAAACCGTCGTGGTATAGTTGACAGCTGTTGGGGTTACAAAGACGGACGGTCAATATGAAAGCTATAGGTAACATTTATATAACCCCAATATGCTCAAAACGGTAGATTTTGAACTAGATTAAATAATTGTAACCTTTTTACAAATGCTCTGGTCTGATTATCTTAGCCCGAGGGATTCGCCTTGCTGCGTAGATAGCTCGGGTTCATGATTTGGCATTTTTTAAAGGTGTATATAGCTTTTATTGACGCTACCCTTGGTTCTTGCCTTGGTACCTACTACTAACTGTACAATTCATGTAAGTAGGCTGTACATGATTTGTGCCTTGACGTTGACGTTGAGAGGGATAATCAAGAAAGCGGCAAGCATAATGATCCAGTATCAAAGCAGTTCTGATTACTCGAGAGCGCTAACACCTGAATTGGCGGAGGGCAGGGAAGTCGTTATTTGTAGATGGTCATTCGATCTCAAAAAAAATTCTTTGTTCACGTTCGGTGGTAACAAGAGCCCTGCGTACCAAGCGGGAGTTGGTCTGGCGTAAGTCTGACAAGAAAAATCGTGAATTCATAGGCATTGTACATGACAGCCATCAACACTATATCCAAATTCTACTTATATGACTCCGCTAGAGGTTTCTATGTAGAGTGATGCTTGCTCTGTGCCACCCAATGCTAAATACATTTATGTTTCTTTATTATACCTGAAAATCTTGATGCTTTTCTTGCGTGATCAGTACATTAGACTGATTTCAATGGCTAAGTGAAGGAGAAAGTAATTAAAGTAGAGCTCAAGCTTCGAAAAGAGCCGCAGTGAAACAGAGCATGAGAGTCACATAGATGAAAAGGCTTCTACACTGTTTTTGGCGCTCGTGGCATCCTAAGGCCTCTTCCATAACTTTCGATAAAATTCAGGGTTATACCTCAAGGTGGCTAGTAAGATTATGTCAAACCAAGAAGCACCAATACTTAATTTTTAGAGAAAACTCGTAGCTTCGGCATTCTACTCGTAATTTTTGGGTCGTTCTTTAGTTCATTGGTTTAATGTTTGTTTATGGAGGTCTGACATTTATTAAATAAAGAAAATTTCGTGTCACTATTAGAAAGCCATTGCTTGGAGGCTAAACAAACATAACAGGTAAGCTAACAAGCCTCCCATATTCAACTCTTCGACACCTCAATAGACATAGAAAATTAAGTTTGACTGATTCTGTGCACCTTTTAATGTTGCTATCACGGTTTAAATCTTGAGCGCAAAGTTGAGCTCATCGTGTCGAATCGGTAAAATTACAGACAATATTTCGTCAACGAGTTCTCTCAAGACGTATACTCACGCTTTCGATTTTGAGAAATGTACTGAGACGTTGTCTTTAGACCTGCAATTTGTCTTTAATGACAATTTCATGTCACCTTGTTAGCGAAATTTATAGTTTGCAATTGTCTAAAGAAGTGGAGCCACCCAGCCACCCAGCCTCACATTTGGTTTTGATAGCTATTCTGGCATTCTTCATCAGCCCTGATGGCGAATAGTCACCTCCGTGATACAAAATTTAATCATGATTGAATTCCAGAGAAATGAAAATTTACGGTATAAATTCCTGACCACCGGGCCAAACACTTGCCCTCCTCATTACGCGCGGGCACCAGATTATAGTGAGTTTTCACAACAGCTTGAGACATCGATAACTGATTGCAATAGCGCTCTCTACAGTCAGTTGGGCTGGTAGACTGCAAAAATAATGAGCTCAAACTAGAATTTTAGCACTAGAGCACCATTGGACGATGAACTGGCTGTGTTGTAGACTCGAACAAACTTGAGTCTCGCAATGAATTTGTGGCGCCGTTCAAGTATGCTGATTTCTATCTCGTGGTCAGCGCAGTATTCTGAAGTACAACTCTGGCCATCTTTCAAAAACATTTGCTTTGATTATTCCCTGGGGAATACCGTTGTGGACACTAGGTATGGGTGGTTGACATGTGCGGTTCCGTCTTTATTACTCACTCTTTTCATGGAAAACGCGCTGGGTTTCCGAGTAAACATGAGAGCCTGTGATTCGCACGTCCCAATTCCAAGATGCAGGGGAATTTCACAGCTACAGCACTCATGAGCTCTTTGATTTCAGAATACTGAATAGAGAATCAAATTTTTGGTTATCTTTCTTCATATTTTTCAATCCGAATGCGCCGGGATATGAGGTTGGGACAAATCTTCTGCAACAGCTAAAAGAAAATCCTCATAACATCTCTAATTTGTCGTACCCACCTTCGAGTGTCCGTTTGGTCTTGGTTCTTACGCTCTCATTCTATTCCGATCTGTCTTCACAACAGGTCACTATGTACGCCTTAGTTTGAATTGCATACTGTAACAGGAAGCAACACCATAAAGATATCTCAATAGTCAGAGCGTTTGCTAGCCATCTTCAGTGATCGCCTGCCATCTGCTCATTAATGCAAGCACTTCCACCGATTCGAAAGCGTAACAGGGTGTCGCTTTCATGTTTAGAGTGCAAGAGGCGAAAGACGAAATGTGACAAGAAGAAACCTAAATGTACACGATGTGAGAAGCTTCAAGTTCCTTGTACATACATGCATTCAACCCCAGGACAGTTCCCTAAAGCGCATTTACAAGTACCTGGGTTACTGGCTTACAATAAGCTCGAACAAGCGGAGTCATTGGGCAGCCCATACCCTAGAAGCCCTACGTCTCCGCCGGTAGCCTCTTCAGCTGGGACCGACAGCGGAATCGAAATGCCTGCCTTTAATGTACAAAACTGGCGGGATATACGTGTTAGTCTCGATGACTCAGAAGACACAATTGTCGCTCTCGAGCAAAAAAGATACCTTCACAAGCCGTACTCCGTTTTAGCTATGCTGCAGCGAGATCACTACCTGCGTGCACTTGTTGGTTCTGTGTGGGGCTTCACTCTCTCGGGCGATCATAGATATCTCGGGAAGGCAAAAGATGGATCACCTGCAGCAGGAGAGAAATCTGTTTATCATTTTATCGGAGATGTCATTCAGCAGTCGTCAAAGCAGCAGACACAACTATCACCAGCCATTTTCCTCAACAACTCTCTATTCGCGTGCGACTTTTCGCTCGAGAAAGCAATTCTGTCCGAAAATAAGCTTCCGGATGCACTAATCGAAATAATTGAAGAGTTACAAAGCTTGCTACCAACGATGCCGGCGCTAGAGTTTTTACTCAAAAACTTTTATTCGACTTTATATCCAATATACCCATTTTTGGACATCCCTTCTTTTGAAGAAAGCATAAGAAAGGTCCTGCATAATCGGGGCGACGGATCTTCGCATTATATTTTGGATGTAGATCCTCCAGAAGTGCGCCGACTCCTCGAGAATCTTTGCATTCTAGTAATGATCCTGAAGATTTCACATGCTGCGGTGCTGAGCAACGACGATGCAGTAACGAGGCAAGGTACTATGTCTTTGAATTTGGAGGGTAACGACGTTCTGCCGGAGAAGGTGGTGGAGTTGGCACAGAGAATTTTGTTGATGTTAAACATAAGTCTTTACACCAGTGAAAACAGTGTATGCTGCTTACTATATTACTGGGTTTACCAATCCTTACTGAGCTCAAATGCGAGTTTCAAGCTGCCCGCTCCAGTGATTTTGGGACTTGGGGCCATCTTACAACTGGCAACAATACTTGGACTGCATAAAGACCCCTCGTCTTTCAAGATTTTGACCAAACCTGCTCAATCTGATAGAAGTATCTTGAATTATAGGCGCAAGTTGTGGTTAGGTGTTACAGTAGTAAGGATGAGTGAGCTTTTACCTAACGGTTGTGGATTCTTTTTGAGCACAAATGTGTTCGCCAAGACATTCATGCAACGGTGCCGAGATGATTCAACTTATATGTCTGCAGTTATCAAGGACAACCCAAATGCGACTGGCTACGATATCCCTTTACATGAATTATACTATAATGAATATTTGATGTTCCATGAGTGGGGAAAGCTAGGTACTGCTTGCTCACCTGTAGCCGAGCCAACGTCTTTATCATCCATCAATAAGATATTGACCCAATGTGAGCACCGGCTCCAACGGTTATTCCCCTTATCTTACCTTTCGGTTACGACTGATTCGGAAAATTTACCGGAAACTAGCATTGGTCACATAGATTGTGCTAAGGGAAACCCAGAGGTCAATTACCATCACATTCGTGCTGCTAAAACATTTACATCAAATTGCCAAGGGAGGTTAATTTTGCAGACAGTGACAGGCGCGCTGGCTCACAACCTTGAAAACAAATTACGATGTAGCTCTTCGCAGATTTTACTCGAACCTTTACAATACTACATTAAGGAAAGCTTTCGCTATTGTACGGAGCTCACAAAACTGCTGATGAAGTATCTGATGAACGAGTTGAATTCAGTTTTGCCACAAAAATTTGGCTATGCTTACAACAGAATGATGTCAATTTGCTTGCTCAGGGTGTTCATGAGCTTGACTAGCTTAGTACTTCGGTTATCATATTATGAGGTATACCTGGAAGGTGTGGTAGGGTCTGCGTCCTTCCTTTATCAAAATGTGGACAACTCGAGAGGCTCTAGCCTTTTACATTTGGCACAAGGTGCGAAAGAGAAATTGGTACTGCTTCTTCAGGTCTTGGTGACAGTTTCTTCCAGGACTATCTGCAAAACTCATAGTCGTTGTGAGAAAACTGTCTCATTAATCAAATATATTCTGCATTTGATAGAGATAGGGCATTTGGTGGAGGCAACTAATCGTTTATGGGATCAGAAATTGGCGGGCAACGAAATTCCAAAGCCAGTCAGGAATGCAATTTTATTCAAATGGGGTATCGACGTAGAAGATGCAAAGGCTGTGAAGGATGAGCTTTTGGACGCTAATATAATGGAGGCTTTTGACGAAGAACTGCTTTCATTTTTTTGCTCTTCGCTGGAAAACCTTGATCTCAAGCAAGCTTCTGAAATGTTCAAAATGAACCAGAGAACTGAAAATGAACCTTTAGCAGCGGGAGCTCTCTCAGAGAGCCTGCTAGATGATGCAAATATTTTTTCTGGGGATGTGTTGAAGTACTTCGATGTCTTCGATGATTTCCTTGGCGACGGATCATCTCTTAACCTCATATAGCCCGCAGTTTGCGAAGCTTCTTCTACAATAGCAAAGACGTCCGTTGAATATATACAAGATAATTTAAAAAAAAGGTGATCAGTTGCGATTCTAGATATGACAATTCACCTTAGCTCTCTTCTTTACATCACGCAGCACCGTAATCAATCCGAGTGTGTTAATTTTTCACTCAAAACGCCGAGCTTATTTCCAGTCCTGCTACTGGCGTCAGAATTTCAAAGATTAAGGGCACCATATACACCAAGGAGTTCCATATTGTTAACAATGAAGGGGTTTAGAGAGGATTGTTTGGAACTCTCAAGGTCTTGTAAATTGGAATCAGGAGTGGCATATTCCAGACTTTTCAATTCCTGTTCAGAAAGTGGAACTTCCCTACTGAATTTTGAATGAAAAGTCTTACGCAGAATGTTCACCATGAACTTGAAGTTATTGTACAGATTTGCGGTCGACAAAGAGACATTGAGGCTATCAGACAAAGATGCAGACTCAAAAGGGGCAAAACGATTTGCAAATGCACTGTGAAGACGCGCCACAAGCTTAACGTCCTCCTCAAAACTTGTTGCGTCTTCTTGTTTAGACAGAGCATACACGAAGATTTCAAAGAAAGCCAAATTAATGGTCCACTGAAATGATCTGAAATAGCTGGACAGATTTAGGTCGTACAATCCAAGCGCACCTAACAAAACCTCTCTTGCCGTTTTAACACTTTCGTAAAATGGAGTTTCGACATTCATCAAACCACGTTCTTTCATGTATGTTTGAATTTTGAACACTGCTTTTTGAACATACATCAAATTTATGCAGAACGTAAATTGGATGTTGTAAATAAAAAGCCTTGACATGGAAGTCGGAAGATCGCTGCTTTTTAGAAGTTCTGTCAAAGACGGATTATCCAGCGCTTCTAGGGGTCTCATTCCTGCCGGAAGCGAGAGCCTGAAAATCTCCATTTCTTTCAGCAGTTTTTGTGCATTTCTATACTGCTTTTCGGGGTTGATAGTTGCCGAGGGTGCGTAGAGATGGCTGTAAACACTAGACGCGATATCAATTAGCCGACAAAAATAATACCCACCAAATTTATCAAACCCTGTTTCCTTTACCACTAGGCTATACATGTCTTTCGCAAAAGAAGGGCCACAAGTAGGGTGATTGGTGGAAGCTGCCAATGTTGTTTGGGCCAAAAGATCCAAGGGAGCAGATAGTGTGCAAATAGATGTGCTGGTATCGTAGTTGGCCACTACCGGGGGTTTCCCTAAGATTAAGCTGAGTTTGCTATCAAAATAGCGACAGATTCCCCAAATTTTCTTTCTCCGGTCGACCTCCTGGATTGGTAACCCCTCGTAGGATATTTCAGCGTGCAGGCCCTGATCCTGAGCCAGCCGCACAGCCAGCGTTACCATCATGTACGACGCATGGAGAGCACCAGTAAAATCCGTGTACGCCATTAATGACAAAAAAGCTTGCAAAGTATCGATTCCCTCCGGTAAAATTGACACTTGGTGATAATGGAAAAGAGCGTTGGAAATGAAAGTGTCTTCCAGTTCGCGGAGTTTTGCGTCATCTTCCACCACCTCCACTACTCGACGATGAACACCCTCGATGTGCGTCTTGTAATAATGCTGCTGAAAGTGGACAATTAGCGCCAGCGCCACATGAAGTGTGATGCAGTGAGAACGCCTCAAAGATCGTATTCCACCCTCCTGGTATTTGTTGTATATTTCGGACACCTCTTGATACGGCACAAACGACACGGTCTGGAGGCCCGATCGATCGAAGATATCCAGAAGCGTTTCCAACACCGCGTTTTCCGGCAATGGCTTGAGACCCAGGGGTACTGGAAACAGGTTTTCCGTCTTCTTCTGCCGCAGAAAATGTGAGTACCAGCCGGACAAAAAGGAAATCTCCAGTTCCGAGTTCAAGCTCTTGGAGCGGATCCATTCCAGGCCCTTAGGCGAGAATATGGCGTACGAAGAACACACGCCAAAATCCCCTGAAACGCTGTAGGTGGGACCATTTTCCATATATTCCGAGAGACCAGAGCTGCCCGACGTCGAATTGGCGCTTGTGTTCCCCGCTGCAAATTTCCCAGGACTATTGTCGCCTCCTCGTTGGCGAGGCTCGCCGCTGTTTTGTAAAACCACCTTCGCCAGCAAATCCAGCGATGTGACTCGCTGCAGCGGTAGCCCGCCAATCTGTAGCCTCGACCGCTGCTCCCCGTACATGCCCCGTCGATTGCGCTTCCGAACACGCCCATTTTTCGGTCCTGGCGAGCTGGTTTTCAGACTTTCGGCCACCTCGATGACCCGTTTTTCCAAACACTCTATTTTCTCCATAATCCTATAAAAGTGGTCCACTTTGCTACCCGCCAATGCCTCTTTCGCACTTCCATCTTCCACAACATCTGAACTCATAATGAGACTACTGTTAAAAGCTCTTGAGTCCTTTCTTCCGGTTCTTGATACTTCTAACTCTTCTTCACACATTGGTCCTTCCAGTTCATGGAATTCAGTCAATTGAAGATGAGACGTACATAGTGACAAAATAGCAATTTGATCTTAAAAGTATACAAAACTTTTGTATCGAAAACTTTTCGTTGTTGGTAAGAGACAGAACTTAAGTGAACCTAAGAACAAGGTCTCTAACTTTCGAATAGCATCAATCCAGCGGGGTGGGAGAGACCGCAGACGTTTAAACAAGGCTTTTGTGTGGATTATTTTTTATTCTGCACTTTTTGGGGGATCATTTTTTTGTGTTTGTAAAAGATAGTTGCTTGAGTGTCTTGGCCTGCCGAAAAGCTTATTTGTGGCCATGTCAGCACTATCAGACGAGATAAATAGCACGCTTATCGATGTGCTGAATGGATTTTCGTCGCCGGTGAATGGGGTGCGTGCAGCAGCCGAGGAGGCCCTGAACAAGAACTGGATCACGCCCGACAACATCGAGATTTTGCTACTGTTTTTGGCAGAGCAGGCGGCATTTTCCACCGAAATGACACTCTCTGCGCTGTCGGCGGTGTTGTTTCGGAAACTGGCGCTGCGGGCGCCTCCTTCGTCCAAGACGGTGATCATCGCGAAGAACATCACGCACATCAGCGAGTCGGCGCTAACGCAGATCCGGATGACGCTGTTGAAGGGCTTCGTTACGGACCGCCCTGGAGGCATTCGGCACAAGCTTTCAGATGCGATCGCGGAGTGTGCACAGGACGACTTGCCTGACTGGTCAGAGCTTCTTCCGGCGCTTTTCGATGCCATCAAGAACGCCGATCCCAATTTCCGGGAGTCTAGCTTTCGTATTTTCACGTCAGTCCCGCACCTGATAAACGCCGTTGATATCAATAGCGTACTCCCCATTTTTGAGGCTGGCTTCACAGACGTGGATGACAATGTAAAGGTCGCCGCGGTCACGGCGTTCGTGGGATATTTCAAACAGCTTCCCAAACAGCACTGGTCCAACCTTGGTGTGTTGTTGCCAAGTCTGTTGAACAGTCTGCCTAATTTCCTCGATGATGGCAAGGACGATGCTCTCGCCTCGGTTTTCGAGTCCCTTATAGAGCTGGTCGAACTGGCTCCAAAACTTTTCAAATCCATGTTTGACCAAATGATCCAATTTATTAATATTGTTATCGAGAATAAAGACTTGGAAACTTCCGCCAGAACTACTGCTCTTGAATTGCTTACAGCCTTTAGCGAGAGTGCTCCACAGATGTGTAAATCTAGCCCCACTTATGCCCAGTCTTTGATCATGAACACCTTGATTATGATGACAGAAGTGTCTATCGATGATGATCAAGCCTCCGAATGGCACAACTCCGATGACACGGATGAGGACGATGAAGAGGTCACATACGACCATGCCCGCCAGGCGCTAGATCGTGTGTCTTTGAAATTGGGTGGTAAATATCTGGCCCCTCCTTTGTTCCAATATTTGCAGCAAATGGTGTCGTCATCTGAATGGAGGGAAAGATTCGGTGCGCTGATGGCTCTTTCGTCTGCGGCCGAAGGCTGTAGGGACGTTCTCATTGGAGAAATACCTAAGATTTTGGATATGATCATCCCACTCATCAATGATCCCCATCCCAGAGTTCAATATGGTTGCTGTAATGCTTTGGGCCAAATTTCGACCGATTTTGCTCCACTTATCCAAAGTACTGCGCATGAACGCATTATCCCTCCTCTTATTTCTAAGCTCGCTCCTCAATCAGTGGATCGGGTGCAAACACATGCTGCTGCTGCCCTTGTCAATTTTTCGGAGCATGCAACTCAAGTCATCTTAGAGCCTTATCTTGACGGTCTTTTGACAAATTTACTTACATTGTTACAAAGCACCAAATTTTATGTTCAAGAACAGGCACTGACGACAATCGCCTTTATCGCGGAAGCTGCTGAGAAAAAATTCATCAAGTACTATGATACCCTAATGCCGTTGCTCATCAATGTGTTGAAGACTGACACCGGTAGTGATAATAGATTACTGAAGGGAAAGTGTATCGAATGCTCGACTTTAATTGCACTTGCTGTGGGTAAAGAAAAGTTTATGTCTCAATCACAAGAACTAATAGAGCTCTTTGTGCTTTATCAGAATCATGGAATCGAGGATGATGATCCCATGAAAAGTTATCTGGAACACGGATGGAGCAGGATATGTCGTATTCTAAGAGAAGACTTTGTGTCACTTCTGCCCGTAGTAATCCCTCCTCTTTTAGAAACCGCCAAGGCTACCCAAGATGTCAGTTTGATCGAAGAGGAGGAGGCTGCTAACTTTCAACAATATTCTGATTGGGATGTCGTTCAAATTCAAGGTAAACACATTGCAATTCACACATCAATCTTGGACGATAAGGTTTCAGCAATGGAACTCCTTCAGGTATACACTACTATTTTGAAAAACTACTTTGCTGTTTACGTGGGAGAGATCATGAAGGAGATTGCGGTCCCCTCTATCGACTTTTATCTGCATGACGGAGTAAGAGCAACTGGGGCCGGGCTCATTCCAGTTCTTCTTTCCTCTTTGGTGTCAGCAACGGGCTCACAAAACAATGAAGTCTTGCAGTTATGGCACTTGGCGTCCAACAAATTGCTAAACGGAATAATGATTGAGCCCATGCCTGAGATAACACAAATGTACCACACAGCCTTAGTAGATGGGCTAGCCATTATGGGCGAAAACAGCCTCAATGAAGAACAGTTGGCGCAATACACCAAAGGTATATCAGCAAATCTCTCCGATATATACGAACGTGTCAAACAGCGTCGCAACCAGGAGGACGAATACAACGAGGATGTAGATGATGACTTTGAGGACTACACAGATGAGGATCTACTGGACGATATTAACAAGTCGTTGGCTGCAGTATTCAAGACTACTCGTGGAGGCTACCTCAATCAGATTCAGGCTTTGTGGCCTTTAATTATCACTTATTTGAGAGATGGAGAGGTCATCTTGACCTTATTTGCTCTCTGTGCAATTGGGGACATGGTGGAAAATGCAGGTTCTGCCACGGAACAACTAAAAAGTAATTTTATCAACGAGGTAAAGGATTGTTTGCTGTCTCCCGATGCTTCTATTCGTCAAGCTGCGTCTTACGTCATAGGCGTTTGTGCTCAACATAGCCGTGAGAGCTACGCCCAAGAATGTTTGGAATCTCTGGCAATCCTTGCCCGTGTAATTTCAATTCCCGATTCCAAATCCGAAGAAAATGTCACTTCGACAGAAAATGCGAGTGCTGCAATTGCCAAAATTTTACACAGTTATGGTACCACGGTCCCAGATTATGACAGCTATGTTTCTACGTGGTTGAAATCCTTCCCCATGATACAGGACGAGGAAGCGGCCGCTTTCAATTATAGATTTTTGGGTCATCTGATTGACTCCAACTCTGCCGCAGTGGCTAGTCCTGCTATAATTCCAAGTATCGTGGATTATGTTGTCCAAGCATTGCATCACAAGTCGCTAGTCGGAAAAAATGCCGGCGCTGTGGTCGAATCTACAAAAAAGCTGCTGGGATCTCTGCCTCCCAATGAAGCAATGTCTTTATTTCAGAGATATCCACCCGACGTCGTCCAAGAAATGCAGCATTGGTTCGCCTGAAACTAACCATCTCTAGTATCTATGTACAATTTTCTGCATCTTTTAATGAACGCCTACACTAATTCCTTAGCCTAGACTGGAAGGAGTGCAAAAAACAGTGATTGGCCTGCTGGTGAAGATACCGCCGACTTTACGAGTCCTGAGGTATGGAAATCCTTAGTAGATAATGCGACTCTATTGTATAGAATGATATAAACCCATTGTAAGGCTGCTATGTGGAACAAGCCTTGTACTTTGATGGCATGGAACCGAACAAAGTTATCCAACTTTACAATGTATTAAAATATAATTTGCTGTACCACATTATCGCAACATTTTTAACAATGCTACCTGTTTAATTCTTGAAGCTCACAGCGTACCCTGAAAGTGACGAAACCCAACTAGACTCAAGAAAGATCTAAAGTTTAATACACCATCAAAATCATTTCCAAGCACAATTATATTTATCTGGACGTTCTTGGCCTCAACGGAAAGACCACCCGTGGGATTACAGTTGATACTTTGTGAATTATAGGCTCACCAATCACGTGACGAGTCATTGTCGTGTGGAAAATTTTTGGCATAGGTGTGCGATGAGCATCTCATCGCATCTCATCAGAGAGCGCAGGTCGTCGGCAACTGACTAGGATCGAGATAAGTGTTGGATCTTCGAAAGCAGTTACCAGTAATTCAGATGGGTTTAGCTGCAGTGAAAAACAAACAGAAACTGGGACTTGATCCCAGAAACACCAACTGGAGTAACGACACCTCGAGGTTCGGGCATCAGCACCTCGAGAGAATGGGGTGGAAACCGGGTTCTGGCTTGGGTTTGATGCCAAATTCCACCACAACCCACGTCAAGGTGTCGATAAAGGACGATAATCTGGGTCTCGGAGCGAAACTGCGTAATAAACAAAAAACAGACGAGTTTGACAGTGGTGAATGTGCGGGTTTGGATGCGTTTCAACGCCTCTTGGGACGGCTCAATGGTAAAGAAGATTCGGTGAGCAGCGAACTAGAATTACAGCGTAAGGACAATATTATAAACGGCAAATGGGGTATTCACTTTGTGAAGTGTGACGTCTTAGCTAGTACTTGGGATGCAAAAACCAAGACTTTGAAGACTTACAGCAATAAGTCCGCCAAAAGAGAGCACGAGGATGATGATGCAACCTCGAACGACAAGAATAAAAAGCGGAAGAGGAGCGAAAAGTCTGCCAAACGCAAGAAAGGCAGTGACTCCCGCCAGGATTCCGGCAGTGGTTCAGAGAGGTCCAGTTCCGGCGATGATGGGAAGAAAGACAAAAAGGACAAGAAGGGGAAGAAGAGTAGGAAGGAGAGGGGCTCTAAGGATTTGAATTCCGCCTCGACAAAGATAAAGAAGGACAAGAAGGACAAGAAGGACAAGAAGGATAAGAAGGATAAGAAGGATAAGAAGGACAAGAAGGACAAGGAGGATAAGAAAGACAAGAAGGATAAGAAGGACAAGAAGGATAAAGAGGACAAGGAAGATAGAAAGGATAGAAAGGACAAGAAGGATAATTTGGTGAAGAAAAGTGAAAAGGTGAGCAAGAAGGCGGACGAATCAACCAGGGATGCTATGCTGAAGCCTAAAGAAATACAAGACGATAAAATTGCGTCGAGACTATCTGTGCGGTCTAGATGGATAAAGCAAAAAAGAGCAGCTGTCATGGATGCCAAGGCCTTGAATGAGATATTTATGATTACCGGTTAATGCTGAGACGGCTTATATTTTCACCTTTTTAACAAGCCTTTTCCTCTCCTCTTCTTTGACATGCCAGTGACTTGATCCAACTGATTGTTCTCATGCTACTGAGATCTTACCATGAACTGAAATCCTTTTTTTCATTATGGATATACAGTAGATGATTTTTGATAGATATATGACGGGACTTGTATTCCACATCCCTGAACAAGTCATTGTATGTTACCAACTTGCCTGTTAGTCAACTCCAGTGAATAAGAAGCTTGCATAACTAAGAAATTTGTTTACACAGAAATTTAGAGTACATAGCGACGACCGCTTCCTAGCGTTTTATAGAAGTTTAGATACTTTACAGTCCAATTCTATTATATCATCAGTGCCTTGAACCTTATCCATTGCCTTGCAATGTTGTTAATTGAAAAAATCAAACCCATTCTTATTCTTGTAATCAACGGTTGACCAGTCATACAAGGTTGTTTCATATCGATTCGTAAGCATCATTCGTGTCTTCAGGCAATAGTCGAAAACATACCAGCTGAAACTGAAACCACGCATACTGCTGCAAACCACAGGCTGACGGAAGAGACTGGGTTTATTTGAATACCAGCAGCAGATTCTTTAGAGCTTGATGACGATGCGCTAGAGCTGGAGCTGCTGCCTGAAGCAGAAGATCCGGAACTCTTAGAAGCCGAAGAGCCTCCACCAGAAGCCTTGGCAGAAGCGGAAGACAGCTTCGTTTTGCAGGAGGAACCTTGACTGGTGGCACTAGCGAGAGAAGCAGATCCATCGAAAGAGCAGGCCGATTTTGATTTGTCATTTTTCTCGTAGTACTTGTTCAGCAAGAAAGAAAGCTTGACAGAATTGTCGCAGAATGAGTAAGCACCGTAATCCCCCGTGGTACCATTGGCAGTGATGTCGCTGCAATCGATATCACCGCAAATTTGGCCATATAGATCACCATAGTCATCCTCATCCACATCGTCACTCAAGACACACGACAATCCGCCTTTCAGACAATCGCAAACGTCCTTGTCCGGAGTTGGTGGGAGGTCCGTTGCGGCTTTCCAGTTGGAATTGGTGGCAGGACAAGAGAGCGAGGTGGCAGAAGGCGTAAAGGAATCTTTGTTCACAGACGATGGAGAAACAGACTGCAGCTGACTCTTCAAGTTTTTATAGTCAGATAAAGTACTGACTTTGCTGCCATCAACAGATACCAACCCATAATTGTTGGCCTCTTCAAAGTACATGTAGACAATACCACCAGACCAGACGTCAGTCATGTCGTCACCGTAAAGCGTTCCGACTTCTTCGAATTTTCTGGGTTGGACGGCATTACAACCGTATTCCGAAAAGAAAGCTGGGATGCTCAAATTGGCGAAATCATTTGTTCTATCCTTATAGCCAGAAGACTCAAATGACGAAGACCCACACCATTCATACATGTTAATACCATAGAAATCGGCTTTGACGTCGTCATCACCACACGCAAAATACTCAGCCATGGGCACCCTAGTGTCCTCATCATCATTCGAAGAGTAACCGACTGGAATATCTCTATATCCCTTATCCTTCATGTACTTCTTGGTATCTCTGATAGCTGCCTTGACAAAAGGTGAGGCATCTGTGTTGGACTTGTTGTTGGTGACTTCGTTACCGGCAAAAAAGCCCAAAACGTTCGAATAGTTAGCCATTGCTTCAACCACACCCGTGTAACGTTCGTAAAGATCCAAATCCCACGCAGGCGAGTCTCTGTTGATGGAATCTGAGGGCTCCGACAAGTCTGCCACAACGTAAATACCGGCTTCTCCGAACGCTTTCATACATTTGCTATGGTCCAAGGTAGTGTTCAAAGCGTAGACACGAACGACGTTGGTTTCTGCTCCCAGCAGGTATGGCAAGTCTCTTGAGCAAGTGTCATAGTCTGCCAACGGATCCACAATTGTGGTGGTGTCCGACGAGGACGAGTTAGCGGTATCAGCCTGGTACGCTACGCCTCGCATGTAGAACTGCGAGCCATTATTCGAGAAGAAAAACTTGTTTCCTTTGACTTCTATGGCTGGGGTATTAGTGTAGTTTCCACTGTCATCAGCAAGTGCCAGGTTAATCACGCCAAGTAGCGCGCAAACGAGTGTCGAGGGCACAAATCCAAGCATTGCTCAGGTTTTCAAGCGATTGTAATAGTGTTTGTGTGTTGCGTCAAGCACACTTCGAGTAGTCTCTCCCCACGCTGCCGATATCCCGGCTATATATATACGCAGGTATACACACACACACACACGCTCACTCAAGCACTGATCATAAACGTCTTCTCCCGTGATCCTTCCAATTCGCGTTGTTCGCTAACAGAAGCGTGGGCACGCCGAGAGTTACCTATTCTACCTAACGTAATGCTGTATTCACGAAACTATGTACAAAAACCCTGCCATATCTCATCAAAAAAAGACTTCCTGGTGTTCTGGCTTCTGCCGAGCGGCTTAGCACCACCATTATCGCGAAACAAGTGCCAGTATTATCTCATGTTCCCACCAGCATTTCTTGGCCCGTACTGTACAAGGCAACCATCAGTAAGAATTGGTCGAGAACTTTCACATTCTTTCAAGAAGTAAACAATATAAAAATAATATTTACAATGTAGTACTATACGATTTTCAACGGTCTACAAGTCCAGAACTCAATAGCCAACAAGCCAAACTCAGACGGAAGGCAAGAGACCACGGATGAGCCACAAATTCGAACTTTGTACACCAAATACACCACGCGCCAACAAATGTGCAAGGGATACGTTGAACAGGAATGCAGAGCCATGTAGTTAGAGTAGCAGAAGGGTTCTCGCCAACTGGACAAGGAGATTTTCCAGCAATGCCTTTTAGAGTGGAAGAAAACTATATAAAACACAAATTTTAGAATACGTACCTTCGTGGCAGTATCGCACGCTTTTTATGGGTGGTTATTCACGTCTAAGCGATGACGAAACCCACACCAGCAGTGGCACCAATCGCCACTAGAGCAGTCATAAAGACCTTGCTTAAAGAACCTTGAGTATTGGACACAGCAGCGTTCTTTTTGTCGGAAGAGCTGCTGGAGCTGGAGCTGGAGCTGGAGCTAGAGTTAGAACCAGAACCAGAGGAAGAACCAGAGCCGGAGTCCGAGCCAGAAGTGGAAAATGTCGACAAATCGCTAGCAGAACCGGTGCCGACAGTGCCGACCTGACTCAAAGCAGAGCTACAGGCAGAAGCAGTGGTGGCGGACTGCAGGGAGGCGGAGCCGTCGAAATCACAGGCGGATTTGCTCTTTCCGTTCTTCACGTAGTAGTTGTTCAAAACAAAAGACAGCTGGTCCTTGGGGCTACAGAAGGAGTAAGCACCGTAGCTCCCAGATGTACCATTGGCACTGATACCATCACAGGAAACGTCACCGCAGACAATGCCGAAAAGATCGCCATAGTCTTCCTCATCAACATCATCTGAAACGACGCATGTAAGGGAGTTGGACATACAGTCACACAAGTCTTTGTTAGGAGTTGGTGGTAGCTTAGTGGCTGCCTTCCAGTTGGAGTTGGTGGCAGGACAAGCTAGAGAGGTGGAAGATGGCGTATAAGAGTCGGAGTTGGCGGAACTTGGGGAAACACTGTTAATTTCCTCGGAGTAGTAGCTGTAATCCTTCAATGTGCTGACTTTGTCGTCATCGATGGAGACTAGCCCATAGTTATTGGCCTCTTCGAAGTACAGATAAACAATACCACCAGACCAGACGTCAGTCATGTCGTCACCGTAAAGCGTTCCGACTTCTTCGAATTTTCTGGGTTGGACGGCATTACAACCGTATTCCGAAAAGAAAGCTGGGATGCTCAAATTGGCGAAATCATTTGTTCTGTCCTGGTAACCAGAAGTTTTGAAAGTGGAAGAACCACACCACTCGTACATGTTGATACCGTAGAAGTCGGCCTTGACGTCGTCATCACCACAGGCGAAGTAGTCGGCCATAGCCACTCTGGTATCCTCATCATCGTTGGTGGAGTACCCGACAGGGATGTCTCTGTAACCCTGGTCCTTGATGTACTTCTTCACGTCTCTGACGGCGGCCTTGACGAAAGGAGAGGCATTAGTGTTGGACTTGTTGTTGGTAACTTCATTACCAGCGAAGAAACCTAGAATGTTGGTGTAGTTGTGGAATTTGTCCACAACTGACGTGTAACGCTCGTAAAGCTCCACAGTCCACGAAGGGCTGTCTCTGTCGATGGAAATCGAGGGCTCAGACAAATCAGCAATAACGTAGATGCCCGCATTACTCAAGGCGTTCATACACTGAGTGTGATCTAGCGAGGTGTTCAGAGCGTACACGCGGATGGTGTTGGTGTCCACGGCCTGCATGTAAGGGATATCTCTGGAACAGGCACTATAGTCCGCTAGAGGATCAGTGAAGGTATCACCCGAAGTGCTGTTGGCACTGTCTTCCTGGTAAGCGATACCTTTGATGTAAAACTGAGAACCGTTGTTGGAGAAAAAGAACTTGTTTCCCTTGACTTCGATAGCTGGCAGATCATCGGCAGAGACGGTACTGGCCAAAAACGAGCCAAGCGAGAGGGCCGCGAGCTTGGTAAACAGCATACTTTGAATTTGCTTGTGAAGAGCGAGACAGTAGTATGGAAATCTTAGAATACTCTATCTCGAGCCTGGGATCTCACTGAAAACTCAAAACTGACCAAACCTTTAGTTTGAATTCAAATTCACCTTTGAGCCTTTTATTTAGAGAGCGGATGGTTCGAAAACTCTACGGATGGAGGCTTTTTGTCGTGGTTGTTCTTTCCTACACCGAGTCGTAGAGGGCCTTTGCCCATCCATCGCCAGGAAAAACGAGTCCGTTTTAATATTTTTTTTCTTTTCGCGTTAAGAATCTTCTCGCAGTTAAAAACCACTCAAACCGGTAACTAATCCAAAACAAAGTAATTAATGGCGGAGAGACGTGGATTCCTTTGAACATGGTACCTCAAGCGGTTGTTTTGGCACTAACAAGGAAAACTGGTTCAGTCAAGCAATGGTTTATGATCTTTCGCGTAGCAATTGGCAGTTAAATAAGGAGAGAGCGAGGCTACATAATCTTACCACTTTAGCACTCAAAAGCGTACATAAGAAATGCTCCGGTTTGAACTCTTTCGCACGGCTGGAGCAGTCTGCATGAGATTTGGCTGACTTCAAGCTCAAACCAGTTGATCGCCACTTTTACGTTCGGTGGTCTAGAAGACAGGAGACCAGTTTGTCGGCAGGCACATTAGGCGTTATCTCCCTTTTAGGAGAAGAAAATGCCGTATCTGGACATCCTGTGCGCTTTTGGCTGCTTCGGCGACAGGACAGACGGAGGTCATCTCCAGAATTGATCAAAAAGAACGAAATGAAACGGTGGTGCACCGGTGATGTGCCTCAAATACGGGAAAATGTTTTCATTCTGGCGGCCTCAATTTAAGGCACTGTTCTAAAAACAGGCATGGGCGGCGTCGCGGTCAAGATATTTGGAGGTGCTCTGCTGCCGGTGTCGTTATTGTCTTGGCCTTTGGGCTGGACGAGACCCTGCAGATATGAGCCACGGAACAGCTCGGGCCCTATTGGAAGGAACTCAGCCACGTAGAATGGACTAATTAGCAAAACTAGGAATATGATCAACATTAAGCAGTGCAGGAGGAAATACTTGCGTACAATGCGCTTCCTGCGTTCCTTCTGTCTTTTTGTGTAGGCGAGCTTATTTGAAACCAAACTTCTCGGTTTCATCCAAAAGAGAATCATTGAATGCCAGTAGTCAACGAATGGGGTAAATACTAACGGTAGTTGTACAAACATCAGGAGATGTCCCAATATGAAGTCTGCCGCGAAAAGACTGCATTCAATTGTTTTGACAAACAGCTCTCTCGTGGGCTGCAGCGCAGCGGACCATCCCATCCCTGTGTTGTACCACTTACCGGACCACCAAGCCAAATGCGATCTATTGTTCTTGTACTCGCGGGTCAGAATTAATATCGTGAAAACCTGCAGAAGCATGCCTTGGACGTTTATACAAGCAATCAGCAACAGCAGTGCTCTCGAGAAATTCCAACCTTCCAAAAACCACATTAGTTCGAAGTCTATCAAGTAGATTATTACAGAGAAGGAATGGACCACGGCCGCTATCGTAGCCCCAGTCTTCTTACAGCACAAGGAAAGGACCGGTGCAGCAAAGCAGGACAGTGAGAAACACACCAGCAACACCGCGATGTTTCCAAAAATAGGCAGAAAAGTCACAATGCCAAGCCTTATTACAGCGTTGGTAGGCTCGACCATGGTGACCCCAGTTTGGGCGTTGATGAATGTGTACGCAGTAAAACTTAAGCTCACAGAGAAAACGGGAACCAAAATTTCGGCAACGAAGATATCTGGAAGTTGGGCCTTCTTAGTTTCACAAGCGTTTCTTTCGGAAACATCCTCGATCAACTTGCTCTTGAAACCAGTAAATTTTACCCTTGAGCTCCGCACATACTCCACCCAAGAATTCTCCTCGAACTTGGTGTTCCCCCGGGACAACCAGTGAATGAAATTTCTGTAGTCCACAAAGAAATCGCTAAAGGTAAACTGATGTGGATTAAATATAAACGGCGCTAGACACATCGAAATGACCGTAATCCAAAACCAGAGAAGAGCTGGTTGCCACATAGCGACCGTTGCAAAGACTAACATGAGGAATATTTTGGAGCCCGAATAGATTGAGCTAGAAGCGAATTTTGAGTACAATTCAGGGAAATCCAACCTTGTTATCGCAAAACCTCGCCCCGTTGAAATGTATTTGGCTCCTCCAAAGGTGACATTTGCAAGAAGAGCACTAGCGTAAATCTGGCACACAAAAACCTCAAAGAAGGATGCCAAAGAAAGTAAATGATGCAAAAATCTGGAAAACGCTTTCCAAACACCTTTTTCTAAAAGCTCTTGTATTAACAATGGAGCAAAGGCAATAAAAAAAACGATGAAGATTGAAAGCACGAAAATGCTCACCCAATGGAGAACAGGTTCAATATTATAACAGCCGATTGGTCGCTGCAAATCAGTTATCGGTAAGTCACGATTGTAGCTACATTTGACACTTTCGTGGTTAAGAGACCCCAGATTTATTAACAGAACGAAAAACACCTGAACAGAAAGTGTGATAAATAGGTTGTTCAAGTGAAAGCCAGCATGTGCATAGAAAAAGGATAGAAAGCGGTCAATAGGAAGTTGCGTACCGAGGTAGTAGTACTCCCTCGAAAGAAGCTGTTCGCCCATCCCAGCGCCAATTTTAGTGGTGAAATTTAAGATTGAGCCAAACCCCAGATCCCGACCTTTCCCACATTGGTAATAATCGCTATGTTTGATTCTCCCTCCGCGACAGACGGCCGTCATGCCAGCGTATATATCTTCATTCAAATGTAAACCTTTTTGAGCTTTAGAAATCCCACCTCTTGTGGTCATGAAAATGGCATTAAGAAAGTCAGGATGGCCGTAATGCAACTTGCCACCAATTTCCGCCAAGGTGCGCGCAAATAGGGTTCCAAAGGTTTGCTCTTTACCAGCGGCAATATCTCCTAGAACACCGATATTTTCCGAAAAAATATATTCTCGAGCTCCCACAATGGCAACTGGAGCAGGCCCCACCCCATACTCAATGCCTGGGATATAGGGAATGTTTTCTTCCATGTCAAGTTCTTCAAACTCGCTCAAGACCGACCTGATTTTCAAGCATTCTTCCAAGTAATTATCTTGGTTAGCATCAATTACTTGAATGTATTCTCCGCGATAGAATATTAACGAATGATTTTGATTGTCTGATTTTCCATCGCCGAGAATAGGGTTTCCCGAGAGACGTACCCTGAACCGCGGAACTCTCTTACCTGTCACTTGGTCGAAACTGCAATTTCCATCTATAAGACAAGAGTAGAAATGGGGTTCCGCCCCAGGCTGAGAAACTTCTTCCAAATATGATATGCACATGTCTGGATAGGCCCTCAGAAGTAATTCGGTTGCTTCTTGCTCATCTTGCCGAAACTTGCTTAATCTCTGCATTGCAACCAACATCCTGAACTTTCTCCTCGATAGATTTTCCAGCTCAGCTTCTAAAGCCTCGAAATTGGCGCCAAAAGCCAGAACTACTGAAGGATTCTCAATTCTATAAAGCAGCTTTATAGCTTTTGAGTAATTCATAAAGCCGGTTATGGTTCGATAAAGTGTTTGAAACCGCAAAGATGCCCAAATTCTAGTCCTCAAAGTGTATTCGGGATCCGATTTGCTAAATCCCATACAATAATAAGGTAAATCTTGAATCTTGCTTTGAATGAAAGTAAATCTGTCATGCGCATCCTTGGTGGAATTGTCAACACTATTCCTCTGCGAGACATCGCTGTTCTCTAGACCGTCGCTGTAGTCCATATCGCCCTCAACTGAAAGCAACTTGGTGTCTCGCACAAAACATTCCCACTCGATAGGATGTAGATGCTTGAGGTATTCTAATAATGTGATCCGCGTTTTCGTGGACTCTTCTTTGATAATTTCTTTCAAAGATAGCAGAATCTTTTCTGAATAATGAGGGATCAATACGGTGAACGTCGGCATACATTCAACAGGCATAGGTTCCGCGATTGGAGTAGATAGAGATTGAGCGAAGAAAGATACACGGCGTTCCGCTTCTGAGTTTTCAGGGAAAAACTCCATGGATTTGAAAGTTGAATCATCTTGGGCTACAAAAAACGTTGGAGACTTGAGTGCCCTCTTGTCATGCGTCATGGAATCCACCTGCTGATAGAGCAGTCTCTGGACGTGGTCGATTGATAATAGGTGCTCACGATACATTGATATGACAATCGCATTCCAGACTTGGGAAACTAAAATCTTAGGTTTATACTTCACATCCATTTCGGAAGTTGCCAAGATTTTGGAATGAATTCGCTTGGGGAGTCGCGAATAGATGTTCTTCCATGGGGTCAGAATAGAGGTACCCAGTGAAAAGGACAGAATGATGGAAAACACACAGTTACAAATGATGTACCATAGGTAAGTGTCGAGGAAGAAAAGAATCAAATCAGTCAACACCATGACACCTAACGTAATTTTGGGCTGAAGACGGCAAACGTGTGTTCTAAGAAGTGCATCGCCCTTACACCTACTCATGTCCATAATAGACAATACCCTTAGTGGATCTCGCAATGACAACGTGAGGAAGAAATACGATTCGATGAACTTACCCACAAAGACAAATAGCCACAGGCCCCATGAAAACCACTTACTTCGTCCTGTCAACTTGGGAAATTGGGCTGTAAAGGTTTGAGACGAAATGTAACGCCTGCTCTTCTGTCCCTTGCGCAAGTAAGATCCAAACAAACCACCCAAAGGTCTAAGAGCAAAGAAGAGAGTGGTAAGGATTGCAATCACCAGCTGCACGATGGATGTGATATAGGCATATCCGGAATGAACATCAAGCGGGAAAAATCCAAAAACGTAGATAGAAGGAGCCACGTTAATAAATAGGCACAGCAGCAACCCAATCATTCTGCGGGTCAAATGTTGGCCCCCGGGCCACTTTCTTGGAACAAAACTCCATTCAAATAGAGTTGCAACTATCTGAATCAAGCAAGTTACGGTACCGCCCAGAGCTACTGCTGACAACTTGGCTTGTGGTGTGGGAGGATTGTTGAGTAATTGAATGTAATCCTTGGTGTAGAGAGTCGGTGCATTGAAAGAGGTGAAAAACCAGAAGGACGATAGGTGAATTATCCAAATACGGTTGAAGTTAGTAGCACAGTGCATCCAGGTGCGGGTTTCCCTATATGTCTTGTAGAAGGCCTTTGACCATTGAACGTCCTTGAGAAGCAGATACCTTTCATGGAGTGGCCTGTCTACTAGCCGTTCATCGGACTGGAGAACGAGAGATTCGAGACCCTCGGGATACCAGAACAATTGGTTCACGTCATCATACCCGATGATGTCCTTATGATCTTTTTCAAGTCTGGTTAATTTACCATTTTGCACGTCCACATCGTAAACTTGAGATCTCAAAAACCTGTACAGCGGGGTAATAACCCCATCCAAGTAAGAATACTCTGGTCTTCTCTGCTGACATGCTTCTTGTGTACTTGCATCGTGGTCCAATGCACATTTGAAGATGAAGCATAGACACTCGGGAGTAAATCGTATTTGGTTGGCCTCCCCCCAACACAAAAAATACAGTGCCAACTGGCGCATCATCTGGGCCGGCTCTAACTGGCGCATCTTGAGTTTCCACTTGTAATCTGCGATTTTGTAAAATTTGTCGTCTTTCAGCTGGGCTGGCGTGAACGAGATTTTCGGGTGGCTTTTGATAAACTCCTCCTCTCTCTCTTTCCAGTGGAGCAGCTGATCCTCGATAGAGACCCCCCGTTTCTTTGCAAAGTCCCGGTTGCGTTTCCGGGACTTCCCATGTAGCTTCATGTTTTGGAAGCCAATGTCCTCGTCGAGGTCTAACTGCGCGGCAAAAAACCATTTTTTGTAGTTGGCCTCATCACCGCCAATGTAGGACGCATGAAGGGTGACGAGGGCCATCTGCGCGTTTGAGCGACTGGCACGAGAATCCAACTGGACCAGAAGATGCTCGAGCATGTTTTCCTTAGAGGAGTGCTGGAACCCGAACTTTAAGGTTAAGTCCTGAAAAATGTCACTGATTTCCGTAACGGTAACGGGAACTTGGTCATCGTGGCACCAGGCCGGGAACTGGACACTGAAGGCGGACATGGTTGGTGATGGCACTTTGTATCAAAGGGTAGTGCAAGTGAGAGGGAAGTATATCTTGCCCCCTTGTTTATATATCAATTAGCCGCCAACTCCACAAAAACAGACTAAAACACGAGCGAGGAGGTGGATTAGACGCGCATAGCAAGAGAAAAATCCACGAGAGTACAAGCATTATCATACAGATGACAACGACAAGTGGAGGCTATATATGAGGGGGCCAGAGGCTAACCAGTGTGGGCGGTGGCTGTTTACTAGACTGCTCGCTAAGCTAGGTGTCAAACGTTTCGAAAAATATTATCGAGATCTGGAGCTAAAAATGCATCTCTATGCCATTCTGCTTGCCTCAAAGTACCCAGGGCCGGGATGATGAATGAAAGTACCCTAACAGTGAACTACAAACCAACTGAAATGGCCCGCCCGGTTTTTTCGGCAATTTGCTAGGACAATCTAAGCTGCACAGAGTTGTATAACACGACGAGAATACTACAGCTCGCGGTAACGAAATCAGTGACGTTGTGTGGACAGCTGCACCTGCATCCAAGGTCCAAGCTGTGCACTCGCATCTCTTTTGGCAGAAGTAGACAGAATCCAAGGTATAGTCGCTGAAGCCACTGAATCTGAAGTTACAGGGCACAAAAACCGAGTCTCTTCTGCGAAAAGACAGGAGAAACTCGCCACCAACTTGCGCACCGGTTTCCAAGTAGGCTCCAGTGCTCAAATCCGAGAGCTACTTGGTTTATGTCACGTGACTAATAAGGAAGGATTCCATCGGAATACCCAAAGTATCTGGCCCAAGTCACGTGCTACCAATGAAAGAAAGAAAGCACCCGCCATACCCGCTAGATACCTAATGTGATCTCGCTCCGGCTGAGATCTTGGGCTCCCGTTTCAGCCTTTCCCCAGAACCTTGCCCGTCCCGCTCACAGCTTTCTCCCACGACAACCTCCCTCCGTTCGACTTCTCAATTGGGCCAAAAACCCATAACTAACTCTCAGCGCACCTCTTCTTTGCCAATTCGAGGCCAAGAAAAAATAAAAAACGTCAATATTGCCACGTCAACCACCGCCGCGAACGGCCACGATTTTGAGCTCCAAATCGACGCCCGTTAACCAAGCTCAGACCACAGTATCGTGCTTTACTACTTTGTTTTACTATCTTGTTTTACTCCGTTTACGGTAGGAAGAAAACTTTGTCGTCGCACGCACGCACGAAAATCACTCGAGCACACACAGATCGGGCGAAAAGCCGAATCAGGAAGACGCAGACCAATACCTAATCGGGATGGTCGTGGGACGCAGCGTAGGAGAGCGTGGGATTCCGTAGACCAGTGAAACAGGCCTAGATACGGGAAGAGTCGAGGCGAAGCGAGGTATGGCGTTGCGCTGTGGAAAATGTGAAGAAGTTGAGGTGTGAAGTTGAAAGTTGACCTTGTGCACACCACTTTAGTTTGTAGTCCGATAGGAATATTCAACTCTCGCCAACGTCCAACTGACAGTCCTTCCTTAACAAATACTCCTGCAGCGAGCGTCGAACAATATCCAACGGTTCATACAGTATCCCAACTATACTTTTGAATTCTCTTCATATCCTGTACTATCTTTTAGCACCTCTTGACCAGATTTCTGTTCATTGACATGCGTTTCTCCCAGGTTCTCTCGTCTGCCACTCTAGCTGGCGCTGCTTTGGCCAACCCCATGGGCCACGAGCACGTCCCTCATAAGAGAGACGTAGCTTACGTGACCAACGTCCAGACTACCACCGTGTACGGTACCGCTCCTCAGCAAATTGGCGGCCAGTCCACGACTCTGGCTCTTGACGCCTCCAACTCGGTGGCCCAACAAGCTGCTACACAGACGTCTTCGCTATCGGGGCTCTCCAGAGGCGTTGAGGCCGCTCCTAGCGAGGCTCCATCCTCCACCGCCAGCGCTTCGTCCTCTGTTGGCACCTCCTCTTCTTCCGCGTCGTCCTCTGTTGGCACCTCCTCTTCCGCTTCTACCAGCAGCTCCTCATCCTCTTCTGCTCCTTCCAGCAGCTCTTCCTCTTCTGTCGGTTCCAGCGGTGCCAAAGGTATCACCTACTCTCCTTACAGCAACTCTGGTGCTTGTAAGAGCTCTTCGGACATCGCTTCCGACTTGGCCCAACTTTCAGGTTACGATATCATCAGACTTTACGGTGTGGACTGCGACCAAGTGTCCGCCGTTTTGCAAGCTAAGAGCTCCAACCAAAAAGTGTTTTTGGGTATCTACTACGTCGACGCTATTCAGGATGGTGTCGACACCATCAAGAGCGCCATTGAAGCTCATGGCTCTTGGGACGATGTCCATGCAATCTCCATTGGTAACGAATTGGTCAACTCTGGTTCTGCCTCTGTTTCTCAAGTAGGTTCTTACGTCTCCGAAGGTAGATCCGCTTTAAAGTCTGCTGGTTACACCGGCTCTGTTGTTTCTGTGGATACTTTCATTGCTGTCATTAACAACCCTGGTTTGTGCGACCACTCTGACTTCATGGCTGTCAACGCCCACGCTTACTTTGACTACAATACCGCCGCTGAAGACGCCGGTAGCTGGTTGGTCGAGCAAATCCAAAGAGTCTGGGGTGCTTGCCAAGGTAACAAGGAAGTGTTGATCACTGAGTCCGGATGGCCTTCCAAGGGTGAAACTTTGGGTAAAGCGGTAGCGTCCAAGAGCAATCAAGAAAGTGCCATTAGCTCTATTGAGTCTTCTTGCGGTTCTGATGTTATTTTGTTCACTGCTTTTAACGACTACTGGAAGGCCGATGGTGCTTACGGTTGCGAAAAATACTGGGGTATTCAATCTAGCTAATCGCCTCTCCGAGTCGGTTCAAGCTTGTAATATTATTTTGACCGAGCGCCAATTTTGTCAATTTTTCCTTTCTTACTTCAGTTCCCAACACTCTTGTTCTTTATCTTTCAAAGATGTATTTTGGTTCCTTACTATGTGCTTGTTTATTAGGATCGAACTGTATACCCGAGGTTTTCGATGAATCCTCATCTTTCGCTGATGTCATGAGGACATTTATAGCTTTAAATACCTTTACTTTCTAACCATGGATTATTGATTATTATTACAGATAGATCGTTTGCCTTGTTGATGAGAACACGCGTAGGCCGTCGTTAGTATGAACAATGCTACTGTCGTTTTGGACTTCTTGATCTTCTTCTAACTGGCGTCCTAGATCTTCTCCTAGTGGGAGTCCTAGATCTTCTCCTAGTGGGAGTCCTAGATCTTCTCCTAGTGGGAGTCCTAGATCTCCTCCTAGTGGGAGTCTTAGACCTTCTGCGATTCTCGATCCTTCGTTCATCCGCGGCAGCTCTTCTCGATTGCCTCAAACGGTGAACTCTCTCCCAAGTACTTGAAGTTTGGTCTTTATGGGTAATTGAGGCCTCGATTTCATCATTCGATTCATAAGTCTCGCTTCTCTCCTCCTCTAACGCTAACCTTTCATTGTCAAGAGCTTGTCTCATCTTTTCTGTCAAAGTACCTAATCCTATGGCCGTGAAAAAATTTATGGAGAACCGGGTCTTGTCAATGTCGTCAAACGGAAACATATTGGCCAGAAAAGGCTGGATGTAAGGTTCCTCTAGTCTATTTTTTAGCCCCTCAATCCCAAGATCCAGAACCAATTCTTGAAATAAAAACTTCAAATAAACTCTGCCGGCTGACGTGGTGTCTTCGGCGTTCATGTGAATATGTGTGAATACCTCGAAACCAATGTAATCAGAGGCTAAAATGTGGCCCCAAAATTTACCCATATTGCGAATTTGCTTGGCTTCGTATTCTTCCATAGTCTCATAGCACTCTTTAAATACCTGTTCGAATGCCTTCTTCCAAGTCCTGTGGCACGAGCAGAGACGTTCGGCAGTGATGCCATAAAATTTGGAGTATGTTGCCTCCTGTGAACAGGCCATCGCCAAAGTTTCCACCAAAACGCTCTTGTCTTGATCTCGAACCTTAAGTTTCAAAAGCTTGTGCGCTGCTTCATCACCCGACAGTGACCCTTTAAGTGTGAGATATATCTTCTTCTTGAACTCCAATTCGCTAGCCTGGGTTTTGTCCTCGACTCTGATTAAATTTGATGGTGCAATATCCGAAGATTGAACGGCAGTAGCATTGCTCTTGACTTTTGCAAACTCCTCATCCTTCCTATCAAAAGCCGGATCATACTTGAACTCGTCGAGAGCCGCTTTTGGTGTGAGGCTATCGTCAAAATTTATAAAAAATGTATGCGGGATAGGCTCACAAGGCGGTAATTGTAATTTTCTAGGCGAGTTTCGATAATCTCGCTTGCGAAGCTCAAAGATCGCCTCAAACTCGTTCCGTAATCTCTTGTCTGCCTTGTTGTTTTGAAAATACGTTCTGAGACTTTCAAAAACTAGATCGTGGGCAGATTTCGCTACTATCGCCAACGATTTACCGCAATGACGTAGTATGTATATGGTTAATCGGATTGAATGTGGATTGAGGTGCTCTGTGACCACATGAAGTAATTGAAGCACTACAATCTCGTGTGCGACATCATAATTGAATAATTGGGAGACCAAATCAGCCATGATATAGCATCCTGTGGCATTGTTTGACCTGAAAAATTCCAAAAATCTCAAAGTTGACTCTTCCACCAACAGGGACCCTACAGATGGAATATAGCTGTTCAAAATACTCCCCAAAGCGGCCAGCTTTGCTACCTGTCCGCTACTTACCAGCGCTTTTCGAATAATGGCATTCACAATTAATCGATTCCCTCGTACCAGATTAACGGCGAAAAGCAGCTGGAACGTTGTTGTAATGCTCGTTGTATCAATTCCATCGATCAGAGCATCAATGTGGGTCTTTGAGTGTTCCCAATCCTCTTTTTGAAGCAGTTCATCAGGTCTCTCTTCCAAGCTCATCGCTGCTGACTAGTGATGTAGAATGTATGTATAATTAATTAATGTCATATTTTCGTATAATCAGAACAACTTGACCGTATGGACGAGAACCAAACTTAGGCGATATGCCATCGATCGCAGTGGTACTAAGCTGTCTCCGAGAGACGAGTCTTAATAAGCTGAAAGATCTGATTACTGAGCTTTTGCCGGTTTTGGCTTGTGATGGCTCATCGTTGGATGTTATCCTTACGGAGGAAATAGCCAATTCTGATGACCTTGACTACAAGTTAGGGGTTCTGTATAGTAATATCCGCGAAGTACTACTTGCGGAAAACCTTCACGAAACTCCTGTGGATATCCTGTTCAATCAGCGTCCTCAATGGCTAAGAGAGCGATGCTGGGACATTGTCATCAATAGCGGTGAGCTCTGGACTGAAACCCGGAATCTCCAGTACAGTGAACTCAAGATCGTCAATCTTAGCCCATCAGATTGTAGTAGAGGGTGCATACTTGGAGACTCGAACCTTTGCTCAACGACAGCCGATGAGGAACACTACGAGGTGAGCGCGCTTGGTGGCACATTTGACCATCTACATGACGGACACAAAATACTTTTAAGTGTTGCTGTTTATCTCACTTCCCAAAAACTCATCGTAGGAATAACAGATCGAGAACTTCTGCAAAACAAGAAATATGCGGAATTTCTGGAGTCTTTTGAAATGCGGTGTCAAAACGTACGCAAATTCGTCACCAGAATGAAACCAACGCTTCAGTTGGACTTGGTTCCACTAAGAGATGTGTGCGGACCCACTGGGGCTGTTCCTGAAATCCAGAGCCTCATAGTGAGTCGAGAAACGGAATCTGGTGGGAAATTTGTTAATTCTGTTCGCAAAGAGAAAGGGTTGTCAACTTTGAAGATCCATGCCGTCAACGTCCTCGGTGGACAGGAAGATGACGGCTGGAAGGAGAAAATAAGCAGCACCGAGCTTCGCAAGCGCAAGAAAAGGACAGAAGAGTGATTTTCATGAAGATTAGAAAGGGGATGGATATATTTATATATCAGAACTGAGGCATACCTAGTTTTTGATAACCATGGGTCTCCCGTGGTAGTTCTGAGTGCGAGTGCGATCAGGGTGATCCATGCAGATGTAATCCAGGTTATTCAGTATGTCGAACAAAATTATATCACTGAGCTCTTCATCAGTGTACCCATGCAAAGATTTGAACGTAAGACCATTCTCTGAACTCATAGTAATGCCAAGCTTGATCTTAGAAAATTCCTTTTGCCCCAAGCCAAACTTTGCGTGTAACCGGTCTCTTGTTCCTAAACAATTTTCTCCGGGAATCAGATTGAACAGAAACGAGATTCCATGTCTGTTTTCGAGATCTTTGAAATATTGGATTACAATTACCAGCTTACCCTTTATAGTAAGAGACTTGTTGTTTTGGATGGCTAGGTCATCCTCTTCTGTCTCATCCATGGAGTCCATGGCCTCTGATGATGCGTCCTCTAGTTGGTTTACTAGTGCGAGTTCTTCAGGGAGAGCTCTACCGAAAAATAAAAAAGACTCTGACAGCTCTTGAAACACGTTTTCAGGAGACAAAATCCCTTGAAACTTGAAGTCGCAATTGGTCCATAAGAGAACCTCAGATTTCTTTTTATCATCAAAATTTAGCCTCGTCTGTAATTTGCCCATAAAGTCGTCTATTGTGCAAGAACTTGGCACTCTAAACTCATAGGGTTGAAAATGCACGTAACTGTCATTAAGCCAGTAGAACTTGATTGACCTCAAATGCTCGAACTCGCGCAGGGGTATAGACAATACCTCAAATTCGAAAGGCGGTATCGAATCACGGGAGTAGTTTTTTACCAAGTAATCTGATATATGGCAATCTGACTTCAGAGCAAAACGGCCATTTGCATAGATGGCAAACGTTCTGATGTGACTTCCGTCTAAACCTGCCCGTTTTGCAATGGCGTCCGCCAGTTCTTGGTAGCTGGCTTTTGCAGAAATCCAAACACTTAATGAGAGCTCACTCTCGATCCCATCGGTAACAGCGTACTCCTCTGTGGTATTTGTGATCCTTGTCAAAGAAATTTTGATCCTATAACGGAGGTAGTCGTACTGTTCCAAGAGGGACAAACATTTGCCTTGAGAACCTGTGCCTTGCAAAGGAAAAACTAGAATGTCACCATCAACTAGTTCAGATGTTACAAACTGCATTTTACTTTCAACAGGCTCGATAGCATCAGGCTGAAACTCTTCGTAAAGCTTTTCTTGCTTATCAAGAGGGCACATGCGTCCGATTAACGTTGCCAAAGTGAAGATTTCGTCAGTTTGCTTGACCAGAGCATGACCAAACCCTTTGAGGCTGGGCGCATCTGGGTCGTAAGACTTGAGAAAAATTAACACATTTTGAGAATCATCTTCGTTGTCCTTTAAATATTCCGAAGAATCAGGCAACTCCCCATTTGAGGCCAACAACCTTAGTTCACTAATTTTCTCGGAAGTAAGCGTTGTGAGGGACATGTTTTTGATTCCTTTTATCTTCTCCAAGTAGCTCAGTTCCAAATAAGGCTCTTCGACGAATATATCAACAGAAGTAGTTCGCGATATTCCCATCTTGTGTACAACTTGCTCCAGAGATAGGTTGTCCAGCTCTGTGTATAACATTGATTCCAACCTCAGCGTGTAATTCTTCCGATAACTCATTATCCAGTAATTTATACTGCAGGACCTTGGAAGCTGCAATCTCTTCGTAATTTCGCTTTTAACATCTCTGAGCTTAGTCGACTTCAACACTCGAAGTGACGTTGCATACTCGTCTTCCCCATGCAATTCGGGATTATACAACTTTGATCTCTCGTTTGGAGACAAGTCAAAGCCCTGATAGTTGACAAAGTTGCTTAACGAATGAACATGGACTTTAGTGAACAGATGCATCTCCTCCATCTCCTTGCGCCTCTTTTCGCGTTCTTGCAATTCAGTCTCAATGCTACTAACAACGTGGGAGGGGACATCAATATCGGCAACGTCTTCCAGAACTTTATCCTCCATGTCCTGCCGTATGTAGACAAGCATATAAGCACTAGTCTGCCTTGCAAGCAGGTAATTCTGATACTGTTCTCTCGTGAACGTTCTCAGCTTATCATCAGGCAGGCTTTCGTGGCCGAAGTTCTCGTCAAAAGCTTGCTTTTTGGTGACTCTCCAAACTTTGTCATCATCAAACCTGAACCACTCATCTTTAACACTGGGCTTAATCATAGCGTAGTAATGGCCCGCAGAAATATCTCCTGAGTGAACTAAGACGCAGTGGAGATTATAAACACATGGCACAGAGCCCTGCTTTTGAATGCCGGGATCAAGATATGGAGAAAGATCAATCGTCTCGGGAAATTCGTATCTATCATTAATTTTGACCAACTGGTCATAATTGAAGTCATACTCGAATCTTTTCAGTTGCAAATGAAGCACAGGTGGAAAACTCTCAAATACAACGCCCTTCTTCGCATCTTGAAGTCCAAAATCTTGAGCGGCATATTGGTTTTCCCCGTCCATCATCTCCACTTCGACGTAGTTTTCAAAGGACTCCTGTACGCCTTTGAGGTTCTTAACGTTCAGCTGGATATCCCAAAAATCCTCTACCCTGGACGATTCGTACTTCACGTTGACGCATCTAATGTAACTTTTCATCTTTCCCACGAAAAGTTCATTGAGGACCCCTTCTACGCTAGTACCTTTCATCCTGGTTTCCAGTCGGTCCATCAAAATGCGGTTCAGTTCCTGAACATCGTGCTGTGTAAAGGCATCACCCGTATCCCAGCCGAAAGAGCGTGTTAGCTCTACGGTGTCCAAAGGCTCATGCGACTTCTGAAGCAAGTAGAAGGAGCGTTGAAGGGCCAGGGACACGCTGTCGTTCGGGGATTCTTTATCCGAAGGGATTTTGTACACGATTTTGCGAAACATTTTTGTGAAGAAGTATGACTGCAAAAGAGAGTTCAGGTAGCAGGTAGCCCCTTGGTTCTTGAAACCAATATAGCCTGTCAGCTTTTTAGAGTCGTAGTTCAAAAAGTTGTGCCAAAGAACTCCAGTTGGATCTTCCAAGATACGCACAAAAACAGATATGTGGACTGCGCCATTCACAAGAAACCCGGAGTTACGCGACGAAGTGCGTCTTTTCAGTGTATCTAGACTCATAAACGTCGCAAACCCCCAATCTGTATCCGTAGCGCAAAACCTATGGTGTGACACGTTGAAAACCTGGCATTTTTCGTCCTCGCCTGGTCGCGAAATGCCAATCGCAAACTGGGCGCATACATGCCAATCGGGGTCCTCCACCGCCTCTGATTCGGAGTCTTGACCACTCTCAGAGTGCTCCCTTGGGATCGGATGCGGCTCCAGGTACATGGACACACCCTTGTTGTGATTTCCCTGTGGAAACAACAAAACGTCCCAGTCGTACCCGCCCACCGTAAACCTTGGCGAAATGTGCTTTTCCTCTGTCAGTTGGTTCCAATCTGTTATTTTCCAGGTGAAACCTCCTTCACATTCCGTTTCCTGCGAGTCCACAGTTGGCAGAACCTCATTTATACTCCTACCCAGCTCTACCAATTCTCCAACACTGCCGACAATAATATCCTCGGAGGAAGATTCGGCCATTTTACTTGACGTGACACTGTTTTGGAGCGTGAAAGATGTAAGTTGGGTCCGTGATGATATAAAGTGATGGGCGTGGTGCTTTCAACACTTGACGATCTCGATATATATGTCATTATTAACTAGATGAGTCTCTCCCCTAAAATTACTCTTAATTCCATCCGTACCCAATGATCCAAAAATCCAGGAATTGTACCTTTTTACGGGTAGAAGATTTCGCACTAGTAACGCAAATGATTTGAGAGCACGGGCTATGAGGTATATGCGAAGAAGCCGACGGTCCTGGTGGGCCTGTCAATTTCCATATCGACCGCTGGAGCTACCAGGTGGTAGCGTTCAAGTACAGTTTGAGTGTCGTGGAGTTGCATAAGCGTGGTGGTATTTTCGACTTTAGCACAACAAACATGGACAAGGTGCGCTAGAACTACCGACCGGTCGCGACCTGGTACTTCTCGAATAGCACCGGGTTGCACAACGGCAGCCTAATACAAGGACCGTACAAAGTGATCACAGACAACAACGTCAGTAAAACCAAAGTGTACGAGATGAACCATCAACCTACGGAATTCGGAGGAGCAGTGGTTACACAAAGATGGTTTGGTAAGTCAATCCAGTTATTCAATAGCCCAAACAGTTTATTTGTTGGATTGCACAGCTTCAACTGTAGCCAGAATATTTTCGCCAGAATTCTGTATAAGTTCGTGCCATGCGTCCAGGATATGTACCCGATCTAGGGCTCAGACAGTCATAGAGGAGAAGCTAAAGTCGCGTTAAAGGCTCCATTCGATACCAAGTACCCAGAACATGTCTATCACGATGCCTATCATCAAAATGACTGAACTGTCTGGGAGGTTGACTTTTTCTTGAAGCTGAATTGCTAGGCTAAAAAGCAGAGTTTAGAAGATGTCGGGAGTTCGAACGGGTGATCGCACACCGTATACCTCTCCAGGATCGCAAGCTCAACTTTCTGATGCTCTCGTATGTAGTTACTTCAACGCCAAGGAGTACAGTATATATTAAGGTTGAAAGCAAGAAGGCAATAGTGTCTTCTAGCCTGCCAATACCATCACAGAGAGCGAGATCTTCCCGAAGCTATGCTTGCGGTGCTAAGACGACCCCCGCGGTCCATTTTACTCACACATCTCAAACCGAAAGCCCGCTTTGGTCCCTGCTTTGCTGTCAAAAGACATGTGTCAACCGAGATCCAACAGAAAGATGAACAGGCGGGTGAATCCAATACCGCCACCGATACCGGTGTCATCCACAAAACAGAGGAAGAGACTCTTATTTATTTTGATAACGTATATCCCAGGGCAACATCACTTTGGAGCCCCACACAGTGGTATAATGTCCTACTCACGAACCAATCTCGAGATGCAGTACGCTCTAAGATTCTAGAGTTTGCTAGCCCCAAAAATAATCCCATCCACGGGCTGGAGCTAAGATCTACAATCCCGGTGAAGCGCGACGGTGGTGTCTTTGCGACATTCCTGGTTCCCCATCGGTATTCAGTCGCCGAAGTAAATTCCATGATACAGAAAAATACAGCAGAGGAGTCCTCGCTTTCTTGGCTCTCTTTTATTACTAGAGCCGCTGCGTTTCCGGTAAAGGGCTCTCCTTGGATTGAGGACCTCCGCAGGTTGCCCAGTACCACAATAAAAATCAAATTTGAAGGACAGACGCTGATCGAAGAAGAAATGTATTCCCTTTTCAGACGTTATGGTACAATTGTGGATATATTTCCTCCGAAGAACGGCGAATCGACCGCCACTTTGCGCTATAGATCGTTTCGTGGTGCGATATGTGCCAAGAATTGCGTATCAGGCATGGAAATCCATAACAGTGTTATCCATGTCCAATATGAGAGACTTGCCAATGAGCACATGTTTCGGGACTTCTTTTTGAATCACACAAAGATAGCTATACCGTTGATCATTGCCATTTTATCAGTAACAGCAGTATTAATATTCGATCCCATTCGTGAATTTTCCATTCAACAAAAGATTACCCACCAGTTCTCCCTATCGAAAGACAACTATTTCATTAAAGAATTCTTCAAATTGACCTCATATACTGTGTCGTCTTTCAGAAGTTTCATGGGCACTGAAAATGTGGGCACCAACAAGAAGCAACTGTGGGAGGAACGGATCGAGAAAGTGAGTGATCTCCGAATGTGGCTTGAAGAAAACAACAATACATTTGTTATTGTAAGGGGCCCACGAGGCTCTGGTAAGCACGATCTCGTCGTGCAACACACATTGCATGATAGACCTAACGTCCTGTATTTAGACTGTGACAAATTAACCAAATCCAGGACAGACGCAAAGTTTTTAGTGAACGCTGCAGCAGAAATTGGATACTTTCCAATTTTTCCATGGGTAAATTCTCTGACTAACCTTGTTGATTTAGCCGTTCAAGGTTTGACAGGCCAGAAGACAGGCTTGTCTGAAAGCAAGGAATTGCAATTCAGGAATATGCTTACAACTGCTCTAATGTCCGTTAGGCAAGTTGCTCTGAAGGGTTATCGTCCTGTTATCGGGAATGGCGACAATGCGATCTCCATGAAAGAAGAAGATTATTTACAGCAACATCCCGAAAAGAAGCCTGTAATCGTGATCGATCGTTTCAATGACAAGGCTGAGATGAATGGTTTTGCATTCAAAGAGTTGTCTGACTGGGCCGCAATGCTTGTTCAGATGAACATTGCGCACGTTATATTTTTAACTGAAACGGTTTCTCCAAACCAACTGCTAGCAGACTCATTGCCCAATCAGGTATTTAAAACGTTGGTGCTTTCGGATGCTTCCAAGGAATCTGCACGCTCTTATGTCCTAGCGTCGCTAGATCATCCAGATATTACGAATGACGATGAAAGGCCTGTTCCGCCCGTGGAACTTTCAGAAGAGGCAAAAAAGGACATTGATTCTTGTTTAGAGCCTTTAGGTGGTAGAATGCTGGATTTACAAGCATTTGCAAGGAGAGTGAAATCAGGAGAGGACCCCAAAGAAGCCCTGGACAAGATGGTGGAGCAAGCCTTAGAGCAAATCACGCAAATATTTCTAGCTGAAAACGTCGATCAGACCAAGAGTGCCCAAGCCTGGGAGCTTATTGAAATGCTAAGTAAAGAGCCTGTCGTTCAGTTCAAAAACATCGTTTTCAAGCCTTTGTTCAAGTCAGCACCGGAAGCTGGCCTTCTGGAACTTGAAAAGAATGGGTTGATTACTGTTTCAAGAGATCGTGGGGTTTTGAAGGACATCAGACCAGCTAAACCACTGTACAGGGCTGCCTTTGAGTATTTGTTACAGAACAGCGAGCTTTCGACGGTACTAGAAACTGGGTATTTGCTTAAGGTGATAAACTTTGAGACGAAGAGAATCCAAAAATGGGAGGAAGAACTGAAATCTCTCGGAAAAGTGACTGACACGAAGATGTTCAAAAGCAGACTTTCTTACCTAGCTGGCAAAATCGATGGTAGTAGTGACAGCATTAACCAATGTGAGGAAAGAATCAAGACTTTATCGAAGATTTCCAATTCAAAATAGCTAATTACTGTATGTTTCATATTTGACACCTGTAAATATAGACTGAAAATACAAAGCGAAAAATTAAGCACATCATTTGATGCAACCATAAGCCTTTTATGAAGGAAGAGAGAGAATGGTGCTAACAGCTTTTTGATTGTTCACCACCACCACCTCGCAAACTTTGATTTTTAACTATCAAAGGGGCCACTTTCCACCTGTTGCTGGCTTCACCAGTTGAAGTTTCTCAATCGGCAACTGTGAATAATCGTGCAAGTCCGAAGCTGACAAGATAATATGGCCATTTGAGTTCCCAGGAATTTTCTCGCTCCAGCAAATTGAATATATCAACAATGGTGTAGATCATTGACAATCCTCCCCCTTATGCGAGCTATTGCGTCCTCCAAGTCATCTTGAGTCATGCCATAAAGACTGAACAATCATTTGTGTCAGTCACCACCCGGTACAGCTGAAAGACGGAACGCGTAGGAAGCAGGAACAGAACGCAGAGCTTCAATTTTTAGCACTCCCAAAATCTATACATACCCGGGCGATCGACCATCAGCAACTTCGTTATGTTAACCACTCGTATCCAGCTTTTCTTTTTTGATTCGAGAATTTGTGTCATGAAATTATCCAAACCAGTGGCTTTCTCCATTACAAACTTTGCAAGCGTAAGCCCAAGAAGAAAGCTGTCGTGAAACTATTGGAAAATTCCTTTTCACTGACAAATTCGTGGTTAGGTCTAACTTCAACATTAGTAGTGGGCCTCTCTAGTGGATGTCCACTTCTATATGTTTATGGACTTATCGTCGGTATGGTATTCACATTGTGCGTGGGTGTTCCTTTGCTGAATTCTCTTCTGTGCTCCCCAGTAGCGGCCAGGCCTGCTTTTGGGTTCTCAAAATGCTTCAAAAGCGGCAAGAATATATGTGGCAACTTTCCGAAAGAGTATTTATGGGGAAAAGCTTAATCGATGAGGACGAAAATCTATAATGGGTATGCACTGCCACGAATGTCAAAGTGGCACCTCGTCTTCAGCAAATTTCCACTCTGGTCGTGGGTCTTTTAAACTACGTTGGGCCTGTTTTCACCACAGCCAGCATGCTCGCTTCTCTCGCTTTGGGTATTCTTCGCGTACACGCTCTCCTTCACTCTGAATTCCAAATGAAACACTGGCATGTCATCTTTTTTATGAAATATCAAATGCTTTACTAGCACTTTTCACCTGCTGGTCCTTCATATTTCCCTTTCTTTTCCGTTTTGGACTAGTTATATCAATATTGAGTTACACGACCACTTTTGTCATTGAAATGGTTTGTCGAGGTATTAGAACGAATATAGAATGGCCCAGTAGTTCTGAGATTTATACCAATTTTACGAATGCACCAATTCAACTGGGTGGAACTCGAAGCTGAGGGCTTTCCTTAAGGGCCACATTAATCCTCTGTGGGTTTTGACAGGCATCGATTTGGCCACTCACAGGGTAGACGACATTGGCCACGAGGCCCCTACGAGACTTGTACCGCGTGCGATTATCTTAACCACAGTGATTGGGTTTGTGACAAGCTGCACCTATGCTATCGGGATGTTTTTTGCGTTTTTAGCCGCGGAACTACTATCAAGCTAATGACAATTGAAATTTGAGTCCAATATAATTGTGTTATTACCGGTTTCATTTGTGGTGTTGCTAGTATCACCTGGAAATGTAGAGTATTGTGGACCATTGGTCGAGACTTCTCGTCGCCATCAAAGGGCGACATCGCATCATTTACCCAAAAAGTTTTAAATTCGGCATAGTGAATCCTCAAGTGGCATTCAATACAATAATCACCGCCTGTATTACGTTGCTTTTAACTACTTAGGACACACCTGTTGTGATTTTTTTGATGATTTGGAGAAAAGCGTTTTATGGTCGCGTAATAGCAGAAAGGTTTCCAGTATTGACTTACTGAAGTCACGTTCCTAACGTCTTAACAATATTTTGGGCCAATGTTGTTTGGTATTTCTTACCTTCCCCTAGAGCCTTCCAGTTGATACTGGCAACTTGAACTATGTTTCTGTTGTGTATGGCGCCGTGGCCTTGATTATAACTGTTATTACTTCTACATATTAAGTTTTCTTATTTTGGAAGACTTTGAAAGGTCGTTGTAGCTTCCTTCTCAAATTGAGCGCTTCCTTCGATCTCAAGTAATTTTATTTTCATCTGTGTGCCCCACTTATACCCGCCCAATGAACCTTTAGAGCCCAAAACCCTATGGCAAGGAATTAAGATTGGCAGTGGATTTGTCCCACATGCGTTAGCGACTGCGCGAGATGCGCGCGGTCTACCTACCTTGGTGGCAATTCTCTTATATGTGGTCGTATTTCCCCATTGCACACTATTAATTTCTTTCCAGACGCTTTTCTGGAAGTCAGTGCCATAGACAAAGTCAAACTCAATAACTTTCGAGGGTTTTCCTTCCAATAATAATTCAAAATTGTTTTTAAGCTCAACAAGCTCGTCACCTATATCCTCTTCTATCTTAAAAGCTGCCCCAAGCTCCTTGAATTTGTGCGCTAAGAATAGTTCACTTTCTTTGCGCATCGCATCTGGATTACTGCCTAACGTCGCGTACACCAAATGGCAATCATTATCATAACTTTGTCGGGCCACTAAAATTGAAAACCCGAATCTTCCCCTAGCATATGTATATATATATCTCTCTGGCATTGTTTTTAGCGGTCCATATTCAAACCCTTCAGCCGGTTTGTGTCTTTTGCCCTCAGACATATATATATATATGTATATATATCTTCACTGCTTAATAAAGAACTAACCGTTGGCGCCAAATTCGCACACCTTGTTTTTTTGTCGCGGTTACTAACACGGAGGAATGGGATACGGGAAGTTTATATAGTATATTCGGATAGCACTCTTTTGGGCACCATACTACAGATGGAAGGATGATGATAGAATAATCTATAACGTGCCTTTGGTTGTGCAAGAATGATGGAAAAGCGTTACTGTGAGAAGCACGCTCTGGTTGAATGATAAGGAAGTGGAGAGAAACGTTGGCAATTAGTAGGTTAACAAATTCTACTGTAGCAGCTGAGTAGAGGTATGCCTATAATGTCTCGGAACAGAATTGTTCAAAAGGTAGTTTGATTAACAAAACTATAAAAGTATTTACAGATCAAACGAATAAAAAGGTTAACCACGACTCACCTCATAGGGATAAGTAACAGCAGAGATAATTATATTCAGTATATGAATTTAGTAAGTTACAGCTTAGTAGAACGTATATCGGATTAGCTCGTCAACTTGTTTCACGGATAATATGTCAAATTAAAGGAATAGCACATCCGTCACCTCGCTTATCACTACCTGCCGAATATACAAAGCCTTTGCCCTGTGACAGGCGCCTTTTTTTTATAATTTGTCCTCTACCGAATAGCGTTCTTGCCATACCACTGCGCACGTCAACGTCATGACCTAGAGCACGCAGACCGTCAATCGTACCCAAATCTAGGTCATCTTCCGCTGATATTAATGTTACCGGCGTTGAAACTGGGCCATCAGAGCCCCGACCACGGTCAAGGTGCGAGTACTTGGGATGAGGTGAAAGGCAAACTCTTGGTGAGTCAAGGGACTGCTGAGGTGAGAGATTGAATAGTAGCAGGTTAAAAAAATGCTGAACATGACCCGTGGGCTGCATGAAACCACCCATGTTTCCTAAACTAAACACCAACTCACCAGTCTCTGAGTTAGTTATCATTGTTGGAATAATAGTGTGATATGCTCTCTTATTGGGTTCCAAAAAGTTCTTGGATCCCTTCGTTAAGTTTAAGTTGGCACCTCTATTCTGTAGTGCAAAGCCGCCGAAATTTCGAGGTACAATGCCCGACCCGAAGTCCACGTAAACGGAATTTATGAATGAGGTCGCATTGCCCTCGGGGTCACTAACTGTAAAATATACAGTGTCAGATTGGTTTAACTGAGAGTTAGGAACACCGTGAGACATACTTTTCGAATCCAAGATTGAGCTCTTATTGAATAACCTAGCCCTCATTTTCAAATATGGCTTAGACAGCAGTTTAGGTAAGATGTCAACCTCCTGGTGTTCAGGATCCGACACATACTCATCCGCGTCGTAAAATGCAATCTTGAGACATTCAATTATGAGATGTAGGTACTCGGTTGAGTTATGCTTCAGTTGATACAGATCAACAGTTCCGTCTTCGTGCAATTCCCGAATTATACCAAGTGCTAACAACACAACAAGACCTTGACCATTGGGAGGAATCTGCCAAATTCGGTGCCCTAGGAAATCCAGATAAATGGGATCAACAAATGTGGAGGTGTGGTTTGCAAGGTCTTCTTTGGTCAGAAAGCCGCCCCTAGCTTGGACTTCTTCGGTAATTGCCTCAGCAACTGGGCCGGCATAAAACCCATCCTTGCCGTACTTCGCCACCCCGCGAAGTAGCTCACCCAATTTAGGGTTCTTTACAAAATCCCCATCTAAAGGTGGCATGTCAGGACGGCCCACGGAAGCGAAACAGCTGATTAATTCTTTGTTGTTAAGATTTTGGGCCTCTAACTTTTTCCAACTGCTTTGAGTCAAGAAAGCGGAGATTTCACTAACAGGATGCCCATTTTCACAGAGCTCAATAGCCGGCTGGAAAATCTGCTCCAGTGTGACGCGGCCGGAGCCAAGTTCAGTGAATGCATCGATCCAACCAGCAATGGCACCGGGTACAGTCACGGCGTGAACAGAGTTAAAAGGCAAACGGCAGGAGTTAGAGTCAATGACTCCAGATTCCAGGAGCCGTTCGTATGTAATTTTTGAGGGAGTGCGACCTGTGCCATTCAGGCCGAGAACTTTATTCGTCTTAGAATCAAAATGTAATAGAAAACAATCTCCCGCAACACCAGTTGAAGCTGGCTCTAAAACACAAAGGCAAGCCGAGACGGCAATAGATGCGTCGATGGAGTTACCACCAAGTCCTAAAATCTTGATCCCAGCGGCAGCGGCCAATGGCTGGCTGCAGCTCACTATTCCTTTGCTGGAATGAACGACAGACCTTCTACTGCAGTTGAATGACATATGCTGATGAAGTTAGCAAGCTAGGTGACTGAAGAATGATAGGCGTTCCGGCATCAAAAGGATGCTTTTATAGACTCGCAAATCAGCTTTCCTGCCTTCGGCTAGACTTCGGATGTATCCGAGGGAAGGCCAATTGAGAGATTAACCCGATTCGGACTAACACTATCAAAATGATATAGTCACGCGCTAAGATTCATCAAGTCAGCAACCGCTCTTTCGAACCGATTGATCTAGCTTAAATGTTCTATCGAAGGGCCATTTTTTCATAGCGGACGGACGCTCGTTTATTTTTACAGGAAAGTATATTTATAAAATCTATAAAGCTCGCAGAACTCGATAAAATGCTAGCTTCTGGTAGATAATTCAGCAGCAGATTCAGATCGCAGATCACTATCACCTTTTTCTTGAGCAGTAGTCAATTCTTGCGTGTTATTGTCAGAGGAATCTGAAAAGCCTTTTTCAATATCCGAGTTATCTGAGGTTTGAGCGGGGTTCTCATTCTCTGCCCAACGTCTTATGAAAGGCACCAACAGTTTTGCCGTAACAACCTGCTCACTTTGATACAGTACCAGTGGGACTAGAAGCTTACCCAACTGTGGAAAATTATTTCCGTATTGTGAGGATATCAAGGAAACACCAAGTGCAGCAGTCTTAGCAGGTCCGCAGAATAGTATTGTCACAGTATCTTGTCTATTGTAATAAAAAGGTTTGAAAAAGCGGTAGCTGATAGCGTAGACCTTCGAAGAGTCTGCACTGGGTTCTTCTGGAAAAAGTTTTGGTATGAACCAAGGTCTGGCACAAGCAAAGCACAAAACGCTGAAAAACAAGTAAATGCCAATGTTGAAAAGCACAATAAATACAATCGAAACGCCTGAGACACTGGTGAAGGCATGCTGGTAAAATGCGGTTGAAAAGGAGCTGAATATCACCAATAGTAGACACAAGCTCCCAACTTTGTTTAAGCGAAAAGTCTGTAAAGTCCAAGTTACCTGCTTTGGAAACACGTTTTGAAGCACCTGGCCAACAAATAATGGCACAAATACAGAGAGACCAATTTGCTTCATCACGTCGGCATACACTGCACGTATGCTGGAACCGTTAGTGGGGTTTCCAAATGAAAAGAGCGATGTACTGAGGTACATTTGTGCTATTGCTGGAGTGACGAATCCGCCCAGGACGTTGCCGATAAATACCTCACAGAGGCACAAAATGTCATTGCCCTTGGCAGCCTTAGTCATAACTACATTAGACGCGACGGTAGTGGGACTCGCTGCAGTCAGGATCATACCTACCAACAGCCACTCGTCGATTTTTGAGTCGTTCGACCCACGAATAGCAGAACAAAACCCAAAGATGATGGAGCTGGTTACCAGAAAGCTGAGCACCAGTACTACCAAATGCGCCCGCCAATTAGAAAGGTTGACACACAGTTTTTTAGTTGACATACTCAAACCACCTTGCAGGAAGATTATGGCCACTGCACCATACCCTATAGTGTACTCTGCTCTAATCAGCCCTCCATGGCGTGCAAAATTTGGAACAAAGCGAGCCAAGATAATGAATATGGCCAAAACAATGAAAAACCATTGCGATACAGCAAACTGAACAAACTTATGATGCCAAAGTTTTGAGAGGGTCGGAAGCATCTTCAGCAGTTAGATTCCAAAGTTTGTTGAATACTCAATATGATTTGAGCTCTAGTGCCGATGGAAGATGTCGAAGCTCGAAGCTCACTCATATATAAGAACATTGCTCGTTGAACAACCTTCGGCTATCTCGGTTACTCGGGCCGTCAAAAGACTATTTTATTACATTTTTTATTTTGTATTTTTTTGATAAGGTCATCATCGAAAGAGATAAATGCCGACATTCTGCGTATGCCTAAGCTTACTATGATAAGGGGAATATTGGTGACGCTATCGTGATAGTACATCCCTAAACCATCGCGATCGCGGTAGATTGGGAAGATAAGTAGATATTCTCTAATCAGGATATAGCCATGAGCGTAGTCATTAGAACCTCAGACTCATGACCAACAGCATATTTAGTACGAAGGGGTACCTATTGTGAAGATCTTTCATTACTTGATCAGTATTACAGATACGCGCTGATTTCTTTGACGTGACATTCCTTCCTTTGCATGTTCCACCTCAAGATAGCAACTCTTTCACTCAATCAAAATCTCTATATGAGGATTACGTTTGTCTTGATCGCAGTCTCCCCGAGTGACAACTGAGAACTGAATTAAAGTTAGCAACGCCACGTTAGGCTCTTTGTCAGAAGGCTATTAGATATTTTGGCAGCATGGTGCAAGCTTCATCTTGTCGAGAGTAGAAAAATGTCCAAATTTGGCTCCAATTTTGCCTTACAACCTATTACTTGTGGATTGCACAGTACTATATGACGATGGCGCGAGATATAACTTTGAAAAAGTCGATATTGTAACCGAAAACTACCAAGGAAAAAAGGTCGAGTTCTATTTGTCCCCTCCAGTTCCCAAAAAGGGTGAGGGAGTTTGGTAGCGTTGCGATTTGTTTGGTTTTGGCAACTTTCCTCGCAAATATTCAAATTTTAGTGTACAGAGAGACCACCATATTACACAGTGAAAAAAGAGAAGCTAGAACAGCAGCCTTAATAAGCCATTGGCCACTCTCTTGAACAGTGCTACATTATCAACGGAGCTCTTCATTTGCTAGTCACGGCTCAAATGCTGCTGAGTTGATGGGCGCTTAAAGACGGAAAGCCCAATTGAGCTCATCGTCATGGTCACTCTGTTTAATCGACATAAATTGGTGCCATTAAAAATTACATCAGGCATATATAAAACAAGGCTACCATGGTCACCTGAATACTTCAAAGTCCCTAAATCTGATTTCGCAGATTGTTTTATGTACAAGATATTGGTTTCGTTGCCGCTCAAGCTCACGGGAATTACCACCACAATAGACCGAAACGGCTTGAATATCCAGAATATGAAAGCAACGGGCACCATATTAAACAGACACGGTAGCCATTTTTGGACCAAATGGTTCGTAGTGAATGGACTGCTCTTCAATCCCGAGCTGACGGACGGACTGGAGCATATCTTGCATAAATTGCACTGAACCACAGATGTAGATGTCGGAACCTTTCGTAATCTTGTCAGAAAGGTATTGGGAGGATATGCGAGGCATGGATTCAGTATTTGTGATGTAGGCAGTAGCGTTGGCGCACTTGGCCAGAAGTTTCTCCACTTGAGACGCGAAGGGACGGTTGGCCTCGTTGAAGGAAGACTGAATCCAGGCAATCGGTCTTTGCGCGTTGGATTCAATCTGCTGTTCAAGCATAGAGAGAATTGGAGTGGCACCGACACCAGAACTCAAGAGGACTAGTGGAACAGTGTCTTGCTTAATGAGGGTTTTGTCAAGAGCGAAATCACCTGCGGGAGCACTCAGTGAGATAACGTCACCCACTTTAATGCTGTCGTGCAAGTAGGTGGAAACAAGGCCCTCGTGGCCGCCGGTTACCTCCTTCTTGAAGGCAAACTTGAGGCCATACCTAGACGAGGAGGAGCAGATGGAATAGTGACGAAGGGCATCGTATTTGTTATTGTGGTTGGTAGGGTGCGTTTTAATGGTGATGTATTGCCCTGGAGTGAAAGACAGGGTTTCGACCTGGAGTCCAGACTCTTGAGTTGGCTTTACAGTCATCTTGGTGATGCTGCTAGTCTGTGGCTCGCGAGCCACGACCTCGAATTGTTTCCACCCATTCCACCCCTCAGCACTGTAAAGTTGCTTTTCCACGCCGATAAAAATGTCAGCAATGGCACCATAGGCCTCGCCCCAGGCATTCAGGACTTCTGGAGTAGCCGCGTCGCCTAGTACCTGCTTGATGGCGCCAAGCAAGTGCTTACCAACAATCGGATAGTGCTCAGGCTTGATTTGCAAAGCACGATGCTTATGTCCAATTTGCTTAACGTGAGGAAGAAGAGCTTCAAGCTGGTCAATGTTCTTGGCTGCCGCCAGAACAGTGGTTGCAAGTGCTGTTGGTTGACCACCTTGTACTTGGTTGGTTCTGTTAAAAATATTTTTCAATTCTTCATGTTCACTCAGCATGTTCTTGTAAAACACGGAAGTGATAGTTGTGCCGTGCTGTTCTAACACAGGCACCGTGGCCGATATGATTTTACGAGTACTGGGTGACAGCATTAATGGATGATCTTCTGCTTGTAAGTTTAGACTGACGAAAGATGCGAATTTCAGAGAAGCTCATAACTTCGATAAACTTCTATTGCCTTTATATAATCTCTCTTGTGCACTTAACTGTTCTCCTGCTTCTAGGGTCATGGTGTGCTCTGTGCTATGTCGCGAGTGCTTTCCTTTTTCATCGAAGTATAACTATGCTCGAGCATGAATTAGAACGGCTGCAAGCACCGCGATGAGATATTCGGAAGCCATCTTCGGGTTCGAAAAATTCAGGTTTGTGAGCTTATAATGCATGAACGTGCGCCTCTTCACCGCTATGTGGGCGTGTCCGATGGTCATCAGAGGATGTCTTGCTCATTGGCCACGAGTGGAGATCGTCCTTCTATTTGCATGCCTCCTCATTGTCAAATTTTTCAGTAATTTCATGCATGAGAAATAACCGGTATGTCCAGTGAACCATTCAACGATCATGCGGAGTGATTTTTGGACAGCGGCAAGCCCTTGTAGATCTAGTATGCTCTTTTTTTATTTTTTATGTAGTATTCTAGTGGCCAAAGTAGTTATAGGACTTCCGATTAGTGCATAGCATCATTGACAGCCATTATTGCGGGAATGGGGCTCTGGAAATCCTTACCGGCCACGCCATGTTTAGGCCCTTACAAGCACCAAATTTTTGGCGAATACTTGCGCACACGCTTTGTTAACCAACAACGGTTACCATGAGCGTCCGTCAAACCTGTCCCCGACAATTTATCTGCAGAGACTCCAAAATTCAAGGAGCTCACCAAGATCGGAAATGCAACAACAATAAACAAAAGCAACGATTAGAATTAACAAACCAGTCAGTTATCAATTTACAACACTTCGAAGGTTATTTTCCCCATATCAGGTGCTTTCTGCGTTCCTTGTCCGTATGCTTCATTAAGGACGATGCTATAAAGCACGATGTATGGTCATACCATGAACTGTCACTGGCACAATCGACCTGAAAGATTTCTGTGAGAAGAATCTTCGTTTTAAATTGACATTAGTTTAGTTATATTGATTATCAAATATAGTCGCCAAAGATGACATCAACCATAATGATTAACATGGATTTTGAACGGGCGAAAGCAAGAAAATAATCGAATGCAGAATTGATAGTTTCTAAGGCACTCAGAATTGGATTCGGACGATGCCTTCCAACTACATATTGATGTATTGAGGCGAATCTGATTCATCAGTAGAAAGCTTACTAAATTTGTCTTGTAAGTCGGACATAGTCATTGTAAGATGAGTAACTTGGATCTAGGGAATTCTATTTATCTCTCCGTGATTACTCTAGGCATTAGAGTTGGTTCAGTTACCTGAACAAAAGCCTGGTATTTATACAATTCTCACTCGATGACTCTGGTCAACATATTTATTAATCACCAATTCTAGATTATTCTATTACCCAAGGATTACGGCTTCAATGCCGTACACTACCGATAACTTATCAATGGCCAATCCCATTGGACAACAGTTGTTCTCTTCGGTTTGTCTTAGCTTGTAACTCTATTTGTATGGCCTCGGTTGTGTACTATCATTCTGTACCACTGTGTCACATATTTACTGACGCTGATTATGCGATTAGACGCACATCACCATCAGTTTATTCACATTATTCCCAACATGATGATTTTAATATCGCAACTCTTTGATCAATACCCTGAGGCTGAGCAAACCTGCCCAGCCAATTTTGAAGCATCTTGTTGCTTACTTTCAACATCTGTGGTCAGGACATTAGAATCGTCTGTTTAACGTTCTTAACGTAATCTGAAGTAGTTCCCAGCGTGATACCCCCAATGCATCCTCTATGTACGACGTGACTTATTGCATCTGCCAGGAGCTTAAACTTGAGCACCACTTTTTTTTTTGGTAACAATTATTTGTCGTCTCACCCTCTGAGTGTCAACCACAAGCTTCATCATTTTGGCTTCAATACACAAGAGACTGGAAATAGGTGCGGTGGACATCGAGCTTTTATCTTTTAATTTCATAAGAAATGTAACTACGCACCCAAACTCTGTCCTCACCAGAATTTGTCAATATTCATCTTCATGGTGTCTTAAAAATGTAATCTCGAGACATAACCTCCTTAATGTGGTTCGCCTGAAGTATGTCCCAAGGACGTCTGATAGCTTTCTAATATTTATTACTAATGGGCGTGCGCGGCAAAACATTCGTATAAAGGGCCGTAAGAGCGTCACTGTATAAGAATGAACAATCTCTCGTCATAAGCTCATCCTGGAGGCATTTGAGGTGATTATTCCTCTCGTTCTGTTACATCGTTTGCTCAGAAATTTCATAACCATTTTTACTCGTCATTGGTACGCAATGGCCTACCTGCAGAGCTTCAAGAACACATTCTTCGTCGATGCTCTTGAATACTTTCGAATTGTTAAAGAACAAAGTTGTGAGCGATCGAACGAAAACTCTGTAGTAGCTGATACTTCAAGCAGTATTGAAATTCCTATAACGGATAAGGATTTAGAAGTTGGACCGGTGCATTGCCATGCGAACGAATTCAAGGATCCTTTTCTGATAGAGTGGATCGATGACAGTGATCCCGACCATCCACATAATTGGTCTAATTTTCGAAAAAGTTTCATAGCAATAGAGGTTCTTTTACTGTCCTGTATAACATACATGGGGTCTTCCATTTACACACCAGGACAAGAAGCAATTCAGAATGAGTTTGGAGTTGGCCATTGGGCGGGGACACTGAACCTTTCTCTATATGTTTTAGGCTATGGAATTGGACCCATTTTCTTGGCGCCATTTTCTGAATTTGCTACCATCGGGCGGCAACATATTTACATCTTTACTTTGTTTGCCTTTGTTTTGTTTCAGATAGGATGTGCGACAGTGAAAAATTTTGGGGGCTTGATTGTTATGCGCTTTATAAGTGGAGTTCTTTCATCCCCAGCATTATCCACTGGCGCTGCCAGTATTGCTGACGTTATCAAAGATGAACGAAAACTACCACTAGTCATAGGTTTGTGGTCTAGTGGAGCTATCCTTGCTCCTATTATTGCTCCTTTGTTAGGGGCTTGCATGCTGGTAGCTGAAGACTGGAGATACATTTTTTGGTTGTTAACGTGGATGGCCACGGCAAACCTGATAACCTTGATTTTCTTCTTCCCAGAAACGTCTCCCGAAAACATACTTTATCGCCGCTGTAAAAGGATTAGAAAGATGACGGGGGACAACAGATATTATACGATCAGACAGAAAGAAGAGGAGAAACTCAATATGTGGCAGTTCTTCATCGCTGCAGTATTGAGACCATTTAAAATCATTTACCATGAGAGAATTGTGGCATATTTTGACATTTACATGGCGCTATTGTACGGTTCACTTAATTTGTTCTTTGAATCAATTCCAATCGTGTTCCTTGAGATCTACCACTTTTCTGTGATAGAAATGGGAGTGGCCTATATGGGGTTCACTGTGGGCAGCACATTCGGATACTTGGCTCAATGTATATTCCAATTGAAGGTTATAAACCCAAAATTTGATAACGGTACATTCCAGCCAGAATCCTTACTGCTTCTTGATATGGCTCTTGGATGGATATTTCCAGTTTCAATGTTCATATTTGGTTGGGGTGCCAGTGTCCATTGGATGCTGGTTGAGGTAGCATTAGCCCTTTTCATGTTTTCTGTTTTCACCCTCTTTCAAATCTCACTTGCCTACCTTGCCGTGTGCTATCCCCGCTACGTGGCCTCTGTATTTGCAGGAAGTACTCTTACAAGGGCCAGTTTTGCCTGTGCTTTTCCGCTTTTTGGAACGACGATGTATCGGCATTTGGCAACAGAAAAATTCCCGGTTGGATGGGGATCTTCCGTCGTGGGATTTGCAGCATTGATTGTATCCATTGTCCCATTTTTCTTGTACAAATACGGCCGGAAGTTGCGTGGTGTCTCGGCTTTCGCTGAATAATAATCATGATATAACTCTTTCTTAAAGCGGAGGTGAGAAAACGACAGCTCAAAAAAACGAAACAGGGCTAAACTCTTCTCTTTTACATTAACGTAAGCTGTTGGTTATTGGTTTATTGTTTGAGTGACAAACAAGACTCTGGCAACGCCATCTCGAGGAGGCGATAAGAAATGTCCTCACTTGAGATGCATGGTATCTCATGACATTAAATGCTGATTGGTAATAATACCACTTGCCATTAAGAGGGCCGATGAATCCTCTACAAACCCCAGAAAAGGTCGACAGGTTCTCTAATATCCGCGTCAGCTCAAAACCACCTTTCAATTGCTGACACATGCTATATATGCTCTGACAAAAATTTTGCGACAATGTGCTCCCTATTCCTCCGATCATCCAATGGGATCGAAGGTAACGATGAACATTACCGTTTGTGCTTTTGCAAAGTACTGAGCTCGATTAATCCTAGCTGGATTTTCCTAGCAGGAGATCTTTCTGCGTAAAATCTTACCTTAATACTTTGAGAGGTGCTGTTCGCCAGGCTTTCTCGTATTATATGTATAGTTGGTTTTTCAACCTAGGAAGAATAAAGGTTGTTTTTAATTAAAATAGCTAACTGGAGTCAGATCAATTGATTGTGACATGTGTCATGTGACTGAATGCGCAGGTAGTCTCTGTCCGATAAGAAACTGAATTACTGTTCAACATTGAATTAAAGCTTTCAAAGGTTATAACAATCTTGCATCCAAGCTGTTAACAGCTGAAAAGACGAATAAGATGGTAGGCTGGGTAGATAGAGCCAATAGCAAAAGAGCACATACTCTAGCTCAGATTCCACATGAATGGATCGATCCCAACGTTATCAATGAAATGAAAGAGAGGGGTTACGTTAATACACGAGAGTACTTGGATTCCGTGCTTCCCCAAAATGAGGTCAGAATTACAGCTTTGACAGCAACTGAGCTCATTGAAAGGATTAGAACCAGAAAGTTAACCAGTTTTGAAGTTTGTTATGCTTTCTGTCACAGGGCAGCACTAGTACACCAAATATTAAATTGCTGCATGGAGATATTCTTTGATGACGCTCTCAATAAAGCTCGAGAGCTCGATAACCATCTAGTTACCACTGGCAAAGTGCTCGGTCCCCTTCATGGTCTTCCATTTTCTCTTAAGGATCAAGTAAACTTACCGGGTATTGACACCACCATTGGATATATTTCGAGGGTGGGACACAAGGCTGTGAAAAGGTCTCTACTCGCCAAAGTTCTTGAAAACGCAGGTGCTGTGTTTTTCGTCAAGACCACAGTCCCCACCGCTATGCTTGCATCTGAAACTGTGTCCAGCTTACACGGGCGAACTTTGAATGCTCTTAACCTCAACTTTTCGAGTGGAGGAAGCTCTGGAGGAGAGGGTTCTTTAATTGGTGCTCGAGGGTCCCCCCTAGGAGTCGGCACCGATATAGGAGGCAGCATTAGGATCCCTGCCGCATTTCAAGGTTTATACGGTCTGCGGCCTTCTCATGGCCGGATTCCTTACATGGATGTCACAAATTCTTACGAGGGCCAAGAATTAATTCCTTCTGTTATTGGGCCAATGGGTTCATCAATTCAGGATTTGGAACTATTTGCTAAATTGGTGATAGACTCTGAAAGCTGGAATTATGATCCCCAACTTGTTGCTCTACCATGGAGAGAAGTACCACATGTAAAAAAAGACAAGCTTCGGTTTGGACTAATGGTCTCCGACAAACTCGTAATGCCCCACCCCCCTGTATTAAGAGCTTTGATGGAAACCTGCGAAGCTTTGAGACGTTGCGGCCACGAGATTGTTGAATGGAATTTCCCCCACAACAAGAGAATGATTGACGTTGGTGAGCAAGTTTATGCAGCCGACTTTTACGATGAAGTTCAAGAAATTTTAGAAACAACCGGGGAGCCTATCAGTGAGTATATGAAAATTGCAAGAGAAAACATATCATATAAGGGTCATTCAGGTAGGGCGCTCGGAGTCAGCCAATGGTGGGAAATTTCCAGAGAAATAAGGTCTTTAAAGGAACAGTTTTTAGAATATTGGGAGAAAACTCGGGATCTGACATCTGACGGAAAACCAATTGACGCTATTATTTGTCCAGCTTGGCCATCCGCTGGCTTTCGAGATGGAGATGTTGAATTTGGTTGTGAGAACTACACTGTTCCATTCAATGTACTTGATTATAGCTGTGTGGTACTTCCTGTTACACAGGTTGATAGCGCGAAAGATATCCCGGACGCGTCTCATAGTCCATTCTCTACGGAAGATAAAAAGATACATGAATACTACAAACCAGAAATGTTTAGCGGGATGCCCGTATGTGTCCAAGTGGTCTGCAAGCGACTGGAAGAAGAAAAGGCGTTGGCCATTGCTGCCGTTATAGAAGGTTGTCTTGCCAATGTTGAGAAATTGTAAGTGGTCTTCCCCACAAAATAAAAAGAAAATGGAATACCTATAGTAAAGAAGACTTCGGGCAATTTTAGGAATTGAAAAGTCTACTCATGGAAAATACGAGCTCTCTTTTGCTTATAAGAAAACCGCTCTCTTCTCTTTAACCTTTGTTTTCGTTTGGTTGAAGATTTCATGACATTTATTGGTCCTTGAGCGCAGCTGATGTGTACGGAACTTAATGCCCTTCTACCTGAATTTTTTATTTTTTTGGATTTCGAGGACAATTGAGTCAATGACAAATGAACGTCAGACCTACATGGAGAGCTTTTGGGAACGGTGCGATATCTTTTGCCAAACCTTTCCTTTCAATACGCGTTGATTGGTCTAGGTTAGAATACTGATTGTCTAACTTTATGCCGACCGAAACGGGTTTACATCACAGCGAAACTCCGATCAGTAACAAGCTAGGATTGGGAAGACTTCTTGCGCTACCCTTAGCGCTCATTTAGGTGTATCACACAATTGTACCATAGATAAATATTATAATTTTCACACTCTTTCGAATGATCATGCTAATGATGGATAGTGCCGTAGATATTTGGTTTTACTGGACTAGAGACTTACTGAGTAGGTCTATACCAAGCTAAGGCGTCTAAGTACGGTTAACATATGGCTTATACCACCATGCAATTGGTACCATGAGTCGGCCTTTGTAACCGTAAGTGAGCTTGTTATACATTATGATGTTTATTCAGATGAAGATTCAGAGATGTTTTTGATCCAGTGCAGCATGGGCCATCATATTAATTTAATACACCACCATCCCTGCTGGTAAGTACTAAAGACCCTCAGTGTAGAATTTCATGTGTTACCGGCGGATCTGGCTAATAATTAAGCGATCTTCTAAATTTATAGGGCTCCCAATTCTTAACAATGTTTTCAAGGACGATGACTTACACAATCTCAGATATACTAAACCCGATCTAAGTCTATGACAGACGCCAATATGGACGCTCAGGTGCTATTTAGTGATACAATTGATCTCATTTTCCCAGGCATAGGAGCTGATCCACCTAACGCGCGCCAAGTACCATAGTAGTTATTATGTGGCTTGTTATTTTATGTACGATGCTGAGAGTTCAACAAGTTGATTGGCCTAAATATACGAAGAGAAATTAAGTGGTGTCAAACTTTGAGAGATGCTCACACTTTTTTTATAGCTTGAGCTCGTAATTGCAGATAGTTCTTGACAGCTCCGTCGTTGACCCTTTAGGTATGACAAAATATTACATAACAAAGCAAGCAAAAAAAATTGGTAAATAGACCATACTGGTAGTAGAGGACAGAGAGTGTACGAATTCGAGGTACGTTATCAGGAACTTACCGATTTGCTGACTAAATAGTAATCGATTTAGGGATCCAACTCAAGCTACAAAAGGGCCAACGACTTGATCCTATTACCATTTTTTGATCTTATTGCCCAAAAAGTCCTATCCTCAAAGATGCAGTCAGAACCCCATGTGGTAATCATTGGTGGATCGTTCGCTGGAATAAAAGCCGCTGAAATCATTTTGGGATTAGGGAAGCCCGTTCGTTTGTCGCTAATATCTGCTTCCTCGCATGCTTATTTCAACGTCGCAGCCCCAAGGGTGTTGGTGGAGCCCGACCTAGCAGAGAAATTGTATTTCGCGGTAGAAGACAAGTTGCGTAACCTGGACAGTCAAAACTCTACATTCATCCATGGGCATGTTCAAAAAGTTGACTGCGATGGCAATTCTGTGGTCTACCGAGACAACAAGAGTGGGGCGGAAAAAGCACTAGCCTATGATTATCTAGTTGTTGCCTCTGGTACTAAAAGTCCTTCAGCTGCCTTCAAACTTCAGGGTGATCACAAAGAGACGATGGAGGCCGCGTTGAATTTGCACGACAAAATCAAGAAGTCAAAAGAAATTTTGATCATCGGCGGAGGAGCCACGGCTGTTGAGATCGCTGGTGAGCTGGGTCACACTTATGGTAAAGAAAAGGACCTAGCTATATACTCGGGAGCAAACGCGCCCTTGGCTAGCTGGCTCCCCAGAGTTTCCGAGGCGGCTGAGCGCCAGCTGCAAAATTTGAATGTCAAGGTTGTAAACAATGTGCGGTCCAGGTCGATTGTCGAGGTAGAGGGAAAGTTCAGAGTTGATTTTGATGACGGATCGTCTCGAACTGTTGATCTAGCCATTCCAGCCTATGGTGTGGTCCCGAACGGAGAGTTCCTTGACTCAGCGCTATTAGACAAACAGGGCTATCTGCAAACTGACGAGTTTCTCGTGGCCAGAGACCACCCCAATGTCTTTGGACTTGGGGATATTGTATCAGGACGTCCTTGCACCTTGATTGATGTTGACCAGGTCCAGCAAACAACTTTCAAGGCGACCGTTGATACACTCATCTTTGGGGGTAACGGCAAAAGAAAACCTATGAAAAAGGGCCCAGAGTTGGGACTGGTACCAATTTCAAGAGCTGGTGGGGTTGGTGTTGTATTTGGTTGGAGGGTCCCTTCTTTCTTTGTCAAATTTATGAAGTCGAAAGATTTTATGATACCTCGGGGAGCCGAGGCATTTACATAGGTGTAGCTGGCCAGTACTTAGATAAGAGCGTGTGATTAGCAGAAATAGAAAGTAATGTTTCATGACGGGTTGCGAATAGTGAATCAGGTGTAGGTTAAGTGTTTGAAGAGTCGTCTCCTCGTCATGACTCTTGTTAAGAGGGCTACGGCTAATGTCGATGTCAAAGGCTATCTTAGCGGTGAATTGATATTTTTTACTGTGAGAGTCAAATACAGCAAAACAAGGCGTGAGTTTTGCAATCGTACTACTTGCCACATAATTGTTCGGCTAAGTTTCTACAAGACTCTTCCACCCCAGTTCCTTCGAGAGTCTTATCTAGAGCGAATCAGTAATAGTAGTCATCTAAGTTGTGAGGAACGTACAGATTACATTGATGGCGACGGCGATTATTGTGACGCAAAAGCTCAATTCAAGATCTTTGATGGCCTTTCACTGAAAAAGCATGACACTCAGCTAGGACTGAAGGCGTAGCCAAAAGGGTACGACGGTCACTTTTTGTGATGTAACGGTACCTATTACTTTGCACTTGGCGCAGCCAAAGATCTCTTATAAGTATTGCTCCTAAAAAACTCTACGGCCACTAGGCGCTTCTGTGGTCATCTTGGTATCAATTGTCCTGCATATGATGCTCCTCGAACCCACTCAGAGAATGGCTGACAGAGAAGGTTATGGATTGAACATTTCATTACCCTTTTAGGTGAGGGCTTCCTATGTTCCCGAGCTCTAGATCCTCACGCTGCTTGGCTGGGCAACGAATCTTCGCAAGCGCTTCTGGTCGTAAATAATGAAAATGAGTCTGCTACGTGGGTGAAAGTCATAAACAGGTGAGAGCAGTTGCTTGGTGCTACTTAGAGTGAAACGAGTCAATATGTAGGAAAGCCAAAGGTTCATTTCATGGCCAATAATACTACGGGAACTAAGTATCTGGGAACAGTGTTCACCCAGTAGGCTGACACTAGCTTACCTCCGGGGTAGTTACCCCACGCTCAGTGCGCAACCACATGATCTCCCCCATAGAACTGGACTTCCACCATTTTTTTCCATCTTCCAAAATAGGAGCCTTGTTGGCGCAATCGGTAGCGCGTATGACTCTTAATCATAAGGTTAGGGGTTCGAGCCCCCTACAGGGCTTTTTATTTTTCACTCACGGGAAGCGAGGTGTTTTTAATAACCTTAGAAATGTGCGACAGCCCAGAGGGTCACGTGATCCGGCATTGAGGTAGCCGCTTCAAGCAGTGTTTCCAGGATTGACGAAATTTTAGCTACATCATGAGGTAATTGGGGTCAGAAGGAGCCTTTTTATAAGGGTGCCACACCCACTTCCGCCGTAATCCCCATACTAATTCCACTTTTTTCACCTTCTGTCCCGAAAAACTTTTTTCACTACTCTACCACCTGTGCCGAAAAACTTTCCCTCGAGTACCGAAAAAAGGATTTGCACCCAGAGGGTCACGTGATCCGGCATTGAGGTAGCCGCTTCAAGCGGTGTTTCCAGGATTGACGAAATTTTAGCTACATCATGAGGTAATTGGGGTCAGAAGGAGCCTAGTCGAAAGTGTCTGTTTCTCTGCATTAGCGTGCAACGCTATAGGGTTTTCGGTAAATACATTTTCAGTGCCTGGAACCGCACGGGGGTAGAGTAATACAGAAGCAAGGGTAAACGCACAGCGGGAACTATATATGCCCGGCTTCCATGTACGCGGGAAAGCTCGCTGACACTGAGAACATCGCACTTTTCGCAGACAGGCCGATCACGTGAGTCTGTTCCTCCAGTCCTCACTTCTGCGATACGTAGATCATGATTGATTGGAGGTAAGAAAATGTTATATATATTTCGCTAGTTGTTTTCCCGAGAATATCAGTTGGCGAGAAACAACTAATAGAAAAGTCACGTGTCAAAGAAGCACGCTCTCGTGAAGGCACCTTGTTTCCCTTGACTTCGGTGCATGGAACAAATATCGGACCGCTACTCCGTGGTAGGGGGCTCCGCAGAGGCACCGCAGAGGCACTGGCTTTCTGCGCTGAACTTAAAGATCTAATAGTATACAGAAGGTGTAAAGATGATTTGATCTTCATCAGCTGTACATGGTGGCAATAATGTACTCCTGAGGTACTTCTGAGGTAATTCTGAGGTACTCCTGAGGTACTCCTGAGGTACTCCTGAGGTACTCCTGAGAGTGCATACTATCATAGAAGTCGTAAGTTGGAAGGCACTGGGAGAAAATATCGAAATCTCAAGGGTCTAAACAGCCGAGTGCTCCCGTGATCAAGAGTGTATGACGAGGGTGACGTGCTCCCGTGACAAGGCATTGAATGGCGAGGGGCTGGCAAGCTGACAAGCAGGGAGCTCACCCAAGAAGAGGTGCAGAATGCTACTTTTGGAGCTGCCGAATTGATTGAGTGCTTGAGATCCAGGAGAAGGCGGAAAAAATGGCGAAATCTCGGGAGTCTAAACAGCCGAGGTACGACGGTGTCTGGGTGGAGGGGTAGGGATGGAGAGTAGCGATCCCGTGATCAAGATAGTATGGCGAGGGCTGGCAAGTCTGGGACAGGAAGCTCAGGCAAGGGGAGGTGCGGAATTCTACATTATATATGATAGTTCGTGAATTATGAGACAAGGCCAGCTTGAAAAAGTTATTTGGGATTTTTAGGACATGGCGTTCAAGGTGCGTTGGGAATCGTAGGACATGGAATACAAGAATTTTTGGGACAACGGGGGAGAAAATGGGGCGGAAGAGGAGGAAAAGCGTACTCTCGTGACGAGGGAGAGCGGCCGATACGGAGGAAGCGGTGTCGATGCTGTGGCGGGCAGTGTGGGTCATGCGTAAGTCATGTGGGGGTCATGTGGGAGTCATGTGCGTGCTCTAGATGCCGGGAGAGAAGGCACGTGGAAGTCACGGGATGGAATCCTGGAGAGGGAGATGTAGATTGAATCTGTGCGCATGATATGCATGTGCTCTCGGATATACTTAGGCGCGAAGGTGATGAGATAGCGAAATGAACGAGAGTGGCGACCGGGGCGGGCGGTCTGTGTCATGAGCGTCATGTGGGGGTCATGTGTCATGTGCTAGTCAAGTGAGCGCTCTAGATGCCGGGAAAGGAGACACGTGTACACCACGGGGTGGAATTCTGAAGCAGACTGGAGGAAGGGATGAGGCGTGCTCGAAGAGAGACTGGGAGACGGGGTGGAGGGGGGTGGCTGAGGTACTCCTGAGGGTGCATAATATGGTAGAGGTCGTAAGTTGAAAGATAGTGCGGGAAGTGTGGAAACCTCAAGGGTCTAAACAGCCGAGGTACGATGGTGTCTGGGTGGAGGATCGAGGAGGTAGGGATGGTGCGTAGCGGTCCCGTGATCAAGATAGTATGATGAGGGCGTAGTGCTCCCGTGACCAGGCATCGTATGGCGAGGGGCTGGCTAGTCTGAAGCAGGGAGCTCACCCAAGGGAAGGTGCGGAATGCTACAGTTGGGAGCTGCCGTATCGATTGAGTGCTTAACATTCACGAGAGGGCGGAAAAATGGCGGAATCTCAGGGGTCTAGCTGCTGAGGTACGATGGTGTCTGGGTGGAGGCGGTAGGAACGGGCGTAGTGCTCCC